CATACAGCGCGGCCTTTTTCTTCAACTTGGAGCTGCCAAAGTACAGAAAAAAGCCGTATTTTCTGTTGTTCAAAAAAGCAGAATGTGGCGCAAAAAAAGGCAGTCGAATTCGGGAAGAAAAGGCGCAAAAAAATGAACACGCTCAGACAAGCAAAACGTCCAAAAAGTGACACGCAGTTGACACGCAGTTGAGTCCAAAAAGTGACACGCAGTTGACACGCAAAGTGACACGCAGTTGACCACCGTCGTGGTTGTTCCAGTCAATCGACTCCAAAGACCCCCGCGTACTGTAACTTCGGGTGTTGGAGGCGGATGGATTCAACATGTGATATCCGCTGCCGTCGTGGTTCATCAGAGGGATAGCGCTTGTTTTGGTTCCATTCAAGGCCGCACTGTTATTGTCCTGCACGTGCCACGTGAAACAGTTCTGATTCATCAACCTCGTCAAAGTTTTCGCGTCGCCAAAAACGGTGTCGTAGTCGCCCCGTAAATGGAGTTTTACCAAACTACTCGCAGTTCGCCGCAGTGGTAAATCTTCGCGTCTGGCTGTACTTATGCGCATCGCTGGGGCCCCGCCCCCCGCTGAAGTAGCAGACGCATTTTCACCTTCTACACCAGGAGCAGTGGCCGTAGTACCAGAAAAATTAACGGTGCTGTTGTTGGTTATGCTGCTCTGGTCGTCATTTTCACCGTCAACATCTCGCCCGGTCGTGGGTTGTGTCGTCCCTAGCAATCTAGTTTTATTCTCCTCGTCATTGTAGTTTATCGATTTCTTGTCCATTTTGGTGGACAGCAATAATGCGCTTGAGGGCGTCATGGGAGCGGAGTTGGACTCCTTTTCATCTTCCTTTGCTCGTGTCGTTGTTTTTTCTTCGGCGTCATCTACAACTTCTTTATCAACATGGTCGCCATCTACTTCACTGGGATCTATGTCTCGATCCATATCCTCTTTATTCACTAAACCCGAGTTCGAGGAAATCTGCGAATTCCACCGTCTCGACTGCGACGCCACGGAGTTATTTCCGGGAAACGGAAAGTGCACCTGCTCTTTGTAGAATGCCGTCGAGGAGTTCCCCGAGCTTCTCGTCCGGTCTAAGGGGTGAAAAGAGAGTAAAGGAGCTGGGTTGTTCATATTCTTGCTACTGTTCTTTGTGGTCTTCGTTCTTGTGCTTGCTGTGGTGCCACCGGTTACATCAACTTTCGTAGTCGTTGTGCAATGACGCGTTTCGTTCTCCAAGCTAGCGATCTCCTTCAAGTCCGACTCCAGCATCAGACTCCCGTGGTAGTATTCGTAATTTTCCCTCGTCGCCTGCCGTTGCAGCACCCCCCGGCCGGCTGTGCTGTTATTGCTGTTGTTCGTTCCCGCGGACTTGGTCGTGTTCGGTCGCGACTTTTGGATCGAGTACTCAATCCTGGTAGTCAGCTTCTTCCGTTGGTCTTTCCCGTAAAACTTCGGCAAGAACTTCAGCAGCCGGTGCTTCTGCTTCGGGGGTTCTGGCACCAGGTCCTCTCCCGCGTCAGAGTCATTGTCCTGCTTTTGGCGTTGCGACGACGAAGATATTCTCGCTGAGGTGGACAATTTGGAATTCACAGAGGGTGAATTCATCGTCGGATCACTGCCGCCCTTGATACCAATCTTCTGGTGGTATTGAAGAGAGAAAGCCGGGACGATAGGGTGTTGGTTTATTTCGATGCGTCTAGTAGTAACATGCTGGTGCGCGATTTTGCCACGCAAAGAAATTAAAGCGCTGCACACAATACTTGGTTTGCAGCTGGTGAGGAAAAAGAAAAGGGCATGGACTTGAATTATGCTATATGCATGAAGTGAAGCGCGTCACGTCTCTCATAACATACTGGTAGAATTAATAGTACGCCTTTCATGCATATTCCGTCACATCTAGACACTTCGAGTCAGGTGCCGACCCTGCTTAATAATCACCATTTTGATACAGCAGATTGACAGTCGGTCTGCTCGCACTTCCGCTTCGACTGTCTTTCAAATTGAAACTTATCCCACGAAAAAAGTGTTACAGTTACACATTTGTAGTGAATGCAGCAACACAAATTTCTCTGCATGTTGAGAGAGAAAACTTGTAGTGCAGAAATTCTAGGGGAAAACACCTATGAAACGAGGCTTCTATGCATATCCGGCATGACAGAGCTTGCCTGTCTTGCTTGGCCTGCAACGCAATGTGTAACTGTAACACTTTTTTCTTGCGATAAAACTCGACGCGTTTCCACTACCCGAGCTTCGGCTCGGCGACTCGGTCATAACACTGGTGTTGGCATTCCTGCTTGTCCTCTCGTCCGGTTGTTGACCATCAGCATCCTCATGATCCCGGTCGGCTCGATCATTTACCGCGAACTTCGCAGCACTTATATTGTTCTCTTTCTCTTTGTCACCACCTTGTAGTAAGCCACCGTACAGGAACTTCTGTTTCTTTTTGCTCGCCACGGAGCTGGAGGAGTTGGACCCGTACTTCTTGTTCGTCGACACATTCTCCGGCCAGTTGTTCATAATTCGGTAGAAGTCGTACTCGATGCGGCCTCGCGATTTCGTCCGCCCCTCCGCCTGCTCCTTTTCCGACAACCCAATCCAGGGTTTGTATACCTTCCCGTCGTTGGTGTACATGCAGAGCTTCGCGTCCTGTTTCTGAAAGTAGCCGTCGTTGGACAGGTTCCGGTGGTGACTGCCAGAAGAAGTGTTTTGGTGAAGACGGTGATTCATTTTTGGGTGGAACAACGCGGATCGGTCTCCCGATCCCGACGAGTTCCTTCCGCTCGCCGCGAGCGACGATTTAATATTGTGATCACGCTGTTGTACTGTCCCATCCAGGCCGATCGGAAGCAACGGCGGATCGGTCTGGGTTCTTCGGGTCAGAAGGTTTTTCACGACTTCGTTGTCATCTCTCCCCAGGATCTCTTCCACGTGGTACTCGTATTCCGCCTGCTCGTATCAAGTGCAAAAAAGTCTGGACCTGGAAGAATGCATGTTTGTCATGCTTGTCTGCCATGACTCTTAAATCTGTCATGCACGTTACCCAAGAGCTAGATTTTTTCTGTGATGCAGAAACGCAGTTTGTCATGCAGAATAGGCAACACCTAGAAGCTCAGAAACTTGTGATGCTGAGCCAGCATTTGTGGCCTCATCATGAAACGCCACCCAGCATCGAAAGTTTCCAGACCCAGACATTTTTACATTTGATAGCTCGTACCCGTGCCCGGCGACGACATCCAGCTTCTGGTACTGCCGTTCCTCGTATCAAATGCAAAAATGTCTGGGTCTGGAAAGTTGGAACTTGTGATGCTAACTTTGGACTCTAAAAAAATCTGTATTGCATGACCAGCAAGAGGAGCCATATTTGTGCTACGCGAGGAGGGCATTTGTCATTCGGAAATGGCATCAGGAAGCTTTCCAAAAATCTGTGATGCTGGGTCATGCATTACAAGCATCATGGGTCATGCTAGACAAGCATGACAAGCCTTCCATTCTTCCAGACCCAGACATTTTTACATTTGATACCTCGACAATGACCTCATCGGAGACTTCGCGCTCCTTCAACTCTAGCTGGGATTCTAACAGTAGGTCGGTCGTGAGCGAGAGGGAGGTGGTGAAATCTTTGGTCGGCCGGCGCGCTTCAAGCACCGTGTTGGAGAAGTGCGCGGCTTTCTGTTTCGAGGAGGTGCTGCTGGAGGTGTTGAGTGGAGGGGATTTGGAGGAGGTGTTGTCAGGAGCATCTCCTTGCTCAATACCTCCGCCGCAGTCTGTTTTTTCGGCGAGCTGCCGAGTCTCTGGGTCGTCGGTCGCTGCGGTGCTGGTCCCGCGACCGAGGGGGAGCTTTTTAGCGGGGCTGGTGGACATTCTGGTTTTGTGCGAGTCTGAGTGTGAGTCGCAAGGAAAAATACTAAATCGAGTGCAGAATGAGAGCAGTAATCTCCCAACCAGCCTGCTCTATTATCTGGCTCTCTGCTTGTGCGTTCACGAAAACTTACGCGAAAGCGAGGCCGCGAAGAAAAATGCCAATGCCGAGGCTGACGGAAAAAAGACAATTTCATATTAATGCCTCTCACTCACTGCGCCTAACACGGCGCCAGAACCTCACACTCACGTCACAAGAAAAAACAATCAACAAATAAAATATCATCTGGCGGTTACTTCTAAGTGGCTTACCCGTGTGAAAGAAATTTGAACTCTCTCGGTCCCCCTCCCCCCACCAACACCGCCACGTCAAGAAGAGACAACGCTCCCTCAAGAAATAGTTGTACGAAACCCAAGCACAGGCACAGAAAAAGATCAACAAAGTTGGATGCTGACGGGTACCGAGAAAACCTGTCAGTTGCACTCACTATGTAACCCGCAGTGAGTTAATGCGTTGAGGTAGACGTAGAGGTGGCACTAGTGGCAGCAGGCGCGCAGATATTGCGCCTGGCGCCGCTCGCGACGGCCGGGAAGCTGCAAACTTACTGGGGTGGCCTGCGTGCGCGAGGTCGTTTGCGGTCATCCCAGGGGGGGGCGGCGGGCCCGCGGCGAGGCAGAGGGGCGCGAATGTGACCACAAGCCACACGGCCACCGGCCGGCCATCGCCGGCCGCCGCACATTAATGGCCGACGCGGGGGGCCATGGGGCGGGGCGCCGCGTCATCGCGGCGCACCGGGCGCCCATACTCGTCAGGCTCTGCCAGCCGCTGGAGGTTCTTCACGATGATGGAGCACGTCGCCGCACAGTCCGCCGGGCGCGTCGGGTTTTCAATACCCACACACGCGCCCTGTCACAACTCGCTTAGTTCGTCGTCACGCAGAAGGGCCGGCATTGGTGCCGCGCCGGCCGCCCGGATAGGGCGGGCGGGCCACTGCCGGGAACGACGGCCCCCGTCGGCCCTGCGAGCAGGCTCAGAAAGCGGCGCCCCATGCGGCCGCCAGCCCGGCCATTTTGGGAGCATGGCGCGCAGGCGCGAACTCGGGCGCGGCATTATTCTCACCACCTGGCAACCCTGTAGGCCTGTCCTCCGTCGTGTCGCCGCTGGCTTGTACTCAGTTGTGTCGCCGCTCGGCGCGCCCCGCTCCGGGCCCCCCTGCCATTTTGGCGCCTTCCTCCATTTTAGGCACTTCTCGCCGTCTTCAGCGATTAGCCGACAAAGATCGGGCCACCAGGCCAAGGCGTCCATCTTGTTCGAAGCGATTGCGGAAAATAACCGCATGAATGCAGCGCCACGTAGCTATTTTATTTTACTCAGCAAAAATAAGCCATATTTCAACGAATTCGTGCACGTTCAAACATAGCGACAGAAGCTCATGACCGCAACGCCTCTCAATGCTCTTGGATAGGTATCGTTCCCTCATGGTCACCGGGAAAAACATGTTGATACCAACGACGAATATTGGCGCACTTGCAACGTGCAACCGCGGAATAGGAAGGAATAGAATCGACCTACTATGCTTATCTCCCCACACTCATCATATCACGGACCACGTCCCGTCACTCGTTGCTGAAAGAAAGTCGATCCCAGTGAAATACCAGCAGAGCTTAACGTTGCGCAAAAAAATGAAACGATCGCACTACCTCCAGCCTCATGGAACGAGGCACAGCCACGTTGCCAAGTAATCGCAATTTTTGCTTATCTTTTTACTTCTTCCTCATCTTCTTGCTTTACGTTTTCTCGGAAATTTCCAGGTCGGTTACTTGCACCTTACAACTCTTCATCAGAGTTTCACGCTTACAATCGGTTTCTTTGACTTATGGTTGCTTTGACCAATATTTTTTTCTCTTCTCACTCCTCTTGATGGTCTTTGACAGTATCAAATCGAAGGTGGTTTTTATTTTTCCTGTGACGATTGGAAATTATTTTCAAAACAAGCTCTGCTTTGTAATTCACTGTGACAACAAACTGTGAGAATCGACGAAACAAGATTTTTACCATTTCACGTTTCGAAAAAAGAGACTGCTCCTGTGTCTTTTTACTTCTATATCCGGATAGCTCGGAAATGGAAAATCGAAGTTCACGCAGGGCTGTTGTACTCCCTAACAGCACGATTCACGCACACTTTCCCAGAAGTTGCATGAGGAAAATCCGCCACCTTGGAGTGCAAGAGGGGAGGTTGTACTTATCGGTTGAAAAACTTCTTTGACGAAAAATGGTTGACGCACGTCCTGCTCTCCACCGCCACCCACACAGGGAAACACAACAAGGAGCAACATCAATACGCGGCAGCACTTTTTCTTTCACACGAACCCGTTGATTTTGACCACAAAACCGCAACTCGCAGGAATTTCGATCATCTCCGACCGGGCGGTGTGGATCAAACTTTTGTCCACCTTTTCCTTGATCTCGAGCTGGAGTTTTTCGTCCGGTGAGATGTTTTTGTTTTCGATGAAGATCGTGTCGTACAGATCCATCCCCGTTTCGTAGATCGCCCCGTCGAACATCCGGGCGGACTTCAGCCACAGCTTCACCAACACGGGGATGTACCCGTGGTTCTGCACCTCGATGCCGTCCTTCGGCCCGCCCAGGTGGATGCTGATCCCGCAATCTAGCCGGGCCAGCGTGTGAATGGACGTCCGGCTCGCATCCACCGTGGCGACGACTCCCTTCTCCAAGTAGAACTTCAAGTGGCATTTCAGGTATTCCTCCTCCTCCGGCTGGTAATTCTCGTCGTCTTCCGGCTCGGGAATCACGAGTTTCTGCTCCTTTTCCTCCTCGTTCTTCGGGGAATTGGAGGTTTCCGTGTCGGTTTTCGAGGTGGGTTGCTCGTTTTGAAGATTCTGATTCATCTCGTTCAGATCCTTCTCCACGTCCGCGGTCTGCTTCGTTGGGCTCTTGGTGTTCGGACTGGACAAGTGGCTGCTGTTGTTGTCGTCGTCCTCATTGTCCAGGCCTAAGAGTCCCAACCCGTCCCCATCGAGACTGTGGTGAATTAACCCACCATACCCGTACTCATCGCCACCATCTAGTGTCGTGCCTGCAGCTCCGTAGTCAAGACTCGTCCCGGGATCATCGACATTTTCTGTCCCGTCATCGTTTCTGCTACTATTCTGTCCGTCCCGCAATAAATCAGTTGATTTCTCCACCGCGGGACTCCACTTTTCCTCAGAGTCGTGGGAATCCACGGAGTTACGATGGTGCACGACCCCACCGGGCGTGATGTGCGTGTCCGTCTGCTTGCTGCTGGACGGGGTGGCTTTGTTGTTTGTCAATTTGGAGGATTTGTTCTTCGGCGATAAATCGTTATCTGGCGATCTGATTGCGCTGTCGTCGACTGCCTTGGAGGCAGATTCGTTGTTATTATTTGCGGTTTGTTTTGAAGAGGTATTGGAAGGAGATTTCACCATGTTCTGATCGGCCACTTCGTCGGGTACTACACCAGCGGTGGTTTCTTCTGGATTGTTCATTTTGCTGTGCGCGGGACCGCCACTTCTACTGCTACTTTCGAAGTGGTTCGCGTCGACATCCGTTATCTCCGTGTTCACAATCTGTACCACTTCCGGTGGCTGCAGAGCCAGTTGCTGCTCCTTTTTCAACCTGCGTTCCGCCTCCCTTTCCGCCAACAGCGCCTTGATCTCCGCCTTTTTTTCCGCGATGTACGCGTTCCGGTTCTCTTTACTCGCCACGAACGGCACCTGGAGACACAACACCTGCCCAGGCCACAACAAAATCTCCTCGCTGTTCATCCGGCTCGCGGACGTGATCCCGCCGAGGACCAATTTTGTCATCGGGTGGGCCGACATTACTAACCCGACCGTTTTCTGCACAATCCCGTCGTAAGATTCAAACCGAAGCGTGACGCACCGGCAGGTTTGGTTGCAGATCAGCACGCGCCGCCGCGTCCCGTGAAGGTAGGCGGAAATCTGGGACTCAAACTCGCTGTGCCACCCGTTCATCTGATCGAGGCCCGTGTCGTAGCTACCCTGCGCGAGCCCCCGGCTGACCAGGGTGTGCGGCGCCGTCAAACAGTACCCGCGGCGCTCGATCACCTGCACGAGCTGCTGCTCGGGAGACGTCGGTGGGCGCTTTGCAGTTTGCTGGTTCTTCTGCTTGCTGCCGGTGTTCAATGCCACTTCACCCTCGGGGCTTTTATTTGCAACTGCGGCTTTGCTCTTACCTGCAGGGGACGTAGTTGTCGTTGCTGCGTCCTCAGTCACCTCCTCAACCGCGTCCTCGAAGGTGTCACTCCTCAGTTTTTCCATATCAATCGGCACGACGTTCATCTGCTCTATCCTCGTTTCCACGACCGGACAGACTCGGTTCCGCAACGATTCGACCGTTTGGTCCTCCAACAGCAAAAACCGCATGTCGTCGCTCATCCACAGCATCACATTCGAAATCGCCCACACCTCCAACGCGCCGGGCAGCGGCATCACCAGCCCGGCGGCGAAACCGAGAACCGAGTGCTGCACCTTCCCCAGGAAGGACTCCCCGGGGATGTGGGACAAATTCGCGTGCAGCTGCTGCTGCTTCACCTCTTGCTGTAGTTGTGCGGGGGAAGAGGAGTTGGCGTCTCCTTGTTCTTGCGCGGTCGTCTGATCTTCAGGGTCATTTTGAAGAATCTGGTCTCCCCTGGGGGAAAAAACATTTGGGTTCGACAATCCGTCGTCGCTGTTCTCATCATCGCTTTGTTTGTTTCCGTTTTTCCGATCGCGGACAACGGCGCGATTGCTTTTCTGCTCGCCATTTTCCCCCGCCACAGGATGCGCGCCGTTGCTATCCAGCCCCGCGAGACCCGCCCCGTCGCCGGAACTGGAATTCGCGCGGATAATGTTGCTCGCGTCGTCGTGTTATCCTGTGCAAAAGTTCTTGTATCGGAGACTCGTAGCAAGTGATTGCGATTTTGCATCACAATAAACGTGTTGGTGTTCATCTTTACCTTAATCAATCTGCATGAGAAATTTCATTTTGTCTCTGTGATTCAATCACGACCACTAAGCCACCTAATACGATAGAACTTTTTGCAGCAATGCATATGTATTCCATGATTTGGTCTTCTGGCACGACCGCAGAGGGGGATCTTTGCACTGCGATGGCGGGAACCACTGAAGTTGTGGCTCCGCTAGACACTAGGTCGGTATTCAGCTGCAACAGATTGTTTTGCTCTGTCTCGCTGTTACTGGTATTTATCCCTACTAGCTCTTTCGAGCTCTGTTTTGACAAGTTCGTCTTCTCACTCACCACCCCCTTCGCCACGGCCGTGCTGTAGGTTTTGTTCGTTGCCGGCGTGGTTTTGTCCAGCACCAATTGCGACCCTTTGCGATGCAGGTTGCTGCTCGGCTGTCCCGCGGCTGCTGCGGCGTTGTTTACGGCCGTCTGCGCACCGAGTAGCAACACCGCTCGGATTGACATCAGTCGCTTCTGTTGCGCCAAGTACCCCTGCCCCAACGCCCGGAGACACTGCAGGAGATCCACCCGCTCCTTCAACAGAAACGCCAAATCCACGCCGTGCAGAATGTGGTCGCACAGCCGCAGCACCTCTGGCAAATGCTCCTGCAGCGCCTGGAGCCAGGCTTCGTTCCACTCTTCCTTCCGGGTTTGCCAGTCGGCGAGCATCTTGCCGTCCAGCGACTCGAAAATCGCGCCCCACAGGTGATCCAGCGACGCCCGCTCCATCCAGTGCAGGCTGTCGTGAAGCAGAATGATGCAGGATCGCAAAACGTAGAACAGGCCCAAGGCCTGTACGCGTTCTCGCACCGTGTAGGACTGGGCGAGGAGCTGCTTCTTCGTAAGTTGATTCTTCTTCGCGGCATCCTCTTCTTTGTTGGTCGAGGCCTGCTCGGAGGACGTTTGCGCTGGTTGCTGCGCCGCTGCGCCCGCGATTTTGCCCGCGGTAACTACCGCCGCCACGGCGGCTTTGGCCTTCGGAGTTGCTGCGCCTCCGGGAGCGGATTGTGTTGAAGTGGATCCAGTAGCTGCACCCGTGCCTGCTTTGCTCTTTGGCGTCGCTTGTTTGTTTGCCGCCGGCGACGTGGCCGCGCTGGTTTGTTCGCCATCGACACTTGTTGCGTTATTTCCTGCTTCAGTCGTAGTTTTCTTCGAACCCGGTTTACTGTTCGAGCCAAGTACAACTGTTCCGCTGGTCGGACTGGTGTCGATGTTTCCGCTGCTGGGGTCTCCCGTGCCGGACAGAAACTCTGCCATGGTCTCGGCCCGTTCCGCCTTGACCTTCCGCTCCGCACCGAGGAGGCCGTCGTTCCGTGTGATGGAGCTGGTGGTGGCCACGTGCCGGAATCTCTCCTTCAGTACCGCGCCTTGCTGGGTTGTGCTGTCCGAGTCATCGCTACTCTTGTCATTCCCGTCGTGGTCGTCTGCGTGCTGGAATTTGGGGCCGGCGGCCGCTCGCGAGGAAGATGATGAACCCTGGGGAGCAGGGCTCTTTTCAACAACTCCCACGTCACCCGGATTTTTGGCATCCACTCCAGGTTCTCCCCCACTGGTCGTGGCCGACGTCCCCGACGGGTTAACGTTATTCTCCCCGCCACTGACTGGGTCCTTCGGCGTCTCGGCGCCGGCTCTGCTACTACCGGCTACGACATCGTCCGTCACCGCGCTGCTCACCGCGGTTGTCTCGCTGACCCCCGCAGTGGTTGCCTCGGACGGCGGCGCACCGACGGACGCGGTATCGTCAAGTAAGTCCGTGGCCGCGTTTTGTCCTTGGGGATTTTGCAGGTTTACTTGCTCCGCAGCAGCGGTAGTTCCACTTGCAGCAGTTTTGTTCTTCTTCTTTTTCTCTTTCGGTTTCGGACTGCTTGTAGACCTCGGCTTTTTGTAGATCTTCATCATGAAATCCGAAAAGCGCACGAGCCAGTGTTCGGGGTTCTGCAGCCCATCGTCGCCGTCGTTCAGTGCGTTGGCGATGTTGTACCGGATTAGTCTTTCCTGCTCCAAGTCTTCCAGTCTTTGCGACTTCCGCGGCACGTATTCCTGATTCGCGTCGAGTAGGTGGAAATTGGATGCAGTTACCGTCACGATCTCCTGCGGAAACGCGGGGAGCAAATTGTTATCCACGACACTCTGCGCGGAGATCGGAAAGTAGCCCTGGTTACTAGTACCGCTGCTCTCCACGGCACTGTGCCGAGGACCGGAGCTGCTTGTAGCCCCTCCAGGTCCGCCACCTCCTGCGCCATCGTTTCTCGGGCTGCGCTCCTTGTTGTTGAAGGTTGCGCTCCTCGTGCCGGCCGGCGTTGCCATCTGCATCTGCAGCGGCTCCATGTTGTGGAGGGAAAAGCTGTCACCAGTCACGTTGCGGTTGCGCGGTTCGTACTCCACGGTGACGGCCTCGTCGTCGAGATCGTCTTCCACGAGGCTCCGCACTAAGTTCCTCGACAAAAACTTGTCGTGTCCCTTCCGCACCTCGTGCATCAGAAACCAATTTAGGGAAAACCGCAACCCCTTGAACAGGGGCGGTAAATTTTTCCGCCCCACGACGTTGAATTCGAGCTCTGCGTCCCGGGAGTTGCCGCCGAAGTTCTGGTTTTTTCTTTCCCGTTTCCGTATCACCGGCTCCTTCATCGACTTGTGGGTCGTAACTTCCTGGTTAGAAGTACCTTGCCCTCCCGCAGCTCCACCGCGTCGGTTGGGTCGGGCGATTTCCGGACTGAGTGATCCGGTATCCTGGATGGCGCTGACGATCCCGGCCGTGTCCTTGATCGCCACGTTGGCCTCGGCCAACTCGCCCCACCCGGCGCAGTTGAACCCGCGGATGGAAATGACATAGAGGCCGGGCGGGAGATTGGGAAGTTCCCAAGTGGTGAAAACCCCCGTGTCCTGCGACTTTTCCGCCTTGTAATTGCGATACGCAAAGCGCTTCTCCTTCTTTTTCTCCTTGCTCACCATGCGGTACTCCACCATGCAACCCAGAACGGGCGCGTCGCGGAGAAGATCCTGCATCTCGAACCGAATGCAGCCGTTGGCGCAGCCGCGCAGGTTTTGCGCGCGTTTTGGAACTGGTGCGGTTTTGAAGACCTGAGAGCGAGAAAAGGTAATTTTGGCGGTCGCAAGCACATTCAACACCAAGCACATTCGTTGCGAGAAAAAGAAGAAATTGAAATTTACTATCAGCACAACAATCAATTCGTACCGCCGCGCACTGCGCCGTTGGTCCCAGCCCCACTGCGTTTTTGGGCGCGACGCGGAAGAGGTAGCTCCGGTTCGGCAGCAGTCCCTGTATCACCGACTTCCACTCCCGGGTCTGCAGATCTTCTCCCTTCGCGAAAAAGTATTTGCTGAAGACGCCCTCTTCCGAAATTTGGATCTGGCACTCCGTGACCGGACATCCCTCCGGATCGTCGCAGGTCCACCGCACCTTCGCTCCGTACCCCTGCGTCCCCACGACTTCCAGATTGTAGCAGGGCTTGGGCGGTAAGGAGGTCGACGCCAACACCGATCTCGACCACGGGGACCGGCCACAGGCGTTCATGGCCGCGAGGCGGAATGTGTAACGCTGCTCCGGCTGCAGGTCGTAGATCTGCAGCTTCCACAGCTGGGTCAACTTCGACTGGTTTTGCCCGCTACTGGACGAGCCGCCTCGGGAGCCCCGTTTAGAAGAAGAAGAGGTGTTCTGGTTCAGGTCCCCGGACGTCGCGGAGGAGCCTCCACCTTTGGAGAAATCTTGCAGGAATTGCTTCTGCTTTTTCGTGAATTCCCGGGGGTAATTACCGTTACTTCCTTTGTTGTTCAACATGTCCTGACTGGAAGAAGTGGAGGAGCTGTTTGGCGTCACCACCTCGCCCAACGACTGCTGCTGGCTGTTGTTATCCAGCGACCCGGGGTTCACCTGCGTGATCGAATTGCCGTCTTGCTCGTACGCTTCGTCCAGGTTCAAATTGAGGTCCTTCTGCGGGTTGTTGTTCACCTGGACGTACTTCTGGACCGCGCATTTGGTCACCCGCTCCCACCCCGACCAGCCCGATTCCTGCTCCACTTGGATTTTCGTCACTTCCGCGCCGTCCGGCACGTTGGTGGTGCACAGAATGGACACGCTGGTCGGGGATTTCTCCACGACCGACAGATTCCAGGGTGCGAGGGCGACCGAACTGGTGAACACCGGGAAGACCGGGCTGTAGCCGATGCAGGACAGGTACGTCGCGTCGGGCACGGAAAATTTCGACTTCAGCGTCGGAATCAACTCCACGCGGGCGCGGTAGGTTTGCGAGGGTACGAGAGATTCCAGTTGCGTTTCGAAGCTGCCCGCCGACGTGCTGGCGTTCTCCTTCTCGTTCGAGAGGTCCGGCGTGAGCTCGAGCCGCTGCCACTTGTTGCCGCCCGCACCGTACTCGATTTTGCAACGCTGGACCTTCAGATTCTCCTGCTGTGCCTGGAACATACACCTGGGTGAATTTGGTTTTGTAGGAACAAAGCTAGCTTAAGCTTAAGCTTGCACTGAATAAAGCATGTAAATGTTGTATCACGGGAAGCAACACCGCCGAAGAAACTGCCAAGAATAAACTTGAATTTCCTGCTAGTTGCAGCTCAGCGACTACTAGGACGAGAGACAGCACGACATTCCATTTCCCTACCTCAGCATCACGCTCGTCGCAGTGGGTTGCGCCACCAGGTTGATCCGGATTTGCCGATCGCCCTTGGACTGCCCTCTTGTCACGTGCATGGCTTTGACGAAGTTGATGAAGTTGTCGCTCATTCCCACCCCGCTGCTGGTTTGCTCCAAAAACGAGGACTGCTCCTCGGTTTTTGACCGCCCCGTGGCTGTCAGCGTCTCCTCCGCACTGGACACGTCTTCGTCCGTGCTGGTGCCCGGCTCATCCCGGCCTAAATGCACGGCGTCGGTCTTCGTCGGAATCTCCGTGTCATGGTAGTAAAACTCGCTCTGCCCCACGGCGTTGTACAACGACACCCGGAGTCGGACGGGCGTGCCCGCCAAGTCGCTGGACACGCTCAGCGTCGGCAGCCCGACCCGCCACACGTCCGCTTCGAGTTGCACGGTTTCCACCGGCTCGAGCTCGTCCCAGGAGGACAGAATCGGGCCGAAGTAGTTCGCCTTCTCCACCTTCACGCGCTCCACGGGGGCCCCTTCCGGGTCCAAAGTCTGCAGTTCGACCACCAGGTAGTTGGTTTTGTAGCCGTAGAAGGAGGACTCGTCCTGGGTCAAAGCTTTTATCCTCCCCCGCGTGCTGGTCGCGATCTCGAAGGGCTGGCAGTACTCGCCCGCCCCGATGCAGTTCCGCGCGCGGACCCGGACCCAGTAGACGGATTCGGGCGTTAGTTGCGTCACGATCAACCGGTTGGATTTGATGATGATGTCCCGCCACTCGGGGTTCCACAGCTGCGACCAGTTGGGCGCCTCGGAAAACTGCGCCTGGTAGTCCTCGATGGGCGCCCCCTCGGGGTTCATTCCGTCCACGTCCCAGGACACGGACACCTTGGTGGGGAACCCCCACCACCGCTTGATTTTGGGCATCTGCGGCTTCTCGCTGGGGTACGCCCAGGTCAAGTCGGAGGGTTCGCCGAATTTCTCGTAGTTCGACCGGTCCGGGATATCCTGGAGCGACTGCAGTTGTTGCCGCTATGCATGGCAAAAGCTGTATAATGGCACATCTGGACCATAATTCGCAGGGACAAGAAATTATACTCCCAGTGGAATCATGCAGGTTCGGGTAGAAAATGAAAAACGGATCCGTCATGCCAGACTGCGAGAAGTAGTTGCGATACACAGTACTTTTGCACGGGATAGCTGCTGCTGGGCGACGATCTCGTTGTTTTTCGAGTTCATCGCGGGCTGCAATTGCTTCGACGTGGAACTAGAACTTCCCCCTTGCTGGTTATTGCCCCGCAAGTTCCCTGGCGGAAAAGAGCTAGTTGTACCGCTACCACCTTGTTGCTGCTGGTTGGAAGAAGTGGATACTCCGTTCATCCCTTGCTGCGCTGCTATGGTCAGATTTTGCGGGTCAAAATTCTGCTTCCCCACCGGGCCTCCTGGGCCACCAGGAGCATTCCCGTTGCTCCCGGCCCCATCTGTTCGCGCCAAGGGGTTGAAGTTGGGCGGCACCGGGAGCGGACCCTGCGGCGCGTTGATGGAGTTTCCGGCCTTCGTGCCCTTTGCGAAGCTGACGGACTGGACCGCATTTGCATTTGCAGAGGAAGCACCCCCTCCGACCAAAGTATAGCCCTTTGGAGTGCCCGTGGCATTGATGTCCTGATTCTGTTGCATAATTTGCTGCTCGGCCGGGGTGAGGTTCTGGTGACCTCCATAATTCGACGCCGCGGCGGTGCTGTAGGGGTCCATCGCCATCGGTAGCTGCTCGGCGGGCTGCTGCGCTACACTAGCGGGCACCGCCAACTGTTGGCTCGCCGGGACCACTGGCGGTGCGCCCGGTTTTCTGCGCATCATGCAGATCCGGATTTCCGCGGCGGCCCGCAGGTAAATCTTCATGGAATACTCGTCCCGCCGACGGTCAATGCACTTGAGTTCGCGACTGGCGATCTCCGCGAAGCCAAAAAACCCGCTCTGTTCGGCAATCACCGTGACCTGCTCCGCGATCACTTGGCTGGGCGACACGTGCTCCCGCGGGAGACGAAACCGCAACTTGACGCCGCCGGGAAAGGGCGTCTGCTTCAGGTCAAAAGCGTGCTTTTCGCGCCGAAAATGCACGGTGCCCTCCGACACCATGTTAAGCCGGTCCAGGGGGATCGGCGGCTGCTGCTGCTGCTGCTTCTTGGTGCCGGCCGACACCATGCTCTCAGAGGAGCTGGAAGACCGAACGCCAGTGGACGACATAATGTTATTTCTTGCCGCAAGTTGTATTACAGGAATACTCCTTTTGGCAGCTGCTTTCTAGAAGAAAGCTTTTGCTTCCACCTTCGCGGCCAAAAGCTCTGCAGCCTCCAAGAACAACGCGGATTCACTTCATCATTATCAAAGAACCACTGGTGGCACAGAGGCGATGCACATGATCTTCAAGTGCATTTCCGGCCTCATCTGGGTGGGTACCAAGTGGAGAGTTCAAAAGCGCAATCGGAAAAAAACACTTCAGCGGCCCCGCCTACAATGGAATAAAAATTTTTGTTGAAGATATCATACCATGTAAGTAGGCAGATGAACTGGGATAGGAGCTTTCTCTGCGTCACTTCTTGTCTCCACACTCACTCTCCGTGTAGTACTTACTATGCAGGTTTCCATGATGAACTCAAATTAAGATTTCCTCACCCGACGTCAAACATTCGGTTTTGCGTGCTCTGCGCAGAATGCTTTACAGGACGGAGCGCGACGTTAGTAGATGGCATTGTGGCGGAAGCTGACATGGTCATATAAGTACTGAATGGTTGGGATTCGATTTGAGAAATGCTTGAAAAATTAAAAAAGCAGGGTCTTTGCGTTTATCACAGGAGGACAATGTCAAAAGGAGGGCAATCCGTATGGTAAAACAAGCCTTGTTTGGTGCTTCTTTGTTGTCGGTTTTGCACGACGATTGTGTTCACTCAGTACTACATTCGTCTCCATCTCCTCCTGCTCTTTGTAACCTCATGCAGTACACACTCATCTCCACAGTTAGGAATGTAGGAGGGAAAAGCGACTACAGGAGCGGTAGCGAAAGAGGAAAATGAAAACAAATATATGAAAATGAGGGTACTCGATACTCTAGATCAAACAAACTACAGGCAGCGAAAATTCGAAACAAATGATGCCACATCTATCAGGGGACTCTGTCAGTTTCGCATTAGAGGAAAATGCGATGATGCTACGCAAATGAGTTCGTGGCACCGTGAATGAGTCGACGATGAAGAGTTCAACTTTTGCCCAGCCTGATGGTGGCACAGAACCTGCGTCTAGATACATAGCGAGCCAACGTGTAGGTTGACAGACAAATCTCGGACGACAAGGAGCTTGTCGAGTTACATTTTTTTTTGCAATGTCCGTTTTTTCTTGAAATACCTACATGCGAAGATAAGAATTCGTGAACATCAACGACCATCATGGGTGGATGCGAATCCAATCGCTTTTTTTGCAACGTCTTCGTCGAAAACATACGGTAATTTTGATTCCGCCTCTACAGCCTCAAATGGCTGCATAATTGGGAAAGGTATGATCGCGTTTCGAGAGCGACGTCGCAAACTAACAATGCGCGTGCGTGCATGTCGATGGGGTAAAACACCATTTGCATTTTTCACTTGCCGTACATCAGCATCCTCTTCACCTAACCTGCAGGAAAGACGGCTTCTCACATACACGTAGGTGGCTCCGAAATTGAAGAGGAGCGCCTCTATACGAGGCGTTTCACTTGCAGAGAAAGGAAGCAGGAGCAACTGCCTCTCAGCGTCAACGCTGGCGTCAGCGGTATTGTCGCTAATATGACGACGAGGACGACGGATCATGTAAGTGTAGTAGCTGAGCAATCATCAATCCAGCACGCCAAGCATCTTCTACAGCTCCGCCCTTGTTCTCATCTCCTCGTCCTCTTCATGGCGGTGCAGATTCTGTAATTTTCCGCTTTCTTCACTTCCTGTTCTTGTTACCAGGTCGGCTCTTGTGAAAACTTTTTCGTTTCCAACCGAATATCCTAGATCGTCATACCCTTGCACAACTATCGCTTCTAGGAACCCCTGTTCCAACGAAGACAAGTCCGTCGATTTTAGGTGATAGACGAAAAAATTCCTACCCCTATTCTCCGTCTTTCGCCACCTTTCGTGATACTCCAGCCGGTGTCGTCTGTTGTTGTCGAAAAAAAGCCTTCGCTTCCCGTCCTCGGAATACCGGTAGCGCAGTTCGATTGCGCCCAGGATAGGATGACTTTCTTCACCCGCGGTGGTGTCGCTGGTTACTGTTCGGAGTTCAGCTCGCTGTGACGAAAAATCTTGTGTGGCCTTTCGCAACGTGAATGTGAGGGTCAGATACTGATCCGATTCATCGATCTTGTCGCTCAGTTTATCCGTCGCGACGACTGGTTCAGCAGAGGTAGTAGATTTGTTTTGGCCATCGCTCGAAGGAACTTCATCCATTACCCTGTCCAAGACAATCTCGTACGCAGGAACTTCTGCTGTCTTCTCGTCCGAGGTTCTTTTTTCTCTTGTTCTGTCTGCCGGTACCGCTAGTCTCAGGCCTTCGTAGCTCTCTGTCAACAAAGTTCCCGGCTGCACGTCCCCCATGTCCGCAAACAAATTTACGACCGCTTGCTGCAAATTTCGCTCACCCGTCACGCCGGCTGCCAAATCGCGGCTCACCCGCGTGCTCTGCTCATTCTCCCAGCCCCGGGTGCCGGTAACGCGGTCGTGAAAACTGTCCAGGGCCCAGGAGTACTGACACGTACCCGCGGCGAATATGAGGGATGAAGTTGAGGGTGGGGGCGATGAGGAATTTCTAGCTCCGTGGTCCATTGCAGTATCGTTCCACGCCCTGTGTTGCTTTCTGTGCAGCGTCATGGTGTGCGTGAGGGTGGTCGAGTCTAAAATGCCACCGTAGTCCAGCAAAGTGTGAACATTGTGGATTTTGGTTTCGGATAAGTACACTAACCCGGGAGGCCGGTGGCCGTTGTCGACGTCTACATCCCACTCGTGGCCCAGAATCCCCTTCAAAGGAACGGTGGCTATCAGACCAGCGGGGTTGCTTCTCCTTCTTGCATCGGAGGAGCTGCTCGCTGATTTATCAAGTTTCTTTGAAGGTGCGGAACTAGAAACAATGGCTCCTTCCCGCTTATCAAACTTCATCGCAAGCTCCGCGATTTCGGTCCCTCGCCAGAACGCATGCAGCCCAAATTTCTCCACCGGTACCTCGAGGGGGTCGTTGCGCAGCGCGTTCGCAGCCGTCGACAGGCCAGTTAGCGCGTTTTCCGGATACGGCCCATCTGGCTGGCGTGGATCGCGAAACGAACCTGTCCAGGGCTTTGTTGCTTTAGAAGTTGTAGAGCTAGTAGTTGGCGATGGCGACTTTGTGCTGGAGGCTGCGGTATTCTTAATATGGTCGTCGCTTGCATCCACCTCTCGTTTCGCTGCATCAGAGGCCGATGAAAATTTTAGCGACGCAAACTCCTCCTTGGACATCTGGGATTCTTTCTCGATGACCAAAATATCCAGATCGTCGTCGCCGTCGTCTTCCCCCGCCGTGCTGTGGATCGGTTCAGCCTCTCTACCAGCTTGATCGTAGGAATTTCTAGGCATGCTTTTGTAGTACTTCGAGCTCTTTTCCCACGCGTGAGTCCAGAAAACGTTGTTGCCGCTGAAAAAACCCAGGTGCCAGACGACGTTCTTCTTGTTTTGATGTCGAACAGTGTCATTTGTATTTTGGCCTTTGCCCCTAGAACTAGATTCATCACTTGTATTATCACGGACTTGAGCTGTAGTTTCTTGGACTCCCGCCGTCAACCGTTCCACGGTTTGTCTCTGCTGCCTACTCCAGTACTCGTCGTGTCCGACAGACAGGAAGATTTTTCCCACGGTAGGCAAGGCACGTCCGGTTGTTACAACTGATTTTGCATTGCCTTTATCAACATAGTCATCTTCCCCGTTGTGAGTGTGATCGCCTTGTTCGCCGCGCGAGGTGGATGGCATCCTCCCGGCCGCTGCAAATCGCCCAAACCCGCGGCCGCCCAGGTGCGTATCCAGGCCGGACACGTAGGTGACCGCGTACCCCTGGGCCTCGAGAAACCGGATCATGGGGTATTCTGAGGAGAATACGGAGTTGTAGAGGGACACGTCTCTGGTGATCAGTGGCGTGTTGTAGGACTTCCGCAGCGCGCGGTAGTCGTGCGCGGTCAGCTCCAGCGGGTTTTTCTTCGTGCCGGAGGTCAGTATGCTAGAAGAAGATGCAGAGGGAGAAGCAGTTGATGTCAAGGTTCCACTTCCACCAGCAGAAGGGCTGTTGTTGACAGGAGAAGATGATCGCTGCTGACTTTCCTTGTCCGACATTTTGATGTCGTCGCCGAACGGGGATTTGGCGTACCCGAGAAAATATGCTGAAGATGCGCAAAAATATCGCACTCGCAGAGCCTGAAACCTTGCATGACAGACACAAAGCCTTACCTCATCAAGCAGGATTACAAACTTTACACTGACTTTTTTATCATTTTGAGGTCATGCCGCGATGTTCATTCATCACTACAGCACGAGATACGACATTTTTTTGCGAAGATTCATAAAAAGTCGTCCGGCGTCTTCCACCAGGTGGTAAAATTGTGGTGGGGACAGTTGAACTGCGGCGTGCGGCCGTAGGTATTGGGACTATCGTATACGTTATACGCCAGCCAGGTGGTATCACTCGTCTGAAATACGAGATCGTAGAGCTCGTGGCTATCGTCCTCGTCCGCCGTGCGGACGACGAAATACGCCAGACTCGCGTACGGCTCGTGTAAAGCGGTCTCTAGCAGGCTTGGCGTTGTCGGGGGAAGATAAAGATTCTTCGCACTTCTGGAAAAATTGCCGTCCTCTTCAGAGGCTGATGCGCTGGCATCGTCAACATCTCTTCTTTGCAACTTTTTCCTATAATCCCGCATCAACTGCAACCCGAGGGCGTGGTCGGTTAGAACGTTGTCAGAAGCAAATGTAGCACTGTCGTTTGCTTCCTCGTCATCCTCTGCTAGATGTGCATCTTTAGCAAGACCTACAATCTTTTCCGCGGGAAGATCCTTCGTCTTTCCGACCACTTTCCGCAGGTCAAAGTCCACGTTTCCGTACAAGCCGTTCGCATTTTTCAGACTCGCGTCTGTCCGCCAGGTCGTTGTCCACGGCATAGATTCCGCATCTTCCCGGACGAACCGAGCAATGTAGACACCGGAGACGATGTTTGGTAGCGTTGTTGCGGCGGCTTTTGGTCCTTTCCCAGAGCGGTCTGCGTCCTGCCCCTTGAGTTGTGCGGAAGAGGATCTTTTTACCTCCTGCGTGGTCTTCGTTTTGCTTGTTCCAACCGGGATGTCCCATTTCGCATTTACGTGCCAGTTCCTGCAGTCCACGAGGCGTGTCGGTTTGTGGCGCACAGCACAGTCCGGTTGGTTGTACTCGCTGTGGACTGTCTTGGGAGATCTTGCCTTTTTCTTTCCTGCGTCTTCATCCTGTAACCCAGAACTGGGCGCAACTTTGTCCTCTGCATTCGTCTCGGAAGATTTGTCTTGGTCGGTGTCTTTCCCACTCGCGTTTCTGTCCGATGCAAGCAACCCGGATTCCGACACCTCGTCAGCTGGGATGGAGTGCACCAATCTCGCACCTTTGCCGCCGTAAAATCCGAGTCGGTAGATGTCGACGCGGTATTTCTTGGAAATGGTGCGAACCCGGAACTCGACGGTGGTGCCAGGCGGGGAATGGAACCGAACAAATTCACAGTCTTCTTTGTCACTTTAGTATGCTGAGTTCGAGGCTCATCACGTAAACCGTGGTGAAAAGAGCCCTTGAAGGCTTCACAGCAACCAGGTTCTACGTACCGTTGGACGAGGAAACCACAGAGAACTGCATCTGAGTTTACTATTTCTACACATCCGCGTTGTACGTAGGGACTGCGCATCGACTTCATACATACGATCTTCGGAGAACATAGGCGTGACAGGAGCAGGACTGTGGATTTGTTTTGCGTGCCATACTGCACCGAAAATGGCCGCGCGAAACCTTGGATAAAGGGATCTCCCGCCGCATTAACGTCCCAGTGGCGGGAGTCCCGGGCGCCGTCTCGGTAGTGCAGGTTGCAGTTCTCCTCCACTATTGGGTTTCTTCTTGTAAGTCGGCTGCGTGGAGGCCACGGTTGGCCAGGGGCGGCCGGATTCACGACTTTCGCTGCTTCGTCGGAGTTTTCTTCGCCGCCGCTTCCCAAACCGTCATCGCTCGCTTTGTCATGATGCTGTGCAGCATCATGATCGTCGAGTCGCTCTTCTTCATCCACTGACGCGTTGTAGTAATCCTTACACTTCTGCCTGGATTCGATCCAAACCCGGTCTTCCTGGTTGGTGTGATGGGTGAGAAGGGCAGCTTTTGCAGGGTCGATGCTACATGGAAACAGGAAAACAAAAACAACAACGACGGAAAGGCAATGTTTCAGAAAACATCGTTTTGTCGACATTGAGGAGAGAAAACGGAACATACTCAATGTCAATGTGAAGCGTAAAAGGTTCGACATTTACACATACCCTTAGAATTATTAGAAAGCAAATTTCCACTCGAAAGCATCAGCATACAGGAACAACGTTCTCATGAGAAATGCAACACAACACTAATACACAATATAGAAGTGAAGATGGGGACTGCATCAACCGATCATGGAGGTGTAATGTTGATTTGGAGATGAAGTTATACCGGATTTTTGGGGGGTAGGGGGAGCATGAGACCCATACAAGAGCCGACTGTCGACGAATGAATTCCGAGGAGCGTAAACCGCAACAAGTCACAAAACCTTGATTAGACACAGGAAGCACCACTTTCAGGCTTCATCGTTCGGCAAGGAACAGAATGCAAGCGACTTATTCCATCCGCTTGTGCTTACAAGCTCTCGAACAAAAATGCTGCAAGGCGGATTGGATAATTTGTAACCAAGATGAAAGGCACCACCACCTCCACCTTGGATGCAACGGCCTCCGAGATTTCTGAACCGAACACAGAGAGAGAGTAGATGAAAGTTGATCATCTACGCGCATATTTCTTGCTCTTCTCTAATTTAACTTTATGCGTTTACAAATTCCGGAGACGCTTTGCACTCACTCAAGCAAACGAAAAAATGCACGACAGCAACGCACTGATATCGTTCTTGTTAGTAGTTCTCTCACATCGAAGAGCTTCTTGCTCTAGTCGAGGACTTTTTTGTGGTAGCGGCTGCTTACTTATCCATTACCTGAAGGGAAAAAAACTCGGAAAATGTGCTGCGTTTGTGTCAGCAAAAAAGTGCGCCCATACCATCGTGATGATGTCAAAAGCGCGCCCTTCGTTCTTATCTGTATTGCACTGCGGCAAGAATGTGCAGAAAGTCCACGGGGGATCTTGTTCGCTTTCTTCGTTTTTCCATCTTCAAAATTTCGCGGCAAGGTCATAGAGGCAAGCTTTCTTTTCTATGACGATCACCAGTAAACACTTTCTAGCATCACTTCGCCCTTCTCTAGCTCCTCGCAGACATCACTGTCCCAAGACACCGAGGCGTTCTGGTTTTAATTTACAATAAAAGTTGCTGGGTTTTAATTTTATCAACATGTAACTCCGAGAGCAGGAGAGGGGGTCGTACTTGCGTGCTTAAACGATACTTGTATATTGTGCTATTCTATTCATACACATTTTTCAACACGAGGGCGAAAATCGATTTCATGTTTCTCAATATTAATACGAACCACGCCTGCATTGGTATCGCTTCTTATCCTTTGAATACAAGGTGGATCTTCGTTCGCAATTATCGATAAAAAGTCAACACTTTTTTTAAGCGCCAATGTGTAGTCGATTCTTGTATACAGTGAGTATCTATTATTTCTATAAAGTGGCGTCTCTGAAGATCGGTGTAGTTGCACCAAGTAGTAAGTACTAGAATAGGTGCCGCAATGTAATTGGAGCCGCTGGATCGATTGTGTTCGCTAACAGTTTGCTCTGAAGTTGCAATTTCGTCGTGTTCATTCATTCACTCATTAGTTGTAGAAGTGGGCAGCCACCTACGCCTGTTGTTGGTTGATGTAGAAGTCGGTACGATCGGGATCGCAGTAGCTCCTGCTTGTGCTGCTTGTTCTTGTTACAACTGGACGAGCCGTCGTCCAGGTCGCACCGGGCCCAGTGGCTGCGCGCCGCTCCAATATCGGCTCATTTGCTCGGCGGTTCATGGGGGTTGGGGTGTGCGTCCGGGTTGTCGTGTAGTTTGTCGATTGGATTGTGAAGATTGTCCCCGAGCTGTAGTACTTTGCAGAGGCATGATCGAAAATCCCTCACTCAACTATTCCAGTAGCAACATGTGGAAGTAGTACGCTCATCAGTTACTTTTTTAAGAGCTTGACGCAAGAAGAGGCAGGTGAAGTCAGACTTGCTAGATTTATTGTTTGACTTTGAAAATGATGAAGGTCATACCAGCATCGTATGCCGCTCGCCGCTGCGGATCGCTTAAGGTTTCGTACGCGTCTTGTAGTTCCTGGAAAGCTGCAGAATCACCTTGACCTTCATTCCCCTGCTTGTCCGGGTGCAGCTGCAGTGCTTTCTGTCTGTAGGCAGCTTTTATTTCGGCGGCATTCGCATTGGGTGTGACGCCAAGGACTTCATAAGGAGACCGCCCGCTCTGCAAGAGGAAGGCCGACGGAGAAGGTGAAGACATGGTGTGGGTTTCGGTTTCTTGTCCTTCTTCATTTTCCGGCGAAAAAAAACCCGCGTCCTCGGTCGCGTCCACAGATGTAGTTCCCGCGTAATCCAAATCCACGGACTTGTGTTCCATCTTCTCCTCCTGATGCTGGTCCATCTGATATGACATTTATTTCATTCTTCATGCGTGCAATTCAGGATCTCGTAGTGGAAGTAATCTCTATTCTCTCATTCATGATAGTTCTGGTCCTCGACCTCGACCTCGTGGTCGTGGCTCGTTTCTGCATGACACATTATAACATCATCACCTCCATAGAGATACCACAGCAGTCGCACTTCCCACCATCGCCGCGGTCGCCACCGCGGTGCGCGTCGCTATAGTGCACGGACAGGAGGACATAATGTTCCGGCTTTGTTTTCGTGCTGTATGAAATAAACGACAGATCCGTTCTTGATACAAATCACAGTCCACCCCGGAGGACTCAATGTGTTGTTATTTGGACACTCAATGACAGAACTGCTCTTTTCGTTGCTTTCATTTTCAATTTTCCTGCAACTTCTCTTGTTACACGATCCACGACAGGTATAATTGGACGACGCGAGACGAGTTTGAGTGTCATCAAGTCGGCTCACAGAGGACAGTGAATTTTGCTGGCCCTATTGATGTCATATTCTGTACGACGGACACGAGACCCTGTTGGTTTCTTTTTTGCTTCTGGCACTTGAATAAATGCAAATATCTCAGTCTACTCACGATACGACCCCGTAAACAAATAATGGATATACATTGTTTACGACGTGCGTCACGAGGTTGACTTGACATCAATTTGAGCCATGTCCCACACCCACGACAAAAAGAGGACGACTTTTCATGGTCATCCTTTGAGTTTCCTATGAAAAAAATAAAACGAGGAACAGCAAAAAAGCATTACGCTGCACTGATCATTGCGCACTGCCCATGCTTGACAAGAACGTCACCATGATAAGCCAGTCACTGATAGACTGTGACGAATTCCACACATCACCTTAAGAGGAAAGCGCATGACACCTTCCACGACCCTTATTCAAGATAATTGTACAGTTCATTCGTGAATAAAACCTTTATCGCAAGCGGAAGACCAAGCGTCCTCGTACTTGACTAACAAATTATTTGCGAAATAGACATTAGACAGAAAAAAGAAGCGCTAAAGTTCGAAACAGAAAGGAAAATGATGCGACGCAATGAATGTACTTACAAGCTGCGCGTAGGCAGCGAATCGTCTGCGTTAATATCAGTTTCAGTCTACTGCGCCAACTTCTGAAAGTGCTACAATCAAGAGAAGAAAGTTGAAGTCCAGCCCAAGAAAAGTCAAAATATAGAACAGCCCAAGACGGAGCGAGCCGTTGGAAAATCGAATCTCCTCGAAAATCTAGTCGAATGCTAATGCGGTAGAAGTTCACTCACTGCAACCTGACGGCTCAGAGGTCCACGCCTACACGCCACCAGGAATTTTCGGCCGCTCCTCTTCCTCAGCAAAGTCCCTGCAGGCTTTGATATGCTGTGCAAAAGCATCGTACTCGTAGTAATTGCAGTCACGCATTACAAATTTTTTTCCGAAGGTAAATCCGCATGACAAAGTTTATTTATTCTCATGCTGAGGAAATTTGTAATGCATTTATTTATACATATACGAGTACGATACCTTTGCAATTCATACTTGAGAAAACTACACAAAACATCCTTCATGTAGCACCACCGCTTTTCGTCTTTCACATGGCTCCGTGGCCAAGCCTATGCGTTGCAAATATGTCGGAAGCGGGAAATTTGAAAACTTGTCATGCTGCTTTGGCGAGAAGGAGAGCATCATCAACATCATCATCATCATCATGACTCAAAACTCTGCATGATGACTGCATGTTGTGAAAGAGCACGCCATAGTCTATGCGTCGATGCTGATGGATTTATTTACTTATTCTCAGGCGAAATTACACGAAAGCGTAATGAGGACTAGATGCAGAGCGATAAATGCAAATAAGTAGATAGCCACTCAAGAAATTGCCCTGCTTGGCCGCTTGCATTTGCACTCGCTTTATCAACATCCGCGATATCGTCATCGCATCACATTTTTCCAAAAACCACCTAGACATATTTGCAGTTGATAGCCCGACATGCCCGCCTGTGGCGGTCATCAGGAGGATTCCTTTGTGCGAGGCTTCCCTCGCTTGGTTCATTCTGTAGGATACGCCGCAACTGCTACTAGTACCACTTCCTGATTCCGACGTCTTCAACGCCGACAAGACGTGGTCCAAGAAACCCCAGCTGGAGCAGACCGGATCGTCGAGCGCGTGCAGAAACAGGGTGGGACACATTTGCAGCTGGGACAGCTCGGTGCGCTGACTGGCGTAGTAGTTGGCGAGGCCCTGCAGCCCGACCCCGAACCGGTAGAAGGGGACGGCCAGGTAGGTGTCAAAATCCGCACAGTTGTTCGCTTGCAGAATTCGCTTGTGGTCCAGCTGTAGCTCCGGAATGTGCTCCTGGGACGAGGCCTGTAGTTTCGTCCTCGGTGACGAAATGTTGCTGCTGTTATCCTTAATATCCTCTCCACTGGTAGCTGTACCCATGTGGTTTTCGTTTTCCCAAAGGTGGAAGTGGTTGGGCATGCCGATCCCGTGCAAAAACGCGTCGTCGGGGTAGTGCAGCCAATGGTCCGCTGGCGCAGATGTAGTCGTGGAATCTGTCATGCTATCCGGCATTCGAAAGTCGGGCACCGGATTTTGGTAGTGGGGAATGTCCGAGAGCCGGATGGGTGGGATTCGCGACTGCAATCCTCGTCGTGTTTGTTCGCCTGCTGCGACGGGATGTTGAAATTCATGATCCGGGTAGTTGGAGATGGTTTTCTTGGTTGGGGAGGGCGACGACAACGACGATGTACTGCCGCTGCCCGCTTGTTCGACCACACCCATAAAAGGGGATGAGCTATTATTTGTTGTCGCAGGAGGCGATGTTGTGTTTTTCTTTTTTGGATCGATCTTCTTGTTCTTTATCTTCGTCCTGTTCGACTTGTCACCAGTCTGCGTCATCATCCTCTCTTCGACCAGTTTCCACCACTTTCCGAAGTTGTCTTTCAAAGCCGCAACCAGCATCGGCTGCCACATCCGGTGCCCCCGCTGCCGAATCATGTTCTGTAGGGTATTCTGTTGCCCCGAAACCACCACTGCACCCCGGAGTTTCAGGAAGGAGTAGTCCATGACTTGTTCTTCGAGAGCAGTAGTAGGCACGGACGTGCTGTTTGATGGTGCTGAAGCTGTTGTCGTTTTTGCAGCAGTCTCCGCAGGACATAGGGAAACTCTGTCGAACAGATTTTCCCCACAGTGGCTGAGCACCTGACTCAGAAGAATCCCGCCCATGGAAAAGCCGACGCAAAACACGTTTTCGTAGTCGTAGCCGGCATGGTACCAGAGCTTCAAAATCTCCTGCAGTGCGATGCGGACGTCCTCGAACCGCAAGGCGTTCCAGATGGAATACGAGTTTGCGATCGGCGTCACGCCCATGCCTCTTGCGTTAACGCAACAGACCGCCATCTTCTTGCGATCCCGAAACTCCTCGACGGCATCTAATACGTAGATTTCGTGGGACCCGCCGTTCAGGCCGTGTAGCAGAATGACGAGCGGCAGGGGTTTGCGCTTTTTACTAGGTTCGTTCTTGGTCGTTGCACTGTCAAAAACCCCCGCGACGTCCACCTCCGTGCTCGGGAACGTAAAATCCACCGCAATGGCTTCTTCCAGGGTCGTACTGCTGTCCTCGCAAGAAGGCGGAGATGAAGCAGTAGTGCTTTGCTGGTCTTTACCCCGCTCCACGCCGGGTCTGCCTGCCGGCACGCGGATCCAGACCCGGCAGTCGTATTTTTTTCCCTTCGGGGCCTTGTAGCAGGTGTAGGGCACCAGTGTGCAAATGTCGCCCGTTTGCACGCCCGGCAAAAACTTGTACAGGTACTTTACCCAGAACGCCTCGTAGTTCTTCTCGTAATTGGGGAAATTGCAGTGCTCACGCCAATAGCGGACGAAGGAGGACAGGTTGTTGGAAGATGTGGCGCTCATTCTGGTGGTGGCAGCGGTTCCGAGTTTGCGCGAGCATAAGGACGAGGGTGCGGTTTTGCTGGAAGAATAAACACCGCTGCCACTTGCGCTGTTTTCGCTGACCACCGTGGTTGTGGTCGCTGTGCTTGTATCTGCGGGGGTGGTCCTGCACCTGCTGTTGTTGGACGTACTATTCGTGCTTGATGCGGTAGTTGTAGAGAGTTTGTTCCCGTCGTTCGAAGTAGCCGTAGATGAGGATGCCGATGCTGTCGTCCGAGTGCTGGCTGTGGACGGAGTGTGGGAAATGGGGTCTGTGGAAACCATAGCAGTATTTTCCCCTGCACTTGGCTGATCCTCTTTATCGCCATCAGCTTGAGGCGCGACCACGGACACCACGGCGGGCGAGCTGGGTTCCATTTCAGCCAATTCCAGTTCTACTTCTGAATTCTTCGCGTTCATCATTCTGGATTTTCCGTTATCAACTACATTCTTTGCACCCGAAGAACTGCTGCTGCTACTGCCGCCGTCAGTAGGAGTTTCCCGCTTTGAAAGCAGATCACCCGCAGCGCCGGTATTGGCCGGACTGCTCGAGGACGCGATACCATCCGCAGTAGGAGACGTCCCACTTTGCCTTGCTCGGCCTCCGGGCGTGGTCCCGAAAGTGAAAATCTTCTCCAACAATTGCGCCGAGCTCATGACGCTGGTGATGCCCCCACACAAACCGGATTCCACCATAATGTTGTGGTTTTTGGCACTAGACGTCGATGATTTGCTGTTGCTTTTCGACACAGGAGACGACGAAGCCTTCGCAGACGGAGGCGATGTTGAAGTTGCTTCGGTTCTTGTCCTCCCATCGGCAAATTCGTTTCCCATTAGATCCTCACCTCTCGAGCCAGACGATACTGCTCCGCTTGGTGAAGATGTCATTCCGCAATAGTACAATCCGGGTTGGATCAGGTGTGCCAAAGATTTGATCCGCTTGTTTTCCTCTGGCCACACGCTATAATCGGGCCGCCACCCGGAGAGGTGTTTTTCAGAGAAAAATGCGACGGCGAACAGAATCGCGAACCACCAAAAAAACTGCTGGAAAAAGCGGATCGCGTGGACCGTCGCGCTGGAATGGTGAAAGAGCGAGTTGGAAAAATCTAGAAAATCCATCGCAGTGCTGGTATTCGGATTCCCACCACCTCCTCCTTCTTCGGTAGAAGTGCTATTGCTTGGAAAAAGCACGCAGATGCCTCCGCCGACCAGCAAGACCAACACAGCGACGACCGGCAAAAGCAAGCGAAAAACGAACTCCACGAAACTGTAGAAAAAATCGGTCCCCATGACTCCCTCCCGGATTGCGCCCACAAACGTCGTCGACTCGTACAGTGTGTTCTGGGGGTCTTGCCCGAGTTTCTGCCCCCGCCGGTGCAGCTGCTCCAGAAAGGGATACTCGAAGGAGACTTTACTACTTTGGCTGCGGCTCTGGTTGTGAGTGTGAGATGAATCAGCACGACTTGGAACAAATGCAGCACTTTTCCCTTCTTGGTGTTGACCTGCCTGCCAAAGATGATCTCCACCCCCTTCAACAGCTCTTCTGAACGCCGGAGGCGCGTTCAACTTACTTTCCTCCGTAGTCGGAAAAAACGTGTTTTTCGTGCAAAACTCCGCCTTTCTCCATCGTTCCGAGATCGACTTGGTCCGCGGGGGACTGGACAGCTTAGGGTTCTTCACAGGCGTCGTCTTCGGCTGCTTGTTGCGGTTTGAGGAAGCTGCAGGGGACAACTTTTGGTCTGAAGACACGGGAGGCGTTGCTGGGGATAACACAACTTGCTTTAGTCCCTTCTTGTTCTTCTCGTTATTTCTCTGCGGCGTGTAATCGGAGTTGTTCTGGAGGTTGGGACCCTTCGGGTTGTTCTGTCGACCATTTGCACCACCAGCTCCACGCCTCTGTCGCAAAGTGCTAGAGGAGTTCTGCTGCTCGTCGTTTTGTGCTAAGGAGTTGTTCTTATCCTCTCTGTGGTCAGTGCTGGTGTTCTGCATTTTGGCCGACATGGTTAAACTGATGGAGGGCTTTCAGACTTTTATTGAATCTTGGTCTTGGATAAAGTTCAAAAATTGATAATTAACTCCCGTTCCCATGACGGGTACAATATCAAGGCTCCACCCCTAATTTGTATGAAAACGTGTGCAGTGAGTGAGAATGTCAGTGGACATTCGGGTTTGATTTAGCAAGAAGATTGCGGCGATACGATTTGTTCTTTTTTGCGACCGTTTGCACTTTCGACGACGAAATGTTAATGTTCGAAGTCATCGTCCACCTTGGTTTTACTTTTAACTATGCGCACGAATACGAGCACGAAAAGCGAGCGAGCGAGGAAGGGACAAGAGCTCTCACACCAATAAAAGCTAAGTACTACTGCCTTCGAGCGTATGATAGAAGAGTCCGACCTATGTCCGCATCTATTTAATTTTGCGATGTCGCAAAGCTTACCACCGATGCTTGCGAAAAATTGATCGAGGATGCAGAAACACCTCCTTGGGAGCAGCAGGGGCGGGCGAGTGATCTTCCCCCACCACCTGGCCTGTTGTGTGATTTTCCATAACGGAGAAGGTATCGAGACATCTGGTTTCTCGGTGAAGAATCCAACTTCACAGCTTTGAAGATGGCTCGATCATTACCGATGTCTATCGACCGTACTCCAAAACCAAATGCAAATCTGGTACCGACGAGGAATGCGCCTTGCATTTCTTGTTTGGCCACACACGGCAAAGATACTTCGCGAATTCACAGTTGTATGTCACACCGATACTTTTTTCTTTTGTCTTCTTTCAGCTGTGACCTTTTGTATGCACCAGCCACAGCCTGTGGAGAATTTAGAGAGCGCTCGGGACACGGTGCGCATACGTGCTTTTTTCATGCGAACACGGAAAATCAAAGACAAAGTCAGTGAGACACAAAAACTCAGCGGACTACTACAGTCCGCGAACAGGTCGCACAGGAACTGAACTGTGGACTCTGCTGGAGGTTCATTTGAACTGCATCGCTTAGAATTATGTCCTGGCTTATCGTCGATATGTACAGTGCTCGTTCGCGGGTGAATCAATATTTGTGCCAAGAAAGTGAATGTCTATGTCGCGTTCAAAGTGTAAGTCGTATAGTAGAAGAGGGGTAGCGTTTTGCAGCTGCATCGGGGGGCCGAGACGGGGCCTTGCCGCAACCTCCAACTCCATCTTTCAGTTTCCTACCGCTTCCCAGTACATTTTCACTGAAAGTAGTCGTAATGCACCGGCGGCGGCGCACTGCCGACACCCCCATAGATGCCCGTAGTTGCGTAGTGTTGCTGCGCCTGCTGGCTGTCTTTGCCTTTTGCAGCACCACCTCCATATGGGTTATGCTGTTGGTGCTGTGCTGGATTAGCAGGAGAGGATGCAAATGTTGGTCCGCCTGCCCCCGGGTGTGCTGCTGGTTGCTGATACTGGTGATACACAATGGTCGACGCCACTCCCGATGCACCCACGGGGGCCGCGGAAGCGATGCCACTGCCTGCGACGGATACGACACCGGGCGGCGCAGAGGCGATACCGCCTCCAGCATTGTGCACCACGTAAGAGGATGTGGGCGCAGTACTACTAGGTTGCCCTCCAGCACCAGGCGCTCCTTGCCGATTGTACGGGAGATAACGACTTCTGTTCGAACTTGAAGGTTTTCGGTAGTCGGCGTCCACTCCAAGGCCTGCGAAACTCGGGTCTCCGTGGAGATATTGCGATGAATCAACATACCCGGTTTGTTCATGGTGACTGTACGGGTCCTGGTGGTGATGCTGTTGCTGCTCGTAACCACCTGTCGATGAAGTACTGCTGGCCGCCGGCGCTCCTGGCGCACCTCCTCCACCGTACGGATTGTTGCTCTGGTGGTAGTGTGGCTGGTGCGCAGCAGTGGGGTTTGGCGACTGCTGGTGATGCACAACCCCGTAAGGGGGTGCCGAGGACGAGGCAGACGACCCTCCGTACTGATGCTGCTGGCCTGCGCTACTATACTGATCTGGTGCAGTACTGTAGGTGGAAGACGTTCCTGCACCGTACGCGACCTGCGGATGTTGCTGTTGAGGATCATAATACGAGGAGACACCACCAGGTCCTCCGGCATGGTCTCCTGGCTGGTAGTATGATCCTGGTCCAGCCGCGCCCGCACTGGCGGAAGAGCTGTACGGCTGTTGCTGTTGTCCTCCGCCACTGTAGAAAGAGCCAGTCCCAGACGGGGCACTGCTAAACGAGCCATAACCTCCTGCACCAGGAGCTGGTGCACTTTTCTCACCATACTCGCCAACATTGTTGTATCCGATGGCCGGCTGCAGCTGCACAAAGCCATTGTTCTTGTCCGGACTGTTATCCGTGCGGACGTGCTCGTCCCAGCCTTGCGGCACCTTGGTCGTCGTGGTGGTCCACGTTTCCCGGTAGTCGCTCCCACGCCAGTATTCTTGCGTTTTGTAATACTCAAACTGCTGGGTGTGCTGCGTCTGCGTGTGCTGGAATTGTGGCGGCTCGGGCGGAGGGGCGTGGGGCGGAGCACCAGGCGGGCCCTGGTTGAAGTGCGAGTAGGTAGAGCTTGCTATACCACTTGGCGGAACCACGACGGAATGGTGACCTGGCTGCGGCGGCGGGTGCACGGAGGGTGCGACGGACTGGTGGCCGGCACTGCTGTGGTGGGACGGCGGCAAAGTTGAGTGATACCCTTGCTGTCCGGGAGGTTGTGCTTGTGCTGCACCATAATGGTGCGGGGCAGGCTGGTGTATTATTGTGGACTGATGTCCCGGCCCTGCTCCGGGTGTCAGCACAGGCTGCTGTAGCGCAGGTTGATGATGGTGAGGTTGCACAACGACTGTGGAGTGATGACCTGGGGCAGGATTATACGACTGTTGCGCGTTAGTAGGTCCGCCAGCTTGTGGTGCGTAACTAGACACCCCGACTTGCAAGGCCGACTGGACACCTCCCGGCGCAGCGGAACTACTGTACGTGCTGCCAATGCCCGTGGCGAAAGTCGATGCTGGAACCAAATGGGCTGAAGGTGTGGCTTTCCCCGCGTGATGAAGATGCGGCTGGTGGTGGTTGTACACAGAAGCAGTAGCACCATAGCTCGATGATGTAGACGATGAGGAAGGCTGCGCTCCAACCAGCGGAGGCAGAGCTGCGGCAGGAGTACCGAAAGAAGCACCTCCGCCGGCTGTAGTTCCTCCTCCTGGACCACCCGCTCGCAAGCTCGACGTGGGCGGAACGACGTGCGCGACCGGCGAGGGGGGTTTCAGCTCCTCTTCGTTTTTCACGAGCTTCTTCCGGGTGACGACTGCCCCTGTCTTCTTGTTCACAAACGAGCCTGCGATCGGGTCAAATTCCACATCCTTCGTGTCCTCCTCGTGGAGGTTGCTCTTTTCGGTCTCTTTAACCTTTTGTGCTTGAGTTTGATCACTCTGGGGATCTCCTGGCGCTTTGTTATTCAGCCCCTCCTCGACAAGGACAGCAGCATTACCAGCTGCACCACCTTCTGCTGGACTTCCTTTGGGAAGATTTGCTTCTTCGTTTTTCTTTCGCTCCTCTTCTTTCTCCAAATATTCGCGGTCCTTGCTGGATACAAAAGAGGAGAACTTCTTCCCGTCCTTGCCCCCGATTTTTGCGAGAACGTCCATGAACGACTTCCCATCGTGCGACATCGGCTGCTGCGCCAGCGACGGTTGATGGTGTTTCGGCCCCTTCTTGTCGCCAAAGGCGCCTCCTTTTGGCGGGCCGAATTTCCCGCCCTTGGACGAAAAGGGCGGCTTCATTTTTCCGTACGGTCCCGGCGCAGAAGTAAACGAAGATGGTGCAACTACGTGATGAGGGTCTGTGTAGTAGCTCTTGCCGCTCTTGTAGAATACATCCTGCTCCGGTTGCACTGTACTACTGGCCGCAGGTTGCGAACCCGCAGTAGCCGCCTTCGGCTTCAAACTTGGCAAGTCGGCGGCGGACTTGCCCTTCTTGGCCAACAGTTCGGCTTTCTCCGCTTCGGAAAGCAGATCGTTTTCCAACAGGAACTCCAGCGAGGCTTTTTGCGTGACCGTTTTGTTCTGGTTTTCGGATGGGGAGCTCGCGTCGTTCTTGTTGTTTCCGTCGTTATTAGTTGCATTTTGCCCTCCTGGTCTCTCCGGCTCGCCGCGGTTGCTACTGCCCACCGAGGATCGGCGGTCATCTAGTTTGAGGCGATTCTTGCTTGTTTCAGGCGAAACCGATCGCCTGGTGGAGTTCTGGTCCTGCACATCAGCAGGCTCCTTCTCAACCTCGCGCGGTGGGGCCGACTCCTCCTTCAAGGGTTCTAGCTTCTGATTTTCCTTGTCGCCCGCGATCACCCTCTCTCCGCCGGTGTAACTGTACACATCCTTTAATTCGCGTCCGTCGACCGTGTACTGCTTGAACTTCGTTTCTGCTTGTTCTGGCGCCTCGTCTTTATTGTTCCCCTTATTCGACGTCCCACCTTTCAGTCCCTTCGCTTTGTCTTTCGCGAAAGAGTCCGTGAAGTTGACCCACCTCCCGGGCGCATTCTTCCCCTTCAACGGGATGATGTCAACACCGATGCTGCCCGCGGAGGGCAGCTCCAGCACAAGCGTATCTTTCGCATCTGACATGCCCGGCGGAATCAACCCGCCCTGCACGTTGTTGCCCATGGGCAGCGGCTCCGGGAGCAGCGGCCCGCCCATGCTGGATTCGGTGCCTCCGATGGGCGCGGGCGGCGGGAAGTTGAATTGCGATGAAGCACCTGCTCCGGGTGGAGACAGGAACTGATCGCGCTCTACATCTTGCTGCCGCAGGTTTATGTTTTCCTCTTCCTGCACGACCTCCGCGGGCCGTTTCCTTACCTTCGGCTGGTCGATGGGCTCCATTTTGGCGTAGGCGTCGATCAGTTCCTGGGGTACGCGATGCACCACGTCCCCGGCCTCCTCGAGCGCGCCCCGCAGCACCGCCATCTCCGCCTCGTTCTTCTCCCGGATCAGCGCGAGCTCCCGCTCCTCCTCCAACTCTTCCTTGTACTTCAGCGCCTCTTCCTTCGTGGCGTACTTCTGCAGGCCCTCGTGCCAAAACACCTCGGGGTCCTTCTTCTGCGACTTGATCGCGATGCCCATCTTCCGCTTTCCGCCCTTCTTCGCCTCCTGCCACCACTTTTCGTCTTTGGTCAACGGCCGGTTTTCGTCCTCTTCCGGCCACGGGGTCGGGGCCGGGCGGGTGGACGCTTTGCCGCCTTGATGTTGGTGCATCATATACGGTGGCGCGCTGGCGGCACCGTGCATAAATAAAGGCTGGCTCGGTTGGGAGGAGCTCGAGCCGCCCTTGTTGGCCGAAAGCAATCCGAGTTGTTGGCTCATCACCCCACCGCCAGAGAGTGGAAGGTGCGACATCGCTCCTGGGTGATGTTGATGATGATGAACAGAAGCTGGCGCCCCAAGATTTCCAGCTGTTGCGACTCCAGAGACAGGACCAGCAGCGCCTTCTGGAGCTGCACTGGTGTTTGCACCTCCAGTGGTCCCCGCTGGCGCTTCCGGAACCACAACATCGGGCTTCATCAGGGTTTCCGCAGCAAATCCAAGAACCGGTTGGTCCTGTTTTAGCTGCTCGTTGCGCACCCGGTCGAGTTCCTGTTGCAGCTGGTCTTCGTTCGAGATCGGGTTTCCGTTCTCGTCCAACACCTCACCTATCGTGTTCAGGATGCTCACGCTAGACTGGTGGCCAGCTTGGTACGCACTGCTATCATTCTGGTGCATGGTTTGCGCGGCCGCGGGCCACATAGAACCTTTGCCGTCTTTCTGCTGGTATTGGTTGTGGTGCCAAGTTGATGCCTTGCCATCGCTCTTTTGTGGAGGCCAGACGGAGCTCGAGCCGTCATTCTTCGCCGGCCAAACTGAAGACTTGCCATCATTCTTCGCCGGCCAGACTGAAGACTTACCGTCGTTCTGCGGCCAGACAGAACCTTTACCGTCGTTCTTCTGTGGCCAGACTGAACCTTTACCGTCGTTTTTCTGGGGCCAAACGGAACCTTTTCCGTCGTTCCGTGGCCAAACGGAACCTTTTCCATCGTTCTGTGCTGGCCAAACAGAACCTTTCCCATCGCTCTGTGGCCACACCGAGCCCTTGTCGTCACTCTGGAACTGCGGGACAAAGGTAGATGCCACGCCCCCCTGCTGTTGCACGAACACAGACGCCTTTCCCGCAGGATCCTGGTGCTGTGGCGGGACAAAAACCGACGCTTTGCCATCAACATTCACCGACGGTGCTCCTGCTCCCCACGCCATCTGTCGCAGCACGCCGGCGGGCAGCGCTGTGTCTATGCCACTGGATTGGTGGCCGAAGTTCCACACACTGTCAATCCCCGAAGAGGATCTTGCTCCTCCAACAGGCAGGGCGGGATCTGGCTTCGGCTTGTCCTGCTCCAAAGGCCCGTAGCCATAGGGGTCCGAAGGCTGTTGTAGTACGACTGATGCAGTTCCCGCCGCGTGCTGCTGCTCTGCCCGGTGCGTTTCCAAATAGTCGTCGACCATGGGGTGCTGCTGTTGCCAACCAGAGCCGTACGCGTAGGAATCGTGTGGGGTGTAGTTTTGTTGTTGGACGAAGTTGTTCTGGGCGCTTGTGTCGTCCGGAACTGCATCCATCTCCCACCACGGCTTGCTTGGAACATTGTTTGCCCCTCTGCTATCCGGTCGTCGGAACGGCATCGTATTTGGCGGCGGCGCGGGTCCGTAGCCGTAGAAATTGCTTGCGCTTTCGTTTGATTTATTGGCATGTGCCGGTGCCCCGGTCGTGCCCCACCAGTCCTTGCCGCCACTGGTGCTACCGGTGGGAACACTGTAGCTGTTCGCGTGGACGATTTGGCCCGTGTTGCTGTCGATCACATAGTAGTTCTGGTCGCTGAAGCCGGAGTAGTGGTAGCTGTCATCCCATCCGAGGTTCTGGCTTTCGAAGCGGGTGGCCTGGGCCTGGACACTGTTGTCAAAACCAATCCCTCGCTGGTCCATCACCTCCAGGATGTTGGACGGGGGCTTCCACCCACCCTCGGACATCATCAGTTCGCGCTCCCAGATCTTCGGATCGTTGTTTCTTTTCGCTTTCACGGTATCCAGCAGCCCGCGGATGCCGCCCTTTTCGCCCTTGTGCTTCCACTCCTCCTGGGCGATCGTGCGAGGTGTGGAGGGGAAAATGTACAGATTCAGGTTTTTGATGTTTTCACTCTCACTCTATAATACGCAGAAGCGCGACATTCATTTTACCAGTCAGTGGAACCATAGTAAAAGCAAATGGGGTGTCAGTGTCTCAGGATCACATTGCAATAAAGCCACCTATTCAAAATGACCTGTCCATTATTCCCCTCCCATACCATCCAGCAGTTGCTTCTCCAAGATGTAGTCGTCGCTGCATTTCTGCCACTTGTTGGCACTCAACAACAGCTGGCGGTTCACCCGGCCCCAGTGCAAGTTTGCCGCCACCTGAGCCGCCCCGAGCAGCGGTGGGGGATAGAGCTGTTTGGGCTTTGTCTGCCGCTTGATCTGCTTTTCGATCTCGTGGTCCCCCCCGACAATCGAGACCCCGTAGTGCTGCTTCAAAATCTCGGTGGGGAACGTCTGCAGCGCGTAGTGAAAAGCGTCCTTCCACTCCTTTGCCAGGCACTGCACGTGGTCGAGCACTTCGGGCGGGGGCGGCGGCTTTTTCAACTGCTCTAGCAACAAGTGGTGCTGCGTACTGCCGGGTTTCCCGACCGGCTGCGGCTGGTGGGTCACCGCCTTCAGCACCGGAGAGGCGGTCACGGCGAGGGAGAGGTTCCCACCCGACTGCTCCAGCGCCGTTTTCGCCTGGTTGTACGCGGTTTTCGCCACCTGGTCCGCCGTGCTGAGGAGCTGCTGCATGATCTTACTGTTACCAATCTTCGCCGACGTGATTTTTCCACTTGCTTCGTTGGTTACCTCGTTATTTTCGTTTGCCTGCTGTTGGCTCTGAAGGTACTTCGTGCTCGGAACCAGAACGACGGCGCCAGGTCTCGACGGTTTTGAAGAGGAAGTGGTTGGTTTTGGAGAAGCAGCTGGAGGTGGTGGAACAACAGTAGCAGTGGTGGCAGTGGAGGCGCCGATGTCAAGTATGACTGTGTTTTGTCCAGCATTTCTTGCACCTTGATCATGTAGATGTTGGATGCTTGTCGTGTTATTTGGAACACGCCTTTGCCTCGGCATCACAAGCGTCAAGCCGGTGTGTTGCGAGATCCACTCCGGCATGCTGGACTGGAAGGTGTCGACGGAAGTTTTGCCCAGGAGAGATGCCCAGTACGGTGCGGCGATCAGTTTTCTTGTTTTGACTTTCTGCGCATGATGCTCCCCCGAAGATGCGCTAGACGCTTCGTTTTCGCTCGCGTGGTTAGAAGTGGACGAGAGCACAGCTGCTGCGGGTCCACCACCACCTCCTGCTGGGCCAGACAGAGCATTCGCGAGGACTGCTGGACCACCGCTGGCTGGCGAAGACGAAGCGACTTTCTGCACTTTTGTCGCGGGACCTGCTCCTGGTGCAAGCTCATCTGAAACGACACCTGTCGCCGCGCCGGCGGGAGCGCCGATTGAGGATTGTTTTTTCCCTAGTGCAGCTGCGCCTGCTTCGCTCACTGTAGTCAAATCGGCTGGTCGCTTGTTGCTACCGGTGTGCACAGAAGAAGTTGCATCGGCACTACTTCTAGCCGGGTCTGCCCCCGCGGTGTTGGTTTGTACGCTGGCGCTGGTGTGTTCCACTTGAGCAGCAGTGTCGTTATTTCTACTTGGAGTGTTAGCGACGTTTTGGTTTTCTTCCTGCTCATTTGGGTCCATCCAAGCCAGAGGTGCGTTGTCCCCATCGTCGTCTTCGCCAAAATCAAGCATGTCCTCCTCCGCAACTGCAGCAGGACTTACATCCACTTTCGCCGACTCGGGCAGGAGCGACCCTTCTACAAGTACCGCGGGAGGCGGGGACTTTTCCTGGTTTTCTCGGAGTAGTTGCACATCGTCCTGAACAGCCACTGTCTTGCCTAGTACTGCATCCTTGCTGCGAGGAGTACCAGCACTCGCACCGCCGAAAACTTCTCGCGGCGCATCCAGTAGTGCAGTCTGCCCCGCAAGAACGACCGGCTTCAGTGGCGGTCTGGCCTTTGCTACAGCGCCGGCAACAGGTCGAGGAGTCCTATCCTGCGCCAGTACGGTGCTTTTCCGCTTCGCGCTCCCCGCAAGAGCAGACGGCGATTTGTTGTTTCGTGCACTGGGACTCAGATCATTCCGGTCTCCCTCCACGACCTTCTCGAATACCCTGGGCGACATCAAGAGCCGGGAATCCACCTCGGAATCGTCTTCCGACCATTCCTCCTCCGAGCTGGTCTCGTTATCCACGATCCTGGCCGTATATCGTATTTAAAAACGTCCCCACCCCATAGTTGTAATGCAAATCTGCATGCTGAAAATGATTCTCATGCGGAGCCCCATGAGAGGCATTTTGTCGCTGTGTTTCGGAATTTGTCATGCTCCAATCAGCATGATATAATAGATCTGTGATGCTGCTGAGCTAGCTCAAACAGCACTACACTACGCGTCCAAATTTGTTATGCAGAACAGCCAAAACTTGTATATTTGTCTTGCTGATTCCCCATCTTAACTATGGGGTGGGGACGTTTTTCCATAGAATACCGTACCCCGAAACTTCAGACTCGCGGCGAAGTTGATCGCCTCAAAATCCTCGTCCGGCGCGGGGACCGCGGGCAGCGGCGGCAGGCTGGCGCGATCGGGGAAAAAATCGTCCCTCAGCTCGTCGTTGTCTGGTAGGAGAAACGGGTCGGGGTCGATCTCTTCCGGAAGCAGGGTCAGCCCCTGCGTCTGCCGCTCGATCTGCGCAATGGTCAGCTTCTTGTTCTTCGGAGGCGGTAATGGCTTCAGACCAAGCCCCCGCGCAGCGGACGAGGAGCTGCTGCTTCCGCCGGCCCCGCCGGGGCCGCCAGTGTTGAGCGGGGTCCTATTGCTGGCCATGCTTCTGTAGTAGTGACGTCTACGTGAGTGATGTACTATGCTTCATCTCCTGCTAATCCAACTCGAACTCCATCTTTTTCTTACATCTGGCAGTAACGTGGCTCCTGCGTGGGTTCTTTCTGGAGCCGCACGTGTCCTTGCGCATGGCGCTGCGGCTTCTGGCGCCCCCCCGTTGTAGCTGCGCCTCCATAGGGCGGTCTGCTTGTTGCCCCCTCTGCCGCCTTATGATCCTATTGATGGGTCTTCGCCGTCACAGCTTCGAGGCCCGCGGCCGACTGGTCGGCGAATTTGTTACGTTTTATCGAACATGCGCTTTGTTTTTTTTACATTACGCTGCAAAATTTAACAGTTCACAGGACAGAAACACAAAGAGTCGCGTCAGAAAAAAATATCGATATGGGTCAGTGGCGCTAGAAGAATGACAACAAATATGGGAAATAAAGCCTTAAGGGTTGTATATATAGAAATCCATCTCAACATAAAGGGTCGAGCGTGTCGCTAAATGACTGTGGGTGTCGATGAAACGTTTAGCAAACAATCGATGTTAAAAGGCATCAAAGGCAAAAATCTCTCACCAAAACATCGATCGATGATCGTCGTCTTCTACCCCCTTGTCCAGATGGATCGAATCTCAATAAAACGGCATTCTAGATAATCTATTCAAATTCGTTATCGTTTTCGTACCGCGATCTTCATCTTTTTGTGCGATAAGTCCAGCCCAGAGACGGATTGGCGTTTCGAAATGTCATTTGCTTCGACTAATATTAACATCTCAGCAGGTCGTTTAACTATCACGATCATAACAAGTGCAACTGCGACAAGCTAGCGTCAGCTTGCCGTATCTGGAAGAACAATCGGAAAACTCGGGTCATCTGGCGATTTACAAACCGGTGAATATCAGTTCAAGGTAGGATCCACTTGGCTTCTTTGTTCAACATAAACATCGATAGAGTTTACTAGTACCAAAAAAGCTACTGCACACTACACATCGTTCTCTGATGCTGTGCCCATCACTTGATTCGTCTACTACAGCACGCATCATCATGTCTACATTTCGGGCACGACTTCTGGACTACTGCGCCTGTGCCGCGAGCTGCCCGATTTCTTAGAAGTGGTTGAAGATCGGTTTTTTATTCCAGAAGTGTCGTTTTCCTGCTGTACTTGTTCGGAGGTTTTTCTCCCGATATGATCCCCTGAGAAAGTAGTGCCGGACTTCGCATTTTTACCCTCTGGCCCAGGTGACGATCCCTGCGAAGTTGACATCACAGTGGCGGGTTCATTATTGTGGGCCACCTGCATAAAACTCCCACCAGTCACCCCTGCAACAGAACTCTCCTTGGACGACGACGAAAAAGTAGACTGCTTCGAACTTCGTGCGCTCGGAGCCGCACTGCTCGCTGTGGTCTCGGATTGTGCTATTACGCGCTCCTCTTCCTTGTGAAGACCGCGGGCTATCTGCGTGGTGGTGGTCGTGATCTTTTCCGGCGCTGCTTTTCTTCCAGTAGAAGTTTTGCTTCTGCTAATCATGTCCGGAGAAGCTGATGATGTCGGAGCTCCTGTAATGGATGATGCGTTCGAAGGTCTTCTCGACGTTTTGCTTTCGGTTACAATTTCATGGGCCTGACTTCTTCGCCGCGCAGGGCCGCGTGCCGAATTGTAGTTGATGCCATTGTTGACACCATTACCAGCTCTCCTCCCGCAGCTGACCGCTTTTTTGCACATTTGGATGTTCTCAATCATCTTTTTCACCACGTAGCACTTGCAGCTCCCGAAGAAAGAGCGAATTTGAATATTGTAAGGAAAAACCCTCCCTCCCCATATCGAAAAGGCGCGCTTTTCAAAATTTGCGATGCTGATTTGTGGCCACAGATCGAGTCTGTCTTGCAAGAGAGCAAAGCCAGAGCTTCCGCCGCATTTCGCAGGCGATTTGTAATGCTGCTGCGCCAACGGGGCAGACGTCTGCCATGCTAAGCAACTACCTCAAGCCACCCCTTTCCGGGCTTTGTATCTGCCTGCAGTGCTGTACTGCAAGACAAAGCTGATTTGTGTACGCAAATACAGCATCACAGACTTCCCCTGCGATATGGGGAGGGGGGATTTTTCCTCTTGATATTGAAAAGCGTGGGTCTGGGAGAGAACGTTCTCCATCAAACTGGCCAAGTCCCACTGGTCCTTGTGGTGGACAATCTTTTTCGACTCCGGATCTAAATCTAAATTGATGAAAATGTCCAGCGACAAAGTGATGGCGGGAAAGAGGGAGGCGAAAGTAGAGGACGAGGTAGGGGTCGATGTGGTAGTTTTGCTAGTACCCGCTCCAGTAGAAGAAGACGACGTCAATGTCAAAGAAGACGCACCACCCGCCTTCGCTGGCTTCGGCTGCTTCGGCCCGATTTTCATCTTCAGACGCGCTGCGACCCGCACTTTGGTTTCTTCGCTTGAATTGCTCAAGATCTGATAGTGAGACAACAATGTGTTTTGGCGTTTGGATTTCAATATTATCTCATGCGCGCACTTGTTGTTAGCGACTCTTTTGATAATTCGAATTCCCGCGGTTTGACATATACCTGAATCTCTAGAACTAGATAGAAGAAGAAGTACTTACCCAAACCAAGGAAAGAAGGCGCTTTGCTGCATATTGACATTGTTCTAGTACCTGAATCTCCGTCTCCGTAAACGGCAACAGTCTGAAGCTCTGCCACTGCGCCGCAATGTCCGTGATTCCCTTCACCGAGACGAAGGGGTCTTGGTAGGTGGCGTTGGTTGCGTAGTACCGAGAGATGAACGCCTCGTCAATGGCACGGTATCTAGACTCGTAAACCTTGAAGAACTCCCGACCTTTGTGTTCCTGATTGGTGGCGGAGCTAGAGCTAGTAGTGTCGGAACTGGTGCTGGCATGAGGATTTTCTTTTGTCGTTGTGGTCGCGCAGCTCGCGGTACTAGTACTGATCGCCTTTGGTGCTGCAACATTTCTTCCAGTGGAGGTGGTGGGCGGTACAGCGGTGGCAGCACTTTGCCTTGAGGAATACTGCTCGTGATGTCGTGGCTCATCTAGAGCCATGTTCGCCCGCTCCACTTCGCGCACAATAATTTGTTCTTCACTCCTGACCCTTGAAGATTTGGAAGTATTCTGCTGCATCTGCTGCTGCTGCTGCATCAAAGAATTGCGATTTAGGTGGTGAATATTCGATTTGGTGTAGGTCGCCTGTGGATTCGGGTTGCTCACCGCACGAGCACGGTGAAAACCCTGAGACGCGGAGGACATTTTTTCTTTTTTTGTGCTGCGCGATCACTGAAGTACCTATTTAGACTCTCAGGTTTTTCCTCTAACAATGCAACTCACCGCCTCCAATAGAACAGAGCTGTACGCACCGAAGACAAATAAGACTTAAGCTGCGGTCAAGGAAGCATTTTCGCAGAATCGACTTCCCGCGCCCAGCTGTCACCCCCACAATCAGACCTTGAGTTTCCGTTATTCCCCACAATCACGGCGTCGTCAGACTTGTTGTTTCGCGTAAGAGTCTAATTTTCATGCAAGGACTTTCTAGGAGTAGGAATCGGTATAGGAAGCGCTCCTCTACTAGGTCGTAGTTTGGCTCTTGTGAAAAACCTCCTGCGAAGTACGTATGAAGAAGAAAACTGACATATTAGCAGAACATGGCTTAGTACACATGCTTTTCAGGAAGAACACAACAAGAGCGACCACATGTTTGTCGGGTTTCATTTACCGACATTTTTCGCGAAAAAAATCCTTGTTTCAAAAACGCGGCCACTTTCGTCTCGTGCAGCAAGACCACGAAGTAAATGGTACGAAGCTTTTGCTGATAAATACTCAGTATCGCCGCCTGATTGTCGTTCCTCCAGAAATGAAGTACTCATCTTCAAAAAGGCCAAAATCAAAAGTGAAAATTGCTCGGTCACTCCACCTACTTGTTAGTACCTACTTGTTCCCTTTGAAGCGATAGAGATCAGGAGTCATGTGGGTTTCGCCCCGGCAAGGGCGGGGCAAATATCAGTCAAGGATTCATTTTGATGGTTTGGATACAACAGAAAGTACAAAACTATATGAAAGCGCACGTTTACGGGACGAGAGTCACAGAGCCATTCGCTCTCCTTGTCGTGTGCTGCTGGTGCTGGAGGAAGCAGAAAATTTCTACTTGTTTTTACCCTTGAAGATAGTTCGCACTAGACAACTAATGTGGTATTCTCGAATAAAAAACTGGGAGTCCTCGAAAGACCAAGACATATAAACATTCTTGAGATTGCATTTTTTCAAGAATCGATATTCGGGTGGTCGCTTTCAGATCAACAGCATGCTGGCACGAAACTGTTTTAAGAGGAGAAGCACCCTACAACTTCACGAAGTCCACGTAGGAGCGGTAGTTAATCCAATAGAAGGCTGATTATACTTGTTATCCTAGGAAGATGGACACTTGTTGTCGTCCTCACTGACTCTGCACGTGATAGAGGCGGAAATCGTTCGCGTTCTGGTAGTATCAAGTGCAAAAGTGTCTGGGTCTGGAAGAGTCGTGCTGTTTTTGCATGACACAGAAGGTCTGGCATGGAAGCTCTAGCATCACAGGTTTCGAGAAGCTTCCGCATCGCAATGCCGAACCCGCACGACAAGCCCCCCATTTTGGTTCCAGAAAGTGAGCAGCTTTTGCTGCCTATGCATGAGAGATTTCTCTGTGTGCTGAAATGCGCATCACAAGTTTGTATTCTTCCAGACCCAGACATATTTGCAATCCATAGGTAGTTGCTCGCCGAACCATAGCTGTTGACGTGCGCCGCCTGCTATCAAATGCAAATATGTCTGGGTCTGGGAGATTGCGAGATTTGTCATGCTAGTGTGGCATGACTCTGAACTCTGTATTGCGTGGCCGCGAAGAGCTCTTCTTGTCTATCATGAAAAAACGCGGTTTCTCATGCGGAGTACGGAACTCAGAACCACGAAAAAACTTGTCATGCTGGGCAGCGCATTACAGTGCGCTGACTATTCCCTTTCTTGCATCACAAGTTTCCAGACCCAGACATATTTGCGATCCGTACCTGCCCGGCAATAGGCTCCTGGACCATGTTCCTGCGCCGGTCGTCATCCTTGGGCGGCTTCCAGCACAGGGCGGCGACCAGGACGAAACAGAGGCAGATTTCCAACAGCGTCAGAAAGACCAGGCTATGCGTTGCAAATTATATCGAATTAGTTTTTCTTGGGTCGTCGGGAACGTAAATGGAAATTGTGACAACCACCGCCACCACACATATGGTTATAATAATCTGTCTCACAAAAACAAATGAAAATACCAACCTGTCAGCACGGTAGAGCAACAAAGGCTCTGCTCTGGTGCCGCGCAGAGACAGAGGGGTTCTTATGCAGGATAGGCATCTTGATCTTTTTCAAATAGTAGTCGCGCTCAACCTGGAACAAAATTGCAGCTCTGCTATGCATTGCGGACATCGTGCTGTGGTGTGTGATTGAAAACCTGCATGACAAGAAATCGCTTACAATTAATTTTTTCGACCCAAACACCGATATTTGCGACGACGTGTCTGACGTGATACAGGTTGACCGTAATTTGCGACGTTTGCTTGTGCAAAACCGCACGGAAAACTTCGGTATCAAGTGCAAAGGTATCGCACTGCGTATAAATCGCAACATAAATCAATGCTTTCAGAAGGGAAAATCATGGAGATGCTCGTGCCTCTATATGCTGGTTCAGGTAAGAGTTACAATTTAGTACAGTTACGATACTTTATTTCCTGCAGTGCATATTCAGGGGTGATCGTCACGTCGGGCGCAAGCTCCACGAGCAGCACGTCGGTGAGAAATCGCTGATAAACTTCCGCGAAGTTGTCCGCCAGGCAGTCCGTGTAAGTTTGAAGGAAGTCCAACATCGAGACGCCTTGGTATCAGGTAGAAAAATAAAACCAAGCACAATACCGTCGCTCTCTGCGAATTCTAGTACGCTCCTTTGCTATCTTCAAATACGGCTAGATGATTGCTATTCCTTTTTTTTCCAGATGGATTGCATCAGTGCATCGTCGTACGTGCCCGATAGTATAATGCCTTTTCTTCTTCATGTGCGCATGACAGCAGCAGCGACGGTAATGAGGGAAGTCCTTTTCTACACCATATAAACCAGATGCGCTGTGATGGTGAGAAGAAGATTAGGTTCTGCATGATTCGTCTATGTTTTCATCGCAATTCCACATTATGGAAGATGTGCATCGAAATCGATTTTGCACTTTCTTGAAGATCTTTGACCGTGTAGTTGTGCCACCGACTGTTACACGACCTTGTTTTGATGTTAAAAATCGAACGGATGAACAGGAGGTGCTGCGCAATGGTATATTTATAAATTGAAATTGCATCAATTAAACTTGGTTGTACGTAGATCCCACTCCCTACGTAGATCACGAGCAGCACGAAGACGAAGGGAGCAGCCTTTTTCATCTTGGCGGACGCGGATCCAACCAACGCGCAGACAGTCATGACGAGGAAAAGCAAGGCCGCCCACTTGAGTGCTGTGGTGATTTCTCGGAGCAGAATCTCAATGGGCTTGGACAGCACCTCCTCGTGGAGCCAGGGCGTCAGCTCCGCCGCATTACACGTGTCGCTGAACTTATCGTGAGAAAAAAGCGGCTCACTGTAAAGTAAGGATTTTGCACGTTTTGCATTACAACTTCCTTACATATGACAAAGCAAACTTACCATGCGTACTTCCTAAGGGAAAACACGCTGAGAAACCCAATGTCTTGCATGTGTAGCAAGACAAATGAGTATGCGTTGCATTCTTCTATGCATCACAAGTTTATGTTTACAGTGAAACAGTTTTTTCTTACGATAGAACCGATTGAGTTCACTCGCGACGTGGTACTGTTCCCACTTTTATGCACCGCAAATATGTCGTCACGTGGGTCTGGGAAAAGAATATTACGACCAAGGATCTGTATAAATAGTGCGCGTTTCGAACGACGCCGAAAACTGTCATGCACGAAGCGGGTTTGCAATTGCATCATGCAGAAGCAGATGGACCACGAATTCTATATTTATCATATGCAGGTAAGTACGCAGTGTGTACTACCCTTCAAAAAATTTGTGATGCTTGGACAGGTTACTGGAATTCGTTATCGTTTCTTCGGTGTCACCGGGAGTTGCGACGGACTAGCGACCAGACCTTGACATATTTGCCGTGGATAACTTTTCGATGATCACCGCGTAACTCACAGTGGTCAAGCACAAGACCGAGAACAAAGCACCGGCCACAGAGTATGGGACTCTCAAGCGGTACATTGTTCGCTGTTACATGATTATTTCTTGTCATGCAGAATCACTGTCGCACTTGTTCACACGCCCGCGCTATTTCGCATGGCAAGTAGAAGTTCTCCACCTACTAACTAGCATTGGAGTCACCTACTCCGACTTCAGTGCCCAATCTATGATCATGCAAGGAAGACGGCGCGCAAGTTCCCCAGTTACAGTTTCCCTTTTGCTGGTCCTGCATAGCAATAACACGTAAAATCAGCGACCACTGTAACGTTTGAGAGTTGTTCACCCATACAGAGACGCTATGGAAACAGCCAAAGGCGCCCAGGAAGAGGTGCCGCCAGTCGGCATTGGGATTGCAGCAACAGAGCACCATGGTGTCGATCGTTGTTTTCACAGGCAGGCCGGGTGATGTTCTCCTATTTGTACGGATGTTGATGTTCTTTTCAATCCAAACGAACGTAGTTTTCAATCCAAACGAACGTAGTGTTCGTTGTGGCAACTACTGCTTTGTTTTCTTGTCTTCAGGGAAAATCAAAAATCTACATTACCCGCGAAAGGGAATGGAACGCTTTTTGTCCTATGAAGTAAGGTCATCTCCGACGAAGTTTCACCTCAATATTGCTTCGTTCCAAGGACCACATGGAAAACAAGAAGGACTCTAGCGTGGAGAAGCGCTTGCATTCGCAAAACTGTGGAGAAATGCGTACATAAGCACGCCGGAGAAAAATGGTTGGAAAACACCAGATCAGAAAAACGCTGCGAGAAGCAAACAAGATCCTCTTTATTTTGCATATAAATATCCGCGATCCATCTTGATAAAACAAATATTGCAGGTGATGCTTGCGGTTCCAGACCCGGAGCCCAACAATGTTTCGGAGAAAATGTCGAATATGCGAACACGACATTTTCTTTTCCACCAGAAAAAGAAATCACATTGATAAGTGAATCATACTCCGTCGCGAAAATGCGTGTGCACACTACAGCACTCGACTGCAGCTGGTAAAGCTAAAGCCCCGCTCCCGGAATGATTGTATGATCGCGATATTTGGTTCTTGCCGATAACGAGGAAAAAAGTTGCATCAATTCATATAGTTCATTATGTGTGCCGCCTTGGTGCGCAACAAATCGATAAGGGCTCTTGATGATGTACATGTTCCGCGTTCTTGGAGGACACAACGCTCCTCCGCCGGGTTCTCTGGTTCATTTTGAAAGAGTTCCAAGACCAGCCACAGGGCGATTCCTAGCCTGCTGTCACTGGTCGAGTCTCATCCATTGACGGAAGAAATACGATCATTAGCAAGTTGACGTACTTACGTAAAAATATTCATTGAAGGCCAAAACTAGTATTGTCAAAAGGCAAGTGTAAAGCACAAACGCAGTACCAGTAGAGTGGTGCTAGAGGTATCGAAGAAGATGATCTGCTGATCAGTTTCAAAAGTAGTCGGTCGCGATCACTAGATATTTCGTTAGACTTAGATGTAAGTTCTAATAAATTTCCAAAAGTGAAATAAGGTCAACAAGAAGTCAAGTATTCGATGAGAACAGAAGTGTTTTCGGTTTTACACAGCGGTTTCCAGTCCGCTGAATGCTGTTGGTTGTTGTGCATGCTATCTTCATCATCGAAATTACGTAAAAGTCGAAGGGCTATTTTCTGTCAGTCGTTTATAGAGCTTTTATAGTCGAGTGCTGGTAGATCTAGAAGATAAATCGTGTTCATTAGATTTGTGTTTCTTTGTGGTGCCTCGTTGTCACTCTGGTACTATTGCATCACTTGATGAGTGGACGAGCAGTGCAGCTGCGCTGCCCCTGCCGACAAGTGCGTGATGTTTATTTCCCTGCTCTGAATAAAACAATCAGGACCGGTCCTTGACGTGCGGATGCGTCCAGTACCCTTTAATATCATTTCCATGTGCAACAGCAGCACGAGCAGCTACTCCGCCTCCACCTGCGGGTCCGGCATGCTCCCTTACCGTGTGGGGAAATGCGTAGTACTGGTCCGGATGGCCTTGATGTTCAACCTGAGAAGTGGTGGATGAGTAAACCGTCGTCGTCGCGGCCGGAAGAGCTGCAGTGCCGCCAGCTTCACTCGTCGTGCCGACAATCAGAGGCTCGCATTGCTCGAAAGTGGTCTGGTCTTGCACCACGGTGACGACTTGTTGATTCTGCTGATGACCATACCCGTAGTCGTAGTACTGGTGCACGTTCACGTCCTGCGGCTGATACCGCGCTCCGTGAAAATCATGCTGCTGTTGCGCCATAACAGGCTGGTGGACGAGAATGTTGGTTCCGTCCTGGCTGTATCCTGCGCAAAAGCACTATCGCACTCGTATTGTCAAAATTGCAAGCTTGTTGGTGTTCCATCGTGAAACTTGCCTTCTTTATTCCTGAAACGGAATGTTGACACATTCAATAATCCAGTTAGTCATCGATTTGGAATCTTCGGAACTACAACAACAAATTGTTCATACGTAGTTTACGATAGTTTGCAATGCGTAGGTCTCCGGCTTCAGGCAACTCCTTCCTGCCGCAGCACTTGGCCAAGAGCATAATCGGCACGGCCCAGACCAACCCCTGGGACAGAAAGTGCAGGAAGCCCCTACCTATCAAATGCAAAAATGTCTGGGTCTGGAAGAGTCATGCTGTTTTTGCCTGACGCAGAAGGTCTGGCATGCAAGCTCTAGCGCCACAGGCTTCCAGAAGCTTCCACTATGCTGACTCCGCATCACAAATCCGCCATTTTGGTGACAGAAAGTGGGCAGCTTTTGCTGCCTAAGCATGGGAATGGGATATTTTTCTGTGTTCTGAAATGCGCATCACAAGTTTGTTTGTATTCTTCCAGACCCAGACACTTTTGCAATTAATACTACCCCCCAAATGCCCGGGCTGGGCGAAGAATTCCAGGATGTACCGGGTTTCTTCGGTATATCAAAAGGAAAAATCCCCCCTCCCCATATCAAAGTGGAAATCTGTGACGCAGGATTTGCGTACACAAATCGGATTTGTCTTGCGGTGGAGGACTGCAGACAGACACAAAGCCCGGAAAGGCGTGGCTTGGGGTAGGTACTTAGCATGGCAGACGTCTGCCCTAGTAGCGTAGCAGCATTACAAATCGCCTGCGAAATCATGCAGCGGAAGCCCTGGCGTTGCTCTCTTGCAAGACAGACTCGATTTGTGGCCACAAATCAGCATCAAAAATTTTGAAAAGCACGCCTTTTCGATATGGGGAGGGAGAATTTTTCCTCACAATACGGTAGGCGTCAAATTTGCGGGAATGTGCATCCCAAACAGAGCGGGCCCATTCGCGATAAACCAAGGGAGGACCACGTCCATAATGGTATCAAAGGAGTATTTGTCCGAGGCACAGGGCGCCCAAGCTTCGAGAACTTTCGCAATCCACACGTACGCGAGAAAAATCTGATAGATTTTTTTACGTTTGGATGGTGAACACTTCATCTCACGAGTTTTATTCGCTCATATGTCAAAGGAAAACGACGCAAATGGCGTGACGTCGAGAGTAAGCAACATTCTACGCATGGCGTTACTGGTCTTCACTAGGTCTAGGTCGAGAGAAGATCGAGCGGAGCCATATTGCATCTAATTTATTACGTAAGAACAATGACATTATTCTTACCGTCACTCCCAGCGCGACGTAGAGCACCAGTAGAGCAAACACCGGCCACCAGGCTTTCTCCATTTTCCGACTGGGTTGTGAAAGTGCACAAATCCCCCTTTCGTGGTCCTAATTACGACTCCAGCAGCAGGAGACGCTGTTGCCTCTCAGGCCATGCTGTAGTCCCATCTGCCACGCAAGAGCTACAAATTATGACTATGTCTTCTGTGGTTTCTGATGCTACTCAAGATCTCCTGCCCGAGTCAACGTCGAAACGGGGCTAACAACAATTGACGAGTGGGACGACCACTAGTGGGAGTTCTTGTGCACTCTGATATACCCGCACCGACATTCGCGAAAACTGACATGATGACGGAAACGGCGAAGCCCGCGCAGAGGAATTTTTGCAGCATAACGACGAGGGCGTGGCGGCTCTTCGACAAGACGTTGTTCCAGATTTGCGGCGTGATTTCCGAAACGTCGCAGTCGGCGTCGAAGTCCCGTATCACGTTGATCCAGGGGAATCTTCGGCCAGGAAAGTTGATGTGATCATGTGAGTTCTTTGTGAATCATGCGTGGCGGTGAATTAATATAATACCTTCTGCATGACAAACAAGTCGCTGAGCGCTTCGTCGACGTGCACGACAGCACTGAGACTAGCTCTACAAGAAGCTTCCATTCATCTTATCTCTTGCCCACATCGACGAAATTTTCTGCAACGCATACGTAAAACGACTGCGCGATCCTATTGCCGTCCAGCAACACCGTGCTGAGCAACGGTATGGAGAGGAAATGAAAACTGGTTTCGGTCGTTTTGGAAATGGGTTCTTGGGCACGAAAGCAAAACATCATGCTGCACATAACGTTTTGCCTGTCACTAGTACTAGTAGTAGTACTACTACGACGCCCGCAAGGCACATTAATAAAGCTGCTTTATCATGGTCTGCTGTAGTGTTTCGGCTTCGTGCAAGTACCGGGTCCAACATGACAAACAAGTTTCCATTTGATTTCCATACGCCCCCACAGCAACAGGGCGGACAAGGCGTGGGAGAAGCCGAAGCACCCGATTAACAGGTGCCGGAAATCCGCCTTCGGGTTGCAGCAGCAGATACACATTTTCTCGGAGTTGGATTTTGTTTCGGAGGTTTGGAGTTGAAAAAAATTGTGTACTTACTCAGAGTGTTATTCGTGTTTTTGTTGATGCTAGCTTTGAGTATCAAAGGAGAAAAGCCGTCACTTCGGCTTCGGTCACGAAATAAATTTATACTGAAAAGCAATGACACGCAGGGTTTAGAAGAGGAGGCCGATGAAACAACAAGTGGACGTCTTGCGACGTGCAGCTCAACGTTTCTCGAAGGTGATGTGGCAGTTCAAAACTAAGACTAACGATGAAGTAGTGGGACGCCAATCAATACCAGTTCGAGAAGAGTAGGCACTTCTTCATCCAACTATATGTCGCGACAACAAACACCGCTAGAAGCCGGCCAGAAAAAATAGAAAAGAGAAGACACTAGACATAGTGTTTCACATTGGTCTTGATGGTCGCACGCACGCACGGAGGATCGATCTCTGGTGTCTTTGTGCTAATTATATCGCGGATCGGCACAATCACAAGAAACAATACACCCATCAGATGCTTTATGCGTACAGCAACGGCAACTGGATCACAATCATGATCACTTTGAACTGGCGAAACACGCGGCGACTATCTTCCATCTATGAGGGGATCCTCTTTCAATACACATTTTCGCGAGTCAGAGTCTGCGACATAGATTGACTCCACACACGACACAGCCACACGGAAATAAGTGATAGCGCGGTCTTTCGCTTCTTTGTGACCATGGGGCAGCTGCTACCCTGCCCTCCTGCGAACAGGCACGCACGGGCCGTGGCGCCGGCCCGGGCCGGCAACTATCTAGCGCCAGCGGGATGGCACATAGGGGGGCAGGCAGACTGGCAGGGCCAAAGTGCTGGCGTGGCGGCGCTGCGACGATGGACGAACGGACGCCACGGACTTGGGCAGGCACCCACAAAACCAACGGGGCGGACGGGGCGGAGAGAAAGCCCCCACACCCAGGGCCTTCTTTTCCCCGTCCCGCGCGAAGCAAAGGCGGGTCTTGTCGTCCCTAAAGAAATGACGTCTATATTTTCCACCAAGTGGATCCCGACAGACTATAAAAAGGATCGGCGACGACGCAGGCACGCGCGTCCTCTACCTTCGGCAACGTGTCGCCTTTCTGGCACGTCGACACTTCGCCGGCCGATTGTTTCGCCACAATGCGGAAAAAAAAAACCGACCCGACCACAAGCACGGCCAGACTCTTTGGGCGTGATTCTTTGTCTTCCTCGCTCCACTTCCGGCAGCTGGCCGGCTGCCCCACATACAAGCAGGCACCCAACGGGGCCCCGCCCAAGCGCAGCGGGCGCGGCCGGCCTCCGGGAGGAGGCAGGCGCGCCGCGGGCGTGGCGGAGAGGAGCCGCGCCCGGGCCTCCGCCCAAGGTGCGACGCCGCCCGCCGCCCGCCCAAAGCGGCCCGGCGCGGGGGCGCCACTACAAGGCGGACCGCTGGCCCGCCCCGGGCGCCGGGCTCACTATCTGCCGGGCGGGGGGCCGGCGCTTTAGATGGGGGCGCCGCGCTCGCGCTGGGTTCACAAGTAGCCGGGTCCACACGGGGCTCGCGAGGTCGGTCGAGTGTGTGACAAACATTTGGCGGCGCAGGCGACTGCCTGCGCAGCGGTGCGACCAGGGGGCGCAAGCGACACCGGCCCGAGCGGGCTGCCGCCCAAGCGAGGCAGGCAGGCGGGCCCCCCCAGCAAGTCCAAAGGGCCTCAGCGCGCGCGCGGCCGGGCGCGCGCCCGCCGCTCTTGCCATTGGCGGCAAAGGTAGGCGCCCCGTTGCGCCCGGCTACGTTGCTCCAGTGATTACGGCCGGCGCCCCGCGTAATGAGCCGGCGGCTCGCACCACGCCCCGCCCCGAGCGGGGAATTGCAACACTGCCCGCGCCCTTGGAGAGCTGCCCAGCCGGCGCTTACAGGGGCGAGGCGCCACCGCCTTCGAGAGTTGGCACACTTACTCGCTTCGCCCTGGGTCTTTTTCGTTTATTATCACGTCGACACACCATTAGGATTCACATTCAGAACCTCATACACTCAACAAGAGCGAATAAGCTCGTTGTAGCAGGTCGGTCCGTATAACGTCTAAAAGAATTGAACAAATACTCCACCGAAGGGGCTGCGGTCTGGCGTCTTCTCTTCTGTTCATGTTCAGCATAATTTTTATATCCACTAGATCACTAGCACTACCATACTGGGCTTCAAAAAGTTTCCCCGTCGAGCTTCAAAAAGTTTTCCCGTCACACGTCCAAACTCATTTCAACCCCCACAGCACTCTCCTATTCCATCGCCGGCGCCAGCGCCAGGGTGGAAAAGTTGTGTTCGCCCGGCATCTTCGCCATGTACTCGCTTTGAATGATCTGTCCGACCCTCTCCCCAAAAGACAACCCTTCGACCATGGCAAATTTCCGCGGTTTCGGCCTTGCCCCGTCCAGCTCCCAGATCGCGTTGTTCTTCTCCACAAAAGCAACGAAGTGAAAATCCACCTTGCCCTCCGTCATTTCCGTTTGGTTACTCCTCCCGGACGCCGCTTTCTGTTGCTGTTTCCGCATCGGCTCGAAGGTCTCCATAATTTTCCCTCGTTCTCCCGGGGTGTGGTCTTTCGTTGCGGTGACGAACTGCCCAAGGATGGAATCGTCGGTGAACGGTAACGAGCTGCGGTTGTTGATCAGAGAGTGTATGGCGGCGATCGTTCCACACGCGTTTCCCAACGCCTTCGATTGCCAGAGGAAAAACGGCTCGCCCTCGGGCTGCGGTAAATCCTCCGTCTTCTTCTCCCTTTCCCCCAACAGTTCCGATTTCGGCGGGAAAAGAAAGATCATCGCGTAGACCGGTTGGGGCAGCATCATCAGAAGCTCGGGGTCAAAGCCGAACACGTCGTGAATCGCGATGTTCTGCGGAGCGCCCAGTTTGTGAATGAAGTCGGTGAACGTTTCGGGGTTGGACTCCAAGGCGGGCCACCGGGCGCGGGCGGATTTCTCCTTTTCTTGGACAGCGGCGTCTGGTTCCGCTATTGTACTATCATTCCCGGACGTCGCCTGTTGGTCTCCCGCCGGGGAAGCAGCTGCTACCGCGGCTTGCTGTTGCTCTTCTGTCATGATTTTTTCTTCTGCTGCGGTTTTGACACAGCTTTCTTGGTCCTCAATAGATGCCACTTTGGGCTTTTTCGTACAAGGTTCACCTTCAGGGACGGTGTCCGGCATAGCTAAAGCCTAGTACGTTTGCAGGAAAAAAAACAAAAAGGAAAAGTCGAAGTGATCAGGTAAGCATAGCACTGTGACACAAGGGGGAGGAAACACAACTCAACCTACCATAAAATTCGAACGAAAATAACATGGAATCTGTCCACCAACATCAGTTTTTCAGGGGTTTTTGCTCCGCGGAAAGATTTCGTATTTTCTGGTGTATGATCTTCTGGAAGGGTGCGAATAGCGCAAAAGCTCATTATCAAACCGCCGAAACCACCAGCCGTAAAAGAGATCTTGGACACAACCCGTCCCGCAGGGAGCAAATTGAACAGTCGTACACCGCTTGTATCAGATAGAAAGACGACGTTGCACTCGCGTTCTTATCAATAGGGCTGGAATAAAAATGTCGCTTCATCTGTTCATTTGGTCATCGTGGCGGAATGAAGTTTGATGTTGAGAGGGACGAGGGTATAAAAACAAGCTGTCAACAATTTCTGACTGTCGCACGGGGCGGTGCGCAAAGAGGTCTAGCCTGAAAAGGAGGTTGTCGACAAAGTCGAAGCCCGGCTCGGGTAGGTAGTCGTAGTTCTATTGCAGCAGGTCTACCAGGCAGTCGGGGTTTTGTTGTTCATTCCCATTCGGTTTCACTCTCGGACGTTCATCTTTCGTAGAAACCACCTACCAAAAGGGAAACAGTCGTTAGATTTGTTCAGCACAATTCGTCCTGCACCAAGTAGTCTTGGCACCACGACCCGCGTCCGCCGGTACTATTGTGGCCCTTACGACCACCACTCCCAAACACCATCTTCCAACCAGCTCCATCATCCGGCACTGCAGCAGCGTCCAGCAGCTACGCCAAAACGTTCGTCGCGACCAGCTCCTACCCTCTCTATTGCAAGTCCAGCACCGCCATCTTGTTCGCCAACTCATCCGCCGAAGACAGAAGTGAGTAAGGACACTCGTACTGCTTCATTATGGTCGAAAATTTACTCTCTTCCGCCGGGAAGTCGTTCGCCAACGAGTGAGTGTACTTTGCAAGGACCACGGCGGCTTCGAACACCTCACAACTAATTATGGCGTTCTCAAATGTTATATTCCCAACTGTATACATGATTTGTCATGCACAATGAGCATCAAGGTCCACACCTGGAAGCTACCTCGCATGACAAATTTAAGAACAGGAAGGGTCAAACAGCATGGGAATCTGTGCCGAATTTGTAATGCAAGAGTTGCGAGATTCGGCATTTCCCTGTTGCCATTCTTGCATCACAAATTCATGCAACAGTTGAGAATGTAACAATTGAGAGTCCCATACTAATTTCCACCACCTCGGTGAACTCGAAGTAGTGCGTTGTTGCCGAGTTTTTCGCGGTTTGGATCTTGTAGCACACGTTATCAAATGCAAATATGTCTGGGTCTGGATCTGGAAGAGTCATGCTGTTTTTGCATGACACAGAAGGTCTTGCATGGAAGCCCTAGCATCACAGGTTTCGAGAAGGCTCCGCAATGCCTAATCCGCATCACAAATCCCCCATTTCGGTGGCAGAAAGTGGGCAACTTTTGCTGTCTATGCATGAGAGATTTGTGTGAGTTCTGAAATGCGCATCGCAAGTTTGCACTCTTCCAGACCCAGACATATCTGCATTTGATACACGTCCGCCAAATCCGACTCGTGGGCCTGGTTCAGGGCTTTCCGTAAACTCGCGTCGGAAGGACGCATGCGGGCGAAGGTCGACGGCGACTTGAAAGCAAGAGGGATTACCTGAATTTTATCAACAGGCCGTTTTGATAGCATCTTTTGGTCAACAAGCGGTCAAGCTGCATCGAGGTCATGATTTCCAACAGGACTTCTACACTCAGCATGATGACATCCACATTACCTTCTAAAGGCAGAAACACACCATTTTTTACCACGTCTTCCCAGCTTTCCCCGGAATCCTCCTCGTCCAAATCGTCTGGATTAGGTTTGATTTTCAGCAACAACTTCTTTTCTCTCGTATTTGACTTCTCCTCGTCTAACACCAGCCACACATCCGCCTTGCCCAAATGCTCGCTGTTTGAACCTTTCCCACTTGGAGGCCCTTTCTGCTCCCAGAGCTCGCCGCAACAGAGCAGACAACTCGTACACCTGCCGAATAAGAACTCCTGTAATAACCGCTTTGCCTTGTTGTAAATGGTCGTCGTCACGCTATTGGAGTACGCAAACGGCGCACCCTGCTGGACGCGTTTACAGAGTTGCGGCTGCACGGAGAGGGTTTGCAAACCGAGGTTGAGTAGAGAGATCACCGCATTGAGCTTGGGCAGCATCTCGGCGATCCGCTCTCGCCTGTCCTTCCCGTCTTTCTTCGTCTTTAGCCACTTCGTCCACGATTCTTTCGAATCGGGCCGCTCGTCGTCCTCATCCGAGCCAATGTCGAGAATCTCCTCCACCTTGCGGATCTGGAAACGGATCAGCTTGGTACCTGATAGATACGATAGGTTTACGTTCATACTCGGTTCGAAATTTCGCACAGAAGAACAAGCTGCGGATAGTACTTGAAATTTTTCACCCTCACAACATCAAAAACAACAAGAAAAACATTTATCTTGATCATCACGCAGCGCTGTAAAATATCAGAGAAAAATACTCGGCAGCAAGAGCGGCAACGCCTCCTCTCTTATCAGTAGTTTCTCCGCAACCTGGACTGGGATTGTCAAGGCTTCCAAGGTCTTCCAGAGCACATATCCCTCCTCCTCCACGCCGTTGAAGGATTGCAGGAAGTCGATCGCCCGTTTGGTCCCGGTGGCCACCTTAAAAATCGCCCCGGCCGCAGCGGAGACACCGAACATCGCCATGTTATTGTCTTTGTCAAGATATACTTAAGTACAGGAGTCGTCTTTTTTTCAACAGTGCGCTTTTGATGTTGTTATCAGATTTTTACGTAGAAGATGAAGTACAATGATATCACCCAGATGAGGCCGCTCTCACCTTAGTTAGGAGAGGACGAAGAAGATACTAGTACTAGTTGCACAGAGAGAAGGAGTTCTTCACCCCGCGGCGGCCTCGTGGGAAAGAAGATCTTGCCCCTCCTTCCTAGTACGACAAGGCAGAAGTAAATTCTACTCTTCGCTCAGCACCAAAATAGAATCTAGGCGTCGTCTCACCCTGTTTCTGCTTTCGATTCAGATATGATATCAAAACTGCGCTCTAACCTACAGGAGAAGATGACTGCGTGCACAGCGGTTTCCCAGCACGAGCTTGGCAAGTCTGAAGCAGCAGCCCTGACGTTGTCTTATCCTCCACAGCATCTAGTACTGTAGAGCCAGGTGTGAAAGAGAAAGTGGCTACTGTAAGCAGGGACTGTCCTGTGTCTGTAGTACCGCGATTGAAATTTCACATGTTTGTCATTTTGTTTTCTTTTTCTTCCGTGCACTAGCATTTTTGTTGTTTTTGCTTCCAGGAGAGGCAGTTTCCTGCAGAAGTAGATCCTCGTCTTTCATTTTAGCTGAAATCGGGCTTGGTAAGAAACGACCCGCGTGTTCAATTTGTCGCTTTTTTGCAGACGATGAAGATGCAGCAGAAGTCCCACCTCCGGGTGTACTAGTTGCGAGGTAGTGAACCCCCGACCTGGCGCTGCTGACGAAAGGCGAATGATGATCTTCCAGGCCTTCCTCTTCCTCGTCCCGGTCGCCTGAAAAAAGAGCTCCGTCGTCGCTTTCTGGACCCCCGCGTGCTGTTCCTGTCTTCCCAACGTTCTTGTGTCCCTTTCCCTCTGCTCCGACGTGCAACAAGCTTCCGCCGAGAATTGCGAAGACTAACCCGAATAAGTGGTACCAACCGAAGACTTTCGGGAAGATAACGTAGGACAAAGCGAAGGTTATCATCTTCCTGCACCCACAAATCGCGTTTGTTCTCGCCGCGTCGTACTCCTTCGTGATTTTAAAAATGATTCGCAAGCCCCAGAAGGACAGGAAATTGTCGAGGAACATCAGAATCAAAACCTTGTTCCCAGTTTGCATCGGAATTCCGAGTCTGAAAATTGCCGGGTTCGAGTCGTGCGGCTTCGCGTAAAAGAAATTCTGCAATCTCGCGAGGTAACTAGATGAACTGTTTTGGAGGTATGTTGAATCTCCTGTCGCGACGAGGCCGGAAAGCAAGTAGTCCTTTCGGACTTCGTATGCAATGCAAAAGCATCGTACTAGTATAAATTGCATTACAAATTGGCTTAGCATTACAAATTGAATTTGTATTGCGGATTTGCCTTAACAGAAAGATCTGTAATGCATAAATGCAATTAGTACGAGTACGATACTTTTCTTGCAGTGCATACTTCGACGCCGAGAAAATCGTCCCAGCTGAACCCTGCAAGGGTCAAAATATCCAAGAAAAAAACTGTGTTAGTTTAACTTTCTTTGGTTGGCAGCGTCACAAATTTGCTCTACATGACGGAGAAAACCTGTCATGCGCGGCTTGTAAGGGAAAACACACATGAAAAGAGGACTTCATGGTTGTCTGGCATGACAGGTGTAACTCCGTTGCATGTTCTGCATTACAGAGTTTTTACACTTACACAGATTTTTTCTTGCATACGACACCCGCTCACTGTACCAGTAGTACCAGTTCTGGAACTCATTTGCGAACAGCATGGTGTAGCAGACCAGCAACACAAATCCGACGGAGTACTGGATCATCATCAGCAGATCTACTTCGCGACCTTTGGTAGAAGTAGTAGGTTGCGGCGCACGATGTTGACTTGCGGCTCGTGTAGCAAAAGGAAAAGCTTGTGTCTGTTTCCTCTTCTGCTGCAAAAACACCTGCTGAATGTTGACGCCAACGGATGCGCAGCAGATGTTCAACAGCATTAAGGCCAGGCCGTAGATGGAAAACCTGGGGGACTCGAACCGCTCCCCAACTCCAAACACGGTGAGACCGAAGAAAACAGATAGACTGCCGATGTATTCCTGAGACGTGATAATCTTCTTGTTCGCTTCAACATTCATCTCATCGCTCTGTCGCCGTCCAGATGAAGAAAGGACCATCCCGTACAACCGCCTTCCCAGCAGAATGCAGGGGACTTTTGCGCTCTTGCACATGGCTCCGAAGGTGAAAGATAAATGTTCGAAGGCGGAGGTCCCAGCGCCATGCGAAATCATCAGTAAAACGCCGGAGAGGAAGGCAGGGTCGTGCTCTTCGACTTGTAAGATCGAAGATGGAACTCGTGTTGCAGTTGTAGAAGAGGGCGAGCTCTGCTGATTTTTTGCTAATGTATGTGTAGTGAGTTGTGTTGACATCTTCCCTTGATGTTGTATCAAATTTTTGACGAATGTCAGCCTGTTCCAGACGGATTTTCGCACCGCGTAGTTCCATTCATCCCAAAAACCTCGGTTGTTCCAATTGCACAACGGGATCAACAAAACGTACAAACCGAACTCAAACAAGCAGTAGACCCACCCGAACCGGAAACCGTCGTGTTGGAAAACCGCTTCGGTAAGCAGCGCCGCTTGCCCGTGGAAGAGAAACACGATGAACGCGAGTTGCAGTAAACGAACAGTGCGCTGGTGGTGGGTTGATGGTGCTGCAACAGCTGCTAAAGAATGAGAGCAGCTCTGCTTGGCAGTTTGCGTAGTGAGCGATTTTGTACTAGCTTTATTAGGCGGAAAAAAAGCCATGTTTTTGCTGCTAGCTGCACCTCCGGTGGGGGTCTGCTCGCGTCTTCTTGAGCGGTGCACCTGTCTTGCGCCACCGGTTGTACCAGTCGTGTTTTTCGCAGTAATTTGAGTTGCCGGGGAGGAGGCTGAGGCGCCCTGTGGCGTACCGCGCTTGCGCGCTTTCCCGTGGCCGTTGCGGGTAGTGGACATTGTGAATACGATTCAATAGGTTAGCGTTAAGGTTTTTGTTTTTGAAACAAGAATGGTGACGGCGACTCGGTGCGTTAGCAGGCCTGCAAGTACGCGACCGATCGTGGTTACGGTTAGCACGATACAAACGAAACGAAGGAACGTGAACGACGCAAAGCTGCACTTACTGAAACGCGACGCCCGATGAAACACGTAGTCAAAAAGACGCACCAGCTGCACCCTTCAGCAACACACGGCACGGGAGTGCTGTTCCGCAGTCCGGGCGGTCAACAAGTAGCTCTAGAGTGCTCTCTACCTAGATTTCTGTAGTGAGTCATGAAGTGTTACCTCTGATGGCTCGTCAGTCTGTCGTAAAAGCTGCAAAAAAAAGATCATTTTTCGTACTACAACCAATCTATCATTCATTCGAATCAGGTGTTCAGTGTATGTTCATCAATTTTGAAACTTAGAAGTTCTTGCCTGGGTTCATTCTATCTTTTTTTCTTCTGAAATTCATTCGTATTTTTTCAGTGGTTGAAATAATTAGCGCCTTCTCCACGTACTGATAGTGGTAAAAAAGAAAGTATTTCGATGGTAAACAAAAGAAGAAACAAAGCAAGCTCTACGCAAAAGGTCCTTGATGGAATCCTTTACACATCTATCAAATATATTTCAGCTGCGCCAGCAACAGATCTACTTCTGGCGTGAGAAAAAATAGAGGAAAAAGTTCTCGGCAGTAAAGCTCTGTCGAATAAAGGTTAAAAAGTACTGTCATTGGTACACGTACAAATCTTACAACATAAAAAGAACTTCTACTATTCGGACTATAATCGGATTTGAATGCTGCTTTTTCTAGTATCGCACAGCAAATTCCTGCCGCAACCACCGCTAGCACTCAACCTTTGTGCCGTTCCTACTTCATCTTCACCCCAAACTCTGCAAAATCTGCAGATAGGTTTCGTTCTCCGGCTCAATCCCCACCGCTTTTTGGATACAGTCCATCGCCATTTTTTTCTCCCCCAGGTACACATGCAAACTCGCCAGATTTGCGTAGCACACGTGCAAGTTCGGATCCAAATCCGTTGCTTGCGTGTAGTAATCAATCGCCTCCTCCACCTTATCCAACGATTGCATCACGACCCCGAGGTGTGCGAGCGTTTCGGACAGAGAGATGTCGTTGTAGGTTTTTTCAGCAGATGAACCAGAAGACTTTATTGCCAACTTCTGCTCATTCGGATTTGCATTTGCATCGCCCGCGGCCACCGCTGGTGGATTGCTGTTGTTGGCAACTAGTACAACTTCCTGCCCATGCGTTTCCAAAATCTTTTTCACTTTCTTGAACATGGTTTCCGCCTCTTTCCAGCGCATTTCCTCGCATAGTTGCTCGGCCAGGTGGAAGAGATTGGACGGATCGTGACCCTTGTACGCTTGGGTGTCTGAAATAGGAGGTGCGGTGGATATTACTGGTGTAGTTTGGTCGTCCACTGCTCCTGCCGGCGTTTCAAAAGCTTCTGGTGGTAATCCTTGTTGAGGAATTTCCTCTAATGTGGTTTCTTCTACCTTTGGCGTCTGGTACAACATTTCTTCTGCTATTTGTTGTTCATGATCTGCCGCTCGCGCTCGTTCCTGTTGCGCCTTCCTCGCGGATGTAGTTTTGTTTGCCGGAGTCGTTGCGGAAGTTAAGTTCATCGGCTCTTCAACTGTAGAATCCACAGGAGCTGTTTCTTCAAGATCCGCGGGGGCACGCGAAGCTACGTCCTTCACCTGCTGGTGCAGCCCAGTCGCTTGAAAATTCTGGCTGCCCTCGATCGACACCGAAGGCGGTAATGGCGAATACACGTCGACTGTGCTTTCCTCTTTCACAGAGTCGAGTATTACCTCCTGTGCGGAGGTTTCGGTCGCGAGAGTAGAACCTACTAGAAGTGCAGCCGCTGCGCCAGGTTGTTCCTCTGGCGGCTCCGCGTAAAATGCGACCTGCTGCGGAACGAAGTTAGGCGTCGAGCTGGATAATTTTGCACTTTTCTTGTCTTGTTGTTGTTTTGTGGTCACGATTTTCCTCGTCATGCTTGAATTCGCTGTACTGCTTGATGATACGGCGCCGGGCCCGGTGGGGGCAGAAGTAGTAGAGGCCGCTGGCGCAGCTCCTGCTCCTGCTCCGCGCGCCGAACTACTCGATGAGACCGTGTGTTTCGGCGACTTGACCCCGCCCCTAGGCGCTGCCAACGCTTCCAACCTGCTGGCGTCGCTTTTCGGTTTTGAAGAGGCGCTATTCGTCGGTTGGAACGTGGATGAGTGGGAGACGGATTTCTTCTCTATTGCTAATTTTGGACTCGCTTTATTGCTACTACTTGAAGTTGTTCCTCCACCCTTCGCCGATCTGCTCGACAAACTCCCGCCGTGCCCACCGGACGAGGAGCCACTACGACCACGTTGCTGTTCGCGATGTAAAGAGCTCGTGGACAAACTTCCTGAGGTGGAGCGCAGTTCGCGAGAGGGGGAGGACGGGAGGGATTTTGCAGTTTTCGTCTTCGTCGTCGCATTTTTGAAATGAGTAGTACCAGAAGCACCTGGGCCTGATGTAGAAGAAATGCCAGCTCCAGGTCCAGCTCCTCCTGAACTACCTCGCGAAATAAATGCGCGGCTACTTGTACTAATATCCTTTACGACAGCACTCCGACTCGCCGCAGAGGTTCTTGGACCACCGACGACCATATCTTTCTCTTCGAACGACACCGAAGCTGACTTGCTGTGGTTCCACGGAGGTTTCTGTTTCGGACTAGTCGAAGATTTCCGCCGCGCATTTTCGGCCTGGAGCTCCATCGCACGTTGCGCTTCCATTTGTGCCAGCTTCAATTCTTTTTCCTTCTGTTTCACCTTCGCCTTTTTCGCCCCGGCGAGAAACTTATCGGCCTGCTCCGGAAACACGTTCACCAACTGGGCGTCGAAGTAGCCGCCCGAAACGTTTTGCGCGGCCACGACCTGCCACGTCGGGTCTTTCGTCCCGGCGGACCGGTTTTCCCGGATGTAACTGGATGCGTTCAAGTTTTGCTCCTCGTCTTGTTGTTCACCATCCCCGTCTACTCTCTCCGGCGATTTCGCCAAAGTGCTCGTACGGTTCAGCCACTCGCTCTGCCCGCCCTTGTTGTCCACAATCCGGCTCGTCGGGCTCGGTGACCGAGATTTCTGCCGCAGTTTCGCCCGGTGCGCCGTCTCGCTGTGTCGGTCGCCGAGGAGGAAATTCGGCTGTAAATCCAAATCCTCTGCTGCCGAATCCCGGATGTCTTCGAAGGATAATTTGTCTTGCGAAGCTGCGGACTCGTAGGTTTCCCGATTGGAGTAGGACATGCGGAGATCTTCGCTTTCCCGGTTCTGCTGCATGGCCGCGGACAGACGCTCGTCGGTGAAAGGAATCATGCCGGTCGTGTTTGGTGCGCCGCTGCTTCGAACTGTGCTTCTGGCAGCACTCTCAGCTGATTGTTCCGCTGCGGCTAAATTGTTGTTTGCGTCCTCTTTCGGGGAAAATTTGTTTCCATGGTGGTCTCCTGCCACATCCACCTGCACTACTCGATCTGGCGTTCGGATCCGGATTCGCACCCCGCCCTCCGTCGGGCTCGTTTTCACCACGTCGGTTTGCTCGTCTTGACTCCCGTCAACGATGGTCCTGACGATAGTTTTCGGGGCAGAAGAAGAAGTTTCCGCCGCGGGGCCAAGTAACGCCGCTTTCTCCCGCCTCAACTTTTCCAGTTCTGCTACTATTTCATCGGCATACGGTCCCTGGTAGTGAATTCCATTGTTCAGCCACTGCTTGATATTACCAGTTGAAGAACTGTAATCGTTCATGTTGACCATGTTCTTATCCTGGCCTGCGACACCAGCATTTCCACTTCTCGGTGATAGTATCGTGATCTTAACCGAATTCGGTGACCCCGGTGACTGTGTCTTGTTTGTCCCCGCGGGTGGAGATTTTGATCGTTCAACCAGTGCTCTCGACCGATCCAAGATCTCCTGCAATTCCTCCGTCGAGGTACGGATTTTCGCCGTCGCTGTCGTCCCGTTGGGGGAGGGCTCGCGCTTTAAAATTGACTTCGGACTAGTTGCACTACTGGAAGAACTGGCACCAGCATCGTTCTTCATTAGCTCTGGCGCTGTACCAGCAGCTCCACCAATGTAGGACGAAGAACTGGAAGTAGAAGCCGCTGCGCGACCAGACGCCACGTTCATAAATTTCTTGTCCACGGTGCTTTTGATCACCACCCGGGTGCTCGGCGGACTGGCAGAGCTACTGGCTTCACTGACCTCCATGAGCGGGGAGAGGGGTGCGGTGGTCACGGTCATCGGCCACACGGCGGGTTGGTTCGCGAGAATGGCGGCGTTGGCCGAAAGGTCGATGGTGTGATCCGAGAATTGTGGGAGCTCGGTTCTCAACTGTTCGTTCGCGAGAAACTGCTGCTCGGGTAGGTTTCTGGCTGACGACTGTCTCATTGTGTTCGTGTTACTACTGTTCGAGTTCGAGTTCGGTGGAAATACCACGTCGCCGTTGGAAATTGAAACTTCGTTCTGATTCCCGATCGTCGTGGCCCGCCTGGGAGAGGTTTGTTGCTTTGGCGAGCGGGAGCTGGAGAGTCTAGTTCTCGGTGATCCGGAGGAGGCTCTAGGGGGAGACGTCGACGAGGCTTGTCGTGTTAGTCCTTCTGTCACTGTTGCACTTCCACCGGCGTTGTACACAACATTTTCAACGACCGTAGTTGTTCCACGAGGACCAGGTTCTTGTTCTCCCACAACTGTCGGCGACGAGGACCCGTGAACAGCAGGAGACCCCGGACGACTTGTTCTGATCCTTTCATCCGTCAATCGGATTACCTCTCTTTCCAAAACTAGTATCCTCGTTCTCGCCTGCTCCAGCTTGTTCTGCAAGACAAAGTTCAACTCGGAGTACTCCACTGCTTTCTTCTCCAAATGGTTCTGCAGTATCTCGCCTTGTTTGATCTTTTCCAACTGGGAAACAATTTTCTCCTCGAATTTCTCGTTTTTCAGTTTTAAGTCTGTGTTCAAATTGTCCAACTGCATTTTCTCGTGCTCGTAAGCCGCATGCAACAACTGATTCTGAGAAGGAATGTTGAGCGTCGGCGCGCCGCTGGGGAGAAGGGAAGAAGTGGCTCGCAATTTCGACGCAGTGCCTGGGTTGGAGGAAGACTGCCCACCTGGTGAGGTCAAAGAATTGCCATTCACCCGACTCCCGGGCGTGTAGAACATCATCGCCGGGGACTTGCTGTTCATTTTCTCCAGAAAATCGCTCCCGGCGGACAAAGTGTTCGGCGTTTTCAATAAGTGACTATGCATCGGACTCCCCCCATCGGAAACGGACAAGAAGCCGGCGTTGTTGTTCATCGCCCGTCGTCTTTCGTCTTCGCAGAGTCTCTGCAGTCGGTGCCGCTCGTCGTCGAACTGGATCTGCATGCGGCGTTTTTCTTCCTCCAACAGCTGGACCGTCTTTTCTTTGTTTTGCTTCTGCAGTTGGTTTTCCGATTGCAAATCCTTCAATTTCTCGGCCAAAGTGTCTTTCTCTATGGAAAGCTTGGAAAGAAAAGTTTCCTTTTCCAGCAATTCGTCCTGCGTGCGCAGCAGTTGCCGCTTCAGACGCTCGGAGTCCTCCTGTTTTATTGGGGGTGTTGGAAAAAAGATTCAGATGCATAATTGATGTCGTCATGTGACGTGTGTTGCTAGACCATTCTCTCTAGAAGACCACAAAGCCGAGGGGAACAAGCAGGAAACAAATCCGCTTGCTGTAATGTTCAAAAACAAAAGCTTACCTTCGCCTCCCCCATGATTTCCTCCCTTTTCCTCTCCCCGGAAATCTCCACTTGCTCCCGCATTCGGGTCAATTCTTCATTTTTCCGCACTTCCGCTTCTAAATCGAATTTCAAATTTCTCACTGCCTCCTCCAATCCCTGCTTCTCACACTTCACCTCTTTTAACAATGCCTCCAACTTGTCATACTCGTGCTGCAGCTCTTCCTTCTCTATCCCCATTTCCCGGTTGTTTTTTTCCAAGTTCTGCAAATCCCAGTCCTTCGCTTCAAACGATTTTTGCATCTGCAGGACCGTTGCTTTTTCTTTTTCCCGCAAACTTTCGATTTCAGTCCTCAACCTTTCCTCCATTTGATCCTTTTTCGCGAGGATGTCTTGCTTTTCTTTCGACAGACTTGCGACAATCTTTTCCCGTTTCGCATTCTCCTCGTCTAAAAACTGCCCCTTCAACAGTTCGTGCCGGTTGCTCTCCTCTAGTTTCAAGTTTTGCGTTTCCTCGAGTTCGAGTTTCGTTTTTTCCAAGACCTGCTCCAATTTCCGTACTTGTTTTTGCAGCTCCCAATTTTCCGCCGACATCTGCTGTTATGCATTGCAAATATGTCTGGATCTGGGAGGAAGATGCAAGGTCTGTCATGCTTGTCTGGAATGACTGAAGAGTTTGTGATGCGTGTCCAAGAATGAATGAATGAATGAGTGACGCCCCCTGACGCACCTCGTCGATCCGATCGCTTCACCAGTTCTTCTTTCCTGGACTGCCACGAATGCAAAACGCAGCCAGCTTGTCACGCATACATATTAACCAGCAAGCGATTTCCCGGTCCGACGGCCCCTCTTACTCCGGTTTTCGACGACACACGCTGTGTCGCCTGTGGGTGAACCGGTACGCCATGCGTACATGGACGAAACCCCGATTGGCCGTTGAGCCACCCCCACGGCACCTACCGACTCTCCCCGAGCCGGTACGCGTGATCAACAAACACCACTAGTGCCTACTGCTAGCCAAGCTAAGTTGTCGGGGTTGTTGCCGAAGGTGAAGCTTGTCGGCTTAGCAGTTCTTTTTGTAGTGGGGGGGAGGAAAAAAGGAAAAACCTGGGGTCGGGGCCGAGGGTCGTAATCTCTTTTGCGAGGGGGTCGAGTCAGCGCCCTGCTTTCTCTGTCGTGCACTCATGATCCCGGCAAATGAGCCTCATGCTGCTTTCAGCAATCCGACAGGTGAGCTCCCATGAGCTTCAATTTGTAAGGAGTTTTTTGGTTGGCCTTCTTTCCGCCACGACCCTCAGCTCCCTGGGGTTCTTGTCCTTCTCCTCGTGATTCAGGGTTTTTGCACCCGGACGAAGAGGGTGCAGCAAGCAGAAAAAATGAAAAGACGACCAGTCATTGGAGCCATGTGCTTTGATTCTTTGTGGGGGTTTTGCTACTACTACGAACGGGGGGGCTTTCTGCTGCTACGAACGGGGTATGGGGCTGCTGCTTCTGCCGCTCAGATTGCTACTGTTGCCGCCTCCGGCTTTTTCTGCGTGGCACCCGCCACTGCTACTGCGCTTGGGCTGATACTACTACCGCCGGGATTATTCCTGCTACTACTACATACCCGAGATTCGCGCCGTTGTGCCCGTCCCACGCTGCTGCTGTGCGGAGTTGGCGCCCAGCACCACCCGGACTACTACTACTACTGCTGCCGCCACTGCGGCTTCTTTCTCGGCGCCGGCTTCCATAACCTGTTCTTCTGTCCCGCAAAGTCTTCTTTTTCGTCTGCCTCGAAGTTCGTCCGCTCGTCTGTGCTTCTGCTCGTTGTGCTTGTCCTCGTCTTTCTCGTCTGTGTTCTGGCGTTGTGCAGGGAGAGAGATCCCATTGCTTGTCATGCAAAAACGCAGCTTGTCATGCGAAAAGCGCAACACTAAGCCGCGCAAATATTTCTCATGCTTGGCTGTGCATTACAGAGCATTCACTGTTCACAATCCAGCATTAGAAGTTTCCAGACCCAGACATTATCTTTGCATTTGATAGCTCCTGATTCAAGTTCGACTCCGTTTTCAACGTCTCCGCCCCGGACTGGAGCTGCTTGGAGTTTTGCTCCAACATCCGGATTTTCTCGAAATTCTGCTCCATAATCGACTCTAACTGCCGGACTTGCTTCTCGATTTCCAGTTTTTCCTCGAACAAAATCGATTTTTCCTTCTTCACTTGCTGCAGTAACTGCTGGACGTCCTCCACCTCGGATTTCAGCCCGTTGACTTCGGTCTGGTGCTTTTTTCTCAGTTTGATGTTCTGCTCCTCGAATTCGTTGTATGCGGTTTGGAGTTTGGAACTGTTTTCCGCTGTCAGTTTATCTACAGAATTAGCTTTTTCTTTCTTCAGTTCCTCCACTAGTAACTGCAGTTTCTCCACCTCTTTCTGCTTCGCTTCCTCGAATTCCGCATGAAGCTGCACCAATTCCTGGAGTGCGCGGTCGGACTCTTCCAGCTGTTTTTGGTACTGCTGGACTTGCGACTCGTAGGTATACACCGCTTGCTGGAGCTGCAACGACTCGGAATCCAGCTGCGAAAGCTCGGCGTCTGTGGTGTTATTTTTTCATTTATCGAAGATTTCTGCTCGTCATGCGACATGAGAAATGTATTGAAAACTACACGAGAACATTAATTGAAGTAGTTCCTGTAGTATCACCAAAATCTAATGGCAGCAATAGCAAACTTTGGATTTGTTGAAAACATGAAACTCAAGTTGTACCATGCCAAAAAATACCTTTTCCTTGTTGCACTTCGATGTAGTTCTTTAGCCGGTCTAGGATCGCTTGCTCTCTCGCCTCACCGTCGAGTTTCAGTTTTTCCTCCTTTTCATACTTCGTTTTCCATTCGAGAAGTCTTTCTGACAAATTCAAAATCTCCTTCTCGATCAGCCGCATCGTGTACTCAAACTCCGCTTTCTTCTCAACTGCAGACACCTTGAACCCCAGCTCCTCCTCCTCCGAGTAAGTGGTCAGCTTTGTTGTACTATTGTTTGCGCCGTTCAGCTGTGAAGATTTGATGTCTCCCTGCAGAAGTAGTTGATGTCCACCTGTTGGTCTCGGTTTCGCTAGCAAGGTTGTCAACCGACCGAGGTTGGTTGTCGGCGAGGATGTTCTGGAGAAATCCAGGAGCTGCTGCTCGCTGGCCAGACCGCCGCTTATCGTTTTCCGCTCTTGCTGTTCAGTACTCGCATTGAGACCATTGCTTCCCGCTGTGCTGTTCGCACTATACGTTTGGTTCACGTCGACCATCTGTCGCTTCAATTCCACCAACATGGGCGTATACGATTCGTACAATTCCCGCGCCACGGCGTTCCGTCGCTCCCACAGGTACTGTGCTTCTTTCGGCGCGGAAATACCGAATTTGATCTCCTCCGGCTTCTTCGCCAACGCCTTGCGCATCGAGCTAGACAGTGCCGAGTTTTCTCGCTGTCGCTGTTCCGGACTGGTGACGCTGCTGGCGAAGGCGGTGGGGGAAAGGAAACTGCTGTCTTTCCTCCCGGTGAGGATCGAGCTGGAAACCGCCTCGGTCAAAATCTCCACGTCTTCTTTGGTCAACCGATGTCCTCCTGCTTCGTTACTATGTTGTGCCTCACCGCTTCCATCTCTATTGTTTACCTTGTTGTTCATCCCACCTATCGACGCCGTTGCAATCACAGACGACACGGACATGAGTCTTTTCCTCAGAATTTCGTTTTCCTGGTCTTTCTTTTCTATCTCTCCCGTCATCTTCGCGATTCGCTCTTCCACTAGCGTCACCTGGTCGACAAACTCTTCCATGAGCTGCTGCTTTTCCATTAATTGTTCCTCCAAAAACAAAACCTTCTCCTCGTGCTCGTTCAGCAAAACGTCAATCCTCTTCTCCGATTCCTGTAGCGTGTCCGCCAAACGGGCCTTAATGGTGAGGAGCGTTTTTGTGTTGGCGAAATTTTGGCTGTTGTTGTTTGCAGCAAGAAGAACTCCTACGTCCGAGGTGATGGAGGCGTCGAGTAGTGCTTCACCAGCATTGTTCATTGCATTGTTTCCACCAGCCTGTGCCGTCTGCAACAGCGCAACCTGGGAGTCCAGTCTGTTCGATGGCCGGGTTGTGTTCTTGCTCGGCGAATTCGATGCGGACGACGTCAACCGTGAAGATGGACCCCGACTTTGACTTTGTCTGGCTCCCGCTGTATTACCAGCACCACCGTCACGAAACGAAGTGCTGCTGGCAAAATTCCCTGTTGTGTTGAACTCGGACAAGTCCAAACTGCAGACTTTCTGCAGCTCCGTGTAGTTCCAGCGGCTCTGTTTCAGCTTTGCCTGCCACTTACTGATCGTCTGCTGCATCTTCGCAAGCTCCCGATTCTTTTCTGACAATTGCTTCTGCATGTCCTGCTTCAGCTGCGCGTTTTGCTTTCTCATGTTCGTCTCAAATTCCTCCATTGTTTCCTGTTTTTCGTCTAACAACTTCGACAACTGCTCCACTTTCTGCTTGTACTTCGCGATTCCAATCGACTTGTGGATTCGCTTATCGACAGTGCAAAAGTATCGCTGTCGTGATCGTCGCATTGGTAATAAACTGCATCGCAGGTTTTTTCTGAAAGAAATATGAAATTTGTCATGCAGATAAAGGTAAGAAAGAGATGAAAGAGCGCACACTTGTTCTCGCGCAGCAGAATTTTTCCAATGAGTACGAGCATTAATTGATGCTTTTGCGGTGCATATCTTTCCTTTTCTTTCTCGAACTCCAGCTCCATCTGGAGTTTCTCCTCCTCCTTCTCGTCGATCTTTTTCGACAATTCTTGCTCCCGCAAAAGCTGCGCCTCGATGTCGTCCCGGAGTTTTCCGATCTCGCTCACTTTCGCCTCAATCGTTTCCTCCCGGTGGGCGAGTTGCTTCTTCAACTGGTCTATGCAGTGCAAAAGTATCGTAATCATACTATTAATTACGTTTATGCATTACAATTTTTTTCTCAAGGCAAATCCGCATTACAAATTTTATTTGTATTGCTAAGTCGATTTGTCGTGCAATTTATACTAGTACGATGCTTTTGCAATGCATATGGGCAAGCTCTTTGATCTTCTCTTCCTTCTCGTGGACCACGTCCAGTTTGTCCTTTTTCACCGCGGCGAGTTCCTGCAGGTAATTCTCCTCCAGTAGGTGCTTCTCGTTCAGGTGTCGCGACTTCAATTCGTTCAGCGCGGTATTGCCGTCCTGCTTCACCTTGTACATCTCATTGGACAAATCCGTGTTCTTCTGCTTCCACAACTGCAGCTCCTCAAATATTTTTTTCTCCTCCTTCTGGATTTTCTCCACCTGGGTTTCCGCCTGCTTCTCCAGTTGCACCAATTGCGTTTCTTTCAGTAGCAAGGCTTTCTCCTCTTCCTTCTTCGCGTGCAGATCCGACTGCAGGGTGACGCACTTTTCGTCCAAATTCGCCTTTTGCTTCTCCAGGGTTTCGTAGTTCGTGAGCATTTATCAAATGCAAAAATGTCTGGGTCTGGAAGATTGGAACTTGTGATGCTAACTTTGGAGTCTAGAAAAATCTGTAATGCATGACCAGCAAGAGGAGTCTAGTTTGTGCTACGCGGGGAGGGCGTTTGTCATGCGGAGTAGGCATCAGGAAGCCATCTCAAAATCTGTGATGCGCGATCGTGCATTACAGACATCCTGGGTCATGCAAAACATGCATGACAAATCTCAGAATCTTCCAGACCCAGACATTTTTACAATTGATAGCATTTTCGTCAGTTGCTCCTCCTTCGTGGTGTGGACCCGGAGGAGTAAGAGAGTATCAAATGCAAAAGTGTCTGGGTCTGGAAGGATGCAACTTGTGATGCTGAGTTTGGATTCTACAAAAATCTGTATTGCATGAACAGCAAAAGAGGTCCAGTTTTTGCCACGGCGAGAGGGCGTTTCTCATGCGGTAAAGGCATCAGAGAGCCCTCACAAGGGTTTAGGGTTTAGGCACTAGAGCATGCGTCACAGACTTCAGGAGTCATGCAAAGTGTGCATGACAAACCTTGCATCCTTCCAGATCCAGACATTTTTGCATTTGATAGAGAAAATACTCCAGCAAGTCGGAAAGCAGTTGCTCGGTCTGCTTCTCTATCCTGTGCAAAAGTATCGTACTCGTATAAATGCAAATCTTGCATTACAAATCTTGTTCCCAAGGCAAATCTGCATTACAAATTTCATTTCTCGCGCAGAGGAAATTTGTCATGCGATTTATACTAGTACGATGCTTTTGCATTTCATATTCTCCTTCTCTTCATATTGGGTGAGAAAATCGATCTTTACATTTGTGGACTGCTCGTTCAGGGATTTTTCCTCTTCCAGCGATTTCTCGAAGTCCTGGTCCAGCAGCGCCTTCGTCTCTTTCAGCTGTTCCTTGATGTCGGAGAGCCCCGTGCCGAAGTCCACGTCACGGTGAGCTTTCTTCATGTGCCTGGATAAGTAGAAGATTGTTCTGGAGGAAACTCACAAAATCTCATGTTTATCTGTCAAGAACAACACGAACATACTAAGTGGAGTCGTGACCCACCGGAGCGCGAGTCACAGTATTAAGATTAACTTTGCAATGAACACGCACAGGAATCTTTGTCACATGAAATGAAAATCAGGATTAGAGTACAGCAATTTCGCGCTGTCGTCCTCCATCAATCCCTTGGTGCTGCATTCGCTGTGCAGGTGGTCCAGAAACTTCCGCACCTTCTGGTTGAACGCGTGCCGTCTGTTCACCATGACTTTCTTCTCCACCGAATGTTCGTCCAATTGCCTTTTTTCCAGCTCTTTCACCGTCACGTTCAGGTTTTTCTCCGCTTTTTCTACCAGGTCCGCTTTCTCCATTTCATACTGCTGCCGCATTTTCGCGATCTGCCTTTCCGCATTGGATTCCACCTCGAGCAGTTTACTCTGCTTCTCGTCGTAGATCTCTTTGTTCAACGCTTCCAGTCTCGCGATCTCCAGATTCGCTTCCCGGAGCCTTTTTTCCGCGTCAATACGGAGAATTGCCTGCTCCTTGTCGTCATCTTCGTTGAAAAAAAGCTTTGACTTCCGGGCCTTGGATGCAGTTCTTGTTCCACCTCCTGTACCGGTCAGTTGCATAATTTCTCCCCGCTCTACCGCACCACTTAGGAGACTTCTGGGACTGGTGGACAGCGCCACATTATCAAATGCAAAAATGTCTGGGTGTGGAAGAATGCATGTTTGTCGTGCTTGTCTGGCATGACTCTTAAATCTGTCATGCACGTTACCGAATAGCGCCAGTTTTCTGTCATGCAGAAACGCAGGCTGTAATGCAGAATAAGCAACACCTAGACGCTCAGAAACTTGTCATGCTGAGCCAGCACTTGTGGCCTCATCATGAGACGCCACCCAGCATCACAAGTTTCCAGACATCCAGGGATTTTTACTTTTGATACACATGCTCGTCCTGTAAATGCTTCAACTGGTCGTGCATGGACTCAATGGTTGACTGTAGTTCCATATGGAATGTAAAAATCCCTGGATGTCTGGAAGGGTGCAACTTGTGATGCTGCATTTGGGTGCTAAAAAAACCTGTATTGCATGAACAGGAAAAGAGGTCCAGTTGTTGCTACGCAAAGAAGGGATTTCTCATGCGGTAGGAGCATCAGAAAGCTCTCGCAGAATCTGTGATGCTAGGCATGCATCACAGACATCATGCCTCATGGAAAATATGCATGACAAACCTTGTACTCATCCAGACCCAGACATTTTTGCATTTGATATTCCACCACATCGTCCATTTGCTTTTGGTATTTTTGCTCGATCACCAGCCTTTCTCTTTTTTCCCGCTCCATGTCCTCCTGTAGCGTGAAATAATCGTGATCTTTGTCCTTCAGCTATCAAATGCAAAAATGTCTGGGTCTTGAAGTGAAGAGTCATGCTGTTTATGCATGACACAGAAGGTCTGGCATGGAAGCTCCAGCATCACAGGCTTCGAGAAGCTTCCGCAATGCCGAATCCGCATGACAAATCCCCCACTTTGGTGACAGAAAGTGGGCAGCTTTTGCTACCTATGCACGAGAGATTTTTCTGTGTTCTGAAATGCGCATCACAAGTTTGTATTCTTCCAGACCCACACATATTTGCAATGCATATCAGCTTCTGCTCCAACTGCCGCACCCGGGCCTCCAGCCGCTGCTTCTGCAGTCGGATGTCCGTCAACTTCGTCATCAAATCGACCTTGTTCTCGGATTTGCTTTCGCTCGCGTACTTGCTCGCGGCGTCCTTTACCTGCTGCATCAGGTTGTCGCGCTCTTCCTGTTTTCATTTCTTGAGGTGGACGCGCAGGATGACGACAGTGGCAATCCTGCCGGGTCATGATCGGAAAAAGAAAGAACAAATGCATGCAAAAAATTTTTCTTCATCTTCCACGCGAAGTAAAAAATCGATTGCCAATAGTACCTGATGCTGTTTCGTCATTTTGTTGACACTGAGCCGGTTTTTCTTCCGCTCCTGGAGCAGCAGCTCCCGCTGGCGCTCGATCTCCTCTTCCAGCTGCTTTTTTTCCCTTTCGATGTCCTTGTGATTGTTTTCCACGCTGATCCTTTTCTGCTCGACGATCTTCAGCTTGTGCATCGTTCGTCGGTGCGACTCCTCGGACTTTTGCACTTTCTCCTTCTCCTCGCTCAACTGCTTCTTCAGATCCTGGTGCCCTGACTCCAGAGACTGCAGATACTGCTGCAGCACCGGGTTCGAGTGCGGATTGGTCGCTGCAGACGTGGTATTCGTTTTAGTACCATGACTGGGTGGCCCTTCAGCTAACTCATAGACCGTGCTGTCGCGATCATGAATGCGGGAACTAGAGCGGCTTCCGGCGGAAAGAGAGTTCGCTGGTGGCGGCGTTTGATGTAGTCTAGACGCTGCACCATTTGCGTTTTGCGTTGCCCGCTGTCGCTGCGGAGAGACAGACGGCGTTCGAAGCTTGGAGCCGCGGAGCGCGCCGGGTGTTGTACTACTAGGATTCGTTGCAGATGAAGCAGCTGCCGTTGTACCACCAGCACCTTCAGAAGATGGAAGCTGCCTCGTTTTCCGGCTGTTGTCTGGTGGGAAGTCAACGTTGTTGTAGACCCTGGGATCGGTAGGCACATGGTAGTTGATCGCTGGGATTTGCTGTAGTTGCCCTGTTCTCTCGTCGATATCCACCAAATTGATCGACGGATTTGAAGATATCGCAGAAGTCGTCGTCGCTACTGCACCACCAAGGCCGGGTAAAGACACTACGGCTTCTGCTTTGCCTCGGTCAAGAACTGCATGCTGTTGATGTTCTCCCGACGCGGATAGTGGCGGCGTTTCGTCCTCGGAGCTGCCTTGGCTCCTTCCCGGGGGGAGAACCACTTTTTTGCTTGAGGAGGGAGAGGACGATAGTTTCGAAGCTGACTGTTGCTTAGCGTCTGTTTTCGTCGTCCTCGCTTCAACAGCTGTAGCTGTTCCCTGTTCAACATCTCGCTGCCGCCGCAACACCTCCGCGTGGTCGTCCGCAGCTGCTTTCGACGTTTCCGCTTCTTCCAGCAGACTATCGATCGCGCCGAACCTCTTCACCATTTCCCTGGTCATACTGTGCGCCGACGCGTCGTGGTAGCTCGGAACTTGATGTGAAGAAGCCAATGCTGAAGCTGATGTCGTGTCGACAACTTTATGCAACGAAGACGACGACGAGGACGAGCCAGACGGGACAACTTTATTAACACCATTATTGCTATTCGCGTTTTCGTTTCTTCGGTTCGGATCTATTTCATTGTTCCCGCCCTGGAGTTGTTCTGTCCCCGATTCTGGATCGTGGTAGAACTGGTTCGCCGCCGAAGGGATGCTGTTGATCTTCACCCCTGTCGGTGGCTGCACCTCCGTCGAGGCCACAGAGCCGTCGTCCACTTGCAGGTCTAGCATCGGTCGTTGCTCGAGGACTTCTACGCCTTCTACAGTAGTAGATACGGGCGGATACGTGCGCGGCGCTTCCAGTTCGACAGAATTAGAGCTTCGCGAGATCATCACGGCGGAGTTGGAAGTCGCTCCCGCGGCAGCCGTGGTAGTTGATGGGGGGTCATTGCCATTTACAGCTTTATTTTCTTTTCGTCCGGGTCCGAGCGACCCTGCTTGTACTGTCTCGCCAGGTAGCTTTATTAGGTTCTCTGTCGTCTTCCCGCCAATAGTTGCACCACCACCCTTCTCGGAATGCGAGCTCTCGTCTCCGCCATCCAAGCCGTAGAACATCCCGCGAAACTCCTGCTGAAACTTCGGACTGGGAACGCTGACCCGATGCGAATTGTTGTTCAGGAAATTGTTACCACTCGCGGAAATAGACGCCGACTGCTCCCGACTGACCGAGGCAGAGACCACCTCCACACTGCGCGAGAGCGAATGGCTTCGCGAGCTGCGGTTACAACTGCCCGGTCGTGCTGCATCATCTTCATCTCCACGATTTATTCGGCTGAAATCCAGGTTCACGGAGTTGGAGTTGCTGTGGCAGCGTGAAGAAGTGCTGTTGTTGTATCTTTCGGCGACCAAAGACTCCACCGCGGTGGCGAGCGCGGATTTATTGTGCTGCTGCACAGTTGTTCCGAGAGCCGCGAAGGAGGACGACGATGAAGACGACGAACCAGAACTTCTCCCGGCCACTCCAGCACCAGGCGCCACTGCCTGCGTGCCGCCGAAGAGAAGGACATTGTCCGGATTTGTCAATCCAGCTGTCGTCGAGGTGGGGGCGGAAGATTTGTTGATCTTCCCGGGCGTTGTGCTAGTCGAGGCTGCTGCGCCCTGAAGCAGTCGCTCCGAGATGCGGCGTTGCAGAGAGCGCCGCTTTTCCTCGGAATTCATGGCAGGTGGTTGCTCCTGGTGGTCTTCCATGTTCACTGCTGCTCAAGCGCTCTGGTGATGTTGTGCAGCACTCCGCATCTACAACTTCCGGAAGTAAGCGCTCCTACGGAAAGTCGTGCCGACGAAAGCGATACTTCAACACAACTTTTTTCAGAAGAGCATTCTCATCTTCTGTGGCCGGTACGTCCTCAGGAACCATAATTTCTCGCCATCTTAACCGCCACCATTGCCACCTCGGCCAGGAAGACAAGCGGGGCCCTTGAAGAACCTGCACGAGCTACTTGTGCAGCTGCTTGTGCAGCTAGTACGTGACAACAAGATCGATCGCTTGTCGGGTCTCAATTTGATCAGATACAGATAGACGAGCCAGAAAAAAAGAAAACACTTGCAAAAAGTGCTTCTTTACACGACGTTACGAAAGTGTCTTCGCTCCGCATCTCGAACTGAGTCACTCACGGATTTGCTGCGATTTCAGACGACTCATGACCCTCATCACGAGATAGGGCCCCTCAGAGAAAAACGATGCTCCTCGTCGTAGTTCCCGCTGAGCCGATTGATGTAGACTAGAGGACGACGCTGGCAAAAATCAAAAAATCACAGCACACTCTTGTGTCACAGATCCAGCTGCACTTCTGAAGAAAAAGATTTTGCAGACGCGACACTATGGCGGAACATTAACATACTCACCTTACTAACGATGGCTGTTGGACGGGAGGGTACTATTTCCCGTCGTGTCGAAAAACTCCGGAAGTAGTCTTGCTGATCGAAAAAAAAGTTCGCGAAACAGATGACAACGACGACGACGAGTGTCATGATTCCCGACGTCGCATTGAATCCAAATATGACGACGACGTGGAATACACGCGCACGCTCTAATTTCAATTTGGATTCTTGGCCAATATTTCGATTACTGAAAGATCACAATGATCCGTAGTGTAAGTAATCCTCCTCAACAACATCTAGAAACATTTTACATCAGCTCTGCACAGATGAATTGTACTAATAGCCATTAGGTTTTCAGATTGAGCCGGCAAACGCAGCCATATTCTGGAACCGCAACACTGCAGCATCGAACGCTCGGACGTCTTGCCTCCCTACAGTTCCTCCACCTGGACCTGCAGAGGAGGCTGCGCCTGCACCGCCTGTGGACAATACTGTTCCGTTGAAGAAGCCACTCACGGCCGCACTTGATCTTTCCTCGTGCATCAGTTCCTCCCCGAGTGGGTCGGTGTTTGCTGGCAAAACGCCGTGCAGAACCTCTACGGCTTCGCGAATGCTCTGGTGCTCGGTTTGTGGCGGTTTTATTACAGGCGACGGCTTTATTTGCACTGGCTTGGCGAAAAACGAATCCGGATTTCGGTTCGAAGGCAACATGTCTTGGAGCTTGTGGGAAGAAGAGGCAAACGAGTTCTTGTTTCGGTTCACTTTTCCCGTGTTGCGGTCCGTGGGCGGACACCACTCTTCCAGGTGCAGAAACCGGCTCAGGCTGGAGGTAGTGGGAGTAGTTTTTGATCAGACTTATTTCATCTTTTATTTTCACACAACACAAATTCCAGTGTGCACCTCAAACTTTTGACCGATGCTACGAAAACGCAATACAGTTACGGAAAAATCCATCTATCATAAGTACCCAAAATCCGCCTCGTCCCCGTCCGGGTCCACAGTCATGTGCGAAATAATTTTCCCCTTCTGCAATTTCGTCAGAAACGGAGACTTCCGGAAGTCGACCAGCTGTTTGTTGCTGGCGCAGTACCAGACGCCCACGTCTTTGCTGCACTCGATAAAGCAGTTCACGATGAGATTCACCAGTTCCTGATGGGTTTCCATCGTCGTCATCACCGACATTTTGGTGATCTGAATCGGCTGGATCCCGAGGAAATCCGTTTCAAAGGTCGGCTCCGGCGTTTCAAAGGCGTTCCTTCTCATCTTGTACTTCGGATCTGTGGTGTATCCAGACGGAGAAATCACTACCGCAGTACACACCCGTTTTCAGTTGCAACGTGAGCATGGTCGTGACGTTGATTCTTCTACTTGCATCAACGAAGGAGCTGCAAGATTTTTCAGATCTGTGTTTCACAAGTAATTTAAGTACATACAAGTGTGATGAAATAGAGACTACATCGATGAAACTTGTGATGCATTGATTTCGAGCGTGTGCTGTGATAGATTTGCGTTGAATATGTTGTCCAGCGTTTTCCCCCTCCGTCGTGCGTGGTCACCTGGCGGGAAAAGGAAATCATCAGGCCGCCCGCTCGACGTCGTAGTCTTGCTCTGTCGTATATCCACTGCAAGAGTATCGCGCTCGTAGTCATTGCAGTTGTGCATGACAAGTCTCACGGCACTGATCTGGTACCTGATACCGCATGACAAACTGCGTTTTCCAGATTAGTAAAAGTTCTGCTGGTGCACTTTGAACTACAGCCAGTAAGTACGCATACCAATAATAGCCGCGTCCGCGGAGGTAGTGAGGTCATGGCGGTCTTTTTGTCTTCACGCCAAAAAAGGACGCAACTTCTCTGCCCACCATGCCATCGTGGGTAATGTTATGCACGACGGCACGGCGGTCGCTAAAAATCTCAATCCAGAGGCGGCCTCCTTTTGGTTTCGAATCGAAAAGCCTTCCCCGCATGCTATGGCCCCGCCAGGGCCCGCGCCAGGGTCGGCCTCCTGGGAGCCCCAAATCGGGCCCATAGCATGCGGATTGGCTTTTTGCTTTTGGCGGACTTTGTTTTTTTTGTTTTTTTTTGTCAAAATGCCGCATCTTCTGGCCTTCAGTCCGCCTCTGAAATGGCGGATCTTGAAGGCGTCTTGTGCGGGGCCCGGATGTGGGGCAAAATCAGGCCCATACCATGCGGATTCGCTGTTTTTTTCGGAGCGCTGCTTTTTGGGCGCCCATTTTTGGGCGCCCCAAATCGCCAGAAACTAAGGCGGTGGGCGCCTCAGAAGGGCGCCCCTTTTGCCGGCTCCCCTGCGTCGTTTTATCCAGTGCGAATCGATAGTTTTCGACCGGGCTTGTTTGCTATCAAAGCCCCGGGCGCTTGATAAATGGAAATTTTTTATGCCCAAAAACACTTCCGGCCGCTTGGAAACTGCCGGTCGTTTTGGATAAGACATGTCAAAAAGATCGCTAGGTTAGAACGTTCGTGACCTCACTACATACGATAACGATACTTGTACTTTTGCAATGCATAATGCGCTCCGCCCTCTTCTTCTTGAAACACTAAATCCTGCTGCTTTTTTTCCGCCAACGCGTTCTGGTACAATGCGTTCTTCGCCGGATCCGCCACGTTCGCGGGATCCAAGGTCGGTTTCGGCCGCGCCTTGGCCTCGGCGCTCACTTTCGCGACCTCCTCGCGGTAGTTCTGCAGGGCCACCGAGTCGCACAGTGCGTGGAGCAGGCAGCTGAAGGCGATTTGGCGAATTTTGCTGAACCGGGGCAGGGCTCGCTGCAGCGTGGAATGGATTTCCGGGAGCCGGAGCAAGTGGATCCGCCGGAAACACTCCCACACCGACCCCTTCATCAAACACTCGTAGAGTTCCAGGTCGATGCGCTTCCTTGCGGTTATTGTTTGGCTGTCCACAGCGGCGCGACCAGTTGACATTCTGGGCGGCCTGCTGGACGAGGAGGAGGGTCTAATATTATTGTTGGCGAACGCTGAAGACGAGGTCTTTATCGTCGTGAACAAATTTTTTGTGTTGTTCCCCGTCCTGGCCAGCGCACTCCCAGGCCGCTGATGGGAGATCGGGAGATAGTATGACCCGCTCAAACGTCACAATCTCAAACGTTGCAATAGAATATGGAAATCTGTGATGCAAGAGTGCATGATCTATGCAATTCTCATAGGATTGCGCATGACAAGTGCCGGAGCCTCAAACCCCACTACAATCATCTGGCAAAATTTGTATTGCAAAAGGCGAAACGCTGCGCGAGTCTGTCATGCTCATCATGCAACACAAATTCCAGACTCTATTGCAACGTTTCAGATTGTAACGTTTGAGCAAGTTATAGATAGCCGGACAGGTTTTTATCCGCGTTCGTCAAATACCCGGCGGGAAGCGTCTTGTTCGAATGCTGTATCTTTTATGCCACAGAAAAAAGCTGGCAGGTCACATTTGTAATGCAAAAATAAATACACAAGAAAATCTGTATTGCGTATCCTAAACGGCATGCTATGAGGCCGCCCATGACAGATTTTTCTGTGTATTTATTTTTGCATTACAAATATGCCCTGCCAGTTTTTTTCTGTGGGATATCTTTCGCACCAGCGCGGCGCCAGCGGAACTTGTTGCCATGTTTATTTTAGTACCAGGTTGATCATGCTGTGTAAGAACGGAGGAAGTCGAGGACGCGTTTTTCGCACTGGATATCCTGTGCAAAAGTATCGCACTCGTATTGCATTCATGCATTACAAATCTCTATCTTGAGGTAAATCCGCATTACAAATTTTATCTCTCATTCTGAGGAAATTTGTAATGCATTTATACGAGTACGATACTTTTGCAGTTCATATTAGAAATTCGGTAGCCAACTTCCAGCCGCAGCACGGTTTTGACCAGCTCGCTCAGCTATCCTGAGTAAAAACGTCCCCACACCAGAGGCAAGATGGGGAATCTGCTAGACAAATCAACGAGCTTTGCTTGTTTCGCATGACAAGTCTGGCCCCGTAGTGTAATCCTGTGCAGGTAGTTCACCAGCATCACAGATCTAGCACATCGTGCTGATTATAGCATCACAAGTTACAAAACACGACTAGAAAACGCTTCGCATGGGGCTCCGCATGACAAACTTTTTATTTTTGGCATGCAGATTTGCATGACAAGAACTCTGGGGTGGGGATGTTTTTACATATGATATCAGCAAGTAGTGCATCAGCCGCTCGTCAGAGTACGGAAGATATCAAATGCAAAAATGTCTGGGTCTGGAAGGTTGGAACTTGTGATGCTAACTTTGGACTCTAAAAAAATCTGTATTGCGTGACCAGCAATAGGAGCCCAGTTTGTGCTACGCGGGGAGGGCGTTTGTCATGCGGGATAGGCATCAGGAAGGCCTCTAAAATTATGTGATGCCAGATCATGCATTACAGACATCCTGAGTCATGTAAAATATGCATGACAAACCTGGCAATCTTCCAGACCCAGACATTTTTGCATTTGATAGAAGACCACCCGTTGTTGAGCTGCTTGATGGGTCGGTTGAAGGGATGAACTGAAAACCGCTGTTCAGCAGGTTCAGGGGCGTGATAATGTCGGATGAGGAAAGAAGCACTGTGTTTGTTTTTTGGCATGATGCGATAGCGATTATACGGAAACAGATACTGGTCGTCAGCAAAGTTTGCGTGATGAATTAACACCCACTGAACAATTTTAGAATCTTCATCTTCGCTAGAAGAGAGCTGTTGCGGTGCCACGTCGAACTGCATTCGAATTCAAATTTATCAACAGGAACAATAGAAGACGCTTACCTCCATTCCCGGTGCCCATCTTTTCGCCACCCAGTTTAGAGTACACACGCTGCCTTCTCACATCTTCTGCGCGTATCCGAGGGGAACAAATTTAAGGTTTGTTTTCATAGAGATCGCAGGATCAAAGCTTTAGAAATTTTCACCCCTGCTGCCTTGACCTTCTATTTTGGCCCGAAGATGAGCTGCACGAAGATGCTGGTACAACATGTCATGCAAATGCGGACTTACAGTTACAACTAAACGACTGGTACAGTTACGGCAACATGCTGCTTTTCGGCGCAGGGGGCTGACCCTGAGAAACTTTTACCTGAGCGTTTTATACAGACAAGAAAACAAACTTTTAGATGTCATCAGCATAAGAGATCGAAGAATGTGGTCGAGTTCACCGACGATGGCCTCGACGACGCGCGCTTTGTTATGCATTCTTGCAAATATGTCTGGCTCTGGGTGTGGAGAGGTGCAAACCATTCTATGGATGACAGCTAGCACTACCACACAAAACCAAATGTCGACTGCATTGCATGAGAAGCAACCGCCACCAGTCACTTTTTGCTACACGGAGAGGGTTTAATATCATGCAGGCGCGGGAGCAAGAATAAGCGCACGCGAGACCGGTGATGACATGCATCCTAGTCATTGCAGGCACTGGTACAAATCTGCAAGGCAAAAATCTGCATTCACTGTTCATCACACGAGCCAGACCAAATATGTATGCGCGGTTGATAATTGTGCAACTTGGGCAAGAACTCGGAGTGATTGTCCAGCAAGCCGTCGACGCTTGTCTCGGTGTACAGTTGCGCCAGGATAGTTTCGTTTACGATATCTAGCTCTTCTTCCACCGAGGCGGCACCGACGTCGCCGAGAATCAAATCCACGTCTTATCATTTGTAAAAACGTCCCCACCCCAGAGTTGTCATGCTAAACCAAATGCGACACACTTTGCCCCCCCATTGTACCATGGCCGTGTCATGTTGGGAAGCTAAGGGCTGGGCGTCCCTGTCGTTCTCTAAACCTTAAAACGGTAGCCACTTACTCGACAAACTCTAGGTAGAATAAGTTTGGACAAAGTGATCACTACCGAGAGACAACAACAAAATAAAAGCTCCTGGGACGGCTGCGGCGTGAGCATTTGTTGCTATCTGGGTAGGGATAACGTTGTGTGCAAACCTAAACACTAGCGTCAAGGCCCTAAACACACCATGGCCGTGTCATGCAGATTTGCAATGACAGAAACATTTGTAATGCGCATCTTCATGAGAGGTATTTCTAGTGGTGTTTTGGCATTTGTAATGCTGTAACCAGGATGAGCAGATGGATTTGTGATGCGTTTTTCCCTGCTAACCTGCACTACACTGCGTACCGCAACTTGTAATGCGTGACCTCCAAAAGTTCTAGGTTTGTGTTGCAAAATCCCCATGTTGACTCTGGGGTGGGGATGTTTTTACTCAGGATACGTCCCCGTTGGATTCGAAGTACAGCCGTCTTTTCCCTTCGATCAACTCCACGCCCCGCTGGCGCAAATTTTGGAAAATGCTGTAGGGGTCTCGGAGAAGCGCGGCATTCAGCGAGTAGAGCAGATACCCCCGGGCTTTCGCCAAGGCCAGCGTGTCCCGCAAACCAACAATGGTTCGCGGCTGTCGAAGGGTGTTCGTTCTTGCGCTGGCGGTTAGTGGTTTCACCGCGCCGGTCGGTGACTTAGGAGTAGTTGCGCGCGGCATCATGGTATCGCAACACTTCTGTGACACAAAAAATTAGGGATGCACAAAACAACACGACCTCCTTGTTGATATCATTTGATGCTAACAACGGACAAAAATTGGCGAATGCAGATCTAAGTCCAGGTCATGTCAATACATAGTTGTCTCAGCTGAAGATAGAAGCGACCGCGTCCCTAGGCGTGCGTCAAGACACCAATAACTTCAATTGAATTCATACCGTTCTACATTTTCATCTTTGCTCGGACCGCAAAATAGAATTCGAGCGCGTCCTCCATGGAGAAAGTAAAAAACGAAAAACCAGCACGATCACGAGAAAGCCGAAAACCACGCGACGGATGAAAGCAACGATACCAGCCTCCTTTTACTTTTTGCGATGTTTGTCTACTTTCGCCTCGCCATACAACAAGAGACGAAAGTCCTCTTCTCACGATGAAGCAAGTGCTCTCACAACTTCTTTTTTCGCTCGAAATCTTCTCCCCATTCGTATCTTGCTGGAGACATCCACCTCAGACACGTTTGATATCAACATTCGCTCACAGTCCCTCTTTTTTTTTGTGTGAGCAGCAGCCGAACCCGAACATCTTCGAAGTGGCCCACAACATAAACAGGCAAGCCCAGGTCTATGTTGTTGCAATCGCTGATCTGCAGTCGTGTTGAAATTTCTGCACCAGAAACAAACCGAAAAATCAAACATACGTCCTCCTCAGCAAAAAATTCTCCATGCCAACAAATTTGATGTATAATTTACACACAATTATAACTACGAAGTGAAAGTCGTTCGTTGATTTTTTCCAAAGGTACGTTGTAAAGTTGTTCTGTCCCGGTACTAGCGGTAAAGGTCAGGATTTCTTCAATCATTCCTTCGCAGTCAGAAGGTGAAGGGGTGCCAAAAATATGTTTTAATTTCTCCAACAGATAAACAAAAACATGAAATTCATTGCTACGCATCTCAATCAGGACGTAATAGTAATTCTATCTTGGTCGCGCTTCCTTAAATTTGTTCACTCTCTGCTCTCTGTCCACGTTCACGTCGTGCATGAGCTTGCAGATGAGCGCTTCATGTGGTAGGTGTTCTACGTCGAAGTGGTTATAATGTTTAATTTCATGTAACTTTACCTTTCTTTTAAGTTTCTTTTTCGTCCTACTTGTATTTCATTTTGAAATCAAAATGAAGCTACGTAGCTTCATTTCGATTTTTCTTACAAGTCCAGTATACGCCAGTCAGTGATACTCGTCACCACCGCGCCCGCCAACGGCGTTGTTCGCCGGAGCCTCGTTCTTGTGCGACGCCATCGTCGTGCCAGACTTCTCGTCCGGTTGTTCATGGGAAGAAGGCGCTACTGTAATTCCTTCTGTGGACGTGGGGGTGGTATCCGAGTCGTGGTGAAAAATGATTTCGGTGAGAAATTGATGCTGTTCTTCTACTCCGTCCTGCTGGTGCTGGAGCTGCTCGGTGAAGGACGCAGCAGATTGGGTTTCTTGATTTCTGCTTCTTCTCCACTCTTCAACTTTGTCTCCGGCGGCTCGAAGAGTTTCACCCTCGGCAAGAACCCCGTTCCCAGCAGCCTCTTCCCCAAGTGCAGCCGCCAGGGGAACATCAGAGCTGCCCTGTGTGCTTCCGGAGCCACCTCCTCCATTAGGTGTGGGCTCCTCACTTGTTGTGGTCGTGCCAGTGCCGCGCCCCCCGCGACCACCTCCACCGCGCCGTCCTCCGCCACCTCCGGCCGCTCCCGCCGTCGCAAACGCAGCGGCGGCTGCAGCTATTCTGCCACCGGGCGGGTCACTTGCATTTGCTTTCTGCCCACCCCCCGGGGGAACTTGAGCAGAAAGAGCACTCGGACCATGAGTGTGGATCGAGCTCCACTGCGCAGCAGAAACACTACGACCGGGCTCGGTCACAGCCTCCATCATCGATGAGGAAGACGAGGACGTGTGGTCCACGTACCGACTCGTCGTGGTGTCCTCACCGGCTGTTCCGCCAGCGACTCCCCGCCTTGCGATGGAGCGGACGCTGAGTGGCGGAGAAGATGAGACGGAGTGGTCATTTCCGATCAGTTGCGCAGCGTCCTTGTCTTCCTCCGCTGCAGCCTGCGTAGTTTTGGGGTGTGTCACATGGTCGTGGCGCTGCGTGAGGGACCACGAGGGGCCGCCGTAACCTTTTTAGTTCGTTGTTCATATAATTATAAGTATCATGTTCTGAACTTGAACAAGTGAAAATCTTATAACAACACAAGCATCTCGCAAAACATGCTGGTGTATCATTTGAATGATAGTTATCCTTCACGACCACGTTTACTATTACCATCGTTGTTGATCCGGTTCGTGATTGGTTGGTTTGCTTTGCTCTCGGGGTCTCGGTTCATGAATGGTTGGTTTTCTTGGCTCGCGGGGTCTCTTCTCTTGCCCTCTGCTTCCACAGCCTGTGCAGCGCCGTGCAAAAGCAGATTGGCGAGTTTTCCCTTTAGCAACTTCATCTTCTTCATTGCCCAAGCACCACGTCCATTATTTCCTGGAACGCCACTGCCTTCGCTCGCGGCGAAGGACACAGGAGGACCGCCTCCGCCGCTTCCACCCCCACCATCACCAGAACTGCCACTTGCCTGTGGAACTGCTTGCGTTGCTGGTGCAGCTTGTGAAGCCGGTGGCAAAGCAGGCTTTGTGCGCCGGGGTCGGTTGCCTCGCGCGAACGAAGCTGCAGCACTAGCAGCTGCACTCAAGGTGGAGAAAGGCCACCACTTCTTTTTCTGTTTTGGTTCCTGTTGCCGGCTTGGGGGAGATGCAGGAGCAGTCGGAGGAGCTAGTAGCGGTGTTGTAGGTGAAAAACGTGAAGGAATCATATTACTAAACGCCAGGCGCAGGCTTTCCATCCGCTCTTGTTGTTCCATCATCGACGATCCGGCGGGTTTATTTTCTCCCTGCTGCGTGTCGTGTACAACTTCCGGGTTGTCGTCGTTCTGTTCTTGTCCTTGTATGAAGGCGCGTGGGCGGGGCGAGAAGAAAACCACGCTCGCATGGTCACCTTAGTAGTTCTGGGTTTGTTCATCGTCCTCTGGGTGCTCGTCTGCGTCGTGCTGGTCAATCGTGCCAGTTTCGGTTAGTATCACCGAAGATTGATGGTGTGTTGCCTCCTCGTCGTCTGTGGCTGCGAGAACGACCGCTGCGGAGCGACGAGAGCCTGTTGTAGCAGGTTGTGCAGCTGCGTAGTACTTCTTCATCGCGATCTTACCGGGGGATGAACTGCTTTCCTTTTTCCCGACAAGACCATTGTCATTTGTCGAACCGGCCACAAGAATCGCTGTGGCATTGAACAGGACTCCACAGAAGTCGAAGAGAAAGAGCTGGACCAAGCACTGGAACTGGACATGCATGATCAGCGCGATCATGCCCATCGCGGTGGTCTTCGAGTCCGATGTTGCAGCGGGCGGTTTCCGCCGCCCAGTGCTCCTAGAAAACGGCATTGTGTTGAAATTTCTCTTCCTTGATCAATAAAAAGAAACTCGAACAGAAGTCTTCAGTGAAATAGACCGTACATTTTTGTTGAGGATAAGAATGGATATTTGTCACAGGGAGTACGTTGTCGATGAAATTTCATTCTAAAAGGCTGAAAGTCTCGTATCTTCGATAGCGGAGGCATAATGCCCAGCACGCAAACTATCGAGGACCAATACGACGCGGATACCGAAATACGATTGTAACGAATCACCGTCCAGGTCGACTTTCCGGTCAATCGAGAGTCGATAACGTCGTTTTCCCCGATGAAATGCTAGTTACCACAAATACGAAAACGAAAACGAGCCACGATACAAGGTACGACCCCGGATAGAGACACTTCTTTTGAAGTGACAGTTAAAGGGACAGATAAGAATCTGAGCCCACTTTTCTCACGCTTTGTGTACCAAGCAGTACCAGCGGAAGCGAGAACCAAAACGGAAGCATAAATTGTCAATGGGAAACGCCGCAACATCTGGCTCCCATGATGAAACGACATTTAGTCGTAATGAAACCACTCACTTCATCCATTCTGTGTAGTATGAAGATTGTGTAACGGTATACAATTAAAAAGTCACTGTGATACATGATGCGCAAGCACCAGCAACATCTTCAAATTCAAGAGTGACTTTGGACTTGCGAGCTTTATCAATACTTATGTTCAAGAAAGCGAAACAACGAATGTAAATAAAATAGCTGCCAATGGTAAGTATTAGTATTTATGATAAAATCACGATGATGAAACTCAAATCATTCCCACGCTTTTTCATATTTGTCCTTTGCTTTATTTCTATGAATCGCGTCTAGAGGTGGCGGCCACTAGATCGCGACCACCGACAAAGGTGTAATACACCATCACCAAATAAACTGTACAGAAAGACAAAAAAGAAGTTCGAGTCATGTGATTTTCAATGGGAAAGAGTACAACACTTGACTGGCAGGAATCCGCTGCCAGGATGGCACTCCACGCTAGAAAAGTTCTATATCAATGATGTGGCAAAAAGCTTAAAAATAAATCGAAATCTGTGAGTGAATCTTTACGAGTTCACAATGACAAACAAGCTCAGCCCACCTTCGCCTTTTTTGCGGCCGCCGGACACGACCATAAATCATGAAGCATAGGCAAACCGGCGTATGTCACACGATTAAGTGCTACAAGCACAGACTTCTAGAAAAATTGTTTTTGAATTACTACTTTCTTAGGCCCCGGAAAACCATGATGTCACGGTATTTTTTCGTGATGACGATGAAGATGCCCAGGTATTTCTTGCCATTGTCAACAAGTTCATGATCGAAGGAAAAACATACTGGACAATCTATTATCTGGGATTTTTGCAAACAGCAGAGGTGTACGGTCAATCGGGTTTGGTAGGCTCCTTCCCGTCGCACTGTTTTCTTTTTTGTAGCAGTACTACGTGGTGGTGGATCTTACTTAGTTAGAAGATAGTAAACAACTCCTTGCTTCACGCGCAGCAACCTCTCAGTTAATCCAGACCCCCAGTCAACATTCAGTTCGCGCGGGCCAGCGTCGGACCCAGTTCTCGGCGCAAGATAGCGGAGAATAAAAGAGGGAGATTCGAATTGCCGCGACGACCAAGCGCCGCCTCGATGAAGCCCACGGGACTGCTGCTGCCGCCGCTTACCTCTACGGAGTCGGAGTCAGAAAGGTTGTAGAATTCTTCCAGAAACAAAAGGACAGCTGCACGGTGGGCGGATGGGAAACCAGCGCTCGTCCTGCTACTTTCCGGGTCCACAAGAGCGTCCTCTCCAACACGTACCGTCGTCCCTGTACCCTTCGGTAGTTCGCTGACGACATACTTCAAAAGCGCGGTGGTCAGAAACGTGAACACCAGGCGTTGGTCTCGCTGCAAGGAGTGTCCGCTCGCGTGCGGTCGAAAATGCGCCGTGTGCTCTGGGGCGAGAATCTGGCGAAGCAGGCGCACGACGGGAAAGGCTGCTAGGTTGTTGTTCATTTGTTCTTCAGCTACAGGACCCGCTGGGCGTCGGGGGCCGTACAAAGCGAGATCATCAAGATGAAAAGCACTACCTCGGCCGCCACATTTAGAAGCACTGTCTGAAGATGCGTGAGCGCCTGCAGCGGCCCTGCTGCCGTCCCCGTGCTTGTCTTCGAAAACACAACTGGAGGCACGACTCACAGAAAAAAGCGCCCGCATGGCACCATTGCGAAATTTGGTGGCTTTTTCTAAAATGTTACTCGTTGATGTGGAGAACATTGGACGTCCATCACCGTGTCGCTGCTCTTCTTGTGGAGGTTGATTATGTGACAACCGCGCGTCCGCCCAGCTTAGTGCGTGCAAAACCGAGCGAAACACGTATCGCACGGCAAGAATTAGATGGTCAGCAGAAGTACAACTAGTGGCGGCCGAAGCCGACGCCGAAGCTGCGCTCCCGTTTGTGTCACCACCAAGACGGTCACCACGATGGCACCAGTCGGCCACCCCACGTTCGTTCCTGCGGGGCCTCGTTGTTCCACCTTTCTGCAATAGCAACACTTTTTCCATTCTCGCAAGCAGCCGGGGCAGCAGGTGCTCGGCGAGGAAGGTGGAAAACGCGATCGGTCGCATGGATAGAGAATGGTTCTCGAAGTCTTCCGCCTCTTCGTCCGCGTCTGCCTGCGAGAAAGTTCGGTGCAACGTTATCTCGTGCGCCTCCACGCCACCGCCCCGCGCCAGCAGGGGGTCAGGTTGTGCTTGTTCTCTCCCACCCCTCGTCCCTACGATTACACGCACCACCATGTCCTCCGGCCTGGCCGTTCTTGGTCCATCCGCGCGGTCAGGAGCGGCGTTCAAAAACCCTAACCCGCCGACAGGTGGTTCTACTAGATCTTCTTGCTGCGCGCCGGCTTGTCTTTCACGTGCAGCAGGCCGAAAAACGTCTGGAGGTTGTGCTGCACCTGCTGGGGCAGCAGGAGCGATAATCCGCTGGTCGTGCTGTTGTCCTTGCCGTAGCCGCTGCCCCCCGGCGCCTGGGCCGCCGTCAAATGGAACTGCATGGCCAACAGCACGCTGCCGCCCAGTAGGTGCGAAGGTTGTTGCGCCTTTCTTCCCCAGCTTGGATACCAGCTCGTGCAAGAGTGGATAAAGTCTCTCGACCTGCTCCGACTCCGACATCGAGGAGAAATGAATTTCCATATCGTCCGAGAGAAATAGAAATTCGTTGTTTATGGAAATGGAAGGACCTCCCCCCTGTTGATCCCTATGTTCAAAAGGAAATTTCTCATGCTGGACGTCTGGATACATACACAAAGTGGCCTTGTCTTTGCAGACAAGGCAAGTACTGGAGGCATAAGGTCTGGCTAAACAAGTATCTATGTGCACGGCTAGCCCCCCAGCAAGCCAGACGTCTCTGCTGTATTGCGGTTAGAACGCTGCAAATACAGATTGCCTGAGTCGCAGAATAATGACTTTAAGTACCTGGCACCGCTTTTGCCTCCGCAGCAGTTGTGTTTATGCAAGACAGAGGCATGTTGAAGAAGATCAAGATGACAAAGACAAGACTTCAACTTGTACACATAAATCAGCAACACATATCACCCTATCTTGTACCATTCGAGGAAGGGAGGTAGATCCAAAGTTTTTACTACGATAGCGATACCGTCATCAAAACCTCCACGATCGCGGAAGCAGCTCGTATGGACCCAGGCCGCCCGGTGATTCACGTACTGCATCAGCAAATCTGCGGCCGCCCGCATGGCCGCGTCAGCTTGGAGCTGCAGGTGCGCGAGTTTCTTCTTCATCTGTCGCAAGAGTTCGCTTTTGTCTTTGTTCCTTTGATGCGCAGCTTCAGGAGCTTCTTCTACCTGTGAAGATGAGTTTTCTACTCCTCCGAAAGTGGTGACTATCTCCTGCGCCAATGTGTGCTTTTCGTGCTCCAGCTTCACAAAATCGTAGATCCAGCCGGCAGCGACCTTTTTCCGTTTTTCCGGAATAAAGACGCCAGTATCTCGTAACCCATTCGCATTTCTCATCTGCGCTGAGGGGCGGGAAGATGAAGACGACGAGGAGGACCTTGCTAAACCAAAGCCACTGGGGAGATGATGGTCGGGCGACTGCTGATGACGAAGGGCTTCAGCTTCACGAAGTCGTAAAGATGGATCCCGAGTACTAGGAACTACACCGTCGTTCGCCGCTGCAGCTACTTCACGACTCGTTCCTCCAGCAGCCCCAAGAATAGCAGAAGTAGTCCTGCTAGTACTCTCGCCTGTTATACCAGCAGTTTCATCCACAACCTCCTCGACCCGGTAGAGTGTGTGTACTACGCGGTCCAGCGAAGCCGCGGCGTTAGCCAGGTCTTGAAAGGCTTCAACCGCTTTGTTCCTCGGCCCGTCCTGCGTGCCGACAGGGTTCTCTTGTTGATGTAGTTGATGGGTGTTTTGCCGGTCGTGTGGTCCTCCCAGTTGTCCTTGTCCTTCTTCCATACGACTTCTACCCACTGTTCCGCTCTTCTCTATTTCCGAAGAACCTTCTTTGCTCCCACGAACGCACCGCCCACGGGACCAGTGCGATTTAGACTTCAGCGGTAGAATCTCGTTGAAGAATCGCATCGCATCAGCGCCGGGGGGTAGAAAGTCGTGCGCAATTTTGGGAACCAAAATGTTTTCGTCGACGTCTAGCAATTGAAGTTCGTTGGTGGATGGCGTTGAAGTGGATGTCGCACTTGTCGTAGGTCGCACAGCAGGACGAGGACTTATAATGTGTCGCGGCTCGGATGCATCTTTTCCCCGCACAATTTGGTCCTGCAGCGAGAAGCAGGCGGCGCCAGCTCCTCCTCCTAGGTGTTTAGCATTGGCAGCAGCTCCTGCAGCAACATCTTGACTAGACGGGCAATCGTGAGGAATCGGGTGGCGTTCATCTGCTACAGCAGGAAACGGCGTGTCCGACACGTCTTCCAGGGCATAATCATGATCAAGAGCTAGTAGTTTCACCGGAACTGGTTTTGCATCTTTTGGTATGCGAGGTCCAGATGAACAAGCGGTAGATGAAAATCCAGGCGGGGACGAATTTGCGTGATTATTGTACGGCAAAGAGGTGGACCCCCCCGACGAAATAAATGGTGGCGATGTTATATTCTTGCATCCTCGGTAAAGATGTGCAGCTCTCGCGGTACCTGAGTCGTCGTGTTGAGGTACTGTCGTCGGAGCGGCTGTTGCTCCTCGTTCAATTGGAGGAATTTTTGTTTCACCATTAGTACATCCTCCATTCCTCGTCGTGGTCCTATCCTGCGACAGACTGATTGCTGTTGTCGTTAGGTGCTCCCACAGTTGAGTTAGCCCCGCTGAAAACGACCACGAAGCTCCTGCTGACGGTGCTGGTCCTGCGTCTAGTTCTGCTTCATGCGGCGCGTGGTAAAACGCAGAAGTGTGTTCCGGTTCCTCGCCTGCACCTCCAGCTCGAAAAGACGAGCACAAACCTGATGATCCATCGCCCGTCCACCTGGTGGAGCCTACAGGTTCTCTACCGCTTCTTCTTCCCCGCCCACCAGCGAAAAGATTGCTGCTGCAGGACACAAGGCGCAGCTGATTGGTGTGGAAGTTGATAAAGCTGTTGAATAACAATGCAGTCGTTAAAAAAATAGTACACCTTGGAGCGGGCTTCGGTTTCTTGAGCTGCTTGTCCATACAGTTGTGGAGTTGTAGATGTCGGTGTGAAAAAATCCTGCTCCACCGTGTCGCTACTTGTCGTTGTGGCCTTGCGGCTGGTGAAGATAATATTGAAAGTGACATGTTGAGTGCCCTCTTCTAGTACTAGTTCTAGTTGTAGCGCACAATTGAATATGAATAGTGTCGTTGTCGTATGAGTATCGAAATACAAATCATAATCATCAATCAAGAAACGGAATCATCTCTATTTTCGATGCTTTGATGAGTCACCTTCAATCCTGAGGAAAAAAAAAAACAAACGCAGAAATTGCGGGTCGTCGTGAGGTCGTACCACTAGCTACACATGATCCACACTGCTGCGCTTCATAAACCTTAGGAAAAAATAGATACTCAGCAAGTACACGTGATTCTTTTATCGTTGTATCTGATCACCGCCGTATGTCGTCGAGAACGACGAGCTTTTTGTTTCTGGAACCTTGATGTTTCATCCGCTGAAAACACATACAGAAACATTTCCGACTTCACTTTCCTTCCTAGCAATGATTATCCTCCTTCTTGAAGATCAGCCACGAGGAAAAATCCTGTTCCTGACCATTGTAATTTCGTCCTCAAGCAAAGAACCGGCTCCGCCAAACCAGGAGATGAGGAAGAAGTAGAACACGACGATCATTCGCCCGACCCAAGATGGTGGTGACGCGATATTTCAGTAAAAATCTACCACGACGTGCTTGACGAAGTGATTCGTTTTCTTTTTGCTCCTTGTGCTACTTCTCGACTGTGAAAAGAATCTCCACGGGCTGACGCAACGAATTCGATTTCAACATCCTACATAGGTTTTTAAAACCAAAACAGCAGCGGTGTGCCATTTGCATTTGCTATCACATGAGCTAACAATACGATATCTTATTTATCTTTCAATTGCGCCAGCTTCTCCGGAGGGAAAGGAGTCTCAAATCGTGTCAACGATGTTCGATTTCTGTCGATTTTTTTTACTTAAGTATGGGGGTGTCTATTTTGGGGCCACTCGTGCGATCTAGATATCGTGCTCGTGATAGAGAACTTTGGAAACTAAATCTTTCTATGAGGTGGCTTCTAATATGTTCTTTCTCTTGGGGTCAAGAAAAGGGGTAGAGGCGTAGCTGTGGTTGGGGGGAATGGAATAATCTGGATTTATACCTAAGACTAACATGCTGATTTTATGAATGTCGCTATTACAACTGAAGATGCAAAAAGAACGTTCTCTGCCTAAGAGCTCTCTAGCTTAGAACTCCGTGCTGCTATGCGCATGGATAAGACATTATACACTTTTACTTTTTTAATTGGATGCTGGGCAAAACTACTGCAGGAAATGAAAATTATACATAGCTGTATTTCATCAAGATTATATCGTTCATCATGAGTAACAAGTAGTAAGAGGACGACGTGCTGTAATGTTCCTTTGTGTGTGAGTTTACTCTATGATATCTAATTTCGATTTTTATAAACTCATCTGTATCTCTGCGTTCTCTGAGAAGGATGAGATGCAGCACCGTCCTTCCTCGTCAAGATCAAGGCTCTGGTCCATCATTAAAGAGTTGTAATTGTGTGCGCAAAACGTTGACGCATGCCCGCAGCGGATTTATTTTCTTACTGCTTTTGCCCGTCTCCGTCATTCTCGTCATTTCCTTTGCTCTACTTCGTGAACCTCCACCTGCTACTTGTCTACTAGTACGGGGAGTAACTCTACTTCTGGCCCCTGCTTCCGCGATTCTACTCGTGGTTCCTTTCTTTCGCTGCTGCTGCTTGATTTTCTTCCCAGTTGTGGTGAGCTTTTTCATTCGCTGCTGCTGCTTCTGCTTCTTGATTTTCCCAAAACGTTTTCTTTCGCTGCTGCTGCTTCTTGATTTTCTTCCTAGTTGTGGTGAGCTTTTTCTTGCTCCGCGCGGCTCCTGGGAAGACGGAGAATCATGTTTATCTTCGCTCTTCTTGTAGTTTTCATCACTACTGGCTTCCGGCGCCGCGGAAAACTCCGAGTCCGACACGACGTTCTCCAAGTAGTCATTCAGCAGCGCACGCACGCACTTAGCCTGGTCTCTTGCTAGTCGGGAATAGGAAATTCTAGCGGGGAGTGTAGTTTCAGACGCAGCTGCGGAGTCGATTTTCTCGTGCTGTCCTTGCTGCGGTCCGCTTTTCGAGAGATACTGCAGGAGTCGCTTTTTTTGCGTCTCTTTCCGCTCTGTCACCGTTGATTCCTCCACTTTGGAAAAGTCCAACCAACCCGTGACCAGTCTGGTCTTCTTCTTGCCCGCCCGCACTCCTGCTGTTCCGCCCAATGGTGGCGAGGGGACCCGGGAGGTGATAGTCTTATCAGGCACTACTAGTCCTCCTGCAGTAGTAGCACTAGCGTTCTCCTGATTATTCATCTGTGCTTGTGGTCCCTGTGTAGTTCCGGCCGCCGCTCGTTCCACGAATTGCGCCTGATTTAAGTCGAGTCGTAAAACATCCCAGATGGCCGCGCGCTCCATGTGTGTGGGAAGCTTCTCGTAGCCGCCGCCCAGGAGGTGGAAGAGCAACAGCCCGATGGAATGGTACTCCGTTTTGAAAGTATCGGGCAAATTCCCGCACGGGGGCGCGCACGAGGGGGTGCCGTAGTTGTATCGCCAAAGGTTCTCATCTTCCGCCCCCTTGGTTCCAGCAGGGCTTGTTGCTGAGCAAGCAAGTCCGAAGTCAATAATTTTCGCGACGTAACGGCGCGGCGTGGTTGTATTTTTGTCAACAGGGAACACCAAAACGTTCTGTGGCTTGACATCCAAATGCACTATATTCTTCACCTCGTGAAGGTATTGGAAGGCGGCTGCGAGCTGGTAGGCGACATCGAGGCGGTTTCGCTGCCCGTCCCTCGTCCGTGAGTTAAAGTCTGGGTGGGTGAAGCGTTCCACTGACGGAGAGGCGTTTTTTTCCATGTAGAGATATTCCGACAGCGTCTTGGCATTTTCGACAAGCTCCGTCTCGATGTACAGAAAGAACGGGACAAGAGAACTCTGGCTCTGAGTACGGGTCATCTGTGCGGCCACTGGTGCTTGCGCTCCGGCTTGTTCTTCGGGCAGTTTCGGGGACCATCGCGCAGACCGGGAAGATAAATCTTCTCCCAGCTGCGCGACACCGGACGACCCGGTGGAACTGTTTCCTGTCATCTCCGACACCGCAGAAGAACTACCTGAGCCTAAGCTGGTGCCCCGTGGCTTTGCTCCGGCACCGGAACTACCCCCGGCAATACTTAATCTTTTCATTTCAGCTTCTGGAGCTGCACGACCACCTCCCGGAAGGACCCCGCTCTCAACATCGCGTTCAACACGAGTTCTTCCACTCCTCGCGTAGTTGCTCTCCTGGTTCCCACCAGTTTGAAGAAACTCGTGCAGGGCGCGCGCACGCTCACGCACATCGTCCGCTGGGTCTGCCGCCGGTGCAGCGTGCGCCAAGATTTGCCGCAGGTCTCGCTCCGCGGAGTTGTTCTCTCTTGTGAAATGACCTGATGCACCAGCAGCACCCCCGGCGGGGGACAGCACCTCGGACACAGCGCTAAGGCTAATTTCCGGAGGTGGGTCGTCCCCAAAACCCATGGAGAATGGCGTAGTACCTGCGTAAGGGAACGGAAAAGCCGGCGCCGGCGTGGCTGGAAGAAGGCCGTCGTCGAAAGAGAAAGATTTTTGTTGCATCGTAGTTCTCGTATGGAGTCGTAGGGGATCCTCCCCGGCACCATCATCCTCCGGCGCCAGTGCTCCTGCAGCTGCATTGTTCGCAACTCCGAAGTAGTACGGGTTCGGACTGGAGGGTAACGAAGCATCCGCTCGGAAGTCAAACGGGCAAGAGGAGGGCTGGTCTGAGCAGGAGTAGCTTTCTTCGCTGACCACAGACGGCACACGACGATGCTGGCGACCACCTTGATGCGGCCCACGAGCAGGAACCACCAGTGGCGCTGTTGGCGCGGAAGCTAATTGGTGAGTAGAAGCGTGGTGGGCAGCAACTACTGAGGTGCCTAATTGTCCTGCAGCCTGAACCGCACTGGCGGTGAACGGAAACCGAGGTGCAGGAGCTGGAGGGTGGTGCTGGTGTAGTTGTTGTGTCGCGAAAGTAGATGTAGAAGAAGAACCTCCTCGTTGTTGTTTTTGCGCAGGATCAAAATTCTGTTGTTGCTCTACGAGCAGACTCGGCGAACCCAACCGGGGCTGCGGACTCAGCAGTTTCCTTGTATACACGAGGCGCTCGACATCTTTGGGTTTGTTTCCCTGGTGCGCCGGGTCCTCTTTCCGCGGGGTGTGCACCATCTGCAAGTCGCCCGGCAGCGGCGCAACCTGGTCATTCCCTTCTTTCTCCAAGAGAGCCTGCAAATTCTCCGCGGACGATGAGAGGGCGCGAGCTCTCACGACCTGAACAGGTTCCTCTCCATTTTGCTCTCCTTGCAGCGACGTCAGTCGTCCGAGATTCTTGTCCTCAGTTGCCCAAACAGACTTGAACTGGAGGAAGGGGGATATCAATTCTCCAGCTTGATCGTGTAGTTCCATCATTGAGTGTTTTTGTCCTCCCTGCTCTCCGAACACACTGCTTCTGCTTGATGACCCAAGAACATCCTTTTTGGTACTACCCTGCCGCATCTTTTCCAAAGTCTCCCCTTGCAGGCTGCGCAAGGCCGCCAACTCCTCCAGAACCAAAACCGCCGCCTCCCTGTTGCGCACCTCAATCACTTTGACAGCGGAGGATATAATTTTTGGTTTTTTAGCACCCAGATCTTGATCTGAGGGTGTTTCATCTTCCACGTGATCAACGTTCTCATGGCACTCGTACACCGCCCCAAAGCCGCCGGTGCCCAGCGTTTTGTACTGTAATTCTTTTGCGATTTTTCCTGCTACGATCTCCTGCTCCGAGTAGCGCCAGTCCCGGCATTTTCGGTTAAAGAGGACATTGTCAGCGTCGAAATAGATCTGGTTCTCCTGAAAGTACTGTCGCAGCGCATTATTCCCCCGCTGGTCCCAGGGCGTCCCCGCGCGGGTCGAGACCGACTGCAGTGACGTCTGGCGCTTGATGAGACCGGGTTGCTCCGGAAGCGGACCGAGGTCGCGGCTACCACCGGTTGTTGTCTTGGGGGCATTGAGATCATCGACCATGAAACCCGAGAACGCATGGTTGTCGAAGTTCGAACCTTTCTGACCTATCGGAAGTTCATCTCGCAGCGCTTGTTCCTGCCGCTTTGCCGCAACGACAGGCCGCGGCGCAGCAACTGCTGGTGGAGCACGTGTAACAGGACCTTCTGACTTTTCTTTGTCTTGGCGCTGCTTCTTGTGTAGGATTGACGCGCATTGTATCCACAGAAAAAAACCCATCCACATCCATTTTTTGCACGACAAACACAGAGTTTTATGTATGTTTTGCATGACAAATTGGATGTGGATGGGTGTTTTTTCCTGGATACATTGCAGAGTCCTCGCGTACCAGAGAAACACCGCGGTAAGGAAGAAACGCAAGGCGATGAAGGCCATTGTGACGTTTGATTTTGCGCTATTATTCCGGTGTCCACTTTAAAAAATAGATAATGTTAATGTGATGTTTCCTTCGGTCAAAATTTCTTATGCATTTTTACTCGATCATACAATTTATCTTCGTTCGCAATAGCTCACTCAGTGCTACGAGTGGTGTGCAGTTTAATTTTGTTTTTGGTTTGAGGCACTTTCCGGAGGACAAAGTGAAACCTTTACCTTGAATCAATGAATTAGAGTTGAACATAGAAAGTATAGTAAGTGCTCCGTTCGTTGTATACAAATCTCAAATTTATGGTGCCACTTCACTTCTACTTGTTGTACGCTGAGGAGGATTACGTATGACGACGGTATCAAGGAGATCCTTTTTGTCCTTCGGTGAAAAAGAAAAAGTGCTAAATTGTCTCCACGACGATATAGGTTTCGATCGTCGATGATCGTCGACCAGGTTAAGGACTCATTTTCATCGTGTTTTTGCTTGGGCCTGCAGATCCTGCTTGTTGTTGTTGCGCATGTGCATTTCATTGATCCACAGCATTTTTCACATTCAGATTTTAATTTCATCAGCGTATCATCTGTTAGATCAATTGTGGTCAGATCGCTTCTTTTTTTAGATTTTCAACATCGTAGTTGCTTGACAGGCAAGAGCAAGAGGCAGTTCGAGTACAAACAGCTCGGTTGATACGACGCTTCGGTGCTACAACTGTATATATAACTTTTCGTGATGAAGAAGAAGCGTAGTCGTAGAAAAATGCGTAGCACAACAAGGTTCGCAAAATCATGGATCGCACACGGCATGCCGCTTCGCCTTCGCCTCTGACTATGGCTTCGATTTTTCCTCAACATGCTAGCGCTTTTATGCATCACAACATCCACAACTAGTTGAGCAAAAATTTCTTGGAAAATGCTTCACAAATATTTTTCGCAAAAAAAAAATAATGTCATATCGCAGTGCGATTGCGATAATGTCAAATGCTTGCGCATATCAGGCATCTTGTTGTTCGTGTTTTATTACTGTGCATTTTGCTGTTGCTGTTCTTATCTTTACCCCGAAATGATATAGATACACTCCAAAAAATCAATGAATCTATGGCCTTTCAGGCGGTCTTCATGCCAAAAATGTCGTGAATAGATAAACGATAAACGACCCAACAAGTGAGTAAAACACCGGACAGCATTTTCTCTAAACGGGTTCTTTCTTCATCATTTCCAAACGTACAGGCTCCGTCTACACCATCCCCGACCTCAGCCCGGTGACAAAGGCGATAAAAAGTGAATTTTCCGCCAACTGCGTGCCCAGCTCGGCCAGAAACAGCTTCCACACCTGGAGTTGAAACCACTTCTTGGCGTGCACCGACCCGGAGTTCTGGAGGATAGTTCTATCCACTGCAAATATGTCTGGGTCTCGAAGGTCGGAACTTGTGATGCTGCGCTTGGATTCTAAAAAAATCTGTATTGCATGCGCAGCAAAAGGAGTCCAATTTTTGCTACGCGGAAAGGGCATTTGTCATGCGGGGCAGGCATCAAGAAGCCCTCAAAAAGTCTGTGATGCTAGGGCATAGTACATCACAGACGTCATGGCTCATGCAAAACCTGCATGACAAAGCTGCACTCATCCAGACCCAGACATATTTGCAGTTGGTAGGTTTCCCGGATCTGCAACGAGCTGTATCGCAGTTCCTCATCCAGTAACTCCAACGACAACCGGCCCTTCACCCAGGTCATCCAGCCGATGAAGGAAGCCAGGGAAATGGCCGAGTACTTGTACCAGCTCTGGTAAATCTGCTTCTGGTTCCAGAAGTACACCGACGAGAAATGCAGGGTCGTCATGTAGGACCCTGCGCCGATGTAGTGCAGAATGTTCCAAAACCGGAGAAACATGGTACCGTACTTCCGCCCCCCGCCCAGCCGGAAAATGTTCAAACACAATACGGAAGAGAGCCACGTGACCAATCCAAACCGGATGCGAAGAATGCGAAACCGCTCCAGCTCCATCTCGACGAAAGAGCTCGTGCGCGGAAGCTGCTGCTGGTTGTCGCGTGAAGTAGATGAAGTAGTAGGAGCTGCTATTTTATAATTTCCGCTCTTTTCTTCTACGACTCGAGATGACGTTCTACTTGCGGCCGTCGTTTCTACTAGATCGCCGCCGTGAACGCCGTCGTGAAGAAGTTGTTTCAGTACAGTGAAGTAGTTCTGGGAGTGCGCAAGCGCAGTCCCGAATTTCGCTTTCAACTGCGGCAGACGAGAGTCGCGTTTGATCTCCGCCCTTGTAGTTGCGGAGTGGAAAATTTTTCTGAACAAATTGCGGAGACGGGAAGCGGCGTTCGAAGCTGATGAGTTCGCAGTCTTTGCAGCAAATATGCTAGTGCAGCTGGATGAGCAAGAGGAGGAGGCGACTGATGCATCTTCTCTGCTAAAAATTCGGTTTGCCTCGAAAAATCGGACTTTCGAGGGCGAGGGTTGTATTTTCTTGTTCATGATCTCAACGAGGTGGCATTTTTTCGGCTGTACTGCCTTGGCGTCTTTTCCAACTCCGGAGGACAGACGAGTATTGCCATCGGCACCTTCAGAAGTATCACCCGTGTCCTGTCCGGGGGGAGATGTACTCGTACCGCTCTTGCAATGACCCATTGTCTCCAAAAGCGTCGGTAGATGATGGCGCGGCTGGCTATTTTCTCTCTGATCAACAAAGCACATGTTCTTGCGGGTCTCGTCTTGCGGCTCATCAGAATGATCCTTTTTCGGCGGTCTTACCGCGCCGGTGATGGAGCTGCTGCCTTCCCCAATCGGATCGTTGTGGGCAGATACTAGCATCGCCAAATTAGCACAGCTGCTCGTCGTGGACGACGCATTGCTAGAGGACGTGTTACTGCTGCAGCTGCTGTTTTCTCCTCCGGTGCTAGTACTCGCCCCGGCAGCTCCTGCAATTGTCGCCGTTTCATCCGCAGCCATTTCGGTTTTATTTTGCTCCTGTTCGCTTCGACTTTTTTTCAGCATGGACTTCAAGTCGTTGCTTCTGCTAACCGGGCTCAGCGGCGGGCTGCCCCTGGTCGTCGCTGTTTCAGGTCCATCATGTCGTGTGGTCACTGCGTGACCATGGGAAGTAGATGAAGACAATAGGAACTGTCTACGAGCTGTAGCTGAAGAGCAGCAGGCGGTACTTCTAATAGCGTCCCTCTGAGGAGCAGTATGCACCGTAGTGAACGAGGAAGCGATAAATTCCTGCAACGAGATCTTTTTCCCCACTACCGGCAGCAGAATTCCCCACGCACAGCAAGCAAATATATGCAGCGCAAAAGTATCGTACTCGTACTAATCGCCGTCTCGCATGACAGATCCACCAAATAAGGTGAATCACCATTACAAATTGAATCTTTTTTCTTGAAAAAATTTGTCATGTTATTTCTACTTAGTAGAAATACTAGTACTAGTAGTACTAGTACGGTACTTTTGCAATGCATACAACACGTGGTTCAACAACTTCGGCCACCCGGCGCGTAAGTTGTGCGAAATGGTGGCGGGAAATTTCGGATTTTTGTCGGTTAGGTAATACAGCAGAACCGGCAACACGTGGTTGGCAAAAAAGAAGATCTGCACCAGTTTCAACTTGAACAAATCTTTGTCATCCAGCGTCGCGCGCCAGATCTTTCCCGCCGACTGCAGGCTGGCGTCGAGCTGTTGGAGAAACGTGGAAATTTTCAAAATCACCTCGTGCGGACTCGAGGTAAATTGGGACTGCGTGATCAAAAACTCCGCGAAGGAGGAGGGCCGGCGGAGCAAATTGGTTTTGCAGGTGGTGAAAAAATCTTGAATCTTCTCGAGCGACGATCGACGACGGGTGGATGAAACGCGCGGACGCTGCTGGGGGAGGATTTGTTCCTCTTCCTGGTCTTGCGCCGTGAATTTTTTCTCGACATCATCGTCGCAACGCTCGGTTGGATTGTTCATCTCGCTTTGCCGTTCTTCATCGCCTAATGTGTTTTTCGTCTTGAGCAATGAGGACTCTCCTCGACCGCTCCGGCAAACGCTTTGCGTAACGACTGGCGCGTGAGAATGTGGCTTCATCCTGCTTGACAATAAACTTGTGACTACCTTCTACACAGATTCGACTTAGAAAGAAGCGTCTCTACTTGTTCGGTCGTTTTCCTCGTGCCGATCTACACCAAAACGATTGCAGATAAGAAAATCGCGCTGATTTTTCAGCACCGAGTGCAGTGCAATGAACTTCACTATGATGCACTTGTTTCAGTGGCGTGTCTCGTATATTTCAACTGGCTCGTTTGAAGAATTCTCTCCGCGTGGCATGCCGCAGCTGTACCTTCCCTTTCGCACGCCTTTGTTCTTCTCTCTGTAGCTAGCCTCGGAAGCACAATTGCATTTTTGCGTGGCGAACACTAGGTGAATGAGGCGAATGCTATGCAGTACTTCTTCGGAGCACATGATCAACACGAAAACAAAAGCCGCCTTTGTAGTTTCTAACGTTATGTTGACATTTCATCTCACTCTCCGGACACTCACATGATATATAGGAATTTTTGGCAAAGATGTCAACGCTGGGACACAACGCTGTAATAAAGAAGTAGAAGTTTCTCATCCTTCGAATACAGGAAATCCGCAGAAAGCACATGGAGGGGAGCAAGATAATCCTCGAAACGGAAAGCAAAATGATGAAAATTGATCATGTGGCTGAATGGGAATGATGATTCTACATGCTGTGCCACAAAACTACGTAAGTTCAACGGTGATCTACTTTTGCGGTAACTCCGTTGCTTTGTGAGAGAAAGGAATATTAAAGTACAAACCCCAGATTCTGATTCTACATTTCTACGAGGCTTCTACGATCTCCTCCTCTGCCCTCCGGTTCTGGGTGGACTGTTGTGCGGCCGTTGGTTATTTGACGCCCTATTCTGCCGAGTTGTACCAGACGGACTGGGACCCCCGTCCTCATCGTCCACACCGCTAGAAGTTATGATGACAAACGCTTGCCCCCCACTGTTGCCTCCTTCACTTCCACGACCTCCCCCGACGTTTGTTCCGGAGGTCGTGGATGTTGAACCATGCATGAAGGGATCGCCCCCCGTGCCGAAAAAGCCTGGCGGCATACTTCCGAAGAACAGCTGCTCAATCAAGCTCGCGGGGTGCTGCTGGTCTTGCCGGGGTGGACCACCTCCACTGCTCGATGAACCGCGCATCATCATGGGGTGGTGGTGCATCATCCCTCCCCCGCCCAACATCATCCCCGGTAGTGGTCCGCCTGAAAAGCCGTATCCTGTGCAAAAGTGTCGTACTCGTACTAATTGCAAATATGCATGACAAATGTTTTTCCCAAGGCAAAACAGCATTACAAATTCCAGTTTCCTTCTTGCCAAAATTTGTCATGCAATTTATACTACGTACGATACTTTTGCAATGCATAAGCCGTCCTGAATCACGATTCGCGGTTGCCGCGCCCGCCGCCGCATGTTGTCCATTTCCTCGGCACCTTCCCGCGTTTCCTCCGGACTCGAGTGCAATAATTGCATCTCGTGGTAGGTTATGCATTGCAAATATGGCTGGGTCTGGAAGAATGCAAGTTTGTCATGCTTGTCTGGGATGGCTCTTAAATCTGTCATACACGTTACCCAAGAGCCTCATTCTTCTGTCATGCAGAAACGCAGTTGGTCATGCAGAATAGGCAACACCTAGAAGCTCAGAAACTTGTCATGCTGCGCCAGCACTTGTGGCCTCCTCCTGATACGCCACTCAGCATCACAAGTTTCCAGACCCAGACATATTTGCATTTGATATAGGTCAACGTGTTGGGGATTTCCTTCCTGCACTGCGGACAGGTGTTGTGCAGCCGGAGCCAGTATCAAGTGCAAAAATGTCTAGGTCTGGAAGAGTGTAAACTTGTCATGCAGATTTTCCATGACCCATGAGGTCTGGAGTGCGGGACTTAGCACGACAGACTCTGCGAGGTCTCTGCCATGCCTATCCTGCATGAGAACCTCCCTCCCAACTTGGTCTTAAGTGGACAGCTTTTGGCACTCATGCAACGCAGATTTTTGTATGCTTCAGATTTACCATCACAAGTTACCACCTTCCAGAACCAGACATGTTTGCATTTCATAGCCAGCCGCACAAGCAGTCAAAGTGATAGGCGGACCCGCAACACAGCACCGCCATCGTCGGGTCCTTTTCCTGGCAAACCACGCAAACCTCTGTTCTCGCCAGCTGCTTGGCAAACTGCACCTTGTCCAGGTCGGCACTGCTGGAATTGGAATTAATACCAGCACCTGGCGCGCTACGGGAGTTCGACGCGCCGGCATTCGGAGTGCTTCTGTTCACCACGGCAGCCGGTGCGGGCGGCACGTTTGCGGCAGAGTACTTTCCGCTCCGTGGGTGCGTAGTTGTAGACGAGGGGCTGCTGGGCTCGTTATTTGCATTTCTACTTTGCTGCAGGAAGCCACCGGAGGCAGAGCCAGTGCTGCTCGAGGAGGCACGCATGAGCAAGAGGATGTGATGAGAATGTGTTCCCCTGAGGTAAATATCGGATGAATTTATGTTTTTCTCGTCCTGCACACGGAATCAAAAATGATGTCGCGGCCGGCCGTGTGCTACTGACTATGAAGAAAGAGTAGTACTTTGTTGTACTTGTTCTTTTTACTGACAGAAACAACTAGAACAAGTATTTTGCACCACCAGTTTCTCTTGACAATTTTGACTTGGCCTCAAAATGCTCCAGTACTTACTTCATCACTCGTCGTTCAATAAACGGCAGGGAAGTAGTAGTAGTTGATACTCAAAGTGGACTCCATGTGGTTGGGTTTGAAACCTCTGCGAAAAAATTTAGTGTGAGATAGTTTTCTGTCGCTGTCTCAGAGCGAGAATTACTACTACTGGTCTGCCCGGAGGCATCTAAGCAGTTGGCATCGAGAAAAAAAAAAGTGTGCCCCGGCAAATACCTACAAAACAAAAATTTAAAGTTGACCGATTTTCTTATTTTGCGAAAAAAGCGATCTTCATGAGAAAAAGGTACATTGAGAAGACTTTATTCACCGAAAAATCAACCGACACTTCTAAGGACTTACATTTATATTCATGTGCGCAGGCGCCGGCACGCGCGCAACGAACACAAAATAGGAGAAGCTGCTTCGAGGGCGGCAGAGCTCTAGCCCAACGCCGTCCCATAGTTCCGGACGTTTTTATTTTCATACAAAGCAGACACTGGGATAACAGGTCAAGAAGCTCTAGGTCACTCGGTGGAGGTCTTCAAACATAAACTAAAACTGTATAATTTCGTCGCTGGTAGATATCGACGACAAAATCTGTCAAACAGAATTCAACCGACTCGTCATTCTGTCGCCTCGAAACCACGAATTTCTCTGGTGCGTTTTAGATTCTGTAAAATCAAACAAACAGGTTGTTCAAGAAAATCATCTTCTTCTAAATCCAAAGTCGCCGAAGATTAATTCTTTTTCAAATCGAATTCAAACCAAATTCAAAACTTCAATGTTTCAGGTCCTCATGGTGCCACTGGACACCTGTGGCGAGGGTCAATCATTTTGCAAAAAAAGTCAGCAGCTGACATGCCTCACCACAGAACCTGACCCAGGTCTGGTCGTCATCCCAAGGAGTGCGCGCTTTGGTTCCAATAGTCGCAAGCAGACTCCCACTACTCATCGCCCGCTCCTGGTGTTGTACCGCTCGCACACCATCCTCGGCGAGCATGTAACGTCAACGATCTCACCGAGCGCCCTCCGCCGGTTTGTGAAAGGAAAGCGCCAAACAGAGCCTAGCTCACCGGGAACCCCTCCCGCCGGCCGCAGGCAGCAAGGGGCCGGGCCGCGGAGGTGGGAGACACCACATCCAAAGGCCACACTACACGAGGGGGCTACACTATGCTACTCGCCCGGGTGAATATGAAAAATGATCGCCCAGCCTTTAGGAGGGCGCATTGCTTTTGTTGCAGGGCGAGAAAAGAGACGCCTGGCCCTTCGGTTACCACCGTCGCGGCCCGCGCGCGTCGAACTCCCGAGACCACCATGTGCGGAGCAGCAACTACCGCAGAGACAATAAATCTCCCTGAAGCAAGACAATTAGCCACGCAGCGACAGCATTGGGCGTGGGCGACCACACTCACAAGCGAGCCCGGCGGCCTCGCTTGTCGGGCTTCCAGCCATCCATTCCAAGCGATGCCACAGGCCTTCGCGCTTCGATGCGCTTTGCCAAAACACGAAGAAGGACACAGGGCGCGCGGCATTGCTAGCCCTAGCTGGCGAATGAAAGACGAATATTGTGCGCGCGCGCAGCGCGCGCGCCCCCAGAATACCTTTGCCGCTGCTGCTGCGGGGGCTACCTGGCGGCATTCATGCATGCTGGCAGTCGAGTGGCCCAGGCCCTAGAGTCAAGGCGTGGCTTCGCCGTCGAAACCACGAATTTCTCTTGTGCGTTTTAGATTCTGTAAAATCAAACAAACAAGTTGCTCAAGAAAATCATCTTTGAATCAAGTGAAGTGAAGTGAAGTGAAGTTGAAAAGATCTCCTTTCCGAAGCTTGCGCCCTCGTCCAGAGATCCCGGCACTGTTACGCCGTCCCACGGAATCAGATAGTTTTGCATGCAACGTGGAACAGACCTAGGTGGGTTTAAGGACCCAGGTGGCATTCGAGAGACCCAGAGAGAGGACCGGACGCAGGAAGAGCAACCACTGATGCTAGAGGCAGTGGACCTACGGGCGCTCCCCAGTCCCCCTCCAGGGATCCGGACTCCCCTTGGGACACATGGAAAAACCGAAGGCAGCTGAGGTGCACGCGCTCAGCTGTCAGACAAACCGATGATACCCCTTCACTGGCAGGAAGTCCCTCAAGGTATCACAACACTTCCGGGGGGAAGCGGCAAACCGCCTTACCTACATACGTACCGACGAGAACTACATGCTGGCCAGGCAACTTAGAATGGGAAAGCTGGGATAACTTACCAACCCGGAACAAGAAAAGATAACAACTGACCACCGCAAGAGGCACCCTGCTAAAAAATAGTAAAAGCCGCCCGCGGGCAAGGACTAACAGCTTAAAGGTAAGGGGGGACTCAGCAGCAAGCAGACAGAACACGACTTATCCTGTGCAAAAGTATCGCACTCGTAGTAATAGCAATCCTGCATTACAAATTTTTTCCGACGGTAAATCCGCATGATAAAATTTATTTCCCACGCTGAAGAAATTTGTAATGCATTTATACGAGTACGATACTCTTGCAATGCACACGACTAGACTGACTACCACGACGGCACAATGCACCACCGAAACCGAATATCCGAACTGAGCGATGACACAAAGAAGAAGAACCCATGAAACACGACAAACATAAACACCACGTAGGGGGGACATCTAATCAGCAGGAAAAGTGCTAGAGACTGCCCGCACATCAGGGACAAGAGCAGCACATCTTTTCCCGCCGAATTTGTAAGCAGGCGTGCAATATTCTAAACACAATGAACCAGAACTGTACCTGGGAAGCCAAGGTAACCAAACAGCGAGTTTTTCTGGTGCGTTTTAGATTCTGTAAAATCAAACAAACAGGTTGTTCAAGAAAATCATCTCTTTCAAGATTGAACCGCCAGGGTCCCTCGAAAACCCAACGGACAGACACCACGTCCGCCCAAAGCCACGACGCATGGGGCCAACGCAATTCCATTTCCAAGGCGGCCGAGAGGGCCCAGATGCACCCTCTCCCCTCGATTGATCGGGCCTGATTGGTGCCTAACATAAAACATATCATGCCACAGACCACACCAATACCAGAGCGATCACGCAGAGTGCCCAATTTCAAAAGGAAATTGGCGGGCCTAAGCAATTTCAAAAAGAAATTGGCGACCTGAACGGAATTCAAAAAGAAATTGGCGGGGTTGATGGAATTCAAAAAGAAATTGGCGGCCCCGAGACAATTCAAAAAGAAATTGGCGGATCTGGGCAATTTCAAAAAAAAGTTGGGAATAAGTTGGAGACAAGTTCAAAATTAGTTGGGTCAGGGATTCTTAGTATGGGAAACAGAAAAAAGTTGGCTTCCAACTTATTTCCAACTTTTTTTTGAATCTGGCGAAGGGAGATTCCTCAAGACCTGGATCCTCTTGAGTTGGCGTGCTTTACTGCATGCCCCTTCAAGTACGAAATCCCCCATCCGAACCGCTGTCGAGAAGCCTTTCGGCGTGAAGGTCGACCCTATCAATGCCCCGCAAGCTACGCCCCAACACCCTGAAAGGAAGAGGGGCAGGAAGCGATCACGAATGAAAGCCTTTACACAAAAAGCGCGCATCCGAAAAAATAAACCCAAGCCCCGCTCAATTTCACGGAAAAATGAAAAGTGCGTCTTTTTGAATTCCTTTTGAAATCATTTTGCATTGTTTTTAGCATAAGGCGCTTTGGAGTTAATCGAAGCCACGAATTTCTCTGGTGCGTTTTAGACTGTTCTGTAAAATCAAACAAACAGGTTGTTCAAGAAAATCATCTTCTTCACCGAGGCCAGGGCCTTCAGCCAGGCATTGCCATTGGTGGCAGGCAGGAGCCTCCGTTCTCCTGGTTGTGGGCAGAAAAACCGCGATGAGCGAGAAACCCCGCACTCATGCCCCGCCGGCCCGGCTATGTTCCTTCCAAAATCCATGTAGCAAACAGCGCCAAGATGCAAGCATCCCAGAAAATGTCAACACCTCAACCGGTCACCCGCAGCTCCCGGTCAACACCTCAACCGGTATTTGAGGCCAATCACCCGCAGCTCCCGGTATTTGATGAGGCCAACGCGTCCTCGAGATCCAAAACAGGGAGCGGAACAACAGGAGGGCGAAACCATCTACATCCACCAAGCCAGCCCAGCACATGATCGCCTGAAATAGAGGCGCCCGCGCGCTGCACCTTCCGACGCAACCTCCTGACCGACGGCTCCAAAACAGGGGCGACCAGACCCAGCGCTGCCTGGCCTATAACACCCAAGGCCCACTTGCACCCGACCCGGAATTAGGACCCCCTGACGGAGAGGGGAGAGCTACACGTAGCGGCGCTTGCTACGTATGACGCCTGTCATTGACAATTCTGGTGCGAAATGGAGATAGCTACGAAAGCCAAACCAGGGCACTGCCGAGGCTAGCATGCCGACCAGGAAGCCCGTGCCAGAACAAATACGGGCGGAAAAGAACTCCAGAGCCGCTGCCCAAAAATGTGAAAGAAAACCTAACCCAAAGATAGCCCCACCAAAACGCCTTGCAGTTTGTAGCGAAAGTAGTTTGCCAACCGACACAAAGAAAGCACCCGAGCAATTCCTTCCAGAAGATGAGACACCGGCGGCGCGCCGCCCAATCCAAAAGCCGCCCAGGCGCCTGGGTTTGTAATCAGAGTCCGAAATTGCCAAGAGAGAAACTTGCTTGGTGCGTCGCTGAAACTCCGGCACACGGCCTCGTCGTGCCAAAGCTGAAATGCCAAGCCCCCTAGTACCCGGCCACCTCCTAGTCTGACCCCCCGGATACAGAAACCGCGAATTTCTCTGGTGCGTTTTAGACTGTTCTGTAAAATCAAACAAACAAGTTGTTCAAGAAAATCATCTTCTTCACCGAAATAACAAACATGCGCGCTCGTCTGCTTCACCGAAATAATGAAGAGGCTGACACGTCAAAGTAGGTTGCTCAAGGCGAGTAGCCAGGCGCAATTCGCGATGGGCGAAGAGCTCGCCCGAAGTCCCCATCTTTCCATCTGTGCACGTTGCAGAAGTTGCGTCTTCCTGCCAACCGCTCAACTTTTCACAAACAGGAAGGGAGGCCAACCCAAATTCGCCAGCAGCCTCAGAGGCCAACTGATTAGAAAAGGGACCGGCCCGCTGGCGGCAGGCCGGTGCCTTTCATCGACAACCCCAGACTGCGGCCGGGGATTTCAAACGACAGTCGGGAATTTCAAACGGCTAATCGAGATGCCGGCCATTTTCAAACGGTTGATCGAGAATCTGGCCAATTTCAAACGGTTGATCGAGATTCTGGCCAATTTCAAATGGTTGATCGAGATTCGGTCAAGAGTTGGTCCAAACTCGGTCCAAATTTGGTCCACATATACGTATCCGTGTCTGGATCAATTTTGGATCAAATTTGGACCAAGTTTCCTCTCCGGCAAAATGGAGTGGCGAATCAACCAGGACTGCCCGCGAGGGAGCGCATCCAACTCAGAAATAAAGCAGTCCACGCACCAGCGCCAATCAGCCATGTTTTTGGCGTGTCCCAATCTCCTTACGCCGCCCGCAGCTATTGCGAAGCTTCTGAAAGCTTCGCGAGAAGCGACCACGGCGAATTGCTTCTGTGTCTCGCCAAGTGCGGCACACACCAAGGACCGGCCGAGCCCGCGGACGCGGGCATGTGCTGACATGTCATGTGGAATCCTACACGGCCCCAGTGGGGGCCGCGCATTTACGCAACCCCTACCCCTCACATACACTCCAAAAGCCGCCCGGGTGCGCGCCATTTGTGGCGCTTGTGCGTCGAAATGGGTCGATGACGGTAAGAAAGGCGCACACAACGCGCCGTCAGACTCGGCCACATCGAGAGCTATCTAAAAAAGCGAAGTAGAAAACTGCGCGCTGATGCCTTCCTCTGGGCGCGCGAAATTCGACTTGAATCGGCCACGCGCGCTCCGTGATTTATTTCTGCCGGGCGGCGGCAAAGCCTGAAGTTCCAAACTTTTGAAATTGATTTGAATTGCGTTGCATTTACTTTTAACGCCGCCTGCTTCTGAGTTAATAAAATCAAACAAACAAGTTGTTCAAGAAAATCATCTTCTTCAAACAGGAGCGAAATTTCATCGAATCTAGGATTTTTTTTATCGGAACTACAGGTAAAGGGTCGCTGGGAGCTACAATCTCAATTGGCTAAAGATATCGCATCTTGCTGGAAATCTTCTCAAAACTAGCTCACAACCATCAGATCAAAGATACAACACCTCCCATAAACTCGCGATCTCCTGCGGCTGCGCTTTCGAGAGAAAGTAGGTGTACTCACTCTTATCTCATGGTGAACGTTTTGTCGTGTGATCCCCGTCGTCATCAAGGTCAAAACTTCAACAATCCGTTTAGTTGTAGAACTAGGATTTGGCTTAGGCTTTTGTTCTCAACGAGTTCTTCGTCTGTGGTAAACTACTTATTCTCTTTTTCTGTCCCATCATAATTCTTCATCAGAAGAAAGCCGCCACTTTCTTCTTGGTTTGCTCATCCATTTTCGATGATGAATTTGAGCCACACACTAGCTCGTCTTCTGCCGTATGATCTTCCGTTCGGCTGGTGTCGTTTTCCTCCATCGCGGCAGCTTTGTTCACAGTCGTGGTCAGAGTCAGTTTTACTCGTTTCTCGTTCTTCGGGAGGGCGAAATTTGGGTTGCTGTTCCGGACGATTTTTTTCTCACCGTCTAGTTGTACCCCGTCCTGCTCGTTGTCGGAGTTCGCGTCCTGGAAGTCTTCGTTGTGGTCGTCATCTCCACCTTCACCCCTGTTTTCCGAACCGGAAGACTTCATGTACGAGTACACCGCCGCGGCACCTGCACCCACGGCCAAAACCGGGGCGGCAGAAAGCATCGCTGATCCGCCGACCACCGCAGCAGCACCACTGGCGACCGCGGAAGCGCAACCCGGTGCGCACATGCCGGCGGCGACTGGAATTAAAGCGGCCATGGTGATGAAGATGGGGATCGATAGAGAAAGTTTAATATTGAAGTTTTCTTGCAATTACAACGAGGCAAGGTTTATTTTGTTGTTCTCTTACGACAGTCACAGTTAGGGTTCCTACATCTCGTTCTCGTGCTTGACATTGTCATGATTTTGAGAGCAAAAAAGGAAATATCCATGGTCGATTTTGTTGGACTGAAAGCGATGTAAGCGAGTGTTGTTTCAAGAACTTGTGAAGAAAGATGCGTTTGTTCTATCTGGGCTACTCACACTCTCTCTCGCGACAAACGAATTCTGTTTTATACGAGAAAAGCTTTGCGAGTCATAAGATTTCTAAGGAACAGGAGACTCATACGCGAACGAGTCACCGCATGTGGCGGTAGCCTCTATTGGTGGCGTAGATCGCACCACTCGAGTGTTCATTTGAACGTCTCGTTACTATGTCTTTGGCCGGTTATGCCGTGCTACCAGTTTCTTACTTGCAAAACACTTGGCCCTTTTGTTCGAGTCTGGTACATTCAAGTAGAACCTGGCCACCGGTACTAGGATTTGGTGCTCCCGTTTGCTGGCTTTCGTCGCTTTTCAAAAAAGGACTGTTCGCTCCTGAGTCGTGCGGATCTACATCCTGATTTGCCTCATTGACTGCGCTAGCGTTACTGGCAAAGTCTATTCTTATTGCAGCCTGACGAAGTTGCGGTTCCTCTCCAATCTCCCTCCCCGTCTCCGTGCGACTGCTTTGCGGCGCAGTTGTGGGAGCCTGCTCTACTGCATTGGTTATCGCGTAATTATCGGCTCCTCCTGTCGGACTAGTAGCTTTCGCGCTTGCGGTCGGGGAAGATGTTCTCGGCGCCAACTCCACCTTCTCACCGTCCACATCGAGACAAGTAATTTTCCGCAAATTGTGTCCACAACACAGAGAGGTGCAAGCGTTTTTCCCGTTGAGTCCAGTGTTGCAGTTCACGCGCAAGCCCGAACAACGAAACAAGCGGAACGTTGCTGGCTTACTTTCCGTAACTTCATTTCTCGAGGGTAGCAGCTCCAGAATCGTCCCCTGTTCCAGCGAGAGCAGCACTTGCGCCAGCTTCACTCGGCCAATGTCCCCACTGCAGAACAACAGCCACAGAAACCCGTCGTCGCATTTCGCGGCCGGACAGGGCGCCTCTATCTCGCTGCACAACGGAAGTGACGTCGCCCACAGCATGGTGAAATGGGTTTGCGAGATTTTCTTCCAGGGAGGTAAAACGTTTGGCGAGGCGGTCGGTGGTTGTGTCGATGCATTTGTTGGAAGCCAAACGATCTTTGTCCTCTCCAACACGCCCTGGAATCGTTTCTCCGCGGCGGTACAGGGAGCTACGTTCTCTTTGAAGACCTATAGATTGCGATATGGATTTTTCGTGTGCTGTATACACAATACATCAAGAATGAGTGGAGGAGCAGCCACTCCTGGTGAAGGTGATGCTTGGCCCCCAAGAACCACCTCAGAAGCGTATGCGAACAAAATCATACCTCATCCCCCTGATATTCCACTTCCGCCGTGTAGACCCGGTATTTGATCAAATTTCTGACCGCGTACAGAGTAAACCGGAGCGAACCGATGCACCGGAGCCACTCGCTCTCCAGATCCAAGTCTGCCAGAATGCCGATCGTCAAGTGAAGGAAGAACGGCCGGGGGGGTGGTGTTGTAGATGTAGTCCTGCTTGCGGGGGAGCTCTTACTTTTGTCAAACATGGAAAGTTTCCACAAGTCTAAATCTCTTTTCCTGTTTTTCACAAGTGCCAAAGCCGCGGATTCGACCGACAGTGGTTCCTTGGATAGGGCCAGCAGCGTGGAGACCAGGGCATTCCCGCTCCCCGCCGGAATGTGCGCGATCGGGGTGGCGAGGGGACTGTTGTGTATCAGCTTTTCATTTTCTCGACCATACGAGGAGTCATTGGCATCACGGTCATTTTGCAACTGACAATCGTACAAGCCCTGGTAGATTTCGTGCACCAATCCGTCACCGGACAGAACAGCGATCGCGTCGTAGGAAGCATGTTTATCTCGACTTGTGGGGTCGTTTCTTGACGCGACGGCGCCAAATTTCTGACCTACGTATCCGTGGGAAAAATCACTTCTAGTACCAGCATGAGCTTTATTATCAATGTGCACACGTCCCAGCAATAAAGCCACGACAAGCAGCACCGCAATCAGACAGGACATGCCTCAATGTTGAAATAAAGTCAACTTCACAACAATGTGATGCTCGGGATGCTGGTAGGAAGTGCACAATCTCCCACATCGATACCACAAATTCCCTTGCGTGTCCCGCGTACTGGGTCGGCACAAAATCAACATCAAGCTGAAACTTCTGCTCCAGCAAGGGTTTGAGCTTCCGCTCCCACAGCTTCAAACTTTTCCCGGAACCGGATTTTGGATTCAAAAAAAACAAAATCTTTCTCGTCGACGTTTTGCTTCTTGGTGCAGCTGTGTCGACCCCAGTTGATAGAGAAATAGACCCCGAACAAGAAAGTAGCGCCCACGTGTTGATCCTATCCACTACCTCTTTCGGATCCGCGGGTGGCTCGACGGCGAAGAGAAGCTGCTGTTGATCTTTGGTTGTACCCGGGGCACCAGCGGCTTGTTGCTGCTGAAGCCCCCGGTGGACTTGCTGCGGAAAGAAGGGTTTCGGGACCCCCACGTCGCTTTCCTTCGGCACGCAGGGCAGGCAGCAGCAGCTTTCGCTGTCGAGAAAATGGGGCTGGCGGAGCAAAGGATAGTGGTGGAGGAAGACTAAGAAATTCTGTTTATTCGCCGGATCGACAACCGCCGCCGCTCCGTAGACATCCTCCTGGGCAAACACCAGCTTCCCTTTCCCGTCTGCCAAAGTGAGAACCAGCAAGGAAGAGCAAGTGGCTGGGTCTGTATTTTCGTCCTCGGTGTCTTTCTTGTTTTCATCAGCTCCGACGAGACGGATCTCGTGCTGGTCTTCGTTCAATTGCGCTAATTCTCTTGAAGTAGAATTATTGCCCCCAAAAGAACTTCTCAGTCTTCGCCTCTGCTCCTCGCGGGTCGTGGGTACAAACTCGATGCTTCCGATCACTCTTCGATTTGGAGAAGAGGCTGTAGTTGGTGCACCAGATGACCCTTTATCGGTATTCGCAGCCGGAGCAGTGCTGCTCGACGAGGAGGAGGAAGCGACGCCGGTCATGATAAAGCAACAAAGTGAAGCTGGAACAAGAGGGTAAGGCTACATTCCACAACGAGGATTTTTGTGCGCAAGAAGAACAAACATCAACACAACTTCTACTTCTTGACGATAGTTATACGAATTAAGTACTAGAATCACGATCACCAGCGGCGTTGCATGAAAAAAAGTGCAGAATCACGATAAAAATGGACTCAAACTCAGTGCCTCCCTCGTCGGACAAAAAACATCAGAATCATGATGGCCATGACGATCGTAAATTATTATATTGACCGGTCGAACAGTGTATTTCTGATTGTTGCTCCGCGACGGGGTCAAGGTCGTGCGTCGCGACGTTGAGCTCTACAGTGTGTTAATTTCCAGTTTAATTGTTCGTTTCTGAAATGAGATAGAGATGGCGTCGAACTGAGGGGACAACTGTCACAATTGATATTCTTGTCACCAGCGCCGTTGTCTCTCGTCTCGCATGTAGATGAGTCCGTCGAGCTGTTGGCAGTATTGCCTTTTTACACAAAAATGCATTTTGAAAAGGAAAAACCAAAACGCAAAAAAAAAGCGAAACGCGAGAATAATGCATCGCTTGATGAAGGATACCCAGCTACTTGAAACGGTTCGTAGTGCATTCCTCATTTTTTTGGAAACGTCTTGTCATCTATCAGCAATATAGAAATCTGAAGCTGGCAACACTTCAGCGATGTCGCTTCCAGAAATCCTGCATAAAATCGCGGACAATTTGCACGGTTTCTAGCGTTTGTGCGTTGTAGGTCGTCACACGATATCCTGCGCAAAAGTATCGCGCTCGCAGTAATTGCGCTTATGCATTACAAAAACAAATCTCTTTCTCAAGGTAGATCAGCATTACAAATTCAATTTGTAATGGTGAGCTAATTTGTAATGCAATTTATACGTAGTACGATACATTTGCATTGCATACGCGAATTGCGTCGCTGTCGATCCCCAGCGGGTGGGAGCGGATGTCCAGCCAGCCCAGGTCCTCCGAGGTTTCCTGCAAAAATTTTGCAACCAATTCGGGGCTATCCTGTGCAAAAGTGTCGCACTCGTATTGCAATCATGCATTACAAATCTTTTTCTTCAGGCAAATCCCCATTACAGATTTTATTTCTCATGCTGAGGAAATTTGTAATGCATTTATATATACGAGTACGATACTTGTGCAGTTCATAGGGGTTTCGCCCGGTCTGCCCGTCGCCGATGGTAAAGACAATGTTCATGCGGGACCGGAATTTCGGGTCCGTCACGAAGGTGCTGTAAAATTGCTCGCACTCGTTGTCGATGAAATTGTACAAGACGTTGGCCCGCGTTTTCGCGAGCTCGTCGAAAAATTGGAGTCCCCCCTGCTCCAACATCCAGTTCGTCGTCAACTTGCCCAGCCAAATCGCGAAAATGACCGGCACGTTGTAGATTTTGTTGTCTGCGGTCTGAAACTTCCACCAGTTGCACATGGTCGGGGTTCCTGGTAACACAGCATTTTCCTCCAGCAAGGCCTTTCGGATAATGGTGTAGCACACGCCGCTGGTCGAGAAGTTTTTGTGCGCCGCGGCGTAGAGCACGCCGTACTTGGAGACGTCGATTGGCTTCGACCCTAGATTCGCACTCGCGTCGCAGGCGAGAATCTGGTCCTTCGGGACAATTTCGTAGGGGAAATCGTGAAACTCAAACCCCTGGCGCGTGTCCGCCGCGGTGTAGTGTGTGTAAACTGCTTTTCTTGAAGATGTTGGGGTTTTCTTGTTTATTTCTTCATCTTGTGTAGTAGTTTTCAGAAACTTCCAGTCTCTCTCGTAGTCGTTTGATAAGCTGAAGTATGAACTGCAAAAGTATCGTATTCGTATAAATGCATTACAAATTTCCTGAGCATGAGAAATAAAATTTGTAATGCAAATTTACCTTAACAAAAGGATTTGTAATGCATGATTGCAATACGAGTGCGATACTTTTGCACAGGATATGAAGAAGAGATTCTTCTGCAGCGGACAATCCGTCACTTCATTCACCTCCAGGTTTATCCTGAGTAAAAACGTACCCACGCCAGAGTTGTAATGCAGCTTTGCAAAGACAGGAAGACTTGTAATGCGCATCCCCATCAGAGCCATTTCCAATTGTGTTTTGGAATTTGTGATGCTGTGAACAGGATGAGCAGATGAATCTGTGATGCGGCTGCACTTGCTAACCTGCACTACACTGCATAGTGCAACTTGTCATGCGTGACCCACAAAACTCCTAGGTTTGTGTTGCAAAATCCCCATCCTGACTCTGGTGTGGGTACGTTTTTACTCAGGATAAGGTTCGGCAACAGTTCTTGGAACAACTTGGCCTCGTTGCGCGACTTCTCCGACCAGTGCCCGTTCATGATGTAGTTGCAGGCGAGTATCGTATTTAAAAACGTCCCCACCCCAGAGTTGTCATGCAGATTTGCAAGCACAAGAGCATTTGTAATGCGCATCCCCAAGAGAGGCATTCCCCGTCGTGTTTTGGAACTTGTAATGCTGTAAACAGGATGAGGAGACGTATTTGTTCTGCGGCTTCCCTTGCTAAGCTGCACTACAGTACAGCCTGCAACTTGTCATGCGTGACTCACAAAACTCCTAGGTTTGTGTTGCAAAATCCCCATCCTGACTCTGGTGTGGGGGCGTTTTTACTCAGGATAGCGAGCTTTTGCGACTTCCCCCCGTCGTGTTTCACGGCCCGACCCAGCAGATTCATCGGGATCGCCGCGAATTGCAGCGTCGCTCCGCCGTTGAAAAAGTGCACTTCGTGGGTCTCGGTCGGGATGTTCAGCAACTTGCGGAAACTGGCCTCCGCCTCCTCCATCTCGACGTGAAAATTTCGGGTCCGGTAGCCCATTTCCGTGACCGACAGCCCCAAATCCCGCGTGTCGAGGAAGTTCTTCTGCGCCTGCTTCAAAACCGGCAGGGGTAAAACCGCACAGCCCGCGGACAGGTTGATGGCACGCCCGTAGTTCTGGGCCAGATTAGCCGCGCGGCGTTCGGCGGCGACAGCTAGACGATTCATTTTGGGTAGTGGACAGTGCAAGTGCTGTCGAAAGAAGGGAAAGAAAAGGTGTTCGACTTTGATGTTTGCGTTTGATGCCTAAAGGTAGCTTATATCAGAATTGTGACGGTAGAGTTGACTTGGTACTCAACTCACCCTCGCAGAGGAGGAAGGCCTGTGTTTTTTGTTTCTTTGGCCCCGTTGAAGAAAAGAGTAGGATAAAGTAGCTCGTCCCTGTTTCTCTCCCTTGTTACACTGTTGCATGATCTACTGGCCTTCCTCTCGAGATCTCCCTCATCTCTCGTAGAAGGAAAAGCGCGCCGGAGCGCTCATTGTGCAGTTCCAATGCTTGAACTTGGCGGCCATCTTGAATGCTAACGAAGTTTCAGCGTTCTTTGTCGCGTGCCCAGAGATAGAGGTGCATCATTTTACTCGGAGTGCCTTTACCTTTTCGATTAAAAACTAAACTTTTAGAACATCAGCTTCAACACGATAACGCGCACCAAAAAATCGGACCAAGATCAAATGCAGACATACCATTGCGCTCTCCAAACGTCGAAACATGCACAAAAACAAATAAAAACGCCGGGCTTTAATCTCAATCTCAAACGTTCTACCCTGGAGCATTAATTCACCATCACCATTCAGCATTTCCATCAAAACCCTGCTGCCACGAGGTACTTTTTGATTTTGTCGTCCAAATCACTATTCTTCGCCAGATTGCTCAGCTCCAGCTGTTTCCCCCGCTTTTTGAGGATTTTGGGCTTTATCGCTTTCAATTCCTCGGACGAAAAGACACTTTTTTTCAATTCCTGCAACAGAGAATTCGCGTCGCCCCAGATTTTCGAAATCTTCAACCGGTACCCCTGCGTCGCGTAGCTGGCGCCGGTGAAGAGCGGCATCTGCTCGGCATAGACCGGGAGATTCCCGGACGGCGTGCGCCGAACCAGGTAGGGCAGACGGGAAGACGAAGAGCTGGTGCAAGATTGGTGTCGCCCTTCAGAGTCGTGCTGTTGCTGTGAGTCCGAGCGGATGTTGTGGCTCGATGGCGATGAGTTGCTGGTGGCCGACTGTGCCTTTTTGTTCCGATTTTCTTCGTAGTTCGTGAAAGTGTGAGAAGCGCTTGTGGTCGTCGTGCCAGGATTCGCGGTCGAGGAGGTATTAGTTTTGCCGCTAGTTGGTGTTGCAGCTCTATTTCCGATTCCGATGTCATTGTGCAAATGTGCGGGAATTTTCTCTTTCCGGTACTTGATCTGTAAAACGCCACGTGTTTGTTGGAAACAAAATCGCTGCGTGCTGCCTAGTACGGTCGTTTGTTCAACGAGATTTGATATGTTGGCTCTGTGTCCCGGTTCGAACGGCTGGTCGCACAATCTTCGGCCAAATGTAAGGTGAGGGAGACTTGAACTGGATGACTGCGAATGAAAGGAAGTAGAGGCATGCGCGCACGCTTCTAGGAGGTTCTTTGGTCGTGCTGATGAAAAGGTTAGGAAACTACGTTGCTTCATGTTCGTTGCGCTTCTTTCTTATCATGGGATATACTCCTATGACGTTGTGCGGACTTCTTATGTACTTTGGTGCCCTCATCATGATCGGCACAAACTGGACCGAACATTTTGCATTTTCTGGACCACTACAACTCGAGTCCCCCGTCATCCGAAGTCTTCTAGTTACGGCTACTCTACTACACCAACACCATCACGGCGACCTGTTTTTCGTGAGACAGGTTGGCAGCGGGCGGGGAGGTAAAGCTGGTCCCTTGCCGCCATGGCTTCATGGAAGTTCTCAGCCCCCACGCGCTGCTGGGCGATCACCTTGGCGGCATTTCGCTTGAAATTTTCGCCGTCCCCTGGGACGGCGACCATCCAGCGCGACGATAGTGAGAGCGGTAGCGCCCAAGGGAGTGGCCTCATGCCAAAGCTGGCAAGCGGAGACAATGCGGGCGCCGCAGAGAATCTGCATCAGGCAAAGGGCTGCTTCAAGGAGGAGGGGCGCCCCGCTGGCCATTCCAGGGCTTGCTACGCCCAAAGTGTGGGGCCCAATCCGTCAACAGGCTAGGCACACCCACCCCGCGCAGGGTCGGTGGCGCGCAACTACGCAACCAAGGGCGGGGCCGGGAAAGGGCGGCCGGGGGGCGCCGCCATCGCATCCCGACACAAGAATCCGCTCCGAGCAAGCTGGCTCGCGCGGAGGGCCGGCGCCGGCCGGCCGAAGGGAGGCAGTGGCGCGCCCTGCTTCAGGCGCCTGCTGCCGCTCCCGGCGCGTCTAATTCATTGCCGCCCGCCGACCTCCGGGCGCGGTTCCTTGTCCCATGCGGCTACGTTGGTCCTGTCGCTTGCATTTGGCGGGGTGCGTGCTTTCGATGACCCGGCGCCACACGTGCCACCCCCGCCATTTCTTGCGCCCCACCGACCGCCCCCACCCCGGGAGCATAAGCCAGGGCAGACGCTCCTTGGATAGATCCACCCACCCGGCCCGAAAGCGTATCCGTCACTCACGTCGCCGCGTAAGGCGTCACGGAAGTTGGGGCACCGCGTCAATGCTCCCTGCACCCACGAAAGCGCGACCGCCCTTGCATTACCGCAGTCGACGCAAGTTCTCCACACGAAAGGGCCACAAACCCTGTAAAGTTTCCGCGCCCGCTGAGGTTGGGCAGCTCTCTCGGCGCCTGCCACCGACTCGCAACACCATGCCCCGCAAAGGCGCGCCAGGCGCAAAACGCTCGGCCTCCTTCTGTGTCTCCTCGATCACCTGGCAGCATTGCTCCCAGGCGCGCGCGGCATCTGCCCCGGTGGCGAAGATTCGGGGCGCCCCGCGAAGTGCTCTGCTTCAAAAACGCCGGGCAAGCCGGTGGCACGCAGCGCGCTGCCCTGCTTCTGGAACAGTTGCGACGCCCGCTCTGCTTGTTGGCTACAATACCACGCGATCAATCGCCAGGCCAGCGAATGATGTTGCAGCCGAGTTACAAACTACAAACGCAAGGTCTATGAAATGGCACTGGCAGCAGGACGAGAACACTCTCCATGGATGGATGCAGGGCGAAAAACAAAAATTACAGGGCGTCCGTCTCTGTCGAGAGTTTACTTACTTGAAGATATCTGGCGTCGTTGCTACACCTTGTTTCCATGCAGGTCAAGTGTCGGAATCGATCATGAACATGATTCCTATCCAGTCAGCAACTTTGATTCGGTGTACAACCGGCGGCGGGTGAAGGGGTTCTTGGCTTTTCTTTCAATTTCACACTCACGTCCCGCAACATCCAAATCTATGCATCAAGACACCAATACATAGTGATCGATGTTCTCACGTCCCCAACGGCCTTAACGCAGCTGGTATTTCAAATCCAAACACGGTATTTTCCTCGTTTTCCAGCTTTTTCGCGTCTGCCACGGCCGCGAGTATGGAATCAATCGAGGTTTCTAACACCATTCCCGCCATGACGATCTCGTCCAGAATGTAATTTACCCGGTCGAAATGGTAAATCAAATCCAGCTCGCAAACGTTCTCGAAGCACGTGTCCAGCACTTGGACGAAGACCTGAGAATTTGGAAGTTTTAGTTTATTCTCAGATAAAATTGTATGCAATCATCAAACTCTAACTCTAACTCATGTCTCAGGCACATTCTCAAACTTTCTTCGATGAAAGTGATGAGGTGGATCGCTCGTTTCTCAACAAGATTGCCCTGCTACACATACCTGCAACAAGTCCAGCACACCGAGCTCTGACTCCGCGTCGTCGATGAGGAAAATGAAGTACAGTGTCGCGTAGTGTCGGTACACGATCTTGAACGACGGGTCATCGGGATCGTGGGCGAAACAGCAACACAGATCGTCACTCCGTTTTGACACGATGCCGTGCACGGTCTTCAGGATCTGCTTCTGCACGTCAAGGGGCGTGTCGACGTAGAAGCGGGTTAGCCGAGGCTTCCCCTGGTTGTTCACTATTATCACCGATTTTATCATGATAGTGCTGTTGGTATAATTGCTGTTGGTCTTGGTGATACTCTGGCAGCAGCTCGGGTTCTATCTTGTTACGCGAAGCTGTGGTTCTTTCAAACCTTCTGCAATTCGTCGCCCTGACTTACGGTAGGGGGCCAGGAAACGCAGACCACGGGCGGATAATGCTCATTTTTATTGTTCTGACATTAGGTATGTCTATGTGCGCTTCTTCGAAGGCATTATCACAGGAGGAACAGCACGCATCGGCGCGTCTACGTGTTTAAACAATCCTCATAGGTCCAGGTCGACGCAAAAGGAAACGGCAGTAATCCGCATCAGCATCACATATGAGGTTCTTGGTGCCCCGCACCAGGACAATTCAAGTACAGACGTGCGTGACCACGTCTCCAGCGCAGGCGAGTTGTGATATGCGTGTTCTTGTAGCCTACCAATTACATCTTCAGCTTTGTTGTTCGTTGAAGAAGGAAAAACGCAAAAATGGAATTCGATCTCGAAGTTTACGCCAGAGAACACCAGTTGTCCACGGACACGGTAAGGCAGCAGAGCGCTCCTGCGTAAAAAGTGACCGCACAAGCACAACGACTAGCACGAGGGATTTGCTATCACTAGGTGGCATCATCGCAACATGGGGCTCACTACCATCCGCTACTCTTGGATTGCTGCACTCCTGCGTATTGTTGAACTTTACTCAGTAACACGAGCCTCAAAAGTATCCTACAAAGTCGTGTTGTATATTGTAGATCACCATGAAATTATCCTTCCTCACAACTCTTCCCGCAGCGCTTTTCTCCACTTCCCCCTCCTAAACGTCGCGACCACCAACCGGTCAATGTAGGGTTTGGAAATTTCGAATTTTTCCACTTCGAACCAGCTGGATTCCTCGAGGTACTCGCGGAAGTCGGCAAGCCGCTCCTTGTGCCGCAGCATGTTGTCCACGATCACTTTGCTGTTGTCCTTGAGAATATCTTTTTCCACCAAAATTTGCAAATCCGACAGAAACCGCTCAGGCGGGTCGTGGTCGAAGATGACCAAGTCGAAGCCGGAGTTGTCAATGTGCGAGTGGATCGCCGGGGCGATGTTCTCAAACTCCTCCGGGTCGGTCAGGTCGAAGGTCAACGGATTGTAGTGGATCAGATCCTCGGAAGATTTGGAGCGCTTTTTTGACGCCGGTGATTGTGCTTGCAGGCAGGGCTGTAGCTGCTTGGTTGTCGATGACGTGCCTTGCGCGGGAAGCTCGGCGAAAGCTGGAAGCGGACTGTTGTTTCGATGATTGAAGGTTTTGCGTACTTAAACGACAGGGTTGAGTAAGAATTTCAATTCTTTCCCTCTTCATCTTCTGCTCGTCAAAAATCGCTGCGCATTTGCATTTCACTATGTGAAAAAAATGAAGATCATCAAAAATCCTCTTACCCGTTCGTGTATCTCTGTAGCGCCTCGCGCACAAATTTCGTGCCTTCCGCTTGCCAACTCTGGTTGTCTTCCGTGGCGATGACGTTGATTTGCTCGGGCCATATCACCTTCGGCTGTTCGCCGATCGACTGCAAGATTTTCGCTAACAACCGCAGCGTCCCATCCCCCAAGTGTGACCCGAATTCCAATATGTTGAAGTGCCAGCCCGCCTGATAACAGGTTTGTGGAATCATATTCATAGTACCCCGGGGGCCGCCGTGTCGCGACAATTTTTCCGGGTCCTCTCGATGTCCTGCAGCGGTGCTGGCAAAAACATCGCTTTCGGCATTGCCTGTGCCAGCCTCCTTTACCACAGCTAGCATCTCTTGCTGAACCTCCGAAAACCGGTCGAAGCTCGTTCTTTCCAAGACCTTTCCCTTCTGATCCCCCAAAGTCAGCCCGATCCGCATTCTCCTGCACTCCGCCTCCATAGCGTTCACGAAGACACTAATGGCGGTGGCAGGGGTCGTTCGGGAAGTAGAAGAGATGGTTTGTAAGCTGTTTTTGACGGAATGATGAACGATGCCGTGCGCATCGCCAAACTTGTACGCGTCAAATGTTGGGTCGGCGTCGGGGTCGGGAAAGTGCTCATGCACCTCATCGATTCCGCCAAGCGAAACGCGGTTTTTGGACTTGCCTACCTTGGCCGTCGTGGAGGACGCGGAGGGAACAGGCTGGGCAAGAGCGCTGGAAGAAGGGCTTGTGCTTATGTTGGTGAGTAGAACAAACGAGGAGATGCTGCGAAAGCCGAAGGTCAAATGTCGTGGAGATGAAAGAACACTGCGGCCAAGATGACACCGTGGTGTTGGGCGACGTTGCTCCAGTGATGTGCGACACGAAAGAAAGGCGGTCATCGTCCTAGTCGGTACGTACGTGTATGTTGTTGGTCATGGAAAGAAAAAATCGCGTTGCCACCAGAACCGCTCGACAAGAGGAACCGGGCAAGCCGGGACGCGTATCCAGTGGGGCGCGGCCGGTGCCTGTTAGTTGGACTAACAGCGTATTTGTAGGAGCGGAGCACGTGGTTAGCAAATCGAACTTCCGTTCTTGGTGTAGAGTGCGAACCGACAATGAATTGCAAGCGAACGAAGGTCAATGGTTTCTTTACCTGATGGAAAGCCACAGCTTTTGCTGCCTCAATTTTCAAAGGAGTGTTTTCATCTGGAGCAACAATTATCTATAATACTATTCAAAAAATTCTGGCGGACGCGGGGGCGCAAGCTACTAGTAGGAATCCTACTAGTGGAAAGCTGCTAGTAGAAAAACGGCTACTAGTAGAAATCCTGCTAGTGTTTTTAGCGTTACAAAAAAGCGCGAGAGCTACTAGTGACAGGCGCCACTAGTGAGGGCGCCCACTAGTGGAGCCACTAGTGACAAAAATCTCGATTTTGGGGAAAGCGGAAACACTAGTGAGGAAACCCGCCAACACAGCCGGAGCGAGACCAAACCCCGATGGAAACACAATACACCAGCAAAAGCTCGCCCGGGCCGCCTGTCGAGGAGCCTCGGGCAGGGGGCTTGGGGCTGCGGTCTCCCCTTGCCGAACACTCTTCGGCGCCTGGCTGGCGGCTGCCGGTTGGCTAAACCGGGCCGGGGTCGTGCTGTATTCCGGCGCCCCTTGTCGTTCGCCCCCTGTTGCGAGGGGTTTGGCGCCAGTTTGCGCCTTCCTCTGCCGCGTGTGGCTCTGCAGGCCGGGCTTCGTCGCGTGCCCACTTCCAGCCGCGGGGGCTCTCCACCCTCGCCGGGGCTTCCTGCTTTTGCCCCGTGTCCTTGTTTGGGCCGCCGGGCGTGTTTCCGGTTTCTTTACGGCTCGCCCCTTCGCCCTGTTTGGGCGCTCGCCATTTCGTTTGCGGGGCTTTTTGCCTCTTTCCCGGGCGTGGGCTTTGGCCTGCTTCCTTTTTTTTGGGGTTGTCATTTCGTTCATCTTCCTGTGACTCGCCCCCCGGGCCGTCGCAAAGGGTCTTGGCGCGCTCTCCGCCGGACCTGTTTGTGGCGGCTCGGGCAGGGGCTGCGCTGTGCGCCCCCTACCGCCCCTTGCGCCTCGCGGCCTTTTCTCTACCTACACTTCTTTCGCTCCCGCTGACCGAGGGAGGAAGGCCAGGGGCGCCGCCGCTTCTTTTTTTCGCCTCTCGCGCCAGCATGGTTTCAGGCTGTAGCGCTAGGCGTTACCCTGTAGGCTTTTTCTCCCTCGCTCCCCCTTGCACCCCCTCGTCGCCGGGCCGGCGGGCGCGGAGCGACCGCCCGTTCTAGATACTTACTACTACAACAGCCAGCTCATGATGATGACTCGCATTTCGCAACGCACAGCGGAAACAAACGCGAACGCAACGTGTCTAGTACGTCAAAAATCGCGGGTCGCCCGTCAATACCCGACGCGGCGAGTGGATCACACGAACACGAAACAGCAAAGCCTCCGGAGGAGATCAATCCCCTCCGCAAACGTGCGCGGCATTCATCAATTCGGAACCGGCTCCAGCTGCAGCAAAAGTAGCGCAGTCGGTCGGATGGAGAAACTACATCGCTGCAGGCGCTGCTACACAACACACGCGCCGCGGGCGGAGGAGTGCGGCACGCAAGGAAAATTCGGGCTGCCGGCAAAGGCCATGCTCCATTACAAGGAAGCGCCCGCTCCCAAAAACCGGAACGGCGCCGGGCGGGGCCCCATCGCTCGAACGACCGAGCGACCAGCAGGCGCCGCTTTTGCATGTGCAAAGCGCTGCGGGGGGCGTGGCTTTCTGGCAACAGGCGGCGCGGCTATGGCAGAAGAGAAAGAAAGCAGACCCTTCCGTGGCCAGGGGCAGGGCGGCAGGTGTGTGCCTGCCACAAGGGGGGCGGGCAAACCAACCCGCCGGGAAGTTCGGAGGGGCAGCGCGGGTGCGCGCGCAGCGTCTGCGTGCGCTCCCGCCCCGTGGCCCGCCCGGGGTTCCCTGTCTGAGAATGAAACGCCGGCCGGCCGACCGGCCGGGGCAAGATAGAGCGCGCGAGGCGCGGCAAATGGCGGCGGAGCCAGGGCCCTCATTGGCCTTCCCCGTGCTTTTCGAGAATAGTGAAAGTGGCGCAGAGAACCGTCTTCGTGCAAGCGGGCCTCATCGTCTGCGCGACGGGCCCGCCCCCGAACGAAGGGCGGGCGGGCGCCGGCCGCGGCGGCCTGCCGGCGCGCTCGGCCTTGCTTCTGCCCGCAAAAGGGCCCGGCGCGCAGGCAGCCCAACGGGGCGGCGCCGGCGTTGCATGCGCCGGAGGCAGAGGCCCACACCGCCGGCCGGCAGCGCGCAGATGGGCGGGCGGCGAAATCGCAGAAGCGAGGGGCGCAGGCACACCCCACGCAAAGCAATGCCACGGCGGGCGTGATGGATTGAAAGCAAAACAGCCCCCCGGGCGGCGCACTTGCCGGCGGCGCAACAGAGGTGAGACGGCCCACAATTCCCCAAGCGCCTTCGTTCCCTGGTGCAGCAGGCTGCGCGGAGTTCTTCGGGCTGCCGGGGTTGTCCAGTTGCCGCCAGCGCATGGGCCGGCGCCCGAACGCCTTAGGCCGCCCCGCCCCATCGCGCGCCGCAGGTGGCCCACGTAGAGGGCCGGCCGCCCGGCGGCGCGCGGCCGGCAGGGGGCGTGCTGGCTGCGCTCGCGCTATTAGTTGGCCCAAGCACCCACCTGCGCCGAAGCTGCGAAGGCCTCGCACATGATTGCCTGCGCGACGCATCTTCGGGCACGCTGCCTTCCCTGGCTCTGCTTCTTCGGCCACGGCCCCAGCTTCCGGGAGCCACCCACCGGGGGCGTTCCGGTGGTCCACACGTTACGCCGACGACAGAGCGGACAGGGGAGCAGTGTTTGCCTCTTTGCATGCGCGAGACTTACCATACGCGAAAGACCCGCGCTCACTGCCAAAGCTCTAGGCCCTAAGGCACGTAGATCCCAAACAGCGGGGCGCGCTGCAATGCGGCGCGCCTCTTCTCTGTCGAGGAAGTTACCCACTGCACACGAATCAATAGTACGAAAGTAGAATTACTACCTTACAAGGTCACCTCCAGGAGCTACGGTGTGTGAACAGTACCAAAAATCACATTTGCGCGACCTTCTTTATTTGAAGATTTACTCGCCAGCACCAAAAAAGACAGGCTCCTCCGCTAAGATTGGTGAATCGAGTGCAGCATGGTATTGTTATTTTGCACACATGAAAGCTTTTCCGTTTCTTTTTCGTAAGATCTTTCGTCCAGCACAAGCGCGAAGTTTTTCATCCATGTTGGTGCGACGATGTCTTGTATCACTTTTGTTTTGCACCACCAGGACAGCAAAGACTTTGTTACGTAGCTGTATGGATCGGGTTCCGCTTTGAATTCTGAATCTACATAGTGGTGCTTTCGAAGAAACAATCCAAAACCCTCGTTCCGTATCGGGAAACGCGAAGTGCTTCTGCAGCTGTCTTGATTTACATTAGTTCCACTTTTCGCTTGAAACGCTGCAGTAAGTATTGGAGTCAGTTCATAAACGTAGCCATAATGAATTTTCGCTGGTGCCAGCCTGTGATTATGTCTCATCTCCGCCTCGCCTGCAGCACCAGCCGTGCTTCGGGCAGCAGGATGGTGGTTCGCACTTGTCCTCATGTTGTTCTGCCGTTTTGATGGTCCAGTCAGAGCAGGAAATCTGCCGAGGGTCGTCAGAAACCTCAGCCTATACAGGCAGAACTCAGATTCCCGCCCATTGTATTCATATGTTGGGTTTGTTGCTTTCGCGGCGGCATTCAGCATCGTCACAAACATCGCTACGGCGGGTGAAAGCAAATGCTGCTGCAGACTCGCTGTGAAAGTACTGCTCCCCCTCAATTCCGTGTCGAAAAACACTTTGTCCTCCAGTAGCGGCGTCGTGTGGTAGTTGTCCTCGATAACGTCTCGCATCTGCTTGCCGAGCGTCTGGAAGCTGAGCTGAAAGCCGTCCAAACAGAAGAGCAAGGTATTCATCAGAGGGTTGGATTTTGGTGCCAGGGGAAAGTGCCCGTTGTCTTGGTCTAGTTTTAGAAGTTCATCGGCATCGACAACGGCCGTGTTTGGATTTATTGTCCAAAAGGAACAAACCGTTTCTCCTGCAACGCCGCCAGTTGTACTAGCATCCTGGTCCTCCTCCTCACTGACTGTGACGTGCGGACTTGCTCCTCGTGCGGGTTTTCCATTCACGATGAGCTGATGGTCTACAACTTTCCCCTGCTCTAGTGAGCCGGCGACGTCGTCTGCACCAGATTTAATTCTTGCACTTGCACCGTCAAGAATACTGATTCTCTCGGTCTCCAGCACTTGAACATCAGTCAGAGGTAGTCCCCATTTCAGAGACGAAGAAGAAGAAGCCACTTCACGAATTGATGTTGATGCGCCAGGATGAAGATGTCTGTCGGGATCATCCCCGACAGTAGGAGTAGATCCTTTATCCTGGTCCTCATCTGTCATCCTCGTCTTGCTCCTCCTTTCATCAAACTCCACCGTGCAACTTCCTCCAACCGGTGTCAATTCGCAGTTTATCACCCTTTCCTCGGCCAACTTTTGTAGCAGCTCGCTGCAAAAATTCTGGCAATTCGAGCTGTCCATGGGTTCCGAGTAGCTAGGAACAGAAGTGACAAACTGCTGCCAGAACGTTGTGAAGGCGAGATGTTGTTTGCCGTTTTCCAGCTTCGTTTCTGGAGCACATGAAGTAGAAGGTGAAGAAATATCAGAACTGGCAGCGCAAGGTAGCTGGAAGTGGATTGTATTTGTGCCGCTGTTACTCCTGTTCTTACTCTCTCCGTGTTTCATGTAGTGCAGCTGATCTTCCTTGTTTGGCCCGTTGACTATCTCGAAAGTTTGCCCCCCGCCGTCGCCCGGAGTGGATGGTTCCGCGCGGGTGACAACATCCTGAGATGATGATGAAGAATTTCCTACGGTACTATCAGTTGTCCCTGTAGGTGTACAACGGGTGAACAGTTTTTGCTCTACCAGGATCTTCTTCTCGGCCGACGTGGAAATCCAAATCTTGTTGTGGAAAAATACCGAATCCAAAAACCCATACTTCTTCCACAAAAAAAGTTCCTCCCCCCTCCCCAAATGTCGACACCAGACCCCCGTATCCGCGTTTTTGTCCACCAGGACCTCCTTCCCATTGCTCATCTGAACCGCGATCACGGTGTGCCGCAGGTTGAACAGCAAGCCAAACAAGCCCAGGTGTGCGGACCGTTCCCGAAGCTCGAAGGAAGTGACGAAATTCTGGTCTAGTTTTTGCAAAACGGTCTTTTCGTCTGTTCCAAGGTCCCATAACCGGATCGCACGGACATGGTGGAGGGTTGGTCTGGTCCTGGTTTCTGTTGTTTGGGAGGGTCTTTTGGTTCTTGCAAGTGAACTTATCCAAGTCGTCGGGAATGATGACATAACAGCGGCCTTTTTCGCGAGAAAAAAATCGACAGCGCGCTCTTCCCAGGTGGCGAGACGGTACCGGCGCCAGGTCGCAGTGTTGCGGCTTGGTGACTTTGACGACGTACCACTAGATGAAGAAGATGATGGTGATGAGCCTGTAGCTCCTGGCGCAGGTAGGTCTTTGGATACACCAGCAACAGCACCATCCTGTTCCAACACCCAGAAAGTTTGATCGTCGGCAGAGATAAAAGACTGGTTGTAAGGAAATTTTCTTTCGTCTTCGGTGCTGCTTGCGGTTCCTGCACTGCCTCGCATTGCCGCCGTCCCGACGGCTTCACCAATCGGAAAATACTCGAAGAATATCGTCATGTTTGTAGTATCCTAGTTTCGCTATGTTTGGAAAATTTCAAGGACTAAATCGAATCATACATGTAAGTGTACTGTCTACAGGGGGGCAAGTCGAAAGTCGTGCTGCATAGAACAGTAACAGATACGCTGCAAAAATGACAATACGGTTATTCTTCGTTATTGTTGGCACAAGCGAAGACTCATATACTGACTTTACGCTTATTTAACCGTACTATCATTATCTCTGCGCTCGGCTGTACTCGGTCCCGGTTCTCGAAAATAAAAACGTGGCCCCAACGTGATTTCTCCTTGTACGTTCACCAGTAGACCAGGACATAACTGGATAATAGACAGCTAATATTTACTGAGTCTGACTGCCACATCACACAAATAAATCTTCAAACGAAAAAACACAGGGGCACGCACGACAGCCATCGAAAAAACCACCCACGGACCTAAGTATCTTGAAACAGAAAGAAAGGACTCTCAAGAGCGCCGGATTCGAACAATAAAGTTGCGCAATCAAATGTATGAATGTTCCTCGGTGGCATAACGTCGGCGGTTTATCTTCACTTTCGTTGCGATGAGTTAGTTTTGTCACACACTGAAGATATCGAAACGTGGTCATGGGCATGATCATGCGTGTGTCTGCTCCATCAGCGCAAACAGCGAGTGCTGTTCATGATGAGTGAAATGGCTGTTCTTCATTTGTAAGTTTGTCCTAATTGATTGTATTTTACACAAAGCTACCTCCTGCTGCGAAACCAAGCAGTGCCCGCGCCCGGTGGAAGGAACCCAGCTCTACCACGTTCCTCGTCGACTTCATTTGTACGCGTGATTGAGGTAATTGACACGCATCAAGCTGTTATTTTGATTTGTTCCACTACCAGCTCCTGCAGCACCAAGGCCCGTTCCGGTACTACTAGCACCACCCCGAAGAACCGCACGCTGCTGATGCTGCAGTTGTTCAGCTGCAGAAGAAGACGACATCGCACTTCCTAAGGCCCCACTGCCATCGCCAATCGAAGAGGACGGCGCAACCAACAGTGAGGAAGTCGGACCCCCGCCTGGGTTTGCCACGACGCGTCGCGGTTTCGGGAGTTGAGGCAGTTGCACCACTGGGTTAATCGTATTCATCTGGTGCAACGCCGTGCTGGTGTTAGACGATGAGGTCGCGCCGCTTGGTATCAAAACCGGGTGCTGCGCAGAACCAGCCTGCAAGCCGAAGCTGTTACTTAAGTGAGTAGCAGTCGTGCTGGAAGCCGCAGACGATGAGCTGACGGCTGGATAGAAACAAAGCTTTGGATTATTCCCAGACAGTGGTCCTGGTCCTCCACTACTCAGTGCGGAAGCTGCAGGATTGTAACTGTAATTCTTTGGCGAGTAGTTCAAACTGCTATATACGTTGTTGCCCCCGACGTAAACAATGTCGTTGCTAGTACTTGACGTTGCAACGCCTTGAGGCAGTAGATGCCTGCTTTGCGATTGCGAGGCCAACCCCCCGGCGCCGACTTGCGGCACGACGATCGAACTCAGCGCTCTACTGTTGCTAGACCCTGACCCAGCCGGCACCAGGCGGGCATTATTGCTATAAGCTGTCCCGCCGGTAGTTGTAGTCGAAGCTGTCGTCGATGAAGTTGTACTGCTGTTGCTGTTTTTCGTCGTAGTAGAAAATGGTATTTGCTCTTGGATTTGCTGCGATAGGGAAATATACGCAGGAGCGGCGGTCGTGGCAGCTCCATTACTAGGGTTAATGCCGAGTGGTCCCCCTCGATTTCTTCCAGCATAATTGTGCTTGTTCAAGAGTTGACTATGAGTCTCATCATCGACAATGGGACTGCAACCCAACACCTGCAAATCGTCATCCACGAGGAAGTGTTCGCTGTAGGTGGAGTTAATGTCCTGATTGTCTCTGTCGTTATCTCGATGCACTAGTTCTTTATTTCCGCCATGTCGCTGCTCCTTGTCGTTCTTGCCACGATTTTTACAACCACCGCCCTCGGGAAACATCAAGAAGTCACCAACAGCAGGAGCTGCCCCACACCCGTCTTCGACCACCACTTTCAAGTCCGCGTCGCTCGGGCTAAAGACGACCTTCCCGTCTTCCTCGTCATCGTTGTTCGCCGCTTCGCTCACACTACTTTGCATTTCGTCCTGCAACTCTAGTACCGGTGGGGCGTGCTGGAAACGGTCTTGATCTACGCCATTAGTATAACCTGCTGGTTCTTGCTGCTGCTCTTTCTCGACAAAAACCTCACGACCCCGAGGTTGAAGATGATTGCGTTGGTCCACCTGTGTCTGTCCCCGTGCACCAGCCGCCTTTCCTTCTAAAGTTGCCCGCTTCTGTACTACCTCCTCCCGCAGAAGTCTCCTTTCCTGCAATTCCTTGGCCCGCTCCTTCTCATCGACAGCCAGCTGGTGCTTTCGCTTGTTCACCGCGTCGACGTGTTTCGCCATGGCTAGAGGGGACAAGTCATTCAGTGGCGGTAGCGGCGTCGTCGGGTTTTTCTTCAACAGATTGCGGGCGTTTTCGAGCAGATATCTCGCAAACAATTCCGCCGTGAACAGGTTGCCGATATCCTTCTCTATCGCAAGAAAAAACTATTTCACTGTGAACTTGTGATGCATAGAACGGAACACAGGACTATTTGTCTTGCTACACCTGCAAGACCTTGACTCTTTAGTGGTGTTTTTCCATTGGAAGCGCGCATGGCAAATTTTCTGTGTCATGTGTAGCAAACTTGTAATGCAGATCTTGCAAAATGATCACAGTGAAACAGTTTTTTCGTGGGATATTCTCCTTGATCAAGTTACTGTTGTAGGTCGGACACTTTTCCACAATCGGCTTCGTGACCAGTTCGTAGATCGAGGTTGTCGGGATCATGTTGGATATGTTCTTGCTCAGCACAGTTGATGGTGACATTGCTTCGGCTTCCTCGGATGTTGCCGCAATTTCTGGGTCGACGTCGACCCCACTAGAGGTGTTCGGATTCACCTTGTAATCTGTCGGTGTGGGCCTGGAATGCCGATCCGAGTGCAGCATGGAGATCAGCAGGCGTTTCAAATCTTTGGAGTAAATCCACTTCAACCACGTGGACTTCAATATGGCGCTCTCAACTGTTACACTCTCAACTGTTGCATGAATTTGTCATGCAAATTTACCACCAAGATCGCCACGATTAAGCTGCTTCGCATGACAAATATACGAAGGGCTGAGCAGCATCTAAATCCGTGCCGAATCTGTAATGCAGAAGGCGCAATCTTCCCCCTTTCACTTTCGCCGCTCTTGCATTACAAATTTCATGTAACAGTTGAGAATGTAACAGTTGAGAACGCCGTATTCAAACTCTGTGGTTTCTGCTGCTGTGCGTTCGCTTTCAGCTTGTTCGCGATCCGGCTGCTGGTGGCCGTCGAAGAGGTGCTCGCACTAGCACCCAAATACGCCGCTCCCATCAGTGGCGACGATCCCGCGCCGGTCATCAGGAGACTGTTCGGAGAAGAGAACAGCACCGGCGAGCTGCAGTTGCTGTGCGCCGAAAGTCCGCCGGGCGATTTATTATTTTTGCCACCAGGGGTATTGTTCATCATCATCGCCGCGTTATAATTTTGGCTAGTACCGCTGGTTGTGTTGACGTTTAGCTGCAGAACCGGATGCAGTTCCAACAGGGATAGGTCGTTTTTATGCACTGCAAGAGTATCGTACTCGTGTAAATGCATTACAAATTTTCTCAGCATGAAAAATAAAATTTGTGATGCGGATTTACCTTGACAAAAAGATTTGTAATGCATAACTGCAATACGAGTACGATACTTTTGCACAGGATAGTTTTGGAAAGCCAGCAACTCCATAGAGTTGTACGGTTTGTCCAAGTAGCACATCTATCAAATGCAAATATGTCTGGGTCTGGAAGAATGCGAAATCTGTCATGCAGTTTTTGCCTGACCCAGATCGTCTGGCATGCAAGCTCTAGCATCACAGATTTTGAGCACTTATCCCAATGCCTAGGCCGCATGACAAACTCCCTCTCTCGGAAACAAGAAATGGGGCCTTTTGCTAGCCATGCATGACAGATTTTGTCATGATGTAGACTTCGCATCACAAATTCGAATCCTTCCAGACCCAGACATTTTTACATTTGATAACATCTCGTACAAGACGACTCCCAGCGACCAGATGTCCGTGCTGGCATCGTGGAGCTTCCCCCGCAACAGCTCCGGGCTCATGGTCCACAGGGTGCCGCAGTTCACTTTCGCCTTTTGGGGGACCTGCAACCTCGGGTTGGATTTACTGCTACCGCTCGCAGTATGTTCCGGACTGTTTGGAAGATGAGAAGTACTGTCGTTGTCATCATGCGCGCTGCTCAAGTTGCTCCCGCCGGTTGCGCTCCGTAGCAGCATGTTTCGCATTTTCACCGACCGCGCGTTCGGGCTGGCGCTACCGCAACGGTTTCTGCTTTTTGACGTGCCGCTGGAAGTCGAGGGGCGGGAGGACGTTCCGGCAGCGTAGTGTCGACTGCCATGATGTCCACCCGCAGCTCCTCCTGGGTTCGCCGGCGAAGCGGCACCCAACGGGGGGCTCGTAGCGTTGAGATTCATGTTCAGCATGGGGCTGTTGGCGGCGGTGAAACAGGTTTCCGTAAGCCCGGGCTTTGCGTTGTCGATTTTCACGGCGACTCCGAAATCGCATAGCTTGTAGTTAGAATTGAGATTCGGGGAAGATGAAGAGGAGAAGCCAGCTGATGTGTACCAACTGTTGTCGTGCAAGGCCGAACTTTGCCACAATATGTTCTCCGCCTTCACATCTCGGTGGATGATTCCCTGGTTGTTCAAAAACACCAAAGCCTCCAGCATCTGCAGAAACACCTTCCGAATCTCGTTTTCGCTGAACCTGCACCGCCCAGCCTCCAGGGGTTGCAACTGAGACGGGGCTGCTCCGGGAGGTCCGGTGTTAATATGCGAAGAGGAATTAGTCGAATTGTAGTTTTTTGCCGCTTTCATGCTGCTGTGGTGCTGCGCGTGCGGACCCAAATGTTGCCCTGCGGCGGATGCTACTGCACCACCCGATGAAGAACCCGTATGATGGCTAGTATTGTTCATCGCCCCAGATGAAACTGTACTAGATGCACTAGAGCTGTTCTTCGCGTTCCTTTCCCGCTCGTACACTACTCGTGCCTCCCGAATTCCCCGAATCAAATCGTCCAGCCCGAAGTCGCAGCGCTCCATGACGAGAAACAACTCCCGGTCGTAGCCGTCCCAGCCAGGGAAAAAGTCCAGGACCTGCACCAGATACGGATGCGGACGAACGGATTCCCATGCCGAAGGGGCGGAAGCAGGACGAGTGCGAGTGGGGGAAGTTGAGGGGGAAAACGCAAGTTGGTCTTCTTCTTGCTGGTTTTCAAAGGCGCGGTTTATTTCGCCATGACCCTGGACCGCCGAATTTTTGTTTTTTGCATCTTCATCATTATCCAACGACTCCGAGATGGAATCCACGTTCCTTTTGTTGATCTGCTCCCGGTCCTGGTCATCTTGCTGTCGTTGTGGACTTTTGCTTGCATTATTTGCAGCCCCCGGGGCCCGGGCCCACATCGCGAGGTTGCAGGCTTCCGCCACGAGCAGTTCAGTCCACGCATGCTTCCTCGTCTTCGGCCCCGTGGAAATCATGACGCGTTTGAGCGCAACCTGCTTGGTCAGGGAGCGAGCAGCAGCGGACGAGGAGGCTGCTCCTGCGGAAGTTGTTGCTCCAGTTGCACCACCTCTTTTCAAAAAGTCCTTGTCATGAATCCTGACCGCCGCGAACACATCGCCCTCACTATTACAGTGAAAAATGCCTCCACCCCCAAAGTTGCAAAAATTTGCGATGCGAAGTTTCCAAATGAAAACTTTTTGTCATGCATGAAAGGAGTATGAATCTTTCTGATGCAGAGTCTAGGCGTGTATCGCATCGCTTGCATGACAAGCGACGCTCTTGCTGGGGTCTTTTGCAATACAAATTTTTGCTATTCACGATTGGAAACCTGTGACGCTGATAGATGCAAGAGGGCGAATGTTTCATTTGGAAAGGTTTGCAATACAAATGCTCCCAAGTTCGGGGGTGGGGGCATTTTTCATGGTAATAGTCACTGCCCTGCGCGAGCTCGATCCCGAGCCGGTAGAACCCGTTTTTGAGCGCATTCTATCAAAGTGAAAAAAGCCCCCACCCCATATCAAAGAGACAATTTGTGTTGCTGGATTTGTGTACACAAATGAACTTTGTATTGCAGCAAGAGCTTGTCGGCATATTCTAAGCCCGTTTGGGTACGCATCCGGCTAGCAGCTGAGCATGAGAAACAAGTCTGACATAGGCGAAAACGCATGACAGACTCGCTGCACTATGCGCCACATGGGTGCCGTTTGTCTTGTACGCAAGACAAAGCTGATTTGTGGTCACAAATCAACATCACAAATTTTCTTCTCGATATGGGGTGGAGGGATTTTTCCTTACAATAAATTCGGGGGAGATTTCAGAAAGATCTCCTCCTCGCTGTTGCGGAGTTCGCAAAAGGACCGTCGTATGACCAGCTCAGGTCTTGTTACAATGATCTCAAACGTTGCAATAGAAACGGAGATTATTTGTATTGCAATATAGAGCACTGCCTAGGTTACAACTCTCACAGGAATCAATACGCATCACAAGTTCCGGTGGAGTCGGTCCCAACTCGCACTAGAATGTATTGCAGAAAGTGCAGTGCTTTGCCTTTGCGAGTCTATCAAGCTCATCATGCAAGACAAATAAATCCAAACTCTATACGATAACGACCTTGGAGACTGCAACACCTGAGCGGGTCATACGATGCTGTTCCAGCTTTTTGGACTGGATCAGGTACTCCAGACTGGATATCGCACGAAAAAAGTGTTACAGTTGCACATTTGTTCGTCAATTCAGCAACACAAATTTCGCTGCATGAGAGAGAAAACTTGCAATGCAGAAATAGTACGGGAAAACACCTACGAAAGGAAGCTCCTATGCATATCCGGCATGAAGGCAGTGCTTGCCTGTCTTCCTTGGCCTGCAACACAATGTGTAACTGTAACACTTTTTTCTCAGGATACTGGAGGTATTCACTTTAGTATTTGTGTGGTGGTCCTTATTTGTATTGCCAGAGGTCGAGGACGAGGAGGCCGGCAGGTGGTGTTGAAGATGTTCCTGCTGTGGAGAGGAGGATGAAAACTGGCTCGGAGAAGAGGAAAACATTTTTCTTGTTTTTGTCTACCAGTCGTGACCACGCTAATGGGACTATGGTTTTCAAAAATGTGCCAAGGAAGGCGCTCCTCCCTCCGGTTCCTCCGCTTCAACTAGTACTTACATCTCGAACGAGCCGAAAGCAGAAGCTGTTCATTGATTGAACAAAACAACGAAGACAATGATACGTCATAGACACCAGAAATTATCGCTCTTGGCAACTTATTTCCTTACGAAAACCGAGATGAAACACAAACGAACGAGAAGAGCAAGACATTTAGCTGTGGAGCGGCATTGCCTATTTATTCTGGGCCGGCGACTTCTTTATTTTTTTAGTGTCGTCGATGGCAATCACTCTGTTCAACTCTCGATCTCATTCGTCTCTCACTTTTCATCTCTCAACAAACCGGCATAACTCACATACGCGTGAGGTCACTCTGCCCTGCTTGGGGTGCGCGATGCTCGACTTTTGATTGTGACACCTTCACCTGGAAAGCGGTCCACTCACACGATTGGCGACGGACGCGCAGCGGTGTTGTAGGACGACTCTTTTTGTGTTCTGGGGCTAAGGGGACCTTGCGAACAGCACAAGAAGTGAGCAACAAACCCAGGAGAAGCCTGCGCGTCCCCTCCTTACCGATCGATAGGTAATGTAACGCATCTGAAACAGCGAAGAACACACGAATCAATCAATCGCCTTGCAAAACTTCGGCCAGCACTGGGCTTCGCCAAAACCAACCTTGACTTTTTATATCGGACGCGCCTGTGACGGAATATATCATCGAAGAATTTTCATGCGCGGAGTGCAGCAGCATGCCCGACCTCAGGCGACATCAGTTTTTTTCCGATAAATAATATGTCAGCTGCATTTTTTCGAAGGAGTTTTGGCCATCAGGCCCCAAGGTCATCAACCGGACTAGTGCATTTGTTTCTAGAAAACTAAAAACAAACGGCTAGGAGTAGGACCGGCGACTCTTGTAGAAAAAAACTCTACACCAACATTCGAAGCAGTAAGCTTGCAGCTCATCGCTATGATCATTTGAGGGTAACATTAAAGCCATCATACATGTGTACCTGTACTGTGTTCATGCGGGGGTAGCCCGCGTAGGGGCTAGAGAAAAACATAGAAAATACCGGCAAAACCTGCTTGCCACTTTTCAGTACCCCTTTCTTACTTTGTATAATGTAGTGCCTTCAGTCGCCAAGTAAGTACAAATACGGCTCCAGCCGTGCCGCCATTCGCAATAAAATAAAAAAGTAAATTTATATATCATAACCAAGAAGACAAGAGACAAGAGTTAACCGGCCGGACGGACAAGAGTTCCCCCGAGGAACTCTGTTTTTATTTTGTTACCCCACTCTTATCTTTTCCAACTCGATAGTGATGGCAATGCGAACTATGGCATGCCACTCCGTAGTACTCTAAAAATTTAGAAGGGAAAGTCCCGATCCCGATACCGATTTTCGGTTAGAGCTTGGGCACCCATTAGAAAGAGCAGGCGCGAATTTCAAGCGAATTTCAGCGCAAACCCAAAAGCCAACGTCTGGTGGCCAATCACGCGGCCACCCTGTTCCCGGTCCCATGCCCTTCCGAGGGACGCAAGGAAATTTGCTGCGTTTCCCGTGCCTCACCATCGAGGGGGGTTCTTCGCTTTCGATGCGACAGGCGCCGGTTTGGAAACTGCCACGGCGTCAACCATGAGCAGCAGCTTTTTGCGCCAGATGCGAAACTTTTAACGCCGTCACGCACAATCGCAGCCATTTTCTCACCATACCATGCGGCCTCAGATATAACTTTTGAATTTTGCTAAAGTTGGACCACCAGAATACCATCAGGCTAAGCGTTTAAAGGCATGCCCAATCAGGGCGGTATTCTCGATTTGCGAATTTACAAAGGTGACCCGTGCGAATTTGCAAAAGCTGCCTCTGCGAATTTAGAAAAGTGGCCCTCGCGAATTTCGCGCGAATTTGGAAAAAAACGCAATTTCAGGTCGGACTTTCGAAATTCGCGAGGGCCACTTTTCTAAATTCGCGCGAAATTCGCGAGGGCCACTTTTCTAAATTCTCTCAAAAATGCCTCTCATGGCGCTCCGCATGACAAACTTTCTGAGCATGCAGAATTGAATGACAACTCTGGGGTGGGGACGTTTTTACTTAGGATAAACCTCGGCGTTTTGTTTTCTTCCAGTCTCGGAAACCTCCTGGCTGCCAAGGCCAACTCCCGTGCCTGCCGCGGGGGCCGGGGGTACTTCACAAATTTCGGAAAAACCGGCGCCGGTCCGATTCCGCTGCCAGAACCGGGAATGACGCAGAACCTCGGCGACTGTGGCTTTTTGCCAAGCGGAATGTCGCCGGGAGAAGATGTGCCGCCTATGGAGCACTTGGCAGCTGTGCTGCAAATGTTGCTGCAGTAATGCTGTTTTTAAAACACGTGGAAAAGTAGTTGGAAGTGCTTCATCATCTTTTTGTGTGGACGAAACTGCTGTTTCTGGTGCACATGTGTGGATGAAGCAGACGACCGCCGGGGAGAACGGAGAACTTCTACTCACGATGGATAAATGCGACCTCCATCTATGGATTTGTTGTTTTGCTGATGCCGCTTTAACATAGTCGTGGTTCTTGTAGGTCACCGGAACTACGGCGCATCCACGCAGCAACACGACAAAGACAATCACGGCTTTTTTGAAAGAGAAAACTATGATAACAACATAGAGAAGCCGAGGATCTCCTTCCTGAAGATGTGCGGAGCGGTAGGCGCTTGCATGTTGCAGATGATGGTCGCTCCTTCCTTGAAATTATTTCCTCATTTACATACCAGTACTCCTACTGGTGATTTTTGAGCTTTGTGAGTCATGTTGCAAAATTTTTTGGGATAAAAATTGAAAAAGAGGAAAAACTGTATGTACAAATGTCACCAGAGGAGGTTGCGGCTTGACAATTTTTTGTTCTTCGCGCGTACGAAGGAAAGTAAGTATTTAGCAGTCTTCCGAGCTGTTTGCGTTTTGATACTAACCATGAGAGATAGCTGAGGGCGCGAAAGAGTAGAATCCCAAGACGAAGAGCATTTGGCGAGTAACGACAGTGGTGTTGGCGTCCTCTTCCTCGCTGCTTAACCCAACAAGTACGGCATATTTACAGTCTGATCGGAGATGAAAAGTACGAAAGTCTTAGATACTTTCAATGGGTGTTGTGTGAATCTGAATCCAATTTTTGAGTTTGTCAAGGGCGTCTCGTAGAACTTGAGTTTATCAAGCGATTCGTTGCTTCACTCCGCAACCCCCGTATTCTATTCTTTCACATCGTGGGTATGAAAACATCATTTGCATCAAGGACTTGACATCAATGTAGTGCCAATCGTTTTACTCTCGCGTTTCCAGAAGATGGAACTGCTCCTAGAAGATATTAGTATTACCAAGCGCACCTATAGTAGTCAGTGTAGTGAAATTGAAAAACAAAGCGTCGTTTGGAAAAACGAACTGAGGTTTATTGAGGTTTTCGTCGCGCATGGTACAGGTACTGCCTCTGTCTTAGACTCAATCTTCTGAACAAATAGAAATGGCACAATTTGAAAATAAACGTATGAATCATAGATCTTTTTTTCGACGATTCGGGACGGGGAGCAAGAAAACTGCAGGAGAATCGCGAATGCGATCAGCGGTTTTCTTCGGATATCCACAGGGAGGAGAAGAAATAAATCCAGAGAGTAGGGTAAAGAAGTGTAGTTGACAACGTACTCGTACTGATTTCATCACGTAAATAAAACTGGGTTTATCACACATTGTGAAGGCCCGGTACCGTACTTTTGTAACCATATTTTCCTCTACATTTGCTTGCGCTTTTCACGACCTGCGGTAGAAACAATGTTTAGCGGTGGCGTGCATCATTCCCCGGTGCGGCCGCGCGCCAAGACTTCTAGTTCTCCTCCAGCCACTTTTCCGTCTCGCCGCACTTCTTGACTGCCTTCGCCACCATGATGCCAACCGGATTATCCTCCCAGAATTGCCCCCCGATCGTGCGCAGCACGGCCCAATGCACCTTCCCCGCCACGTTCATGAAGTGGGGATCGTAAATGTACTCTTCCGGGAGCCCGAGATTTTTGTAGGGTTCCGCGCCGCCGAACTCGTCAAGCAGCGTCCCATCAAGCATGATCTGCCACGCCTCAGACAGGTTCGTGTAGTCCTTCTGGGACCCCACGCTCGTCCAATTTTCCTTCCTCTTTTGCTTCAAGTCCTTCTTCAACGCCTCCAGATCCTCGGCAGACGCATCCTGCTCCAAAGAGTTCATCAAGGGCCAGGGCGAAAACTCCCACAAATAATCCACCATCACCTGCTGCTGGCTGCTCTGGTCGGGTGGAGCATCTTGCCCCATCTTCCAGAGTAGATTCGGGACTTTCGGCACCGTTGGCAGTTTCTCATTTGAGTCGGGGTTTTCGACCGCCGTCGGGAAGACAGAGCCCGCACGCACTCCATGTTTGGCATGGTAAAGGTGCACGTTCCAAATTTGTTTAGTCGCGAAATCCGCCAGCCACTTGCTGGCGTCCTCGCCGTCCAGTTTGAAGCAGGTCGTCTTCATGCTCTGACCGCCGCGCTTGCCAGGCAACGTCTTAATTTCATCGGAGCTGGCAAATGGCGTTAGCTGTGCATGATGTGCAGTATCCGCCGCGGCGGGGAAGCCAGAGAAGTGCCGCTTCTGCTAATAATTACCTGGTGCCGGTCTCCGCTGATTCATCACCATTGCCGGCGCCGTCGGCGGGGCATTAGCGTAAGCGGAAGACGAGGACACCCTGGCCGCAGCAGCCGCCTGTTGTCTGATCCTTTGGAAGGGCTTTGCCGCAAGAACCACCGAGTGATCCCACCCCAATAAGATCAACACAAAAGGCATCATGACGATGCTGGGGCCCATCCTGGACTGGTTTAGACGCGGCATGGTGAAAGAATATTTTTCTGGGTGCAAGCGAGTAAAACGAGGAGAGAATCTGAAGTTGAGTGAGAGGAAGTGGCGCGCGAGTTCAATCTTTGTAGTTGGAAAGTATCTTAGTTCCAAGAAAGGTTTACAAATAGAATGGAGCGACGTTCTGCAAAAGAGTGGCGACACAAATTACGGAGCTTGCTTTTTCACTACGTTTAAAAGAAAGTACATATACACTTGAGCGAAGTACTTTGTTGCACACGAAAACGATATAGGAAATGCGGGTTCGAAACTTTAGTTTCTTCGTGTCAATAATCTATTTCTCTGGACACAACTACTTTCGGCAATTTTTCTTTTTTATCACAGGTTTCATGGACCAATTAACACACCCTACTCCGACAGTGTGACTGGGAACAGACAAAGACAATAGAAACAAAGGAGCTAAATTTCAATACCGATCCACACATCAACATGTGCGAGCCTTATTCCGTGCCACCTGCAGTGCAGGATGATGCCTACTTCACTTCTATTTCAAAAAACAACTATACTAAAAAGCGACCACTTGATCTCTATGCGGAGATATTTCATCTCATGTACAAGATCATTCTTTTTTTGTCGGATGGAGCTTTGATTGATGGTGGATCAAAAGATATAATTTAGCTATGTTCTAATTTTTTTTCTCAAGTACACACTCGCTCAATAGGCAAGCCGAGCAGGTGAAAACCCTGAACTATGCAAAAATCGTTTCAACAACGCAAGAGAGACACAATGGAGACGGGACCGAAGAAACGTTCGTTTCGTAGATGACATGCTCAATTTCGATCTTTCTCTACAACAATCTGGTACGTACGCTTGTGATTTTATTCAAGCTGCTCTAGACGAAACTGATTTCTAAGGGATACTTGCAGTGACATTTTTTGAGCAAACCGTCGGGCGAGGGCTGACGAAACATCAGCGATAGCTGGTATGCGATTTGTCAATGTCTAACTATATGCTTTCCAATATACACGAGATCGTCCAGCAGCACCTCCAAATAGTGACAGAGTTTTATACCTGACAGCAGGAGCACGAGCACCAAGAGTATTCAGGAAGTCGATACTGTCGAAGTGAAATTGGTACAATGCTTTGCGAGTTGTCCGAATTGAAAATTAATATATTTGAACAACTACGTGTAATTTTCGTGAACCTAAACGTGGTAGGATCGTGTCTTAGGCTTAGCTTCCTTTTCTATAAAGTTAAAGATCATCATTATCTACATGATTGCAGCTTGCTTCATCTCCTGTGTTTTCTAGTAATACCCACCACGACCTCCACGGCCGCGTGTGGAAGTTCCCGTCCCGCCGTGGCCCCCATTTCGCGTCGACAGCATCGCCACGGGGCTCCAATTCACTTGCTGCGGCGAGGCCAGCGCGCCCTCGAGGTCGGAGAGTCGTTTTTGCACCATAAACGTTGTGGCGTTGTTGTTGAACGGTTTGTCGTCGATCCGCTTCACCCCCGGGGGCGATAGTTGTTCGTAGTCACTGTTGTGAGGTAGAAGATGCGCATTTTGAAGATTGTTCAAAGCAGCTCCGTCCCCTTTGTTCTTATTCCGCGAAGAAGCCGAAACTGCTTTCATCTTCGTACCATAATTTTTCTTACGCAGCACGACATTCACCGGCGACAGCGCTGTAGTCGTGTTCTTCGCCACATCTTCAGGATGAGCACCATGGGCCGTTGTTGTTGTGAGAGCACAAAGCTGCTCGGGGCCCGACGTAGAAGACACGTTCCTCGTATTTTCCGTTGTTGAGGTGGTAGAGGTGCTGCTGATGGAGTTTTTATTGAAGTAAACATGCTCCTCGTCATGTTGTAAGATGCTTTTCATGCTGTCGCCCCGCATCATTCGGGAAGAAGAGAAGACCGGAAGGTGATGATGATGCTCGCCTGTCGTACTTCTATGACTCATCTTCTTGTTGTAATTGTAGCCGCGCATATCCACTGCAAAAGTATCGCGTTCGTGTTGAATCCACTCATGCGCGACGGATCTACCGCCTCAGGGAAATTCACATTGCAAGAGCAAGCTACACTTTTTCCTTTGATGAAAAAGTTTGCTGTTTTAATACAGTCGGAATCCGTAGTACTGGATAAACGTAGATAGATACTTTTGCAATGCATACCCCGCTGCGGGAATCAACCCTTCGTCCGTGAGGTTCTTTAGTTCCAGCGCGTTGCGAATCACATCCGCCTCCGTTTTGCACAACAAGTTGCCCGTCGTCGCCCGATTCTTCCGCTTCGAGGGGTTCGATTGCAAATGGTAGTTGTAGTTAAATAGGGCAAGACTCTGCTGGTTGATCTGCCCGCTCGCGTTGGAAGTGGGGGTGTCCTGTTGGTGCTTCAACATGTCGTGATCCGATTGATGTTCAAAAGCAGCTGAAGGAACACAGGGTCCTGGAACAACGTCGCCGGGCAAAATTAATTCGGGTCCATCTTGCTCGTCTTCTGCAATAATCGACATAGGCTGGTGTCTACTGCTTCTACTCGTCCTTGTGGACCCTTTCTTGCTTCTCATTGTCATGTTCGGTGTAGGTCCAGCGCCACCGCCAGCTGGGCCAATCCCGCCACTTCGAGCAGTTGCAGCATGAATGTTGTCTTGCTGTGCGGAACTGGAGAAGGTCGCGTTCTTGTTACTACTAGTTGATGTATGGTACAAGGCGGAGATCACACCCGAGCCCGCCTTGTTCAGGGAAGTAGACGTAGTTCTTGTCGGGTTGTTATTGAGGATTCCGTTTGTCTGATCGTAATACGAGCTTGCATGTGAATGGGATGAGTTCATGCCGTTCGCGTTCCCTTCTTCCTGGTTGTGGTTTCCCTCGATGTAATTCCTATTCTGGGACAGCTCTTGCTGCTGCGGAGCACAATTCTGATGATCAAACGCAGTTTTATTCGTGGAAAAGCTCCGGCTGTGATAGATCATATCAGGATTCAATGGCACCGTTTGACAACTGTTGTTCGTAGTAGTTCCGTGGAGCAGTTGCTGCGCCCCCGTCGTCCCCCCTGGGTTCGTCGATAAGTCGATTTCTACTGCTTCTTCTTTGCTCACTGGGTGCAACAGAAAGCTGTTTGCTTTCGACTGCATCATCGGGAGGTTGTGTGCTGTGAGAAACTGTGCGTGTAGGGATTCGGGTACGGTAGAATTTTTAGAACCTCCGGTGGAACTCCTCTGATTTTTAATCGGCGGACGAGTTGACGACGTGGACGTCTTCATTCCGTCATCTGCATTTTTATGCAGATCCCCCACAGCCATCCCGCCAAGAACTACACCTCGAGCCATTTCTATTTCAGAGGAAGACGACGCGGAGGACTTCTTCGTAGAAGTTGCGCCACTGTGCTGCTGCTGGCCCATCAGCTGATCGAGCGAGTCCCGTTGTTCTTGCGACGCTGCTGCAACAGCACCGTGCTGGTGAAGTTGTTCAACAGAATTTTGCTGGCTACTAGCCACCCCCACTGTCGCTGTGGTGGATCCTGGGCAGGACGCAGCCATCAGACCCGCCAGCTTTTCGGCCGATACGATGCTCATGTTGGACGTCGTGGGAGCCAGCACTGCTTGATTTTTATTCCCTTGCGCTTGCTGTAAAGCAGGTGCCGGAGCCTGTGGCATCGCGACTCTTCGGTACAGGGCGTTTTTGTTCCGTCTGACTTGCCCCTGTTGCTGTACCGCAACAGAGTTGCTTGTTGTATTTCTTGCGTAGCTCCTGCTCTTCATCTCGGTAATTTTCGCAGAAGACTTTTCGAGCTGACTCAGTTGCCCACCGGGGGGCGAGCCAAGTTTCGTTGGCGGAAGCTTCATGATGGAAGTCGAAGTGTGTACGATCTGGTACTTATTCTACGTTCTATCTCGGTTGCGTCAAGCGGGAAGCGCATAGCGAAACCACTTTTACTTTTTCAGGCATTGTCTACCTTGTGGCTCCAGTAAACGATTTAAGTATATATCTCAATCTCTACGATTCCGACGTATCTTTCACAACGAGCATGAGCACGACGAGAACAATGCTGATTCAACGACTACCACTAGTACTGCAGCCACGATTTTTTGCGAGTAAACAATACGATGTCGATACGAAGGATGAAAGAGCTTCCTTTTTGTTTGAAACGTAACGACCCTCCGTTCCCTTTGGCTTTGCCACAAAGCGGTCAATACGAGCCACCCAGACGTCGACCGCGAAATAAACGAAGACCACGTCCACAAACCCGACCCCGACCACGAAGCGGTTTTGATAACATAGGAACGACATAGGACAACGACAAACACGTAGTCGGAGCGGCTACAGAAATGGAGAAAGTCGGCCTCTAATACTAATGCTTTCATAGCCACAACTAAGAACAGGCCGCTATTGAACAAGCAACATAAAAATGCACCTCACGGAGTAGATACAGATACAGACTGTCACTCAGCTGCTTTCGACGCTTACTCAAGTTGTACTTCCTTGCTTCTCAGTGCCTTCTTGTCGTTGAAGTTGGAGGTTGAGTTCGATCGTCTAATGGAGAAAAAGAAATGGGACAGCGATCTACTTTTTTACAGCTTTCCAAAAATCATGTTGAAGATGTTTATCACGCGAGATGACAGGACGTCGAGTACTGTTACTGTGCCAGTACGGGAGCTTCTTGCTGCCTTCTATTTGCACCACCAGCTATTGCTATTGATTAGCAATACATCCCGTTTCCCCTGGTCCCTGCAGTACTTCCGACGTTTGCGGAATCTTCAAACCGAAACTCCGAAACCCAGTTCGCAGCGGCTTCCGCGTCTTTCTCCAGCCGGTGACACTGCAGGAAGAAGTGCTGCAGCTGTGCCATCGACAGTTTGTTCGTCCCTAACCGTCCGCCGACCTCATTCCCAAACTTCTCCGCTGCGGATTGGATCTTCGCGTTCTCGGCCAGGATCTGCTTCTTTTCCTCTTCGGTCAGTTTGATTTCGTCCTGATGTTGTGCCGAAGAACTCTTGGAAGTAGCTGTTTCTTCGTTGAGAGCGGCTGCTTCTCGTTCATCTGCCTCCCCCGCGACGGCTCCACCGCCAAGGTAGTCCGACAAGTCCGTTTCCTTGTAAAAGGTCTTGAAGTACCGCGTCGCGACCTCTTTCCCGGCGGGCTTGAACTCAATCTTCAGGTCGATTCGCCCGGGCCTGAGGACGGCCGGGTCGAGTTTCTCGGGGTGATTCGTCGTGAGAAACGTGATCAGGTTGTCCGGCGCCGCGAGACCGTCCAGCGTGTTCAAAAAGCCAGAGAAGGACAGGGCGGACTTCTGGTTGGAGTTACTCGCTTCGCGGTCGTGCGTTATCGAAAGGAAAAATCCCCCCTCGTCCCCATATCGAAACGAAGCTTCCGAGTCCGACGCTGGATCTGTGTACGCGAATCAGCTTTGTATTGCAGGAAGGCACTGGGGCCAGATCGATCCCCAGTCTAGGTCGGGGCGTTTGGGTCTAGTTGCTCAGCATTGCAAACGGCTGCCCTTTAGGCCCGACAGCGTGACAGATCGGCTCCATAATGGGGCGGAAGCTTCTGCTGCTGCCTTCTTGCAAGACGAATGTGATTTGTGGCCACAAATCAGCAACTCAAATTTTCGGAAACATACCTTTTCGATATGTTGGGGAGGGGGATTTTTCATCACAATATGCGTGAACATCGAGTCTACGTCCTCCATCACGAGCATCGCGGACAAGGGCAGATATGCTCTGCAAAAGCAACGCACTCGTACTGTATTCTAATTGCTGTTATGGATTACAAATCTTCGTCCTGAGGTCAATCAGCATTACAAATTTTTTTTTTTTTTTTTTTTTTTTGCAAAGAGGGGCGGATCGCGGCCCTTTTTAGACGGGCTAGCCAGGCTACGGAATCATCATCACTACAATGAAAGAGAAAACTAGAGAAAAAATCTATTGACCCCCCGGATTCGATGCCTTGCGGCAGTTGCGGACGCACGGACTGTACCTTTCAAACCCGACCGCATAGGACGCGCCCGCGTATGGAAGACAACTGCAGCTTTGGCTTCTTGTTTATGAATTGTTCTATTCACCGATAGGAAAGAGCACCGGATCTGCCGGGGCCTGGCAGCCAGGCCTACAAAGACTATGCAAGAGCCCCCGCACTACCGCACTATCTTGGTAGAGCAATTCGCAAACTCTGCAAAGCGCAGCGATGTTCTATATATCCGCGCCGGTTGTTGGTCTTGTCTGGTCTCCTCGTCGGTACCCTGACTTGCCCTCTTCCAGTGTCTCTTGCCCTTACAAAAGTCGCATGCTGATTGGAGTTGTAATGCAAATCAATAGCACAGGTGTCCGCGCGGCCGGCGACTCAAGCGCTTCAAATAAAAACTACATGTCATTGCCCTCTATGAGCGTCTGGCAGCTGCACGAAGACCCCTTTTTTACTCGGCAATCGAGGCGCATCCGCTGTCCCCCCATAGGGTCAATGAATGTAGGCAACCCAATCATCATGCTTTCTACCAAGTCCAGTCTACTGCCTGTGGCTGTGGGCCTTCATGCATATGAGACAGAGTCAAGCCCGAGTATTTGGAGTATGCAATATCTTATCCCCGAAAAAAAAAATATAGTACTGCTACTTGTTTTTGGAGAATGAGTCATCTTCAAGGATGCACCTCCTCATCGATGAGGAGGTGCTTGCATCCTATTCTTTTCCTTTCTCTTTATTTGGTGCCTGCTTATCCATACAAAAACATGTCACACAACTTACAACCAATCGCAGGAAATGACGAAAGTAACGCATCGCAGAAGAGGGTCATGTGAGTGTATCTGTATCTTACACCGACCTGTAAACGTAAAACGATGACCGATTTTTTCCCTTATCATTCACGACCCTATGATCTACCCTACGAATTCCGTCAGATAGTAGTACCTCAACTTCAACAGATTTCATTGGCGTCCACTGTTCCCTCTGCGCCAAGCAGATATCAGTGGCCGACTTCATACGATCACGCGGCCTATAATAGCCAAAAAAAGTGGTCAAATTCCATTTCACATGCTGAGGAAATTTGTAAATTGCAATTACTACTAGTACGATACTTTTGCAGGTCATAGCAGACCTTCCATCGCCATCCGGAACGTATCGTCCGTCATCTGGGGCGACACCTGAAGAAACGCCAGATTGCGCTCCAGAAAACCGGCCAACGCGTAGATCAGAGAGGTTTTCTATGCAATGTAAATTTCCCGTACATGTACAAAATGCATGACAAATTTCGCTAACTTGCAGTGTCCAACCTGTCATGCTAGACTAGGATTGAAGGCAAGTTTTGTCATGGAGAGACTGCATTTGTACGTGTACCGGAAATTTACTGTGGATATTTTCCCCGCACCGGGCGGGCCGTGGAGGAGGTAACACCTAACAATTTGTTGAAATCAAAATAAGTAACGTTAATACGAATGATAAATGGATCACGATGATCAAGCGATTGGTTCGGTCGAGGGGAAATAAAGAAAGACCATCCACCAATCATGCTTCGGTATAGTTATACGATGATCACCATGGTTTGATGTGTTAATTCAATCATCGGCAGCACCTGTGGTAAGGGATCCCGTGCTCCTTATAAAACGCCCGCGTTTCATCCCTTTCAAACCAGCTGAGATCATCAAGCAGCAGTTTCTTCATCTTCTCCTCTACCACTACTGAGTCCATACTCCGGGCCCACCGCCGCGCCAACGGAATCCAGTAGCGCGCGTTCAGGTCAAATCGCCACATAGAAACTTGGTTCTCCTTTTTCTCTTGGGAATCGGACAAAAACAACTTGCACAGGTACAACAAGGCGAAGCTGGCGGAGCAGGTGTTCTCCTTGATTCTGTCCTCTTGCTTTTTCGTCCTGGCAAGGGCACTCAGACTCTGGTCCATCAGCGGCGCACCGCCGTGGGATGCAGATAACTCCTGCTGTTTCCTTTTCTCCTCCTCTTCGAGCTGCTCTATACTGGCTTTTAACCTGTCCGTGTTCGCCGTCCGTTCGCAGAAGAGGACAATGTTTTTCAGCACCGCCGGAGTGCCGCGCTCACTCGCAACCGGCTCGCCGATGCGCTGCTGGACCAAAGTGATGGGGACCTGCGGAGGAGGAAGGTAATTCTATTTTTGATGCTGACCATCTATCGTTTGACTTTGAGTAGACCAGCTGCACTCAGTAATATCGAGCAGAAGCAAGCTGTAGGTATAGAATGTGATATTGGACACATCAGCAACAACCGCCAGAAAATTTACGTGCCAAACCTGTACCCTTATTGAGCTGGTCACTTCCTTTTCTTCTGCCGCATCTTGCGTCCCCTTCTCCTTTTCGTCGGCTTTTTGCTTTTTTAGCGCTGGCGGTTCCACAGGCTTATCCTTTTCTTTCGCATGATCCTGCTCCAGATGAGCGACATTATCTCTAGTTGTGCCTTTATTTTCTTCTTTGCAACTATTCGGCCTGCTCAGTTTGTACTCGAAACTGAAAGAGTGCCATCCCAGGCCCAACTTCGGGTGCGGCAGTTCATGACCTGCTCAAACGTTACAATCTCAAACGTTACAATAGAGTTTGGAAATCTGTGATGCAAGAAGTGCATGACCTAGCCAAGTCTCATAGGACTGCGCATGACAAGTTCCGAAGTCCCAAACCGCACTACAATATGCCGAAACTTGTGTTACAGAAAGTGGAATGGTCTGCGAGTCTGTCATGCTCATTATGCAAGACAAGAATCTATTGTAACAAGACAAATCCCAGATGAATCTATTGCAACGCTTGAGATTGTAACGTGTGAGCAGGTCATACAGTTTCGGTTCGTCTTTTACCTTTTTCTTTTTCGCTCCGCCACTCCCCGTCGTCTTCCCCGAGCTTTTCATGCCCCGATATCACACAGAAAAAAGCTGGCAGGTCATATTTGTAATGCAAAAATAAATTGACAAAAAAATTTGTATTGCATATCCGAAATAGCATGCTATGAGGCCGCCCATGACAGGTTTTTTTGTGTATTTATTTTTGCATTACAAATATATTCTGCCACCTTTTTTCTGTGGGATACCCGACTGCCCGCGCCGAGACCGGACCGGCCGGAGAAGAACAGGGAAACCTCGTCGAACATAGTGTCCGGCCCCTTGCGAAAGTGGTCGGGTTGCGCGCGGAGCGAGTTAGTTTTGTGCTTTTCGGAATTGTACTCCAAATGCTTGGAAATGTAGTCCACGGCATAAGTCCACAACGCGTCCCCGGAAGTGATCTCGAGAAACACACCGGACTTTGGTGTATTTTCATTTGTACTATCACACTTCTTCTTACTCGCCTTCGCCGCACTACTTTTATTAGCCGCAGCAGTAGCACCAGCACTAGAACTAGCACTAGTTCTACTATCGAAGAAGTTCATCATGGCCGCACCTACCGGTGGCGTCGGGTCGTATCCGAGATTTTTTACCGCTTCCTCCAAGTCGAACGGTAGCGAAGAAAACGGCATTTCCCGCTTGGACTTCATCGAGGCCGGCATCAGGTCCTGCAGTGGGGCTTGAGCAGGCCCTCCAGGGTGATGCTGGGCGATGGTGGACTCGGGCATTTGGAATTCGAAATAGGACACTGGTGACACCCCGAAAGACAAAACACAAGTAAAAAATATTTTTCACAGATGGCTGATCGCGTTCGCAGAGACAGAGAAATCTAAAGTTGTCTAATAGATGATGTAGATCATTCCTGAACTAAAAAATTGAAGCGACAAATAAACAGAAAAGTTTGCTCCGTCGACAAGAAAAAGCTTGCACCTGCCTGGCATGTGATACTTACAGTACGAGAATTAGGGTACCTAACGACGAGGATCGCTCAAGCTAACGCAACAACACGAACAGAGCAACCAAAGGCAGAGCATACGTCCAAAACGTGGTGATGATCTCCTTTATCAGAAAGCTGAACGAAACTACGTCGCGGGAACATCAATCTCCTTTGTCAGAACGGGATTTTCAACCATGGAGAACATAAATTGCTTGTGTGCAACAGGAGCTGTTCTTGAAAAAGACAGTGGCACTTATCATCTTCACGTCTTCACAGGTGATATTCAACAAGCACGAGGCAGAAGGCGCAAAGAGTAGACCACCAACTTAAATTGATAGCTGGTCTGCTGTTTGCTTCGGCCTCCTGTAGTCGGCCCACCTACGGTGCAGTGTTTCGCTGTCTGTTCACCACGACACGTGGCGTCCCTTCGCTTTTTTCTACTTTTTTCCGGTCGTAGCTCTCTGCTTTGGCCTCTACGTATTTTCGCTTTTTTCCGCCTGCTCCTCTGTCCGGTTGAAAAACGTGCGCCCTCCCAAAGCTCAACATGCGAGTTCTGCGTATAGCAATTCAAAAACTTAGCGCACTCTACACGACGAACCTATAGACGCAGTGTAGTCGCGCGCAGTTATCAAAGCCGCAACGCATGAAATCAGACTTCGCGGAAACGAGCTGATTTAGAGTATAGCGGATTTCATCAAAAAACGCTTGACAGAAGGTAGACGCCACCGCAAGAGAACCCGCATGAACCATTCGCTGGGCATGCAGACTTGCATGTTGACCAATGAATACGCTTTATTTTTTACGCAGGATAATAGGACTCTTCAGATTCTGCAATCGGTCCACATATGTCTGATAGCTTGTCCCGTACAGCCAATCAAAAAGTATTCATAGCAAATATGTCTGGGGATGGAAACAAGATGCAGCAGATTTGGTTTGCAAATTCATCTCGTGGGTGTGTTTCTCAACACGGCTCATTGCAGTAGTTCATACCCTATCTATGTAAAGCGACCCTGTTCTCCGTCCTTCAATGTCGATGAGAAAAAACGAAGAACATACTCGCAACGCCGCTTCTTCCACATATGCAAATCTCGCACCAATAAATTAAAAACCCAGACCACGACCCAGACATATTTGTACTATGCATAGAGAAACCCAGCGTGCCAAAGTCCACCCTCACCAGCCGGTGATGCTCATCGTGCGCCTTGGTCCGGGATTCCAGATTGTATCCTGAGTGCCGCTATGCAATGCAAAAGTATGAGCATATCGCATTTGTGAACATTGCATGACATTTCACAGATTCTTTATCTTTTGTTTTTCCAAACGTAAAAGGTTGTCATAGTCATGGTGGAGCAGGTGCCAAAATGAAATTTGCAATGCTATATTGCGATCAATGCAACGAGTTACGTAGATAACTTTATTTGCAATGCTTAGCTGCTCGACATAGCATAGATATCATATATCAAACCGGCTGTACGAGTCGCTTTTTGCAAGATTTTATCTGTACGACATGAGATCGTGAACGACCTGCAAAAATCTTGAGTATAGTACAAGTACGATAAACTTTTGCAATTGGTAGGTGTAAAGTCACGGAGCTGGTCCCGAGAAAGAGCCAAAGCATCAATACCAGGCAGTGCATGTCCATGAAGGCCACGGGGCCGGCGAGAACCGGAATTAGGAGGACCGACTCCAGTGGATGAAAGTACAGTGCAGAGGCGTATACGCGTGCAAAACATTTCTAGGGGCCCCCTTTTCGGAAAATCGGCCCGAATTCGAAACAGATTGTCTACACAAGTAATTTTTCATGGTACTAGGACCAGAATACGACGGCCATCAACTCCGAACATCTTCTTCACGGCCTGAATGTGGCTCTCCTATAAATATCTGTAGCTGATGAGGTGGTTTGGGATGGTTTCCTCTTGCACGTTTGCATGACAAGAAATCCAGGGTGGAATGAGAAAAGACGGCCAGTTTTGCAGCATGTTTCCACGGATAAAAAGGCCACCGGGTTGAAGATCTCATGGTGCTTCTTGTGGACTTTCTTGTACAGAAACGGGACTCGATGCAGCAGATAGTGGCAGTGGTAGAAGTAGAACTCGGCAAAGGCGGCGCAGATGGCGATTTGCGTCGCAAATTCGAAAATTGTCTTTGGAAAGGTTTTGTCGAAATCCACCATGTCTTGCATCCTGTTTCTTGTTGACTCTGTTGCTCCTGCAGTACCTGTCGTTCGCGGCCCCGCTGGAGCCGCACCTCCATTGTCGACGAATAACCGGAGCAGGGCGAAGCCAGCAAGAGGGTACACGGTGAGCAGCTGGAAAAAAACGTAGCGGAAGATCTCCAAATGCTTTCGCAACGAGACCGGCTTGGCGTCCGGCTGGCATTTCCAAGCTTGAATTTGCTTCTCAGAGCGGAACAACGGGAAAATGCAGAATTCGAGGGCAAAAAACAAAAAGGACCAGAAGAGATACGTTAGCGTAAACGTCACCAGCGGGAGAAACAGAACCAGGAAGTAGTGCTGAAGGGTAGTTGTAGCAGGAGTGGAAGTTTTATTTATGCTGGCGCTGTAGTAACTATTCGCTGTGACCGTGATACTGCTCTTTAGACTTACACTATCGAAGGTGGAAGTTTCCTGCAACAACCTTTCCCACCACTCTTCAAGGGGGAGAAGTAACATGTCGGGCAGCGGGGGAAAGGACAAAATATCTGCGACTGACAACATGGCACTCGCAATACCTCTTTAAGCAGATGTGAATAAATTGGCCGTGTCTATCAAACTACCAGCGACCGACTCGTCGCTTTATTTCGACAACCGAACCTCCTGGTAGAGTAAAGCGGCATATTGTATTGCTGGGGTACCGTGACTCGAGTGGGGGAAATAGTCGGAGTCAACTGCGTTCTTCTAGCTGACCATAGTTGCTCACTTTGGAAATTTTTGCACGACATGATGGTCGAAAAATGGCAGTGGTGCCTTTTTACTAGCACAAAAACCTACTGAAACAGCTGGCCGCTGGCAGCAGAAACGACAGGCAAGGCTAGTACAAGTAGAACGAAGTAGTAAAATCTTCGAGGCGTCAAAAATAAAAAATCTCATGATTTCAATTACCGCAGAGCTTCTCGACCGACGAAAAAAGGCGTGCTATTTCTGTATACAAGAACAACTTTGACTTGTGCGAAGGGCGCTGCTTGCTAGAAATACGACACTACTCACTTTGAAACGTGCTCCTTAGTGCAAAAAAGGCGTCAACCGATCATCTTTTCGACATCATCTTCTGACTTTCGGTTCTACTAGCAGCCGAATGACGTCTAGCGCGACACACAGCAAAGGATAAGGAACACCAAAACCACGTAGAATTATACTTACAGAGTAGAGCGTGAGTTTTTCAAACTCTTTTATTTGCTACACTGGAGTACCGGTTCTGTAGTTTTCTTTACTTAGTCCGGTACCGGTGACAGTACCCGGATGAAGTCGTTCGCGTTCGCCATTTATTATGCATTTCGTGTCGCTTGTCGAAAAGGGAAAGGAATTCGTCCTGAATCATTCTCAGAATCAAGATCTTCATTTTCAGCAATGTCGTTGTCTTTCAGAAATGATCAAAATCTGCAAATACGAACAGAAATGACCATCACATCGCATCCGCCCTGCCCAGACAACCTAGGCTCCCCCTTCAGACGCGGCCAACGTGAAAGCAGTAGAAGTCGAGGAAGGGTTTCCTTTCGCTACCTTGATGTCGAGCACGCTCCCGTCCATTTCATGGGTTCCGTTATTGGGGTTTCGTGGTGCAAAGGTGCTATTACACATCGGAGTGGTAACATCATTTCCACCAACATGCTGTACAAGTACAACATCCCCTTCATGCTCCGATCTGATGTGGTCGCCTCCCGTTCTAGGCCCAGAGGAATCTCCCCCGGCAGGACCAGGACCACCTTCAGCAGCTGGTGGTAATATTTCCGTTCTAGCACAACATGCACTTGTAGTTTTCTCTGCAGTGGCCCAGCAGGTGTTTTTCTCCTTTCCCGAACGGGAAGAGATCATGGGCTCTATGAGGAAGATCTCGAATGATTCCACTTCCGTTGTTGTATTTTCGGCTTCTAGTACGTCAGTCGTTCTTCGGGAACAAGCTGGTATGGTTTTAGTACTTGATCCAGTTTTTCTTATTTCCTTGTCCTGATCGACGCCGACGCCAACAAGCTCAGGCTCTTTAATACTGGGCAGCTCTTTCTTCAACCGAAACAGAACGTTTAGGTGATCAAAGTAAAACGCCCAGACACTGCGCTGCTTTTGCTGTTTTTTATTTCGCTTGTGCTGTTGGGTTCGAATGTCCATGGAAACCACTTCCGTGATGGCTTTTTTCAGGTCGGCAACGTCGGAGTAAATGTAGTTGTCGTGCGAGAACAACTTATTCGAGGAGGACCTAGTACTTGATCTACTACAATTCGTGGTTGAAGATACACTGGTCGTGCTGGTGTTGGTGCCCGTTTTACATGTAGAAGTGTCCCCGCAACTTGTTGTTGACGTTATAACATGTTGTGGTTCTTCTAGTACTTGGAGATCATGTTGAGTCGGCTTGGGCTTTCGCTTTTGGACCAGCTCGTGCAACTGTGTTACAGCTTCGTCTGTCCACTGCACCGCCTTACTTTGCTGCTTTTTCAGGCACCAACTCGGGTAGTGGGATACTGACACGGAAGCTGGTGGAGATGCAGGTCTTCTTACTTCTGAAGTTGTAGTGGGCGCAGCGCTAGAAGTTGTACAGCTACTGGCGGTAGAAGTACCCAAAGCAGCATCTGCGCCAGCGCACGAACTTGAGGCAGTAGTTCTTTCCTCACGTATTACCTCCGCCGGTACAGCAGCCCTGCTACTGCTGTCGTCCACTTTTCGCCTCTTCACGGTAACTTTCTCTACAAAAGTCTTGGCGGTTTTTGTGTAAAAGTTGTTGGCGCCTCCATGATCCCCAGTTCTACACGACCTATCATGCTGCTGCAATTCCCCTTCCTCCACCTCGTCCGTAGAAGTGGGACCACCTCCCCCGCTGCAGTTCAAGAACTCCGCTACCGGCGCCGCGTCCAAGATGTGATAGGGTTTCAAATCGACAATGAACGTCTTGTCCACGACATCCGCACCGGCAACGATCACGGTCCGCCCTTCGATCCTCTCGATCCGCATCACCGTCATGCCGATGTTATTCGGACGGTGCGGAGCGCGGGTCGCAAACACTCCCGACGCGTCGCCATCCCCCAACCGCGGCGGCTTCACACAGGCCTTGCTAGGTTTGGATCTTGCTGCTGCTGTTCTTACGGCGCTTGACGGCACGGCCGCGGAGGGTGCAGCGGGAAGAACGACGAGGTCCGCTCCTGGTTCAACGGCTGCATGTTTTTCACCTGAAGATCTTCCTGGTAGCTGCTGCCCAGCACCGGGTGGTTCAGACCCAGCACCGGCCACCGTGATTGCGTTCTGTTTTTGCACTTTCTCCTTTTGCTCATTCCGATCGAACAGAAACAACACCCAGACGTGCGAAAAGTTTTCCAACCCGCGCAGGTAATCCGGCGACAAATCGCTTTCCAGCTCGATCCGGCCCTTCACGCTTTCACAGCAGCCCTGCCGCGGGCAACCGAAACAGGAGTGGAAGGGGGAGTGGAAGGTCGCCACACGCCGGAAAGTCACTTCGTTCATTTTTGTCTTTTATAAAGTGCGTGATAAGGATCTCATCTGAATGATATACAGCGTCGACGTAAGTACCTCCTAAGACGAAATACAGAAACAGAAACAGCACGGAGACGGACGTGAGGGCGTCAATAGAAAGCCGGAGGAAAAAAACAAGTACAAGCAGTCTAAAAAGCATATAAAGTCGTGTCTCGAAGATAAAGCTCTGACGATGTTCGCTGTTGTGAGTGCATCGGCGGCGCGAATGAAAACGAAATCATAATCAACATATACTGTTTAATAAACTTTGTGCTCTGGCGATCAACATCCGGAATGACACTCTAGAATCTTAGGTTTAGGACCATGCGCCGGGGGATTGCTTGGGAACAAGAAAAACACCAGATCTTGCTTTTGTATGCATTTCTTGCGCCATTCGATCGCAGAGAAATTTTCGAAAGTGAATAACGGGGGAATTACTTACTCCTTCCAACATTTTGATCGGTGGTTGCCGTCCGAATCTGATTCGGATTTTTGCGGTATCTTGTCTCGCTTGCTTCGTGCTGAGGATCATTTTCATAGATCTCCGACTTGAGAATCCTGAGAGGATAGAATTAGAATTTTAATTTCGAGCACAAGATAGAAGCAGCTCCCGGCATTTTTTGCGATAGTGCTCTGGTTCTTACATTCGGCTATGCAACTACTTGAAACAAAATCCTTCTCTTCAACATCAGCACGTGAAAGCTTTCAGCTTTGGAAGAACCACTAGCACTAGAAAAAACCACTCGAGGTGTCAAACTTCCCTGTTGCCGGTCGCGTGCAGCTCTTGGTCCCCTGCACAGGATGGGCCACGTGGGAGTATGTTGGTTCCCAGAACAACTATGGCAAAGTTCAAATTGTCGATGAGGAACGGTATCTAAAATGGTCTTAGCAGCGGCCAGAGAAGTACGTTTTGGATGAGTACTTTGGGCGGGATGAAAAAACAAACTCCGGCATCACATCACGCACTGTTCCCCCCTTCATCCATGGCTGCTTTTTCGTAAATTCCGCCACGAACCAGCTCGAAATTCTTTTTCCGTGCGGAGATGTGCGGTAGCTGGCCTGTGGGGGTTCCCTTCCGCAGCACCTTGCCGTCGTCATCCAGCAACACAAAACTCTTGAACTCTGGCGGCACCCAAACCAGCTTGAAGGCGACTCTGCTCTGAAACTGCACGTGCGCCACGTATGCCGTTCTCAGACGTTACATTCTCAACTCCTGTTCTTGCATGCATTTGTATATGCACAGATGGCAATAGAACCAAAAGTGAAAGAGGGAAGGTTGCGCCTTTTGCATTAGAGATTCGGAGCTGATTATAATGTTACCGAGCGCGACGTCGAGGACTTGTCACGCGAAGGATGTTGCTGCCAATTCAGTAGCATGAGAAATTCATGTAACTACAGTTGAGAATGTAACGTCTGAGGGTCCCATACCACGTCCTCGGGACTTGGCAGGACGTGGCAGCCGTTGGTGCAGGTGGACCAACTCCCGCCCTCGCCTAACTCGGGGATACTCGCCTTCTGGATGTGCGGTCCGAGCTGGTTCTGCCTCGATATCGCTTTCACCAACCCGCTGGCGTTTTCCTCGTGCATCACGTTGCCGTATCCTGAGTAAAAACGTACCCGCGCCAGAGTTGTAATGCAGATTTGCAAAGACAGGAAGACTTGTGATGCGCATCCCCATGAGAGCCATTTCCAATTCGTGTTTTGGAATTTGTGATGCTGTGAACAGTATGAGCTGATGGATTTCTGATGCAGCTGGCATTGCGTACTACACACAGACTGCAACTTGTCATGCGTGACTCACAAAATTTCTAGGTTTGTGTTGCAAAATCTCCATCTTGACTCTGGTGTGGGGATGTTTTTCCTCACAATATGCCGAGCATGGTCGTTAGGTCGCAGTGGTTATCGTCGTTGAAAGCGTGGCTGGTCTCGTACAGCTCTGACTTTAACCCCCCCGCGAGGAGCAGTGCTTTCCGCGTAACGGAAGCCCAGTCGGCATCCAGTTGCGTCTGCTCGAGGTTGGCCACCCGCTCTAGCACGGACGCCAAGCGCTGGCAGGCGGTACCCGGAAACTTGGCGTCGATGATCCGCCCGGCAACTTCCCGGTGGGGAAAGGGGTACTTCATTTCTTCTGGATGTAAGTTTTATCTTTTACGATGATGTCCTCGACGTCGTGTGAAAATCAGATACAAATGCAGAATGATCGAAGAAAAGGACAAAATTATGTTCAGTGTGATACTTCAAATGCAATCGTCAAACCAAGAGTCCTCGTCTGAACAAGCAATACTACATCAGAGATGGGTACACATATAGGAACCTAAACCAGAGAAATGGATCGGGGGAAGGTAGGTAGGTTGTGTTCTTGAGAGGCGAAAGTGCTGATAGACCTGAACTAGCATCTTTTGATGTAGCAATCAATGGACTCATTCTTGTTTCACTACGACGGCGTGTGTCGAGAGCATCAAAAATTTCACCAGTCACCGGGCGCTTATTGAAGATTCAAACATCATCATACCAGCAAAAATTGTTAGGGTAAAAGGGGTGCTCCTAGCAGTACCAGGCCGCCACAACTACGTCAATTATGTGTGGATAATCATGTTGAGCGCCATTCTCACGCAGGATGAGCTACGGCGCAGGCAGTCTGTGCAACTATGCCCTTTGGTGCAGGAGCTTTCGCTCATGTTAACATGGTGTTGGTCAGAAGATTTCATCTAAAATGGAAGATTTCATCTAAAAGTCAATTTTTCAGCGAAGTTATCGCTATGGATAACTCACTTATGTATCTACTAGAAAACCACCTCGATCGTTGATTTTTATATCACCAAGAGCACTTGGGTATGTGCTAATCATCATGATCATTCATCCTGCACTAGGGGGGGACGTGCGGAGGGGTTGGGGTTCGAGTTCGTTTCAAGCTGCATCTCGGAAATTTATCACTGCAGGTGCTGCTGCTGCTCGGTCGCTTTTTTTATTTGTACGCGCTAGCCATGATCTTGATGGGACCAAACAGTAAACGCTAGATTGGTACTAATACCTATGCTTTAACATGCAAAACTCGTCGCACGACTTTTTCAATCGCCATCCAAAAAACCTACGAGCTCCGCCCCGAGGTCCGCCTCTATGACCTGCCTCACCGTCGCCAGCAGCGCGAACAGACGTTGCTCCGGACTACGAAAAAAGTGATCGTAGAGGTAGGCGCCGAGCTTCTTCCGCTTTTCTATTTCGTCTTCCGGCATCTGAAAGAGTCTTCGTAAGGTTTTCCGTTCCACAAAGTCTTGCAGAAACCGCCGGGCTCGCTGTCTCCCGGCTATTGTGTTGGTGTCGTTGAAAAAGGAAAATGAAGCTGGTTCTTGTTCCTCATGCGCCGGAGCCAGTAGTCCATCTTTCGATGCTAATCCGTATGAACTGCAAAAGTATCGTACTCGTATAAATGCATATACAAACTTCCTCAGCATGAGAAATACAATTTGTAATGCTAATTTACCTTAAGAAAAGGATTTGTAATGCAAGACTTGCATTTATACGAGTACGATACTTTTGCACAGGATAATCCGCTGTTGAGGACAATGTGCTGTTTATGCAAAACCGTGGCAGCATCATCCCGAATCCCTCCCGATTTCGCAAGATCAAACCGACTGTCGTAGTACTGTTTTAGATTCTCCGCCACCTTTCCCCACAGTTCCGCCTTTCTGCTCGCATTTTGCGTGTGTTCCAGCAGATCCAATAACGGCTGGGCGACGGGCGCAAGACCGCGATGTTGAACGACAGTCGTTGATGCTGGTGAAGGTCTGCCGTCGTTGATGAGGGGCGGCTCTTGTGCGGAAGAAGTAGTGGCGCCAACCTGCTCACCGTGGTCATCCACAGTACCAGGAATAGTAGTACTTCTTTCCCACTTTTTCCGCTCGAACTCGGCCCGGGAGATTTTTCGTAATATTTCCTTTTCCAAAACCATCGTACTGTAGGGGTTTCTGAACGCCCGCTCGGGGATTTTCACGACCACCGACTCCCAGAGACCCTTGGGCAGAAAGCCTTCGTACGCGTAAGAAAACCCGTCCGCAATAACCACCTATAAACAGTAAATGATTTTCCGCACACGTACAACTAGAACTACAACTACATGTATATATGCGGCTTCTGCATGACAAAACTTTTCGGCACTCCTATTCACCAAGACAAGCGACAGCCTCCAACTTGGCGAATGGTTGTGATGCATCTTATTATCGGTGTTCCGGAATATCTGTATTGCATACCACCGGCACCGCACCCACAGCGAGGGCTAGGTAGAACCGGTGGGTCCACCGGCCGTCGCCGCGGGGAATGAGCATGAAGGTGGTGTTTTTCATCTGGGTCAGATACCATATGACTTGCTCAAACGTTACAATCTCAGACGTTACAATAGAATCTGGAATTTGTGTTGCATTATGAGCATGACAGATTCGCACAGCGTTCCACCTTTTGCAATACAAATTTCGCCAGATTGTCGTGGGGTTTGGGGCTCCGGAACTTGTCATGCGCAATCCTATGGGACTTGGCTAGATCATGCACTCCACCTGCATCACAGATTTCCATATTCTATTGTAACGTTTGAGATTGTAACACCTGAGCGGGTTATATACCAATCCTGCCGCTTCTGGATCAGAAATTTCGAGACGACAGGAACATCAGTTATCAAAGAAAAAAAGTTCGTCACGATCACTCATGCGCATTCTTGCAATACAAAATTGTTTTTCATGCGTAAAAATGCATCACAGCCAAACTTTATTAGGGATTTCCCTAGTGTTTCTGCAACACAAGGAAAGTTTGTGATGCTGAGAAAATTTGTAATGCAAAACCTGCAAGTTAGTGACTGTGACAAACTTTTTTCTCTCCATATCGGTTCCGGGCTTTTTAATCGCTGCTTTATTCTTGTTTTTCAACCTTTCATCTACTTCGGCAACAACTGACGTTGCGGGTTCCGCTTTCGCTTCTAAAACTTCTTCCCACGCCTGAATGGTGTTCGCCAGTGGTTTCACGTAGTCCGAGGGGCAGGAGAGCATGCTCTCGGCGAAGACCGCGTATTTGTCAATGAAGCTTTTTGTTCTGCTCACGGCGTTTTTATGGTTCAGTCCGGGGGCCGCGAGGGTAGAGGACGAACTGTAGGCGACCAGGAGGTCTTTCCGGTAAAACGAGTACATGGCCACAGGCAGGAGGTTCAGCCGCACCTCGGACGTCTGTGGAAACCCCCAGCCAAGGCGACACATCCCGAGCCAGGAAATCTTGTACCGGTTATAATTTCTGGATGATGATAGTACATTTTTCGACGGTTCTTCTTCTTGTGTGGTCCTCCCTGGAGAAGTTGCTGGTGCTGAGGGCGGTGATCTTTTTAGCGATCTTGGTACTTCTCCAGCCCCTGTTGCTTCCTCATTCATCTGTGCAGCTGCGCTTTCGTCATCGTCGTCCTTTTGGTTCATTATTGCAACCGCTCTCGCACCACTCAGCCTGACTCCTTTCCGCGGCTTCTCCACAGTGTCGTCCTGGAAGTAGCACCAGTCCTCGCACTGCGGCGGTTCGGTGATGACGTAGAGGCGGTAGCGATCGGGGTGACCAAGGAGAAAGAGATTCTTGTTCGGGCTCTTTTGGTGCTGCGCTGTGCCCGGAGATATCGTCCCTGGTGAAGAAGCAGGTCCATATGCTGTAGATGATGAGGAAGATGAGTCGAAAAAATTATATCCCGGCTTCGCATCCGCCAGTAAATTGTCGTACTGATTATGGCCAAACGCGTCCTGGTCGCGAAAGATGACACGAACGCGGAGACTAGGTGGACCAGTACTGCCTTCTGATTTATTTGTGGTTTCTTCTTGTTCTGCAAGCAAATGACTATCTGCTCCAAAAGTTTCTGTGTCCAGTGCTTTATGGCGTTCTCAAATGTTACATTCTCAGCTGTTACATGATTTGTCATGCAGAATGACCATGAGCCACCAGACGATCAAGCTGCTTCGCATGACAAGTTCTCGAATGGCTACACAGCGTCTAAATCTGTACCAAATCTGTCATGCAAGACGCGCAAGCTCCCGCCTTTCATTTTTGCCATTCTTGCATCACAAATTCATGTAACACTTGAGAATGTAACAGTTGAGAGCGCCATATGCTTCTAGCAACTGTTCGAAGGGTTTCGTCTCCAGCCCAGTGTAGTCGGTGAACCACTTTTGGACCAGAAGGAAAATATTCATGTGAATCATATTGGTGCTCCTGTCTTCCAACTGTTGCCCCAGCACCAGCGCGGAGTTTATATGCGCTGTCCACTTCTTCCGCAGTGCCCGTATCTGCTCCACGAGTTGTCTCAGAGCAGCGGGGGAGTCGATCTTCTCTTGAACGGCCGCGAGGTGGACAAAATTCATCTTTTTCCGTACTCCTGCAAGACCGTGGTCTTTAATATTACGATGGTTTTTCTCCTCTACTTTCCTTATCTTTTCTGTTCGCTGCAAGAGCTTCGCCGGCCCAAGCGCGGTGGCAATGTCTTCTACGACGGAAAAGTCTGGAACATTATCAGGACCTTCAGTCCGATCACTACGAGTACGATCTGCATCTAGATCTGCTTGCTCACGATCATCATTATTTCCAAAATTCAACTCTATCCTATGCTCGGGAAACACGGCGTGCCACGCGGATGTGAGAAGCTTGAACTCTTTCTCCGATACATCCGGTCCGTCCCTGATCTCGCGCGAGTAGTACCGGTTATACCCCAGTGCCTCAAGAAAAGTCGTGATTGGCGTGGTGTTTGCAGCTTGTGCGGAGGTAGTTGAAGAAGATGATTTGTCGTGTGTAGTTGTAGAACCAGCTGTCCCTGCAGTGGGAGAAGTTGAAGTGCTCCCGCGCGACGTTTTTCTATTTTTCCTAGTACTCCGCCAAAACAAGGAGACCGTGGACGCAGAGAAGTGCGTTTGCTCCGTTTCGCGGAGCGTCGGACGGCGAAGAATTCGGGGCTGCGAAAATTTTTTCGACTGATTTTTGTCTCGATTTTGCCACTGGTCATCGTGGGGTTCCTGCGGTTTCGCTGTGTCGTAGTTGACCTGCCATGCCTTTGCTGTACTTCTGTCACCATCTTCGTTGGGAGTAGAAGAGTTGTTCGCACGACCGTCGTGAAAATTTACTGTTTGTGCCTCGCCGTCGCTCCCCACCTCTACCGACGTTCTTGGTGATACTTGTTCGCGACCGCCCTGTGTCGACGTATTGGTACTAGCTAGCCTTCCATAGTTTTCACCCCCTTTACCTTCTAGTTCATCTCCTTGCCGAAGGAGACATTGGTCAATCTCTTCTTCCCAGAACGGCTTGCGAAGTTGTTCATCTGCAACATCAGGGACGTCGGGCCGTTCCGCTGCCTTGCTGCTGCCACCTCTCGTGGTGCTGCTGTCGAGGTCCCAGTCCAGAGGCCTCGAAAAGTCCAACCCAGACCCGCAAAATCTATTCAAGACCACTGGCGCAGCCGAGGATAACGATAGTTCTTCCGCAGCGGCGAGAGTGACAAGGAAGTAGAGCAGGCGGAACATATTGCGAAGCACCCACCACGGAAATGATGATGAAACACAACGCCAAATACCAGGAGCAATAGCCATCCTGGCCTTGGCTTCCTTCACCTTGATGAACATAGTTTCGCGTACAAAATGCGATATGCGCTTCATTTAAATTCTCACCGATACTTCGTTCGGTTCCGTGTCCGTGTCGCAAATCGAAGAGGTGCGAATGAAAAAATGGAACTAAACCCTTCGGCATGCGTCGATGCTAGGAATCAATTTCGTGATGCCTTCTTTTGATGAACCCCAAGCCTCACGAAGGTGAATGATCTTCTTTCTCAAACATATCTTCCAGATCGAAACAGCCCCCTCACAGCTGACCTTCCTGCGCTTCCACCTCATCCTCGCGATCCTAAACTACTTGATCTTGATCCACGTCCGAGGCATTGATTTGCATGCGAAAGCGAAAGTGTCTTGATCCACGTCCAAAAGCGAAGACAATCTGGAGTGTCTAAAAAATTTTGTTTCGGGTTTTTAGCACCTCCAATTTTGATGATCAGCGTCACTGAGCCGCTGTGTATTTTGATGTCGCGGCAGAATAAGTTGTTTGTGGTCTCGGGAAGCAAAAAAACGGAGACATTTACTACTCGGTCAAGGAGGGAGAAGTCTCCTGCCTTTGGTCATCAGCACACGAAAGCTAGTAAGTACCACAAACACGCGTCACGACTGGTTGTACTTATAATAATGGTCCTTCTGTAGACATACTAGATCTCTTCATCTCATTCTTGTTCCCCCCCTTCCGTCACACCACGCGGACCATCTTCAATCCACATTCGCGTATACCACGGAGCTGCTTCGTTTGAATCCCGCTTGGATGCCGGCCCCCGCCTGCTTCCGCATCTTGTTTGCGTACACCCCAAACGCAATCGGGTTGGACATGCTCGGCGTTGGTGCCGTCGCTGCAATCTGGGGTGGCTTCTCGAAACCCTCGCTGAATCTGGCTGGAACCGCCGTCGGGTCGGACATGGAAGAGGATGGGAGCTGCGATGCTGCTGGCTTGTCGTCCGTGGTCGCAGCCACAGCCTGCCCGACCACCTCCGTACTACCCAGAACGGCCTGCTCCACTTTGAGCAATTCCTTGCCGATGGCGATTTTCTGTTCCGTCACACTTGCCGGCTTGTTGTTCTTTTCCTTCGTCTGCACGAACTTCTTTGCCCCGGGCAGCTCGCAAAAGACACAGCAGAACAACAGCGGGAGCCAGACCGGGAAGGTGGCCAAGGCGATCAACCCGCCGAAACCATAGAACACACCGTACATAGCCGATTCAAACGGAATCTCAAAGCAAGTGACAAATTGGATCACGACCGCGACCGCCATCCCGGGCAACAGGATCACGACGACCACCAACGTGAGAGCGAGGTGCGCGAGGCAGGCGACGCTCAGAAGATTGTCGTCCTCCGGTTTCCCGCCGCGCTTCTCCGCACTGCCGTGGACCGCGGGGTTCTTTTTGTTGCTGGGCGTTGTACTAGAGTCGTTGGTCTCGTCGTTTCCTATGCTGGCGAGGCTCGGATGTTCGACAACGTCCTGTTGTAGTGGCACGACGACCACAGCGGCCGCTCCATTATCTGCTGTCGCCGGATCAAGAACGGCAGGATCTGTAGCAGGATCGGTGCCTGTAGCTGGAACTGGCTCATCTGTAGCTGGATCTACTTCCGCAACTTGTTTTTCCGTCGAAGAGATTTGCCCGACCTCGATTGTGGGGTCGTCGTCCAGTTTCTTCCGCAACATTTTGATTTATATTTTCAGAGGGCGATATACGTCGCAGTTATTGTTATGGGCATCTATCAAATTTACCGCCAATCGTGTAGCTTCAAAACTCATGAAATATGAGGTGCAGCTCTGTCTCTGCGACCAAACGCGTTCGTTGGTGTGATACCCTCTGACGAACGGAGAAACCAAGTGGCCTCGTCCAGAATCTTCAATTCTAGACATGCATGCATGCATTTTATTTATCACACACAATGTAAAAAAGTAGTATGTTGACTGCTCGTGCTCTCCTCAGGCCATTTCTTATACAGCCGCTTCGCTCGTTTGTTCGGGTTGTTTTTGAAAACAACACCTCTACAACTCTTGCTCATGAATGGTCCAGGTGGAACTACGCCACGGAAGAAAATACCACGGTAAGTACCCACGACGCGCACGAACTCAATGTGCATCACGAATAAGGACGAACATTTTCAACCCATGGAGCGACGCACGTCCGAAGTGCCCTGGTCGGCGAATTCATCCGGAAGACGCACCCATTTCGTTTTGTCTAGATTCAGACAAGTTGAGAACCTCGAAGACTTTTTTGCGCACCATGATCTTGCTGCATCCTACAACTTCAGCTTGGCTGACTGTGCTCTAAGTGCTGCTACACCTCGTGCTCGTCCTCGTGCTCAGCGTGCGCGGCAAACCGCACGCCGGTGCTAGCACTACTTCTTCCGCTTATTTCGCTCGTTACCGCCCTAGTGCCCTGTTCCCCCTCTGGTCCGGCGCCTGGTGCAGCACTACCAGCGTCCGGTTGACGTTTCTCTGCTTTGGATCCGCTCGTCTGGTATAAATTGCAAAAGTATTGCACCATCGCACTTCACTAGTTCTAGTTCTTCAGCTTCTTCTTCTCGCTCAGCTGAAGAATGAAATTGATTGCATACCCGACCACATCACGTCAAGAAATGGAATTCGTCATGCCGATTTGAATTTACATTGGGAGGGAGGTTCGTGACGCATCTATGAGATTAGTACGTGCGCGACACTTTTGCGGTGCATATCTGGCTCTGCTCCCCAACGGCAGCTGTCGTCGAGTTCGTCTTCGCCAACGCGCCCAGAAGATCTCGAGTATCTTCCTATCCAATTCAAATCTACCGATCACGTCGCACGAAATACATGTAGTGAGCTAAAACTTTGTCAACACATACACAAAGCTGCATGAGACTTGTGATGTGTTGCGTTAGTGTAAGTGTTTGAGTTGCTGCATATAACTGCGCCAAACTTCTATTTGCCATGCAATAGGAGCAATGCCATGTGTTTGTGTAGTACTACGTGCTGGTCGTGTACGGCAACGGCAAATCTACTTTTTTTCCTGTTGATACGTGCGCTCCTGCTCGTCCAAAATTCTCCTTGTTCCCACCCGGGGCCGCAGGTTCGACCGTTGTCTGCTTGAGCAGTTGTGTTGGACTCAATCCGAGTGCCCGGGCGGTGGCGTTCTGCTGGTTCAATTTGACAGTACTTGTTTCGGAGCCCGGCTTATTAGTGGTCCTCCCGGTCGAAGTGAAAGACTGTGTGCTAGCACTGCCCTGGTGGAGGTGAAGGTGGTGTGCACCCTTGTGGTCGATCTGGATATTCATTGATTTTTGGGACATGGATCGCGTCATTGAGGAAAAAGCACAGAAAGGTAGAAGCTGAAGCTCCTCATCCACTTGTAGATCGATGGATTTTTATCGAAAGAACGGAATAGTTGTACTACTTCATAAAATAGATTTCCAAAATTTCTAGTAGGTATCAGTACGTGCGCTCGCACGGCGGGGTCGAAGCAGATGGCGCAGCACATGCCGCCAACGAAGGTTAGCAGCGCCACAAAGGCTGCCAGCGCGACGATGACAGTGCCGTCAATCGGCGGTGAGCTGTAGTACCGAGTCCCGCGCGTGGAACTCCGAGAACTCCGCCGCAGGTGCCCGAGGCGGTCCTCCGTCGCCGGGTCTCTCCAGGAAAAAAACTGTGTGGGTGTAACTTTGTAGGAAGAGCAGCATCACAAATTCGTTTTGCATTACCGCAGGTAGTACGTGAACATACGTATGGTAGTAGCCTATGACGCACATCCAGCATGACAAGTGTAACAATTTTGGATTTTCTGCATCACAGACTTACACTTACATAGTTTTATTCTTGCATAGGGTTCGCAGTGGAATTATTGGTTTGTTCATTCAGCAACAGGGTGTCTAGGTCATTCAGGACGTTGCCGTCCTCTTGAATGAAGGAGGTTTTCACGACGTTCACGTTGTTAGAGTCTTGAAGATTACTTCCGGCGACAGATGTTCGCACACTTTCTGTTGTTTTTTCTTCTCCTCGTAGATTTAGGTCGTCTTCATCTTGTTGCGCAACTCCAACTTGTTCAGAAAGTTGACCCTCATAATTTCCATTTTCGCTTTGGCTTTCAGACTTGTCCTGAAAGCCAATCTGCCGTGTCGACTCCTCACGTTGGAGCAACGCCGAGACACCTACTGGCTGGAGATCCTGTAGGAGGTTTTGTGCTGACGCGACGAAGGCGACCGCAAGGGAAGTCGTAACAAAAGACGTTCTGCAGCTTCTACTACTCAAGAACCTTGACAGGCCTTTTCTGGCAAAAGTTGTAGTGGTCGCGGACTTCGACCCGGAACTGCATGTAGTTGACAGCGGTGTTCTTGATGCTTCTTTCTTATGACCGGACATAGAGGCGGATTTTTTGCCGGCACGCGATGGTGGACGAGATGACAGATATTCACTTTTTGTTTTTCCGTTCTTTCCCTCCATCGTAGACGCGCGGCTGAGCATGCTGCTGGTGCCGCCCTCCGTGCTGAGCATGCTGCTGGTGGTCGTGCTGGTGCCGCCTTCCGATTCAAAAAGCTTCTTGCGCACTGGAACCACTGGGAGGAGGTCTTTTATTGAACAAGACGGAGAAGGTTTTTACACCGTGAAGGCACATGGAGCTGCCGTTGAAGAAAACGTGGAATAGTGCTGGCCTTCGCGATTCTTCTCAACCGCACTGTACCAGTCGCGTGCGACGGATGCAACAGGAGCTGCCGGATCCTACATCAACATACAAGCAGACTTTTATCAATCTTGTTACAACTCGGTGAGAACTGTAAACAAAGATACGATGCCACGGAAGAAAAAATTCCCTACTGTGACAGGTCGCCAGGGAAGATGCCACTGATACTGAAGATAGTTAGACATCGAATATAAGCATAATCCTAAACGAAAGCGCTTGCATAGTTTGTCCTCCAAATAAGCACAATCCTATCAATTACCCATTGTCCAGCAAAGACATAAAGACACACACGAATAGACACTCACTCACCTTCGAGTTCGAGTATGAATATGATCTTCACGATATCGATGATGAAACTCTCTGATTTTGCAAGCGAGAACTAAAACGTAGTTTTTGTACATACGAAGAAACTGAAAACTTCTCTCGTTTCAACGCACACTCTGCAAACCAAAACCCAGAGTCGCAGAGGAATGAGGACTTCCAACACAGCGGCAAATCTAGACGACGAGGACTCATCACGGTTTTCTGATTCGCTACTTCCCCTGATGAACGAACGAACAAAAGACAAGGAGTTGTCGTGACCCAAGTAGAAATATGTACAGCCGCAATTCAATTGCGCTGCTGCATTTTTTCTGGCAATTTTTCAGGAATCATAGCACCTGGAATTCAGGTCCTACATTTCTTCTACTTACAACAGTTGTTTAGTTTTTAGAAGCGGCTAAGCCGTGCGGTCCAGTTCTTGCCTTCCACCTATTCCGAGTTTTCGAGGAATACTAGAGTTTTCAAAATCAAAAAACTTGGAACCTCTACCTCTAAAAGAGACCACAACAGCGCTACTAGTAGCAGAAAACAACTTCCAGCACACTGCGCAGCTGCTCGTTTTATCTACCCCCAATCGCATCCTTCTATTGTAGTAAAGAAAAATACGACAAAATCCTTCTTGCAGCTTCCGGCTTTGCTAGATCGCACAACTTTGCCAGATCGCACCATGATAGAGTCGGATCTTCTTCTTCCACCGTAACTTTTTCAGATACAATGGTGACCCTCACTTGTTTTTACAGATCAGTTGTTCCGTCATCATACATACTTTCGAACTTAATGCAGTTCAGCCAAGTTGTCGTTCTTATACGTCATTGTCATCTTCAAATGGGTAGTTATTTCAGCGTAATTGATGAAAACAAACGCTTCCACAAGTTTTTCTTCTCAGGTATAGCTGTATGAAATAGCACTGCTGATGCTCTACTTCTAGTTTTGACCGTGATTTCTTTTTCTCCCCTGGAAGGACAATGTACTTCGATACAGCGCGGGTACTAGAATCCCGGCCCAGCAGTGGCTCCTCACAACCAGCAAATGGCTCCTGCACCACAGCGAGCAGAAGCGATTTGATTCACTTATTCATCCATAATGCTGTCAGTGCTGCTGTTGTCCTTGTTGTTGTCCTTCTTCTTGGACGCTTTGTTGTTACCAGCACCTGTAGCAGGCTCGACCTCATTGCTGGGGGCATTTTCATTCAGTGCCATTTGATCCTCATCGTCGTGCTCGTGGTCGCCGTACTTCTCGCCATGATGCTTCTTGCCATGATGCTTCTCGCCATGATGCTTGTTCTTGCCATGATGCTTCTTGCGCTTGCCATGATGCTCTTTGTCATGATGCTTCGTGTTCTTCCCATGATGATGCTTCCTTGTCTTCCCGTCCTGCACCGCCACTTCCAGCGCCCCCTGACCTTCATTACCTTTTTCTCCTGCACTCTTTTTGGTCGTGGCTTCACCAACCTCGGCGGAAGAAGCGGCATTCTGTTCTTCAGGTTCAGCAGCGCCAGCCGTCATTTCCTCAACATTATCGTCTGCGGCCGCCTGCTTGCGACCCTTCTTGTTCTTGTTCTTGCCGTGGTGCAGCTTCTTGTTCTTGTGATGGCGAGGATGCTTGTTGTGGCCATGGTAGTTATTTTTACCTCCGTGCTTCTTCCCCTTCATGTTGTGGTGCTTGTGCGGTTTCTTATGCTTCTTCTCGACCTCTTCGCCTCCTTCATTTTCGCCAGAGTCAGAGGTAGACACACGCTGAGCTGCAACTACAGCGTCCTCTTCATCGCCTCCTTCATTTTCATCAGAGTCAGAGGTAGACACAGCGTTGTTGTCGTCCGCCGCTTCATGTGGCGCTGCGGCGGTGAGGGAAACCTGATTGGCATTGTTAGCTCCATTACTAGCAGAACCGTCTTCATCATCATTGTCCGCGGTTACTTGCTGTAGCTTGAGCTTTTTTTGCTTTTGCACGCCGCCGGTCCCGCCCAACAGGGGCCGTTTGCGCTCCTTTTTCTCTTCATCATCACCACTAACCGCAGTTAGAGTTACATTGTTTTCGTCGTGCTTGCCCAAAAACTTCGCATCAGCAAACAGGCCCAGAGCGGAAACAGCGGCGCAGACCGCGGCCAGACGACAGTGAAGGGCGAACATCTTGGGTGATTTGTCAGCAATGTAACAAGTACTTACTCTGACACAGACACTTCTTGCGCACGTGTAAAAACTTTCTGCTACTGCAATAGGACGAGTGTTAGAGAATAAAGAGGGTGATCGTTGAGTGTTCTGCTCCAATTTACTCAAAATCTACTTCTAAGGAAAGGGGTTTACGCTCGTCAATCAAGATGAAAAAAATGAACCAATCAAAGAAAAGACGAAGTAAAATTGTTGACTGTGATTATAAAAATTATGGGCTTTACATTGAACTAAATTTCAGATTCAGTCCGTGACCGATGCTATATACCATATCATGAGCGCGGTCATTTATTTGATGATCTCGCTTTCATACAGAGGCATGATCTTCATCAACACACATATTCATAAACACTGATCTTCATCTTCTATCCATCAAGTTCAAGATCGTGTGGACTACCGACGACATTATGCTGATCCAAAATTTGGTCGAAGGATGATCCGGATCCCTCGATGACTCTGCAATTCTTTTTTCCTTTGCCCTCGATTTACAACTTCTTCTCCGTATTGGGTGTATAATTCTATCACAAGACAAAGATGAACCCAGCTGCAGCAAATTGTTAATCCCCGCACAAATTTGTGCACTGGACTGCAGTGATTTGTAACCAGCGGTGTTTTTTTTTTCGGATTTGGGGTGTGTCAGGTGATTTCTAAAAGCAATTTGGTTTTTGATCGATTTCCTCGGTTCCGGTCGTTGACCGAATCCGGTTCGATGATGAAGGAATAGTGGGGGAGAGAGCGCATAAGTACCTAAGCCGTGACTGTGACAGCACACGGGGATTTGAAGAAAAATAGACTCGAAGCAACTTTCACCTGCTGTTTGCGCTTCATAGAAGTCTAGTCATCACCAAACCACCGCTCCTACGGTTTTTCTTTGGCTTCAGAGAGTTTTCGGTACTTACTACACTATACTGAAAAGATAAATTTATAACTACATACAACACTGATTTGGGTGTTACTGTAGCTAGGTAAGCAGGTGCGACGTCGAGCAGGATGCTTTGTATGGCGTTCAGATGCGCAGATGCTTGCTAGCGTGCTTCGATGCTAGGCACGGGCCGACGCTAACAAATGCGCGAGAGGTTCGAACATACACAAAATTTGCGTCAGCGTAAAATAAGATGCTTATAATTATAGCAAGTATGTTCAAACTATTCGCTGCATCTACCCCTGTCGACAAGTAGACAAAACAAAAAGTCCCTCCTGGTGCTCGGGGTTTTCGGGAAATTAGCTAGTATGTGCAAGAGGTCCGCCACATCAGGCTTTTGCGTTCTTCCTTCCTTGTTCTTTGTTTGTAAAAGAATGCTTTTCGATTTCGTGTCTTCGCAATAAGTCAAAGCGAAAGCTTTTGCTGTGAAAAGCCCGGTCGTGCCAGCTTAAATAATGTTTACCGCCAGACACGAAGACATGCTTACTGCAGAAGACCCAAGAACTCCGAAGATTTTCATAATCCCGCGAGCACAATGTCCTTGAAAAAGTGCCGCTTCTTCAGGACTTCCCCGCCAGGAAGCCGCACTGGTGCCGCAAGAGCGCGATGAAAAATGGGTCGATAGACGTCTCGCGACGGCAGCGGGCTTCTCTTCGGGCCATTGGGCAGCCATTTCTTCGGCCAGTACAAACCGCCTCCTAGTTTGTTGAAAATCAGGATTTTCGTCGGCCTCCCATACACAAGTTGCTCCTGAATCGCAGCATCGATGACTGCGGTCACTGCAGCCTCCAGGCCCGCGAGAAAAAAGGCCATACTCTGCGTTGCGAGGGTGTTCAGGGTGCGTCTTCCACTGCCCCCATATCCCCCCAAATAACCCGCATTGGGCGCTGCAACCCAGAATAGCCCGCCGATGGTATGGGGGTTCCGGAGATTTGTGTACCATTTGTTATCCTCTCGCCCGATTTTCGTGTTGCGCACAACCCAGCAGTCGGAAAAGTCGACCGGATTGCGCGTGTGCCTGTAGTTGACCCCTTGCCGCGTCCGGTTGTCGTGCGGCCGACTCTTATTGGTGTACAGTCCCCACTTGCCCTGGATCGTCGACTTGTACAGCTCGATCATCTTCCGCGCGTAATAGTTATACCGCGTGGCAAACGATCCCCGCCCGAGATCCCGCGGAATGCCCCCGGCGGCGTGCACGAGCCAGTTGCTCACCACAGATTCTTCCTGGGTCCCGTGCCTCGCGTGTATGTTCCTCAGGTTGAGCCGGAACTTCGCCCACGGATTGTTGTTGTCCCAGCCCATGGACGCGACCGCACCAAGCGGCCGACCGTGGTTACCGGCCACTGCGATCCCGATCTCTCGGACAGGGTAACGCCACCGCCTGACCATCACGTCCACTAGGTTCTGCGCCAACTTATATTCCGGTGCGAAGCGGAAGACTTGTCCAGGTCCGTTCCATGATTCCCGATTCCTTCGCGCGAGCGCTTCGTTGCGGTTGCTCTCTGCACTTTGGCGGTTGCGTCTCTGCTGAGGAGCAAGATTGGACAAATTCAGTTCGTGAGGCGTCAAGGTTTGCCAGTTTGCAGTCCGAGACGCAAAGTTCCGCTCTTTCCAGTGCCAATGCGGATCCCGCGGATACGCAATGAACTCGCAGCCTAGCTGGTCGGGGCGATTTCTCGCTTCGTTTTGCCCCCCGGGAAACGCGAACACTCCGGGAGCCACGCTGGCGACGACCACACGCAGGAACATTTTTGCAGAAAGGTTGGTTTTTGGAAAATGAAAATCTTTCAAAAAAAATAACTCTGGGTCTGTTTTTGGAAAATGAAATTCTAGACGCGCCGCGGTCTTCACGCTTGTTTGGTTATCAGCCGACTGCGATTGTAGCTACACTTCCTCGTGTGGTTGTTGTTGATGTTGTCTACTTGTATGTCCCCCTCGTAAAAATTCAGACTATTTCGTTTTGAAAAAAAAAGTGAAAGAAGTTTTGTTTGTTTGTTTGTTTGAACTGTAGGAGTAGGAGGGTAGAAGCTCAAGACTTGACTACTGCGAGGTTAATCACTAGGATAATCAGGGGCCTGCCATTCGTTTTCTTGGTGCAAAATTTATCATGAGGTGCTCGCTTCATACCAAGTATTTTGCTTGTTTGACCGATACTAGATCCACAAATGAATTCACTCTGTGTGTTCAAGACAACTGCTTTTCGTGCGCATCGACCGAACCGAAAATCAAAATCGCTTCGTACAGATCAACCTACTTCGTCGATCATACATTGGAATCGTCCGAGTTTTGATCTCAATATCCGAATCTTGGATACCATGTTGATCGGCGGGATCGAAATTTTTCATAGGTTTACAATCACCGATTTAGCGTGTTCAATGACCGATCCCACTCTCATCCACCAATTTGGATTTTTTGACAGGAGTTTCCATCTAGATCCGTCGGCATCTCACGAGCAGGAGCACCGCAACGGCGACGGTCCTCTATTTTATAATGATCTCAAACCACTACCACTAGAGAGATGTGTACATACCAAACAGCTCGTGGGCGACCGACAATATTTTTGTTTGTTCGTGAAGAACTCGTCGCAGAAACAAAATAGACATAGAGCTCATGTGCTGGCGAACACAATTTATTCCCTTCATCTCACGCAAGAAGAACAGGCTTTGGCCCTGGTCAGCGCTACTTCACTAGATGAACACACCGACGCCGACCGCCGGTTCGATACTGTTTTTTGCTGATTTCATCTCTGCTCGTTCCGAACCTCGGAGAAAGCCTCCTGGAATTTTTACTTCAGTTGACATAGCACCTGTCAGGAATAGTGGAATGCATACAACCCGTCGGGTAGTCTAGAATACGTCTCAACGAATACGAACTTCATCTCTCCTAGCAGTTGTAGTTCTAGCAACATTCAAAAACTGGATTGAACGCAGCTAGGAACAATACTAGAATCAATTCAGCACGTCATTCTATCTTCTTCTTTCTTTTCCCTCCGTGGAGGTGAGCATCGATCAGATCAGAGTCAAGACGAAGACCAAATCATACAGTATAAAACATGTTGGACAACTACCTACCTTCATTTAGTTCCTTTTTCCACTGCGTCTCCTTGACGCACTTCGCCTTTCACTCCTCCTTTTTGCGTCTTTCAGCAAAAGCAAAACGGTACCTCCATTACAGTTTTTGCGTCTTTCAGTTACAGTTACAGTTTGCAACTTATGTACGTCCATCATTGTGATCCAAAACTTTTGCGAGCTTGCTTTTGCGAAACGCAAACAGCATGGTGTGTTACGGATAGAGTCTAGCGTTGCCGTTTGCTTGTGGTTTTGCTGCGATATTAGAAGAAGTACTTCATTTTAAGTATCCACAAGCAAATAAACAGCTCTTGAATCCGTCCATCAAATCATACATTTACATACTTCTACTCTGGCTTTGCATCAAGCTCGTTCAAAAAAAACTGTTGTTGAGGGCTTCAACTTTGCAGCTGTCGGTCTACAACAATTTTTTTAGAGCTAGTTATTACAACACAAACAGGTAGTTTTGCGGGTAGTTGGAAAGCCAGTGCGTCACCTCCCCCGATCTTCCCAAACCATAGACGTCCTCCTCGTTGATATGTTAATACATCCCCCAAAACCTTCAAGTTTCAACTCCATAATCTCACATCAAATATAGAAATGCAGTAACATTCGTGGTGACTGCCCCAGTTGATCACTTCTTGTTGGCCTCAAGTTCTCCTTTAGCACCAGGAGCAGCTTGGTGCAGCTCAACAGCGCCGCCTTTGTTCTTCGAATCGACCGCGGCAGCTCCAATCGGCGCCGCCAACATCTCGTGGGCCTTTCCGGCAGCTGCTTTGCCGGCTCCGTGTCCTCCGTTGGTTCCCTTCTTGATGTGGTGCTTGTTCCCCTTGGCCTTGCCGTGGCGCCTGCGGTTGTTCCGCTTCATCATCCGAGAACCCGAAGACCGCTTGTTTCCCTTCCGCGCAGAAGAAAAGCGCCTCCGCAAGCCATGGAACAGCTTTCCCCCTCTGCGCTTCAGGCCATTTTTCATCCGCAACAGGTTCTTGCCCATACGTCCCCGGCGGTGATGACGGCGGTGGCGGCGGTGCACCGCTTGGGTAGAGGTTTCCGAGTGACGGTTTTTGTGACCATGGCGACTCGCCGCTGCCGCAACCGGCTTGTTCTCCTGGTGGGTGCTCACGGAGGCAGCAGGCGCGGCCGCCGCGACGGCGGTCGGCTGCTGCTCCTTCTTGCTGGCGTGCTTGTTCGGAGAAGCCGCAACAACTTCTGCTTTGCCTTGTTGATGTTCTTGCGCGACGTGTTGTTTATTTCCCTGGACGCAGGCCAAGAACCCCAACGCTGACAGGGCCGAGCAAAGCGCAACGAAAGAGCGAGAGCAAAGACGCACCATGTTGTCTCTATTTCGTGGTCTGTTTCTTAGTACCTCGACCTGGTGCTGATGTTTGTGTTTGCTTAACTGTAAGACCTTGATAAAGCTGTTTCAATACTGCGCTTCAGCAGGAAAACAAAAGACGTGAATGTTGAGATGATGTGAAAAGAGATGTTGTGATGTAGCTCTAGCTTTGCAAAAGTTTTACGTGTTACGTTGAACGGATTCAAATGAAAGACAGTATTCAAGCTCATATCCTGTAGTGTAAGTGTAGCTTCAGGATAATTCCGATCAATAGATTCAGATTGTTGTTCAAAACAATCACATTTTGGATCCCATCCACAAATGCGACGCTCATCGAGACCGACTCTGGTAGGATTTTTTGTAATGACATGGAGCAGCAGGCGGAGGATCGTTTTCGAGGACTACAAAATAAAAGCGCTTTTACTGTAAAAGTAAATTTGTGCACGGTGGATCGACATTCTTTTGTGATCTAAGTGCTATTCTCCTTCTCTCGCTGATCTGGTATTTTGCGAGAAAGCAGTACTTCAGAGTGCACCAGGGCACTCGGACTCTTGTTCCATTTAGTGTGCACATCAATACCCGGAACATGAGTGCGAAAACGCTAACAGGAACTTTCAACTTCATAATCATAGTGTGATGATGATATTTCTGGATATTCATACGAGGTTGATACAACCCAAGCTTTTGCAGCTCACATCGTTTGCGACGTTGCTACAAGTTATACATGAAGTTACTATCTGGTCAGGCCGATCGTCGTAATTTCTAGTTGTCCTTTGCTTTCATATACAGCTCTGGAGATTTTTATTGACTACACTTATTTCACTGCAATGTTAAAATGTACCCATCCTTGTCAGTAAAGCCATGGTATTCCGCCTTCCCTATCGTCGAAAAAAATTACCATCTCCGCCCTGGATTTGCCTTCATAACAAAGAAACTGGTTTGCAACGAACTTTGTAGTCATGCCAAACTTCACTGCGAGGGCGCATTGCAATTTGAGGCGGGCGAAGATGGTCGTGTTTTTCTCTACACTACTAACCCAGCTGTTGCTCGACGGTGATGGTCTTGCGTCCTTCGTTTCCTGAACCGACGGTGCCGGAGCGCAGTCTGGCGGGTTCACCGCACGCACCAAATCTAGCTGGAGTCTCGGCACACAGACCGTCAACTTGCTCTGCTCCGAGAACAGAGGCCGCTGTGGCTTGTTCTGCCGCGCTTGTTCTCGTTCTGATATTTTTTTACCTGTCATCGGCGTTGTCGCGTGGTAACTGTTTCTGTGAAGAAGTTTTTGAAAGACGACACTATCTCCCTCCCCCAAGTCATCCTCGGCCAGGAGAAGCGTCTTTGTAATTCCTTCTTGTGCAGCTTCCGCTTCGGCTGCGCGCATCGCGGCATAGTCTTTTCCATCTAACAAGCACGATGAGTTTGCTGTATCTCGAGCGAAAATCTTACGATTTCGACTTTTCGTACTGCCGTCATCATTTTCTTTGTGCACCAGATGTATTTTTGTGTCCAGAAACTTTTTCAGTTGTGAGATGGTAACCTCACCGGATTTTTTAGCTCGAGCGGTAGGTGGGGAAGTACCCGAGTTCAAAGAATTATCTGTTACGGATGAAGTCGCGACATGGCCATGCTTCGTCTTATAATTTTCTGCAGAATAATTACAACTCGTAACACTACTAGTGCAAGCGCGCCGGTGCTCTCGTCGCAACAAACTGCGGGTGGCTAAAGGAGTTGTAGAAGAAGTTCTTTTACTGGAGGCCTCCAACGCCGGAGCCTTTCTCGAGGCCGCGGGGCAACCTCCGTAGCTGTTCATTGCGATCCTGCTGTTCTGGAACCAGACGTTAGACTTGGCGGATGCTGTGGTCGTTTCGTTTTCATCTGCTGCGGGGGCGTGTAAGCAGTCGCAAGTCTCGTCGCGTAGTTCTCGTGCCGTACTTCCCGCACGGTGTGTCAACAATCGTCTTATGGACTTGCATGCATCACTGATTTTTTGCAGTTCCGTTTTTGCAACAGGAGAATCTACTTCGGGTTCGGCAACTCGATTTTGGGAAAACAAACACAAAATACCTCAGAAAAGAGGAGGAAATAACAATAAGTGCACACACTACAATTCAACATCAGATTGGTACGCACAGCTGAACTCGCCGGCCACAGCCAGCGCCAGGCGCGTACCATAACCATACAAAAACCTTGGCTGTCCCGCCGATTATTTTTCCTATTTTGAATAATATTACCACCAGTCTATCGCAGCTTCTCTCGCGACATCCCCGGCCGAACGGATGAAGACTATGATACTTTGTAGAACGCTATGCAGCGAAAGAAACCAGTGCAGCGATCTTCCGATGAAAAAAATGCTACCTCCGCTTGTTCTCGTCGCGGCAGGGACACGCTCTGCATTCGGAAAAGACCCGTTGCAAAAAAAAATCGACAAACACCACGAGCTAGTAAATCTATCAAGGAACAATCATCTTCTTCGTAGAAGATTCAGTCAAATAAGAACTGATCAGTGTCCAGCCCAGAAAGGGACATCTATACAATTACAAACCGGCCGCCCCTAGAGTTTCATATCAAGACAAATCGCCGATTCCAATGTCTTCAACATGATAGGAAAGACGATCAGGCACGTACCGCACTGCATCACAATCACATCTTGGATGATTATGATTTTGAAGATGAAGGAGAACAATTTTTCTTGCAAGCCTCTTCACGATCATCCTCCGTGTAGGAGCCTGCGTTCTGTTACTAGTTTTACAGTCGGTGGTAGTATGTACAGGAAAAAGCCCGCTACTGGAACGTAGAGCTTTGGCGCAGTAATTTTCCGCGCTTGGTCAAGAACCCGCTTTCTGTCACATCCGCCACCACCACGGTTTCGAAATTGTTCATATTGGCCACCACCCTTGTCGGCACCCAGGGCCGTTCGCCGTCGTTCTTGATGTTCAGCATGTTCTTGAATTTCGCATGGAAAAAGACCTGTGGCACGCGATAAGTATCATCCGGAAAACACCAATACTTGTGCTGCTCCTTTTGATACGAGAGTTGCCTTTTCAGGTGCGTTAGCTTGCTGTTCATGCACTGCAAAAGTATCGCATTCGTAGTATCGTATGCTGAAGTTGCAAAAAAATCGCATCGCAAATTGTAGCTCCATCTTGTTGAGATTGAGAACTAAGATGAATTTGTAAATGTTGATTTAGCTTCTAAGAAGCACGAACTGTGAAACTGTCGTGCAAGATTGCAATGAGTCCGAGTGCGATACTTCTGCACTGAATACTAGCCACAACCTCGTCACCACCGCTGGCACCTTTAGAAGAAGTGCCATCTTCATCTACTTTGCTCGTCGTTTCTTTCTCTTTGTCGTGCGCGACATCGTCCACCAAGACCCCGGACGCGGTAGAAGAACTCGTCCGTTCCAAATCTTCAATTTCGTTCTCGAGTATTTTCAAGTTTCTCTTCGTGACAAACCTCTTTTCCGGAACGCGGAACGGCCGCACATACTGCTGGGCCTCTGCCACTGGAAGTCCAGGGTGTATAGAAAGGAAGGTGGACAAGAACTACAATCAGATCTCGATCAATAATTACCGCGAGGGCACGGCAGAGAGACCTGCTCAGGCTCGCGCAAAGATCAAACAGCGGACGTGCCTGGTCCTCTCATTGACGTCAAATGCAGTTTTTGTCTTTTCAACTACTCTTTTTTCCCTACATGGAGAGTTGTATGTAGTCCTTCTCTTCGCAGGTGTCGGACAGAAATGATCGGGAAGAGATATGAAAGTCCGTTCTTGCGCTGATCGGGAAGATCTTGCATTTCTCGTGGTACACTTATCCGTCGCCGTGAGGGACACCTGTATGAAGGCTAGCTGTTCGAAGCCAAAGTTTTTTTCGTGCAACGGCGACATTTCGTCGATCCGGTGCCGGATCGTCAGCACATTGCTGGGGTTCCACATGGCGTAGTCAGACACCGGAATGTTCAAATTGCGCCACACCCCGTTGCGCGTCGTCATCTGAATCACGATTTTCGGCTGGATCAGCAGCGTGCTGCTGCGCATGGTGCTCATGCGGATCACGAGCTCCGGGAATTCCTCGAAGTCGCCATCCGTATAGTAAAGTTTCTTCGGCCGGGGAGGAACTGCAGCTCCAGCTCCAGCTGCATCTCCTGGGTGGTCTGCCGCCTCGACAACCGTACGGCCCGGTTGTAATTGTGGTTCCTGTGGGCGGACGACAGGTGTGCTCACCGTGTCGACCACCGCGCTACCGACCCCTCCTTGGCTCGACGACCTTGACAGAGGACCATCGCGGTCAACTATATTTACTTCTGGTTGGTTGTCAGGCTGCAGTATCTGTCTTTTCTCGAACCCGTTTTCGTCCAGACCCAGGTCAAGCGGGCCTACGTGGTCCTTCAGTTTCCCGTCAGAAATCACGCAGGCATGGCTGAACACCACTTGCTGCAGCGGGGTCAGGGCTCGGGCAATGATCAAGGCACCCGAAATGGTCAGCATGATCCAGTGCGACCAATTTTCCACAACCAGCAACAGGGCCTCCAACACGCTCAACACCCTGCTTCCTCGGGAGTAGCCAAAGATCAGCTCGGTGCCAATCCCGCAGGCGGACAAGGAAAGCAGAATGAAGTCCTTAAACTCCGTGTCGTCGGTGCTGCTCGAGGACCCGGCGCCCCTTCCACTGCTACCTTTGTAGTCCGCATCCAACACGCCCATCAGGTGGTAGGAGAGGAAGAGCAGCAAGCCAAACGTCAACACGAAAACCAGCTCACACACTGCATGGATGAAGACCAACTTTCTAATGCTGAACTCCGTGACCAGTAAGTGCCAGATGTCCTCCCCATTGCCCGCGCGAAACGCCGCGGTGTCGCCGTCGAAAGTGAACGTATCCACAATGTACGCGAGGGCGAGGTTTCTCAGCCCCGGCCGGTGGCAATTGAAATCCGGGCCGAGGTCGGCAGTGATGGAAATCTCGTTGTTTGATGCAATATCGACGTCGGTGCCAAGTGCATCAGTAGGGGAAGTGGTGGAAGAGACCTTGCCGGTACTGGCGTCTATCCGTTTTTTCGCAGCAGGTGGGGGCAACCCGGTGATCTTACTGACCGGCAAGTTCTCCTGTCGATGATGTCCTCTACGACGAAGGAGGTTCTGAGGAAAGAAACCCTTGACCGGCCAGAAAGATGAAGAGGAGGATGACTCCTGAGCGGTAGACGACATTTTGTTTACTTATCTTGGTTTTGCGAGAACCCTACGCAGTTGCTATACGCAGTAGCTATGCTCTACGTCTACGAGTGAAAAATCAACGCACAGATCCGCCAGTGCCGTGGCTGTCGTGTCGAAAAATTCCACGGTGTCATCAACATCAAATATAAACATTTATAAGGCGACCGACACACTCAAATCTCAGTCTCACGCTCTTTAAAATCAAGTCGCTCTTTGCAAAAGCAACAAAAGAAAGCGAATCAACATGGAGAAACAAAAAGGACGAGCAAACTCCGAAAAGGCAATGCCTCAATATGAATATTGCGCCGCAACTTTAAGCTGCACTATCCAGAGAAAAACACCCATCCCCATCCATTTTGCTATTTTTTCAACAAAAAAAAACAAGTTTTTTTTCAAAAAATTTTAAGGGTTTTCATCAATCGGCATCGGAAGCAATCACTTTAGTGCTGACATAGCTAAAGTGGCGTCATAGCTAAGAACTTTTGACATGAATTAAAGTAGCTAGGTCCATCGCAGGTCATCGCAGCAGGCGACGACTTCCAGATCCTGCAGAAGCCTCTTTTCGCCGCCGCGCATCGACTCTGGCCCCATCGCTTGGCCCATTTTGTAGTGGCCATATCGCCATGCCACCGCGTCGCCACATGGGATGAACGCGACGGACCTGGGATGGATTTTGACATGTGCTCTCCTTTCGGTTCGAGTGGATAATACAAATTCCGGACGGGGAGACTTTTGCTGTTCGGCAAGGCTGCCGAAGCAAAAACTTTTTTGATTTTGTTTTTTTCCAAAAAAATTTCGTTTTTGAAATTGACCTTGTTTTTGATGGATGATGTTTTTTCGCACGACGGTACCACAAATATTGGGTCGACCCATCCAGTCCATTTTCTTTTAGAAGTGGCTGGATGGGTCGAAGCAATATTTGTGGTACCGTCGTGCGAAAAAACATCATCCACAAATTCTAGTGTCATTTTGAAAATTGCAACAATTCCTACTTTTTTGTGGATGATGTTTTTTCGCACGACGGTACCACAAATATTGCCTCGACCCATCCAGCCATTTCTAAAAGAAAATGGACTGGATGGGTCGATCCAATATTTGTGGTACCGTCGTGCGAAAAAACATCATCCATCAAAAAAGTGAGCATTTTCAAAAACGTGGCATTTTTTTGCAAAAAAAAAAAAATGCTTTTTTTTTCGTGAGCTGGAACGCAAGATCTGCTCTGCAATTATCGATGATAATTGCGCAGCTGGTGCTGCTCCCGCTAATTCCAATGGTGCAGCCGCGGCGTTCTTGGCGGGTTGTCCTCTACCTCTGGGTATCTGTGCGTGACTGCGCCAAAAGTTCAAAACCTCCATGGGGCCAGAGGTGCCCAACGACGAGAACGGGCTTCGGCGAGTTGTATTTCTCGGTCGTGGTTCGGATCTCGGTTTCAGCTAGCTACCTCAAAATCACTTAGCGAAAGTATGTGCCACTGACGCCACTAGCTAGCTCCATCAATTAGTACTTCTCGCAAATGCCATGCAAAAAATATTTCGGAGTTTTTTATTTCTTTATTTATTTTTCATGATTTTTTTGCATTGAAAAAATGGCAAAATGGATGGGGATGGGTGTTTTTTTCTGGATATGCACAGGTTCCATGCTATGAATGATCTCGCGTGGGTTGGCTCGTTAAAAAAATCATATACAGAGTTGTTTTTCATACACGTGATTGCAATTGAAATGCGTTGCTTCCGTCTTGATATTTACGCTACCATGATCCCATCCTGCATTCAATATGTATATGTATATGCGCTGCACACACAGGAGCTCCAGACACAGTCATCTACAAGCCTGCGTGTGCTTGCTCGTGCAGCACATAACGCTTGTATCACATGGCTCGATGGTGCCAAGGAGATTTTCGCAGAAATACTTTCTCCCTAGCAGTGCGTGGTCACCAATACGAATACCAGCCAAAATACATGCAGCATTGATGGTACAAACGAGATATGACATGACTCCATGAATAGTTTTTGCTTTAGAGCCGTTAGGTACTATCCGTCGTTTTGAAAAGTAAGAGTTGCATTTGAATCATTTTTCCAGAGTTGAGCCGAGGTGGCTTTGATCAACATAAATATCGAAGAACTTCTAGAGAGGTTGCAGTACACAGCCGGCTTATGAAGTGGGAACTTTCTTCTACCGCCAATCGCGTTCCGATATTTAAGCGCCCATCTTGAGTTCCTTGAGCTTGTCGACGGTTTCTTGGAAAAATTTCTCGTCGGACTGCACGTACATCATGCCCAACAAAGCCAGGCACTGCGCGGCGTCGGTATCCTCGACAGAGTCGAAGACGGACTTTTTGATGCTGACCGGCCCGTAGGTAACCTGTGCGTCGCGGCCCCACTCGACCAAGGTCTTCGTGTCCAGGATCTTCAGGAGGGCTTTACCTGTGAATAGAAGGAAGCGGTGCAATGATAGATAGGCGCTGTTGATGGAGGGGTAAAACCTTACTTCTCGTGTGCTCACGTCAGCCGTCGAAGTTGGTCTGTTCTAAATGAGAACAATTTGCACTGAATCGAGGCGACCGGCCCCTTTGCAGCTATTCGCCCAAAAAAGATGTTGACCGTAGAGAGAGTCACTTCTGAACAAAAAGAAATGAAAAACGCAATATATTAATTTCGCTTGAAAAATAAACAAAGCTCTTCACGTAATTATACCGAAGTCATCCTCCTCCGGCTTCATGCCGAGCCAGTTCATCTTTTCGGCGAGGGCCTCGAAGGGGGAGGCGGAGGCGTGCACCGCGTTGTCGCCGACATTCGGGACGGACTCCAGGCCGTATTCCTTATGGATGTGTCAGGATCGAAATCGGCACAATTGAAAAATTTGTGATGCATAAAATGTAGAGCACTGAAGGCCTGTATTGGGGAGCAGGCATCTGAGACCGATTGCGATCCTGTTTAGGGGTATGCAGCGCGCTGCCAGAGTAGCATGACAGGAGCAGTCTTCTTTGCCCAAACAGCATGACAGACTGGATTTTGGGGCTCCCGAAATTTGTCATGCGCCACTTGGAAACTGAGGCTCCAACTGTCATCGATTTTGTGCATCACAAATTTTTCGACTTTGTCAATTTCGATCCTGACATTCCCATATTCCTTCCAGTTCTTGTAGAACATGCCGCGCAGAGAGTCCTCCGGAGCGGTCACCGGATCGGTCGGCCCGAGGGCTTGGCCTGATGAATTAGTATAATTTGCGTTGATATTGGGTGGCGTCTACTTCTACAACAAACTGTTGGCAGACTACATTTCTCGTACTTACTAGGTAGTCTCAAGTATCTTTCGGGTCATGCTGGTCACTAACGTATGAAACTCCTTTAGCAATTACAGCAACACAAATTCTACTCCCTCAAACATCAAAGTGAGAAAGGTAGCCTTAAATACCACGGAATTCTTCCCAGCTGAGGTTCTTGGAGTCCCATTCGACGACGAAGTAGTACAGGGAAGCGGATTCAACGACGTAATTGCTGCGCATGCTCATGAAAAATCCGTTCATCACGTAGATGGGCTCTTGACCTGAAATGGAATTGGAATTGGAGGCGATAACGTGGCTAAAGGGATTAGAAATTCCACTATTCACGTGAAACAGTAGGAGCAGCTTCTCTCAGCAGTGCAAAATTGAATGTGAAGTACCGGCCTTCGGTCGAGACAAAAGGAAACGGCTACGACACAGAAGAAAAAGATGGTCGAAAGTATAGAAGAAGTACCCTACGAATACCAAACCCTGAGCACAAGCAAGCTACTCAGAAGTAAAAAATACCTTCAACCGTGTCGATGAGTCCGCAGTAGAAGCCTCCGCCGAATTTCACCAACTTGCCGGCCTTTTTCGCCTTGGCCCACTCGGTATTCAGCTGTTCGCTGTCCATGCCGAGCTTCGTGCAGGCATCCTTGGCGTTGAAGATCTTTCCCTCGGCGAGTGTGGCGTCCCAGTCCCCACCAAACTTGTCGGTGAACATCTTTTTCGGCACGTTCAGCTCGGACGGCTTCAGGATGGTGGCTTTGGAGGCGATGGCATAGTAGTGGTTGTCGATGAGCTGCTTCTCGTCGATTTCCTTGCCGGTAATGAGGCCTTCCTTCAAAACCTTCAGGCCCTTAGCCTCCAAACCTTCCTTGACCACCACGCGCGCCTTCTCGGTGTTGGCGTGGGGCTTGACAAAAACGAAAGCGCTGTTCTTCACCATGTTGGGCAGATGTCGTGTCGTTGGGGGAAAAAGTAAAACGTACAACTACGTACGGTAAGTACCGAAGAGAGAATATCAGAAGAGAAGAGGGAAAAAAGTCGTTGTAGCTGAAGAGCCTAAAAAACTTGCCTGCTGATTTTGTTTTTGACAAGAGAAGATCAGAGTATATCAGTGCAAATAAAATGGAGAATCGAGATGCAATGCTACCTACGTGAAGTAATCTTAGTGCGTAAAAATGATTCTCGGATCTTTTTGTATAGCTCTTTGGTCGTGCTAGCGCTACTGCTACGGCGTTGTTTTTGCAGGAGCAGGAGCAAATCCGGGATCGTCGGAAAATAATTTTCGGGGATCGCTATGATCCAGAAGATCTTTTCACAAACCTCGCAACTGATCTTGCTTCAATTTAACATTCACACGTTGCTGCCACAGCGTGCTAGAGACGCGGATCTTCATTTCATCATTCTATCATAATCAATTTTTTTTTACTTCAGCTTCACAATAAATCTTCTTCGAAACAACACGAGAAAACAGCTTGGCTAGACCGAGGTGCGTTCGAGTTCGAGTTAAGATGCGCTAGAAGTCTTATTAATATGGTGCAAATGCAATAGTCTCCCAGGAAACAGTCACTTCCAGCATCCTGATCATTCGAAAACGGCTTCCCCCTCGCTATCATGTGCTTTTCGTAGCGCGCCTGTAATTCGTGCGAGGACTGTCGCGAGACTGCGCACGTTTCTTCTTTCACATTTGCGTCGTCCAGCCAGCTTCGCCGTCCTGAGTTACACTCGGGACGCCTTGCAGGTACTCCGAGTACGAAAGACAGGCGCCCGCGTTTCCTTCCTGTATTCCCGAGCGAAACTTCTACATTTCACAAAGAGCAGCATCTGAATTGTGGTGAAATTCTGACTGTCAAAAATAAATCTTGATCTCGAAAAGTCCGCTGCGTACACGACAAGGCCTGGAATATGTTACCAAAAGAGAGCTCTCCGAGCTGGCCTCTTCTCCAAAGACCGGCGGTCTGAACAAGCAGGATGAAAAACTGGCACATAACATAATTGCGGGTACTATGCAGCTACTAGCGCAGAAGCTCCTGACAAACCAACTCCTGGACGACGGCAATGGTCCTCATGTTGTGCCACGACATAGCAACCACCCGCTCACTTCTTCCCCTTGTGAAAGTTTATGACATCCTCCACGACCCGTTCAAAATCCCCCTTGCCGTTGAAAATCCGAGCCAAATACGCGAGTTGGTGCGGCGACTGCTTCGGCCGCTTGAACACGCGGTTTTTCACGCGCGGTTTGTCGACTTCCTGTTTGAAAATCTGCTCGAACTCGCTCCTCGAAAACCTGACGCGGTTGTTGATTCGCAGAAAATCTACCGCCTCCGCGAAGTAATCGCCGAGTTCTGGGAGCCCCGAAAGCCGAAACTGCTCGGTTTCCGTGATGTTGAAGGGGTAGGGGTGGCCCAGGATGACGCCTTTCAGCCCGCCCAGTTCCTTCCTGGATGGGTGAAGGACCAGGGAGGACAGCTGCTGTTGGCTGTTTTGTAGACTGTGTTGACTCGTCCGCTGTAGTGTTTGTTGTGGTGCAAAAGTGGAGCCACTAGTAGTCGTCCCGCAACTCTGCGCAATGGCTTCACTCAGCCGCTGCTGGTCGTCATCCAAGTGGTCTTCGCCATGGTCGTTCCTCGGCGCTGTGAAGGAGGTTGTCGGCCGGCTGCCGTACGCACCACCCGTCTCGATCATATCGGCAATGAGCTCTGCGTGTTTTCGGGCCTCACTGCTCTGCTTCGAGGAGCCTTTGGACGTTGTTTGCCCACCTGAGGTGGATCCACCGCCCGTAGTCGTTGCGCCTACCGCTTCTGGCGTCATCTCTTCCTGAGCAGCACCTCCGCCGCCGCCCCCGAGCAGTCCGATTGCCTCCCGACAACTCGCACTTAGGAAACTGCTCAAGGCCCGGCCTTGGCGTCCGGTGACGGCGACCCCGTAGTGCGTGATTAGTCGATGGGGTAGTTGCTTGTAGAGCCGGTCGAACTGGAACACCCGTTCCGTTCTGTCCTCGCCCGTGAGCCAGGGGGCGATCAGTCCGGCGTACCTCGGGGAAAAGAGAAAATCCGCGGGGGCGAGAGGATCGTACCCAATGAAAATGTCGGTTTGCAGGGATTTTGTCACAGTTTGGAGGAGGTACTCCCGTCCGGAGAGGCTTTCCGTCTCCTCCAGCATCTGCATCGGGTCCAGAATCTCGATGTCGAAAGGTGCGACTGGTGGAAGCACGGGGACATCATGTCCTGCAGATGAGGATAAGCCGGTCTTCGTGAACCGTTTCTGCAAATACTCCGCCACCTCTTCCGCGTTTGAAAGGTCACCGATGGTGGCGGCGAAGTCCTTGTTGTAGTTTTTACCGCTTTGAGGACGTTGTCCTCCGGATGAAATAAGGTCTTGCTCGCCTGGTGTCGATTGTGTTCTTGACGCCGCGGCTGCGACAAGGATTGGTGAAACGGCACGAACTGCTCGCCTGTGGTTTCGGAAAATGATAACCTTGGGCTTCCGCTTGTCGATTTTTTCAATGGCGATGACTGGCCGCTTGCCCTTCTTCTGTGCCTTTGGTAATTCAAGAGCTTCAGCAGAAGTACTAGCACCATTAATTTCTTCTCGCACGATCTCCACTGCCCGCGCGTTTCTTATCAGTTCCTTCCCGTCGATGCCGAGTCGGAGGAACAGGTAATTCCGGAATCCGTCCAGCATCACCGGGTCCACTCCGTTCCCGGTTTTGTGCTTCAAGATCGTGTTTTGCTCGTATTTCCACACCAAATCCGGGTCAAACCACGGCCAGTGCCGCCAACCAAGGATGACGTGCTGAAAACACCTGCCCCGGGGCATTTCCCGGAAGGGCGTGACGGTGCTGGCGATGGTGGCTATCAAAGTGAAAAAAGCCCCCACCCCATAACGAAAACGGAAGATGCGCGAATTCGTGATGCTGTATTTGAGTACACAAATCGACTTGTATTGCTAGAAGGCCAAGAGACGAAGCTGCGGCCTACATTGCAGGTAATCTGTCATGCTGTTTCCCACTTCCAGTTGCCTCCTGCCATCCTGGAGCTGCAAGGCTTTCCCACGCTAGACAGCACTACAGTCCGCATCTTTTGCCTTGTAGCATCACAAAGCTGATTTGTGAGCACAAATCTGCATCACAGATTTCCGTTTTGATATGGGGAGGGGGCATTTTTCATTGTAATAGTGGCGAGGAGAACTTCTTCCAGGAAATTGGATTGGTCGCGAGGCTTTTTGTTCTTTTGCATGATTGGAACAAATTTGCTGGCGTGAACAGCAGGGGAAGACGAGGCCGCGGCTTGTGTAGTTGCACTAGAGTCAGTACCACCAGAATTCGTATGTAGTTCTCCACCATTGCTTCCGAACGGAGGAGACCTTATCGTGCTGTTCCTCTTTTGCATCCTTAAAACATGTCCCGGCCTTGCGTTCGTCCGCTTCTTCTTCCGCTTCGTAAAAAACTCGTCTGCGACAGTATCAAAAGGAAAAATCCCCCCTCCCCATATCGAAACGAAGTTTCTGATGCTGGATTTCCATACACAAATCAGATTTGTCTTGCAGTAGAGGAGTGCAGGCATATGGCAAGCCTCAGTCGAGAAGTTTTGGCGTAGGCACCTAGCATGACAAAGGTGTATGCTCTAAGCCAAGCAGCATGACAAACCGCCTGCGAAATGCGGAAGGCTTTCTGGACTTGCCTTCTTGCAAGACAGACAGGATTTGAGGTCACAAATGCGCATCACAAATTTTCAGACGGATACTTTTTCGATACGGGGTGGGGGGATTTTTCCTTTTGATAGACAGTGTGATCCATTTCGTCCACGAGATAAACATGAACTTTCGGGTGGGCGCGGAGAATTTTCTGGATCTCGTCCTTCACTGTCTTTACTGCCACTGAAGATGGTGATGAAGCGGTATCTGCTGTAGCGGGCCGCGTTGTTCCTGTAGGTGTTCTTTCGTTTGCTGAAAAGGCCCGGCGCATTTTGTCCCCGACTTTCTGGTAGTCCGCCTTCAGAAACCCCCAGCGGGACAGCGCAACGAAGATCTGCCACGCCACATCCAGAGCTGTTTGCAGTGTGTGTTTCCGCGTGGTGAAAGCGCTCAAGTTGCTCACCAGAACATCGTCGGGCGGGGGCTTGCCGATGACGATGTGGACTTCTTTTTGATGCGACTTTAATACCGCTTCATTTGTCGACGTCCCTCTGGTTTCCGTTTTTTCTGCTTGTTCTGGCGTAGATGAGGAAACATACGGGTAAGGAAGATGAGAACTCGACCGCTTCGAATCTTTGTCTTCCGTACCCTGCCACACTTGCATCTCCCTTAAGGGCGCGAACATTTCGTTGCTCCTGGGCGAAATGCTCATTCCCATCAGCTCCAAAATCCGGCTCTCCGGCCAATACGGGTGGACCTGCTTCCACGGGTTTTGGAACAGAAACCGGAAGGCCCGCGGGGATTTGCGGAAGCGTTTGAAGTCCATCTGGGTGTAGGGGTAGATCACCCCCTCGGATCTTCTTGAAGTCGTTTTGTGGATCAAATCGTAGTAGATACTATGCTTGTTTTTCGTGTAGATGAACTGCTTCCCGTTCGGGGACAGGCAAAGGTTCCGCACGTGGCAGTTGGTCTGCTGAATGCAGTCGTGGAACGAGTAGGGGGACCGGGACGACGACCGCGCTTTCCTTTCATATTTTTGCGGTAGCGGAAGAGGCTGCGCTTTTCTCTTTTCGAACGCGGCAACCATGTTAGCTTGTACCTGCTGGGAAGCCGTTGCTGCGGAGATTTTTTGGGTCGATGATTGCCCACCAGACACTACAGTTTCGGGCGCGGCCTTTTGTCCAGCTGGATAATTTTGGCCTTCTCTAGTTGATAATGCGCTCGCAGTCTCGACTACACCAGAGGAAGTCGAAGGCCATTCCGTCGCTCCGACACCAGTCTTGGCGTCAGAGGTTTTATTTGTTCTTGCAAGAACATCATACTGTTTTAATTTTTCTTCCATCTTCCTGACCAGTTTCAAATTCTTGTGTCCCCCAACGGTGTGCAAGACCTTCATGTACAGCTCTTGCAGTCTCGTCGTTCCCAACGAGTCCCACAACTGCCACACCCCGTCAAACAAAATCGCGTCGCTGGGCTCGGGTGCCACGGAGCGGGCGGGCGGTAGTTCCTGCAGCTGCTCCTCGATGCCGGGGAAATACGTGATCTCCGGGTTCACCAGCTCTTCTCCCTCGTCCAAACGCAGCAATCGCTCGATCATCGCATGATCGGCAGCGGTCCGGCTGCCACACCAAGACGCAGTAGTACTAGAGCTGGTCTCATTATACTGCTGGAAAAAAACACTCGTCGCGGGGTTCACTGCGATAAAGTTCTTCGTGGTACTTGGAGCAGGAGACGGGTTTGTTCCAACATCATCTACTTCCGCACTTCGCGTTCCTTTTGTATTTGTACTAGTACTACCTGATGAGGAGCAAATAATGCGGCTCGATGTGCTGCCGGTTGTACTTCTAGCAGGTCTCCTCGCGGTGCCCGCACCTGCAGGGCGGACTTTTTGTTCTATCGGCCCGTGATAAATCTCCGTTTCGTTCGTTCCGGGCCAGAAGCCCTGCCGTATGCCATCCAGCTCTCGGGTCGCTTCCTTGGTCAGCGTCACGCCCAAACCCTCCGTGTCGAGCGCCGAACCCTCCACCATGAACGAAGAAAGCTCCACGTCGGACTGGGCGTGAACGAAGACCACCGTCGTGGGCCGGCATGACTGGAAGATACTGGTGAAAACACGCAGAGCGACGAGGACAATGAGGACCATCGCCATCTTGAAGAACGTACGTGTTTCTACAAATAGGCAAGCCACTGCTTCATATGTTGGTGTCCGGGGGGGAGAACAGGAGGACTGCACAGTACACGTCGCAAACAAAGAAGTTTAAAAAATACTCTACGCCCACTTGTGAAGAAACAGGGGCGAGATTGATAATAAAGCGAGATCGAGAACAGGCCAGAACTTCGCTTCAGGTTTTGTTGCAGCCGCGACGAAAAAGGAATAGGGTGAGCCGGACTCAGGTTGCAAACACTGCATCGGTTCCACGTATTTAGATGCTGCATTCGTAAGTACTAGTTCCTTTACGTACTTAGACTATTACTCTGCCATCGGCAAAGCGTCGAACAACGTGGCTAGAGAATACGGAGCTCGCCCTGCGTCGGGGCTAACCCAATCCCAGCCCATCTCCATCTTTTGACAAATCGATGTCAGCCGCGCAACCTCACAACCCGACCAAACATCTTGAGTAAGAACTTGCACGCCGCTGAATGCAGGAGAACGAACACCGACAGAAGGGAGGGCGCCACAACGATTCCAATGTCAGAGAAGAGAAATCCAATTGCAGTTTCGGCCACCCATGCATGCCCCAACGCTGCCCGTGGGTGTCCACCGAGCCGGCGCCGGGCGGGCCCACGCCCCAACAGGCGCGCGCACAAACAGCCCCAGAAGCCGTATGAAAAGAAAAGCGGAGCGCGCGGCCGCCCCCGGCTGGCCGGGCGGGCCGGGCGACTGACCCACAGGGGCGGAGGCCGGTCAGGGCCACCACCCGGGGGGGGGGGGGGCGCAGTGAGTTGCGCAGGCGCCGGGCGGGCTCACTGACTGCAAAGCGCTTCCGGTTCTGCATGCCGGGCCCGGGCCAGGCCGCGCGCGAAACGCGCCACGGGCCAAAGAAGTAAAAAAAATGGCCGGGGCCCGGCTAAGCACCCCGGGGCGGCCGTCCCCGCTCCGCAGGACGGAGGGCGGAGCAGTCGGCGCGGGGCGCGAAAGATCAGGACCGACCGACGGAAAGAAGCGCGCAAGGCCGCCCCCTCATCGCACTCGCCGCGAGTTTTGCCAGCTTGTTCGCACGCAGCTGGCCCCATTGTTCCCTAGGTTCTGCGGATTTTCAGCGATCTTCTTCAGTTCTAGCATGCTGGTCGGTCGGCGCTTTTTCCTATCGGCCAACTTCTTGGCCGCGGTAATGGACCAAACCTGTTCCTTTATTTGCGCCGCGATGAATAGGATCTCATCGATCAGAGCCACTGCGGGGCTCTCGGTTTTTTCGGGAATGTCGCCCGCCTGCCGGCCATCCGCGCGACACAGCCGCGCGCGTGGCCCGAGCGGCAGCTACATCCTCTATCTCCTCCTGCGGCTCTTCGCCGATTCGTCGACCGTGCAAAGCGTATCCACCACCGAAAGGAAAGAGCTAAGGATAGCTGATCGCGTCCGCGCGTGTCGATTTTCGCGCGGGTCATCTTTTTAGCCCGCACGTCGGTCCTTCCCGTGAAGTGTTCGCGCGGCCGCTCTTCCCCAGGCGGTCCCCCCGCCGGGGCCCGGCGGCGCGGGCGGGCGCTGCTCCGGCGCCCCCCCTCGTTGTTTGCTGTTAATTGTTTGAAACCGGGGGACAGGCCCAAACCGCGCGCGTGCTCGCATGTTCCCGGCCATTTGCTAGCCGGGTTTGTAGTGGCGCTGCCAAGCTTCCCGCTACCCCGCCGGCGCACAGGCGCGGCTGGGCTCGCCTGCTGGCGCGGCGAATCAATGCACACAGCCGCGGCCCGCCTTCGGCTTCGCGCGGGGTGTGTGCGGGCGGTACAGTTGCAGCCGGCTTCTGGCCCGGGCCGCTTGTCTCGTGAGGGGGTCCACAGGCCCCAACTTCTCCGCTCGCTGGGCGCTGCAATACTCCCCGCCCATCGTTTGCCATGTTTGTCTGGCGCTGCGTCCCGACATGCACAAAAGCGGCGGGCGAAGGGAAACAAAACGCGCAGCGCCACGACTGGCGTAGGGAGGCGGCGCAACCCCCAACCCAGCCAATCCGGGGGCGCCTCAGAGCCCGCGGCGCCCCCATAATTCACCCGCCCGCAGCGGGCGCCACTCAAAGGCCCCCCGCCCGCCCCTCTTCTGGATCGGCACGAGCCCGGCCGTCGCGCCCGCGTTTGCCACCTTAAAGGTCACAGCTGCGACGCTGGTGGCCGCCCCACAACGTCGCGCCGCTCGTTTGGTTTTTGCTGTTGCTCCGCACGCGCTTGCTGCTGGTTTGGCAAAAACGCGCCGCAAGCAGCACGCTGCTGGGGCAGTCGCGGTTGTGATGCTGTTTGTCTGTGATGTTGAGCCGGGCCAAGCGCCTTAGCAACCAAGATGTGCTAAAGACGACGAGACGCAAACCCGTGAGCGAGGATAGAAGTAGATCGGTGAACATCGAGCGCACTGACAAAATCAGAGGCGTGCACTTCAATTTGCGCCTCGCTACGACTAGGAGGAAGGCTGTCACAGTGAGGCTACCTCACGAGTAAACTCCAGTCCGATATTGACGGAAGGTTGCTTATGCAGCAAAAGTTCAGTCGACGTTGTCGCAATTTCAGATTGATTCAGGATTTTTCAGCCTACAAAAAACACCCAAAAGATGAATCGCATCCACAGCATCCACCGAGGAACAGCTAGAGCAGTAAGTATACTTCTTTCACCGAATCAGCTGCAAGCTTCGCCTCCTCGGTTGTCCGCCCAAGTTCCCGGAACTGGATCCCCTTCTCAACATCGTTGCCCCCGCGCTCCCTCGCCTCCCCAACAACTTCGACGACAAACTTTTCGGAATCGCTGGAACTCCCGTGATTCCAGCCCTCTCATTGCTGTTTTCGTCGCTGTCGCCCTCTCCACCTCCCGACACGATGATCCTCGGGCCGCCCCGCTCCCCCATCCGGGCCTGCAACAGGGCGTGCTGGTTCTGCAGTGGCGGAAGTTTTTGGTTCAACATCGTTTTCGCCGAAGACGCTAAATTCATCGTCTTGGACGAGCTGCTGACCTTCGAGACGCTCGCCCGACCACCAACGGAAGTGCGCTCCTCGTCGCAAATTGCCCTTAGGCTGTTGCGGTTGATGTTGAAGTCGTTGGAGCTGCCGAAGGGCAGCGCGGAGACGCGGGCGGACGGGTAAGATTTTTTCCCGGAGTTCGGTTCGTTCTTGTTAGGGGATTGGGAGTTGCGGCTCTTCCTCTTAGACGAGCCATTGTTTGTTCCCTCTACTTCGTCCTCGTCCTCATCGGTGTCGGAAGAGTCGCCATTTTCGTTCTCGGAACCATTCATGTTGTTGCCCTTGGTCCTCTTCCCTTCCGTTTTCTTCCCGCACCGCTTCATGTCCTTCCTCAAACCCTCGACGTCTTTCTGCCAAGATTTCATCTCAGTGTATGGTGCACAAAATCGCAGTTGGGTCGCGATGAAACAGAGTTCCGTCTCATTTTTCCTTGCCACGGCTCTTCATCGCTCCTACGATAGAACTCATCTAGTATGTTGACAGCTGAGGACCTACAAATGGAGATGACTACGAGGACCGAGTTGTAAAGTACTTACTAGTGACAAAGTAACTTTTCCACGCAGGACCAACAAGCACTGCAATTTTCCCTGAGATATCGACATGCGATTGTCGAGCTTTTTGCGCGTCCGGAAGACCATGCGCTTCAGCTGCTCCAGTTCGTCCACTGGTTGGATCGCCGTGTTTTGGTTCGCGGGAACCAAGGACCGACTGTAGGAATCGAACTCGTCATCCTCCTCCCGAGAATGACGATTTAGGTGGATAGCGCCGTTGTAGTTGAAGTTCAAGTATACACTGCAAAAGTAGAACTCGTTGTAATGTGCAGCTTGTAGTACTGCCAATTTTTTTCTAGAACAAATACAAATGTGAACAAGCTCCCAATGCGGAGTCAGCTACGAGTTTAGCCTTAGCCTTAGGTCTGTTAGTATCGTATGCAAGATTGCAACTACAACAATGAATTAGCACAACGAGGACTACGAGACCTTTGCACAGGATATTAAGGGCTGGACCGGAACGATGGCATCGTTTTCGGTCAGATCGGTGCCGGTGATGAAAGTGGAAGACGATGGGTTGTGGTGCGTGGAGCGGGACCCGCCGCCCCGGGGGTTGGTGGAGCGCGTGGCGGTGGAAGGCATGAGATCGGTTTAGAATTTCAAAACGAACATGAAATGGAATCGATTTTCAAAAAAGCACCACCTCGTCAGAGGAGTTGTAAGCAGGAAAGCTTGCTGCTAACCGTTCAAGCTTAACACGCGAGTCATGGTCGTCAACATCCGACTCGGATACACAATGATAAACCTTCCGTGACGTAACTCGTTACTCTTTTTGCAATTGTGTTTTGCTTCACTCCTTCCTTCTCCTTCTCACTCTGGCACGCTCTAGTTTGGTCATGATTCTTTGTGGAACGCTCTTCGAGGTAACAACGAAAAACTACACGCGCGACAAGCTAAAGCTTGCACGCTCAAAACAATTCACCCGCGTAATCCAACTCTCCGCCCGAAGACTGGTGGCGACGAAAATACGACAACAAGCGCAGAGCTGCGCCTCCTCTCACTGCGTTCAGACTGGGGTGGACAAGCACAAGGAGCGCGGTGCTATCTTGTCACAATGTTCTGGCGACCTTCTTGTCATGCCTATCCTTCCCCTTCGTTACTTGTCTTGCACGCATGCGCGATCTATGTTTGCGAAACGAATACCCTCCGGCCACATTTTGACTCATACGAGAGACAACAGGCAAGATTCCGTAAGCGACAGGGCGTAAGCGACAAAGGATACGTGGGAGGGATCGCCTCAAGTAGGGGCTGCCTGGCCTGCTGTTTCCTAGGTAGCAGTGCCGAGCGACCCACTGGCGCCGATGGAGGCGCCCGATTTAGCAGAGGACATCAGCGGGCCCAGCCATGCGCCAGGCCTCGGCCATGTGCTGGGCCTGGGCCTGCGGCCAGGGCTTGCCAGGCCTGGCTACTCGCTGGCCCCGGGCGAGCCACGCGCCGCGCGCGGGCGCGCTAATGGCCTGCCACCCCCTTGCAGCATGGCAATCGGAGAGCAGGCTCGGGGGGGCACAAGATCGCAAGCTCGGCGCCAAGTCTGCGCGCCGGCCGCTGCGTGCGCCCGCCCCCCCCCCCCGGCGTAGATACACACACAGCGCCCGGCGTGTGTGTTTCACACACTCACACCCCGGCCGGGCGGCGGCCCGGAAAACCAACGGCCAGCAGCTCGATCACACCTCGCTGCCCGATATCGCTGTCGGGTTCGTGTTCTGCCTCTTCGCGGGCGGGCTCGGCGAGCACTTTGCGGGCGGGCTTCCTTGCGAGCGCCGCGCCGCGTAGCCGGCCGGCCCTGCCCTTGGGGACAATGAGCAAAATCGGCCAGGCTTCTTCTTCCCATCTTTGTCATCACCAACTCCGGGCCAGGCTACCCGCGGCGGGCGTGCTCGTCGCTCGCCGACTCCAATGCTGCCCATGCTTGCATGCACCTTAAGCCCGCGGCGCTGATGTCCCCCCCATCGGAATCCATCGGGGGAGCGACACCTCTTCCCAATCCCATGCCGCCGCGCGCCCCCTGTAGTTCGCTCAAAATACTGCCCAGATGCCGGGCCGGCCCCCCCCCGCGCTTTTCCTTGCGGGTTTCCGCGGGCTTTTGTTTGCCCGCCTTGGGGCGAGGTGCTTGCCGCTGGCCCGCCCTTGTTCGTTGCCCGGCCTGCCCGCCGGCTGCGGCGCGGCCAATCGGGGGGCCCCTGCGCACACATTCAGCAGCCCGAGGGCCTCGCTTCTACGCCGCGGCCTTGGGCAGGCCCCCCGCCGGCTGCCTCAGCTTCTGGACGAAGACACGCGCCGCCTGCCCGGCAGCGGCAAGCTGCGCCATGTTCGCCAAGTCCCGGAGCCGAGGCAGGGCCTCCAGACCTTTCTGCGCGGCCTGCCTAGCCACCGACCAAACCAGCGCCCCCGATCTTCTCCGCCGCTTGCTTGCTGAACGTGGGCGACGTCGCGGAGCACTGCAACGCCTTGGCGGCGGGCGCGCCTCGGTCGATCGAAGACGCCGGCCGCAGCGGGCGCCATGATGTTGGCCAAGTGAACGCGAGGCGCGCACCTGCGGGGCGCGTCAATCAGCACGGAGTCGCCGCGTCCTTCATCATTCCCCCAAATCGCAACGCAGTCGCTTCTTTCATATATTTGCTGCTCCTTCTCGTCCGTAGATGCGAACACTTGAAGTCGTATTGCGCATAAAATGAAAATGAAAAATATGCGTTCGGACAAAAATAAAAAGTCGCTCTCTTGTTCAATCTATGTTCCGCCGTAATTCCTTGCGACCTTACTGCTGCGAACATTTGCGCTGGAAAAACGCTGAGCCCCAGAACTACTTCTGGCCTCCATCTCACCACCAAACGACGAGCTTCTCGCTCCATCGCTTTCAAGCGTAGCAGAACTACTCTCTGTCCCACCTACCAAAGATACTATCCTGTTTCGCGGTAGTCCTCGCTGCTCATCGTCTGTTCGTCGCACAGCGGGCCCGCCACCCCCTTTTATTTGTGGTCTACGGTTATAATTTTCAAAACGTCTAAAACTGCTTTTCGCATCCAGAAATTCCACCACCGTATTGCGTGCCTCGTCATCTTCTACTTCGTTCACAGACGCCTGCCAAACCGTTCTCCCGCTTCCCTCGGCTGTGGTCCGTAATATCTTCTTTCCTTTATTAACGTTCCTCCCCTCCAGACTCCCCGGCTTTAATCTTCCAAACTGCTCAACATCCGACATTACGCTGCTGCTACTGGAGCGCTGGTCCACCAACACAGCTCCGGTCTCGCTACCTTCGCTGAGACTGCTGGTTGAAGAACTTCCCTCGGTTTCGTCCTCCCCCTCCTCCTCACTGGAACTAGAAGATGTTTGGTCCGCACTTTCCTTCACCTTCACCAAGTTCGTGTTGCGCTGTCGCACCATGACGGCCGCCGTCGCTGCGCACATGCTCAGAATCGTGAAAAAAATCGCCACGGGGATGCTGCGCGCCGTCTTCGAGCAGCGCACGCTGTCGTTGGGACCGGACAGCTTCCCGTCGTCGCACGTGACGCGCAGGCTGACCGCCGCAAACCAGTTGTTCGGGTCCTCGGCCTCGCGCGGGTACAGACACCGCAGCGAGCACGAGTCCTCATGCCGCAGAATGCTGGTTTTTTGTTTCGAAGTGTAGTTGTAGCCGCACGTCCCCGCGTGCAGCGATTCCACGTCCGCGCCGGTCCTCCGCGACAGGAATTCCCCAATGTTGCAGTCGTTCGGGAGCCTGCACCGCAGCAAATTTTGACTCCCGTCGTACTCGGGGAGATACCCCACCTTGCAGACGCAGTGGAGCCGGTTGAAGGACTCAAACGTGTAGTGGTTCGAGCCGTACACCGAACTCCGGATCTCGGCGTTTTCGGGACACGGGGTGCACTCGTAATAGTTAGTTGATGTTCCGCTGGCAGTACTTGAGGACCTTGTCACATAGCTGCGCGGAGAAAACGGAGAGGTGGACCTCATACGGGCTGTGTTCGATGCTGTTCCTGGTATGTTGTGCCTCTGCTGTTCGAGATGTTGAAGTGTTGCCAGCGTGTTTGCATCCGTGATCTGCTTTAAGTAATGGCTGGTGGAAGCCAAGCACCGGCAGCTTCTCTCGTCTTGCCCCTTCGTCGCCCGTATGGTTTACTTATCAAAGTGCACAACTCGATGTCGGTCCCCCGTCGTTGTTGCGAGGCGTGGTGCAATCGAAGCCGTAAAAACTTCAGCAGAACAAGCACAAGTGTTGCCTCTCCATAAAAAATCAAATCCACACACAACGCTGCTGATTGGTCCACGAGGAAGCTGCCAACTTGCCAAGACCAAAAAGGAAAATGAGTAAATTTTCGAAAATTAGCGATACTTTCGCGCTAAGAAATGACGGGAAAAAAATGAAAAAGCTCCCTCTCGCGTTTGAGCCCGGTATCCGCAGCTTGACCAGTTGCCAAGATCAAAAAGAAAATTTGGCGCATTTTGAAAAATTTGCGATACTTTCGCGCTGCAAAATGACACGAAAAAAACGAAAAAGCTGCTTTTCGCGTTTGTGGGCCGGTTCGTACGCTGACCTGTGGCAAAAATATTGGCCGGAATAAATGCAAGGCAGTGCTGAAGAGTGAGAGGAGGCAACACGATCTGAGGGTAGCGCAGCAATATTTGCTTCTGGTGCTGCAGTTGGACTACTTTCGCATCAAAAACTACACTATGTGGGGACCTCGACCTCCACAGGAGTTGTGCACTCTCATATCGCAGCGCAGCATCGAAGAGGTAGGGCGCGGTCGTGACGTACGGAGGCATTTCCATAGTGTGGTACCGTAGAGGGCCGTTCTGTGCCGCCCACACGTTCAAGTTCAGCCAAGTCACGGTGTTGTTCGGACACGCATAACAGAGATTCGTGTCCTCCCCGGATGTAGGTGATGCCGTGGTAGTTACTGCTATCCCTGTAGCAGCTCTGACGGCAGCAGGAGATGGCGAGTAAAACGTGTTTTTACACACGCACGATGTGAAATATGACGCTCTCAGGCGTTCTCACACTCTCAACTGTTAAATGCAATAATACTAATGGCAAAAGTAAAAACAAAGGGGAAGAAGATTGCGCCTTTTGCATATACAGGTTTGACGCAGATTCTAATGCTATCCATCGCGTCGAGATGCACTTGTCATGCGAAGTAGCAGCTTGCGCTTGGTAATGTAGAAGTGACAACTTTGCATCTCATGTAACTGTAGTTGAGAATGTAAAGTTTAACAATCCCATATGAAACTCGTCAAGGGGTCAGACCAGGAACCGTACGCGCACGGGAGGCAGAGGTCGACGGAGGGGGTGGAGGAGCTGTTGGCTGTTGAATCGACGACGGACGAGGAAGTTGCAGTTGCAGGAGCACCAGATCCTGCTGTCATGTTCGTTGTGTTGATATCGTGCGGTAGAAGCAGGTCTTTCGCCGAGTAGGAATAGGGATAAGCAGAACTGTTTTTCCCGTTCGTCGCTAGTACCGCTGTAGTTCCAGTCGCTGTACCTGTTGTACCTCCTCCGACAAAAGTGTAGTCTTGCGGCAACTCCGCTAGAGAATTCACGTACTCGTGATATACCCCCCTCGCCAGATTTTCTTGGATTTGCCGCAGAAACGGGTTTGTCGTGCCCGGGACTTTGTTTGGTCCAGAAGCAACACCAGCAACAACGCTACTTTTCGCCCCGTTTAAACGCACGGTGAAAGTTGTTGCCGAAGTGGAGGTATTGTTGGAAGTTGCGTTATTTGATGCAGAAGAAGTTGAGTTGGTTATGGTTTCATTCGTTGTCACATTCAACGCTGCAATTTCTGCCTGCAGCAACTTCTGCACCACAGAGGAGACCGAGCTATCCGCCCAGGTCCAGCCAAAAACGTCATCGTCACTGGCCGCGTCAACGGCTTCTGAGACAGCGTAAGCCTGTGAGCTGTTCGCGAGACTCTGCTCGGCGATTGTGGCGAGAAGTTGGACCAGCTTACTGCTGGCGTTGGAATTAATATTAACGCCAGACGTCGAGCTTGCGGATAGAGTAGTTGTACTAGGGATCACGCCTTGGCTACTGGGTGCGTTCTCCACGACCAACGAGCCCGTCGCATTGTAAAACCCCTCAGGACAGCGGCAAGCACTCTTGACGACGTTTTTTGTCGCCGCTGCGATGTCTGCTGTTGTGTCAAGAGCAGATGCGCCGGGGTGTGATGTTAGAACCCTTTGTGTTATTGAAACTGTGCTCCCTGCTGTCGTGTCTGTTGTGGTTCCGGTCGTCATTCCACTGGCGAGCGCAACGAAAGGACTCGCTGCGGCAGCTTCGGAGGTTTTCGCGTCCGTTAAGTACTGCTGCCTGGCGTAGTCCTCGCAATTCCAATACCCATTTGCAAAGGCGCTGTCTGATCCGTCACGCAGTTGATGCTCTAGTACGTTAGATGAGGTGGAATCGGTTGCGTTCTGATTCGTCTTTATCTCCAAGTCTAGCAACCGCAGGGAGTCATTCTGCAGTTGAAAAAGCGTCTTCAACGGTTCGGTCCCACGAAGATAGGTCACCCCCACCCCGGCGCTTGTAGTTCCTGGATTCGTACCAGAGGTACTAGAAGTAGCTGGCACAACCGGGTCGTTGAGAGTTGTGTAAACGCAACCTGGCTGGACTAGCGGCACGACGAAGGGCAGGAGAACCAGTTCTGTTGCAGAAGTGGTTGCCCCTCCTGAGGTGGAATCTTCGGAAGCAGAAGCAGTCTGCGCTCCCGTGCTCGTCGGTAGCCGGACGCCGCCTGTGGTTTGATACACATAGTCGGCAAACGCCAACTCCTGCCCCGGCAGTCCGTACACGGGTTGGAGAATTTGCATCGAAGAATTTGTGCTATTGTTGCTCGAAGACGACGATGACCCCGTTGCACCACCTTCTTGCAACTGCTGTGAGCTATGAAAAAATTCAACGGTCCTCAGCATGACCCAGGAAAGCGCGAACCCGCACGGTCGGACCTGCCTGCCTTGTGTTGTCGATAGTTCATCGGCATCGTAGATTGCGGTCGCCTTCGTCAGGCCGCAGGGCCCGGCGTCGAAAGTGGCAAGCCTTGGAGCCGGGCTGGTTGTGGTTGTAGTTGTTTCATCGCCCGCTGAAGTCGTGCTGGTCTGATTCGACGACGGAGTAGATTGCTGTTGGGCACTGGTCGTGGTGACGGCTGATTGAATACCACTACTAGCAGTACTACCACTGCCATCCGTGCCACTGGTTCCGTTCCATGTCCAGACGACTACGCGTATGAAATGCGAAAGTATCCTATCGCACTCGTATAAATGCATTACAAATTTTCCCAGCATGAGAAATAAAATTTGTAATGCCGTTTTACCTTGAGAAAGATATTTGTAATGCATGACTGCAATACGAGTACGATACTTTTGCACAGGATAACGCGATCGGGATTACAGAAGCAACCACTGCTGGTCTTGTACAATGCGTGCGCCGGAAATGAGAGTACACAACTCCCCCTGCCCCTCCCCCTTCATTTGTGTTGCATGAACAGCAACACAAGCGCTGGCAAAGATGCAGCTTTTGCATGACAAATTTCTACAAGATTGTAGTGCTGTTTTGGATCATTCCGGAATCTGTCATGAAAACAATGCTAACAGGCAAAGGGTGGATTTGGAATTTTGCATGACAAATGTTGAGGGGGAGGGGGTGGAGTTGTGCATTGTCATACCGGAGCCCAGATTCGAGGCCCGACGTTGTTGGGATGGACCGCGAGTGCAATCGGATCGGTTGTTGAGTTTAATATGCCTCGTTCAGCGATCATGTGACAATGACAAGAAGCAATCTTCAATCATGCGAATTACAATGTAAAAAAAGCACAAGCTTACAACCTGTGGCACCGAAAGGAAACTGAGCTTGGCGTTTGCATCAAAAAGCGTTTTGCACTAGATCAGGTCAGCTAACTTGTCTGAGTTTGATATTTGACCAGCCTCGGCACGCACACTAGTACTTACCGTCTCAGCAGATGCGCCATACAGGTCACATTTAGGAGAAGCTTTTTCTTGCAAATGAATAGTATATCAACACTTCTAGTACCTTTTCCCAAACGTAGGACTTCTTTAAGATTGTCACTTCCGCACACAGGTCGTGGATACCAAACTGTGTGAAGTTCTGCACCCCGCTGCAGGGAAAGCAGCTGGGCAAGATCTTCTGGGCGACCGCTCCGGGCGGCGCTTTGCTAATAAAGGTGCCCGCCGTCCCCTCCGACGCAGTAGCTGCCTTCAGATAAAACGCCACGCCACTGAAGACGGCCGGCTGGTCGAGGACATCTCTGCCCAACTGGGGCGCCAGTACGGCATTCGCGTCGTCCTCGTAAATCAAGCTTGTTTCATAAAAACCGTGGCCATTCTCTCCCGAAAAATCCGGGAGACCGTCGCAAACACAGGAGTTGGTCGGCGGGTAGTAGAAATCCGGGCGGTTTTCGAACTTCGTCAAGTCGGTCCGCAAAACGCCGGGCTCCGGACTGAACCAGCGACTATCCGTCGTCACTGCCGCGTAGAACCCGGTATCGGTCAAGTTCAGAAACCCCAGTGCCAAATCATCCGCGGCTGAGGTTCTACCGCGGTCGTTCGGTGCTGGGTTCAAGGATGAAAGCACTTCTTCTCCGGATGAAGATGCGGCGGTTGGCTCCATGACATCAACTACCGTGGCGCTGCGCACACCCCCAGGGGTTGCAGTACGTCTATTTTGCTGTCGCAAAGGATTCCGGTAGGGCAAAACCGTTTGTTCGGCGATACTGTTCTTCTCCCTGTCCGAGTCGGAAATGTAGATATGGAGTTCTCAGTCGTTACATTCTCAACTGTTACATGAATTTGTCGCGCAAAAGTACTTTAAGCCGGCAGATGATCGAGCTGCTTCGCATGACAAATTTCCGGAGGACTAGACAGCATCTAAATCTGCGCCAAACTTGTAATGCAAAAGGCGCAATCTCCCTCCTTTCACTTTTGCCAGTCTTGCATTACAAATTCATGTAACAGTTGAGAACGTAACATTTGAGAACTCCATAGTAGACTCTCTGCGCTTTCAACGGAGGAAACCGGATTGTGCCCTGGAGAATTTCGAACATGACTTATCAGAGTGCACAACTACTTACTCTCCCTCCCCCCAACATTCGCGATGTAAAATCCCAGATCTTCCAGCTGTTGAGCTGTTGTGTCTAGTCTCTTGCCACTGTCTTTGCGTGACATCAAATTCCAGAAACCAGAACGATACTTACTACAGTCGGCTCATAGCATCAACTTCTCATACGCGCGTTCTTCTACGTGTTGTGGCGATCTTTGTATTGCTCCTGCTCATGCCAACTACAAAAAAATGATGGGGACGTGGGGGAGCTCTTGTGCACGACTCGCATATGGCTTCACCGTTGTACAGCACCTGGTCAAAGACGCTCGTGACTGCGCAAGACTGCGGCTCGGAGGAGGAAAAACTACCGGAGGCTCCTGCTGGGGTTGATGATGCGGTCTGGTTTATTGGAGTTGTTGTTGAATTTAGTGTGTCATTGGTGGAGGAGGAGGTCTGTTGAGCAGCCACGAAGAGTTTTGCTGCTCTTCTACCAAAAAAAGAGCTGCGCAAGGACAACTGTGAAGTAGAGGTGCGAGAATCATATGATCGCTCCAAAAGCCGCTGGTGCCCGTCCTCGTCACAGCATATGTGAAAGAGGACTATGACAATGCAGTCGATAACTTTCTTCATCCTCCACAACGGCAACGGACTGTTGGGGCGTCGGTAGTACATACGCTCAGCCGCCACTGTGTTACCGCCGTTCCTTCTTTTTACCCGCTTGATGCACGACTTGCAGACAGAAGCGACGCCTGTCACCGACGACTTAAACGGGAAGACCATCGCGCCTGTCAGAGCCAAAAGAAACGTATTCAAATCAACAACGATGCATATTTATGTCATACGCATGATTTCGATGTAGAAAAAAGACATACTGTTCTGAAGCAGTCGTTTCAGGAAGTAAAAATTATGAGACAAAAAAGAATCCTACACTTGTTCCGTCACCAGAAACTGAATCCAAAACTTTCGAAACGCTATGTATGTATCCGTAAAGACAACTACTTCTAAAACTGCATGTGTGTGTTGTTGTCGTCGAGTGGGTGAAGCAAGATGATGTGTTGAAAAGTGCATACAAGTGATGTGGTCTTCGTCTTGCACAGAGTCATAGATACATTATCGTTATCCTAAAATTCCAGCAGCATTGGCAGAACAACCAGACGCCGGTATCTAAAGAACATCATGGATCCGATTCTCTTTTCTATTCGATGACTGAGTGCGAGCATCAGATATCACAAGTAGCAAAATCACAATACAAAGTGGGGACACGATCAACAATAGATCGATCAAAGGGGAGCAAAACGTAAATCACAAGAACTTTCCACCAGAAACAAACGCACCATTTTCCGCTGAGCTTTTTACCTTATCATGAGTTGGGAGACAATGACAAGCTACGCCACAAAAAAAACACATCAGAGGGCACAAGAAACTTCTCTTTGCGACGAAAATACGAGCGAAGCAACTCCTGTACTGGTACAAACGACGAGGATCTTGTTTTGCTTGGGAAAGAAGTGGGTTGTGCACCCAAAAGAGCTTGATCTAGAAAAGAAGTAAAACCAGATCGACTTGGAGGTTGTGTTTTGGATTTTGCCGGGCGTCGTAGACTGGACAATACGCAATACGTTTACAACAGGAAGCCACGTCGACCATTTCGTGTCTTTCCCATAAGGAACGTCGACGCGGCCGGTCTGATTGTGTTCAATGTAAACACTTTCTTCTTTCCGATAAGGATAGAAATTCCCTGTCTGTTTCTGTACTAGGTACTCGCATTCTTCACGAGTCATCGACAAAGCCTATTGATTCTATGCCTGACATCGAAGAATCTCAAAATCCAAGATCACCCACAGCTCAGATGTGAGACAACAAAGACTTAACAAAAAACTTCCATAAGCGATGATTTTCTTTTCGTGCAATCACGATCATGATCCACCTCCACCCCCGATAGCTGTAGCCCTGCTGATTAATATCCGCTAGAACGGCTTTATGATAAATCCTGCTGCGCCTCCCGCTCTTCCTCCGGGTAGAAATACGCAAATGCCAAGAACAGCAGCGCCGCACAGAACACGAGCTTGGCAGCGTCAGACAGGTTTTTCAAGTCCCCCTATCAAGTGTAAAAGTGTTTGGGTCTGGAAGAATGCAACCTGTCGCGCTAAATCTGAAGCATGCAAAAATCTGCGCTGCATGATTACCAGAAGTCGCCCAGTTTTGACCAAGTCGGGAGGGAGTTTCTCATGCAGGATAGGCATGAGAGAGATCGCGCAGAGTCTGTCATGCTAGGTCCTGCATTCCAGACCTCATGGGTCATGGAAAAGCTGCATGACAAGTCGCGCACTCTTCCAGACCCAGACATTTTTACATTTGATACCCCCATCCGGGCCTCCATACCAGTGTCCGTAATGTACCATTTGTGATTCGCCATGGCAATGCGCGTTAGCCACGCGTACAACATCCCCGTGCTCTGCGCCTCCTGCCGCGCGTTCTGCGCGGCCTCACTGGCAACGTCGCGGTCCTGGCGGAAGTTCCCCGCAACGGGCAGGACTTGCGGGGACCCGGGGAGATTTTCCATCAGAATCAGGTCGCCCGGCTGGAAATGGGCCGTGTCCTCCTGCTCGCTGTTGTAATGCTCGAAGGGATCTCTACCGATGTAGAAATCAAAATCGGCCTCGTGGTTCTTCACACTAGAAGTACGAAAAGAAGAAGAAGAACTGCTTGCTGTGGAAACTACAGCTTCGTCTCTGCTCGTCTTCGTTTGCGGCTCAAGAACCTTTCCTGACGACTTCTGGTTGAGCGCCGGCGGGTCTCGTACTCCCACCTTTGCGGTGACTTTTCCCTCATCCTCGTTAATTTGATTCACCGCTTGCTTGACTGCAGCGACATCAAGGGACTCTTTCTTCGTAGCAGCTCGGCCAGCCCGAGCATTCTTGCTCTTGTTCTTCTTCTTCCTTTTTTCGGCTGCGGCGGCGAAGGGATTTCTGACAACAGCTTTCTGCTTCTTGGCTGGCTTACTGTTATGCTGTGCAAAACGTCTTGCAGCGCACACGTCTGAACAAGTTCTTGACGATGGCAAAACAAATGACAGGATGAATTATTTCTTTGTTCACTTTCGATATCGAATAGTACAAATTTTGATTCATCGGAAAAGTCGCATAGCATTTTTTTGACGGTGCGATAGTACTTTTGCAACTCATACTTGTCGTACCCCCGGTCTTGTTCGGGAGCTCTGGCCGGCACCCTCGCGTCTTTATCTATATCATTTCCAAGTGGCGCATTGCAAATACTGTCTCGGTATTTATTGTCTTGCTCCGCCCGCTGTTTTTCCTTCTCAGACAGGGGCGCTGCGACCTGTTTACTGCCTTTGTCCTTGTTGTTCTGTCGCGCTGCTGGGGAGTTGTGTTTTGTTCCTTGCTGGCCGTTCTGTGGACTGCCTGCGCCGGATGCAGTTGTACTACTGGATCCAGCGGTACTGGATGTTTCCTTGTGATTCGTACGCCTTGTTGTACCCCTAGCCTTTCTTTGTTTCCGGTCATATGACGCGATTAGCTCATCCCGGTCAAAGAAATCCAAAAACCAGGAAGCCAGCCAGCCATACTTCTTGAGGTTTTCCGCTCTCCTTTTCTCCCGGTCTTCCTTCACCCAGGTCCGGCGCTCTTCCTCCTTTTCCGCATGCAGCTCCTCGGCCATGCTCGCCATTGGACTGACGCGGAGACAGTACCGCGTGTACAGGCCGTCGTGGTAGTAGTACACCGGAGCGATTTCCGGACCAACGGTGGCATTTTTCTCCGCCACGCGCTCCAGGTATTCGTGAATCCGCATGCCATTCCGTTTCCGCACCCCTTCCCTCCGCATCATTTCGCTTCGTTTCTGCGAATTCCCTTCTTCGCGAAGTAGTTCCGGGCGGCTGTATAGGTCGAACGCGTTATGAAATGTGGGAGCAGACGCGGTAGCAGCCATAGTCGCCGCTCGCATAGGAGAACTCGTGTTGTCTACTTTCTCATCCTCTATGCTCTTCGTCAAAGTTTCCTCATCGGCCTCGAACACCAGAGGCTTCACGGGCATCACCTGTTGGCAGTATCTCAGCACCTGCATCTGCAAAAAAATCCGCCGGTTGCTCGGCGGCGGAAATGCGTAGGGAGGTTTGATCAGGTGCGCTTGTTCTTGCGGACCGCCGTTGGTGGAGGTGGTGGACGATTCAGTACTAGTAGTACTTTTCATCTTCTTCCACATAGCCCATTCGCTTTCCGCAACCTCTTCGTCGGATTCGTAATAGCCCCAGGTCCACTGCAGGCTGTACTCTTGGAGAATGTTCGGCCTGGTATACTGCGATCCGGTGATTTGCCCCGGGTGCGGGTACTGCAGGGTGGGGAACACCAGCGATTCGTAGTCTGCCCAGCGGAACTTTTGCTTCACGAAGTTTGCAAAGGCGTCGAAAAACTTCTGACTGATGACATCCATCTTCAAGTTTTTCCGTTTGAATGTCTTTTCCCGGCGGTCCGGCGCCGTCTTCCGGTGCCCGCGCAGCCGGCTTGTCATGTTTTTTTCGTCCAGCACCAAACTGGGCGGGCTGCGCACGTGGTACAGCTGAAGGAGGGAAGGCGGGATAGTACTAGTACCTTCATCGTTCTTCTTTTGCTCGTCAGCTGCTGCGCTCTTCTTTTGTGCCTTCTTGTTTTCATCCGGTTTTCCGGAGGGAGAGGGCGTTTCAGGTGGGAACAGCGCACTGTCGTCTTCCAGCAAGTAGGGGTCGCAATCCTGGTTGGTCGTCCGCATCTGCCACCGAGCTAGATCGTCGTGGTGCTTGCTGACATGATTAATTTCCTGTCGCTGCATCGCATTGGTCAACGCCATCAAATGCCGAAATTTGTCGTTTATCATCCCGTTATCATGGACTTTTCCCTGGTAGAAGACGGTGCTTGCCGGGATGGCCTCCGCCGTCCAGTTCGCGCGCTGCAGGTTTTTACTCAGCAACACGTGGTCCGTAGTGGAATCTTCATCATCTTGTTCTTCCGGTCGAACATAGTTGTTGTAAGCTGGTTGCTCCTGCTCCTCTTCATCATCGTACTCATCTGGCTCGCGCGTGAACACGTTCCGCAGGCGCCTCGCCTCCATTCGGGAGATGTTTCGGGCAACGTCCCGGGCAATCTTTTTCACGCGGGCCAGCTCGGTGGCCGGCAGTCCGGTCATGTCGATCAGTTCCGCTGTAGTATACGCTTCCATCTTCGTGGCCAGGTCGTCCCCAATGTTCCGCACATACGTCAGATTTGACATTCGCAGTTGCGCCGCGATGAAGTATCAAATGTAAAAATGTCTGGGTCTGGAAGAATACAAACTTGTGATGCGCATTTCAAGACACAGAAAAATCTCTCATGCATAGTTAGCAAAAGCTGCCCAGTTTCTGCCACCATAATGGGGGATTTGTCATGCGGATTCGGCATTGCGAAAGTTTCTCGAAGCCTGTGATGCTAGAGCTCCCATGCCAGACCTTCTGTGTCATGCAAAAACAGCATGACTCTTCCAGATTCAGACATTTTTGCATTTCATATGAAGTTCTTCCGGGCGATTTCCTGTGCGGTCACGTTGTATTCCGGGTACTGAATGGTTCCATTGACTTTCTTATCCTGTGCAAAAGTATCGCACTCGTACTAATTGCAGATATGCATGACAAATCCAACTTTCTACCTGAAATAGCATGACAAATTGCATTTTTGTTCTTGGGAAAATTTGTAATGCAGTTTATACTTGTACGATAGTTTTGCAATGCATATTTCTTTAAGCCCCGGGATGAAAGCGATTGCGATAACTCAATGTCGTCAGCGACGATAAGTTCATCTTCGCGAGTAGTTTCGTTGTGGAACAAATTAGTTGTCGCCACATTCATTTTCTGCGACACGGCGATATCAAGTTGATGACCCGTCTCGTTGTTGTTCAAAGCAGGACTAGAAGTTGCACTCACGTGCTTTTTCTGCTGGGACCACATATTCAGCAGGGAAGGTCTTGCGCTTTCGACCGCCTCTCGCACCGCAGCCTTTCTGTTTCGCGAAGTGTTATTGGCAATGTTTGACAGCGCCAAAATCCATTCTGTGGTGCTAAGAGGCTGGGCGTCTTTCGGAGTTCCATCGGCTTCCGAGTATCGCCCCCAGCGATCCTCTATGGATTGCAAAAATGTCTGGGTCTGGAAGATTGCGAGATTTGTCATGCTTGCCTGGCATGACAAAAAAGTTTGCGATGCGTGTTCGAGAAGAGACCCTCTTGCCTGTCATGCAAAAACGCAGTTTCTCATGCGAACACAGCAACACAAAATAGCGCAGATATTTGTATTTCTTATGCTTGGCTGTGCATTACAGAGCAGTCACTATTCCCAACATAGCATTACAAGTTTCCAGACCCAGACACTTTTACATTTCATATCCTCATCCTGCTCGTCCTCATCGAGCTTACCGGAAAGGTCCAGCAGAGAGGAGTATGCTCGCACCAGACTGCTGTCCAGTCCTTTCATTAAATTTTCCTCTTCCCCCGGCATGCTTCTCGGCAGAAACAAAAACTGCTCGGGCATGTGCCTGCGCATCTCCTCACTGCTTTCCCAGAAGTCAAAGGGCAGCCCCAGAACGGTCGAAGCTTCCTGGCGCCACAGCATGTACTGGGTGTGATTCACGTGCACGCCCTTGATGGTGAAAGGCGGGGTGCGAATCCAGGTGCTTGACCTTTTATTTCTCACCGTGGTCGAGGGAGTTGTTCGGGGGCCAGATGAATTTGTGATCTTGTTCCTTGCGGCTGACGACGTAATTTCATTTACAGGAGCTGCGGTTCGTCCGCTTGAAGCTGGAACCACGAGGGGTCCTCGGGACATCACGGTCGGACCGTCAGCAGCTCCATCCGCTACTTCATCCACGGGTACTGGCAGTTGCGGCTGCAGCTCAGCATTACCCTCCTGGTCCTTCGTTTGGTTCATCTTTGGTACTAGTGCGTCGTGCGCGCCAGGACGAACATCATGATCTTCAGCACTGTGGCCACCGGATGAAAACTGTTGAGCATTTTCCTGAGGTGTCGTCGTGGCCGCGCCCGGAGACATAGCAGCGCGAATGTGTGCCCTGAGTTCCTCGGTATACGAGGTATCGTTCAATGAAGGAGCAGGAAGTGACGTTCGCAAGAATGCGCCCCCTTCGACTACATTCGGTTGAGATAAATGCTCGTCGCTGTTGTTCTCCGGTACAGCTACTGCCGGCGCTGGCAACAGTCGCGGATCATGTTGATCCTTTACAACTTCCCCGCTCTTGTCAAAAATCTTCGTGTTCCGCAGAATTTCGCCCCCACCGTCGCTCGTCCCGGAGGTTCTTTTCGTCCTAGTTGTAGTCCCCGATGTAGTTGAAAGTGATTTGTTCTTCACCGGATAAATGGGCACAATTTTCACACCGTACAAGTTCCGCCCATATTTCTTCACGGCGAGCGGCGTGTGGTAGTAGATCAGCACCTGGGACAGCAAGAATTGGTGCTTCCGCTGCAATTCCTTCTCTTGCAGCTCGCGCGTGACCAACTTCGTGTTGTTCAGAAGATTGAGCGCGATGCGTTTCTCGATTTGCCTTTTGTTCTTATCAAATGCAAAAGTGTCTGGGTCTGGAAGTAAGAGTCATGCTGTTTTTGCATGACACAGAAGGTCTGGGATGGAAGCTCTAGCATCACAGGTTTCGAGAAGCGTTCGTAATGCCGAATCCGCATGACAAATCCCTGACTTTGGTGACAGAAAGTGGGCAACTTTTGCTGCCTATGCATGGGAGATTTTTCTGTGTTCTGAAATGCGCATCACAAGTTTGTATTCTTCCAGACCCAGACATTTTTGCACTTGATAGTTCTGCTTTTTCTGCAAGTCGAGCTCGAAGTAAATCATGTTTTTCCCTTGCTGCTTTTCCAGTGCGGAGGCTTTTTTGTGTCTCTGGTTCTTCACGGTCAGTTTCGGGAAATCCTTGACCTGAAAGTCGTTAAGCGGCACCAAAACGTACTTGTCGAGCGTTTTTCCCTTGTGCTCAATCATCGTGCGAATCACCTGCGTATCCTCATGCGTTTCGTGGAAGGCGGGAAAGAGAATCTCCACGTCCAGGGTGGTGTTGCGGAGGAACTCCGCGTTCGGTTTCAATAATTTGTTTTTGTTTCTACTAGTAGAAGTACCCGCATGTTGACGCTTTTTGTTGTTGCCGCTCAACACCTGGTCGCTCTTGTGCCTGCCAGAGCTCGTCGGTGAAGCTGAAGCACCATCCAGATGGTCCATCCCAGGAAGCGTGGACGTGCCGTTACTCCACGTTTGGTTTCTGTACGCCTATCCAGGAAGAAACACCCATCAACATCCGATTTGTCATGCGAAACACGTATCAACTCATGTGTTTGTCATGCAAAAAATGGATGTGGATGGGTTTTTTTCTGCGGATAACTCCACAAACACACCGATGACCGACTCAATCACCGTGCCTTGCAGGAGAACAACTTCCCTATTCAGCCGGTCCACGATCTCCAGGTCAAGTGCGGGCGTCGTTTTGTTCGTGTAGGGGACCGGAAACGCGGCCTCCATTTCCCGGGTGGAAGGGTCATTTTTGTATATTATGACCTGCTTAACAAGCGACGTTACAATCTCAAAACGTTACGAATAGAGTTTGAAAATCTGTGATGCAAGAAGTGCACGATCTAGTCAAGGCACACAGGACTGCGCATGAGAAGCTCCGAAGTTGTCCCGCACCGCTCTGCAATCTGCCGAAATTTGTGTTGAAGAAAGTGGAATGGTCTGCGAGTCTGTCATGCTCATTATGCAAGACAAATCCCAGATTCTATTGCAACGTGTGAGATTGTAACGTTTGAGCAGGTCATATATACGTCTCGTTCCTTCTTCTGTTCCTGCTTGGACCGAAACTTCCGCAGCTTGCCCCCAATGTTTGCAGATGGAGTTGTTGTCCCGCCCGGCGATGATTTTTTTGACTGGTGTCGCTGCTCCCTTTTTTGCTGAATAAGTTCGTGACGACCTTGCTCTCCTTCTTCACTAGTGCCACCAGTCGTAGAAGTAGAAACAGCACTTCTACCAGAAGATGCATCCGCTTGACCCGCTTGTTCCTGTGCTGTTGCACGTAATAGAGTTGCGCGACCAACACCTGGTGCTCCAGCACCTCCAGCGAAAACATTTTTTCCTACTTGGTTCAGGTTCGAGAAAAAGTTGAAATTGCCGTTCGTAACGTACTATCAAATGTAAAAATGTCTGGGTCTGGAAACTTGTGATGCTGGGTGGCGTCTCATGATGAGGCCACACATCCACATGCTGGCTCAGCATGACAAGTTTCTGAGCTTCTAGGTGTTGCCTATTCTGCATGACAAACTGCGTTTCTGCATCACAGAAAAGTGGAGCCCTTGGGTAACGTGCATGACAGATTTAAGAGTCATGCCAGACAAGCATGACAAACATGAATTCTTCCAGACCCAGACACTTTTACAGTTGATACGTACAGCAGCTTCCGCATCACGGGCACGCGGTCCAGTTTCGGACGGTAGCCCAGCTGGATGTGCGCGTTGAGGTGGGAGACTTGCTTCTTGTCGAACGACGTCTGCCGGAGGTCGCCGTTAAGGTAAAATTCGATACCGTTTTGGGCCATAACTGCTTCTGCTGAATGAGGTGTTTGCTGTTCTTCTGGTGAAGTAGATGCACCAGTATTTTTCTTTCCCACCTCCGCGCCGGGTGGACCTCCACTTTTGGTCGCTTTATTTCCACCTGGTTCTTGTGGTTGTTGAACTGGTAGTACAACTTCATGCTCCTTCACATCGGAGAGGTGGTTCTTTGCTGACGTGGGGGTAGGACTCGTGGTAATGGTCGGACTTGTTCTTGTTTCTGGCGAGTTACTATGTTCGCCAGCCCCGCGAGCGGAAGTCGTTACTGTAGTGACGTTTTGGTCTTTGTCCTGCAGATGATCATGCTCCTTTTTGTTTTCCGCCGTGTCCTCCTGAGGCTTGGGAGCAGCTGCTGGCATCACTTCATTTTCTACCAGAGTGATGTTGGGTTGTTGCGTGCTATCGGAAAAATCACCAAAGCTTTCCTCTTGTTGAACAGCTTGAGGAGCTAATCCGACCTCGGAATCAGTCGCAGCGGACGCTGGAGTAGATGAAGTAGAAGTACTCGTCGACGTGGCACTACCTCCAACATTCTCCTGCATAATCCTGCCTTCCTTCCCCGCTGGATCCTTGCCACTCGACGCCATAGAAGTACTGGCACCAAGCGGCAGAATCGAGGTGGTTGTGGTTGTTGTCTTGAAGTTAGAGTGGAGAGGCGGCTCGGAATCTATGTCAGCTCCGGCGTCAAGGGAAGGACGAGCCTCTACTTTGTGGTCGTCTCCTGTTCTTCCCCGTCTCTCGGCTTGTTTGTCTGGCTGAATATTATTTCCCCCGGGTGCAACCTGTGCACGGCCACCCGTGCGAGCGTCTGTCTCTAGTACCTCATCAGGATCGACACGTTTTATTTCTTTTTCAGGACTAGGATGATCGGTTGTCAGATTATAGCTGATAAACAGCTGCCGGGAAAATTTCTTCTCCGGTAAAAACAAGTCTTGATTGACTTCTCTGTCAAACGACAAACCGCGACGGCGAGGACCATTTCGAAGGCGTTTAATAGCTCCTCCAGCTGTAAGAACCTCTCTACTAGTACTACCTCCGGCCGAAGTTCTAGTCTTGGTGATCATCGACGTCCTGTGATTTTTGCTTACGTCACCACCGTGGTCCTCGTCGTGGCTCGCCCCTCCTCTGTTTTGATATTCATCAAGCGCCGCCGATGGAAGATGAAGAAGAGGCTCTACGAGTACTTCCTGGTGGTCCGCTAGACTTTGATGATCTTCTTCGTGAGAATTTTCAACTACATCCGGCACGAGTTCCCGCGCCTCGAGTATTCTCATATTTCGGCTCAAGGTTTCGAAGCAGGCGTTTTCCCGGGTTATTTTCTGGTAGTACTTCTGCTCTTCGGGCGTCATCTCGGTGATCTTTGACTTCAAGTGCCGTGCCCACGTCACCTGCAGCGTGTCGTTCAGCCGGTACTCAAAGGTGCGCCAACTCCACTGAAAATTGTATTCCAGCAAAATTCCGTTCTGCATCACTTGCGACCCAACGATCTTGTTCGCATACGGGAACTGCACTTTTGGGAACAGCAGCTGCGTCTTGTCCACCCAGGCCCCGCCGGAGTCCGCGAGCTGCTCGGAAAACGCGTTGAAGAACAAATCGTCCACGTAGTCTTGCGGTTCGTCACTCTCCCAGGTGAAAGAACCATCCTCCGCGACGGTGCTTTTCAAGTCCAAGGGTGGGAAGGCGTTTCGGGAGTGCGACGGGTGGTCCGGGGGGTAGCTCCGCGTGATGTTAAACACGCTCCCTTTCTTGTCCGTCACCATGTATCGCCGCGACTCGAGGAGGGGAAATGTGCGTCGTGCTGTGTTTATTTTCGTGTTCTTGTGCCGCATAGTATCTGCTGCTTCGCCAACATCGAGATGATCCTCTTGCGTGTCGAATGACTCAAACTCATAATCCTCGCCGTGGTCCGTGTGGCTCCTGCTATGATCCAACATCTGCAAGTTGCGACGTCCTGTCTTGGATGCTGACTTCATGGGGCTCATGGTTGGAACCAGTCCCGGCCGGCCAAACAGAAATTTTCGGTCCTCGTTGTACACGCTGAAAAACCCCAAGTCGTCGAAGTCCGGGCCGGAATGCAGCCACCCAAAGGTGGACAGAGACAGAATGACGGACACAACCGCCAGGCCAATGAAAAATTGCATAATCTTCCGGTACCTCTTGCAAAACTCGTTCAGAAGCAGCCGTTTCTGGGCTGCCGGATTTTTATAGTGCTGCCCGCCAAGAGTAGAGCCGTGGCTCGAATTATTATGATCACACGAAAAGGTGTAAATCCACCCGAAGAAAAAGTTCCAATAGCCTCGCCAAACCCGCATTCGGCGCTCCCGCTCTTGCTGCTTCTGTCCTGCGAGAATGAGTTTTAGCGTCTGCGCGGACTTCAACGACCGAGCTTGCTGCGAAGTTGTGTGGTTCTGCTGATCGTCTTGGTGCTCGGATTCGAACGGTCCTCCAGTCGTAGTTCCAGATGAATTTGTGTGGCTGCCCCTCGAAGAGCCCGGGGCCCATCCCGATCCATTATCTTGATTACTGGAGCTGCCCGACGAGGTGTGGTGCGGGTTCTGTGCCTGTGGCGCTGCGTTCTTGGATGATGTCGAAACCCCCTTAGACGTCGAGGAGCCCCCTCCATGTCCGCCAGCTCTGCCTGCGGACGAAGCGCCTGGTGGCGCCTTGCTTTTTTTCTTGGCCGGTTTTGCAGCCTTGGACGCAGAGCGACCAGGGAGAATCCACGAAAACGCAAACATTATACCAGCAACCCAGTTATTTTTACTAGGCTTCGAGACGAACTTTCGAAGTTGGAAAACCAAGTAGGCAAAACAACTTCTTCTCTCCCGTATAGGTAGATATTACCGATCCGAAAAGATGCTTGTAAGAGGCGACTTTGAACAGAATCAAAATCTAGTGGTCTATTAACGCCTTACTTGTAACACATTCACTTTCACATACCTTCCCAGACGACGCAAAACGCAACGAGCAATGCGGAATGGCTGTGAGTATGATCTGCTCGTCCACTTTTTTGAAGGATAAAAAACAACAACCAGCAATGTACAGATCGGTGCATCGGTCTAGATTTCTACACAAACAAACAACAAAACGAAGACAAAAAAAAAGCACAGAGATCATGGGTACGAGCCAACAAAAATGATCGTTTATTACGACCATTGAGTCAAGAATAGATACAAAGCTGCAAATTGCAAATCAGCACAAAAAATTGATCTAGAGTCGGATCTTTTGGAGTGGCCAGAGCAGTAGCCTGCGAGAGCAGCCACACTATTCCACTGCATCGAGGAAGAGTGATGTGGGCACTGCGTGCATCGCATATGTTGATCTTTAAAAAAAAATTTTGCTTCATCTTGTTTCTGCTTCCGTTCTTCCACGACACACGGTCTGCTGACCGCCGTCTGCAACTAGATGCACCTTTGTGATGGCGCGTCAGTAGAGATACTAGCCTTCACATGACTTCGTGATCACAGCCGTCTTATCCGGGTTTTTCTGCGTTTGCGTTGTCAGTCCCGGTATCAATCTGTCCGGGTCAAAATTCAAAAAGTGATGATTCAAGATAGAAGCGGCACTGGTGACCTGTATCGTGCCATAGAAGGAGAAGTTTAGAACGGTTGCTACTATGATTCGCTTCATTCTGAAGTTCTTGCTCTTGGTTGTCGAGCGCGACACGACAAGCAAGATTCTTCTAACTACTTACCTCATCAGGTGTTTTAAAGAAGAACGCGAACAAATTACAATATTGGCAAAATCTGCCCGAAAGACTAGGTCGTACGGTGGTGCTGTGCCACTGCGTCCCGTTCCCCACGGCGTGGAAGTGGATGTGCTCGAGCTAGAAACACCGGTCCCTTATTTTCAATAAGTATGACACTGAGAAGAGAGCATCGTCCACATGTTTAATTACACGAAGTAGATGAGATGGGATACTAGGCGCCGAGGCATCGTATCATGCTCACAGTAATCAACATTCCGTGATTATTTAGCCTGCAGATGGAAGAAGTAAACGGAATCCGGCCACATACGAGCAGCTGCAGTACGCATCTAGCAATTAGATGATGACGATGATGATGTTACCCAGTAAAGGGTTGACAAGAGGAACAGTGCAGGTGAGCTCCTACTACTGTCCGAGAATCACGTTTAGGTGTCGTGAGAGAAGTAAAAAAATTCTTCAAAAAGTTGTTATATATTTACACAGTAAACTCCTAAGTAGACGAATATCCAAGATACTAACTACCCTCGCCCTCACTTCCGATACATCGTTGCCTGTCCCAAGGCACTGAGCACCAACTCCGTTCCCAGCCGCACGGTCGGCGACACGTGCTTGCCGATCAGGACGTCCAGGTCCCCGTGCATTTTCAGTTTCTTGGAGTAGTCCGACAGGGTGTCGATGACCGGATTGATTTCGACCAAGTCCATGGACACGAGGCGCCGGGTCAGTGCCAGCTCCTCGCAAATGTAGTGGGCCTCCCGATACGTGAGCCCCCCGCGCGCACAGGTCCCGGTGCCGGGCGCGATGCTCGGGTCGCACCCATCAATGTCGAAGGACAAATGAATAGGCCGGCGGGCGTTCGGGTCGATGCGCCGCAGCGCTTCCTTGATCACGTTCGCGATGCCCAACTCGTCCACGTCCCGCATCGTATGCATTGCAAAAGTGATTTTTATCGCGCTCGTAGTAATGGCTGTCATGTTGCACCACAAATTTGTCTCAAGGCAAAGTTCGCCTTCGTCGAAGTCGCATTTTTAATGCTGAGCTAATTTGTTTTTGGTACCACCAGTATTAATCGGAAGATTATACTTTTGCGATTCATACATCGTGAAGAAGTGCAGATCGGAATTGCGCATCAACTCCGCCTCCCCGGGGTCGATGTCGCGCAGGCCGATGAAGCAGAAGTTGTGCGCATTGACCACGGGCTTGCAGTTCTCCGGCATCCAGGTTTCGAACCCTTTTGGGTGGGAGTCGAACCAGCCCATGACGTGCGCCGCTGGCATTCCGTGGTAGTGCCCGGAGGGGGAGGTCTTGGGTGTGTTGCAGTCCCCGTGCGCGTCCACCCAAATGACACAGAGGTCGGGGTAGATCTGCTGCATAGCGGTAATTGTGGATACCGCGACAGCGTGATCGCCTCCGACCGTAAGTTGAAAGGGCCGAGGGATTTTCAGCTTGCTGGTAAGTGCTGTTGCATGTGGACCGGGAATATTTGAGATTTGCTGCTCCCCCGCCTGCTGCTGGAACAGTGACGCCGTTGGCATTGGTGCCGCTCCTACCGTGCCCCCGTTCCCGCTATTCATGTTATCTGCGCTCATCATGCTAGTCGTGGTTTTCCTGTGAATCCGGAGGATTTCCTGGTACAGGTGCTCGCAAGCCGGCCCGATTAAATCCAGGTTCTTGATGGGTTTTTCTACCCCATTGCTTCCTGCGGGAGACGGATTCCGGTGACCACAACTCGCTGCGAGGACGGTGGGGTGATTCTGATTCGCTGCGCCGGTGGGTGTCACGCCCGGGTTGGTCGAAATTGGGCTCTGCATCGTGGATTTTGTCGTGGTCGGTGTGATGTCCTCTGCCTCCGAGGCGGTCCCGCTGGAGGTGTGGGCCGCGTCGAGCAGCCCTTGTTCCAGCAACCAATCGCCAAAGGAAATTTTCGCTCGGATCCCGGGGGTGTTGCGCCACGTGTCGAAGTTCTCGCGGGTGATCGTGTTTTTCTTCTGAAAGAGTTCGTATGAACCGCAAAAGTGTAGTATCGCACTCGTATAAATGCATTACCTCAGCATGAGAAATAAAACTTGTAATGCAGATTTGCCTTGGGAACAAGATTTGTAATGCAAGGCCTGCATTTATACGAGTACGATACTTTTGCACACGATAGTTCGTCCTCCTCCGCCATTTTCTGCGCGAGTGCGATCGTGTTTTGCTCACTAGCACTTGTGCCTGCCGCAAGCCCCTTTTCCCGAAACAAGGCGTCGAAGTCCACATCGCCGTAGTCTTTCCACGTGTACCCCAGCTTTTTCACGAGACTGGCGAGGTGGGCCGCCCGCACGGCCTGGGGCGCCACCTCGAGGCCGCGGAGGTTCTGCCCGATGCTCATGCCCGCCCCGAGAAAGGCCACGGAATCGATGGGGAAGATCACCTTCTTCGAGTCCGCCCGGTGTCCCACGGTGGTCTCGTAGCCCGCCGTAGCGGACGGCAGCTGAGACTTGGGCGTGGCGCCGGACGACATGACGTAGTTGAAAAAATCTTATGGTTCTTCCGTGCCTAATTTGTGATTGTGAAGGGTCGTTGTTCCAATTTTCATATGATACTACACGAGCGTGACTACTTGCTGATCTTCAAAAAAAAGGCCTTTCAACCGCAACATTACGAAGAAGATGAACTTTCTGAGCATTTGGAAATAACATCGGGTAGTACTAGCACTTCGGGGGGGCGGCAGAACTCTATTGTTGCAACAGCGACTTTAAACAAAATGAGAAAACGAGGCCACAGTGGAAGCAAGATGATAGTGAGTTACAACCACAAAAGCAAAACAGAATGAAGTAAGGGGATGTGGTAATCATGGTGCTCTGAAGGCAAAGAAACACGTAGACGACAAGAACTCTACTACGTAAATAAGAATCGCTCGATCTTCTGGTGCTGACACGCAAATGTTGATTTCCGAATCTCCCAAGGCTACGATCCTGCGAGTCCCACAGTTGGTTGCGATCAACTTCCGGAAAGGTTCAAGTCAATGAAAAAACAGGACAGAGTCTTGATGTGTAGTGCTGTAGTCAGCATGTGAAGTTTTAATTTTTTGCTCCACGTCCACCCTCGCCGGAAGAATAAACAAGGATCCAGGACTAGCAAGCAAAACCGATTTGACTATTAGCAGGAGCTATCGAACACGCTATTTGAAGGAGTACGAGCATAGATGAACGCCTATTTTTTGTTTATCGTGCAACAAGTGTTGATTTTACATTTATTCATTCAATCCTACATTGTTCGAGGAGGGACGAGAGAACAAAAACTACGTGTACGTACATGCAGAGCCATTTTTCCTATATGTTATCAGAAGTTGCCACGTCGGGAGCCAGGCCGTAGTTGCAACATTTTTCTACATAGCGCCTCAACAATGAGTCGCCAGGACAAAGTAAGTAGTAAGTTCCGCCTACGTCATCATCAAATCAAAGGCAGACCTGTTGTAAATGAGAAGCCTTAGCAGGCTCGGTCCAAATGCAGATAATAACAGTGCGCGAGCAGTACGGCTGCGGTCTGTATTTGTTTTAAAGATAGTAGCAAGGGTCTACCCTCTATTTTCTCATTTTGAACAAATACGTGCTTCAAAAAACCGGCACCTGTCCGGCTTTCATCTTTTTATCGTAACAGTACGCCGTCCACAAATCCAGGAAGAAATTTTGCATTCTTGCATCATTCCAGATTCTTTCCAGGCTTCGGGTGTGTTGGGTCTTCGCAGCCTTGTAGGCAGCGATATCGCGTTCCGAATATACTGGACGAAACACCTCATCCGAAGAAATCACGTCTTCACGCCGTCGACGACCCATCAACGTCTCATAATTTTCTCGCAGCTCGAGTTTCACCAGCTGGCTCACCACTTCTCTTTTCACTTTTTCCAGGCCGTTTTCCCAGATTTCGCGAGTTTGCTGCTCCATTGATGTTTTCTGCGCCACAGTACGTTCCTCGCCAGAAGTTCTTCTGGCTGCCGGCTCCTCGTCAGCTGCACGGGGGCGAAATAAAAGCGAAGAGGTAGACCCGCTTGACGTGCTATTTGTATTTGCAGCGACCACTGGTTTCCCAGACGGAGAACGACGTCGTCCTCCTGTAATACTTGCAGAAGCGCCAGCAGCTTCCCATTTAACATGATCAACACAAGCAACGCTGCTGCTTCCTTCCAGGGCGGCTACAAGGAGTTTCGCGGGACTCAATATTACAGTGTTTATTCCCGACTGAAGGGTGTGAAGATTTGATGAGGTGGCGCCATCTTCTAGCGTAGAAGTGGACTCTCCTTCATCTTCTCCTCCACCTTCCCAGGTGGAATCGACACTCAACATGGTCATGGGCCGCATCTCGGGGTGCAGCTGCCTCGTGCGCCGCAAGTCCAACGTTCGGCTCAAAGTGCGCGACTGCGCCGCCAAAGCAGCTGATGTAGTGCGTCTTCTTCTAGAAGGAGTAGTAAGAGCGCCGGCACAAGAACTTCTTGCTAGGGATCTGTCATTGCGTGCCTCGACCATAATTTCCTCCATAATGCGGCCAAACTCCGCGTCAAATACAGGGGAACTTTGCAGCCGACGTCCTGGAGTACCGGCTCGCTGCTCCTCGCCGGGGCCGAGTAACCCGCTTCCGGTACTAGAGAAATCCTCCGACAAACCCGTCCATCTGCAAAAGCTGTCGCGAAGGGACCGATAAGGCGCTGCCAGAGGGCGGGCAAAAAGATGGAACGGAAAAAAGTCCTTACTGCTCACGTATCTGCCGTTGTACTAGGTCGGTACCACAACGACTACCACAACGACTGCATTAAAGACGCCCAAATTATGGCGATGAGTTCGAAAGTACGAACTCGATCGGCGGTTGAATGTAATCGATTCTGCAGCTCGTGTAGACTTCTAATATCTAAGCTTATTGCTTATGCTTACTGGTGAGATGAGCGCGATGCTAATTAGTCATTTTATCTCATGATGTTTTAGAAACGACCGCAGTGGTGATGCATAGAGAGTTGGAGTCGCCTCCTCATGGCGATGGCGAAAAGTTTGTTTACTTTCTTCCCAAAAGCAGAACCATTCATAGCGTTTTGACCGGTCTTGCAGACACATGATCACTAAGTAGAAGATCTCTAAAAGGATAAAAGTACGCACTTGCATCACGAATGTTGATGTCTCTTCGCTCGCCAAAGCCATCGACTTCCTCATCCTGCTGAGGTGGGACAACGTCGTTGATAGCGTGGATCCGGGGTAGTATCCCGCCCCGCCACCCAGAGAAAGTTACTCCCAGCACACAGCAACCACACAGCGCGTTACAGCTGTTGTCAAGGCAGTCTCCGAGAAGCATGCCTGAGACATCCGTTCCGGGAAGGTGTTTATTGTGGCCAAAAGTGTCGCTAGTACTAGTCGCACAAATCATTCTAACGCGGCCTCTGGCAGATTACTGTCTTCAGCTTCACAGCTGACGTGATCCTCTTTTTCCAGAAAACTTTCATACAAAAACTGCATTTTTCTGCTTCTTGTAAGTCGTTTGCATAGTAGACACACGGCAACTCTGTACTCCTAGTACGCTCCTACTTTTGATAGGAACTTGCGTGGTGCGCAGCGGCGGCGAGGGTGGCCGGGTTGCAGGTCTGGTACGCCACGGCCCCGGCGATGCAGCAGCTCGCGCCGCAACAACACGCGTCACACAGCAGTGGTAGTGCGACGGTGCTACACCTGCAGCAGCCCGGGGCCCTTGGCTCCCCGCCGGCGTCGCTGGTACAGAGGGCCCAGGAAGAGCTTACCGGGCCGGCGAGACAGCAGCAACATTTCGCATCCGCTACTGAAAAAAAATCGGCCGCGGTGTCGGGTCGGACGCAAGTACTGGCACAAATAAAGGGGCCGCAATACAAGTAGACAAGCGTGGTTAGGGCGCAGTCGCACGTGCGCAAACACGGGTGGAGGCACCATTCCCGAAGGCATGGCGCGACTTTGTCCACCGCGAAACGAGTAGCGCGGCTCAAACTTCGTGCACTTCCCCCAAGAACATCGATCACCAGCAGTTCCAGTGCCTAGGAACGGAGTGGCTTCTGAAGGCTGGTAATCTGGGTGCGTCTCACTTTCCTCTCCGCCGGACGAGGATCCGCTGCTCTCCGTATTTCGACCTGCAGGCTGACCAGCCCGATCTCGCACAAGCCTAATGTCCTCTTCGGAGTAGCCGAGCGCTTCCAGAACGCCTGGGTTGCAGCAGGGAACCACACGTCGGGCCGTATGCTGGTGCCACATAGCGGTCTCCTTCAGCCTACCGTAAAACCGGAGGAGCAAGTATGATAATTCACATCACCAACATGACCTCCCACTCTTGTCCTTTGCAAAGGTGCGTTGCCGTTCACGCAATGAAGTACAGCATAATATAATGTACGTTGGAATTCATCAAAAAAATGCTGCGTGAACCACTTGTACTGCGCATGACAAATAACAACATATTGATGGTGCTAGTGATGCCGATTCTGGCTGGGATAGCAGCGCCTCCACAGTGATTGGCGGGCCGGATGACATCAGAGGGCTGCGCGTCGCGTCCTCCACATCGTTCTCTTCGTTGGATGATGAGGATGAACTTGATGCAAGTTCATCTCCTTCGCCCGAATCGGACCCTCCGTCATCTTCTGTCGGTCGCCGCCCGTGTTCCGGTCCAGAGGACGGCTTTTGCAACAAATCACCCTGTAGTCGTGCGGAATCTGTTGATGTTGATGAACTAGAGGCGACCACGGCCCCGATACTCGTGGTTTTTTTATGTTTGCTCCTTCTATATTCGCGGTCTAAAAAGTGTCCGCTGATATGCTCACCGGTCTTCTGAAAATGCCTTCGTCGCCGTTTCTTTTGGCGTTTGATCACTTGGGCAAGACTTTTTTCCTCAGCAGGCGTGCTGGTGCCGGCGCCAGATTTACAGACGGTTTCAAATTCTGGGTCTTGTCGTTTCATCAGTTCGAGCTCCGTGGTGGCGAGACGTCTCTCTTGCGACGGAGACGAATAGTTCATGGCACGACGAGGATAGTTCCCTCTACACTTGCGGTGTCTTCGGCCGTTGTAACCTCCGAGTTTCTTCGGCTTGAAAGTGGCCGAACCACGTGAACTCGTGTAGGTGCAGCTCTTCGGGGTTCTTGCGGAAGAAATCTCGAACAATTCCTCGAAAAAAATCCCCAATGCGTGTTCCAGCCCGTCGCGGGCCCGCACGATGTCCAGTGCTGTGTGGAGGCGCATGTCCACTACAGGGGGCACCCGGGCACTAAAACTCTCATGCTGTTGTGTGCGAGCCTGCTCGGGCCCCGGGGCCGCGCTGGTCGCGGATCTTTTCCCGCGCGGCCCGTCTTTTCGTCGTAGACCAACACCCGAAGTGCTGCTGTCGTGCGGGCGCGCTCCCGCACTTGCACTCCCACTTGCAACGATATTCACAATTTGCGCACGAACATCGTGGAGCTCGTAGGAAGCACTTTCGACATAGCTCTTCACGTGATTCCAGAGCTGCTTGCGCTCCGCTGGTGTAAGTATTTCTAGATTCTGTTCTAGCATGCGTCTAGGTCTACTTCCACCTGCCGTGCGCCGGGTGCTCTGGGTTGCAGATCGGTCGTGGTCTCCCTTCAAGAACAAAGAAAGCAACTCATCGACAGCTTCCATCGTGATTCCATCGTAGCACACGTACCGCGGGCAAAGGCTGGTTTGGCAGTAGCACGCCTGTGCGATGGGTTGGCACGCGTCGGCCACGTCGAGAGGAAAAAAGTGGAGGCCAGGAGCCTCTTGCTGCTGCGGCGGCCCGGAAACCACGTCGTGTTTTTCTTTTGGCATTTTACCGCCTTCTGAGACGAAGCTTCGGCCGCAGATTCTGCGGTCTACTTTACCATCCTTCTCCTGCCGCCCTTCGACGTGTTCTTCGTCTCCGCGGGAGAACAGAAACCCACCACTGCGTGCTGGAGGTCTAGTCTGCAAATAATCACCGTGGAGCTTGCGCTTAGGAAGACCCTCACGGTCGTGCTCAACAACCGGGTCTCCAGCCTGTTGCTCGTCTTGCCCCTGAACGACCTGGTCCCAGTAGTGCAGCACGATTGGCCACTGGGATTTCTCCTGGCCCTCCGCGCACACCGGGCACGACTTGCGCCTTGCGAGACCGGAATTACGCAGCTCGTAGTTCCGCGCACAGGCCGGGCAAACTACGTGCCCACAGGGGTAGACCGACACGGATTTTTTTCGAGCTGTCGGGGCCTCATTCGAGGGGAACGAGGCGGAGGAAACTGGTGCGACAGCAGGTGTAGTTGGATTTGTTGGTGGGCCGGCTGCACCGAAACGTTGAGGTTGACCATCTAAATCTCCAGCTTTCCCGTTTGTTGTTTCATCTCCCTTGTAGTTATTAGGGTTACAGCTACACTTCCCATCTACTGTGCCCTCTATTTCATTCGGATTTCCAGGGTCATTGTGCTCTCCTCCGACGATATTTTCCTTCAAGCAAATGACGCAGGCTTGCTCTTTCAACAGGGTCGGCCCACCATCATATTCTTGGTTCGTGAGCCGAAAACGTAACAGTCGCCACTCCTTTGCGGTGAAGGGCCGGCGAGGATTGGGCAGGAAAAAGTTCATTCCACCGCTTCGGTCTACTTTTTGACGCTGGTCATCTCTTCGCGGGTACAGTACTTCAGGCTCCTCATCATCCGGTAACATCATGGTCGTTTTGAGATGCGCTCTCGCCCCCATACGCTGTTGGGTCGGAGGTGCAGCTGTAGAGGACGAGGAGGAGGCTTGTTCTGCATGAGCAGGAACTGGCGGAGAGTCTCTGAAAATACTGCGCGCTCTGGCAACAACTGATATTGATTGCAGGTAATAGAGTACCGCCGGAAAAAGGCAGCACTGCAACAAGTCGCTCCTCATCTTGCACGAACGCTCATGTACGGTCTTTGCGACGTGAATATTTTTTATTCACAAAAATAATTTGATGAAACTGAATGAACAAAATCCAAACAGTGGCAGTCATACAGATACAACCACAGCGGCATAGAGCTGGTTGCGCAACTTCTTTCAGCTTAAGTGCATGACGTAAATTGAAAAAAAATCGATAGGGAGCTGATGGAGCTGCTACTGCTGAAGCCTGAGGCCTGTGAATAGGAAAACCACAACTCTGATTGCAAAGAAGCTCTCGCTAAGAAGTTTGGCAAAGCGGAACTCACGTCTCGGAAAGTTGTTTCTAAAATAGCAGGACGAGAGAACAAATCAATTGTTGGATACTGCTCACCTTCTCTTCAAATTTGTCGTTAGGCTTTGTTTTAAGTAGATCTTCTGCGGGTGCGGTAGCGTTGCGAAATAGTTGAATGCGCCCGGGGACCTTGACACAAGCTTCTGCTTCACGGACGAGTGTACAAATACCATCCAGTAGATGGATCAGGAGGGATGACGTCTTCTTGAAACAGAATATCTTCGGAATTCGGGATCTTCATGCGAGCGGTCCTTGATCATCTTCCCGGAGAGACAAGGCGACGGCCTCCTTGAACTTCATGATCTGGCTGGAGATATTCTAGCCAATAAAACCACTACGCTGACACTTGCAGCTGAACAAGAACAAGGCATGGCACGGAATAGGTGCAGTTCCAAGAACAACAGAGCCAGACGCGATTCATCTGACGGCTGACGCTTCTTCTCGCAGCGCTGCATCGCAAGGGGTGCGCACTCCTTTTGCTGTTTGTGTTAACCCATGCGCATTCGACATCAGCAAACCCCTTGGGGAAGATGCATCGCGTTGACATTCTTCTTCCGGCGCCTGAAGACATACACGCCAAGTGCGTTTTATGTGAGTGCAGTGATTTTATGATTTTCATTTTCTTGGAAAATATTATGTGTATGTGGCTTATCGTATTCATTTTTTTTATAGTGGTTCTGCTGCACAGGGACATTTCGACATCACAATTTTCTATGGTGTCATGCTTTATCAAGCGAATTTTTCTCCGATCCGTTTTTCATCTGCCTGCTTCTGCTTTTCAGTTCTTCTTCATCCCTACCGTATCATTGATTCATCACCTTCGTCCGTGGCAAAGAATTGCCGGGCAAAAAAAGTTCCGTAATTAATTTAGTACATCACAATCTTCAACATTCATGTGGTCGTCCTCAACTCTCATTCAAATATCGTTTCTCACCCTACTGCTACTTTTACATATTTTAATTTAGGCTTACAATTTCATCAACACTCCGCGTCCCCGCTTTCGCATGGTTAGGTCACCACCTACTAGAAAAGCTCATCCCGTTCCCGCACTCACTCGTTCATGATCTATCGTTATTCTTTTCACGCCGAATTCGGCGATTCGGTGTCGACGTGCTCCGGTCCCTTGGTCTTGACCTTCATGTTGTCCCCGTGTCCATCGTTCGTCGCCGTGTTCACGCCACTAGTCCCGGCGGTTTGTTTTCTATCGTGTGCAAAGACGTACCCACCCGATACTTGCAAATGCCATGTGTAGATCTGCATGCCTAAGAAAAATGTTTCCTATGCGCAGCCCCATCAGGATGCCCATTTTCCAGTCGTGGTGTTTTGGAACTTGACATGATGCTCTGATCAACACGATGTTGAGAGCGTCGATTTTTATCTAATGTGGCTTCACTACCCATGCACGACTACACCGCGAGCGCAAACCTGTCATGCGCCCCAAGCAGAACGGCAGCAGATCTACTCGTCCCATCTTGACTATCCTCGTGGGGACGTTTTCACGCACGATATTCTCCAACAGCGTTGGTGCGCCGGCGGTGGCCAGACACTTCGTTTTCGGCTTGTTCCAGCGGTTCCAGCTCGTTCAGTTGCCGAAAAGTGTTCTTCTCCACCTCGTCCTCTTCTTCTTCTTCTCTCAGCAAATCGGACTGCGACGTCGTGGTGGACTTCCTCATTTTCCCCGCCATGGGATCTGGTATCGCAAACTCGTCCTCTGGCGGTAGACCACTCGGTGCCACGTCACGGTCCTCTTTGTGGCCACCACCAGCGAGATGATTGATGTCCTTCTTGTAAGAAGAATCTCGTCCACCGGAAGCTGTTGCAACTACATCACGGCCAATGTTCTCATTGGTTCCACCTCCTGCTACCGGCGAAGAAGGTCCTGCTACTGCGTGATGCAATTGATCACCCTCTTGAGCTGGGTCCCCGTTGACGACCATCAACTTCGTCGGAGAGATGGGAGGCGGAGTAGCGGAAGAAGATCTCGGTAGTTGTCCATGAAGGCCTTGCTCGATTTCTTCAGAATTCCGAAGGTGGTCGTGCTGCTTCTCGGTAATAGTGAGCTCGTCGTGCTGGTTGGCCACGGTCGTGCTCCCGGTGGTTCTACTGGTGGTAAAAGTAGTGGCGACTGTACTCCTACTGGTTCCTCCGCGCCGATTGTCTGGAATGTTGGATGCTGGCACGGAAACAGGTGCACCAGCATTCAGTTTCTTCATCTGTGCGGTTGACACCGCGGTCGTGTGGTCCTTTTCTGCTCCAGGTGCAGCGGGCTCTGTTGTTCGTTTTCCCGATGGAGGGACAGCAATCGTTGATGGAGTGCCATCTTGCTCTTCTCGTTTCCGGAACTCCACCTCGCTCACCACTACCGGAGCGGTTTTTCTGTTTGCTCCATCAAGGAAGTGCTCGTCCGGCCGTGTTGCTGACGAACTACTAGACTTACTCGGCCGTCCTGGTACAGACACCCGTAGTGCGGTGTGGGTGTCCGATTGTACTGCGGTTGCAGCGGTGCGCCCTTTTTCCTCCACCTCGTTCCTGTGCTGCGGACGTGCTGCGCGGAGATCCGGATCCGGACTCGTTACCTTTGTTGTGCCATCGGTTTCAATGTTGGACGTGGGTGCGAGATCATTGCTGGCAGGTTCAGCATCTCCGTCGGAAGCAGATGTCTTGCAGTCAATCCCGCTCGCTTCCAATTCCAGCAAGGACATTCTGAATTTTCCAGTGATTTTTCCTCCCTTGCAATAAGTTGGCTTTGTCCTCGTGATTGTGCCGCCGGTCGGCGTCTTCTCTTCCCCGGATTTACTGAGCCAACCTCCCCAGCCCACCAATTTCCCTACTGTGGTTAGTAGCGAGTCGCCCATGCCTTGTCTGGTCCAAAACGGTTCCGGAAAATCCTGGAGCAACGGCTGGCGTGTGTTCGCCAAATCCACGTCTAGCGCGTCGGGCTGCTTCTCGACCTCGAGCCCCTCGGCGCCGTCCAACGGGAACAAGTTGAATAGAAAAAACGCAAGAGACTGACAGTTGAGCTGCGGCTTAGAAGAAAACATAGAGGGAGTCTCCACGTAGTCGTTTCCGCTTTTGAATGGTCCGTAAAACGCTGCGGCAATAGCAACGAGAACGTCGGACCACGTCGCAGTTGGAACAAAGTTGCGTATTATATTGTACAGGGTATCTGCTCTTGCTCTAATGAAAATCCCGCCTTCCGGATCGAGCACTTCCTGCGCGTTGTAAGGGGTGCACCAATCCGGATACTGGAGAGCAGCTCGTAGCTCCGCGGGCGCTTGCCTTAGGGCGCGCGTGCTGGTCTCCCCTGTTTGCGATTTGTCGTCCAGATCCCGAATTGCAAGGTCGCAGCTGAACCCGCTTGCAGAGTATCCGGCATACAGGATGAGCTCATAGTCTTTTGTTGTTGCTCGTCCCCACAAACCAGTTTGCGAAGATGACGTCAGCAAAAAGGCGAATCTGATGAAGTGATGCTCTGCTGTATCCGATCCAACCTTGTTCAGTTGCAGTTGATGGGCTTGCACAGCTATATCGACGCCAGGATTCACTGTCCACGTCGTTGCCGTAGCACTAGTAGCAGGATCGGGCGCACCTTGGACGTAGGGTATCGTTGTCAGTTTAACGCTGAACGGCTCGACTACGGTCACGGCGCAGGTAGCGGCTGGCCTGAGGGTTACGGCCCCGAGACGTCCGAGGTACGGGCCGTCGGTACACGTAGTCTCTAAACAGGGGAGCAGTCGGTTAGAATCCGGGGGAAACGCTGGAGTGCTGCGCACGCACATATGTTCCATTTCATCGAGGCTTGTTCTTTGTTGAGGTGAAGATATTTTACTTCTGGTTGATGCGATGCCGTCCTTGTGCTGCTGCCGCTGGTTGATCGTCATCCGCATCTGCTTTATAGCTCGAAACCACTGTTGTTCTTCGAGATCCTTCGCCTCGGCATTCCCACCATCCGGAACAATGTGACTCTTCAAAAGGGTTACGCACATAGGAGAGATCTGAGCGAGTTTGTACTGACCCTCGACAAATCCTTTTCTATCACTATCGTGTTTTTCCGGGAAGATGTGGGCCAAAAACCGTTTTCGCTTCATTATGTCAGGATCCGCGGTAGGATTGACCTTGCATTCATTAGCGTCTCTGTTTTCCACTTTTCCTTTTGCTACTGTGTCCGACAACCAGCTCAAACTGTTCGCCCAGACCGTGCCGGCGTCGGGCTCGGTCACGGTACAGAGGTACAATTGCCGGGGAAGACCTGCATCTACCAAGTTGTTGTAACTAGTATATTTTTTGATCTCTTCAGGACCCGGCCCAGCATAACCACCAATGCCGCCGACGTTCACCTTGACATGATCGGGTTCCACAGGTTCCGCTGCATGGCCACCGAAAACGGGAGCAAGGGCACCGAAAATCATCTGCAAGAAACTCGATTCCAGAGAGTCGACCAAGCCGAGCAACATCTTCCCAACCAGAGTAGTGGGAGCAGGTGGGTGAACCTGGCGGCGCAACATCGGCTATGGAAACCTCAGTTGGAAGCTATTCAGGGTAGAAGAGATTTGTCATAACACATCGAGTCAAAAAACCGTTGCCTCGTCCTGCTCTTGTCTGCGCCTTCCCATGACGAATTCGCTTACACAATTGGTCCACCGCTCGCGTGAATCCCTGAAGCTACGTGCTGGCGTTGAGCCTGACACATTTTTCACGTTCCCAGAAGGCTGCAGCAGCAGCACTGGGTCAGAAGTAGAAAACGCCTTAGAATACAAAAGCCAAAGCCTCAAGTTGCTGCGCGCCCTCCATAAGGGAGGCTGTCACAGTCTAAGCTGTGCTCTTCTTGGATGTACAGGCGAATAAATTTCTTCCACATTGAAAGTTTTTCTTGGTTTCTTGAGGTTGCCATACGGACGACTTCTTCTTGTAGAGTACCAGAGCGGTGGAAGACGAAGAACTAGAGGTGCTGGTGGTGGTCGTTGTAGTCGTGCTGTCGTATGCATTGCAAACACGAATATATATGCCTGGGTTCTGAAGGACGAATTACATTTGCATGTACATTGGCGCTGTGCCATGTATGAGGAGGAGCCCCCAGTGATGGGCCCTGTTTTTGTCCTCCGACAGTAAAGCCAGAAAGAAACCACGTACGTTAGTACTTCTCGACCTTGACCACGGGTCATGGGAAAACCTCCTTTTTAAAGCGTAAAGGCAATCGAAAGCACCCCTATAATGACGCCCGCGTATTCTTTTGAGATTCAGACCCAGCCACATCCATTTGCAATGAATACGCTGCCAGTTACTACTGCGTCCAAAGCGGGAGCTGAGATGATGAGTGCTCTTGATGAAGATTCCGAGTCGTCCACAACTACCGGTAGAGTACTCCGTTTCTCGCCCGAAGTTGCAACGCCATGTTGTACAGGGGTTCGACTAGTACCATCGTTCCTTGCAGTAGTTCTCGAGTGATCGTTCTCCATGCTGCTGGAGTCCTTCCCTTCGTTCTCGAGTGTTGTAGTAGCTTCTGTCCTCGGATCATTCTGGTGAAGACCGGAATCATGTGTAGTTGTAGTTCCCACTGGCTGTAGTGAACCATCATTCCTTCCTCCTGCATTCTTTGCCGCAACGGCAACAGCTGCACTGGCATCAACCTCGTCCGCCTCGACGTAACTTTCGCGTTCCCGGCCGCCCCCTGGCGCGTGATTTTTCTGTTGCAGCGGTTCATGAGATGAAGTCGCAGTCGCAGTAGAACGAGTTACATGTTGATGCTCATCTACATCTGGAGCTTGATGATCGTGGTCTGCGACAGCAGAAGACGCTGACACCGAATCGTCCGCTTCTGCGCCGATCGTCCTCCTGGAAGAAGAGGAGGAAAGGCTACTGCTGCCGGACGCCGAGTCTTGGTGAATCGCACGAACCATGAGTAGCTGCGGTAAGTAGTTGTGATAGCCCAAGTCGTCGCTCATCCCTCCTCGTGAAGCGAAAAACCAGCTGGCGGTCACCGGGTACCCAGGCGTCGCCCTCCACCACAATGTTGATGAAAAGTCTGTCACTATCAAGAAGCCGCATTGAAGAGCGAGGAGGACGATGAAGCAACAACGACTGATCGATGAAAGCGGAAGAATTATAAACAGCGTGTGCTTTTTCACCATGAAGCGATGCATCGGGAGAGGACTTTTCACCGACATTGTGCTTGTCTGTTCGTGGTCCGGGAGCAAATGGAGTGGTTTTTGTATACGGTGATTTCTCTTGTCTGCGTCCTGCTGCAAGTGTTCCTTTCTGCAAAAGGGCGAATACTTGTTCCACCAAACAGGGGGGCTAGTGCTTGATGCTGGTCAATTCGTCCCCCGGGGCAATATTGTGTCGGTTGTTCAGTGTTTTTCCCGAGCACGAAACAGCTCTGTTGAAAGCCGCGAAACGGGAGTTGTCGATGAAAGTAAACAAATACTCAACAAGAGAAGCGGAAAGGGAAACGATAATGCACGGAACCGGTGATGAGAATCAAGTTGAAGTGAAAACCATGGTGATTTGTATGGGAAGCTTTGGTCTTAGAAGTGATGAACGAACAACAGGAGATGAAGCAGCAAGATGAATTCGCAGTCTTACAAGTCTAATTCTTACCTTGGTATATTCGCTACTAATTATGGAGCATTTGCAATTTTATGCAATTTTCACCTCTACACAAAATTTGCGTCTTTGTGATACCACAAGTAATATTGTATGAAATTCTGTAATTCTATACAACACGCTTGCGTACCTTATTATGTGCGATGTAATTCTTGGGCTGAGTCACTAGGTAAAGCATCTATCCGTATCGGTTATCTAGGTCATTTGGGCCTGAGACGAAAGCCGGGGGTGAGTATCGTGTGAAGATTGCTTGCATCATGCTAAGGAATATCAATTCCGGGAAAAATTACCCAAGACGGAATTTTTTTCGACATTGTTGCACATTAAAAGACGACTCAGCGCAAAAATGGATGAACAGGTCCCTTTAAGACACTTTAATTACTTTCCTCGAAAACATATGAAGAAAAGAACCGTACACATCATGTCCTCACATCAGCGCCTCAACTCACTCTCATGTTCGCTCGGCCTGCCCTGTGAAACTGATACTGAAATGAAAACAAAATAACACGACCGGCAACAAGATTTCGAAAGACCAAGCCTACACCGTCGCGCCGTTGGTTCCTCCTGTCCTAGTCCTAACCTCGTCTAACAGCGCAAAATTAAGAAAAACAAAAACTGTACTCTCAACAATAACTTATTGGTAACTCTCGACGCTTTTTCCCTTGCAGGGCCAAAAAAAACCCTCTGCATAATTGAATCGTCGCTACAAATGCAATGGAGGAGCGGCATGATCTCGCTGTGCTGTCGATGTATTTATGTGAAGATGAAGGTTGGCAGTGCAGAAGTACAAAACACGACAGAACATTCACCGTTCTGCAGCTGGGGGAGTTAAGATCGCCAGGCGATGTGAATCGCCGCCGTGCTGTTGTTCGTTTTTCATTCTTTTCGGTGCTTCGACGGGCGACAAGATTTTATCAAGGACTGACGATCAGCTGCAAGAAGATGTTGACTGCGCATTGAGCTCCTTCACATATGTGTCCAGGAACGCATCAAAATCGACCGTCCTTGTTGCCGTGTCATTTTCTCTTCTACCGTCTTCTCCTGCTCGATTCAGCGTAGAAGCTTCGTTTCCGTCCAAAAGTCGCAAAATGCTGTCCATCTTCCCATGCACCGACCCGGTTTCCATGAATTTCTTCAACCGCTCGCCGTTTTCCAAGCGTGCGAACCCACTGTTGCGCCAAACGTGACAGGCAAGCACCTTGTTCAACAGATAGCAGTAGTAGCTGCCGCCGTAGTGTACCAAGTGCTCAAATTTGGACAACGGCATGGGCGTCAGAAGGTTTCGCAGGGTTCGCGGTGCTTGCAGTGTGTTGTCGTTCTCCAATGCCTCGTCGGTCAAGACTAACTCGAATTTCGGAGCTCTACAGGAATTCTCGTCTGCTTGTTCACTTCCATTACTCGTCCTTCCCGCACCTGCACCTCCGATAATTCTTCGCAGCGCCACGTGCTTTCCCAGATCCGGGAGGGAATCCAAAAGTCCAGCGGAAAGTTTTTCCCGCATGTCTTCCACGCTCGAAATCTCGGTGCCGCAGTCGTAAAATTTCTGGTCTACCAACGCAAAAAGCAGCTGCTGACACGCTTCGAGGAAGGGAAAAGCGGTCTCTGTACTGATCTCGGAAATGTGAATGTCCTGTGCGTCACGCGGGATAGTAGTTTGACCAGGCTGTGGTCCACCTCCAGCACCTTCTCCCTGTCCGCTCCACTTTCGCATGACCGCTTCGTCCAGCACAAAGTACTCAAATAGGTGGCTCGGGAACTCGACAAAGTCCACCGCGCCGCGCGTTCCCGACAGCGATTGCAGCTGCGTCTTACTCAGCAGCGAGTGCACGCAGTGGCCCACCTCGTGGAAAAACGTGATCGCGGCGAGTCTGCTGATGTTTTTCTCCGGGATGCTGCACACGAGGGCGGTTTTCGGAATCACATACGCGGTTTTAGAAGTAGTATTCGCCGCGGCAGTCTGCTCTTCTTGATGCTGCACGACATGCGGGGAAGTTGTGCTGGCGTCCTCTTCGGACAAAGTCAAAGCTACTTCTCTGGACCCTTGCAAGGTAAACTGTGCGGATTGGACGCGTTTCTCGGGCCTCGGTAATGCGTCGATGTACAGAATGCCGATAAGGGACGACGACCCCTCCTCGTCTGTTTCGCTTTTAGTCGCCTCCCTTGCAACTGTCGTCCCCTCGCGTCGCAGTTCGAATTTTCGCACACTGGCGTGCCACGTCTCGTTTTTGTGCGGTGTGACCTCGGTGAAGTTGACGTGCAGAAATTTCTGCAAAATCAAGTTCACGCCGGAGATCAAAGAGTCGTAGGTCGTGGTCGATGTGATGTTGTAAGCCGCCTTTTTTTTCTTGTTATCCACGGACGTTTTGCTCTTTTCCACGAAGTACGCAATGTCCCAGGGGTTTAAAGAAACGAAATCTGAATCTGAATCTTTGATGTTCTGTGACCTTCCCTGCATTGCCATTTTCTCGGCGTATTTCATCTCCGCCAACTGCCGAAGCTCTTTCTTCAATCCCGGCAAAAGGGCAGCCCAGGCCTTCTCCAAAAACCGGGTCACGTTTGCGTTCGCGGTTGCGGCGGCGGAAGTTTGCGGACCGTGGTCATGTTCTTGGCGTGTAAGACCACCCTCTGCAGATTCATTCTTGCTGGATGAAATGGACAAGTCGGCACGAGCAGATGAAGAATTATTTTCCCCTTGTTCTCTGGAAGTCGTAGAATTACTAGCGAAGTTGAGAATCCCATCCCTCTGCGCGTACACGTTCCAGTTTTCGTAGTCCCGTAGTTGTGCCAGCCGGGTTCGCGTCAGCAGCAGTTCGACTAACGCGCGTTCGAGCTCCGGGTTCTCTTCTATGTGCACGACCTGAAAAATCTTCTCCCGGGCCTGTTCGATCGGACACGTTTTTAGCACCACATCCGCGAGGGCAGGATTCTCCCGCATGCGCTCGCCGCCCAGGTTGATTTCTCGGCCACCACCGGCATCTGAATTTTTTGCACTATTTTCTTCAGTAGTATTTCTTCCTCGGGAAAAGAAGCCGTACCTCTTCCCTGAGCCTGAAGTTGATGAATCCCGCTGCTCTAGGTAGGGTAGCAAGGCCCGGAAGTGGTTTCTGGAATCACGTCCTGGAGTCGCGCTCGTGGTTGGACGTAGTTGCTCTGCAGACGATGATGGGCTGGCGGCTGCTGCTGCTTGCTCCAGTCGCTTCTCGAGCTCCGCGTACGATATCCAGAAGTCCGACGAGTTCGAGTATGAAAATGAAAAAGGAAGAAACTACATAAGTATCTGTCCCGCACATCAAATCATCCAAAAAGGAAAAACGCACAACTTGGACTTACTTCTAATTGCTCCGAAAAACATTTTGATTTTACGGACGCAAACCATCTTGATTTTCATTTTACGGACGCATTCTTATGTAAATTATTCCCTTTTCCTAACCGCTGGCCATCCTGCGTTGCGGCACTGCTGTTACCGCTCTGCTGGTTTTGATTTGAGATTCCGCCGGCCAAACAGAAGGAAAGCTCCTGCTCCGTTTGCTGCAGCGCGAGACACTCCTCCTTTTTCTCCGGCGGCATGCCCACGCCCTCGTTGCCCATAGATTCGACCATGTGCCGAAAAACCGTGGCTTCCTCCAGTGACAGCGCCTCGTCGGAAGGACACGGCGGAGTGGAAGATGTCGGTCGCTCTGAAAGATCAAGATGACCAGCACCAGAATCACACTTGATGATGTCGTTCCTTTTCAACAAACGTAACTCGTGGTGCTTTTTCAAGATTTCGAACACCTCCTCATCCAAATTCACAACGGACATGTACTGCGCGATCAGGTTCACCGCGTCGTTCGCTGCGTCGTGCCACTTGCTGTCCGGCGGCGTTACATTCCGCGTCAGCTCCGCCGCCCTATGAGAGTGCATAAGTTCCGCTCCCCCTCCACCTCATTTGGATGTTGGCATCCACAGCAACACAAGCTCTGGCTGGGCAAAGATCAACTCAAGATGCAGCTTGCCTCTGCATGACAAACTGACTACCGATTCTCGTGGTGTTTGGTATTTTGCATGACAAATGAGGATCAAGGGGGGCTGTGCACTCTCATACGCGTCCGCGATGTTGCACAAACTCGCTGACACGTTGTCCAGAGTGCGCAGAAGCGTTTTGGTACTCATCATCGGAGGGAGAGGCTGGCTGGCAGAAGATGAAGAGAGCGGAGGAGAATTCCTCTGATCTTGCTCTTGGCCCTGCCCCCGCGCTTGAATTCTATCCTCTTCTGTCGCTAAGTTTTGCTCTTGTAAAAATTCCGACGATGAAGCACGTTCAAACCAGGCCTGGTTCACGCGTTTCAATTCCTTCATTTCTTCATCCGCGAAATCCACCACTGCCTGCGCGAGCTTCGGGAAATCTGCCGGCCGCTGCAGCTCGGGAATATCGAGAAAATTGTTGTAGTTTCTGGTGTGAAGATGATACGGAGTCGTGAAGGTCTTGGCCTTGCTGTTGCTGTGCGCATGAGAACGAAGACCCGAGTGGCTTGCGATCGTCCCGTGCCTGTCCGCACTGTGCTGTTGCCCTCCGTGTTGACCCGAAGTGGAAGCGAAAAGACTGCGACCACCGGCGACCTCACTAAGCGGCAGACCCGTTTTGGGGCAAAGGCGAGAAGATCTTGTGCTACTTTCAGGCGCAGTTTCGTCGTTGTTCCCTCTGTTGTTAATTTCAGCCGCCCTTGAGGACGTCGTCCCCAGATTCGTAGACGTACTGCCGGAAAAAAAGTCCGTCACCCGGGCACGAATGTTACTCGCTATGGAAGCAGAGGAAGAAGAGGATGAGGACGATGAAGAGAAGGGTTATCCAAAGCGCAAATGCATACATGTCCGAGTCTACTCCTGAAAGCGAATGCAAACATGTGCTGTAAATGATCCAGCACAATGCGGTTCGCTCTACCGAGGGCACCATGCCAAAATATCCAAGCACGTCTCTTTCGCAGGTATGTGTGTCATCTCAAGAGAACAGCGCATGCTGTAAGGATATCAGACCCAGATATGCACCAGCTTTACATTGCATAACGACCGTGGCACAACAACAGCTGCGCTACAGGTGGCAGCACGGACACCGACGCCCATCGACGTTCCCGCGACGCGGAACTGACGCCCAGAAGTGGTCGCGAAATTTTTTCGATGGCAAGAAACTGGAATAAAGGGGGACTTGGCTTGCGAGTCACCCGGCGTGAGGGCGTAATTACTGTCTCTCCTTCTTATCCTTCCAACGGCCGCAACCGCATTTTCCCCATCAAAAATTCGCTGGGCTGTTCGCACGCGGGCCGCGCGGTGCAGCAAAGCCGCGGACTTCCGAACGAGAAAGACTTCGCCACGCATGGTTCTGCCGAATTACCGAAGTAGTTGAGGTTGCGGAATCATGTATCAATCTATCTTATGATTTTCCTTTCGAAAAAGCATTGATCACCGATTTGAATACTTTCTTGCTCACAGTTCTGGTTCTATGACGAGTACGACTTACAAGGACGTGGACGAGGCTGCGGACATAGACTGTTGTACCTGTAGCCTGCACATAGATCCAAAAATCACTTACTCGCACTTCCACTTAGAGGAAAAAAAAAGTGAATTACGTTCGCGCACAGAGGGATCTGTTGAAAAAAAAACAGTTCAGCTTCAGCAAGAAGACCTAGTCGGGACAAATTCCCGCCAATGTAGTAGGCTTCCCTAATACCGAGCAGTCGTGGGAGGACTGATCCTTCTAGCATTTGATCACTTGTTTCGTACATCGGCAAAGGAGGACCTGAATCAGATCGATAATCGCTGTTCTTGATAGACTGACAATACCGGAAAAAAGATCCCGCAGCGATGTGTGCAGCGGGAGTGGCATGTCAGCGCTTTATGGGGACAAGATCCTCATCTGCCTTCTCTGCGATAAAGATCCTGGTCCGGGAATAACACTCGCAACGCTGACGCTACTTCTAAGTCAATCGAACACCACTAGCAACGGATGATGAAAAAATGGCGACACTACTCAGTGCCAGAACACTACCACACTCAATTCATTTCGTTGTGTTACTCCATTTACCCTTGCTCTGAATTTTGTTCCAATCACAGATATTTTTCGGTCGCCCGAAAGAACGACTCGCGAGTGATTACACCAGCGATCTGAACGCCACGAGCATCGCTTGCGCTCCGCACGGGTGCTCTTCTGGTGACAAACAATACCTCCAGCGACAGCATGAGGAACAAGAAATGAACCCGCGCCAAGCTCGTCTGTTCGTCAATAAGTAAGGGCGTCGGGTCGAGCAAATTGTCCTGTGGATGGTAAAGACCGAGCAGCGGTGAATCCGAGGTAGCATTGTCTTTGCTTGCCTCAAAAAAGTCTCCGCTTTTTTCGCCCCTGCCAACAGATCTTCCGTGCTGATTGGAAGAAGGTCCGCTTGATGTGAGGACACCTGGTTCATCTGTAGAAATTGCAGTCGTCCCCGCAGCCAACAACATAGAGCTGGTTTTACTGACGGTCCTGCTAGCCCCACAACTCTCGCTGGTCACTAAACTTATCGAAAGAGGCGACGCAGTGGAAGCACTGCCGCTTGATACCGCGCCAGTCGTACTGGAAGACGATTTCTGTCGAACGGCACCAGGGTCGTGCAGCTCCTCCAGTAGCACACTGCTCTCAGCGATTTCCGCCACTTCACCTTCTACATCGCCGCACATAGCGTCATCTCTTCCACCCTCCATGTGAGCGACGAACACGGGCAGGGGCAGACACGCGGCCTGGAAACGCACAGCGGTTTCGATTTCGTTCATTTCTTGTCGTGCCAAATCATTCTGTTGTATTGCGATTTCTTCTTCAGAAGCCATATTGCTCTGTCCCGCCAACAAGTCCTCCTCAGTAGAGCCTCGCAATTGGAGCAGATCGTCGTCCGATGTGGTGTAGTATTTGTCGCTAGAATTCATCCCTGCGGAGGTGGAGGACTGAGCAGCTGCATCAATAGAGGACATGAATCCCTGCTGCTGATCACCGCCCTCCTGTTCATCCGCGATGTCGAAGTACGCGTAGCCCGCCTCCCGTGCGGCCTTCAGTGCTCTCAATAGTTCCGACCGGGAAAACGACTCGCGCAGAAAGCAGCCGGCTGGGATCTCGCGACACAGATCCCCCGCGGTCAGTCGCTGGTAGCTCTGCTGGTTGCCCTGGAGGTAGGGGAAAAACCGGATCTTCTTCAACTGGATGATCACGTCAAAAATGCTCATCAGCCGATTGTTTCCTGCTGAGGTTTCGGACTGGTGTTCTTCATGATCTTCCTCCTCGGCCTGCAGCCGTTGTTCCGTCGAGCGGGAAAGCATCAAACTAGAAGGAAAAACAGCTTCGTTGCTGGAAAAAAATCCTCCTCTCGACGATGTTGAAGACGACGCCGTGGTCCTTCTCCGCTTTTTACAACGAAACTCAACGGAGAGCAAGTAGCCGCAGACGAAGTAGCTCATGCAGACCGCGAGGAGCATGGGCAGCAAGTGGTTGATTTGGCCCGTCAGCTCGGACACAATGAGGACTGTGGACAGCATCTGCGTCACGCCCGCGGTCATGCAGGTGGCGCCCACCACCGCGTACAAGGCGGGAACCTCGAAGTCGGATGGAGGAGGAGGGGATCGGGTGAAGGAATCTTCAGGTGAGGATGTTTTTCTTGGTTGTTTCACCTCGTTGCTCGTAGCGGGAACTGGATCTTCACCAGTGTCTTGAGTGCCGAACCAGCCCTGGGCTGCAGCATCCACCGACTCGAAGTAGCTCTGCAAGGTTTTTTGAAAACTGCCATCAGTGCCATCATTCTCCTGATTTTGGCTGCCAGTCGTCGATAGAGCCGCGCCGTCTTCGTGATCGTGGCCGGAAGGGTTGTTGCTGTTAGTTTCGCCGAATAAGGCCGACGGCCCTAGGTTCAGACTCTGGGGCAGCGCCCAGAAGAAGTCGCTGTCCTCTTCACTTGTCTTCGGGAAACGAAACACCAGACCGAAAAGACGGCCGAGCGACGCACCGAGGACAAAAACCGGTGTGAAGACCCCGGCGGGTATGGGGCAAGCCGCGGCAATCGGGAAGAGGATCGATTTTTGAAAAATCAGTGAGGTGAGGACCTTATACTGCGGAAAAGTAGTATGTATGGTGTGTGTGCGGGTGCGCAACATACAGAATGCACGGAGCAGAAGGCACGATGACAAATCTTTCGTTGCGCATCGCTGTCATGCTTCCTTGGGGCCATCCACATAAATTGCGCTTAAACATCACCAGTATTAATTTCTTTTCCGCCGGATAGATCCGCAGGTCAGAGGAGGCGCTGACGCTTGTTGGGCTCGCCGAGCTACGACTCGAAATTTTCGCTGATTTCGCTTCGTTTCCGCCTGCTCCTGTTTCTCCCGGCGCCGCACCCCCAGGAGCAATGTCCCCACTTACTTGACCCGGCAACAGCTTCTCACTCAGACTTTTCTTGGAAAAGAGTGCGTTTATTAGACTTTTATCCTGGTGCGCGATTGCGGGCTCCAAGACGCACAAAGAGGACGAGAAGAGGGATATGAGCATCAGTGCGAGAAAGATCTTTCCATGCAGCGCGTTTTTTGCTGACAGCAGCCCACGTGATTCTGGTGGTGCTCCGCCCATGCTCGCCGTCGACGTAGTTTGTTGCTGATTATTTGTCAGCAGTCGGGCGGAAAAGCCAAAGCAAAACTTCGTGAATTTCACGACCAAGGCGCCAACAACGCCATTGCACACGCCCAGCAACACAAACCAACCGGTTTCCTCCAAAGGGGGTTCGCCCAAGTCCGTCAGTTCGAACAGCCGGGTTACGTGCAGGTACCCACAGACGCGCAAAGCGAAAAGACAGCTGACGGAACAGAAGAAAGCCCGCCAAATGTTCTTTATGAAAAAGAACGTCGTCGCCATCTCCATCGCAAACAGGGTCGCTCCAAGCGGCGCACCAAAGGTAGCGCAAACACCGGCAGCAGTGGCGGCCGTCATCAGGCGGACTTGATTTTGGCTCAATGAACGGGCGAGCTTTTCCACAGTGGAAGTATTACTGCTGTTTTTTCTCGTCGTTCCGCGGAGATTGAAAACGTTTACTTGTGTTGGACAGCAAGAAGCCAAGCAGCCACTTACGAGTGCAGTCCTACACCTGCCAACAAAAATCCGCAAACACCTCCCGAAGCGACGGACCAAGCTGGAGCTGCCACTGTTCGTTCTTTGCTGTTCGCCTTGGAAGCCTGCGGCCTCATGATGTTGTACGCGTCTGTGGTCCTGCGATAGGATGTCACCTTCTCCTCCTGACGGTGAAGTTGTTTCGTGTTCTCTATCAACAAACACATTCCGCGCAGTTGCGTTCACTCGACCAGGTACAACTTCATTCGTCGCAGCACCTGCTGGTTCTTGCCAAAACCCAGCAGCAGCCACACCAGCAGCCGCCGCCCCTGAGCGACTGCGTAGCTCTTCCTCAGCCAAACACCATCTTCTGAGCCAGTCGAGCAATACAAACGTGAAGCAGCAGCTCAGGTGCACGTAGGGCCCAAGCTTTCCGATCGGCAGACCGGCGGCAAGCACGCAGATCAAACCCGTCACCTTCGCCAGTAAAGTTCGGAAGGAGAGAAAATTCTGCCACACCGGGTCCTGAAAGGTCCGCTTCGTACCGGAGGACAGCAGATTCTTCACTTCCGGTAGGCCCGAACCCTTTGCGCAGTTGGCCTGGTTTACTATTTGTGGCGCACCCCCGGTAGAGCTGCTTGTAGCACCGCTCGTGTCTGCTCTTTTCCCAGACCTGCCACTCCTCCAGTTGAGTATCACGACTGGAAACACATACCCTCCCACAAACGTGAGAAATACGCACGAAAAAAGGTAGTAGCAGGTCGCGGGCTGCAGCGGAAGTGGCGTTAGGTTTGAAGAAAGGGAAAGGAAGTGGAGCGAGTCCTCCTCGCCGTCATGGACAGGAGGTACAACTTGCTCAACAGGCGCAGGGGACTTTTTCCCAGTGGATGTACTACTTCCGTTCGCGTTCGCAGCAAAATCAAAATCTTTGATAAACTTCTGCCGATAGTGGAACACCATACCCACCACCGAATCGACCACCACGGACAGAAAGGCCATCCAGAAGCCGATCAGAATCAACAGCACCCAGAACGCGTAGTCGCAGGAAGCAGAAGAGGAGAGGGGCTTGGTGCGCCTGCTTGCGGTGTTCCCCGTCGGATCACCACGGAAGGGGCCGCCATCTTCCTGGTCCGTAGAAGCTCCTGCGAAATCGTGTGCAAAATGGTCGGGGTGGAAATGTGTTGTAGGTTCTGTGCCGTTGTTCTGAGGCCGGAGGTTCGAATCCGGCGGACCACCAGTGTCGTCCTCGTGGACTAGGAGTTGCGTGCTTCTATCGTACGTCCTTCGTGGTGTAGTAGAAGAGGCAGTACTCGATAATTGCTTCATAGACAACAAATTTCCGCCGGACCGCGATGGATCATCTCTAGCTGGACGAAAAGTTCTAGCTTTACTTGTGTCTGTTTTACTTCCACCTACATAGTCGTACAAATTGTTCTCGTGGTCATTTCGTTCTTCCTGCTGAAAAACCAGTTGCACGAAGTCGTCGTCGCACTGCAAATCTTCGAAAGTCGTGCAGTAATCCACCAAATGCAATGACGAGCTGGATTTCGTCTTTCGCATCGGGCTGCTGCGAAGGTGCATGTCTTGCCGACAGAGACCCGGCGAAAGTGCAGCGGTGTTGGAAAATGATTTCCTACCGGAAGAACAACTTGGAGATGAACCGGTTGCTTTTCCCTCTGAGGATGAGCAGTGCTCTCGTGTTTGTTCCTTAGGATCTGTGCTAAGGGTAGGTCTGCTTCGCACATTTTCGACCGGAACGAGAACCAGGTCGTCCACCGCTGTATCCCTTCCCCTTCCGAGGAGGTCAAAACAGTTTCGTTCCTTGGCTCCTGCTCGCTCCTCCTCGTCCTCCGCACTGTACCCCTCTAACAGCAGTGTGGAGCCCCGGAAAAACAGATCCTCGCTGCTTTTCCTCAACAGCTGGAATTTCGCGGTACTACTAGAGCTGGTTCCAGTTGTGCCACCTCGTCCTTTATGCAGCTGATTGCTAGAACTAGTCCTCGTGCTGAAGAAGGAATCTTGTCGACGGGAAGAGCGAATGGGCACGGGAGGGGAAGAGGATTTGACTTTGTTGGTCGTCGCTGCAGAGGTGAAGCTGTACATCTTTTTTCCACCAAGTTCAAGGGCTTCCTTGCCTTCGAGTAAAGGTTGCCGCGCAGTTGAGCTGAAAGACGAAGTTGCAAGTGCTGCTTCGTTCATAGCTTGTCACGCCATACAACCTGCTCTTTATTGTCACGCGATCATAATTCATTGCACGGGTAACGCGTGATGCTCCTCCCTGCTTGCTGCACTTGCCGTGGTGCAACATCAATTCTACTAGTCGCGAACGCGCAGAACCAGAAAATGGGTGCATCAAGCAAAACAAGGAGAACGATGATCCATTGGAAACGCAAACAGATCAGAATCTTCACAAACCCAATAAAAAATCCGCCAGGACAGACTTCAAATCGCCACGAGATGAACATCGCAGAGTTGTAAAACCTCCACACACCGAAAATTCAACAGCTATTGTGCAAGAACCCGCCTTGTAACACTAGTACGGATTGCCGAGTTACACAAGACGTGCTGGAGTGTGCCATTCCATCGTGTACCGCACTAATTATATGCTTTTTGTTCATTACGTGTCAAAAATTTCTCTCCACCCTGTTTGGCAGCAACCAGCGAGCCAAAAGGTTTGGTGCCGGCTGCGCTCTACCCGTGCACTAGTAGAACCGTTCCGCGTACTATGGAGTTTTACTGTAGTAAATCATGATGCCCAGTGGAAGCAGGCCAGGTTATGTTGCAGTAGGGCACGACATCGGTAGGGCACGAGATATCGTGCCCGAACGTGTGTAGTCTCGTTGTCGTTCATTTATCTTCCAAAAACATCGTATCTTATCTATCATGCGCGAAGACGACTTTTCTTTGTCTTAGTCAAGCCCTACAACCCATCAGGATCAGTACCATTATCCCTACTTTTTGAACGCGTCTGCAAGCTTGGAAAGGTGCTGCATAATCTCGTGTAGCTCCTCCTCCTTTGGCAAGTCTGTCTCGTCCACTTCGCTAATTTTTGGAATTCTACTTCTATCCCCACTCGTCGCGGCACCCGCTGCTCCATGCCCGCCCGTACTATCCGACAAGTTGCGCAGGAGGTCGCTCTGAAAATTATTTTTCGCACTCCGACTAAACCTGGTTGCGGGCGCGGAGGCAGTGCTGTAGTGCGTTGCCGCGGTGCGCGAGGAACTACAAGTGGACTCCATGAAGCAGGCCTCCTGCTCGCGCTCCATCTTTTCCTCGCGGGCGCGCGCCTGTTTTTCAAATTCAATGGGTTCTTTTGTTATGCATAGAGTCAGAGTACTTGTTATGCGTCACGCACTGCAGATCCCTCCCCCTGTTGCAAAAAGTATATATTGCAAACTTGTTTTACTAGCACAGTGGCACGACTGCCTCGAAAATCTTCTATACCCATTCCAGATTGTTCTCGTAGAACTGGCGCATGCGCAGGGTAAGTTCCCTCGGATGCGTAGCCTGTGCCGAATTCGCTCGTCTAATGGACTCCATTTTCCGTTGTTCTTCGTACATACTCCGCATGGATTTCCTGCGTTTCTTCTCGATCTTATCCTCCACGAATTGCTGCCACAGCTCCTGCCGCTTGAAAAAGTTACTCTGCTGGTACTGCTCTTGGTCGCCCGTTCGTCTTGCGGAATGTGGCAAAGGCGTCGTCCTTATGAACCGATTTGCTTTGGAGCTGCTTGTCATCGCTGCCCGCGCGCTCTGGGGCCGCCGACGGCGCTTGGGTTTGGAATTGTTTTCCTCGCCACCCGCGCCCCGAGGTGCAGATGAACTTTGACCGGCGAAAAACATCGGACTTTTTGCAGTTTTTGTGGCGGAATTTAACAGTCTGGGGGTGAAAGTGCATTCAGCGAGCTTCTCCCGCTCTTGCTCCTCCTTCTTTTCGTAGCACCGGCTCTCGATCCGCTTTTTCCACATCGTGTTGCGTTCGTACAAGCCGCAGCCCGCTCGACAAGCGTCCGAGTACGACGGAAGAGATGAAATAGGATGTGGCTTGCTGATCTTTCTGGCTGCATAGAGGTTGTAATTATGAAGCGCCTCCTGGTCGTCCTCAAAATCCAGCGTTTCGTACTGGTTGAAGTCAACATCTTGTCCCGGAGTAGAAGCCTGCTTTCGGTGCAGTTTTCGTGTGGAAATCAAAACCGGGTCGGAGGCAGTAGCAGTAGCTGTATGTTCCTCATGATTGTAGTCTCCGTACCGCCCTCGACTGCGTGGCGCTCCTGCTGCTGCCGTTCTACTGTTCGGATGAAAGGAGTCGCCAGTAGTTTTGCTTCGTCCGCCAGCGTACTCTTGTTCTTCATCCTGCAGCAAATTGACTTCCGTGACCGGAATCCTTTTGCTGGAAGATGGTGTTTTCACTGACCCTGGAGGTGGTCGTTTTGATGAGTACGAGGAAGAAGAGGACGAAGCAGTGACAATTTTCACCTTACCGCTCGCAGTTGCGTCAAAGTCTTCTACTTCCGCTGCCGTTTTCGGCGCAGAGAGAGGACCACTGGTGTATCTTTTCGCTGTTGACGAGTACGTTGAATACATCGGCGCCGCAGTTCTGTAGCGCATTGGAGTCATCGTCCGGCTCATGGGGCGATCGTTATCGTCGAGATAGTACTGCTTCTCGACGACGTGATCTTTTGTTCGCGGCCGCTGCGCTGCAACCTTTGCATCATTCTTCTGGTTGTGGGCTAGATGAAACGGCACCTGGTCCTGGTGTATTTCTATTTCCTGCGCAGCACTACTAAACCCAACCAGCAAGGGCTGTTTTGCCGAAGACCGCACCACCGGTGTGCGAGAACTGCTTTTATTATTTCCGGTCGTGTTTGCGTGGTTGTAGCTGTAGTGCCCCTCAAAGTCACGCTCGACATGTGCCGGAGGTCGTTGTTGAAATATTTTCATCGGCGCGTGATTATTATAAGTCGAAGAGCTGCTGGTGGGTCTCGCACGATGTTGGTCGTAGACCGAATGTGGTATATGATTTGGATCATCAATGTCCGACTCGTAGCTGCTCTCCAGAACTTCCTCTTTCGTCGGCGCCCGCGTGCTAACGACGTCAACTCCGGACCGAGAGGACATTTTCCCGGTGGAGCTGGCAGGCGAAGGGATGGGCAGGCCTCTCTGCGTCTGCTGAAGATTCCTGCTCGAAGAGGTTCGGTGTGGTCTTTCGTGCTGCGATTCCTGCCTGTAGTACTGGGACGATGCGCTGCCGCTGTCTTTGCTTTTCTTTTTCATGTTTTGCTGCACCTTCGCATTGTTCGACGACGAATACGGTTGACTTACACCACCGCTGTTCCCGCTGGTGCGTGGTGGGGGTCTAAACCTACTCGTGATCGTCCGCATCTCGGTTGGCTTCGGCACCGCAAATTTGTTGTGCACACCGCCGGAACTCGCTGGGATGCGCTTGGTTTGGAGACCCGCACTCCGACTGTGACTGGTGCTACCGCGACCTGAGGAATTGAACCAAATAGTTTCTTCCGCCGGCGAAAAATCCCCTTTGTGCATGATGGAGAAAGGTTGACTTCTACTTCATAAAGATACAATGCTAGATGATTGAACCGTGGTACAAAAAAAACCTCGTCGTTGCACACCTGCATGGTTGTGAAACACCAGCGCCCTGCGTCTTTCGTACTCGGCCTCCGCGGCGGCTTCGTCTAATTCGTCGAAGGTAGGGCCAGAGTGGTACGAACGCGGCTGGTTCGACATGGACGTCGAGCCTGCAGGGACAGACTTAGAAGAAGCAGCGCCCGCGGTCCCGACTATTAGTCCGGACGTGCTCGTAGGGCGTGCTGGCGCAGCAGCTGGGCCGGTGGAGGAGGTGCTGGCGTACTTGTTGTCTTGTCTCGTCCGGGAGGTCATCTGCATCCTCGGTATTCCTGGTGTTCGTGTGATATCTGTATTGTTAGAATTAGCACTGAAAAAAATTATATTCTCCTCTTCCAAGTGAAGTAAGTGGCACCACAACCATGCACATTATTCAGTGCAGCTAATTCAGAAGCACTTCATAGCTCCAAAGTTGTGACCAATCCAGCAGTCAATACCTCCAAAGTTGCTCTGGAGGTTCTTGCTCCTATGAAGCGAAAACGAGTCCGTCAGACGCCGGCAGCGAGATTTCAGAGTTTCGAAGTCTGTTCCCCCTCTGGTGTAAGCTTCGTACCCCCGCAACTCATACTGCAATACTGCCTGCTCCATGCTGAAGGCTCATCTTGTTCCCTGTAATAGTGTTGTCCTGCACTTCCAGATCCTGTGACTTAATCAATACCGTTTTTCAGATTGATAAAGATATAGGCGTCCACTCTAAATTGCGGTGCGTGCGGCTCCCTAGTGGTGTGAAAAGGGTGCTTTACGAACGGATATCAGGAGGCTTTTGTATTTCCGCTCATTGCTCAACTCGAACTCGTCGCCCACATTTTTCTCCAAGAAAAAAAAACACATTTTGCTTTTGCAGCCCCCATATTACATATCTATGTCTGTCACCGCCCATTTTCTTTGGTTCTACCCAAGTAGGCATCACCTGCTTTCAATTCCAGTTCATCTCTCTGTATGAAAGCTCGCCCTCACGTCTTCCCTCGTTTGTTTTCGCTGTCCCTTGTTGAGGAATCAAAACTAACAGAGCTTGAAAAAATACAATCACAAAGTCGCAGCGTGACCTGAGCAAATACGGAATGGCTGCAGTCGCTATCGCGGAACGAGCAGTGAGGACACAACCTGCCGCAAACAGAACGTATTGCTAACTGGATGCTTCGGCCAACACCCATGCCAAACTAGCCTTGGGCGGAGCAGAGAAGCACGCGAGCCCTTTGGCAGCGGCCCGGCCGAAAACCTTGGCCGCGCGTACTGCGACAACATAGCGGCGCCCAGCTGCCGAATACTGCGGGCGCCAGGGCGCCGAAAAAAGGCGCGCGGGCGCGCCGGCCTTCGTTCGGCTGGGTGGGCACGGCCAAGCAGGCGGCCAGCATAAATAAGGCTGCGAGAAGTGGCGGGCGCACCTACGTGCTGGCGCTGCAGGGTGCGCGCCCTGCACTCGCATGCACGCGCGCCGGCGCGGCACCTGCACACAGATGCCGCCGGCTGACGGGTTGCACCGGCGGCGCGGCGCCCGCCTTTATCTCTTATGCATGCGCACCCAGGCAAAAGCCGGCCGCGATTGCTTGAATGCCGGCAAGACGCGGCCGCTTCGCATGATCGGCGCTTGTTGGTTGGGGCTGGCTGGCTGCCGGCTCCAGAGCAGAGCGCGAATTCTGCGGATTCCTTCGATTGGCTCGTCTCGGGTGGCTTGGCACCGCGCTACCTGGGTTAGACGCTGCAGCCCAATACGAGCACGACGACGCCGGCCGCGGCTCCATCCCGCCCCGCATCAAATTGGCAAGCTCCGGACGGGGCCCAACTTGTTCTCCTTGTCTCCCATTAATACAGGGGCACGTCCGCAACCAGCCACCTGCGAACATCGGCGGCCAGAAGAACAGGGAGAATCCGGCCGACCATCATCTTCAGTTTGTTCCTTATTTGCCATAATTACTCTACAACTTTCTATGTGAGTCGTCGTAGGATTTAAGGCCGAAGCTTGCGTGATTGGTGTCTACTTTCCGCTCTTGTCGATTAGCGCATGCCTTCCCTCAACGTCAGTTAGCATCCTCTCCAGCACCAAACTGAGCTGCTCATGACTTCTCCTTTTTCCACCATGCAACATAGAGCAAGATTTAAATACACTCCCGGAATATGGTACTTATTAAAGCAAGCTTAGCCTCCACACCGTGAGAGCAGGTGTGGCCGCAGCCGCCATCGTGGAACGACTGAAACCGAAACCCCCGCAAACAGAATAAAGGAATCTCCTGGATGGTGCGGAAAATAATCCCTCACCGAAAAAATTCTTGTCACCGTGCTACTTCGTAGAAACTTGACATCAGAGTGCGAAACAAAAGGTCTCTTTCTTTCCACCTACTTCTCATTGTTCCCTGAACTACCCCGGGCACAAGAACAGTTCCCAACCAGCGAAACAATCCAGCCAGGACATGATCACATCATCCGCACAACCCGACGCAGCGGATCTACATTCATTCACAGCGGCCCACTCTGCAGCGCGCGAATGGGGTGCCGACGGACGGATAGATTCCGGAGGTTCTTCCCCAGACCCTCGACCTGCTTGATTTTCCGGCCGGAGATGAACGACCAAGCGCGGCAGTACTGGTCTAGAAAGCGCGGAATGCTGAAGAACCGGTCCAGCGGCTCCATGCGATCGCCGTCTAGGCCTCGGAAATCCTGGTGCACCTCCGCGAAGGGCACGTTGCCCAGCACTTCGGCCTTTCCGATCACCAGGGTCGGGTTGGGATTGTCGTTCGTCGCTTTGGGGTTCCTCTCCAACACGGCAGTGGCAATCCAGGAAAACGGCTCCTCCGTCTTCATCCGGTGCAACTCCACCGCTTCCTTCTCGCGCGACCGGTTTTTCAGCTTCAGGTTCGCGACCGAGTTCGGGTTCGGGTCGATTTCCCCCAGCGTGGTGCTTGTAAGGAGCATCGGGTTGAACCGGCAGGCGAGAAAGTAGCGCCTACCGGGAAAATTCTCGTCGCGGTCCAAGTGGTCGAGCCAAAACAGCCCCAAATCCTTGCCCATGTCGACCATCCGCTTTTCGCGGAACCACCGTTTCACCGCGTACCGGTGCCGCCTCCGAATGATCCACATTAACTATCAAATGTAAAAATGTCTGGGTTTCGAAGAAATCCAACTTGTCATGCTAAGTCTGGATCATGCAAAAATCTGTCTTGCGTGATCGCCAAAAGTCGCGCTCTTTTAACCAACACGAGACGCACTTTCTCATGCAGGATAGGCATGATAAAGACCTCGCAAAATCTGTCATGCTAGGTCCTGCATTCCAGACCGCTTGGGGCATCGAAATTTTGCATGACAAGTTTCTATTCTTCCAGACCCAGACATTTTTGCAATCCATATCAACAAGCGCACCACGATTTTCAGCCGGCACGGTGTTCGAAAGGTGTCCTTTTTCTCGTGCACCGAGCTCCCGAGCGCAGAGGCGACAAATTTCGCGTCGTACCGCGTGAACTCGCGACGGGCGGTGTTGCTGTTGATCTTTGTGAGTTACTCAAACACATTGTCCGACGCTTCATTCGGCTTTTTTTCCTCATGAGGATCTATGAATACGAATCACCATCAAGAAGCTAAGGTGACGCTCCGGCACCAGTGCTGCACCTTGCGGAAACATGAACAAACGAGCATGTAGTATACACAGCGTCGTCCGGGCCGTAACTCGCCGGTATTCTTGGCGTCATTCCCTTCCCCGGCTCGTAGCCACCAAATCCGCAACACATATCCGAATACTGCTTCCACAAGCTGCCGCCGGCCTTTTTGTTGTCTTCCAATGCGTCTTCGACTACTGGATTGCGGATGATATCGGCCGCAGCTTCCGCGCCCAGGTCCTTCTGCTGGTTGACTGCGCGGCCGACAGCAGCAGCGCCGACGTCCGTTTGGATGATAGGCTGGTTGACAGTAGAAGCTTAGTCAACGAACTGAGCAAATTTAGCAACGCAGAGAATTTGAAAAAAAATGACACGAGACAAAGAAGAAAACAGTCCAAATTGTACCTCGTCCTCGTCTTCCTCCGCCTCTGCGTTTGCGGCTTGACCTCCCTTGCCCGCTGCTTTTATGGAAGCAGAACTAACAGGAGTCACGGGCTTTGTCGTTGCGGGGAAAGATCAGATTCAGACCGTTTACTTGTTATGAGGCACGACCTTGTAACAAGCCAGCCCGATGGATTGCTCAGTGCAAAGTTGTAGCGTTGTAGTTTGGTCGTGCCCTTCAATTTAATATTTTCTGCATTTTTTTTTTGCTCGCAACCTAGACATAGAGTGAACCTGAGAAATAAACGCATGAGGAAAATTCTGCAGCCAGATGACTCCTCTCGTCTCTGATCCCGTACCCTGGCTCTCACTAGATTCGTTCAGCAGCGTGAGCACATCCCAGTCGTGAATCGTCACGCTCATGACCACCATCTGACTGTATAAAGTCCTTTGCAGGCGAAACAAGTTCTGCACCAGGATTTTCATCTTCGGCAGCCGCAGCTCGGCGTCGTCCGAGTGCTCCGCCCGTTCCACGATGGACACCGCGTGGTCGCACACCTCCTTCGCTTTCTCGTAGTTCCGCTCCACACTGGCGTAGTAGCAGGAAAAATTCAGGTGCGAGACCAGCAGTTCGTAAGAGATGTGTTGCGAGGAGATGGTGACCGGGTTGCTGTCCCGATTCATGCCCCCGCCGGCCGCTTCGCTATTGCTCAAACTCGACGTGACCGAGAACTGGTGCTGGATGAAGATTTTCGCCAGGCGAATCGACTCCGTGTAGCAGTGCCGGGACAGAATGCTGTTTTGCTGGATTGTCCGCAAGGAGTGGTGCATCGCCATCACGCACATGTAGCGGTACCAATCGGCCTTCCAGCAGACCCACTTCGCGATCAGCTCCAAGTTTTCCAAAACGGTATTCCGCGTCATCTGTACCTCACAGGGGACCGGCGTTCTTGCCGACAAGTTTTCCAGCAGCATAAAACTCCCGGCCGCGATTGTGGGCTTGTCGTTCTTCTGCGAACCGCCCCCCGCGGCGGACGGGTTCATGACCTGCTTGAGCAACTCCGTCTTCGAGGCAATCGTCGTCCCCGCGGCTGATGCACCTGTTGTCCCGGTCGGGCCCCCAGCCGCGGGCCCTTGCGGACCTCCGTTCGCACCCCCACTGCCGGATCCGTGCGCGTTTTGCCGCAGTTCCCGGACGGTTATGTCTTGCATCATTTCCGTATGACAGTGCACAACTCCCCCTCTCCCTCATTTGTCATGCAAAATCCCAAATCTCCCTTCTGCCTCCTGTTAGCACTCTTTGCATGACAGATTCCGAAAGCCAAAACAGCACTACATTTGCCCAGAAATTTCTCATGCAAAAGCTGCATCTTTGCCAGCGCTTGCGTTGCTGTTCATGCAACACAAATGAGGGGGAGGGGGAGTTGTGCAGTGTCATATTCCGCGGTGATTACCCCCGCAGCTTGCATGGTGGCGTTCTTCTGGTTTCCGGCCTGCTTCACAAAATCTCCCTTCTGGAACTGGTCCTCGTAAAAATTGGGTATGCGAGTGCACAACTCGGTCTATTCCTTGTTTGATGTCAAAGCGAAATTTCCACTCCAGCCCCCGGAAGCTGTGGATAGTATTGCTGTTCTTCCTTGCTCCTAATACTCCTGTCGAAGATGCGATACAATTACAAATCACGAATAGAGGAAGTCACGTGCACTCTCATATTGAAGTTTTCCGTGACGAAGCACCGGCTGTCGAGGTGTTTCGTCAATAGCGCTAAATCCTCTCTCGTTTGGATCTCAATTGTGCAATCGCGGTAGGACAGACAGGGTAAGACCACCGAGTCGATGAAGTCGGAGATTTGTAAGGACATTTGCTCCACTTTGTGGCCAAACTCCGTCCGGTCCAGGTGTCCCTTGTCGTACAATAAATACAAATCGCGTAACCGCTGCTTGGCGCCAATCACGAATAACTCGCGGAGATCCGTTTCCAAACTGAAGAAAATTTTCTGCGTCATCGTGTCGTCCAGCCGAATGGAGCGAGACAGCAGGTCTGACGCGATTTTCAGACACCGCACCATCCGGCCGGGGCGGTCGCGAAGCAACGAGATGTTCGCGGACCGGAGGAAATCCTTCACGTTTTCGTTTTCCGCCTTTTCCACGGTGATGAACGGCAACAGTTGATCGTTTTGGACCCCGGTGTGTGGGATATCTGGCGGCTTTTCCGCGTTGTCGATGTACGCGGTGGAGGTTTGGCCCTTCTTCCCCGCGTGCAACACCTGCAGGTCCTCGTTGTCCCGGTATTTCTGCAGCTCGTGATCCTTCAACAAATGGTAGTACATCTCCCGGATCGCGAACACACCGGACAGGCCCGGCTGGTTTCGGCGGATGTATTTGATCTTGCCTCCGTCCGAAGAACTGTGCGCTCCTGAGCCCCCTTGTTTCGCCCGGATCCTCTCGTGCAGACGCCCGTACGTCCAATTCAAATCCAGCGCTTGCAACGCTCGGCGGCCCCGCTTCGCCTTGTTGGCTTCCCACTCCGCAACGAAGTCGATCAAAGACTGGATTTTGTACTGCGGCCACTTCTTTCGCTTCATCTGGCGGTAAATCGCGTCCGGCGTCTGCTTGCCCTCCTGAATTTGCTTCTTGAACGCCGACAGTTCGTCGACGACTTCCGATACCTCCCCCTCGATCGCCATGGCCCAGTAGAGGACCTTCACGCAGTCCTTTTGCTTCGGGAAATGGTAGAAGGCGGAATTCTGGATGGCGGACTGGGACTCGCCGAGGTTCCCCTTCGGCAGGATGTCTTCGAAGCCCCCGGTGGCGGCGCCGGGGGAAACGTAGGAAATTTCCGCGAAGGGGCGGATCACCTTGAACTCGAGCTGCTTGTAGCCAAGCGAGAAGAGCCCGTTGAAGTAGTTGAGGAGCTCTGACTCCAGTTTGTCGAACCGTATCCGCTCGTTCAGCTTCAGCTCCAAACTTGCGGCTCCCGTGGCTGCGGTGTTCCGCACTTCCGGCGCGCGGAGATACAGTGTGCAGGTCTGGGGGGTCACGCAATAGTCCACCGGGAGCAGGGCCGGAATCTTGATGCAATCGTTGTTGTTCAGAATCCCGGGGTAGCTGTCCTGCACGCCGCCGTTTTTTGAGCGGAGCGCGGGCGGGAGCAATTGCTGCTCCCATTCCGGGTAGGAAATATCCGCTTCCACAATGTTCACGGCTTCGGAGGCGCCTTCATTTTCGTACAGGTTCCAGGATTGCCCGACGGGAACGCTGGCGGCCGCGGCGCCGGAGGTGACGGAGGACGAATTTCCGTTGCCCATGATGGATGCGAGGCGGCGTGTGAAGGAACTATAATAGACGCTTTTTTCTCTTTTCTCAGCTTGGAGGAAAAGCATGATGAACACATGCACGCCAACGCCAGCGCTCTTAGACTCCGCTCATCAATAGAATTGGCGATCTTTGATTTTGCTCACCTGTGCGGCAATTGTGCGACGGACCCAGCCTTTCTTTTCAGCACAATCGCCTCCAGAAGAATTGCAGGCACAAAGACACTCGGCGGCCTGGTGACACCACCCAGCGCACAAAATAAAGCTGCTAGTGACCTGCGGAAAACACACGGAAATAAAGGCCCGCGGACGCCTTTCGCTTTCTTTGATTGCGCCTAACCCTAGCAAATGCCTCTCCTCTGGCATCGGGGGGATGCGTCAACATATCGGCTGACTGACTTCGGCCAGAAAGACAAAGATGGGGGGATGCTGCGCAGCCATTCAGAGGCCCCCGGGCGCTGCGGGCTGGCAAAGGGGGCCGGGCGGCGCGACAAGGCGCCGGCCGGCTGTATTGGGCGGCCGCGCAGGCCAATACGCCTAGCACGCTCATGGCAACACACGGACCACGCACGCGGGGGCCTAATGCCCGACCAAGCGGGCGCAGCGCGCGGGTTCATTGGGGCGAAGCCAAACTGTCTTCCCGGGTAATCTTAAAAATTCCAACCAGGATGCGTAGGATATCCAGTTGCGCACCTGCGCAACATCCGCGGCGACCGTCGCTGTGCGAGTAATGTCATCAACGTCCTGGATGCCCATAATTGTGATCATAATTCCGGGCCACGGGGTGACGCTGCCGAGCAGGACCAAAGTCGGGAGGTTTTTGGCTAAGGGCTCAACGCGCCGGCCCTGGAATTCGTAGGGCTCGATCTTTTTGGCCTGCAGGATGGACTCTGCTAGGGCACGCGGGGCCAGGCGGGGGGCCCACCCGAGCGCAATCAAAAATCTGGGCGCCGGCCAAACGCATGCCCGCCCTCGTCGGAAGCGGGCCGGTGCCACGAATGGCTTCGCGCCTCTGCAATTTCTGAGGAAGCGCCCGCCCCCGCGACTGTCGCGGCCGCCCCGAAGTCGGGCGCGCGCGCGCCGTGCTGGGCCCACGCCAGCCCGCCAGAGCTAGGACCGTCGGGCGCTTTCGGCGCATTGCATTGCAAAAGAATGCCGGGGGCTCTCTTGGCCATCCGCGCCGGGGGCGCCGGCGGGCCTCTCCACTCCCCTGGCAAAGCAAGGCGCCCGCCCGCGCGCCGAGAGAGACACAGGCAATGCCCTTGCCCTGCGGTCAACGTCCTGGATCTTGGTACGGGCTTCGTCTTTCAACAGCCCCAACGCCCCAGCGGGTAGTGTGGCCCCGTGCGCCCCGTCCGCAAAATCGCGGCAGCGCACCCGCGCGCAAAGACGCGGGCGCTGCAAGGAGGGGGCCATCACGTCAGGGGCCCCCTTCCCGACCGAAAGCGCTGCAACTGATGACCGCCCGGCCTAAGCCGCCGAGCTGAGTCGGCTACTTGCGGAAATCGCGGGCCCATGATTTGCGGAAATCGCCGACGTAGCCCGGCGGCTTAAGCCGGCCCCTCTCGCCCCTGGAATTGCTGCCCAAGTGCGCCATCGCGCACGCAAGACCTAAAAAATCAGGCGGCGCAGGTAGTTGGCTAGACTATCGGGCGCGCGGTTACATCTGTAGCGCCTGTGTGGTGAACAAGTGAACAAGCAAAAATAACTCACATTCGCCGTCGCGCGTGACAGATCTGCGAAGTCAGATCTGAGCAGGTAAGTGGTGAAAGGCCTCACGTCCTTACGTCCTTGACTATGCACAAACAGGCACTCACCCACACGAACACTATCTATCCAACACCAATGAAACCACCGCTAACCGGCTCGTAGCTCTCTCTTCTTTGCTTTTTTTTAGATGCGTTTTTCGCAACGGCATTTCTCATCCGAAATCGTCAGAAGATAAATTTTGTATCCTTTTCATCAACATTCCTACTTCGCGGCTCAACCGCAAGTTTTCCTTCAGTATTGTTTCCACCAGTTTTTCCGTACAGTGATTCGGTTGGTTGGGAAAAAACCCGCAGTGCACAGAATCGTGAAAATACGTGCTCAACAGCCTTTCCGCTGTTGTTTTCTGACTCAAACTCTCCCGCAACTTCCGGTTCTCCTGCTCCAGTTCGTTCACTTTGGCGACGAACAGGAAATTTTCCTGATCCAATTCGTTCTCGTTGAAGCTGCTATCGTTCTCGCAAAAGGAAGAGGAGGATGAAGAAGAGAGCCCTCTTCCAGGGGTTCTCGCATGGTAATTGTGTGCTCCTGTGCTGTCATGGGTCGCTCTTTCTCCAAGACCAACAGCGGCAGTGCAACTTGAACTACTTCTCCCCGCACCACCTCCGTCCGGACTGTTTCTCAGGTGTAGTTGTTGGCCTCGATCCCGGTCCCGTTTGTTGACGAAATTCGTCATGAACTTCTTGAACTGTTCCGCGTGGCTCTGGGATTCCAGCTGTTTCCGCAATTCAAGCTTTAACTCCGCGATTTCCAAGTTCTTCTGCCTCTCCAAGGCCTGCAGCTCGATTTGGAAATCTTGTTCATCTCTCCCGGTTGGATTCGAAGTGGAGGTCGCAAACTGCATTTTCGCCCTTTCATCTAGCTGTTCTTCCAATGGACATCCATCTGAATCGTCAACATCCCTGCTGGAAGATGCTGGCGCAGCGACAGTGAGGACCTCGGTGTCCGTTCGGCTGCAGGTTGTGCCCAAGGAGATGAACGTGTCGAGCTTCACTACAGGGCCGCGCGCGGAAGATCTTGTTCCTGCACTGTGATCAGAGAAACTTGGCTCAGACTCAGGATGATTTGCCGCATCAATATTCCACCGCGGCTCTACAGTGACAGTTTTCTTCATCGCGTCGCCATTAGTGCTCGTTACTCCAGGAGCTGCTTGTGTTTGCCCTTCCTCTTCCCCAAACATAACCGCGCTCGCTTCCATTTTTTTCACCAATTCTTCGTACTTCGCACTCAACTTTTGCAGCATCACCTGCAGGGCGAAGCAATGCTCGGAGGTCTTCTGGGTTTCGGCTTCGTGTTTCTTCAAGTGCTCCACCTGCTTTTTCAACAGTTTGTTCTCCTTTTCCAATGAATGTCGGTCCTTCGTCAACTGCGCAAACTCGGCGATGTCCACGAGAATTGTCATGTGCTGGTCCCCTGTAGTGGTTCTTTCTTTCGGCGAGGAGAAAAGACTGATCTTGCTGTCAAGAAGCTCCTGCCCAGGGGTTCTGACATTGTGGTCAGAAGAAGCAGAAGAGGAAGAATCCTCTTGGTTAGCTTTTGGTCCCGGTTCTTGCGGCGACGGACAGTAGTTGGACTGTTTCCGCATGTAGTTTCCACTAGTATTGGTCGCGTCCCTTTCTTCCGGTCCATCAGGAGGTTCATTCGAATCCTGCACACCTCCTTCGACCCTGCTGTCCGTGGCCACATCAACGGAAGATGACTCTTCACTCCGTTTGGTCGTGTCAGCGATCTTCCCGTCCGGACCCTGACCCGAGGACAACACTTTTGCGTTGTCTACTATGTGGTCGTCTTCTTCCGGTTTGTGATTCAAAGGAATCAAAATCTGCGTCCCGGTCTTACTCGACACGACAGACACCCACCCCTCCAAATCTCCTGACTTCACCAAGGCTCGATTCCGGCTGTTCGTGGCGTTGACAGAGACGGAACTGTCCTCGTTATCGTTTGTTTCATTTGCATGATCGTCCACAGAAGCACCAGCCCCGTCTCCGCCCAGCTTCTTGATGACTACAACCACGCCAGCGGGTAAGTGCATGATTTTCTCACTATCCAACGCCTCCGTTTTCCGCATTACCGCACCCCGCTCGCCGATCCGGTATTCTCCTCCGACGAAGTAGTCCTCCAAATCGTCATCGTCCGCGATAAAATTTGTCACATTTTGGATGATTTTCGCCGTGCCGATCGAGAGAATATGCGCTGTTGAGCCGTAGAGAGAGGAAATCCACGGAGACGCAGTCGCTGTCGTAGTTTGAGGTTCCTCATCTGTTGTCGGCTTGGAGCCTCCGTTCGTTGATGTTGACACAGCGTCTACTGGGTGCAGTTCAACATGTTTTTTTCCTGTTGCTGCTTCATCATCGCCGTCTGTACATGCAGCGACAGCTGCCCCTGCTGAGGAAGCGACCGAGTCTTTGGTCTCCCCTTGTTTCATCTCCGAATCAACACTCGAAGGTTTTTTTGCAATGATACCAGTAGTGGGACAACTGTTTTTTCGCAACAATGAAGAGGAAAAAACTCCAGCAAGAACCGCTTCCTTCGTGGACCTCGAGGATGAGCTGCAGGTTGTGGTCTCCACCTGCTGGTGGAGGTCAAGGTTATTTCCATCACAACTCGCTGACGAGCAACTGAGAGCCGGAAACTCCTGTGCTTCGGGAGTCGTCGACGTTTGTGCACCATCGTCTTTCCTACAATTCGCCAGCACCCCGGTGGTTTCATCAACTACTCGACGAAGACCGGGAGATGTCTTTCGTATCTTCTCGTTCTCCCCCACAACATCTTCTCCAGAAGTCGCTGTGGTGTCTTGCTCTGCCGCTCGGATTATACGAGGATCTCGCTCCTCTGCGTCCGGACCTTTACCAGCAGGACGACCCGCTGTTGAGTCATTCTCCTCTTCCTCCTCGTCTCCTTCCTCAATCGTCGACGCGGCAACCTTGTCGAAAATACCGCCGAGCAGAGTCGCTACTTTGTTGTAAACAAGTGGCGACATCGTTTCCTGCAGTGGTGTGATCAAGCGAGAGGAAGAGTCCAAGGAGAGCAGCGGCGGTGACGCGCCGATGTGGGCGAGCAAATCGGACTGCTCTTTCTGTCGGTCGTGGTCCGGCGACTGTTTTTCTTCATTTTTTGCTCCGTCGGTCTTTAGGTACTTGTCCCCGATGTCGTCAGCGGCGAGGAGACGTTCTGGTTCCGCAGTAGCCTGAGCGGTCGCGCCAATAACAACTAGTACATCCGGGTTGCAAAACGAAGCCACATCCAACATCTCTTTATTTCTATCGTCGTGTAGTTGCTCGGTGTGCAGCTCTTCAGAGGAAACAGGAACAAGTGCGCGGCCACGGTCCCTCGTCTCCGTGTTCGTATTTCTTCCACCCGCATCTTCCGGATTTTCGGATTGAACAGGCCCTGCTACAACTTCCTGTCCGTCCTCGCTACCAGCAGGACGAGCATTTTGATGAACAACCTGCGCAGCTTGCGGTTCTATAACTTCGTCGTCCAGCTCAATTGCTGCTTTCTCGTCGAGTTCAGGTGCGGCTGCCCCTGCAGTGTCCTCATTATCATTGTTGTATCCCTCCGGTGAGTCGCCATCCGCTCCAACTTCCTCGATTGTTGACGAACGACGGGACAACATCACTTGCGGCTGCAAGAACAGTTCACCCGTTTCCGGGTCAAACTGAAAATTCCCTCCTGGCGCCACTGCAAACCGGAGATCGTCATCAGCATTGGTGTCACGATTCTTGCTGGTATCACTTCCGCTTGTTTCGTGTCCCCCTTGGTTTTGCATTTCGTCCGCCGCTGCATTCTTGGTGGTCTGTAGCTCCTTGTGCGATGTAAGGTTCGAATCAGGTCGTTCATCCAGCTCAGCAGCTCCACTTGCGGCGTTTTCTGCTGGTGCGACAGTTGGAGCGGCGATCGTCGGGGTGTCGGTGCTGCTCTCAGGGCTGCGTGATATGATCTCTTCCATTTTTGTCTTCTAGCGCACCAGAGAACCTTTACCGAAGGAAAACTGAAGAATGCATCCAAAGCCAAGGCGTCTTCCTCTTTTCTTCTATTCGGTTCCTGTCACCGCGCTTGCTTTCGCCAAATTGTCCACATCCTCACGCTTCCTTTGCTTATACTCTTTCATGCATCTCTGGAACAGGCACTGGATGTCCTCGCAGTCCAGCATGTCCAGCGTCATCGTGTTCTCTCTGGCGCATTTCACGTACCTATCAAACTCGGTCTGGCAGGGCGGTGGGTCGTCCGCTTGTCGCAATGGTTGTGATTCTCTACCTGCTGCTGGTGAATTCAGTGAAAAAACCGCCTGGAGGAAACTGGAAGCTGTTGTTGCGGAGAAGAGGGTGTGATCGGAAACTGAGGCGGCAACTGAGGTGCGCGGGATGGTGGCGTCACGCGCGCCAACGCCCGGAGTCGAGGAAGAGGTGACGAAACCCATGGAAAGCAAAACAAAACAAGTAGAGGTCACGACCTGAAAGAGAAGGTTGTAGAGTGTAGACGCGGACACTGGGTAAGAATGTAGTAGGGGCTTGCCGGAGCCGGCCACAACCATGAAATATGATGGCCAAAGGGTACCTCCACGCTTTGCCCTCAAGCTCCTCTCGTACAGAATCTCACGAACACGAAGCAAAGAGTGCAAAGAAATATAAATAGGACGCGATCATGTACTTATCTTTCTACGCAGCGGAACAAGGAAGCAAGGAAACTACTAACTGCGTGGCCTCTATAACCGGGCCGAGAAGGCACACTAGGGGCAGCGCCATAGCGTGTCCAGACGCCAGCGCGCCGCCAATGCAAGTAAAAGGGCCGGCCCACGCCTAGGGGGTCCCGCCGCCGGGCCGGCGCCTTGACCAATAGGCCAGGCGGGGCAGGCACAAAGGCACTCGGGCTGGGGCAGATGCGCGGGGGCCAAGACCTGCCCGGCTGCCTTGTGCAACGAACAGGGCGCAGCTACAAGCCACCCCCCAAAAAACCGGCGGGCGGGCAGGCTGAGCAGGCTCCGCGGCGCCGTCGCGCTTCTCCTCATTCGTGGGCGGCGCGGGGCAAAGAATGCGGCCGGGGCGGAGCGGTGGCGCGCGCCATGTTTCGCGCAGTCCCAGACCATGCCGCCATCTCCTTTGTGTCCAAGATCTGAGCCAGTACTGAGGTGGGCACATTCTTGCGCGCTATTATGCTCTGCAGCGCGTGGTCGGCTGCATGTGCTGCCCCAAACCCATTGCCACCCCCACCAGGGGCCGCCGCCTCGGGCCCGGCCGCCCTGGGCGCTCGCCGGTGCCTTCCTGGGGCCCCGCCATTCGGGCGCCGCGGGCGCCACAGGGGGGGGCCAAGCGGGCCACAACGGGCGGGGCGCGGGCGCGAATAACGGCCGGACCTGCGTGCTGGCCTGTGCCCGCGGCGGCCCGTGCGAACACTAGGGGCGCCCTGGCCCCCTCCACCTTCTGCAGTCCCTGGCCTGGCCCCACACCAAGCCGGCCGGCTGCTCATCCTGCCGAGCGTAGCGCGCTGCAGCATGACAGGCAAGGCGCTCGGTTTTGTGTGCTAGCTGGCCCTGTCCCCCGGCTTAACTAGCGGCGCCGTCGTTCATGGCCCATGTGAACGGGTAGCCGACGCACTTGGTGGACTTAAAATAGAGCAGGATGCTCTTCGAGAACTGCGCGCGGTTTTGTCTTTGCCGCTCTAGGACGGCCGAGCACGCCCGCCGCCCGCTGACACATGGGCCGAATAAATGGCGACGGTCCACGCGCCGGCGCGAATCCAGCAAGGGACCAGGTCAACAGCCGCGGCCTGTTGTCTTCTTCCGCCGCGGCTTGTTGTCTTCAGTCTTCCCACCGATGCCCGGGGGGTAGCTCGGGGCCGGCGTCTCGGGGAAGAAGGCGCGCCCCCGCCTCCTTGGTCTTGTCAAATAAGATCCAGCACCTTACCCCGCGGAACATCATCCCAACTCCAAAGCTCTAGAGAAAGCGAGGTAGAACACTGGATGTCTGTCACTGGTCCTGGTGTCGTGAGGTTCACGATTTCGACGATTCCCGGGAGAATAAAACAACCAACTTGCGAGTTGCTCAGCTTAAGTTCAGCCACAAGCACAACGCGGCTGTTGCAATTGACATTCTTCGAGCCTTTGTGAAACACTTTTTTGGCGAAACGAAACAGCCATTCAAATTTCTGCTCCTGTTCTGAGATGTAATTTTGGTGCGTGTGCGCGGAGAGAAACAGAAAGCATGCGAATTCAACCTCGCAGGAGGTGGGGCTAGTAGTAGAGTCAGAGGCAAAATAAAAATCAAAAGTTCATAATATTAGCTTCTTCAAGAAAAATCCAAATTTCGCAGATCTCCTCACAGCAGAATCTCATCTTCCTCCACCACCGTACCCACCATCATGTTCGCCGTTTTGCCAGCACTGCTACCAGCTTCAAAACCAAAAGCGCCGCCTGCCACTTTCCGACCGCCAGTACCATCTGATAGTTCTGCTGGATTTCCCGGCGTCCATCGACAACCTTTGAAACCCGTGGTCAAGAACTCGCGGTCGAGATTTCTCCCGATGAAAACCATTCGATTGACCTTTTCCAGTAGACCGGCTTTATCCTTCCGGTTCTCAAACACCAACTTCTCCGTTTGCAACTGCATGTGAATTCCGTGAAATGCGAAGACTGCAAAGTTACTGCTCTTGCCCTTGCTCCCAGTCGGTTTGTTCATCAGCGGCCGTTGTTTATCTCCTGCCCCTTCCACGTCCTTCACGCACACCACGCCCTTCATGCGGAAGATGTCGACCCCTTTCGTTTTCAGCAGTTCCTGGAACCAAACATTCAGCTTCTGCAAGTCGAACAGGAACGGTTGATCTGCCTCAGCTGTAAAATCTTTTCTCCCCGCTGCTACTGCGCTGGAAGTTGTTGATGTAGTTCCGCTTGATGATGTAGTCGACGCACAACTCGCAGATAGATCGATCCCCACGCTGAAGATCGACTCGTCGTGTTGGTGGTCGGCTCCGGCTTCCAGCAGAAATTCCGGGTCCATCTCCAGAATCCGGTCGAGTTGGAACGCTTTCTGGTTTAAATATGCATTGCAAAAATGTCTGGGTCTGGAAGGATGCAACTTATCATGCTAAGTCTGGATAGTACAAAAATTTGTTTTGCATGATTACCAAAAGGTGTCCACGTTTGAACAAGTTTAGCGGCAGTTTGTCATGCAGGACAGACATGATAGGGACGTCGCAGGACCTGTCATGCTAAGTCCTGCATTGCAGACCTCATGGGGCATGGAAAATATGCATGACAAGTTTGCATTCTTCCAGACCCTGATATTTTTACATTTGGTATTAAAACTTCTTTCGCGACGTCGAGATTCTCGAACCGCACTGTCTCCTTGATGCTCGCGACGGAATTGATCTTCCGTATCCGCTGCTTGATGCTGCTTAGAATTTTCTTCGACTCCGCGTGCGGGTTGGGCGCGTTCAATTTCGTCAGCGCCTCTTCCACAACGAGGTCGCACTTGTTCAGCAGGATGCGGTCGGCAAAGGCAACCTAATAGAAAGTTTTTTTTTTTTTTGCTGCATTGGGAGGGTGATTGATATCTGCAGTAGGTCGCATTTTCAAATTGATTCATCACAATTCACTAGCTGCCATCGAACAAAATAAATAATTGAGAGAATTCAAAGAACAAAATCACCGGGACGTCGAGCGATAGCGAACAACATCACAACAAATTTCTTTGGGCGCAATTTATGCTACATGCATTTCGTATGCAGGTGCAGCGGACGAGGATCCGCGAGCGGCTAGAGTGGGCGCATGATCACTGTCGCATTCGCAGCGCGGCGCGGGCTTTAATGGCTTCGCAGCGGCAGCTACGGCTTCTGCTGTCGCGGTTGGTGTGTGAGCGTGGGCCTGGGCAAATTCATTGGATAAAGAACTCCAGCGCGTGGATGAAATCTTTTGATTTTTTACTTTAATCACGAGCGCATTCTCGGCATTGGGCAGGAAAAGTGCAGTTTTGCGTGAGGGCTGCAAAAGGTTTGCGTCAGTTGCGTCAGAAAAAGTCCCAAAAACCATCTCAAACTCAATTGATTTTTGCTAACATCTACAAACAAAAGTATACCACACCATCGCTATTCAAAAACCTACTCATTTGATCAAATTCAAAATCATCAACATGAACATTGCGAATAACTACAGTATGTAGTACTACGGAAAAAAAAATATCAATATCCAAATGAAATTCTACCTGTTCATGACATTCGTTTTCCACCCCCGCCGGCTTCTCCTCGTCTAAGTGTTGCAAGAAATGTTTTGCATCAATGACCGTGACGATTCCGTCGAGTTTAAAATACCGCTGGATTTCGGCGTCAACGAAAAACGTTTGCGCGACCGGCGCCGGGTCCGCGAGACCGGTGGTTTCGATTATCACGTGGTCGATTTTGAACGTGTTGCTTGTTGATATCGAAACTTTATATGAATTGCAACAGTATCATATTTTCTTGTAAGAATAGAAATTCAAATTAGATCACAAACTTGCTCGGCATTAGAAATGGAATTTGCCATGCTGGTGCAGCACCAGCTTCTTGGGAAAAAGATGTGTCACGCATGACTGTACTTTTTCCTCGACAATTACGATACTTTTGCAATGCATACTGTGGCCGGCGGGGTTGTGTGTCCTGTTGCATCCTCGTCCTCCGTCATTCTCGACCCCGTTCGATTCAACAGGTTTTTCAAGCCTTTTATCAAATCCCCCCGTACGGTGCAGCAAATGCAGCCGTTGTTCATTTCGATCAACATTTCCTCCCCGAGGTCTTCTTTTTGGAATATTTATGCATTGCAAAAGTATCGCACTAGTATGAATCGCATGACAAATTTCCTCAGCATGGGAAATGAAGTTTGTAATGCGAATTTACCAGAAGAAAAAGATTTGTAATGCATGATGAATGCAATTACTACGAGTACGATACTTTTGCAATTCATAATATCAAGCTGTCGTCGATCCCCACTTCGCCGAATTCATTTTATCAAATGTAAAAATGCCTGGGTCTGGAAGAATGCAACTTGTCATGCTAAATCTGAATCAGGAAAAAAACTGTGTTGCATGATTGCCAAAAGTTGTGCATTTTTGACCTAATCGAGAGGCAGTTTCTCATGCAGGATAGGCATTGGAAAGGCTTCGCAGAATCTGTCACGCTATGTCCTACATACCAGACCTCATGGGTTATGGAAAACCTGCATGACAAATCTGGCAATCTTCCAGACCCAGACATTTTTGCAATCCATACGTTTTCGATTACGGCGATTCGCTTCCTCGTCGTGTCTACTGCCAAGGACTCTGTCTTTGTAGTTCCTCCTTTTTCATCGTCTGCTACAGAAGTTCTCGTGTCTAAATTTGCGTTGGTTTCCTTCAAAATCTTGTTCAGTAGCGTAGTTTTTCCCGACCCTAGGAAGCCAGTAAGAATCGTCACAGGAATTTTCTTCGGCCTAGCTGCCGGCTTACTTTTTGCCGGAACAGCTGTAGTACTTTGTGATGCTGCTTTGTGCTCTGCTCGTTCTGCGTCCTCCTGCTGACACGCCTCGGCAACACAATGCGAAGTGGAAGTAGTAGATGTTGTTGTAATTATTTCTGGCTCTAGTAACTTAACAACAGGACCACCAAAGCCACTTTCCGGCGCCTCCGCTTCTGTTTTGCTGTTTGCAGCAACCGGAACTGCCCCTGCGCCGCTACTGCTCAAAGACTTACTCGAGCTTCGACTGTTCGCCGTGCTGGATGAACTACCAGCGCCGATTTGCGAACTGCAATACCGCATCCGATCGAGGACAAAATCCCGGATCTCCGCTGCCGTCATTTCTTGCTGCTCGCTGTCGCTACTTGTGGTTCCAGCCGACAGTGCACTTTTGTTGCTGTTCATCATTTCCTGCTCCTGTTCCAAGAACATCACACTCAAAATTGCTTGGTACTCCACCTTTGCACGGGAAAAAGCTTGCAAGTCCTCTAAAAGCCCAGCTCGCTGCAGGTACAGTGCGGAGATTTCCTTGCGGATGATCCCAATCACCGTGCGCCCGACCACTTTGTCCGCGGCAACCAAATCCCGAAACAACGGGAGCAAAACCTTGTTGCAAAACTGCTGCGGGTCGCTCAGGCACAGGTGCTTGTAGTTCTCGTAGGACGAGGAGGTGCTCGCATTGTCGCCGCAAAGCTGCGCTTGGATGATCTCCCGGATTGCGTGCTGCGACTTCTCTATCACACAGAAAGAAAACTACCCAGGCATATTTTCATCTGCATATATGCACAAATTGTAAAAGCATGAAAAGAATTTTCTGTCTGGCATGTGCTAAAAGCCAACATGTTGCTAATTTTATTTTTGCAAATCAAATGCACTACCCTGCTAGGTTTTTTTTCTGCGATATTTTCTACCTTCTGCCCAGCGCGCTTCAAAAGTTGCTCAACAGACTCGAACTGAAGCTGGTGTGGCGGATGGTGAAGCTTGTTGCTCGTGGTTCCATTCGGAGTAGTAGTTCTGTTGGAGCCACCAGTTGTACCGGTATCCTCGGTATCTGACTCGTCCTTGGGCAGAAAGTACGCCTTCTCCCAAGCTTCAAACGCGCGTTGCACGCACTGCATCGCCTGGAAAAATTCCTTGTCCTTGCGCAGGCTTTTATGCATCGCAAAAGTATCGCATAGGTGGTGGTTTATTTGCCATAGAAAATTATAACGTATATCTATGCAAAAATTTGATGATGTAATTTTGCTGATTTGATGCCTTAGGCCATAAAGTTATGCAGGACCACTGGTGGTACGATCAAGTACGATACTCTTGCATCGGATAGCTTTCCGCATTTTGCAACTCCTCCTTCCAGGCCAGCCCGGCCTGGGGGTTGCTGGATTCTCCACTGCAAATATACTTGGGTCTGGAAAGATGCAGCCAATTTGTAGTGTTGCTGGTGTCCTCTGCATGATGCAGCGATCTCTCATACGGCATCACAACACGACAGAGCTTGCTCTTCCGAGGCAGCTTCTTGCATGATCGACATTCGTAAATCGCATGAAAAATTGCCTTTCAGCACGACAAAAAATCTACTTAACCCATTATCGTCTTCATGCAACACAGATTTTGCGCTTTTACGAATTATATCGCATCGCAAACTCAGACCAAAACATATTTGCAATGCATATGGAACGGTCCACGACCATTGTATATTGATTTATGACATTTCGAGCGGACGAGGTACCCGAACCCGTCTTTTCCAGTTGCGCGCTAGAAACAAAAATTCGAATGGCACGAAGATCAATAGAAAAGAAATACAGCCGAATTACTTGTGCAAAATGACCATGAAACCCTAGGGGAACTTAATCGCTCGTCGAGGAACATCAACATCACAGGCGTGGGGCTCATCGAATTCATTCTGGCTCATGCTACACTTAAAAATCACATCTGTAGCGCTATCTTCTGGCCAGACCCAGAGGCCGCCGCGCTCAACTCACTCTGCTCTCCGAGGATGGAAAATGAAAAAAAATGAATAAAGTCAGTATTTACGCATTTACCTCAAGCTCAAACAGACATTTTCATTTCTTCACATATGCTCCTCCTTATCGTTGCCTATACGACTTTCCGCCTCCTCTTCATTTCCTTTGCTACGACTCGCATGCCTGCGCTTCCTCTGTTTCCTATCTCTCTCAAATCAATGCTGTACACAACCTAAAATACGAGGACGAAGAACAAGACAGAGTAATCGGTAGCGGAAATCTCACTTCACCCAGGAGCCAAAAGATGGAAATTTTCATTTGATGTAAGAAATTGTGTACAAAATTGCGACCCGAGCTGCAGAACTGAGCCAGATGCAGAGAGGATGACAGCCATCGTGTGCTCGTCCGCTGTCAAGGCGAGCGAGTTGTAAAAACTACTGCCCTACGTACGTACTTCTACTACGATCTACACTCCTGAGCACTAGTTTACTACTTTTGTTCTATTTCTGCTCTTCCGAATAAAAAAGGTTTGCAAACTTCCTCACCAACAGTCCCTGCGTTCCGCTGACCGCTAAACTGCTACAAAACACCACAGGCCGTACGGACGCTATTCCTCGAAATTCTAGCACATACGCCCAGAAAAGCCAATTCAAAACGCTGCAGCCGAAAGCTCCAAACACTGTGAAAAGGCTTATTGCGGAAGTTGTAGACTTTATTGATTTTCTACTCGTACGGGATCTTATATCAGATGAGGAGCGTCTTCTACTGTCCCTCGTCGGCTTCAGCAATATCAGATTTGGCAACACCAGAGGTAAAAACTGCATCCACCAGAGAAAGTACTGCGCCGTACAGACCCGTATCAAATGCAAAAGTGTCTGGGTCTGGAATCAAAATCATGCTTGTCTGGCATGACAAAAAAGTTTGTGATGCGTGTCCAAGAAGAGACCCTTTTTCCGTCATGCAAAAACGCAGTTTCTCATGCGAAAAACGCAACACAAAGAAGCGCAGATATTTCTCATGCTTGGCTGTGCAATACAGAGCATTCACTATTCCCAACACAGCATTACAAGTTTCCAGACCCAGACATTTTTGCATTTGATAACCCGGTTGGCCAGGACAAACACCAGGCTCTGGAGCAGCAAGGATTGATGCAACGTTTATCAAAATGAAAAATCCCCCCTCCCCATATCAAAACGGAAATTTGTGATGCTGCTTTGTGGCCACAAATCAGCTTTGTATTGCAGAGAGTCACCGCGGCCAGATCCCCAGGCTAGGTAGGGGCGTATGGGTCTAGTAGTTCAGCATGGCAAGCGGCCCCCCTTTAGGCCCAGCAGCATGACAAATCGCTTCCATAATGGGGCGGAAGCTTCTGCCCTTGTCTTCTTGCAAGACAGATGTGATTTGTGACCTCAAATCCGCAATACAAATTTTTGGAAACATACCTTTTCAATATGGCGAGGGGGGATTTTTCCTCTCAATAACGTTTCTTCTATCTTTGCTGCGCTGCTCCTGGGGTGTTTGCTTTCATGCTCTTCGTCTGTATCGTCGCCTGAGGGGACTGCTGCAGCGTCTTGTTCTTGTCGCATTGGTCGTGCCAGTCTTTCCCGAGGTGAAGCTGTGCTGCCTGTAGACGCTGACAATGACGCAGCATTGCTCGTTCGTGTCTTCATCTTCGGGGTTTGCGACCTTTTTCTGTTTTTTCTCGCCAGGAGAGCGGCTGGACTTTTCGTTTGGACGCCGGCAGACTGCTTCTGAAGGGCCGTACTTCTACTTATTTTTCCACCGGAAACGGGAATACAATTAAACCGAAACATAATTTTCTGAAGCAAGCCCGCCCACTGGAGCTCCTGGTCGCGTGGTCCTAGCCACAAGTAAACGCCAGCAACGACCACCAAGGTTAACTGCAAACCTGTCGAAAACAAGCGTAAAACGAGGACCGTGGCGCTGCCACCGTCTTCTCCACCTCCTTCCCCCAGCAGTTTCGCAAACAGAAAAAAGTAGGGGGAAAAGTTGTGCTTCGTATCGATCCTGCGTCCATGGTGGAAAAACGCGGCATCCAAGTAGGCGTGTCCGAAGTAAGAGTAGGACAGCAGGGTTGGCAAAAGAAAACCGGTTGCGAAGCCACAGAGGGAAAGCAAGAGCTTTGCTCCGACTTTCGTCGTTTGGAAATAGCTCTGATTTCTCTTGCTGTTCCCGTACTTCATATCGTCGTGGGCTACTACGTGTTGAGCATCTGCATCTGGATCTGTACTATCGCTCCCCCGCCCTTCGTCTGCAAACGTGGCAGCTGAAGAAGATACGGCATCAAACCAAATCGCCAGCCCCAGCGGGACGATGTACACCACGGGGTATATCCGCATGTGCGTTGCAAGGCCCAAGACCCCCGCAGCAGCGACGCTGCGTTTTCGCGAAAAAAGCAAAAGCCCGAGAAACAGCAACAAGGAGGTGCAAACGTCGCAGCTACCTCGGGTACTGAGCGCAATGACCACCGGATTCCCAAGCCAGAGGAGGAAGGTGAGCTTGCCGAACACAAGTTTTCCCACATGCTCGAGATTGTCGATCGCGGCAGTAGAGGTTGAAACCTGCGTAGTGCCGCGACCTGCCACGTTGCTGGGTGTAGTCGATGGGTTCTTGTACGAGCTGGTGGTTTGTTCGTGTGTTTCTCCTGCAATTACACGTTTATTTTTCCCCTCGGAAGTTGTTGTTTTCGTACCAGAACTAGAACTAGAAGTAGATTTCTGCATCAATAATTTCTCCAACAACCAGCCACAGGCTACGTCGGCAAGGACAAATAGAAGCTTCCCAAACCAGAGGGAGGATTCCTTGGAAGCAGCTGCGTCCCACCTCCAACCAAGGAACGCAGACGGAACAAACCGGATCCAATCAACATGGTTCCCCTGCAGCAGAACCGCTAGAATCGGGCTGTAGCGGTACTTTGTGTTCTCCTCGAGAAGCACCGGTCTGTTGTAACGCTCCGGCCTACTTTATGCATTGCAAATACCGATCTGGATGGTCTGGAACATGGTGCTGCGTCTGGCGTAGACAAACATCTGTCGTGTATCGTCAGCAAAAAGAAAATAAGCCGCGCCTTTTGTCATCCGAAGACAGAGTGCCTTTCTCCTCATGCAGGCTGGGTAAGGATAAGCAAGAGTCTCGCGATTCTTCCTCTTGTTATGCTCTGTGTGCTTTTTTCTTTCTAGACCTTCTTGCAGGAGAAAGCCGCACAATGGATTGCAACTGTGTGCATTCTTCCCGACCCCGACATGATATAATTTGCAACGCATAGCCTTGATGCCGTTGATTTTACAGGGAGGTCGACGGGGTACCCGTAAGCCAGGCCCGTGTCATCGTATGGCGATTTTCCATCTATCAAAGCCCCAGCCGCGTCGGAAAAAACGAAGTAGTCAATGTCCGTGTAGGGGGTCTCGAGGTAAAAATCGACGAGAGGGCAGATCAAGAAAATCAGTATCAGGCGAATTGCGAGCCCGGAGAGAAGGCGCTCCGTGGTCGTTGAAGGGAGGACCATTGTTTGCCACTCGGCGCGAAAATTCTCGTCGCTCTCAAGGACCTACGTGTATCCTTGTGCAGCAATCAGATATCACAATCGACAAAGAACTTAGTTCTTGGAAGCCACCCAAGGCAACGACATGCGTAGAATCAACTTAATATAGAAAAATGAACACGCAACAGCCACCCACTGGATGCTCTGAATATGCAGCATGCGACTAGAGGCATCCTTGCAATTTTTTCCGGCTCCCATCGGTTTCTCTTTTTTGTACTTACTCAACGCGCGTGAGCGCGAGACCCAAGAACTACAGAGAGTTGTAGTCAGAGGCGATCGCTTTCGCATTCGTTCGAAATGGAGGAAATTAATGTGATCTGTCGTGTGGACATGCAACCGCCACTTCGCTTTAAGAGTCATCATCAGCCATATGCGGCGAGAACAAGCCATGCGAGACGGCAAGCGTGAAGATGACTATAACCGACATGATCACAAGTCTGACCCGTTTTCCGAACTTCCCGCATCGCTGCTGCTGCCAAACGAGCTGTTTCGCAGCACGAGCGACAAGGCGCGGCGATTCTCCGAGCGGAACTTCTTTTCGCACACGACGTGCACGTCCAGGAGCATCGCCGACTGCGTTTCCCGACACTGCTTGATCAGGTTTTGCGGTACGTAGAACTGCAGGCCCTTCTTGTTCGGTAGAATCTTCGACACCTCCGCGTACACTGTTTGCCCCGTCCACTGGTATGCATTGCAAAAGTATCGTACTCGTATAAATGCATTACAAATTTCCTCAGCATGAGAGATAAAATCTGTAATGCGGATTAACCTTAAGAATGGGATTTGTAATGCATGATTGCAATACGAGTACGATACTTTTGCACAGGATAACTGGTCGGTGAAGGCGATTTTATCAAATGCAAAAATGTCTGGGTCTGGAAAGTTGTGATGCTGAGTGGCGTAGCATGAGAAGGCCAAAAGTGCTGGCTCAGCATGACAAATTTCATCTGAGCTTATAGGTGTTGCCTATTCTGCATGACAACTTGCGTCTCCGCATGACAGAAAAGTGCGGCTCTTGGGTAACGTGCATGACAGATTTAAGAGTCATGCCAGAGAAGCATGACAAACATGCACTCTCCCAGACCCAGACATTTTTAATACATTTGATAGATTTGGTACTGCTGCAAATCCGCCACGGGGTTGGCAGAAGTGTTCGTCTATCAAATGCAAAAATGTCTGGGTCTGGAAGGATGCAAGGTTTGTCATGCACATTTTGCACGATTCCTGACGTCTGTGATGCATGCCCTAGCACCACTGATTTTGCGAGGGCTTCCTGATGCCTATACCGCATGAGAAATCTCTCGCCATGGCAAAAACTGGACCTCTTTTGCTGTTCATGCAATACAGATTTTTGTAGCATGCAAATGCAGCATCACAAGTTACATCCTTCCAGACCCAGACATATTTGCAATGCATATCGTCGCCTGTTGCAGCTTCGAAGTCTCCAGCGTGATGAGCAACTTGTCCAGTTCCTTGCCCGCGCGCTCCATCACGTCCACGGTCGACGGATCCATCTTCTTCAGCCGCAGCTTCGGTAGGACCGGGAGTTCCCCCGCCGGGGTCTGGACCATTGTGTACAGGATCAGCATCGGGTTGCGGCTGTTTGTCTCGCCGAAGATTTCCTCAATCATAGCAACATCGGGCTGCTTCAGCTCACCAGTCGTAGGATGCATCTGATTTTCGATGTGGATTCATTTTGGAATTTTTTTTGGCGCCGTAGAAAGACAAAGATAGTCATTGGAGCATCGCATACAGACACACGACAACTGAGGGGCGCTACAGCTTAGAATGTTGAAAGTGGTCGATGTATTAAAAGCATCAGCTCAGCTCCTTGGTACAAAAAAGCAAGTAACTACTTATGTACCCACTGCAGCTGCGTGACTGCGCACCCGACCCTCGATTGGCACAATTGGTCGAGTAGATAGAAGAAGTGTTTTTCCGAGGAAGATTGCGATAGCGGCAGCTGAAAGAACGCCTGCTCCTCCCGATCTACGCCGTTCAACACCTTCACGCTGAGCACGATATCGGGCTGCGGCTGCGGCGCGAATGGGTTTTTGCTCTGGTGCACGACCGCGGGCGGAGGTTGTTGGGAAGGTTGACCGGTCGCGGACGGTGGTACCGCGCCTCCGACCCCAGAGGTGGACACCAGCAAGGCCGGCGGGGTTGCGGCCGTCGCGGCAGCTTTTGCGAGCATTTTCTGCTGTTGCTGTGCGGCGATGTTCGGTGGAATTTTGGACGCCGTCAAGGGCTTCGAACCCGGGCTCTGTAGCAGCTGCGAGGCCGCAGGGATTATGGACGAGGACGCGACTGCAGGAGCAGGAAGCCCGGCGGTGCCTAGCACCTGCGGAGGACCTTGCGGCGCGGAAGTCGACGACACTGCGGGTTGCAGTGTGGGGGTGAACTGCTGCTGCAGCATGTTCATCGGGACTTGCGGTGGCGGTCCAGGCCCCTGGTGGTGCCCGCCAGGTTGCAAAAGCAGCGTTGGGTTGGAAGCGGACCTGTTCAGCTGCGCGTGCTGCATTTGCTGTCCGGGAGCGGCTGGACCTCCTACTATGCTGTGCTGCAGTAGCTGCGGCGGCCCTGGCCCCCTGGAGGCTCCTGTTGCAGCTCCTGTAGGTCCCGCCGCTAATAGAGGCGGTGGACCACCTGCTCCTGCGCTACTCTTGTTATTTGTTGTTCCTAGGTTGTGCAATAAACTCTGCTGCGCCTGAGTGTGCTGTTGCTGCAAAATCTGCTGGCGATTTTGTGCAGCTGCTGCATTGGTCGTCGAGGACGAAGAAGACGACTGCGCTCTCGTCTGCTGCTGGTGCACCATTTGGATAGAAGTACTGATCGCCCCCGGCACGGATCCCGTCCGTTGCAACGGTTGTGGTACACCACCAGGAGTTGTCGTGCTGGACGACGTCCCCATTCCTCCACTGCTGGTTCTGCCCTTCAAGCGCTCGTGGAGCTGTTCCGCGACGTTCTGCGCTCGCGAGAGTTTGTTCTCGTACTGCGATTTCTCCTGTTCGTGCTGGTTCCGTTCCTCCTCTAGTTGTCCCTGGAGCTTTTTTAGCTCTTGAATCAAATACAAGTTCACGTTGGTCCCCGCTAAAGCCGGATTGTTGATGGAAGTCCCGATCTGTGAAGAACTCGCCGCGCCCCCGTCCTGGCCAGTAATGGATGCTGTAGTCGTACTAGAACTCGTCCCCACGACAGGGGGCACTGCTGCGTTAATGCTACCAGGACCTCCTCCAGAAGTAAGGAGACCTACCGCTGCGGCAGATGTTGCCTGGTGCTGGTGTGGTCCGGGTATTGTTCCAGCTGGACCAGCAGCTCCCGGGGGAAGCATAAGATTCGCGCCTGTAGTTGTACTCGCCCCGGGTTTTGCTTTCCGCTGTTGCGTATTCAATGCAAAAGCAAAAGCATCGACACAATCGTAAAAATGCAAGTCTTGCATGATATGCAGATCCGCTTTTTTGTTTACCTAAGCTAAGAAAGCAGCATTGGACATGGACTTGTAATGCTCTCAAATACTTACTAGTGATACGATACTTTTGCCATGCGTATTGTGGTGACGAGGCAGCGGAAGACACAGAGGAAGACGCCGGGAAGAGGTTGGTGCTGTTGCTTTCCCTCTTGCTGACATCAAATGCAAATTCGTGTCTGGGTCTGGAAAAGTGCACAGGCGTGTCACGTAGCTTCTGCACCATGCAGATGGCTGCCTGGAAGCATCACAGGTTTTCCGGCCGCGGCCGCTTCTCAATGTCGTATCATTATTCTGCATGAGGAATCAATTCGCTGTTTGCGTGGCAAGAATTGGGAAAGAACAATATCTTGTGCAATCGCGAGTTAGCGTCAACACGAGTTTGCATTTTTCCAGACCCAGACACAATATCTTCCATGTCCATAGATATTCCTCATCGTCACTTGCTGTTGATGCAGCATCATCGGGGAGCTGACGTTTATCAAATGTAAAAATGTCTGGGTCTGGAAATATGCAACTTGTCATGCTAAATCTGAAGCATGCAAAAATCTGTGTTGCATGCTTACCAAAAGTCGCCCAGTTTTGACCAAGTCGGAAGGGAGTTTCTCATGCAGGATAGGCATGAGAGAGATCGCACAGAATCTGTCATGCTAGGTCCTGCATTCCAGGCCTCATGGGTCATGGAAAAGCTGCATGACAAGTCGCGCATTCTTCCAGACCCAGACATTTTTGCATTTGATAACGTTGCTGGAAGTCGTATTTGAAGATGCGTTAATGTTCTGTCCTATCCTGTGTAACAACGTCCCCACCCCAGAGTCAAGATGGGGATTTTGCAACACAAACCTTGAAGTTTTGGGAACCACGCATGACAAATTGCAGGCTGTAGTGTAGTGCAGTTTAGCAAGGGAAGCCGCATAAGAAATCGATCTCCTTATGCTGTTTACAGCATTACAAGTTCCAAAACACGATTGAGAATGCCCCTCATGGGAGCGCGCATTACCAACGCTCTTGTGCTTGCAGATCTGCATCACAACTCTGGGGTGGGGACGTTTTTACTCAGGATATGTCCGCTGCCAACCGCTGTTGCGTTCCCCAAGTGCGGACTGGCGGCCGACGCGGTCAAAGCTTATCAAATGCAAAAATGTCTGGGTCTGGAAGGCGGCAACCTGTCATGGTAAATCTGAAGTATGCAAAAATCTGTGTTGCATGAGTGCCAAAAGCTGTCCACTTTTGACCAAGTTAGAAGGGAGTTTCTCATGCAGGATAGGCATGGCAGAGACCTTGCAGAGTCTGTCATGCTAAGTCCCGCATTCCAGATCCCATGGGTCATGGAAAATCTGCATGACAAGTTTACACTTTTCCAGACCCAGACATTTTTGCACTTCATAGAGCTAGAGGACTGCTTAAACTCGAGTTGTTGCTAGTATTGCGATGTGATGAGGATGACACAGCTGCGCTTCCTGCGATTTTCTTCTTCTTGCTTTTCTTCTGTTGTGGACCTCCAGATGGCGCAGAAGAATTGTTCAACATCATCCCTCCAGCTCCAGCTATGCTGCTTGCAGGCGTTGTGTTACTCGCAGCCGCTCCCAAATTACGATCGCCTATCATCTGCGACGAGGACGACTTGTTGATGTTGTCCCTCACATTTTCACTGCTGACGCTGCTCCCCTCATTGAACAAATCCTCGGTGGAAAAATCTAGATCGTAGTCGTCCAGCAGGCCCCTATCAGTAAACCGCAACTGCTCGTACGCAATACTCGCCTCCCCATCCGAGGAATTCTGGTCGTCGTCCATCAGATTTATGTCCTCAAGCATCATCGGATTGTTGCTTGTCCCGTCGTCGTTTGGCAAAATCCCTGTCGTGGTTGTCCCGAACGGCGACATCGCGCTGTTGCGTGTATCAAATGCAAAAATGTCTGGGTCTGGAAGGATGCAAGGTTTGTCATGCACATTTTGCGGGACTCCTGGACCTGATGTCTGCGATGCATGCCCTAGCATCACAGATGCTGTGAGGGCTTTCTGATGCCTATACCGCATGAGAAATGCCCTCTCGCCGTGGCCAAAACCAGACCTCTTTTGCTGTGCATGCAATACAGATTTTTGGATAATGCAGACGCAGCATCACAAGTTGCATTCTTCCAGACCCAGACATTTTTACGGTTGATAGCGTGCGTTATTGGGCAACATCATTAACTCCCCAGGGGGAGAGGTGCTGGAACTGCTGCTCATTAGTATGGATGTGTCAGGATTGAAATCGTCAAAGTTGAAATAGTTTGTCATGCATAAAATGCCAGGCATGAAATGCCTGCCTTGCCGGGATGGCAAGTGAGGCCGACTGTCAGCCTGTTTAGGGTTTGAAATAGAGCCGCTAAAGAAGTAGCATCACAAAAGCAGTCGTCTGTGCCCAAACAGCATGACAAATTGGACTCCGGTGCTCGGAGAATTTGTCATGCACGGCTTGGAAATTGGGCTTCCAACTGGTATCGATTTTATGCATTACCAGTTATCTCAACTTTGACGATTTCAATCCTGACGCTTCCATAATTAGTCCACCTTGACTAGAGGACGTGTTGTTCACCAAACTCAGGGTGTTCTGTTGGTTCGTATGCATTGCAAAGCAAGTATCGCAGTACTATGAGAAATCGCATCACAAATTTCCTCAAATCTTCAGGCTCAAGGTTGAGGTTCTATCTAAAACAAATGGCATTTGTAAAAAATGCGGAACTTGGTGAAAGGAAAAGCCGGATCTGCAGTGTTACTTCTGTGCTGCACTGCAAAAATCCTAGCCTACAGGTTGTACCACGACACTTTTGCAATGTTGCATAGTTCGAGATGCTCGCCCACTCCAGGTCCACCACGCCCAGTTTCTGTAGCACGGCTTGCAAGTGGAATTTCAGGTGCGGGTTCTGTCCTTTCACCAAGGCTAGCTGCAACAACTCGCGCGCCTTCTGCTGGTGCTTGGCCGCTTGTTTCCGCTTACCCCTGCCGGACATCTCGATGGCCAGCTGCGCTTCTTTGATACCGGAGGAAACCAGCTCATCGACGGATTTGAACTGATTGGGGTTAGTGTTTTGACTGTTCCGGTTACTAATATTGTTCGCCGCTGTTAACCGGGAGGTCAAGGTCGCGCTGCGGGTCACGAGACCAGCACCCGGTCTTGTCCCAATAGTCTGCTGGTTTTGGTGGCCAGCGAGTGCTCCCCCGCCTTGTTCGAGCGCGATACCATCGTCGAAGTTTTGCCCCAAGTATTGATGCTCGGCCTCCTCGCCCGGCCGGAGCCGGCGCCGGACGCGGCGCTTCACGTAGCTGACGCAGCCGCCCATGAAGAAACGTAGCTCTTTTCTTCAAGACGAACCGGCACTACACAGCCGACTTCCTGGGTAGTTCAACGGTGGACTAAGTGAAGACACAAGGACGTGCAAGAATTCCCGCTCCACTTTCTCTCGTCGTCCCTACTTTAGGTCCACACGTCACCTCTTCCTGCTTGCGGTCGCGCTCCGCAAAAATTGCGCGCTTTCATGAAGGTTCATTCCGTGCATCTGTGGTCGTGCGCGACCGGCGCGACCCTGTAGCTGCAGCTCTTGCCGAACAAGATCTTCTGCACTCACTGCTTGCCAAGAACATCGCGGCCCTACAACTTGAAGATGCCAAGCAAGTGGTGTTCTGCTCGTTCTTACCCCTACTTCCTGGTCCTGCTTTGTACTACCCGCATTGGTGATGTCGTCAGAAGCAAAAGCTGCCAAAGCTGCCATGGTGAAACAAAGCTATGAGTGTCAATGTTCTTTTAAAGAGAACTACTAAACTGCGCTCGAACGAGACTCGACGACGTGACCTGCCGGAAATCAGGGAAGAACTACAGGAAGACTTCGTTTGCAAACAAGAGCGCACCGTCGAGAAGAAAAAACTAGGACCACCACGACCGCACTGGGGCAACGGGACACGGAAACAAACCAGTCTCGTTCTTACGATCATCCAGTCTCGTGCCTACTTGACACGCGACGGACTGCGCTCTCCACGATGTCGTCCCTGTCCGCAACAAGAAGTTCTGCAAAATTATAAAACGCTTCAAGTTCTTAAATCACTGGAAGAACTAATGGGTCCTCGTACATTCCCTTTCATATTTCCAAATTGAATACAGAGCCTTCTCGTCGTCGTCGAGGAGGCGATACCGATACGGATACGTGGACGAAAAGGAGGATGTTGATTTGTCAGACATAATAGTAAACGATTTTTCAGGAAAATAAGAACATCGCGAGGGAGTGAGTAAGTACTTATCCGCAGCGCAAATCCACCCACCTTGGGCGCTGTCTACCACGGCCACTGCCAGTGTAGGATAGTTTTCTTACGAGACCACACCTGGATGTCAGCCTGAAGCTCTCGTGTCACAGAATCCAGGGAAAGCGAAAGAACTTGTTTGCCTTGTTCTATAGTGCCTGTACAGGATACGCATGGGGGCTACCCACTTTGGTTTTCGTGTAAAGCAGAAAACATTCAGCCTCTGATTGGCCTGTCAGCTAATTTTACGCCCTGGCTACCGCCACAAGCGAAATCGAGCCGTCTTTGGTAAAATAAATTGATGCCAAAAAATTCACATAGCCTACTCCTCGAAGCTGTTTGGTAACAAGACCGGAGCACACGCACTCGCACATAGCTTCTTTGCAAGTCTTTGTACATTTCGATGCAAAGCTACAGTTTTCTTACCGTCTTCGACACAGACTAGGGGCACTCAACGTTTTGACTGCAAGAAAATAAAAACGGGGGGGAACGAAAAAGTTAAATTTGAGCTAGTATAGATCCGCTAACTACGCCAAAACCTCCTAGAAGGTGATGGCACAACCCTAGATGGCTCGATGCGAGCAAAGCGGTTCTGTAAAATTTGAATTTCGTTGTGACAACATTCATACATTTGGTGCTGCCTCAGACAGACCGCTTATTTGCTCCTACTAGGTTCGCGTAATTATTACAAACGTGGCGCTTGCATGTCATCAAGGAGCCACATCATATCTGAATCTGCCTAAAAGTTGAAGCCTCCTTTTTTCTCTTCTTTTTTCGGCGCCTCGTCGACTTTGACGGCCGGAGCCGGGGCTTTGTTCAGGTCGCAACAGCAGCCCGGCCCCTCGAACTTCCACGGATTGCAGACGGCAGCGTTGGAGCCACAGCTGAGCGGTACAACCACCGTGTTCATCAGAATGCACACCACGACCGAGCCGATAATCGAGAGCACAATGGACAGCATGTCATCCCCAAACTTCATGCGAAACTCCATCTCCTGCTCCGTTTGCGCGCGGAGCAACCTCCGACGCTGGGTAGTTGTACTTCTTGCCCGACGTTCTTGAGAGGTTGAGGAGGATGCGCGGCTGTGGCTGAGTACCACCTTGCTCTTATCTTCCGACACCTGCGTGGTTTCCCTGGTCGCCTTGCGCGTAGAGGTGGACCCAACTTGGAGGAAGTTCGTCCCTACTTGTTGATGATCTACTTGTACTTCAGCTGACGACGTTTGTAAAAATACCTCCCTCCTCGCAAACGCTTTTGGCCTCTTCCAATCATCGGAGTTGTTCTCCTTTGCGATCTTCGCCAGTAGTGATGTTCGGGTCGGTTGTGCATTCGTTCCGTCGTGCTCCTGCTCCATCGCGAGGGGAGACTCGTAGTACCTGGAAAATGGTAGATAATTCTACAGTTGGATATTACGAAGGAGAACAAATCGGCGCACTTCGCTGTAATTTTGGCTTGCAATTGGTGGTCAACTGGCACTGGCAGCGATCGCAATAAAGTTTGTACGCATATATGTGTCTTTGTACTAGAGTTGCTGGTGCTTCATTTTTGATTTAGATCTTTTGCAGGAACGCTGTCTTCACCGCCATATGTCAATATCAAGCAAGATTCTTGATACCTTCTTTTCCCCTTCACCGCCAGCACGTGAAACAGTTCCGGTACTGCGACGGCCGCGACTGAGAAGGCGACGCGAGCGAACATTGTGCGATGAGCTAGCGTGCGCAAGAGCGGCACAAGCGTGCCCCGAAACTGAAAATTATGGGTTAACTTACTTAATCGGCGGGTGGAAATGAGATAGGGGTGGAAAGTGAAGTGACAATAAACGAAACAAACGCGAATGAAGTGTGACAACACTCAGAACTGTTGCATGGAGCGGACTTCTTAAATTCAGTTTCAATGTACCTCACCTGCAGCACATAAACATATAATAAATCACAGAGATTGAGATAATTCGTTCCCGAGCCGAAGGAATAACAATCAAAAATCGGGCACAGGCTAAAAACAGTACTTGCTTCAAACGTGGTGCGCCACTTCGGCGAGACAAACGAAAATTTCTTCGGACGAACGAAAACGAAGACACTGAGACTGATACGATTTTGGAGTTGCACGATGAAACAAACTTTACGAGATTTCATGTGGTACGAAAACGAAAACCAGATGAGAAGAGAACGAACGAAGATAAGACACAGACACCTGCAGGCAGTTGCACGACTATGACAGTGAAGGCAATGCGCAGCGGAATATACATTCATGACGTGCCTCACCATCAGCTTGAACAGTCTTAGATCGCGAGCGCCTTCCTTTTTTGTCTTTGGAAATTAGCTTTGGCATCATGGTGTTGCATTTCATTGATTCGTAACCGTAAACGGAACGTCATCTCTAGTGTTGCGGATAGAGCTTCCGCTGCTGTCGTTTGCCAGGCTGTCCGGGGGTCGGTCTGACCACTCTAAAACGTGATAACCGATTCCGTCCCCGAAATCCGAAATTGGTTCTTCGAAAATAGTAAACTTTTTTTCATGCATAGTCAAGAGCCGGAAAGCATACTCAAAGCCTGAAATACGTATCTCAATCTGCAGTGAAAATCATCTCTACTCTCAATCTGCAGTGAAAATCATGAAGATCGTAAGCGATCAGATTGGTGAAACTACAACTACTGACTCGTCTGATAGGCATAAGTACTTCAGCAAACTGCAAGCGTCAACGCACTGCATTCCAGAAGGATTTTTGTTGAAAATCCTTCCCGCAGCAGAAGAGAACTTCTACAAGCAGAGCAGACGTCACTATCAAGCGCACAGTGTGATCCGTTTACTTGATCGTGATCGACTTCATCATGATCGGCTTGACCGGGCAGTCGTCGCGGGTCTGGACCTGGGAGATTTTCGTGACCAAGTCCATCCCCTTGGTGATGCGGCCGAACACCGGGTGCTTGGACTCTCCCGGGCTAAAGAAGTCCAGAAAGCTGTTGTATGCATTGCAAAAGCATCGTACTAGTAGAAATCGCATTACAAATTCACTCTGCATGAGAAATGGAGTTTGTCATGCTGTTTTGCCTTGATATCGAGATTTGTAATGCATGACTGCCATTACTACGAGTACGATACTTTTGCACAGGATATGTTATCCGCCACGTTGATGAAAAACTGGGAACCGCCGCTGTTCGGCGAACCGGTGTTGGCCATGGACAGCGTGCCCGGAGCGTTGGTGATTTTGGCAGCGAATTCGTCCGGGATGCACCCCTCACGGTTGTCGCGCTGGACGACCTAGTACGGATTTTTATAGGTAATTTTTAATGTGGTCCCATTCATAGTGTTTTATTGCAACACAGATTGACTCCGGTCGTGCCGCTGCTCAACAACATCGATCTTCACCATGCGAAACAAGTTCTAAGAAGAACGCCTGTCAACATCTCCTGTCAGACTGTCTGAGAAATCTTCATGCGCGAGAGCAGGGAAACCCGTGCCCTGCATCGTTCATCTGAGAAACCGAAACATCGCACACAAGCTAGTTAAAAGGGAGTATAAAAAAATCCTTATTTCAATTGTAATACCTTGCCCGTTCCGTCACGGATGGTAAACTTGGAGCCCGGCGGCGGGCCCCCGGTTCCGGCGTTCGGGGCCTTCGGGTTCTTGGCGAAGGGGCAGCCGAACTGGTTCATGAACGAAGGGATGACGCGGTGGAAGTGGATGCCGTTGTAGAATCCCGTTTCGTATGGATTGCAAAATTATCGGACTAGTATCTATGAATTGCAATACAATTTGGCTTAGCATTACAGATTGAATTTGTAATGCAGATTTGCCTTGAGAAGGAGATTTGTGTAGCATAACTGCAATTACTACGAGTACGATACTTTTGCAGAGGATATTTCGCACAGGTCCAGAAAGTTGGACGCGGTCACCGGCATCTCGGAAACGAAGATTTCGGCCTCGAACTGGCCCTCCGTGGTATCGAAGACAACGGTCGGGTTCGACATTTTGATGCTAGGAAGTGTTCTGGTCTTTCTTTCGTAAGAATAAAGAAAAGCAGAAAAACGATCCAATGAGGATAGGGTGTAGGTAGTAAAAAATCTAAACCTAGTTTAGACAAAATTCAGCAACCTGAAGGCGGAAAGGGCCAAATTCTGTTCGCGTAGTCGATTTGACTCTGAGAGAAGCAGGCACAATACGCGGCAGAGGCCGGCAATAATATTGAGATCTTATCTTTGTGCCCGTGTGAGAAACGCGCAGGTCGAAAACCTTCCATTTGATGAACCAGCTGGGACCAAAACTTTGAATAAGGGAAAGACAAAAGGAGTTTTTAATTCTCATCCTCTTCATTTCATCATATGCATAATCATGCATGATGTCACATCATGCCCGATCACTAGGGTAATGTTAAGCAGAGATCTTCATCCTTTCATCATGTTCATCTTGATGCTGATCTGCTCAGCCGATATAGTGATCTCGGAAGAACAGAAAGGCAGAGAGTGTCCGAAAGACGGCTTCGTTCTTTCCAGCACTGAGTTGTACTTTTCTATATGAAGATGGATATCAGAAAGTCTCTGTGTCGTTCGCTTGTCTTGTCATGTTTTTTTATGAATGTCGATGTCATGATGTTGTTGTACTTCATTTGCATGTCGTCAAAAAGAATCCTCCACAACTTCCCCATCTCGAATAACAGTCGTCCCTCTCCCCAGTACTAACCCAATCCCGAGTGATGATTTTCGTCGCCATCGGTAGGTGGAATGCTTACGCTTACCACAACCTAAGCACACTTTTACGCTTTTCGTCGCCGCTTTGCAGTGGAGCCTGATTTTAGTACAAATTTAGTTCAGCCCCGGTCAAATAAGCATTTCTCCTTGTAAGAACAAAAAAAACGCATGAATTTCAAAATAAACAAAACAGCCAAATCCAAATCTACAACCCGATAAAAGACACTCAACGCCATTAATTCATGTTTTTTTTCAAAGAAAAGTTTCATATTTACCTGCAGCAGCCTTCGGCGCGCTCGCTCCTCCTGCAGCAGTGCTGCTGCTCTGCGCTGGTGCATTCTTGCCTTTCACAGAGCTGCTGCCAGCACCTTGAAAAATAGCCTGTTGATCGTCTTCTGCTGTTTGCTGTTCCCCAGTTATTTTCGTGCCATCGTCTGCAGGTTCTTCTTGTCCTCGTTTAACGATCCGTGCTGAGGATGATGGTCCTGCGTTATTCTGCTTCGACGATTTGTTCAACATGAAGCCGGCATCTTCGCCAGCACGTGCACGGCTCTTCCGTTTCTCAATCTTCTTTGTGCTTCGATCTCGATTTTCACCACTCAAAACTTCTTTTTCATGTTCCTCAAGAAGGGCAGGCGGTTTTTTGTTGTTCATTTTTGGCTTCTTGCAACTCTTTGCTTTGTTCGTGTGTTGTCCTTCTCCATCTTCGTTTTGTACTTCTACACCTTTAACTTTGTGATCTCCGGCTGTATTCATCGTACTATCGTGAGCCTCCTTTTGTTGCTTCAGATGCAGCGGCTCCTTGGTAGAAAAACTACTACTGCCTTGTTGCTGATTCTCCTCTTTCTCGTTTTTGTTCTTCCGCCCAGCAGCTGCTGCAGTGCTCCTCCTTTTGTTATTGTTGTGCGGAAGTAGATTCTTCATCAAGTCTGGTGACTTAATCACCATCGGAGAATCGTTCACCTCCAACGAGTTTGCGGGAGAGGGCGGAAAGCAAGAGCTCTTTCCGTCTTCTTGTTGTTCCCCTTGTGCGGTAGCGGTTCTCTCTTTGTCATCAGTTTTAACAACTTTTTTCTCGTTGCCTTCGTTAATATTTTCAGTCGTACTATTTTGATTTGTGCCAGGACCACGCTGTTCGACGATACCCGCCTCCTGAGGCTTCGCTAGCACTGACGACTGATGTGCTTGTTCATCTGGTGCCGTCGTAGAAAGGTTGTTCTGCTGCAGCTGACTGGTACGAGAATTACTAATATCAAAATCCGCGGGAACAAGTGCAGAAATTCCTCCCTCTTCAACTTCATCTTGCGCCGCAGCAGGCGCAAAATCTCCTCCAGCGCTGCTGTTTATTCTCTCGACCCCTTCACGACCTCCCGACGATTCCACTGCATTGGTTTGGTCGTGGTCTCCACTCCCAGCGCCCGCAGAATCGTCTGCGCGCTCCTGATCTAGTGCCCCCTCCTGCTCTTCTTCTACGTTGTCCGCGTTGTCGTGGGTACCTCCTACACGTAGATGTACTGCTTCTGCCCCCAAGGTAGCTCCTGCAGCCGGTTCAAGCGGCAACTGCATCGAAATAGCTTGTGTGTTTTGGTTTTCGTCGATACTCCTTCCAACTGCATGAACTCCGACTCTCCCTGAAGGTGGTCCCAGCGGGTCATCGTTTGCTTCCGCCAGCATCTTGTCGGGCGGAAAGTTGATATCGTTCGTCGTGTAGGTCGTAGTGCTCGGCGGCGGCAGCATCTGACCAGCTGCACTATCATTGATGCTTCCCTCGAGGACGTCCCCAAGACGATTACTGCTGTTCCCTTCGATGTCAATCATCAGCTCCCTGCTCCTTCCTTCCGCCACTTGACGCCTTGCTTCCCTATCCCTACCGCGGGGGTCATTCCGCGTTGTATTATACTCAGCCAACAAAACCCCATGGCTCTTGTCCTGGTCTTCCTCATCCTCCTTGCTCGCCCACCGATGCCCTTGCATGTGCCCGCGCATGTTCTCCTCCTCCATAATTTCCTTACTGTATTCCGCTGTTTCCGGCCAGCCCATCTGCAGTCCCGCGTATTTGAACGCATAACTCAAAAAAGCGTCGTACTCGATACTACCGTATGGGATGGTGACCTCTGGCTCCTTCGGATCAAAAAATTCTATCAGCCACCTCTTGTGGCTCGGCGCGTCAGCGATGGAGCCGTGCTGGTGCACCAACCGCGTTTCCCACAACCGGTGCTCCACCGGTCGATGCTTGGTCGGGTCCTTCTGCGGACTAGCTTCGTCTTCCAACATCGGATCGCCGTCGTGCGGCGGGGATGAACTTGGGTTTTGATTGTCCTCCACTTGGCCGGACGGTGACGGTTCTTGTGCAGCAGAGTTGTTGTTGGCAGTATTGTTGTTAGTTTGTTGATTTTTACCCTGCAGCGACGTAGAGTTGTGAAGGTCCTCTTGGTGTTGATAATTCGCTTCTAAAAAGCTGGTGTCCTCCAGAACTTGTGGCTGGAACGCGGTGTGTGGGAAAGGGAGAAGAGGCCTGGGCTCGATGATCACAGGAGGTTCCTGTTCAGAAGGCTCCTGTTCAGAAGGTTCCTGCTCAGAAGGCTCCTGTTCCTGTAGCAGGGCCGCGGCATTTAATATTTTCTGCTCTTTTTCTTGCTGCGGTTCTTGATCGCGAATCTGCTTGAGCTCCGGTTCTTCTGGGCTCAACGCGTCGGGGGTAACATGATCAAGTTGCCTTAGCTCGTACTCTTTCGCGACGACGGACTGCTGCTCCGGTTGAAGAAGAAGATGCACATCAAGGTGGCTATTACACTGGTCGTCGAGTACATGCACAGTCGTGTTCATCTTGCAGTCTTCCACAATATCGTCGAATAAAGTCTTGTTGCAGTCTTCCTCTTGTTCGCCTGTGGATTGCATAGTTGGTTGATGGTCCACCGCGGACAAAACATCCTCCATGACCGTGAACTTCTTCACATCTTCTACGCCAACAAAGGGTCTTTCCCTTTCAGAGGAGGACTCCGACTCTCCGACGAGAAATAAATCTTCCTCGCCATCGTCCGCAGGCGGACTCTCGTCCGCCGTAGTGCTCCTACTCTCAATCCCAGGATCATCTTCACCTTTGCAAGGCGACACACTGATGTCGTGGTCCTTTGTCGCATCAATGCTTGGCCGGCGACCCTGAAGACCCTCCTCCGAATAATTACTGTCGGTGTCGTCCTCCTCTGGGCTACTTTCGCTTTCCAAAGCAGCGAGTTCGTAGTTCGCCAAATTCAGATCGCTCGCGGCGGCGCAGGTGGGCACGTTCGCGATATCGAGAGGCTCCAAATCCTCCTGGCCGTCGCGGCATCGGGGCTTGACACATGTTGGCAGCAATTCTTTTTCTAAGCCTATTCTCAATGGCGGCTGGAAGCTCGTGAAAGTTTTGCTCATCCACGGGCAGGTTGCAGGCTGGTCCGGCTGTAGCTTCGGTTCTTCATGTCGAGCTACACATTCGAATTCGTGTTCGTGTACAGGTGTCGCTACAACTTTGGGGACGGAGATACCAACGGGATCTTGTTGCTGCGACACCAGAGTTGTCGTGCAAGAAGACAAAATCGGCACTGGGATTGGAGGATCACTGTCCTTGTCGAGTCCTGTCAGGCCGCTGGGGTCTAAGGCAGAACTGTTTTTCATCGCGTGGCTAGCCTTGATGTTCTGCTCTTTCGGTTGCTCACCTTGATGCCACAGATCGTTTCTCTTCTTGAATTGTTCGAAATGACTTCGCGCTTCAGCTACCTCCGGTCGCAATGTTGACCGATTGAAACGACAAGCAGAGTCATCAACATCGTCGTTCGTGGTTGAGTCAAGATCCGAATCGCTATCATCCGACGACGAATCGGACGACCACGGCGCGGCAGCTGTAGCTCCAGGTAGCGCAAAAGCAGCGTCGCGGTCCTCTTCAAATCTTATCGCAGAAGTTGTTTTTGCATTTAACGCGGCTCCTTGAAGTTGTCCTAAAAATCGAGGGGGCCGCTCAATGTAGTTGTCCATCCGGGCAGGTCGGTTTTTGCTGTCAGGAATTATTATCTGTGGTAGTTCTGTGACCCGTTTTTCACAAGTCTCCTCTTTCTCAACGTGGTCCTTTGCGAGGTTTTCATCGGCATCTTCGTCGGATGAAAAGTAACTGCTGACCGAGCTGCTGTCTTCCTCGGACGAACACGACGAAGAGTCGCTGCTGACCGAGCTGCTGCTCTCATGAGATGAAAAGTCGCTGCTGTCTTCATCGGAAAGGTCTTCCTGAAGCGTCAGCGTGTCCTCAACATTGTCGATGTTCATTTTCAGAGCCATCTTCTTGTTCTTCTCGACATCACTACTAATTTTATCCTGCTCGTCCCCCTCGTTCTTGTGTTCCATCAAGGCCGCCGCGGCCCGTCTTTGCTCTGCAGCGTCACCGGCTTTTCTTCTCTTCTGCTCCCGCTCCTCACCACTGTTCATGTTCTCATCTTTTTCGCTGCTTTTTCTACTTCCACACCCATCATCCCTGTCCTTGCCACCTCGATCGCCCTCGTCCTCGTTTTCATCCCCGCCCGGGTTAGATTTGTCATTTCCGCCTTTTTTATCGCTGTCTGGATGCTGTCGTTGATCCTTCCCCTCGCTGTTGTCTGGCTCTGGTCCGTGGTTGTTCCCTTTATCTTCGTCCCCAGCACCAGAAGGAGGACCACCAGGACCAGCTCCGGCTCCGCCGGAGTTGTTATCATCTGGCGCATGATCGTTATCATCCTGATCCTCATCGTCCGAACTTGTACCGTCTGAAAAGTCATCGTCGAAATCATCATAAAACTCGCTGTCTCCGTCCTCCCGGGTGGCGCCGTCCTCCGGCCACAGGTTCGTGTACATCGCGTCTCGGTCGATCCCGTGCTCCATCAGAAACTTGATCTCAAAAGCATTCCGCTCACTCGCCTGCGGCAAGCCTGCGGGTAAAATTGCGCCGTGCTGCAGCAGCCACTGCACCGCGGCGTCGTTGTTCTCCTCGATGGCATGGAGAATCGGGGTGTAGCAAAAATGCTCCGACCGGTCGATTTGATTCACGAGAAACAGCTGTGCTTTCGTGAACTTTTTTTTCGCTTCTTCTGCGTGGTTGACGGTGGGAATGCCTGCGTGTTCCTCTCCTGCTGCTCCCTCGATTCCGTTCTGACCGTTCTCTTGAAAATCACCAGGTCGAGGTCCACCTCCTCGTGCATTAATGTCGTGGAAAGTTGCTTTATTCTGCTCTTTACTCCTACCATTTGTCAAGTTCTTCGGGGTCTCGAACCCGAAGTAATTGGCCGCAAGACGCTGTTGGAACGTCTGTTCGTGCTGCTGGGTGAGGAAATCCTTCACTTTCTGTTCCACCGCCACCTTCTCGCATTCCTCGTCGGAGGAAACTGGTTCTTCCTTGATTCTAATCATACTCGGATCCTCGTTGTCTTGATCTTGCAGTTCTACTCCTGCTGCCTGTTCTTGCACTGGTTCATCAACGAGGACTCCTGCCGATAGTACTTGTTTTGGTGCCCCTGCTCGTGCTGATTCTCCTTGCAGTGATTGGGATTGCTTTGCTCCTTTGTTCATCTCTCCTTCGACTTCGACTCCCACTATCCCACGAAAAAACTGTTTCACTGTGATGATTTTGCAAGATCTGCATCACAAGTTTGTTACACATGACACTGAAAATTTGTCATGCGCGCTGCCCAAGGGAAAACACGCTTGAAAATCCAATGTCTTGCAGGTCTAGCAAGACAAATAGTTCTGTGTTCCATTTTTCTGCATCACAAGTTCACAGTGAAACAGTTTTTTCTTGCGATACCCACCTCGGCAGCTTTAATCCGAGTCGTGTTTCTCCGCTTCTCCTCCTGTTCCATCGCCACCTGCTTCTTCAACTTTTTTACATCCCGGTCCAGAAGCAAAGGCAGCCCGGCGCGGTATTTGTAGATGAGTTCCAAGGTGTCCGGGCTCAGCAGCCACTCGTCGCAGGGCCATTCCAGATCCGTTTCCTTTTCCATCACGGTGATGGGCTCGAAGCCGAACGTGTGAATCGTGGTTGCCGCGTTCGTTCGGATCCCGCCGCAGGGGCCAATGAGGCACTTCTTCATGTCGTCCGGAGGGAGCAGAGGCGGGGTGAGGACGCGGTCCCGATCCTCGTACTGCTGCTCCCCTTTTTGATTCCGTCCGCAGAAGTCGAACAAATACTGCATAACTTCCACCGCATCCTTTTCCACGGCATGAAAGAAACAAGATCGCCCCGTTTGGTGATCGAGCCTGAAGAGTTCCAAATTTTCCTCCTCCAAGAGCCACTTCACAGCCGCCACGCACTTCTTCCTGGATTTCAGGTTCCGACTGCTGTTGTAAAAATTCTCCATCTTCCGGCTGTCGACACAAAGATAGTAATTCAGCTCCCGCACCACCATGTGCAGCAAAGTTCCGCCCTTCATGCCCGGAACGGAGCCGACCAGCGGCGGCGCGCCGATGGACAGATTCTTCAGGTTGTCAAACAGTTTCACCGGCCGTTCCAAGTTGGTGGAGCTTGGCAGAGCAGTTTTCAACGATAGCAGCCCGTCCTTCAGCTCCGTCAGGAACGAGTTGTCGTCGTAATTGAATTTTTTCTTTTTTTCTGGTCTTTTGTTCAACATCACTGGGCGGAGCTCCAGTTCCCCGTTGCTGGGATGCTGTTGGTGATGATCCGGTCCAGCGATCATAGAGTTGTTATCCTGGTGCCCTTTTGGTTGTGATTCGACAGAGCAGGACCTTTTCCGATTATGATTCGCCGGTAGTTGTTTCTTTCTCCTTTTCGCCCCTCCTCCAGACGTGTTCCGGGAGGAGCAAACCGACGCCTTCGCGTTCTTGTTGTGCGAGCCGCTTTTCAATAATGTAGAACTAGAAGAACCTCCAGCCGCTTCTATATCGATGTCCATTGGCGTCGACGTGTGGTCGACCAGTAAAATGCTTTTGTCCATCATCCAGTCAGCCTCGGTTGTTTGCTGCTCCGGCGAACTGCTCTTACTGCATTTTGTGCTGCTGTTGTAAAAGTTTTCGACGTTACCAACATCTCTTCTAGAAGTTTTTGTCGTCGTGGTCATGAATCTCCTCCCTTCCGAATAGTAGTCAAGAATTTTTTTCCGTGCCGTGTCCCAAATCTGCGGCAACTCGTGCTCCAGCAGGGCGTGCAGGTCGGAGACGTAGCACTTCCCGATCGTTTTCTCGTTTTGGTCCAGAGTCGCGAGAAAATCGTTGCACTTCCCTTCCTTCTATGCATTGCAAAAGTATCGCACTAGTAGAAATTGCATCACAAATTTTTTCAAGAAGAAATAAAATGAAATTTGTAAATGCTATTTCACCTAAAAGGGGATATTTGTCATGCACGATAGCAATTACTTACTACGAGTACGATACTTTTGCACAGGATACCTTCTTCGCCGGCGGGTGCCGGTTCTGCGCCAGAGTCCAGACCGCGTTGGATAGGACCAACTTCACGATGTATGCATTGCAAATATGTCTGGGGCTGGAAGATTGCCAGGCTTGTCATGCATATTTTGCATGACCCATGATGTCTGTGATGCATGCTCTAGCATCACAGATTTTTGGAGGGCTTTGCGATGCCTCTACCGCATGAGAAATGTCCCCTCCGCGTAGGCCAAACTGGAGTTCTCTTGCTGCTCATGCAATACAGATTTTTTTAGAATCCAGAGACAGCATCACAAGTTTAGAATCTTCCAGACCTAGACATATTTGCATTTCATACGATGCCCTCCAACCCGATTTCACCCGTGATCCCGAAGTCTCGGGGGATGAAAAAATTCCCGGAACCCAGGTTGATCAAGGACCGCAACGCGGAAAAAACCGGCGTCGCGCCGTCGGGAGCGCGGTAGTTGATGTTCATTTCCTTCAGCAGGGCGGAGATTTTCGCCAGATGGGCCTTCTTATCAAATGTAAAAATGTCTGGGTCTGGAAGAATGCACGTTTGTCATGCTTGTTTCGCATGACTCCTAAATCTGTCATGCACAGTACCCAAGAGACCCATTTTTCTGTCATGCAGAAACGCAGTATGTCATGCAGAATAGGCAACACCTAGAAGCTCAGAAACTTGTCATGCTGAGCCAGCATTTGTAGCCTCATCATGAGACGCCACCCAGCATCACAAGTTTCCAGACCCAGACACTTTTACATTTGATACTTCTGCGGGTAAAACCGCTCGTCGTCGTGGAGTGGAAGGTAGTGCTATGCAAGAAAAAAACTGTGTAAGTGTAAATTTGTGTTGCAGAACATGCAACAGAGTTACGCCTGTCATGCCAGACAGCCGTGAAGTCCTCTTTTCACGTGTGTTTTCCCTTACAAGCCACGCATGACAGGTTTTCTCTGTCATGTAGAGCAAATTTGTGATGCTGTTTCTCAAAGAAAGTTACACTTACACACTTTTTTTCCTGGATAAGTGCTTGTTTTGCTGCACAAGAACTCCTAGTTGCTTTGCCGCCGCAGTTGTAGATGAGTTTATTTCGCCCCCACCAGGTGCTGCTGGTGCAAGAACCCCTCCTACAACTCTTGAAGTAGAAGTAGCCGTCACATGATTCCGAGGGCTTACCTGATTCGTCGTCACCCAGGCGTTGGCTGCGACCATGGCTTTGTCGTTCGTGTTGCAAGGAAAAATCCCCCCTCCCCATATTGAAAACGCATCCGTCAGAAAATTCGTCATGCAGATTTGTGACCACAAATCGGGTCTGCCTTGCAAGGAGGCCCAGTCAGGCTGTCCGCCAAGTTATGCAGGCGATTTGTAATGCTGTAAGGCCTACAGGGTAGCCGTCTACCATGCTAGGCGCATACACCAAAAGGCCCCCACCTAGGCTCAGGATCTGCGTGCATTCCTCTACTGCAACACAAATTTGATTTGTGTATCCAATTCCAGCATCAGAAGTTTCGTTTTGATATGGGGAGGGGGGATTTTTCCTTTTGATAGTTCGGTCTCCAGCACTTGAACAACAGCTCCGGCTCGAAGCGCTGGACCCCGTGGAACAGCGTCCAGTGCAGGACCGGGAAGTGCATCGTGTGGCCGAACTGCACCATCGCGATATGCATTGCAAATATGTCTGGGTCTGGAAGGTTGCAACTTGTGACGCTGTCCTTGGATTCCAAAAAAATCTGTGTTGCATGACTAGCAAGAGGAGCCCAGTTTCTTCTACACGGAGAGGGCATTTCTCATGCGGATTACGCATAAGGAAGCCCCCTAAAAATCTGCGATGCTAGGCCATGCCTCACAGGCGTCACATGTCCTACAAAATATGCATGACAAACCTGGCACTCTTCCAGACCCAGACATTTTTGCACTTGATAGGCGAAGCTGGTATACAAATCTTGCGTCGGAAACGCCTTCAGCAGCCACTTCAAATGGTACCATTTACACACGTATGGATTGCAAAAATGTCTGGGTCTGGAAACTTGTAATGCTAAAAGTGAATGGGAGACGCACTGCAATACGCAGCTATGCATGACAAACTTTTTGGCTCCCATGTCTTACGTATTCCGCATGGCAAGCTGCGTTTTTGCATGACAGGTAAGAGGGCCTCTTCGTGCCTATGCAACACAGATTCTCGAGTCATGCCAGACAAGCATGACAAACTTGCATTCTTCCAGACCCAGACATAATTTTTGCATTTGATAACACGTGAAACGCGGGCAGGCACACCGTCGCAATCTGCTGGTTGAACGCCTTTTTCCAGGTCGTCATCACCTGTTTGTAGTCGCTCACGGTGCACTTCTCCTTCTGCTCACAAGAAGTTGTTGTACTGTTCAACATCCCGGATGACGAGCTCTTGTTGTTCCCGGCGCTCGTCGTCCCTGTGGTTTGGAAATGCCCAAGCGCGGTCTGTTCCTCGATCACTTGGTCCACGTTGCTCGCGAAAAACATCACCCGGGTCGGCTCCACCTGGAAGGTCACCGGATTCACGTATCAAGTGCAAATATGTCTGGGTCTGGAAATTTGTGATGCAAGAAAGATTATAGTGAGCACACTGCAATGCGCAGCCCAGCATGACAAGTTTTTCCGTGGTTCTGCGTTGCGTACTCCGTATGAGAAACTGCATTTTTGCATGACAGGCAACAGGAGCTCTTCGTGGCCACGCAATACAGATTTCAGAGTCATACCAGATCAGCATGGCAAATCTCGGAATCTTCCAGACCCAGACATATTTGCATTCCATATCACGGTCTGCCACGCAAAATTCTCCGCGTGATTCTGCGCCGTCGCGTTCGCAGACCGGGTCCGCTTCAAAGGTGGTGTCAAAGGTAAAAATGTCTGGGTCTGGAAACTTGTGATGCTGGGTGGCGTCTCATGATGAGGCTACAAATGCTGGCTCAGCATGACAAGTTTCTGAGCTCCTAGGGCTAGGTGTTGCCTATTCTGCATGACAAACACAATCACAAACTGCGTTCCTGCATGACAGAAAAATGGAGCGCTTGTGTAACGTGCATGACAGATTTAAGAGTCATGCCAGACAAGCATGAAAAACATGAATTCTTCCAGACCCAGACATTTTTACACTTGATAGGTGGCTGGGATAGTTTATTCGAGGTCCCGGCAGCCCCATAATTTGCAATCAAGGCCTGATTTGATGATGCAGCTCCAGCTGTTGTTCCCGCCGCTTCAAGTAGCCCATAATTCGGGTACAGCGGATTCGACGCCGCCAAGTACCGCACCTTGCACAGATCCGGCGCTTTCACGAGCAACAGCTTGTATCGGTCGACCGAGAGAGATTGCCCGTTAGAGATGTGAGCGGAGAAAATCGTTTTTAGGTTCCCCGGCGAATCCGTCACATCGAACAACCGCAACAGCATCCGGTTCAAGAAAGCGATCAAGTGCAAGCAACTTTTGCTGTAGTCCTCCTTCCGAAAAAACTTGCACGCAAACAGAGGCACCAGCCGCTGCGCCTCCGGCAGGACATAGTCGGAAATGTTGGTCTCGGGGTACTTAAACTTCGAGGGGAAAATCCCCGATCTCGTGCTCGGCAAGCCGCAGAGACAAGTCGCCCGGTCGGTGGGGAGCTGGGACGGGTTGTCGTAAGTGTTGTTGTAGCGGTAACAGTGCTTCCTGCGGCGCTTCCGCGCCTGTTGTAGCTGGGTTCTCCGCTGCTCCTCCAATTGCTCTTCGGTAAGTAGCTGGTCATCTCCGGCGGTGATCTTGAAATCTTCAACGCTTTTGTAGTTGCTTTTCGTATTTCTATCACCTGCCTGCCCTGATGAACACGACGACGTGGACCGCCCCATTGCATTCATCGGCGGAGAGCTCTCCGGGGCGGAAGCAGGAGATGAAGCAGCACTAGAAGAATTTTCCTTCCTCACAGTGCTCCTGTGCCCACACTCGTTTTCGTCCAGAAAAAGCTGCGTCACCTCCTGCCACAGCTTTTTTCCGAACTCCGAGTCTGGGCAGTACTCGTTCGGCAAGTAATAATCTTTCGATCTGTAGTCCGCAACTTCGTCTTTACTCATCATGTGAAAGAGTTTGAAGTTCTCCCCGCTCTGCGTGGGTGGCATTTCGTGCTGGAGCAAAATCGTGAACAGTAGCCGCTTCTGATCCACTCCGAACCTTCCATCGGACACGACTGTGGTGCTCTTCGGGAGCTGGCTGTTGGTAGTTGCGGAAGCGGAGCTGCCGCTACTGAGCTCCATCTGGTCGGCGAAGGATGAAGAAGATGTATTTGCAATCATTTTCACTGCGTCAGCACCCGCACCAGCATTGTTCATCATTTTTGCGTTTTTCCTGTTCACTTCCTTGTTGTGCTTCGCCAGGAGCAGCTTCGCGACGTTTTGCAGATTGTTATTGCAGTAAATGGTTTCGTGCGCCACCTTCAAATCATGCTCGATCATCGGTTTCAAGAGAAGGAGAAACGCCTGCTCGCGAATTTTCTTCCGCTTTTCCAGTGCATTCTCGTCCGAGAGAGTTTCGTTCTCGTCGGTGCCGTCCGGGTTCCGGAATTCCCCGAAAAAATGAAGCAGCTGGTAGAAATCCGGCCACCTGTTGTCGTGGGGTTTTTGTGTTCTTGTAGTCGATCATTTACAAGGGAGTTGCCGCAGCATCAGGCTTCTAAGTATGTAATCTACTGACGCCCGCAGCTCTTGTCTCTCATCCGCACAGACATGAAGAACGAGAGTGCACATCAATCACATGAAGTAAAAAAGTACTTACGCCAACAAGGTGCGAGGACCACGGTTCACTGTCAATATGTCAAACCCACATGTTGAGAGAACAACAAGCAGGCCATATAGATACCTCAAGCTTTCCTGCCTCCCGGCGAAATCCAGCGCCTTTTGCCCGTGCGTCATCGCCAGGAGAAAGTACGACACCGTGTTCGTGCTGTCGTAAAGCAGATTTTTCCCCGTCAGTTTTTTGTGCTCCACCGCTTTCTCCAGCAAAAACGGGGCGAGTTCAAACCCGTAGTCGTAGTTCAGGAAGCCGTAGTGCATCGGGTTGCGGTCGAACTGCACGCCCCGGTGCGTCGCCAAGAACTTCGTGTCGTAACTATTATGGAAGCGCCAGGTTTGAAATCGCCAAAGTTGAAATAGTTTGTGATGCATAAAATGCACTTGCAGAAGTGCCTGTCTTGCCGGCATGGCAAGTGAGGCAGATTGTGAGCCTATTTGGGGTTTGGGATACAGCTGCTAAAGGGGCATGACAAAAGCAGTCTTCTGTGCCCAAACAGCATGACAAATTGGATTCCGGTGCTCCGAAAATTTGTCATGCGCCGCTTAGAAATTGGTCTTCCAACTGGTATCCATTTTATGCATGACAAATTATTTCAACTTTGTCGATCTCAAACCGGACGCTTCCATAACTATCGAATCGAGCATCAAATTTCTCCACGCACAGCCTCACCATCGGTAAATTTCCATAGTGGCAGATGTAGAAGAAAAGCCCCTGACCCCGGTGGTCCGGCTGGTTTAGGTCGATCTCGTAGTTTTCCAACACGAATTCCAGTAACTCCGTGGCATACTCGCTATTCACGAAAACCCTGCGCTTCAAGTCCTTTTTCGTGTTCCTCGTAAGCCACCACCGGAGCTCCGATTCGGGCTTGCTCATCTCGCACAACTTTTTCAAACACGCTTTCTGCTCTTCCAGAAGCGACTTATTTGAATTACTTAATGTTCCGACGATGGAATTTGATCTCGACCTTTTCCGTTTGTTGTTCGCCACGGTCACTGTCGTTCCTGTTGGTGCAGCTTGTTTCTTCATGGTCTTTATTGGCAAGTTTGTGTTCTCTAAGTCCTCTAGCAAACTGAAGTTGTAACTGTCCTCGTTGTGGCTTAGTAGCTTCTCGAAACTCCTGCGCTCCACCTCTTGCTCACAACCGCCGCGGTTCATGGCGCTGCTGGAAGATGATGAACTAGCTCCTTGCAGCTGCTGCGCGATGCTAGTAGAGAGGTTCTTGTTATAATCCTGAAGATGTTGAGGCATCATCAAACCAGACGCGGAAGCTGCTTCTGTCTGCTGATTTGCAGCACTTTTGGACGTCCTCGAAACAGTGCCTGATACTAGCCAGGACTTCGACGCTGTGTGGTTCAAGTTCACGGTCTCCTTGCTGTGTGTCGTGGAGGATATTAAAGCTCCCCCAGTCGTGCTGCCCGCCGTGGGGATAATATCATTATCCTCCTCCTCTTCTTCATCGTTGTTGCTGTTCATGAGGCTGACAAGGTCGCTGTCCTTGTCCTTCCCAAGGATCCCATCGTTTCTTGCTTGTTCACCGGAGTTGTGGTCTAGGACCTTCATAGCCTTGTTGTCCTTCTTCTTCCCAGCTTTTGTATCTTTTCCGACTTTCCGCGAGGGTGCGGAGCCCGCTTTTTTGCCACGAGAGGCCGAAAACTTGTTCTCCATGGTTTCTATTTTTTTGGCTGGGTATAATTTCAGCGGGAGGTGAAAGAGAAACGATTAAACGTCGTCTCTTGCTCTTCCGAGATTCAAAATCTAACGCGACTTCGATAACTAAAATTTCGCATCTTTATGATGTTCTAGCAGTCACAGTGTTTTACTTGCTTAGAAGTACGAGAATTTGTGAAATTCCTAGAGTCATTGCTGAGTTTTTTCTATAGCACACAAGAAATAGAAAATGAAAATCTAAATCGAACCAGCGTCTTGAAGAAAATAAAAACATTGCTGTTCATTTCTAATTTGGTCCTCGTTTTAGTACTGCTTCATATTCCGAAAATCTATTGTCGCTGCGAAGTACAAATGGCACACTTTCAGGCATGTGGAGAAAATACTATTAGTATTTATTAGCGCCAGCAAGTATGAAACACTAACACATACGACCGCGATGCTTGCTATCAGTATCTTATAAAAAACCAGCAGTACCGGAAGCACATACGAATTCTAGGTCCTTTTTGGAGCTATCTTGTGTAGCTATCACATATAAGAGTATCAAGTCTAAAGGAGTACGAAGATCGGAGAGGTGCTCGATGCGCAGCCGCCGCCACAAACTAGACAAACTCTGAAGAGCTTGAAGAAATAAGGTCTGCAGAGGGCATATAAACATCAACTCAGAAATAGGTGTCGAGCAGGAGCTGGAGCTCTTGCAGCCCCTCATGATGCTGAGCATATCACATTGACATCAAGTGAGGCCGAGCAGGTTCGTCAGGCTGCACACTTCACATGGAAAATTTGCAACGACGATTGTGCACCAGGATGCTATGATAGATAGCCATCCTGTGCATCCGCATCGACGGGGAGATCACAAATCTTGATGCTGACGCAGTCAACAGGTGTAGGAGCTCAAAAACAGAGAGGATCTTCGTAGTCACGTCCTCGTATGAAGACTCTAAGAACAAGAGTTGGTCGCACATAATGCTGCCCGCGCAATCAAATTGAATGCTGCTGCGGACTTTGCCTTTATATGGTGGTGTTGGTGACTGATAGATGGGTAAAACCTCTTACTTCTCCTGGAAATAATTCAGTACAAAGTTGTTCGGCTATCTTCATCCTTGGAAGTTCAATCAAGGGGAAAATACGGGTAGAAAGAGTTGGGTTAGCGATCTTCTAATGAAGCCAATGCGGCTACAACAGCTGTTTTTCAACAAGATCTTCTTGCGTTTGCGTATCTTTTTCTGCATGTGCTGTTGAAGATCAATGGTAAAACTATTGGGCAGAGCATGTTTTGGGAAGTTGCAAATTTCGTACGTACAAAAACCAAGGTGTGAAAGTGACATATTGCAATTCGTGTTCGGTACATACAAAAAATGCACCCATGAATGCCAATGGCAATGCCAATGGCAATGACAATGTAGAGGTCATTTTACAAAAAATCGCATCGATTTTCTTCAGACTGAAGGTTTGCAGTAGTACCTAATTTTACATTTTCCGTAGCTTTCCATCCACGGGAAAGCTTTTCAATTTCGGGATTGCAGGTTTTTGACTGGTGCTCTTTCCCTTCCCGGCTCCGTCGCTGTTGCTCCTGTGTGATTGATTTTCGGACCCGGAAAACCAATCGAAAGGGCCTGAGAGAATGCTGTTGAAAAAGGACTTGTCTCCTTGCTGCTCCGCGCCACTTCCCTGCGGCTGGTTTTGGCTTCTGCTGTTGTTGTGGTTCCGGTTATCTTTTATTGTTCCGGTCGTTCCTGCTGCTGCTCGCGTCGGTCGGGGGTGCGCGCCGGCCGCGGAGGACGGAAGGGTGAGCTTGAGCTTTGGCTGCACCGGTTTTGCTGCTCCGCCCGTAGAAGTACCTTGCGGCCTTCCGGATCCGAAATTTGAGCTTTGCTCGCTTTCGTCGGACTTACTGCCCTTTTTCCACCACGGTGCGTCTAGGTTTTGCTTATTTTCGAGCAGAAATTTCTTCAGCGCCGGGTGCTGAATCCTCGAGTATTCACTTTTCTCACCTTTCTCCTCCGCTTCCTCAACGTTCTTGGAACTCCGCTCCGACGCTATTTGCTCCTTGTTTCCCCACGCGGAGTAGTCTATCTCGATTTCGTCGAAGTTGCTATTGTAGGTGGAGTTTTTCTCGAGCTGCGTCTGCGCCAAAACGTCTCTGGACCCGAGAAGCTTCGTTTGATAATCGACGAAGGAATTCGTGCCAGTGCCGCTAATTTGGTTATCGTTATGGTCATAATTTTGCTCATCTTCTTGCTTATTGAAGTCAAACGACTGCGAGAGATCCTCGTCGTCTTTTCCGATACCCCACACCACCGACCCATTCCGGCTGGAATCTTGTTTATCGAGGCCGAAACGGTCTTCCCGTGTGACAATCTCATTGTCGGAAAAAGTCTTTGACTCGTCCGGTGTGGATTCCATAGCCCACTTCATGATCTGCGCGTCTATCTGCTTCCCGGTTTTTGTCGCATTATTTGCCCTGCTGCTCTTGTTCGCGGACGCGGATGTTTTTGACTTTTTTTCCAAAAGTTTCCTTTTCACCGGTGCCAGAATGCTGTCGAGCTTAATCCTGCCGGGAAAATTATTTTGGCTATCGCGGTTTATTGTATCTTTGAAGCTCGAAGCGGAGCTACTCGATGAAGATGATGCAGCTTCTACACTCTCTGAAACCGAAGCTGAGTTGTCCGCTTTTTCCATCGGGCTCTGGGGAGATTTTTGTAGTCGCGGAGTTGTGTCGTTTTTCATTTTCTTTTGCTGGACTACACTTGTTCCCGCTATTGCACCAGTCGTCTTCGGGTGTTCCGGCGACAACCCGAATTCGGATAGAGAACCAAGATAATCATCACGATCCTCGTCTTGGTCTCCCTTTTGCAGAACATAATCTTCCTCCTGAAACGGGTGCAACATCGCGCCGTCTAAAGCCAACACGTTATCAGCGCCAGACGAAAACCCACTCGGCGGCTCGGCGTAGTACTGAAACCGCAGAGCTTTCTCGCCATGTTCCTTAAACACCTCGTTCTGCGTCTGCCGCATGAAATCTATCGCGATCTGGATCTCGCCGTGCTTGCTCGGCAGCGAGTCCGCCCACTCCATCGCAGTTTTCTGGAATCGTTTCCTCTTCCAAACATCCACGGCACTTTTTGCGGCAGGTTTGTCCGGCTTCTGCAGCCCTGTTTCTGTCTTGATCTGCTCGAGAATTTCCTCGACTTTGTTCTTCCGCAGCTGCTGCTGGCCGAGACTGCATCGGTACACGTAATCGACAAGTTGGGACTCGGTGTCATCCTCGTTGTTACTGGAACTCGTCTTTCCGCCAATCACACCGTCCTGATCGGATTCGTGATGCATTTCCTGTTCGGGGGTTCCCGCTTCCTCTTCTTTCGGAATGATACTATCATGTTTCTCTTCCTCCGCCCCCGAGTGCTCGATGAAGTGGTCCGGATCCTGGTCCTGGCCTAACTCGTTGTCCGAGTGGACGATGTGCTCGTCGCTGTCTTTGTCGTGCAACAAATCGGGGACGTCATCGTCCGCGCTGTCGTGATGGAAGTCTGAGTGCTCCTCCGGTAGATGGTCAGACCCCGGCTTGTTGTCCTGTTCACTATCCTGATCCTCTTTGTGTGAGACAACAACCGGGTTGCCATTCTCATCCACTTCGTGTTGTTCATGTTCTTCATGCTGGTAATAGTCCTCGTAATTCTTGTAGTGGTGCTCGTGAAGCCACTCGACGGAATAGAACTGGTTGTTCGCGTCGTAGTAGTTCCCTTGGACATCATACCTACCCCCATGGGCGTCGTGGTAAAACCCGGTGTCATCGTAATAGCCGCCGTGCTCGTCTAATTCGTGGTGTTCGTGCTCTTCAGCTGTTGTATTTTTCTTCGTCTTCTCGTTCTCGTCCGAGGAAACTCCACCAACGCCCGCGGAAAGGACATCATCATCCGCATTCATAACCGAGCTGTGCTGCTGTTCCAACGCTGGGATTTTTGGCTTGCTGTCCTTCCTCGTCTCGGTATCGTCCGAACCAGTTGGGGAAGTTTGGTCAGCTGCTATAGTTGCTTTTTTCCTAGATGCATTAGTAGCTTGCTTCGCCGTGCCAGCTTGCTGCACTTCCTCCACTTCCATTCCAGCGTGGAATGTGAATTTCTCGTCGCCCTCAGCTTGTTGTCCCCCCATCTTCTTGACACTTGTCGATTTCTTTTTTTCTTCCGCCGCGGCCGCCGCTGCAGCAGCGGCTTTCTGATCCTCGATAACGCTGCTACTCCGCCCTAAATACTCGGTTGGGACTGCTCTAGACTCCGGGTCGTTCTGAAAAACGGCAGAATTATTCCCGATCTCCGAATCGAGAACAGACCCGAGAAAGTCGGATAACCGGAGAGAAATCCGGTCTGGATCTTGACTAATCACCGAAGTCCTTGCTTCGTTCGACATCAAGCTAGACAGCTTCTCCATGATTTTCGCCGCCTCTAGTTTCGCGGTGTTTTCGTCCTTTCCGTGCGCCGCCGCAATTTTCTCCAAAATTTCCTCCAACGTCGCTTGTTCGCAGAACTCCTGCAAAATTTTCTGCTTTTCCCCTTCGGCAGCTGAAACTGGCTTCGTTTCGTCACTCTTTGTCTTTCCCGTTGCAGCCGCAAGAGCCGACGTCGCCCGCTTCACCTGCTCCTCCTTTTCCTCAACCTCCACTTCGAGTTTCTTCTTCGCCTTGGAAAGCTTATCCAAATCAAGGCTCAAATCCTTGTTCTCGGTTTTCAGATTCTCCATTTCCCGTTTTAGCTTTCGCTTCTCCTTCTCTGTTTCCTCGGAGGCTGAGTCTTTCTCCTTCAGCTGGGTTTTCAACACCTCGATCTTTTTCTCAAAATCCTGCTCGTAATCTTGTTTCGACTCCTTCGCGGATTCCAGTTTTTTCTTCGCGACAACTGCGGAATTCAACTGATTCTCCAACTCCGAATTTTTCTGGCCCAACTGCTTAATCTTTTGGTACAATTCCGTATCGGATTTCTGTTGCAGTTTCCCGTGCTCCTCCAGCACGTTGATTTCGTCGCCGTACTCCTTCTCTAGCCGTTGGTACTCCACCCAAAGCTTTTCCGTGATTTTCTCCAGCTTCTTGTTTTTCACCGTCGCCTCCTCCGTTTCCTTCTGCAGCCGCTCCCGGTCTTTCATCGCTCGGTCGATTATAGCGTCATACTCGTTTTTCATCTTCGCCACCTCTTTTTCCGCCTCCTTTTCGAAGTTGTCGCATACTTTCTTCAAAACCTCCTTGAAATCCTGCTGCAGCTTCTGGATTTCTTCGTCTTTGTCGTTGAGAAGTTTCTTGTAATCCGACGCGTTGTTGATCAGCTTTTCCTCCAAACGGGTGACTTCTGTGTTCAAATAGTCCGCCAAATCTTTTTTCTGGGACAGCTCCTCCTCCACCTCTTTCGTGATCTGTTTCTGCTCGTCGACTTTCCGTGCGTCGTATTTTCTTTGTATTTCATAGCTCTGCATCTTCTCGCGGAGCTGGTGGATTAAGGAGGCGGGTTTGTTTTGATTTTGTTGAGCGGTGGTTGTGTCTGTCTTGCTGTTCAAGTTTCCTGCTATAATACCGGAAGTTGTTGCTGATGCTGTTCCTCTCGTCCCTGTTTTCGCGACAATATATGTTGTCGGCATAGTATCTGGTATCAACTCCTTCCGCCAATAGGCAGCGTTATCCCCCGGGAAAAACGGCGGAGGCTGGAGTTGCGCTTTCGCGGCTTCGCTCAGTGATGCAGTCTGCTGCTGCTGCTGCTGCTGCACAAGCATCGGGGCTGGTAAAGTCGACGCTGCGGCGACGGAGGCGGAGTTTTGCATTTGTCCTCTTGTGCTCTTGGCCGCGCCTGCTGCGCCTGACGCAAGGTTCAAGTCGCGGCCCTGCTGGGAAGAGTTGTTGGAATTCTGGTTTAAGTCGGAGGTGCTCGGCAGGACATTCTGCTGCGCAGGAGTAGGAGCCGGGATGTCTATTCCGGTGGACTTCCGGACCAACAAGCCAGAATTGCGCTTGTTCACGGGTGCTGCGGAAGCAAGGGGCGGGACGACGGGCTGTTTTGAGATTGACGATTGTTTGTTCGTTGTCCGCAATGAAGAGAAAACTCGAAGACAAAACGAACATAGAAAAAATGAAATTATATATTGCTCCCGCGGGAACAGAAACCTGCGCGCAAGTAGATGCACACACTAAACAAGACGAAAAAACTAAACTTCTAGCATCATACCATATCCCCATCCTTGTCCTGCTGCGCTTTGATTTCCGCCGCGAATTTCGCTGCAAGCTCGACATCCGCCGTACTCGGGCCTCTGTGCTGCTCGTACGCAGCTCCGTTCGCAATATTCCCCGCGAATTTCTGCGCCAGAGCGATGTCCTCAGCCGTCGGGCCCCGGTCGGTGCTGGAAGTGGTGTTCCTGTCGTTTTTCGTCGAAAGGTTCCCTGCTCGTCCCTCGCCACTGCTCCCAGACGCAATAGGCCTACCAACAACGCTCTGCTTCGCTTGGAGCACCTCCGCTTCAGGGAGCACCTGGTAGAGCTGTTTGTTGATGTCTTCCGCAAACTTTTCCGCTAAAGCAATGTCCTCTGCAGAGGGGCCGCGGGAGTCTCGCGTCTCTACATCTCGTTGGGTAGCAGAGGAGGACCCGAGAAGCTGCGCTTGAAGGGTGGACACCGCCATTTTATTCGGGTCGTTAACTTTCTGTGTGCTGGTCTGATCCGCTGCCACTGCCACTGCTGCGCCAGCGGATGTACCTAATCCTTGTGCTGTATCATCAGAGATTTTTGCGGCTCCTGCTCCTGTACTCCCCGCTAGCCCACTACTACCACTACCGCTCACTCCGCCATAGGCAGCGGTGCCCGCGACACCACTTACTCCTATTTTCTCGTCGATGGCGTTGGACACATACTGCTGATACTGGTTCGTCGCGGCGTTCTCCTGCCACTGGTCGGAGGAAGAAACCCGCTCCTGCCATTGTTCCGACGAATAGGACTGGGGCTGCTCCTGCGAATTTGTGTTGGTGTAGCTGTTGTAGCTGTCCTCGTCTTGCTGCGCAGCGTGCGTACCGTTGTAGTAGTTGTCGTGGTAACCTTGATGTCCATAAGCAGGCGACTCTGTCGTGTAGGCGTATGCTGGTTCTGGTCGGTCCGTGTAGGTTTCCTCTTGATGCTGACTACTACCAGCGGCAACACCCTGCTCCTCCGGGGGGTAGAAGTAGCCTTGGTCTGAGTAGGGGTCGCTGTAGCCAGTGTAGTTGTAGGCCATGACGGAAAACGTGGACCTTGTCTCAGCGTGAGAGAAGAGGTGGCGGTAAAACAGACGCAAAAGGGAAAGGGTTGATGTGTTACTTTAAACAAAAACACCAGCCTAACAGTAGTCAAATCGGCTTGTAGAATGAAAAAATGTAAATAAAGTCCTCGGGACAATTCAATACAGAAATTCAGCGGGTAAGCTGTTCAGGTTGACGACCCAGCACCTGTACAAAACGGAAGCTGATTTATACATGCAAAATCAATTTGAGTCCACGAACTTGAAGCAACTTGACGATCACACTTCGTCTGACAACATGATCAGATAGCCTCGACTGGCCGACAACGCCACAAGCCCTGATGTACGACGCTGGTAACGATGAAGTAAAGAACGATTCCTTTCCGACACTGCGGGAACGACCCTGAAGATGACAAGTACGAATACGTCAGCTGTAGTAAATTATTTCAGATCAGCAGATTCAGATAGGTCAACGGACGATGATAACGATTGTCGCGAAGATCATGTCTGTGCACGACTCACCACGGATGAGCATACTTGTGCTTGAACGATGAAAGCTGAGAAGCAACGTTGTCCCCAACGGATAGCGAAGACCTCTGCCACACAGAAAACAAAAAGGGTCCGCCTTTGTCACGATAGTGAGCAAGAAGAGGACCCGGTCGGGAACGAACATTTTTCTTGACCGAAATAAAATTGGTTTGCTGTTGCAGAGCATCGGCGATTGAATGTGGTGAACAGCAGTGGTGCACGAGCGCAAATCAATACCAAGGCAGAACCTGCTTGCACGAACGGCATTCGGGTCAATATCCCACATCTTCCGAAGGCAATTCCAGGCTCAGAGCTGAGCTGCGAAATAGACATAAACGCGAATGGGTTTTAGCCGCACTTCAAGGCATCAGGTTTTCAATAGGTCTATAGTCTTTCTAGAGTTTCAGCCGCAATTTGTTATGAACAGACCTATCGCTAGTGTAGAAGCACCCGACATGCAGGGTGAACGGGAGCGCATCCCCTTCGGAATAAACACAACGCTCGCCGCGAAGCGCGAGTGTGAAACCTTTCACCTTCTCTGCACGGTGCAAACAATACATCAAGCAGTGCGGTGATCCTAGTCCTGGATGCAAGGCCCGTGCCGCTTCGGGTGTCAACGGATATGCTTCACCGTTTGGTAGCGTCGGGGCGTTCTGCATCACTTCAGAGGTAACTTCGAGCTTTGGAATGCCATTCGTCGCACACTCATCCAAGAGCCGCCGAGCGAGATAGTTGACAATTTCGGCCTCGGTGCGTTCCAGGGTTTCTAGAAAAGCTGTCCAAATCGAACCATTCGGCGAACCATCACTACTCGTGATGCTGGAGTTGGTTGGCCGCGCGTTTCGTGCTAGGTCTGCAATATCGCTACTGGGCAGGCGCTCATGGCTCTCGTCTTCGACTTCGCCTAAGCTGACAAACAGTGGCGCAGCAAGTGGCGCATCCTCTTCTTCGTCGATCCTTCTTTCAAGCTCACGATCATGGTACACGTAGAAGCTTCTCCGTAGAAGCATCGTGACAACAACATCCAGACGCGGCCGGTCCCCGTTTCTCAAGGCCGGCTATCAAATGTAAAAATGTCTGGGTCTGGAAGAATACAGACTTGTGATGCGCATTTCAGGACACAGAAAAATTTCTCATGCATAGGTAGCGAAAGCTGCTCAGTTTCCGCCACCAAAATGGGGGATTTGTCATGCGGATTCGGCATTGCGAAAGTTTCTCGAAAACTGCGATGCTAGAGCTCCCATACCAGACTTTCTGTGTCATGCCAAAACAGCATGACTCTTCCAGACCCAGACATTTTTGCATTTGATACCGGCGCACCATCGGCGATTTCGTCGGTGATCGCAAATCTGGTTGCGACCCCCTTCGCGGCCGTTTCGAGTATTTTCTTCATGTAGTACTCGAAAACAAGGCCGTAATCCACGCCGATCTGGGACCTCGCTATCTTGATGGAATGGAAGTAGTCCGCATTTCGGCAATCCAAAATTTGGATGTTCTCCTGGCCCAAGAAATGCATGACTTTCTTCCGAAGAACCTCAGGCAAGGAGCGTCGCTGGTTCGTCAGATTCCGCGTCGCCAGAACACACCAAATGTTGACCTGGTATAATTGAAGACGCTGTTCGCAAAGAACATCTGTCGAGTTTGCAAAGCAATGGGAATTCAAATCTCCAAGTAAGATGCAACAGAGTCACTTGGAAAGAAGAGAAAGATAAACTACTGATTCGGAAAAAAAATATCTAGGACCTGACTCGCCAGCATTTTGTTGGCCGTTCGCTTGTCGAGATTCTGCAAGCGCCCTTCGAGCGATTCCCGGTCCAGGTCGGCAATTTTCTGGACCCACTTTTCGTAGCTCCCTTTGTACCGGAGAAGAACGTTTTCAGCGGTGATTTTTGTTGGCTGGTTCGCCAGCTGCGGCTCCGCAGGTCCGTTTCCGGCAGGGACGGCTGCGGATGAAGAGGAGGCGGACGACATGCTGTGCGTTTGTTCTTCGAAAAATTTACTTTTTCTTCTATCGGCTTTGAATATGACAAACACAAATGAATGCTTTCTTTGGGGTACGAATACGATATTTGAAATGCCTCTAGTGAAAAAACATTAGATCAAAACGGAAGATGGAAGTCTGTCGGAAAGGAGTGACGTGTCGGTCGAGGGCTCCCTCTTCCAGGGACTAAGTCATCGATCAGCTAGATTCGAACGAACAAGTACAATCGAGGAAGGGGATCTCTCATCCCGTTGACCATTTGCACTGTCACAACCTAGCACCAGCAGAGTGAATGCTTCACTCCTTTTGCGTCGAACAAAAATGCGCCTCTTTTTTTGCTTTTTCGACTCGCTCTCGATTGCAGCCAAGCATCAACAGACTTGTAAATACGCTACGGCAATCAAAGAATTTGTGTTGCAGCAAAAACTGCGACCATTTTGTGTTTTTCGGAAGAGGTAGAAAAAGGACTTGATTCTCATTGTAGTACATGCTTTATTCCTTTCGCTTCATAATCGTGCTCCCACCAACTAGCGGGAAAACTTTGGAATTAAAAAATGAGGTCTAGATCGGCATATCGTATTCACGGTGCGCGTTTCCATTTGCCTAAGCCTATTCGAATTCAGGGGAACGCAATAAGATATGCAGTAATTTGCTCCTGCTGCGCGCGACTTTTGGTACATGATCTGTCGTCATCCAACCAGTCTCACTACGATTCCAGCTTGCCGCACGACCGGGTACTTAGGTGCAGTTAGCTCTTCTGGTGCTACATGCTCAAATATCCTCGAAGTGCCCCACGTGCTCGATTTCGTCTGATGGCAGTTCTTTCCATACTGCTGCGAGTGCATGTGCTGCAAGCAAGCGATTTATTAGCTGGACTCGTGGATATTGCGCTAGTTGATATTGCCTCACTCTTCCTCCTCCTCGACCTCTGCCTCCTCTTCCTCCTCACCGGAAGGCTCGTCTTCGCCATAAAAAAAATAACCGACCCGCATGGTGAAAGGCAGTGGGTCACCGTTGGAATACCAGTCGCGGCCCTGCTCGCGGAACCGCAATTTGAACCCGTCCGTTTCGCTCCTGTGCATCAATTGATCAAGCAGCCCGCCGCGGGGGAGTGCAGGATGGAGCGCCTTCATCTGAGCCGGATTCAACGGCACGTGCTCACCGCTAGGTAGTTTCGGCGCTTCTGCCATCATCTCTGGTGTGACTACTATCTCGGCAACACCCTTAGCAGCAGACTTTCCTAGACGATCTACCAGATAATCCGCAACCTCCTTGATCCCGTTCTCTACGGTGTCGGTGAACGATTTCCAGGCGCTACCTCTACTATATCCCAATACTTCCCCTACGCCCGCAGTTTGGCCGCCTGTTCCCTGCACAGCATGGCGCGCAACGGTGTTGGCATCTTTATCAGCATGGCCAAAGTTCCCCTGGCTGAGGTCAATTCGAAGCGGAAGGGAAAGATCTCCAAAAATTCTGCGGGCCAGCTGCGGATGAAGAGGAGGCGGAGGACATGACGTTATAATGTCGCCGGAAATTTACTTCTATTTTCGATCAACTGTCTTCAGGATATCGGTATGATGTGAGACCGCTACTCCGTTATTGCGATGTGCGAATACGAGCTATCTATTGAAAAATTGAAATTGATGTGTGAAAATTTGGGTTTATAATTGATATCACTCCTACATCGTATCATGGTCCGTCGCTGCTTTTTTTTTCGATCTAATTATCGCTCTGGTCCGGTTCATGATTTGCTTCTAAAGCTAAATGATACAACTAAAGGATCTCCAATTAAGATCGCAACAAAGACACTACATCCTCGTCCTCTTTGCAGCGTACACGGTAATGGTATCATACCGCAATGCCGAGGATAGTTGTTTCCGCTGCTTTACGTATCTAAAACAGAAAGAGATGCTACCTAGATGAAGAAGTGGCCTTGCTTGCACGAAGACGGGTTGGAGACGACACACCCCTGATCGCGAACAAACGAGATGGCAATACGATTTTACGTTGGACTTGTGGTTCCCGCAAATCCGAGCGCAACAGCAGAGAGTTTCCTTCAGGCACTTTTTAGTACTTATTGTTCAAGCCGGTGATCTACGGAGTGTTTCTTGTTCTTCTACCATCGTGCTATATAGTTGTCGTTTACTCTACTCGTCCTCCCCTTGTGCTTCCTCCCCCTCTTCCTCGTCGGAGCTATGATCGTCGTGCGGAAAATAGCCGACCTGCAGCGTGAACGGGAGCGGTTCGCCACCGGATGTCCAGTTCCGACCCTCGCGGTATCGTATTGTGAAGCCGTCGGTGTCCTGACGGACCGTCAATTCCCACAGCACACCGACGCGATGAAGATTCCGGTGCAGTGCCTTCGTTTGTTCTGGGGTCAGCGGCGCGTCCTTGCCACTAGGTAACTTCGGCGCCTGCGCCATCACCTCGGAAGTGACCACGAGTTCGGGTTCGCCCTCGGCAGCGGACTTGGTGAGCAGCTTCAACAGATACTCGGCAACCTGTTGCCGTGTCCTGGTAACGGCTGCAGAGAACGACTTCCACGCCGCGCCTCCACCATCTTCTCCCCTCGTCCCGGCTCGGGGGCCTGCCGTGCCTGATAACTCCACGGCAGCTCGGGCGATGGTGGCTGCGTTTCTATCCGCATGTCCGAACGTGCCACAACTGAGATCAATACGAAGCGGAAGAGAAACATCGCCGATATCTTCGGCCCCAGTTAATCCTGACCGTATCCGCGTACCATCTTGCCGTCGGAGTTCGAAATCTTTCTGAACAAGCATGCTAGCGATGATGTCCATTCGTGGTCGGTCCCCGTTTGTTAATGCAGGCACGGAATTCGCCACTTCTTCGGTGATCAAAAAGTTGTCGAAACTCCCCGCTTTGGCCGCACTCTGGATCTTTTCTAAGTAACACCTGAGCACTGCCGAGTAATCCCCTGTGATCCGCTCCGTTGCTACTGGAACTAATCTGCACCATGTAACCGCATCAGGGTTGACGCCCGCGCCCCGTAGATTCACAAGCGGCCCTCCGTCTTCACTCCCCCGAATAAACTGAATCACGAGCCGCCGAATTGGTTCCGGAAGGGCGGGCCGCGCGGAAAACTTCAGGTGCCTCGTCGCAAGAACATACCAGATGTTCACCTTTTTTGTGTTTTTTTACTCTTGAATCAACTAAAGAAATAAAAAAACTAACTTCAAGGAGCGGGAGCGAAGCCAAACTTTGACAGAATTCAGAACGAGAAAAGACAGAACAATATAATATTTTTTTACAACGTCGTACCTGGCTCGCCAGCATTTTGTTAACTGTTCGCTGATCGAGGTTCCGTAAGCGGCCTTCAAGCAGATTGCGGTCCAAGTCGGCAATTTTTTGGCCCCATTTTTCATAACTCCCTTTGTAGCGGATAAGCACATTATCAACAGTGATTTTTGTTGGCTGGTTTGCCAACTGCGGATCCGCCGGTCCGTTTCCCGAGGGGCCAGCTGCGGATGAAGAGGAGCAGGCGGAGGACATTTCTTCGGAAATAAATTTTCAAATTTCTTTCGATCAGTTTCCTTTGCTGAATGCTACCACGCAATTCCAATTCCTCTCTTACGTTGTTTGTAATACTACAATGAGGTAACTTAGTACTTCCGTGTGAAAACTTGATGTGTGAGACTCTCCTGCATCGCACTATCATCCATCGCTGTTCCTTCTCTTTGCCTATCCCGCCTTCAGTCCCGGTTTGCTAAAATGCAGATACAACTCGAGGAGCTTAGATAACCTACGCCACAACACAGCTAGAACACCTCAACACCATCCTTGCCTTTCATCTTGACCTCTAAGCAGTAGCAGTGATTTTTATTTTATGTATATGACCTTGCTTTCCAGACCATTTCCCGTACGTCCCCCGGGAAGGACGAGATACATGGTTTCTCGACGCCGGATCTTTCCTATCTGAAAGAGCCTCAGGGTAAGCAACTGTGCTCCGAAGCTGGGACGAAGAGCACGACCCCTTCGAGAACAAACACGATGGCCATGCGCTTGCGGCATGAAGTAACATCCCGGGTGCCATGACAGACAACCGGGCGCAACATCAGAGAGTCGCTCGACTTTCAACCATGTATAGACTTCCTTGCTGTAATACAGGAAAAGGAATTCATTGGAATATCGAACATTTTAATAATTGAGCAGAAGATCATGGAGAAGATGACACTCAATAAATTTCGTGATCCACCTCAGAGAGATAGAGATTCGACTTGTTCTCTTAGTCCCCAATCGTTCATCCTGGCAGCCCTGACGATTTCACTCGTCCTCGGCCTCACCCTGCTCATCATCACCTTCCGACTCTTCATCTTCCATTTCTTCGTCGGGGAAGTGACCGACTTCCAAAGTAAATGGAAGCGGTTCGACATCGGACCACCAGTAAATGCTTCGCCTCCGGTATCGGATGGTGAACCCATCCGATTTCTGTCGGCGGTTCAGCTCAAGCAGAAGAAAACTGTCGTCCATGTGCCGGTGCATCCGAGTTGCCTGCATCTCAGACAAGGGGACGGCCTCGCCGTTGGGCAGTTTTGGTGCCTGATCCATGACTTCCTGCGTCACCACCAACGTTGGAACACCGGTTGCGACGGACGCTGCGAGTTTCTCGACCAGAAAGTCCGCTGCCTTTTTCAATGCGCCGTCCATTGTCTTTCTAAAAGACTGCCACAGTGGGGCCGCTGCAGCATCTACGGTGAGTCCTTCTGGCGTTGTCGCGGTTGTGCGGAACATCCTATCAACCACCTTTGCCGCCACGTCGTCCGCTGCGCGATCAGCGTGACCGAAACTTCCATGCCCGAGCCTAACGGTCAACGGTAGCGGGAGAGCCTGACGCCCCCCCACAGCGTTCCGAACGTGGTTTCCGTCCGCGGTCGTGACGAAAAAGGCCTTGCGCGATAGCATGGCGACGATGATATCCATTCGCGGACGATCGCCATTCGCTAAACTGGGTGCTGCGTTGGCAACGTCATCTGTAATCTGGAACTCGTCAAAGTCCCCCTTTGCCGCAACGGCGTGTATCTTGTCCAGGTAGTACGCCAGAACGAGCTGATAGCCCTCTTCCTGTTTGTCGTGGGCCTCTCTAAGCATGTTGTCAAACGCGTGCGAAGTCGTTTTCCTTAGCGCGTTGCTCGTGCGCTTGTCTTCATTAAACTGCATGATCAATCGCCGAACTCCTTCTGGCAGCGGGGGACGAAGCTGTCGGTCGATGTTCCGCGAAGCAAGGACGTACCAAATGTTCACCTGATTTAGCTTTTCATACTGTAGCGTCAGAACCTGAAACGAAAGCCAACCTTGAGGGCAAGCTCCAAAAATTGCAAAAAAAACTTTATTTCGCAGGGAAGTGTACGAAGACTGACACAAACGCTTTACCTGACTTGCCAGCATCTTGTGCACTGTTCGCTTCTCGATGTTGCGCAACTTTCCTCGTAGGAGAGCCTCGTCGAGGTCTGCAATTTTGTGTCCCCATTTCTCGAAACTTCCCTTATATCGAACCAGGACGTTGTCGGCAGTGATTATCGTTGGTTGGCGTTGGCCCAGTTGCGCGTCTGCATTTACATTTGCTTGGGTTCCTGCACTGCGAGCCACGGGTGCAGATGAAGAGGAGGCGGCTGCCATGTCTTTTTTATCTCTTGACTTGGAAAAACTTACTTTTCTTGTTGTATCGGTGGTCTGGCCGGTCTATAAGCATGCAATTCGTTTGTTGATGTGTCCTACACTTCCTCAGTGAAAAAGAGAAGTAGATTTAATGTATGTGCGTTCTTGTTTGCAACGGGTCGCGCTCTATCGCCTTCCTTTTTGGCTGTGGAGAATGGGTTTACGTTTAGGAATTCATGTGCTTTTCCTTTTACATGAAGTTGCCTTCTGAGATAGAAGATGTAGCACTTTCAATCCTCTTTTTACTTCCTGCTATGTAACAGGTAAACTGTAGTTCAGTTCTCATTAATTTGACTCGCTCGATAAAAATTCTTTCATATATCTTTTGAAAAACGTGCCCCCCTCTGTGCATGAAAAAAAAAGACCGCATCCACGTGAGGAACTACTTATCAGGACAGCTGGTCTTGGCGACCGACTGCGTACATCCGTCCATGTTGTGCAGTGTACAGTACTCTCCTTGGGGAAGAGAATAAAATGAACAATACGATAAAAACGCACATCTATGCAAATCGACCCCTGGCGGCAAAATCATCGCAACTAATCGATCAGATCACTCGTTTGCAGCTTCCACCTTCTCTCGATCCCTTCAAAAAAGCGGGCACTTACTTAAAACTTTGAAGTGCTTGCTTGACCATGAGATCGATGCAGGGTAAGTAAGCACCAGAACCACGAAAACACAGCAAGAAAATTCCAATTCGCCACGACAAGACAACGAACACGATGGTCTTCGGCAACGCATGGCGCATGAAAGCAAACAAATGCCTGCGCGTGTTAATTGTTGGTAGAAACCACGAGAAACGGGCTGGCGCTGGGTGAAAAGAGGGAATTGTGCCAGTAGACAGATCGAAATCGAGTGCCGCCGACTGCCCTCAAATAGAATCGCGTACGTCAGGCTCAGAGACGTGTGACATCGATTTTTCTGAAATATTCATTGTTCACGTAGTAATTTCGACTTTTGGTACTGAGGACATATTTCCGTCGTGATTCAAAGTCAATGAATTTCACACACTGCTGTCAAGACTACGTAGGCAGACCTCCAAAAAAAAAAATGAAACCGCCGTTAGCACTGTTTTTCCATAAAAACATATGGATAAGAGCTGCACTTGGCACCAGTTTTTGTCGCTTCAACATGTACATCTGTCGCTTAAAACTCTCGTCACAAATGCGAGAACTTCACGTCCTGACTCCCTGCAGTGGAGTAATTTGCCCAAGGTCCGCCAGCATTCGCGTAGTAATCTACTTCGGGCCAGTAGCGGGAGAGGCTGTTGGCGTCGTCTTTGGGTTCTGCTGCACTTTGGTTGTTCCCGGCGTCTATGTAAACGGGTTGGTTGGAGTCGTGAATGCTCGTGAAGATGTCCTCCTTGTTACAAGAGGGCTCAACATCTTCTCCTTCCCTAATCTCTCCACACCCTCCCGAACCGCAGCCCGAACCCCCACCAGACCCTCCGCCACAGCAACTACTGTTTACATTCCACTGCGAGATGTGTTTCTGTTTCAGTCCCAGCGCTGCCTCAAACTGCCGCTTCTCGATGTCGGTGAAAATGTTCTGAGGGAAGTCCTGTTTGTCGCCTTCATTCCTGTGGTGCTCCAGCTCTTCTTTCTGTTCGTCGAAAAACACCAAATAGCACTCGTAGGTCGTCAAACACGGTTTCTCAAACGCGCTGCCCCAGTCTAACGACAGTCGCGGACAGGCGATCTGCACCCAAAAGTCCACTTCTTCCTCGTACTCGTGCAGGACTTGCGGCGAGATTTCGGATAGCAGGAAAACGACGTGGTGGATTTTCTCCGGTTTCGGGGAGTTTTTATGATCTTCCCTTCCGCTACTATCCCTCGCCTTGTTCCACTTCCGAAACACATCGAGCAACCGCTCCAGAATCGCGACCGAGCCCTGTCTGCCGAGCGTGCCGAGGATGATACCACAGGTAGCGCCGGCTTCTGGGGAAACTAGTGGAAGTTTGTTTTCTTCTTGTGCCTCATCTGCTTGTCCTTGTCCCGCTTTTCCGTACAAATTCCTATCAAACACCTCGTCCCTGACCATAGTTTTTACGCTGTTCACAGCCTGTTTCCGCTGCACCAACATCTCTTCGTAGTTGTACTTTTCGACGGTGAGTTCCTTGGAATACGGATTGTAGAGGTAGAAATTGGCCTGTGGATTCCGCAGCATGACCGCCTCCAGGTGAAATCTTCCGTCGCAAACGAAAATCACCTCGTCGACGCCGAGGAGAGACGGCGCGGTGCAGCCAAGGACTTCTGCCTTGCCAAGAGGCTTAGTTTGGGTTTGCGTGAAGAGTTCGAGCTGGTAGAGAGGAATGGTGTGTGATGATGAGTTTGTACTGCTGTTGTCGCTGGTTGTGGTTCTTTCATTCTGGATGGTGTTCCGAATCCTTCTCTGCAGTTCCTTCTTCGCCTTGTCGATCACTGTGGCGAATTGCACGGTGCCGAGAATCGCGACGCGTTTGTTCAGGCGGGAGCGGTTAAATGGGTTGGGAAAGAGAATTTTCTCCCTTTGGTCCTCGCTGTTTTGGCTGGTTGTAGAGCTTCTCGTCCTGCTGGTCATGGTCCCTCGTCTGTGGCAGTGTTCACTATCACTATGGCTTCCCCCTTTGATCGGTGTGGGTTCCGGACTCGATGTCAGATTGCAGTCTGAACTGGCCTTCGTCGAGATTTGCGAGTTAGCGTCGGAGTGCGGAGAGCCGTGGCCGTCGTGGTCGTCGTGACTGTCATCATCCTCACCGCCATCTAGATACGGGTTTGACAGGTCATGTTCCTCTTCTGGCACAACAGCAGCACCAGGGGAAGTAGCTGCTGCTGCAGTTAAAACCAGCTCGTCGCCCGCCTTGAGTATCGGATACCGCGAGTCTTGCATGGACGAAATCGTGCTGAGAGTGCTGGAAAAATCCTGCTCAGAGCTGTGTCGATCAAGCTGCTGCTGGGGAGGTTTGCAGACGACCGTCGAATCATCATCAACATCCTCTGCAACCCCATACAGCATCGTTGGCGCGAAGAAGTTTTTCTCCACGGTGTTTACAAAGTGGTCGATGTTGACACTCACCTCGACGTGCACATACATCGTCTTCACACTGGTCTGCTTCGTCGGGATCAAACAACTGTGCCCGAAGTGCACGAGAAACTCCACTCCAAGGGACTGCGCGGTGAGATCGTCGACGCAGCAGGCCCCGAAATTGACATCGCCTAAGATAGAGACGATGAGTTCCCGCTGGTTCTTCTCGCCTTCTTCATCAGAGTCAGCTTTCTCGTCCAAACCTTCGTCCACAAGAACATTTCCATCTTCATCCACAGTTTGCGACACGACCTTGGTAAACCGGCGGAGAATCTGTCCGATCGCGGGCGCCCAGGCGATCAGCCCGTCGGGCATTTGCAAGCCGATGTGCTTGTAATTGTGCTTGGCGATTTTCTTCAGGATTTTCTCGATCTCGAAGCTGTAGGAGGCGGGGAGCAGCTTCGATTCCAAGGATCTCAGCGCATCGAGGTTGTTGTCGGTTATTCTCGGATTTGGATTTCTGGTTTTATCGGCGTTGTTGTTCTCTGTGTCCAGTAGAACCTTAGTTTTCCAGACCTTGAAGGTTGGTTTTTTGGGTGTTTCGATATTGTTTTCGCTCCTAAACGTGGAAGAACTGGAACATCCGGCGGCCTTCTTTCCCGCTATTCTGTTCTTCCTGCTCCTGTGCTCAAACTCTCCGTTTTCGTCTTGCTTCTGTGAGGTGGTGCATGTTCCTGTGCTGAAAAAGTTACTCCACACGGAGGCGCACGCCTCTTTCGCTTTCTCTTTGCAGGATGAGAAAAAAGTACCAGAGCTGGCATTTGCTTCTGTCGCTTTGTGAAAATTTTCACTTTTGCTGTGCTTGGTAGAAGTACTGCAGATTTCACTTCTTCCCAAGCCAGGTCCCGTCCCGGCATCAGACGCTCCGTCTACTACTTGTGGCGTCGAAGGAGAATGCGATTGTGAAAAACTTGCACCGTAGTCACTATTGTTCGGGATTTCGTTATTTACCGAACTTAATCTCGCAACCTTTTCAACATCATGTTCCCCGTCGCTCTCTGCCGCAGCATCGCTGGTCGTAGCCATGCCCTCCAACAGATCGAAGACATCGAAGTCGTCCGCGTCTTCTACCGGAGCAGGCGGCATGGTGTCGGGTTCAACTGTCATTTGAGTTTCTTTTGTCGTACTTCTTCTAGGACTAGGTCCGCCAGAGTTGTAACTCTACCTTCGATAAAAAGCTCATGCCCTTGAGGTAGATGCTATACTTCGACAAGACAGAAGATCGTGGTGACACAGAGAGCTCATGTATATGTTCCCCAAAATGCAGGTTATCATACTCAAGTCGCCGCTTCACTTCTTTCTGTCATTCGAATTTTTGTGTGGAATAAACTGAATGATTTCCATTGGATCGAGCCTGGTGTACCGCATGCGCTCTGCGAAGGGTTTCATGATCTGCATCTGCTGAGTCTGAAGCTGATCATGGACCGGAATGGCGTAAATTTGTGACTCGATCGTTTGTGGGCTATTTTCGAATGTGTGATCGCGACCTTTGTATCTCTTCAAGTGCCGTGGCGTGCTCCAGCAAAAAAGATAAGTTTAATGCTTGCCATGACTAGTGCACTTCTAATTTTCCTCGCGATCATTGAAGTAGTCGCTGTGATCAGAGCAAATAGAGCGAGTCTCTGCCCTCTAAAGACAAGTTCATTTTCGAAGATCAACAGCACCACACGAACACGCATCAACAGCTCGACAAAAGTAAAGTTGCTGCCACAAAGTGTCGAAGATATTTCGCTTTGCAAACACTGCAATTTTATCAGAGTGAATGATTGTAAATTCGTTGCGTAGGTGTCGTGTCGTCTGTGATTTTTTATCTCATGCGCGTATTAAACAACTGAAAGCTCCTCAGCGAAGGGCGTCAGAACGAAGAGGTGCAGAGCTGCACCTGCGACGTCATTCGCAATTTTCTGACGGCTGTCACGTCTGATCCAGCACTCCCTCTCTACTAGACGGACTTGGCCCACCCGTTCTGCTACTGCTATACCGTATTCTCGGCGGCCCTATCGGGTCTTCCCCCTCCTCGCTCTCCTCCTCTTCGGTTGCAGCTTCGGCTTCCTCGTCAGATGAATTCGTTGCGTTTTGTCCCTCGTTGTCGCCCAAAAGCTCGTCGCTATCAACGTCTAAATCCTCGTCGTCGGAGGCAATCCCGTCCTCCGGAAGATCGTCGTCACTGCTTGTTCCGGCTGCGTACGACTGGCCGCCAGTTTTTGTCCCTCTATTTTTAAAGCTACGGTCATCTCCTTCCAACCGCTGCTGGTCGCTGTTGAAACGAAGGCTCGATGATGAGGAAGACGAGCCAGCAACCCCGACCGTACTACTCGTCGACGCCCAGGGCACGCCGCAAAGGGGAAGCTGCAAGTAATTGTTTCCTGATTTGTTTCTCGTCATCTCATCCTCTCCCGGCGGGCTGTCCGGATGAGCCTGTTCGTGCTGCCCTTCCTTCTGCAAAACAGGCGGGTTCTTCACGGCGGATTGGCGAACGCGCGGGTCGCCAAACTCGTTGAACTGATCGAGTCGTTTCAAAACTCGCACGCGCTTGTTGATCACGGATTTGCAGTAGTCGTGGCCCTCGCCAAACATCGTCTCCAAGATTTTCAGTGCCTTGTCGTACTCGGTGATAGACTGTGGTAGCGGTTTTTCAAATAACATAAAACAGTAATCATACTCAAGATGTGTCCGACGCATGGAAAAAGTCGTTTTTCATCATGCACAGCCCCATGTAACACAAGAACGTATCTTCAAACATAGTTCATCTCTCTACAACTGCTCCTGTAGCTATACCTCCCCCAGCCATCTCCTGGTCATATCCGGATCGCCGTGAATTTCCGGGTTGTTTTTCGTGCAGCGAAACAACAGCTCCCCGAGCGTCTCCATAGTCCAGGCGTGCGCGCCGTTGATCCCCGAGGGGAACGCGAACTGGTGGAAGTTGATCCGCAGCCGCGCGTAGTGGATCGCCCGGTCGTAGTCTTTCGACTGGTCGAAATAGTCCTGGGCGATGCCCCAAAACCTCTCCTGGAGCCAATGTTGGCTGAAAATGGAGTTCGCGCGCTCCAGCACCGTGGAGATCTTGGACTCGGACAGGGACTGAAATCATCGATTTGTTGTTTGTTGAGTGTAGTCTTGTTCACTGCATCCAAAATAAAAGCGCACCTGATGTAGAAAGTTCACAGAGAGGAACTACACGCTCGTTGTGCTACTGCTACAGTTCCAGCACTATACCTTTGCCGTCCCGTGACTTGTCCCGTAGGTCTTGTTGTTTTTCTCCACCAGCGCCGTCCAGTGGTCGTAGGTCTTCTGCATTTCCTTCTCATACGCCCGGAACTGCGGCCACTCCTGCTTGTACTTGAACATGTTGCACTTGTTGCAGCTGAACGGCTTGTCCGCGTTCGTGTCTTGGTCGACGTTCGGAAAAATCGTGCCGATTTTGCACCAAGGGCAGAGGAAACCGCGGGAGAAATCCTGGCCGGAGAGACACCTCGAAGGTTGAGGTCGAACACGAAATCTACAATTTGATGCATTCTTCTGACCAGAATTTGTTCAAGAGTGTCGTGCGTATCCTTCTTCATCATTGCAACTACCACTACGTGCCAAGAAAAACGGGCACAAAATAGAATCTCCCCCGTTACAACACATACCTCTCGCACGTGCACAGGAAGTGTTTCGACTCTTCCAAGCAGTGTCTTCTCGCCTGCGCTGACTCCATCAGGGCTTCTTCGGCCAAGTAGCTGCAGCAAATTTCGTCTCCCGCCTTCACCTTTCTCCGCGCCCGGAGCACGAACAAGTCGTCGTTTTTGTAGTGCCAGACCACGTTCGGGTGACAGGAGTGGGACATGAAGCTGGACATGAAGTAGGTGCTGTACCCCAGCGGGTTCTCGCTGTGCTCAAAGCAGTTCAAGATCCACACCTGGAGCAGCCGCTCGATCAGGAGACCGAGCTCTTGTTTCTGCTCCTCACTCTCGGCCTTGTCCGCCAAGTGGAGCTCGTCGATGAGCAGCATCACGTCGGAGGAGGCCTGGTTCACCTCACCTAGAAAGGTTGATGATGGCGGGAAAATTTGTATTGTGTTCCATGGTATGACTTTAACTTCACGATCAGTTTCTGATCCAAAATGTCTATGTTGTAGAAGCTTCATACTTATTCAAAACTAAAAATACGTCTCTCTGTCATCTATACCGTGATACAGCAGCAACAGTTTGTATTGCTGGTCGGCGGAGATTTGGCGCAAATATCGAAAAGCGCCGCTCTTATCAAGAGGAAAAATCCCCCCTCCCCATATCGAAAAGGTACGTCGCAGAAAATTTGCAATGCTGATTTGCGACCACAAATGATCTCTGTCTTGCAAGAAGGCAATTCCACAGGCTCCGCCGCATTATGCAGGCGGTTTGTGATGCTGTTTGGCCTACAGCGCAGACGTTTCTCATGCTAAGCGCCTAGGCCAAAACCTCTCTACTCAGGCTTGATGTGGGCCTGCAGTCCTCTTCAGGAAGACAAATCTGATATGTGTACTCAAATCCAGCATCACAAATTTCGTTTTGGATATGGGGAGGGGAGGATTTTTCCTTTTGATAGCTCTTCCCCGCACTTTGCCGCCTCCGATTTGATTGCGGCTCTTCACTGTCCTCGTCCTCCATGGGGTCTTGTCCTGCGCCGCCGAGAAAAACCCCAGAATTCGCCAAGTCCTCAGCAGTCAACGAGTTCAACGCGCACCAGTACCACAATGGCTCGTAGTCCAAGGGTTTATGCTCCTTGTAAAGCTCCTTCATCCGGATGTAATACGCGTTTTTGTCCAACCGTATCGGCTCGGCGACAATGTGCAACGGTGGTTCCTCAAAGAGCAGGTCCCCCTCCTCATAGTCGCGGTTGGCCGTCAGAATCCGGCCCTTCTGATCATTATGGGAACAGAGGAAGCTCCCCCGGTGGTTCTGCCCGCAGTAGAGATTGATGTACTTACACCCGTGCGGATCGTTCGGCTGTATTGGGATCGGCGCCCGGTTGTTCGAGGATGATGTTTTCGGGCTCGAAGACTTGGAGTGGCCGCCATTTGATTTTACTTCGGAGACCTCCATGGCGTCGCTGTTTTGCTCTTCCCTGTCGCTACTATTCGACGCGGACGAACTTGCGCTGGACTTGCTGTTGCTGAAAACTCTGCCGCCGTGGTTGTGCGTCGAGGGGTCGTCGAGGGTCATGGTGGTTGATGATGTTGCCACGGCGCCGACAGCTGGGACACTAGGCTGAGGCGGGTCTTGCTGTCGTTCGATCGACTGTCGCTCGTCCGGTCGCTAGGTAGACGAGCGGCAATTTTTGCAATACCCGAGACAACTTTTGCAGCTGCCAATCATTGCTCCATCATGATCAACTGAAATTTGAATGCGCTTGTGCTTGATATTACGGTCTACAAGAAACCAAAGTCGGAAGTTGTACTACGCCAGCTGCGGTTCTTGGATGCAGGAATCTAGAGAAGAATAACTCGTCTTACAGAGGGTGAGAAATCAGTCTTCGAATTCGAGTTGTAGAAGCGATAACGTTGCAGCAACGAGCAGCAAAAATCTTCCGAAATCGACCTGACGTAGATAGAATAGCAAAGCGATATAAAGTGGACAGCAACTACACGTTTTTATTTCACTCTCAAGCCCAACCAGAGTTTGGCTGGCCTGGCCGCCACGCCAGCACGATAAAGTATCTTGAGATCCTGTAGCCGGGAGCCCTCAACTTCGGGGCTCGTCCGAGATGCATACGAAAAGCGAATATTGATCGTCGGGATGAATAGAGATAGTTCTTCTGCGGTCCCTGCGATAGAACATTTGGGCGAAGGCTAATTGAAATCGATTCGCGCACCGCATCGGGCCAAGTACTAGTGCCACTGCTTCTCACTCCAAGTAAGAAGTAGCAGCAGCGAGCGCACCGCTGGCACCTCTACATGATGCACAAGCAGGGCAGCGCAGTCTTAGTTTGTACAACTTCAAGATTGGAATGTGGTGGAAAAAACCAATTACAGACAGCATGTCGAGAAGAAGTTCCAAGTGTCATCTCAAATTCAAATGTTTTGCTTCATTCAAGCACTGTCCAAACGTTGAAGACGTTGGAACGAAGTATGAAAAAAGAAGCGCAACATATCACGGAAGCTCCTGCGACAATTGTCCATAGTGGGTGAAGAAAAAAATAAAAAATGAAAAAACAAAAACAAGAAAATAAAATGTGCATTAACAACTCCTAAATTACAAAAATTTTATGTACACAAGGTGTGGTGAAAAAAAATGTGTGAATGTCGTGGCACAGCTGTGCAGAACAAGCTGCTATGTGCTTTGGCTTTTGTTGTAGTGTGTTCAAGTTGGTAATAATGGATGAAATAAATGACGGGTAGATAAAAGATTGCTATAGTAGGGGTAGGAATAATTATTGTTGTAGGTGTGGCTTGCTGGTAAAAGTGTAATAGCGTCAAGTGTAAAAGTGTGAAAAGAAGTGTAACCTAAAATGGATGAGATTAAAAAAACCGGCGGGCAATCGTCTTCTCTTGCTCTATTTACGTTTCTAGTTCGAAAATATCAACTAGGCCTCTTAGATTGCTCCTGCTCTTTCTTCTACTAGCTAATTGTTCATATCCTGCAGAAATTGTGCCACCTCGTCCTGTGTCGTTTGAAACGCTTTGAGCAGAAACGGGTGGGCTTGGAGTTCGAAGATGTCCAGCCGGTCCTTGGGGTCGAGCTGCAAGCAGTTTTCCACAAAGTCGCAAAGCTCAAAACTGTACTCGTACTGTTCTTTGTTTTGTCGTTTTTTCGCTTCTGATCGTTGTCCTGGATTTTTTCGTTGCACAAGATGCACACCTTTTTGATGTTCCTGTATCGGCGATACAACCATGTGTGACGAAGCTGATAGAATTCTGCTCTTACTGTCTTCTTCGCAGGAAAGGTCTGATTTAGTGCTTTTCTCCGTGATTTCCTTGTCCTGACCGAAACTACTACTCCCAGTTTCATCGTTCTGCGAGGTCGACGAGTTATTTTCCACCGACTGTATCCTGAGTAAAAACGTCCCCACACCAGAGTTGTAATGCAGATTTGCATAGACAGGAAGACTTGTAATGCGCATCCTCATGAGAGCCATTTCCAGTCGTGTTTTGGAATTTGTGATGCTGTGAACAGGATGAGCAGCTGGATTTGTGACGCGGCTGCACTTGCTAACCTGCACTACACTGCGGAGTGCAACTTGTCATGCGTGACTCACAAAGCTCCTAGGTTTGTGTTGCAAAATCCCCATCCTGACTCTGGTGTGGGTACGTTTTTACTCAGAATAGACTGCTTCGAATTGTTGCTAACAGCTCTGCAGCTCGCAGTAGGTGCTGCACTTCCTGCCCAAGCGGACAACTTCGACCCAGGGCGTGTTTGACAGGTCGATGTGGAGCAAGGCGTGGGCATCACGGTGCTGCAGGTTTTGTCCAGATTCAACAAGTAGTTGTGCTTGTTGTTACCGTTGAACTGCGTCGTTGTGCAGCTTTCGGCTTGATTCACACTACTATTATTGTCCACCCCGAGTTGTGAGGTTGTAGGAGTGGGATTTGGGAGATACAGAATCCCCCCTGCTGCATGGAAGTAGTTATTTTTCATGCAAAAATGCTCGGTCTTCACTGTTGAGCAGGCTGCAGGGGTAAAAGGCGTGTAGACACAAGTGCTCTGCTCGTTTTGCGAATTCATTTCTGTCGTTGTTCCCAGCATTTTTGTGCTTTCTTCCTCCACTGTTGGTGTGACACAAAACATCCCAGCTGAAGATCCTCGCCCACCAGCAGTGTTACAACTCATCCCGCCTATTGATGCACCACCCGCTATCCCTCCGACAAAACTGCTGTCTAGTTTCAACTTGTGCGGAAGCAAACAGCTAGCTTCGGAGCTGACCATGGAGATGCAGGAATTCAAACCGTTTAAATTTTCCTGGTTGTAAAAATCGTCCTGATCGAACAAAACTGGGGTGTCCACAGAGGAGCTCGAACTTCTCTCGATTTTTACGTTGTCCGCCGAAATTTGTTCCACCTCGGTAATTCCCTGCATGTTGAAGTTCGGCGTTTCGCAGAGTTGATTTTTTAGTATTTCCCTCTGCTGGTGTCCGCGGCACAGGGATTTTTGGGAAGGTTGTTGTTGAAAAGAATGGTCGTGCGTTTCTCGTCGCTCCTGCTGTTCTGCCTCTACTGCTCCCAAGCTCTTGCAACTGTTGCTGCTGCTGCTTCTGGAGATAGATGATGGCGGCCCTCTGTTTGATACTCTCTGGTTTGCGCTTTTCGTGCTTTCGGGTCGTGCAACATCTACTGCGAGTTTTTTGTCGAAATCAATATTTTCAACATCTTCCTGCAACGAAAGCTCCGCAGACTGCTCAAGAACATCGGGCGTAAAGCTCTCAAGATGAAAGACTTCGTCGTTCACTAATCTCGGCGGCTGCAGTAGGTTCACGTAATCGAAGTTCACGCCCATCGCTCTGTTTCCCCCACCACCTCCCCCACCGCCGTTATGAGAGCTACACCTGCTACTGTTCCCATTGTAATTGTTTCCACCTCCGCCGCCAAACGTTTTCGGCAGTTCCCCCGCAGCCAGCTCGTAGACACAAATGCCCAGCGACCAGATGTCGCTTGGTTTCCCGTATCTCCTCCCGCCCCGCCCGAACCGCTCCGGGGCCATGCACACCTTCGTCCCGACAAAAGTGCGGCAGTGGCCGTCCGGGTTGTCGACGTTGAGCTTTTTTGACACCCCGAAATCGGTCAGTTTCACCTCCCCCCGACTGTTTACGAGGATATTTTCCAATTTTATATCGCGGTGCAGTATGTCGTTTAAGTGGAGTGTCTTCAGCGCTTCGGTCATCTGCAAGATTAAGAACGCCAGAATCGCTTCGGGGATCCGCTTTCTCCTCTTCTTCATATTCACCTTGTTTCTTTGCGAAGACGAGGATGATGAAGAAGATGAACTTGATAAAGAACCATAGTCGTTGTAGTTGTACATGTTCCTGCAGTAGTAGTCCGAGTGTCGGAACAGGTCCGCGATGCTGCCCAAATCCATGTACTCTAACACGATGTGCACCTGCTTCCTGTTTTATGCATTGCAAAAATGTCTGGGTCTGGAAGATCCTGAGACTTGTCATGCACGTTTTGCATGTGCCATGATGTCTGTAATGCATGCCGTAGCATCACAGACTTTTCGAGGGCTTCGCGATGCCTATTCCGCATGACAAATGCCTCCTCCGCGTAGCCAAAATTGCATTCCCTTTGCTGGTCATGCAGTACAGATTTTTTTGGAATCCAAATGCAGCGTCACAAGTTCGGACTCTTCCAGACCCAGACATTTTTGCATTTGATATGTTTTTCGTTTCATCCACCAAATACGCGGCCAGCAGCTGGACCAGGAACGGGCTGTGCGCGTCGGACATGTGGAGATGTAAGTTCAAATCATTCACCAGCTGTTGTTGACTACTGTGATCCATGGCGTTGATGATCTTCACCGCCACGGGGGTCTTCGTCGGCCCGTGGATCGCCTTCATCACCGACCCGCTCGCCCCGTGCCCGAGATGCGCGTTTCCGTTGGAGTTGTCATACTGAATATCCGAGGGGTGGATCACGTTCTTGTAGTCGCAATTCGGCTCGGACTCCGCGATCGTGTGGGAACAGGATTCCTCGTGCGAACTATCTTCGGCGGAGCCGGGAAGGATGTTGTTGAGACCACTTGTTCTCTGGTGCATTTCATCTGCTTCCTCGTGAAGGAACCTCAAATCGCGGAATTCGGGCGAAGACCGGTGGTCGGTGGACAAAAGGAGCAGTTGTCCTGGGCTGCTGCTATCTGCGACTTCATCTTCATCGTATTGTATTTGCTGTTGTTCAACATCTTCCGCGACCGCGAACTGTTGTAGATGTCTTTCTCCTTTCTTCCCTGCTGTGGATGATAAACATAAATTCGCTGTGTTGACACCTTGCCTTCTTGTCTCGACTCCGGCGTGCTCGGGTGAGATAGGCTGTCTTTCCTCTGGTCGTTCATCTCTGTGTTCCTCCACGATGTCATCTAACTCTACATTTTCAAACGGAAAGTCGATCGTGCTCTGCCTCGCAAATAAGTCCACGGTCGATTGTCTCTTCACTGGTCGCGGGTAAATGTCTATGTCGTCGCTCTGACAATTATCTTCATCATCTTCAATCTCGACTTCTATTTCGGGCGAAGCGTCGGGGGAAGGAGAGGATGCTTCCTCGAAGGCGTTTCTCCTCTTGTCCGCTCTTACTCGTTATCCAAGAAAAAAACGGTGTAAGTGTAAGTATTTTGCAGGAACAGCATTACAGATTTGTGTTGCATGACAGAAAACTTGTCATGCGTAGCTAGTACGCTAAAACACGTAGTAAAATAGCCTCTGATGCATATCCGGCATGACAAGTGTAACTGTATTGCAACATCTGCAAGACAAAGTTACAGTTACACAGTTTTCTTCTTGCATACTCGTCGTCCCGATTGTACTACTTCGTCACCCCCAATTCTCCCGGTGTAGGCCGCAACTTCTACCTCTCGTCGCGAGGACGCCGATGATGTATTGTCCTGTTTACGACTCCCTGTGCAACTTGAAGCAACTACAGCAGGCTCAACATCGATTTTATGACCATTCTCCCTCGTCACGGACGCACTGTTACTTCGTGACGAGCACCGCGATAAGCTCATCCTGCTGGAGCGGGCGGAGGAAGGTGGGAGGAGAAATGGTTGATTTGTCCTGGATACCAAATGTAAAAATGTCTGGGTCTGGAAACTTGTGATGCTGGGTGGCATATCATGAGGCAGCCACAAGTGCTGGCTCAGCATGAGAAGTTTCTGAGCTTCTAGGTGTTGCCTATTCTGCATGACAAACTGCGTTTCTGCATGACAGAAAAGTGGCGCTCTTGGGTAACGTGCATGACAGACTTGAGAGTCATGCCAGACACGCATGACAAACATTGACTCTTCCAGACCCAGACACTTTTACATTTGATACTGGATCTGCGCTGTTGCGCTCCTGTATTTGGACGCTGCCCCTGCCCAGCACCGGCTGAACTAAAACCATTGGAACAATTCTTCCCTGCGCCGATATCCTCGTCGTCCTCTACCTCGTCGAAAATCCTGCTGCTCCGACTGTTGTTCACGTCACAATAACTCGCTCTTGAGGAAGACACCACGGAAATCCGGCTCGCTGCGGACGAACTCCGCGCGGAGCTGCTTCGCCGGCTGTCGTAGGATATCAGCCGATTGTCCAGTTGATGTCTGTTCTCCTTTTTTGTAGTGGATTTCTTCGTCGAGCAGTTTGTTCTGGAAAAACTCAGCCGATCGCGGCTCCTTGTCGTGGAACTATTCCTCGACGGTGGCAAGAGGAGTTCTTCCCTGACTGGAGCCGGCGCATCTTCCAATTCGCAAGAAGAAGAGTAGCTGCTTGATGTTCCACTACTACCAGAGCCCTCCTCCTCCTTGCTGCGGTCCGAACCCGAAGTACTAGATTCTTGCGGGACGGCGTCGAAGGAACCTCCCGCAATAGAGGCACCGTGTTGGTTCTGCACCGTATCTCGCGCAGACGAACTGGATCGCGTTAATGAATTCGGAACAATTATAGCAGGGACAACTACTCCATTCATGCCCCAATTCGTCTTGCTGTTCCGCTCCGTTTTCCGTACCAGTGCTTCCGGCGGAGGCCCTACGTACATCGAACTCCGGCGTTGGAGTGTGGGTTTGTTCTTTCGGTGGGGATTTGTTCTAACCGGATTGCAGTAGGCCACGTCGTTCTTCATTGCACAACCAGACGGGCTTATTTGCTCGTCTACCGAGTGGAGGTAGTTGCTTGCGTTCTGGTTCTGGTTATGGTTCAAAACTATCCCCCGATTCGCAGATGATGATCCACAGCCGTGGTTGTTTCTACTCGTCGGACTGGCCGTGTTGCTGTGCAGCAGCAAGTTCCCGCCCGTCCCTGACTGATTCAAAAGCAGGGAATTTCTCCTCTGCAAAAACACCTGCTCCGAAAACCTCCGCTTCAGCTCCTTTTTCTTCTTTGGCGTGTGGAAATGCCGCACCGCTTTCTTCCACCGTAGGATGCCCTTAGTGCCTAATTTCAAGCCCGAATTGTTATCCAGAAGCTCGTCATTCGCGATTTCAACATTCGCGTTGGAGTTTTGTTTCTGCAGGTTTTTATTCTTGTGTGCGGACCTGTAGTTGGTGTGATCCACGTTCATGTTGCCGGTGTTTCCATGATTTTCCGGCTGATTCCCACCTGCGCCTCCCGCAGTGTGAAAGTTGTCGCCGCCGATGCTGCAGCTGGTGCTGGATCTGCGGTACCGCGAGTCGTGGGAACAGCGGGAAGAGATAATGGTGTCCACAGTAAATTCCCCGTACACATAAAAATGCAAAAAAGAAAAATTGCCTTCAAGAACCTTGTGCAGCATGACAAGTGGCACTCTTCATACTTGGATGGCGAAATTCATCATGCGTTTTGTACGTGTACGGATGAAAATTTGTGTTGCATAGATTGTGTCTAGAGCGTAGTTCATAGACTTGTTGTTCAAATCGTTCGGCTCATCTGGACCCGCGCCGAACATGTCGAGGTAAAGGTCCCGGTCCATGTCTTCGCTCTCATCCAGCAAGGGAACTCCACTGGTGGCGCCGATCGGCGTCAAAACGGGAGAAAGAAGTTGCGGCTGCACGGACGAGGATGGTGCGCCGTCGTTAGCCGTAGCCGTCGTCACGGTGAGTGCGGAGGTCGATGACATATTTACAATTTTTACGAGGGATAAGAACGAAAAGTATTCAAGAACTGAAAAATGAAGAGTACGGCTCAAGTTTCTTGTGGAGGACGTAGCTCAGGGTCAAATTTTCAGGTTCAAAGTAGAAGACCAGGGAAAAGACAGAAGTTTCAATTTAGCAAAACGTCAAAACCTAGCAGAAGTATTCAGGAAGTTGATACAAGAGGGTTTTCGTTTTGGAGGTGCTAATAGTGCAATTATTCCATCTTTTGGATACACACGTGGTCACAATGACATCATTGTGAAATTGTTGTGCAAGGAATCAAGAGAGAAAGCTCAGGAAGGCCGAAGTGACGGACTAGAAACGTAAATACGAGGAAGGCTTCTATACATACTTTCATTGGGAAAAAAAAAGCTATGGTTTGGCAATTGTCCACTGCGTGCTCTATGTTTTCGGTTTCGCGGTTTTCCAAGATGCCGCCACGTTCAACTTACTTCACGATCACGTTCACCGACAATGAGAATTTTTTCCAACATTCTATGACCTAACCCCTGCCTGACACTTTGGATTCACTGCCTGCGACGATGAAAAAAGCTGTCCACTTTGATGATGCGATATCTTTTATATGCGCTATTTATCCTCGTGGATAGAAACTCCCAAAAACGTGGACTCACGCCGCACCCTATGTAGTAAGGGCGGCACGAAACACTGGCAGAAAACCAAAAGTCGACCGAATTATGATTGGACAAGCACCAGAGGAGAGTGAGCACGCTTGTTGGTGGGTCTAGTAGAGAACAAGAAGCATGCCCTCTATCAGTAGCGGCAGATGATCCCCAACTAAGTGCAGCAGGCGCGAGCGCGACGACACACAAACCCTATAATTACATCACGACGATCTTCATATATTCATACATAAAAGGGCAACCAAAACAATACGTGGGGCGCGGGCTCGCACGCTCGCGACGCTGAAGTTGGCGCGCATGTGTGCATGAATGAAGATGAACAGGTAGGGCAGGCCCACCCCCTCGCTCGCGGGAGCACGAGGGGCCCCCTCTGTTCCTCACTGCAGCAACACACAAAACATAGGGGAGCCGCCAAAGTAAGCGCACAAGAAAGCCCGGTCGCCTGGCCCCTAAGCGCTGCCGCGGGAGGGGGGGGGCACCAGCAGGAGGAAGGCCGAAGCAGCCGGCCCGGCGGCCCTGCTCCGCGGCGGGCCCGGGCGCGGAAAGCGCGGGGAGGCGGCGCAGAAAAGGGGGCGCCGGGCCTCGGCGGGCCGCGAAAATGCAAGGAGTTGGCCGGTAGGGGTAGCGGGCCGGTTCCGGCGAGATCTTCCCGCGCAGCCAGCCGTCCGCAATTTTATCGCTCCGCCAGAAGTTCGCCATGTGCTTCTCGAGCGCTCGGAAAAAGATCAGCCCCATGCTGCGCTCCACAGTCTCCAGCGCATCCGTGGCCATCCCTTGGATCTCTCCCACCAAGTTCAGAGCTTTCGGGTACGTCGCGCCCTTGCTGAGTAGCGTCACGAAGTCGGCCGCTTGCTGCCAACATGTTCGCTACCGCCTGCTAAGGTGTAGCGGTGTGCCTGGTCTTCCTTGGAGCTTCGGCGCGAGCTCTTTCCAGGACAGTGCTTAAGGGGCACAGCCCTTCCCCAAGTACCGCCGCAATGGCCCGGCCCCAAGCCGCGCGGCGGCGTCGCGTCGGTCGCGTCGCGCACGGCTCGCCTTTTTTTCCCTTTTTCCGCAACGCACGCTCGCGGTGTGCGAGAAGCCGCGCCCGCTGTTTCGCCGCCTTACCGCGGGCGGTCTCGGCTGTTTTGATGAAACTCGAAGCGAAAAAGCCGCCCGCAGCGCCTTTGGGCGCTCCCACCGGCGCGGCTAGCTTCCCCAGGTATCTGAAGCGCAGCCGGCACCTGCCGACCCTCCGCCGGGTGCCTGCGTCTTTCGTGGCGCGCAAAGCGATTCGCTTCCGCTGCCTCTTCGCGGCCCTGCTGCCTCCAACCCCTCCAGCTTCATTCTTCGCCACCAATGGGCGCGAATGGCCCCCCAACTCCGTCGCGGGTATGAATGGCCCCCCAACTCGCAAGGCAACTCGGCCCCATCCGCGCCCTTCGATTGTAGGGGCGGGGCTTCGGCCTGGTACGAAGGTACTCGGCACACGAGGCGAGAGGTCACGAGCCACCGGAAACCTCCCCACCCACTCCAAGTCGGTCTCTGGCGTCTTCCTTCGGCGGCACTGTCTTTTCTTCCGGCGGGCGTGGTGCTGAAGAGCCAAAAGACCCCGCCGGGGGGTCCCAGAAGTACCGGCAAGCCGCCGGGAAGGTGGCCGGCCAACCACGCGGGGCCACGCGGCTCGAGGGGCGGGGGAGTGCGCGGAGCGGCCGATCCGGCTGCGCTTTGCGGCCTTCCCCCCAGCCCGCGAAGGTGTTGCAAGGGAACTCCCTGGCGCCATCATGCCCCAGCTCTTCGGCCCGTTTGCAATCTCATCGCGAAGCCCGGCGCCTGCATAGTACCGCGGTCCTTACGCTTTCGCCCGGGGCCCGTTCTCGAATTTCGGCAAGCTGGCGGAGACTCGCCCCACCTTCGGGAGGCTGTTCTTGGGCGGGTCGTACCGGGGGAGGTGGCCCGCGGATGGCCCGGCACTTTTTCAGTCTGCAACTGCCAAACAGCTATTTCCGCAGCTGGGGGAATGCTCTCACAACATCCGAGATCTTCACCCGAGCGGATTTCTTTTGATCTGAAGAGAACACGATGGCTCCACCGGAGACAAAGAACCGCCGAAGCCGCGCATCTTGCTTTCAGGCGACGTTTCTGGGGCTTCAGTATCTGTTTAGATCCAAAGAAGTACAGCTGTGTTATCAACGACGTAATGCTTCGCTTTATTTCACTACATCCACTTTTCACTGACTGGAGTGTTTGTCATTCTCTAACTTCGAAACCAAAAGCTCACCTGATCTTCCTGTTCCCCCTTTTTATTCTACAAAATTTCTACGCGACAATGGCACCGATAGACATCAGAAAAACCGGCAAATCTACTAATACCGGAGCCCTAGCCTGCCCGCCACGCCTCGCTTTTACAGCGAGTTGTCGCGACTGACAGGCAGGTCAGCATTTCCATCCCCCGTAGTTGTACCACCCTCCACCTCACCGGCGTCTTGCTCCGATTTATCTTCACTTTCCACCTCATTCGACTCCTCAACCTCGGACTCAGAAGTCGACGACAAAATAAACGAGTTTTCCAGCTCGTGGGGCGTCGTGAAAGCCGCATCAGGAAGTGGGGCTCTGAAGCGCTGGCTTTCATTTTGCAGAAGATTTTCCCGCGTTTGCCGCTTTTCGTTTCCGACTCCGAATCCATTTTGTTTTCTTCTCATCTCCCAACTGCTGCTCGCGCCAGAATCGTCTCGCTGCACGATGTCAGTATCAACGTCTTTGATAGTACTAACAACCCCTCGCTCATCGTCGTCCCCCTGGGTAGTTGCACCACCGCTCGCACCACGGTTCGGTGTGCTGAAAAGGAACTCCTTTCTCCTACTTCGCACTTTCTTCCTCACCAACCGCGTCACGTCATCAAATATCGTATTGATCCCGTTGTGCACCTGCACCCCATTCACGTACAACGGCGACGCCCCGCCGTTCCGCATCATCACCGACGTCGCGTTGCGCTTTTTGGTCTTCTTCTTCTTCTTTTTTTTCTTCGCCTCAGGCGAAGTGGTCGTCGGGGTGGTCAGAAGGAGATTAGAAGTCGAGGCGGAGGAAGACGCTTTATCTTGCTGTTGCTGTTCCAGGCCGATCACATGCTCTTTCGCTGGAACAACACCAGCATCCTGTGCTTCTCTACCGGACGCTCCTCCAAGCCGCGTGCCAATGGTACTATCGTCCTCCTCGTCGTCGTCCAACATGACTTCTGGGGGTATTTCCTCGCAAATGAGCGGCGTGGACTCGAACTTCATCAGTTCGTTCAACTTCGAAACGTCGCACATGCGCCCCTTCCTCGCACCATTCAAAAGGCTGGTATTTCCGCCCCCGCCGGGCGAATTCGGTCCTCCATCGGTTGTGGAGCTTCGCAGGTTGCCTGCGGATGCTGCACCATCTGTGGAATTGGTATTCGTTCCAAGCATGTTTCCCGCCGCTTTCAGCATCCCGTCCAGCCGCCGTAAATCCTTCAGCGGGTCCTTGACACCGCCCTGAATGTTCGGGTCGCGTGGACAGTCCTTCGCCTTGTGACCCATCTCCTTGCAACCGTAGCAGCGGATCTGATGGGGGATAGACGTGTTTTTTCTACTTTTCGGAAACAGAGGCAAAATGAGTGTACCACAACTGACTCCATGCAGCCATCAGCAACATCATGCGGCTTCAATTTGAAGACGTACTTTCCACTGAATGTGCTCGATACATGACGCGCAAATTATTCGGAAAATAACGTAGAATGTCTGAATACCTTTGCGTACTTCGCTTTGTTCGCTGCCGTCGTGTTTTTGATCTCGCTATTTTCCTTCCCGTCGTCTTCGTTTTCCTTCCCGCGGTTGTTTAGCAGTTGGTCCATGTCATCCAAATCTAGATCGTCTTTGCTTTCGTGCTTCGAGAACTTGCACCCCAACGCGCTGATCCCGCTCTTCCCGCAGCACCACCACAACTCCCCGCCGAATTCCGAGGAGTGCGTCCGACAGCTCCAGTTGAAGTTCTGCGCTTCTAGATACTCCTTGGCGCAGTTTTTGCAGGTTTTCGTGTCTTGTTCGAAGAGCAAATTCCGCCGCGCCCGGTACTTCTTCCACTTCTGCTTCATTTTCTCGTAGTCCTGAGAGAGTTCTTTCAATTTTTTCGACAATTTGTCCTTTTCCTTCACAAATTTCTCCTTGTCCTCGTTCAGTTTGTTCATTTCCATGGTCTGCTTCGAGATCAAATCGTCGATGTTCTGGTGCAACTTCGTGCAGTCCTTCTCCAAAACTTTCTTTTTCGCCTGTAATTCCGCGGCGATTTTGGACAAAAACTGCGTTTCCTTGTTCAATTTTTCCTCATTGAACTTCAAATCCTCATAGTACCGGTGAAGCTTCAGAGTCAAGTGTTCCTCATGGAAGAGGTTCGCGAAGTAAAATTTGTCCTCGTTTTCTTTTTGTTTCAGGAGCGCTTGCTCGTTTTCGTGCAGGAGTTGTTGTTTTTCTTTTAAGTACTGTTCCCTTTCCGACTGAAGGACTTCCAGGATTTTCGCCACCTGTGTCTCGTCGATGCTAGTCAGAGACGCTATAGTCGATTGCTTGTTATTCCCACTGCTTTTACTAGTTGCAGCTACTGCTCCTTGTCCTTTCACCTTGTTTCCATGGGCAGGCTGGCAGTCTCCTGGAAAAACCACTGCAACCGCATCCAAGTCCCTCAGCGGTTCCTCGTTGCGAAAGTCGCGCCACTTGTTCTCCAGCAAAAGGCTCTCCTGCTTTAAATTCTGAAACTTCAAGCGCAATTCTTCGTTTTCCGCGTCGAACAAGTTTAGTTCTTGTTTCAGACAGGTTTCCTTGTTCTCCAACTTTCTTTTCTCCGCGTCCAAATCCCAGCGTTCCTGTAGCTCTTTCCTGTTCAAATCTTGTACTTTCGTCTCCTCTTTTCGTTTTAGTTCTCTATACTCGTGTAACAGCCGCTCTTTCGTCCGTGATTCCAGCCAGTGCGTTTCCCTTTTTAGGTCCGCGTGGTACCGTTCCAGGTCCCGGAGCTCGTCCCGGGAGAGAATCACTTCCTTCAACAACTTCTCGGACAATTTCACTTCGTGCAACACCCCGTTAGGATTCGGCACGCCGTGCTTCGCAATGTCGAGCGGCTCCCCGTTCTTCTTCTCGAAAAGAGGAAGAATCACCTGTCTGCAGACTAACGCAGCCAGCTCAGGATCGACGGGCGGAAGGGCTTCATAGCGCTGGATGGTTTTTTGTGGGGAGTTGGGTGGTTGTTTCTGTTGATGATGAGCAGATGCTGTAGTTTTGTTGGGTGAGGTCGGAGGGGGTGGCTTGGCGGGTAGCGTCGCTCCAGTCGTGGTCGCGGAAAACGTCATGCTGGGCATGCGGAGGGAATCAGGAGACTGGAAGCTGATGAATCCGTTGGAAATAAAATGAATTCACCGGGGCAAAGCAAGGCACAGCTGCTGCGTCGACACACTGAGTTCGACTCGAAATACTTAGTGCGTAGACGTCGGACAAAAAAGGGAACAACTGGGTGAAAGCGTCTCTCTTGTTTACTTCCTCTCTCTGCACTCGCACCTGATTAGCTTTTCAGACTCCGCATCAGACACAGGTACGGGAGGGACAACACAACAAAGGCAATGCACGCCGCATGCCTTCTTCTTTAAAGATACAAACTTTGTATCTTTCGTGTGCTTTGTCAAATGACACGAAATTCCGTAGACCCTGCTTGCCGCACGGGAATGAGGCCTGCAGGCGTGGCGCGCGGGCGCCATGAACCAAATCCAAGCAAGCTTCACACTCACTCTCGGCGTCCACATACTGGACACTCCTGTCAGCCCTGCAGTTTCCATTGATTCGAGTAGCGCTTCGGCAACAGCTTCTGCACCGAAAATGAGCAACAACAGCAACACTGCCTGCATGGGTGCGGCGCTGTTAAAATTGCTGGCACGGCGACGAACGGCGGGGACTTCAAGGCGCCGCCGGGGGGCGCCGCCACTTGGCCCCCAAGTTAATCAGCAGCCGCCGCAGATACGATGCCCCGCGAGCTCGCCCCCCCGTCACTCAGTCAGAAGAGAGGCGGTCGGGCAAACAGAGAGAAAACACAGCCAGAACACAGTCGCTGGGGGCCACCGGGCGGGCAGGCCGCGGGCGGGCCAAGGAAGCAAGCCGCGGGGCGGCCGGCTGGCCGCGCCCAAACCGCAGGGGCTCCGCGCGGCAGCGCCGCGGACGGGGCGGCAACCCATGGGCCGGCTTGAATGTGGCCAACCAAGAGCAGGCGGGCGGCGGGCCTCCCTTCACGGGTATGCAATCAATTGCGCAGCTTGGAATTTCTGCGCGCGTCATATCCTTCGGGGCCGGGCGACCAGGTTTCTTAAGTCGCTGATCTGCCCGTCGACCCGCGTCCATTCTGTCCGGGCGCCCCATCCGGCGGGGCCCGCGTCACGACACTGCTGGCAGCCCCGCTGTTCCCCGCAGAACAGGCACCGCGCCGACCCTTTTTTACTTAGGCGCCATCGCCGTGCTCTTACAGGCCCCACGGGTTTGGCCACGCGGCCTAATGCGCAGCGCTATCGCTCGTTGGGAAATCAACAGAGAAAGGCACAAATGCGCATCTCATCAAAAGTGCGCAACATTGCTTGGCCCGAGAACTCGTAAGCACTTCGTCGTCCCTCATCTTGCATGCGGTGTCGGTGCCGCGTACTCTCAAAAGCGTAAATGCCTCATCGTCCCTAAACTCACTCTCTGGCTTGCTCTGCACTTTCTAGATTGGAGCCCGCGCTATTAAAGATCGAACCTATCTTGTCACTCAGTTGTTCACGGCACACGCTGCAAAACAGAACAGCGCTCCAGAATCGTTCAAGAGGCTTCACCCGTGGACGCACCAATTCAGATGGTTTCTTCCTTTCGTAACAACAAATCAAAGAAATCATACAGAAATAATCTTATTGTTTTGAATTCGTCAGGAGACACAATTATGTGCAAAACCATGTAAAGCGAAACCATGAAGCCAAGCATGAGTATGCTCTTCTTCACGTTGTGACATTCTACTAGTAAGCACTTACTTAAGTCGTGTATGATGCTGTGGAGTATCTGTTCGCTGTGCATTTTTTTCTGCTCTGACATGGATGTACCTTATGCGAAGCTTTTTATCTTGTTAATGTCGTACGGGACCAAAATCTTACTTCACAAACGCTTGCTGAAAGATCCGCGTGGATGCGGCGGAGCAATCGGACAGAATGCGTCAATATTACTCCCGCAAAGTCCATGCCCATCGACCTTGATCCCTAAAACTCGTCCGCAACATTTCACCCCCCGTCCTTCTGCGAAATCAGCGGCAGCTGTGCTCGTGCGTTGGTTTTGGGGTTCACGATTTCCAGATGCATGCGATTCAGGTCTATGACGCCCTTCATCAAAAAGTCCAAGCCCAGAATCCCCTCGAAAACGTTCCCGTCATACCCGGGCAGGTCCAACACCTCCCACGCGCAGTCGAATTTCTCTTTCGCGCCGCCCCCGGCAGAGGTTGGCAGCAGTAGTCGCGTGTAGTGCAATCTCCCGTAACTTCCGTTCGTCACCGAGCCGGCGATGCCGCCCAGTGACCTCGCGAAAGACCTGTCTACGATTGGCCACAGTTTCAGCCTATCCACTACCGTTCTGGACAAGGCCGACGTTTGCGACCCGGAATCGATCAAACACCGGATTTTGTTCGGATTGTCACTTCCGGATAACCCCGACGTCAACTTCCCGCGGTTGGAGTTCGGTAGGTCGAACCATATGTCGGCCAAAAGCAGTCTCCCGTAGTCCCGGAAGAGTAGTCCGCTCTGGATCGCCCGGGCCTGCGCGTTTTTTGCGTCGTCCACCCAATTCTCGTCGTTCATGTAGTCGATGTTTCCGGTGTCAAACATGGAATTGCTGTTCGTTGCCCGTTTCTTTCGGTTCCCGATCCCGGCGGGCGGTGGTTGATTTTTCTGTTGGTACAGCTCCTGTTCCTTCTCCGACATCAGAAAAATCGGCTTGTTGCTCGCATTTTTCGGCGATGAGTCGTCGGCGAAAAACGGGTTTCGCACGTTCGATGATGCACTAGTCCCCTTCTGCAGCGCCTCGTCGATCTGAAACAAATCCGACTCCCGCAGCTCTTCGAGGAGGGTTCGCGGCTTAATATTGGCGGCGCTTTCACTTGTTCCTCCAGATGAGCCATCTTTCCTGTCGATATTGCGGCTTCTGGGGCGCCGCTGCGAGCTGCTGCTGCTGGGATTGTTGCTGTTCAGAAAGCTCCAGTTCTGCTCCGGCGTACTGGTGGTGGAGGTGGAGAACGCCGCGGTGCTGGGAGTGGAAGATTTGTTCAGAGAAGTGCCAGCGTCCGTAGTCGTTCCTGGGCTCCGCAGAGAAAATCGCTCGCGGGCCTTGGAATTATCCAGCGTGTCGTACACATTGATCGCGCCACTGCGCCCAAGGGATGACATTGTGTGTCGTGCTCGTCGGGGGGAGGTGGCGTTTGTTTCAATATGGAAACGATTAGTAGTAGTGGAAGCTCTTAATGAAAATGGAGTCAGCAGGGTGAGACTGACTCACGCGGGATATAAGGAGGTTTAAAAATATTCAGATAGTACGAAACGCCTCAAGTAGGCTTCAACGAACGAATTAAGTAAGCTTACTTGAAGGGGGTACTAGGAAGTCGAAATAGGGATAGCAAATTAGTACGACAGAAAAAGCAGAACCAGAAACTACGTATCAAATAAAGGGGGAAAGCGAACGCTACTAGCGCTTTTTGTCCATGGGGGCAACTGACTTGAGTGGGCCAAATACGATCGGTTTCTTCCGCAAGAACGAAGTAGAGTAGTGACAAAATGACCGATGCCTTTTGAGTAGATCGACCACGGTGGAGCAGAATCAAAACTCAAGAATAAATGAACCGACTCTTCATCTTTCACGGCTCGAAGGCAGGAAGGGTAGTGCCGATTCTTCTTTATTTGAATGTAGACACTGAGACCGAGACGAGAAGAGAAGCGCTGTACAAAAAAAGAATACCGACAATGGACAATCTCTGTGTTTCCGATTCCGAAGTTGATTCTTCTAACGTTCTTGCTTGTTTGCACTTCTTCAGGATGATGCAGCGAGTACTCTGAAGTCCACTGTGGTGCTTCTGTTTTTTTCTACGGACAGTCCATGGTGAAATCCATGGTGGACACGTGCTGCAGAATCCCGCGTCTCAAGGCAGCTTGTTTCGCTAGAAACGAGCACGACAGCCATTGTGGCAAGGAATCATGTATCTCTGCTAGCCGCATACGGATCTACCACACGGCCCAATGAGCTGCAGCCACTGCACGGCCTGCGGGGGGGCGCTGCGCCAACAAACACAATTATAGTGTCGGGAAGCGGTGGGGACGGCCTGCACGACCACCAGCTTCGTTCAATAGCGGCCCCGCGGCAGGCCTACTTGCGTGCCAACGGGGCGAGGGCGCTCGTACGGGGGCGGGGGGGCAAAACAAAGCGGCGCCCCGAGCGGGGCAAGTTCGTAAGCGCAGGCAGCCACACACGACACGCCGCCGCCCGCCGGCGAACATCGGGCCGGGCGCTTCGATCGGGACCCTAGAAACGGACTCGAGAGCGGGCAGAGGCTCCAGCGCGTCGCCGTACCAGCTGCCAACACGAGAGCAGCTGCCAGCACGACAGCAGCTGCAGGAAGGTCCGCCGCCCGCCGCGCGCTGAAGGCGCCGGGGTGGGCGCCACAGGGCCCGCCGAGCCCGCCGCGCGCCCAGCGGGCCGGCAGCGGACTTGCAGGCAGCAGAGGTAGCAGGGGGGGCGCCAGCGGCGCCCTCGATGTTTGCGGCGGCAGTGTCTGCGGTGCCGGCGACCATGTCAGCAGCGTTGCGCCCCGCTTCCTGTTGTCCTACCTGCTCCGCCGCGTGCAAGAATATCGCCTGTTTGTAAATCCTGCGTCGGCCAGTTTTCAAAAGAATCCCAAAAAAACCCAAAGCCAAGGGCGCAGCCTCCTCGCCCGCCCAACACAGTGGGCCTCTGCATTTTCCTGACTCTTTACATAAGGGGGAAACGGGCGCGGCCGCCCGGTCTTCGGCGAAGTTCTTAACTATCCCACTGATGGCCAGGGGAAGGATTTCCGTTCTTGCATCTTCATGCGCCGCGGTTCACCCTTTCCAGTCCTCTGCAACTACCTCGGGGCGAAGGAAGATGCTCTCGAAGAAAGGTCTCGCACTCTCGGACGTGCTTGCACATGGGCAATTCCACTCCGGAGGAAACTAACTCACCACCACCAAGAGGGAGGCGCCGCGGGTTCGGCCAATGCGGGCGGACGTCCGGCACAATGACGCGGCCAGTTCGTGCCCGGGGCCACTGCATGCAGAAGCCACGCGGGAGGTGCCGCGCAATGTTTTTCATTACGAAACCACTGCGAAAGCCATGCAAGGGCAAAGGCATGCCGCACTCTCTGCCCCGCTTCCGCCGTCGACCCAGGTCCGCGCCGCGTGGCGCCGTTTCTTGTTGAGCGGGGCCGCACGCCTCCCCCGTTGAGCAGCGCCGCCGACTCCTGCGGTGTTTGCGGCCACACCGCCTGGCACCTGCGACCAGCTCGAAGGACGCCGGGGCCAGGCGCCCTGTCTTGGGTACCCAATCAATTCGACATTGATTGCCGCCTCACGCCTGGCGTGGGGTCGACCACGAAAACCACGCCGCCGCGTGCCAAACACTGCAGACAAGCAACACGCATCGCGCTAGAAAAGAACACACATACTTCGGCCTGACAGCGTGACACGTACAATGCGCGGTCACTGGCACGCTCCACACTGAATATCAATGTATCTCCATCAACCTCATACTCATCCACTCGGTCTATCGGGCTCAAATCCGGAAGATTTTGTTGCAAGACGTTGCTCGCAGATTTTGTCCAAGCATGGTGTTCTTGTTGCTCTTGGCTATTTACTACCTGCATCTGATTGCTTTCACTACCTGTAAAAGGCATCGAAGTACTCCCAGTTCCCGGAAATCCAGCAGCAGCACTCACTTTCCGCAACTTCTTTTCCAACTTCTCCTTTTGGTGCTTGTACACGCTGAAAAACTTCTGCTTTTCCGAGATCAGATTCCCCAAATTCGCCTGCTTTTCCGAATGCTGACTGGCGCAATTGTTGATATTTTGCAACCGGGAATTCGCGTCGATCCGCTGAAATTTCAGCTCGTTCTCCCGTTGCTCCCTTTGCAGCGCCTGTATCTCGAAACTCAGCTGCTTCTCCTTTTCCCCCATCTCCTCAACCAACTGCTGCAACTCCGCCAGCTTCGGGTCACGGTCAGCAGGAGGTGGGTTTGCTGTTCTTGCTGTACCAGTCACATGTTCTGACGCAGCAACGAACGAGTTGTAGCTGGATGAAAAACTATTTGTTCCGGGTGGAAGATTTTCCGCTGCGCTGCACACAGAATTCTTCAGCGTCTCAAAGCTCGTCCCCGTGGAAAAATTTTGCGGGGACGAAATTATCGTCTGCAAATCCGAACTTTCCCCCGTTTGGCCGAACAACGACTCCACCGGGGAATGCGGGCTGTCGTTCGGCGAACGCGGCGTGCGAAACGGGTCGTCGTCGGGGAAGGAGGCCGTTGCCGGGTTTCTCGTGTCAGGCTTGGTTGTGTTTGGGGGCGGAGACGACGTGTCCACGGTGAGGCCATTGATTGCAGAATTGCTACGCTGCTCGTAGCTCCTGCTGTCGTGACCGGGCGGAGAAAACCTGTTCGGAAAAAATCAACATAGTGCACTTACTTCGATCGTCGCAAGTGTACGCGTTCTATTTTAATATCGATGTAGTGCAAAACCAAAACCAAAAACAGCTGCTCTTTGATACAACCACAAGTAGAAACGCCAACCACGCCTGATGTAGTACCTTTGCCCGGGGCCAGCGTAGTTCCTTCCCCCGTACAGCGCCAGTTCCTGCTCAAGCTCGGCGATTTTCTCATCACGCAGTTTCAATTTCCGCAGCAGCTGATTGATTTTCCCTCTGGCTTTCGCCAGAACCTCATCCCGCCGCTGCACGCAGGTCTCCAGATCGGTGATGTGCGATCGAAGGTTGGCGATGGTTTCGTCAGCTGAGAAGTTGTTTTTGTTCTCGTCCGGACGCGCCATTTTTGTTTCAGGCGAGGAGAAAGACGTGACTTGTAGTTTCCGCACAATTTTTTTCGACGGTAGGAGAAAGAAAAAAACGCTGGTGCATGTCCATGTAATGCGATACTGTTGGAGGTCGCATGACGATTCATTGAAGAGATTCAAAAATCAGAACGCCCCTCTCGCCCACCTGCCTCACTCTCTTCGCCCCCATGAATAGATGCACATCGGCGAAGAGGACTGCCATTTTGGCACAAGTAGAACGTAACAATTCACTACCACTCAAGAGCCTTCAACCGCCGGCCATACAACTCATAGTCACTTTATCTCGGCGCTGACAGTAGGTATGGTCGTGCAAGAAACACTGGAGGACACGCTGTGGAACAAGAACTCCGCGAACGGATCATGTTGAAGAATGCCATGTGACGATAGTGGTCTTCGACAACACTATGTCAACAGCAAAATGAAGTGCGTGTGTGTCTGTGCGTCTGCGTGTGTTATTGCATCTTCGGGTACTTAGACAACTTGAGTTTCACATTGATGGGAAGGGTTTACCGTTTACTAGGGTCGTCCTCGTGTGTAGGGTTTGATGTTGAAGTAGCAACGCGAGATGCCATCGTACCTCGCATCAGGCGATATGATGAAGGCCATCCTTTCTCTAGTGAAGCTGCTTTTATCTTAGTACGGATGCACTTGAATCGGCAGCAAAAAAGGTGGTGTTGGGGTCATGTAGGGTTGCGGGGATACCGCAGTGCGTTTTTTTTTAGGGTAGCGAGGAAAGATGTGAAGATCATGCGATGACTAGCTATTACTCGAAAAAAACTTTCACCTCCCGGATAGTTCTAACTATCTTGGGCAAGCAACTGGAAATGAAACAGTTCGAAACAATGACATACACATACGAGAAAGGGGCGGCGCAGCATAAGCACAAAAGGCCACTGCAACCATATCCATGCGCAAACTGACTATGATGAGTTAATCTCTCCGTTACTTACTCCTTTACTGATGGTACACAAAATGAATGTCATCAGAAGTGCGCAAGAAAGAGCTCCTCAACATCCACGTCTAACAGCAAGGTTCGTCGTCTGCGTCCGGCACAATCTGCGGCGCATCACCGTCCTCACCCGCGTCAGCGGCATTCTCGTTTGGGGTCGTCCCGTCCGCGCTCGCTTCCTGCATCGCGTCCGCGGATGCTTCGTCCTTGGGTGCCTGTGCCGTGTCTACTTGCGCAACAGTTTCATCTTTGGGTACAGCGAGGCTTTCGCTTTCCTGTACAGTGCCTGGTGAGGAAGAGGAGTTCTTGTCTGTTGATACTATTTCTTCTTCTTGTTTCTCAACATCAGCACCATCATCCCCACCCTGCCCGGCAGTCGTGTCCCCGCCGGGACTCGGCTTGGTCTTCTCCTCTTTTTCATAGCAAGCCGCGTGATTCCCGTTAAAATCCGACTTCGGGACAGGACCCTGTTTGTGGCTCGGGCAGACCTCCCTATTCGCAATTCCGGAAGTCACCACCACAGCCGGACCCTCGCCTTCACCGTCGTCGTCCTCATCTTCGCTGGTAGTAACCGGGTAGCCCCGGACAAACGGCAGATCATCCCCTCGCGCACAAGATACGCGCGCAAGATAAAAAAACCAAAATTCTTGTGCAGATCACCTTAAGAGATGTGGAACAAGTACGTCAGCCTGGTCAAGCTTCCGCTGCGTCCCCCGCATCCGGTTCAGCTCCATCCGCGGCCTCTGTTCCGTCCTTGTTCTCCTGGCCGGCTACGGCAGCAGCATCATTCCCATCGGATGGAGTATTTACTCCTCCTACATCTGCAGCCTCCTCTGCAGGCACCGCCTGCTGCTCGGCCGGTTCCTCCCGCAGCAGGGCGCACCACGCGGGCTCTTCTTTCCCGGCGGCCTTCCAGTCTTGGTCGCAGCACTTTCCGTTATGGAAGCGTCACCAGGTTTGAAATCGACAAAGTTGAAATGATTTGCCATGCATAAAATGGATACCAGTTGGAAGACCAATTTCCAAGCGGTGCATGACAAATTTCCCGAGCACCGGAATCCAATTTGTCATGCTGTTTGGGCACAGAGGCCAGCTTTTGTCATGCTACTTTAGCAGCTCTATTTCAAACCCTAAACAGGCTGACTGTCGGCCTCAATTGCCATCCCGGCAAGACAGGCACTTCATGCATTGCATTTTATGCATGACAAATCGTTTCAACTTTGACGATTTCAATCCTGACAGATCCATATCCGTGCAAGTTCTGGTAGTCGCCCCGCACTTTGGGCGCCTCCATGTACTGCGGGCACTGGGGTCCCATACCCACTACGATGCCTGTCCCGGCGCTGTCCTCTTTCAGGGCAACTTCCAGGTTGCCCAGCGCCACCTGTCGGTCTTTGAGCCGCAGCAAGGTGCAGCGGAGATCCGTTGGCTCGAAGAAAAACACGTCGCAGCCGCCGGGCGAGTATAGTGTCTTGGTTTTCATCCCGGTTTCTTGTTCAACAGCACCGCCAGCCTCGGTCCTCTGCGCCTCAACCTTGAAGTCGAAACAGGCCTTGGCGCACCCGTGCGCGTTCCTCGGCCACCCGCTCTCCCAGGGCTGCTGGAACAGCGGATCTTGGCACACCGCATCCCCGGACCCGTGCGTGACGCGCACCACGTCGAAATAAGTGGTAAAATCCTCTTTCGTCAACTGGTAGTCTTCGTCGAAGCAACCGATCTTCTTCGTTTTGTCCTTCTTGTCCACGCTGCACTCCACTCCCGTGTCGCACGGGCGTGAGATGACGCTGCTGCAGCTCCCGTCCCCCTCCGCGGGTTCCAAAATCTGGCGCGTGACCGTTTGCCACCCAGTGCCACACTCATTTTCCGCCTTGCACTCGCTTACGGTTGTCTCCTCGGCGAGCACACAGTCCTTGCTGACTGGGCAGGCGTGTGTGTTGCACTCTTGTGACTCGGAGAAATCCGGCATAGCTGAGCACGGCGCGCCCGTGGCGCTAGGGGTCATGGTAATCCGCTTCGTGCGCGTCTGCGTGCCTGTGTCGCACAATTTGTCACAAGCGCTCCAAGGAAGCCACGTTTCCGAGAGTGTGCAGTTGACCGGTACGACAGGCACCGGGGTTGTGGTCGTCAGCAGCACGCAGACAACCACGCTGGCGCAGGTTATTCCAGCGTTGTCGTCGGAAAAGCCCACAAACAAATTTTGTCCGTGCACAATGCGATAGTTGCCCTCGGAATAGTCAAAGCAACTCATGTATGGCCCGGAAAAGAAAAACTGCTTCAGACTGGTGCCGTTTCTACAGCATGCCAACGTGAATTGAAAGAAACTATTTTTTGCACCAGAACATGCATCATGACAAGTTTCCATTGTCCGCGCGAAAAAAAAGAACTGCCATCCGTACTCCCTCCGTTCTTGGGGATAAACAGAAGAGATGGAAAAGCTAAAGTGCCATGATCGCTAGATTCTAATAATTAGAATCTAGCGCGGCAGTGGCAGACACCTCCGCGACAATTACTTATTTTGCACCATCCTCTGCAATGGTATTGGTACTAGGTCGTACTTACAAAAGAATCCTCAGAGTGCAGCAGTTTTTTTGTACGATATCTCGCGTGCATCCTGGTTCCGATCGTCCAGGTCGCACCGGTTCATGCCGACCTGATCCAGTCCTTTGCTGGTGTCCCGGAAATGCAAGTCTTTACCGTCCTCCCCGCCGCCCTTGCCGTCGTCTTCAAACGCCCATACATTGTACAGGTTGGCCGGATCGCTCGGAGACAAAGCGGGGTCGCAGTTCTGATCCTGCACTTGTGCGCCTTTTGAGGTTAGCAATTCCTTTTTCCGGCAAGCGTTGTACAAGTCCGATTTGGTGTCCTACGTAAAAACATCCCCACCACATCAATCTATCATGATGAACTGATACTACGGCTAAGTTCTGTTCCAGCACAAATCATAGAGAAGTTCTGGTCCGACTGCGACTTCTTGCGCATGAAATACAATTGGGTCCTCAGAAACATCAGACTGTGCGCAGTGCATCAGTCTCGGCGAGCTAGTACAGCCTCACCTTGTTTGTCGTAAGCATCACTTCTACATATCCATATGAAAAAAGCACTACAAAATGAAAATCGACATGCCTCTCCAGCTGGAGACCGACGAGGCATATTCAGTATTAAAGTACACCTACACGTATACATAATACTGAAAAATCAATGTCTCCATGCCAACGCCGTCCGCATTTGCCTGTCGGAACAGAAGTTCACGCACGGACAAATCTGCTCGACCACACATTGGGGGTGGTAGGCACGTTTCTGCGCAGGATACTTTGGACTGTGCACCATCGGAAGCTCGTCCCAAGAATACGCGGGAGTGTAGCGCCAGCGTCCACCTCGATAGTCCCACCCATTTTCTCCTCGGACCCCGAGCATGTCCTGCAGATTCCAGCCGGACTTGACCATGCGATCCTCTTTCGCGTTGAAGGGCGCCACCGCGTTTTTCCCCTCGCCGGAGGTGATCCACGTGGAAATCTCGCCGCGGTCCGTTTCTCGTTTGTGTTCGTGACGCAGTCCCCACCGACTGTTCGCGCAGCCCCCTCCGTTTTTATTGTGACAAGAGATCCAGGAGTGTGTCGTGCCGCCCCGGTGCCGCAGCGTGATCTGCTGTATGCCGTGTCCGCCAATTTTTGGCAGGTGAAAGTGCCCCGTCTGCGTGTAGTCCGCATTGCCACCGTAACAGATTCGGTGGTCGGTGTTTTTATCCCCATCTAACCATTTCTGATCATTGGGTTGTACCATTCTGTATGAGTGCTCCTCCTCGCCCCCCAATACGGCATCGACGCCGGCCTTGTGCACGGAGGACATGCCGCTAATCACGAGTGGGGTCTCAATGTCACTGTTCTGGCACGGATTTGGTTCACCTTCTTTCAGCGGGAAAATGATCCGCCGCAGTCCCAGGCCGTCGTGATAGTCGAACCAATTTTCCTGGTTGTTGTAAAGCTCTTCCAAATACGCATCAATCTCGGTTTGAGGCATCTTGATGCGAAGGTTCTTTGCAGCTTCTTCCGCGGCGGCGTCCGCATCGGCGAGTTGCCCTTTGGAAGTTGCACTTGCACCAACGCCCGTCCGCAGGAAAGACGAGGCAGAGTTAGCGGAGGACGACGTGCTCAACAACTCTGAGCCGGTGTAGTCGGCGTGGTCCCCGTGTTTGATATTGTCCTGAATAGCCTTATTCTTTTTGTTCATCCTCCCGCCCGGGCGGTTTTCGGTAGGAGGAGGAGACCCTTCACTGAGATGATCACTCCGCGACAACGCGCTGCTGCTACTGGTGAACGAGGGGCCCGTCCCGGTCGCGGCAGCTAATTGTATGCGCCGCAGAGGTTGTTGAGCATGAGCACCCCGTCCCATAGTCCCCTCTTGCGTGTCTGTCCGGCGCCTCAATTCCAGCGCAGCGGCGCGAGTGAAACCAGTGTAGTTGCTGTAGAACATCAAAATTTGTTGCCGCGCGACGAGGAGAGCAGAGCCAAAGAGGCTCTTGCTACATGTTCTTCGTGTAGACGAGAGCGGCAACATGCTTGGACGCGACGCCGACAGGGGAGTGTTTCCCTCTGCCGCCAGCGACGCAGAGCCGTTTCCCGACCGCGGCCGCGCGGAGCAGAACGCGCTCGACAACATCCCGATTGAATTTGTACGTGAGTTGCTTTTGCGGTTCACGGAATTGAAGAAAAATCTCCAACTGCTTCGCTTTGTCTTCAAAAGCAGCCGTATCAACTACGTGTTGTACGATTCGAATTCTTGCTAATTCATCTAGTCCACAACGTCAATAAAGTCAAAACTCGCACTTGGGTTGTTGAAAAAAGGAAAAACAAAAAGACCTGTGGTGCCAGAATTCAAAAACGAAGCATTTTTACGCGTGTTCTCACACTGGAGTGCTATGCAGTCCGGGTGTTGGTGTAGCAACCACACTACGTCAACAAAACCTAGAGCTTCTACTCCGGCACCTTTCCGGAAAAAACGAACGATGAGAAAGTCAGAACGGATGGAAAAGTACGATTTAGATTTTCGTTGCTGTTTACGAAGGATGTCGTGAACGAAGGAAGTGCCGGAATTATGGACTTCTGTACGAATTTCTCTTAAACGTCGCAAACGAGAACGAACAGTGGTTTTGGACGAGGACACGAATTTGAATCAATTTCTACGCGCAAAACAAACCTCGTATAACCTGAAGCACCAAAGATAGTACTAGCGAAGTTGAAAGATGCGATGATCTGTTTAAGTAGTATGGCTTTCACTTTCGACGAACGGAAGGACGACAGGCCGTGGAAATCGAACACGAGAAGCTGTGGCTCGCAGTACTTCTTTTTGGGTGGCAACCACGACCGAGACGCCTCGGGAGATGTTAGGACGTTCGGTTTGCGACCAAGCAGAAAACGTGCGTCTACAGCTAGTGAGTAGTGACTCTGATCTTCAGTAGATACCGTTCTCTATACGCAGAAGATGTCGCTGAAGAAGTACATTTATTTTCAAGCTTTATCTTGTTGTTATGCTTATGCTATTCCTTCGGTGGATGGCACATGTTTTCCTTTTTGTCAAACCGCATAAACTTTTTCGGCTGATTTTTTGCGAATTTTCGCAAACTCGTGTAGCCAAGAATTTCCGGCGTAAACCCCTTCACCACGCTCTCCAGAACCTGTGGAAAGTTTCGATTAGGACGTGATTTTAAAGAATTACACTCCATCTCCATGTAGATGCAAGATGAAATGCCACTGGCGCTTCCACGAAGAAGTCTATGATCTCCATGTTTTGATGCATTGCTGTATTCTCTGAGCTGTGATGAAGAGCACGTACCTACTAAAAACAGAATCACTTAAAAGAAAATATCACCTTTGGGATTTCCTCGAGGGAGCACGGGCCCGTTTTCAGTAAGACGTGCCGCAGGGCTTTCCGCACGTGCTGCTCCCGCTTGAATTGCTTCTCAGCCTCTTCGGGACTCACGTTCAAAATTTCCTTTGCGTCCTCGTCCTCGTCGCTATCTTTTATCGAGTAAAAAAGTGTTTTAGCATTAACGGATTTGAGAAATTGCAGTCATGCATGACAAATTTCGTCTTTCATGCATGCACATGCAATACAAAAAGAAATTTGGGTATCAAGAACATTTCTCATCAAGAACATTCCTCATACATTACTGCATTCGAAATTCCGTTTAACGGTAACACTTTTTGGTGTGATATCTTCGCTGTCCTCCTCGTCCGCGCTCTCGTTGTCGTCGCTGTCGTCCTGGTCCTGTGGCGTTTATTATTTTCGTGAACATAAAAAGAAGATGGGGCTCATACAACAAGCGTAGTAAGCCTTTTGAAAAGGTAATCTTCCTTCTTTTGTAAGGTGCACGATTATTTTCGTCTGGCGCTAATATAGGAAATTTTCTACCGTGGTAGTACTACAGCACTGCTACATCGTCACTATGGTATTATAGTACTGGTATTATAATATAGATTTACCTTTTCTTCGTCTCTGCCTCCCTTCTTGTTGGCTTCCTCCTCCGCTATCTTCGCTAGTTCCGGGTTCGCTTCGAGTTTTTTTCTTTGCTCCTGGTGGAAAGAGATCAATTTCATGATCAACTCCTCTTTTCCCCCCTTCTTCCCCAGGCCCCGCTCCTGGCACGCCTCCGCCAGCTCGGTTTTCGAGTACGCGTCCCATTGCGCGTCCTTGAAAATCTTGAACGCCTTCTCCTTGCCTTTTTTACCACCTTGGTCGGAGGACGTGCTTGCACTATTTGAAGATGTTCCAGTAGCACCAGCTTCCAGTGCCTGCATCTCCTCGGCGTGTTTCGCCTCGAGCTGCTCCAGCTCCTTCTCAAATTTCTCCTTCATGGCCCCCTTTGCCTTCTTCAACTGCTTCTCTATCCCCGTCCGCTCCTCCTTTTGCTTGTTGAGGAGGCGGGAACGCTCTTTTTTCAAATCGTCGGACATGTTCGGATAAGTTCGTGAATAACAGAAAAAGAAAAAAGTTTCAATACGACAAACTACACATACACTGTGGAGTGATGAATACAATCCTAGGCAGGAGTCTACCTCGAAACCATTTGTCGCTTCTTCTAACAGAGTTTCTCCCGCTTGCCTTGCTTCTTAATCCTGTTCTTGCTGTCTTTTGATAAGTGCGACCATACATTTTCCAACATAATTTGTACCGAAGACAGAAATGGACACATCTGGTTCTGCCGCAGCTTTTATGACCCATGTTGCAAAATCATATGCAGTTCTGACCAACATCCACGATCCAGTAAGTGTCTTTTGCTATTCGGTGATAGACCATGCATACAAGCGATTTCTCCAATGTATGATCGCAGGCGTTGACATGCACTCCATTTTGACTTTCCGACTCAAGCGAGTTCTTGACAAGCATGATTTTGAAGAAAGCATCATTCTCCATGAGCTCGGTGCAAGCCACGTTTGATTTCACACCGCACTTATCTTTTGGCTAAACGAAGCGCAAATGAGACAGAAAAAATTTCTGCTGTGGACCGAATCGGATTCGGATCAGGATCTTCAATTTTCGAAGAAAAAAACGGATGAACAACATTCATTTTCTTCGATGTCTTTCAGATGAAGACAATTTCTGGACTGGGATTCATCATAAACGTCGAAAAACGGGATGAGTTCTTGGAAATCCTACACGCGGCCCGCTCATTGGCTTAGACGAATGATAAATATATTCCGTTAGTTATACCGTCGATAGTACTGAGACTCTCAGTACTATCGACTGGTTCAATATTAGTGAATAAGTATCTACAGATTGTAAATAAAATAACAGAGACTAGTCGTCTTCTGTACCTAACAAATAAGTACCATCTTCAGCATTTGCCTTTCTTTGTCTTATTTGCTAATCCGTTGCTTCTTTTGGGCTGGGGTTCCTGCCTCCGGCTGGGCCTTTTTGTCTGCGGAACAAGAGGACTTAGCCGTCTTCGATCTGATGAAGAGGTAATGCAAGGCGATAGGGTCCTCGTTCTCTTCGGGCTGCACACGGGGCTGGTCGTGAAGATGATCCCGACGTGATTCATTTTCTCCCTGATTTCTATTATGTTGACCCCGTGCCGCGACTGCGTCCGTAATAGTTCTGTTCCAGAGTGCCTTGTTGTCTGCCAGCACTTCTCGCCACCTTTCATACCTCCTCCGTTCTTGTCGCCTCACGAGCCGGTTGATTTCCCGGTCTCGCGCCCTCCCCGCCAACCCTCTGCGAGCCGCCTCGTCCTCCGCATCCCGCAGAATCCTCTGGTGCCGCCTCGTCTCTACGTCGTTCCTCGGCATAAGCTGCTCCTCTCCACTCTCGGCCCACTTGCAATCCGCCCGGGAGCCGAGAAAGCGACCGGCTAGCACACCCCAGGGCCCCTCGGAAAAGCAGTCGCCCGGCCCGAAGAACGGGCTTTGTTGTTTTTCTGCGTTCCCGGCGAACCGCTCCTGCGTGGTGATAAGCTCGACTGTTTCTTCGTCCAGGGGTAGGACTGCGCGCCACAGGAGCTCCTCGTCGGGTTTTAACCAATTCTCCTCGACCTCTTCCGGTGTCGCTTGCTGGGACGCCAGGAACTCGAGCACGCGCACGCCGAAGAGTGGCCGCGGGTTGCCTCGCCCGGACACAATGCATTGCAGCACAACTCGGTCGGCCTCGGGAAGCCGGTCTTTTATCTTGGAAAACGCGGCATCCATGCGTTGCAACCGCACGTCCCTCAAATCGGGTGGGGCTTCGTCTTCGGAAGTAGCCACTGACGTTGTCGAGGAGGCGGTGCTCTCCAGCTTTGCATTGCGCTCGCCGTCCTCGTCCTGCACACCGGTCACAAGAACTCGAGATGAGATTGCCAGAGAAACCCCGACCGCGCCGGCGGCGAATAGGAATGCCAGGAATACACGGGGAAAAACTTTCAACATTCTGTGAGAATTATGAATCGGAGGTTGTACTTGATGCCCATCAAAATGCTAATATGAGGTGTCGCGCAGCTTTCAACAAAAAAAAATAGAAACGGCCGAACCTGAATCTGAAAAAATCAAAGTGAAACACAAGCGAAGAAGGAACAACAGGAGAAGTAGTCGGGGGCAGTTTGTTATTACTTAATCAATGTTCCAAACGTTTTAATGTGAGCGTAGCGGGCCAATACTCCGCATACAGCATCCATTACATTCATTTTTTTAAATAAGTGTCTGAAGTGTTCATCTGGTGACTGTTTTCAATCATGAGGACTCCTGTTGATTCACAAGAAAGTGCGGAAATTCGTTTCGATATAGATAGATGTCCGCATCAAACGTGACCTATTTGGATAATATGACAGAATAGTTCGTCTTCGTATTTTTTGAAGGGAGAGTAGCGCTTTACTTCTTGTCCGGGTTACAACTAAGGGTCTTCCGAGGAAGAGGGTGCGTTTCATCGTCTGTCATCCTTTCCTTGGTTAGTACAAATGCAGTTTTCATGTCCCAATTTTTACCTCTTCCAACGCTGCTTTGCTTCTCATGTCGCCGATAAGTGCGCCATGCGAAAAAAAAAAATCATTCAGATCCACCTCGTTTTATCTGAAGCCAATATCAAACAGCATTTACCTCTTTCTCCTTTCATCTTGCGAAGTTCTACAGTTGTCATCGCTTCTTTCGGAATGGAGCCTAGTAGACGCTACTGCCAACATCACTAGCTCTGACAGAAGTTCATCATCATCTTCTATGTCTCTTGTATAAAAAATTGTTCATTTGTTTTCGTGGGTACAAAAAAATCTGGGTAGTGTAAATAGGTACATACGGGGTTGCGAAAATTAGGACATTTTTTGGTCTTGGAACTCAATCCGCGAGAGTATCTGCATCTCGATCGTTTGTTTTTATACAACATACTTAATCGGATATCAAACAATCGCGATGCATCGCTCCTCTTTGCCTGGTTAGAGGACAGCGACAAAAAAGCAAAATCTACCCATCTCCAAGAAGAGGAAAAAAAGAAAAAAGTTGTGGGCAATGAATAACAAAAAAAAACACTCCAAATTGTCCGAAATTTAGAGAGTCGAACAACTACAGAAGTGTTCGTGAAGAAACAAGCCCGCCATCGAAACCATACATTTACAGCATTTTCGCGGTGAGTTGTTTTCTTCTTGTCGCTGCTACTTACAACAAGAAAAATCTTCAATCGAGCCCCCCTAAAACTTCTGGTACCAGAATTTCATTGTCTGCTTGTAGTTCCACCCCGGTGGATTATGTACTGCTTGCAGTAGTTCCCGCGGGTGCGGCAACTGCGGCCGGAGGAGTACTAGATTTGCCGCCTGCGGTGGTCGCTGATGTCGTCCCGGCTCCACCAATTCCAACCATCGCGCTAATCAAGTTCATGCCGGTCGGCACAGCAGCACCTCCACCTCCGCCAGAAGATAAAAACCCAGCACCTGCGGTTGCCCCACTCGAAGATGCGGTAGTGCCAGCTTGTGCACCAGTCGACGACGTTCCCCCGATGGACAGGTTGTGCACCTCCTGCATCAACGAGTCAAAGTAATTCAGCGGGGCCTTCATGATGCACTTCAGCGGGGCGATCACTTGCTGCTCTTTTCTGCAAAAGCTCCCGTCCGGCAAGGAGCAGAGTTCGATGATCTTTTTCGGGTCGTCCCGGTCGGTCAAACTGATGCCGAACGAAACCAGCACCTCCACGCGGTAACGCTGCAGCGTGGTCGCGTCCTTCGGGACGTTTTTCAGTTCGAAACACCGGAGCACGAGGTGCGACATGTAGGACATGTCGGTTAAATCAGAAATCACGTCCCAGTCGTAGTACACCCCCTCGGGAAGCTGGTCATCCACATCGTACGATCCTCCGTAGTTGTTATTGTCCGAGCTGCTGTCGTTCCCGGCTGAGGACTGCCCGCTGTTGCTGTTGGAAACCATACCGTGCTGGTTTTGGTGGTTCTTCATGGGCCGGAAGTATGCCAGTATGTTCAAAAAAGTGTGCATGGTACTAGCTGACGTGACGTACACGCGGGACCGGATCGTGTTCAGATTGTCCGTTCGGTTCGGAAACCAATCCTCGCCCTTCCACTTGTACTCGTTTTTGATCGTCTTTTGCTTCTGCTGCGCGCTGGATGCGGTGGCGGGAGCTGGTGCTCCTCCGGCAGGGTGGGTCGAGGCAGATGCTGAACCGGCGGTCGTTCCTCCTGACTGGGCACCTACTATCGCGGGGGGATTGGACAGTGACTTTTCCAGTTTTTTTGCAGTGGAAGAGCTTTTGCTTTGCTGATCTACTTCTCCGACGAGATTGGTACTATTGGTCTGCTCTTGTGGCTTGGTCGAAGTAGTAGAACCAACATTACTGTTGGAACTACCTGCTGCATTATTCCCCTGCTCCTGCGCTTGCCCAGATGATGTAGAAGCTGCAACTGCACCGGCGGTCGTGCCGATCACACTGGCACTTGCTTTTGATTTTTTCTCTACCTCCGCTTGCGCTGCAGCTGCTGCTGCCGTTCCAGTCCCAGTCGCGCGGCCGCTCATGCCGGTATTCCTGGTCAATCTCTCGACTTCACTGCCGGCTAGCAGTCGATCCTGTTCCTTACTCAAGTGCGCATTCACCGCGCGGTCGGCTTCGGAAATCTTCTTGTTTTGAAGACTACTAGCAGCAGCATCGACTGCCCCTCCATTCGAAGCGACACTGGAAACCGCGGTCCCAGCACTCCCGGCCGTACGGTTCGCGGGCGAAACGGCGCCGGAAGACTGCTTCTGAATTTCGGGCGACGAGCTTATCAGCGGCACGATCTGATTCAAGGGTGAGTCCGTTACACTAGCGGTTTTGTTCGTTCGACTATTGTCCGATAATCCGCTATTTTGCCTCTGGTTTTTTTCCAACTTCTGATCCGGACTCTCGTTGGACATCTCGCTGTTTGCTGTCTCTGTTTTAATATCTTCATCTACTTTTGATTTTTCACCATAATTGTCCGGTATCAACATCCCACCGGATATTGACCCTGCGTATTCGGACAGAGGTGTGGTTGGCTGGAGCAAGGAACCACTAGACGTTCCCCCTTGTTGTAGCTGTCCACCGCCCGGAGCGACAGACGCCTTCTCCTTCGACGGTTTTGTTTTCTTCTTCGTCTTCCCAACAATGTCCGAAAATTCCTCCTTCTCATTCACCTGCTGCTGCACATCTGCCTCGTACGTCTCGCGCAGCTGTCGCAGCGCCTCCTCCCGGGTCGTCGTGTCGGGGTATAGCATCGACGTGGTTCGGTCGCCATTATTTGCAGTGGATCCGGTGTTTCCATTTAATATTCTCGACGCAGCAGCTCCCTGCTGATCTACTAGCAGCTTCGTACTAGTACTATTGGGGAACGTCGTATTAGTTCCAATTGCAGTTGTCCTAGGCGTCGCGTGCAGTAAACTCGGTTCCGGGCTGCCTTTTCCAGAAGAACCAGTTTCCGCGAACGCCGGGCCCGGACTCTGGGTGCTGCTGTTTGCTCCTGCTCCTGCAAGAGCCGGAACAACCGCCTCGGGGTTACTCGACGAAGTAGCGCGCGACAGCCCCGAAGCCAAGGACGGCGATAGATGCATGGGATTCTGGTTTGGATCATTTGGAAACAAATTGTTGTTTTCCATCATCTCGCTGTGTTTCTGCAGGTCAGAGGAAGAAATAAATTCTTGGTGTACTACTGCAACCGCAGGCTGCGACGTCTGAGGACCACGATGGCCCTGCTCCAGAACCTTGTCGCTGATTTGCACGCCTGATGTCACAACCCTCGTCGACTGTTTCTTCGTCGAGTCATCGCTGTACGGCTCCATCTTCATATCTTTCGTTGCGAGAGAACTGTGGAAGGAGGTGGAATCGGTTGGAGCAGCTGTCGTGCTAAGCTGGGGTGCCCCACCACGTCCTTGATTGTTATTATTTTCAGCAACTACTATACTTCTCGCCGGTTCGGCCACGGGCGTTGGCGCGCCGCTTGTGATGTGCATCTGGCTCGACGCGGAGAGCGTGGACGGGGACGAGAGCGAGACGTGCATAATTTGTGCATGATTCTCAGCACCAGGTAGTTGTCCCGCCGTTGAAGATGCGACAGAACTTTTTCCGCCAGCGGGGCCCGCCACGGGCGACAGGCTCGGGGAGGGAGTGCTTTGCTTTCGACCCGCAGCTTCGACGTCCCCTGCAGTTGTTTCTAGCGCCGGCGCTGGGGGTCGGGTTTTGGTACTACTATTGTGTGGGTTCTGCGCTCCGGCTGATGTTCCAAAATCCTCCTTTCGCTGGTCCCCTCCTGCTACCCCCGCCGCGTCACCCGAGTTGCCAATTTTGTTGCTCACTCCCTTATTCGCCGAAGAACCTCCACCGTTGTTGTTCTCGTTCGCATTTTGCTGCTGGCTGCTGTGCCCGGTCAGCGACATCTTTTTCCCGGCCTCATCTCTGCTGTCCAGCATGAACTCCTATGGATTGTAAAAATGTCTGGGTCTGGAAGAATGGAAGGTCTGTCATGCTCTGCCAGCATGACGGCAAAGTCTGTCATGCACGTTACCCAAGAGCCCTGTTTTTTGTCATGCATCGTATCGTATCGCTTTGACCTTTGACTCCTGTCAGGGTGGCGTTAGAACAGATTTAGCCTCTGCCAATACCGTGGCGTTAGAACAGATTTAGCCTCTGCCAATACCCCTAGGTGGACACCCGTTCCACGTCCTACAGGTACCACCCGACCGCATCCGCTGAACCGTCATGCAGAAACGCAGTTTGTCATGCAGAATAGGCAACACCTCGAAGCTCAGAAATTTGTCATGCTGAGCCAGCACTTGTGGCCGCCTCATGATACGCCAATCAGCATCACAAGTTCCCAGACCCCGACATTTTTACATTTGATAACTCCAGATCCCCCACGATTTTCTCCGCCAGCCGCCACGACACCTCGGCGCCGTATTCTATGGAAAAACGTCCCCACTCCAGAGTCAAGATGGGGAATTGGCTAGACAAATCCACAAGCTTTGGCTGTTTTGCATGACAAATTTGGACTCGTAGTGAAGTACTGTTTGAGGTAGTTCACCAGCGTCACAGATCTAGTATATCATGCTGATTGTAGCATGACAAATTCCAAAACTCGACTAGAAAATGCGTCTTATGGCGCTCCGCATGAGAAACATTTTCAGCATGCAGATTTGCATTACAACTATGGGGTGGGGACGTTTTTAAATACGATACGCCGATGGTTTTCTTCTCTTCAATCGAAATCCCGAATTCTGCCGTGGTGACCCAGCAGTTCAGGGGTAAAACCAAATTGAATACTTTCTCGGCCAAGTGCCGGCAGTCGATGAAGTCCAACTCCTCCCGCCGATGGGTTAGGTCGTAGTAGATGTTGTCGTAAATCTCCGGGATCTTTGACGTGTCGAAAATGTACTTGGACTGATACGTTTTCACCTTCGAACTCGAGGGCACTAGGGGGGTCGTCGCGGACGAGCCTTGGTGCGGCAGGTGGTGGTCACCTCCAGGACCGCCAGACGTGACCACTATCCTGAGAAAAAACATTCCCAGCCCACAGTTGTAAAAATGCAAACCTGCATGCTAAAAATGTTTCTGATGCGGAGCCCCATGAGAAGCATTTTCTAGGCGCGTTTCGGGATTTGCGATGCTCCAATCAGCTTGCTATCCTAGGTCTGTGATGCTGCTGAACTAGCTAAACAGGATTACACTACGAGGTCAAACGTGTCATGCGCAACAGCCAATGCTGGCTGATTTGTGTAGCAGGTTCCCTATCTTGACCATGGCGCGGGGACGTTTTCACTCAGGATAACCACGCCTGTCGCGCTGTGCGCGAGTTGCACTTGTTTCGAGGTAGTCGACGCACGGGCTGTACGTATCAAATGCAAAAATGTCTGGGTCTTGAAGAGCCAAACTTGTGATGCTGCATTTGGATGCTAAAAAAACCTGCATTGCATGACCAGCAAGAGGATTAAAATTTGGCTACGCGGAGAGGGCATTTGTCATGCTGAATGCGCATAGATAAGCGCTCAAAAAATCTGTGATACTATGCCATACATCACAGACATCATGGACGATCATGGAAAATGTGCACGACAAAGTTGTGCTCTTCCAGACCCAGACATTTTTGCATTTAATAGCACGATCACTCGGCTGAAAGGAGTTGGCGAAGGAAGTGGGGGCTGTGGTTGTCGTGTGGAGGTTTTGCTGGTTTGTTATTGTTTGCTGTTGTTTTAGTAGTCCACCTCCCGGTGGTGGTGCCATCATGCCCTGATAATTATTTCCTTGTTTGTTAATGCTTGAGGAAGAGCTGGAACTTGTAATTTGCTTCGTTGTAGCCATTGAAGCTGCTCCACTACTAGAAGAACCGCCGGCCTTTTGTTCTACTGCCGAAGAGGGCGACTGTTGCACAGCCGTCCCCGAGTGGTCCGAGTGGTGCAGCGACGCAGCCGAGGAATGACTCCTAGGCGAAAGCAGCTTGTGGCCCTGATGTTTTTTCTTGTTCTGTGGTCCCGAAGTAGATGCTTGATCATGGTCGTCGCGTGGGCTGGTGCTCGACTGCGGACTCGCGGACTTCGTGGAGACTTTGGAAGTAGCACCGGAAGCAGCTGAGGAACTAGCCAAAGGTCTTCGCGACGATGTTGATGTTGTTCCATGATCAGCGGTTACCGGAGTGGCCAAAGTACTAGAACCTCGTGTTGATATCTGGTGCGAAGCAGTGGACGTCGATTCTGCTCCTGCGTAGTTGTCAGCAGGCGTGTGCATGCGACTGCTGTGGGCTGCAGAAGTTGATGCACCATCTCCGGTTCTTGTTGTAGAAGCACTACTACCTCCGCCCTTGTTCTTCGCACTCAGCCCAGCAGTAGAGGTCGAAACGTTATTCCCAGCTGCACCTGAAGAACTCGAGAAAGAAAGTTTCGCACCGAGATTCAAGTTTTTCACCGCATTATTTCCGTTCCTCCCCATAATTCTATTCGTAGTTCCTGCTACTTTCGCGTCGCTGTTCGGACTCGAATCCACCCCTCGTGTGTCGTTCTCGTCGTCGGGCGAGTTGAAAGTGTAGTCACTTTCCCGGTGAAAAGAGCTCGTTTTTTCCGCGGGGCTCGACTTGTTCGTGGTCAGTTCGTTGCTGTCTGTAAAAAAATCGTCGCTGTCGATCGTCCTGCCGACGTTCGGACTGCTCCGGGCGTTCGTGCCCCGGCTTCGCAAGGGCCACGTGCGGTCGTTGGCTTCCAGTTCCTCCTTGTTTTCCATGTCGTCATCCTGCTGCGCCAGCTTGATCTCCCCTTGGAGTCTCTTCAAATCGGCCGGGTGCGGGCCCCGGCGGCCGAGCGCAAGTTCGATGGTCCGGTCTCGCGGCTCGTCGTCATTTTCCCCGTCCTCAGGGTCGTCTACGTCTAGTACTTTGTCATCGAGAAAATTATTGTTGTTGTTCAAAGCAGTGGCTTTCGAACTGTTTTGTTCCTGTATCGGGTTCAAGTCCGATCTCGTTTGCAGCAGTGGCGGAACCAAACTTCCGTCCTCAGATCCGGAGTAGGTGAGTAACCCGCGAGATGAAATTTGTCCCACCGAACCACCGTCCTTGGAGGCTTTGGTCATGTCGAGGCCGCTGCCAGAGGAACTTACCCCTTTCATTACAGATGCGTCGCTCCCTGTTGCGGAGGAGGTTGCGACGATTGACGTGTGGTCTACTCCAGCGCTTAATACTGCAGTGTTTAACATGTTATTGTCCAAATTATTGTAACCTGGTGCAGTCGTCCTAGTAGTGCCATTATTTCCCATCACACCATCGACAGGACCCACTGCACCGGAATTGCTTACAACTCCCGTGCTTAATTTCGTGCTCATAGTTGTGATGTGACCGCCTGCTCCATACTGCTCGTGCGAGCTCGTCCTCGTGTCCCGGACAAAGTTGGTCCCGCCGTCTAACGGAGTGGTCGCAGTTGTATTGTTCAACATCCCACCAGCCGCGACATTACTCGTCAACGTCGTTCCGCCGGTGGTGCTATCAACTGCAAAAACGTCTGGGTCTGGAAACTTGTAATGCTGCGTTGGGAACAGTGAATGCTCTGTAATGCACCACCAAGCATGAGAAATATCTGCGCTTCTTTGTGTTGCGTTTTTCGCATGACAAACTGCGTTTTTGCATGACAGGCAAAAGGGTCTCTTCTTGGACACGCATCACAAACTTTTTGGTCATGCCAGACAAGCATGACAAATCTCGCAATCTTCCAGACCCAGACATTTTTGCATTTGATAGGTGCTGTGCTGGCCTCGGTTCACGTCCGACGGGGTTGCGGCGGTGGACTGAGCGGTGGATATGACCTGCTCAAACGTTACAATCTCAAACGTTACAATAGAATCTGAATTTTATATTGCATAAAGAGCATGAGGAACGTGTAGAGAATTGAGCTTTTCGCAATACAAATTTCGCCGGATTTCAGGTAGGTTTGGGACTCCGAACCTTGTGATGCGCAATCCTATGGGAGGAGGCTAGATCATGCAGCTCTTGCATCACAGCTTTCCAGATTCTATTGTAACGTTTGAGATTGTAAAACCTGAGCGGGTTATAGTGGACTGTGCGGATTTTTTCGTCTCCGATTCCTTCACGAAGCCGAAGAGTAACTTTCGCCACCGGAACAGCAGCCTTTTCAAGATCATGTTCGATTTCCCCTTGTCGTCCAGCAGGCGGGGTAACTGCTGCGGATTCACCAAGTCCCGGTGCGGGCCGACTCCCCGCGGGGGCGGATGCTCGTTGTCGGAAGCCCCGCTGTCGTTGTCGCTGTCCTCGTTCACCTCGATGGAGCTGTGCACCCGGTCGATGAAAATCGTGATCTGCGACATCAGTTTTCGCAACAGCGCGTGCGGGGATTTGTACTGCTCCAGCATCACCCTCAACACGTGCGTTAAACCGGTCAACCGCGTTGCCGAGGGGACCATCCGCTCGATGAAGTCGTCGACGGAAGTGGTGAGCTCCTTCGTGTGCAACAGCGAGTCGATCTTCTTCTTCACCAGCTCCCGGCTGTGCTTCGGGATCGGCTCGTCGAGTAACTCCTGTGCCGTCCTGGATGTGGTCACCATGGAAACCAAGATCGGCGTCAAATCCCCCACGAGATCCAAAAACCCCTTGGTGAACGCGGCGGCGGTCACCTGGCACCGCCCCTCCAAGGAACTGTAGATTTTGAAGTTGTGGCGGAAGGTCGAGTGCAACGCGAGCAAGGACTCATTCGGCGGGTACAAACACATCCGCAATCGGCACCCCAGGTTTTCCGCCTGCTCCCGACCAACCTTCGTGATCTCGCCGCCCCACTTCGCAACCACCTGGATCTGCGTCACCCGGTTCGCGAGCCCGGGTTTGGAGCTGGGCGCGACGATGGGCTTCAATTGTACTTTCCTGTTCAGACCGGTGAATTTGTCGTGTAGGCACAAAATCTCCCGTAGCAACTCCATGTTGTGTCTTTCTCGGACCAACGTGTTCGCGTACGCGGAACTGGAGGTCGTGGAGCTCGATTTCTGCTGCTGTTGTTGTACCACCGCAACGGAAGTGGAGTTGTCTTCCTTGTCCGTCTGAGCTCGGTCTGCACCTTGATGAAAACCGCTTGATGTTCCGTATTGCAAGTTGATCGACTCGGTTAACTCCTCGATAATTCCTTCGACTTCAGCTAGCAACTTTTTCAAATCGTCCACCGACTTAATGGTGATTTCCTTTGTCTGCTCCTTCGGTAGCCAAGCTTTCTGCTGCACGTGACTCCCGGACGAGGAAGCCGCCCCCGGGTCCTCCGGGGAGGAAGGATTCTTGTTCGTGGAGAGGGTGGACAAGTCGTTTTTGCTGGTGGAATTAACATTCGCGTGGGCGCTCTGGCTGCTACTGCTTCCGGTCGCGCCAGAAATAACACCCACAGGAGCAGCTCCATTTGTGTGGCTGTTATTTTCCGCCCCGCTGTTGTTTCCGTTATTTATTTTCGCCCGCGCGGCGGCATTTTTGTCGTCCTCCTGTTCTTGCTTGTGCACTCGGAGAGTCCCGGAAATCAGGTTCGCGCCCGAGTTTGAGTTTTCCCGAGCGACCAAATCCGAGTCATCGTAACCCGTGTCGTTTTCTAACGATAACGAACCTTCTTCCTGCAGCTGCTGCGGAGATTTCCCGGAGCCTTTCCGCGGAACCAACTTTTCGACCGGAGATACAACGTTGTCGTTCGACGTGGTAATCTCGTCGGTGATCGTCAGCTGGCCGGGCTGTGATGTAAATCAAAATTTCACAAATCTAATTCCTAGATACTAGTGCGTACACTGCAGCTGCAGCTACACAGAAGTACAAAACGGTCAAGACTACAAAACAGAAAAACCAAGTATAGTTACTCTCTTATACCCCAGCCGCCTTCTCTCCGAGTGCCAACCCGGCCTCCGCGGCAGAGGCTCGCACCGGGGTCCTGTCCACCGCGGACGATGATGCCGTAGAGTCGTCCCTTCGCCCTGCCACAGTAGCGCTAGTACTACTGCTCGTCCCCGGCACGCCAGCTGCATTATTACTCCCCGCCGCGGCCCCGTCCTCACCCGCGGCGGCTGCCATTCTCGCGTTCCTCTTCCGCAAAATCATTTCCAAATTCCCCCCCATCCCGGCGTAAGCGTTCACCGTGCCATCTGGGTTTTCCGCGTTGGCCGCAATTGTTCCCGGTGGGGGTCCTTTGTACACGTACTGGAGAAAAATGGGGTGTTGCGTTCGGAACTTCAACTTCTCCTTCGGCTTCCGGTCTCCGTGCCGCATAATCACCAGCACCGATTTCAGCTCCCCCGTGTTCTCTTCTTCCTCCGTCGTGCCGAGAAAATTGGTCGGCTTCGCGCTCGACATCCCATCCGCGAGCAAAGATGTGCTGTCACCGACCCCCGCTATAACGCGCTCAGCTGTTACAATCTACTCAAGCGTTACAATACAATATGGAGATCTGTGATGCAAGAGTGCATGATCTAGCCAACTCTCATAGGATTGCGCATGACAAGTTCCGGAGCTCCAAACCCGACTACAATCTGGCGAAATTTGTATTGCAGAGAGTGGAACGCTCTGCGAGTCTGTCATGCTCATCATGCAAGACAAATCTCAGACTCTACTGTAACGTTTGAGATTGTAACACCTGAGTGGGTTATACCCGCCGACGCGATATTCGGAAAGTACTCCGCGTCCGCGAACGTCTGTTGCACAATGTCCCGTGTCAACGCCGTCGCGGTTGACTGCGGCGCGGAGGCGGCGCGGTTCGGGTCGTGTTCCAAGTAGTTCAGGAGCGATAATCTTCGGTCCGCGTCCAACCCGCCGAAGACGCCGCTGGTCCGAACCGTTTGCTCTTTCAATTTGTCGTAGAAAAAACGCTATGGAATACAAAAGTATCGTACTCGTAGTAATTGCCATAAGGCATGACAAATCTTGTCCTTAAGGTAAAACAGCATGACAAATTCCATTTGTCATGCTGAGCGACTTTGTAATGCAATTTATACTAGTACGATACTTTTGCAATGCATAAACGCTTCAGCTGCACCGCGGCGTCCGTGTAGTACTTCTGGTTCGTCTTTCAAATGCAAATACGTCTGGGTCTGGAATAATTTCTAGGTTTGTCATGCATATTTTGCACGACCCATGATGCCTGTAGTGCATGACTTAGCATCACAGATTTTTGGAAGGCTTCCTGATCCTGATGCCTATTCCGCATGACAAATCCCGTCTCCGCGTAGCACAATCTGGGCTCCTCTTGCTGGTCATGCAATGCAGATTTTTTTAGAATCCAAAAATAGCATGACACGTTTGGATCCTTCCAGACCCAGACATATTTGCAATGCATATCCCCTTCACGAAGCTCCACCCGTTCACGTCGCACACGACCGGGAAAAAGCCCTTCGTGCGCAGAATGTCGAACCCACACACCGCCTGACCGAACGCGTCCACGATGGTCTGCGCGATCTGCTTCTCAATCTGGGACAGGATGATCGGGTAGCGGACCTCTTTCCCGTCCTTCGAGCGTTGCACCGCGCCGTCCACCGTCGGCGCCTTCCGCGCTTCCCCGTGACTGTAGTTGGGACCCAACGTGTAGACTTTGATGTCTGTGCCGCCCGTGGAGATGAAGGGTTCGTAGATGTAGGGCATGTTGTGCCGGACATAGTGGACGTCGGGATCGTATTCGGACGATTTGTTGTGCACTTTCCGGAACAACCTGTATAGGAGTTTGATTTATTGATCATGTCTTTATCCTGATTCGACAAGGATCGAGATACCCCGTCGAGCAGCACTGCAGCAGTTTCACGATTTCATTCGATGAGAGAAGATATGTGCATATCGAACCGGTCACCAGTTACTGCTACCAATACCGTTTGATCCCCCCACCCGTGTTCATGGGGTAGTACACGTAGATATTGTGGTCGTCGCCGTCGATGGGCTTCTCGACAAACGGTTTGTACACCTTCTGCCCGTCCCACACAATGTAGTCCACCGTCTCCTGAAACCGGTTCGCGTCGTTGTGGTCGGTTACCAACACGTAATTCGGGGAAGGGATGGAAAACTCCCGCAATTTTTCGTAGACAAAGTGCCGATTTCTCAACAAACTCTGTTTGTTCAGCGCATTGATTTCTATCGGCTTCCGCAATTCCACGTACTGACAGGCTTTTTCCAAGGGGAAGCCGATGGAGTCAAACGAGATCAAACAGTCCACCACCGGCCACAGCTCGCATCAAGGTGAAAAATGCCCCCACCTCCGAACTTGGGAGCATTTGTATTGCAAACCTTTCCCAACGAAACACTCGCCCTCTTGCATCTATCAGCATCAGAGATTTCCAATCGTGAATCTGAATAGCAAAAATTTGTATTGCAAAAGACCCCAGCAAGAGTGGCGCATGTCATGCAAGCGATGCGTTACACGCCTAGAATCTGCTGCATCAGAAAGATTCATACTGATACGCATAGGCAACATACTTCTTTCATGCATGACAAAAAGTTTGCATTTGGAAACTTCGCATCACAAGTTTTTGCGACTTTGGGCGTGGGGGCATTTTTCACAGTAATAGTTCGATCGGCTCGTTCAGGATGGTCTCCTCCGCGAAAATTTCCAGGCGGAAGAAGCTCTGCAACCGGCGCAAAATGTTCTGCATCGGTGTGGACGAGGCTTTGTTCGCCATGCAGCAGATTCCCAGCGACGGTAAAGATTGCTGGTCAACAACTTGGAGGTTGGTGTTGTTCGACGTCGTTGTGGTGTCACCCAAAGTATGATCGCCGGTCAAGCTGGTGCTCCGGGTATTGAAAGCGCTAGTCGTGTCAAGATTGACCATTGACCCGTTACTGCCACCTCCGTTTGATGCAGTGGCCGTTGGGTTCAGAACTTGTGATGCATTCGTCGCATTGGTCGCGGAAGAGGAGCTCGCGGCGGACCGCGGCTCGGCCGAAATGTACGCGTTCGGGGGCGCGTCCATGGCTCGTCTCGTCGGGGGATCAGTTACAATAGGTTTGAACTATGCCATCGTGGTGGAAAGAGACTGGTTGTACATGGGTAGCACAAGTCGAGGAATTATACATGTTGGGGATGGGGAAGCCATGTTACTCTATTCGACGAGTTAGAAAAATTGTTTGGTAAGCCGGCGTAGTTTAACAACTACGTCATTAGATATGCGAAACAAACCCGAAATACTATACCTCCGGCAATAATCTCCCGATCTAGTACTTTTTCACAGACCTAAGAGGATATTACACCTGCCTTGTTCCAGCACTCGGACCACCCCCTGTCGATTTGAGTAGACCAGAGCGAATTAGACTCGCAGCCGTCACAAGTCGCAAGAACAGCGAGAAGACCCAGAAGAAAAAGGACACAGTAAGAGTGAGATCACAAAAAAATCGACAGACAGGAAACAAATCACCTCCACGCACTCAAATAAACAGTTCTAGCTCTTTTAACGGCATCGCCTCGATCTCAAAAATCAGTCGTGTGCCAGTTGATCGCGTTCTCCTGCTCTCGCCACGAAGTATGCCAGCTGTAGTGGAGTAGATCTTCTCCAAGTCAATGAACTTTTAGCTTTTGCACGATGAAATTGAGAGTAGATAGTGTACGTGTACTAACAAGCGGATCCACATATAGGAAAAGAAATGCTGCCAAACGAAAAGTCACAACAGATCATCTTCACACAGACACACACACGAAACTTTCACGATCGAACTGATTGACCACGACTTTTTGGCAAACACGACGTGCATCAGTTGCCCGTTTCTTCTCAGAGTCAGACCATGCACGCCAAAGCGAAAGCGAAGTCTCGCCGTGATGGTTGATTTAGATTTATTTGTTTTTACTATGATATGAACTCGCACAACTTCAAAACAGACATCATAATCATTTTTGGGAGGACAAGAAATAAAAGGCTTTTTAGGCCTTACTACATCTTCATCGTCAAGAAGTTGTGGATCACGAAAAGATCCCTCCGTCGTGTCGCAACACAGGGCGCTCGTCAGTTCTTGTGCCAGAAAAAGCCATTTCTCAACGTGGTCACTGCGCCGAGCACGCGAACAATCTGTATCTGAATCACAACACCTTTTCCAGAAGAAAGACCCCGCCAGAACTACTCTGCAGCAGCTTTCTTATCCTCTACTCGATGTCGAAGGCCGGTTTCCCTAGCTTCGAGGAGGCACTGGCCCCGCCGGTCAACCTCCCCGCCTCTGCCGCTTCGACGGATTTTTTCATCTTCTTCAATTTCGGCGAAGCGACGTGCTCGGGAGCCCCGCCGCCGCCGATGAAATCGCCGCCGACGCCGAAAATTCCCGGGGACAGATTTTCGTCGTCGTCCTCTTCGGAACCAGAATTGTCCAACCCCTTGTCCTATGCATTGCAAATATGTCTGGGTCTGGAAGATGTCAAGCTGTTTTTGCATAACACAGAAGGTCTGGCATGGAAGCCCTAGCATCACAGATTTCGAGAAGGTTCTGCAATGCCTAATCCGCATGACAAATCCCCCACTATGGTGACAAGAAGTGGGCATCTTTTGCTGCCTATGCATGAGAGATTTGTGTGCGTTGTGAAATGCGCATCACAACTTCTACTTCACATCCTTCGAGACCCAGACATATTTGCATTTGATATGTCCTCCTCCGCGAACTGGCCATCGAACCACTCAATGCAATCCCGATTCTCGATCGGGTGCTCAAAGTCCACCCGGCGCAGCATGTCCGTCTCGAAATCGATGGCATCAAAAAGAAAAATCGCCCCTCCCCATATCGAAAACGAAACCTGTGACGCAGTATTTGAGTACACAGATCGCATTTGTCTTGCTGGAGAGGACTGCAGACCCATGTCAAGCCTGAGTAGAGAGGCTTTGACTTAGGCGCTTAGCATGAAAAGGGTCCGTGATGTTGGCTCAACAGCATGACAGACAAACCGGCTCCATAATGGGACGGAAGCTGCTGCCCTTGTCTTCTTGCAACACAAACGTGACTTGTGACCTCAAATCAGCAACACAAATTTTCGAAAACCTACCTCTTCATCAATATGGGGAGGGGGGATTTTTCCTTGCGATAGATGGTGGCCGGTCGCTTCATCTCCTCGTCCCAGGCCAGTTGGAGCTCATCATCCTTGAACAAATGCGTCAAGTACCAGCCGCACCGGTAAAACTGCTTTTTGTTGTACAGTGCGATCATCACGAGCGCGCCGTTGTCCAGTTTCGCGGTTTCCGGCACCAGCGTCATGTCCGGCGCAATGCCCTCCATCACAATCTTCCGCTTTCCGCACTTCGGGAACGGACCGCACTCGACCTCATCGAGTAACTGCTCCTGCTTCTGCAAGCAGGCGGAGGCGAGCAGATCCGCGATGGTCTTCTCCGTTTTGGAGAAAGGGTTTTTACTCGTCTTTTTACTCTCCGATTTGGACTTCTTCATCGACGCTTTAATATTCGCGGTAGATGTTGTTGAACTCGGCTCTTTACAAGTCGAGGTGGACTGCTGGTGCTCTGTAGTAGTGGCAGTAAAACTCGCGGCTTTTGACTGCATTTTCTTCATGGAAGTCGTACTGGAAGCTGCTGTCGTCGTTGTATCTTGTTTTTTCATCGCCGTGGTTTTTTTCGAGGTGTTTGAGGATTTGGAGCTTTTCGACCTTTTGCTGTTTTTGCTCGCGGAGGACTTGTTGTCGTCGAAGTTTTCGTCGTAATCTTCAGAATCCATGTCGTCCTCGTCCTCTCCCGAATCGTCCTGCGTGCCGTTCTCGCTGCAGGACTCGGCATCGAAAATGTCCTCCTGGACCTCCCAGGGCGGGATAAATTTCAACTGCAACTCCAGCGTTTTGGGAAGCGCCTCCATGACCTCGAACGTCACTTCGAGCTTCAGCGGCCCGGTCGCCGGCGCGTCCACCGCGGTCTCCGGGATCCAGTTCGCGCGCCGAAACTCGATGGCAGCCATTTTTTTGGTCTTTAATACGGTCTAATTGTCGTCTCGCTGGGGTTCTTCGTCTACGTACTGCCGGTTCGTGCCTCTCTGGTCCTCGTACTGTTTCATCACTTCTGCCAAAGAAGTGGTTTTTCTCTTATCCTATCTGAGGGCCTCACTGCTGGGTAATTTTTCATTTTGCGTGCGGATCTTCACAAGTCCTTCCTGAAAAAGTTCAGAAATTTATTCAAAAGAAACAGGAGAAAAGACACGAACATAGACATACATTGAGAGCATGATTTCCATGCTGGGGACAATTTGAACGAATGGCCTGTCGTGATCTCCACCTCCAGTGAACTTCTACGGTGCGTGCTGTAATTTGTTCGACGAGCCGGTCTTTATATTACACGAACAAATTTTGAAACGGATCTATAGCAATTTTGAACCTACTATCTCGAAGCCCAGAGAAAACTCCTCCGTTTGACATCTTGGATCATGAATAAAACGAGCTTGAGAACTTGTACTTGATCGAGCGCAGGACCAGGAGAGAATAAAATTTTCGTGAAGACCCGAAGAAGAAGTGTGCTCCTGTGCACCAGCGGCAAATTTTCACCTGGAGCTTCCAGAACATGAAAATCACCAGCCCGCTTGTGCACCAGCTGCAAGGACGTCGCCGCGCTTGTACGTCCTGGCGCCAACACGCTAGATAGGCAATTTTGAAAGATGTCGCTCGGTAGCTAGTCAGAGACAGAAATATTAAACGTCGATCCGCGGATGATAGATCATCACTGTAGATTTGCAATTAGTTGCTGAGCCAGCAGAAGTATATGCCTTCCAACCCTTTTTCGAATTATTGTGTCGCTCTTTACCATTACGCTTACTGGTACAAATCATTTGATATTCTGGTCGTGCTTGCGCGCAAACAAACAACGCCTTTTGTGAAAGTTAGAGCTTCAACCTTTGTTCTCATATTATCCCCTACTTCAACATTTTCCCGTCACAACATCAGAATCGCCCCCTCTGTTGCGAAAAGCGTCTCTTCGCCGCCCCCATTGGCTTATTTGCCTGAAACGGATTGCCGCCGAAGCCAGCCTGTCCGCCCCCGAAGGGGTTGTTCGCGTTGCCTGCTGCATTGTTGGTGTTCGCACCGGCACCACCGCCAAAGATCCCTCCGCCACCAGTACTAGCTCCTCCGCCACCGAAGATGCCACCACCCGTGCTCGTCGCGCCACCCCCGCCGAAGGGATTCCCCCCTCCCGCCGGCGCGGCACCGCCAAAAATGCCGCTACTTGTGGTGGAGCCCCCGCCGAAGGGGTTGCCGTTGGCACTGGGTTGCGCAGAACTTGTATTGGCTCCACCGCCTCCAAAGGGGTTTTGTTGTGCGCCGTTAGCTGCTGCTGGTGCAGCACCTCCGAACAAGGAGTTTGCAGTTCCTGTGCCGTTGTTCGCTGCATTGTTTCCCGCTGCGTTCCCCCCGCCAAACGCACCCCCGAAAACACCCCCGCCGCCGCCAGCAGGATTATTAGTGTTCGCACTGCCGAAAATACCACTTGAATTGTTGTTCGGCTGCGCCGGGGCGCCGAAAACATTTGTCGCTGGTGCTGCTCCCGTCGTTGCACCACCGCCGAACGCCCCCCCTGCGCTGGTGGTCGTGGTGCCGCCGAACGGACCAGGTGCGGCTGCCGTGGCCCCGAAAATGCCACCAGTGCTCGTTGCTGCCGCGGGTGCTGCTCCACCTACTCCGCCAAAGATACTACTACCGGAAGTAGCTGCTGCGGTGGTGGTCGACGCTGGTGCAGCTGCACCCCCTCCAAAGATGCTGGCGTTGCTGCCCGCTCCTGTACTGGTTGCAGCTCCTGCGGCACCAAAAATGCCGCCAGCACTCGAGGTTGGCTGCGACGTGGTGTTTGCTCCGCCGCCAAAAATCGAGTTTCCCGCACTGGTCGAGGCGGGAGCTCCACTGCCGAAAATACCACCGCCTGCAGCAGCGGGTGCGGCACCGGCACTACTAGCAGCGCCGAAGGCGGGGGTCGCTGTCGCAGACGCTGGTGCACCTCCGCCGCCGAAAATGCTTTGCTTCGAGTCCTGGGAGGTCGCTGCAGGAGCAGCAGCTGCTGCTGCTGCCCCAAAAATACTACCTGTCGTTTGCTTGGAGTCCGTTTGCAACCCACCACCAAAAATACTGCTTGCCTTTGATTCCGCTGGTGGTTGCGCTGGTGCTAAACCTCCACCAAAAATACTGGATGCCTTCGCTTCTGTACCAGCAGGGGCGGTAGCTGGCGCTGAACCAAAAATGCTAGCTTGCTTCGCGTCAGCAGGTGCACCGAAGAGGCTCGTCGTATTTGAAGCGGCTGCTGGCTTAGCTGCATTCTCACTAGCGGGAGCTGCAGCGCCAAAAATGCTGCTTCCGGTCTTAGCCTCTGGTCCAGAGGTAGAGCCGAAAATCCCCCCCGTGGGTTTAGCTTCCGCAGGAGCTGCGGTCCCTCCGAAAATGCTGCTCGCTTTTGAGTCTGCAGCTGGCGCCCCGAAAATGTTCGAAGATGATCCAGCTTTGGCTTGCTGGTCTGCGGCGGGCGCAGGTGCGCCGAAAATGCTAGATTTGGAACCGTCGGGTGCCGCAGCCGGACCGCCAAAAATGCTCCCGCCCTTGGAAGGTTCTGCCGCCGGTGCAGCACCGCCAAAAATTGACGCAGCTGCTCCACCAGCCTTAGAGGTCATCTCTCCTGAAGATGCAGTAGCTGCGCCCCCTGGTGCACCTCCGAAAATGCTGCCTGCCTTCGGCTGTTCTGCTGCTGGTGCACCGCCTCCGCCGCTGCCAAAAATACCGGCAGCCTTGTCGGTCGAGCTACCGAAAATGCTGTTTCCGGTTGTACTATTTGCCGACGTCGCGGGGTCGCCTTCTTTCTGTGCACCCGTTGCTGCACCACCACCGAAGATACTCTTAGACTTTGACAAACCCTCTCCACTGCCGAAGATACCACCAGGAGCAGGTTGCGTTTTGTTCTCACCAGAGCTGCTATTTTCCGCCGCACTTATTTCCGTTTTCTGCTCTTTTGCGGCATGATCTCCAGCGGCCCCGGAGGCAAACATGTTCGCAGAACTGTCTTTATTTTGCTCCTTGAATTTCGCCAAAAAGGGGTTGCTCGCCGGTTTCGACGCGGACAACGAGAACGCACTTGCGGAGCCGAAAATGCTGTTCGAGGAAGCATTGGTCATCCCAGCTGCGCCGGGCTTCTTCTCGTTCCCCTCAGGTTGGTCCTTGCTGTCTGCTCCTGTGGTAGTTTTCGCTTTCTTGTTCGCGTCCTCCTCTTCCGCTTTTGACACGACATCCGCACCGAAAATGTTGGTGATCGAGGTCTTTGGCTTCTGGTCGACTTTGGAACTGCCAAAAATCGGCGACTTCTTCACCTCATGATCCTCCTTCGCATCAACATCCTTCGGGGTTGTAGTCGTGTCAAGGATTGGCCAACGACCAACACTTTTTTTTTCTCGTCCGGTGGGGGGATTGATTCGGTGCTGCATTTGCTTAAAGTCCTTGACAACCGTAGTTGCAGTATCACCTCCAGTAGATGCTCCGTCTTTTATTTTCTCTGGTGCAGCTGCTCCAAAAATGCTATCCTTTCCGGCCTTTGCACCGGCGCTGCCCACAGCACCTCCATCCTTCGACGCAAAGGAGTGCTTCTTTATCGGCGGTCCCATGGGTGGAAGCATGGATTTCTTGCTGACAAGTTCCTTCTTCTCGGTGATGCCGTAGAGTGTTCTCAGCTCCTCGTCCTTTTTCTTCTTCTCGGGGTCCAATTGTACGTCATGACTATCAGCAATTCCCCCATCCAGCGACGTCTCGTTGTCTTGCTCCCAGAGGCTGTTCAACACGTCCTGCTTTGTCAATTTCCCGTACCGGCTGCTGTTGATCTTCCTCTTGTTCGCCCCGAAAGTGATCCGTTTGGGCTCCGAGGGCACGCGCGCGGTGCTTTCTTGTTCATCCCGATGCAGCTTTCCTCCTCGGCGGGAAGACGACCCAGCGCGACCCTTTGGACTAGAGGCGGGGTTTAATATTTTGGAGGAAAGGGTCGACGTGTTATTCTCCTTCATCTTTTCGTCGCTTTTTCTGCCTTCTTGCTGTACCACCTTACGGTACTTCGCGCTGGGCTGATGTTGACCACCACGGTAATTGTTCGCCGCGCCGATTTCTAGCGACGAATTGCCTTCCTGGTCCGGGCTCTCAAGCTCGTAGTCCGGAGACATGAAATTACTGGACGATGCACCGCCAGAAGAACGCCGCCGGTCCTGAGTTTGGGTGGAAGGTGGACAAGTCTGCTACTGTAAAAATTTTCTGTACAAGCTTTTCACGACCCAATAGTGGTATAAACTAAGAATGTCGACTTCATTCCGCATATCCTCGTTCAACAATCAGAAGTATACTTCAATCGCCTGCGGCGGCGCGACGGCGTGGGCGAACGGGTGAGACGAGGGCGCTCCGAACGGGTGGAATAAGTGCTGGGAGCCGACTGGCCAGGGCTGTCTTCTGTCCCGGTTTTTGTAGGCTTCGGAAAACAGAGGCTGCACGGGGTGGTAGTGCTGCATCACGAAGTGCTGGGGGAAATGAAGCCGGTTCAGCCGGGGATCGTGCGGGCCTTTCACGGCAGCTGTTATAGAGTGTGTAATCATATGCGTTGTTATGCGCGATTCTTGTTTCAGAATCCAATTGCCTCCATCGTTGTTCAATCATGAACGGATAAAAAAAACTTCCCTGCTCGCAGAAACAGTGAAAAATTTAGAGCAATCATTCCGATTAAAAAAATCACAACAAAACGAAGGTGTAGTTCATCAAGTGTTTAATCTTCAATACTGGATCTGTAGTTCATCCAATGCTCTTTGTTCTTCAAATTCTTCTCCCGCTCCTCCTTGCTCAAAAGCTCCCGCAAGCAGCTCTTCGGCGCGGCGTACTCCTGTTGCCAGTCCGGGCGAAACAGGTTCACCTCTTTCGGCTGCAGGAAGGGATTCGACCGCCACACGGCCAGGTCGCGCGCGGCGTACGCATTCTGCTCGTGCACCCCGGCCAGCCGCATGTCCTTCACGCCCGCGAATTGCGGATACAAAAACGTCCCCCGTTCCCGCTCCTTGCTCGTCATCGGCTTTCGCTGCTGCAGCTGGTGCTGGCGGAACTTGATATCCTGCTTTTCAAACACTGCTCTCGCGTCCCCCGCGAAAATCGGCCGGCCGTCCTCTTGGAAGCCCAGGATCGCATCGTTCGGGACCATTTCCAGGTTCGACTGCTCGGCGTCCTCTTCAGTTGTCCGCGCGGCTGCAGTTCTTTTGGGTTGCTTCTTGTATCGGTTTTCGTTGGTTCGCTCATCGGGGACGAAGAGCTCGGGGCGCCGGGAAGACGAACCGCGGGAGGCAGCAGCGTTAGGTCCTCCACCTGATGGGATGTTGGAACAATAAGCACCGTTGTAAGCGCCACCAAAGTAACCTGTCGCCCCACTAGATGAGTCAACGTAGAGGCCCTCGTTTGACGCATTATATCGAGCGCCGTACTGATGTGGTCCTGAAAGTTGCTGGTGCTGACCAAACACTCCGAAGCTGGACGAGGGAAGAGTGTCCCGGGAATAGTTAAACCGGTAATCCGGAATATTAGAAGAAGCTGCGCTGTAGGGGTTGTAACCAAAAGCACCTCCCGGATGCTGCTGCTGCTGCCCCGCGTTGCTGGGAGAATCCGACTCACCTGTGTTTTTTTTCATCAATGGTCTCCAGCTTCTCGCTCTATCTTGAAACACGCACCGCGCGTCTGCTTCAAGACAGTATGTAAAAGGCACTAACATTCGAAGAGTTTGAATTTTCCATATTACCGCAAGAATGATTTTTTTTTTAAGAATCTTCTTCTATGCCCAAAGTTATACCTTTCAACAATTTCCAGAAGGCTTCTCCGACCTCCCCAACGTATTTCTTTATTCTTTTTAACCCAGTAGTCTGCTGCTCCTCCCCCCGCTCATTTTCCTCACTGTGCCGGCGCTGTCGCTTGTTCATCTTTTCCTGTCAGACGAGGTCCTCGACGCCCCGCAGCTGATACGTAGTATGGAGCACAGCTCTTGGAGTAGGCGTGGGCGGTCTTGTTTCTGCTCAATACTTCTTGGAACGCTTCATATCGTGGAAATCAAAATTCTGGGCGAGAATTTTCATTTACGGCAAAGTAATATTCACTTCATCTTCTAAATTCTGTGCCAACTTTCTGGTCGCGACGGTAACTAGCAAACCTATCGAAAAATAGTAGCATATTTTTCTCCAATCTGTCTAGAGCAGCTGACACTGAAGCTACAACATCAGTTACAGAGGAAACAAATGGTCGCTGCGCAAGATAGAATACAGATCGCAAATCAAATATTATCCGACATGAATTTATGGAGCAGAGGAAGAGCATGGTAGACCTTGAGAAAACGCAAACTTGACTTAGCGATCTTCGCATCAATTTCACTGTGCACTATCGCATTTTTTTTCTGAAGCTTAGGATCCTGGTTCGCTTGGTAAAATGATTTCTGAGATTGAATTCGTGCCATTTTGTTGAGCTTCGTATGTTTTGCGGGAGACGCTGGAGCAGAATCTATTTTTGCCCAAAGAATCACTTTAGGTGTCAAGGCCGACCTGTAGATGCTAAAAAGTAAAAGAACTTGAAAGGGCAGCTCATGAAGAATTGTTTCAAACTTGTTTACAACGATCCCTGGACCTTCACAGAGCAGCGCTGCAGCAATAGCCTGTGTGCGACCACATAGAAAATCTGCGTTTAACAGAACAGGAGCTAGAAGCCGTGACAACTGCAAGCCGACATGGTTCCACCAGGGCTTACACGAAACGCAGCGGGTAATGTTCTTTAGCGCAGCACCAGCAGCACGTCAGGCTGGTTACTGGGAAGTAGAAGTACACGCATCGTTATTTTCTCCTGAAAAAAATTCCTTCTGCAGCGTATTCATTGAGCAGTCGTTGCACTAAACCTCCTACGACCACTTCGGGTAGTGTGCCCCGCGCTTCTTCTTCAGCCCCGGCTTTTCCCCCCGCGGGCGATGCGCCCACTTCCCGCGCAGGGTGTGGCCCGCCTTGCCGAAGGCGCGGATGTGTGCCTCCTTTGCCATCAGCTTCCGCTTCAGCCGGCTCATCTTCTCTTTTTGGTCGAAGATGACCGCCTTGTGCCGGGCCGTCATGCAGTTGTCCACCCGCCCGGTGGACTCCAGCATGCGGCGAAAGGCCTCCGCCTTGTATTTGGCCTCCATGAAATTGAACTGCGCGCGGAAAACCCGCTGGCGGTGCCGCCCGCGTTCGTGCCACTGCACGCACCACAGGTCGACCTGGGAGTGGTACTGCACCCCGATTTCCCCGGACTCATCCATCGGAATGTCGTGATACGACACATTGTACCTAGATTAAAGTGTTGATCTCATTACAGTAGGCATGGACGTTCCACCTCCTTCGTTTTACTTCTTCTCGCTGCTCGTGAAAACGCTGTTCTTTCTGTGTAGTACTAAGGGGGCATCTATCAGGGTGCTGCTCGTTTTTTTTCTATACGTATACCTTCTGTGTCCCCACATAGGCATTCCGAGGAAGTTGTACGGGTAGTCAGGTCCGAGGTACTCCCCGCTCCTGATTGCTTCCATCTGACTTTGCATCTGGAAATTCTTCGGAATGTACTTCCCCCGGCCTGGGTCGAGCACCGCCTTCTTCAACGGCAGCGCTTTTATCTTCGTGGGCACCGGCGGGTGGAAGACCTCATACTTTTGCCCGGGGGCGCCCGGACGCTGGCCGGAACCGAGGGCGGGTTTGGAAAACCGAAAAAGCGAGCGAGAGGAGGTGGAGGATCGGGAGGGCAGGGAGAGACGCATTTCCAAGGTGGCAGAGCCGTGCTGGTCGTCCAAGCGAATCGGTCGCGCAGAAGATGTTCGTTAGCTGTTGATGGTAAGTACTCACCACCAACTTAGAAGAACGATTTTAGCCAACACGGCTTCGCCATCCGCCATGATACAGTTTTCAAACGCCCAACGTTTGTTTTTTCCAACGAAAGACGTAGCAGATGGATCAAAAATCGATTAAAAGCAAAAGATGTTGTGGTCGTCTCCAGATTGCCTCTAGAGAGTGGAATCGAATCTTCCTACTTGAGCTGAGCGGACGAAGAGAACCGACTTTGTTGTGCGGCCTGCGGCAAAAGTGCAATTGCAATTGCAAATAAGGTCTTCCTGATGATTATCCCGACACCAAATCTACTGGAACCTTCATCTTCCGAACAGTTTGCTTGCGTAAAGTGGCAACGCCGCTTCGCGCCCGCGGGGTCCGCGGACAAGTCACGTACTCACAGCATTGAAGCTGCAAATCGGATGACGGGTGCAATGGCAATCGAAGTATTCAGCGCAAAAGATAAATAGCGGGAGAGACATCAGGCAACAACATTTTATCCGCCCCTTTCAGGTGGGCAGCTTGTCACTCACATCAACATCTGCCTCTAATTATTGTTCCACATTTGGGATCCAAACCAAAATCACGCCCGACTGTGCTTTCTCAGTAGATCATCGACATCATCGGCGTACACGTAGCAAATCCGTATCCCCTCCAATATGCACCCCAATGCCAATACCGTCGCTGCAATCGGCTCTGCCTTCCAACTCCACTCCTTTTGGTAGCTGTAGTTTACGGTTTATTTTAGATCGTCTGCAAGTACTTACTTAAACTCCCTGAGCCTGACCCTGCAGTATGACGATGACCTGATCCGGACATACAAAGAAACTTTATTCATCATTTTCATCGTACGAAGCAAAAACTCCCGCGGCCAATTATACCTCGCCGACACGCCCAGGACAAAGCAGTAGATGGAACTGACGGCCGACACCCAAAAAATGTGGTTCGTGAACTTGTGTCCGATGGTGTCTTGTCGGGCGAGAAACCGCAGGCCTGCGTGGAGGAAGTAGAGCGCACCTGCCTTCCACGCGAGCACCTCGCAGACGATCGTGATCGTTTCGTCAGCTTGCTGGTGGTCCTCATACCACTTGTCCCAAAACTTGTACTTGCGCGCCGCTTTGAACAGCAGCGCCACAGAAGAAAGCAGCATGGTGCAGCCAATCGCGATAGAAAGAATCTGCTCCCGGAAAAGATCTTTGCGCCCTGCATTGTAGAGTTTTGCATTTTGTTTTTGCATTTGTTGTTGCTCTCCTCTATATTTATCCCATATTATGCACATGAATCAACTTTGCGTGGCGGAAAAATTTAGAATCGAATGCGATCTCTACGTTCTGTCAGCAGCGTCGCGTCCTCGGCGTCGGCATCCTCGGGGTCTTCCTCTGACAAAGTACTAGAAGTCACGGCAGATTTATTCGTCTCCCCGGACGTCGAGGTACTATTCGCCCTCCCATCGCGTTCCCCGTACTTCCCCCATCTGCTCTCCTTGTAAAACCGGCACACCGTGCAAAAAGACGCCAGACAGTGTGCGAGGGCCTGAATGCCGATGCAGTAGAGGGAAACGCCGATGTCCTTGTAAGCGGTAGAAAAAGCAATGACGGAGACGAAAAAACTGATCGGCACGTCCAGCAGACTGGTAACGACGAGGCGGGAAATCCAAATGCGCTCCCGTTGCGTGAGAACGTCCATTTTCGAGTACGTCTCGAAGGGTAGCGGGAGGTCTGAAAGGCGGTTGGGTGATGAAGGATGTGGTAAGAAAAAGAATTCGTGGTCTTGATATCATGACTTAGAGACAGACTTACATCAAAAACATCACTCTTCACAGGCCGCACTTACGACAATGTCAGGAACAGGATGCGCAGCATTAGCACAATCGATAAAGTGACGTTTCCCATACTTACCAGCCGTCAGCTCGGAGAAATTCGAGTTACTTCTGGCCGTCCTCTGCCGCAACCCTGATTCGCCCTGCCCCAACGCGCCCATGACCACTGGGCCGGGCTGGTAATCCTGCAGCTCTATCGAGCTGATGTCGGCCATCTTGGATTTTGTTATTCCACGCTCACTCACTCTCGGCTCAAAAATTTTTGGCAGAGCCCCACCAACAGACTGGTGCAAACGGCAAATACCGACCTGGGTCGTGACAAGAGGCTGACTAAGCTACTTCAGACATTTTTCGCTCGACAGACACGCCTCTCGTCGCCCGGTTTAGCAAGAAGTCTATTTAGACCATTTTCATCTTCTCAGTATTCATAAGATAGAACATCAAGCGGAGGAGCAAAGACACCCACCACGACGCCCAGGTGGCTTCCAAGCCCGATTTCTGGCAAGGTCAGGACGATTGTCATCGTCATGCTGCACTTTTACTGTTTGCTCCAGTTTCTTCATAGCTTGACTTGAAAAAACCCTGCACCGCAGTGCTTTCATATCGGTAGTTATTTTCCACCCGTCAAGACTCTTCAGCTCAAAAGATAAGTTTCATACTCAGCTCAAACCACTTACGCAGCTTGTTTCTGTTTTTCTATTGCGAAATATTCAGCTCTAAAGAAGTATTTGAGTGCCTAGAACCCTTTGTTTTGCATGCAAGAAATCCGCCTGCCTTCACGCCCATCTTCAGCGTCTCTCTTAAGATACACCCGTCAGGAAAATGAAAACGTATTTTTTTTGCGCAAATTTATTTACACACTCTTATCAAACCAAGTACCACAGCAGGGAATAGAAGAACCAAAATCAATCCCAGCTTCTCTAGTACTTCTTCCACTGTTGCGATAGATCCTGCTTCCCGTTCCCACCCCCGGTCTAATAGCCCGTCATCGGGGATATTTTCATGCAGTTTGTGATCAGAATCTTATTCACCGCCTCCATCGTGTTTAAGACCTTGTCTCGCTGCTGACTGAAGTCGGCTTCTGCTTCCCTCGTCGCTATAAACGTCTGCATGTGGAACAGGTTCTGCTCATACCTACAGTAATTTTCGGTAGAGTTGGGATTTTATTAGAGAAGTCGCTTTTTGTCACGCCAGACCAAGCATTGCATCCTTATCTTTTCTTTTCATACAGCAACAGATTCACAAGCCAAGCAATACTGCTTTATCTTGTTTTCCAGCGCCTCCAAGTTCTGGTTCGTTTCGTTATCTGACAACTGCTGCTTTTTCCCGTCCACTTTTATCTGCAGAAAATGCACCAAGTTGTGCAACTGTGCGAGTCTCTGGTCGTATTTTGCCTTTCTCCTGGTCAACTCGGTTGTCTGCATCTGCTTCTCCGCACGCATAGAGGTATGCAAGGAAATTTTTGTGCATTTTGACTTTGCGTTGTGTGGTCCCACCTCGTCTCGTCGTGTCCTGAAGCAGTTCAAGTCTATATATAATTGTCGTGTTGTTGTACGTCATATGTATTGCCATTGTCCTTGTACTGACTGGACATAGAAGTAGGAGTACGACCAGTACAAGACACGACCTGCATTAAGAAGTTGTAGTACACCTACAATCGATGTGACAGCACAAGTTCGCGTTGGTGACTCAAAGCCATCAAAAGCACTTCGATTTCCCGACATAGCTGTCCACGTGGAGATACTTTTCTTGTATTTCCTTTTCCATCGTCTGTTGCTTCTGTGCGAGCTGAACCTGTTCGATAATTATTATATATTGCTTTTTTCAGTCTCTGACACTTCTCTTGCATGTTGAAATAGGGCCTGTTGGCAGAGTATGTGCGAGACACGCAAAAGAACAAATTGTTCTTCAACTGTTCTCGCCCTAAGAACCTGCGTCCTATCTTCAGTACCAGTTCCTGCGAAATCTTCGCGTCTAGATTTCTAATTTTCTCCAGCTCTTGCTTTCTCTTGTCCACTTGCCCGATTAATTTTTGATTGGTTGCGGTCGACTGGTCAAGCTGCGACTTTTTGAAATTCAGCTCGTCGTCCAGTTCCTGGCCCAGCTTGTCCAAGTCTCCCTGAGATTTCTGCCCGAGGTACTTGCTCGTGTCTTCCAGGACGGCTGTTTTTCATGAACATGGATCGCTTGATGAGGTGCATTCACGCATTTCAGTATTATTTCGCTGGAACCAAACACGTACTTTCTCCTGGCGAAACAGCAATCTTACTCGAGCCACGCCAAAAGATTTTGATCAGGCGCAGAAAAAAACTATGCGAACATCGACAAAGTAGTTGTTGACATCGGTCACCATACCAAGCTCCTCGGTCTAAATTCAGACTTTAAAATCGTTCGGAATTTCAAAACGTACAAAAATCGTAGATCGAAAATCAAAGGGAGAGCAAAACTAAAACTAAACCAAAACACCACGCCACTGACTCACATGAACAAAATGAAACTTCAAAACTTTCTGCAGCTTCTAATCGTGTTGAACATATAAAACCCGACCCGATTCTGGAACTTGAACCAATTCGAACGTCCTCGCTGTGTTCTGAGTTTAGACCGCACCAACATAGGTTATCAGCCTGCTTTACAGTTTTTAAGTTTGCCACTTTAAAACTTTCGCCAATAGTTTTTATCGCTTTTTGTTTTTAACTTTGAGCCAAACCCCATAAGAATTATAGCGTTTTTATATTGGTGACATTTTGCACACAAAAACAAAAACCATGACTCTCAACGCCGGGCAGTGGGTGAACATCGCGGGCGACAGTTTCTTCTACCTGCGCAATGAAGGGCGTACGCGGGTGCTGATCCAGATGGCGGACGATGACGACTATGATTTTGTCGCGCTTTCGACGCCTTGGAAAGTTTTCCGCAAGCACATGCGCACGAAGATGGAGCCTGACGCCACCACCGCAAAAATGACGGACGCGATGACCTGCATGCTGCTGCTGGCTTACGACAAATATCTGGAGGGGAAATTCATGGACAGCGCCGAAGAACGGGCGCAGTGGCAAGATGGTGAGGACGAAACATTTTTTGACATTCCGCCGCCGAAACCGAAAGCGGAAAAGCCGGAGGAGAAAACGAAAAACACGGAGTCCGCTCCTGTAACTCCTTCCGCCGCTGCTGCCAAGACTATCCCCGGAGTTTATTCGAAAATTGTTGAGCGCCCCCCCGTGCTTAGCAAAGAACCAACCCCGAAGGACTTCATCGAGGAGGTTGAGCGCTGGGTAGGCATTGTGGGAAAATATTTTTCGGACGAAGCCGACTATCTTTACCTGCTTCGCGGTGGGATTGATGATGAAGAACTTCGCCGGAATTTGAAGCATTGCAAAACCTGGGCCACCTTCCTGCCGAAGTTGAAGGAGTTACTTTTACCGGATAGCGCTGGGCAGATCTTGGCAGCTTGGAACGATTTCGCGGGTTGTAACCGTGGCGATTCCAATTACAAAAATTTTATCGAGGAATGGGAACGGTGCAAGCGCGAAATGGAGGCGCAGGGGGTTCCGGTGACGGATCCGCTTGCCGGTGTTCTGCTTTTCACCGCCGCAAACTTACCGGACACGGAGAAAATTGTTGTTCTGGGTAACCTTCGCGGAGATTTTTCGCTTGACAAAGTGAAGAAAGCGCTGAAGGACTTGGGCGACGATAATCCGGCCGGGGCTACGGTGTGCGCGACGGTGACCACCTGCACGCATTGCAAGAAACCGGGGCACGAAGAAAAATCTTGCTGGGTCAAGTATCCCGAGCTGAAGCCGAAGAACAAGGGGAAAGGCAAAGGCAAGAAAGGGAAGAAGGGGGACAAACCTCAGGGGGAGCCCCGCCGGGCGTGACTAGCGTCGCGATCCGGAGATGAAGAAAATTTGACTAAAGATTTTTGCGATCATTCCGAGGGTGGTAGGGATGATCCCGGTGCGAATGCGGAGCGGGAAGGCGGAAAAGAAATTTATCAAACAATCGAGGCGGAGTGCAACTTTTTAGATATTCGGAAACCGCATGCAGCGCAGTGGTTTCAACCTTTAACCAACGGGAGAAGCTTGCAGACATCCAGGAAGTTTTTACTGGATTCATGTGCGACCGCGCACATTATCAAGGATTCGGATTTGATTGGAGACGAAACTAACAGGCTGGCAAACGTAACTTGTGCGAACAAAACGCGCATTGAAAAACAGAAAATAGTCCGTCCTACCGCGTTAGAGTCGGAACAACTTGGAACGATCAACCTCGGCGAAGCTATCCACGCTCCTGGTGTGGGCTACAATATTCTATCGCTAAAGCTTTTGATCGACGATGGGTATAAAGTCAATGAAAACTTTACCCGCCTACGGTTCGGGAAATCGAAGCGCTTCGAGCCGATTACCTGGGACGGGAGCGACTTGCCGACGCTACAGCTGGCGCCTATCAAAGAACAATATAAATGCTTTACGGTGGAAGCGGTTGAAGACGCAGCGGAAAACGAAGCCGCCGAACTTCACCGAAGGCACGGCCACACCACGGCGCGGAAGGAATGCAAAATTTGCGCACGACAAAAGGCGCAGCGCAAGCCGCACAAGAAAAACCGAAAGGGACGCGGTAAGCAGAAGCGCGCGGAGAAATTCGGCGACAAAATTCACGGCGACAGCGTCGGACCGATGCCAAAGACCAAGAATTTTAAGTATTTCAACTCGTTAACCGATGAGGCTACGCGTTGGGTACAAGCTACGCCGTTGGCAACGCATAGCGCAGCGGAATCACGCAGGGCGCTACGCAGGTGGATCAAGCGAAACAAGCGACCGGAGACCGTCCGCACAGACAACGGGCGCGAGTTCCTTGCAGAGTTCGAAAAGGAATGCATCGACCACGGGATAGCCATGGAAACTTCAGCACCTTACACGCCGGAAGAAAACGGGCTGGCTGAAGCTACCAACAAGCGAATCCTGACGGTGTCGCGATGTCTTCTGCAAGATTCCGGATTGCCTGAATCGTATTGGCCGCATGCTATCGAGTGCGCCGCCTTTCTTCTAAACCGAACGCCGACGAAGATCCTCGGTGGGATTTCGCCATACGAAAAACGTTACGGGGAAGCGCCTGCCCTTGGGTTCCTTCGCGTTTTCGGGGAAGAATGCTGGTACCGCGATGAGCATCCAAAAACGAGTAAAATGGCGTCCAAGTTTATTCCAGGGATACTTCTCGGATATTCAGAAGAATCCAGCGCCTACAAGGTGCAAGACGTGAAGACAAAGAAAATTTACGTCGTTCGCTCCGTCCGGTTTCCGTGTAAACTGACCAAGACCAAGAAACTGGAAACAGCTAAGGCCGAGCAGATGACGCCAACCGAAGAAATCGCAAACGCCGCAAAAGTTTCCAGCTTGAAAACCAAGGGCGCAGGTATTTCCAGCTGGAAATACAAAAACTCCGGAGGTTCTCCAGAAACGTCTCTCCTGGGCCCAGTTTGGGCATTTCTCATGGTGCTCTACTCGATCTTCGGGTCGTTATTCACGATGCTGGCGGGCGACTTAGATTTTTCATGGGTGTGCCGAAGTAAGAAATCCAGACCGAAGAAACGCATGGTAGCACGGGCGACGCTGCAAGAGGTGCATGCATATTTTACGCAGCACCGACCACCACCAGAATGGAAATTTTGGCGAAGACAGCGGAAGGGGCGCGCAAGTCGAAAACTCGGAATTTGTTTCGAAGTCGATGCGTTCCAAACGGTGGCAGCAGCTAAGCGGGACGACCTCGCGTCGTTCGCATCCAAATACCTTCCCGCAGAATCTATATGGAAGGATGGATATCTCGACACGCACGAGCAAAAACTGATCGACCGATTAGTACACGAAGCGCATTGCTTCGCCACCGAGCGAGTTCCACTACGTGAGGGGCTCAACGGGCCGAACGGCGTGGAGTGGCGTGCGGCAGTCGAAAAAGAATTTGACGGATTCAGGAAGCTAGGGGTCTACGAAGAAGTCCCATACTCAGCGATGGGTAAAAACGAAAAATCCATACCGCTGATGGTATTGCTGGAGTTGAAGGACAACGGCACACGCAGAAAGGCGCGGGCCGTCGCGTTGGGAAACAAGCAGGCCAACGCCCCGCAGGATGTCTACTCTCCAGTTTGTACTCAGCTCTGTTTCCGGCTACTTCTACAAAAATTACTATCCGACCCAAAAATGGATTTTGAAATATTCGACATCAGCCAGGCCTTCCTACATGGAGACCTACGCGAGCGAGTTTTTGTGAAACCCCCTCCGGAATTGGCAAACCCGGAAAAACCGCTCTGGCTACTGAAGAAAAGTCTTTATGGGCTGACAGTGTCGCCCATGATGTGGAATATCAAATTTGTGGACTGCCTCAAATCGCTGGGGTTTACGCAGGCAGAAAGCGATGCCTGTCTGTTCACACGGGGAGGGGTTAGGCTCTGCATCTATGTCGACGATTGTTTTGCAGTAGGACCACCGGACGAACTGAAGAGGGCGAAGGAAGAAATACTTTCGAAGTTTTCCGGGCGGGTGCAGGACAAAACCGCCGACAGCGTGCAGCAGTTTACGTTTTTGGGTGTCGATGTCAAGTACGACAAAAAGGCGAGAACGATGCACCTGAAAAATTCCGGGGTCATCGCCCGCATGCTGGACAAGTTCGGCGATCTCGTCGAAGGAAAACACGCTAAGACTCCGATCGTGACTCAATTGGTAGGCCAAACGGGAGACACGGCGGAACCAGAGCACGACGAACACCAAGGAAAATTCCCGATGAGGGAAATAGTAGGCGTGATTCAATACTTACAGACTTCCTGCAGGCCCGATGTCGCTTACGCAGCGAAGGAAGTCGCGAGGTTTTTGGAAAACCCGAACAACGAAGCGAAAAGCGCAGTGCTACGCATCCTGGCCTATTTGCGTGACACGAAAGACCATGGCTTATTTTACACTGCTACGACAGGCAGCGACGCGCGCAAAAACTTGCACGCATACTCCGACGCCGATTTTGCCGGAGAAGTTCCAGGGCGAAAAAGCACGACAGGGGGAGTCGTACTCTGGAACGGATCGCCAATCTCTTGGAGATCCTCGACGCAGCGACTAGTTTCGATGAGCACCATGGAAGCGGAACTTATCGCCCTAGCCACGCTAGTGAAGGACTTGAAATTTATCGACTACCTTTGCGCCGATATTTTCGGAGTTGGAGAAGAAGAAAAGAAAAACGAAAAACGAAGTCCCTGCTTGGTATCCTTTTCGGACAAATTCACAATCCGAACCCGTTGCGACAACGAGGCAGCGATCCAGCATGCTCAGAGGGATTTTGCCACAAACCGCACCAAGCACCTAGACATCCGGCATAACTACGTAAAACAGTACTTGGGTGCGCTTGTGGACCTGACATACGTCAAAACCAGTGAGAATCTCGCTGATGTGTTTACCAAGCCAGTTACGAAGCAAAAGATGGATGCCATCAACATCCGAAAACCGTCCCAGTCGCCGAATCCCGATGAGAAAAAGAAGTAATGTGAAGTCAAAGTGGTAGTTAGCTCGTGATATACAGCAAGACCATATATCTCTACGTGTAGAATTTTACAAAAATTTCTCTACAAACATAAGACGGACCAGATCCGCAAGTTTGAAAAACTCAAGAACTTTATCGAGATTTACTAATTAAAAACTATAGAAGTTATCTGATTCCGACGGAAGTACAAACACAAAGAAAAGAAGCAAAAACCAAAAACCTAGAAAGTTATGCGAAAAACCTTACAACAGATTTTATTTATTCTTTTCCTTGTGCTTGTTTTCAGTCTTAAGAATTTTACAGACCTCGAGACTCAGTTTGAATTTACTAGGCGAATTACACTTACCAGTATAATTCGAGGGGGAGTATGTCGACATCGGTCACCATACCAAGCTCCTCGGTCTAAATTCAGACTTTAAAATCGTTCGGAATTTCAAAACGTACAAAAATCGTAGATCGAAAATCAAAGGGAGAGCAAAACTAAAACTAAACCAAAACACCACGCCACTGACTCACATGAACAAAATGAAACTTCAAAACTTTCTGCAGCTTCTAATCGTGTTGAACATATAAAACCCGACCCGATTCTGGAACTTGAACCAATTCGAACGTCCTCGCTGTGTTCTGAGTTTAGACCGCACCAACAGTAGTTATCTATACCCAAAACCTCCTGCTGTTTCGCCTGCACCTTCATCTGTTCATCCTTCAGATTCCTCGGGAAATCTTCCAGAAATTTGCTCATTTCCTGATCTTTGGTAAACAGAACCTCGTATTTCTGCTGGTCCGCACTAGATTGCTCCGCGCTCGCGTTCACTTCTATCAGCTGCTTCTTGCAGTTCTCCATCTCTTTCCGCGTCTCGCTTATCCTTTCCTCCGTCCGGACGATTTCCTGATTGTTGTCCTTCACTTTCTGCAGCAGCAGATCCCGCTGCTCGGGGATGGATAATTGCGACTCTTTTGCCTGCTGCTCCAGGTTCTGCAGCTTCGAAAACAGCTGCACCCGCTTCTCCTTCAGTTCCTGCATGCGGAGCCGCAAAGGCTCCTGCCGCAGCCGCGACTCCCCCATCAGCAGGTTCTGCGAAATCATCTCCACCTCGTGCCGGAGCTGCGGCAGGCTGATTTTCCGGTTCTCCTGCTGCAGCTGGTCGTATTCGTGCCGTTGGTCCGGGTGCAAGTCGTTTAGTTTCTCCTCGTCCGCACGCGTAAAAGACTCTAGGATCTGATGCGAGACATTTTTTCTTGTTTCTCATGTTGAAACATGATCTTCAATCAAGGTACTTTTTATCGTCTTTATCCTTGATTCTCATGTTTTCGTGCTGTGACCACGAAACAAACATCCATGACAAACTCACCCCATGAAAAATTTTAGCCTGTACATCACATACCTCGTCAAACTTTTTTATCTCCTCTTCGTGTGATTTTTTCTCCAGAAAAATTTGGTCCATCTCCATCCTCTGGGCGTCATTCTGACTCTTCAGCAGCTGGTACATGTACTGCACCTCTTCCGGCCTCGTGTCCGTGCGCTGCTTGTCCAGGGCCAAATTGTAATCTGCAAGCTCCCCCTCCAAATTTCGGACCGTTTTTATCAACTGCTCATACCTGGTGATATCAAATGCCGTACAACATTTCCTCTTTGCCACTACTTACTTGCTTTTCAACATAACAATCGTACTTAATCCTTCCTGTCCAATGCCTACAAAGAATGCCACGACCGGCATCAACCTTCAAGATTGAGAAATTACAGAAAGTCTCTTTATTCACGACCTTTTCTCCAGCATGGTGAAGGTGTTGTTGTCGTTCTGTATTTCCACCATCTCCTGGTTGAATTTCTGGAGCGCGTCCCGCAATTCGTTGTGCTTCCCCCGCAGCTGCGTCATGTAATAGCTCTTGTCGTAAATTTGCCTCCCGGGCTTCCCCTGTCCCTGGTTCACGTGCACGCCCATCTGCGTGAGCGGCCGGTCCTGCACGCGCACGTCGGTGACAAGACCCACGCCCGGTCCCTGTCGCATCGCCGCGGTACCTGGTGTCGTAGAAAAATACAAATAGCTTTTCGCTTTTGCTCATAATAAAATCAACCGTAAAAATCAAATGGCACACACCTCGCTGATCTTCGTCTAAAAACTTACCCATCCGCATCGCACTGGTGCCCATCCGCGAGGCCGGCACCGGGGCCCGCAAGCCTCCCGGGGTCGCAGCGCCGGACATGCCGCGGCCGGCGGACTGCATGCCCCGGGACTGGGGCCGGTTATTCATGTTTTTGTTGTATTTATTCACAAAATGTAGGACACTACAACGAGCTCGGGACGAAGTAGACAAGATAAATCTACAACCGACTTCTGTATCCGTGCACGCAACTACACGCAGCTCCGTCATCCATCCCCGTATCTCCCAACGGACTCACCGCTCTATCTCACTCTTTCGCTCGGGCAGCTCGTCAGAGTAAAAAGAAAAAGAAAAACGTAAACCTCTGACTCTCATAAAACTAGGTGTCTTGTTTTTGTGCCTTGAACGGAAGGATGTCGCGCAGGAACAATCCGCAAACACCAATTCCAAACCGTGATGGCAGTTCAGAAGTCGCAACAAAAGAAACATAAAAAATCTTTCGCGCGCATTCATCTTCTGCAGAGCGAGAAGATTCCGTAAACGTGGTCTACGCAAAATGGAGTTCAAATCAACTCATTTAATGATACAAGCATTACACAGTCGTATCAAAATCGTCGCTGTCGCCATCACACTTCTTCTATCTAAAGGAGTGAAACACTAGTACTACACACCATATTTTCGTCCTTAGCTCGAAAATCTACTTTCTTATCCATCGATCTTGAGCAGGGCGTCCAGCCTGCCCAATATATCCTTTTCCATGGCGAAGAAGCTCGGGTAGCGCGGCGCCTCCGCGCTGCGAAAATTGTCCTGCTTGTCGGCTCGGAGAAAGCTGGACTGCAGGATGCTGTTCGGCCCCCCGTCCGCATCGTCCCCGAAGTCGTCGTCCCTGCCCGGACTGGGAAACAATTTCCGCCTCTTTTTCACTCTTTCAATGTCGCTGGCCTTCAGCTGCGGCCCCGGGTCGCAGAGTTTCGGCAGTTTGTTGATCCACGCGAAAGGGAACTTCTTCTTCGTGGCCTTCTCCGTCAATAGGAATTCTACACACTGCCGCGCGTTGTCCCGCGTTTCGAACTGCAGCTCGCAGTGCACAATTGGTGTATTTTTAGAAGAAGAAGAAGTTGTCCCCCCTGCCGTCGTCGCTGTTGTAGAGGATGCTGAACTCGACCCTTTGTTCATCTTCCCTGAAGAAAATTCATCGTCGGCAGCTCCTCCACCTATTGCTTCGTCCACGAAAATCCGCACGGAGCCTTCAAATCCCCGAATTTTCCGATCCTTCTCCAACCCTTCGAAGTCGCTCTGTATTCTGCGGATCATCTGTCGCTTGGTCGCGTTGCTGAAAAATTCCTCCTCTCGGATCTCCTCTATTGTCGCCTTCTGCAACGATTCCACTTCCGGAGCGAAGTTTTTCCGTTTCACCTGCAGTAACACCCTCGCGTCCCGCAAACCCACTTTCGCCTTCTTCACCTGCACATCCAAGTCCTCGCGCAAGTACCTGCGCCGCTCCTCGTTCTTCTGCTCGATAAACGCCCGGTTTTGCTCGCGGATCTGTGCCAGTTGCGCGGACAACCCACCCGTCTTGGTTCCACTATCCCCGGTTGTACCGTGCACGTAGCGGCTCCCCGCGCGAATGAATTCGTCCTCCTTTTGCTTCTGCTTCGCCTTCTCATCCTGCTGCTTCTCCCGCGCGTCCAAATCCCGCGCCATCTTGCCCCGCGCGTCCTGTTGCTTGGCGAGAAACACTTCCTCCTGCTTTTTCCGATTCATCGCCCGCTCCAGCTCCTGCTTCACGTTTTCGTCCAAGAGTAAATCCCGGGCCTCCTTGACCTTGATGAACATGGTCGCGTCATTGTTGTCCTGCTTGTCGGGGTGGTATAAGAGGGACAGTTTCTTGTAACTCTTCGAAATTTCCTTCTCCGTCGCCCCCGGCTTCAGCTGCAGAATCCCGAACACGTCCACCTTCTCGCCATACTTCTCCCGGAACTGCTTCAGTGTCTGCTTCGTGGAAGCAGCCTGCTCCGGCTTCTTCGGCGCCATCTTTGCGGTACTTCTACTATACCGTGGAGTTTGTTACTCGACGACGTCTTCGCAGGTTTTGTTTATAACAACGTTTGAATGGGAATCTTACTTAGATGACTTTCGACGTTTTCCTTCACTTCTTAGACTTCCACATCCTCTCCTCTGACCTGCTAAACTTGATTTGACACGAGTAGACATGATAGTTGGAACTTCACCATAGGTATGAGCAAGCAAAAGCTTTAGGTGCCTTCGATCTGGATCCGGTGACATTCGCCTACTTGATAGAAAACGACTCATTGTCATTCTTTGTGATCTGCATACTCTGACGTGACCAAGTTATTCCATTCTGGTGCACGACTTTAAGCAGACTGCTTTTGCTTCTTGTTTGAATTCTAAAAATTTCTTGTCCACCAAGCGAGAAAAATGATCCTTTCTTCCCAGATCAATCGAAAATGCTGACCTCGTATTTTTGCATGAACAGCCACACTTTTACATACTCGAACGTCACTTCTACTTGTCAAAGTCATCGCAGTCCACCGCTCGGTCGCAGCATCTGCGCGAAGACCTTCAGGTCGTATGGATTGTGAATGTTTCTTCGTTTTGCAAAGTCGAGACAGCAGATGGAGCGATAGTATACCGCAGTCACAAGTTAGACCACCAACCGACCATCCTCCACCACCACCTTTGAAAATACACATTTAGAGGTACTTTGAAAAATTGCATCATGCACTGAGGACAAGCAAAGAAAAAGAATGGCGATGCATTTTCATTTAGGGGAACGAAGTAGTTCGTATACGCGAAGAGTTTGCAAAATGAGCGCTCGCAAAATATGTTGAAGAAAAGCACGGCTTCAAAGCCGATAAAACTGTAGATACGCCTATCAGCATTTCTGGGTGCGAAGATGAGAAGAAAACAAGGCCTGATCTTGCTATTCCTTCCCATTCCTGATCAATCAATGCGTAAGTGCAAAAAAAAGTTTGAGATGTACATTAGAAAGCTGGAGCCGACCAGAAAGACCTAAAAGAACTTGTTGCCACAAACCCTGCACCACTTTCATTAAACAAACCCTGCACCACTTGTTGCCACAAACCCTGCCGCAAAAAATGTGTCAATCTCCTTGCTTTTCCGGGGACATCGAGATGAAAAAGCGGTGTGAAAAGTGGCTCGATCAGATGTAAATTTCGCGCTCGGTCGGAAGCTGCTGCTGGACAAGCACCTCCGGGTCAGGCGTTTTTCCAGCAGTGAAAATCCCATTCCCAGCGACGGCGTTGCTGTGGTCGCGGCCATTATCACTTTTGTACACCTCCGGCACAATGAGCTCCCGCTTTGCGGTGACTTCGATCGGTTGGATGTTCCGCTGCAACGCGGTCTGTGGCCTGTAGTAGTCCGGAATGACGTAGTCTTCTAGAAAAACCTTCATCTCGTCCTGCGTCACGGGTATGGGAAGGAAAAGCCGCGTTCGTGCGACACTGCCATCAGGGATGAGATAATTTCATAGATCTTGCAGAACTCTAAATAAAATTAGAAATCTGTTCCACCTCGTTGTGCATGAAATGTGAACACACATGATCTACTCCTCGTTGTCTCTTCTGCAATGCCCAATCTCATACACTTGTTCACGTGCTGAGGGTTTCGGGCTTCGTCCTGTGTGCCCCGACGTACGTAATCTTCAAATTTGTTGACCGATTTTCGCGATCGCGATGAAGATCAGCAGAAATCACATGGCAACACGCAGAAGTGTGTGATTTTCCACTACAATAACGTCCATGTGGCCCCTAGGCGTCGTGCGGAAGTGAACCTTCTTGGCTTCTACTATTGTGCGCAACCCGAAGGTGTCATTGGTGTACCTGGGATGTTTTTTTGGTTTTTTCCCCGAATCAATTATTCGACAGCGACATGCACATGAAGGTACACATAAATCTTCATGATCAACGTGCAACGCGAATGAATTACTAGTTAGTCTCTGTGCGAAGATGACTTCTTGAAAAGAGTCAAACCAGGATTGGTGTGGCATGGTGTAGATGCTGTCGTATGTGTTTCCGTAGAATGCCCACCACTCCGCGTCCCTTGGAAGAATAATGTTGTCTTCCAAGCCCTTGACGAAGACAAATTTCTTGGTCACGTTGAACTTGCTGTCCACCTTGTGCACGGGCATGTCGTCCCGATCTTCCCCGTTCATCCTCGCCATTTCACTGTTCTGCCGGTACGTCGGCTCGGATATCTGAATATTTTGAGTCGGTTTATTTTTAAAATACGCTCGCTGTTCTACTTCCCGACCGAGCTGACCAGAAATATTTCGCATAAGAGAGAAGTGCCTCCAGGTCCAACCACCCAAGACCAGAAGAAGAACGAGGTCTTCACACAGCAATCAAAGAAATCATCATCATCATCATCATCATATTTGTGCTTGTCCTTGATGTTTCTTCATCATCATTTAACTTATGAGTGGACGGGCACCCAGTACTGCTTTATCCGGAATGACCCGAAAGTCACTCCGCTTGCCAGGTATTTTCCTGGCCTTTGTAGAAAGTGAATATCGAAATAAGTAATTTCCAACACCTGTATGGGGTTCCGGAAGTATCCGCAGGGCGTGATCCTGTCAACCAACAAGGAACTGTGGCACAGCGTTCCCTATGAAATGTAAAAATGTCTGGGTCTGGAAGAGTGTGAACTTGTCATGCAGGTTTACCATGACCCTTGAGGTCTGGAATGCGGGGCCTAGCATGGCAGAGTCTGAGAGGTCTCTTTCATGCCTATCCTGCATGAGAAACTCCCTCCTAACTTGGTCGAAAGTGGGCAGCTTTTGGCACTCATGCAACACAGATTTTTGCATGATTCGGATTTAGCATGACAAGTTGCAACCTTCCAGACCCAGACATTTTTGCATTTGATATTCCCGCCAGGTTGCTGATGGGGCGGTAGATTTCCCGGAGCGCTAAGGAGAGCGGGTCCAGCCCCGGGACGGCCCCCTCTCCGCCGAGCACGCCGTGGAAGGCCATCCAGGTTAACACGGGCGGGTCGTTGAACTTCTGTACGTAACCGCGCAGAATGCCGTTGCCCTGCGAAAAGCCCAAGGCGATGAACCCCTTCCGCAACTTGGGGTCCTGTCGCACTTTTTTCCGCCATAGGTCGATGCTGGACTTGAAGCCGTAAAACCAGCTCGCGACGTACTGTTGCACCTGCGTGTCGCCTCCGGTCGAAATGCAGGTCACGTAGGTATTCAGGTAGTTGCGAAGGAACGACTCCAGCTCGATGCGCTGAAACTCGTAACAGGAGGAAGAAATACCGTGGGAAATCACGATCTGATAATGTGAATCTTAACACTATTTCCCAACAATCAATTCGTCGTCTTTTACAAATGGCCGCCACAACAAAGCAGTGTAGTGTAAGTACTCCCCCGCCTCCGCAGTAGATCTACTATCTACGTCAAGAAATGCTAAGCAAAACCTCAAATATTAACCTACAGCAGCAATACTGGCGGAATGAGTCCCTCCGGAATATTCAACGGGTTCTTCGGCCCTGGCGGGCCCATGTAGGGCAGCGTGAAGTTCTCCCTGGGGATGAGATTTTCGTGAATCCAGTCTATCAGTTGTTTTTTCTCCTGCAGCGACCCGTCGACAGAGATGCGTTCCAGGTTTGCTTTCGTTAAAACATCGTTGTTAGCCCATTTTTCTGCTGAAGAAGGTAGCGATGTCTTCATCTCTGGTGTAGTTGTAACAGCGGGGGCCTGTCGATCGATGGTTTTTAGATCGGATAAATGTGAAACATCTCGCTTTTCTTTCGCAGCCGCGGTGGAAGGTGAAGATTCAGATTTACTCGCTCGTGCTGTTCTCGTTGCTTTTGATAGCTGGCTCTTTGTTTCTCCGTGTTGCACCACATCCTGCTCCGCTAGGCCGGCTACGCTGGCACCAGTAGTTGCGAGCTCCGCAGACGCTGGCCCATCTCGTCGTCCACTCGCTTGCGAAGAGGACGCTGCAGTGCTCCTTGTTTGCAGTGGCTTGAAGAAGTTCTCCCCTGCAACGAGAGTCGCAGCTTCTTGAGACACAAGCAAAAGCGACGAAACACGAAGCGTACGCCGGTGAGGGAGAAACACCATGTTCTTTGTCGGGTGGACGTGAAGCAGATAAATATTCAGACACTCAACATTTCTTCATGTACAGTACCGCATCTAACGTTGTTGCCGCATCTAACGTCCTTGCCCCTCATTTGTCAGCCTTCTGCTGCAACAGACTGGCTACAAGTTCCATTCGCCTCTCATCGCTCAAACATTGCCGCCCTTCTTGCACATTTCGCAAAAAATGATGCCATTGCATTCCCGTCTAGTATAGCGTGCTTTCTTTTCAAAAGGACTGTGACCACTGAGAATAACAAATTGAAGGAAACAGATCGACTTACCCAACATGCCCGGTTCCGTGGACGCCTAATCTGCGAAAGTTCAATACGATCCTGTTTTTCATCCTGTCATCGCCGACACCAGACGCAAATCTAACGGCACATTTTCGTTCCGCCTCTGCTCATCCGATGCAGTAAAACACGAAGACGCGGATGAAACACGACTATGTCGTACCAAAACCAAATTGCGTCAATCATCATCATCTATATATCCTGCACTTAGGGCGGGGCCCCATAGTAATAATCCACAATAATCGGACTCTCGCTTTCTTTCATCTCGCTTTCTTCTTCGTAGCCGAAGGCGTCCGACGATTTATTTTTCTCCTTCGTTTCTACACCGGACTCATTCTCGACGATGCCGAAGGTAAAGCACAGCTTCGCAACCCGCTTCGCGACTCCGCCTACCGGGCTGGTTTCCAGATCTTCCTGGCCATTATTCGCCTCTGCTGCCGCCGAGCTGCAGGATAGTTCCTCCTCGTCCTCCGAGAAGGAGATCTGACTGTCGCCCTGGCTCTCCTGCGCACTGTTGGATCGGCTGCCTTTTGCACGTGCCTGCTCGACCTGGTCGGCGTAGTCGTACAGATTGGTGAACGTGCTTAGATCCGTGCTGACGCCCGGAGTCACTTCCTGCGGGAAAAACCGCCACAAGCGGGAGGGACGGAGCATTACTTCTTGGTGCGCATGCACTTCTTCCTCACCGTCGTCATAGGAGTGGTACAGCTTACGCGTGAGCGGGTGGTGCGCAAACTTGTAGTTGAAGGCTGGGACGGTGGTCCTCTGTAGTTCTTTTTCACCTGCTGTCTTCGTACAAGAAGAACACTGCTCCGAGACGAGCTGGCTCAAAAACTTCCAACGCCACGGATTTTTCGGGAGCGCCATGACCTGCTGTTCATTTCGAGCCTCACCCTGCTGCGGCAGCACTCCACCTTCGTGCGGAATGCGGTCGATCCTGGCCAACAAATCGTAGGCAGCAGGAACAAGGAGTGGGCCAGTGTTAACCGGAGCCGCTCCGATCTCTCCCGGGCGGTCGCGATAGTAACCGAGTCCACACACGTCGAACTTGAAGATGTACCCGGCCTTGCTCCCCTGAAACGCATCCGCCGGCAGAAAGCCCTCCTCGTCGTCCCGATCTTCGGCCCCTGCTTCCACTGGAACGTCTGTACTAGCGCCGGTTGCGCGATCTTCTCCTATCGCGCCCCCCACACCCACTGGAGGTGCACTACTAGTCGCCGATGTTGGACCACGAGCTACTGCTCCAGAAGCGGAGGAGCTCGACGGCGCTTGCTGGCCAGGAGGAGGAGCTGCAGCTGCAGCGTCGTTGGCGGCCTCGCGCTGTGCGGCGGCCCTCCTTTGTCGGTTTAACTGTGCGGTCGTGCGGAAGGTGCCCTCTCGGTACTCTCGATCAAAAGACTCGCCCAGCTGTCGCCAAACCACATCGTAGCCCGCGTCTTGCAGCGAGAACCCACACCCGCGCAGCTGCGTGCGCAGCAGGTGCCACATGCTCTCGTCCCGATTGAAAAAGATCTCCGGAAAAGTCAGGCGGAACCAGTCAATCTTCTTCTCAGCTAGCTTTTCCCGCCGCTCCACGAAGCTCGCAGTGCTATATAGGAAAAAATTTTTGAAGTACAGGCTCAAAAAGATGGCGGAAGTTGTCCACAAGGTCAAACCATCTTACGTGCTTAGACCATGAAGCAACAATTCATTTTACTGCATGTCTCACTCTAAGAAAATCTTGATGTTGATGCGCGGCCTGGCAGACTCGCTAATAATCTCTAGTACCGCGAGGCAGCCAGAAAGGAAGTGTGGACCGCCGAGCTACAGTGGCGGCTTGTCTTCGTCGCAAGTTCCACCCGTTCCTCCCGCAGAAGCAGGAGCTCCAGCCCGGACAAGCTGAAATCGTCCGGCTCAATAAACATAGCCAAACACTGCGGAGGGAAGATCACTTCTTTGTCGTTTGCGAGGCGACGCCTTCGTGGCCCTCGGTTGTTGGCCTCATAGCGGGAAAAAAAATCCATCTCCTCCTCGTCAGCATACTCGTGCACAGACCCTTCATCATCATCGTACCGATAATGGTAGCTGTGGTGGTCTTCGTCTCGCCCAGTCACCGCCTCATTCGCGAGCAGCACATAGCCGGCCAGAGACTTTTTGACCCAGGGTTTTAGTGTGGTTGAGAGGCCTGCACCGGACTTGTCTGTTTCCGGGTTCGGTACTGCCACACAGGCGTACAGGCGCAAGGGCGCCCGTGTCTGTTTCCGGGAAATGCGGACCTCTCGTTCCCGTCTCTCTTGCAAATACGAGCGACGAGACATGACAGGCTTCCCCTCGCTGCCGGGCTGCCCCCGCTCCACTGGCGGTGGCGTCGCTGAGGCTACCTGCCCGGGTGGGGGAACGCCGTCGGTCAGCTGAATCAAGAACGCCCGCTCGACACCGTTCGGCACGCACCGCCAACCAAGCGAGCCTCTGACGTGCCCCAGCTCAAACACATCTCCCGTTCTCATCAGTGTCCGGTCCGCCCTGCGGAGGGTGACGGGATTGCTCGCTATCGTTTTAACATTGGTCGTGGAGTCCTTCGTTTTTTCCAACTTGGAAGTAGTTCTCTCACTGTTCACTTCCTTCTTGTTCGCATCTTCGGGATTTGCACTGCTGCAGCCATATGGAAGAGCAGAGTCCTTTTTAGGAAGTGCGGCTTTGAGTCTGCTCAACAAATCAGTACCGCCTACGCGGCCAGCACTCCCACCAAGCAACGTTGATGAAGAAGCTGCGCTGGTGTCTCTCCGCGATACAGCTGCACCCTGCTCAGCAACACCTCCTACACTAGTTTTCTCCCCGGTACTTCTATCGGTGTCAACACCAAGCAGCGACGGCGCCCCTTGTTCCCTACTGTCATCTTCGTGTTCCCCTTTTTGCGGCAACACCACCGGATCCAACTTCAAATACCCCACCAGAGAGCGCACAATCGCATCATCCAGCAGCCAGACGCGCAGCAGCGAAGAAGTAAGGAGACTAGAGACGATGAAGCCGCCGCCGCGCTGCATTACGTCTTTTACCAGAGCAGCCTTGCGGTCGCTTCTTAGATCAAAAACTCTTTCACCTCGCAGCGACTCTACCACGTGCGCAACGCCCGAGCCCCCGAGATCGCGAAGGCGGTCCTTCTCTCTAGCGTCGAGGATCTCGTAATGTTTGGTGATGACCCGATTTGTGATGACGGAAACCCGTGCTGTAATGTAGCTTTTGAAAGTTTTGATTGTACCGAGGGGAATGTCCCAATATTCTTCAATGCTGAGCGGCGTACAATTAGTGCTAGCCGCTCCCAGCATGCCGTCCTCGGAAACTGCACGCACCGGCTTCACGTTGTTTGGCCCGTAAGCAGGAATCGGGTGGTAGTTGGAAAATTTCGTAATGCGCCGGTTGTCCTGCGGCATGGTCGCGTTACTCGAAATGGTTGAAAAAAGAGCACCCTCCCGGTAGTCGTCTCCACAGCGTAGGTATTTGAACACCGCAAGAAGCTTTTCTTCGAGCGCTTGGCGCATAAAATGAAACAGCAACGCATCCACCGTGACCGTTTTCGTTCGCTGCAATTCCGAGGAAAACATTTTCACGTCGTTGTACTCTGTGAGGTCTGTCAGTTTCGCTTGTGCGGACGCGCCGTCGTCTCCTGGTGCCCGGCGGTACTTTATGTCGTTGATCAGATGCAAACATGACCGGTCACGCGCATCCCCGCGACTCTCCACTGGCAGGACCCGCTTCCTATCGCACAGGAGGTCACCTCCGATGGATCGAACCTCCAGAGACAGGTCCGGAAAGGCTGCGTCGCTCGACGAAAACAGCAGCTCGATGTGCTTTCGGAAACACCGGACCGCATCGTCGCGCATCGCTCTTCCCCTGCTCTGCACGAATAATTCAGCAGCTTTCATTTGCTTGTAAACAGGATGACGGTCTTTCTCACTGTAGTGACCATGCTTTTCGCCGACGAAGGACAGCTTCTCGACCTCCTCGAATTTGGCGAAGGCGCGCGTCTGCGCACGCGAGAACTCCGCGAATTCCGATACGCCCGGTGTCTCAGCCAGTCCCACACTCTTTTGTTCCACAAACTTGCTGGATGCGGACCGTTTTTCTTCATACACATCCAGGTACTTTTCCGCCGTCGCAATTTGCGTGTCCACCACGAACTGATCCGGACAGAGCCGATAAAACTTCGCCTCCGGTTCTGTATTTTTCACTTTATCCTCGGAACAACCACGGCGCTGATCCTGATGTGCCCCTACTGCTTGTTCCGTACCGCTAGCGTCCTGCATTTCCACATCTTCAACAGCACTGCCTGTCTCAAGCGCCGCAGCTGTGGCTGGCTTGCCTTTCTCAGCAGGAGGAGCAGACACAGGTCTGTCTACTTTTCTTCGTTTTGCTGCAGTATCTACAACTTCCGAAACATCTTCGTGGCGTGTCGTCACTTCAGAGCCAGCATCGGCCTTCTCTTCTCCACCGCCTTTTCTACTTCCATGTTGGTCCTCTTGTTTACCAGCAGTTTCTGCAGCTTCGACCTGTGGCAGCTGCGGCCCCACCACAATCGCCTCCGCGCTATTCTCCTCATCGGCGTCACCGTCACCGCAGTCGACGTTGGGGTCCTCCTCTTCTGCTTCTTCGTCCTCCTCGGGGTCCTCGTCAGCCGCATCTTCAAATTTAATTAGATGGTCGCCGTAAAGAACCGTGGTGCGGAATGCCTCTAGGTCAAACTTCGGCAGCTTGGACTCTGCCTTTGCCAGCAGTTCGTCATAAGTGTCGCACTCTTTCAGCGCAGCAAAGTTGTCCCGCGTGCAGAGTACAGCGCCCTCTTCCCTCAGGCCATCGGGCAGTGACCGCAGGAAACATTCCTCGTCCTGCGTCGCTCCGGTCGGTGCTTTGCCACAGTCGTGAGCTTTGTCCGCTGCTGCCATGATTTTGTGCAATCTAATCAGTACCTATCAGCAGCGAAAAACGTCGACCATATGGCTTTTAGTGCCCCGCGTTTGAAAATGAAATGTCATGTGGCTCCTTTCTCCTACCTTCTTTGTTTTTCTTAATTCTTTAGAATACGCTGCCGGAAAAATTTATCAAATTTCTTGTGCTGGTTTATTCAGTGCAGCTCGGTCGAAAGGATGCTTTTCAAAAAACACATTGGCAACTGGTGGAACAGTGCCCGGGAATAAAAGCAAGGAAAAGACGAGGCGTGAAGAAACACAAAATATGAACAAAGAGATGAGGATGAACAGATTTTCCGAATGACGCTTTTTTATTTGAGACCGTTGCGGTCTTCGTTTATCAAACTCTTTTTTTTCTGTTTCTCCATGGCTACACTGATTAGGGATATAAAAGATGTATGATTGTGCTTGTGACTGTTCCCTCGCGAAATGAAAGGCCGCCCACTCTCTGTATCGTGGCGCCGGCCCTCCAGATATGAATCTCAAACTGGATATGAATCATCTACAAAGGAGAAACAAGCTGCTACAGAGATACAATTCTCCTACCTAAATCAACAAGTTCTTCCGCACCGCGTCAGCTATCGTGAATAAAAACCACATCAGGGGAATAAAGGATCTTCATCGTCAAAAGGATTTTCATCGTCATCGCTTTCGCTATCTTCGTCATCACTCGGTACCTCGTCGCCATCATCGTTTATTTCCTCTTCGGCTATACCAAATGTGAAGAAAAGCTTCTTCACACGCTTCTTTTCGACATCAGGCTTGCCACTGTTTTCCGGCCCTTGGTCGGGTTCTTCATCGGTTGGATGGACTTCAAAATCACTTTCTCCAGCCTCGCTGCCGGTGGATGCCATGGCGTCGTTTTCGTTCAGCGCCCGTTCAACCTGGTCTGCATAGTCGTACAGGTTATCGAACGTCCGTAGAGGTTATCAAACAACAAGAACTGCAGCCACGCGCTTGCTGCAACTGCACAAGATAATACTCCAGCTGCAAGCGCAAGTGGAATACTCAAGGATATTAAGCAATCTGAATCTTATCATGCCCAAATCTTCTAACTATAGAGCAAATGCCTAACTTCGTAAGAACATATCGCCGCGGCCACTGCGGGGAGGGAGATCCTTCGAAGGTAGGAGGCAAAGTTAGGTACATGCTCAATCCTGCAGATCAAGTTCATACAAATTGCAAACTCCGACCGTTGTACTTACTTGTTCCTATCACGAGACCAGAGCCAGGCAACCGCGATCACTGCGTTCATTTTCTTACATCCGAGCTGACATTCGGAATTTCTTCCGAAGGAAAAAACCGCCAGAGTCGCGAAACCTCGCGCACAACACGTGACTGCGCGGGTGATTCATCATCTTGGTCGGCCGCAATGTGAAACTCCTGCGGAGGGTCGTGGACCGGGACTTGACTATGTTGATTTACCGCCTTCCAGCGCCACGGATTTTTCGGAAGCGTGTCGCTGATCAGCCGCGGCCCGGCTGCATCATTGCTATTCGTAGCTGTCGAGAACCCCACGGCGTCCCGGTAGTACCCCAGACCCAGTTCACCTCGCTTGAACACGTACCCCAGCCTGCTTCCGTCAAACGTCTCCGCGGGTATGAAGTTGGCCTGCTCAGCTCCTTTGGCTGTCGCTTTGTTCTCGGATTCCTCTACTCGTCGCGCCTCCTTTTCGTCGAAAGCATCCGCGAGCCGGCGCCAGACGATCTCCTTGCCTAGAACGAGATCCTCCAGAGTATAGCGGCAACCCTTCAACTGCATGCGCAACATGTACCAGACGCTATCGCTCGTGTTGAAAAAAATCTCCGGGTAGGTCAGCCGAAACCAATCGACTTTGTTCGCCGCGAGTTCGCAGCGTCGCCCCACAAGCTTGGAAAATCTGATTGAGATTTTCAGTCACAAATGTGGGAAACATGAAAATGAGAAAAAAAAACGTCGCAAACAAAAAACTGGTCGCTCTAACGCCACTCCTAAGCATAGCCATGCAGCAGTTTAAATAAACTGTAATACTCGGTTTCCTCTCTGGAGCCTCTGAATATGCTTAGCTTACTCGGAGGAAGAACTGTTCGCGAGGGATCCAGGTGCCTATTGTCTGGTATGGCGTTGCGCCAGGGAGCTTCAACGGTCAAACGCTGCCTTGCCGCCGACCGCATCTGCTTGTCCCAGAGTTCTACCAATTCCGCGCCGGATAAGCCACATTCACCCGGCTCAATGAACATCGCCAAAGAGTTCCACTCAAACCGCACTCTGTTCCCGTTCAGCATTCTTTGCTCCTCTCCCGGCGACGCCACATCACGCCCCTTATACTTGGGAGGGGTCCGCGAACGACCCCACGACGCTGTTATTGCTCGATCCGGCAGGATGACATAGCCCGCCAATGAACGGTCCAACCAGGACGCAGCAGCAACACCATCAGAAGCAGAAGCCTTGTGCATGACTGTATTTGACATGGAAACGCACGCATATATGCGCAGCGTTGTCTCGTGACTCATCGGAGTCTTCAGTTTCTCGTCCTTGCCTTTGCCGGCTTCCGACGAAACCGCTGCTGGTGCAAGCGACCGAAGGGCGACTTCTTCTTCCGTGAGTCGAAGCAGCATTACTCGTCCTCCCGGTCCGTTCGGGAGGCACCGCCACCCAAACGCGGGTAGTACGCTTCCGAGGGCAAACATATCACCCGTTCGCATCATCGCACCGTCGGCTCGGCGAAGAGTAGTAACATGAACATGGTTGCTGCTGCTACTGAACTGATCTTGATTGTCCGTCGCTGAAGTAAAGTTGCTGCACTCGCCCGTGACGATACTTGTCGGTCCTGTTGCGTCTACTTCGCCCTCGCCCTGACGGTGAAGTTGATCGTCCTCAGGCAACAAGTCAATTGGCCGTACGAAACTGCGGACCGTCGCGTCGTCAAGCAGCCACAAGTGCAACAGACCAACTGTTAGCAAGTTCGACACAATGAACCCACCACCGCACCTGTACAGGTCCTTCTCGCGATGGCTCCCACGACCTCTCAACTTCCTGTCCGGATCCGGAAGTTGTGGGTAGAAGTTCCTAACGTATTTCTTCTCACGTGACTGTACCAGCAAGAGGAGACCGTGCGCAAACGCAAAAATTGCTTCACACGGAATGTCCCATTGGAGATCCAATAGGCCAGTGCTTGGCCCCGCCATGACGTCCAAGAAATTTTCTCCGTCTCGCGAAGAAGCCGACTTCAGCCCGCACCACACAGATTTGAAAACATTCTGCAACTGCGTTTCCAAAGTTTGACGCAGGAAACTTTGCAGGACCACGTCGGCCGTCAAGATGTCTTTGCGGCCAGGAAGCGCGTTACTGTTGTACTCGTAGACGTTTATTGCTTTATCTGGGCCCCACTCCAAAACCTCCGTTTCGGAGTTGATCCCTGCCATCACCAGAACGCTCTCCATTGGCCAGATTCGCTTGATCCCGCAACACAAATCGCCACCGAACGACCGTATCTCCACACCAAGATCGGGCAAAAGACGTCCAGGTAGAGACTCGTACTGGCCTAGAAACGCGGCGTGTGCAATGCCGTGAAGGTGTCCTGCCTCCAAATCGATGAATTCCGTTATTTTCCGCATGCTCTCCAGGTACGACGCCGCATTGGTGGCGCGGAACCGGGCGGCGACTCGCGTACCACTCCTGTTACCGAACACTCGCAACTCGCAAGTACCGGTGAAAGCCCGGGTCTGAGCACGCGACAGCTCCGCAAACTCCGCCACTGCTGTATCTTTCGATGGGCAAACTTTCGGACGGTTGCGATACTGTTGGTGCTTTTCGGAATAGTCATCGACTAGCTGTTGCTTCACCCGTAGTTGGGAGTCCACGACAAACTGATCCGGATGGACCCGGTAGAATTTTCCGTGTTTCTCGTCTCCGGTTGATCCTGAAGCAGCAGCCGCAGAAGATGAGCAGCTTTCCGTGCCGCTACTCTGCAGATGGGCAGAAGAGTCTGCGCCCTCCCCCACAATTTTCTGATCATTGTCGCCCGCGATTGAATTAACCTTAGGCTCAATGCCCGCTTTCTTCACAACACTGAAAACGCTTTTTTTCTTTTTTCGGCGGACACCGATCTCACCTTCGCCGAGCGGGCCGTGCAGTGCACTAACATCCTCCACGTCATCCTCGTCACTGTCGTCTGTCACGGATTGCTCGTGGTCAGTGTACTCGTTTCTGATCGCGTTCTGCTCCTTGAACTTGTCTATGTCGAAAGGAGGAAGTTTTTCTTCCGCTCTAGATAGCAGCTCGTCGAAGGATCTCATGCGTTTCATGGCTTCGAAATTCGCGCGCGTCACAACAACGCCGCCTTCTTTTGTCATGTCAGTCGGAAATTGTCGGAGAAACGAGCCGTCCTCGGTATGATTTTTGGCCGGGACAGAAACGGCCGACGCAGCTGCCACCGGAATCATGTTTCCTGCTTCTGTTTAAAGGTCCAGCGGCCGCCGGATCCACGATTCCTCACTTGTTTGTTCCCAGGACCGCTGGTGAGTTCATTTTGTCATCCTCAGTGAAGAAGAAGCACATGTCGACGATCTACTCTCTACAAAGAGAAAGAGTTACAGTTGTTGTATCTGCCTTTATGAGTCTTCGGCCAATTTGTTCCAGATTTGCATATCGCAGATGATACTTTCTTCGCAAAAGAAAAAAAAAGTTAGCTCTTGTTGGAACCTCAACTCGTACTTGCTTCCTGACTGAGAATACACCACATCGAGAGTCGTGGTCCGTCAACGACAACAACCAGCGGATCGCGGAGTGCGACCCGGCGTCAAGGCACAGGCGCGAAGTCAAGAAACGGAAGATAACATACGAGACGAAGAAAGAGGTGAACATGTTTGCCGACTACCGCTTTTTCTTCTTTTGACACAGATGCCATCTTTCTTTAGCAAACCCAAAACATTTGCACTTTCTTTATGGCTATGGCAATATAGATCGATGTATGATTGTTCTTGTGACTGTTTCCTCGCGAAATGGAAGGCCGCCCACTCTCTGTAGCGTGGCGCCAGCCCTCCAGATATGAATCTCGAACAGGATATCACCTACAAAAGAGAAGGAGAAATAAGCTGCTATGCATGTAGTAACAATTCTCCTACCTAAAGCAACAAGTTCCTCTGCACCGTCTGCTCAAGAAAGTCCAAACGTGGCGTAAGGGTCCGGATCCGCAAATTCGTCCGACACAAATCCGTCGCTGGAGTACGCCCCCCCGGAAAGGAACTCCTCATCATCTTCACTGTTCATACTGGCCTCGTCGCTGTGAAGCACTCTTGCCAGGTCACGCTGTTTTTTTATGCAGTCTGCAAACCTGTCGGTCATCTAGTTCTTGGGGAAATGCACATACGAATATTGCAAGCCACATACAACGTACACCGCTGGACAAGAAAAGGCTCAGTGCTAACATCAGCAAAGCGCCAGCACCAAGGGAGCTGGGACTCTTTCTTTCACGCAACACGCTGCAAGCATTATGTGTTCCGCGATCACGACGCAGTGGAGATGACAGAACAGGCATGCATCATGAGAGAGGTCTTTCTCTATCTCTCTCGACTCCACCCACACCGATTTTTCAAGTTTGCTTTTGATATGCTGCCTTCGCAGCAAGCGATTCCGCTCCTCCTCACCGCTTGCAGCTGTGGCCAGCGGATCCACAATCGTTAGTACAAACTGCAGCTTCGTCACCTTGTGCTCCACTTTTTCTGTCGCAGGAGGGTTACTATCATCTTCCCCAACAAAATTATCGCCCTCCTTTTCCGCTGAAAACTCCTCGTCATTGTAATCATCGTCCTCCTCCTCCTCGTCCAAAGCTCGTGGCTTGTTCAGCGCCTTCTCGAGCTGGTCAGCGTAGTCGAAGAAGTTGTCGTACGCCCGCAAGTCGGTCTGCAAGTCCGGGACCACCTCGGCCGGCGCAAACCGCCACTTATTGGAGACCTTCTGGATGACCCGGGTCCTGGTGGTGTCGGACGGGAGAGAGAGGGGCTGGTCTTTCATACCGGCGGGGACTTTCGATTTGCTTTTGGTATTTTCTGACACGGCAAGATTTTTTTTGCTGGACTGGGTCGCTGCTGTGTCGTCTTTCGAGGATGTACTAGGGTTTGCTCCTCCTTCTTGTTTTCTGCTAGTACTTGCGGCGGATTTTTGTTTCTCGTTTGACGACGATGAAGCTTCGCTTTTTTGTTTTTCCTCTCCCGAATTGATTTTACTGCGCCCTTTGGAGTCAAGCACGTCGCCAGATGAAGCAGCAGCTCCTGCTGTCCCCGGGCTCCCAGACGCCGTTTGGAACTCTTCTGGAGTAATTACCTGGATCCGCATCCAGGGGTTGCTTGCAATCGCCGCCAACGATCCTATCGGCGCGCCCGGCACGCTGATTCCCCGGGGCCAGTAGTCATCTCTGTAGTACCCGATACCTCTCTCCCCGCGCTTAAACACGTACCCCGGCCGACTCCCGTCGTGGTACTCAGAAAAAATGAAGTCGGGACGCAGAGCATCCAAAGCAGGATCGCTCATGTGCGTCACCGCGTTCCGACGGGCGTGTCCGCGCTCCTCGCCGGCCTTCTCTCGCTCGACGGCCGCGCGGTGCTCCGCAGCGTGTTCGCGGTCGAGGAAGGAGTAGACTATTTCGTCAAGGGTCGCTTCGTCATTTCCGACCGACTGTATGCCGTTTCCACCCAGTTTCTCGGTGAGAAATGCTTCCTTCACCTTCCGCGGATACTGGGCCAACCGCTCCAGTCGGGTCTGCTTCATACTGGTGTGGTGCGGGGAGAGTTGCTTTAACCCCACGAAGAAGGCCTTCATGTCCTCACAAAATCGCTTCAGCTGGTTCTCGAGCCTGCCTCCGGCATCGAAGGTCGCGGCGAGCTTCTTCAACACGCTCTCACGCCCCAGGGCGTGCACACCAAACCGGCAGCCGTTCAAAACCGTGCGGAGCAGCTGCCACGCGCTCTCGTTCGAAAACATTCCCGGGTAGGTGAGACGAAACCAGTCGATTTTACGAATGGCGAGCTCTTTCCGCCTTTCGAGAAGCTTCGCAAACCTGAGGTGTAAAAGAAAGCAATGCGGAATAAGTCGCAATAAGTAGTCTAAATTTCGATCTTGAGTAAAAATGGTGCTCAACTCGAGAGACGCTTCACCCTACGCAATTAATAGCGAAAAATAAACTACGATAAATCAATCCAAACTACTCTGTCAGTGCCAAGGCTGCCATGGGGTTTCCACGGGCGTGCTCTGCTCCCAGCGACCCAGCTTCCCGCGCGTCCTGCAGCTTCTCTTCCCGCATGGTTAACAGCTCTAACCCGGATTTTTCTTCGTAGTCCGCGGCGATAAACATGCCTACGCAGCTGTCCGGAAACAAGACCTGGTTGTCGGCGAGTTCGGTGTACTGCAGAGAACCCCGGTTCGTGGAGCGGCCGTACCGATACCCATAATCGTCGTAGGGGTCGTAGTAACTGGATCCGTGGGTAGGGAACGCATCCTTGGGAATCAGCACATACCCGACAATTTTGCTTTCGCTGACACTTTTGTTCGGTGTCGACGATATCACACTAGACGGCGCACCAGCAGTGCCACTCGCAGATGAAGCGTCACTCTTTATTCCGGCAGCCGCGACACACACGTACACGCGCAGTCCCTGTTTCTGTCCCTCACTTGCGTGACCGGCTCTGTAGGACTGCAGCCTTCTTCTTCTGTGCAAAAGTTCTTCTACTTTGCTGCGTGTGTTCGCTTTTTCCGGCACTTGTTCCACCTTCCCAGCCACATCAGAGCCCGAAGAGTCAACATTGGCGTCCGAAGTGACTCCTGTTGGCGCTGCCGCCTCCGCCAGGGACCCGGGCACGTGATCAACTGCGGTCAAATGCAGCAACAAAGCCCGGTCCGCGCCGTACGGAACCGACCGCCAGCCGAACGCGCCTCGCAACCGGCCGAGCTTGAAAAGATCCCCAGTCTGCAGTTGCTTCAAATCCGGTTCCACGAGGCGTTTTCTCGCTTGCTTCGAACCTTTCTTCACGGCCATCAGCGGACAGGAACGGGCAGCTTCGTTGGCCGGAACTTGTGACGAACCGTAAGCATGATCCCTCGTGGGGAAGGACCAGACGCCGCGCACTTCGTCATAAACAGGCGGCTCCGAGGACTCTGTCTGGATGGGCACCATCATGGCGGCAATTTTCTCGTCGCTGACCAACCCCAGCTGCAGCAAGCCCGCAGTCAGCAGCGACCCAACGACAAAGCCGCCGCCCCGGCTCCGGATGTCCTGGCGCCGGGCCTTCATATCAACTGCAAAAATGTCTGGGTCTGGAAGAATGCCAGACTTGTCCTGCAGGTTTTCCATGACCCATGAGGTCTGGTATGTAGGACAGAGCATGACAGATTCTGTGAGAGTTCTATCATGCCTATCCTGCATGAGAAACTGGCTCTCGATTAGGTCAAAAGTGGACAGCTTCTGGCGATCATGCAACACAAATTTTTACATGAGTCAGGTTTAGCATGACAAGTTGCTTTGTTCCAGACCCAGACACTTTTGCATTTGATACTCCACGTGCTTCCGCATCTCGGCCCGCCGCTGTTCCTGCGCGCGAAAGCGCTCGCGATGGTTTCTTTCCTGGTCCACAAGTGGCATGGTGGCCTCATCGCGGTGCCGCTCGGTTTTCCGGAAGGCCTTCTCTTCCTCCTCCTCGAGGGAGGTGAGTAGATCGTCGATGAAGTTGTTGACTGTTTGACGCGGGATGTCCCAGCTGGTGTCCACGTTGTCCAAGTATGCACATGCGCTGTAGTTAACAATTCCCCTGGCCGCGCCGTAGGGCACGTCGTCCCGGGGAGTGGAGATCCCATTCGGGACCGGAAACTCGTCCGAAAATTTAGAAACAAACGGCCGCTGGTGGCTGGAGTCAGTACTTCCTGCTGCTGCTGAGCTTGAACTAAGCGCGTTGGCGTTGTTAGTGAGCACGAAGTTGTTGTTCGCGGATGAAATAAAGTAGCTGTTTGTACTAGACCCCCCGCCGCCCGCCAGCAACGCTTCAAAAAGTTGCTTGACTTTCTTCTCTATCAAATGTAAAAATGTCTGGGTCTGGAAAAGTGGAACTTGTAATGCGTGTCATGCATTCCTGGACAATCTGTGTTGCATGAGCAGCAAAACAGAGGCTTTCTTTGTCATGCAAAAACGCAATTTGCAATGCGTGCTAGGCATCAGCAGGCCTCTCAAAAACTTGTCATGCTTGGCTGCCATTGGAAGCGCTTCAATCATGCGCAATTCAGCATCACAAGTTTCCACACCCAGACATTTTTACATTTGATATTCTCCAAATGCAGCCGCATGCTGTGCTGCAGCTCCACGTCTATCAAATGTAAAAGTGTCTGAGTCTGGAAACTTGTGATGCTGGGTGGCGTCTCATGATGAGGCTACAAATGCTGGCTCAGCATGACAAGTTTCTGAGCTTCTCGGTGTTGCCTATTCTGCATGACAAACTGCGCTTCTGCATCACAGAAAAACGGAGCTCTTGGGTAACGCGCATGACAGATTTAAGAGTTATGTCAGACAAGCATGACAAACATGAATTCTTCCAGACCCAGACATTTTTGCAGTTCATAACATCTAGCGTGAGCCGATTTTTTTCGCGAATGTTTTTCACGTAGCGGCCATCCGCGAGGTAGTAGCCCTGCGAATCGGCACGCTCACCGCGCCTGACGTGAAGTGGATCCTCTTCTACGTACTCCGCAACCGGAATTGTGCAAAAGCCGTTCGTGTGTTTCTTCTTCCCGACTTGTACACCTTCCGACGCGCTCGGAACATCATGACCGTGTAGATGCCAGAACTCCGCACTTTCGTGCGGGGCCACCTGCGCAATGTGCAGACAGGAGTCTATGGATGTGTCAGGATTGAAATCGACAAAGTTGAAATAACTTGTAATGCAGAAAATGGATGAAAGTTGCAATCCAGTTGCCAAGTGGCGCATGACAAATTTGGGTAGAGCCGAAATCCAGTCTGTCATGCTGTTTGGGTATAGGAAGACGCTTTTTTCATGCTACTTTAGCAGCTCTATTTCTACCCCGAAACAGGCTCACAATCTGCCCCCCTTGCCTACCCTGCAAGACAGACACTTTCTGCGTTGCATTTTATGCATGACAAACTATTTCAACTTTGACGATTTCAAACCTGACAGTTCCATAGAGTCCCCGCCTAGCGTAGCGACCTCGACGGAAAGTTTGGGCAGGCGGGACAGCGTATCAAGTGTAAAAGTGTCTGGGTCTGGAAGATTCTGACACTTGTCATGCACGTTTTGCATGAGCCATGATGTCTGTGATGCATACCCTAGCAATACAGATTCCTTGAGGGCTTCTTGATGCCTATTCCGCATGACAAATGCCTTCTCAGCGTAGCAAAAATTGCATTCCCTTTGGTACTCATGCAATACAGATCTTTTTGGAATCCAAATGCAGCATCACAAGTTGCATTCTTCCAGACCCAGACATTTTTACATTTGATACAGCGGCGTCGTGGTGAGATGCTTTTTGTGCAAAGCAACGACCTTCAATAGCATTTCCTGGCCAATCTTCGTCAAGTCATCACGGGCCTCATACATGGCAGCATTGAACTTCCCGACCGCAGCAGGGCGTTGCACGACGTTGCGCTTCTCCGGGTAGAAATCCATCTTTCGGATGGTGTCAATAGACTGAGAAGTTTCTTCTCTCAACCGCGCGACTTCGGCGAAGTCGGAAAGTTGTGAGACACCTGTCGCAGTTTTGCCTCCACCGGCCTGGTACAGTTTTTGCTTTTTCTCGTACTTCCGCAGCAAATCCGCAGCCCGCTGCACAGGGCCGCAGTCAAACACAAACTGGTTGCTCCTGACGCAGTGAAATTTTGGTGCAGCCTGGGCGGTAGTTTTGATGAGCGCAGTGGATTCATCTGAAGACAGTTGCGACGAGTTTTGCTCACCTGCATCGTCCGTTTTCCGCTTTTTTGAGGCTGGCCCAGTTGTGGTGGTGTCCTCATGTTGGTTCGTAGAAGTGGGGTCGCATCTAGTTATACTATCCGCACTACCTGCAGCATTCTTGTCGCCCGAGCTTTTTCCAGTCGAAGCCCCCGCTTCATCCGGGACAAGACCTTTATCGTCTGATGAAGCAGGTGATGGGCTTGGACGCTTGCTGCCTCCAAAACTGCCCTTCGCCCCAGGCACTGCTGTAGTCGTGGAAGTTGCTGGTTGACCGCTCTTGTTCAGTTTCAGCCCAGCTGCGGTTCTGAACTCGCTGTAGTCGAACTCCGGCAATTCCGGTTCGGCGATGTCCAATAAATCGCTGAATTTCGACAATTCTTTCCGTTCAAGGAGGCGCTTCAATTCTTCAAAATTGCCCTCCGTGATCAGAATTCCATTTTGTTTCATGTCCGCCGGAAAGCTGCGGAGGTAGGTCGTGGAAGTGCCACTGGTGCTAGTTGCAGTGGCCTTCGCACTACGAGTTGCAGCGAGCTCTCGTGCAGCCGCACTGCCGCTCTCATCTGCGGGGGGAAAAGTCATGCTGATGATGCCTTCGATTCTTCCAGTTATCTAGTCGGGGAAAAAAACTAGAAATAGGTGTCGGGTGGTCACAATGGATCAGTATGCGCTTGGGGGAAAATGAGGTCGTTTTAGGAATGTAAAGCTAGATAATGAGGGACCAAATATGTTACAATTTGAAGATCATCGTTGTACATAAAAAGATAACAATACTTGAAACACATTCACACTGATTCGCCTGCACCGTCACAACCAAATGATTGTCATCTAGGACGTTGCGCGGGCTAGTCGAGGATCACGATCCTATGAAAGTGATCAAAGCCTGAAGGCTGATGATCGGAATCTCACAAAAAACCTCTCGTATTGCAAAACAAACAATGGCTTCGCTTTTGGTGGCAGAAAAATTTACGCAGAACTCGTCCGGTAGCAGCATTGATAGTGCCAGTGCGCCATCTTGAATCATTGAACTTCGACAACAGAAAGAAAGACGATTCGGAATTTGATACACGATCAAATGAATAGATAGATACATAAGCGCTCCGCTTTTTTAGAACTTTAGCTGGTGCGCCCCGCTCCTCGCAGCTCGCACTTCTGATGGTGAGACACCGCAAAAAACGGCCAGTGCACTTCGAGCAAAAAAAATCAAACCGTCCACATCGATCCTGATTCTATGGACTTATGTGATCGAAGAGAACAATTGCCTCATGTTTTCAGTATGGATTGTTTTCTCAGACACGGAGCTCTCAGTGCAGCTGCGCAACAAGACTTTCTTATTGCACTAGCGCTTCGTGGACAATGTCCAGTGAAGCAGGAATGTCGTTTGCCAGTTACAGTAATGAGACAGCCGGCGGGTGAGATCAAAGGCATAGAAGTTCGGCAAAAACACATATTAGAAAGCAGCTATAGCCTTCGCTCGTTAATAGGAAGAACTAGAAGGTTCTTCATCTTCGCTCTCCCGTGCCTGCGGCGATGCAGCATCCTCGTCGTCTTCCGGCTCTGCGATAACAAAAGAGAACTGCAGCCTGGACACTCCCTCGCCTTCCGGCAGCGCCGCATGCAACTTCGCCGCGTAGTCAAAAAAGCTCTCAAAGGTCCGCAAATCAGCACTCACACCGTCAACCAGCTCGGTCGGCGTAAACCGCCAATACGGCGACACCCGAGCGATCACACGGTTTTGGTCCGGAACAGCCTCATCACCATCAGCCCACCACAGAGGTAGGACCGTGGGGTCAGCGCATCCTAAAGGGTGCAAACGGTTCTTTTCTGTCTTCACGAGGGCCTGCTCGCCCGTCGGAACAGCCCGCCGCCACGGGTTGCGAGGAGTCAACTTGATCTGCAGCCCCTCCTGCTTCCCGGGCGAAGAACGGCTGGTCGCAGCACTCCCTTTTTTGTAGTAGCCCGGACCCCGGTTGCCATGCTCCTTGAAGACGAATCCCGGGCGGTCTTCGCTGCCCGCAATCGCGGGTTGAAACTCGCCTGGTTCCTCCGCCTGGTCGTCGCTGGTGCTCGATCCCGCCGCCGCGGCTGTCTGTTCGTCGAAGGAATCTGCGAGCTGCTGGGCGATGATGGGCTGTGCCAGACTGTGGACGCCGAAAATACACCCGTGCAACTGCTTTCTCAACTGCTTCCAAGGGCTCTCCTCGAAGAAGATAGCCGGGTAAGTATTGCGAAACCAGTCGATTTTCTTCACAGCGAGCTGCTTCCGCGCCTCAAGCAAAGTTGCGAACCTGAGAGAACAAGTAAGGCAGGCATCAACATACTTAAACCACCCGGTTGATCAACACTTCACTGCTGCATGCACAATTCCTATTACAAACGGACGCAATTCATTTATTACTTATACCGCGTCACGCAATCCACACTTTCCGGCATGCCGCTGTAGGAGATTCGCGGTGGCAACGCGCCGCACGCCTTCGCCTGCCCTAGCTGCTTCTCGCGAAGGGACAGCAAGTCCATTCCGCTCTTGTCGTGGTCGTTCGCCGATATGAACATTCCTACGGCCTGCGGGTGAAAGGCGATCTCGTCATTCAGCAACCACTCGTCGAGCTGCTCGCAGCGACTCGACGGGATATTTTCGCGCCGTTTGTTTTCCCTCATCATCAAGTTCCGATCCCTCTCCTCGTTGTGGGGTTCGGCGCACACAGTCGACAGGCCGCCAGTCGGAACCAGGAGGTACCCCGCAATGGCACTTGCACTGTCACGCGTACTGCTTGAGGACAGCGATGGTGCCCCTGCTGCGCCAGGCATTTCCACGCAAACGTAGGCGCGCCACGGAGATCGCTTCTGCATCTCCTCGCAGCGCAGCTTCGCGACATCTTCGTAACTGGGGGCGCCGCGCTTTTCACACTCCACCGCCCCGTCGATCTCCGCTTGCGACTCTGCTGCCACGGTCGAGCGCTTCACCGACGACGCAAGCCACTCGTCGTGATCCAGCCGCAGCAGCAATGCTCGCGAATCCCCGCATGGCACGCAACGCCAACCAAAAGTGCCACGAATGTGCCCGATTCTGACCAAATCTCCCGTGACTAACTTCTTCAACTCGGTGGTAGGGAACCCCTTAGTGCTCTTGCGACCCAAGCGGGGAATGCGGCAACGCTTTTCATCCCTCTCAAGGTTAAAATGAAGTGGCTCTAGTTGTGGCAAAAGCCGGTGGTCTGAGGGTACCCGCCCGCCTTCGCTCGGTTTCGTGTCCACCGCTGCCAGTAGGTGGCGCACGCTTCCGTCGTCCAGCAGCCAGAGCTGCAGAAGCCCGGCGGTGAGTAGATTCGCAACGACGTAACCGCCGCCACGCTTTTCCAAGTCCCTGCCTCTTGTTACGCTAGGAATCTCCACCCCGGCACCTTGGGAGGTCGTTGACTGTGGTGCTGTTGTTGTATCGGCTTTGTCTACTGCTTTCCTTAAGTCGTGCGCAAATCGGTACATGTCGTCGTGGTTTCCTATGTCCCACTGCAAATCGATCCTGTCGCTCGTGTCCTTTTTAACGGGGAGCGGCAGAACATCCGGAAACCGAAACTTGGCCGCCATGGTTGTTTTAATAATGTCCGAATCTTCAAACAATTGCGCCGCACTCCGCGTACTACACGACGAACCAAGGACACCAGGAGCACAGATCAAATTCTCGTAAGCGGCCGCAATCTGCGCTTCCAAAGCTTCGCGCATGTGGTGCTGCAGTTCGATATCTAGCGTTAACTTTGACCACACGGAAGGCGAGTCCGGCACCGTTTCGTCCTTGCGATACTTCGTGTTGAAATCCTTTAGATCGCTATTAATCACGATACGCTTGATGCCCTTAATTTTCTTGCTCGTCTTCCGGTACTCCCGGGTGTGGTGGAGAAATTCCTGACACCCGTGCAGGATCGCCTGCGGCAGCTCGAAGCAGCGGTCTCCGCCCATAGTACACACCTCCACGGCAAGCCTCGGCAGAGCCGCAGCTGCAGGGATTTTCGCCGAAGCTCGCAACTGCATCCCGTACGTGCGACGAATCAGTTCCTCCATGGGAGAGATGTCGTCTACTTGGAACCGTCCGCCCAGCTCGTCCATATCGTGAAGCAAGATGTCCACAGCGGAAGGCCGCTGCTCAAGTCTTTCCGCATAATGAAACTGGTACAATTGACCAAATTCCTCGCACAGTTTGTAAGAAGAAAGCGCTTCGTCACGCGCCCGCGAGAGGCTCACGAAATTTGTCAGCATTTCCATCCTGGCCCTACTGCTCGCCTCGCTTTTGGAAGACGCGCCGGGAGCCACGGAATCGCCCTCGCCGTACCGCGCGTAGTAGTTTGTAACTTGGAGCTCGTAGTTCAAAACACTTTCGCGACAGGTAGTCACGAAGCCCAAGTCAAACACAAACTGGTTCTCGTTTACCCGATGAAACATTGGCGCTGGAGTTGCTTGTTCCACCGCACCAGCTGCACTCGAACCAGCATCGTCTTTCAGCCCCTCCTCGACCCAGATTTTTCCTGCTGCAACTCCGTCCGGAGACTTGCTTGACTGCCGTTGCGACTCGTTTTCTCTCTTCTGCTTCTTCGCAGGCGGATTTATTTGTGGGCTCCGTTGCGCACCGCTGTCTCCTTCTAGGAGCGACGCCATCTTTTTGTTCGAGCCTGCATCGGCGGAATCCTCACCCGCCGCACGTTCCCTGAATCCATCGTCGACCACTCCAAGCGCCGACTCCTCATACGGAGGCAGTTCCGGTTCGCTCTTGTCCAACAGTTGGTCGAAGGTTTGAAGCTTGTCCTCCTGGAAAAGCGCTTTTAGCGCGTCGAAGTTTGCACGGGTGACAATCACACCGCCGCCCCCGGCTTTCACGTCCTCCGGGAAATTTCTCCAAATTGTGCTTCGATGAACTCCTTTGCGATCGTCTCCTACGTCCTCTGCCACTGAGACCGAGCATTCGCTCCGGGTCGGGAAAGCCGTTAAGTCAGTTAACATGTGCGTGGTTCGTTTGTGGTGATATCGGTATAGGTGTTCGTATAACTCACTGTCACTGGTGGTTCCAACTAAAAACCGGTGGAGATTGCCCAATCACAAACACTTTCGCGGCTTCCGTCGCCGATGGGATCTTTCCCTTTCCGATCGACGAGACCCAATGACATCCACAAGTGAAATGAGGACATCGGCGAGTATCGCTCCAGGTGACAATTCGACTTTTTCTCTAAGTAGTCAACATACCCGTTTACGCCCTCAATCACTTTAAGAGAAGGACGAAAGGTCAATTTTCACGAATTTCCGCACACACGCGCTGCCCCCGGTTTTGCATTTACGCTTGTCTTCTAGTACTTACTCGACTACAGCATAAAAATCAGTGTATCCGCAGTGGGCGTGTGAAGAAGCAGAACCAAGTCCAAGTAAGAGCGCCGGCCAGGCCCTTTCAGTAATTTCGAGAAAATGCAAAACGAGCTGTCTTGCGGTACACAGTAGCAAGTGTTGCTTCGACTGCTCGTTGAGCGGACAAGTAGCAGGGCGGCTCTTTCTCGAACTACAACTAGTATTGTCAACAGATGGACTCCTTTTCTCTAGGCCTGTACGACCTTCGTGCTCAGCTGTCGCAAAGAAAGGCGGTGTTCATCCGCTAGTAGTAAAAATCGTTTCTGTAGCGGTCATTGTACTCTTCGTTCTTGCGAAATTGATTCTCCTGAAAATGGTAGTCATAGTCAGCGTTCTCTCTGTCTGCTATTGCGAGGGAAAAGTGCAACTTGCAGTAGGGCCGCTTCTTTTCGGAGGACGCGCTGTCTGGCTGTTGCAACTGCAGGATGCGGTTTTCCTGACTAGTGCTTGCGTTTTGGCTGTCTTGGTCACTGAAGCCACTAAATTCTTCCTCCTCCGATTTCGAGTCGTCCAGTTTGGCTTTCTCCAGACAGTAGGCGTACTGGAAGAAGTTGTCGTACTGGCGCAAATCCGGATCCACGCCTGAGAGAGGCTCCCAAGGTCCGAATCGCCACAAGTACGATGGCTTTCGCAGGATGCGCTTCCGAGCCGTGTACGGCAACTCGAAAGCCGGCCCGGCGTCGGCCTGGCCTGCTTTCGCTTGCTGCGTCGAACGCCACAAATTCATTCTCACCAACCCCGACACGGTATCCGCGAACGCCGCCAGAGGCTTCTTTTCCGCTGATTTCTTCCCGTCACCTTTCGCTCTGCCCTCTGCAACCGATCCCGTTCCTCCTTTGAGGGGAGGTCTCTGCGTAGTCACAGTTGCTTTACCAGCAAACCGGTTCCTTACGTCGTCATCCGTCATCGTCAAGGGCGCGCCCTCAACAAACGAGTCGCCAAGCTGGCGCACGACAGTCTGCAGCCCTAGGATGTGCAGCCCGTAGTCGCAGCCCTGAAGCAAGGTGCGCAGCAGAGTCCACTGGCTTTCGCACTCCTTGTAGAAGATGACAGGAAATGTCGCACGAAACCAGTCGATCTTCTTTATCGCCAATTCTTCTCGCCGCTCCAACAATTCGGCAAACCTGCGCGGCGAAAAATTTTTCATTATTCAACTGTGCTGCATCTTCTATCTCAATAAGGCTATTCACAGAAGTTGAAACACAGCCAGTGCACAGAGCAGCAACAACACACAACTGAAAACATAAGTACCTCAGTGTAGTAGTGATTGATTGAGGGTCTTCAATGACGCTCAGATTCGACAACGCCTCGGTGAGGATGGCCTCTCGCAGTTTCTTCTCGCGCGACACCATCAAATTCAGACCAGACACCGAAAAGTCTTTCCGCTCAATGAACATGCCAACACTGCTGTGGAAGCCAAACTGCGGAACTCCAACCCGTCCGGGAGTGAGACTAGATATCTCCCCGTCAGGGGACCAGCGCGACTCGCCGTAGCCGAAGCCGTAGCGCTCCTCCGAGTCGTAGTTCCGGCGGTAGTCTTGTCGCTCGACGTCCGCGCGCACACGCGTGACGTTTCTCGTCGGAAGAATCGCGTATCCGACGATGCACTGGTCGTAGACGCATCCACCGCTGCTTGCACCTGGTCCAGACACTCCGTCACTGCTCCCCAACATCCTGACACACACGTAAAGGCGCCAAGGATGCTGCCGTGACACCTCGTCTCGCCGCTTCCGTGCCTTCATTTCCTCGGAACGTTGGTCCTTGTAGAGACTCAAACCAGCGTCGCACTCCACGCTAATCTTCACCGAAGGAGCTCCAATCACTTTGAGCGAGCCAGGGGCAAAGCAATCGTCCGTCAGGTGCAGTAAGAGCACTCGATCTTCTTTACCATACGGTAGGCAGCGCCATCCCAGCGCGCCGGCGCAGCAGCCGACTTGGAAAGCATATGCGACGAAAAGGTCGGCGACAGATGCTTATTTCGTTTCTGTGTCTTTACAACGGTACTACAGACGGCCGATGAAATCGAACGATCGTGCAAAAGTTTATGACACACATATTCATATGAGGTGCCTGTGCAAAAAGAGAACTTCGCTTAGGCAAAGAGCAACTAGAAATCTATCAAACTGCGAGACCTTGTCGAAATCGGCATTGCCATCGCGAAGAGGTACTCAAAACCTTCATCAGCATAAGAGATCGCCCGTCTTCATCTCTTTCACACTCTTTAGATCTTCGTCATCGGAAACCATCACATGCTTCGTGGTGAGGTTTATCTTTGATTTTTGCGCGCTTGTTTCCGCCACTTCCAGTTGCTCTTCTGCCGCTTGTTCTTCGGCTTCGCCATCATCTGCTGCCACAGCTTCTCCAGCACTATTGGCTTGTTCCGCAGTACCGTTCTCCCCTGTGCCGGCTTCGTCAGCACGGGTTGGGGGCTCTTCGGCCGCAGCCGCAGCCTCATCTTGTTGTACCGCAACGGCTTCCGCATCAGTGGCGGCAGCCGCTTCGACTACGGCGACTATATCGATATCGTCTGGGTCAATAATCTCGTCGTCTGAGTCGGTTAACAGAGCATTTCTCTGGAGAAGACCCCTGCGGCGCCGGCCCGCCCGCTGGCCCTGCAACTTGGCGCGTGCGGCTGCTTGCGCTGCCTCTTCCTCCTTCTTCTTCTTTTTCTGCGCGGCCACTTCCTCAGGCGTCGGAATCGTCACGATTCTTGTCATGCGTCGCACATATTCCTTGTCCAGCAGCCAGAGATGCATCAGCGCGGTCGTCAGCAGACTGCCCACCGCGAACCCGCCCGCCCGCTGCGCAGCGTCTTTCAGGCGCCGTTCTGAACGAGACTTTTTTGCCGCTTCCAGCTCGTCACGCACTTTGCTCATATTATCGGCTCCTGCTTCCTTCAGCAGCTGCAGCTCGTCGAGCAACCCGTCACCTCCAATCAAAGAGGTTTTTTCCTCAAACTGCGTCACATCCCCGACGACATTGTTCACGAAGATGGCGATTAGCTCGTATGGAACGTCCCACAAAAGATCCAAATCAGGATCGCTGCCTCGCTTCTGGGACGCTTCCGGCACCGGCAAAACGTCGCAAAAGTTGCGCTGTCGTCCAGCTGCAGCTGCGGTCACACCGGATGGCTGAGACAAACTCGATGACGAGGTGCCTCCCGATGCTGCTGAACTGGTTCCAGTTTTGACGGTCAAACACGACGACCCCACGGCCACGCTGGCAGGATCACCGTACAGGAGCTTCTCGTACAGAGCGGCTAGCTTCTTTTCGACGTCCAATCGTAGCACGCGCTGCAAATCCACGTCCAGCGTCGTTCTGTTTTTGCTTTTCAAGTCCGGTCGGTTGGGGTAGGAGGTATTGTACTCATGTAGCGGCAGTTTCTTGGGTTCCAGCTTATCCCACGTGTGTGCGAGGGGTCCTTTTGGGACGACATTCCGTGCACTCTCGATGAATTTCGCCGACGTCGCCGGAACGGATTGCTCTGTACACATGATTACGTCCCCACCCAGCATGGAAACTTCAACGGTCAGCACGGGCAAGAAGCGCTGCGACGCTTCCTGGACATGCAGATCGTGAACCCGCGTCAAACGGGCACGAAGACTGTCTGTCGCGTGACCGATGTAGCTATTCAAACGGTTGATCACTTCCCCGTAAGCTTTCACCGCCGCAAAGCGCCGCTTGTGCGCCTCGGTCAAGTGGTAGTATGCCTCCCCAGTGAAGTCCATTGCCTCCAGAACATCCACGCCCGCGTACGCCCGCTCGTTCAGCCGAGACATCTCTTGGAAGTCGACCGTACCCTCCTGTGCGCACGGAAGCAGGGAAGAAGCGTTCTGCCCTGACGTCTTCTGCTTAGCAACTGCTGCCAGCTGCTTCTGCATGTCCCCGTGCCCCTTTTCGTACTCCAGAACGAATTTTTGCACTCGCTGTACAAACTCGCAGTCGAAGACGAACTGGCTGTTCCGGAGCGGGAAAAACTTCGGGGAATGAGCAGGTGCAGCCTGTGCCGCAAGACTTGATTTACAACCTTTTTCGACATCACATGGCTCTGCTGTAGTCGTCCCAGCAGCTGTAGTTGCGTCTTTCATATCGACGTCAGTGTTGTTGACTTCCGAGGCATCTCCTATCGCGTTCTTGGGCCGCATTGCCGTCGAAGCTGAAACTGCGATTTTTCTCCGCTTCGCGGCAGCTTCTTCCTCGACGTCGTCACTCTGGCTCGTACGTCTCTCTACTGCACTCGAACTGTCCGCGCTGTCTTGTTCCCCGTCGTCGCTTGGATCCGGATCCTCGCCCTCCTTGAAGAAGCCGACTTCGAGTCCGAAGTCCCGCACGTCGAAACTTGGTAATGCGGTTTCGGTTTTCCCCAGCAGCTGCTCGAAACTTTCCAACTTGCCTTCCTTTACAAGCTTCGTAAGCTCGTCGAAATTGTCCTTCGTTATGATCACGCCACCGTCCGTTCCCATGTTCGGCGGCAGGCGGCGCAGAAAACTTTCCTGCGCCGCAGGAATCGCGGCACCGCAACTGCCGACGTCAACGGCCGCACTCATGATGACTTTCAGCGTTCTACGAGTTGTACTTGGTGTGGCCTTTGCAACCTTCTGCTTCAGAAAACAACAGCTAGGACCGCTTGCACATGCTTGCTTTCTAGGTAGGACGCGACACTTACAACTCATACGGAAATCGAAAAACGCTGCTGGCGCGCGCACGGGCGTCTTCTATTTTCCTCGCAACGCAGCCACGAAACTGGCGCCAACAGCAGCCTCAGGATCGGTCATGAAATGAAATGAAATGAAATGAAATGAAATGAAATGAAATGAAATGAACGGAAATGAAATGAAATGAGGTACTCGCGTTTTATTCCCCTCGAACTTCTTTGAGGCAGAGTTGTATGTAAAGAGGATGAGTCTGAGAAACACAATATGGAAAAAAGTGAAACGCGTCGGTCGAGACACCGCTGAAGCTGAAGGTCCGTCGACCATGAAAGTAAAACCTAAACAGCTGTTACACCAGCGATATTTGTCCCAAAATTCTCAGACTCACAATATCTGTTCTTTGCACCCGCTACCACTTTCTGCGATTTTACCAGAAGTGCGAGCGCCCTTTGCGGTACTTGCAACGACTATTTCGCAACAAGCGAGTTTCTGTAGTTTAAACGGAACTCGAAAGCGACATCTATCCAGTATCCCAATGGGACCATCTCCATCTCGGTCATATGGATGAGAAACTCTAGTAAGTGAGAAACAACACAAGCAAAAGCATTGACATCCGCATAATGCCACCACGCTCTGTACACCTTCTCCATGACATCGAAAATCATTCATTCTAAATGACGCGCATCATTACTTTATCCTCCTCAGTGCCTGAGTCAATCAATGACACAGGAAAAAAAAACGATGACAGTGTCAGTCTCAGTCAGACTGAGAATCAGTCTTGTTCAAAAATGAACATAATACAATTCATCCAAATTCGATCTCGTTAAGATCGTCATCGTTGAGGAAATTCGGATACGAGAGGCGACCTCTTTGTAGGGAAGAAGGATAATCCGGCATACCGCCGAGGCAAAACTCCGCAGCCGGATACTTCGGCACGTCCTTTTCGTCTTCCGCAGCGATGACAAGAGAAAACTGTACGTGGATTTTCTCCGACCGCTCTGCATCTCTTTCCCGAGCGTCCATACCTTCACAGTGCGAGACGGCCGGCGAACTTTCTCGTTTCTTCTCCTTCATCTTTTCCACGTACTCCATAACGTTCGTGTAAGTTGTCAAATCGGTCTCCAGGCCGGGAATCAACTCTACTGGACAAAAGCGCCATTTTTGCGAGACGCGGCTGATGATGTCCACCGTCCTTGGATTCCACCGTCCTTGGTGCTCGCCCCATGGATTTTTGTCCGAGTCAGCGTCCTCTTCTCGACCATTAGCAGCTCCCGCCGATTGTTCCTCCTCATCTTCTTTCCCGGTGGTGGGCCCCACTTCCTCCACTTCGTCCGCCGCCTCGGCCTGGTCCTCGTCAAAGCCCACCTCGCTTTCCTCACTATCTGTGCCGGACTCTGTCCCTTCTCCCGTGAGCAAAGTTGGTCGACGGTTGAACATAGGTGAACGCCCGGCTTTTTTGGCTTTTCGGGCAGTGTATCGAACGTAGCTCTTTTGTAACAAGTCACCGATGGCCTTTTTGGCACATGAAAGTAGTGAGTACTCGCAACCCCGTGTCAGTTGGCGGAGAAGGCCAAAGTCACGATTCAGCTCTGGGTACGTGCTGTTTAGCCAGCTGATACTCTTCATCGCAAACGCCTCTCGCTGATCTATCATCTCCGAGAGCCTGTGTTAGAAGATATAATTCCATGATTTTTCGCAATCGAAAAGTGCACTCATCATTCCAGGCCAGGACGATTGAAGATAGAAAATATGGATCTTACACAAGAACTGAGAAACATCGAGAATACCACTTGGTGTGACGACTGCTCATCGCAATGCTGGACTTCTGAACGCCGTCAGTCCACATTACACGACTTTCGCGTAGGGCTAAAAGATCTAAACCAGACATCTTCTCAGCAGGATCAATCCACATTCCGAGCGGACTATCGTCCGGGGCAAAGGTGACAACGCCTTTGTGCCCTAAATCGTAGACGTCCATTCCACCGTCTTCGTCGAAAAAGAAGGACTTGTACTCTTCCAGAGTCAGCTCCGCATCAGGGTGTCGCTGGATTGCTGCTGCAGGAAGGAGAAGGTATCCGACGATGGAGTCCCTTCGGGCCTGAGCCACGCCTTTCCTGCCAGTACTGGAAGAACTCGTGCTCGCGCCGAAATTACCATTGTTTGGCAACACCACGCATGCGTAGATCCGCAATGCTGGATGTTGACTTGGAGGGACGCAGCGGCCACCTTCGACCAGCAAGGATCCGGCCTTCAGGTTCCACGACAAATTCAGCAAAATCGCCCTATTATTCTCGCCCCAAGGGATCACCCGCCAACCAAAAGCTCCACGGATCCCGCCCACCTCAAAGATGTCTCCAGTACGAAGGGGTGGCAGTTTCCCGGTTCGCCACTCAGGAGCCTCTGGGTCCAGCGTTTTTATCTTTTCTCCGTGCAGTCGTGCAAGTTGTCGCTCTGACGCGCTCGCACATCGACGATCGAGGTCCCGCGCATCTTTTTCCTCAATGTCCTCAGTGCGCGCCAGCATGCGCGGAACCCAGGCGCTGCGCAATGTGTCCAGATCGACCAGCCACAGCCGAAGCAACCCGGAGGTCAGCAAAGCCGCCGCCACTGTGCCACCCCCGCGCTCGCCGATGTCCTGTGCACACGCGTCCTGAGGCAAGCTGCCGTATGATAATTCCTCTGTTGGACTGAGAAACTCGCTCAACTGGGCGCCCCCTGCCGCCGGAAATTTCACGTCTACGTCGTCCAAAATTCCGGAAAAGAAAGCCCGAATGGCCTCGCCGGGAATGTCCACGCAGGAGCCGCACCGGTCCCGTTCGCTGTCTATCAAAACAGCAGCGAGCGAAAGGGTATCGCCAAATTTGTCGACAAAATTACCACACATCTTGAGGAAAATCGATCGCAGTCTCGCCTCTGTAAAACGTCTGGTCCAATGCTGGAGATGCACGTGCAGGTTGAACGCGACACAATCGTACGGCCTCTCGCTAAGCTCTTCTCTGGACGATTTTTCCAGCAGAACTTGCGCAAAATCTTCGCCGACCTGATTCTTCAACCTGTTCACGTCCAGACTGGCGCAGAAGTCTAAGCACGCCCCTTCCTTCAACTGCCAGACACGGTCGCCGTTCATCGTCACTACCTCGGCTTGCACGAAGGGAGCTTGCTGCTTCCTTGCAGGGAAGGATCGTAGCAGGTATCGCCGGTAGGCATCCTCTACGTGCTTTGTCAAATACTCAACCTCTTGCGCCAACCGCTGGATCGCGCCGGTATATTCAAAAATTCCTCCCGAATACTTGTGCTGCAATCGGTCACGCCTGAAAAACTGGAGTGTTCTGCTGATGGGCTCTACCATTTCTAGGTTAAAAGACATGGATTCATCTTCCGTCTCCTGCAGCTCCTTCTCCCATCTGTTGACTTCTTCCCTCAATTCGTGCAACTCGTGAAAACGAACCAAAACATCATCCGCGCAAGTGCAATAAATGACCGGACTGAGCAGGTGCTCAAGCGTAGCTCTTTCCGCGGCAGACAATCCGTCGTCGGTATTGGACTCTTTTGATTCAGCCTTCTTGTTGTCGTCTGTGGTGGTAACCTGCTGCACTTTGTCCTCCTCGTCTCCAGATGTACCTCCGTGCCTCCTGTTCCTAGAAGTAGAGGAAGTTCCTGTTGCTGTGTTCAAAGGCATTTGGAGATCATTTTTTCGGCAAATATTGTCTTGTTCTATCTCCATCGCATCTCCTAATTTCAAACCGGTCCCGGTCGCACAAGCCTGCACAGAAAGCTTCTTGCTCGAAGAAGCCTTCTCAGAAGACGCACTTGCCACTGCCGGAATTCGCTCGGCCTTCAAGGCGCTCACAAATGTCTTCGCGTTGAACAGCGGTAACTGCTTCTCGGACATGTCGTACAGCGCTTGAAAATCAAACCCATCCTCCCGTCGCATCAACTGCTGCACGTATGCGAAATTGCTCTCCGTGACGAGCACTGCTTTCTCTGGAACTTGCCGCAAGGCCTCAGGCATCTCCAACTGCTCCACGGACTCGGACTCGCATTCATCTTCGTCTGCCTCGCTGCTGGACCTAGAGTGTTGGGGTGAACTGTTTTATTGTACGTTGCCAAGTCTGATTCTCATTTTGATTTTCTCTGCATGTGTCATCAAAAAACTCAATGCAAACCAGCTACAAGTTGTGGCACTCACGCTACACACTGCAGCTAAACATCGGTACAGCTCCGTCCCTGTTCTTCCCGACATTTCGGTCACCAAAATTTTTGCAGCTACTCCTGCGACTGTGCCGATGTGCGGAAGACTTCCTTAGCGCGGCTCCCGTTACACTTCTTGACTTCGCGATGGGAACCGCAGTCACGCAGGCTAAGCGAATTTTTGAAACAAACTGCACCAGTTCCAGTTTCAGGGGGTACAGCGGCGAGGGCGAACTAGTAGAGACACTCTTCCTTATTATCGACCTTCTCGCACAGTAGAATCAGCAGAAGCTTATTGTTTGAGTCTAAGTGTCTAACGAACTGAAACTCGTCAGGAAAGGTTGTCAACGTCGGCAGTGGGTGGGAATACGCTCACGCACCTATTTTCTGCAGGTCCAGCTACACGCAAAATCATCAACTGACGTGCTGCCTTTTTGAGAACATGAAAGACACGACTCTCCCACCCATTTCTAAATTTTGGTCGATCGCTCGGCCTAGACGCGACCATTTGCGCAACAAAATCTCTCGTGTGACTGCCTCGTTGAAAAACTCAAGAGAATAGAAAGAGAAACACAAAAAACCGACAGATTTGTACGCAAGAACGACTTCAGTGAGGGGGAAACGGACTAGGCGGCAGCAGCACTTTTGAGAGTCGAAAAAAAATAAAAACTCGTTCAACCGAACAAAATATGAGTGTGGCACTTTGTAGACAAAAGTCCTTTTTTCATGAAACGCATTCACGCCTTGGTCTGTGATCTTTCTATACATTTTCCGGAGGTGCTATACTTTTTGAGGTGTTTTTGCACAAAGAAATGAGTCTCTTCTTGTTCCAATCATCTAGCAGCTGCAGCTGTCACGACGATGACAATTCGATCACGCTATCGCAGCACAGCTCGCTTCAACGACGACGACGAGTTAGAATTTCATGATCATACAATCGCGATTCGCGCCGGGGCCGGCATCTTCGCTGAAGCAAATAAATAAGCGCTAGCGTGTCTCGTTTTTAGAAATAATGTACTTCAACATCCTCCTGCTGTTGTTGCAAACAAGTGAAACCTATTCTACTATTGTTCATTGCGAATAACTCGAAAAAGAAGATCTGTGGGTGATTTGACATTTCTTTTTGGGTGGCAGAATGTAGTCCTGCAAGACATTTAATATTTGGAGCTACCTACAACAGGCTACATTATTAAAACGGAATCCATAATTGTGACCACGAACGCAGAAGAACTCCTCCACCTTCTTGCGGCCTTATTCTCCAAAAACAACCTTTTCTACCTCCTCCTCGGCGACCCGCCGATGCCGCCTGGCATCCCCCCGCTTGCGGCCCCCGCCCCGCCGCCCACGATGGAGGCCCCGGCACCCTGCAAGGAGCTGGAGGTGGTGTGCAACATGCCTTCTTTCTCCATTTCCGCCCGGACCGTCACGGCCGTGGGCTTTTTGGACGGGGAGTAGGTGCACATGAACTTGCCGCCGAGCGTCGCGCTGGCCTTTTTCACCAACTGTTTTTCGAAGGGCGCATTTTGGTTGTACAGCGAGTAGGTGGCGGGTTTCTGGTACCGCGTCCGCGTGCCCGGGTCCCTCTCCTCGATCTTCTGGTTCAGCGCGTAGTACGTTTCGCCGTTTCGCAACTGGTCCTTGGTCGGCAAATCGATCGTTTCCACCTTTACCGGCGCCGGGTCGCGCTTCCGCATCGTGTCCAGGAGGTCCTGCACGTCAAAGGGGAGCTTCAACCGCGCCCGTTCGTGCAAGTCCTTGTCGATCTTCTCCAGCTGCGCGTTCGTATCCGGCATCAGAAGCCCGGTGGCGGTCCGAAAGCCCTCCTTCTCCTGGCCGGCCTTCGAGGGACTCTGCATCTGCTTCAGCTTCTCGGGAGACTGGTTTTTGCTGTCCGCAACATTCTTTTCCAACCGCTCCATACGCTCGATTTCGGCGAGCCGCGGATCGCCCACCATGAACACGCGGACCTGTTGTGTCGTGAAGATCGTCCGCAATTGCATACAGTACATCGTCTCTGGCGACGAGGTAGGGGAAATCGAAATTATTCTAAGACAAAAAGATTAGATACGTCTTTGACTGACAACCAAAATTTCGTTCTTTCGCAAATGAACGCAAAAGCAACACATACCGGCTCGGTCTGCGTTTCCGCATCCACTCCGGGGCCTCTTGGCACGATGCTGCGCTCCGCCGTGCCGTCGGTTGGGGGTCTCTCATCGGTGATTTGGTCGATTTGTACTTGCTCTAGCTGATCCTTAGAAAGGTCGTGGGCGAGATTTGTGTCCTGCGGCTCGCTACTCATCTCGTTTCCGGAAAATTGCTCCATGATCTACAGCAATGCGTTTGTTGTGAATTTTCTGACATTGTTTTGGTCTTGGCTGCATGCCTATTGGCTAATAAATTATGTATTTCTCACAGTCAGCACAGAATTCTTTAATACACGACGATAGCACGCTCCTAAATTGCTCGAAAGCTGGACAGCTACATTTCTTCAAATCCGTACCTTTTTCTCCCCGCTCCCGTCGTCCAAATAGATAATCTTATCCTCCGTCGTGGCCGACACGCGGGCGTTGACGAGGAACAAATTTACCGGGCTGGCCATCAAATTGCTGTGCTGCTCGTACACATCGTTTTGGATCTGGTCCCAGACCTGCTCCTTTACCCGTTCTGTTACCTTCAATATCACCGACAACGGCTCAATCGCGAACCCCATGCACACCACTTCGTGGAGCTGCACAAAGTCACTGCAGATCTGGTTGAACACCCGCTGGAACCTTCGCTTCAACACGTTCGCCGGACCCAGTTTGATGGCCGTGAGATCTGAAGTCGGCATGGTGATGCGGAGGAAGGCCCAATTGGAGGTCGGCATCGGAGGAAAGGAGTACTGGTGTTTGAGTGTGTGGGGGTGGGTGATTAAAGAACGATTTGTTTTTGAACAAACGAAAAATCTGCATACACGGGAGGTGCAGCTGCGACCCTTGCAAGTGTAGTGGTCGAAAGAAATCACTAGCAGCGAGAAAACCAGCAACCATTACCAAATGTACATCGTCAAGTTCGACAAGATTCTTACCCCATCTGCCATGTCGTCCATCAGGGCCAGAGTGTGTGTGTAGTCCGGCTTTTTCTCCTCCTGCACGGCGAATTTCCTGGGGTCCACGCCCTTCGCCCCGACACTGGCCCCGAACGGGTCCTGTGCCCGTCGCACCTCGCCCTCGAGCCCCGCGTCCGCGAGTTCCAAATTCTGGTAGCCGTTGGGCATCCCCGCGGTTTTTTCCGCCGCGGTCAGCTCCGCGGCCGGCAAAACGATGGGTTTTGGCACCAAGTGCTGCAACTCCGGGATCTGGGCCCGGGTTTCGTGCACCCACTTCTCCAGCGCCGGGGCCTGCTTCCCGAGGCCCGACAAAAGCGTGTTCAGGTGCTCCGCGGCCTCGAAGATTTCCCCCGTGGTCAGGTGCCGCTCCTCCTGCTGCAACAACGCGTCCCGGTGCTTCTCCGCGCAGGGGTAGAACCAGTCTTGAAAGGTGCGCGGGGACAGCAACTCCCCGCCAAACGCGAGGATCGCGGGGTCCCCGTCGCCCAGAATGCTCATCCAATTGCGCAAGTCCTCTTTTCCGTTAGCGATTTCCAGGAGGCGCCGGTCGTCGAACGACTTCAGGACGGATTTCACCTGATAAATTTTTCACACAAAAAAGCTCTCTCTTCAAGATTGATGCCAGCAAGGTCAAGCTCATTTCAGCACCAAAGGACGACAATTCGAATTCCTCAAAATCTACGTAACATGTTGACCAAGAACCCATCCCGTAGCCAAACAAGTACCTGTGGCGCCTTGCCCTTGGCGTGGAAGATGTCGTCGATGGCGGAGAGCCGTTTTCTCGCCAAATTCGAGAAATCGTTGACGTGCTTTGCGTACAGTTTCGACATTTCGTGGCGGAATTCCAGCACAAATTCGTTGTCGTTCCCTAACTCCTCGGCGTAATTCACGCTTTGCGGCCGGTACTTGGACACCGGCCCGGAAAAGGGCTTCTCCCACTGGTTGGTGATTTCGTACTCCTTCCGCTTGAACAAATTATATCGCGCCCGGTGCAGCTTCTCGATCAGGTCATCGTAGTGCTCGTCCGACACGCGGTTGATCCGGAAGTTCGCAAACACCTGCTGCTCGCACTTGACAATGTCCGGAATGGTGTCGTTGTTCTTCTTCAGAAGATTGCTCAAGTCGGCGTAAATAGCATCCATCTGCTCCGTCAGCAGCGCTTCCAACTGTCCGAAGCACTCGTGGTAGCTGCTGTTGCTGTACTGCCTTTCCAGTTCCGGGTCCTTGAAATAGATCCGCGCCACGTAGTCGATCACCTGCCGAATGCGGTGGTGCTCGTACTTTTCGAACAGGTCCCGCCCGTCGTAAAAGTTATTTTCGCCCTCCACGGGGTACCCGGTTACGTAGTGCCCCATCCCCACGACGAACGGGTTCTGGTCGTTGGTCTTCCAGGCCTTGTGGTGCTCGTTCGGCGTCTCGATGTGCCGCAGGTCGCCGGACTGCAGATCCTGGTCCGTCGGAAATTCGTTGCTCTGTTCCACGATCTGGTCTGTGTCATTGCGCTATGGCACGGAAATAAAACACCGCTTCACTGCAGAATGCCAAGTGTAACAAAGTAAGTACTTGGATGCAACTGCACCAAACTCTTGATAGTCGTGAAGTTCGTGTGCAAGTAAGAAGAATCATGATATGCCAAGGAACCTACTACTTTCAGGAGCTACTACGTATTTCTTCCTCACCTGCATCTGTAGGAACGCACGTACTTATATTAGAGTGCTTCTTGTTCGCCATGCGGAGCAAGGAACTCTCCGATCCAGACAACTAGCGCAGTTGCAGCCAAATTAGCACAGTGAAGATTGTTCGTTGTGTCTATCCGATATGTGCAGCGCGAGAGTCAGCAGCTGCGTGTCTCCGGACACGGCGGCGGCTCCGAGCTCAGGCCGCACGTCACCTGCAGTTGAAAAGTGGGAAATATTGAACCTTTGACTATGTCAATCATACCTGAGACCAACGTAAGTGACTCAAGCATGTGGCAAAAAACGTGATTTCCCGACGAGGACATCAAAAGTGCATTCTGCCAAGCTGCAAGAATACCGTAATTCGTGCTCCCTGGCGAAAATGGCTGTTGAATGGCTCTCGGGCTGCCACCGAAGTCCGTGGCGCCCTTCAAAAACGCCTCTCTTCGTCGGCCCGGGTCGTGCCTCGCCGCCTCCTCGTCGGAGTCCTCTGCTGTATCCCTTGCAAACAAGTAGTTCTTTTGCTGTCGGCTATGCACAAAGGACCGACTGTATATCATTTTCCCAAAAGTATTATATTGCTGCCATCTACAACAAGGTACTATGAATAGAGGTTTCTTATCCTGCAGTCATGTAGCGACAAGAGAAGATGAACTCCATTGTACTACCAGGGATAAGCGTATGACTTCATTAGTTCCGACACTGCCAAAGCGTCTTCTTTAAACTGCCGGTCGTGTTGGCCCAAGTCTGCGAGCGTATGAGGGAGGAAAAGGTCCTGCTCAGTAGTAACATGCACAGACTTGTTGTCTACAACAACGGGGCCAAAAGAATCATGACGCCCAGCGATTACATTTTTAAACAGGACAGCACTCCATGCAGTGCATTCCCCTCTGTGTGTCTCTCAATCGTCCCATCCGAGTAATTCTGCCTCTGCGGCTGTTCTTTCATGACAAATAAACATCTGAATGTTAGTGTCAGACCATTTTCCGCATGATAAAGCTTTCTCGCAGCTAATTGCCGCTGCTTGATGTCTTCGTCCCGCGATTGCTGTGGCGCTGTGCCCCCTTCAGCGGCCTCGGCCGGTATCAACGCGATCGCGCCGTCCTCGCCCTGTTGCTGCTGTTCTAGCTGCTTCGCGTGAAACGAAGACAAGTCGATTACGGGCGGGTTTTCCTCGGTCGCGTCCACATTCATCATTTGGATGGGCCCCGAGTCTTCCGGATTCGGAACGAACGAGGTTGAGCCGGATCCGGTGGCCCCACCGGCTCCTGTACTGCCGTGCGCCCCATCATTCTCTTCCCCGAGCACGGGCTCCGCGCGGTCCGCTTCCAGGGGCGCCTGTGGTGCGGAGGAGCCGGTAGCGGGCTCATCTCCTCCCCCCGCTGTACTCGCTGCGGCCGCCTCGGGTGCTTGTTCTGCTTTTGCGGCATCGGGGGCGGCGCCTTCTCCGGGGGTCGTTGTCAATCCTAGTCCGCCTTCGACGCTCGTCGCGGACACCGCCGGCGCTGCCTCGTCGGAACCCGCGGGTGGTGATAGTTGTTGGTGACCGTCCTCGTCTACCCCGGTTGATGTAAGGAAAACCGCGCCGGCGAGGCCAACCTCGTCCCCCTTGGCCGGCTCTTTGTCGTTGGACGCGTTCTGCGGTGGCCGCGAGCTGGCGCTGTTCTCCTCGTTCTCGGGGAAGTACTCCTGCGTTTGGCCCCCGGCAGACGTGGACGATCGCGGGTACACCGTGGTCGCGCCGTCGTCCTCCGATCGGGAGGAGGACGCGGCGCGGTTCCCCGGCTGCGCAGCCTCCTCCCTATCCAGTGCAAAAGCATCGTACTAGTATAAATTGCATTACAAATACAAATTAGCCCAGCATTACAAATTGAATTTGTAATGCTGATTCACCTTGACAAAGAAATTTGTAATGCATGAATGCAATTACTACGAATACGATACTTTTGCACAGGATACTCCCCGCCCTCCACCGACAACTCCGGCTGCGCCTCCGCGATGGTCACCTGTTGCGACGTACCGGCAGACTGTTGTCTTACCAAATCTTCTATCAAATGCAAATATGTCTGGCTCTGGAAACTTGTAATGCTGAGCTGGCAATAGTGAATTCTCTGTAATGCACAGCCAGGCATGAGAAATAAGTATTTGCGTTGCTTAGTATTGCCTATTGCGCTTTCCGCATGACAAACTGCGCTTTGCATGACAAGCAAAAGAGTCTCTTCTTGGACGCGCATCACAAAATCTTCAGTCATGCCAGACAAGCATGACAAATCTTGCAATCTTCCAGACCCAGACATATTTGCAATTCATATCTTCGTCGGGGTGGGCGGCGCCGTCGTCTGGCGGCACGAACGAGCTGCTGCTCCCGCCGATTTGTTCGCTCCCGTGGATTATGCATTGTAAGTATGCCTGGACCCACCTCTGTGCTGTGATGAGCTAAGTGACCCTTGATCACAACAAGCGCACTCTTCCAGCACTGCACCTAGACATACTTACACTTGATATGGATCGTCGCGAACGCATCCATTTGCCGCTTCTGCTCGTCCTCGTCAACAGGTGTGACCTGTTCTATGCCTTGCAAAAATTATGTCTGAGTCGGGAAGCCTGCTGCAAACTTGTTATGCAGCGCAGTGTCGATCTTGCAAAAATCTGTCAGGTTTATTCGGTAAAAGCAGTAGTTGACCTCCACTCCTTATTACTACAAGATGGGGGTACCACATTAAGCACTCTCACATGCGGGAAAGGCATTGAGACACCGTCTTAAAAATCTGTGCTTTCTCATGCATTTTTATATATAATTTTGTTAGTTTAGGTTTTAGTTTGCTATGCTTATTGTTGTACTTCTCTTAAAAATCTGTGATGCTCGTCGAGTTTGCATACCAGAGAGGACTCTATCGCGCACAAAAACAGCGTAGAAAACATCTGTATTCATCTTCCAGGGACCCAGACACAATAGTTGCAATTAATACGTTCCCCGCCATCTTCTATTACCTGCTTGGCCACCACTCTCTCTCGCTGCTGGCGCGAGCTCTGCCGCGCCGCCTGCAACTCCGAATCCGCATTCGCAAGTTCTTGCTTGGTCGAGCGTTTCGGGTTGGCCCGCTGCTTGTACACTCGCAGTGTGTGGAGATGAAAAAAACCTGCATACTGTTCTGAATCCTGTAGCCGAAACTGGTGCAGAAGTTCCGCCTTTTTGATAGGATGTGAATGAAAATTCAAGTTGCGACAGTACCACCACAACGCAACCCACTCTTTAGTGTACTACATACGAGTTCCAAAGAAAGGTCGTGTTGAGAGTGACTATCTACTACTTGTGGCGCAAGCGTGATGCTTAATTCCGACATTTTTACCCTGCTAAGTCTGTCATTCCAGGAGGCAACAACGGAACGACCTACATACATCGCGATTCAATCTGAATGCCGGCTCAACATCCCGTCCATACCGATCCGGATCGGAGTAGTAGCGGTCGTAAAAGGCTTCCTTGTCGCGAAAGTAGTACATCGCCAAGTCGTAGGCCTCGGCAATCACGGTGGCCTGTTTCTCCTGCAGCATCTGCAACCCGCGGGAGCCGATCGCCTTCTCCTCGTAGTAGGGGACGAGGTCGTCCATCAGCGACAGCGACAAGTTTCGCTCCTTCACGCAGACGATGCCGGCGAGGCAGATCGCCTCCTTGTTGAAATCTATGAACTCGGTGCCCTCGGACCGCTGTCGTCGGACCAGGTACAACGCCAGCCCCCACTCGGAATTCGGCGGGGTTTCCAGGTCCTCCAGATTCAAATGCCCAAAATTCTTCAGAAACACCGCCCTGATGAGAAGAAATGTTTTTATTGTGCTTCATTCATTCACTCACTCACGCAAGCTATTACCCTTCTTCGAGAGTTCTTTCATCGGTTTCCCATCGTTCTCTCTCGGATGTGCTTACAAGTGTATCGCTTTGCTAAGAATCTTCGATTATCTATAATACTATTCAAAAAATTCTGGCGGGCGGGGGAGTGCAAGCTACTAGTAGGAATCCTGCTAGTAGAATCGTGCTAGCAGAAAAACGGCTACTAGTAGAAATCCTGCTAGTGTTTTTAGCGTAACAAAAAAGCGCGAGAGGTACTAGTGACAGGCGCCACTAGTGAAGGCGCCCACTAGTGGAGCCACTAGTGACAAAAAGCCCGATTTTGGGGAAAGCGAAAACACTAGTGAGAAAACCCGCCAAAGTGGGAAACTCGCGCGGAGGGACCGAGACGCGCGCTGCCCGGCCCCCGGGTGGCCTTCGGCCCTGCCTGCCGTGGTCTGGGCCCTTGGCCTTGGCTTAGATGCCTTGCGGTTCGCGTTTGGCTGCCCCAGGCTGAAGTCGCTCTGCATTCTGGCGCCCCTTCCCCTTCTCCCTCTGTTACGAGGGCTCTGGTGTCAGTTCGCGCCTTTCTCTGCTGTGTGAGTGTGGCTCGGAAAGCCGGACTCCGTCGCGTGCTCACTGCCGACCGCGGGGGCTCTTCGGCCGCGTCGGGGCGGTCTGATTTTGCCCCGTCTCCTTTGGATTGCCGAGCATGTTTTCGGCCTCTTTACGGCTCTCCCCCTAGGCCTGTTTGCTGGCCGCTTCTCCTTTCGTTCCCAGCCAACGCTTTTTGCTTCGGCCCCTGCCGTGGGCTTTCGTTTTGGCCTGCTTGCTTTTTTTTTTTGGGCTGTCTGGTTTCTAGCAAGAACCACCCGCAGCACCTCCCCTGCCTTCCCGCTGCGGCTGCCCTGCCGCCCTGCCTGCCCTGCTTTATCTTTGCTGGGTGTCGGCAGTGTTTCTAGTCTTTCGGCCGTCGGCGCGCTTTTTGCGTGCTGTTTCCTGTGGCTAGCCTCCTGAGCCTCCGCTAAGGGCCTGCGCACGCTCTCCGGCGGCCCTGTTTGTGGGGGCTCGGGCAGGGGCTGCGCTCAGTGCCCCCGCACGCCCATCGTGCCTAGCGGCCTTGCCTCTACGTGCGCTTCCTTCGCTCCCGCCAAGGGAAGAGGGCTGGGTGGTTCAAATGCCCAAAATTCTTTAGAAACACCGCCCTGATGAGAGGAAATTTTTTTGTGCTTCTAATTTCACAACGAAAGTGCATGCGTACATACGAGAGCAACGCGCACCCAGACCCATCCTAGATGAAACAGCACGAAGGAAAAATAACCAGTGGTCACTCAAAACTTTTCTACCTTCTCATGATCATTTGCGCTTTGACCATACTCGCGACGAGATTCGGCACACACATGATCCTCGGTAGGAGCTTCTTTGGCCTCCTTATGCAAATGAAAATTTCATCACATGCGGAGGGTCTATTCCTGGCATTTATTTCTGCTGTCGCGCTTGTCGCATTTGCTCATTTATTCCAAACCATACAACTAAATCAATACCCCATATTGAACGCGATTCGCATGCAGATGCAGCTCTTCTGTCTGTCCGAAGAATGCAATTAGCTTTGCGTTTGCCTTTGGCTTTGGAGGAGTACAGTACTTCTACACATGTGTGAAAATGAAATTTTCAGACCCATAGTATTTTCCAGCTGGCCCTGGGCTACCGCAACCGCAAACTCCTCGTAGAGCACCGAAGGATCGATCAGCGCGTCCGTGCCCTGTGCGTCCAGCATGGTTTGCTGGCGTTTCCGCCGCTTTTCCATGCTGCGGGGCGACACCCCCTTGTTCGCTGCGGCCTTCGGCATCGTGCTTGGGGTTGTCGACGCCGGCGGGGGACCAGAGACTCCGGATGGGGCTCCTGCTTCCTTCGATGTTACAGCCTTAGCTCTCGTCGATTCTACAACTCACATGATGTTGGGTTTTTACGATTTGCGACTTGTTCTCGCGCTACTGGAGTTGAAGTAGTAAGTTCTACTGTCGAACTCGACGACGTAAAAACTTCACCTTCCTCGCGAGGGGGCAGCGTTACGAGCGAAAGCAAAACTACTTTGTACGACATAGTTTTAATGGGGTAATTAATAATCAAAGAAATGCAGCCGGGGAAAAAGTTCTTGTTAAAGACAACGAACTATCAAATGCAAATGTGCCCAGGGGGTAGGGTAGCACCCAAGAAAAATAGCAAAAAGCTGCAAAAAAGCTTGTGCTAAGGCTGGTGGCGAAGTTGGTGCCGAAGCTGGTGCCGAAGCAAGCTGGTGCCAAAGCTGGCGCCGAAGGTGTTGCAGCTCAGAAGCCCGAACCTCCGGGGCGGCGGTTCGATCGTTCTTGGGCCAGAGGCTGGGCCCGAGGGTGGGGCAGAGATAACGATAGGCCCAGCCGGCTACGCCAGGCGGGGCAGGGCCAGAGATAGACTGGGCCGGCCAGAGGCTGGGCCACGCCAGGCGCGGGGCCCGAGGTTCCGCCAGGCGCGGCGCCGGAGGCGGAGCAGGAGCAAGAGGCTGCGCGATAGCGCAGGCAGGAGTGAGGCTGGGCTGTCGGGGGCTCGACTAAAGGTTGGGCCAAGGTTTGCGGAGAATACACCGGAGGAGGCGAAGTATCCACAAACGGGAAATGGACTCCAAATATCCACGAGCGGGAAGATACGCAGCCAGCACGCAGGAGGCTGTTGCGTGTGGGCTGCAGAGGCTCGCACTTCCTCGCTCACGGCAGATCGATCCGCGCCCAAGATTCCATCTCGGTCGCCAACGCGCTGAGTGAGCGGGCAAAGAAGCTGGTAGGAATGTTGCTTTCTCACAAGCTTCCCTACTAGCTTCTACGCCAGCTTCTCCACCAGCTTCTCGACCACAAATTGTGGTCTAGCCTTCACGCAAAGTAGCGTTTTTTCATGATAAAAATTGTTTTTCTCCCGTGAAAATGAAGGCACTTCCAAACACCTTCTTTCGTTGAAGGTGCTTGTTGGTGCCGTGCTGAGATGAAAACGACCCAAGGCAACGGGCGAGGAGCGAAGCAGCTGGCAAGGCGGGACGAATACGCACGCTGCTGCGCACTCAGAAAAGGCCACGGTATGATGGCGAATTTGTTTGCGGTGGCGAATCTTTGCAGGCAGCACGCAGCAGTTTGTTGCGTGCAGGCTGCAAAGATTCAAAATTGTGGTCCGTTCGGGCCTCAAGTTGTTCTTGTTGCACCGACCCAGACATGCAAATCATCTTGGGCGGCCGCCATCTATCGGGCCAACTCCTTGCCCAAGCCCTTGGCCAAAGCGGGGCGCTTGGGCCCCAGACTGCGCCACAACTTTCCCGGCTTCTCGTCTGGGAGAAAAGCTGCGCACGAACAGTCCGGCACGAAGACCACAATGCGAGGCGCGATTGGGATTTCGGCCTGTGCCGCAGCATCTTCATCGCGCAACACAAAAAAAAAAAACGAATAGCGCGCGCACAGAAAAAGGGCACAGAAGCCGCGGCGCAATAAATGCATACGGTCTGCGCAAAGGGGCCCAAAGCTGTGCAATTTTTTTGCACCAAATATGCCAAAAATGCGAAAAAAGCTGTATTTTTATCAGCCCAAAAGATTTGGGCCTACCCTACCCCCTGGGCACATTTGCACGCGATACGAACGATACGACCTGTGCGAGCGAAGATCAGCATGATCTTCTTTCTTTCCGTGGAACCATTCAGAATTAGCACGATTTAGAGCGACAACCAAACGAAAGCGGGGAGTGTCTAGACGATTTGGCAGCTCCGCGTCCTGGAAGTGAGAGTGACGCATCTATGATACATTAACCTTTCCGGTGTGTGTCTGGACTATATTCGTCTACTCTCAAGCACGAAAAGCTCTCAAGAACAACTTCTTCTCACCTTCTCTCTCGTCGCCAACGAACTGAACCTGATCATCTTTCGCAGGTTATATATTTCTCGAGATGGCCACTTATCTCAACGGTTGTACCACTAGTGTCTTACAAACTCGACGATGGCTGCCTATTTTTGCTTTGTGACGGAAGACACGTCGTGAAAAAATTGCTTCAAGTACTCCGAACGTCTTTACCAGCAAAAGCATTCATCTTTGCTATCGCTGCTAAAGCTTTTGAATGCGTCAACTTTGCTATTCTTCAATTATTTATTTCTCAAACACATCATCCTTGTCGCCTTGAAGGGATGAAGCATTCTTGCATTCTACATGAAGAGAAAAAAAATGCGTCGGCGAATACTGCCGACAATGATAAAAAACAGAGCAGTCTATAGTTTGTGTTTTTCGTTTTTTGCTAACTTTTGGGTTCTGTATTCTCGGAAAATTGAAGACACAATGAAAAAACTCCTGATTAATGCGAGAAAATACTCCAACGCAATATATAAGCACCGTACGCAGTTGCACCTATCATGCCATCAAGAACAGCGGAAAAGGTGGGAAAAGAGGAAAAGAACTCAGAATGCTTCGGCTCTGGTGCAGTTCCCTTCCGTTTTCCACTACGAAAACGATGACACATTTGGTGTTTTATCAAACTGCACAAAAACAACGGAGACCGTAAACGCTTCTGTGCTATTTTCGAACAGGAATACTTCTCAAAAAATTGAAAAAGCTAAATATACGGTTCCGAAAAATGGAAAGCAAGCTTGCAGCTATCTTTTTGGTGACGCCAGTCGCCGCCCAAAATCCGGCTGCAGTTCCTTTTTGTTGCGGCACAGCAAACAATCATGCAGATTGCTGCCTTGATCATCAACCTGAACCTCATACCTCGTCTTCTTATATCTTGCTTCGCTTGCAACCCGGATTTTACCGGGCAAGAGGCTGAATTTAGGGTCTTTCGCTTTCCGATGAATGCGCCTTGGGTACATTCTATTTTTATTTGCTTACTCGTAATCTATATGCTCTAAGAAAATTGAAAAGAAGTGGCTCGCTCGGTATTTTTGGCCTGTAACATTTTCGCTTTTTCTTTCGTGTTTTGACGTTTGGCTTCGTCTTTGACATGACTCAGGATACGTGATATCAATTTGTTTTGTTACTCCAAATCTAAATTCCAAGTTGAAAAAGTTTAACGATAAATTCTCACGGTATTTCAACCTTCCCCAAGAGGTCTTCTGCAACAAGGTACGTAGATGCCCATGCTCCTGCAGCCAACTCTCAGGGCGCTCTCCCACGTGCAGGCACTTATCATCAGGAAATACCCCAACCCCAGCAGTCTCGAGAAACTACGTTTCTGCAGCTCACGGCTGAGTCCATACGTAAATCTTCGCCTTTCGAAAACATCAGGAAAAATGAAGTCTCGGAGCTGCACCTCCCTTCAACACGAATCATGATAGTGGATGTGGATTTAATCCCTGGCTCCGCGTAATATATCAATCCGACGATTACACAACAACTGTTCTCTCGAGATTGAAGAGCGGAAGTTTCATATTTCCCTTGCGATAGGATTTCGGGCAAAACGACACCCTGTCCCTGTTGTTGGCGGTGATCACGGTGCCCCCGGCCGTCGCGGTCATGGCCACCCCGACCATCCCGCTGCCGTTCGCGTTCCGCGGCGCGCCGACGGCTCGAGTCGGAGGACTGGTCGGATATCAGATTTTGCTGCAAATTCGTGTTGGCCAGAAAAATCTGCATGACCTGCAGCACGGCCAGGGTGCCTGGCAAGGTCGCGTAGCCCTGTTCGACCAGAAGAACGGCGTCCAGGAGGTATCTGCCGGTGTTGATCTTGTAAATTTGCACCTGCACTGCTGGGTTGGCCTTCAGGTGGTGCGCAGCAGCTGTAGGTGACGCAGCACCGCCCGCGCCCGCATTGTCCGGTTGTTTCACCACTGCGGTTGCCGCCGCACCCGTCTGCGGCTCCCCCGCTTTCGCGGCCGACGCCTGTTTCGCATTCCCCGTTCGGTCCGGCGGGTCGAACGCCACTTTCGGTCCTCGCTGTTGCGACGCCGTTCCAGATTTGTTCAAGGCGCTGTTGTTCGTGTTCGTTCCCGAGGCGTCTCCTGGCTGCGTCGCTGCTTGTAGTTCCCGGCTCTCCGCGATCGGAATTTTCTTTCGACAGCGGAAGCGCCACGGTGCGAGGCAGCACCACTCAAACTCGTTCGTGAACATGCTCGAGAACACTTCCCGCAGCAGCATCAGCGACTCCAAGGTGAATTCGAAACCCAGCCGCCACCGGCTCGGCCCCCAAGTCTGCGACACGACGTTCTGCGGAATATTGATCGTGTGCGGTCCGGATTGCCCCCGCTGAAATCGGGAATCCGACCCAGTTGCCGCGGGAATCACCGGCGGCACCCGATCAAACCCGTACGCCTTCGCCTGGAGGTAGTTACGGTATTCGACATCTACACCCATATCAACGTTGGGTGGTAGAAGAAGTATTCCTGGCGACAAGTATACGAGCTCGATGCTACAAATCACACCTACTGGTAGTGCGACTAGTATTTTCTCACCGGGTATAGTGTAAAAATTTTGTCCAGCCAGAAAAAGATCAAAACAGCGTACTTACTTACCAGATCTCTAGACTGCTGCTCCGTCATGAAGACGGGCGCCTTGCTTGCGTTTCGGTGCGAAATTGGCAGCAAATCCGTGAAGCTCGAGCGCCGGCTTCGTCGGTTCAGAAGCAAATGATACACAACTTTTTCCTCCGACTTCAGGTCTTCCACCAGAATTTTCTGGTCCATGCTGATCCCCAGCTCATCCATGTCCCGCTTAATCTGGTCGTCTAGCACCGCGTTCGAGGCGCCCCGGAGCAACACCGGACCAGCGCGGAGGTAGTCGGGGAGGTTGACCTAAGAATAGAATTGCGTTTACATTTTCAATTTCGTGGTAGAACAATCGATCATCACGTGCGTTTTGACTACAAGACTTAGATTCAGAAATACCAAATTCCATCAATATCACTGCAGCATAAAGAAAAGAGTGCGTCTAGTCAGCATCTTCTACGATTTCTTTGTCGTCGTTCCACCTTCTTACCTTGAACCACTTGTGCCCTCTGATTTGCGGGAAGTTGATCCGTTCGTATCCCAAGAAAAGCAATGGTCCTCATTACCCATCAGATCTTCATTCGGAGCAGTCTGGCATATGCAGCATAAGCCATTGCAAGTCAATTGTCTTCAAGACACAGTTGTCATCTTCTTCCTTGCTCATCTAGTAGATTATTTCTCACGACCTCCACGCATAACTAACACAAAGGCTACATTCCTTGCGTGCGAAAGCGACAGCAGACCTACTAAAACATTACCACAGCACATCGGACGAAAATTAAACGAGAAGAGCCTTCATCTCTCATGGAAAGAACAGATTGCTTTCCGCTTTCCGTATTTTCGTCGGGTCCACTACGAGCATCTGCACGATGAGGTCCTTGGCTTCGTTGGTCAGGTGGCCCGGAAGGGTAAAGTTACCGTGCTTAATTTTCCGGAACAGGTTCGGCACGTTCTCGTCGTCGAAGGGCAGCGACCCACAGAGCAGGGCGTACAAGACCACTCCGCACGACCAAACATCCACCTCGGGACCCGCGTACGCCTTGCCAGACACCACCTCCGGGGAGGCGTAGTTGGGTGACCCGCAAGAAGTTTTCAGGAACTCGCCGGTCTTCATGCGGTTCGACAGGCCGAAATCCGCGATTTTCACGTGCAGATTGGTATGGATTGCAAACATGTCTGGGTCTGGAAGATTGCAACCTGCCATGGTAAATCTGAATCATGCACAAATCTGTGTTGCATGAGTGCTAGAAGCTGCCCACTTTCGACCAAGTTGGGATGGAGTTTCTCACGCAGGATAGGCATGACAGAGACCTCACAGAGTCTGTCATGCTAGGTCCCGCATTCCAGACCTCATGAGTCATGGAAAACCTGCATGACAAGTCCACACTCTTCCAGACCCAGACATATTTGCACTTGATAGTTGGTGTCCAAAAGCAAATTTTCCGGCTTCAAGTCGCGGTGCACCACATTGTTATGCAGGGAAAAAAAGTGTGGATGTAGTGTAACTTTTGATGTAGATGAGGAACACCATCAAAAATCTGTACTGCATGACGGCAAAAAAATGTCATGTGCCGAAAGTACCACGTGCAAAAGCGCCTGACTAGGCGCGCCTACAAATATGCATTTTACCCGTACTATGACAGACGCAGCCATCACCTTGCATAGTTGTCCGCATCAAATAAAAGTCACGTCGAAAGCAATCTTTTTTCCGAGGATAGTTGTTCTGGTGGCAGTATTCCATGCCAGAGATAATCTGCTGGAAGAACCGGCGCCCCTCGGACTCTCGGAGCCGCAGTTTGTGCACGATGTGGTCAAAAAGCTCCCCGCCGGGGACGTACTGTGTATGAATGGAAAACGTATCGCGGTAGCAGTAGTTGCATGACAAATTATTTTTGCACATGGAAAAATGTTGAAATATGTCTTGCAGCTTCCGGTATAAGAACGCAGATCTGCAGCATAGTACTGCAGCATTGCGATTGCTACGACTGCGATACTACTTTTGCACAGCGTACTCCATCACCATAAACAAATCGGAGGGCGTGTCCAGTAATTCGTACAGCCGAATAACGTGCGGGTGCTTCAAGAGTTGCCTGGATAAGAACGTGCAATGATCATTTGCAACTACTTGTAACGCTGCTCTGCAACAGGAGCTGCAGGTTTCCTCATTCTACTCGCTCTGTATGAGTACGAGAAATAATTGATTCCACGCGTGAAGGAAAAAGGAAGGAAAAAGCAACCAAAATTATAAACTTTGTGAATACAGTATTGTGATTTCTCGTCGGATTTTCTCATGCATGTTCATGCTTTCCATCTTCAATTTGTTGATAATCTTGACCGCAACCTTCTCCCCGGTCAACGCATGCTCCGCAAGTTTGACTTTCCCGAAAGTGCCGACCCCCAGGGTGCCGGCCAGCGTGTACTGGGCGATGGTCACCATTCTGGGCAGGATGGTCCTACTGCTCAGGGGCCTTACCTGATAAGTACAATTTCGTAGTTTTCGTTGGTGCCACATTCAATCACAACCCTTTTCTTCTTGCGAGATCATTCACAAAGTCTAGCAAGGGCATGCAAACCAAGCGAGTTCCTTGTCAATTCAGTTCTGAGAAAAGAAAAAGCTCGACGTAAGAGGCGAGACAACAACTACGCCGGAACTACTACACTGTATGATGACAATACAGGTGAAAGAGTCCCCTCCTTGGTGTCTTTGTTTCGGTTTCCGTTTCCGCCTTCGGGCCAAGGCTAGTGCTATCCAAGTTGTTCACCGCACGACCCACGACGAATTTCCGTGGGTGCGGGGAAGAAGGCCTTCTGAGAGGACCTCATTTTCGCTCAAAAGAATAAAGATCGCTACATCATACCAATCTGTTTTTTAAACAATTCTGCACGTTGGAAAGTTTTAGTTTGCGTTTGCGACCCGTGGCAGAAGTACAAGAAATAAACCTACGCTTCCGCAGCGACGAAAAATGTTCAGCAACTTGATCATGCCGGAGCCGACAATATCAAGCGGGCACGACATTGCTCCCCGCAAAGATTTGTCAAATAGAAAAAGTTGTAACGTGATTTTGTAAAGATCACGGTAGAAGTAAAAAAATACTGGGCATAATTAAGAGCATTTGCCATGGAGCCAATGGTGCACTCTTATGCTCTTTTTTCTTCCAATTACAGCGACGCAGGGATATCAGTTTTCAATTTTCAACGTCCACACCTACCTTTCCTGCAACCACGAGACCAAAAAAGGATGCCTTCAACCTAATTGCGTTTTTGCAACGCAAAGGAACCTGTTGGGGGAGAATCAGAAATTGGAATTTCTTGATCTTGATATCAAAATCAAGTAAGTGTAGCAAATAGAGAAAATAAGTGCGTAGATTCAGATGCGTTGTACACAGAAAAAAAAATCTTCGACGGCACTGCTTTGTTCCTAAAAGCTGCCACTTTTGTTTGCCTCCCTTACTCCTCTCTGCAAATTTCTGGCGTTTCGCTGTGCCTGCGGAGAACCCGAAAAACGACCGGAGGAGAAGATCGGATCGTCGTCATGTACACTGTACGAGATCACCAATGGAAAAAAAACCGTTGGGGATGCGGAGCAAAAAGGAAAATCTTTAGAAAACCTTCTGTTGCTCCACAAACAAATTAGAACACCTACGTCGACCTTGCCAAGCTGCCCAAAACCCGCGCCTTGAGCCACCAATTCCAATGCGCAATGCGCCTATGCGACAATGGTAATTTTTTCACAACGGACTACAAATGCGACGAAGAAAACCTGGGGCACTGTCGACGCGTCACAAGAATCATGCTCGATAAATACCTTCAGAATTTTTTTACTTACAAGGGGAATGAAATGCGAAAAAAAATGTCCTTGCTTTCATTTCGGGAGGAAATTCTTGGTGGGGTGGTTCAACAAGAAAATAGAACATTAACATGCTCTGTTCATGGGCAGGAGTACAACTGCCCTACGGGCAGTAAGTACAAAAAGTAGCTTTGGGTCCTACTCCAGCGAGCAGGGGCAGAATTCGTGTGTTTGTGTAGCGATAGCGAACTACTTACACAATCTATCACATATGCTTCTATGAAAAAAATTCAGAAACTAGGAAACAAATGGCAGGCATCCATCAAAAAATCGAGATCGGAACTTTTTGAAGTGCGGCCTCGCCAAGAAAATAACTCCAACCACTCGTCACATCTTGTACGGAAAGAGCGGGACGGAGCTGGCCTGTCCCCGGTCAGCGACGCAGGGGTGCACGAACAGCGGTGCCGGCGGTACGATTAGATTCACCTGATTGAGCCGCTCCTGCATGCCGCTGGACGGCGCGTTCTTTCTGCTGCTGGTAGTAAGGGACGTCTTTATGTTCACCGACTTGCCCGTATGACAGTGCACAACTCCCCCTCCCCCTCATTTGTATAGCATGAACGGCAATACAAGCAGCAGCAACAGTGCCGGCTTTGCATTACAAATTTGCATTGGAGTGTAGTGCTGTTTGAGCTTCCGGGATTTGTCATGCAACCAGTGCTACAAGGCAGCAGCTGGATTTGGGATTTTGCATTACAAATGAGGGGGAGGGGAAGTTGTGCACTGTCATAGCCCGCCCCTCGCGGCGTGTTCGGGCTCGAGGATTTGCTTCCGGATTTCTGCTCAAAGGCGGATGAGGATTGCGATTGCGGGCCCTGTTGATTAATATCACCTCCAGTACCTGCTGGACTCTGTTGCTGCATAGTTGTACTTGAAGATGGCGATCCATTGTTGTTCCCGACTACCTGTTGTTGTACTCCAGCACCGTGGTCACCCCCACTCGCGTCCTGCATAATTCCGACCCGCTTTTGCACTTGTGGCACCCCGCCCGGCCCGACCGAAATCACTCTTTCCCGCTTTTCTGAGTCCAGAAAACCCCCGTCGTGTAACTGCGTACCCCCACGGTCATTGAACCGCTCTGATATGGAAGTGTCAGAACCGAAATTGACAAAGTCGAAAAATTTGTGATGCATAAAGTCGATACCAGTTGGAGCCTCAAATTGTAAGCGGCGCATGACAAATTTCGAGAGCACCCAAATCCAGTCTGTCATGCTGTTTGGGCAAAGAAGACTGCTCCTGTCATGCTACTGTGGCAGCATATTGCATACCCCTAATCACGCTTACAATCGGTCTCATTTGCCTGCTCCCCAATACAGGCCTCCAGTGCCCTACATTTTACGCATCGCAAATTTTTCGACTTTGTCGATTTCGATCCTGACACATCCATATCTGAGGCTGGTAATGTAGACGTGCTGTTGATACTAGCGTGCAGGGGCGGCTGCTTCCCGCCGAAGAGCGCCGGACCTGTAGTTGCAGTATTTGCACTAGTGCTTGAAGATGTCCCGCTCAGCTGCAGTAACTCGTGTTGCTCTCTTCCACTCGCGAGGATCTCCAAGAAGCACTCCTTTAACAAGTTTCTCGTGCGACTCGGGCTCCCCGCGTATTTCTCGTGGATCACCCGCATGGTCAGCGACAGGTGCAGTTGCGCTTCCGCGGAAAACAGGTCCCCGGCGGGGCGCTCCTGGATCAGGTGGTAAAACTTCAAAAAAGCCGACTCGGCGTTCCCGTGCTCCCCGCGCTTCAGAAACTGGGATATCTGCTGCAGGAGCAGTTCCCGATCCCACAAAAAGTCCTTATTCAGCGGCGGCGCCTTGTGTCTCGGATCCAAGTAGTCGAAACCCTTCTGCCCAGGGCCGCGGGGCGGGTTCCAGGGAATCATAGCCTACTGGTAGAATTACTTTAAAATCGTTCGTTGGCCGGCAATAAGGAACCGCCTTCGGTCTCTGATGCTGAAACGAGGTTATTTCTATTTGTGGGGACCGAGGTGAATTAGCACCATGTGATTTCGGCGCCGGTTTGTATGCTTTTCTGAGTGAAGGGAATATTGAATTTTTTCTAGCTGCTTCTCATGCATTCTGTGCTTCAGCAGTAAAGCTTTGTGATGATTCTTTGCATCTATTGCGATAATTCAAGGGGTACTTGCTAAAAACAGAACTTGAAAAAGAACCTAGGGGCGGCTAGAAAAGAGCACTACCAGGGAACTGAAAGTTGTAGATCAATCACGTTAACGCAATTCACGATTACTCTTGCAGGTCGCAAAAACCGAACGCGGTAAGTGAAAACGTACGGAACGCGAAAGACAACACGAATAATTTTCACAGCGATTTCAGGTGGCGGGAGGATGAATTTTTGCACGATTGAAAATGAAACGAAAATTCCCAGTGTGGGGACGAAATTGTGACGAAGGAGAGAGCTGTTGTTCAAAACCGATCTTTTTCAGGAGAGTTGCAGTACAAACAAAGCGCGTTTAGTGCTAAACCGACAGTCCTTTAGGCAAAATCAACATCTGTAGACCTGCGCACGAGCAGAACCAACAAGCGTAAGGAACAAAAGGAAGAGGAAGTTAGTAGAGACCGTAAGTCAACGATTACAGGTTGTACGAAGTGCCGCAGCGGCACTGAACTGCCGACGACAACAGGCAAAACTACATTCCAATTTTCATTCAGACGGTGTTTTTCCGCGTGCGAATTTTTTCTCACTCATCTCGGGGATGAACGGATCGTGTCAAAGCACGCTGCTACAACAAACTTGGGTCAAATCATACAAGGGGTCAAAAGACGATATTTTGTCTGTTTTACCACGAAACTAGGTTTATTGCGAAAGGTGCAATTATAAAACAGGACGTATAGTAATAGTATCGCATCAGTGCAAATTTTGAATAATGAACTTTACAGTAATTTACTCGATCACACCGAAATCTTCTTCTACTTCGTCCCAAATTACCTACCTTCCACCAGCGTCATTTTTCCTTCTCTCGCAACCTTGTTTGGACAAGAGCGGCGTCCGCAGTGGAGGCGTTGACGCTCGTATCGGCGATTTCGCAGTAGTGGTCGTCCGTCATCAGGAATCCGTTTCCGCAGGTGGCACAGATCTCCTCGTGGTGGATATCGCAGGCCTCGCCCAGGGCCCCCGTGCCATTCTCACAGGTGCAGACGTTGAGCCGGCACACGTGCACCGCCACCGTGGTTACGTGCTTTTTTTGGTGAAAGTGGTACCCCGTATCGCAGTGCGTGCAGACCTCCAGCCCGTCGCCCACGCACGCGGTACCGGTGGCCGGCGTGCCGAAGTCGCACGAACAGACGTTCGCGACGCAGGCCGAGCTTCCAGGATCCGCGTGTTGCCCAGCCGGACAAGAGACGTCGGTGCTTGACGCTCTGGCTGCTGTGGTCGACGATGATTCCACATTTTGCGCTTTGTTCGCCTGATTTCCGTCAGTAAGCTGCTGCCCAAGGACGGAAGCAGCAGCGCTGCTCGCTGAAGAAATGCTCGCTGAAGAAAGAGCTGAAGTAGATGTTGAAGTGCTAGTGCCACCGCTGCTGCTGCCCTCGCTGGGCTCCGCCGGCTCCTTGGGGACGCAGGTTTCCGTGTCGTCGTCCAATTCGTAATCGGCGTTGCAATACGCACACACCTCGGTGCCGTTGTTGAGGCACTGTGCACCGATTTGCCCCATGCCGTGCGCGCAGGTGCACACGTTCTGATGACACACGTTTTCTTCGCTCGTGGCATTCAACTCCGCCGTGTAGCCGGGCGGGCAAGTCTCTGTGGTGGTGGTTGTGGTGGTGGTAGTAGTTGATGTAGTAGGCTCATCCACCTCCGCCTTAGAAGAGTCCGCTCCTTCTGCATCAGCTTCAACAGCTGCCTCGGTTGCTGTTTTCAAATCTTCACGCCGCCTGGTTATCATTTTCTGATTCGTGACAGACGAGTCCGTGACGCCGCTCGGAGTACCAGCGTTGATATCATCATCGTCCTTACTGCTACTGTTCACCAGACTCAACAGCTGCAGCACCGACGCCGTCGAAATTGTCGAATTATTCCCAATCTGCTTCTCGCAGCGCAATTCCGCCGACTTTTCGTATCCGGGTTCGCAGCTGTAGCAGATGTGCAGGGCATCCTCCGCGCAGTCGGCGCCCATCATGGGGAAACCGTTCTCGCACACGCACACGTTCAGCGCACAGACGCCCCCGCCGAGCGAGTGCTGCCCCTCGGGGCAGGCGACCTCTTCAGGGGGAGCCTTGTTGTGGGAGGAGGAAACGATAAAACTGGAACTGCTACTGCTCGCGCTTGCACCAGCAGCAAACGACGACAAGTCCTCGAATTCGCACCGCCCGTCGACGAGTTCGTACTCAGGGTCGCACTCGATGCACATCTCGGTGTTGGCCGCGACGCACTTGATCCCCGAGTTCGGGGTTATCAAATGCAAAAGTGTCTGGGTCTGGAAGAGTGTACACTTGTTATGCAGGTTTTCCATGACCCATGAGGTCTGGAATGCGGGACCTAGCATGACAAACTCTGGGAGGTCTTTGTCATGTCTATCCTGCATGAGAAACTCCCTCCCAACTTGGTTGACCGTACACAGCTTTTGGTAATCAAGCAACACAAGTTTTTGCATGATCCAGACTCAGCATGACAAGCACAAGCTCCAACCTTCCAGACCCAGACATATTTGCAGTTCATAGGGGTGCCGTGCGCGCAACTGCAAACGTACACGTCGCACCCGCCGTGGGGCCCCTTGGTTGCGTTGAAATACGTGCCCGGCGGGCAGGTGAGCAAGGTTGTCGTCGCAGTGGAGGTGGTCGCGTTTGTAGACGTCGTCGTCGTATGATCTGCTGCTGATTCTGCTCTTGCTTCCGTATCTGCTTCTGTGAGGTGTATTTGCTTGCTTTCCGAATCGGTTTCGAGATCTTTGTGACCAACGATCCCCTGCTCCTGATGTTCACCTGTAATTATATCTCCACTGTTCTTGAGCAGTACCGATACAGGCGCTGCTGCCGTCCTCTGTGGCTCCAGTTGAAGTTGTACCTGCACCGCGGCGCTGCTGGAAGTTTTACTACTACCTCCACTCGCCGCACAGGATGCGGTCCGGTTGAAAACGTCGGCGCATGCCTGGCCGTGCTCGTCCTTGCCGTTTCGGAGCGCCTGCTCGTTCATCAGCATGGCGTCGTGCATCCTCGTCCCCGCGGCGCAGCCCGCGTGCTTCCAGGCCCGCATCTTGCAGAAGCACGCCTGCGTGCCCTGGCTGCAGAACCGGTCGGGCACGGCGGGGAGAAGCTCGTCATAGGAATCCGCGATGCCCGCACAGCTGGTCAGCGCGTGCTTGCAGTGGTGTTCGCACAACGTCATCTGGTTGCTTTCCTCGTACAGCGAAAACACCTGACACTGCATGCTCGCGGTGTGCGCCTCTTCCACAATGTTCGTGAAAGAGGATTTCTCAGACTCGGGACTCGGGCCGCAGTAGACCCCGGTGGCCGCAATCAGATCGCGGGAACGCTCCTCCAAGGCGGGCGACCCGGTGAAGTCCGGATCCTTTTGCAGACAGTGGTCGCCCCACTGCTCGCGTGCCCGCACGCAGTCCGACGAGGACGAGCGACAGCGCAAGAGCGGATCCGTGTCGTTCCGGGTCACCCACGCGGTGTAAAAGTGATCCAAGTGCACGACTTCGTCCTCCTCGCGGATGTAGCACTTCTGGAAAAACTCCTTGCAGTGACTGTGACACGCTTCGTGGAGGCCACCAGAGAGAGCAACGGAAAAGGCGTTCCTGCAATGCTCCCAAACCTGTGACAAATTGATAGATTTATTCATTCCCTTTGATGCTTTATCTATCATGCCAGCCCAAAACGACCAACGATTTTCTGGGTAAGGTTTTTGCAACGCCGAGAGAGCGAAACCGAGACGCGGCTCCAAGCTTTTTGATTTATTGCGCATTGATCTACTTCCTCTTCATTGTCAGCATCACAAATCCAATACCGGCATCTCGTTGCCCCACTCACAGTCTGCCATCAGCTCCGGACCCGTGCACGCCTGGTAGTCGGTACCAGCGGCCTCGCACTTGTCCTTGTCTTTTTCCATAATCGCATGACAGGTGTCTGGAAGGTTTTTCGCCTGGTGTGAAAAACTTGACAACATCTGCCCCTGACTGCTCGTCACTAGTATTTGGTGGCTCTGGAGCTCGGTGTTTTCGTTGCTACCGCGACTTCCATCTTCGATTTTCTGGCTCCCAGCGACTTCCTCCTTTTTCATGATCCCGCTTTGATTTTTGTCTTCCCGCTGCAGGAGACGTGAAGTTGTCCTGCTTACGTCCTTGCTTCTACCACTTACGCGCGCATCCGTTGCTTCTTCCTTTCCAGAACGGAAACGGATGACAGAGGAGCCACCTCCCGAAATAACATCAGTTCTACTCTGGTCCTCCTGCAACAACGACAGGGGGCCGGTCAGCCTTTTGTCGTCGTGCTGCAGTAGCTGATGCATCCAGTGTCCGCGAGGAGGTGGATCGCGCTCGAGGTCCGTGCCTGCACGACCTCCTGCTTCAGCAGCTACTAGTCCACTGCTGTCCGCCTGGAGCGAAAAGGAGTCCGTGTCCACAACAACAGCGCCAAAACTCCTCTGCTCTTCCTTCTGCACCAGCCGCGCTTCGACAACATTGGGAGTCCAGGTGGTGAAAATTTTTGCTGTTGCGAAGAAAACTATTACCAGGCTGGCAAGGAAAACGGAGGAAACTCGCTGCGCCGCGCCTTGCATTTTGTTCTGGGGGGATTTAAAATTTGACTCAGGGCCAGGTGCAGGTGATTCTGCCCTATACAACCACTCTCCGATCATGAAAGCGATGCGATTTTCTTCCAATGCCCGACGCTAAAGCAAATGCTTGATCATCGTAGTTTCAGTGGAGATAGAGAGATTTTCAGCTTTGCAATGCCCTAATTTACCGACGAGTTCTTTGTTTGTTATACCCAGTTGCTCTGCGCTCGAATTTTGTCCTTGCAGCGACATTTTGCACGAAGCAAACGACGACGACAAATCTGGCTCTACGAGGCCGGCATTTGCTCTAACGAAAAGCGATGGTGGCGACAGAATCCGTTACAGCAAGACAAGCGGTCGTCTTTCTCGATTCAAACGACCAAGCTACGCACGAAGCCTTTTTGTTGTGGCAGAAATCGTTGACAAAGTGCTACTACGCGCAACGGCAAAGTAAGACGACCGAAAACGCATGAGCGGAACCTCGAGTGTCTGTAGAACAACGCGCCAGGTTCTAAGGCGTTGCAGCTCCGTTTTAAACAATACGCCAGGTGGTTCTAAGGCATTGCAGCTCCGTTTTATACATGCACGACACTAGAGGGCGCATATCAGTAGGCCAAAGGAGTATTGCTCGGCCCTTCAAGCCAGGCAGCTGCGGCAGCCTGTGCGACGGGGGCCGCACCTCTGGCGCCCGTCGGAAGGACATGCACTGATGAGGGGGCGCCCGCCGCGGGCCTGCTGCTGGCGTCCGAGGGGCGCAGCCGCAGCAGCGCCTCGCCGCGCTTGCCCGGTCCGCCGGGGCGCACCCGTATAGCGGGACGCACTTCGCCACGCGAGCGGGATCGCCGGCAGGACGGCTCGCCGCCATTTGGCCGGTCGGCTACGCCGTCGCCTCGGACGACTCAGCCGCAAAGCCCTTCTCCCAGGTCGGCGCGCCGCCAAGCGGTTCCCCGCCGTATAAGAGTCGCAGAGCTGTCGCCTTCGCATCATCGGCGCCCGCTGCTTCCCGACTTTCGTGGCTGAATTGTGGCCCTCAACGCCCGCCGCCGGTCGACAAGCTTGGGCTGCCGGCCCGCAAGGCCGTCCGGTCGCACTTTGCCGCCCCCTGTCGGGGTCCCGATGCGCACCAGCCAGAACTCCGCAGCGGTGGAAGCTTGGCACAACCCAGGCGGCTGGTCTCTGGGGCTGCCCGCTAGATCGCAGCTCTTGCCCAGCATCAATCTCCTTGCCCGCGGCGCTCTTCAGATTCTGCTGGCAAAGGCCCTCGCGGTTTTTCCCACTCGGCCGCTCCAGTTGGAACTTTTGCCGTGGGCGCTCGTTAGTCAGTGGCCCCAGCAGCAGCGGCGCGCGCCCCCCAGTTGACCGCCCCCGGGGCGGCCGCGAAAGGGAAAAGAGGGCGCCGGCCGGTGGCGAAAGCGAACCTGGCGCGACACTAAGGCGCCCCCTCGTGCTGCGCCGGCGAGGCCGCGGGGGGGGGCGAGGATCGATGTCCGTCGTAGCCGCCGCCCTGCGGCCCGCCTTCCACCTGTGCCCCACGCGCCGCGCTTGCGCCGTCTTCTCAATATCCTCGGCGGGCGTGCCGCGCAGGGCGACAGTTTATGGCAGGCGCAGCCACTTGCCGCTTCCGCCCCGCCCTCACAATGCCCGGCGGCCTTGCTTGCCGTCGGGCCCTTCGTGTTAACGACGGAGACGATTGGGCGGCCTTGCTGCCACTGCGGGCCGGCCCCTTCGTCCATAGTTGCTCTGTGCGTATCTTCGTCGAGGTCTCCCCCGAAGGCTGCCGCTTTGGCGCGGCCGCCGAAAAAGCACGCGCGCCATCGAGAATCCATCACAAAACCAACCGCCCTGCGCGAATGGCGACGGACTGGCGCGCAAAGGGAAGCGGCTCCTTTTCCGTTTCGGCTTCTTCTTGCAAAAACATTTAGGCTGCGCCTCGGCGCCGAGCAGCGCCACCCCCGCGTACCAGGCAAGGGCAGCCAACCCCACCACCCCACCACCTGCGGCATGCGGATCCCGGCAGCGGCCGACCCGGACACCGTCGGCCCCGCCCCCCTTCCTTTGTTTGCGCGCGTAGATTGCTAGGCGGACCGCGCCGAGCCTGTTCCGCGGCGCTCTGTCACCACTCGCTCCGCCCCCGCTAGGTTGGCTGCTGCTCTTGGAAATACCGAACAGAGCGGGCCCGGCCGGCGTCGCGGTTTTGCGTCCGGTAAAGGAGCCGCGATCTTGCGCCGCGCCGTTCGGCCAGCGAGGCAGGTAATTGACCACCGCGGCGCCCGGGCCCGTTCCCCGGCGCGATTCAGCAGCGGCGCGCATGCTGCTGCCGCAGGTGCTGCGCACCAGATCGCCCCCGCGCCCTCCTGGCATCAGAGACACCCGCTCCCCTGGCCGGCGGCACTTTCGTCCTGGAAATCCTGGCAGGCGGCGCGCGCGCTCGCTGCGACGCGCGCGGCGTAGGGCTACGCGTCGGCGTTCTTTTTTTTTTTTGATATCGCGCTGACGAACGTGCGAGCGCCCCTGAAGCTCCTTGCGCTATAACAGGCCCCCCACTCGCTCGCACTAGTTCTTTCAAATTTCACTCGAAACACTTCCTGATCGTGGCATTGAGGATAAGCAACCCGCATACTTCTGGTAGCGCCGACGCTCGGCCAGGCCGACAATGCTTGCACTTCCTTGTTCCGAAAAGACATCAAATCACAGTTACATTGCTGGCTATATCATCATGAGCACGCGACTCATTCGGCCCACGGCTGGAAGCTCAACATCAAATTGCTTCATATTTACAGACTTCCCCCAACAGACGTTCCATAACATTCTTCAAAACGACACACAAACGCAACTATTGCAGCAGCTGCAAAAGAGACACTTAGCTGCTATCACTACTGCGAAGAAAAGGTCGAAATAACTCACAGGCAAATCGATAGAAGAGAAATTTAGTTGTGATGAGCTACACTGAAAAACTTTTGTATCTACAACTAAACGAGAGAAAAACGAAGGAGTCACCCGAAAAACCTCGAAAGATCCTGCTTTTTCTTGAGAATTGAAATTTCCTAAAAACAACCTGTACTGTATCCAAAAGGAACAAAACTTCAACTTCTTTGTTCGATACTGTCAACACGACACACCTGGCGCAGCGCGATCATCCCATTCTTGTGACAACTGTATAGCACTTCTTTATTGCGATTTTCGTTTAGAGGTCAACATCTCAATAATTTGATACGTGGGTCGGAAGTGCTTGCGTTGGGAGGACTTGCTCGTGACTGAGGGCAGAGCCGAGAGCATTCAACATTGCACAGGAAAACAAATTGTTGGCCTGGTCGTTTCCTGGCGATGTATTGATTCAAACATGCATCCACGCCGTTTGATATCTACTAAATGCGAAACTTACAGTGGTGCGTCATCCGCGTTCAGAAAAGGACAGCAGCACAGCTCGGGTCTTGAAAACGGAAAATGGGGCGAAAAAACCTTCCCCCGCCCCCCTTCTCGCAAAAAAACCTTGTCACCGCGGATACATCGCGCTGGACGACGCCGACCTGGTTCGCTGGAAGAAGGTTTCCGGGAAGTGCACGGCCTCCCGCGCCACCGTCGTGGCGCTGCTGCTGCTGCTCGCGGATCCGTTCTCGCCCTCTCCCGCGCCGGGGGGCACGCGGATCCGCGTTTTGTCGTCCATGTCCTGCTCCCGGGCGGCAGCGTTCATCTTTTCCTCCAGCGTCAGTTCCGACGCCTTTCGCTCCAGCTTCCGCTGCTTCTTCCGGGTTTTCTTCTCCCGAATTTCCTTGTCGATGTCCTCGTCCTGCGAGTCAAAATCCGAGGAAACAGATTCCGACTTCTTATCGTCCTCCTCCTCTTCCATCCGGTTCGACTTCGACTCGTTCTTCGAGAGCTCGTCGTTCTGGCTGGACCGCCGGGATCGCTGTGACGCCGCTCCTTTTGGCTTGTTGATCTGGGCCGCGGACGAGGGTTGACGACCTTCTTCTTCTTCTTCTTGCAGAAGTTGACTTCTCGGGTAGTTATTCTGCTGGTCGCTGAGTCGCCTAATAATGCTACTGGATGTTGAGAAAGCTGTTGCAGTTCCTGCATTGAAAATCTCTTCACCTGGTTGTTCGTCTGCACGTGCACCACCAACGTCTTTATTATTCCCCTCCCCATCTCCGTCTTCTCCTGGATCTTCGTCCTCCCCCGGACTGTTGTTCGACGGCTCTTCCGGCGCAGACCCGCCCCCAAACCCGCTATTTCCCGGCCCATTTCCCCCATTCGAATTTTCCACAGACTGGAAGTCTTCGCTGAAGTTGTCCTCCTCCTCCTCCTCCGGCGCGTCGCCGCACCACTGGAAGAAGCAGATCACGCACGTGCAGTCGTCCTGGCTGCCCCGGTCCCGGGCGATCTCGATAATTTTCTGCGCGATGTTCTCCCGGCACCTCTTCGTGATGTCTTTCTGCTCCACCTTGTTGCTCGCCTTCCCGAAGGCCAGGTTGTTCCGCTCCATGGCGATGACGTCGCAAATCATCTGGTCCGACATCACGTCCGTGATCCCGTCGGAGCCCAGGACCAAGAAATCGTCCTCCTCGCGTATGGCGTGCTCAGATGTTACAATCTCAAACGTTACAATTTGTCTTGCATGGTGAGCATTACAGACTCGCAGACCATTCCACTTTCTGCAACACAAATTTCGGCAGATTGTTGTGCGGTCTGGGACTCCGGAACTTGTGATGCGCAGTCCTATGAGACTTGGCTAGATCATGCACTTCTTGCATCACAGATTTCCATATTCTATTGTAACGTTTGAGATTGTAACGTTTGAGCAGGTCATATCGCGATCAATGCTCGTGTGCCGCACCTCCGGGACGCCGGATACCAGATGGGTTTTCACGTTCGTCAGATCCGGTTCCTTGAAAGGTAAGTCCCCGATCGCCCGTGAGACCGCCAGTCCCATGTAGTTCGGCTGCGCCAGGTGCGCGGGCACCCCGAGCGGCGCGGGGGCCTGGATCAGCACCCGCCACACGCCGTTGCACTGCTGAACGAGCCCGTTCAAGTCCGGCGTGCGCTTCACCGTCTCCTCGATCCGATTCCGTTCGTCTTGCCGGTTCGGCTTGTGGTCGGACGTCAGCCGGATGGCCTTGCCGTCGCGGCAGAGGACCGCGAACGAGTCCCCGGCGTGCGCGGTGAAGAGCGACAACTCGCCCTGCTCGTCCGGACCGTAAAATAGCGTCGTGACCGCGCAGGCGCCGCTCGCGTCGCCCTCCTTGGCCGCTTTGTGCAGCCAGTTGCTGTCGGTCGTTTTGAAACCGGCCTTGTGCGCGTTCGCAAAGTCCTTTGGGGTCGGGTGGGTGTGGGAAATTTGGTTCACCGCCGCGCAGATGTTCTTGTCCAGTTGCTCCTTGGAGTACTGGGCGCAAGCGGAACCGTTGTGACCTTAAGAGTTTTGGATATAGAAGAAAATTTTCGCGGCAGTTTCTCATCCTAGAAAAGCACACCCATTGGATAATTTGTGGATAGAAAAAAATCGAATGACAAACAACTTCCATAGTACCATCGAAAACGGAGAAGTAGAACAATTCTGCGTCGTCGCTCTTCATGTTCGGGAGCGCTCGCTTCTCGCAATAGCGGTCCTGGTTTTCCTGCTTCATGGGCCCCATCTCTGTGTGGTAGTGGCACACGAGCGATCGCTTAATGTTCAGTTCTTCCCCGGATTCCGACTCATCTTCCCCGGAACTCTTCTTGGACGCGCCGGGGCCGGATCGGGCACTGTTATTGCGTGAAGGTTTTTCTTTTTCACCAAATCAAAATGAACATTGTGCTGCAACAGAAGCCAAGCGAGGCTGGTGGGATGATGAAAGGCATTTTTACATGTAGTAACTTTTGCACGACAAAAGAAGAAAAACGTCAAGAAACTTTACAAAACCTTCGCGATAATTATACCTTTCCATATCCCCGCCCTCGCTGGCCAGCTGCACGTTGGTTTTCGGTGGTCTGCCGTCTTCGGTGACCAACATCGGCTCGTCCTCCACGTCAATTTCCATTGCGTTTTCATCTTCCTCCTCTTCCCCCGTGTAGTCGTATTGCACGTCGGACGCGCACCACCGCCCGGCTTTGTCTTGCTCCGGAACAAAGGAAACGCGGTCCTCAACTTCGAGTTTCTGGAATTTCTTCGAGTTCAGCCGGAGCTGCTTGTGGTGCACGAAAACCTCGTCTTCAAATTCGGATACCTTTATGAAAATTTAATGATGGATAAAAATTTCATTCTGGAACAAAGTTGTGCCCTCTCACATCCTCGTGGTCGTAGCTGCATGAAGTTTCTTGTTGCCAACGAGGCGACAACCCTGGAAAATCAAAAACGAAAATTCAAATTTTCAAGCACAACATGAAATCTATCTAGCACGACTATACCTTCAAAAACCCAAACCCCTTCGACCCGTTCCACTTGCAGCATACGCCGATCAACCTTTCCATTTCTGGTTCCCCCTTCAAGACCACGCCCTTCGGCTGCTTCGACTCCAAATTCTCCACGTAAATCAACCCGTCCGAATTCCGGAAGTAACACTTCTCCTCGTACTGATAGATCCAGGCGTAGTTCGCGTTCGATTTGTCCGCGGTTTTCGCCGCGGGAAATCCTGCCATGCTTTCGCTCATTTGGTCCCAAAAAACGGACTCTTTCGTGCAGTGCGGGAGTTCACTTGGATCGTCGTCGTCCACTAGGTGCAGTTGGGCATACGGGTCGTCGGCCTTGTCGATCACCACGAAGGACTCGCTTTCCAGTTCGTCTCCTTTGTTTGTTTCAGTGGGGTCGTTCTTGTTCTCGACAGTACCAGATGTGGAAGCAGGAGGCTGTCCTTGCAATGTAGTTGCAGCAGTTCCTGCGGTTGTTTTATTAACCGGCGGCTGCTCCTCACTATTCGTCGTCGGGGGCGTCGTCGCTGTGGGAAAGGCGGATGTGGAACTGGAGGCCTGCACCGTCGGGCCGGCGAGGGACTGCGGGTCGAGCTGTTGCACAACGACCGGTTGCACGGCGATGTTTTCCTCCGTCTTTCGACGTTTGGTCGCGGGGGAGAGGACCGTGTTGGGGGAGGGAAGTTGGTCCTCATCGGACGGAACTCCGGTCGGCGGCTTCTTCTTGCCGTTCGAAGCCTCTTGCTGCATATCCTCTGCTGGTAGGTCCGGCATCTTGCTTGTTTTCATCCTAGATTTATTCTTCTGTCGTCAAGTTCTCTACTTGGGACTTAATTTAGCATTTGTCCAAATGGTCGTGTCGCTGCGCGAAGCTTGTTTCTTTGTAATACGTCGTATAATTTTTACATAGATCTGGTCAAAACTGCGCTATTGAGGATGAAAACACGAGTGCCATTTTTTGCATGAAAAATTAACTACTTTTGCGTGATCAGACCACTATCCGCTAAAGCTGTTGGCTGGTTTCGGTTTCCTCTCGCTGTCTACAACTGACCAGGAGAGAACGAAACTCTAGTCTCAACGTCGCTGGAAAAAAAAAGGCTCAGTTTCATTCATTTGAAAGCACGAGTATATCATTTGCAGCTGTTTTATTACCCTACTTACTCAGCAGCGCAACAAACGTAGCATCGCAACCTCTACTTCTCCACTCGCAACATGTTGCTCTGACCAGAAAGCTGCGTGACGAAAAATTTAATTCATCGCCAGCAGCGTGTTGATCAGTATTTAATGTTGGAGCCTGCGCGAGAGCATTTCGGTTTTCATTTTGTTCTTCGCGCTTGAGCAAGAGGAATCAATGGTGAACAGACTGCGCCAGAGGCACACTTAGCAATGGTGAACATCCTGAGGTCCTCGGCTGTTATTGCAAGTTTTATTTCATCGGGTGGATGATCATCATCATTTTTATGTGACATCAAGGGGCCTTTTTGATAGAAATCGCGTCACGGGATCACAACTCTTGTTCTGTAACAAGATCAGAAGCTTGGAATGTACATAATTCAGCGTAGTTGTTGGAAAATTCTTGGAATTATTTCAGCTCTGATCAGCCTAATTAGGTAAAAAATGGCAAAGGAATCAGTGAGAAAAAGCAGTTCGGAAAATGTCTGATTAAGGGTAGTCTAATGATAATGTCCGCTGTGGCGGGCAACAGTTTTTCCAGTCCGTTCTGCAAACAGAGTAGAGGGACGGAAAACAATGTCACCACAACGACGGATTTCTGGAAAATAGTCAAATAGAAGTCAGTGCTTAATCGACTTATCATCTCACCGCGGAGAATCTGCGCGTTTACTAGGAACCAGAGCCCACGGGACTCCTGATCTCCTCGTCCTCTCCCGGAGGTCGTGCAACTGACAACTATAGGGAAAATCAAAATGGATTGGATACGACGTCAAAGCAAAACTACAAATAAATATCAAAACTGCAAAGCGGCCTACAAACCAACGGATTCTTGGAATTTTCAAAATCACAACTTTTCGCCACAAATGTAACTACATAGCAAAAACTTACTCATCAGAATACATAGTATACGGGCAAAATTTCAAACAACAAGCGCATGTCAACCAGCCCGGGCCTTTCAGAACTGCGAACAACTTCTTCTCCCCCGGAGGTCAACCTCTCCGCTGCTCGAGGAGATAGAGAGCGCCAAAGGACTACTAAGTACTAGACCTCGCGGCTGCAGCGGTCGCAATGATCTCGGTCACGTCTTCCGAAGACGGCAACGGCGCTGCTGCACCGCTTGCGTTTGCTGCTGCAACCCCAACATTCCCGGCCGCACTACTAGGCCTGGCGTTTTTCTGCGCCAGCTGGATCAATGCTTGTGCTTCTACATCAGAGATGTACGCCCGCATGGTTAAGAGGTTCTCCCCTTGCGTGACCTCGCAGTAGTGCGGAAATTGGTCCTGCCGTCGCTCTCCCACGGTCGTGTCCTTACTCATCTCCGTTGCCTGCTGCCGCTCGCTCACGTCTGGTGATATTATGATTTGGGGGCGATAAAGTACAACATTTTTTCGACACTGCAATTACTTACAGGCAGGTAATATGTGATGCGCGCGAAGCGATATCCCGTGCGATTTCTGTACAACAACCTCGTCCGCTACTGCGGGCCAAAAATGAACTCAAAACAATTCACAAAAAGAAAAACCATGGGCAAAAAAAATCATATTTCCTACGCTTCAGAATGCGTTTCCAAACCGCGCAGGTATCGTCATCTCCCGTCACGATCAAATCCTCCCGCGCCCTGCAATATTTCCCCGGCACCCACTCGAACCGCTGCACCGCCAGGGGCATCGTCCAGAGCAGCTGCGATACGTTGTAGATACACCTCTGCACAAGTCTTGGATTCCGCGGCGGGGAAGGTGCATTATTGTTGTTATTCGTCGTCCCGTTGCCCCCACCATTTCTACTTCTCGACGGGCTGGTGTCCAGCACGTCACATTCCAAGTGCACGGAGCAGGGGAGCACGGGCGGCGTGATCCGCACGTACGGATTCTGCTCCTGCATTATCTTCAGCACCTGCTTGTTCAGTAAAAAATTGTAGTTGGCCCAGGGTCGGTTGTAGCTGAGGATTAGACTGATCAGCTCATCCGGGAGGGAATGGAGGAAGAACGAGTACTGCTGGGCACAATTTTCACTCGCTGTAGAAGTTCCACCTGCTTCGCCGACTGTATTGACACTATTCTTGCTGCTCGCCGCGAGAAACCGGTCGCGCACCGATTCGCTGTCAGTGTAGGAGTGGTAGGTATAGCAGTTGCTGTCTTTCGAAGTTGCGAGAAATAAGGCAGGCGCGGGCGCCATGATAGTGTTACTATTCCCGCTACTGCTAGAATTTGTCGTGTCCGCTTCTCGGGTCTTCGTTCTCTTCGGTCGTAAATACACCCAAGTGGCTCGGCTGTCCTCCGTTTCCGAGGCGGAGGAATCGCTGCTAGTGGTGGTAGCGTGCAATAGTGGCGACAAGGTAAGCAGATCCTCCTTCCGCTTCCAGGTTTGCCGCACCGGGGCCGGTGCGGGAGCCGCGGGCGTGAGAACTACTTCCATTTTATGTGTTCGGAATGTTCATTCGACAACCCTTTCGCAGCGGATCTATTATGATCTGGAAACAGGAAATCGCTAGAAGTGATCCTATTTGATTTTCATACATACGTAAACGCAAAGACATAAACGATGGGTATGGGCAATAAGCGAGTCCACGATAATGCAAGAAATGGAGTACTGTGTCGACGAGTAGCGAAAGTTCACGAATAAAGCGATGTAATGTATACGATTTTCCACAAGGTGGGGCGATGTAGTCCTTCTCTCACTGTATCTGATCCTGAAACGACCGATAGATAAAAATCCAAAAAGTTTTTCATGTCGGCTGCGCGACGTGAAAACATCGACCGAATATAAATATCGAAAAACACTATTTCAGCACTCGTCAGTTCCACCTGACGACAACAAAAAAAACACCGACCGCAGCCATCTTACATTTTACCAAAAAGAACCGATGAGTGTTTTTTGTTCGCGCTGCAGATTGATAGATTGTCTTTACACCGTCATTTCTATTGCATACAGTCAAAGGGCAGGCAACCGATTTTCACTGTGCGCGGAGAACATCACCAGGCACTGCAACCGCTTTTTTCGGTTTGACAAACAAAATCGCTATCCGAAGGTTGAAATTTGAATGACATAATGAACATAGACATACTGGTGTGGTTGCGCAATAAATGTACTTATCTATCAGATTCGCTTTCACGCCCATACGAGCTCCGCATCACCTCTTTCACTGCCCGACAACAAGACCAGACAGCTTGTTCCAACTCAGTTATACTTCTAAAAGCACCTCACAAAAACAGCCTTCACGGCCCTTTGACGCAGTACTTCGCGAGCTGTCCCAGCGAGCTGTCCATGTTGCTGGAGGTTTTGTCCCGGCCGAAATAGGCGCTCATGAGTTTCTGCGTGATTTGGTCGCGCTGTTCCTTGTTCGCCGCGCCGGCGGACGCCGACCCCACATCCTGGTTCTCGTCGACCGCGAAAAAACCAGCGTCGAGCCCGTTGTAACCGTCCTCAAAAAACTCGTCGTCGTCGCCAAAGCAGGATGCCTCCTCCGAATCCTCGTCGGAGAAGTCCTGCAACTTGTCGCTCGCATCGTCCCCGAAGAAGCTGTATCAAATGCAAAAATGTCTGGGTCTGGAAGATTCTAAACTTGTGATGCTGTCTCTGGATTCAAAAAAAAATGAGTGTATTGCGTGACCTGCAAGAGGACTCCACCAGTTTGGGCTACACGGAGAGGGGCTTTCTCATGCGGAATAGGCATTAGGAAGCCCCCTAAAAATCAGTGATGCTCGTGCATGCATTACAGACTTCACGGGTCATGCAAAATATGCATGACAAAGCTGCCAATCTTCCAGACCCAGACATTTTTACAGTCGATAAGCTGCACGTGGTGTCCACGTTGGACACCTGACTGTGGTTGGGGTGGTTGTGGTTGGCGTTGTGGTTGTTTATTGCCATCTGTGAATTAGTATGCTGCTGCTGGTCCAAGGCCAAAATCTTCTGCTTCAAGAGCAGCAAAAGTTCGTGGACCAAACCGGATTGAGAGGGTGCTGTCACCGAAGCAGCAGTCATGGTACTTGCAGTAGACACCGCTGGTGGCGTAGCGGACCCAGTTGTTCTCGTCGTACTATCAGCCGGCGCTCCTGCAACTACACAGCTCCTTCCCTCCAAACCTAAAACTCCCGCGACCAACTGCTTCTCTGCCGTTACGTTCATCTTAGCGAGGTCATTATTAGCGGCCATTACGTGGTTCTTAGCGAGGTTCCCGATCGCGAACAACTGCTCAATCGCCTGGGAATAGAAAGCCCGGCGCTGCTTGTTCGATAGCATGAAGTTCGTGAATTCCAAAGAAGCGTTGGGGTGAAGGGTTCCGGAGGGTGTTGCTGCCGTTGGACCTCCAAGGTTGACAGTAATGTCGAACGCAGCCGAAATGAACCGCGCAAACCGCTCGGCGCCAGAAAGAGGTCTTGTACTCCCTCCATCAGGACTAGATTCGCGGACGAAGAAGCGGAGGAAAATTTCTGGCATCTTCGCCAACAGCTTCACCAGTGTCGCGAGATAAATTCGCTTCAGCCGGTTTGTGATTTTCGCTGGCGTCGCCGGTGCAGTCGTGTTCCGCTCAAGTAAATCAATGAAGGGCTGCAGCTTCGCGATGGATCCAGGAATCAAGAGGGCTTTACAACCAACACCTTCCGGCTGTCGTGCAAGACGAACGTCTTCCTCCAAGAAGACCGACTTTTGCTTCTCGTGCATCAGCACCACCGCGTCCAGTAAACTGGTCACCGCGAAGTGAGACTCGTAGGCGTTTCTTTCGACCGCGAGCGCAACGACGTCGAACAGCATCTCGTAGACGGTTTGACCCTTCTCTAGTTCTGAGAGAAAACTGCTCAGTGGGAAAGCCGTGTGACTTCTTTCCGCAGTTGCTACTTGTCCCCTGGAAGTAGTGAAAGGTGGCACCCTGTAGTCCGCCCCAGGCCACTGCCGCATCGCCTTCACTTTCGCAGTAGTGAACATCGTCGCTAAATTTGGCATTTCAATTCGCACCGACTGTTGACTCTGGCCACCCGCATTTTTTTGCACAACCACGAGCTCGTAGAAAGAAGAGTCATTCGGCGCGAAAAAGCCCCCGGAAAGCAATTCCCCCACGGCAGAGCTGTTCCCTTTTTGCCTTGAGAACTCAATACCCGGAAAGTTTCCAGTTTCCGCGAACTCGCGCATGCCTTTTCGCATGGTCTCGACCAAACCGTCTTCCCCTCCTTCGCCTGGAGCGTCGCTAGTCAAAATGCAGGACGGTTTGGCTTGCAACAACTGCATCACCTGAGCACAACTCCCAGACGTCGTCGCGAGAGCTGTTGATGTACTACTATCGACGTCCACGGTTCTTTCAATCCAGTGTACCTCTGTGTTAGCCACGTCGAAAGACTGTTTGAGGAAAGGCAGCAGCTCGCCATTCAAGGCCGGGAGAACAAACCGCATGGCATCCCTCCCACATAAATGCGCGGGTCCGAAAACTGCCTCTCCCAGAATCTCGTCCGAAAACCGGAGCAAAACATTCCGCACCATAGCGTGCACGAACTCCAACTGCTCCAGCCCGGCCGTGTTGGTCGTGTACTGCAGCTTCAACACTGCGGCCACGGGGGCTTCAAGGCCATGGTTTACGTTCTGTTGCGAAGCAGCATTTGGAACTTCCCGCTCCACCTTCGGTTTGCAGCACACCAAGTGCACCAACTGGATCACCAACTTCACCAACTCGGGATGAAAGGCGCACTCCAGCGTGACCATGGCAAGCATTTCACCAAACATGTCAATGTAGTCGTCAATCAAATCCAACTCCAAGACCTTCTCCACCAGCGGCTTCAACGCCAGCCCCGCGTGCGCCAAATCCATACGCTTCTGCTGGAGAGCGGTTGATGAAGTTGCGGTGGCGCCGGGGATAAATTTCACGCTTGCATTAGGAGCAAGCGCAGCAGCACCTGCACCACTACTGCTATTGCTACTACTTCCTTGCTGCACCTGCTGCAGCAGCAATTTCATCAACTGTGTCACACAGCCGGAAATGGATTCGTTGTGCAAACACATCTGGTCCGACTCGCGCATTTCATAATCCTCAATACAGAGGTTTTTCACCAACGTTGCCACAAGTTCCAGCATCAGATCCGAAACGTGAGGTAAAACGATCTGGGGAAAGGCGGCAGAAATTGCGGACAGGGTTTCCGGGATCAAGTCCGAGTGCGACTCCTGGGACAGCCGAACCAAATTCACCACCAAGGCGCAGCTGGTCGTGGTGTTTTGATTCTGAGACGGCGCACTTCCCCGTGTAGAAGTCGTTACGGCGTTCAGAATCTGGACGAAGAAAGAGAGGTTAGAACAACCAGCGCCATTATTCAGTTGCTGCTGATTTTCCACGCGCTTCCACTCCTCCACGAAATACCGAAGTTCTGTCGCGGCGGTCGCTCTCAAGATCCAGTCGCTGTTCGTTGTACTGTCGTTGCAATTCTGGATTGTGCTCGTGGAGATAATCGTCTCGACCGCGGTTTGCGTCACGGTGGATAACAATTTCAACCGGTCGTCGTGCATTGTTTGTGCACCGCCGGGATGGACGCTCGTTTGCTGCACCAAAGCTAATTTCCCATTGGAGAACGCTTTTCCCATCGCGTATTGCGACAACACCTGAAACGCGGCGAACTGGAGCAGCTTTTCGGCGGTGCTGAGGTTATTATTACTACTACCTCCCGAACCCGAGGAAGAATTGCTGCTACTTACGTGCAGACATGTCAGCACGTTTTGGGACAAAACGGTCCACAAAGCCTGTTTCATTTCCCCGGTCTGGTCGTGCTCGCTGCAAACTTGCAGAAACGTCGTCTTCAGCAACTTCAGCATGTTCAGTGCCCCGGAGTAATTGCGAAGCCTAGAACTTTGAAGGTTTTGCGCGGTATTTGCTTGTTCACTCTGCTGGTCAGAGCTGCTGGTGGCACAACTGCCTGCGTTAGCATTCCCTTCGGTGGTACTAGCAAACACGCTCGAAAGGAAGCTCATGGTCGGCAGAAACATGGCCTGCGTGCGGTGCTTCGCTAGTTGCTTCACCAATTTTTCCGCCGCGGAACGCGGCGACTTCAGCATTGCAAAGCAATCCGTCTGGATCCGCAAAAACTCCTCCGGATCCTGCTCGTAGAGCTCGATATCGGAGGCATTGAAGCAGAGTAAGGGAAAGCAGACCTTCTCGATCACGATCTGCATCTGGGGCTTCAGCTCCTTGAAGCAGGACGAAAAGTCGCAGGCTTCGGTGAGAATCAATAGCGTCAGCGTTTTGGACTTTTTCAGTTTCTGCTGGCTAGAACTACTGCTCGCAGTAGAAGTTCCGGTGGCAGTGACTGAGGAAGTTGCTGCTGATGTTGAAAACAGGTCCAAAATGCTCAACACGCCCTTCGTCATCACCAGGGCATACTTTTGTTTGAACTCTTCCTGAAATTTTTGCAGCACAACCTCTTCCGACGCTTCGTCCAGATCCACTTTCAAATGCTTGTGGAACATGCGGAAGCAGATCCGCAGCGCCCACTTCAAACTCGACAACTGCGACACTTCCGCGGCGGCTTCGTTGTTTTCTGGACCACTAGAAGCCACGCCACGCCCTTGCTTGCCGTTTACCTCAATAACCTTGTACACCACCGTCATCCAAGGCTCCAGGTTTTCCACGATAAACTGGTCTAAGGAGTGGTATACGGCATGGTAGTACATCTTGAGAACCAGTCGGGTGACCTCCCAGTAGTAGTACTTGACTTGGTCGTGTGCAGCTGCTCCTTGGTTGTCGTCACATTTATTATTTTTCGCTGCACAGTTTTCCAGTACGGAGTCCGCCAAAACGCGCAGGACCGGGAAGAAAACTTGGATCAGTTTCTCGAAAAACGGCCCTCGCTGCAAACCCCGCGACATTTCCAAACCCTTGAAAATTCCCCGAAGGAATAGAAGCGTCGCGTGCAACTCCGGCAGGGAGGAAGAGGATAAGGCTTCTTTGCGCTGCAGTGGATCATTCGATGCGTTTGGTTGGGCTGGTGCGACGAGGCTTTCCACTTGTTGCTTCAGCATTGGCAAAACCTTCTGCTCCACAACATTTTCCATAAAATTACTCGAATCCTTCCGGAGCAACAGCCGCACGACCTCTTGAAACAACTTCGCAAACGTCTGTTTCAGCTGAAAATGCTGCTTTTTGAACAGATCCTCTTCGGTCTTCATCGGCTTTAACAAGGCTGTCGCTGATGTTCCCGTCGTCGCAGGAATTTTACCGCTCTTGATAGGAGTACCTGCCGCCCCTCTTTCCGCCGGCTGAAAAGGAGAACTAGAGCTACTTGCTGCATGCGAGGTTTGACTCTGCCCGCCCAGCACTGCAGATAGTTGTTCTTCTTTCGCCGCCAAAAATCTCGCAATAGTCTGCATCAGTTCCAGCAAGTTCCAGCGCAGATAGTCTTCGTCGGGACCACCGTCTTTCTGGGCGGCGGTAGTACTGGAGCCGCCATCTTTGCTATCTGAGTTCTTTGCACTGCCCGCGGAACCAGCAGATGAAGATTTGTTGTCTAAAACCTTCCCCGCTCGGTTCTTCAAGTACACGAAGCAGGCCTGCAGCACCGTGTACTGCTGTTTTTGCGCGACAAAATCGCCGGCAGCGATAGTATTCTCCTGGCATAGTTCCACGATGGTTTGGAAGAGCAGCTTATCAAATGTAAAAGTGTCTGGGTCTGGAAGAATCATGCTGTTTCTGCATGACACAGAAGGTCTGGCATGGAAGCTCTAGCATCACAGGTTTCGAGAAGCTTCCGCAATGCCGAATCCGCATGACAAGTCTGCCACTTTGGTGACAGAAGTGAGCAGCTTTTGCTGCCTATGCATCAGAGATTTTTGTGTGTTCTGAAATGCGCATCACAAGTTACATCCTTCCAGACCCAGACATTTTTACACTTGATACAGCTGGAATTTTTGCGGCGAAGATTCCAATTCCTTTATCAAAAGGAAAAATCCCCCCTCCCCATATCGAAAACGAAATTTGTGATGCTGTATTTGAGTACACAAATCAGGTTTGTATTGCAGAGAGGCATTGCGGCCAGATCCCCAGGCTAGGTAGGGGCGTATGGCTCTAGTTGTGCAGCATGGCAAGCGGCTCCCTTTTAGGCCTCACAGCATGACAAATCGCTTCCATAATGGGGCGGAAGCTTCTGCCCTTATCTTCTTGCAAGACAAATGTGATTTGTGACCTCAAATCAGCAACACAAATTTCCGGACTGTACCTGTTCGATATGGGGTGGGGGGATTTTTCCTTTTGATATCCTTCAAAATTAACTCGCCCTGCAGCCGCGTGTCGCTGTTCGCGGCGAAGGTGGCCGCGAACGCCTGCTTTAGGATGGCGGTGGTTTGGTTCGCCGGGGGTGTTACCGCGGGGGAGGACTGCTGCGGATGCTGCATTTTGAAGGCCACTGTCGTACTAAGTTGTTGCGTACGCGCCCAGTCTTGGTGACCACTGCGCCGCCCAAAGTACGTAATTAGGGACAGATTTCGTCAGTAGAGAGGTCGTCCCGGTAGTACGGTTGTCGAATGGCGGTCCTCGTGCTGGACGCTTACAATCCACTTCTTCAACTAACTTTGCATGTCTTGGTAGAAATTATGGATCTGACATACGATGCACTCTTTCCACCGACAAAGAAAATTAGTCACAACGAAACTTTTTACTCACACAGAACAAGTTCGCTGTTGCCTGCTTCTCATCGTCGACACCAAACTGGTATTTGAATGATATGGCTGCATCTATGCACGTGCTTGAGGACCTGCATTGTGCATGGCAAGAAGAGCCACCACCTTGACCTTCCTCAGATCTCCCAGTGCGGTGTGTTGGATCAACGTGCATTCTGGATCCGAAACGATCCAAACTGATCCTCTTCCGAGTCAGACTAGCCAACACGACGTAGCACGGAGAGCGTAATTCGAAATCTAGATCGCTACTTTCTTTTCGCTTATTTCGATCGAAAGTACAACTATTCTAGTCTTCAGCTTCACTATAGCCGCAAAATTTCGCACCCACAGACCGAGATTTTTTTCTTCTTGCTTGCCGTCGATCTCCTTTCGCAGATGAACAATTTGTGTCCGGAGGAAGCAGATCTCTTGTGGCTTGGCCAAGCCTCGCAGGCACAGCCTGCTTCTTTGCAAAGATCTTCTGGTAGTATCTATGTATTGTAAAATCGATCTTCTTCTTCACTTGAGTATTGTTTAGGGTGGAGATTCGTAAATGTAGTTATGTGTAGTTCTCAGCTCTGTTGTGTAGCGCGAAGCTCTCTGCAGTAGTGATGCTGTATTGGCTTTAGTTCTTCGATAGTTCTTTAATTGCACTCGTTCCATAAAGGGGATTCAGTTGTGAAGATGTAGACAAAGAAATAGGGGTGCGATCATAGTATGAAAAAATAGCAAAAAACTACAGTGGGGAAAAGTTACATTACAGGAGCTCCCTCATGAAATGGCAAAAATGGTATCTCAGAATTAGTACGTACTGGTGGTTAAATGCAAAGAAAAATTTCCAAAATACAAATACTCGCATGGATCACCGCTGGGTGACCAAAAAAAAAACCGCGATGCGGCCCGAATACAGCATGTCCTTCTTGTCAAACCGCTATGTTTATGTTGTAATTTGAGTCTCCAGTGATGAACTACGAGAATTCACTGCTCTTGTACGTTTTCTAAATTTACCTTCTTCTCCTCCCCGGCGGGGCTTTGTCCACGATCTGCAAGACGAATTCCAGTGGTTCGCTTATCCTGAGGAAAAGCGTCCCCACACCAGAGTCGAGATGGGAAATCTGCTAGACAAATCAACCAGATTTGGTTGCTTCGCATGACAAGTTCGTCCCCGTAGTGTTATCCTGTTTCGGTAGTTCAGAAGCATTACAGATCTAGCATAGCATGCTGATTCTAGCATCACAAATTCCAAAACACGAACAGAACACGCTTCTTATAGGGCTCCGCATGAGAAATCTTTTTGGCATGCAGAATTGCATGACAACTCTGGGGTGGAGACGTTTTTACACAGGATATCGTTCGGGCTTTCCAACAAGTGGTTCTCGACGACGTCGCGCAAATTTTCCTCGTCGTCCAGTACTTTTAAAAACCCCCCGTTCTGCACCCACCGGCCGAAGCGGAACTATCCAAGAAAAAAAGTGTGTACGTGTAACTTTTTTGCAGGAACAGCATCACAGATTTGTTTTGCATGACAGAGAAAACCTGCCATGCGTAGCTAGTACGCGAAAACACGTAGGAAAATAGCCTCTGACGCATATCCAGCATGAGAAGTGTAACTGCATTGCAACATCTGCAAGACAAAGTTACACTTACACAGTTTTTTCCTTGCATAGGAACTGCTTCGCCTTCAGCCGCTCCATCTCCTTGTCCGGCGTCGGGTCGGCGGCGTTCAAGAACAGCGAGAGCTCCTGCTGCTCCTCCCTCTTCGTTTGCGCGTCGTGGATCGCCTTGATTTCGGTGGACAAGTCGAACATGGTCCGGGTCACCCCGCTATACATTGCAAACATGTCTGAATCTGGAAGCTTGCCAGGTTGTCATGCTTGTCTCACATGACTCTTACCTCTGTGATGCATGAGCAGGGAAAGAGCCTTTTCCCTGTCACGCAAAAGGAAAAGGAAAAGCGTGCATGCGGAACGTGCATTACACATTACAGCACTGCCAAAACTTGTCATGCTTGGCTGCGCATTGCAGTGCGCCCACCGCTGGCAGACTTGCATCACAAGTTTCCAAACCCAGACAGATTTGCAGTGGATACCCGCCGGACTCCCGCACGATTTTCGCCTCGAAAAACCGGTCGATGAACCCCTCGGTGTCGTTATCCAAGAAAAAAACATTGCTAGTGTAAATTTGTGATGCGCAATATGCAAGATGATTGCGCCTGTCATGCTTGGCATGCATCGTAGGGTCCATTAAAGGGCGTATTCACGTGCTATCTGCGCATGACAGGTTTTTGCTGTCATGCCAGACAAATTTGTAATGCTGTTCCTCCAAAAAAGTTACAGCTACAATGTTTTTTTCTTGGATAGTCGTCCTTGATCACCTTGTGGTTCATGGGCAGCGCCTGCGCCGACTCGATCAGGAAGTCGCACAACCCGTAGAACAGGTCCCAGTCCTCCTGGGTCACAAACCGCACCACCACCTCCTTTTTCGTGGGGGTTTCGAACCGCATCCGGCGGGATTCCCGCGGAAAGGGAAACAGCTCGGATTTGTACCGTTTCATCTGGTCGCGCTGCGTCAAGTACGCGTAGCGGTTCAGCAACGCGGACACCGCGGGGCGTTTTTTCAGCCGGTCCATCACATTCTTCGTCGGTTTGGGCACGAAAGCGCGGATATCAAGTGCAAAAATGTCTGGGTCTGGGAGATTCCGAGATTTGTCATGCTTGTCTGGCATGACCAAGAAGCTTGTGATGCGTGTCCAAGAAGAGACCCTTTTGACTGTCATGCAAAAACGTAGTTTGTCATGCGAAAAACGCAACACAAGGAAGCGCAGATATTTCCCATGCTTGGCTGTGCATTACAGAGCATTCACAATTCCCAACGCAGCATTACAAGTTTCCAGACCCAGACATTTTTACATTTGATAGCGGACCTCCATGTGGTTCCGCGCGTTCGGGGCCTTATCGAACAGAAACCTGGAAAGATTTTTTGTTTTTGAAGCGCGGTCGTGTAGTTCACGAGAAGTGTCGCTCAACAAGTGAGTGGTACAAAAAGTAGACGCTATGCACAATTGGCAAGAGAGGGTAGAAGTTGTTTACGTGCAGCTAGACAACAACTTGCAGAATTGTAATGGCAGCTACAGGCTAAGTACCGCAACAGCGTTTTTTCCCGGTGGCGCATCATGGGTGGGGGGATCATGCGCATGGCTTCATACGCATACGGGTCTTCTTTCAAATCGTACAATGCCTCGTTGTTCACCTCCGGCTCCACGTGTGCCTCCGTTGCTTCGTCTTCGCATTTAACTATGCATAGGAAATCTTTAAAATCGACACCGGCGAGTTAGTTGGGCTGCAATTTGTGTCGTGTGGCATCAACTGCTTGGATGAAGATGTTGAAACACCTGCACGACCCTCGTCTGACTTTGCATGAACATCACCCGCGCGCGATGCTGCGCGTGCGGTCGACAACATACAACGGATAATTATAACTTCATCTTCTTCTTTTCACGACATGAATTTTAGCAGCACGCCAACTTGAGCAGGAGATCTCGAAAACTTGTCACATCTAAATCCGATAGCATCAATGGGCGCTGTGAAAAGGCAGTGCACCGGCGTGCCGGACGACGTCTCCTGCGGAAAGAGTTCGTCCAAAACGCCCTGATACGCTTTGATGCGCTTCCGCACACCCTTCAGCAACTGGGTCTTGACGTCCTTGACCGTTTTCACCGGGAGGTCCTCGCCGTCGATCAGAGGCAAAACTTCTTCGGACAAAACGGTGCCGGACGCGTTGAAGATTTTCCACAGTTTTTGCTTCAGCTCAAAGGACTCGGCCTCCGACCGGATCATGTAATCGTGATCCTGGAAGTCGTTCGTTTGGAACCGCTATGCACTGCAAAAATGTCTGGGTCTGGAAGAATGCAACTTGTGATGCTGGCTTTGGATTCTAAGAAGATTTGTGTTGCATGAACAGCAACAGAGGTGCAATTTTTTCTCAGCGGAAAAGGCATTTCTGATGCGGTATGAGCATCAGAAAGCCCACCTCGCAGAATCTCTGATATGCTACAGCATGCGTCACGGACCTCACGGGTCATGCAAAATCTGCATGACAAACTCCTGCACTCTTCCAGACCCAGACATATTTGCATTTGATAACCGTACCCGCACCTTCAACTCCGTGACCGGGTGAAACATGTTCATGTCCACAACGTACGCGCGTTTTTTTGCCAGCGACTCCTCGTCCAGCAGAGTGGAGTCGGTTTGTTTTGATACGTCATGAAGGGGAAAAAACTTTTGCCAACTCCTTGCTCAAATTCAAATTGCTGGAATTCGGAATTTTTACAACTAACTTGCTTGGCGACGCATAGAAAAGTGCAATATCAACATGCAAAGTTTTATTGCGACTTGCACGATGAGTTCATCCGGCGTTCGAATTTCTCGTGACAAAAGACTCGAACTCCGAATCTTCACAGCCTGAAACTCTTTGTTTTCAATCGAAAGAGCAGTTGGACCACGTCTTTCCCCTTCTGGATACTTCTTCTCCTGGACTTTGAACAGCTTCGGAAAAAAGTAGTAGTTGAACCCGGAGGAGCTGCAGATCGGCTTTTGCAGCCGGGCCTGGGCCGCGGCCAGCAGCGATTGGTAGTGCTGCGACGACTTCTGCGCGACGAAGCTGAGGCTCTGCTGCTGCGCATTGTAGCTGCTGCCGCCCATCATCGTGGGGCCGCCGCGCGGCGTGCCGACGGGCGTGTTCACCGACGGCGTGCTGATGTTGGTGCCCCGGGGGGTCAGCATGGCCGCCGCGAGGTTGGAGGTGCCGCCGCGGGGGGTCATGCTCCCGCCCCGTGGCGTACCCGCGCCCATCGTCGCCGTCGCCGTGTTGCCCATCCCCCCGCGCGGAGTCACCAGGGCGCGCAGCGAGGTGCTGGCGGTCTCAAAGTAACCCATGCTGTTCTTCGTTTGCCAGAGTGATGTTGCGGACGAGATTGGGCGGTGTTGTGCCGATCTGGTTAGAGGACGCCGGAGGTCGTCGTGCGCGTTCTCGGCCGGGAGACGGTCTTAATCAACGGTGCTCTTTTCTTGAGAAATGATACTCGAGTCGCGTCTTTCGTAGGACTTTTTGATACCTTGTGCAGGTTGAGGTAAAAATACGCCAATAAAGTTCTTTTATCATCGATCGAGTTGGACGACAAATGGTATTATCAAAAAGCGAGGTCGTTGGGAAATAATCTTTGCCGGTTCATGGGGTTGCACCTGTCCAGTTGAATACGCGAGCTTTTTCTTAGATACAACGACGGGGAATACTACTTTGTCTTAGAAATAGGGTTCAACGACGGGAAACTACTTTTGCAACGAACTGCAGACGCACCGACTCCATCACGCGACCGGCCAGCGCTGGCCAGGTCAAAACTTTGACACGCACCGAGATATTACGAAAAGCTGAAACACCGACGAAGGTATGTCAATTAACCGAGCTACCGCAACGATCAGCAGCACCGAATCTTCTTCAAGAACGATAATAACCACTTTGAGGAACGAGAAACACCGACATTGTGTGTCAAAATACCGAGCACCATTGTGTGTCGAAATACGAGCGCGTATGCTTGCAGAGTAGATAAACCGAGGGAATCCGTCAAAGGTACATCGTAAAACTCGCCCGAGGGCGTCTTGCCGACCGTTTGCGCGGACCCGGCGGCCAGAAACGATGGTAGCGGAAACGCGAGAACAACCGATGGTAGGACGCGCACGAAACCGAGATGAGAAAGCAGTGACACAGACAGCAGATTCGCGCACTGTACCTTATGAGGCGCGCATGCATCGCGCGGCGTGGAGCTTTCGCGCGCCGCCGTTCCTCGGGTTTACATGCCTTGCCGCGCGCACCGCAAAGCGCACCCGGGGCCAGCCGATGAGAGGCGCGTCGAGTCCTGTGAACTGAGGCACAGCAACACGCGAGGCGCAGCGCGCCGCCACGATTAGGGAAGGTTGGCCGGGAAATCAAAAACCAACCAGAGCAAACACGCATCTCGAACAAAAGGTCTCTCCTGCTGCCCATCGAGGTTGGGCTCGGCGCCCGATCTCGAAAGCCCGATCCAGAGATCGGATGAACAACACATGCCTAGTGGCAGGCTGTCCAGTGACGCCCGCCCGAGGGCAGGCACTTCTCGAAGCTTCAAAAGCGCGGGCCCGCGTGGCAGTGCAGGCATGGGCAGAAACCCCAAGAGGGGAAGGGGCATCGACCCCCGTACCGTACCTCGACAGGTGGCCCCAATGCAGCGCCCCAGCTAACAATAGCCCACCCCTGCGAACCCCTTTTCCGACTGGGCCGGGAGTGAGTAAATGAAACCTGGCGCACGCCGGACTTCCAGGCCCACAGAAATGGACGCATGTGGCAAGGATCGCGATTCTCATCCCATCTGTCAAGGCGGGTCGCGATTCTCAACCCATTTGCCAGGGCGGGTCGCGATTCGCAGCCCATCTGCCACGGCGGATCGCGATTCGCAGCCTATTTGCCAATGCGGGTCGCATTATTCAACCCATATGCCAATGCGGGTCGCGATTCTCAGGCCATCTGCAGACGCGGGCTGCGATATCCAGCCCATTGACCAGTAAGGGTCGCAATTCTCAACCCATTGGCCTGCACAAGTTGCAACTTTCATCACATTTGGCAGAAAAATTTGTGATTTCCAGCGCATTTGCTGTGATAAATTGCGATTTTTTGCGCATCAGCCAGCACAAATTGCAATTTTTTGCACAACCGCAAGCCACGATTGCTGTTAAATAGCATCGAACTATCTTAGCAACGCACTAGGAACACGCTTCCCAGATGCGGCAGAACCACCAGACGACCTTCGTCCGGAACTCGAGATAGTAGAACCAACCTAAAGAGCACCCCAGTGCAGTCACATTGTGCATGAAGTTCTTCCTTGTGTGCCAGCATGCGGACATCCACGAGCTACGACCTGAGTACGATCTTACCACACGGAGTTCTCTCTTGTGCCTTCCGATTCTCTCCCCCCACTCCTGGCATACGACTACGACCCTAGAAGGCTAAGTACGACGCGACTGGCTTAACGCTGTAAAATCTACGATCTACTTACAGGCGCAGGCATCACAGTTTGCGGCGCTGGTGGTGTGCACCCCACCAACACCACAATTGTTTCTACTTACAGGCGCAGGCATCACAGTTTGTGGCGCTGGTGGTGTGCACCCCACCAACACCACAATTGTTACACCCCCCTTCTCAAAAATAAGTTTTTTGCGCTGGAGCAAAAAGGAAAAAGTAGTAAACCTATTGTCGTATGGGCCAGGAGCGGAAGAGACGTTTTCTTTGTGTCCCCGAAATAGGTGCCCTGGCACCTGCTTGTGTCCTCGTACTTGGTGCCCTTGCACCCCGTGTCCTCGATAGCAGTATACTAGTTTTTTTTTGTCCTCGAAAAATTGACCACGAGATGGTGAAACCTATCACCACAAGATAAAAACAGTTGACCTCGAAACGGTGACCACGAAACTAGCTTCCTTAGCGGGAAGAGATGCCGACAGACGAAGGTGTAAACTGTACACGGAGATAGAGTTTTTTTTGAAATTGTACACGACGATATTTTTTTGCTAGAAGACATCGAACCTAGAGAGTTTTGTACAAAAGAGCATGACAGATTGGAGAAAGTGCCTGAGTGCAAAGTCATGTAGAAGACCGAGAACCTCATGTGAAGAGTGCAATGCCAAAAGTACAAAGAAACGATAACGAAGTGCGAAACAGCATGGAAAACTTCATTTTTCTGGATTAGTTCTGAAAGGTACAAAACTCCTGTTCTCGCCGTGTCTGGAGGAGAACAGGAAGGAGAAATAAAGAAGAAGTAGTTCATTTTTCTGGAACTTTTTCTACAAAATGAAAAAGGTCTTGCGGCAGTAGAAACGAGATTTAGATTACTTTTTCTGAAATCTTACATGAGGCGACGAAACGAAAGAGAAGGTTTTTATAGTGGTCGAGGACCTGGCTGGAAGGTGCTCTGTAAGCCTGAGAACGCGAGTTTCGCACTATGTCTGGTAGATATCATACAAAAATAAAACCGAAGTTGGAAGTTGAAAAATGCAACATGATTATATTTGAAAACCGATAGAGCTACAAGGTGCCGCGGGTTAAGCTGTCAGCTGCTTTTCGCGCGATTCAGGTCGCGCGAAGGGTTTTTTTTTTTACTAAAAATCTTACTTGAAGTTGAGCTCATAGTTGTGGAGCTTCCGCGGACACTCAACAGCCAAAAAGAGAAACAAAACCGCGACGGCCTCCCCGGCCGGCGGTTCGGGTTATAAAATTCAACCGTCCCCCAGCATGCACAGCACCTCCGGCGGAAGCGCAAACTGCGCTTTGTGGTGCTGCAAAAACTCCCGAACCATCTCCAGGTTGCATTTTTCCACCTGCTTCGTCAATATATCGCTCGGGTTCGCCGCGCCCTTGATATGCCACAACAGCAAGTCGCCGTCCTGGATGAGCCGCGAAATAAAGTTGTAGTCCGCCCGCAAATTGCGTTCACTAGGTGCCCGGATCATGGTGCTGCTGCTGCTGCGGACGATGTTGTTGGAGTCGGTGCAGATCACCAGCGGCTGCACCGACAGGGTGAGGCCAGCGGAAACACAAATTCCGCGAAAGTACAAAAGCTCGCTGATGATCAGGCGGATGGCAAGCAGTTCCGCACTTGTGGAACTGCTAAAAACTCTGGAAGGTTTGGAGCTGTAGTGCGTAATCATGTTGTAGACCAACTCTTGTTTCCCGTCCTCGCCCTGTCCCGCAGCAGCCTTCTCTTTGTTCAGCAAGCACACTAGCGCACCGAGCCGCGGCACCAGCGACGCGTCTACCAAGCCAAGAATTACATCTGGGGCTTGGGAAGTTGGTCGGATGTGTATGGCGTCGCCCGCGTGCTCCTTGACTTGCCCGATCAAGTCATTAACCTCCGCCACTAGCGCGCTGTACTCCTCTTCCTCCGCTTCGTCGTTCACCATGCCGGCGAGGATGCAAATGTTGGCCACAAAACTCACCTGGCATTTTGTGACCCACATAAGCTCCCCGATCGCCCTCCGCAGCGGCGATTTTCTCCTTCTGTTTGCGAAGAATTTCTGTACTTCGTCTTCGGTGATCGGGGACATGGTTCGGATGAAAGATTGTTGCCCGACTTCGAACGCCAACGCGCAGTCCGAATCCGCGCCCGCGACGATCTTCTCCCCCTCTTTCAGCTCGAAACCGTTTTTCTTTTTCTCCTCTGGCAGCAACTCGCCGTGCTTGGTGCATTTGATGGAGCGGCCGCAGAAATTGTCGCTGTCCCCCGGCTGCAGGCAGGTCCGGCTTCCTGGCGGGAACTGTTCGAAGACCTTTTCCAAACTTTCGTGTGCGCGCTGCGACCCGCCGTAGATGGTGTCATCCACGTGAACACCCAAAATCCCCTCTATTTCTTGCTCCTCGAGCAAGGGGTCGTCGATGCTGCTGCGCAGCAGCGGGTTTGCGTTTCTCCTCTCCTCGTCGCCACTTGGCTCCGCGGGCGTCTCCTCTGGCCCGGCTTCGGTTCCGGTGGTTCGTTTCTCGTCTGCCGCTGCTGGTTCTGCTTTCTCCTTGGGGAAGTACCACAAGCACGGGTCTTGCAGGTCCTGCCGCCACCCTGCTTCTTTCAAGCTCCTAAAAAGAACTTTTTGCCACGCTAAAGGGGCATCCGCAAGCCCGTACAAGCAGCGGCGAAGCTTTATGTACTTCGCCTGGAAGCCGAAAGCCGTGTTGCCTTGGATCGCGGTGGGGATCTCCAGCCAGACGGGGTCGAGCAAAAGGTCCCCGCGCAAAAAAGCCTGGCTGATGTCCGCGATGTTTGCCAGCTTGTTGAGCTTGCTAAGCCAGTGCAAAATCACCAGCAGGGAACTGTCGCAGAGGGTGTGGCAACGCTTCTCCAACTTCCCGCCCTCCAAGCGGGAATCCATGAAGCCCTTCGCGCACCACCGCATCTTGGCCTTGACAAATTTCCCGGAATTGAACTTCAAAGTGAAGACGATCCGGCTCGCCACCACAGAGGCCCCGGCCGGCCTGTCGTCTTGCTGGCTGCCCATGTCGAAAACCCCAAGGGCCTGGATTCCCTTGACCTCCGCCGCCCTTGCTTCGTCCACCAGGTGCCACAGGCCGTATTTGTCTATCTGCGCCATCGTCAGCTCGACGCTGCACCCGTTTGGCGTCACTGCTTCCCAGTTCACCTCCCGCGGCTGCTCGATTTTCAAAAACAAGTGAAGGTCTTCCCGCTGTGGCCTGTCCTGGCTCGGGTCGAAAACTTGGAACGGGGTTTGGTGCCCGAAGCGGAAGGCCTGGTCGTACCCGCGAAGAGTTGGTGGAACTTGGCAGCCCTTGCGAAACACCTTCGCTTCAACCACGTAAACATCACCCCCGAAGCCCGCCGCCGTCCCTGAAACCGGTCGCCCGTTTAGGATTTTGTTTATTTCCGCTACTACCGGATCGCGAAAGGATGACTTGAAGACTGTTTGGCGGCCGCGCTGGGTGATCAGGTCCTGCAGGAAGTTTGTGTTGCTTTCGATGGCCCTCAGCTGGTTCTCCCAGTCCCCCGCCGTCCGTAGCACCGGATCGCGCTCCACCGGGTCCGCTTCGACCAAGAACAACTTGTCATCTTCCTCCTCCACCCGCGCTCGTTTCGTGCTGGTTTGCGCAACAAACGCTTGTGCCGCCTCGGTTAGTTCGCAGTTGTAAACTGGTCCGTTGGAGATGTTGAAGGTGGAAAAAGCCGCGCCGCGGTCATCTATTTTTGTTTCCGGTGAAGATTTGTCGCGCGTGAAGAGCGCGTCGCAACTCGTCATCAGCAGTCTTCTGGCTTTGCTAGCTGGCTCCGCGGGAATGGGCGACCCAAAAATTTCCTCCTCGAGAAGGTCCTGCGCGCTTCTCTTCTGGCCGGCCGCCTCAGCTTGCTGCGGAACTGCTTCTGGTGGTGGTCGCGGAGGTTCGAGTGGTTGCACGGTAGACGCTGGCTTTGGCTTTGGCGGGCGGCCCCGCTTTCGTTCCTCCTTTATGATTTTGCGCGGCGGCTGGAACGTCGGTTCTGCCGCTGCTGCGACTGGTAGCTTGCTGTTGTTCCCGGAAGTTGTGGTCTTCTTTTCTTCGCCTGTCCCGACCGCCCCCGGTGCGGAAACTTGTTGCTTGCGGTCTTCAGGCGATGAAATTCCTGGAAGCGGGTGGAACTCAATGGGGGCGGTCATGTAGTCGGCCAAAGGTCTCCCGGGCTGAATCTCTTCTGCGCTCATCACGAATTTCTTCACCTGGGCGGCCCGGTAGGGAAGAATTTTGTTGCTGCCTGAAGGCCTCACCAAAGCCTCGCCCTTGAGGGGATCCACCCCAACGCACGTTCCGGTCTGTCTCCAGTGCGCCTTCCCCCCGTGCCAGTTCTCCGACTGTTTGCCGTGGGCCCGCAAAATGCGAACCGTGTCGCCCGGCCTTAGTTCGGAAATGTTCGTGATGGAGCGGCTCAGTTTGTATCCGCGGTTGAAACGGCGAACCCGACTCAACATCTCCTTCCACTGCACCTCGATCATCGCCTTTTTCTGCTCCTGCAAAGCCGACCCGAACTGTTGCAGGATGTAGCGCGACCCCCGGTCGTCGTTGCCCTCGCAGTGGCCGTGGGCGAGGTTGTTGGGGCTGTAGCATGTACCATGCGCCCCCGGGCAGGAATTCAACAACTCCTCGCAGTAGTCCAAAAGCTTTTCCTTCAGCTCGAACTGGTCCGCGTCGACCTTCTTCGAGTTGTACACCGTGTCCGCGAAATCCGCAATAGCCTTGGAAACACCCCGCAGGCCGACAATCTGTTCCAAAAGCGCGATCTTGGTCCCCCCGGTCAGCAACAAAATTTTGTTCAGACTTTTATTGAACTTCGCGTGCGCCCGTTCCTCCTTCCCGATCATGTGCGGCGACTTGAACGGGATGGGCAGGCCAATTATGTCACTCTCCAACAAGAACTCCTCCACTTCTGCATTGATCTGGTCCGTTTTCTCGTCGTAAATGAAGCAAGTGGGGAACCCCCCGGCGCGGCTCTTGAAGCGGTGCAGAGCGGCCGGAACCTGCGGCGGTGGCTTTGCGGAATTCGCGCCCGTCTTCTCCGGCAAGTGGTGGTCGATCAGGTGCAAGACCCGCTTCTGTGCACCGAAATCGAACATGTGATAGACCACCCCAAGGGCGGTGCTAACGGCGTCGCCCCCGACTAGAAGGCTAAGTACGACGCGACTGGCTTAACGCTGTAAAATCTACGATCTACTTACAGGCGCAGGCATCACAGTTTGTGGCGCTGGTGGGGTGGCATCACAGTTTGTGGCGCTGGTGGTGTGCACCCCACCAACACCACAATTGTTAACAATTGTGGTGTTGGTGGGGTGCACACCACCACCACAATTGTTAATTGCAACTTTTCTTTCTCCGGTGCCCGCATCTGAACTCTGGTGGCGGCACGATTGATGATTTTTTGCGCATCTGTCGGCGCAGATCGGAATTTTTTGCACATCTCCTGGCGTGGATCGCAATTTTTTGCGCATCTACCGGTGTGGATCGCAATTTTTAGCACATCCACCGGCGCGGATTGCAATTTTTTGCACATCTTCCGGTGGAAATCGCAACTCTTTGCCCATTTGCCGGCGCAAAGCGCGTTTTTTTGCGCCCCACGTGGATCACAATTTTTCACAAAGCGCGATTTTTTGCAGGCGTGGATCACAATTTTTACCGCATCTACCGGCACGGAGCACAATTTTTTGTGCATCTGATGGCATGGATCGTGATTCTCTGCGCATTTGCCGGCGTGAAGCGCGATTTTTGGCGCATCTGCCGGCAGGGAGCGCGATTTTTGGCGCATCTGCCAGCACGGATTGCGATGCATTCCGCACATGCCGGCGCGGATCGCGATTTGTTGCGCACCTGCCGGCGCGGATCGCGATTTGTTCCGCACCTGCCGGCGCAGATCGCGATTTGTTGCGCACCTGCCGGCGCGGATCGCGATTCTTCTCTCTCCGGTGCCCGCGCCCGGTCTCCGGTGCCCGCGCCCGGTCTCCGGTGGCGGTTTTACGGGCAGGCGCAGATGACGGCGCCCGGCCTGCTGAAATCGCTGCGCCCGGTGCCAATCGGTTGGCGCGGGAGGCCCCGGGCTTGCGAGAAGATGCTTCTCGGGCGCGCCTCTCGGGCGCCGCGAGAAAATAGCGCTGTGACTCTGTGCGGGAGAGGAAATGCCCGGCGGTTAGCAAAATGAACAAGAGAGCCTTGATTGCACAATCAGCAAGGCATGCATCAGCAAGGCATGAGAGCCCTCAGTCGGCACTTCTGCGAGTGGGAAAGCTTTAGAATTTCACACACCGGCCTCGTCTCGCGGAAGCGGATGTGGTGGCCCAACTAGCAGTGGATCCGCCGTGCCGCTCCGCAAGATAAATCCGGAGATGTCTTCTCCTCTGTGCTATAGTCGTCCCCGTCGTCGTTCGTCCGTGTCAGTGGATTTGATGTGGTATATGAAAAAGTGCATACTCCGGGCACCAGTGCCGTGAGTTTTCTGGTGGAGCTTTTGCTCGAGAATACAGTTAACGCAAATGTATAAACATTCGTGGTCGGCTAGAAGTTTCCATATCGTAATCGTTCTTTGAAAATGTTTGGAAATAGTCGTGCCTGTCGTTGCCTGTCGTTCGTCCATTTCCCGTGAAGGCTTTAGCTGTTATTGATGTTGCTACCATCCGTCCACGATCACATCAAAATCAAAATGATTCGTCTAGGACAAGCTCCTCGTCGACCGATGACTGTACGAAACATAACATGACATAAAACAAAGCAGCAAATAACAGCGAAATTCAGTTTGTTTGCACAAACTGCCCCGAACATTACAAAACGCATTAGAAAAAATCGCTTCCAAAGCCTCCCGGGCGGCGGCAGGCACGAAGCTGCACGCGGATAAGAACAAACCTTCTTGCTCCTCTAAGAATTAGAACTTAGAAAGTGATCTCCAGGCACATACTGCCAACAATCATGTTGTTGGTCCCGTCTCGTACCTCCCATGGGTCCCCTTTCCGGGTGGTACTTGGAGCTCGGGCGGCAGTGCTGTACTACTTTTCATCAACCACACAACATCAACTGGCCCAGGCGGTGTCGTCCGCCTTGCGCGCAAATACGCGAGTCCGGCGGGACAAAAGAAGCGGGCAAAAGGCGAAGAAAGCCGAGAAGGAGAAGAAGAAAAGAAAGCAGGCATCTCAAACTAGTACCGGAGCAGCGGAAGAATCAAACATAAGCCCTTCTTCTTCTTCCTTCTCACAAGCGGGAACAGCAACAGAAGTTTCGAACCCACGATCTGTGCCGGCCTGCTGCACGTACAGCAACGACAATACGGACGCGCGGGTCGCCCGCCCGGACCCGTTCGGGAGGGTTGAAGCGGTTCCGCCCATGCTGCGAAGTAGTGATTCCAATGCCAGCAGCACCCTGGGCGGAGGTGCTGCGGACGGCGCAGCGCTCGAGCCAGTACGACCGGGGTTCGTCCGGCTAGATCCCGAGGGCGGCGCCGGAAGCGGGACAAGCGGAGGACTTCCAAGCACCGGGCTTACCCAAAATGGTATGACCTTTTCCACTCGTGCGACCACTACGGCTACCCGAGTTCTTCGCGATCAAGTGCACCGCTTCGACGCCTTCCGCGACCAGCGCCTGTCCCCGTTGTCCCCCAAGTTCCACCCCGCGGGCGAGTCCAAGGTCGTGACAAGCGACACGAACCCCAAGGTGTTTGACTTGGTGCCGAACCAGCTGCGCGTCTCCTTCCTGTCCCCGGAATTGCTCCGCGTGCAGTACGACAACAGCAAAGACGGGTCCAGCTTTCACGACTGGAAAACGCACGCCATCGTGAATCGGGATTTTTCGGACTTTTTCGAGGAAGACGTGGATTCGCAAAACTGGAAGCTCACCGTCGTGGAACGGCCCGGAGGTGAAAATGCGGTGGTTGGCGTCGCGGTGGTGGGCGGCGCTGCAGCTGCTACGGGGCTGTGGAAGCTGGAGTCGAAAAAAGTCCGGTTCCATTACGACGCGTCTTTGTTCAAAGACGGGGACTGGACCAGCGGGCTGATCGCGTTCGAGCGTTTGGACCGGGACGTTTCCGATCCGAAAATCGACCTCGACCGCCCCTTCGATGGGTCGCTGTTTGGCACGACCAAGTCGGCGGAAAATTTCCCGATGGAGGGCGGGAAGAGGTACGCGCACCGCATGTTTCTCGACTGCCAGCGGGAGAAGGACATCTTGACCCGCGAGGGCCGGGAGGACGTGTTCGGTTGCGGCCAGGGCAACGGCCCGGGGTGCGAACCCATTCGCTCCATGCACTGCGTGTACGGCGTGCTGAATCGGCGGCACGGGATTGCGTTGCTGGACGACAGCGAGATGCCCATTTACAACGACGCACAAAACTGGAATCAGCACGCGTCACCGCCCGGCGATAACTTTTCCTCCGTACTCTTGAACGAGTACGCGCCGAACCAGTTTTCCAGCCTGCCCGGGAACAAGGACCTGTACTTCTTCGCGTTTGGCAAAGGAAAGCAGCTGATTGATAGCCAGACTGGGACGAGGAATGCTTTGTACAAATCCACCTACGAGAAGTCTCTCGCCGCGTTCCGCCATTTAACCGGGCCGCAACCGCTGGGGCCGCGCTACACCTTCGGGTACTGGCTGAGCTACTGGAAGTGGTGCACGATGCGGGACTACAAGGTGAAGGGGGGCGTGACGCGGCGGGATCCGCACAAGATCCCTTTCAACGTGGAGGCTTTTGACAACGTGTTAGAAAACATGTTTAACACGCTGGGCATCCCGATTGACGTGTACGTGTTGGACATGCAGTGGATCGCGATCGATTGGAGTATCACCAGTCAGCGCGACAAGGGCGGCAGAGACGTCGGCATGACCACCACGCCCTCCTGGGGCGCGTTCAAGTACGACCGGCAGATGGGCGACCTGCCGGCGTGGCACCGCAAGTGGACGGACAACGATCTCGGCGGACTGCAGATCTCCTACAACATCCACCCCCACGTGGGCGTGATGGCGGCGGGGATCGAACCCAAGGCGCAGTGGCACGAGGAAGCCGCGTACCTGCAAATCACGAGCAAGATCTGCCCCGACCGGCAGGACAAGGGCGGCTGCATGTGGGGGGAGTACGCGGAAAACGCGGAAATGTTGAACCTGATGGACGACGTGGCCATGCCGATCAAGAACCACTTCGTCGCCTGGTGGGACTTCCAGGCGGGCGATTATGAGGCGGTGAACCAGTACCCAGAAAAGTGCCGGAAGCAGGTCGACCGCTTGGGAAATTCGAAGCAAACTGTCTATCCCTGCGGGGAGTACGGCACGAAGAACTGGCACCCGCTGCAGGCGATCAACCGCGTGACGTACGACGGGGCGATTCGGCGCCAGGAGTTCCGGCGCGGACTGCAGATGTCGCGGTTTTCCGGCTATGGGTCGCACCGCTACCCGATGGGGTTCGCGGGCGACCAGGCGAAGACCTGGGAGGCGCTGTCCTGGGCGCCCTACTGGACGGTGACGGCCAGCAACGCGGGCTACGGCTACTGGAGCCACGACCTGATCTGCTGCGACTGGGGGGACCCGGACCGCTACCAGAGCTGGGAGAAGTACATGCGGTGGCTGCAGTTCGGCGCGCTGACGCCCAACATGCGCACCCACGACAAGGGTGCGGGGGACCTGCAGGGTGTGGACATGGGCGCCCACATGCTCTTCTGGGACTACCCGGCGGTCTTGCTGCAGGCGAGCAAGCAGCTGGTGCTGTGGCGGTCCATGCTGATCCCGTACCTGTACCACGCCGCGTACCTCTGTTCCTACACCGGAATCAGCCTGATGCGACCGCTTTATTACAACTGGCCCGAATTGGAGGAGGCCTACGGCCCGGAGATGGTGCGGGAGGAGTGGGAAAGCCGCAACCCCTTCGCGTACATGCTGGGCGACGCGCTGCTCGTGAACCCGATCACGAAATCGTCGGGCGCGAACGTCGGCGACGACTGGGACATCGACCGGAGTTTGGGGTATTCCCACGTGCGGATCCGAAAGTCGCAGTACTGGAACAACGTGATCGACCTCTGGCCGACCTGGCTGCCGCCGCTGCCGGACGGCGTCGCGTGGTACGACTTGACGAACGGGGCTTTTTTGGAGAAGACGCTGACGAACGAAGAGGGTTATAGGATTTTGAACCAGAACATCTTCACGATCGACGACTTTCCGCTGTACCAGCGGTCGGACATGCTGATCCCGTTGCAAATCCGCCAGTTCACGATTGGCGGCGCGACGCGGGAGAAGTACATGAAGGAATTGATTTTCCAAGCGATCGCGCCCTCGTACTCGCAGGCGGCCATGCTGGAGGAGGATGATTCGACATCATCTACTTCCGGAGATCTCGCGCTCGAGCAGCGCGGAACGGTGTTGGACGACGCGTACGGCATGAATCCGAACTACGCGGACGAGCAGTTTTTGGAAATTTCCTGCGTGCTGCGGTGGGTTTCCCGGCTCGAACTGCGGGTGTATTTGATGGAGAACTACGCGGGAAAGATCGAGGATGATTTACAAACAAAATCGGGCCTGGTTCCCTTCGACCAGCGGAAGTTTTCGCTGTTTCTGCACAATTTTGCGGGCACAATCTCCTCCGCGGAGGTGGTTACCAGTGGGGGCACGACCACGACCGCGATTGCTTTACAATCGTCCTACAGCCGCCCGCGGGACACGGACACGACCACCAGCGCAGACGTGGGCAACGACGTGCAGAAGTACGGGTTGCGGACGATCACCGCGTGTGTCTTGTCCTGCACGAGGATCACGGGTCTTCCGTTAATGCGGAGCGACGGCGACTACGTGAAGATTCAGTTGCAGGAAACGATCCCCTCGTCCCTGATCCAGGGCCTGCGGGGCGCGGATCGAAAGATCGGGCGGGCGGAGGGGAAGAGGGAGTTTCTGGACGAAGACAGTGTGGAGTGGAGCGAGACCGACATCGCTGCGTTTTGGTCCACAGTGAATGCGGGGAGGTTGATGAACACCGACGGATTGGATGATGGCCAGAAAAAACGCCTATCGAACTTGTACGATTCCGCGCAGCAGATGCGGAACTTGTGAGGAGATAGTATTTTGAGAAGTTTATGAACGAAGATGAATGATGTCAGCTCTCAGGAGGGGTTTTCTCTGCTGAGCTTATCGTGCTTTATCTTTGCTACATTTTTTTTTGGCCACATTTACATACAATGCATGACGAATGTAAGATTTAGATTTTGGCATGAAGTCCTTTTGACAAACTGTTCCGAATAAGAAGTGTCGCTGTCGCTAGTAAGTAGAAAGACGACCCTATCATATCAGTATCATGTAAGATTCAGACGCAGACCTGAAACCCAATGGAACCTTTCGGAGAAAGTTTCAGCCTACCCCTCTATTCCTATCCAGACATAGCACTTTTTTGCTCAAGTGAAGTGAATGAAACCGTAACCCACTGTACTCCATTGTTTCCCAGATACTCGTACGCAATACAACCGGGAAGAGACTGGAATACTTCGACAGGCGGAGTCTGTCTCCACCAAGATCCGTGTTTTTCGAGTTGCAAGGATCGAGAAAAGTCATTAGGAGAAGGAAGGAAAGAACTCAATACAGTAATCCAAGATCTGGATCGAAGAATAAAAAAAACGAAAATGAAGATCTCGCACCTAAAAGCACCACGATCAATAGCGATCAGCCTCCTGAAAGTGAATCTAAAGCTGCCTCCGCAGCGTGATCTTCTTTCGTGTGCTGTGGCTGCCGTGAGTTTGGTTTTATTATGCGACCAATACAAAACATCGCAGTGATTTTCGTTTTTCCACCGCAGTGAGACCTCCTACGTTGTGAGATTCTGAATTCTGGGTTTACTATTTCTAGTTTAGCTCCTCACCTAAAGCTAAAGCTAAAGTGGCCTCCTCAAGTTTGTGATTGTGTTGCCACAGCACTAGCCAAAAAGGAGCAAAATGGACGGTTGGGTTTCCTCCTGGAGCACAGAGCCGCTTTCCGGTGTCGACATTTCCGCTACTCCCGCTGCGCAAAACAAAACCAAAACCGTAACAACACCCGGCGCGACAAAAAGTCTTGTGAAAAAAACAAACACCACTCCAAGCACGGAAACGAAAGCAGCAGCGGATACTAGTACCGCGGTGCAAAAGAACAAAGGGAGAAAGAGTGTAGGAGCCTCGTCGAAAAAAGGTAAAAGGACAGTTTCGTGGGTGGATGACGAAGACGGCAGTTCGGATTCTGAAGACGGCTCGGATTCCATGTCCGACTGGTCGGGGATGTCGGATGAGAGTCTGGACGAAGGCTTCGCATTCAAAGACGCAGCGGTGAACGAGGAGTTTCTGCGGGGAGATGTTGGCGGTGAGGAACAGAACGTTGTTCGTGCCGCTGCTACCAGACCAGCTTCTTCAAGCACGACGACAAGAACTTCGTCAAACTCAGGCGCCAGTAGTGTCGCAAGTACTGCACATGGCGGAAAGAAGCAAAAGGCAATGAAAGTTATGAAGAAGAAGCTCGAGGCGGGGAAGAAGCAGAAGGAGAAATTAACAACGGCTAAAGAACCAGCAGGAAGCGAGGCGACTCCCGCCCAAAAAACGACAGTCAGCGACTCGAACAGTACGAAGGCTGGTGAACTGCCGGCGATGAAAAAAAAGAAGAAAATCGTGAAAAAGAAGGCCGGTGTGAAAAAGTAAAATTTGCACTGATGCAGCTGCGCGTAGTACGAAATTTCATTCTTGGAATGGAGAAATTATGTTGAGTCATAGTAAGAAAGATAATTGCAAACGAAACTATGTTGAGTCACAGAACTAAGTTTGTGCAAGAACATCTGCGCTCAACCTTGCAACTGTGCAAATCAGAACCACTTGTGATCGCTGCGAAGGCGTTGCTGATGTTCCATTTTCCTGGCTTCGATGACTTGGCTCTTCGCAAAAGTTTCGAGAAAGTAATTTTGTGCTTCTTCGCTTGACTAGTCGTAATAAATTTGTTCCTAGACTTCTTGTTGTCGTTCTGGACGCGCAATTCTTGAACTTGATGTGTTTTAGTGTCACTTGCTGTGCAGAATGACGAATTTTTTAGGACACTCAAAGAACTCTTGAATTAGTCCCATTGCCTCAGCAACTCGAACCAATGAAAGCTTTTCGTCTTTAATACTGAAAAAAATATTTTCTGCACCTCAGCCCGGTGTTCCTCGAAGACCACAAAAATGAACCAACCAAGGCGCCACTTCGTCGTCGCCGCAGGAGGGCAGCAGCAGGCCCCCGGACCGGCCGCAGTCGCGCCTGGTAAGTGGGACCATAACCGATGGCTGGACCGTTTTGCCGCCGGGCAAAGTGACTGGAATACGCAGAAGAAATCGCGCGAAAAGGTGGCGCAGCACAACTACAGTTACTTCGTACAGGGGTTGCGCTTGCCGATACCAACCACCATCCGGATAAATTGGAACGATGCGGCCTATCAGCAGCGAATACAAGACTTTCTGAAAACGGTAAACGCCTCGTCTTCGTCAAGAACGACGCAGCGCGCATCTGGTGTTGCCGATTCCTTCCAGCCTCGTAGCTCCAACAAAATTTCCTTCATGGTTGCCACCACGGACGTCGCAGCGCAGTACTTTACCAAACAGCAACACAAAAGGGTGGTCGCCCTCAACTACGCCAACGGCTTCCACCCGGGCGGCGGCTACGTCCGGGGGTCGCGCGCGCAGGAAGAAGACCTGTGCCGGCAGTTCCCGACCTATTTTTCTTCCCTAAACCGCGCTTATACAGGGAGGCAACAGGACCACCGTGACTCCCTGTACCCCTTCGGACCGGGCACCGCGAAGTTTGCAAACCCGATGCAGAAAAAGGCGGCGACGGGTACGGACCAGTACGCGGATATTCTTTTCACGGACAACGTTCCCTGTCTGCGGGCGGGGGAGAGCGAAGGGTACCGGGTTTATGCGGACGAGGAAAAATTTTCCTGTGCGTTCGTCGCTGCGGCCGCACCGAATCTGCGGCAAGGGGAACTGTTCGACGAGCTTCTGCTGAAGCACGCGATGACAAATATCATCTGCGGGCCGCAGCTTTTCTTCACAAATAACGGCAGTGGCGTGAGTGCCAAAACCACGACCCAAGACGGAGGACCACTAATCGCGAGCCAAGTTTTACTACCCGGCCAGCAGCAGCAGGACCACCACCAGCACCCAAACGGCAGGTCTGCAGGAAGTGTGTCTAGTACCGGTGGTGGAGGTATGATAAGTCCCGGAAATTATGTGATTGACACTTCCGGCGTGCAGGTTGTCGCCCCACCTCTGCAGGAAATGAGTCACGGCAAGAGGCCGTCCCAGCCGACGTCCAGAGCCTCCAGCAAAGGGAACGCCGCAAACCCACCGGCCCCCTACGACGTGTTAATTCTGGGCGCTTGGGGCTGTGGGGCGTTCGGGTGTGACGCACAGCAGATGGTGTCGCTGTTTGCGCAGGTGATTCTGGAGCTAAATTTGGACAAGTTGTACGAGGAAATCTGTTTTGCGGTGCCGGATTTCCCGAACAACAGCCGGGAACAGGGCGCGGTGGTGGAGAAGAATCACGTCGTGTGTCAGAAAGTGTTGAAGAAAATGTTCGGGGAAAGATTGGAAAGTTACATACAGGTGTGATAAGATGTCATGCTGAAAGATGCAGTTTTTGTGATAAATGATACCTAGATCATGTAGATCGATACCGTGACATGGCGACGAAGCGAGCTCCGAATTCGAGACAGGAAGTTCACCGCACAACCGCGCAAGAATTTGTTCTGAGAGTGTAGATGCGCAGAATTGCCGCATTTTGCGCGCACGAGGATTATTTGATCTTCAATGCCGATAAGATCTTCCAGTTGATCGTGGCTGCTTAGTAGTTTCTTAAGTGCTACGAAATGGAAGTGTTTTTGCGGAGATTCGGGTCTTTCACAATCCTCTTTGAAAAACGAGAGCGATCTTCTTTCTGGCACCAGGGATCAGGACCGACTTTTTGGAGTCTTCGTTTATTTCATCAGGTGTGATGAAGCAATTGTACCCCTAGCCCTACGTTCTCCTGATTTAGGTGGATAACTGGTTTGATGACGTGGTCCTCAACTCGCAGGTCTGACAGAGAAGACCAAACTTCTTTTCTTTTTAGGACCACAATACTTCATTGTTTCCAGAATTGAAGTCGAGCGGCAAAATAAAACGCAAAGAGAAAGAAGTGCTGCTTCCTCGCTGGTCTAATCAAACGGGCCGCAAAAATGGCAGCGCTCGACCCAGTACTCCTGCCGACTCCGGAGGGTTTTCTGTGTCCGATCACACACGAGATAATGCGAGACCCCGTGTGCACGGCCGACGGACAAACGTACGAGAGAGAGGCCATCACGCATTGGTTTCAAGTGAACCGCCGTGGCACGTCACCAGTTACCGGCGCAGTCTTGGCAGCCCGATCGCTCACCCCCAACTACGCACTGCGCCGAGCTATCGAGGCCTATCTCGAATCGCGGCCGGAGTTGGTCCGGAAAAAAATGGAAGAGGTAAACATTGCGGAAGCGGTCAAGATCAGGGAGAGTGATTTGGCAGAAGTCGCGCAGAAGAGCGAAGCCCGTGCGGAGTACGTCAAAAAATTGGAGCAGGAGAATGCACGCCTGCGGTCCAGGATGGGACTTGAGACGCAGGGGGACGCTGCAACACAAGACGTTATTAGCAGCGGAGTCGGGGAGGAAACCCGGGAAGCAGTGCGCAGATCGCTTTCGTTTTCGCCGCTCCGGGACACTCATATCACTGAAATGCGCTGTCTTTGTTCGGCGCGTGATCTCCTGCGTTTACTCGCCGAAGGAGAGGACACTATCAGCTTCATTGCGGTTTCTCTCCACGCCAAAGCGATGGAGGAAGCCTCGGACACTTTCAGTGTGGCCGCTGTCGTGCGTGTATGTGACCATATACGATATTTTGCGGGACTAGAGCTCGAGTGCTCGAGCCTCGTGAGCCAATTATTAAACATCTGCAGAGAAAGACTCCGAAAATTTATCTGCGAACAGGTAAAAGCTGTGGTGTCTAGTTCTCGTGGTGACCTTGTTGTCGTATTGGCGTACTACTCTTATGTACGCTTGATACAATGCAGAAACTGAATACACTAGCACAGAGGTCTGGGCTGCACAAGCTAGGGGCTTGCATGGACAATATATCGCTAATTTTTTACAGGTGCGCCAACCCGCGAATGCTTCTTTGGAGGGCTTGGAACTCAGCCTCGGCCAGCGTGCGCTCTTTCTCGTCAACCTGAAACTCATGGGGCAGCTGTTTTTGAGATGCTTCCTTAGCGTTTCTGATATGAAAAGAGTAATTATGGACCTGTTGAGAATGCAGTCGAACGTCGGGACGGAGTCGCCTTATTGGATGCCTGAAGGAGTCGCCGTAGCGGAGCAGGAATCGCCATCATCAGCGATAGAGCTCCCCGAAGAAATTGAGCTTATGGCTGCGTGCGAATTGTTAAAAGACATTGGCTTCACCCTCGAGTATCTGACGCCGTACATGGGCGCGGGGGGGATCCCGAGATGGTTGCGCCGTACAGATCCTGAGCGTCATTTTTCCATTTTTGGCATTTTTTTTGCCCGGCTGAATCGTCTGCGGAATTGTCAAGGTTCCCGGTACAGTGAGCGTTGTCTGATTATGATTGACGATTTGCACAAGTTGCGTGCAAACCAATGGCGGAAACTTCCGGTAGTTCGCTCCATGCCCGAACTGGATTCGGAAGACTATGCTGGTGCGCCACCAGCGAGCACAATGTACGCGAGTACTTTAAATCTCTTAAGAGATCTTACGATGTGACCTATTCCACTATTTCCTGAATTAGCGAGCAGCGCACTGATATAGCCTGCGCTGAAATAGTGTCAATATCAATGGCGGTGCCTTCGCCTCACTGTTGTTTCTCCACTCTCTCGTTAGTTGTCATTCTGAAGATGATCGTGAAAGAACCATGTCCAACTCTGCTCCTTTTTTGCCACTCTGCATAATGAAGATGATCGTGAAAAAACCGCTGCGTAGCTCCTTTTTTGCCACTCTGCATGATGGATTTCTTGCGGCTTCGTTTTTGTTGTCGGGCTCTAAAGCTTGTATTTCTGGTACAAACAAACTGAATTCGAATTCCTGGCGTACTTTCCTACATGCGAAGTTTCGTGGTCGTCCTTCCTCTTTTTCCGTAGTGCGTCCGTGAAAGGTTTTCTTCGTTTCCTTTTTCATCGTGCGTTTTTTCTCGTTCTGATTAAGCTGCTCGACCCTCGTACAACCCGTGGTGTACTGTGTGTTGGAAAAGGCTCAACAGACCCAGTGATCTTCCAAGTTATGGCGTGCACAGTTCGTTAAATGAAATTGTCAACAGTTAGAAGCATCGTAAGAACTCGACAAAACAGAAACGATCATCACCTTCACGAGCAAGGCGAACCCGTTTACTTTTGAAGTAGAAATCCTCGACGTCACGTCAATTCAAACCCGCTTCTCACTCTGGAAAGTTGCAATAAGAAATTCAAAACAATTTTCTCTTGAGTATACGTACTAACAAACTGAGCGTTAGCTTCTTTCCTTCATTTCCCTGAGTTAAAAAAAAAATGGCAATCAGTGGTACAGCGCGACCGTCGCGTGTTGCCTCGGCAACACTCGCAGCTTTCAGCACGACTGCTGCCCGAGGACTGCTCTTGAAATCGCTGCCGCCGGAAGGAGAAGACGCGGCGGACGCGGTCGCGGATCCACGACTTCCGTCCACAACTAAACCTTCGACATCCGAATCGGACGAAGCGTCGCGTCGCCCTTTGCTAGCAGCCAAAAGCAGGACCACTACAACTGCAGCGGCGACTGATTCGAAAAGATCTGCGGCGTCTTCGTTCGCGTCTCTGGACGCCCTGGTAGCGGGGGCGCTGGAACAGGTCGGAATTTCGACAGAAGAAGGAAAAGTTGGAACAACTCCACCGGAAATCGCGATCGACGAAGCAAAGCAAACCATCCGGGTGAGCTTTCCCAACGCAACGGCTACTGGCCCCAGTGCAGGGCGAGGACCGGAAAGAACTTCCTCCCTGCTGGAGAAAAACAAGCGGTTGAATTTGGCAGCAAAAAGAACGGAGCAGCAAGAGGCGCTTTTCCGTGAAAGTAAAATGCAGCTGGACGAGTACCAACTCCAACCCGGGGAGATCTACTGTCCGCGGCCGGAAAATTTTGGCATTGATGACGACCCGGCGAACGGAGTGTTCTACGACGGCCCGGAGTACTACCCTGACAACGTGAAGGCGGTGAGTTCGGCGGAGGTGGCGATCTACGAGGACGGGCTGACCGGGTGGACCATCAACGCCAAGGGCCGGGTGTCGAGTAAGTTCGCCGTGGATTTGACCGGCGGGTACATGGAGTTCAAGTACGACGCGTCCGGGGTAACTTCCAACGCGATCAACGCGAATTTCTACGCGTGCGCGCAGAGTAAAGACCTCATGAACGGCCTGACGGAAACGTCGACGGGCGAAGATGTGAAGCGCACCTACTGCGACGCGCAGCCTTCCACCGCCGACAAGGGGCTCGGGGGCAGCTGCGAGGAGTTCGACCTGTGGGAAAGCAGCGGCCAGGAGGGCGGGCGGATCACCATGCACCGCGCGTTCGACGGCAGTGGCCAGGACATGCGGGACTTTGAGCAGCCGGAGCCAAACGCGGTGCTATCCGGCGTGAAAATCGCTTCTAGCCTACTTCCAGAGTAAGTTGTGCCTTTTAGATGATGTACCTACTTGCCACTGGAAAGGAAAAAAAAATGAATCTATCGGGTGCATGGCCAGGATCCCCTCGTGCTGTCCTCCGACGACTTGCAGGGTGTTCTTTTCCGGCTCTGGTTTTGTACAAAGCGTCAAAGCTTTTTAAAATCTTTTCGACAAATTATTCAGTAAGTAGACTCTTGGCTCTGGGAACTACAAGGTATTTTTCCGCAGGATAAGCCTTTCGTTGGAGCCAGTTTGACGACGGGGGCGGCAAGATGGAGGTCGGGACCCAAAGCCACGACATGCCGGCCAACTTTCGCGGGGTCAATGTCCGCGACATCGGCCGGGACCGCGGGTGGCGCATTCACTCCAGTCAGTGGACGGGGTGGACTCCGAAAGCCGGCAACCGCATGGATCACGACGCGCTGGCCAGGCCCTCGGTTTATCGCATTCGCGGCTTCCGAGGGAGCTGGACCTGGATCGCCGGCACGAAACCCCCCAAGTGCGACGCCAACGGCAAGGTGCCGCAGCCGGGCGGTGGGGCGGGTAGAAAAGTTGTGGTGTGAGTTGTAGCAACAAACTGCGTCATTTTGGACAAGCTTTCTACTAGCATTTGTTCATGAATAGAAATGAATGTAGTACTGGTCGTGTTTCTGCTAGGAAAAGAAGGCCGTTCACAGTAGAAGAAAGATATTCAATCTTCTTGTAACGAAATAGAACACCGATCCAAGAATTCCGAGCTTCCGTACTGTCAATCCATACAGGGGCCGCCAACGGCGCGACCTCCGGTGATGCGACCGGAGTGCAACTGGGTGGTGGTGCCAGTGTTAATGGCGTAGCGAATTCCGCCACTGTTTTGGGTTACCACAGGGAACAGCAAAAGCCTCCGCACTTCAGCCAATGTCTTGCTCGTTGTGCTCGCTGACTCGGCAGCGCCAGGAGCGAGGCGCCTGTTTTCATCATGTAGTTTGCACCAGAGTCTTTTTCAATATCTTTGCTGGTTTTCTTCTACCCTGCATGCTCAAGTGTAAGTGCCAAGAAGTGCTGTATTAAGTTGGCGATTGCATGTCGATTTATGTTCTTGGTGGCAGCAGTATTTTCAATGATAGAGCAGGGCAATGATTATCGGGCGTGCTGTATGCGTAGGCTTTTCACTCTGATACGAATGCAACTTCGGGACAAGGCGGCGTCGCGTCTCTACAAGCAGGTGCGGGACAACAGGCCATGCTGGGTGCGTCAAACGTTGTCTTATCATCTTGAAAACAGAAATAGCAACAGCTCTACCGGCGTCCGTGCATAGTGATGTGAGTAATTTGATTGGGTTATTGCAGGAATCAAAATGTGATACTTGCGTCACCACGAAGAGGACGAGACACGGTCGTCACCGTCCTTCTAATTCACGAGACAAAAGCAAAAGCATGCTGCAAGACTAGGAAAGTATTCGTGCCCCCAACGATGCAGTCACGCAATAAAGGTAGTGCAGATTTCTACTTCACATTTTTCCAGATGATAAGAAAACGGCGCGCAGCCTTACGTGATGAACAACGGTCAATTTGCGGCCCGCCCCGCCGATGATCAATGCTGCGGTGGCAACCAAGGGCAAGCAGCGCTGCCGCCTTCCGTGGCCGCCGGTCAACCTCTCGCTTCTTCCCTGGCCGGTCAACCTCTCGCTACATCGCAGCAAGCGGCGGTGGCTCAATCGCAGCCGGTCACTGGTACTGGTGGTCAAGGAGTCGCTGGTGTGCAGGGTGGACTCGCTGGTGCGCAAGGGGGACTCGCTGGTGTTCAAGCTGGACTCGCTGGTGGTCTGCAAGGACTCGCCGGTGCGCAAGGAATGGGTGCGCAAGGACTCGCTGGTGCGCAAGGAATGGGTGCGCAAGGAGTGGCTGGCTCGCAAGGAATGGCTGCGCAAGGACTCGCTGGCGCTCAAGGAGTGGGTACGCAAGCGGGGCAACAAGGAGGCGCTGCACAGTTGGCAAGATAAACCAACGTGATCCGTGGAGCGGGCAGGTTTGGGATGATCTCGTATGCGGGTTTTCTGTCACAACTTCTGGAATTGTGATGCTCTTGTCCTCATGCTGATCACAGACACACATCAATCATGGTTCCATTGTTTTGCTACGCGCATTTTTGGGCGCTTACATCTTTATTTGCGGTTTTTTTTAAACATTTGTTTCGCAAGACTAGTTTATCGAGTTAATTTGATTCCGTTGTACAATTTCTACTGCTGCATTTTTGCCCATGGTTCGCTCTCCCTATTAGTACAGTAACAATTTTTTTTTAAAATTTGCACTGCAAACTTCTGCGCAGAAGCTACCACGATTACCCCGCAAGCATTCGGTAGTCCTGCACGTTCCTGCTTTTTCTTCCCCTTATGAAGAAGTTCTATTTATCGGCTCTAAATGGCAGGCGTCAACAGTACATACTTACACCCATTTTTTGCAGAGCAAGACAATTTTAAAATCCCCTTTCGTTGATAAAGATTCCACGGAGCAGCCTACTTTCGCAACTCGGATTCGAGGTCGTGTTCCTGGTCGTGTTTTCGTCGGAATTGAGGTCGGTGCTGCAACGTGCAAAAGGATCATACATCATGAAGTTCTTTCTCTATCGTGCCGCACTAACAGTTCTGCAGCCAATAATTCAGAAAGGTACAGACACTCAACTTCTTCATCTTTTCGGTTGATCAATAAGACCTCTATTACAGATCTGGATAATCTTAAACAGTTCCCTGCTGCTCAAGTCGATTTGTGCTTTACGGTTGCGGGCTGCTTCCTACTCTGAAGCCTGTGCCCAAGAACCCATCCGCATCGGTTTGGATCATTTGCTGGCACTTCCTCTGTATATAATTCCTCCCTGTACGTTGTGAAGCTGAGGGTTGGAGATCCTGTGTCGGCCTCGCAATGTCAACAGAAGTAATTTGCTATGGCTGGGCGAGGGATTTTGTCACGATCTTGACCACTTCTGCTGCTTGAGAATATTTACTGATTCGTGTCGTGTTTTCTGCTTGAGCAGAACAACCTGCCTCTATTGGAAGATGCGCATGATACATTTCGATTGGTTGCAAAACTAAATACCTCCAAAAATGGCTTCCTGGATCCGGCATCTTTTCAAGGGAAAACCGGCGCACATCAAGCATGCAGCTGCAAGAACGACCTCGTCCGGTAATTATACCAATACTCAGAATTTCAATTTGCCGCGGTCCTATGCTCCGCTGATACGGTCGGCCGACCTGCCCGCTTTCATCGAGGCGCTCTCTAGGCGGCACCCCGACAAGACGGAAATCAGCAAGAGGCTGAAGATGATTGCCAACAACCGGGAGCTGAAGCTGAACGACCCGGGGTTTCCACTGTTCGAAGTGCGACACTTTTTTTATGACAGTGCACAACTCCTTCTCCCCCTCATTTGTATAGCATGAACGGCAATACAAGCATTAGGAGGAAGAGTGCCGGTTTTGCATGACAAATTTCCAGTGGAGCGTAGTGCTATTTGGGCCACCAGAACTTGTCATGCAAATAGTGCCAAGAGGCACAGCCTGGATTTGGATTTTTACATGACAAATGAGGGGAAGGGGGAGTTGTGTACTCTCACACTTTCCAGGCGGAAAAGGCGACGTTGGTCCTGAACCAGTTCGACGATCTATTGTCGCCGCCGCACGGCGGCGCGTATTGGCTGGATAAGGAGGTTCGGAGATTATGCCTAGAGAGAAAACAACATGAAGTACAAGAGAACACAGAACAACTCGACATTCCAGATCTGAGGTTTGACCTCCACGACAGCAGCTGGCCTCTGAACAAGGCCAGACATGAAATAAAAAACGATTTTTCACCGGTTCATTGCAACCTGTACTTCTCTCCAGTGGGGCAAGACCACCCTGCCTTCCGGTTCCACTACGACCCGTGGGACCTGGTAATCCTACAGCAAGAGGGCGAAAAGACGTGGGAAATTGGAATGAACGGGTTGTATGACCCCAGCAGAATATTTGTATCACCTCCGTCGCATCAGGGGCGGCACAAGGGCAACGGAAACACGACCTCGGATCAGGAGAAAACCAGTCGAGAAATTCCCGATGGGCACCCTTGCTTGGAAAAAGTGACAAAAATCACCCTGCGTCCCGGGGACCTCCTGTACCTCCCGAACGCAACGCCACACCGAGCGGTCTGTGAAGGTGGAGGTGGAGAACAAAGTACTAGTAAAAGAACGGCAAGCACAGCCGCAGTCGGCTCGCTGCACCTCACGTTTGGCATCGAGAACAGCACGCGGTCGGTTGCCTACCTGATCCAGCAACTCGCGGTGTGTGATATTTTCGCAAAGCACGAAGAAAGTGCAATGCAAGCGGAGACGGAGTTTGATCTGCGGAACGTAGATCTCGTTGACGGAAATAGATCTTCTGCTGCTGGAACTAATTCCATTCCGAGCCTCTATACGGCTGTTTCCTCTCAGAGCTTCCTGAAAGCACTCGCCCATTTGAGAGCTGCGGTGGGAGATAATGATGGGAAGGAAAGCAAAATCAGCCTGAGCCACACCTTTGTTCGCGACCTGCCGAAGCCGGCTTTTGTTGGCGACAGGGTCGGCGGGTTTCATGCTCCCGCAGAGAGCAATGATGATAGAAAAAGCGAGCGGAGTATAGTCGGAGGCGGTATTTCGAACGAAAGTGGTGGACTCGATTTTGATGCTGTCCTCTCGGACGGAACCATTGCATTTGCGCAGCTCAGATCTCTGATACTGGCGCAGCGGCAAGAGCTGCTTGTGGCAACTGCCAGTGGCAGCGGAGAGCAGGAGGAAGAATCTTCACAGAGCTCAATTTCAACAACTGAATCTACTTCTAAAAGCCCTGCCAACTACAGTTCTCCCCCTGTTTCGCCGCTCCGGCTGCTGGCCGAACAGGTGAAGTTTATTCAGAAAGATAGTAGTATTTCCACCTCACGGAAATTGACGGGATTGACGACCACACGGAAAAAACTGGAGGCCGGGATTGTAGTGGAACATCAAATGAAAATGAATGGAAATCACGACACGATTTCCGAAACAGCTCAGTCTCAACTACAGCAAGTCCTACAGCACGCATTGAACACACTGGACAACCCCCAGCAGCTCTCCAAGTCGCTGGGCGCGTTGGCGTACGTCGAGGCGAATACCTTTCCGGGTCATTTTGCGGAAGCACATTTTAAGGAGGTAGACGAGATGTTATATGATTTTCGTGAAGAAACCACTGCTACTACTTCCACCGAAGAACAGACAAGCAGCTTCTTCGATTTTTCCTTTCTCAGCGACCCGGACCCGGTGTTTAGCTCGAACACGGAGCACGCGAACGTCTTCCTCCTGACCGACCAGGCGACGCAATCCCGGGGCGAAACTGTGGGCTTCCTCTTTGTGCGCGGACAGCGGATTCCGGTGCCGAACGCCGAAAAGCTGATCCCTGGGTTGAAGTGGTGCTTGGGTAGTTCTTCTTGTGGTGTTGCGGAAGAAGTAAAAGTAGAAGTAGATCATGCTATTGATAGTCCCGCAGCGGTGAATGGTGGTAAAAGAACGAGAAGCAGTGACATTTTTTCATCACGTTATTTTCGTGCGTCAGAAGCGCAAGAGAAGGGCTTCCTGGACAGTGTCGGATTCGCGCTGTCGCTCGGCCTGCTCAAGCACGTGAGAGAAAAAAATGCAGAACAGCGCTCGAGGCGCAGGTATTTTTAGCAGAAGCGGTGTAGTAAAAGCTCGCCTCGTGCTGCAGTCTCGATGATGCAACAGCAGCTACGCAAAAAAATTTTCGTGGCGCCAAAAGCCGCGTGAGTTTCGTTGTTATCTCGCCTGTGTCGAGCTCTGACATATGTCGCTGTTCGTCGTATAAATTCAAATCCTTTTGTTCTTCACAAATAAACTTAGTCCACCGCAGGAGACACGATTTTGACAAGATTTATTGAACAACCGTTTCCTATCTCTCGGACGCAAGAAAAGAGTGGACAGCAGGAGAGCAGAGGTTTTTGAGCCGAGGATTCTTCCTTGGCTGCTGCGGTATTTGAGAAAGTTGTTGTCCTTTTTATTTCTAGGAGGGGTCGAGCAAGAACAGCAAAGCCTTTCGATCTCGGACAGGTCCTCAGGATTTGATATTGGTGGATACAACGCGAACGCTATGTGTAGCGTTTACCAATGTTTCAGTATTAACACCGCCACTACAAAAGGTGAATCCCTCTACTTCTTTGTGCCACGGTTTAGTATGGATGTACCTGCCCCAGTCCCAGCGGAGGGCCAAGAATTTTTTTGCAAAGCTTGATTAGTGGTTTAGACAGTGAGCTGTGGAGGTCGTATCTATGGTTCTGCAACTACATTTGCGTCCATCGGAGGCAGTACCAACTGCGGCATACCAGCAATCCTGGTAGAACTAAGAACGGATGACCCTCGGAACCTCAATGCATGTCCCACCCCGAGTCTCCAGAGTTCGATCCTTTTGAGGATCGCAGGGAGAAGATATTACAAGCGGAGGATCTTCCGAGGACCGCAAGTCGGGATGTTGGAACAACAGCTAGTTCTTTCGGACCGGCAGGGATAAGTGCCAGCGGGGACGACCACGGCCGCGACAAGGAAGCAGCTTTCAACAGCTTCTACTATCACGGCCAGCTGCGACGTGGAGGCGCGCCGGCGGACTTGTTTTCTACTTTCGGCTCAACACCAACATCTGGCTCGGCGTCGACACACGTACCCTCTTCTAGTTCTGCCGCGTCGTCCTCTTCCTGTTCTGCCGCGTCTTCGTCGACCGAAGACCACAACAGCAGCTTCGACAGAACAAGTTCTTACCACGTCGACTCCAGCAATCCAAACTACACGCTTCAGAAAAGTAATGTGCTATCTTCATCTTCGACTTCGTCGCAGCATTATCCGAATTCCCGGGCGGCGTTTCGCGTTGTCGACGTGCAGCCGGTAGTGGAAGTGGAGCAGAAGTATCAATCGCCGATCAAAAAACTCATCGTCACACCCTCGAAAGAACAATCTTCTTCGGCGGGAAGTAGCAGCAGCTTCCACGATTTTTTCCGAAATAATTCTTCAGCGGCCGTTCCCTTCGATTTCGAAACTGTGCTGGGAGGACCAAGCGAAAGCCGCGAACGAACTGCACTTAGTCCAGCACAGTCACAGTTTCAACCTGGTGCCTCGTCCCCGGCTCTAACGATCTTCGGAACGTTGCCTAGTTCTAGTACGAGTTCTCACGTGTGTGAAGGTCGTGGACCAGACAGAACAAAAGCCGAGACCAGTTCCAGAGATCTTCAAACTCAGCAGATCAACACAAGCACGAACCCCCGCCAGGAAAGTTTCTCTACTAGTCCATCCGCAGACCACCCGTCTGCTGTTGTAAACCAGCTACGGCAGAGCGGCGCGCAGACATTTGGCAGTAGTTTTACCGGTGACGATTTGGACTTTCTGGCTTCAAGTGACGTTGCTCTACCCCCTCCAGCCGACAACACAAATAGCAGCGGCAGTTCGGTCGGGCGGGACTTTTCATTTGAAAGTAGGAGAAGACCGGTAGTAGAACAAAGTGAAACGCAAGCTACAGTAAAAAGAAGTCCGAAACTTCAAGGCCACGACGACGACGCGGATCCGCCGGTGTACAATATCTCCCGAGAGATCGTGTTTTACACGCTTCGGTCGATCCAGGATAAACTTAAGAGTAAGAGCAGCGACAGCAATATCAAATGTAAAAATGTCTGGGTCTGGAAGATTGCCAGGTTTGTCATGCACATTTTGCATGACTCCTGATATCTGTGATGCATGCCCTCGCATCACAGATTTTGTGAGGGCTTCCTGGTGCCTATACCGCATGACAAACGCTCTTTCCGTGTAGCACAACTTGGACTCTCTTTGCTGCGCATGCAATACAGATTTTTTTAGAATCCAAAATCAGCATGACAAGTTGCACTCTTCCAGACCCAGACACTTTTGCATTTGATAAGCAAGTCGACCCTACCCAACGAACCGCGGGAGCGGCCGGTGCCCTTCTCGCCAAAGTACGTGCCCAATAGCAAGGAGACTTCGCCCAACTTCTTTCGCTCGCGGAACTACATCACCAACGGCGGCGTTTTTGGCTCCGTCGGTGCGGACGAGCGCACCTCACCGAACCAGCGCACGCAGTTTCTCTCCTCCAGCAGCAGCCCGAAGACGAGAAACAAGGACGTGGAACTGCAAGAGGTGACGTCGTCCCCCGAAGGAGCAGACCGGTCCTCGAAAAACACAAAGGCCTGGTCCCAAAAAAAAATGTCCCGTGGCGGCGGAGGTGGAAGTAACCTGGGCAGCAGCTACAGTGCGGTAGCAACGACCGTCACTGGAGGCGGAAGTTGTGGTCAACTGCAACACGGTGGGGGGACGACCGCAACGACACCGCAGACAGGCGACCTTGCGCTGCAGCCCGGGCAACAGCATTCGGGGATGATGTTGAATCCGCGGAAGAGCCTCCACTACTACTGCTGGAAGTGCTGCACCGGGGTGGTGGCGTGCTTCGATTTCGTATTGAGAGGAAAAATCCCCCCTCTCCATATCGAAAAGGTATGTTTCCGAAAATTTGTCTTGCTGATTTGAGACCACAGACCACGTCTCTCTTGCAAGAAGACAACTCCACAGGCTCTGCCGCATTATGCAGGCGGTTTGTGATGCTGTTGGGCCTACAGCGTGGACATTTCCCACGCTAAGCGCCTAGGTCAAAACCTCTCCACTCAGGCTTGGCAGGAGCCTGCTGGCCTCTACTGCAAGACAAACCCGATTTGTATACGCAAATCCATAATCAGAAACTTCCTTTTTATATGGGGAGGGGGGACTTTTCTTTGTGATATTTCGTCCTCCGGCTGCTCGGGCCCATTCTGGTGCTCCTTGCGTTTGTGCTCTACGGGTTTGTCACCTACGTCTACATGCGGTTCTGCGTGCCCGTAATGGACTTCAGTTTCAATGGCGCCGCCGGGGGTTTGGGGTCATCTTCCGCATCGAACGGCAATGTTGACGTTGGCCCACATGAGGAACTGCACTCAGAAGCAAATCGCTCGACCGCAGCCGCGCAAAGCCCTACACTGCACTACCCAAGTAGAACTTGCTCCCCTGCCCCTGCGGCCGCCCCAGAAGAACAGATACTGTTTGTACGTAGAAGTACAGATGAAGACACAAGTTCTGTTTAGTTCCGTCGACAGTGACGTGCTTTTGCAGAGGCGTCGCGGATGAAAACCCGGATTTTTTGCATATGCCATGGGAACAAAGCGCCGGAACAAGGCGGCATGGATTCTTGTAAAGGAGAACAAATGCATTTATTCATGCATCTACGCAGGACAAGCTCAGACCCGTACTGCGTAAAGATAAATTCTAGAAATTGTTATTCGGGGTGGTCGCAAGGGTTATTTTCAACCGGATACGCCTTATTTGGACGTTTTTTGCGGGTTTTTCCTACTGTGGAATATCTGCTACAACCACTGGACTGCCATGCGAACAAGCCCGGGCTACCCGCCGAAGTACAGTTGTTGGACAAAGAATGTGTTTTGATACGTTGACAACGTTGCGAATCTCCCGTTCGCGAAAACGCGTAGTTTTGTGACATCAAGTTTGCTTTGGTCGTTTATCGGATGTTTTTTTGTTTTCCTACTTTTGTAATTTGTGCTCATTCAATGTCCATGCGTGCCAAAAAATGGAAATTCCAGGTACGATGTAAACAACGACGAGCTTTTTGAGATGCTTGGCAACAGCGCGCACATAGACGTGCCCCAGGACCTGGAGTCCGGGCAGGTATGAAAGTGCACAACTCCCCGCTCCGCCGCCTCACGTCAAGGGCATGAAGAGCAATAAGACAGCCACCAGCGAGCCAGCCCGTGCATGACAACAAGCGCATGCGCCTCCAGCACTGTTCGAGCTTCCGGAGGTTGTCATGCAAACAGTGCCAGAAGGCAGCAACTGGATTCGCGATTTGCATGACGAAGCAGGATGCGGGAGGGGAATGAGTTGCGCCCTCGGATAGCAGCCGAAGGTGTGCCACAAGTGTGACAGGATAAAACCCGCCCGGGCTCACCACTGTTCGGTCTGTCGGCAGTGTGTGTTGAAAATATCAAAAGCAAAAATCCCCCCTCCCCATATCAAAACGAAGTTTCTGATGCTGGACTTGCGTTCACAAATCAGATTTGTGTTGCTGGAGAGGACTGCAGGCCGCTACCGAGCCTGGGGAGAGATGTGTTTGCCTAGACGCTTAGCATGAAAAACGTCCGCGCTGAAGGCCCAACAGGATGACAAACCGCCCGCATAATGCGCCGGAGCCTGTGGAGTTGCCCTGTTGCAACACAGATGCGATTTGTGGTCACAAATCAGCAACACAAATTTTCGAAAACGCACCTTGTCAATATGGGGAGGGGGGATGTTTCATTTTGATAGAAAATGGACCATCACTGTCCCTGGATCAACAACTGTGTTGGTACGCTTTGGATCATTTTTCTCCTATTTTTTTTGCGAGTTGTAGTCTTTCTCCATCTGCACCAATCTGAAACAAGTATGTAGTGGGCAAAATCCGTTTTTTCGTAGTGATTTCAGCAGCTCGAAATCATGACGTCGAAGCTGTCTCTTGTTGTTCAAACATTTGTTGAACATGATGCGCAGGAGGGGGTACTGCTGCGAAAAGAACTTAGCTCCGAAAGAACGGAATCCATTTCATCATCATGATCGTCCACCAGGTTTTGGGAATTATCAGTACTTTGTGCTGTTTCTCTTTTGGCTCTACGTCGGCGTGGTGTTTGTTCTGATCACCTGCTACGCTCAGTTTCTGGAGATTTTCTACCACCCCTCGCGGTCACGGCACCGCGATTTCAACCACCGCGAGTACGTGGGCTTCATGTACTATCCAAGAAAAAAAGTGTGTAAGTGTAACTTTTGTCGAGGAACAGCATCACAGATTTGTTTTGCATGACAGAGAAAACCTGCCATGCGTAGCTAGTACGCGAAAACACGTTGGAAAATTGACAGGCGTAACTGCATTGCAATATCTGCAAGACAAAGTTACACTTACACAGTTTTTTCCTTGCATATGTACATTCTCTGCGCCTCCATCTGCCTCGCCCTGTCGTTGCTCGGAGGCTTTCACCTGTACCTCCTCCTGACCAACCAAACCACGATTGAGTTCCAGCTGAACTGGATCGAAAAGCACGAGGCCAAGAAGCGCAATATGCACTGCAAATATCATGTCGCGGTCTGGAAACTTGGGATGCTGGGGGTAGACGGACGAGGGCAACGCCGCTACTAGTAGCCCAGCATAGCAAGTTCGTGAGCTGGGAGGTTTTAGCTGTGGTCTTTTTTGCATGACTTACTGCCGGTCTGCACGAGGGTAGCGTGCATCTCAGCAAGCTTGGGAGTGAGTCATGCTCGCCGGGCGTGACAAGTTCTGCTCCTGCATGCTTCCAGACCGTGACATCTTTGCAATGAATACGCGACGAGCCGTGGCGAAACGTGTACGACCTCGGACCCGCGCTGAACTACAAGCAAGTGCTATCGTAGCTGTGAGTGGGGGATTAGGTGTCGTCCCGTTTTCGATTATTTGAACGCCACGAAATAAATCCAAATTGGTTCGCAATTATATTGCAAACGCTCCTCCTGTTTCTCGGTCATGCACAACGTCATAGCATGCGGATTTCGTACCTATAGGTCGTCTCTGCTCTTCCGCGGACAAAATGGACGAGCTGGAGGGCGGGGCCGGAAGAATCTCCAATGTGACAGCGCGAATCGAGGGCTTTATCGCATGACAAGCTTCCTACAAGGCTGCTTCTTATTTTCATAATCTAGGGATGGGACGACAACTCTCTAGAAGTTTTCTCAGGTCGATAAGCAATGGGCGAATCTTTGCTACTCGGCTGCTTCCCCTGGCTGGGCCGACCGAAGAGACGAGTTGAAGAAGGGTTGAGTTTCCCGAAAACCACCCGGTTCCACGTCTGACGGGGCGCAATATGTTGCTTCAATAGAAGTTGATAATTTGTATCGAAATGTCCGAGATCGTTCCTAAATTTATCTTACGATGATCCTTCCAGGCCTGTTCGTGCTGTGCGACCAAAGTTGTGCAAGGCCACAAAGAACCTGTTCGGTGTGATAGTCTGTACATCGACGAAAAAGTAGACTATCAATGCACATAAGTTAGCTGCTGGCAGCGAGAGTTTGCTTTTCCTGAAGATTCAAAATCGCGAGTACTCTTTTAATTGGTTTCAGCCCCCCCAATGTATCTAACTATCAAAAATCTTGTATCATCTGTCTCTCTAACTAGAACTGAGAAGACACAAAATGACTACTCACGTATGATGATGTACATTGCAATATCGGGCAGATTGATGTTCTTTTGCGTCTTCTTGCACCTCTTTCAACTACAGCTGTATGCGAGGCAGACGCAGACCCCGAAACCGAGTGGTGCACGCAAAAAATGGCTGGAAGTGATTGCTTCTTCTAAACGCGAGCATGCGTTTGGGCCACGAAGAATGAACTAGGCGTAGCCGTAGAATGACTCTACTTCCTCTTACGCCGAAATCAAAGCAGAATGTGGAAGACTTCCTTGCAGTTCTTACCAGAGCATGATGCCTACAAGTACGGGCGGTTGTTCGGGTCAATCACTTTATCTATCATGGTCTTTTGTTTTGGTGTATGGAGTTTTGGACCGCATTCCTCTTCTTGTTTACTTTTGATTGCTCGGCGACGAGGAAGCGCAGGCTCGATCGCACGGCACCTGGAACCAGAACCTTCGGGTATGACTAGCTGCTAGTTTCGCGCAAAATTAGAACCTCCTCAAGTAGATCTTTCGTCGTTTCGGATAATTGTAATTCTGATCGGGGACATGACGGAAGTAGAAGTACAACAGGAAAAACTCATTCACGAGAGATTCAATTTCTCGAGTGAAGCGCTGACCGGCGAGAGTGAAGTTGGTTCCTGTGGTAGTCGTCTCAGAGAGTTCTTGTTTCAGCATTTCGAGCGTAAAGCCGAAGGTGTGCAGCTTACAACTCTGACGTTTCGTTTGCGTCGTATCGCAGCGAGTGTGTGGTGGAAAAGGACAAGGATGCTAATGTTTCAAGTCTGAATTACGCTTGTGGCCTTTGGTCAGAAAGCAAATCTCTCCTACAATGCACTGTAAAAAGCGGGGACCACAAGAACCGATTTCCGCGAAGAGCTGCTTATGATAGATTTCATCCCAGCGATATATTCACGGTATTAGCAACGAGCTGGTTTCTTTTCATCTTCGTTCGCGGAAAAAACGGAAATGTACTCTGAAAAATAACAACAACAATAAAATAGTGGAGCACTATCCTCGTAAAAAATGTTTCAAAAATTTATCGCCGCGGTCGACACTTTCTACGAGTGGTTGCTGCAGCCGATGGACCAGTGGGGGAGCAAAGCAAGACGGCCTCAGTAATATCTTTTTTTTTTGTTACGGGAAATTGATAAATGAAGTTCCATTTGAAACTTAGTTTCATCTATGCAAAATTCTAAAGTCACATTCATTCTCTTAACCAGCCGAGGGAATGGCACGGCGTTTGACGAAGCAGGCGGCGGAGCAGGACCCCCTGCAGGAGAAGGCGGGGGTGGCGGCGGGTTGATGGGGCTAGGGAGATGAAAATAGGTTTCTGATTTCTTGCAGGAGTGGGAGCCGAAGTAAAGAAGAACTCAAGAGAGGATAGAACATTCATTGCTACATGTCTTTTGGCTTTCAGTAATGGATTTTTCACACACAGAGAAAGACAAAGAGAAAAAGAGCGCATACCATAGGTCGAGAAGCTCATATTACACCCTTTTTTGTCTCCTGCATAGGCGATGTGTGGCGGTTTGTGCGAAGGAGGAGCGGGCACGACGGACGCCGGTGCCGGCGGCGGTGGGAAATGAGGGACGGTGTAGGGACACGAGCGAGAAAAAGTTTCTTTCGGTGGTGCTGTGTAGCAACAATGTAGACGCTATGAAAGCACAACGAACTGTAAAAATGTTTTAGAAAATGCTCCTGCAACTGCAAACAATAGAATGAGATACTGCAAAACAAAAAGAATGCTGTTGATACTAGAAGGTTGGTTGGCCTTCGGGTGTCCACCGGACTATTTTCGCGAGCGCGATATACATAGCACGTGCTAGTACAAAAAGCCACTCGAGGACGACCAGCACCAGAACTAATATGCAAGGTTTTTTGATGTCTAATGGCATCGACGAGGATATGCTTTTCAGCAAAACGACGTAGCCGCACTTTTATTATGATATTCGTAGAGTGTTCTTGCAGCTTGAGAATACAACAGCGTTGAAAAGATGTTTCAGTCCAGCAACTTACTGCGTCTGAAGGAACAGATTGATTCCCCGCAGCGCGGCGGCCTGGGGTGTCAGCAGCTTGCTACCACCGACCTTCCTTCCGTGCTACCACCTGCCGAGATGAAATGTTGATAATCACAATTGAAATGAAGAAATGCGATGCGACTCACCTTGCCTTCAGAGCGTAGCTGTCCCGGGAAGTGGTCACTTCCATGTTGGTGTCCTCACATAGTGTTCTCTAGAAAAGGGGCAAAGAATGTTAACCTGGTAGGTTCAACAATGAGTGTGACGCAGGATCTGTTCGGGTCGGGGAAACACTCATGTAAGTGGTCCTAGTGCTTGGTGGTGGGCATCGCCCTTTATTTCGTAGGGAAAATTAGCGCAGCTTGGGAAGACATTTTGGGAGAGTGACGGTGTAACAAATTCTGATTTTGAGATCCGGTCGTTGTCTTAAGCTTAACTTGCGAACATGATGGACAAAGTTAGGGATGATCGCGAAAAAAGTTCGCATTGTCGATATACAATCGCCTCTATCGCAGTCGCTCTTCTACTGTTGGTTCTTCGCCTATCGTGTGGTTGTCGATGTCGAATCGCTAGCACAGATGAAATATCGTTCAGACAAGCCACAGGGCGAGCGTCGCAAGGGAGTTCGACTTCGGCTGAGAACGAAACGATTTCAGTCGCTCCAGTACGAAATAAAGTAAAAGTATCTACAGATGTTGCGCATACATTTTTCGACGAAAATTTGACATTTTCCTTGTTTGGTGCATGTGCGCTAGGGCGTCCTCGTCCAGAAGGAGATTAGGAGAGAGGACATGCTTGTGGTATAAGAAGACTTTAGGTTGCTGTGGATAATGTTTATGTTTTACTTATTTTGCCAGAAAGATTATGAATGCTGGGTGGACGAATGAATGGACTTCTAGGCTTCTAGCGATCGGCCGCAGGAGACTGGAACCACCACTCCCTGTGTAGGGCAACATCAAGGTTTTCGTCTTCTTCGACGCTGGACCTGGTGCGGTGTGTTCGGATTCGGAACAACAAAAAGCGACAATAAAACGGAAAAATGCCGCGTGAATCAAGCGCGCATCGCGCTACGTCTAAGCGGATCAACGCACTGTATGCGGTTCGCTGGCTGTACTCCCGCACGGGGCTAAAAATCTTCTTCCTCGTTCACCTGGCTGTCCGCCTGTTTGCGCGAAAAACGGAGGAGAAACGCACGAGCACGGAACAACACCAAATTACGACGAACCAGTTGGAGATGAAGACCGAACAAACTACAGAGGAAATGCGCCGCACCGGGGCTTCAAGACAGGAAAGCAAGACTGGAGCGGGGCTGCGGAAGCGGAAAAGAAGATTGGTCGTGCGAAAGCGAAAAAGAAAAAAAGCAGCCGATGACGATGCCGATGATGCTCTTGACTTTATGCAGCATTTGGCGCATTTGCATGATATGTCGCTGCACCCTCACGACGAATATCTCGACCCCGACCTCGGGAATCGTGATGACGACGACTTCGAACATGGTTCTTTTTGGACGAAGAGTCTAGCGGAGATTGATGACGAAACGCCACCCACGTGGAAAAGCAAATACGGGCGACCGTCTGATTGGGCTTTTACTGACGGGGTCAGCCAGCGCGACATCATCGCTTTCGCGGAAATCAAAATGGAAGATGAAGAAGGCAACGTAGTGAATGATGGTGATTGGCCAATTACTATCAACTGCAAATATGTCTAGGTCTGCAAGAGTGCAAGACTTGTAATGCTGAACTCACATCATCATCCCAAGGCCAAACTCTGTAATGCGTGTTGCGGAAGGGCGGTGTTTGTTCTGTGTCATGCAAAAACGTCGCCTGGTCGCATGCGTCTTCCGCACCACAAGACCGTTCAAAAATGTGTCATGCTCGGTTGTGTACTCTAGTCATTTCTTCATTCTTGTAGTAGCATGACAAGTTTGAGTTTCCAGTTCCAGACATATTTGCATGTGATAATTACGAAAGAGGAATGGGAGGCCGTAGGCGGAAGAGACGAGCAGTGGGCCTGGCTCTGCTGGACAAACCCCCATGCGCCGGGGGAAGACGCTGATTGTGACGAAATAAAAGAATATTCATGGCAAATATTTTGTCTGGGTCGGGAAATAAGTTGTGAGGCTTGTCTGTGAATAAATAAGTGTTGTGCTGCCGCGCATGACTGGTTTTTGCGCGGTGGCTATGTGTTGCCTTTTTCGCATGAGAAACTGCGTGTAGTTTGCATTACATACAAATAGAGTGGAGTTGTCGGCGGGGGAGCATGCATTACAGCAGTGCAGAGTCATGCCGCGCAAGCATGACACGTCTCGCCTTCTTCCGGACCCAGGCATAAGTATTTGCATTTGATAAAGAAGAGGATTGGAACCTGCACCCAAATCCGGGTGCAGACACAGACGGTCCGCATACAGATATTCTGCGTAAAAACGCTCCCACACAATATTTGTCATGCGAGTCTGCATGCCCCGAATGTCTCTCATGCGCAGTATGTAATTTGTATGTAAGGCGTTGGGTTACCAGAGCCGATCCACATAACAACAGCAGTCCGCCGAGGAGCATTTTCTGAGGGTTTTTTTAAAGTAGTCACTCTCGAATCAGGATCATGTTGCAACGCGGCTTTTATAGCCAAGCATGACTACACTGACTACATTGTCCGAAAAATTCGGCAGCCTACGGAGTTCACAAAGCTTCTTGATTTGTCCAGCAGATTAATGCGCCAGCATGACTATGGGATGCTGGGGACGTTTTCACACAGGATACGGAAGCCGTGTGGGTGGCAATGGTCTGCAGCAAATTCCGCCACGTCAATCGCAGCCTTGTCATCGCCAAAATGGGCAGCTGAAGATGCTCAAAGCTCTGACATAGCCGTTGACGAAAAGTACACGGCCCTGGGTTTGAGCGATAACGAGAACCGGTTTCTGCAATTACTCGACGGAAAACAGAAGGGGACTCGGTTACCGAGTCGGATGTTTCCAGCCTTTGCGGCGGTGAACATGTGCCCTGGCCGCACCTGCCCCGCCGCGCTTTCGATGTGGATCTGGCGAGCTTTCAATTGTGCGCCCAACACTACGGCATTCACCTCGACGACGGCGACGATCGATTGTTCAAAATTTTGACCAGGCACACGGACGTGGGCGAAGTCGTATCCATCAACGGGGAAAAAAAGGTCTCGGGCAGCACGGTTAGCACCGACGTGATGAGCAATGCGCAAGAGCAGGACTGGTCGCTCCAGGCTATGACGCAGTGGGCGCAACATAACCTTGACGAAGGCAGCAATAACGGCGAGGGCGATCCTGTTGACACGCCTGTTGTACGTCAGTTGTCCATAACTGACAATAACGTAGAGGCCACGGGAGTGACCTCTACCAACCCGCAGGGACACATCGAGGAGGTCTCCTACGATCTGGATGGCGACGACGGCTCAAGCACCCCCGACGAGCAGGCTCTCGAAAAACTGATGACGACGGCTGGCGGGCAGCACTTGACGCTGACCGAGCTGCTCGCCATGTGTGAGGGCCAGCTGGACTCTGGTGCGCTGACCGCAGGCGGTTTCAAAGACTGTGCTGCGGATCCCGATAACGGCGGGGGTACGCAGCTGACGGATGATCGGCTTTGGCACGTGATCGCGGGCCAGTTTGATACCGACGGAGACGGTAGAGTCACATCAGCGGACGGAAGAGCGGAGGGCAGCACTACGACGGTTTCCATCGCTGACATCAAAAACTCCGCACTGCAGTACGACGACCTCCATGACGAGTCGATCTCTCATAGCGGCTCGAAGCACGTCGACGCGGACAAACTGAGAGACATCGCTGACCGGCTGGCGGCGCGCAACGGGGACGGGAGTGCCAGTGGCAGCAGCGGCGGCGAGGGAGGTGGAGCGGAAAGTGGTGAAGGCCAGGCGGTGGGGTCGACGATCACGAAAAACCAGTGGGTGCACACGCTGGGCCGCAAGGGTTCCGATTTCGACTTGCTGGCCAAGCAAGGCAATGGTGGCGGAGGAAGTGCTGACCACATCCTCGATCAGAACGACATCTCGTCGATCGCAAACGATCAGGATGGACATGACATCATCTCGGATGGGAAAAACTTTCACACCGTCAGTAGCGAGTTTCTTGATTTCCAGAGCGGAGGCCTGGGCGCAGGGGATAAGGCGATGCTGGAGGGAATGTTTGGAAAAGGAACCGGGGGCAACACACTGACCGTTGACGGCATCTTGAGTTTTTGTGGCGATGGAATGGGGCAGCTCACGCAGGACACCCTCCGCGGTTGCGCGAATACGAACGGATTTCGGTTGGCCGACGATGGAGCCGGGCTGTTTGATTTGTTGCAAAAGGCCTTGGATACGACGCCGGGAGATGACAGCATTCAGCGGGGGAGTACGGAAGCCTACAGCCTGGAGGCCCTCCAGCAGTTTTCCGATCAGCTGTCTACGAACGACGCGGAGACGGGCCCCGGCGACATCCTGACCGATGTTACGACGGAAAGCGCCACCGGTGCAGAGAGGGTGGTCGACCCCGACAAAATGGAGGACATCGCAAACACATTGGGGGACGGCGAGTCCCCAATCACCCAGAATGAGTGGGTTCTCGCGGGACACGGGTCTCCTGCGGACTTTAAGAAGCTAGCGGAAGGGGGCAGCGACCCGAATCTCATTGAGGGTAGAGCGGAGCTCACCGGTCACGAGATTTTCACTGTCAACGGCGAGGACCACACGTTGCAAAAAGAGGAAGTCTCGTACGATCTGGATGGCGAAGACGGCTCAAGCACCCCCGACGAGCAGGCCCTCGAAAAACTGATGACGACGGAGGACGGGCGCCCGAAGAAGCACTTGACGCTGACCGAGCTGCTCGCCATGTGTGAGGGCCAGCTGGACTCTGGTGCGCTGACCGCAGACGGTTTCAAAGACTGTGCTGCGGATCCCGATAACGGCGGGGGTACGCAGCTGACGGATGATCGGCTTTGGCACGTGATCGCGGGCCAGTTTGATACCGACGGAGACGGTCGAGTCACATCAGCGGACGGAAGAGCGGAGGGTAGCACTACGACGGTTTCCATCGCTGACATCAAAAACTCCGCACTGCAGTACGACGACCTCCATGATGAGTCGATCTCTCGTAGCGGCTCGAAGCACGTCGACGCCGACAAACTGAGAGACATCGCTGACCGGCTGGCGCCCGGCGGGGAGAGTGGCAGCGGCAGTAGCGGCGGCGAGGGAGGTGGAGCAGAAAGTGGTGAAGGCGAGGCAGTGGGTGGATCGACGATCACGAAAAGCCAGTGGGTGCACACGCTGGGCCGCAAGGGGTCGGATTTCGACTTGCTTGCCCAGCAGGGTCAACATGGTAGTGGGGATGATGACCGCGTGATCGATCCCGGTGACTACGCGACTTCGGCGGCGGCAGCAGACGGGGGCGACACGACCACGCCTGTTGACAACGTAGTCCGAAATAACGGCAACTTGCAGGAGATCGATAGCCAGGTCGCAAATGCGAAGTTTCCAGGGTCCGACGGCGACGAGGATCTTGGAAGTGGGGGAAAGCTGCTGTTGCAGCAGATGTTTCTCGATGATGGCGAGGCGGGAGCGGGCAGCAAGAAGTTGACCGTGGCTGGCATCTATCACACCGAAAGTTACCACTTTGGCATGTGTCAACATCTAGTGCAACATCAAACAAGACGATCTATCGTGTGTTTTTTGTTCGACCGATATAAGAGAGAGAGTTCTTCTCATTTTTAACAAATTATTACATACTGGATGGTGCAGATCGACGAAGCTGTAACTTTGTTCTCTGTGATATCGTCGTTAGTGTATGCGAGTTGACAGCGGGCGACCCGATCACTGCGGCTGTGCTGAGTGACTGTGCAGAGAGCAAAGGCATCAACTTGTCTGACGCGGACCGCGATAAGCTATTCCAGCTGCTCAGTCACGCTCTGGATTCGACTCCCAAGGAAGACGGAGGGAGCACGAGCATCGAATCTGCAGCGGACGAAAACACTGCGGCCTACGACCTGACAAGCTTGCAGCACTTTGCTAGCAGCGAACACGACAACAGCATCAACGTCCTGGATGCTGTCGTCAAGAACGATGGATCCGGGCGAGAAAATGTTGTTGACCCTGGGCAAGTTAGCAAGCTCGCGGGCTCAGTTGGGGACGGAAAATTCCCAATCACCGAAAATGAATGGCGCTTCGCAGGGGGTGGCAGCCACGAGGATTTTGTCACGCTGAGCGGCGGCGAGGACGGCGAAATTACGGAGTCGGACGTTCCGGTCGCGGGCACGGCAGGTGCCGGCTCGGAAATAGTTTCCAGTGGCGGCAAATTGCGCGAAATCAGCACCGGCGACGTCGACTTTGACAAGGCGGATCTGGATTCGGACGATAAATTGATGCTGCAGCAGTTTGTGGGCGAAGACGGCAAGGTGGACTGGAGCTTAATCACTGGCTGGTGTCGGGACCAGCTGCCGCTGACGGACGCAAGTCTCAAGAGGTGTGCGGAGAACATTAGCTTTCACCTGTCTGATGACTCTCAGTTGTTCAAGGTGCTCAGCGCCGCATTTGACACCACGCCCGGCGACACGGAGATCAACACCACGCCCGTGGACTACGACGTGATGGCGCACGTCGACGCGGATGGGGACAAGGTGGTGGAGCCGGGGGAAGTCGACAAGGTTGCCAAGGCACTGGGGGACGGGCACTTCCCGATTACCAGACAGGAATGGGTTGACGCGGGACACGGAAATCCGGCTGATTTCGACCTCATTGCGCGCCAAGGTGGGGGCAATGACGACGAAATTACGGCATCGGACATTCCCGCTGACCCGGGTGCGGCAGCGGGGGCTGACGCCGGTGACGCTTCTGCCGCTTCCTCGGGTGCGAGCGTACTGGTCGTGAACCACGGCAAGCTGCAGGAGGTCGATGGCGAAGATGTGCTGACCGGGGAAGGTCCGCACGAGAGGTCGGAAGTGTCTCACGGGCCCAGCGCGGTGCGGGTTCTCGCCGACGCAGCCGAGAAACACAAGGAGCCCTTGCTCGCCGGCGGAGTCTATGCATTGCAAATATGTTCTTGTCCCCTGAGTCTGCGAAGATAGATGTAAATTTGAGATGCTAGTAGGAGCTCGTCTGGGTGACAAAAAAAAGTCTGTCTTGCATAAAAAAACCGCAAAATTGTTCTTACTTACAACGCGGACGAGAGGGTATTTATCATGTAGGATCATAGGCAGGGAACCAAAGGTCTCGCATGTTTCCTGTCATGCTAAGGCGTGCACGCAAGACCTTGATGTTGCTCACACACAAGCTGCATGACAGACATCTATCTAGCTCCAGACCCAGACGCATTTGCATTTGATAGAGTCCTGCTGGGCGGCGTTGTGGGAGGCCGTGCTGTCGCAAAGAAGGTCCAACGCCAGCGACAGGAGCACGAGGAGGCGCTGCAGCGGCAGAATATCTAGTGCAAAAGTACTAGCGCACCCGTACGAGGAATTGCACTTGTGCATAAGCAGAACTTTATACGCTTCACCTATTCTTGAGTTTTTCTGTTTGTCCTTGAAAAAAGGTGCGATGCAACGGCAATTCGTACTAGTAAGATCATATTGAAATACTTTTGCAATGCATAGAGAAGCGGCGCAAGCAAAGGATAGCCGCGGCGACCACGACTGAGGACCGCCAGAAGCCAAATTACCATGACAGGTCGGGAGAGGATGCAGAGCTTTTGGCGACCTCCTCCGGGGCGGAGCTGGATATCCAAAACCACGGGGGGCACCTATCATATGTAAAAACGTCCCCGCCCCATAGTCAAGTTGGGAAATTAGCAAGACAAATCCAGACGTTTTGGGAGCCACGCATCACAAGTTGCTGTCCGTAGTGTAGTGCATGTTAGCAAGGACAACCGCATCACAAATCCATCTGCTTATCCTGTTTCAAGCATTACAAATTCCAAAAAGCGATTGGAAATGCCTCTCATGGAGATGCGCATTACAAATCTTCCTGTGATCGCAAATCTGCATGACAACTATGGGGTGGGGACGTTTTTACTCAGGATAGCCCCGGGGGAGCTCGTTTCTGCAGACGGGGGACTTGCCTTCCGCCGGAAAGAAACGCCGTAGCGAGGACGAGGAAGCACTGGGAGGACAGAGGGCGAACCGCACCGACGTGCTGCAAGTGAGAGATGAAAATGGTGGACACCCGAAGAAGTTGTCTTATCAGAATGTTGCCCACGACCTGACGTCCCCATATTCAAACGGATATTTATTGCGTAGCATTTGTGATAACGCGAAGCTGGCGAGGGAAACAAATAGCCCCGCTTAGAGCACGACAGGAAGCAGCATGACGGATTGTCCGCAAAAGAGGCCGCGTGCGCGTCTTTCCCTTCTAGCGGTTCAAGGCGACTTTGTAAATGCGAATCGAGCATTTTTGTAACGCTTCTTTTGAGTATGGGGAGGGGCGATCTTTCCGCACAACATGTCTCCGAGATCAGCGGTAACTAAGGAGCGCACTGCTGATGATGATGACGATACGCGAAAAGACAGTCCCTTATCCATTGCGAGTCTGTCTGGGTCGGGCAGTTTGTGTTGCTGATACTTGCCTTGCAGAATGGCTGCATGCACGGCATTGCAGCATCGGAAGTTTTGCGAGGCTCCTGGCAAATTCATTTGTACTCCCTGAAAAAAACGCATGACAACAAAGTCCGTTCGAGCACTAGGAAGAAACTGGTCACTCCTATCCAAGCATCACAGATCTTGGCGTCCTGCAAATTTCGCATTGCAGATCCAGACCCAGACATATTTGCAATGCATGTCGTCGGGGCCGGTACAATTTGCGTGGAACGGCGAAGCAAGCCGGAAAGTGGAGTAGTAGCGTGTCGTCGACTACTAGAATAGAAGACGTCGACGAGGACCAGGTGGGGCTCAGCAACAAGGGCGACGATGTCATCCCTTCGGACACGATTCACCGCAAGAAGCGTCTGCGCGGAACCGCGACCGGTGCGAAGATGGAGTGGATGAAAGAGGAGGTGCCAAACGAAAGAAGCGCTCCGGGGGCAGCTTTGAAGAGAACGGTCGATGGCTTCGTCAATGCAGGCAAAGAGGTAGCTGCGCGCTTGCGCCACTCAATTTCAAATATAATCAGAAGCTCACTCTCGAATTTTCCTGCAGAAAAATTTTTTCGTGCAGGAAACTTTTCCTTCATTGTACCAACGTCTATTTTTCTCTCGCTTGTATTGATATTTTTGTTTTTCAGTTTGATGCTAGTCCTAAAAAATCCTCACCGTGCTCACGGTGCAAAGCCCTCATCTTAGGGATAAAAGCATGTGGCTCACGGTGCAAAGAATAAGAAAAAATGTTTCAATTTTCGTTTTCAATTGTACATACTTAAGTGGATGTGGCAGAGAAAAAAAGGAGAGGGACGCACCAAAAAACACGCTCATGCTGCGCTTGGCACACTTGTATATTCTATGAACGTCATCAAGCTGAAGAAGAACCCTTTTTCTGTCGTCCGTAGTTTGGAGCAAATGCGTAAAAACAGGTACCGAATGTTGCGGGTCGGAGCAACAGAGATTGCCCACGCTTTCTACTGTTTTGCCTTACTGTGCCGTTCCGTGTCGTCTGAGTCGATTGTTCTCAAGTAAACCGTGCTTGCAAACTCTTTGCGTGAGTAGACCAGGCAGCACACGTACGCAGCTAGTCTCCGTGCTACGTTATGTGCCAAAGCATGCGAGCAGAGGTGCGATCTTGTGAAACAAAGAAAAAAAGCCCGAGTCGTTTTTTTTTTTCAAATAAAGCGCTTGCAGTATCTGGGCGAGAAAAAAGAAGGCCGCTGAACGGAAGCAGGTGCGTGGTAGACGCCAGCTGGAGTATACGTATCAGAATGGTGCTTTTCTGCTCGAACAGTTTCAGTGCACAAATTTGAATAAACTAGTTTTACATAGTTTTTGATTTTCTGGGAAGCGCAAAACCGGAGTGACAGTCTCTGGAGAGAGGTGGAAATGCCGCCTGCCCTGTCCGTCGAATACTCCCAAAAAAGCGCAGCAGCGGCCAAATTATAATTCAGTAAAATTTGAAAAATTTGAAATAAGTATAATTCCTTACGCAGTCGCAGCACCATGCTACAAGGAATAGAAATAGAAAAAGAAATACAATTACACCCGACAGCTCGCCGGTAAAACTGAGTGTAAAATTGAACATTGCGTTCTTTCTTTGTTCCGTCCAGAAATTCGCATTTATGAGGCGCGGACGTCGAAAGCTGCAGTTTCATTAAGAACCTGCGTGCCGGAACGAAGGAAGACGACCCCCTAAATAAAACCGACGTGATCATGGCGATTATCATGTCGACTGCCGCGCCTGCGGCTCCCACTGATGATGTGAAAGAGGGTGGTATAATGGTCAAAGGGCCAGCGGAGTCGCAGTTAGCCGCGTTCGTCGTTCCTCCATTACCCGTTCGGAAAAATCCACGCCCCCCCGTTTGATGCTCGAATACTTGATAAATCGGAGGAAATTATACTACAGAAACTGAAACTCGTCCCCGTCGTGTCCAACGTGTACTGGCATCATTTCGCTGCATTTACTAGACCAAAGCCAAACTGTTGCCATGAAAGATAAGCTGTGACTTTGCCTCCTTCTTGCAAGACAGATTTGCAGTGGTCACAAGATAAAATCAGCAGCGTAAGACAGCGACAGCCTCCGCCTCTTTCCAAGGCACATGTGTGTGTGGGGGGGCGGGGGTTTTTGCTGGCGATGTGCGTCCTACAATGCAAGCTCAGAAGAGCTGGAAAAAGTAGAAGAGATGAGAAAGCTGCTGGGGGCGAAACAGTTGAGGTCTCTCCCGGGTGGAGCTACGGGGGAGATGTGTGTTCGCTTCTTACGCGCACGGGCAGGGAACGTGGAAAAGGTACTACAGACTACTTATGTACTAGACATAGACTCAAATTCGCCTAGCAAGTATGGTTGTTTTTCGGTAAAATAAGTGAGTTTCAGTAAGTGTGTAGCAAGTATGGTTATGTAAGTGTGTAGCAACTAAAACTATGCTTGTTTTTCGGTAAGTTTCATGTCACATGACCCATAGAAGACGAGCATTCTGATATGATCAAAATAAGGCCACTGACATGCTCGAGAAGCACCTTGACTGGGTCGCGAAGTGGAGACCGTTGGAAATCCGGCAGAGCGAGATAGATGTGCCGTTGCAGGCGGGTTCCATGTGTATGTTCGGGGTAAACAAGTACGGAAATCCAGTGATGTACGGTGCGAGCCGAGCGCTATCCAAGAAATAAGCGCTAGCACAATCACGACATTCGCGCAATTTTTTCGCAGCACAAAAAGTATAAAGTTCTGTATACGTTGTTGCGGAAAAATGCATCACAGTGGATGAGTGACTTCTCTACTTAGTGTTTCTACAAGACAAATTACCAATTTCTGATGCAAGAATTGCAAGAGTGTCATTGTGATGAGTTTTTTCTTTCGCATAAGCGTGGAACCCGCACCAGTACTCGCTCGAGACGTGCATCAAGTTCATGTCCTACTACCTCGCGCTACGATAGTGGACAACTCCCCCTCTGCCTCTATCAATTGCTATGTAAAGCACCAGGTCCATTTGATTCGCATTTGCTAGCACCTTTTGGCAGACTGTTTGCATGACAAACTGCAAAAGTACAAACAGTACTACTGTATAGCGCTTGAAGAATTTTTTGCGATGCAGAAGCGTACAGTTCTACTGCCTTCTGTGTTGCAGGAGCTGCTCATGCCATGACAAAGAGCGGGGGAGTTGTCTACTACCATACGTGCACACCGAACGTCTCTGCGAGCGGACCGACGCAAACCAGTTCGTGCTAGTTTTCGACGTCAGCTACTGGGCCCTCTGGCACGGCTATCGTGAGAAAAAAGTGTTACAGCTAATACACAATCTATTGCAAGACAAGCAAGATAGACAACCTCTATCATGCCGGAAATGCTTGTCAGCTTCATTTTATGCGTGTTTCCAATTTTAATCTACGCACTTTTAGTTACTGGTTTTCTCTGCCATGCAGAGCATGTTTGTGTTGCTGAAATTCCAAGACATAATGTGTAACTGTAACAGTTTTTTCCTTTGATGACGGCAAGTATCTCAGTTACTCGACGCAGCTGGTACAAGCTACTACCTATTTTTGGAAAGTCATGGGGCGGTTCATCACGAATCTAGTTTAAATGAATGCCCATGTTTTAGTAGCAGAAGCTTCATCCATTTCTGAATTCTTCATCTCGAAGATCGCTCTATTGAGATGAAGATGCTTTTTGACAGGATGATGAGAAAAATGTCGCAAGAAACATAGCGGGGAGCATGGTAACACTTACTACACTATGCATTGCAAATATGTCTGGGTCTCCTGGAAGAAGGCAAGATTTCCAATGCTGGGCTAGCAGAACATTGGTGTGACACATGTTGCGCGACAGTGCTGCTCGTTTCTGATGCGCAAACACGATTTCTCATGCGGAGAAGGCAAGATAGAGCCTTTCGATAACTTGTGATGCATAGCTTCGCGATGACACGTGCGTGTGCCTGCTATCCGCATGATAGCATGGCAACTTTGCAGACCCAGACACATCTGCAGTGGATAAGGACATACTTATTTCCAGATGAAGATCCTCCAAGACCAGTTTCCGGAGCGTATGAAACGGAAAACGCCCCCTCATCTTCCGGAAATTGCATAAAAGAGCATTACCAACAAGCGGAGGCTCTTTCATAAGTATACTTAGCTAGCAGCTTTGTCACGACAGCTGAAACAAAAAGTGTCAAAATTTAGTTCCTGTGCGAGAGGGGGCTCGGTTTTCACGTTGATAGAGTGCTTGCGGCAGGCTTTTGTGATCAACGCGCCCGCGTTGCTATCATAAAGAAAACCCCACGGGGACTAGCGAGATGAATTAGTCACATTTGGTGCTGAAATGATAATGATTGTACGCGAACTATGGATGTCTTGTACTTGTTCCAGCAGAGCACACAAGAGGGAATCGAGATTTTGCATTTATGTAAAACCTATTTACAAATGTGATTTCTTCGTACGCTAGCTGTTCTCTGCAGGATACTTGTTCCAGGGCTTTTTTCGTCTCTGCAAATCAATGATAGACAAGAAGACCGTGGACAAAATAAAATTTCTGTCCATCCCGAAGGGCACGAACTTCGCCGCCGATATGAAAACGTCCACCAGCTCCACTGCAGACAAGAGCTCGTCCTCGTCTTCCAAGACAACATTTATGCTTCGCAAATAAAGTAGTATCGTAGTCGCGGGCGGAGTTTTGTTTTACGAAGTGCTGACATGTAGTTCTTGTCATGCAAAAATATTGCAATTTCAATTTGTCCGTAAAAAGTTGTACGATACAACCTTTGATGCACAAGTTCATACAGTCCGTGCCAACGTCCTCACCTTCTTCGACCGCCAGCACGAAGGCCACCAGCGGCAGCACGCCCTCGCCCCCGGCGATCGCCGCCACTACGATAGGCCTGTCTAACAGCATGGACATATGCATCGGAAATAGAGATGTCATCTGGGTGAACCGAATTTGTGGTGCGAAACTTGGCTTCGACAGAGATCTGTCATCCGGAATTTCGCAAATTCTGTTTATGGAAAGAAATGCGGTTAAACTGAAAGTTTCTGTTTATGGAAGAGAAACTTCTACATAATTTGATGCGACGAAGCTGCATGTCGTGCGAGGACTCCCTCGCTTGAAATCAGGCCTGGATTGCAAGAAGACAAATTATCATCTTTCTAGACCCAGAAGTCTATTTCCTTGCGGTTGATAGTGTAGCACTCCGGACAACACCCCGACCACTGGCACAGACGTTGCCAGTGCCGCGAAGGGCGCCGCGACCTCTTCGGGCACGACCACAGCCTCTTCGGGCACGTCGACTAGTACGAAGACAACAGAAAATAAAATCCCCTCACCAGAAGAACTTCCACCCGCGCGCTATTTTAGGGACCTGACGAAAGTAGCCGACTTTTCGAAGCTAGAGTTCCACCCGAAACCCAGAACCCAGCCAAACACGCCCACGGCAACGCCGAAAGTAGCGGGGGATAAGGGTAGCAAAGGACAGCAACAGACAAATTCGACTTCTTCTACTGCAGCATCAGGGGCTGCTTTTGCGAATAGCAATACGTCAACGCCTGCCTCGGGGATGAGCGCCAAGTTTGCGCAGTTTCTGGACCTGGTGCCGATGGAAATTTTACCGGTTTACTATGTATCAAATGCAAATTCATATGTCTTGGGCTCCTGGAATAATAGCTCCATGCTTGTGATGCTGAATGCTGCGGGATTGAAGTGTGACAAAGTTATTTTTCTAGTGCGCTTTGTTCTCGCGCGTGGTGCGCTGGACAAGCCGCGACTTTTTGTAGGCGTAGGGTGCCGGACAAGCGAACATGACAAGAGAGCGGCGCTGCTGTTGCTTAGGCAATACATATTTTTAGGTATCATGCGAAATATTTCTAGAGTTCAACATATTTGCAATTCATAGTACGGGGGCACCGTTCCAGCGGACCAGGTGTTAGTACCGAATTTGCCGGACGAAGAAAATTTGAAAAACTCCGGGCCGTGGAAGCACAGCTACAGAAACCAGGACTAGCGGTTGAAATAGAGAAAAGGCAAAACACTGCAAAAAAACATGTGTTGCGTCGGTGGCTTTATTGAAATTTTAAATTCAGCATCTTTTATTTTAGAAGCGCTGTGCAGGTGCAGCTGATTTTGGATTTGGTTTCATGACTGCTTTGAAGCACATCGAGATGACAAGAAGAACGCAAACAGCTCTCCGTTTCGACAAGTCTACGTGAAAATATGAAGCAGAAACGAATGATCACAAACCTGCAACAAGGACCAGGGCCCGCAGCGCTTCGTGGAGCCTTGAACAGGGAAACAGCACGAAATAGTTCGCTACAACAGGCTTAGGATCCCACATTCATGGTTGCGCATATTTATCAGAACCGATGAGATTTTCGCGTGTGTGTACTTAATTTCTTTTCTCCTACTACACCCCCCCCTGGGAATGGCAAAACGTGGTCGTAGTTGCGTGCAGTGCGCGTCTTGTGAGGATCCTGTTCCTGTGTAGCATTGACAGCAGGCGGCTTCTCTAAAATGTTGCGTAAGAAAGTAGTCAAAAACTTATGTGTAAAAGTCGTGGATGTCCTCATCGTTGTCGTGGGGTCAGGATGAATTCCGTTTCTGACAGCACTATCTGATCGTCGAGTTTCCAGCTTCCCGTCGCATGAAGAAACCTCATATAATCAACATCAATCGTCATCTAGTACATCATCGCACGACGTGCATAATTTTACATTCCCTATACTCTATACTGCACTTGGCTCCTTATCGTGTCGTCGCGAGCTCACTACCCTTCCCACATGATCAAAGTAGACAAAAAACTATACCACACGGACGAGCTAATGGTTCGGAATTTTAAGATGAAGTGTACAGAAGCAACAGAAACTCCAGTCCGTCTTTACAGGGGAGGTGCAGCTTCTTTTTTTGTGCAGCTCATAATTGGAGAAAACGTCTGACTTCGTAGGAATTTTTAAAGAAAGTCCCTACATGGAGTAAAAAGCAAACCAGCCATGCCTTGGGCGAATGCTGTCTACGTTCTTCATGCAGTTGGAACCCACCTTCGCGTGCGCGTCAAAAACGAGCATCCACCGGGGACGAGTGCCTAAGAGCCACGAGACAACCACAGTAGCGGGGGTTCTACTAGGTGGCTGTGTCTCTGTGTTTCACCAACGGTAGAAGTTCTTCGGAGCCTCGTTTTATCAACAAAGATGTCCTCCGAGCTGAGCAGCAGGACACAACAAGGCCCTGGAACGGCCGAAGAGCAGGTCATCGACATGCTCGAGGAACAGGACCTGGTGTCGGAGGAAGTGAAGGCCTGCGTTTTCTGCAAAAAAGTGTTTCAGCCCGGGGAGTCCTTCTGCTCAGTACTGCACAATGGCGTCGCGCAGAATTTTCACCTTGGCTGCTTCCGCTGCTGCCGCTGCCGAGTGGGGATCGGAAGAGGTACATTGAAGGTTTAGGGTTTTGGGACGCCTATTTATGGCGCTTTGCGTTGTATTTTGTTTGTCTGAACAACAACAAACTGAAAGATGATTGCACATGAAGATGACACAAGCCGAGCTGAAGCAGTTCGTATCGGGGAGAAGTAAATGATTGAAGATGCAGGATGCAAATATAGAACTAGAAGCAACTATGTATAATTAGAAGCACAATTTCATCTTCTCCACCCAACAGGTTCGTACCACGTACTGCCTTCCATGGACGATGCTGAGGAGAAGATGCCATCGTCTGCCACCCCAGATGGAGCAGTTGTCAGCAAGGCTAAGGCACCCAGCGCGGCATCACAAAAAGCTTTCACGTATCCCACAGAAAAAAGCTGGCTGCAGGGCATATTTGTAATGCAAAAATAAATACACAGAAAAACCTGTCATGGGCGGCCTCATAGCATGCTGTTTAGCATACGCAATACAGATTTTTTTGTGTATTTATTTTTGCATTACAAATGTGACCTGCCAGCTTTTTTCTGTGGGATATCACAGACATGAAGTTTTTGTGCAAGTCGTGTGTGCCGCGGTGCCCGGCGTGCATGGACCCCTTGCTCGGCGCACTCACGTGCTTCACGATCAACGAGCTTCTGGGCGAAATCAAGTTGCACAGCGAGTGCTTCCGCTGTTTTCTGTGCCTGAACAAGATCGCGAAGTCGTACACCAAGGTGGACTTCGCGAAGTGCACCAACGTCGCGCGGAAACAGATCGAAGCGAATCTGCAGCAGGATATCGGCCTGGAGCGGTTGCGGGAAAAGATGTGGCGTTCGGAGTTTTTCAAGGACCAGTCCTCCTCCAACGAGGGTGGCGCCTTGGTCGCGAGCGCGAAACAGGACGCGCGGAAGGCGATTATTTGCGAGCTGTGCGTCCCGCACGTGTACCCCAAGAAGCAGTGCTACTTTTGCCTGGAAGAAATCCTCCACGATATGACCAAGGGGGTCCGCAGCATGCGCATCGACAAGGCCATGGACTGTTTCCGCTTAGAGGATTACCACGAACAGCAGCAGCTACAGCTGCTGCAACAGAGGCGGCAACTGTCGAGGAAAGTGGGTTTCTCAGGTCGTGGACGAGCAGGTGACCACGGAGTAGAAGCCGAAGAAGTAGGTGGAAGACCTGCAGAAGGAACAGCAGCAGGAGCAGCGGAAGAAGAGCAGGAGCTTTTGTTGTGCACGCCCACGGAGCAGCAGACAGAGACACGTCGAACAAGCCAAAATCACTTCCAAGCCGCATTAGGCGATTTAGAATCGGAATCACACTCGTTTACGGTGGTTTCGGCACGACAATCGCAGTCCCCCTTGCCGGCTTTCGGGCCAGAGTGGGAAAAGCTAGAAGTGCAAGAGCAAGTATGACATTGATGTAGCTCATCTATAGATAATTGACCTTTGTTGTTGTTTGATGTAGTCGGTTCGTTCCGGTTGTACATACTTCGCTCGCACACGTGCAGAGTTCTGAAGCGTTTATATTGTTTCACGTCACAACATAGCACTTTTAGAAGCTAAATACCAAGAACTTTTCGTAACTTTTCAGATCACGACACCGACGGTTCCGGCTGCGAATGTGGATGTCGATAAAGATTATGCAGCTGCTGGAACAACAAGTACAAGCACGAGCAGCAGACCGAGACTGGACGCGCAGCCCGCACATCTCACGGACGACGCGCTTCTACAAAACTTCACAATCCGACGGGAAGATCTGAAAAGCAAGCGGAAGCCTGAGATGGCGACGGTCTTTTTTCACGGACACTGCTTCAAGTGCGTCCAGTGCGACAACGAAATTGTGAATTCCAAGAAGTTTCTGCAGATGGGTCGCTACGAGTTTCTCTGTTCCGACTGCTTCCCGACCTGCGTGCGCTGTAAGGAGACGCTGGTGGGGGAAAAGAGCTGCACCATCCCGCTTGGTGTTGTTCCTACGAGCAGTTCGCTGGTGACTTCTTCTGGTCCACTGCAACAGGCTCTCGCTCTTCCCGCAGGTGGGTCGTCAGGAGAAAATGTCAACAATAAGTCTACTGCATCTGCGTCCCTTCAGCAGCACAGCATCATTCTGCACCAGCGTTGTTTCTGCTGCGACTTGTGTCAGAAGCAGATCGACAGCGAGGAGACCTCCACAGGTAACAACATCAACTCCGGCCATTTCACGTTCGACAGCAGTTACTTTGAGGATAGCCCCGCCGCGAGGGAGTTCTATCGGAAATGGAACATCAGCAAGCAGAGCAGGACAAAAGCAAATGATACAAGTTATCCAGCAAATAACCGTACACTTCCGGACGGGGAGACGACCGTGGCGTGTCCCAGCTGCTACAAAGGGTTGATGCAGGAGAAGGAAAAGTTCGTCTGCGATTTTCTGATGGAGGAGGAGTTCAAGAAGAGGCGGAAGCTGGAAGAGAAAAACGGCATCTTCCAGTGGGACGAAAGGTTGCTCAAGCCCGATTGCACACACGCCTTGCGCCAAATACTGGAGTTTGAGGAAAGCAGTGGTTCTTTTACCAAGACCAGTACGATGAAAAGCAACCAGGCTGCTCATGCATCGGTTCTTGCTGGCGTCGACGAAACAAATAATCACCTCAAGCTGCTTCTCGAACAGGTCTTTCACGACCAAGAACGGGAAGCAGAAGTGGGAAAAATGGCTCAGCCTACTGTGCACCAGCCGAAAAGGTTTTGCGTTTTTTACGAGGAGGCAATACCAGGAGCCCGAAAGGAAAGAATATCCCTCGTGCCGATAAAACAAAACCCACCTTTGGAGGCGCAGACGAACAGCGGAGTAAAAGATCCTGCTGACCCGTTTACTTTCTCAACATCCTCCTCCGGATCATCGGATTTGTACAGCGTGAATTTGCAGTATTTCTTCCTCTCCTTGAAGATGCTGAGGGAAAACCACGAACCCTTCTTCAGTCTGGATCCGGCCGACCCCACCGATTTGATGGGGAAACTGCAGAAAAAGCGTTTCCACCCCGAGTGGCTGGCGGACACGCTGATGGGCGAGGTTTTGTTCCAGGCCGATTACTTCCTGAAACAGTTCTCTTTCGGCGAAATCACGAACAGCAGCACTGCCAGTGCGGAGCAGCGGAAGCACAGCTACAAAATTCCGCTCCTGCCACCGGAGCTCTTTAAGGGCAGTCCCGTCCTGAAGAGCAGAGAAATGGGAGGAACCGGAATAACAATAAACAAGAAGAGCGGAAACAATAATAGAGAAGATCCCCAGATGAAGCTGCAAGAAGATGTGAACGCCGAGGCTGCCAGCTCATCGTCCTCTACTGCGAGTCGCCAGTGGTTCGTGCTAGACGAGGCACAAGTCGTGCAGGTCGCGCGCCCAGAGGAGATCACCGAGGAAGAGGCGGAAAATATGCTGAAAGAAGCATCGAAAAGAACCAAAGAACTCTATCGAGAAAGCAACGCAGCGAATAAAACGAAGGACATATCCTAAGTAAAAATGTCCCCACACCAGAGTCAAGATGGGAAATCCGCTAGACAAATCAGCCACTTTTGGTTGTTTCGCATGACAAGTCTGTCCTCGTATTGTAATCCTGTTTAGCTAGTTCCGAAGCATCACAGATCCAGTTTATCATGCTGATTTGAGCATAACAAATCTCACAAAACCACTAGAAAACGCTTCCGATGGGGCTCCGCATGAGAAACAATTTCAGCAAGCAGATTTGTATTGCAACTATGGGGTGGGGACGTTTTTACATTGGATAGAACCAAGAACCTTCCGCTTCCTCCGGCTTCCTCCTCGTGCCGCGGGTGCGACTGCGCGTGGAGGCGCGACGGCTGACGCGAGACCCGGAGACCAATACGTACAAGGATGCGAAGTTCACGTCTTCGAAGGACCCGGCGGTGCTGCAGGCGAAGTTTTTCACGGAAAAGTTTCCGCAGATTGCGGCGAAGGTGCCGGTATCCTGTGCAAAAGTATCGTACTCGTATAAATGCAAGTCTTGCATTGCAAATCTTTTTATGATAGCAAATCCGCATGACAAATTCCATTTCTCATGCTAAGGAAATTTGTATTGCAATAGCAATTTATACTAGTAGGTACGATACTTTTGCACTTCATAGCCGGTCGTGGCGGAGTTGATCGAGGTGGCCCGGGCCCTGACGCTGGCGAAGTGGATTCTGGAGAAGAAATATGAGAGTGCACAACTCCCCCTCCCCCTCATTTGTGTTGCATGAACAGCAACACAAGCGCTGGCAAAGATGCAGCTTTTGCATCACAAATTCTGAGAGGACTGTGGTGCTGTTTTGGATTCCAGAATTTGTCATGCAAACAGTGTTAACAGGCAAGGGGTGGATTGGGAATTTTGCATGACAAATGAGGGGGAGGGGGAGTTGTGCACTCTCATAAGAAAGAATTTCAAATCGTAAACGGCGAAAAGCTGGACCTGCTCGCGCCGCAGCGGGTGTCGACGCGGATGAAATTTCCGAAAAGTGTCGTTGTGGAGGGCAGTGCTGGTTCTTTTGTCTCGGCGGGCGGAGTTGTCGGGAGGGACGAGAACATGATGAAGTTGAAGCCTGGGAGGTCCACCTTTTCGACGCGAAACAGTAAGGGAAATCAGGCGAGGAACAAGACTAAGGCTCTGCAAGACGTCGACCGGCTCTACCTGCACAGAGAGCATGAAAAATCAAATTCTGGCGCTTTCGAAGGAAGACGTGTGGCGAACACGGTGAGAAACGATAGCTTGGTGTTCGAGGACGAAGAAGATCAGACAGGTCCACCTGAAAAAGTAACAGCCCCGGAAGATTTTGCCCTTGGACGAAAAGCAAGGAACGGCGAATCCGAGGAACAGCGACCTCCTCCTGGGGAAAAAAACAACAAGTCTGCTGCTGTGATCAGCCGAGAAAGTTTGCAACTGTTGAAAGCTACCGATCATTTGTCTAGGCCAGGAGAACAAGAACCAGTGGCGGCTGTGTCTAATAGAAGTTGTACTCAACCAGCAGGAGTGCTGGAGCAAGTCCAGGGAGATCTTTCCAAAGACGGTAGTATCATCTTCCCTCCGCCCCAGCAGCAGCGTCTATCCGCAGACCAGAGGACCGTCAATCCACCTAGCACCCCGGGCGCGGGCTCGACCACCGCTACCAACCAGGACGATGGGGGGAATACCACCAACCTGGAAGACGGAGGAGCGACCTACGAAGGCGCGACTAGCGGCACCGAGTCCACCGTGAGCGGAGTTGTCCATCATCCCAGCAGCTGCTCAACGAATGCGGATATCATGAACAAAATCAACAGCATCACAACCAACGACTTTCGCGTCCCGCATTCTGACAATTCAGCGGCTTGTCCCTCGGCAAACAGAAGTCGAAACAAGAAATCCTCGTCCCCCACCTCAAGAAGTAGGAGAAAAGCCGCTGTTGAGAAAAAAGCGGCTTTATCCCCCGCCCGCGCGGAAATAAACAACGAGTTCCGACCCGCGACCACCATGAGTGCCGGATCCTCGAGTATCCATTCAAATAGCTCCTCAGCGCCGCAGCTACCCCCCCGGACCCTGGGCTTCACGGCGGAGAGTATGGCCAATTTGGTTTTGGGGGCGGACAGAGGAGGTGTAACAACAACGGGTGTCAACGTGACACCAGGAGGAATACTTGCGTCACCATCCTCAAATGCAATGAATTCCTCCCCTCGGAGGCGACGCGAAACGATCAGCAGAACCGATGTGTTGCGGAAGCAAACCGACGCGAACGCTTTGGAGGATATGATGTTGCAAACTCGGTTCCTGCATGGCGGAAGTAGGACGGATAATAAACATAAAGCTGGTGCCAACACTTCCTCAAATTCACCCTCTCCAAGAAGAAGTCCGGTCAGAGGTGGAGTAGAGACAAATGCCATGACACGTACATCCAGAGCTGGTGCGCATTTTTTCACAGAAGGCAGTCACAACTCCCCGGAGCCGCGGAGGAGGACGGCGGAACAGGAGGACGATCACGAGAAGCTAATATCCGACAATAGTTCAACCCCGGGCAGCATTTCTGAACAAGATGAACAAGAAAGCGACCGCCACAACTTCTACCCCATGTTTATCCCGACGCTGGCCAAGCGCACTCTGTCGTCGAAAGTCGATTACGACAACGGCGTCCTTTCCGTTGAGCACAACACGGTCCACATGTACGGCGGTGTCGATTTGGGGTCCTTCCCCGCGGCCAAGATCGACGAGACTTTCGTCCAGGGCGTGGACTTGAGCATGCACCGCGGGAAGGAAATCGACGAAGCCGTGGTGCAGGGGGTTGATCTGTCCCTCAGTCCGGATCGGAAGAATAATGGGACGAGGAACTTGTTGGCGAAAGAAGAAAAGGATTTGGTTTTGTCCCCAACAACATCTTCGACTTCCCGGCAAGAAGAGCAGCAGCAGAAAATTTTGCGAGAAAAAACAAGTTACCAAAATCGGAAGTCGAGGATAAGGCTCGGGTGGATCCACGGGACCACAGGGTCGTTGAGCAGGAATTTGGAGACTGCGAACAAGGACAAGAACCTACTGTCCGCGATTTTGTCGCAGAATGTGGAACAAGCGGAGAGTTTGTGGGGGAATGCACCAATTCATTTCGGGAACGACAGTTCTTCTGGTTCAAGTTCATCTTCAGCCCTTTCAGCAGAACGCACCGCGTCTTCCTGTGAGAATAACAGGATCTCTCTGGAGCATCTGTTGGCTACTGGAGGTCCGGGAGTCGGGGGAACAAGGAGGAGGCGGTGAGCAGCAGTCTGTTTCGGGGGAAATAAATGCAATTTTTTGTTTTGGAAGTCGAAAAAAAAGTACGATTTGAAACAGAAAATATCAAGGTTTAGATGTGTTTTATGATTCCGAGAATTTTTTACTTTATGCCTTTTCTGTTCCTTACACTTACATACACTATGTACGCGCTGCGCTGGCCTTTTCAACTGTCGCAGAATACGCACAAAAGTTTTTGAGTTTTGGTTCGCATATACGGTTCATATTGAGAAGCACTTTATTTCACTTTTAATAGGGACGCTGTACTTGTATTTCACATTCATAGTAAATCTGGTTGCATTTATTCCTATTTGCAGCCAATGTGTTTTTTCAGGTTGGAAATGTTGCACACTCGATTTTTTTTCAGTCGCAAAAATTTTTGTATTCCTTTTGAACAATTTAGGGTTAAGCTTTAGCAACCCTGTATACCTTGAGCAGAGAGAGAGCGCCAACATGAACGTGATTCTACATGATTCGTGTATGATGCAACGATCAAAACAATTCTGTAACATACTGTCTGGTTGAAATTGTTTCTCATTGCCGTGCCTACACCTACCTTATGACCCATTCCGCAGAAGCTTGTCGGCGGTCGTTTTTTGTTCAGATGTTGTTTTCCAGGCCGTTCGGTTGGTTCAAATCGTTTTCATTTTTTGAAATGTAAAAAACCCTTAGGTGCCCTCTCCCTGGATTCGTACGAGTCACCAGCGCAGGGCCACAAACGGCCCTGCGCTTGTCCTGTAATCTTTATTCTTTTTTCATTCGATCTTATAATCGCGAGAACTTTTTACCGCGAAATAGGAAAACAAGGCGAAGATGTCGCGGGCTCGTCGTTTCACCACGCTTGTACGACTTGTTGTACCAGCGACGGCACTGTTCGCCGCGCGGTTGCAGAAACTCTCGCCCCTCGCGGTCTGGTCATTTGCCACGACTACTTCTTTGCTCCTTCCCCGCGTCGCGGCAACGAAATCGAAAACACGAGCAACCGCCTCGACAACCGAGGAAGCCGAGAATTTCGACGCTCTGCTGAAGTTTCTGGATACGATGAGCAAGGAAATCGATGCGGAGATCGACCAGACAGAGCAGCTCGTGAAGAAGAAGGAGTGCTTTTGCAAGAAAGAACAAGAGCGGCTCGGTGTGCGGTTGAAAGAAGAAAGAGACGAAAAGATTCCGGTACTGCAGGCTGAGCTGAAGGAGACGCTCGGGACGCTGGGTCAGCTCAAGATCGAGATCCCGGTATGCGAAGTGAAATACTGTCGTCCATGAGAAGTAGATGACCAGCTCTATCTGCGAATTATGTGCGTGTTCAAATAGGAGAGATTACATAGATACACCACGCGATTTGTTGTCATGTGTTTTTGTACGTGTTTTATCCACCATTCAATCATCGCAAAAGCGCCGCTGATGTTGTCATGTGACGGCGATTTGACTTCGGATACCGAGAACTGGAAGAGAAGGTGAAAGACTTACAGACTGAGAAGAATACGACCATCACGACGCGGGAAGAGGAAAAAAAGCAATTTACCATGGACGAAAAAAATTTAAACACCTTGATCCAGACCTGCACAGAAGCGATCAAGGTTTTGGGGAAAAAAGAAAAAGCTGAAAACAGAGCAGCGGACGACCAGAAGGAAGCGACTGGGGAACAGGAAGTTGCGAAAAGTGCGTTATTATCAGTGCAAAAAGCGCTCTTGCAAGGTCAACATAGCGATCAAAGATTAATATTTCGGGCATCAAAAACAGCAGGGAGACCACTTTATTCAGAAGCCAGCCAGCAACTGCTGCAACAGTCCGCAACCGCTGCTGCACTGGCGAAGAACTCCGACCGAATACTGGGTATCAAATGCAAAAATGTCTGGGTCTGGAAGATTGCGAGATTTGTCATGCTTGTCTGGCATGACCAAAAAGTTTGTGATGCGTGTCCAAGAAGAGACCCTTTTGCCTGTCATGCACAAACGCAGTTTGTCATGCGAAATACGCAACACAAGGAAGCGCAGATATTTCTCATGCTTGCCTATGCATTACAGAGCATTCACTATTCCCAACGCAGCATTACAAGTTTCCAGACCCAGACATTTTTGCATTTGATACTGGGAATGCTGAAGCAAATGCGGGACAACGCGGAGACCGAGTTGGCCGAGGCGACGGGTATCAAATGCAAATATGTCTGGGTCTGGAAGAGTCTAAACTTGTGATGCTGTCTCTGGATTGGAAAAAGATTTCTATTGCATGACCAGGAAGAGGAGTAGATTTTGTGCTCCGCGGAGATGGCATTTGTCATGCGGAATAGGTATGAGGAAGCGCTCTAAAAATCTGTGATGCTACGGCATGCATCACAGATACATGGCCTTTTGTTCGTTCCCTTCTGCATTTTTGTCCTTGCTCCCCGAAAGGGGATTTCCTGTGGGGGGGGGTGCGGGAAGTCAGAAAACAAATGGCACGAAAGACGCCTGCTAGCGAGCTGATCAAGATAAGTAAACTATTTGACTGTGATGCCATGGAAAGGCGTGGCATTAGTACGACGCCAGTTCCCCCTGCTAGGGGCGATCGCAGGGTAGTTCTAATTTGTGCGGGCTGTGTGTAATGCGGTGGTGCGATACAAACTACAACAGAGAAAAAGATCAAGCTCGGGCCGCGCGCGATGCTCATCCCATTCGTTTTTTCCGACGAATCACTTCCTTCACCAGGGCCTTGCTCAACCCTGGACCAGAACGAGTAGGACAGAGGACCCCAGAGGTAGGCACTGTAGCGGAAAGTTGGAGCAAAACTAATTTTTTTTGAAAACGAACCCAATAGGAGCCGACCTGCGTGGATGGTTACAAAACAGGTAGCTTGACCCCAAATGGCAATGATCATTGGGAGCAGCAGAGCGCAGCAGGACCCCGGGACTGCAACAGCTCACCCCTGTTTTAACTTAGACATACGCAGTGCACCGAGTATGCCACTACCTCGACCCCTCAAGAAAAGAAGTAGCCCCCCCAACTACAAACTCGCCGTCCGCGATCAGGATCCCATGCGTACTAACCAACATTGTGCGAACCGAGATCCCGCGGGGCACAGGGTCTGGGCGGCTCGAAGCAGAACGCGCAGCACAAGCGGGAGACAACACATCCAAAGGTGGGGATGGTCTCAGGTCGTTCAGGTCCGCCAAGGGTTGCGTCTCGCTATCAGGGTTTCGCCAACTCCGCGGGGGCGTTGCGGGTATTTCCCTAAAACACCAAAACCGGCACAAATTGGGCCGGCAGTCCGGGTAATTGCTCACCAGCCGGTTTGTATGACGAAGAAGGTGCTCGACGAAGGAAGAAGTAAGCATGTAATTAGCACCTCCGGTTGGTAGAGCGATCGGCTACCGAGGCACGTCAGGGTGGCGTCGCTACTTCAATTCAATTCAATGGAAAATATGCATGACAAATCTAGAAATCTTCCAGACCCAGACATTTTTACTCTTGATAGCGGGAGCGGAGAAGCAAAAAGCTGCATCCACGGCGAAGCTCTTGAGGGCGAAGAACCAGGAACTGAACGCGCTGCAGCAGCAACTAGACGAAAAGAAGGCGAAGTTTTCGGATTTGAAGGACGACGAGGGGCAGGCGTTTGAGGAGTTGGAGAATTCGAAAAAATCAGTAGCGCTGGTGGAGGAAAATTTACTTGCAATCAAAACCGACTGCGATAGTTCCTTAACCGATTTGAACGAACAGAAGAACAATTTGTCGTCCGAGCAGGAGTCGTCTCAAGTGCAAATATGTCTGGGTCTGGAAGAATGCAACTTGTGACGCTGCATTTGGATTCCAAAAAAATTTGTATTGCATGAGCAGCAAAGGGAATGCAATTTTTGCTATGCGGAGAAAGCATTTGTCGTGCGGAATAGGCAGCAAGAACCCCCTCAAAAAATATGTGACGCTACGGCATGCATCACAGACATCATGGATCATGCAAAACGTGCATGACATCTTCCAGACCCAGACATATTTGCAATTGATAAGTCGCTTTCAAACGCAGTGAAGATCCTTGAGGCGGACGAGATCGAGAAGCAACGGAAGCGCGCTTTGTTTCTCCAGAAACAGAAGAGGTTGATGGACGAGAAGGAAAGAGAACAACGAGTTATCGACGCGGAGATTGAAAAGCGGAGGAGACTGATCGTCGAAAAAGAAGAGAAGGACGACGCGGCGGCGGAAAGAGATGAGGAAAGGCGCACAGGAGATTTGAAAAAAGAGCAAGCGAGCTCGGACATCATGCTGAATGATTTCGTGGAGAGTGAGATCACGACGACTTCTGCGGCTGGAGGCGAGAGCGAAGGAAGAACAGGTAGAAGCAGTACTTCTAGCGATTCCTTCGTGCTGTCCGCTGCTGTGACAAAAAAGTTTGCGTCCGCCAACGCGCTGGCTGACGCCGTGGTTGCGCAAGCGGTTGCGGAAGGAGGTGCGGGAACCGGGGTCGTATTGTCGCGGAAAAATGAGAATGCGAAAGGTCTTCAGGCGTTGCAGGAGAAAGATGAGATCGACCACGACACGACCCAACTCGCCTTCAAACACGTAGATGAAACTCTTTCTGCAGGAGGGCAAAAGAACCGTTTGGGCCGGAGAGCTGTCCGGAGCGGGAATGACAAGAAGCCACTCTTGCATCACAAGAGGGGAGGTAAAAACACGCATAAGGACCACATGCAAGCATCCTCTGGCTCAAAGAAGACAAAGAAGAATCTGCAGAAGAAGACATCACAAGGCAAAAATAAATCTGCTCCCTCTAGTAGTATTTCTGTGAACAAGAAGATTATGAAGTACGACACGAAGAGCCACCGGTTCGTCACGTCCTTCTTGCAAACGAGACAACAAGAAGCGCAAACGAAAGCGGGAACTACAATTACCTCTTTGCACGAGATGAATGCCATGGTGGACGACATTATGAAAGTCCCCATCCAGAAGAAAAAGAAGAAGCAAAACGAGTTCCAGGAGGTGATTGCTGCGAGTGAGGTGATGGCGGAGCAGGTGAACAAAGACCAGCAGCAGCACGAGAAAGAGAAGGATAGGTGTGAAACCAGCCTGAGAAGTTTGAAGCAAGAAACGGAAAAGAAGCAACTTCTCGTGAAGAACGAATTCGAAGCGAAGATCGAGCTTTTGGGGGCGAAATTTTCCAAGTTGAAGGAGAAATCCGCCGATAAGAAGCAGGAACTAGCGGAGCTGAAAGAGGAAATCAAAGAATTGGAGGAGGACCGTCTCGCCGAAAACGAGGAGTTTCTGAACGAAGTGGCAAAACAGGCGACCATGACGCGGGCACTTCGGAAAGCGATTGCGGCTTTAAAGCAGGCGAAAACAGGCTCGAAGAAAAATATTAAACGAAGCAAATCAAATACCAGGAGCAAAGCCACCAAACCGCTGGAAGAGCTGCTGGCAAAAACGGAAAAGAAGATCCAATCTCTGCAGGTGTTAGAGGAGGGAACCGAGAAAAAATTTTCGCACGAAAAGTCGAAGGCGGAAGAAGTTTTGAAAGAAGTGAAAAAAGTATCCAAGAAAAAAACTGTGTTAGTGTAACTTTCTTTGTCTGACAGCATCACAAATTTGCTCTACATGACAGAGAAAACCTGTCATGCGTGGCTTGTAAGGGAAAATACACATGAAAAAAGGACTTCATGGCTGTGTGGCATGACAGGTGTAACTCTGTTGCATGTTTTGCATTAAAGAGTTACACTTACACAGTTTTTGTCTTGCATAAAAGGAGAATGCGGACCTGAAAGCGGCGAAGTCCAGGCTGGAGGAGGAGAAGGAGGCGAATATTGTGAGGAAAAATCCCCCCTCCCCATATCGAAAGCGGAATTTGTGTTGCTGTATTTGAGTACACAAATCACATCTGTCTTGCTAGAGAGGACTGCAGACCCATATCAAGCCTGAGCAGAGATGCTTTGACTTAGGCGCTTAGCATGAGAAGCGTCCGTGATGTTGGCTCAACAGCATGACAAACCGCCTCCATAATGGGACGGAAGCTGCTGCCCTTGTCTTCTTGCAACACAAACGTGATTTGTGACCTCAAATCAGCAACACAAATTTTCGAAAACCTACCTCTTCAATATGGGGAGGGGGGATTTTTCCTTGCGATAGCGAAGGAGAAGGAATTAGAACTGGCGCAGCAAGAATTGGAAACGTTAGAAAAAGAGCTACAGGAAACGCAGAAGTCGTGTGCGAAAATTCTGATATCCTTCGACGAGAAGACGAACGAAAGGAAAAACGAGGTGGAAGGGCTAAAAGCGGTGGGGAGGATTCTTGCGAATGGTGGGGGAAAGTGAGAGCAAATAATTTTCAACCAAATTTATTTTTCATACTGTTTCAAGCTGACTACAATTCAAGTTTCTGTTTTTTCCGATCGCGCCACGCAGCAGGGTGTTGGTGTTGCGCATGAGATGCTTTTCGTTAGTACATAAATGTTCCTAGAAGGAGGACTACACTCGCGAGAGAGTGTAGCGACCTAAACTCGTCTGTTCTGTCCTCTTGCGTGATGAAAATGAAAATTGAAAATGCCATTGAAATGCAATTGCTGTGCTCGGTATTGACATGTCTGGAAACGACTCTACAACAGCTGTGTCGTTTACTAGACGTGATGCTCGGTTTTTGGACTCATAGGGAAATATCATTCACTTATGATCTTTTTCGGTGTGACGTGACTTTTCACAACAAAAAAATAAATGAAATCGGTTTCATCGTGCAGACAAATTGAAGAAAAACTTGCGTCGATCCAAAAAATGAAGCCAAGAAAACTCGACTTCTTGAAGCGCAATTCCTGATAAAGGCATAATCGGTACACGCACGATGGAAAGATGAAAATGGACATTGAAGCTCGGTGTACTTCTAACTCCGTTCTTAAGATCTGCCTGATAAATTACCGTAGCGATCGTAAAGTGGAAAATTCCTAAGCCCAACCTGACGACCCGATCTCAACATTGACTTGAATGCATTACAACCCTCAGGCTTCCGGAATTTTACCAAATTTTGACGCATTGCATTACGATGTTGTTGAAATGATGCCCCTTCCTACGATGTTTTTGATTAACCGTCGCCTAAATTTCGCACCGAACTACACGCCTTCATTGACCACACTGTTATAAAAGAACAAAAGGTTGTACAGTACACTAATTCTAAATAGTACTACGACGGTTGAAATAAAAAAATGGTTCTGCGCGGACGCGGTGATCCGACGCAGAAGCAGGATGTGAGCTACAAGCTCCCGCCCGCGGACAAGCGCGCGGGCGTTTTTGACAAAAATTTTCAAGTTTTGAACACGTCGATTGAAGTCTGGCTCGATGCGATCCACGAACAGGAATCGAAGGCGAAAAAAGCCGCAGCTGCTGCCGCAGAGCAGGAAGAGAAGGATAAAGAAGCTCCTGCCTCGACTACTCCGTCGTCGAAAGCGCCTTCCTCCAAGGGCCCCGGGTCCTCGAAGAAGGAACCCGGGTCCTCGAAGAAGGAACCCGGCTCGAAGAAGGAGCCAGGCTCCGCGCGATCGCAAAATAAAGCAGGTTCGGATGCTGGTGCCAGTTCAGCAGCAGACCCGCAAACGCCAGTTCTTCCCACGTTCAAGAAGGTCCAGCTCACGCAGAAAATTCAGAACTCCTACATGCAACTGCGGGATTTGTTGAACGCATGGGTGCAGGACACGAGGGACCGGGAAAATCTGCGAAAATCGTTTGTGACGGACAACAACGTGCCGCAGTTGGTGCTGTTGATCGTGCTGTGTGAGCAGGCGCCGTTGCTGGAAGCCGACATGTTCGACGCCATGAATTTGGACGTAACGAAACTTATTTCATAAATGTTTTTTCTTTCATGCGGAAGTTCAAACATAGATTCATTGTATACCGTAGCTAGCTTCTTCTGCGATACTAGTGTCTTGCCATGCGCATGCCTGGCAACTGGTCTCGATACTGATACTCGATTTAGGCCGGGGCCCTTGGAGGTCAATGATTCGAAACATGAGAAGCTCTTTCACTTTTCTACCTTCGTGCTATCCTGGGGTCACAACATCAAAAAACTAAAATAACAGGAAGCGAGTCGCAAGAAGCAATCCGACGATCGTTGGGCGGGGTGCAAGAAGGCCGCGGAGATCGTGATCGACGTGGTTCTGGATGTGCACCAGAGGAACCAGATGCGTTTGAAGCTTGAGGAGGAACGGAGGCGATTAGCCGGGGAAAAGATTCCCTCGGGGCCGCCGTTTACCAACGAAGAGGAGATGAAATCTTGGCTGAGCAGCTTGAAGGAGGAGCCAGCTGTTGAAGAAGAGCCAGAACGACCACCTGTTGTGTCAGAACCCCCGCCTCCACAAATTCCAGAGCCGAAATCCGAACCGCCCCCAAAGCCGGAGAAGCCAGCGCCCCCCGTCCCACCGAGTAAACCGAAGAGCCCAGTCCCGCCGCAGGCACTGCTTTTGAAGAACCTCGTATGGAAGCGTCAGGTTTGAAATCCTCAAAGTTGAAATAATTTGTAATGCATAAAATGCGATACAAAAAGTGACTCTATTGCAGAGGACCCACGGGAGGCAGATGATAGTCCTGGTAAGGGTCAAAAATTGGACTGCTAACTAGCATGACAGAAGGCAGCTCTTTTGCCCTAAACCGCATGACAGACTCGCTTCCAGGACCGGGAAAATTTGTCATGCACCGACTACAAACTGTAGGTCTAACTGGTATCCGTTTTATGCATGACAAACTATTTCAACTTTGACGATTTCAAACCTGACACATCCATACCTCGAGCAGCAGGAGAAATTGAAGCCGGAGGCGCACAAGAAACTGCTATCAAATGTAAAAATGTCTGGGTCTGGAAGATTGCAACTTGTCATGCTGTTTTTGGACTCTAAAAAAAATTGTATTGCATGACCAGCAAAATGGGTACGCTTTTTGCCACTTTTTGCTACACAGACAGGCCATTTCTCATGCGGAAGATGCATCAGGAAGCCCTCTAAAAGTCTGCGATGCTAGTTCAAGCATTACAGGCATCATAGGTCATGAGAAATATGCATGACAAATCTTGCATTCTTCCAGACCCAGACATTTTTACAGTTGATAACTGCTGATGATCAACCATTTGGAAGAGGAGAACGAGAAGCAAAGAACCCTTTTGACACACGAAAAACAATTGAAACAACAGATCGAAATCATCCAGCAGGAACAAATCGAGCAGAAGCTGCTCGTCACCAGCCGCATCGACTTGTTCAAAAAACTGATCAAGGACGCCATCAGACGGAGCGACAAATTCACCGACGAGCGGAAGTGGCTGCTGACGCAGAAGATGAATCTGACGTTCGACCAATTGCTGGCGAAGAAGGACCTGACCGTGTTGGAAAAGCACCTCTACACGTTCGGCAGCAAATCCAGAAGTTCGCAGATGGGCCGGCTGGAAAAGGAGTTGCTTGAGCACGAAGAGGACACGAAGAAGCAAGCCATCGGCGATTTGCAGCAGCGGCTGGAGGAGTTGCTTGCTTTGGCGAACTCGAAGGACAAACACAAGTTTTTGACGAAGAACGGGGAAGTGGAGAAAAAGCTAATGTCGGACTTGGAACGGGAACTCATCGAAATGGAAAACATGCCCACCACGGCGTCCAGTGGAAATGACGAGATGAATGGAAATGTTCGGAGCGAAGGAAAAAAACCGAGAAACAGCCAAACAACTACGCGAAGGAGCAGACGGCGCACGACAGGGTCTGTGTCGTCGATGCCGGGAATAAGGCCGAACAGTTCAACAACTTCCCCGCGCGGGGGGCCACCGGTCGTGCGAAACAGCAACTGGTCGAGCCGAAGCCGGACGTCGCACACGGAGGACCGCTTCTATCTCCACCCGTTTTCCCGACAGGTCGGGTCCGTGGTCCAGGAAATTCAAAGGCAACGCGACTACACGGTGGAGGCCCTGGTGTCCGCCAGGCGGGCATCGCGGGGGGTCAACGTGCACGAAGAAATCATGGCCGCTCAAGGTGTAGTTGATCAACAGATGCCCTCCTGGCTTCGCATGAGCAGCAAGAAATCCATGCTGTCTTCCCGGTCCTCTCTCACGGAGGCTGTCACCACCGCGGGGAGACGCTCCGTTGGGTCGGTCGGGGGTACCATGCAGCACATCGAGTACGACACGAAAACCGGGAGGTTGATGAAGAAAAAGCTGAGCGTGCACAGCAGCAAAGTCGGGTCGATCACTGGCGGTGGCGGGGAAAACACCATTAAGCCGGCGGCCCAGAGGAATTCCGCCGCGGACGTGCTGCTCGCGCGGGACTTGACGGAGCAACGGGATGTGCAAATCATGCAGAAAAAAATCAAACAAGGGAAACAACAACAAACTGCAAACAAGAAAAAAACGCAGAACCTGCACCCGGTGACAAAGAAGCCCGCCCCCGGGCAGCCGAATGCGCAGCTGACGAAGTTCTTGATGCAGAAGAATTTGGAGATTCTGCCGAAAGATTTCTCCAAGGCCAACACCGATCCAAACAAGTCGTTGAAAGATCTCGCAGTGGATTTGAAAACCATCATCCCGAAGAACACGACCATCGAGATCCGGGTGCAAAAACTGAAGGCGAAAAAAGCGAAGCTGGAGCAAACGAACGCGCTCGTGACATCGAATTTATTGCACAAGGATTTACACCGGTACGAAACACGCATGATGAAGCTCGAGTACCAGTGGGGCAAGGAAATTGAGGACCTGCACAAAATCTTGTCAAGGCAGCAGGTCATGCACGACGGGACTGCGATTTGAGATGGAGAAGGCTTGTGCCACTGACGACCCGGACTTTATGTTCTTTTGACGACGCGAAGGCGAAGCAAGAGGCACTTTTTGCTAGACGCTAAAGGTGCTTAGTAGTATCGTCTCGAATTTATTGTTCCATTGCTTCGAGTTAAAAGTAATCGTAAGCAAACCGCACGAGTAGAAGGGCGCACTTGATATCCACCATTGCATTGCAAAATTTGCGACGCAGAGCTTTCATTTGTATGATTTTCTGACTTTCTTTTCCCCCTGAAAAATCGAACGATGTTATCTTCAAGTTGAGACCCAAAGTAGTCTGACAAGTACAGTTTTCCTTTCCAACTCTCTAAATTGACGACCTAAAAAATGTTCTAGTAACGCCAAGTATATTTTTTGAAAAGGAGCAGTACCCGCGCTCGCAAATATATTGATAAGTTTGTTGTCCTCTACGAAGTCCTCCGCACTTTTCCCACTTGAAGACGGACGTGAGGTGATGTTGGCGCAACTTTCTTAGGCGTTCTTACCCTGCGCCGAAGTTGCGCTGACCCCAGCTTTGATGAGCGAAGTGATTTCATGTGTACAATTGCGCGCGGTCAGTTATTTAAAAGAAGCGAAGAGCATGAACTTACTACTTATTTCCCGCAGCTGCAGCACGGACGGATCTAGTCATGTTCAGGTTTGCCTCGTTCATTGCATATGCTCGTCACTGGTCGGAATTTTGATTTTCGTGCTGTAGGTTGTTGACACTGGATACATACGAGAAATGGTTCTGGCCGATATGGTTACTTCTGGATACCTGCATTTGATGAAGCTATTTTGATAGGTGCTGTGCCCTTCAGGCAACAGGATAGTCGTTTTTGTGGATCATCTGGTACTGTGAGTCGCAATCGCAAACATAGTTTGTTGTACTCGTGAAGGAAGTCGTCTGATCTGTGTCGTGAGGTCGTGATATTTTGGAAACTCATTTCGTTTTTCAATCGGTTAAAACAAAAACTAAAGCCGGGGGTCGTGGGAAGTCGCTCGTTCTTTGGTACGAGCCTCTAAATCGTCGAATCTAAGTCGAAGAATCTTTCGTACTATCGAGCTTCGCTGTTGAAAATTCGGAAAAACGCACGCGCTTTGGAGAAAATCTCATATTTGTTCGGTCCTGCAGCTGCAGCATTCGAGTGACAGACGGCGTGCCGTTACTTTTAGCACGAAAGTTCTTGTTCTAGAAACACCAAGAGAAACGCGGTTTTTTTGGAAAAAAAAAAATTAGTAACATCTTCTATGTCTTCTATCATGACGAAACCTACTAAGAAAAGAGGCAGCACGAAGGCGGCTGTTTTTCCGTGCTGGTTCTACTTTTGCTTCCGTTTCGTCACCTTCCTCCAAGGACTCCCAACCCTGATCTTCGCTGTCGACCGGCAACAGTTTAGCAATGCGGCCACGAGACGAGTAAAGGTGGCAGCGGATCATGATCAACGACCTCGTCCCGAAGCAGGTGGAGGAACTACTACACCACCAGCAGATGTTGAAAATGGCGCAACGAAATTACCACCTAGCTCTGCTGCTGCGGCAGGAGTAGGAGGTCCGCCTGGGGTAGTACCGGGAAATATTAAGGGTGAAACCCTAGACAAAAAGAACGCAGAAGAGCAAAAACCTGCCGCAAAAGACAATCCAACACAAATTGTCTTCGATGAGCGCCTGGACGAATCGGGCCTGAAGGATATAAATGGTGAGGACGAGGACGTGGACGAACTGAAGCCGAGCGACGCTTCTGCGGAGCGAAAAATCGGACGGGAGCAGGAGGATTTGGTGGACAATCTCGTAAAGGTAAATTACCCGGTCTTATCAATTGTAAAAATGTCTGGGTCTGGAAGATTCTGACACTTGTCATGCACATTTTGCATGAGCCCTGATGTCTGTGATGCATGCCCTAGCATCACAGATTCTTCGAGAGCTTCTTGATGCCTATTCCGCATGACAAATGCCCTCTCCGTGTAGCAAAAATTGCATTCCTGATGGTACTCATGCAATACAGATTTTTCTGGAATCCAAATGCAGCATCACAGGTTGCATTCTTCCAGACCCAGACATTTTTACATTTGATAGGTCTATCAGCTCGAACTGCACGCCACCTACAACCTGTGGAAACGCGCACAGGAGTTGAAACCGGACCTGTTTTCCTACATTGTGGCCTCGCTGAACCCAATCACGGAAGTCGGGGGGCTACGGGAGGACGAGGAGAAGGTGTGGTGGCTGCGGTACATCGTCATGGCGGCGTTTTACATGCTCATTTTGTCCTTTGCCGCCAACATGATGAGCGACGGCGCAGAACTGCTCATGCTGGTGCCCGAGTATGTGGACCTGGTCGGGTCGATCGTGTTGCCGCTGTTGGGCGCGTTCCCGGACGCGCTGTTCGTTTTGTTTTCCGGCTTGGGTCCAAGCGAGTTGGTGTACCGGAGAGTCACGGCCGGGTTCGGGTTTCTGGCTGGGTCCAGCTGCTTTCTGCTCTGCATCCCCCTAGCCGGCGTGATGGCGGCGGGCCGGGTGCCGGTGAGGAACAACCCCAACAATCCGAAACAGCTCCTCGCAGACTACACCACGGAGGGCAAGGAGAAGGGCAAGACAAGCCGGGTGTGGGATTCGGGGGCGAGTCTGAACCGCTCCGTGTTCAACGCCCTGCTGTGGACGTTTCTGACCTCCTTCACCACGGGGTTTGGCATTTTTGCAGCCTACGACTCAAAAGACCAGATGGTCGGGATGGCGGAAAAATGGACCAACATCACGGAGAGCTCCGACGAGTGGCGCATGGTAGCCTTGCAGGAATACGTGGCGGACTTGAAGGGGGATAGCACACCCTTCTCGCAACAGAAGCCATTCGTGAGGTACTATGAATATTCTTGATCAAAGCAAGAGCGCTTGTCCAAGCTGAGTTTCGGTTTCCCTTTTAATCCCCCGATCTTGATATTCCGGCACTTCGTGGAGATGGTGAATCCAGCTGCCCGTAAAACTAACTTGGGGTAGTGTTTCGCTTTCGCTTATAAAATCATGATGCGCATTGAGATGAGTAAGTTATGAAGAGCAAGAAGCAAATCGCCACTACGTGTCAGCACGACCGCGCTGTCAATATAATTCCGTGTCCACCGATCCACAGGACCTACTGGTGGTGGGAAGACGAGAACGCGTACTGGCGGTCCTACAGCACCATTGCGAAGCACCAGAAATTTTGGCTCCAAATGGGTTCCGGCGTGTGCCTGGCTTTGTGCGTGATGTACTGCGTCGCCAATCTTCGCGTCGCGCATAAGAAGAACCAGGCCCGGCAGGCCGGAGAGAATGAAACAGTTTCTACTGCAGGAGGCGCGGCGGGCCACCACGGGCACGGACCACAACCAAAGCAACTGCAACTACGGCACGGCGATACCAGTATGAAACACCAGCCGCTGTTCTCTTTCACCATATCCTGAGTAAAAACGTACCCACACCATAGTCAAGATGGGAAATCGGCTAGACAAATCCACAAGTTTTGGCTGTTTTGCATGACAAATTTGGATTCGTAGTGTAGTGCTGTTTGAGCTAGCTCAGCAGCATCACAGATCTAGCATACCATGCTGATTGGAGCATGACAAATTTCAAAACACCCTTAGAAAATGCTTCTCATGGGGCTCCGCATGGCAAACATTTTAAGCATGCAGATTTGCATGACAACTATGGTGTGGGTACGTTTTCACTCAGGATACACCAACGAGTCGCATCATCAGGACATGGTGGCCATCCGGAGTTCGCTGCGGCGGTCAATATTGTAAGGAAAAATCCCCCCTCCCCATATCGAAAAAGTATGATTCCGAAAATTTGTGTTGCTGATTTGAGACCACAAATCACGTCTGTCTTGCAAGAAGACAAGTGCAGAAGCTTCCGCTCCATTATGGAAGCGATTTGGCATGCTGTTGCGCCTAGGGGGCAGCCGTGTGTAATGCTAAGCAACTAGACCCAAACACCCCTACCTAGGCCGAGGATCTGGCTGCGCTGCCTCACTGCAAGACAAATCAGATTTGTGTACGCAGATCCGGCATCAGAAACTTCGTTTTGATATGGGGAGGGGGGATTTTTCCTTTTGATAGTCAAGTATGATTGACAACAACGAGTTGACGTTCCAAGCGGCGATGGAGGGCTTGGTGCGGAAGAAAACGCTGAGCCCGCAGGAGAAGCAGCGTTATTTCCGCGAGACGCTGCGGCCCTTCTTCGAGCGGCGCGCCCAGCGGATCCCGAACCACCCACTTTCGATCCTCAACGAACGCGAATTCCTGAAACTGCTGGAGCAGGTGGTGTCTGGTGGCGGGGGGAATGCGAATGATAATTCTAGCGGTTCTTTCGCACCAGCATCAGCAGGAGCTGCTGCCAGCAGTACAACGACCATCTCTATCGAGGAAGAGGAGCTTTTGTTGGGAAGATTTAAAACCATCGCCGCCAGCGAAGCTTCGCTGGCCCCCGTCCACAACCCGGGGGTGACTCTGGAGGAGTTCGCGGACATAATGTTGTGGTTTGTCGCGTACAAAGCGGAAGTAGCCGAGAAGAAGGCGCTGTTCTTGAAGAAACGGGGTGGGTCCTCTCTGACGCGGGACGACCTTCTAGCGTCGGGGGTTCATTTTCCCAGCGCGTCGTTCCCAAGTACTGCCGACGGGGGGAAAAGCAGTGTTGACAGGAAGATGGTCGATCGGGCACTGTTGGTTGGCTCATCTGGCGATGTTGAGACGAATGCGGCGATCGACGGCTTTGTGGCCTTTCCAGGGACATTACCCGCGGGGGCAACCCCACCCCGCGCGGAGGGCGAAGCTGCGCTGCCGGTTATTTCGGAGGGGGAAGCTGCGCCGGCCATTGCGGAAGGCGAAGATATTACCGGAGGCAGGATGAATCGCTTCCCGGTGATTCCCATCAATGAGGGGATGTCACTCCACAGCTCCGTGCATTCCGCCATGCCTTCGGAATACCCCTCGCACGCCATGGGGGCCGGCGGGAAGGAGTCCGACGACGAGGTTCCGGAGGATCTGCGTCACCTCCCCTACGCGCTGCAGCAGCGGGCGCTGAAGCAGCGCGCCGCTTGGATGATCTTGGTGGGCGTGGTGTCGATCACGATCTTTGCGGAGGGGTATCCAAGAAGAAAACATTGTAGGTGTAACTTTTTTGGGGGAACAGCATTACAAATTTGTCTGGCATGACAGCAAAAACCTGTCATGCGCAGATAGTACGTGAAAACGCCCTTTAATGGGCCCTGCGATGCATGCCAAGCATGACAAGGTGCAATCATCTTGCATGTTGAGCATCACAAATTTACACTAACAACGTTTTTTTCATCTTGGATAAGGGGGCGACGGAGATGATTGTGTACACGGGCGACTTGTTGCGCGTTCCCACCTTCGCCGTCGCCTTCTTTCTCGGCTATCAAGGAACAAAAGTGTGTAAGTGTAACTTTCTTGGAGGAACAGCATGACAAATTTGCTCTGCATGACAGAGCTAACCTCTCATGCGTAGCTAGCACGTGAAAACCAAAACACTTACGAGAAGAACCCCTAATGCGTGTCCAGCATGACAAGTGTAGGCGTCTTGCATCCTGTGCAACACAAAACTTTCACTTTCACTTTACACTATCGCAGTTTTTTTCTTGCATATCGGCCCGCTGGCGACCAATGCGGGGGAGTTTTTCGCCGCCGTGCAGATTGGGAAGCTGAAAACCGAGGTGTCCACCAGCGTTTCGGTTTGTTCCTTGCTGGGCGCGGCGGTGTTCAACAACACTTTGGTTCTCGCGGTCTTGTACTTCCTGTGCTGGCGCCAGGGGCTCATGTTTTGCTTCCTCTCCCAAACCTGCTGCCTGCTCGTGTGCACCTGGGGGGTGAGCCTCCTGTTACTGGTCTTCTCCGTTAACGGCGCCGTGCGGGAAGACGGAGATAACATTGCTGAAGCGCCCACGACCTCCAAAGTAGATGCTGACAGAAGTGCAAGCAGTACTACGGCAAACACGACCGGGACGACGAGACGCTCCCCGCGGGCGCAGCTGCCAGCGTCGGAAAACAAAAGTCCGGCGGCTTCTCCCGACACGCCTGCGCGGGACCTCCAGTTATCCGCCAGGGCGTTCTACGATCCGGCGTCGATGAAGGAGGGCCACAGTGCGAAGTTGGAAGCGGCGGAGAAGGAAAAGAAAGACTTGTGGTGGCAAGAGCACGTGATCATCAAGACCCCTGCCGCGTACACGATTTTCTGCATCTTTTTGCTCTCGTTCTGCACCTACCTCGTCTGCCACAGGTACGTTTTCCCCTGGGAGGCGGTGTGGTCCAAGGGCTACAACTTTTTTCCCAACAGCAAAAAACTGAAAGAAATGCTGAAAAAAGAAGAAAAAGGCATGAAAAGATTCCAAGAAGATGAGAGCGGCCGGAACGACGCACGTCGACGCCAGAGGTCGGGAGCGGCAGCGAACGCGGACTTAATGGGTGCTCACGATCCTGCAGGAGCGTTTCTGGAAGGACAAGAAAACCTCCTTCGTCCACTTCCAGCAGAACAAGATACGACGAACATCTTTTCGTTCTTTGAACAGGCGCAGACGATGCTGAAGAGCGTTTTCAGTTCGAATGGTGAGTTAGATCTACAATTACCGGACGAGTGGCAGGACAAGAAACCTTTGGACGCCGTCGAGGTCAGCACGGGAACTGATTCAAAATTTCCTGCTCACGGAGATCAATTAGAAGCAACCCGAGTACTTTCTGCCTCGCCAAGCTTTGCAAGTAGCTCCAGTCGTGGAATCATGGGAGGCCACGAAGGTACTAGAACAAGCATGACCTACTTCGACCAGATGCAGCACAATTTGATTGCTGAGCCGCTGCTGTACTTGTTCCTCGCTTTGGTCGCGTTGACAGTGATGGCACTGCCGGTGGCGATTTACTACTGGAAGTCAGGACCAAAAGTGGAGGTTTGTGTCACCGCAAAGAACTTCAGGATAGACGAGAGTTCTAACGACACCGGATCAGTAACAAACACGACTAGCGGTAGTTCTAGTTCAATGTCCACTACTAGTCCAAGATCCGCACCATCACGAGACATGACGGCTGGGCTGGAAACTAAGAAGGAGACAAAATCCAGTGGGGACGCGAATTATGCCGGGAAGAAGTTGGCAAGTAGTGTTGGGAGCTTGGCAACTTGATAAAGATAGTAGTACTAATACGAAATAAAACAAAAATTGATCTAGAAAGTAGCCGATTTTATCATATTTCACACTATTGTTCTATGCTATTCATGGATATTGCAAAAGATGACCTACTATGTTCTTGAGAGAAGGGATTTTCTTGAATGCCGTGTGCGTTGCTTGGCTGTCCTTTCAGAGCTTTAGTTTTGTTTATCGAGTGTAGAAGAATTCTCTTCAGAGACAGGTTGTGAAAACTGCCGGAATTCTGTGCCCGATTCTCGTAATTCATTCATTACCACGGAAAAACTAAAACAGTCACTGAATTATTTTGTACCGATAAAACAAAAACTGTACATACAAATGAACAATAAGAGCTCGCGTTAGGGAGGAAAACCGGGCGGAACGTGGTGAATCTTTAAAATTTTTCGCGCCTTCTCATCCGCCCCGGGCCCATCCTCATTCTGGCCCCCCTCCTTTCCGAGCTGGCTACTTGCCCCTCAGATATTACAGGGCGGGCATAGTACTCTTTGCGCCGCCTCCCTTCGTCCCCCTCCCCTTCAGCAGGCGGGGCGCCCATCCTAGGAACGGCCGAGTGCAACTCCGCGGCCCGGCTTTTTTGTCCCTATGGAGGCGGCATGCACCGCGAACGCAGCGCCGGGGCGCAAGTTATGCCGCAGCCCCCAAAGCAGCACGCCACAAAATGCCTGGAATGGCCGCCCGGCCTTCCGCGCCAGTAACCGTGGGGTGGCGGGCGCGCGCAAATTCATGGGCGGCCCCCGGGGCAAGGAGCCCCAAGGGCTCGGCAGCCGTTGGCCGTGTGCCAAGGGGGCAGGCCGCCGCGCAGAAAATACCATCGTGGGCGGCCCCCATAGATGCTTGCATTGCGCGGGGCCTCCGGAGGGCCCGATGGCGGCCGGGCCGCGGAGGACTCCCGAAGGGCCCCGATCGGGGTCATTTCTGGGGCCCAATATTTTTCCCAGATTTTTCCCAGATTTGAACCCGATGCGGCCAGATTTACAGCGGTACGACGTCAAAGATTTTCGCCAGATTTTGCCCAGATTCGCCCCCCGGATGGGGTCGAATCTGGGGCCCGATCTGGGCGAAATCTGGACGCCGGACATTTTCGCAAGATTTGGCCCCGACGCGGCCAGATTTACAGCGGTGCGACGTCAAAGATTTGCGCCAGATTTGCCCCGGGCCCGGGGCCAACACACTCCGGCGAACCCATGTCGGGTTCGCAGGCTGGCCCGCGCTGCGCCCCCCGGGCCAATCTGTGAGTATTCGGCTTCGGCGACGACTTGGCCGCCCCAACTCAAGGAAGCTCGCGCGAGCGGACACGCGAAATGGTTTGTCGCTCTCTCCCGCCGAGCCCGCCCCAGACCGCTCGGCCCTTTCCTCCGCTTCCAAATGAAGTAGTTGCCTGTGGGGCCCGGCGACGAGGAGGCCAGACCGGTGCCCCCCATTCATTCGCCACCGCCCCCCTGCGCCCCCTATTACGGATCACGCGCGCCGTCAGAAAGCAAGGGCGCAGGGCGCACACGGTGTGATGCTGTGAAGCCCCGCATACTGTAAGAGCTTGCGCGGCCTGTTCGGCCGGCCGAATGAGAATTCCAGAAAAATTTTAAAGATTCACCACGTTCCGCCCGGTTTTCCTCCCTAATCGCGCTCCCTACCGCTAATTGGTAACGGCAGGACTGATGGCTCGCAAATTTTTTACAGGTCTGTAGCGGACTGTGCCTTCGTGTCTGGTGTCTATCGCTTTTCAAGCTCCAATGAATTTCTGGGTGGACGAACATATTAGAAACGAAGGGACGAGCACGAGAGTGATTCAGTACAGAGAATGTACTATGAAGAGCGAGAGGACGCGAGCGATCAGTGAGAGAGACCAGTTCTTGAGCGCACGAACAAAAGTGACAATGAAAAGATGCTTTTGACGAGTGACAAGCAAACGAGAATAGCGAGAAAATATTTTGTTGTTGCGCAGACTTAGTGCGTTTTTTCGTCTTGAGGCAGCTGAGTTTGTCGTAGCTTATTTTCTCGTGTGAAGACAAATGACTTTCAGTTTCAAACCGAGACTCAAACTTCTGCAGCATCGAGGAAAAATTATGGAAGCTTCGCGTCCTCGAATCAGACTCAGCCTGTGTATTCATTTTCCCATCCCCATACACCTGGAGCACGGCAACCCTCGTGCAGTTTGAATTCACTTACCCCGTTGCATTTGCATGCACATAACAACTCAATCACCGCTTTAGAAGAGAAAGAGAAGGAGGAAAACACCTGCACGTACGAAAAGTTGCATTTGAGCTTCGGGACAAGGACGGCCATGTTCACTCGCCGAAGCATCGAAGCAAGAGCAGCGAGATAATGACGCAACCGCCCGGAGGAGGGGAGGACGGCGGCGGGGGCGGGTCGAGCTTCTCGGGAGGACCGCTCACAGGAGCGTCCGCCGCCTCGTCGTCCTCGAGAGTTACGATAAACAGGACGGATCACGATAGAGACGACTACGGCTTGAGAATTATGACGACTGGTTGCAGCAGCAGCAGCAGTCCTGGTAGAAGTGCTACTTCCTCCTCCGGCGCTTCTCATCGCAGAAGACGCGACCTTGTTTTCGGGCGGAAGAACAAAAGACCACCGACCCCGACAACATCTCGTCCAAATGCCTCTGCACTGTCGCCTTCATCCGGAACAACAGTTTTGCAACAAAATTTAGCGACCATTCATCCCAGGTGGAGAAAAACCTCACAACAGAAAACTAGTACAATAATGTCCTCGTCTGCCAAGGTGAAGCGGAAACGGCGGCGCTTACTGGCAGTAAATCCATTATTTCGCCGACCCACTACAGCCGGCGCGTTTTTTCTTCTCGGCGCTGCTACGTCTGGTGGAGTGTATGGTTTAGATGAGAAGATGGCGAGATGGCTGGAGGATAACATCGCAACGCCGGTCTTGAATGGCGAAAAGAACGGAGACATCATTTCACCAGAGGAATTTGAAAAGAGACGAAGACTGCAAGATGAAAAAAGCGGCGATAATCTTCCGAGTACGGGCTTACTCGCATCAACTTCATCGTCATCGAAAGCGGCCAGTAGGATGTTTCGCGCCGGCGATGCAGTAGATGAACAAGATGCGGAGGAAGAAGAGCTCGAGAGGCACCAATTCCTTCCCCTCGGTATGGCTCCGGACACCCCGCCCGACCGGGTCGCTGACGCCAGGCGCTATTTAGTCATGGAAGCGGAGCGGGAGCGCACCGGTTGGAAATACGCGGAAGAGTGGAGCAAGTACAGTGGGAAGGAAAGAACGAAGGCATTGTCATCATCATTTTCGAGGACGTCCTCGCGAGCCTTAGCAGCGACCGATGATGAACATCAAATAAACGCCGAGAAGAACAACGTGATGAAACACGCCTACGGTCACTCCGCCGTGACGAAAAACGTGCAATTTTTCACCGAATCCGACCAGTGGAAGCCAGATTCGCTGCACAACCGCGCGGTGCATGCGCAGCAGCGGAATTTGCTGCACGCAGACAACCCAAACTTTCCCAAAGCGCTGACACGGGGGGAAAAACCAATGATAATAACGCCAACCACGGACTACGAGCGACTGGTTCAACACGAACAGGGCAAGAAAAAGCCGTCCAAATTTTTCCTGCACGATCACAGCGAGAAGTCGGTGGGCGCCCGGAAACTGAGGAAATTGGCGGAGCAGAGGCATCGGGAACATTTATCTTCCGTCGACAACTACTTGACGAAAGAGGATCCGAAACTGGTCAGCTTGTGGGAAAAGAAAAAGAGCAACTACAATCCATTCACGGCGGAGGAGAGCCATTTGAGGAGAACGTCGGAGTTGGAGGCACAGTCCGTTCGGAAGAACTCCGAGCACCAGGTTGATGATCCTTGCGCAGGAGCAGCAGAGAGGGAGCAACAAGTAGATTTCGAATCCGACAAGCTCCTCCTGGATAAAAAGCACGCGGATCAGCATGCAAGGAAAAGGTTAAGGCAATTAAAAGCGTCAACCGCTTTCCTGGAAGGGGGGTACAAGGCGGTGGAAGAAGACCTGCAGTCGCTCCCGCTCGACGAGCAGGCGAATTTCCGGGCGAACCTGCAGGAGTTGGAGGACATAGCGGAGGAGTTGGAAGAGAATAACGTGCTGCACGAGATCTCTGACAACGACGGCGAGCACAACTTCGAATCCGTTGGTCTAAACGGGAAGAACGAGCTGTCCGTCATCGAAAACAGCGAGGAGGAGCAGAAGATGCAGATTGTCCGGGATCTCCGCCGAGCTCTCAAGGACCAAAGAGCGGGCATGAAAGTAGTGGACGTCGTGGCGAGGTTGCGGAAAAAACACGAAAACCGGAGGAGAAGAAGGCTAGAGGAGATAGAGCAGAACCAAATTTTGAAAATTAATGCCGGGGACAAAAATAAATCGTCGAATGCTGGGATGAAGTGCAGTGCAGAAGGCAGCAAAGGAGCAAGCAGTTTGTCTGCAGAGAAGGACCACATCCGCAACCTAGTGGCCGCGGCCAAGGACGCCGACTTGGCGCAGCAAGATGAATTCCACAAAAGGTCTCTCTCCTCGCACGTCACCGGCACCTTCTTTGTCGTCCAACCACGAGCGATCGCTGGGTTTTACGACGGGAGAGACGAGTATTGCAAGCAGTGGACGGAATCCCCGCCGGTCGTTTCCCGGCTGAATCCCCAGTTCCCCCGCGACGGGACGGGCATTATGGAGCAGCAGAACAAGGCGTGCGGCGTCGGCATCATCAACTACTTTTTCACCATATCAAATGCAAAAATGTCTGGGTCTGGAAACTTGTGATGCTAAAAGTGGATGATAGCCGGACTGCAATAGGCAGCAAAGCATGACAAATTTTTGAGCTGCTATGTGTTGCGTATTCCGCATGAGAAACTGCCTAGGGCCAAGACGACACCGTGAGGACGACCACAGGGGTCCGTCTCAATGAAATGAAAATGACAGATAGGAGATGCTTTTCGTGCTCATGCATCACAGATTCTCGAGTCATGTCAGACATGCATGACAAATGTAAGAATCTTCCAGACCCAGACATTTTTGCATTTGATACACCACGTCGGACGTCGATACCTACGCGTCGAACCCCTCGATCCAGCAAGTTGTCTCCATCACGTTAAAGTGGGCCACGTTCGTGATATCCGAGACGTGTGAGAACCTGCTCGACGCGTCTGGTGGATTGGCCATTGCCTCCTGCCGCTTCCAGGCGAACGAGGCAAAGTTCTTCTTGTCGCAGGGCTTGAAGAAGAACACGGCTTACACCCTCGCCGTGCGGCACTACAACCCGGAAACCATCGTGAGGGCGAACGTAGCGAATGCCGCGGGTTTGAACGCGGTGGCTGCGACGTTGGATTCGAGAGGGTTCGTGATCAACACGGGGGCGCAGACGGAAGTGCTACGAATCGGTGAGCCGAACGACCCCGGGGCGATCAACGTCAGGCAGTACGAGCGAATCGACGTCAGGAAGGGGTCGCTAGCAGGTATGCCTAGATTGTCGCTGGTGTTGCCGTTTTTTAATGGATATAATCATATTCTCTAATGTGTTTAGTTCGTGTTTCTCTGTATGTGAACTGATTTGGTTGGTTTTGCTAGAAAAAAACAAACCCTCTTCTTCTGCATCTTGCATAAGTAGAAAAAGACGAAAAAGCAGCAGCAACATACATTCATGACACGTGTCAGGTGTGAACATCACGAACCCGGACATTGCGACCGCGGTTCGCGGGCTGGTGGTCCCGGCGTCTCTCCACTTCTCGCACCAGTACCTCGCCGTGGAGAACACGTTTTCGCTCATCGTGAAGTTCCACCAGGGCGACAACATCGAGCAGCCCACGCAGCCACAATATCCTGTGTAAAAACGTCCCCGCCCCATAGTCAAGATGGCGAATCGGCTAGACAAATCCACACGTTTTGGCTGTCTTGCATGACGCCGATTATATATACCTGGTCCTAGATAGATCCGGTGCTCGCCGGGCTTGCGATCTCCCTTTCCACCCACCTGGAGCTACCTGCGACGACGCGGCTATCATGTGCATTACTCTCAATTGGACTGTGGCCTTCCGTGGCATCCTTGGGTCTGACTTCTCCCTCCTCGTCCGAATATTCACACTCGCCATGGCGTGTATGAATATGCCTGCGGTTCTGTTCCCCCTGCGCCGCTTTGCATGTTCTGGTGTGGTTTGCTGGCCTCATTGCATGTTCTTGTTTTTGTATGTTGGCCCTATGCTTGTTGCTTTGGCCGTGTGGTGGCCCCTATATCTCGTATGCCGTTGCTAATGACCGATGCCACCAGTCATAGTCCAATTGAAGCCTTTTACGCGTCTCGGGTTTTTGCCTACGCCATACCCTAAGTCGGGCGAGTCTGCGGCTGGTCGCTCCGTACCTGTCTTCAAGTCGTCCCGGGGCACGTGCTGAGACTCTCCGCTGCGTCTCACGACTGAGCCGCCCGGTCCGTAGCTGCAGAAGGACCGTTCGCACCCTCAAACCAGCCTCACCAGCGCACGATTGGAATCTGGCAGTTGCCCTTCAAGCCCTGGCGCTAGGGCGATTCCGACAGCTTGACACCCCCGACCGCCGGGAGCCAGATTTTGTGCTTGGAGAGTCAACACGCTTTTTCTACGACCACGCAGCGCTAGCACCACAGTACCACTTCCGGGCTCCCGCAGTTGTCCCTCAGCCTCCCGATGCCTGGTGGCAGAATGCGTCGCTGTGGCTACCCGGCTATGGATGCTGGTGAATTGCCTTCCTGTGTTCTGGTTCGGACTAAACGTTGCTGCTGAGGAGGGACCGGCCTGAAATTTCGCCTGCCTTGGATTCTTTGCGCGGTTCCTGTCATTGCTACTCACTAATTTGTCACAAACGAATATTCCTCTTTGCCAAATGCCACCGCCCTAAAAAAAAAAAAAAAAATAGGTGAGAAAATCAATAAAGGATATCTAGTCGAACCAGCGGGAGCGTGTCCCGGAGCTGCAGGGATGCTAACAATGACCTCGAATACAAATTCTGAGCCTGATTATACCCTCTACGGTCCGGCTTTTCCGTCGCTGTTGGTTCTTCTATGTGCCTTCAGAGGACTGGCTGGACCTATACTACCTTACTGCAGCTTCCAGGGCCGTCCTTGTTTTTCTGTTGCGGGAGGTGCCTGGTCCAGCTGGTACAATTCGTGGGTTCATGAGGTCGATTTGAGGTAGTTGTTACGTGTGGTTGGTCTTTCGGTTCTGCCTGAGTATTTCCTTTTCAGTCAAATATTTAGTCTTCTGAACTTCGACTTCTTATCCTTATTTCTCGCCTATTTATTGGATGAAGCTAAACAGCGCCTCTGACTTATTAATGTTTTTGGCGTATGTGACTCATCCATATATCAATGTGAAGGTCTTGTCGCAGGAGTCTGCATTTTTGTTGCTGTGCTCCTGGTTTTGGCTTTCTATATGTTTAGCGAGTTGGAATTGTTGGCTAAGGTTGGCGTAATTTGGCAAAGTGGGATATGTTGGTGTGAAGTGTGTTGGAATCGTGGCCGGGAGATGATGGTGATGGCACTTCGGTGTCCGCCTGACCTACCTTCCCTGCGTGACAGCCATCTGCGGCTGTTTACAAAGGGGGAGGCAAAGTGTGCCGCACTTCTGTTTAGCATGACAAATTTGGATTCGTAGTGTAGTGCTGTTTGAGCTAGCCCAGCAGCATCACGGATCTAGTTCATCATGCTGATTGGTGGAGGACAAATTGCAAAACGCGACGTGATCATGCTTCTCGTACGTGGGGCTCCGCATGAGAAACATTTTCAGCATGCAGATTTGCATTACAGCTATGGGTTGGGGACGTTTTTAAATACGATGCACAACCCTTGCAGTTCATCAAGCACAACGCGAAGCACCCGGCGGCGGACACCGAAAACGCACAGCAGCAATTGAACATTCAGTGGGAATGGGACGACGTGCTCGTCAACCTCGGGTCCGGGGGGACGCCGGCCGGAAACCGCCCCAACCAAAACATCCGCGGGTATGTGAACGGCTTTTCGTGGCGACCGTCCGCGGAGTACGATTCCCGGCAGGGAACCACGGGTATCCTGTTCACGTTCGGCTTCCGGTTCTACGGGACGCTGCGGGCGCCGCAGGGACGGGCGATCTTTTTATCGCAACCGAGTCACGTGTGGGAGGTCGCGACCTTGTCAACGGATGGGGGCGCGACGGAGTGCGTCGGGGTGCAGTACAACCCGGGCGTGGGGCTCAAGTGCAACACGTTCAAGTACCCGGGGTACCAGGGGAATAACTTCGCCAACGGGATTTTCTTCTTCTACGACAGCGCCGCCACGGTTGCGATCGACACGAAGATCTCCCTAAGGCTGAACAACCCGAACGTGGCGGTCAACATGTTCTGGCTGGCGTATTCCTACCAGTACATGAACGGAATTATGCGGGCGCCGTTCACCATGGAATTAGACAAGCCGATCGCGTATCAACTGCAAATATGTCTGGGTCTGGAAAAGTTGGAATCTGTATTGCGTGTTTTGCACTCCTGTAAAATCTGCATTGCGTGACCGACAAAAGCGGGAATACTTTGTCATGCAAAAACGTAGTTTCTCATGCGCATTTCACATGAGGAAGCGTCCTGAAAATTTGTCATGCTTGGCTGCGCTCAGGAGTACGCTCAGTCATCGCAACTTAGCATCACAAGTTTCCAGACCCAGACATATATGCAATGCATATCGCGACGCAGGGGTACGGCAGTGGGGACGTGATCTCCACGACCTCCTTGGCGGTCAACGAAAAGAACAAGGTGACGCTGCTCTTCCGCCCGGGAAATACGGTGATTCCGATGTCCTCGGTTTTAATTTCAGGCTATCTCGTGATACTGCCGCCGACCGGCTTCCAAGTGGATAGGACGGGTACGGGATTTTTTATTGTTTCATTTGCTGGAATTACAATTATGAATTAGAATTGTCGTCTTTGTTGTATGTAGTGAGGTCACCGAACGGTTCTAACCGGGGAGTTTTTTTGCCATCCAGCCAGCAAAACGCCCGGCAGTTTCCAAGCGGCCGGAGGGCTTTTTGCACAAAAAAAAATTTCAATTATCAAGCGGCTCTGGCTATGTCGGCACCGAATCGCCAGCGGATTCTATCGATCGCCGCTTGGTAAAACGACGCAGAGAAGCCAGCAAAAGGGGCGCCCTTCTGAGGCGCCCGGCGCACCTAATTCCGCCGATTTGGGGCGCCCAAAAAGGAGCGCGAAAAAAACGCGCCCAAAATCAGAACAGCGAAACAGCATGGCACGGCCGCGATTTCGCAGCATTTTGGGCTTCCGCGAAAGCGGCCGCATTTTCGCCGGTTTCAGAGCCTGGGAAGCTTTGCAAAAAGCGCCGGCTAGAAAAATAAAAACGCAGAAAAGCAAAAGCGCGCCAGACACGCAAAGCCAATCCGCATGCTATGGGCCCGATTTTTCTTCGCTTTTTGGTCGCCCCCCGTGGCACCCGGATCGGCCCCATAACATGGGGGCTGGCTTTCGGAAAGGAACATCGGGAATTTGCCGAAATTTGCGACGTTTATCAAGCGGCCGCCATACCGTGCGGCCTAACGTTACTCACGGCGGTGTGGCGAGCCCAGAAAAAGCAACGCCGCGGCCAAGGCGACGGCCGGCAAGAAAACGCCCACGACCTCACTACCTCCGCCCCGGCGGCTATATTTGGTAATGATCGTTTTCATACGAGAACTCGTTCTTGTACTAGGCACATGCATGCTGCAACGAAATATTAAGCGAAATGGTGTCCATCTCCTAAACTGTCAAATACAAAACTCAGCCGCCCCCTCTTCTGTCGCGGGCTACAATACCCTTCCGTGTTCCGAGTGGCCCGATGCGGACCAGCAGCAGAACCGGTGGCTGTGCAACCTTCGGGACATGGCCCTCTTTCGGGATGCGCAGTATGCCGTGCAATTGGGCGTGATCAACCCGCCACAGCCCATGATCAACACGGCGTGGCGGGTGGAGGTGTGGCAACTGGACAGGTCAAAGCCGCTTGCGACTACCCGGGAAATCCGAGGCATTTCCATCTCCGGCACCATGGTCGCGTCGTTTGAGCCGTTTAATCAGGTGCTCGGGAACACCAACAAGATCACGTTCAAGTTCCAACCCTCCCGAGATGTCACTATCGCCGCCAACGCAACCTTCGCCATCACGGCGCCCGCCGGGTTCCAAATCAGCAAACGGTGCGCGGGCTTTGAGCGAGGAACCTTGCCGGCCGACACGGTGTGCAAGGGCACCGATGACGTCGAGGCGCGGCTGCGGTTCCCGGGGCAGAACGCGATCAAGGGCGGGGAGCTGTACGAGTTCAAATTGGACGTGATCAACCCGAGCCAAAACTTGCTGAACACGCCAAACGTGTGGCGGTTCGACACGGTGCGCCCGGACGGCATTGTGAGCGATACGACGAACTATCCAGGTATAAGAAATTTTTTGCATTGAAGATTCATCTTGAGATCATGATGTTCATGGGTTGCTAAATAAAGCGCAAGCATGATGATATCAGATCACAAGCCTTTTTGTACGTGCATAGAGAAGAATGGAGCGCAGCAGGCACGTGCTTATAGAACCTCTACTTGCAGCCAATAAAACTTCCACCAGGTTTTTTTCTGTACCCCTCCGAGTTCGCCTCGTTTACCGTCGTCCCCAGCAGCCGGTTAGCCGGGGTGACCAGATTAGACGTTCGCTTTGTTTCAAAGGTGGGGATCGCCACCGGCTCTTACATCCGAATTATGGCCCCGATCGGGATCAAGTGGCACCGAACGAATCCAGCGTTTTCCACCGCCTCCTCCGTCACCGGGACGAATTCCATGTCCACGGAAAGTCCAGTGATTGGCTCCAGCTCCGCGACGGACAACACGTTGGATAACATGCTCCTACTCCGGTTAACGCAAAACCTGTTTGCGGACTTCGAGTACGGTGTGGCGCACAACATCCTTGTCCCAGCTCTCACGCCGATCCCGAACCGGTACTGGATTGACACGTATGTGGAGACCGGCGACCCGACGGCCGGGGACTTCGACTACATTGCCAGTCTCGGCGCGCCAGGGTTCCGGACGCAGGCGCTGTTTAATACAGAGGTGATATCAAATGTAACAATGTCTGGGTCTGGAAGATTCCGGGATTTGTCATGCTAGTCCGGCATGACTCTGAGCTCTGTATTGCGTGGCCGCAAACGGCTTCTCTTGCCTGTCATGCAAAAACGCAGCTTCTCATGCGGAGTACGCAACTCTGAACCTAACCACGGAAAGACTTGTCATGCTTGGCAGTGCATTTTTACAGTATGCGCATTTTTCCCTGACTGGCATCACAAGTTTCCAGACCCAGACATTTTTGCACTTGATAGGTGAATGCGTACAACAACGTGGAACTCGCTTGGAACAACCCGACGACCATACAGTTCGAGACCACGACCGCGGTGACGTCGATCTTGTCCGAACAGGGCACGGTGTTGAAGCAGGCCGAGCTGTACATCCAGGCCCCCCCGGGGTTCACTTTCATCTGCCCCACCGGCGGGTGGAACCCACCCACGCAGGTCATTCCGGACGGGTTCACGAAACTGCCCACGGACGCGGAGTGTTACATCAACCACCAGGTAGCGGAGGAGCGGCGCGTGGTGCACATTTTGTTCAAGACGGTTGGTTTGGCCATGAACACGAAGTACATCTTCTTGGTGGAAATCGTGAACGCCGCGAGTGTGAACCCGACGACCAACAAGTTCGTCCTGGAGTCCCGGTTTGACAATGTGAAAGTCGAGGGAATCACGATCGACGGCTACGATTTGGCGAAGCCGATGGCGAACACCCGGTACGCCGCGGCGGGCATGTTGGACACGGGCGAGGACAGAACGGTCGACGCCTACGACAACCAAGTTTCTTTTGTCATGGGCGTCACGCAAAGGATGATCGCGAGCAGTGTGGTGGAGGTACTCAATAGAATCAACGCATAGCGTTGTATGATTTTTTTCTGCTAGTAGTACTAGTAGATCTACGCTATCTTCAGGACACCCATGACGCGGCAGATTGATGTGATGTGTGTGTCGGTTTCTTCTCTCTATTCACCCCATGGAAGTATCGTTGGGATGTTGGTGCTGAATTCATTGTACTGAACAGTGGAGCTGAGTTATTTTCAGATCGCTGATGAAATGACAGTAATTGCAACTCAACATCAAAATGTGATTCAAAAGGTCGGCGGCCCGACCGGTTTCCTGTTTTCCCCGCGTTGCATCGGGCACGTGGGGTGGGCCCAGAAGTTCGCCTCTGCCGAGACGCTGGTTTTCCCCGACGTGACGGAGTGCGTCTCAATGGCCGCGACCACCGGCGAGGGAAACAAGATCCGGATCACGGTGGCGACCGCCATGGAGATCGGAGCCTATCCGTTCTTCGTGAAGGTGCAAAACCCGAATTTCAACATTCCCACGGAAAAAAACTACTGGACGATCCGAATCTACGAACCGGGAAGCAGCGTCGCCACCATGGCAGAGGCCTGGGTGGTCGGGTTCGATATTCAGGTATGGTTAGTTTGTAGAGTGAAGAATGGTGGACGAGGTCTTCTTCAGTATTCGGTTTTTGCTTTGTTATCGCGTTTGAAATGCAATTTCATTTTGTGTGTTGTGATGCAGTCGGTCGGAATCAATATCAATTGTATGCAAAATAAAAATATCTAGTGCCTATGTACTTATCATTTACAGGTCGTGAAAGACGTGGAGGTGTTCCCCTACAACCCGGGCAACGGCATTCCCGGCGAGGCCGCCCCGAACCCGCTGGACATTCGGTTTAAGCTGACCACGCGATTACCCTCGGTCTCCGAAGAAGCTAATGGAGCGCTGATATTGGTCGTGCCGCCGTTCGGGTTTCACTTCCCAAGTGTGTGCCGCACCTTCATGACGGACCCATACGCGGGGGATGCGACGAGCCCGTACATGGCTATTCCGTCCACGACAATTTGCAATCCGCCGGACTTGTACACGCCGGAACTGATTAATCTTTACTACAGGCTGGGACACCCGAACTTCTACCTGGAATTCGGACAGACGGAAACGGCGGTATAGAACAGCTACAATGATGAATACCAGCTTTTTTGTTATTCGTTTCGCGAGGTGGAGGTGAATGAAGATCGGAAGTGGTTCATCTGTCACGGCACTTACTCACAATGAACTAGCCGTGCTCTACTTGTTGATAGAAAATGCCTGCTTTCTTCATTCAACATTCATATATGCAACAATCGGTGAACAATCTGCATATCAAAAGTTTCAACGATCGGCTACAGATTTCCGACGACATCCGTTGGGAGATTTATTTCCGGGAGGAACCTCCAGGCACGATTACGCGGATGTTCCGGGTGCGATCTGTGCCTGCCGGCGGGCCAGCGTACGCCAGATTAGTCCGCGCAGGGTACATCTTGGAGTCGATGACCTGCTTCCCCGAGGCCACGGGGGCGAACGGGGTGACCAGGCAAGAGGACTGTCTGAACGCGGGGAAAAATTTCGCCGCCCTTGTGGAATCGAACTGCGGAACGATCGACGGACAGGTTGCGCTGGGCGCGACGCCGGCGATTCACGAGGCCTTTCTGAACAAGTTCGCGGATCGGGAAGTCGCGTTGGACCAAATTTCGGACTGCATCGCGCAGAAGGTGTGGAAGATCCACTTCGACGAGTTGTTGGTCCCCGTGGAGATGCGGCTCTCCGGCCCGGCACTGATTTTGAAGTTGGGAGAAAACACCCACATGGTGGCGGAGCAGCTGTACGCCTTCCGCGTGATGGTAGAGAACCCGATGCAGACCTTCGACAACGTGCACGATTTAACCCGGTGGTGGACCATTGAGACCCGCACGATGCCGAAGCCCAGCGTAAACAAGCGGTCGCAGATCAAGGACCGATTGGACTTGAATTACAAGGTGCACAGTTTCGCGGTGTACCCCAGGATCTCGTTGTTTCAGCTCCAAACCTTGAACTACATTGGGCAAAGCGAGACCGATGTGAAAATCTCCTTCGACATCATTTCTGATTTAGCCCCGCAAGCGACCATTCTCATCACCGCCCCCACGGAGTTCCAGTTCCGCGTTTGGCGGGGCGAGAACTCGCTGACTTTCGGCGACCCACCGTTGCCCAGCTACCCCTGGAACCCGCCACGCGATGGGTCGACCGGCCTGTTTTTGAACGTTTTACCGGACGGCACGGCGCACAGGCCCTGCATCTCGCCGTCGATAAGTGCGGCGGACTACCAGGTGATGGACCAGTTGTTCCCCAGGAGTGCGATCAAGGACATCACGCGGTTGCCCGAGTACGTGTCGTGTGTCGTGATCAATGCGTACCAAATTATGATCACCAACACGGAGCCCGTTCGTGGCGGCCGGACTTTGATGGCCGGACCGGTGTATGAGTTTCTGATTGATGAAGTAGTGAACCCGCCGCGCACACCCTTCACCGCTTCAAACCTGTGGCGGATCGTTGCGAATACCACTACCGCGCTCGGGCAGGAGGTGTGGGCGACGTATCCTGAGTAAAAACATCCCCACCCCATAGTCAAGATGGGGAATCTGCTAGACAAATCAACAAGCTTAGGTTGTTGCGCATGACAAATTTGGGCTCCTAGTGTAATGCTGTCTACGTCGTCCAGCAGCATCACAAATCTAGCCTATAATGCTGATAGATTGGAGCATTACAAATTCCAAAACACGACTTGGAAATGCTTCCCATGGGTCTCCGCATGAGAAACATTTTGAGCATGCAAATTTGCATGACAGCTATGTGCTGGGGACGTTTTTACATAGGATACGACAGAGGGGTGGGTCATCTTTCCGGAATTGGCCATCACGCGAATCTCCAGCGACAACCCGGCCAATGGGCTGTTTACGACGTTCACGATTCAAGTCGGAGTGTTGACCACAGTCCCCGGCCAGGGATCGATTCTGCTTCGCGCCCCGCGGGACGACTTTTACTTCGGGCCACGACTGGCGTTTGACGGACCGCCGCCGGATCTGCTGAACCCGATCCCCCGCGCGTCTGGGGGCAGCCCGCCGAGGCCGGCGAAGGGCGGCCCGGACCTGCCCTGCACCATCGAGGCGCCGCAGCCGCAAGGGAATCTGCAGTTTATCTGCCCGATAACCAAGACGCCCTGCGAAGAGGTATGAACATAGGATTTGGGCCGTTTATCGTTTTAGTGTAGAAGTTGTAAGTTGTCTAAGTGCACTCTTACGTACAAGAATCAATTTGATGTTCTTGACAAGGGGGAGTATCGTATGAAAGATGAAACATAAATTACTAGTAGTAGCATCCTGGTGTCTACTGTTCCTTTTGTTGAACAAATCACAGAAAGCGCGGCTCGAGGCCTTGGACCTCGGGCGTTCTGCGAAGGACCAGCTGTATGCGCAGGAAATTCAGGCCCTGGAATTTCCCTGTCAGCAAGTGACCGCGGACTGCGCGTCGCGGCGGTACGACAAGTTGTTCTCCTGCAAGTACCGAACGATTTTGAAGGAACAGGTAATGACGCCCGCGGAGCTCCAGGCAAACCAGGACCTCGTGACCGCGTGGAACTCGGCGAACACCAAGCAACTGACCTGGGAACCTTTCGAGGCCCAACTGGAGATCACGCTCGCGACGGACATTTCGATGAAGCAGGACCAGGTGTTGACATTCTTGCTCACCGGGTACAACACGCTGTATCGGAATTTCACCGCGTGGCAGAACGAATTTACGTTTTCCACCAGAAACGCGGACTCGGGGAAGACGACCCTGGATGAGCGAAAAGGCGTGCCCGGCTTCAAGCTTTTCGGTGTGGTATGGATTGCAAAAATGTCTGGGTCTGGAAGAATCCGAGTTTGTCATGCTAAATCTGATCGATGCAAAAATCTGTATTGCGTGACCAGCAAAAGTCCTCAGTTTTGGTTACCAGAAGCCGGCATTTCTCATGTGGACTTAGCATTGCATAGCCTTCTCAAAACTTGTGATGCTAGAGCCCACATTCCAGACCTTCTGGGTCAAGCAAAATATGGATGACAAACCCGGCAACATTCCAGACCCAGACATTTTTGCATTTGATATGTGGTCTACGTCAGCAAAATCGACGCGCAGGAGACGAAAGTGTCGAACACCTACAACCGGGTGGAGATCACCTTCCGGCTGACCAATCCGGTGAAGCAACGAGGGCTAATTATTCTGAGGAAAAACATCCCCACCCCAGAGTTGCCATGCAAATCTGCATGCCAACAAAGTTGCTCATGCGAAGCCCCATGAGAAGCTATTTCTAGTTGTGTTTTGGGATTTGTGATGCTAGGAATAGCATGATATGCTAGATCTGTGATGCTGCTGAACTAGCTAAACAGGTTTGCACTACGAGGCCAAACTTGTCATGCGAAGCAACCAAAGTTGGCTGATTTGTCTAGCAGATTTCCCATCTTTATTCTGGTATGGGGACGTTTTTACTCAGGATATTAATCCGGATCCAATACCCTACGAAGTTCGAACTCCCGCCGCAGTCCGGCGGCGGCGCGGGAACCAACACGATTGATGTCAGTGAAACCGTGCCGAGAAAGGCGAAGCGGAGCCAGAGGGGGAACATCATCGAGTTAGACAGTGAGGACGAGGACTTCCCAGCTGGGTTAGACATGATGATCACGATCACTTTGTCCAATCCCGACATCTCCCCCGGGCCATCGGAGAACATCTGGATCTTTGAGACGTTTGAGGTGTCGCCACAAGCACCAACGGGAACGACTCCGCCCGCCTCAGCGCTGACCATGATCGATTTGAACCGAGACGTGCAGGGATTCCGTATAGGCTCTTTTCGAAGTAGAAGGAAGATGCTTTTTTGTTCGTATGACTGAAGTGTCTGAAGATGCAGATGCTGATTCAGTATGACAGTAGTCGCATGAGATGTGGTTTTTATTTTGCCCAGCAAGACGCCAGTAAAACAATTTTAAGGTATTTACGGCGCGTTCCGTTCGACGAACGTAATTTCCACCATTGACTCTCCGACTGTGGTGAACAAAGTCGCCGTCATATGCGAAGAAAAAAGTGTTACATTTACACATGGTGTTGCAGGCAACGCAAGACAGACAAGTTGTGTCATGCTGGATATGCTTAGGAGCCCGCTTCCATATTACGTGTTTATTTATTCCCTAGTGGTCTCTGCACTGCAAGTTTTCTCTGTCGTGCGGAGAAAGTTCTTTGTGTTGCTGAAGTTGCAACAAGCGTGTAACTACTGTAACATTTTTTTCTTGGGATACGGGACTTTCGTCCTCGAATCCGATCTCCGGTTTATTCCGTGCAAAAACGTCCCCACCCCAGAGTCAAGATGGGAATTTTGCAAAACAGATCCAGAAGTTTTTGCGGTTGTGCATGACAAGTTTGGGTCAGTAGTGTAGTGGTCCTTGGCTAGTGAAGGCACATCACAAACCTAGCTCCTTATCCTGATTGGAGCATGACAAAGTCCAAGACAGCATGAGAAAATGCTTCTCATGGGCCTCCGCATGAGAAACATTTTGAGCGTGCAGGTTTGCATGACAACCGCGTCGTTGTACTTGAGGATGTGTTATATGTCTCGGGCGCACGTACATACTAGCCTGCAGGGACGGCGGAGCCGGAAAAAATGGCACAGTATGGTTGGTGGCGAAATCAGAGTTGGAATATAGTGGCCGGGAGATGATGGTGATGGCGCTTTGGTGTCCGCCTGACCCACTCGCCCTGCGTCTCAGGCCACCTGCGGCTATGGCACAATGGGGGGGCAAAGTGCGTCGCTTTTTGTTTAGCATGACAACAACGGGGTGGGGACGTTTTTACATAGGATACGGCTCGACCCAACCGCGCGCTTGCAGATCTACATGCCTGTCGGCTTCATGCCCGTCGAGCTCTGCGGCGACTGGTCCCGGTCTTACCAGGACGGGAATCTAGTCTACACGGAGATCCCCCGTGGAACGTCCTGCCGCGCGATTAGCGACCCACTGGAGCCGGCGATCGAGTTGCGGCCCGGGGCGGTCTATGGATTGCAAAAATGTCTGGGTCTGGAAGGTTGCAACTTGTCATGCTAACTTTGGATGCTAAAAAAATCTGTATTGCATGACCAGCAAGGGGAACCAAGTTTGTGCTACGTGGGGAGGGCATTTGTCATGCTGTAGGGGCATCACAAAGCGCTCTAAAAATCTGTGATGCTACGGCATGCATCACAGACATCATGGGTCATAGAAAATATGCATGACAAATCTAGAAATCTTCCAGACCCAGACATTTTTACATTTGATACGGTCATCCAGTACGGGTTGGACTACGCGTTTCAATTTGAGTATGGGACTGTCAGGATCGAAATCGACAAAATCGAAAAACTTGTGATGCACAAAATCGATGCCAGTTAGACCCACAGTTTGTAGTCGGCGCATGACAAATTTCCCTCGTCCTGGAAGCGAATCTGTCATGTGGTTTAGGACAAAAGAGCTTCCCTCTGTCATGCTTGCCACCAGCCCAATTCTTGACCCTTAGCAGGACTACAATCTGCCTCCTTTGCGTTCTCTGCAATAGAGTCACTTTTTGTGTCGCATTTTCTGCATGACAGATTATTTCGACTTTGTCGATTTCGATCCTGACACATCCATATTGAGGTCATCAATGCGGCTTATATCACGGACGAAAACAACTGGCGGTTCCAAACCATGCTGAACAACGTGGTCCTGCACTTGGACAGAAACGTCTTTGGGTTCTCGCTGCAGGAACTGCAGGACGTATAGTTTTGTTTTTTGATTTGATCTTGAACTTGATCATGAAGAAGAAGTTTGTCCCACCCCCCGGGTGGCATAATTTTGGATGTTACAGGTCTACTTGTTCCTTTGTGTATGATTTATTACACGGGTCGTTTTGAGCAACTACGTAGATATTTATGATGTCATTGGAGTACTTCTTGTGGTTCTGTAGTGGTACTAGTAGAATCCATGCTCTCGTCAACATCAATCAGATTTCCGTCCAACCCTACGACACCACTCGTTCCGTGATGGGTCGATTGGCCGTGCAGATGCGAAGTACAAAGCTCATCACCGGCGCCTTATGGGAGTGTCAGGTTTGAAATCGACAAAGTTGAAACAACTTGCAATGCAGAAAATCGATACCAGTTGGAAGCCCAATTTTCAAGCAATGCATGACAAATTTTCCGAGCACCGGAATCCAATTTGTCATGCTGTTTGGGCACAGACGACTGCTTTTGTCATGTTACTTTAGCAGCTCTATCTCAAACCCTAAGCAGGCTGACAGTCGGCCTCACTTGCCATCCCGGCAAGACAGGCACTTCGTGCCTTGCATTTTATGCATGACAAACTATTTCAACTTTGTTGATTTCAAACCTGACGCTTCCATACGCATCCGACATTGTGATCACCGCGCCCATCGGGTTCAAGCCGCTGATATCGCAAGAAAAAACTGTTTCACTGTAAACTTGTAATGCAGAAACTGCATCTCAGAAGTGTTTGTCTTGCTACACATGCAAGACAGGCGATTTTTAGCTGTGTTTTCCCTTAGGAACCTCGCATGGCAAGTTTTCCCTGTCATGTGTAACGAACTTGTCATGCCAAACTTGCAAAATCCTTACAGTGAAACACTTTTTTCGCGCGATAGCTGAACACGCTGTTCACCATCCTGAACATTCCCGGCGGACACACGCTCGCTTCCACCACCACGTCGACCAAGGATAACAACAAGGTGACCTTCACTTTAGATTCCCAGGACCGCGTCGAGCCGAATCTGATGTTCGGGGTGGAAGTGTGGATCACCAATCCCGAGTTCACGCCCGCAGATAACGTGTGGAAGTTCGAGATCACGGATCAGGCCAAGAATTTCATCGATATCAAGCAGCAGTTATCAAATGCAAAAATGTCTGGGTCTGGAAGATTGGAACAGTTGTCATGCACATTTTGCATGACCCATGACGCCTGTACTGCATGACCCAGCATCACAGATTTTGTGAGGGCTTTCTGATGCCTGAATACCCCCTCCGCTGAGCAAAAACTGGACTCCTCTTGCTGCTTACGCAATACAGATTTTTTTCGAATCCAAAGACAGCATGACAAGTTCCATCCTTCCAGACCCAGACATATTTGCATTTGATAGCAGTACCCGGGTTACGACATCACGGGCGCCATGTTCACGGACGTGAAGGCGTATCGCAAGAAAAAACTGTTTCGGTGTAAGCTTGTGATGCAAAAAATGGAAGAACACAGAGGCATTTGTCTTGCTACCCATACAAGACGAGGGATTTTCAGCCGTGTTTTCCCTTAGGAATCTCGCATGGCAAATTTTCTTCGTCATGTGTAACGAACTTGTGATGCAGAACTTGCACAATCTAAATCCATGCCGTGAAACACTTTTTTCGTGCGATAAGGCGGGGTTTCCCACAAAGTCCAGGGCAAACGTGATTGAGGTGATCTTCGTGCCGACCACCATCATGAACCAGGCGGACTTCGAGAACATTTTTTTCCTGAAGGGCCCGGCCGGGTACCGGTTTCCGCAGGTGTGCAACCCGGAAATTTTCGACCTGAAGTACACGAACCCGATGGAATATCCAGGAAAAAAAAATGTGCAAGTGTAACTTCATAATGAAGAGTGGCATCTACTTCACAAATTCGTTTTGCATTTTTACGGTCAATAACCTGTCATGCGCAGCTAGTACGTGGAAACGCGTATGAAAGTTGTGGCCTATGACACACATCCAGCATGACAAGTGTAAACAGTGTTGCATTTTCTGCATTTCAGACTTACATCTACACATTTTTTTTCTTGCATATGGAACTGGAAACGAGTTCCATGGGCCAGCAGGCCAAGGACACGGTGTTCCCGCCGGACAATCTGCAGTGCATCGGCTCCGGGAACGAAACGGTCACCATCAAATTCCCACGCGGCTCGGGGCTGTTGGTTTTCAACTACACATTGACCCTGGAAGTGATGAACGTATCACATGTGCAAAAGAATATCATACTTCTTTCGATACTTTAATTGCAATCTTCTTGCATGACGGATTTGTGTTTGTCTCCCTCCGAAGGCAAATCAGCATTTACAAAATCCACATCAATATTTGCTCAGCAAGATCTACTTGAGTAAATTTGTCACGGAGAAATTTCATACAGATAGATAGTGCGATCATACTTTTGCAATGCATAGAAGGCAGCGGAAGATCACGTGGAGAACATTTGGCACTTTGAGACCAGGAAGAAGGGCTCCTCAGCGGAAACGGCTTACACTATTGTCGATGCAAACCGGACGATTCCCGGCTTCAGACTGCAGGACTTGGAACTCGCACCGGAGGAAGCGGGGTACGCGAGTGGGCGGTTTGGGGTCTCGGTCTGGAACACGATAGTTCCTTTGCTGAGTGCATTGCTGCTGGTGATGCTGAGCAGTGGCGGGACATTCTTTGGGGGGCGGCTTGGAGAGGACCAGCAGGGGACGAGAGCGGGGCGAGGCAGGAGGCGATAGCGAAGGAGGTCATGATCCGTCGGGGACGGTACCTATTTCGTGGTGTCAAAACAACTTCGTTGTAGTAGGAACTAGGAACAAAGATGCACACAAACAGCTACTGCTGGACTTTTTGTACGCAAAAAGAAAAAATTTCTGTTGAAACCGAGAGCATAACTCTACCTTAACGAAGATCTTCACTGTCATTGTCAAACCCTTGTAAGAATTCTTCAAGGCTTGCCGTTTCCGCCCAAGCCCTCTGATAAGTTTCTGCCAAATAACAAAGAAAACCCATGCGCTTCCGACGGATAATAAATAGGTCAAGAATATAGCCTACGCAGCTTATTGGAATTGATGAACTTGCACTGGAAAGAGTCGTCGAAATCTTTTGTAACTGAGCTCAACCTGGTTCTTGCTTTTTTTCCCTCATATACAACAAACTGCGACCTTTTTTTTGTCTCTTGAATTCATCACACTTTGAAAATGAGTAAATGCAAATAGAATTGACGAAATTATCACAACCAGCAGGCTTGTTGTCCTGGAAGTTCAGGCACATGTGCTCTCCATTTGCTCCTGTGCGCTGTGGTTCTAGGGCATACAACCCGCTGGTTGCAGTCACTAGGTAAAAATGAGTTAATATTCCTCAGCGGTTTTTCCGCAAGACTTCTGATCTTTCGATTATACGCAACCAAATTTGATGAGGAGAATCTTCTATCAATATTTACAACCTCCAATTGGGTCCTCCGATGCAATGGTTCTTAATCTACTCTTCACAAAAGTCGAGAGGTGGTAAGTATCTATCTTCTACAGTATGAAGCAAGAGGACGCTGAGATGCAGACGGCGACCCATGCTGACGTACCCAAAGTCAGGATGCTTTGTTTCCTCGATGGTTGTTGTTCTTTGTGGAAGGACAAAGGACCAGGTTCCTGCGCAGGAGCAGCATATCAGTATGCAGAGAACTAATGTGCTGCACCTACTGGTGAAAAGCACCGACAGCACAGGAAGAAGATCTCCAACACACCACACGAAAGATCTGTTTTTCTCTCAAAAAAGAAGTTGTCCAGTCTTCGTCGACGACGATCTCCCAAACACGACCTACGTCAATTGTTTCACTATTTCCAAAAAGCGCAGCAATAGCCAGCAACAGATGTAGGAAGGGGTTTAATTAGTGTTGAATCTGCGTGGTCTGCCGCACAGTAGGAGAAACAGTTCGCGGTGATATCTCTCCAGATACTTGTTTACAAACTGATTAGGAATATTGTAGTAAATGTAAATGTACGTCGTACGTAATTACACAAAAAGGCAAACTCGACGTCCGTGCGAGCTTGACTTTTCTGAAATTTTTTTTCGCTTCAGGCCGTAGCTCGGCTGAGTTCTCTTGCCTGCGGTTCGATATAGTAACTACTTCATCACAGAAGTAGTCCACCTCAGTTGCTTGCGACTCTGCTGTACAACAACTTCCGGATTTTTTCAATTTTTTTGTAGCCCCATAAGCGTAAAACTTGTCGCAAAGATGACGACGATTCTCGCCTCCGGGCTGCAGGTCAACTTCGAGAAGTTGTACCAGTCGATGCTATATGCATTGCAAATTTGTCTGGGTCTGGAAACTTGTGATGCAAGGAAGGAAATAGTGACAGTAAGCACACTGTTGTAATGCGCTGCCAAGCATGACAAGTTTTCTCGTGGTTCTGAGTTGCGTACTCCGCGTCAGAAACCGCGTTTTTGCATGACAGGCAAGAGGAGCTCTCTGCGGCCACGCAAAATACAGAGTTCGGAGTCCCGTGCCAGACTAGCATGACAAATTTCGCAATCTCGCAAAGGACCGACACAGACATATTTGCAGTCGATATGGGATTCAACAATTTTCAGCTGAGCATGAAACTTCCCAACAACTGGCTGACCAACGAGCTCGATGTGTCCAAATTCCTGAACGCGAAGATTCAGAACGAGATTTTGAAAATCTCTCGGTCCCACAGCCAAAGAATCAAGCCGATTTCCACCGCGGCGCAGAAGAAGCTGGAAGACGAAAATTACTATGGTGATAATCATAATATTAACGTGACCCCGGAGCAAATTATCGAGGAGGAAAACCGCATTGAGACGCGGAGGATTTTGTTCCTAAAACCAACCCGGATAAAGTTCTCGCAGCTGGTAGTGTACCCAGTTTTTGGAAGCGGGAAGCGCGGGCGGGAGACGAAGGAGCACGGCGGGCAGGCGCTGCAAGAGGCCGAGGCGACCATTACTTGCAGCGCGTTCACCGGGTTCACGGAGGAGATGATGGATCTGCAGGAGAAGGAGCGGGACACGTTTCAGACGTTGCTGCAGGAACAAAAAAACCGGATCCGGGAAGAAGGATGGAAAAAGGCGGAGGAGAAGATAATTGCGCCGGCAGCTGCACCAGGTACGTACTGAGGGTTTGCATTTGATTGTATGTACTTATTCGAATTTAATCATAATCTACCGACGTAAAGATCGTTTTTTGAAACGACAAACAGAACAAGGGATCAGACGGTAGATTATATACTCGACACGTTTCAGCAATCAAATGCGGCTGAATTTTTGTCCACTCGACACACGTCGACCACAGGAGCCTCATCCATTCAAGTACCGCTCGCGGGTAGTTCAAAGGAATCGGTGGCAGGGCAGATCGCGCAATCGAACGAGCAGCCGTTGCCGTCGCCGCCGATCGAGTCCGGGCCGGATTGGAATTCTGCTGAGGGGGTTGCAAGGAAAGACATGGCGGAAAATGTCGCCAAAGCAGGGCTTATCAGATGCAAAAATGTCTGGGTCTGGAAGAAATCAGACGTTTGTCATGCATTTTCTACATCTACAAAAAGGTCTGGAATGCACACAGAGCATGACAAACTCTGTGGAGGCTTCTCCATGCCTATTCCGCATGACAAATGCCCTCTTCTGGAGACAAAATTCGGGTACCTTTCGCTGACTACGCAATACAGATTTTTGCCTGTTCCAGAATCCGCATCACAAGTTCGCATCCTTCCAGACCCAGACATTTTTGTATTTGATAGGGCTTTTGGGGCAAGGTAAAATATCTTTGATGTTGGGCTTGTTGTTGTCATGAAACGATGAAAAATCCGCGGGCCACTACATCACTACGTCTTTTTCGATTTTTGGGTTTGGTTTTGGTTTTCCATGGAAGTATGGCGGCGCGAGCTCATTTTTTTTGAGAAATTTTTTTTTTTCATATGCCATTTAAATGCCTAGCAATATGTGCATTTACTGGCCCCATTACTGTAGCGCCCCATTACTGGCTAAGCTTCGCGCGCCCGTCTTGTTTTAGGGCTCGGGGGATTCCGTTTTGCCTTCCTGCGGAAGGTGTCTCGGGGGCCGCCATTTCGCCTTCCTTGCCCTCTGGTAGGTCTCTCCCTGGCGGAAGGACCGCTGCTTGATTGCCTCTCTGGGGAGTGTGAGTTGTTTATTTCCTGGCTGGCGCGAAGCTTTCGCCATCGACTCCAGATTGATAAATGGCCCGAGCTTATTGACACCTCCTGCGCGACGTGGGTGGTTCGGGGTTTTTCTGTGCCCGGGCTCGCCGAGGCGTTTTGGATTCGGCTTCGGAGCGCGCAGGTTTGCGGCTGTCCGGGGCTGTGCGCGTGTGCTTACAGCTTTTGCGCCGGGGGCCCCGGGTTTTTTCTTTTGTGTCCCGGGGCCTCGTCGGCCTCGTCACATCTACGCCCCGGGTCCCCGGAACATGCATGGCCCGTCGGAAGGCAGGCCAGCCTTCGGTAAAGGTAGGAAGGTGAGGGGGTTGCAAGGAAAGACATGGCGGAAAATGTCGCCAAAGCAGGGCTTTTGGGGCAAGGTAAAATTGCTTTGATGTAAGTGGTTGAGCTTGTTGTCATGATGAAACGGTGAAAAATCCGCGGACCACTACATCACTACGTCTTTTTCGTTTTTTGGGTTTGGTTTTCCATGGAAGTAGTTCCAAATGCAAAAATGCCAAGAATCATGATGGCGACACGACTGACACCACCAGTCAATAAAAAAAAAACAGTGAACATCCTAAACGAGCCCTGGATTCGGAACCATGAGTGTTTCAGGAAGGTTTCATATCCAAGAAAAGAACATTGTGGGTGTAACTTTGTTGGAGGAACAGCATTACAAATGTGTCTGGCATGACAGCAAAAACCTGTCATGCGCAGATAGTACGTGAAAACGCCCTTGAATGGGCTCTACAATGCATGCCCAGCATGACAGACGTAATCATCTTGCATGTTGCGCATCACAAATTTACACTAGCAACGTTTTTTTGTTGGATATTTCAACGTGGAAAATGGTCCACCGCTACGTGTCGTCCGTGGCGCTCACGTACGTGCAGATGTTCGGAACTGAAAAAGCTGCCGAGGCAGTGAAAAAGCGCACCACCCCCGCGTACGTATCAACGGACCCGAAAGAGCTGATTTTGGGACCGGACCACAGGGATCACCACAAGATCCAGCACCAACTCGACCCGCAGAGAATCGACCACGATGTGGACCCGGCGAAATTCATCTCCCTCGAGGAAGCTCTGGGAACACAGGTAATAACGGATTACGCGTTCACGGATATGCGCCACTTGCGAATTCCCGCGCAGAACGCGAACTACATCCGAGATGAGTTCCGGAAAGTCTTGAAGGAGTGTGTGGAGCACTATCACAAGCACTACGACAACCGAGGAATTTCGCGGGCACTTCCGCCTGACAACACGGAATTCAGTGGTGAGCGAAGCTTTCCGGCGGGCGTTATAAAAACATCAAAGGGCGGACCACAACACGAAGTTCCAACTTTCGCACAAGAGCAGGCGGGAGGCAGTAGCAGCAGTAGTTACTACCACAAGAATCCTGCTCCTACTAGCGCAGCACCTCCGAACGGCGACGCGGCCCTGCGGGACTATATGGTCCACCAGAGTAATAAAAACAAGGGAAATATTAAAAATGCAGCAGCGGCTGCATCTATGCAACAGCAGAGCAACATGAAAGGCGGCGGGGGCAAAGGTGCGAAGGATAAACAATACATGATAGAGCAGTACCACCTCGCTCTGCAACGGGAAAGAGAGCAGAAAAAGATGCAAACACAGCAAATACCGACCAATTCTTCGATGTTGGCCAATCAGTCGCAAGACGAGCAAGCTGCTGCAATGCGACGGCCAGAGGCGATGGTTCCTCCGGCGCCGGGGGGTGGTATTGGTTTTCCACCAGGTTACGAAGCTGCTGCTGGGCCGCCGCAACCGCCATCCTCGCAGTACATTCTGCAACAGCAGCAGAACTACGCGCAGATTCCACCTGGGATGAAGCAGGGTTTTATTGCAGAGGAAGAGCTAGGAACATCAAACGGAAAAGGCAGTGGAATGAAGGGACTGTATCAACAACAGCCAGGAGCGCAACAGCAGCAGCTGCAGCAGCAATTTAACATGCACCAGACGGAGCAGAGTTTCTACAAAGGCGGGCCGCCCATCATGAATAGTAAAGCTACTCCTGTTCATGTTCATCCTGCTGGGAGCAGTAGTTTCGGAGGTGGTGGTGGAAAACAAGGCGGCAATAAAAACGGCAAGGACCAGCAAACCTACTCCAAGGGCGATTACGTGCGCATGCTGCAAGAGAAAGGGTACCGAATTCAGAAGGAGGGGCAGCATCAAGCGTGTCCGCCCGAAGATGAAGGGATACAAGGTAGATTACGTGAACAAGAAGACGCTGAAGGAAATTCTGCAGCCATGAGAAAGAGCACCGCTAGTACTGGGAGGAAAACAAGTGCATCTTCACGAGCAGGGCCTTCTGTTGTTGACAACCAGGAAATGAAGCAACGCTACTTGTTCTCCAACACGGACGAAGGACCAATTGTGAAACAAGAGCAGGCTACTTTGTTAGAAGAGGACGCCATGGACCGTGAAGAAGTTGAGCTTCCCATCGAGCAAACTCGGTTGATTCCCTTTTACGACGAGGGCGGAGCAAAAATAAACCTAGAACAACCTCTGCTGTCACGAAGACTCTTCGAGGGCGAGCACACGATGCAGGAACAAAATGATAGAAGAGACAACAACACCTACAACAGTCCGGCGGCTACTGCAGGAAATAAAGAACAAAAGAAAAACTACCAAAAAACTACTCCCGCGCATTTCTTTTCCCCCACGAAACGGAACCAGAAAGCCGACCGGCCGAAGTACCTGCTGACCCACCCGTTCCCGGTCATCCGGGTGATGAAGCACCGGCCGAAGATCCGGGATTCCAATGGAAAACCGGTTATGGACAAGAGAACGAACCAAGTGAAATTGGGGAAAGAGGAGTGGTTCTCCGTCGACAACCGCAGATTGCTCTGCTTGCAAAGGCGAGCGGTTCTGTACGAAGAATTGTTTGACATTGACTGCTATCAAATGCAAAAATGTCTGGGTCTGGGAGCTTCCGAGACTTGTCATGCAGATTTTCCATGATCCATGTCGTATGGAATGCAGCACCTAGCATGACAGATTCTGTGAGATCCCTACCATGCGTATCCTGCGTGAGAAACTCCCTGCCAACTTGGTCGAAAGTGGACAGCTTTTGGCACGCATGCAACACAGATTTCTGCATGATCCAGAATTAGCATGACAAGTTGCAACCTTCCAGACCCAGACATATTTGCAATCCATAACTCCTACGTGACCGGCGTCGAGATGTTCGACGACACCCACTTCTCCGAGATCAAAAAGTTCCGCACGCGAACCAACGGGGAAACCATCGAAATTGGGTTTTACAAGGGCCACGGCCGGGCGAACGTCGGGCGGGATACAAAAAACAACGGGGGGGCCATATTGCAATGAAAAATGCCCCCACCCCCGAACTCGGGAGCATTTGTATTGCAAACCTTTCCAAATGAAACATTCGCCCTCTTACATCTATCAGCATCACAGATTTCCGATCGTGAATAGCAAAAGTTTGTATTGCAAAAGATCCTAGCAAGAGCGGCGCTTGTCATGCAAGCGATGCGACACACACCTAGACTCTGCATCAGAAAGGTTTATACTCCTTTCATGCATGACAGAAAGTTTTCATTTGGAAACTTTGCATCACAAATTTTTGCAACTTTGGGGGTGGGGGCATTTTCCTCGCGATAGACCAGCACGGATAACGAGCAGGCGGAGAAGAAAGATGAGCGGTGGTACTGGTGTTGGGAGGCGAACGACTGGAAGTTGCACGTCACTGAGAAGAAGGAGAAGAAGATCGGCATGCACAATTACATGTGGGATCACCTGCAGGCAAGGGATTTTGTCAAAACCTACGTCCGGAAGAACAAAAGGTATACTATACAGTTTTCACAACTTATCTAAAGTACTTTCTGAGAGACTTGTTGCAGCACTGGATTTGAGACAAAATGACGAAGATTATTCGATTATAAAGACACTACATTTTTATGTAAATTAAAATTACAAAACTACAGCGACCTGCCCGACCCGGGTGAACTGCTGAAGCCACACATCTGGATCGACCCAGAAGCGATCCAGTGTGTCCACCTGGACTGCGGGTTGTGGGAGTACCGGGTAGGCAACGAGTCTTTCGGGCCTTTCTCGAACATGCAAATGCAAACCTGGGCGGCCCAAGGGAGGCTTCCGCCGAGTCTGCCCTGCCGAAGGAAGGTGCACGAGAAGCTCCGCCTCGAGGCCGCGGACAGCACGGAGGGTGGGTCGTACTCGTCGCCTGAAAGGGTACTTGGCACGGTGGACGGCACCGGGAGGCGCAAGCAGCTCGCGAGTCCGCAGCTGCTGCACGAACACAAGACGTGGCACCCCGTGTCGAGCTACCATGGGTTCCAAGCTAGTGTCGAGTACGATGACCCGCTCTTGTGTCCGGTCGACGCGGACGACCAAACCCTGCAGGACCTGCAGGGAGAATGATCGTTGATGAAGAGGATAAGTCGAAGAGAGTTTGTTTGCGCTTCGAGCAGAAGGTTTCGAAGACAAAAATGTTGCGACGTATAATTTGGTGGAAAAAGTATCTGAGTACTACGGCAGCATCGAATGTCAACAGAACATCGGCCTCGACGAGCGTATCAGATTCATCCTCGGCGTGTGCTTACTGTGTGATGTCGGAGGGGGTGACACGTGGGAGAATATCCAGCGTTCCAGTGTGAACCCATTCCTGTATAAGTACAACCGAACCACTTTCCTGTGTCGAATCAAACGAGAATAATTGTCCTTCCCTGTGGTCTTTGCCACGACCAAATCGAAAAAGCAAAGGTCTACCTTGACAACTAGTGATCTTCTTGTGACTGTAAAAAACAATCTTCAATAGATTGATTTACAACAAAACTACAACGCCCTGTGCTAGTTCCCCTGCTGTTTCGTCTATTTGTAACCCTCGGAAAGTTTTCCAGTCTTTTTATTCGGTGCTGTGTGAAAACAGGTGCTCTCCCTCTTGCTCATTCTTTTGTTGGCCCGTTGTTGCCCTAACAAGTCAAGTGGCCAGTTTTGCTGTTTTGTTGCACGATGCGTTATGACCAGGGGCCAAACTTGAGTCCAGGCCGTTTGCGTCTTTTTTGTATCACGTTGCTCAGATCGTGATCGAGATCTTGATCTACGTCGATAACGGTATGAGTCTCAAGGAGAGTGCTGCTGAAAGATAAAAACTTTCTGACGTTTTTGCTGAGGCAGACTGGTTGACGGGTTTGCTGGATCACGTCCCGAATGAGCCAAGGCGTTCACTATCGGGCGCGTATTCGTAATATATTGCCTGACCTTGTCGACTGTGCTGGTCAGTGTCGGGGGCGTCCGTGAAAGCACTCCCCCACTGCGCCCTGTGTTCTGCAAACATATCCGCTTTTTTTGGGACGACTCGTGTGTTGGGCTGCCGGCCTTCTATTTTTGTCGTTTCTTGTACGATGCGGCAAGCGCCGGAGACGGGGCTGGGAATCTATCAGCCGGCCGCCGCTCCTAGGGTGGCTAGGCATTGCCTTGGGACCGCTCGCGTGTTTTCACGCCGCGCCGAGCTGATGCGCTGCCGAGCTGATGCGATCGGCCTGGCGCTCTGTGCCTTCTGGCGTTCCGCGGGGCCGGGTGTGTTTTCGGTCCGTCGGCGGGTGGCGCCCTCGTTGGGGCCGATTCCGGCCGAAAGGCCGCCGGCCCACGAAACAGAAGAGCGCGCAGACGCGGGCCCGGCTACACGGCTCGCAGTCTTAAAGCTGAGGGCCTCCCGATGTGTTGTGGCGATTAGGAGGGGCGCCGACGAAGATCAGCCTGACAGGGAGCACGCTTCCCGTTGGCGTTTCTCCGCACGTCACCAGGCGGGGGCCGGGCCGCGCACGGGCGGAAAAACCGAGGCAGCCGCGCGGCCTCTTCGCTTGATGCCAACACCAATAGCCTGGCACGCCTGGGCGGGTAGCGCCGGGGGGGCCGGGAAGGGGCCGGGCCGGGCGGGGGGATCCCAAAAGAGCCGGACGACGACGACGGCCCCTGGCCAAACCAACACGGAAGCAACGGGCCGGACTACCGGGGAATGGGCACGCAAGTAGTGCCCAAGCGATGGGGCGCGCGCCTTCGAAGCACTCGCGGGCAGCCGGGGCGCGAATGGCGCTGCCCCTTTCCCGCCCGGGCCGCGAAGTTCCGCCCCGCCCCTGCGCCCCCGGCTCTTTCTTCAGCCTCGGCGGCGCTAGGCCAGCCGGCCGCAGGGCCGCCGGGTCTGGCGGCGCGCGGCCAACTCGCAGCAGAGGCGGCTGTGCTAGGGCAGGGCAGGCGCCCAGCCTTCCGGCGGCGGGTGGGGCTCCAGGCAGCCGCGTCGAAGTTCTGCGCGAAGTTAATGAAAGCAGCCGGGCAACAGGCGCTCGAGAATTATCGCAGAGGCGAAAAATTTACCGGACCCGCACAGACGCCGGCGCGAAGATACCAACTGGACGGCCGGCCAGGCGCGGCGCGGCCGGGGGCTGGATGCACCAAGGGCAGCCCCCCCCCCCACGAGGGGCATCAGGAGGGAGCGCCCCTGGCGCCCGGAGAGCCGGGGGCGCCCGCAAAAGCAAGGGCCCCGGCCTGGCCCATCAGCAAGCGGGCCGGCGGCGCAGCCCGGGGCGCGCGTCTCCGTGTGGAGAGGTGCGCGCCGGGCCTTTGCGCCGCACGGCGAAAGGGGGCCCCGTTCGCTTGGTGTTTGCTGCATGTTCTCAGCGCCCGCGCCCCTGCGCCAGTATTGGGGGCGCGGGGCATCGTGCCCCGTCGCGCCCGCCCTTATTCATTGGGGCCCCCCGTGCGCGCTTTCTTTTGTGTTCTGTGGCGCCGCCGGAGTGCAAGGGCAGCCCGGCATCGCCCGGCCGTCCTAGTATGGCGCCGCGCCCCTGCGGGGTCCGCGGCCGAATGCCAGTCCTGCCTCAGTCGGGGCAGTATGTGGCTGCGCCCGGGTACATCGCATATGCGGCCCGGCATTTTTGCAGACGCATGTGCTCGCAGGCGCCCCAGGTTGCGGTTTGCCTCGATTTGAATACACACTCGCTGTTCTTATTCGGCGTAGGCATTGACAGCGTGACTGCGCCCTGACTCTGCCGTGGAGCATGTTAATGACCACGGGAACCTGGTGCGCAGCCATATCTGATGTTGTCCATAGCAAAGAACATCAGTTGCTTTTTGTCAGACGATCTGACACCTTTTCTCATCAATGATGTTCGCTAGTGCGTTGATGTTGTCGAGGGAAACCGAGTCCGAAACAAGATGACGCTGCAAAACTGCTGTCGCATTCGCTTTCGAAACCAAATTGCCCAATACGTTTCATCGTTGTCGCTCGATTTGTTTCATCAGAATGTCTTCCCGGCAAAAGAAAAGAGGCACTGCTGGTGCTCTAGCTGATCACTACAAAGAAGTGTAAACCTTTTTGATGTTGCATTTTTCTCCATTCCTGGAACACAATCTGGATGAGATGAAAATAGTCGAGGGTTGTAATATACTTACTAATCTTCACCACAACGTGAACATTTCGTGGAGAAATTGTTGTCGAAAGTTCTAAAACTGCATAGGACAACAAGCGCAGGCAGTAGAGAAGTGGAAGCAAGAACCTACATGATAAAAAGCGTGGTCCATCATGTAAGGGCCCGAAGCGGCTGGTTAGGGATATCGATAGGGCAGTATTTTCTTCAAAGCGGAATGCTAGACAATTTTTGCTGCATTTTTAGAAGGGCTACTAGATCTCCTACAGTATAATGTCGCCGCCGTCTTCATCCGCTACGGCGAACTACTGGCCGCGCGGCGCCGCTGCTCACCTGTAGTGCGCACCAGAGTCCCCCTCCACCTCCTCTGTCTGTACTTACAACCAGAGCGATTCCTCTGACAGCAGTTGGCCACAAGCGGGCGCGGGAATTGGAGGCACGGGGAGCTTCCTTAATTATAGCAGCACCGCTTTCACCGCAATGGCCGCTTCGTCCACCACCACCGGTGGGGTCCACTGGCGCGGAAACCCCCTGACACCGCCCAACCCGAACGGCAGGTCCGGCTCGGGTCCCCGCCCCGTAAAGGGTGTGGATGCCAACGGGGTAGGTCTCGTGAACCGGGGCAGGCCCGCGGACATCGATAAGACGATGGGAAAAGTAAACCAGCAACTCTTGAAGATCATCGGGGTTTCTCCGCACTATGTTACACTCATGGGAAACTGTCTGGCAAAAAAGACCACGTTCACAGTGAAGGTACTTTTTTTCTTGAATGTTTTTGTAGTTTTCAGCTTGTTTGAAGACTGGCCACCATTGCTTAGGTTTTTTCTGCCGTGATGATAGACATAGATGTCATTTGCTTGTTCAAGTTTGGGATCGTTAAAGCAGTTGAGCACTGCGATTGCAGCTTCTGCTAAACTAAGGCAGCACGGGGACGAGCCTCAATTGTACAGTTAGCGAAAAATTAAATTGAAGTTCAAGGTTCGCAAAATCTATGTGTGAAGGTAGTTTCCTAAAGGTTGACTGATGTTGCCCCTTATTTCGAAAACTAAGTACTTCAATACAACCCGCCTGCTCCTTTCGAAAACTTGTCTGAGACGGCATCAGCCGCGAAAGCTAGCCTTTCTTTTCTAAATTCTTTTGGTCTAAGAGTAAATTCTCAGAAGTCCTCTTTGTCCATCTAAATTAAGGTCGCATCGAATTTCAGAATCATCACTGCAGGGACGCAATGCCTAATGTATTGATTAGAAAGATTATAGCAAGGTTTTCATCGTAATCATCTTCTCGCCGGGCCAGTTGTGAATACCATGATTGTTGCAGCAAACGCGAGCGGTCAACAATTCGTGGCCACAGCACCAGAGATATAGTTAATAAGAAACATGTTGACTTTATTGTGTAACTACAGCTTTGACAAGATAACGATTAAATTTTACGTCTGCAAGCAGCGGAGGGGCCAAAAAGGAGGGGGAAAAAAATAGAATGATAAATAGTGTTGAACCATCACAACTACGAGCTGCTCGCCGATCATTGCGAGACCCTGTACTAGTTGCGCGACCGCCTGTCGTGGAGTTCGAGCCGGGGCGATTTTTGCCGGTGAAAATATCTAACCGAGCAAACGCTTTTTTCTATTTTCCAGAAGAAGAAGATGATAAACATAAAAGGCAACTCGAAACAACTACAGGGGAAGAAGTTTGCGACCAGCGTTGTGCGGCAGTTTTACGAAAACTACGACGAGAACCTGCACACGTTGGGCGGCAAGCCGAACCCGTACTTGGTTCACCCTACGGAGCGGCCCCTGGCGGAAAAAAACCGAGAACTCGCACGAAAGGCCGGCACCTGGAAAATGCCGTCTGACCAGCAGGTCCCGGCCTGCTGGCACACAAGCACGGCGGGAACTTCTGTAAGTGGCAATAAATTGGTGCCAGGCAGCGGCACCATGCAGGCCGGGGGATCGAGTTCCTCCACGAGTAAGCCAAACTTTCACGGCGACGGTCCGGTGTTTAACATGGATCCCGACGACCCACGCTCCCCCCTGTACCAGGATACGGGCAGCAGTACACTCGGAGGCTCAACAACATCTATGCTCGGCGGTAATGTCAAGATGCCGCCGGGTGCCGGGGTGGACCAAAACAGCCGGAGCCGCCCAATTTCCGCCCGGGGCGGCGGGGGCCGGGAGAGCACCGGACAGATCGGCGAGGGGCGGGGGATGAACAGCCGGAAGGGTGGCGACCAGGGCGACAGCAGCGGCAGTGCGGACAATGTGAACAACAATTCCTACACGAACGGCATGATGGGCGTGCGAAGCAATTTGAATGCGGCGAAGATGACAAACAACAATCCGGCCTTCTCCATGAGCGGAAACAAAAAGAAGCTCCTCAAGCGACAGAAGTATTGATGTTTAGTTCGTTTGATAGCTATTTCGACACGCATGAAGCTCTCGCTTTTCGTTCTTCACCTCACTGTGGCCCATAGCAGTGCGCTTTGTTGAACCTTTGTTCAGTTTTACTATGGACGCATCCATGCCGAATCGCAAAACTTATCGCAGATCTGGCCCCCTCGGCGGGGATGCGTCGGGTGACAGCAGCGAGCCGGAACTTGTCGAACCAGATAAGAAACGGGCTAAAACCGACACAGGAGTGCCGAGGCTGCCTTCGCGAGGTACTAATGCGTTTTTGCATAGCGGCAGCAAACATGCTGGATTTTTTTCTGCAAAAGGAGTTCATTTTGACGTGCTGTGCGACTTGTTGTGCGACATCATACGTTGTGATCTACGTCATCTTGTCACAATCGATTGCCACATCAACAGGTAACAGTCGCAACCAGTCCCCGCTCGCGGGCAACAAGAAGGCGGCGCGCGGCAATGCGTTTCCACACGCGCGCGCCGGTACGGTGGGGAATAGTAAGGACAACAGGGGGCAGAATTCCGCGATGAAAAATAAGAAAAAAGGGGAAATTCCCGGGGCGAATCTTACACAAGTGTCGGATCTGAAACAGTTTTTCAAAGAGCACAACATTCCCATCAACCACTTGCTTGAAAAGTCGGACTACTTTGCCATGAAAATGCAGTTTGACGAGCTCTACAAGGAGTTTGGCAGCACGGGCATCGCCGCAAAGAAACTCCGCGAGTCGCTCATAGAAGTGCAAGCGAGAGGCGGGGCCGGGGCGAATAACGCTGGCGGCACAGCACAAAAACAGATGAATCCGAACATACTATCAAAAGGAAAAATCCCCCCTCCCCATATCGAAAACGAGATTTGTGATGCTGTATTTGAGTACACAAATCGACTTGTAATGCTAGAAGGCCAAGAGACGCATCGCAGCTGCGGCCGCGTTTGCAGGCAATTTGTCATGCTGTTTCCCACTTCCAGCTGCCCCCTGTCATGCTGAAGATGCAAGGCTTTGCCACGCCATCCAGCACTACAGTCCGCATCTTTTCTATTCTAGCATGACAAAGCTGATTTGTGACCACAAATCTGCATCAGGGTATGGGGTGGGGGGATTTTTCACTTTGATACATACCCGCTGGCGTTCCATCTGCTTCCTCCGCCGCTTTCCGCAGCAACTTGTTCGAGCCCGAGAATGCGCGGCAGGAGCGCCTCGCCGCCATCCGAAGCGCCAGCTCCATTGGCGGCACGAAGGGGCCGGTCTTCATGAGCACATCGAAACCTGTTTTCCAACCTAACATTCGGGCGGGTTCCGGGGGTCCGGGCAGCAGTAGCTCCTCGAGCTCCTCCTCGAATCTCGTCAGCACCGGCCCGGTCTCTGCAAAAGAGCTGGACATCGTGCAAACGGCGAAAAAGATTGTGCAGACGCGAGAATACGGAAAGTGGGCCTACGACGTGCTGCAGCTTTCTTGGAGAACCGCGGAAATGAAGGACATACAGAAGCAATACAAAATATTCATGATGGTACAGAATTTATTTCTTCGCGTGATGCTGATCGAAGTGCAGGTCTTGATAAGTTTAAGTACTAGTACGTCGACCCCCAGCACAGTTCTTTGCTAGGAAAAAGAGCTCAGGACTCCACGATGATGTCATAAATGTGTATGAAAAACAAAAACAGAAACTTCATCCGGATAAGCACGTGGGTCTGAGTGGCAACAACGCAGAGCTGCTGTCCCAGGCGCTTGAAAAAATCAAGCGAGCGAAGTCCGTTGCCGAGGACGAGCTTAGCAGGATGAAGCACGACCCACCTGAGATGATACGAGGTACTTTGTTTTCGTACCATTAGCGTTGGCGATAAAGCGCGACTCTGCCGCTGGAGTTCTGCGCTTTATTAATTGTCATTTTAGGGGCGAACGGCTACGGCATTGGAAGAATGATACCAGTAGCACCTCGTGAGGATGTTCATGCGTCTGAAAAGTAAGAATGCACATCCACCATGAAAAAACTAAAACACTGAACAGGTATCAAAGCCACTTGCCTGAACGACACGCGTGGACAGCGGATTTTCAAGATCTCTTGGGACCAACCGCGAAACCGCGACGAGAACGCGCCGATCGAGAAGTTCCACGTGCAAGTCCACGACCCGAAGTACGGAAAGTTCTTAACTTTGTCCGTGATCGAAGGAGATTACGACGAAGCGGCGAAACGGGTTTTGAAAATTGAGGAGCTGAACTACTTCAAAATGGAGGAGAAAAACATGGGAAAACTGTCCCACATCTTCAACGAGCAGGAGATTTCGGTCCAAGTCTGCGCCCAGAACAAGATCGGGATGGGGACCTACGGGAAGTGCACTTTCCGTTCAAACCTAAAAGCGTCGAACAACAGACCCGCCGTGGAGAAGTTCGCAACGCTTCCCCCGCCCCAGCAGATCGACTACAACGCGCGACTGCGGGGGCAGAACCGAGGCCAAAAAGAGCAAAGCAGTGCGACGAAGAAAAAGACCGGTGGTAGTTCCCCCAGTAAGAGCAACCTGTTCGGGTACATGTCTGCGGGGGCGGCCAATGTGTATAAACCCCAGCCGGCTAGTGTGAATAGCGGCACAACTTCTTTTAAAACCATCTCCGGTTCAGGGTCTGGCACCTCTTCGCACGTCGGACTTCTGAACCAGCTCCGCGGCCAGGTGCAGTATCCGCCGGGGCCTGGGGGTGCGAACACTAGTAGGCCCGGTGAACAGCCGCAGCAGTTGTCGCAGCACGCTGTGAAGGCGAAGATGCGCGTCGAGCAATTCGGGAACGAGTGCGACGAGATCTTTAAACGCACACGGCAACTTCCCGAGGACAAACGGCAGGAGGATCGGCTGAAGTGGATACGGACACAGCCGGTGCCGGTGTTGCAGAATTTTCTGAAAGCCAACGCCTGGCCGCACAAAAACCCCGCGGACGACATCGGGCGAAGGGTGCTGACGTTTATGGAGCTGAAGATGAGAAATGCCCAATAGTACAAGGCAGGGTCGTTTCCACTCCACTTCGCGAATCTCCTATGAAGCCACTACTTAGTTGTACTACCTTGTGGGAAAAATTGTATTCCGGTCAACCACGACAACGACTAAATTGCGACTTTTTGCAGTTTTATAATGTAAGAACTGAATTATTTGAGCCACTACATTACACACGGATGTAGATCCTGCCGAGCTTATATTTCTTCGACAGATACAGATTGATAGGGGGTCGGACGAGTATTTTTCGAGATCCTGTATTTTCCAAATGAACAACCGCTGGGGACGTGACGGAGAGTAGAGATGTAGTTCTTTTGTCTTGTAATAATCGCAGAGCTGCTGGGACTGGAAAAATTATCCAGAACTTTTGTAAACACAGCTTGTACTTCTAGAACTAGATGAAGGGTTCTCCTTCGGGAGTCATCCGCTGAAATTGGGATGATACAGAGATGAGAACAGCTAGGTCTTTGTCTAGCGACGTGCGACCATAAGCGACTGGTAGGAGCGGAACTCCAGCTTGTTTTTAACTATTGACGACTTACGACGACTTAAACTTTGACTTCAAAAGCGACGACGCGACTCCTTTGTTGAGAAAAGATTGACGGAAATTTTTTTGGATCAGTATACAGTTACTGATGTTGGCGACCTAGCACCGTCGGCGACCGTAGTACTATCGCAAAGATACGACAAAATGCTGTAGCGACGCCGCGATGAAAGGGCGACTCATTTACGCAAGGAGAGAGCTTGCTGCTCGTGGTGAAGCTGCATCGTTTGTTCCTGTTTCAAGTGGATGCTGTTGTTTCAGCATTGAGAAGCCTTCGTTTGCCGTTTTTCCCTGGAGTTGTTTTTTCGTACATTGTACATTTCTGTTGCTTAGAAATTTTTTTTTCCAGGGTTCGGAGCATCAGACGCAAAAAAGGTTGCCCGACCGGTGGATAATAAAAGTGAAAGCTTTGTAGTTCTGCTTCCATGTTTGTCATTTTTTGAGTACACATCAATGCAGTCGCCCTGCTCCGTGAAGACGATTCGAGCCTTAAAGTTTCGCTTTAACAAGTTTCTTTTCGAAGATACCTAGCAAATCAAGATCAAATAAAGAAGATGCTGTACCTGTGGTTGATTCGTTGCTTTCCGGAGTCGTACGGTTATTTTGTCGTGTTAATTGCAACCATTGGGGCCATGCTGTCCACTCCCGGGCAGGCTGGGTGTGTGGGGACCACAATCTCCTACGTCGTCCGTGACTTGGATGTGTCTCGCACAAGCGTGTCGATGTTGTACACGTGTGCCACAATGACCGCAGCCGTCACGCTACCATGTCTGGGTTACTGTTGGGATTAGAATTCCATGTGGGATAGTATAGGTTTTTGCGGCCGGTGGCGACATGTCCATGTGCATGGAACACAGTTTTGTTGATTGGCAGACATCAAGCAGGAGAACAAAGACGGAATCTGAGGATTTCTGTCGTGTCCCCTCGATGAACATGAAAGGGCCAACTAAAGGTGGCAACGACCACCTGTTCTAGCTCTCTCCTGCAGGATAAGTCTCAAGTACACAGGACATCATGATGCAAACAGGAATAAACGCGTGGGCGCTTCACCCGCCATCTGCGCGAATAAAATCTGTCCCACCCGGAATGTTTTTCTATCGCCATACCTGGCATCGACTCCTTCGGCCCGAGAATAACTTTCCTTACCTTCGTCGCCTGTCTCGGCGTGGCCTGCGAACTGTATTCCACGTTCACAATTACCTCCATCGACACGTATTTCTGGCTCTATTTCCTGCGCTTGTTCGGGCAGGGCGGGGTCTATCTGGTTTCCATGAACGCCATAAACCAGTGGTTCATCCGGAAACGGGCCAGGATCATGTGTTTCGTGCAGTTCTTTCTCGCCTTGGCAATCACGGGCGGCGCCGCGTCCGTCGTGTACTACTGGACAACGTCGGTTTACGCAGACGACTGGCGGTTAACCTACAGTTTACTCGCGAAGTTTGAGTTTTTCCTACTACTCCCGCTAGTGTGGTTGTTTATTCCGAACAAACCGGAATTGTACGGGGTGTCGGTCGACAACGGAGGTTGGAAAGAAGGAGAAGAGGACGTCGAGGACTTCCCAACGGCCGCAAACAACGCCGGAAGGAGCTCCACTGTGCGAATAAAGAGCCGCGTGCTGGAGGGGAGAATTTTTACGAGCAAGAAGATAAATAAATCTTCTACAAATACCGCAGCGGCTGCGCAGCAGCTGCAAGGTGTAGTTTTTGGCACAACCAAAAAGAGCAAGATCGTCCGATTTGTCAGCAAGAGCCTGCGGGAATTGCGGCGGCGAGAGGAGAGAAGACGGGAGCAGCTGTGTGCGGTAAATAGTACATCGGAGTCCGATATTTTTGACAACGCAAGAAAACAACATCCAAACTCTGCTTCTTCGAAAAGCGACTCTCTCAAAGCCGAGTATCAGAAGCAGATCGCGTTTCTGCGGGAGTTGCAGGAGAGAGAGGATAGTTGCTCGCGGAGGAAGCGAATACGGAACAAGGACCGATTATGGAAGTAGAATCGAAATCAACAAAATCGAAATAATTTCTGATGCATGAAATCGATACCACTTGGAGCCTCAGTTTCCAAGTGGCGCATGACAAATTTTGGGAGCACCAAAATCCAGTCTGTCATTCTGTTTGGGCAAAGAAGACTGCTCCTGGCGTGCTGCTCCGGCAGCACATCGCCTTCCCCTAATCAGGCTTGCAATCGGTCTCATTTGCCTACTCCTCAACACAGGCCTTACATACTTGCCCTACATTTTACGCATTACAAATTTTTCGATTTTGTCGATTTCGATCCTGAGACATCCATACCGATTTGGACAGACCTTCGTGCTGGAATCCACAACGTCGCCAGAGAAGGCTCTTGCCACTACTTCGCCGGAGAAACAGCTGTTAGAAATAAATAGCAGTAGTATATCAAAGACGACGCATGATGGCAGTGCAGCAAGAACTGCGGTAGGTGAAACTACACAACGAGTTTTTACACAACGACCAGCATCAGCTCGCAGTATCACAACCGAAAAGCTACCATGTCAAGAAGTCGCTGTGAACAACACGGACGAGGACCACCGCACGGAGCTGCAAGAAGGGGAGTCAAAAATCACCGGCCGCGTGCACCCCGACGAAGCAGCACTTCTGGTGGCCGTAGATCAAGTAGAACAAGAAGTCACAGCACGAAACAGCAATCCACCACGGCAGTTCGAGGCTGAGCACAACACAGCAGCTCCCGAAAGTAAAACCATAGCTGAAGTAGGGCCGCTTGAAAAGGAAGACGACACGCCAGAAATAGACACCGGCGCAGCACCAGCACAAGAACCTCATCTCGAGGATCTTCGCGCGGAGAACAATGCGGCGGTGCCCCCCTGTTTCTCGCCGACCTTTCTCTTCGAGGGGGAGAGATCGAAGGAGTGCGGCGGCAGCGAGCTAGTTCAGGCAGAGCAATTGTCGCCGCTGGAAGATGAGTCAGAAATCGACCAGAGGAGGCGGGAAGTAGATGTAAATGCACCACAAGGCCGCGGCGATGTTCTCCTTGGGAACAAAGCCTCACCAGGAGATGAGCCTCTTCCCGGAGAAGGGAATGGCAGTAGAAATACGGCAAAAGGAGCGGCAGCATCTTCCTCGTTTTTCATGCAATTGTTTCACCGAAACAAAAACGCTGGAGGTAGTGTAGCAAGAACTTCTTCTTCATCATCCTCATCTGCTACGGCCGCAAGGGCTGCTGTTGTCGGACTGACAGCGAACAATACAGGCGTTTCACCAGTGATCTGCGGGGCGAGTAGTTTTTGTGTTGTGAATGAAGATCGTGCTGCTCCGAATGTGGCGTCTGCGCTGCAGGAGGAGAGTAGAGGCGGGATTGTTCTTGATCATCTCGTTGTAGACGTTGTGCCAGATAATGATAAAGAAGACACTCATGCAGTAAAAAACGAGCCGCACCACAACTGCGAGGAGATCACCATAAACGACCCAGGTTTAAGAACAGCTTCATTCCTTGGCAAATCGTCAACCGTCGAAATAAACAGTAAACCGCAGCTCCTCCTCCTCCCAGGTGGAGCACAACTACAACAGACGAAAGAGAACAATAAGATTGCCACGAAACTTCTGCGTGCCGGCCCGCAACAAGCCTCTGCCGCGCTGGGCCGCATGTTTCTCCGCAGGAAGTACGAGAAATTGCATCAAGACGGTAGAAATGATGGATGCTCTGTCGTACTACCGGCAGACGACGGGGCAAGTAGTCCCGATGTTCTTGTCACAGAACCAGCATCAGAAAAGCAAAATACAAAAGCCATAACCACGATCGCCTCGTCCTCGTCGAAAAAACAGCGTGTGGTCCCCGATCTGCGTTTACCGAAGCCGCGCAAAGTGTTCCTAGAGGACGTGGATCCAGAGTTCGCGGCGACGCCAGCGAGCTCGAGCCGCTCGTTGAGCAAGGTATCAAATGTAAAAATGTCTGGGTCTGGAAACTTGTGATGCTGGGTGGCGTATCATCAGGAGGCCACAAGTGCTGTCTCAGCATGACAAGTTTCTGAGCTTCTAGGTGTTGCCTATTCTGCATGACAGACTGCGTTTCTGCATGACAGAAAAGTGGCGCTCTTGGGTAACGTGCATGACAGCTTTGAGAGTCATGCCAGACAAGCATGACAAACATACACTCTTCCAGACCCAGACACTTTTACACTTGATACATGGCGAGACTCGGCAATAAATTCAACGACTTCAAGAACTTGATCTCGGAAAAGACACTGAATGTGAGGAGCACAACTCTGGTGGTAAACAAGGCGAAAGAAATCGCTGCGAGAATACACGTGGGAAGAAGCGGTGGAGGTGGGCAGCATCTCTTGTTGAATTCGAAAAAAAAAGACGCAGAGGAGCAGGCACGACGAGAGCACGGCGGTGGACGGAAAAAGGCATACGCCATTCTAGAACATCCTCGGATGACCGAAGTGCGCCAACAAGACTACTCCGTGCTTTCGGGGGAGGATCCTCCTGATAGGGAACCGCACGACGATTTTTGTTCTAGCACCAAACTGCAGTACCGGTACAACGGAATAAGCGCGGTTTGTTCGAGAGGAAGAGAGAACGGCCTCGAAAAACATAGTACTCATTGCCATTTTGACCGTGGTTCCAGCAGTGCAATGCCTCCCGATATGAAAAAGCAGGCCCCTCGTCAAGAAATAAACTCGCCGCGGCCTTCAGGAAAAATATTAAACACCGAGGACCCAGAAGCCGAAAAGAATTTCACTCTTTCCCAAGCCTCCCGGACGCAAGAGTTTTGGGTTTTTGTCACGACGAACGGCGTTTCCGGGGGCTGTCTCGCGTGTATTTTGATTCACCTCGATTCTATCCTCTTCCCGTTTCGCGGGGAGCTTCTTACCTACTTTTACGCCACCATGTCGGTCAATGCTGGGTTGTCCGCGGTCTTTGTGTCCACCGCGTTAGACTACCAGAAGTTTTCCATGCTGCAGATCTGCGCGCAACACAATTTTCTGATGGTCTGCTGCTTCTTCGGCTTGGCGTTTTTGCTCAAATTGTACTTTGATCAAATCGAGGAAGACAATCTGGACTACTTGGTGGAGCAGGAGGAAAATTTGTTCCCAGAAAAAGCCCATGGCCGCGTTGAAGACAGTAATAATTTGCTGCAGCTCCGGGGGCTACTCACTATGCGATCACGTGAAGAGGACATAACAAGATCTACCATCCGAGGGCGGGCGCTGTTTGCCGAGGCCAGTAGTTCGACAGCAAGTAATATTAAAAAGGATTTCGGTTATAATTTGAACGCGAGAACGATCGACCTCGAGGAACAGCACCACCACATTCCCACCGACGTCATTCTCGCGCACGCAGCCAGGACCTCCAAAGTCGGTTCTTTATCGCCGGGTGCCAGCAGCTCAATCGGCCGCGACGCCGGGGGAGGGGAAGAAGTGTTCAGTAATATGTCGCGGCCCGAGAACGCCAACAACAAGCCTGCGGACGCCCCCGCATCGGAATCTACTTCGACGACCTTTTTACTGAACAGTTTTCTCCTTTTTATCGGCATGATTACTGGCTGGACGGCGGGCTACACCATGGTGATCCAGGCGTTCGCGTACGCAAACCAGTTCGGCTATGGAAGCGTCAGGACCGAAATCAACAAAATCGAAATAACTTGTGATGCATAAAATCGATACCAGTTGGAGCATCAGTTTTCAAGTGGCGCATAACAAATTTCGGCAGGACGACCAAAATCCAGTCCGTCATGCTGTTTGGGCAAAGAACACTGCTCCTGTCATGCTACTCGGGCAGCACATCGCCTTCCCCCAAACAGGCCTGCAATCGGTCTGCGTTGCCTCCTCCCCAACACAGGCCATACGTGCCCTACATTTTATGCATCACCAACTATTTCGATTTTATTGATTTCGATCCTGACACTCCCATACCGGCCGCAAGCATTTGGGGAACATCAGTTCCGTGGCGAAGTCCATCATGGTTGTATCAAAAGGAAAAATCCCCCCTCCCCATATCGAAATGGAAATCTGTGATGCGGGACTTGTGTACACAAATCGGCTTTGTCTTGCAGTAAAAGACTGCAGGCAGATACAAAGCCGGAATAGGGGCGTTTTGGTGTAGGCGCCTAGCAAGGCAGGCATATTCTCCGGAGGCCATAAAGCATTACAAAATGCCTGCAGAGCGCGGCGGGGTTTTTGGATTTGCCTTCTTGCAATACAGAGACGATTTGTGGTCTCAAATCAGCATCGCAAACTTTCGGAAGTATCCCGTTTTGGTATGGGGAGGGAAGATCTTTCCTCGCAATAGGTTGTGCACTCCGCGATCTTTCCGACGCTGCTGTCCGTTTTGCATTCGTATTTCGAGAAGAACTATATCTACGCTCTGTCGTTTCTGAACTTGTACCCAATTTTTGCTTTCGCTTTCGCCTTGTATTGTGCCATGATGAAGGAATAACTGAAGAACGGAACTACAACTGCTTTGGTTGCGCATGTTATCAACACCAGCGCGAAGAAAATCAAAATGAATGGGATGTTGATTTATCTAAAAATCGTTCCTGTAAGGTGCTGTGTCTTGTAACTGCTACTGCATGGTTGTTCTTTTTCTAGATGCACGGTCCGTTGTTGCGCAGAAAAGATATCACTGGTGGTGCAATGTGTCGCAGCACGATAGTTGTATGGAAACGAATTTCATGGTAGCTCAAGATCTCTCGTCGCCCACGGTCGTCGTTGAAAACACGTTCTCTGGTGATTAGTGCCACCTCTGTTCTATTGCCAGAGCTAGTACAGATACAGTGGGAGGTTCGTCCCGATAAAGAAGCGCTCTTTTCCTGGCGGAAACAACTTTGTTGCTTGAGCTTGAAGTCGTAAGGCGGCACAATTTCAGAAGAGTTTTGTCGCCGGGGGGCGAGGTTGTGGAGATGAATTGAAATTATCTGTGCACATTGTTGTTTTCGTGGATTGTACGTGTTTTCGTCTTGTTGTGCCTTTGGGTTGTTAGATGAACGTAAGGCTAGGGATAAAAAATCATGCGCACAAAAATCATCCTGTTTTAGACGTATTGAAATGTTCTGTGATGTGTTGGGTCGTGTTGAAATAGACTGTTGGCCCTGTGCTTAAGGCTAGTAGCAAATAGAAGTCGAACAAAGTAATAGTAAAAATCAATCTTCATGCAGCTCACATTTTTTTAGAAACAGGTTTTGAAAAGTTGTTGTGTATGCTTTTTTGGCCTTGATATCTATTAGTTCTCATTTGTATGACGGGTTTAGGGTTTGATAGCAGGGACGAACAACATCAAGATGGTCAACGAACCAGCGAAAGCATTCGATTCTCATAAGTAAATGCCTTCGAAGAACAGAAGAGCTGAAAGAAGAGTAGTGCCATGATGGCTTCCGAAGCAGTTTCCTCCTCCGTGCGCGTGAAGCACGAACACGCGCACGAACGCATACCCGTGCCTTCGCAGTACGTCGATAGCTTCGACGAGCATGAGCCCCGGCCGACGTCGTACAACAAGCGCGTCACAGCGCCCTCTTATTCCCAGGCGGAGAAGGTTCTGCATATGCATGACGACTTCCAGATCTTCCACCCCGCACCCTGGCAAATCGTGGAGGCCCCGGAGGGCGCACGCGCAGAAGAGAACAAGGAGGACGATATCCGCGCTTACATGAGGACGGGCATGACGCGCGAGCAGGCGGAACGGCAATGGCATGAGGTCAATGACGAAACACCTGGGCGGCGGCGGAACAAGAGAAGGGGGCGCGTTAACCTGCACGCAAGGCGGAATGGGAGTAACGAAGGAGCGGAACAAACTAGACAGCAACTCGAACAAGAACGTCCACCCGCCTCCACGTCGTCCAGCTTTATGTCGCAGGACTCCAATGTGTATCCGCCATCGGGAAACGAAATCATGGTAGAGAATCTGTTCGAGGAGCTGTTTGAGCGAGAGGAAGCAGAAGAAGCGGAATTGAAACGACTGCGACAAGAGCGGGATGAGGAGAAAGAGCGGACGGAGAAAAATTCGATGTCTATTTCGGTGGCTGCGAACAACGACGAAAATAAAATCATGATCGCGGTGGAAAACAACGTCGCTGGTGCAAGTTCAGCTTCAGGCTCAGCCGCAGCTTCGGCGTCGGGCTCCGTAAATTATGGAGTCGCGGCCGCGAACCACAGCACTACAAGGAACTGCAATAAGACTGTTCTTGAAGAGAGCACAACCATCCGGTCGGCCGACGGAGACGTCGACCCCACGGAAAGTCAGAGCAATATCATTAACAAGGATGGTGTGATTGGTATGGAAAATAAACAGGAGATCATGGTGGAGAATACGACAAATCCCGTATCGTCCAAGAAGCCTCCGGTCAAAAACAAGTTCACCGTAAAAAAGACCGGCACCGAGCAGCTTGAGCGACTGCTCTTCGGGGATGATGATGAAGATGACGGAACTTCTCCGGCAGGAATGATGAATGCTGAAGACCAGAGGTGTAATTCTGTTTCTGCATCGTCGCACGAGCAGAATCTAATACTTCATTCTGCTCGTGCTCCCGCCAATGGAGATGCTCTTGTTCCTGCTGCTCCGCTAATTCCCGTATCGACGAACAATAATTTTAGGACGTACAATCAAGGCAAAGACGACGACGACGACGATGAGTTGTTTGATCAAATCGACAAGTTGAAACGACAAGAGGTGGCGGAGTCCAAGCAGAACAAAAATCTTCCAGGCGGGCAACACGGTGCCTTCCTCGGAGGCACCGCGTCTTGTTTCACCACTTCGTTTCCACCCGGTGCTCGGGGGCAAACGGCCCAACCTTTTCAGTTCAACCAGCCACTGCCAGGACAGAACATGGCTCCGCAACGGAGTCGGAACGTTCTCACCGACGAAGAGGCGAGACAGAAGCAAGCAGAGCTCGTCGCAGAAGCAAGCAGAGGAAAACAGCCACAAGTTGAAGTTCATCCAATTGCAGGAGCCACGACGGGCGATATTACTAGTTGTGGCAATAGGACGGGTGCTGACCCAAAGCAGATTTTGATCTCTTCGTCGCCTTCGCCTTGCAGACACGACCCCGTTGCACTACAGGACGCCCTGCGACCGCAGGGTGTTGTAGGGGCACAAGCACAACAGGAGCAGCAAAGCAGCCATGATGTATTCATGCAACCACAACCAGGGTCAGGGTGTGCAGCTGCGCCAGCAGTAGTTATGTCTGAAAATAACAACCTCATCCAGCATGATGTTGACCTCCAGAAGAGACTGTCCGAAAGTCAGAATGCTAACCCCTATGCCGGAGTTCTTACAGTGGCTGCAGTTCCGGCAGACACTGCTGCGTCGCAACCCCTCCCGGGGGATATCGCTAGAAGTTCCGTTGCCGGGAGTAGAGTGAGTGCGACCAACAACAATCCCTACAGCAATGGGAATTTCAACAACACTCATTCCGGGAACGTGAATCAAACAACGCGCTTACCAGACCAACCGGCATGCTTCAACCCGAGTCGGTCGCAGGGCGGTGCGAGCAACGACAGCAATGATTTCATGGGTAAGGTTGGGGGAATTGTCACGGGGCTGGCAGGTGCAGTTCCTGTGCCTGTTGGTTCGGGAATGAACAAGGGAACCAATGACATGGCGTTGAACACGACGACAATGACAGGTGCTGCACAGTTCGGAGGGGGGAATACAGCTGCACATGTTGGGATGAGGATGTTTGCCTCTGCTTCTGCTGCAGCAGGGCCGGGGCACCACAACTTTCCGCATACCATGCAGGGCCCCCCGGCTTTCAATACGCCTAGTAACGGAATGATGCTGCCGCAGCAGAACCAACAGCAACAAAACCAACAGCAGCAGCAGCAGGCAGTGCTATTTGGTAGTGGTTTTCTGAACAATAGCTCGGGAATTGCGCCGCACCAGCACAATCCGGGCAGTTTTGGAGGTTTTCAGCAAAGCGGTAGTTTCAGTTTCCCGACTAATCAGTTTCAGTTTGCGCACGCACAGGGACAGCAGCAGCAGCGGCAGCAGCAGCAATATCAGGCCGCGCCGCAGCTCGGGCAACAACATCAGGTCGATGTACAAGGTCATCATCAACAAATGCACGGCCAGCTGCAACAAATGCACGGCCAGGGTGGGCACCAAATGCAGGGTCAACAACTACACCAGGGGGCGCAAGCTGCGCATTTCCCGCAGCTGCCGCAACAGCAACAGCAGGAACATGTGAATACGGGGGGACAGTTCGGCGCAGCAGCCCAGCACCAGCCGCAGCTCGGACAAGCACAGCAGGCGTTCGCAGCGCAACAGCCGGGCTCTTCGCAGCCGCCAAACCCGCTACCACCCGTGAGTCAGTTTGTGAGTTGTACTAGTGGCAACCAGCAGTTTGCGTTTGGATCCACATTCGGAACTGGGGCTCCACGTGCGCCCGCAAACCAAGGAGGTTTTTTTGGCGCCGCGGGAACGACCGGCTTCGGGGGATCGGGAACAACTTCGAATTTTTGCGTGCGTCCGGGGCCTTACGGAGCAGGCGGGGCAGCAGCACCAGCAGGTTTTCGTGCGCCGGGAATGACAACAGGAGTAGCTGCCCCCGCAGGTGGTGGATCCAAGTCAGTGGTGTCTTTCGCGCAAAGCTATCCACAGTAAATTTCCTGTACACGTACAAATGCAGTCTCTGCATGACAAAACTTGCCTTCAGTCCTAGTGTAGCATGACAAGTTGGACACTGCAAGTTAGCGAAATTTGTCATGCATTTATGTACATGTGCAGGAAATTTACATTGCATAAAAGCAGCATGGCCGGGTCCACGTCGTCCGCGTTCCCAAGCATAGCGGAGGTCGCCCAGCAACTGCAGCTCCAGCCGTATTCCCTAGCTGACGCGCGAGTACCCAGAGACACTATGGCGGTCCAGCTCGTCTGCGCCGGCGACTACTTGGCCGCACGACGCGCCATTGAGTATCAAAAGTAAAATAAATCCCCCCTTCTCCCGCCGCCCATATGAAAATCGAAATCTGCGATGCGGGATTTGTGTACACAAACCGAATCTGTCTTGCGGTAGAGCACTGCGCGCTGATCTTAACGAAGCCTGGGTAAGGGTCTTGTGGTGTAGGCGCTTAGAAGCATGACAGACGTCTGCACTGTAGGCCTTACAGCGTTACGAATCGCCTGCATCACTCGGCGGGCTCTCTGGGTTTGCATTCTTGTAAAACAGACGAGATTTGTGTTGACAGATCTGCGGCGCGAATTTTCAAAAGGCTGCGCTTTCGATCTGGCGAGGGGGGATTTTTCCTCACAATATCGAGCACATCCTGCGGTGGCCGGTGGTGAGCTGTGTTTGCCTCGCTGCGGATGACGCGGAAGAGGCCGCGATCCGGGCGCAGATACAGAACGCAGACCGGGAAAGGGCTAGTGCGACTGGTGGAAGCGCCACCAGCCAAGCTCTGAACGACTTCTGGACCAAGACCACGCACATCGAACGAATCGACTTCCGGCAGCTGCTGACGACGCAACAATCCGGGGAACAACAAGAGGGCACTAGTAGTACACCTACGTCGAGTAGTTGTGCGCAGATTTTTGAGCAGATTCGGAAAATCACCGAGGAGGACTCTGTTTTGTCCCAGCACGCGACCTGTTTCCTGGACTGCATGCCGCCACAGAATGTTTACCACGTGGCGCGATTGCTAGTTGTCAGCGACCCGATCAGCGCGACGAGCCAGCACGAGACCACGAAGCTCCCCTTCGTACTGCAAGGGATGGAGCGGGACAGGGCGGTCGCGCCGAGTCGACGGCTCGCGATCCAGCGCAATTTGCTGCAAATCGTGGACCAATTGCACCTGCAACAGTTTGTGTCCTGCTCCGGTCAGCGGCTGCACTTTCTACCTGGCAGCAACCTCGGCGTTTTGTTTTCTTCCAGTCTCGGAAACCTCCTGGCGGCCAAGGCCAACTCCCGTGCCTGCCGCGGGGGCCGGGGGTACTTCACAAATTTCGGAAAAACCGGCGCCGGTCCGATTCCGCTGCCGGAACCGGGAATGACGCAGAACCTCGGCGACAGTGGCTTTTTGCCAAGCGGAATGTCGCCGGGAGAAGATGTGCCGCCTTTGGAGCACTTGGCAGCTGTGCTGCAGATGTTGCTGCAGTAATGTTGATGTAAAGAGATGGAACTGGAGGTGCAGGTTCTTCCTGTGTTGACAAGACTGTTTCTGGTGCATGTGTGAAAGCAGGACGACCGCCGGGGAGAACTTGAACTTCTACTCGCGATGGATTTGTTGTTTTGCGACCTCCATCTATGGATTTGTTGTTTTGCTGATGCCGCTTTAACATAGTCGCGGTTCTTGCAGGTCAGCGGAACTACGGCGCATACACGAAGCAACACGACAATCACGGCTTTTTTGAAAGAGAATACTATGATAACAACATAGAGAAGCCGAGGATCTCCTTCCTGAAGATGTGCGGAGCGGTAGGCGCTTGCATGTCGCAGATGATGGTCGCTCCTTCCTTGAACTTATTTCCTCATTTACATACCAGTACTGCTACTGTTGATTTTTGAGCTTTGTGAGTCATGTTGCAAGATTTTTGGGGATAAAAATTGAAAAAGAGGAAAACTGTATGTACAAATGTCGCCAGAGGAGGTTGCGGCCTGACAATTTTTTGTTCTTCGCGCGTACGAAGGAAAGTAAGTATTTAGCAGTCTTCCGAGCTGTTGGCGTTTTCATACTAACCATGAGAGATAGCTGAGGGCGCGAAAGAGTAGAATCCCAAGACGAAGAGCATTTGGCGAGTAACGACAGTGGTGTTGGCGTCCTCTTCCTCGCTGCTTAAGCCAAGAAGTACGGCATATCTACAGTATGATCGGAGATGAAAAGTACGAGAGTCTTAAATGTTTTCAATGCGTGTTGTGTGAATCTGAATCCAAAGCTGTCGTCGTTGCTAGTACTTGGAAAATCCCATCGCTGTGAGAGATTGTTGCGTTCCGAAAATAAAGTAGCTGCTCTACGCCTCCCCTCGCATTATCAATCTCACGACCCTCGTCTCGTAGAATTTTGAGTTTGTCAAGGGCGTCTCGTAGAACTTGAGTTTATCAAGCGATTCGTTGCTTCACTCCACAACCCCCGTATTCTATTCTTTCACATCGTGGGTATGAAAACATCATTTGCATCAAGGACTTGACAATGTAGTGCCACTCGTTTTATTACTCTCGCGTTTCCAGAAGATGGAACTGCTCCTAGAAGATTATACCAAGCGCACCTACAGTAGTCAGTGTAGTGAAATTGAAAGACAAAGCGTCGTTTGGAAACGAGGTTTGAGGTTTCCGTCGCTCATGGTACAGGGACTGCCTCTGTCTTATCCTCAATCTTCTGAATAAATAGAAATGGCACAATTTGAAAATAAACGTATGAATCATAGATCTTTTTTTCGACGATTCGGGACGGGGAGCAAGAAAACTGCAGCAGAATCGCGAATGCGATCAGCGGTTTTCTTCGGATATCCACAGGGAGTGAGAAGAAATAAAAAAATCCAGAGAGGGTAAGGAAGTGTAAGTAGTTGACAACGTAATTGTACTGATTCCATCACGTAAATAAAACTGGGTTTATCGCTCATTGTGCTGGCCCGTTACCGTACTTTTGTAACCATATTTTCCTCTACATTTGCTGGCGCTTTTCACGACCTGCGGTAGAAACTACAATGTTTAGCGGTGGCGTGCATCATTCCCCGGTGCGGCCGCGCGCCAAGACGCAGTGGGGGCGCGACTGGACCAAGGTCGGGTACCAGCAGAATCTGGGCACGAATCTTTCAAGCGTGCAGAAGTCGGCCGTCCCCACGAAGCAGCACCATCATCATGCTACCACGGCGATGAAACAAGCCACGAAGAAAACGGGTGGCGCGAGTGCTGCGGCTGCGGTGCCAGCTCCGCCGAGGGTGATCGGTGCGACGCTCCCGATGCTGGTTAACAATAACCATGGCATGCCGAAGCTGAAGCCGTATCAAACCATCGTGGTGCAGCCGCTGACGGGGAAAAAGATCGTCCTAGACTCCCGGACCATGCAGCCGATCGCGGTACTGAAGATGTTTTGTTGTCGTGGTCACATCCGCGATGCTACATTTCTTGAACCAAAAGGCTGCTAGACATGCTTTTGCTTTTATAGTAGGTGCCATTTTTGGTTCTCGACATCTGTACTGAGATACTTATTTAACACGACAGGATTCCGTGCGACTATCAGTAGACTATGATGATGTTTCAAGTTGAACACGTCTTCAAGACTTGTTTTATGCAGGTTTCACTTTATTGCACGACCACGATTGCATTGTCGACAAAGAATCGAAAAATCGCAGGACCTAACCACCTATGAAATGCAAAAGCATCGTACTAGTATAAATCGCATGACAAATCACCTCAGCATGAGAAATAGAATTTGTAATGCGGATTCAACTTGAGAAAGAAATTTGTAATGCATGAATGCGATCAGTACGACTACGATACTTTTGCACAGGATACCACCACCGAAAGCGGGAAAGTGAAGATGGTGCCGATTCGTGCTGACCACGTCGTGGACAAGGAGAACCAGAAGCCTATCCTGAGTAAAAACGTACCCACACCAGAGTTGTAATGCAAATCTGCATGCTGAAAATGTTTCTCATGCGGAGCCTCATGAGAAGCATTTTCTAGTCGTGTTTTGCAATTTGTCATGCTCCAATCAGCATGGTATGCTAGGTCTGTGATGCTGCTGAGCTAGCTCAAACAGCACTACACTACGAATCCAAATTTGTCATGCAAAACAGCCAAAACTTGTGGATTTGTCGAGCCGATTTCCCATCTTGACTATGGTGTGGGTACGTTTTTACTCAGGATAAAGCCGAGCCAGCAGCAGGCAGTGGTGAGCAAGATGAACAATGGCACCACCCGCAACCCTATCAAATGTAAAAATGTCTGGGTCTGGAAACTTGTGATGCTGGGTGGCGTATCATGAGGAGGCCACAAGTGCTCGCTCAGCATGACAAGTTTCTGAGCTTCTAGGTGTTGCTTATTCTACATGACAAACTGCGTTTCTGCATGACAGAAAAATGGCGCTCTTGGGTAACGTGCATGACAGATTTGAGAGTCATGCCAGACAAGCATGACAAACATGCAATCTTCCAGACCCAGACATTTTTACATTCGATAAACCCGCACACGCACCTGTCTCCGGCGACCACGGCGCACCTGTCTCCGGGTGACCACTCTCCCTGAGGGACCTATCAAATGCAAACATGTCTGGGTCTGGAAGAATGCAAATTTTTGGCATGGTGTTTTTGCATGACACAGAGGGTCGGTCATGGAAGCCCTCGCATCACAGATTTCGAGAACGTTCCGTGATGCTTCATCCGCATGACAAATGCACCTGTTTCGTGACAGAAAATGGGAGCCTTTTGCGGCATATGCATGAGAGAGTTGTGCGTGTTGTGGAATTTGCACAACAAATTCGGATCCTTCCAGACCCAGACATTTTTGCATTTGATAGGACCAGTAAGGATACAATTTGGGTACACTACTTTAAGCCACAGTTTGATTTTATTGTCGTTTGAACGAGGAAGATTTTTGTCCGTCGCAAAAAAAAAAGAAAGCAAAAAAAACTAAAAACTGAAAAAAAAAATTATTTGACACTCAGTTGAAAGTGCAACAGACAGAACTATTTCATGAAAGCAGTGGATCCTAAATTTTCATTTTTAATATCGCACTACGGGAACTTGAACTTCTACACAGTTAACGCAAAAAAAAATTATCTTTTACTAGTACTGAGAAATGACGACGAACAGCACTCCTCGTCGCAAAATTTTCCTTGAGGTCGCTTTCATTGTGAAGCAGTACAGCTTGGTACAGATTCTATTTTCCAAAGAAATGTAGCAGTTTCATTTGTTATTTCCGCTGTATAACAGAACATCATGAAAATAAATTGCAGCAGTTTATTTCGTACGTTTCCGTAACAGCCCGAAAACAGTACTGAAAATTACTCTCGCAGTTTTTATGTATATTCAATACAGGAGTTGTTGTCGCTGTCGCTGACGACATTGATAGGAAAAATAAAACTGTAGCGGCTGCATTTCGGGAAAATAGTGAATGCGTATCAGCATGACCCACGACGCGATTTCCTTTTTAGAAATACTCAACAAGACTCGACGATCCATCGGATAGCACCATCTCTTTTACTGCAAGACCGCGTTTACTATTGTGTCATAAAATTTATAGACCAAAGTTTGACCACGAACTTACTTGTTTCCCAAACCTCAAATTTGATTTCCAAGGAGGAAAGTCTCACTTATTTGCAATGCGATTTTAATACTTTCAGGGTCATACTGTTACAGTTGAAGTTCTTCTGCATTGTCTGTGGGGATAGAACTCGGCTTTGTATGTGTATGATTCATTTCAACATCAACTACTTACTTTTTCTTTGGTCAATTTATTTCTTTGTCTTCTCGCTTTTTTCGATGTTGTGGTCTTTTCAGCTGCCAACTGCGCTCCAGACTACTTACGAACTTGCTCAAGCGCGAAGGAGGCTGCTATGAGTTGTGCTTGATTGGAGTGCGTTACATCCTGCTGGAAAGGCTGCATGGTACAGCAACAAGAGAGCTTTGCACCGAAGTCCTTATCCAACTTTGTTGGCATGAACTCACACGGGCGGGGAATAAGAACTGAATAAGGAAAGAGTACTGCTGGAGTTGATTTCTTCTCAAGACCTTGCGTAGCATAGCTCGCCCAAGATTCTATGATTGTATCTAGACGAAAAGCTGAGCTACGACGTAGAACAAATTCGTTCGTAAGTAGGAGTTTCTTTCTTCTGGATTGAGGTAGTTTATTCAGGCCGTTTTTCGATGATCAGCAACTTCGATAAGTAGAGAAGGACCCGAATCGCAAGAAAGTATGTGTAATTGGACAGATGAGCATGATGGATTTTGTATATTATTTCACGCGCACATGTTGTTAGAATGATCAGTATCCGCACGATGGTAAATGTTGGAGCTGGTCGTTGTGCCCTGTGCGTTGATATTAATATATGTAAATTTATCATTTGCAACATGTCACTCGTCTTGTGTGTAAAATCCGATTGCTCTCTAGCATGCTGGTTCGCAAAATATCAGAAAGAAACCCGGAAAAGACCATTGGAAGGAATTCTTTTTCAGCCGATGAAGGTATGTGCAAGAAGAGAGCCCCATCCAGGAAAATTGCAATACGAAGAATTATACTGCTTTTGAGAATGAAGCAAGTGGTATCTGCTTCTAGGATGCTAGGCCCGGGTTCACAAAGCACTTTCTTTCTTTTCCTGGTTCACGGAGGCAACGAAAAAAATGAGTTCGCTTCTACGTACCTTTTTTTTCGAAAAAAATATTACGTAGCGGCCACCATGCAAAAGACTCACAAAAACAAATTGAAGATCGGTGAGTATGAAACTGAGATTGATGTTTAATGGAAAGTTGCTTACGAGCGAGGTGGGGATCTTCCTCTTCGTCTTTATCACGCCAGGTTCTTCCACTTGAGAGGTGCACAAGCACGACGAAGTGCTGGCGCACGGAATGTTGTACCATGGTGATGTACTTCGGAACTACCCTAAAGTCAAACCGCTAGACCAAACACTCGACCGACACTGCGAAAATTTTGAACGCTGCATCGGACGACTCGGCACCAATTCCTCCTAGAAAAACACCAAAATGCCGAGTCTCCAGCCCCCAATAGGCATTGCATATTACTGTGTCTGGGTCTGGATGGAAGTGCAACAAGGGTGCAAGCTTGTGATGCTGGTTCTGGAATTGAGTTTGTGTTTGACAGAAACCTGTTTTGCAGACTGAGTCAGCCGCAAGAGGCGTTTCCACCAGTGAGGGTATTTTTCATGCAGGCTGGGGTTGAATGACGTGTACGGCAGATGAACTTGTGAAGATGCTCTGCGTGCATTCCAAACCTTGTCGCAGATCCAGAAACTGCAACATCGCAGATGTATCAATGTACATTTTTGCCGACCCAGACAGGTGTGGTTTGCCGTTGATACCCGGATGCGGACATCGATTTCGAGTCTCTGCCTTGGAATGTGAACTGCAGTGAGAAGTCACACATCGTGGTATGCACCACCAAAAAAGACTGGAAAGAGGGAGAGCACTACAACGTCAATATCGCAAGAAAAAACTGTTTCACCGTGAACTTGTGATGCATAGAATGGAACACAGAACTATTTGTCTTCCCACACCTGCAAGACCTTGACTCTTTAACGGTGTTTTCCCTTTGGAAGATGGCAAATTTTCTGACTTATGTGTAAAATCTTGTGATGCAGATCTTGCAAGATCATCACAGTGAAACAGTTTTTTTGTGGGATAGTCAACTATGCGACTGCAATAAACCAAGAAGTGCAGTGCATAAAAACGACCCCCTATACCGGTTTCCCGGACATTTTCCCTTCCTGCACCAGCTTGAATTACGGAACTACGGTATGGGAAGGTTTGAAAGTGTTCCGCACGTCGAAACAGCGCGCGGTGGTTTTCCGCCCAGACAAAAACTACGACAGGATGTCCAACGGGGCGCAGGCCATGGTATAGAATGATGGATACAAGAACAACTAACTTCTGCTTTCTGAGATCAAGAAATGTTTATGTTTTTAATGAGCAAATCTATGGAAATCGAAGATCAAGATCTTCGATGTTGCCCGCTCTGTTGTCGCCCGAATTTTAGAAAGAACTGTGCCTAGTAGAGACCACTTCTAGTTGTACTCGCTCGTGCAGTTTTTGCCATCTCAGCTCCCCGTTGTCTTCTTCTTTGTTGTGAGCCCGATCTAAGATGTTATACCGTTCCAATATGATTTTAGGCTGATGAAGCTGCTGTTACTTATTTTTTCCAATGGCGCCATTGTCAGCTCCTCCCCGTGCCGCCACGGGAAATGTGGTTCAAGCAGCTGCAGACGGTGATCCGGGAGAATTCCACTCTGATACCCCCCTGCGGGGAGGGGATGAAGCTCTACGTGCGCCCGATACTGTTCGGCAGCGGGCAGCAGCTGGGGCTATACCCCAGCCCGCAGTTTACGCTGGCGATGTACGTCGCGCCAACCGGCAACTACTTCAAGTCGGCCACGTCCGGCCTGAAGTTGCACCTTGAGAAGCACCACGCGCGGGCGACAAGGGGAGGATTCGGCAGTGTGAAATGCAGCGGAAACTACGCGGTTTGCCTGTTGCCCCTGAGCAAGACCAAGGAGAAGGATACGGGACAATCGAAAAAATCCACCGCACCTTCACCAGCAAGATCAACATATATATAAAGTTAAATTTTTCGTATTGAGTGTGTGAATGCGAATGCGTTGTATGCGAATGGTGTAGTTTGGTGGTATGGGCAATGTTTTTATGGCTGACTTGTCGAACAAGAGCAGCGAAAGCGCATAGAAGTTGTAGGTCATCCTCTCGGCAGACGTTTCTACTAAAGTTGCGAAGATGGTCCGATGTGCATCCCAGCATGTACCTAGCAGACGCTTCTGAAGTGCAAGTTTATGATTTTCAGTATTCGATGAATCTTTAAAATACTTCTACTGTCATGTTCATGACTAGCGGATGGTGCTTTTCTTTCCATACACGGTTTCTCCGACAACATGTATGTTGAGCTGGACTCCTTCCACGCTGGTACGATTATGTAAATGTATGTTGAAGATTTGCGAACAGATTTCTTCGCTACCTGTAGCTTCCTCTGCTTTCTGGTGAACAGTACAAGAATCGTTCTATGTGGTCATCGAACAAACAACGTCGGGCATCATGATAGACCGCTCCAACATACGGCGTGTTTACGTTGTATCTATCGTCCTCTATATTATGTACGATATAATCACGACATTAGATGAAATTTTGTTGCAATTTTCCGCACTATTTCCACAGGTAAGGAGATCCACAAGCACGACACGAAGACGGCACTTCTGAATTCCATCGTGCAAGAGATGTCCGCCGCCAACGTGTTTTTTGTGCAGAAGGCAAAGAAGCGCATTCTTACACCCTCTCTGAAAAGGAAAACGATCCTGCCCGGTGTCACGCGGGACAGCGTCATCCAAATCGTATCCTGTGCAAAAGTATCGTACTCGTATGAATTGCAGTCATGCATGACAAACCGACCTTTTTACCTGAATTAGCATTACAAATTCCATTTTTCTTTCTGATAAAATTTGTAATGCAATTTATACTAGTACGATACTTTTGCAATGCATAAATCGTGAAAGCGTACAACGAAGAAATTGCAGCGGCCCTGTTCACGGCACCGGAACTCGACGAGATTAAGGAAAAGGAAGGCGGGAAGTTTCCGGTCATCGAAATGCTGGAAACCGATGTGCAGGTGGCGGACATCGCGGACTGCTCTGAAGTATGCATTGCATACTACATCAAAAGTTGTACGGATGCCGCGATGCTAGGTTGCATGATATATTATCACGCAGCGAGAAGTACTAACAATAAAATCAAAATTTTGATGTCACCAGAAAAGTCTTGCATGCAAACATATTCTGGCAATCAGTTCAAGAAGCGCGATACTCGTACCGCTTTTTTAGTGGATATGAGGCATTTGGCACGGGCACGGCCGCGGAACTAGTGCCGATCAAGGAGTTCGCCGAATATTTGAACAGTGAGGATGTCGAGGAGGGGCTATCAATTGCAACCATGTCTGGGTCTGGAAGACTGCGCAGTTTTTCAATATGCTTCTGGTTCTGCAAGATGTGCTGGAACCAATGCACGCAGGGCATCATCAGCACAAGTTCTGCGGAAGCTTCTCCATCCTTCCTAGATTCAGCAGCAGAAAAACTAACAACAGTTGGCATTGTCCTTCCAAACCCAGACATGCTTGTTTATCCTTGATAAGGCCGCACGGAAGCTGATTTAATACAGTTTAACAGTGAAACGAGCGGTTTGACGGACAACGGGCCGGTGACGAAGAAAATTCTGCAGATTCTGCGGGAAATCATGATGGAGGTGCGTGAGGATAAGTTTGGCTGGCTTCGTGATCCGTTCCTGGACGCTGACGAAGTTTTTTTCAAATAAGTACCCCTTCCTCAAAATGAAAACATTGATCATTGGGCTCTGATATATAAATGCTGTGATGTGGTCGTGCTTGATTTCGAATAAGTAGCGTTTTGCGCAGTAGATTTTTTTAGCATGCTTTCGAGTGGAGATTCCTAGACTTCTCAAGTGCCAAGTGCTAAAAATCCAATATGATGTACGCAGACGTCGACCGCACTCTTGGTTGCAGCTGTTCTGTTTGAGTACGATCCTGGCGCCGACGACGCGAATCAGTTTCGCTTAGGAATGACGACAAAGGCGAGGGATAAGAACTCATTTGAGTGTTTGGTTTCCGAAGATCAAGATTTACCACAAGTTGCAGCTACTTGAGATCCCCGGCAGTCACCAGCAGCTGGTGTTGTGATGATACAATTTTTTTCAGGAGCAGATCATCTTCTCGCTCCTGTGGATCGTCGATTGCCTGGCTGTAAAGAACTATAAAGCCAGCATCTGAAGAAGAAGATCCTCCAATGGCAGTGATTTCCATAGTGTGCTGTCGTCGTATTAATGCTGCAAATCGAGAAGTTACAGCCTCACGAAGTCTGACAGGTCGATATTGACATCATTTTTCCCCCAATAATGTAATTTTTTTTTCCGACTCTGAAACGTTCAGAAAAGGACCCATCCCGTCGTTTCTTCCTTTTTACATTTCTAGAAGATTATACCTCATCAGATATAGCTGGTGTGGTCCTCAGTACAACTAAAGTCCGATCACCTCCTCATCAGAACACTCCGCAAGTTTATTTCCAAGCTATTTTTATATTTCTTTACCTCTAGTACTAGTACATTCAACCCCATGGGGCGCGGTAAAGGCGGCAAGGGCAAAAAGGGCGGCGGTGGGGGCGGCGCTTTTTCGGAGACGCCTGCACTGTATGTGGATTTTCGCTTCGATACTCCCTCGGCGCACCCGCCCACTATCAAAGGCTACTTCTACCTGGCGGGGCGCAAGCGCTACCCGGAATTTCGCGCGTACCCGTACGTACTGCGGCCGGACGACAAGTGTCTCACACCCGAGCATCACGAGCCTATCGTCGGCAATTTTGACACGCCCGAGGAATTTTACGACAGAAAGTGGCAAACCCGCGTCCTCTGGACGCTGTACGACTACAGCAAGGGAGACTTGAATTACGTGCCGATCCTGTCGTCTTACGAATCAAGGCTTACTGTCCGTGTAGAGGACGCGAGCTGGGAGGAGTGGGAAAAAAGGAACCCGGATTCGCCACGCAAATTATCCTGAGCAAAAGCAGGGTCCCCATCGCATCCTGGAGAAGTCAAGATGGCAAATCTGCTATACAAACCAACAACTTTTGGCTGATGTTGCGCATGATAAGTTCGGGATCGTAGCAAAGTCGTCTTTATCTGGTCGTGCAGCAGCATGTCAGATGCTTAACGTCGTGATTCAAGCATGACAAATTTCATTTTCAACAATAAAACACGACTGGAAAAAATAAATGCCTCTCGTGGGGCTCCTGCGCATGAGAAACATTTTCGGCATGCAGATTCGCATGACAACAACAAGAACTCTGGGATCGTGGGGACGTAGTTTTTACTCAGGATGCAGGTACTCCGTCGATTACTTTTCGACGACCAGCGGACAAAACAAAATTCCTCGCGGCCGGGAAGAAAAGCTGTCCCGGAAGTTGTCCGAGGTCTTGCGGCACCGGGCGGAACATTTAGGGTTGCAGATCGACGCCGCCGGATTTGTGTTGATTTCGGACTTGCTGAACTGCAACGACTACCCTCTGCAAATGTTGTGTCGCACTAGTAAAAATCGCAGTCATGCAAGACAAATTATCTCTTTTTCGAGCTAAATCAGCGTGAAAAAGTGCATTTGTTACTGTTATGTTGGTGACCTGATCATGCTGATTTGTTGTACTGTAATTACCAATAGGACTAGTATTTGGGGCTCGCGCCGCCGTGTTGGCACAACGGCGCGGGGATCTGCGCATAACAATAGAAAAAGCAGTACTGCAGCAACTAGAAACAGTTCGAAGAGGCTTGGTTGAAGAGCTGGAGCGTGCTTTCTCTGGGGCTGACTGTTCCCGGAAGGGCGGCCGACGCACTAACGCCGCGCGATGATGGCAAACAGCTTGATGGCAACAAAGTACAAAAACAAAAAGGAAGAGCACGCGTAGCCAGGAACATAAAATGAAGAAGAAATGGCGGCCAGTAGAGCGACCGGCCCACCAACTGCAGCCCAACGCCTAGCGCGCCAGATCCGGCCGGCCTCTGTACTGCCAAAAGCCGGGTCAGGTAGAGGTAGATAAGGGCACGCACTTCCGCTTGGTGCGCGGCAAGGTAGCCGTGCCTCCTACCTTCTAGGAAATGTAAAGCAGACCCGTGCCGGGCGGCGTCCCCCCTTTCTACTTCAGCTACCCAGCAAGCGCAGGCAGCTAGGGCGAGAACGCGAGCCCTTGGGGTCCGCAGGTAGGCTCTTTTTTTAGGTGCGACTCCTGGCCGCCGCGCTGGTACTCGTCGTAGCAGGTGGCCGGCCAAAGCGCTGCAACCTGCCGAAGGCGCCGGCGCCGCTGCACGGATGTAATCTCTGTGGCGGCTGGCATCTGTTGCCTTCGCATCAAGCCGCCCCCTGTGCGCCGAGAGTTTCTCTTGCGTTTGGTCTTGCGCTTGTTGTGTGCATGCTTTTCCATCCGGGCTGCCCATCGGCGAGGCTTGGCCCGATACCCTGTAGCAAGTAGCAGGACCACGCAACTGCTGGCGGTTGCCTCCCAACAAATCTAACTAAGAGGCACGCCTGCCAGGGGTGTTTTTGAGTTTTACTCTCGGCGCCGGCGGCCACACCTCAAAGCATGGAGGCAACAGCCATGCGGCTGGCTGTTTCTGATGTGTTAGCCACAGCCCCATTGCGGTTGGTTCGTTGTTTCTGTGCTCGGTTTCCTAGGCAAGCACCAGGGGCAGCAGATCGCCCGGGTAGCTGCGGTTGCTCAGTGTCAAAAACGATAAAAAAAGGCTTTTGGCTGTCGAGCTGTAGATGCTCGCTATAGGCGGAAGCTGTAGAGCTTAGGCTCTAGAGCATCACCAAACAGCTGTAGAGATTCAGCTCTAGAGATTGAGCTCTACAGGTTTTCGAGCTATAGAGGCGCTCGCCCTAATCGTTATCAATCTTTTTTCGCAGTAGCGTGGTGATTCGCCAAAAAAAATTAGAAAAAAAAAGGTCATCTCTAGAGATTTGATCCTTCTTTGCCCAGATTTGAGCCTAGTCTGCACCACAGTAGCATGCAGATTTCAGAAACAAAGCAAGTAGCCTTCTTTGAGCCTTCTTTGGTTCCAGGTTTGACCCTAGTTGCTGCAAGTACTATAGTTCTCTTGGCTAAACGAAAACGATACAACTTCATCAATTCATAACGCTTTCAAGCACTTCGCCCAGTCGTTGGTGGGGCAACACGCGGTCGGCAAGCAGGAGATCGTTTGGCTGGTGAAGGCGAACCAGAAGCAGCGCTTATCAAATGCAAAAATGTCTGGGTCTGGAAGAATGCAACTTGTGATGCTGCATTTGGATTCCAAAACAATCTGCATTGCATGAGTACCAAAGGGAATGCAATTTTTGCTCCGCCGAGAAGGCATTTGTCATGCGGAATAGGCATCAGGAAGCCCTCAGAAAATCTGTATTGCTAGGGTATGCATCACAGACATCATGGCTCACGCAAAACGTGCATGACAACTGTCAGAATCTTCCGGACCTAGACATTTTTACAGTTGATAGCGCTTTGAGTTGGACAATGCTTCCGATCCGGCCAAGATCCGCTGCACCCAGGGCCATTCGGTGAAAGCGGTCGACGTGGCAATGACGGGAGAATTGATCAAGGACGCAGTGCATTACTTCCAACTGATAAAAAAGAAGGGGAGCAGCGACAAGAACGACAACAGAGATAAAGATGGCGACGTGGCGATGTTGTTGAACCCCGCCGCGCCCGGCGTTAGTCGGTCAACCCAGAAGGATGAGATTTCCACAGGAGCAAGTTCAACATCCACGTTTGGAGGGAACAATTCCATCAGGGCCCAGGTCGAAGCGCGAAAGAGGGCGGTGATGGAGAATAAATCTGGAAATGATTTGAAAGTCAATACTGTTGGAGCATCATCCGCTGTGGAGGTTGGGATGGCGTTGGAAGATAATGCAACAAGTGGACGAATTGGTACTGGTGCTGGATCCAGTTCCAGTGCGACTTCCAGTTTGTTCTCTCCCGCTAGCCGAAACAACACAGCGAAAGTCGTCCATGGCACGTTCCCGAAATCGCTACAAAAAATCCTCGAGTCGGGCGGCTTGTCGAAAATGGAGCGCAACGAAATCCACTTTTGCGCCTCCGCCCCGGAGGACGGGAGTGTTATGTCGGGGATGCGACAGGAAGCCAGCGTGGTGATCGAGGTGGACCTGGAGAAATGTTTGAAACACAAGATCAAATTCTACTACGCGAGCAACGGCGTCATTCTCTCTCCCGGGGAGGAATCGAGTGGGAAAATCGGCCCGGAGTACTTCTTGAATGTGTACGACCGGTGGACGAAAAAGACGCATCCGTTCTGGACGCAATTCCGTGAGAGGGAAGCGCAAGCAGTGAGAAATAAGTAGTTGTCATCGTACGGACCTGCAAATGTGGAAAGTGCTTCACCATGTATGTATTCGAAAATGTACGTCGGGAAGGGGAGAAGCAACAGCAAATCTTCTCTTTGTTTTCTACAAGAGCGACTTGAAGGATGAACCGTAGCCGTACCAGTACCTTCAAAACACTGTGGATAATAAGAAATCATCATGCTGATGAAAATTTGAATTGCTGCCGTCACTTACATTTGTTCAGTTTTCAATGGCGTATCTTGCTCGTTGTGCATGTTGGATCATCCGGTTCGATCAACACTCGAAGCAGCAGTGATGCAATAGGATCTAGAAGTAGGAGGTCTAACTGGACAGTTGGAGTTGGTCAAGTATTTCTGTTGGGCGGGCGGCTACTGGCGACACACGATGATGAAGATGAAGATCTACAGAGGCAGTTCATGTTCTGATTTCAGAAAAAAGCTCTCCTCTGTTTCCAACCTGACGAAGATCTTTTTCCACCATTGTGGTCCAGTGAAGTACATTGATTCTCTACTGCTTGAAGTAGACGTTTTCTTTGCAATTGAAAATGTTGCTCTGTGCTGCCTTTTTTTCCGACAGAACCCCCCTCCTGCCAAAGAATTTCATCTTTGATAGTGAGGATCCTTTCATATTCATCGCTGATGCTGCTCTGGTTGTGTTTCGCCTTCGCGATGTGTATCTTTTCTTTTCGAAAAAAATTACTTCTACGTATGATCCTGATGTTTTCAGTTTATTTCCGATCTTCATCAACATTGTGAATGACCAGTGCAGGCAGGGACCACGACTCCACCTCGATCTATCGAAGTAATTTGTTGTTCTTGCATGCATTCTGCAGTTGTTTTTCCGCGATGCACTTGCGCGATTGAATGACAGCTGTCGCTACTTAGCCGGAAAGACAAAACCGATCGTAGCTCCTTTTATTGATGCATTTTCTACTACGTCTGAGAGCGACGAGGGATCGTTTTTGATTGTTGAACACGACCGAAAAGAACCGCCTATCTCTTTCTTTTTGTGTGGAATACCCCGCCTGACCGTTACAACTGCTTGAGCCAAAGAACTTGGTGCAGCCTGCAAGAATGGCTCGAAAAAGAACGCCGCAACTGCCTCCCCGCAGCAGAACTGCGAGCCTCGCAGTTCTGAGCCTGTATTTGGGCGCTGGCGCGGGAATATTTTTTTCGACGCCAACAAGTGCGCGGAGAGCTGCAGGTGCGGGTGGGACGAAAGCGAATACAAAATTTCTGGCAAGCAGGACCACACCGAACATCAAAGGCGAGCAGCTGATATTTACGACTAGGGGAGGTGGACCACGAGGGGTGGAAGCTCCTGCAGCGTTGGAGGCACATGTTGAAACCCCATATAATTACCAGATTGCCAGCCAACCCGTTCCACCTTACAACTCCGCGGATCTTCAAACTGCCGCTTCCTATGCTCCTGCTGCCTCCTCGCAGTCGCAGGGACAAGAAGGAAACTTGTTCGAGGACGTGCAAGAGGCACGACGAGCGATGGGAAAAAGATTTTCTGCGGCTCCTGCCACAAGAACGTCCGCCTTTCAGGCCAGGCCGCCACGTGGCGACTTGACGAAGATTCTATTGCAAAAACCTAGCAACGAATACCACCTCCAATACATGGCCCACGTGATGCAAAGTATGCAGCACGCGCAAAAAGAGTACAACAATGTCGCACGCGCACAGGCGGAACACGAACCAGGGCGGGACATCAAGGGTTCCGCTTCGGGTTCGGGGACGCAACCGACACAGCAGCTCGTCCACTACGACAAACAAGATCGCGCATCTGCCAGTAATGATCAAACGCAAGGACAAGAAAATCAATCGACTTCTGAAGGAAGGAATGCAATAACGACATCTCCACCAGAACTTGAAATTTCCGAAGAGGCAGACCGCCACGGAAGAACCTACGCCATGCAGCTTCCAGACACGAGTATGCAGTACCTGGAGCAGCAGTTTGAGAAGCTGTTCCTCGAGGAGCCGAAAAACGAGATGTCTGCGGCAGAGATCGCGACAAATCGTCAGGTGCTCCTGAATTTCTTCGCGAACAAGGACGAGCTTTTCTCTTCGCGCGCACAGATGGAGCATCTAGATCACGCGTTGCGGGAAATTTTTTTCCGCTATTGGCACGTGGTGCAGATGGGAAAATCTCTTAATATTGTGAGTGATGTTGAAAGAACAGATACGGACGAAACACAAACAGCTCTGGAGGTTGATGACGTGGAACAAGTAGAAGACGAAGCGGGAAATATGAAATGCCAAACACCAATTATCACCACCGCAGCTGCTGCAGCAACCGACTCAGTAGCGAAATTCGACCAGATTCCCGCCGGCGATTTGGCCAATCTGGAAGCGATTTTGCGGGTGTATCGGGCGAAACAGCCGGACAGGTTCAGAACTTTAGACGACCAGGTACGGCGGACGGTGACGCGTAACGGCAAAAGCTGGGATTACTGGTCCGGGATGCTGGCCTTTGTGCATCACTGGCGAAAGATCGCCAAAGTTCCTTGCAGTCATCTTGCGTCGAGTCAGCAAGCAAAAGCAAATACGAAAACAGGAACAGCAGTGTTGGCACGATCTCGAGATGCGAGCAGTTTTTTGACGGGAAAAATTAACCTGGTTGAAGATCCTGGTCGGGGCCGTGCGGATGAGGGCTCGCCTTCGATGCGGGAACGTATGGATTGCAAATATGGCCCTGGGCGGTCTGGAAATTATATGCAAGGTTCTACTTTCTCATGCGGATTTTGGATGACCCACCGTGTCATAATGTTCACAGGGCATCTTGAAAGGGCTTCTGCATGCCTATCCACCGATAAGAAATGCCCTTGTCTGCCGCGTAACTAAGTAGCAAAAACGCGGCTGCCTTTGCTGTTCGTGCAAGAATGCAGATTTTCATTTTTGTAGTATCGGTATACAAAGGGAAGGCAAGGCAGCATCACAAGGTTGCATCTTTCCAGACCCAGATCGATGTTTGCACATGATAGGACGCGGAGAATCTGGTTCTTCCACTTCGTTCCCGACGGTGACGAGAAGGCGGCTTGATGGCGCGGCTTCCTCTGTGCGCCAACAAGAAGATGGCTCTGGTTCCTCGTCCTTCATCCCCAAGGACGATGTAGGTGAGGAATGCGAAGAAGCGAAGTCACAGACTCCACTCGCTGTACTAGCCAGCGAGAATCTCGTTCTCGACGAGAAGGAGCTACAGGTTCGTGAAAATTATGATCCCGCGCGCGTGGAAGATCCGCTACCAAAGGACCACCCCGAGGAACAAGACGATAAATCGAAATCCTCTGCTACAGTAGAAATTTCATCAGAAAGAGAACCTTCAGAGGAGGACCAGAAGAACGCACCATCCGAACAAGCGTTTCCGGCTTTGGAAGCCGCGTCTAAACCGTCCAAAAAGAAGAACAAGGACGGTGGAGGTGGAGCTCCGGGTGCGCGAACTCTGAGGACCCCTTCCTCGACGTCATTCGACAAAGCAAATCATTCGACAAAGCAAGGCTTCTCGTGGTCTGAACGGTTGCAGCACAGCATTGTGGGCCCCCAAGGTGGGGGCAGTGCTAACGCTGACAAGCCGAAAGGGGAGCAGCAGACGGGGAAGAACGGGGAGATGAAAAAGTCCGGCGGCACTAGCCCACCGGGCGCAGCGACAGAGAAGAGTAGTGGGAAGCAGCAGACAAGCAGTGGCATTGCAGATGGCAGCGCTAGTACAGAAGGAGACAAACCGCCGGGAAAAACTTTTACTACGAAAAATGGGATCGAGAAGATGAGCGGGGCTTTGACAGCCGTTCCTTCCTCGTCCCCCACTCCGATTGCTGCTCGTCCTCCAGAACGGGCTGGCACCAACGCGTTGTACACAAAACGCACCGAGCAATTGCGCGCGAAAGCCCGTGCGGGTGTGGTCCACGCTGGGGGGCTCGTGCCGGGGATGGTCTCTACCGTGCCGATGGACCACATAATTCCAAGCGGCGTTGCACACGACTTCCACGGAGATGATGCCTCACCTTTATCCGCTGGCATTGTAGAGGACTTCGCAAATGGAAATACAGCATCAAACATCGGTTTCGGCACTAGTGCCACCCCCGGGGGCCAGGCCTTTTACAGTCAAGTGTCGCCCGATCGCCATGGAGTTGCCCTGCCTTTCGGTGAGGAGGGCTCATTGGAGGCCCGGCAGGGGGTTGCGGCCACGCCGGCAACCAATAAAGTGGACATCCTGGTCGAGAATTTTAGAGCAGGGTCAGTTTGCCAGCTTCCACACGCTATTTCCGGCAGTACGGCCGTGTATTCAAGTAGCTCCCGGTGCAGCACACCTAGGTTGGTGGAGAAGGCCATTCTTTTACCAGAGAGCGAAGAACAGGAGGAGAAGAATTGCGGCGGGATTCGTCTGGATGATCAAGTTGGTGAGATCGAAAATGACCGGAAAAAGAGCTGGGACAAGATGAACCTGAAAAAGAACAAGGGATCTGTTGAAAAATCTGTTGCGGCGGTGAACAAAGACACCAGTGTTGGTCGTTTAGAAGCTGCGGATGATGATGTTCACGGCGAGAAGAAAAACCGGAGGCGGGAGATCATTGCTGATCCTCCGTATCGTGACGGTGTTGAAGGAGAGAAGATGGAGCTGGATTCGCAGCCCGAGGCCGAGCCAGAAGAACCGGATGAGGCACAATTTTTGGCTGCGTCTGCTGCCCTGGATCCTGCGACGAGTCAAAATGCTGTTGTAGTAGTCCCAACAGACCACGAGGCTTCGGCTGCTCAGGAAGTAGAGACTCCTCTTCGGCCTGATGATATTACAGAAGAAGCCTTGATGGCAACATCAAACATTCGTCAAGAAGATGCCGTGCACGATACCTTGCAGCTCCCCGCGACTTCTGTGAAGAACACGCAGCGCATGCTATTCTGTGTAAAAATGTCCCCACGCCAGAGTTGTCATGCAGATTTGCGATTACAGGAACATTTGTAATGCGCAGATCCAAGAGAGGCATTTTCAATCGTGTTTTGGTATTTATAATGCTGAAACAGGATGAGCAGATGATTTTGTGATGCGGTTTCCGTTGCTACCCTTCACTACACTACGGACTGCAACTTGCCATGCGTGGCTCCCAAAACTTCTGGATTTGTGTTGCTAAGTTCCCAACTTGACTAAGTGGTGGGGACGCTTTTACAGATGATACATGCTGGAATCTTCCATGCGACTCGGCTGTGCCATCACCGACGTATTGCTGCGCAAAGAGCAACAGGCATCCAAGAAAAAAACTGGGTTAGTGTAACTTTCTTTGGCTGATAGCATCACAAATTTGCTTTACACGACGGAGAAAACCTGTCGTGCGTGGTTTGTAAGGGAAAACACACATGAAAAGAGGACTGCGTGGCTGTCTGGCATGACAGGCGTAACTCTGTATGCATGTTCTGCATCACAGATTTACACTTACACAGTTTTTTTCATGCATAACAAGACCACGCCGGCGATGAAACCTACAGTTTGCACCAAGCCTGGCAGGAACTGGAGGCCGCCGAAGACGGACCCGTCTGCGAAACGGAGGTGTTGGGGCTTGTTTCCACTGGTCCTTGCGACCACGCCGGCTTCCACATTGAAGGGCTGGACAACGATGGAGAGGAAAATGCCGCGACCACTCCAGGAGCAAGAGGATCGAAAGTTGTTTCGCAGCAAACCACGACACCGAAAACGAAAGGCAGAGCGAGCCCTGGTGGAGCTGCCGGGGGTAAAAAGACCAAAAAAGAGAAGCGGAAAATGAAGAAGGAAAGTTTACTCCAGGCCGGTGCAGCAGCAGACGATGATGTCGAATTGACAGGCACTGCGGCGTCCTCCGGTTCCGGTTGTGCAACAACTAAAAATTTGGATTTTTTTCCAACCGGTTGTAGTAAGCGCTTTTCGACGTCGTCTTGTCAAGAAGAAGGTCAGGACGTTGACCTCCACGAGGAACAATCGCTCCAGGAAGCAATAAGGTTGCGGCCTGGTCGGCAGAAGGACACGGTCCGAGCAGTGAAACGCGTGATCGAAGAGGAGACGGCCGCGTTTTTGGACAACATCCAGGAAAGGGAGAAGCAGGCCACCAAGAATCTGGTCAGCGGCATGGCCGTGCTGGAGCTCGCTATTCGCCGCCCTGATTTCTCCTTTCTGGTTAACGCAGAATTTGCGAATACAACCGCAGATGATGGAACAAACGGAAACACAAATGACAATAAGGCAGGAGGAACATCTTCAGATGCGAATGCCACAGCAGGTCCAAAAGTTGACTTGATCGCGCAACTCGGGACGAAGTTGGAATTTTACACGACCTACCACAAGAGTTTAGAAACGGTGTTGGAAGTGTGCCGCGCGTTTTCGAAGAATAAACAATCGGCGGAGAAGAAGGATTTGTGCTTTCAAACGTACAAGAAGCACATGGAAAACTTCTTTTTTCCGGATCCCGTGGTTCTAGCAACGGGGGACAGAGCCGCGGTCGAGGCGGAGATGGAGCGGAAAATGCCGTTTTTGGAGCGGGGAATCACCGCTATAACGAATGATATAGAGAAGAAGTTCGGGAGACTGCTTTTGCAGCAGATGGTAACATATGGATTGTAAAAATGTCTGGGTCTGGAAGAATGCAAGATTTGTGATGCAGGTTTTTTATGACCCATGAGGTCTGGAATGCGAGACCCAGCATGACAGATTCTTTGAGGTCTTTATCATGCCTTTCCTGCATGAGAGACTCCCTCTCAACTTGGTCAAAAGCGAACAGCTTTTGGTACTCACGCAACACAGATTTTTGCATCATTCAGATTTAGCATCACAAGTTCTAATCTTCCAGACCCAGACACTTTTACACTTGATATAACATCCGGCTCGGTGCCGGACGCCGTTGCCGCCCTCTACCACGAACTGAAACAGAGCGCCACGAACGCGGTCGCCGGGGAGATGAAGAATGTCTCAGCTCCCGAAAAATGCGGTCGTGCAACGGATCTTTCGAATAAAACTACGGATAGTGCGCCGGGGGAAGAAAACTACGCCGAAAGGACCGCTTCATCTGGTAGTTCTGGAAGTAGTGCGAGCTTTTCTACTGCTGCTCGTCAACAAGATGGGGAGTCAGAAGGTGCTGCTGCTGGTGTTGTATCGGCAAACAAGCAAGGGGACGACAGCGGGGTACGACTTGGGTTGCAGTACACGGCCAAGGAGTTGGTTAGTCGGATGGACAATTTGGTCGAGCAGAACCGAGCTTCTGCGTCACAGCAGGTTCATCAATGTGCAGCGCAACACCACCCGGACCCCTTGCTGGATTTGAACATCATGCAAAACGTCCTCTCCCGGATGGAAAAGCACGCGAGAGACAAAGCGAAGCAGCGACAGAGCAAGCACGCCCACCTGCGCGACAAGAAACAAGTGAAGCAGCAGCGGCAACACGACCAGGAGTTGCAAAAGTGGGAGATTGCCGCCAAGATCGCCTCCGGCAACCAGGAGTGCTTGTTCGGTTGGCACGACATCTGCACGAACTTTTACATGGACAGTTTGGGCGGCTGCAACGTGAATTTGGAGTTTTTGCTCCGCCGGCTCTTACCCTACAACATCAAAACGACGCAAACCGTGTCCACCATGCACCTGAACGCGATCAAAAACAACCTCGTCACCCTCGCCACCGGGCAGCCGCCGTTGAAAAAGAAGTTGCTCATCGACTGTGACCGAACGACGGGGCGAATCGCGAGACGGGAGGTGTTCGAACCCTCTAAAACCTTCGCGATCGTAGATAGCACGATCAAGCAGCTGAAGCATCTGAAGGCCTTTCAGTTTCTGAAGCAGCTGTTCAAGATGCTGCTAACGTGGCTCGCGGATACGAACAAGTACTTGGACGGTATGCGGGAGGTGGTGAAGGCGATCGGGCTACCCACCAAGCAGAAGACGGGAGAGTACGTATCATGTGTAAAAACGTCCCCACCCCATAGCCAAGTTGGGAACTTAGCAACACAAACCCAGAAGCTTTGGGAGCAACGCATGACAAATTCCAGTTCGTAGTGTAGTGCAGTTTAGCAAGTGCAGTCGCATCACGAATCCGTCTGCTCATCCCGTTTACAGCATTACAAATTCCAAAACGCGATTGGAAATGCCTCTCATGGAGATGCGCGTTACAAATTTTCCTGTAATCGTAAATCTGCATGACAGCTATGGGGTGGGGACGTTTTTGCTCAGGAGAGTACGTGACCGGCGTGATTCCCGGGTCGCCGGAAGACATGCGGTTGAAGCAACTTGGGTTCAAGCACCCCACGAACGCAAACCTGTACACCCCCATCGACCACGAAAAGTCCAAGGTGGGGTTATTACAGTGAAAAATGCCCCCACCCCGAACTTGGCAGCATTTGTATTGCAAACCTTTCCAATGGAAACATTCCCCGTCTTGCATCTATCAGCATCACAAATTTGCCATGCTGAATAGCTCGAATTTGTGTTGCAAAGGATCCCAACAGCAGCCGGATCTGTTATGCAAAAGATACCTTGCGCAGCTAGATTCTGCATCAGAGAAGCTCGTAGTCCTTTCATGCAAGACAAAGAGCTTTCATTTGGAAACTTTGCATGAGAAACTCTTGCAAATTCCGGGCTGGGGGCATTTTTCAGTGCAATAGGGGTTGGATTTCGTCTCCTGCATGAAGCAGTTGATCGACGAGAACCCGTATCAAATGCAAATATGTCTGGGTCTGGAAGGATGCAACTTGTGATGCTGTCTTTGCATTCTACCAAAATCTGTATTGTGTGAGCAGCAAGAGGAGTTCAGGTTTTGCTACGCGGAGGGCTAATTTCTCATGCGGTATAGTCATCAGGGTGCGCTTACAATATCTGTGATGCTGGGGCATGCATCACAGGCATCTTGGATCATGCAGATTGTGCATGAGAAGTCTTGCAATCTCCCAGACCCAGACATATTTGCAATGCATAACCCGTTTGAACAGGCCATGAAACTGTTCGGGCTGGCCACGGAGATCGAAACGCTCGATTGGAATAGAATGTTGTCACCCGGAGGCGACGAGGAGTATAATGCGGAGAATATTAACAGTAGTTCTCTCGCCGATGATGCCTTCATCTCGGAAGAGATCGAGGACGAAGCGGAAAATAGTTGTACTCCTGCAGCAGGGTCTGGGTCCTCTTCATTTTCCCCGGGAGCAGAAGGTGACGAAAACGGTGTGAAGGTGAAGCACCGCAGGGTCCGGATCCAATTTGACGAGGAGAAAATGAGGCAGTTCAAGGCGAAACAGGTAAACGCGTTTTTGTCGATTGTGGAGAGGCTGGACTGGTACCGAATTAGCCACGCCGAGAAACAACTGGAAGAGGACAATAAAGCGAGGGTGATGAAAATGAATGCTGGCGCAGCTTCTACTCCACAAAGTCGTGGGGTTGACCAGCACTCGGGAAAGGACAGCAGCGTTGGTGGAAAAAACAAAAAGAAGAGCTGCAATAATTCCACCGCGCCAAATGGAACAAGTAGTGCTGATCTGAAAAATATGTTCGACCCTTCTTCCACTAGCGGCGGGCCGCAGCACCTGCTCCCAGCAACGCCCACCGCTGCTGCTGCGGCTGCGCAAAGCAGGGGCCACGTTGCGCCTCGGCGCGTCAGTGCGGGACGGAAGTGCCTGGCCCTGGTGCCGCACTCTTACGTCGGTTTGCACGATGAGCTCAGCGCCGTGTCAGATCTGACGGGGATGGGGGGACGGGTGCAGAAGCAGGAAAAAGCAGAGGAACAAAGACAAAGAGATGAAAGTGCTGGAGCTGGTGCACATCAGGATAAAAACTTTTCAATGGAACCAGGACAACAATCTTTCACAAGAGAAACGACGCCGGGCGATCATGATCAAGATCAAAATGAAATGGAGGACATCGAGAGGGAGATCAGGGAGAGGGAAGAGGAAATTCGGCAGCGATACCCCGACCCGATGGACGACGTGGATTTTATGGCGTTCTCAAACGTTACATTCTCAACTGTTGCATGAATTCGTCATGCAAAAATACCTTAAGCCGGCAGATGATCGAGCTGCTTCGCATGACAAATTTCGGAAGGGCTAGACAGCATCTAGATCTGCGCCAAACTTGTGATGCAAAAGGCGCAATCTTCTTCCTTTCACGTTTGCCAGTCTTGCATCACCCAGTTGAGAGTGTAACATTTGAGAACTCCATAGATTTGGATTTTTTCATCGGGACTACGGAATTCAAGAGCCCGGACACGGGCCATTGGTTCTTCCGCACGGAAGCGGGACGGCATTTCATGGTGCCGGAAGGCCGGTTATTCGAGATGGTGGAACAACCGGAAGAGGGAGGAGCCGGGCCGGGGGCGGAACGGAGTCCATGAGAGGGTGAAGGTGTTGCATTCTCCCAATGTGTAAGAAAGCAGAAAGTTGTATCACGTCAGGCTTAAGTGGCGCCATATGTTGTACCTATTAATACACCACTTTATCCTCCACCCGTGAGTGCGATATTCAAATCAGAATGAGTATCAGCCTTATGCCGTAATACCGTTGCATAACGCCGCGAATTTTAGGCCGCAACCGTATAATATGCACCGTTTGATTTTTTACTGTATGTCTATAGTCGATAAGGACAACTTCAACTGGGCGCTGTGAGCTTGAGATGACGGATAAATACGGTGCCAAACCAGTATTCGTTGATTTAGTACTTGCAGACCGCATTTCTTGCACGTGGACTCGAGAATTTCACTTCTATTGCTACTTGGAGTCGATTCAGTTTCGTCGGAATCACTCCCTGTTTGTACTCCTATTCTTGTATTGATCTCGTTTTGCAAGTGTTCGAGGAACAAGAAAATTGCATCCCTACCCAGTGCTCTTTCAATGGTATGGCTTCGTGCGTTTCGTGGAACCGCTCTGGCTCCTGCAGATCGTGGTCAAGAGCGAGGGCCAGTCTGTGAACTTGATGAACTGCTTCCGCCTGAACGTGAGTTTTTCCAAAAGTAAGGACCAAGCTCATTTTCTTCGGTCAACATTTTCCGATGATGGCACTCACCCGTGGTCATCGCCTAACAGGGTTCTGCTCAAACGTGTTGTACGCAATGCCGCCTGCAGCTTCCTCTTCTTCCCGAGGAAGCAGGCACTTTTGCTTCACAGCGTCACAACTTCCTCGAGGAAAAGGTGGCCCGGTGGAGCATACTTTTGCCTCGGGCGTCATAGTAGACACGACGAATTCTCCTGCCGCGCTAGAGAAGGACGGCAGCTCTGGAAGTACGCTGGCCAACCGCCCCGCGCATCCGTCTTCCGATTCTTGTGAGGAGCGACGGGACTACACCGACGTGGCCCATTCGCGGTCAGCAACCACAAGAATCGCCCCGCTCCAACCCCAACATCTTCGTGGCACAACCGTAGTACCAGCAGCCGTCGACCCCCCACCGGTCCGCGTGCAGTGGAAGATATCCGCTTATTGCCCTGATTGCGGAAAAAATACGGAGAAGGACCAGGTGTCTGTCATGCGCAAGTTCTGTCCCACCATGTGGCGAAAATACATGTTCGTGGACGATCGGCACTGTCCCCTGTTTCTAGCAGCCAAAGTGAAGGACGATTTGATTGAATCCACGGAAACGGGGTGGAAAGACATGCCAAGGATAAAGGGACGCAGCTAGTACTAGTAATGCTAGAATGGCTTTAAAAATGCACCACACTCCATCGGTATATCCAAAAGCAAAAACAAGTTAAAGCAGTAGATTCGGGTGCAGAGCAGTTTGATCGGAAATATACCGATGAACAGCTCCCCATTCTTTCCCGCTAGCTTGCTGGCGACTACAGTTCTTGATCATGACGAAGATTGTAGAGCAGTTCTGTACATCGATCTGTAAAAAGTCTCCTTTTTGGAAGATGCATATGTTCTTCGGTATCCAAGCCGCGTTCGGTCGTTCGAAAGACAAGCCAAAGATACCGCCGATCAGTACTTCGATCACCCTCTTTGCTTTTGTCGGAGGTCTCGAGGAGTAGATGACTTTATCTCCAGTAGACACCAGGTCTGCAACACTGATGTAGATTACTTGCTCCCTAAGTACTCGAACTGAACTCTATAAAATCTCTCGAGGCATACCTTCCTTCCACTGCCACACTTGTCATTGCGCTTCGATCATATTCAAGAACATATAGATTTATCATCATGAGCGCCACCTCCGGTCGGCAAGATGGCGGCCCGATGGCACAAGCGTCTTCTGGTCTGAGTGCGACAGCTGTCACCCCCGATCTTCAAGCTGCCATCCAATCGCTCTCCGCCGACGGCTCTGCCTGGGTTACGATAACACTAGCGCAGAACAAGACTCCAGAACTTGTCGGTTCCTCCGCAACCGCCGGCAGCAGTCCAACGAAGGAGTCACTACTCGACGCTGTTGCTGATGACAAAATAACGTTTGGGTGTTTCCGAGCGAGTAGCGGGAAACTGTATGGTTTTGTATGTGTGGGGGACAGCGCTCCCGGTATGGCCAAAGCGAAGCAGATGATGCACAAGAACGCGGTCATGAACCTCTTTGAGGGGAAGCACGGAGAAATACATGTGGAAGGCGTTTCGGAGTTTAAACAGGAAGTGGACAAAGTTTGGCCATGAATCATCAGAGTTTGTCGATCAAGACCGCGAACTGGAACATGCTTTCAAAAAGACAGAATCATGCAACGAGTATAAATTCGTACACATAAAAGACAAACCTGCGCTCGGCAAAAATGAACGAAGCAAAATGATCACACATACTTCTTCTTTTTCAGTGCCAGATTTTACCACGGTGACTGCACTGCAGCTGTGAAGGCCACGGAAAATAAATTAGCAACATGATCCACAGTGGGGGCTGTGTTCGACGCCTGATCCTGTAATTTCTTCGGTAGGTTGATCTCGTACGTGCAATCGCAATGCGGTTCGGGTCTCACTAAGGCCGAGGGAAGCGACGTTTCTGATCCAGACATGACTCCTTCCTTTTGTCATGTTCCCTTTTCGTTGCAGAAAAACGAGCCGGCGACCTTTGTTTGAGATTGTCTTGCCCCTTTCGACGGGGACGGTTTCTTTCCATCCTGCTCGTTTGCTGCCTTGTTTCATTCGTGGACAAAATGAAAATGCGTGAGCTGCACCGAGCTCGGGGGCCAAGAGGCTCCGTCCTCGCCGTTTCTTTGCTTCTTTTCACGAGTGCCGCCGTTGGAACAAAATTAAGGCTGCAGCTGCACCGGGCAGAAGTGCCACAACCACATCCACACCCACCTCGGGACGTCGAATCGGTAAAAATATCTCCCGCGCACCAAGCACTAAACGGCTACCTCGCTCCCGCCACGGAACAAGTTGTTGACTTGCAACCCTCGGCACCGCCGATCTCGGCTCTGGAGCGAGATGAAGATCCTGTAGGACTGCAGCAAAGGGATGACTTTTTCCTTCAGCCGGAAACGGAAGAAAGCAGGCGGGGGGAACAAGAACATCTTGTTCAACAAGTGCCACAGAGTTACGGCGATTCTGGCAACTACGTCGGTTCACCAGGCGCTTATGTCGACCCGCCCTACAACCCGCTCGAAAGTACCAGCTGTCCTGCACAGCCTGCAGTCGCGCCCAGTCGAGTTGTTCCTGCGACTCCTGCAGGAACTCTGGCTCAGCAGGTCAATTCACCACTGGGAACAATGCAAGCGCGTTCATCTTCTTCGCACCAGCAGAACAACGACCCCCAGAGCAACGATCCACAGGAACATCCGGACTACAGTCTGAACGAACAGCAGCTGATCCAGGCCTTGACCTCCTTTTTTCAGGGCGAGCTCGACCCGATTTCCCTGGCCGAGCAAATAACCCGCGTCGCCGATTACGACGGGGGGATATCTGCCACGATGTTGGCCATGCAAGTGGTCGGAAGTTCGTCGGGCGCCGGTTTGTTCGCGAATTCGGTTGAAGTCGGCAGCACTTCAAATAGTGCGAGCAAAACTTCTGCGGTTTCTGCAGCTCCTGGGAGGACTATTTGGGACGCCGTTTTGGAGCTGGATCAGCAAACTGAGGAGGAGACTGCCAACGCAGGTGTCGTGCCTTCTTCCAGCCGTGCGGACGAAACGCAGCAGCACCAGCAGCAGGTACATCCAGTGTCCGTCAGTGTGGGTATGCCCTACCGTAACTACGAAAATGCTGGGAACTGTGGCCGGGTGGTGGAGGCTACTAGCTTCCAGGCGTCGCCAGTAGCGGCAATGCCCACGACAGCGCAGTCCAGCGGAGGCAGTAGGGGACACAAACACCTTTCCTGCCGGGAAAAAAGAGAACAGCGCCGGGAGATGAAGTCTTGCATTCACAGGGGAACACACTATGAATCTGGTATCGGGTCAAAATCACCCGGCGCGCAAGGAACTACAGGAAAAAAGTCGGTCGCGGCCCCTCCGCAAACGGCAGTGACGTCGTTCCTTTTGCCGGTTGAGGAAGATGTGGACATACAGTACACGCCGGCCTACCTTCCGCCACCTCTTGCGAACACTAGCGCGCAACCAAGCCTCGCGCAGGCGTATGGGGTGGCTGCTACGGCACCAGCTTTTGGCGTGACGAGCCAACAGCTCTCCCTGTTACAGCACGATTACAGCACAGCGAAAAGTGGGTCTCTGCGGTGGGCGCGGCTCATGAGCGAACTCGGACAGACGCCACTACACGTCAGGACGGTGTTTGACATACTCGACAAAACGAGTACCGGCTCCTCTTCTAACCTTGCTGCCTCCACACACCACTCCTACTTCGACCTGGAGAACTCGCTTCGGACACTGAAAAAGTGTGCGAATTTTGAAAGAGACGCGAGTCTAAGTTACCGGGTCAAGAAACTGTTCGACGTGAATGGATCTTCGGCGTGTAGTGCTGGGGGGAACTCGTCGTCTTCCCCCTCTGGTGCCACAAGTAAAAACAAGTCCTGGAACCAGCTGCAGATGCACACGAACGGGTTGTTTCTGACTACAGGAGATGCTGGAAAGACATGGATGGCCAGAAAGCGTAGCGCGCAGGCCAAGGCGCGTGAAATCCGCGAGCGGATTCGGAGTAGAATGGTGGGAGGCGGCAGAGGTCCGCGGGGCCCCTGCAAACCGGTGGGACAGGTTCCAGGGCCACCGCCTTTGAAGTTGGCGCCGGCCTATGTTCGCCCGGGGGCGGGGCCGGCTTCCTTGCGCTTGCCCGCCCGGGGCACAGCTCCCCCACCGGCCTTGTGAGTGTGCTTGGGTCGAGGTGGCGGCCGTTTCAACATTCCCCGTCGGCCCGGCCAGGTTCCGGGTGCGCCTGTATCCTAGGTTTCTTTTAGCCCGCGGCCGGCCCCGGGCTTCCGTGTGTGTTCCCGCACGGCTTCGCGGTATCGGGGCTCTGGTTGTTGATCGTCCCAGGGCCGGTTGTTTGTCCACCGGGCAAAAGCCAAGGCGCCGGCGAGCCATAGGCCCGCCCCGGCCTCTAGTTCAAAGCGCAGACACACAAGGCGGCGCGCGGGCTCACCGCGTCGCTTTCTCCCGGCCCGGGCCCTGGTTACGCTATTGCGCGCGGGCTGACGCGCGCGCGCAGGGGGGTTGCCCCGCCTTTTTGGACAGGCCGGCGCACTTTTTTTTGGGCCCCCCCGCTCGGCCTCCCGGCATATTGTGGTCGCTTGGCGATCAGCGTTGGCGCACGGCGGCGTGGCCAAGTGCTTTGGCCGGGTTTGCTCAGGGTCGGGAACATGGGGGAAGCCGTGGGGCCGCCACGCAGGAAGGGCAACGCATTTTGATACTAGCAAGGAGCAGGCTTTCCGCTGGTACGCCCTCCCGGGTAAGTCATTTGTGGCAACACGCGCCGCGCCCAAGGATATTGCCGCGGAATCCAGGCAGGGTGCTGGAAAGGGGCCACGCGCAAGGGGGCGACGTTGCTAATTCACTGCCCTCCCACCGCGCCCGTAATCAAAAGCAAGGGCAGACAGCGGCGCCGGTTGCGGCCCGCTTCAACATTGACTGCATGCCGGCGCGGCGGCGGCGCCGTCCGGCTGGGGCGCGTGTATTCTTTATCGCCAACAAGCTGGCGGGCCGCCAGCGAGCGCCTTCGGGCTGTGCCCGCGCACGTTCCTTCGTGCGGATTTTCGATGCTACCGCGAGGCATCGCGATGTTGCGTTTCTGGGTCCCAAGCACCAGAAAGCGCGATTTTAGCATGTTCCGCAGGGTTCCGTTTTTGTACTTTGTCCCACCATATCCTGGAACCAGCTGCAGATGCACACGAACGGATTGTTTCTGACTACAGATGCTGGAAAGACAGATCGCCGGTGCGGGGGTAGGGCGCGGGCAGGTCTGTGTAGGACAAGAACATCAAGGGAGCAAGACCACAGCGCAGCTTCGCAGGACGACAGACTCCTGCCCACGACCAAGCCGGTGGTGGTGGAAATGTCGCTCTTTCGGGAGAAGGAAGGAGTTGGAGAGCAGCAATTGCTGTTTTCTTCAGTAGCAACATCTTCTCCGAGTAGCTCAGGCAGTTCAACCTCCGCGTCGACAAGCGCGTCAAGCGTTGCGTCCTCATGGAGTAGAGGTAGTGGCAGCTTTAGTTCAAGAACTTCTTCTAGCAGCAACCGAGGCAGCACGAGTAGTAGTTTTAGTGCTGCAGCCGGCAATTATATTCCAACGAGAATCGTGCATTCTCAAAGCGCGAATCCCGCCATTGTGCGGAATTCCTTCGCGGGACGGATTGTGCTACTACAGAAGGATGATTTTGTGAAGTTTTCCGCTACTCCACGCTTGCACGGAACAAGCGGGTTCGCAGATTCTGCGTTGCATGGCGGAAATCCCTATCCCTTTCTGTTCAATCCGGAAGCACGAATTGAACAGGACCAAAAGTGTTTCCTATTCAAAAAGTGGTGGAAGAAATGGCGGCAACGGCAGCAACGTGGATCTGGGCGGCACTGCGGAAACCTGCTTGGGGAAAGTGATCGGGAGGAACTCGCGGAGGAGCGGAGGAGGAGCGCTGGTCGTGTGGAGGAACATGACATGCAGAGAACGAACTGTGCCGGCGCAACTACTGCATCTACTAGTACAGCGTCCGCGTCCACGATCTTTGCTAGTACAGTGACAGCCGCTTCTTCTGCCACTGGTACAACAACTACCGGGGTGGGACAAGCAGCTTCGTTTGTTTCCGGACACAATCCACCTTCTCACGAACAGCTGCGGGAATCTGCGTCTACCCATGTTGAAATGGTCCCGTATGAATTCAACCGACTGTCGGAACTGCACTTGCAGATCGGGACGGGAATGTCGGCGACGCACTGGAAATTTACGCGGCGGGTGCGCATGCAGAGCAGTCGTCCGGTGGTTACGGGAAATTATAACCCTGGTAGTTCAACATCTGGTTTCAGTCGGGGTGCGGATGCTGCATTTGGGCCCGACGACTGCATCTAAAATCCCGGAAAGTTGAAGTTGTCGAATATGTGGACAAAACGAACAACGCCCTTCGAAGCATGGAGGGACTTGAGATTGTCAAGCCATCGCCCTGGAAGATCTTTGTTGATCCTGGAGAATAAAGGGCAGGCCGCCTAATGTGTAAGTGTAGGATAATATAGAAGAAGAGTCGAATCCGAATGTATATGGCGAGGAACAATTTCTTGCTGGAAAATGCACGTGAAAGACCACAGGAGACCCAATTTATTAAGTTGTGCTGGAACAATAAATGTACTGTGCTGCTTTTCTTCGAGGTAAGTGAATGAAAAAAACAAACATAAGAGGTAGAACTGCACATGCTGCCTCGGTCATCAACATAGTCTAGGTCTACCGAGGTTTTTAGTAAAAGGCAACGCTGTGCCACCACCTAACTCTGTCTGTCCTGGTCTGCCTAAAATTCAAAGTCTAAGAATGTAAATTTTATCGCGCCATCGCGTAGTGGCCTTTCTGCATTCTCTGCCGGGCGTTTTGTTTTTTCCGCCTGATCATAATTCTGTGTTCTTCACAACTACGACCACGAGGGATGATTCTTAACTACGACCACGAGCGCGACTGAGAGCAGTACGGGGGACGGCGATCATGCGCATCAGGACTAAGTTTAGGATTTTGAAGAGAGGCCTTAAACCAGAAGAGCCTCACCATTCACGGTAAGCTGAGCGATTTTCTCGGCTACGCAGGACCCCATCAGCAAATACTTCAAAAGATAAAAGACCCAGCTCTAATATCCATTGATACCTACTTACGCAGAATAAGGAAACGGATGAAAGTAGACAGTGGAGTTATTTCTGTGACGAGCCACGACGGTGCTCCTCACGCTCAACATGTAAATGAGGACAGCTTCTTGAGACCTGAATACACTGAGCTCGCTGACCGGAAGAAGCTCGACGCCGCAAACACCTTTTTCGAGAAGCGGTGCGCACCGAATTTTCCCGGAGTCGAGAACATTACCACGGAGGAGATTTTGGAAAAGATCGGTAAAGCACAAGCAAGATCTGGTGTGAATGATGGGGAGGAAGCACGAGGTGAGGAAGAAGAAGAACACGTAGTTCTTTTGGTTGACTGCCGTTCGGCGCAAGAGCAGAACGTTTCTAAATTTTCTGGAGCACTTACGAAGGAAGAATTCGAAGAAAAGATTTCACATGCAAGCAAAGTAAAAGGACCAACACCCACAACCATTGTTCACGTCGTCTGTTACTGCACGATTGGAGGGCGAAGTGGCGAGTATGCGCAGCAGCTGAAGAAGAGGCTGGTGAAAGACGGCGAGCCGGGTCGTGAGAATAAGGGTTCAAGTGGTAGCGCTGGTGTTACTACCTACAAGATTTACAACTACAAACTGTCCTTGATCGATTTCGCGCATAAGAATAAGCCACCAGGAGCAGCACCAGCAAGGCTGTCACCTCGGACGGACGCATTGTCAGCACATCTTCATCAAGGCAACTACACTCGCATTTCGAGACTCGAACTTATCGACCCGAAAACGAACCAGCCAACGAACAAAATTCACGCTTGGGGTCTCCTGTTTGCTGATTTTTTCCCTGAAAGGAGTGGAACAACGGGAAAGGCAAGTCCTTTTGATGTCACAGTCCTACCTAAACCCGAAGGCCGCGAAGGGCGCCCCTGGATGCTGTTTTTGACCAACATCTGGCATTTTGTTTCGAAGCCGTTTGGGTAAAGGAAAAGTTTTTTCCCTAATGTGACGCAGTTCCAACAAGGAGGATGTTGCGGGCCTCGAGGTGCTGCCGCTGCGCGGGCACTATTCTCTGGAGGCCGCGTAGTGGATTAGAAGGAGGAGGCTACAAGAAGCGAATTGAACAAGGTAGGGGAATCGGGTGGTTTGTCGATGCGGCACACCACGCTGCACCATCCCTCGAGTTTTTTAGCTTGCCGAGGATGTCGCTTTTTCCGCTCTTGATGCGAATTCGGTCTGCGCAGGCAAAATGTGCGACTGAAGGCCCGTGGATGGCCTTGCAGGTGCGCAATACGGAAGTTGCATACCAGAACGCAGCGAAGGGAGATATGCTCTGCGAAGTCCGCCATACCTCGTTCTCACGGTATCCGGACATGCCACTGATTGTTACCTCGATCCCAACCAAGTCGTTGTTCGTCCTGGAGACGCCGCACTTCCGCGAGCGATTCAAGCTGAGCCTCACCTCCGAAAGTGAGCACCGCCTGCAGGTGGATCGCCCCGAGCATATGCAGCTTCTAGCTGCACGGCTCGTGCGCCTCTACGAGGTTGCGATGGCTTGCTCCACTAGCTATACGGGCAGCTTATTCTCACTAATGGAGGCTGCAGCGACGTCGACTGCGCTGCGGCGAAACCGCCGGGTTTTAGTGGAGGTGATGCAGCTTCCCGTCTTCTCGGAATTGCAGTTTCCGGTGGAAACGCAGATGAAGCCAGGGGCCCACAATGCCACACTCCGCGGGCTGCGCGTGACATTCCGTGCCACCACGGAGTACTTTCGCGGCGGAGCGTCAGGGAACTTGCCAGTGCAAATTTTCCTTCCCAACGTGGTCGACACGGATGGTTTTTTGTTTTTGGTTGCCGACGACCCGGCAAACAAGATGCGGCTGACGCGGATCGGCCTCGTGCCGAACCGCGTAGTGGTAGACCGTGGTCTTTTGAACGGTATGGGCAGGCGGGGTACTAGCCGTTATGTGCGATGGTCTCCGACATCAGAAAACAGTGCGATGGACGACACGTTCCAAAGTCAGGAGATCATCATAACTGGCTCGAGCTTTAGTGGTTTGGACTCGTACTTCATCTCGGTTGAGGCTGGTGAGCACGCTATTCATGCCTTCGCGACGCGCATTTTGGCTGAGATACACGCCTCAAAGGCAGCGCCACCCATTGGATCAAAGCTGGATGATGACGGTAAATGCGCGTATCAATGAAATTTCACTCACCTCCAAGATTACAACTACAAGATTTACAACTACAAACTGTCCTTGATCGACTTCGCGCATAGGAATAAGCCAGCAGGAGCAGCGGTAGCAGGATCAGTAGCAGGTGAAACTGACATCTTGTCACACCAAAATCAGCGGAAGAATCACCCTGGCAATAGTTCGAAACTCGAACTAATAGACCCGAAAACAAACAAGCCAACGAACAAGATCCACGCCTGGGGCCCACTGTTCGCTGAGTTCTTTCCCGAGGGGAATGCTGGATCGCTGGGAACCAATTCAAGTCCGTTTGCAGTCACGGTCTCGCCGAAACCGGAAGGCCCTGAAGGGCGTCCGTGGACATTGTTTCTGACTAACATCTGGCATTTCGTTTCGAAGCCTTTTAGTTAATTGGGTCGACTTCTAGGCATTATAATGAGCAGTGGCACATCAACTGCTGTCGCAAGGTTTTGAGTCCGTCGCCACACTTATTGTTGTCGATCAAACTATCCTGTGTATGTGAATATCGTGATCGGTTCGGCGTGTGTAGGTCACGCGTGCCCAGCATGCTGGTACCATGCCAGGAATAAAATATCAAGTTCGTATGAATGGTGATGATCCTGGAGCATCTGGAGATCAGTTTACATGAACAAGAAGAAGATCTTTTTCCGGTCCATGAAAATGTCAAGACGGTGACGGTGAAAAATAGTTTCCACGATCAAGAAGACATTCAGCATGTGGATCTGTAGCTGAACCAGCTTCTCGAAACACCAAGAAATCAAAATGCAAATAGACCTGGCAGGTGCCGTACTTAAAATCTATTTCGGTTTTAATATCGTTCTCCAAGTGTGACCCACAAATGAAAATGTACCGACGAGTATTTTAGTTTGAAAGACCGGCGGCAACCTTCTTGTTGCACCGCGATTGCAGTCACAACCATGAGTACCGTACCAAAAATCACAACAGTTGTAGACGCATCCTAGTAGAAACTTCCAGTAGTAAAACGAAGCAGCTGCGGAGTCGTACACACAACTACGTCTCGCACAACTTTCAAAACCTCTTTCTTTGTAGTATTTAGTTTCGTGCCCATCTTCAAGTCAAGTCGATTTTTATGCCCAATGAATGAATGCCATAAGTAATTATTTGCACCAAATTTTTCGGACCATCCACATCAGGTGAAAGCCTGATCTTCATCGCATCTTCGACAACTGTGTCGGTAGTAACATCAAATTACTTCTGTGCAGACGAGAACACCACGTATCTAGCACTGACATCGGACTGTTCCAAGCTCGTCTACATATCTGTTATATAATTCTGAGAACTGCTCTGCCAAACCCAAACCCAGAAGCCACAGGACAGCTAACAATGATGGTCCGCGGTCACGCTCATGCAACCGGCGCCGGCACGCGCGTTGTCACAGTGCTGGCTCTCGCCGGCGCATGTCTTTTTGGACCCATTTTTCCGGTGCTCGCTGAGCCTTCCCCTTGTCAACAAACCGTAGCCTGGCACCTGCAGTACAATAACCATCCGCCTACTCGTATGCTGGAGGAGGTGGCAGCGCAGGAATCGCCGCAGTGCAAAGAGTACAAGTACCGCCAAATCACGAAAGGCGCCGAGGACAAGGAAGTCAAACGTGATACCCCTGTGCCGTCGATGCCGCCGCGCTTTTTTGGTGTGCCCAACAGCCATGGAGGCTGGTTTCACAAAACCACTTCTCCAGCACGTGGAGTGGAAATACCCGGCCGCACTCCTCCGAATGGAGAACCTGGGGCCTTGGGAAAGAACGACTTCGGGCATTTGCAGTTTGCGTTCTGCAGCAGCACGGACGACGCCAAGCCATGCAACCAGGATGCCACGGGGGCAAGGTCCAGCGGTACGGACACCCCGCTGCACCAAGTTGCGGCAGCTATCTTTCGCGAAGTGCATCGCGATCGCGATCCGATGGAGCAGAGAAGCCACAACTACCAACACCGGCGGGTTGCGGTCTGGACCAAATCCAGCCCGAAAACCGCTGCGAGTGGTTTGCGGACGGCCGTGGCCGGTGCGGTCAAGGGGGAAACCCACAAGGAGCTGGAGATTCCCTCTTTGAAACCTTTCACCAGCCAGCTGTGCAGCGGCAGGCTGAACTGGACGCAACTCGCGGCCTCCGACCGTACCTACCAGCGCCGCCTCGTCTTCAAGCGGCACGCCGACGCGATCCGGTTCTACACCGAACTGCAACTGTTCCAGTTGTTCACGGATTTTCGCATCTCGCCCCAAGCCGCGGAGATGGCCGGACTACTGACGCAGCTCCCACCGTCAGAAATTGGACAATTCTCTGAGAAGTGCAAGAAGTTGACGGAGGTTTTTGAGGGCGTTCGCGCCCAGGTGGAGTACGACGTGGTCACTTTGGAGCAGGACCCGATCCTAAACCAGAAGGGCGCACCCCACCGCCGGGACCCGCAGCGGCAGCACGAACCGGCCGGGGTGCCGCAGGTGCTGGCGGCGATCGGGGAGAACTTGGAGGAAGAATTGCGAGCGTTTGCGGCGGCCGATAAGAGCACCAGGTCGGAGGTCCGGCGGCCCAAAAATCACGACATCTTCGCGACGCTGCAACGGGCCGCGCACGAGCTGTTCGGAGAGCAAACAAGATCTGCCACCAGCCCCTCAGCCGGTGGAGCTGCGGCGCCAGCAGCAGCAACCGGAGGTCTTCCCGCTGGTGAAGCAGCAGCAGCTACCTTTTCGAAGTCGCATCAGGGGAAGATTGCGGAGCGCCGCGCCAAGTCGCAGGAGCGGGACCGCGTTCGCGCGGCGCGCGAGCGTGGGAGCGCCATGCGGGAGAAAATTGCAGAGCTGCTTTTCGGCGCGTCGGACCGGTTGCAGATTTCTTTGCTCGATATGTGGCCGAGTGATGTATCAAGTTGAAAAGTGCCCCCCCGCCCCCGGATGTTTCAAAGGTTTTTGTTGCAGCCTCAGCTGAAGGTTTAGCTCATCAAATCTATTCCTGCTTCGGATTCTGAGAGCGCAATAATAAAGCAGGAGCTCCCACATGACAAGTGCCCTTCGTTTTGCAACACAGAGCTTCGCTTCTCTCAATCAAAAATCTGTCATGCTACTAAGTACTGACATACGATACAACTTGCTACAGTGCGGAAAATCTTTCCACGTGGGAACTGTAGCTGCAGCACAAGCTGCGATTTAAGTTCTGGTAGCGCCGTCGGTTTAGCGCACAGCGCAAACGCTCTCACGTAGTTCTGGGGTAGGGCGGTGCTTTTCACTTTGATACCATGAGGAAATGAAAGAGGTCCTCGCGTCGGTGACGGACAAAAAATCGTTCATCAAGGGATACTTAAAGGGCTGGGAGCACGCGGGACGGGCGGGCGCGAATGGGGCGCGACTTTGTGCAGCGGCCCACCGCCTCTACACCGACGTTATGGCCTCTGAAGCTCCCTCTGAAGCACCCTCTGGAACTGCAAGGCCCGCGAGCACGTCGTTCCACCCAGGCAGTCAAGCTTATGTCCCTCGGTCTTCGGGTTCGTCTCCTGGCACATCCTCCACCCGCAGCGGGAGTCGCAGCAGCCGGATTTCGGGCAGCAGCGGTCCGAGTCGTGTGTTCTCTAGCCAAGGTGGTTCAGGCCGCGGGCGCTCTCCCCTGGTCGGAGTGCTGCCGTGATCATCTCTGCGAGTCCGACGCGAGTAGTTACCTTTTTTTATGTGCAAAAATAGAAGAGATGATGTGTGCCCTTTTTTTGACGAGACTGTTTTGGATGGGCATTTTTTAAGAGACGAGAAATTTTATGGATTCCGAATCTGTAGGCAAGTAAGAACTTAGTTTTACTTCTAGACGTGGATTGATGTTACTGACAGAAGGACCACGTCGGGGTCGCCAAGAGATTCCATTTGCTGGAAAGTTTTGTAGCAGGAGGAATGTCGCATTTCACGTGCTGTTTCGCCCGGCACATCATTCCCCCTCCAGATTAAATTTCTTCTCTATTTGCTCCATGTAGTTTATTGGGCAGAGCGATTTCGGGTGATCGTACGTTCATAAAATTCAAATTGTATAAACACCTCCAGATCTTCAGGGCGGACGGAAGTAGTACACCAGGATGAGTTTAGTTGTCGCAACTTGAAGTTGTAAAATGGTATTAACAGAAGTAGCGGAGAATTTACTGAAAAAGCGAATTTGTACGGAGGACAAGGACATACTTAGGTTCCTATACCTCTACGAGGTGGCGAACCTGTACGTGATAAACAAGATTGAGATTTTTAAAGACGTGTATGATGGTGCCTCAACAAAAAGAAAAAAGTGAGAAATCTAGTATAAGATAGCCAGGAGAACGTGAACAAGACCGCAGTATTTCTATTTGGGATTTAACACGCATTCGCATAACACAGGTCCCGGATCCAATTTGAAAAAAGATCGTGACAGAAGACGTATTAGTATATGGTCATCACATAGAGTTAGAGATACCTGTACCAGATGAAAAGACGATGTACCCCTGTCCATACAGTTGTATATCGCCTGTGAAAAGCAGAAGCACCGGAGTTTTTGGTTTCCACACCCCCGTGAAAAATTCGACAGAGCCCCGACGGTTACTCGTTCATCCAAAAGAAGCGACTGCGCGTGTGGTTCTCTCACTCTCTTCGGAACTAGGAGGAGATACGCAGCAGAAACTAGAATATTACAGGAAAATGTCGCTTGACTTTTGCAAGAACAAAAACAAAGTAGAACACGAGGAGGACAGCTCCTGTCGTAAGTATTTAGTACACTGTGCCCCGCATCAGCATCAGTGCAGCCAATGGCGTAAAATGCGGACAGGGTGCGAAGTCCACTGTCATGTCGTTTTCGGAGCAGAGCGCAGCATTTTTGTTGCTGCGACAGAAATAACTCGTCAAGAGATGAGGAGATGAGATGTCGCACAAATATGCGGAGAAAATTGTTGAGGTGAGAGATCAGGTGTCCTCGCAAATGTGCGTAACAAGTACTGCATCCGCTTTTGAACGTGTGCGTGTTGTGGAGTTGTCAGAGCGACAGGTGGAAGTTTCTGTGAGTTGTTCTCCTTATTCCTCCTCCGAAGTAGCGTTGGCTCGAGGACTCGGGTTATATCCATGGACCTTCTTCCTTGTCCTCGCGAATGTTAAACGGCCGCATGATGCGCATGGTGCTCATAAATATTGCAAAGGTCTTCGTCTTCTGTAGCGCACAAAATAAAGTGCTTCCAACATTCACGCGCGCTGCGCGGACCCCGCCTCCACTGCTTGCACTTCGACAGAATGTACACCGGAACCAGAAATTGTGACAGCCAGCACGACGTCGTGTACAACCTTGCACTATCTTCGAGGGCCAGCATGCTGCAGCGACGTCAAAGTTTATTTTCTTAGCACGAGCAGAAGCATTACATCACGACGACCTTCCTCGAGCGGAATATGGGCGGTTGTTTCCCCACCGCTCTTGGGGGCACTGGTTGGGGCGGGGGCGGGGCGCAAACGTGGACGGAAGTGGTCTACGGTGCGGAGCCGAGGTATGGAAGCGTCAGAATTGAAATCGTCAAAGTTGAAGTAATTTCTCATGCATAAATTGCAAGGCATGGAGTGCCTCTCTTGCAGGGACGGCAAGTGAGGCCGACTGTCAGCCTGTTTGGGGTCTGCGGTAGAGCTGCTAAAGTAGCATGACACAAGACGCCTTCTGTCCCTAAACAGCATGACAAACTGGATTTAGTCGGTGCCGAAATTTGTCATGCACCGCTTGAAAATTGGGCTTGGCTTCCGACTGGTATCGATTTCATGCATCACAAGTCATTTCAACTTTGTCAATTTCAAACCTGACACTCCCATACGAGGCAGTGTTTGGAGTCCAAGAGAAACAGCAGCTGTGAGTTTTACTTCAATGACAAAAAGGAAGACAAGCTGAGCGACGACTTGTCGGAGTTGCTGAGGGAAATCTACCCCGGACTGCACAAAGTTTTCCAGGAAAGAATCTTCAAGACCACAGGGAGTTCCGAGTTGGACGACCTCCCACCAGGAGGCCGGAACAACGATTCCACTTCACACCAGCGATTGGTTTACACGCCTGCCATTGGCGACTGGCAGCGGGACTTTCCGGGTTCTTGGATGCTCCAATTTGTGCCTGCGCTGCCTTTCAACGCAGAGTTGCGACAGCAGATATTCCTCGTGCCGCAATTGACGAGCGAGCAGGAGAACAGCTTGTCTGAGGAGGAGAAGCAAAAACTGCAGCGCCAGAAACAGCAAAACAACGCTTGCACCTTCTTCACGTACGCCTTCGGCCCCTTGCCGTTTTTGAACCTGGACAACATAAAAGAGGCACGCATGGTTGTAAACGCGAACCAGAAGTTTTTGGGGTTGGCTTTCGACGACTACGGTAAGTTTGTGAAACAATTCGACGTGCTGGATCTCGACTTGACGGATAAGGGGTTCGAGAAAATGGAGATTGTCAACGAGGACTTCGAGGAAGAACTGAAGAAAAATCCGTCGGAAGTTCCCAAATTGAAACAGTCCTCGAAACTGAAAATGGTTTTCCCCTGCACAAAAACCATCCTGGACGCGAACGACGAAGACGAGGACGATTTTATCAAATCCTTCAAATTCCATTTCACCTTCCTCGGCCGGTTTTCCCCCCATCTAATCCCCTTCGGCAACGTTTTCTACAAGGGGAAAATAGCCGTCGCCCCGCGGAGCAAAGGCGCACAGCTGCTGGAGGAGCAGCAGAAAATCGGATGTGCGCTCGGCTCGGTGTTGAGCGGGATGCTGCACACACGGTCGTTCCAAACGGAGCTGTTTCTCAGCGACAGAGGGTGGCAACTGAAGGTTTTTCCAGGGAGGGACAGTAAGTCTCCTGACAGAGCAGGAGAGCAACAGCAGCAAGAACAGAACCTTCAAACGAACAATAGCAGTAAACATTCCCATTCGATTTTCGTCTGGCCGCTGCTGTTCTTCCCGATTGACGTGGTGAAAAAACTCCCCCTGTACGACGGTGGTACGTCCTACCTTCGGGGAACGGCAAGACCGGAACTGGCGACGGAGGAAGACTTGGCACCAGATGAGTTCGACGAGGAAATTCTGGAAACCAACATTTACACGCAGCTTTCCTCCCTCGAGTGCCGAAAGGAGGAGGGTTTCGTGCCGAGCTGCTACAGCATGCGCGACAGTTTCCGGTTTGCTGGAAATAATAGCGAGCAAACACTATCAGAAATAGCGACAACAGCCGGAGCTGCTGAACATGAGCAACTCGAAACCCTCCTGAGCACGACCCCAACCCCTTTCGCCTCCACGCCCGAACAGCAAGCGGTGTTCTTGCAGGACAACTACGGGAACTACCGGATTTTCTCTAAAGTACAAGAATCCAGCTTGAACTTTATCCGGGTGGATTTCCAGCTGCTGGAGGTAAAGGACTCGGGGATCGCAACCGGGGCAGATATGGAAGAAATAAGCGGGGAAGATGCGAGTACAACAAGTCCGAACAGACGAAATTCTTCCGGAGGTAGTTCTTTGGATCATCCGAATAAAGATGTTCTTGCACCTCCTCCGCCACAACAGCCAGAGATGATCGAACTTTTCACGTTTGAAGGGTTTCCAATGCCAAATCCCTGCTCGAAGTTGGTGGAAATTGCACCTTATGAACTGCAAAAGTATCGTACTCGTATAAATGCATCACAAATTTCCTCAGCGTGAGAAATAAAATTTCTCATGCTGATTTACCTTAAGAAAAAGATGCAAGACTTGCATTTACACGATACTTTTGCACAGGATACGCCTCCGGCGGAGCAGGATTTATACGACGATCACCTTCTTGCAGGAGCCGGCGCTCCGAATAGTACTAACCTGACGCAGTCTTTGCCGATAGCAGGAGGAGGATCTCCGACTGGCCCTCGTCCCACCTCCCCCTCCGGCCGCCCGGGACTGTCCAATCTGGACGCGAAAATTGCGCAGGACCAGAGGGCCAAAATCGGGCAGACGAAGAACCTCGTCGACCAGAACAAGAAGAACTTCGAGCTGAATCAGCGCATGCAGCAGCAGTTCATGCAGGCGGACATGGAAATGAGCAAGAGCCCGCAGTCGTCGCCCGGGAGCCGACGGCGGTTGAACCGGTTGAGTTCCATGGGGATGGGGGGGAGGTTATCAAAAGGAAAAATTTATTCCCGTTCCCATATCGAACAAAAGGAAGTTTGTGATGCCGGATGTGCGTACACAAATCAGATTTGTCTTGCAGCAGAGAACTGCAGTCATATGCCAACCCTGGGCACCAGCGAGGTTTTGACGTAGGGGCTTAGCATTACAAATGTCCACACTGTAGGCCGAGCAGCATCACAAACCGCCTGCATAATGCGGCGTAGCCTGTGGAGTTGCCTTCTTGCAAAACAGTGACGATTTGTGGCCACAGATCAGCATTGCAAATTTTCTGTGGCCTCCTTTTCGATATGGGGAGGGTGGATTTTTCCTTGCGATAGAGGTCTCGGTCGATGCTCGGCTTTGGTCTCTCCCCGACGTCGGGCTCCGGGCCATATCAAATGCAAAAATGTCTGGGTCTGGAACGTTGCAAGACTTGTAATGCAGGTTTTCCATGACCCATGAGGTCTGGAATGCGAGTCCCATCATCACAGATTCTTTGAGGTCTCTACCATGCCTTTCCTGCATGAGAAACTCCCTCTCAACTTAGTCAAAAGCGGACAGCTTTTGGTACTCACGCAACACAGATTTTTGCATCATTCAGATTTAGCATGACAAGATTTAGCGCAGTTCAGATTTAGCGAAGTTCAGACTAGCATGACAAGTTTTAATTTTCCAGACCCAGACATATTTGCAATGCATAGGCCAGTATCGCCCGCAATGGAAAAGAAGCAGGTGGAGCAAGCCAAGCCGGTGATCCAGGAACTCGTGAAGGACCTGACACTGCAAATCACGAAGCAAGTGATGGAGACTCTGGAGAAGGACGAAATGCAAGAGAAACTTCTCCGCTATGAGCCGGACAACATCGAAAGGTTTCACGAGAGCGTCATGCGGGAGAAGAACCGGTTGATTCAACTGGAGGAAAAACGGAAAGAACGGATACGGTTGAAGCACGGCGTGGACGACCTCGATTTCTCGGCCGTGGGGAAGACGTACGACCACAAGGGGTTGGACAAATTCTTTCTCGAAGAAGAAGATGAGACTGTGAAGCCGACGAAACTGAACGCGAGCGCCGCGATGGGGCAGTCCGCCGGATCGGCCGGGCTCGGATTGGTGGAAAAGTCGGAGACCATGATCCGGCACCAGGAGCGGATTCAAAGAAAGGAAAAAGCGAAAAAGCAGCGATTACTGGAGGAGGAAGAGGAAAGGGACCAGATGCTGGCGAGGTTGGCGAAAAAGCAAGTGCTGGCAACGGAATAGGGCGGGAAAGAGATGAGTTGCGAGGACTCGGCCTCGGCAAAGAACTGTGTCGACGAAGTTGTTGGGTGCTTTTTGACACATTTTGAATATCTGTATGATGGTGTTGCCGAGGAAACAGTAAGTTTCAAGAACGAAGATACTGAAAGAATACCCACGACCTGTGTAGAAGTCGATTTTTCCAGGCTCAATAGCTGCTCGTCTGTAAGGCTCTCCTGTCGCAGCTGCGAGGCGCCTCGTTGTTCGAAAAGCCAAACGAACTGAAAAAAATGGTTCCCTTTCCGGCGGACTGAAGAAAAAAGAATTGACACAAAGTTGGATTGCGAATGAGTGACTTTTGTGAAGTAGCGAGATTTTTTTGTGGAGAAAGGTTGAGTTGCAGTCACGTTTACTTTCTTGAAAATCGCGCATAGGGATAAAACATCGCTGCACATCTTGGATAGCTTTGATGCTCGAGCTTTGTGTTTCAAATGAAGCTGCATAGTATGTAAGTGCATACAATGCGTTTACTTGCCGTGTTGTGTTTCCATGGGAATAAGCCATACATTACAACTAGCGCCGTACTATTAGCGATTTCTTTTTAAGAACGGAAAAAGAAGTTGAGCTAACCAGGAACTAAAGTTGATCGATCGGAGAGAAAACCAAAACCACCTTCACAATGCCATCTCTCGCGCCGACCGGCGGCGAGCAAGCCGCACGGCGGGCAAGTTTGGAGAAGGAAAAAGCGCCCAATCCAGATGAAGCCGGACCAACAGTAGAAGCTGGGGCACCAACACATCCTAAAGAAACCGCAGCCAGTTCCTCTACCACCGCCGCTGCCGCGGCCTCGAGCATAATCAAATCTGCCGCTGCGGCGGTACCGGTTGACCCAATAGCTGCGGAGAAGAAAAAGCAGACCGCTGCCGCGAAGAAGAAGGCGAAGAAATTGGCGGAAGACCTGAAGGAGGAGAGTGACTGCTTTGACAAGGAGAAACTCGAGAAACACGGCTGGGAATATTGCAAGAAGGAAGTAGAGGAGGTTGTGTACATCAATAGCAAGTCAAAGGATAAGAAGGAGTACCTGAAAGAAGACCTTCCGCCCAGGATCAAGAGTTCATTGGAGAAAGGCGAACCGTTGGTGAATTTCACAACGCAGAAGAAAATGGTGGAGAGAGAAGAATGGAAACATAAGGAGTGGACAGGTATGCTATGTAGTCGCGTTTCAAATTTTTAGGCGGGTAGCATTGCAAATGCAGCCGTGGCTTGCTGTCATGCGAAGCATAATTCGTACCCCAGCACGTCCTCGAATGCAATCGCTACTACATTCATGAAATACAGAGGAGACCTTCGGCAAGAAGGAGAAGCTGTTCAAATTTCTGAATGTGTTCCAGCCGGTGAAGGAAAAATCAGCCAAGCCCCCGGCGGAGAGCAAGGAGGAGGAGAACAACGCCGCCGGCTCCACGCTGCTGTTCAGCAACGCCGGCGGGCAGTTTGCCACCACCACGACAAACAACGCCGACGTTGCGCCTCCGAAGAAGCAACCGGAGGACTTTTTCGCCGACTTCGCTACTCTCGGCCAGAACAAAGCGGACGTCGCGAAGGCGGTGAGCAAGGCCGGGGGGTTCTCCGTGAACCAAAATTTGCAGAAGGATTTGGATGCCGACCTGGGCGGGAAGGACGGGCAGGTGATTGACTACGAGAAGGAGATCATCTTCGACGAGGACCTGAAAAAGGAAGAAATCATAAAGCCGTGGTCAGATGTTGAAGAGTCGAAGAAAGGCGCGGAGAAAAAGTCCTCCAAATCCTCAAGCTCGTCCTCATCGAAGAAAAAAGCAGAAAAGAGTGGCGAAAAGCAGGATAAAGAGGAGCCGGCAACGACCGGAGCTACCGCCGGAGGGGGCGCGGCAAGTTCATCGTCAAGTTCTTCAGCGGCCGCTGCTGTTGACAAAACAGCGACAGCTGTAGTCGAGGAGAAGAAGGGAGAGGAACCACCAGCAGGCGAGGTCGCAGGAGAGCAGGCGAAGAGCAAGCGGGGTAGGAAGAAGGGCACAAGCAGCAAAGCGAAAACGTCAAAAGAAACTAGTACAAAAGCTGGTGGTGGCGCAGCTGCAGTAGTAGAGACGGGCGAAGAGGAAAACAAAGGCGACGAAGAAAAGCCGGACGAGAGGGAAAAGACGCCCGGGGCGGGTGCGAAAGCCGCTGCCGCCCCAGTGGAGACACTGCCCGGGATGCCAAGTATGTTTGGCAGCATGGCAGCTGGATCGGTGCACAAGGTCAAGGGGAAGGGAGCGGCTGGTATTGTGGATAGATTTGCTTGCAGGGCCAGGGCCGTTGCGCTTGTGCTACTTTTTCGGTTGACTCTGTCCGATGCGTGGATTGCATGCAAGGCTCTGCAAGATCATGATCTATTTCCTGTCGACACTCAAATTCATTGCGCATGACAACTCAATTCTCAGGTCTCAACAAGAAGAAGCAGTTGAAGAAGCAAGTCACGATCGCCGACCCGCCGGAGGAAAAAACCCCTGCGGACAAGGAGGCAGAAATAAACAAAGAGAAGCCAGAAGAGGAAATATTTGTAGGGCCTAGCCCGGTGCCAGAGGTACGGGGGGAGAAGAAGGCTGTAACGTCTACCGGTGCAGCTGCAGCAAGTAGTAGTAGTAGTAACCCAAACCAAGACGTCATAATGAACGACAGTAGCAACTTTTTGAAATCCAACAACATCGCTCTAATGGAAGACAGCGAGGAGAAGAGAAAAGCGACGAATAAGCGAAACCGTTCCGACGAGGAGGACGAGGGTGAAGATGCGGGCGATGATAAGGCACAAATTTACTTTTGTCATGCATGAAGGCAGCGCGTGGGCTTATTTGGCTATGCATGACGTGCACGCGGCAAGGTGCTTCAAATATTCGTTTGTGCGTCGAGCATGAGCACGTAGGTGATTTCCACTAGCAAAAAAAACGCAGGGCGACACGGCCACCCGCCAGAGTCTTCCCAAGCTCCAGTCCACGCAGCAGGAGCCGGTGGCGCACGTCGCCAAGCGCAAGAGAAGAATTGCGGCCGGGTCGAAGCGGGAACTTTCAAAAGAATACGATGCGGACGCGCAGCGACAGTCGGAGCGTATTGATGCATAAGTTTTGCTTACAACAGTTTGAGTTTTGCTTGTATTCCATCTACATCATGCACCTGTTGACAATACCAGAAACGGCTTGCCATCGAGGTCGGCGTTTTTGAATCAGCATATGTTCGATCTCGCCATGCATGCATTACCTCCCAGGTGTCCCCCCTTCCGCCGAGGACGACTGCATCTGCGATGCAATTATACCGCAATGGGCCCTTCCCAGTCCCTCCGGCAAGGATTCCGTGCAGTGCGACGTCGCGTTGTTTCGCCCGTTTAGCGACACGATGAGCCAGACGCCAATACTGTTTTCCTCCGTGCACCAGAAAAACTTTATCGTGCACGCGGATGTGCTGACAAGATTCGCTTTGCCCATTGTGGACCCGCAGTCTCACTGCCAGTTTTTCTACGATGCGGCCAAGAAAGAGCTCAGAATTTTTACGCAGGACGACAGGTAGTAGAGGACTAGACTCGGCTTTGCTAGGTCAAATAGAACAATGAATAGCGAAATTATCCCTATTCTGCAACAAGAAATAAGGCACGCAATCCCAATCGGAAAATGCAATCATTTTCGTCGTTCCTTCTGATTAAGCACCCTCTTCACAACTACAGTGACTACAAGACCTTCGTCAACGGAGAATTGCTCGAGAGATTCCAGACGAAGCAGCTCCAAAACGAGGACGAAATTTCCATCCACGACCGCGATACGGTGGTTTTTGTCGTTTGCTTCGATCCAGAAGTTCACTCAGTCACCGATAAGCGCCGGAAGGAGTTCAAACAGCTGCTCCTATCTGTCATGACGGAGATCCAGCGCGCGTCGTTAGTGGAGGTGGCGACGATTTTGCGCAAGAAAAGTCCGAAGTTGTGCGACGAGATGGGGTTGAAGACGACGAAGCGCGGACACTACTCCATTTTCGTCGAGGAGACCTTGAAGAAAGTTTTTATCCCCGTGCTGGAGAAGTTGGGGAGGAATGACACGCAGGTAGTGCTGGAGGTGGGGATGTGTTTGGCACTGAAACCCTGAAGGAGGGGAACGAACAAACCACAAGTGTAGGAAGTCAGTGTGCTGTTGAAACTGAATTCTGAACCAGTAATCGAGCTCCGTTAAAGTTGACGTGTACAAGTAGAACAAACGCCAAGAATATTTTCGAAAGTTTTTCAGCTCTGTAGTACTCATCAGAATTAATTTCTGGCAATCTGCGGATTTCGTCGAGCAGAGCGGGAACGGTTCTGAACACAACTAAGACCTTCAGCCTTATTGCAATGAGCTACTGTATTAGAAATCAAATCTGTCAACGTCTACTTTTATACAAGAAAATAGAACTTTCACGTTGATGCGGACCATGCCCAAAAGAAAACTAAGAAGTAGGCGACCGCATCCGCGTATCGACCGCTGAAATGATTTTTTGAAATAGTAATCGAGACGTTTATATTCAGCAGGGAACCACTGCATGGCAGCAACACAAGAGAGCCAACCGATGTGAATCGGAAAAATACTTCGCTAAAAACAGCGTTAACGACCAGCATGGAAGCGAGGCAGAAAAATGCTACGACTTGTTTGAAGCTGTTGTTCCTTATTGCCCCCGCCAGTTTGCGCGTTTTTTTTTGTCAAGGAGCGACGGTCTGTCTTTCAACTTCAACAAGGGCAACGCCAGGACCGCGCTCGCCCAGGATCGGCGACCGAGCGGGGTGCGCAGGTGAAGCACGGGGCGCGGCGAGATTTGTCACGCCGGCGGGGTTTTGAAGAGGGGAGCAGCGTCGAAGGTCCCGCGGCCGGCGCGCGTGCCGGAGCCGCCCAACAGCAAGCCGGGCGGGTTGGTGTTTTTCGTGCGCAGGCGGGCCGCCGGGGCTTGCCAATTGATTAAGTAATACGCAGACCGGGGCGCGGGAGCTAGGGCCGAAGCCAGGCGCCGGAACCTGTGCTAGCGTATTCGCCTGGCTTTTAAGCCATCGCAAAAAGGGTCCGTGGCGAACAGGCGCGGCGTTCGCCCCTGCTGGGCGCCGGTAAGTTCGGTTTTCATTCTGGTCTAACCCGAACACGCGGGCGCTGGCTTCGCAGCTTGCGGCAAGTGCGGACGAGTTGGAGCATGGACAGAGCCAAGGGGGGAAAGGCAGCTCCTCCAGAGGAAAAGGCAGCGGCTTCCAAAGCGATTCGTGGCGGAGCTCCCCGTTGCGCCGGGTGAATCGGATGCAAGCAGGGTCGGCGCCGCACTATTCTGCCGGAATTCGCGAAGGGGCGCAACATCGCGTCCGGCATATCTTTCGGCGCAGGCAGCGGGGGCGTCTAGGAGCGGGGGCCCGGATTGGCCAGGCCCGCGCCCCTGGCCCGCCCCGCGATGGGCGCCGCGCGAATATTGCGCGCCGCGCAGCCGCCCAGGCTTCCGCTTGCCCCTAGCAGCTGCAAAAATAAACGGCGCGGGGGCGGGGGCGGGAGTGTTTTCAGGCTTCATACGGCTCGCCGGGCGGACGCTTGTTGGGCAGCCCGCCGGGCTAGCATGTCCCGACTGCGCCGCTGCTTGTGTGCGTGTTCGCCCCCCAGGCAGCGGGCAACGTGTTGCAGACGCTCGGGAGGTGGCGGATTGTGGTGCCGGTCTTAAAAGGATGCAGCAGAAGTGCGCCCCCCGGGCGGGGAATGGGGTTGGTCAGCTTGATGGCAGAACGCCCCAAACCCGTGGCGCCCGGGCTGCTGCGCAGCTTGCGCCGCAGGAGATAACGGCCGCAGCGGTCGATCCAAGTTTTCGACTTTCCGTGAATGTCCCGCACAGCAGGACGCGAGGACTTTTTTTCGCAAGAAGAGCAAACTCGTTTATCTCGAGAGCTTCCCACGCGAGACCCCAAATAACCAATACAGTGCGCCGTCCGGCTTGCTGCCATGCGGAAGGAGCTTGCTGCCATGCGGAGGGAGCTGGGCCATTTGAAAAAGAACGTGGGGGAGTAAAAGGAGGCGGCGTCCGGGCAGTCTCTCAGGAAGGAAAGCGCTTTCTGTTTAGGTTCAGTGAGTTCCTCCCTGCCCTCCACAAGATGCGCGCGCGTGCGCATGGTTAGCATCGAGCGGCACCAGCAGGGTTGCAGCCCTACCCATTGCAGCCGCCCGACGGGATCCCAGCTTGTTTGCTCCGCAGAGCCGAGGCTCTTCGCGTCGTAGCGCCGCAGGGGCAACGCCGTGCGTCGAGACGGGCCCGAAGACAAACCGACAGCGAATGCGCCGGGCCAACGCGGTCGCGTGCCTGCGAGACAGGGCAGCCAGCCCACCCGCACAAGGGGCGGGGGGGGGCCCGCTGGCAAGCAGGGGCGGGGGCCGGTCCCCCGCTGCTGGTGTTTGTTGCCCCGCTGCGCCGCGCCCGCCCGTGTTTCCTGGGGCTTAGGCGCTGCCCGCCCCCTGTGTCGCGTGTGGGGGAGCGGAGGGTGGCCGCGGCTGCGTGCCGCGCGCCAGCCGCAGTTGAGTTCCGATGGATCGCCGGCCGCGGGGCCGCTTGGGTCGGTGCCAGCCCTGGCGCGCGGCTGCGCGGCCTTGTTTTGGTTTGCGAGCGAGGAGGCCGGCTCTGTCCGCCTGAGTTTATTTCTCGTGGATCAATTACAATCATTCGCGGCCCGCCGGACGTGTTTTTCTATTGCGCGGCCCCCCTGCCTGCTGCCTATTTTTCTTTGATTTTTGCACGGGGATCCAGGCTATTTCTGTTCCTTGTTCTTTGCGATGTTCATTAGCGTGGCGGTGCCGCGTCCTCTACGTGCTTCTGTTGTGCTGTAACTGACTGAATTGAAGACAACGACAAAAGTGGACCGCTGCCAACGAACTCAATGAAGTATCGAATAGAGTCGCGCAGCTGAGGCTGCGTGACGTAAATGTAATCTTTTGCGATGCATGTGCAGGTCTGCATAGTCGCTTTCGCTGATTTGTATTTGGATTTATGCGTAGCATAGTCGTTGTCGTACTAGGAAAATGTCTTCCCATCGGGCCTCTCCAGAAAAGGCAGCCTCGCCCGGTCCGCAAAGTCCGCCCCTCTTCGCCCCGGGGTCAACGGCAACCGGTCATGATCTACATCTTAACAGTTCGGACAACAGTCCGTGGGCCGAGACCAACGAGGCGGTGCGCGACCTGCATCGCAAGGCCCTCCGCCAAGCGGTGCTCACCCACCAGCCCGGCGTCTCCGTGCCGCTTGCGAACCGACGCGCGGTAGATGACATCGATGTGCGGGATGGCGGGCCGCCCGAGCTCCTCGGCGACTTCTCGTTTGCCATGCTCGCGCTCCCCGGCGGCTTCCGGCGGGGTCACCTCGCGGAAACGGCCGACGCAGCGAGTAGTGCGTCGTCCGCGTCTTTGGGTGATTTGGAGAGGACGAGTCACGGTGTTTCTTCCCGACTACCTCCTCCATCGTCCACCTCTGCGGGGAGAAACAGGAAGAACCTCAAGCCTACTGCCGCGTCCACTTCGTCCGCATCCGCCTCCCGCACCAGGAAGCAGCCCGAGGGAGAGCAGCAGCAGCACCAAGCTCCGTCACCAACCTCCACGAAGGTGCGCGCTCGCGGCGGCTCGGTTCCGACCCTCCCGGATCGGTTGGCGCTACTGCATCGGTCGTCTTCGTCCAACAGCGTCGTTTTGCCGATGGAGCTGCCCGGTCGCGACTCGCAAATGAATCGAACAAGCGCCGGGCCGATCAGCAATGCGTTGATGGAGCGCGTTGTGGTGATTGATGTGAATAGTGCTGGTGTGGCACTGACGCAGCAGCAGCAACCCGGAGCGGCCGGAAGCATCTCCGCAGGACAGCAATTCCTTTTGCCCAGGAGCGCAAGTCCCGTAGAGCCGTCTCCGCTCGACAGCTACGACAATCAATTGCAATTTCCGCCCAAGCCCAGCTTCGGGCTAGATTTTGGCAGCTTCGTGTCCGACCTCCGTTCCTTCTGGGAGGCGCGGCAGCGAATTGCGTACGGTAATTCTGCGCTCTTGCAGGCGGTTGAGGAGGGACAAGAGGACAGTATCGAGGAGGATGCAGCTTATCTGGTTTCATCTAGCAGGAGTGGCAGTGCAGCAGAGGACGCTGCTCCAGCAGACCGATTACCGTCGCACGACTCCTTGAGTATCCCCATGCCCCCTCGGGAACTGACCGCGTCGTCGTCCGAGGCTGTGAGTAGTGCTAGTCGGACACAACTGACGAGCAGCAGCAAGAGGAACATTTTGTTCCCTGCGAACAACAAGAGAATCTTTCCCGCTGAGGGTGAAGCTCTGCCAGAAGGCGAAGTGCAGTCCCCCGTGATCACAAGTCAAATGCACGCGCAACAGCAATTGATATCCGGCACACCGACGGCGAGCAAGGACACCAGCTGGTCTCTCGTGCCAGCTGCCGGCGGCACAACTACAGGAGTAGCGGTTTTGTCGCCGAGCAAAGGTACTAGAACTTCGCTACTAGCCCCACCTATGGTCCCTATTCCGCAAGTGCCACCGCAACATGACCTTAAAGCCCCTCCAGCGGGAACACCAGAAGAGCATTCCCAGCACCTCATGTCGGTTCGCGCCACGATTGTGTGTCTGTTCAAGATGTACTTCTGTTCCGGCGTTCTGTACATCCCCAAGGCCTTCCAGAACGGGGGGATCCTTTTCGGCTGGCTCTGCTTCGGCGTCTTCGTTCTCACCACGACTCTCTGCGTTTTCCAATTGATCAAGCTCCGGATTTACTTCGACAAGGAGCTGAAAAAGCGGAATTTGCACAAGGAGTGCTCGTTCGGCGATTTGGCTCTGCTGACGATCGGGAAAGTGGGAAAGGTGTTGGTTGACATTTCCGTTTTCCTATCGCAGTGTTCCTTCGCCATGTCGGGACACGTGGTGATCGCGCAGTGCATCGCGACGGCTTTTTCCCCGATGGCGAACGTGCCCGCGCCGAACAGCGTGACGCCGTACGTGGAGAAGGGGGTTGTGAATGTCACAAGGAACGGAACCTTAGTGACCAACCCGCATCACGTTCTTGTCGCACCTTTGAACAAAACGAACAGCACTGTTCATCGGCTTGATCATGTACTTGGCCCTACAACAATTTCTGCGAAAACGGCAACGAACACTACTTCCGTTGCCACAACCCTCTCATCTATTGTGACAAACAGCACAAAAGAACAAATACTAGAAGCAGCGCGGCGCGTTGATAATGATGATGAGTCCGCGTGGTCCACCGCTTTTCCCTGGCTCGACTACTTTGCGGAGCTGTTTGTGGTTCCGGCGGGGACTCCTGGAGAAGGGACGGCCGAAACGAGTTTTGTCACCAGAGCTCCAGCCGCGACCAAGAAGTTCGTGAAGAAGGAACTGAAATCCGAGGACGAAACCAGAGAGCAATTCCAAGACCAGGTCGGCTCCTACATTCTGCTCGAGCCGTTTTTGTTGATCCCCTTAGTTTGGATCCGCCGCTTGGCGAAGTTGGACCTCTGTGCGATTTTCGGCGACGTGGCGATTTTCGGAATTCTGTTCTACGTCTTCTTCTTCTCCATGAGCGATTTGTTTGCGAAAATCGTGGCTGCGATGGCACTTGGACGAGGAGAGGGAGTAGAGGACGAAGCTGCACGACGCGCCGCAGCTGGAACATCGAGTCCCATAATTTCGGCTAGCAACGGTGCGGACGGTAGTTCCGCAGCCACTGCAGCCAGCACTGCTTTCCTCGGCGTTGAGTTCTTCTTCGGCTCTTCCAACACGATCGGCCTCACCGTCGGCACGTCCATTTTCGCTTTCGAAGGGATCGGCGGTCTGCTCCCCGTATACGCGTCGATGCAGGAGCCGGAAAAGTTTCTCGACATCTACCTTTACTGCATCATTGCCATTGGGTTTCTCTTCTGCAGCTTCGGCACCATCATTTACCTCGCTTTCGGGGCCGCGGTGCCGACAAACGCGATGCTGACCTTGCCGCTTGACTCCCTCGGCCGGGTGATCTACTTCGTGTACGCTTTAGGGGTGTGCGCGACTTACCCGCTGTTATTATTCCCAGCTGTCAGGGTGGCGGAGACCTACATGTTTCCCAACGAGTACGAGGAGCGGAAGACGATGCGGGGAGGGTTTGGTGGCGCAGGAGTTCTTTCAGAGCGGAAACACAGGACAACCATCTACGACGTCGTCGACCGGAATAGTACGATGAGTACTTCTAACCTGCAACAGCCGCTCCTGCAGTTTGGTACGTCTACCGCACCAATCCACTCGAGAAGCTCGAGCAGACAAAAGTCGGAGCAGAGCAGCCCGTTTCACAGCAAATCCAACTCCCCCGCGCGAACGCCCCGGGAACTGATTCTGATAAACAAGGGAAAGTTTAAGTGGTGGAAGAACTGCTTTTATCGTAAGGAAAAATCCCCCCTCCCCATATCGAAAACGTATCCGTCTGAAAATTTGTGATGCGCATTTGTGACCTCAAATCCTGTCTGTCTTGCAAGAAGGCAAGTCCAGAAAGCGTTCCGCATTTATTTGCAGGCGGTTTGTGATGCTGTTGGGCTAAGAGCATACGCGTTTGTCATGCTAGGCGCCTACGTCAAAACCTCTCGACTGAGGCTTGGCATATGCCTGCAGTCCTCTACTGCAAGACAAATCTGAAGACTTGTGTATGGAGATCCAGTATCAGAAACTTCGTTTCGATATGGGGAGGGGGGATTTTTCCTTTTGATAGCTTTCGGGGGGTAGTTGTCTTCATCCTCAGTTTCGTCTCCTACTACGGGGCAGAGGCATTGGATGTCTTCGTCGCGGTGCTCGGCGCGCTCTTCTGCACACCGATGGGCCTGGTGTTTCCACCCTTGATGCTCCTGTGGATGAATTTTTCAAAAAAGAATGCACAAGGAAACACGAAATCAACATCACTATCATTGAAAATAAATGGCGGTGCAAATAACAAAATGAACGATCTCTCCTACGCGAAAACTTTCGGCCGCTTCTTGGGTCGCACGGAGTTTTTGGTAGCCCAACTAGTGTTTGGGTTTGTGTGTATGGTGTACACGTGCTACAGTTCTTTTTCGAAGGTCTATGACCTGCTGAACAAATCAAAATGTGAAGCCGGCGGAGCCCTTACTCTCTGGTCCTGGCGCAGGAGTTGCGAGATTGATGAAAATCTGGGTATTGTAGCTGAACGCCGCTGTTCTACGAAATTTTTGAAATTTTGTTGGGGAGAGAACGAGTTTTCGACAGATCATCAGGTCGTGGTGATCCATATACTGAATCAAAATGTAAAATGCCATGAGCTGAGTCACGTTCGTTGTTGTCTTCAGAGAAGCTGCAGATCTAAATGTTCTTTTGATCCGTATAATTTCGGGAAAGTTGATCTCCTTTTTGTGTTGTGCTTCTGGAATTTTTGGTCGTGTTTCCTGAAAGCATTACATGTTGACAAGGATGTAAACTTTTTCTGACCGAATGCGATGCTGCTGTCTTTTGCAGAATCTGAGGCATTCTTTGAAGATTAAACTATCTAGTTTTCAATCGTCCCACCTGAAGACTCCCTTGCTCAAAATAAAAGTCAAAAAGGATAGAATGTCCCTGCTCCCCGAGTCCGTATCTTGGTAAAAGTGTGTCTGGTGTGATGCCTCATTGCCCCGCAGCGAGCCATGACGTATCACTGGTCACCTATCTATGGCTATGATGACGAATCTACATGATTTTGATTCTCTCTTGATTCGCAATGGTCTTCACGTTGTATGAAACGCCTCCTGTTTGAACCTTCATTCCGCAGTGTCACAGAGAATACAGAAAACCAAAAGTCGGCCGCTACTTCATGAACCATATTTCCCTCGGAAACAAAGTCAACGTGTACTAGCGCAACATCAAGATTCTTTGTCAATCGGATGTCCGTCTAAGTCTGTTTGTCCAATGAAGCAGATGAATACCCACCCATCCCTATTCCGGTTTTAGCTAGTTATTGAACCCCGAAGAAGTAAACTCAGAAATTTCGCACGACATCACACGACATAAGTTCCTGTAAGAAAACGACCTATCTATCATCCCCACTAAGCCAACGTTTTTCTCAAGAATGTTCGCTTATATGGTGCGTCAACATTTCGTCTTCCTGAAACAGCACAACAAGATGGTGTCCGTCTTTGGACAGCTTCACCACTACTCTTGTGTGCTGTAGTGAAACTGGATGATGATGATCGCACTACTTTAAGGGCGACAGTCTTATCGCTTCTTTAAAGTCGACGTAAAAGGGTTTAGAAAAGTTTAGGGTTTAGAGCAAAAGAACTCAACTACAGCCTTCTTCTTCTTTCCTTTGAAACAGACTGTAAAAGCCGCTCTTTACAGCGTCTTCCCCCGCAAGAACCAACGCAATGTCGGGCGATCACAACCGGACTTGGGATGACGATTCCTTCTGGGACGGCGGTGTTGGCCCGGACGGCGCTTTCGGAGCACCCGCGAACGTCCCGACCTACTGTGCGGACGGGGTGACTCCAAGGTATGGTCACCAATCCAGCGCTGAGGGCAATGGCCAGCAGAACCAGCGTGGGTCGTATATTGGGAATGGCACTTCTGCGACTAGAGGCAATTACTACACGCAGGATCATCTGGAGCAGCACCAACAGGTGCAGCCGGGGAACAATTATCCCAATTACAACTACGATCCGCAGCAGCGTGGTTGGGACAGCAGCCACCAGAACCATGCCAACTATGGAAATAACAATGCGAACAATTACAACACGGCTTCTCAGGCCGCCGGCTGGAACCAAAACCAGTACAACCAAAACCAGTACATCAACCAGAGCGACAACCATGCGGGAGTATACAACCCGAACCACCAGGCAGCGCTCCAGCACCGGCACGATGCCCGGTCGGAGGCGACCAGCGAATCAGACCCGGACACAAAGCGGCTGAAGCAGCAGGTCATCGAAAGCTCCTCCGATGAGGAGCACGAGCGCGCGTTGCAGACGCGGACGCCGACAGGTGCAGCCAACAAGCATCACCACTATCAGCAACATTCGAACCAGATGACCGCAGACGAAGCGTGGAAGCAGCAGGAACTGCTGTTGCAAGCAGGTCGTGGCGGGCGACAACTTCAGAGCGGTGGTCAGCAGCAAGAACAACAGCAGCATGTGTACAATCCGAACAGGATTCTCCCACTGGGGAATCAAAATCAGAATCAGCAGCAACAGAACTACGGGCAGAATAATGCGGCCCCTTATGATCAAGATGCTTACGACTACAACCAACAGCAGCTGCAGAACATGCAATACAATCAGCAGCAACAGCAGCAAAGCCAATACCAAAACTACCAGCAAAATGTTGATCACCAGCATCAAAATAACCAAAATCTGAACCAGAGTTTCTATCAAGAACGCACTCTCCCTGCTATGTACGATGCCACGCAACTGCCCGGCTACGAGCAGCATCAGCGGGATGTTCAAGAAACGAAGCGTTCTCGGGAGCAATGGATGGCGCAGAATTTTGGCATGCAAACGCCGCGATTGGATCAGAACGACACTGCTACACCCACTGGCGCAGCAAACCAACATGATCCAAACGCTGACCGACAGCCTACCTACGATCAAGGTCGGCAGAATTTCCAGAACGCTTTCCGAGCCAACAAGGGAAAGGGGAAACAAAGCCGATTTAACGGGCGGAATGACTTCCGGGCCCTGGATTTGCAAAACGCAATCGTCGGTCTGTCCATCGCCAGTGCGATGGAGCAGGGGGATCAAGCGGACATTCTACCCGAAATCTATCAAAAGCAAAAATCCCCCCTCCCCATATCGAAAAGGTATGTTTCCGAAAATTTGTGTTGCTGATTTGAGGTCGCAAATCACATTTGTATTGCAAGAAGACAAGGGCAGAAGCTTCCGCCCCACTATGGAAGCGATTTGTCATGCTGTTGGGCCTAAAAGAGAGCCGCTTGCCATGCTGAACAACTACACGCGTGCGCCCCTTCTACCTAGACTGGGGATCTGACTGCAGTGCTTTCCTGCAATACAGACCTGATTTGTGTACTCAAATCCAGCATCAGAAATTTCGTTTTGATGTGGGGAGGGGGGATTTTTCCTTTTGATAAAATCCCCCCTACGTTTTCAAAAGACACTTACACCAAATCCTTCGCGCCCTACCTTCTCCAGGAAGTTCGGGCGCACGTGGCGCACGGCACCAGCAGTCTTCCCTTCTCCGAGATGCTTAAGGGCGAAATTCGGTTCACGGGCAAGGGAAAAAAGTTGCACAATTGCCTGTCCCTGGAGTGCGACTTTCTCGGCGAGGCGAAGACCATGATGGACGGGACTCTCAAAGGGCGGGATTTCGGAGAAGAAGACGGGATCGATATCGGGCAGGAAACGGCGACGGGCCTGTCGAACGAGGAGATTGAAGAGAGGAAGAATGAGAAAGAGAAATTGAAAAACATGACGGAGGCGGAAAAGTACATCCGGGCGACACAGTCGGTGCAGTTTGGTTCCAAAGAGTTCGAGAAATTGTTTTGTTTGAATGATGTCTGCGTCTTGATTCCGAAGAAGCGGTATTCCAAGTTTATCGAGCAATGCAAGCAGCAGGCGCAGTACTCCAACACCTTTGCGCAGGGGTATTTCGACAAGAAGTTGAGGGAGGCGACCGAAGCGGGAGACGAGAAAATCTACGAGTCGGCGTTGCGAGACCTGCTATCCGCGCAGTTCTATGCATTGCAAATATGTCTGGGTCTGGAAGAGTGCAAGTTTGTCATGCATGCTTGTCTGGCTCTGGCATGACTCCAGAATCTGTGTTGCATAGGCACGAAAAGGCCCTCGCACCTGTCATGCAAAAACGCAGTTTGCCATGCGGAATACGTAAGACATGGGAGCCAAAAAATTTGTCATGCTCAGCTGCGCATTGCAGTGCGTCTAACATTCACTTTTGGCATTACAAGTTTCCAGACGAGACCCAGACATATTTGCAATCCATAAGTTTCGGAATTTCAAGGACTTCTTACTGACCATCGACGAGTTCTCGATATTGGCCATGACGGTCCCCTATCAAATGCAAATATGTCTGGGTCTGGAAGATTCCGAGACTTGTCATGCAGTTTTTCCAAGCTCCGCCAAGTCTGTAATGCAGGGCATGGCGTCACAGGTTCTGCAGCCCCTTGGTGATGCCTATCGTGCATGAGAAGTGCCCTCTCAGCATGGCCAGAAATGGACAGCTTTTGCAAGTCATGCAACACAGATTTTTGCATGATTCGCAACATACATCACAAGTTCGCATCCTTCCAGGCCCAGACATTTTTGCATTTGATATCCCCTGCCGCGTCACGAAGGAGATCGCCACGACGGATACGGAAGGGAATGTTTTGACGACTCTGGACTCGGTTTCTTCCTTGGCGGTTTACACAGTAGCCGACGGGTTTGCGAAAATCCTGCAGGAAGCGAAGATGTTGGACGGTGGAAACAGCTATCAGCAGCAGCGACTCGTGTACGGGGCGGACGGGCGGCAGGTCAATCTCGACGGACAGAACCCGTCTCTGAACTCGTGGCTGACGGGTCAGGGAAATGATAGTACCGGTACAAATGGGATGAACACGACAGCGCAAAATAATAGTCCAAATGCAACAAACGACAATGTGCCCTATCCGAACTTCCAATCGGTTGAGGAAACGTACGACGACGACACGCCGCCGGAAGTAAGAGCCGCGGCCGGGATGGATTTCGTCTTAATTCGCATGTCGAACATCATCACGCAGCTGCGCGTCGCGAAGGCGCTCGAGCAGCAAAACGGCGAGAATGCGGCGTTTTTCGAAACCGAGTTGTCCGGTATGAACCCCGTGCAGGAGACGATTGTCAACACAGAAGTCGCGAACGTCTTCCGCGCGGAACGGGATGAGCGACTGGATGAGTCGCAGAACCTCATGATCGACAAAGCCTTGACCAAAGAGCGCGGTATCACCGTCGTCCAGGGTCCGCCCGGGACCGGGAAGACGAAGGCAGCGCAGTGGCTGTTGCTCTGCCTGACGGAGAAGGAAGACCGAATTATGGCCACCGGCCCGACGAATCAATCGGTGGAAGAACTCGCCTCGAACTACCTGCAGAACCCGGTCGTCCGGGAGATGCGGCGAAAGAACAAAAGGCTTTTGAACCCGTTGACGTTACCCCACCAACCGCCGCTCGTCGAGGTGATTGAGGACTTTTCCAAGGATATGATCGTGTGCTCGCGGAACAAGATGAACGTGAACACGATCGAGACGAAACTGAAGCAGGAGGGGACCAGCACCGATTTGTCGAAGTGTATGATCTACAAGCGGGGCGACGAGCTGGTCGTGTTTCTCTTGAGAATGTACGAGGCGGTGGACCAGGGCATCGAAATGTGGACGAAAATACCGCTCAGCATGCTCTTGGAGTCCTGTTACCTCTACTACGAGGAACATAAGAATCGGATCGCTTTCGGGAACGTGGAGCCGCAACAGCGGGAGCTCTACGCCGATGGGACCTGGCAGTTTAAATTTTCCAAAATTCACCTGTGCGCGAAGGCGGTCATCCAGAAGGGCAAACTCGCCGACGTCGTCATGGAGTTCATGCAGCAGAAAATTTTACGGAAGTTGTGGGAGCTTCGCAAGGAACTGGAGCCGCACATTGTGGCGAGCCCCCAGAATATCAGATTGATGAGCATCCGGCGGGTGTTGGAGGACATCTGGCCCAGTGTGCAATTTGGAGAAGACGACGAAGAAGTGATCAGGAGGTGCAAAAGTAAATGGTCGCTGATCAAGTCCTGGAAGCAATTCACGGACAACATTGTGCAGAAATTGCGCGATCCGGCAAGACACGCGACCGCGTCGTCGGCGGCCGCGGGGGGTGCTGGAGCTAGTACCGGAAATAGTAGTAGTAACCAAGAGCTCGATGTGGCGCAGATCATTCTAGAGGCGGAATCCTCGGGAAGACTGGCGGATCAGTACGGGAGGAAGCGTATGGATTGTAAAAATGTCTGGGTCTGGAAGAATGCAACTTGTAATGCGTATTTCAGAACACAGAAAAGTCTCTCATGCATACGTAGCAAAAGCTCCTACTTTTTGTCTCGCCAAATAGGGGATTTGTCATGCGGATTCGGCATTGCGGAAGGTTCTCGAAACCTGTGATGCTAGAGCTTCCATGCCAGACCTTCTGTGTCATGCAAAGACAGCATGACTCTTCCAGACCCAGACATTTTTACATTTGATAAAGCGGGCGTTTGAGCTATTCGGCGTCGACGACATGGACCGCGGGTGGGTGGATTTGAACAGACAGGAAAGTCATGAGGATGATGATACGCAACTACGCGGTGACAACGAAGATTCCAACAGCGCAACATCTTCCGCTGCTGAGGATCATGGCACGACAACCAACAACCTCGGCATTTCCTCCGACTTCAGGCAACGGGTGAACACTTTGCTCAAGGGGAAAGGAAAGAAGGGGAAGAAGGGTGGGAAAAAAAGTGGTAAAAATGACCGGTCTGCCTACGCGGCGTACATCAACACTATGGCGACGACCCGCTACGCGGAGATCCGCAAGACGCTACGGCTGAAGGAATTTTGCGGGAAAGACCCGGAAGAGGTGAGCACGAAAAATATGAAGATGTTCATGCAGGACTCCCGGGTCATTTTCTGCACGGTAAGTGTCGGGGGGCGGGGCACGTTTGAACAGCTGTACTTCTCGTGTGTCTTAATCGACGAAGCGGGGATGGTGCCCGAGGCGGAGTCCGCGATTGTGATCAAAGATACGACCCGACGACTGATTCTCATCGGCGATCCGCAGCAGTTACGGGCGACCGTTATGTCGAATGTTTGTCAGAACTGTCTCTACGCTCGATCTCTGATGGAGCGGCTGATGAATTTCAACGGGTTTCCGGCGCACAGATTGCGATTGGAGTACCGGATGGAAAGAGAGATCATGGCGTTCCCAAACAAAGTTTTCTACGAGAACGTCCTGCAGATCTCGAAACAGGTGCGGGAGAGACGACACCCCTGCATGGCGATATTGCGTTCGAAGCAAGACCTCTACGACGCCCAGCACATTGTCCCGGCTTTGAAGCAGCAGGATTTGCGGCAGAGGGTGGATGAGGATGAGGAGATGGAGAACTTCGGACAACAAGTCTCCGCCGCAGCGGGGAACGACGAAAGTGCCAGGGTCGCGAACGTCGCGACCATGTCCTCGATGTACAAGAGTGGCCGGATCAACTGCTTCCAAACGTTGGTCTGGATCGACACCTCCAGGTTGAACCACCGGCAGGATATACGGACGGGGGGCAGAAGCTTCACAAATCCCAAAGAGGTGGACTTGATCATCGACCACGTGAAGAGGCTAAACCGGAATGTCTGCCTGTTGAAGAGAATCCCGTTTCCGAAGAACAAATCGATCCAGCCGCTACTGTATGGATTGCAAAAGTGTCTGGGTCTGGATAAGTGCAAGGTTTGTCATGCTAGGCTAGCAAGACTCTTAAGTCTTTCATGCAGGTTACCCAAAGGCCCTGTGATGCAGAAACGCAGTTTGTCACGCAGAATAGGCAAGAACACCTGGAAGCTCAGAAACTTGTCATGCCGAGCCGGCACTTGTGGCCTCCACATTCTAAGTCACTCAGCATTACGAGTTTCCAGACCCAGACATATTTGCATTGCATATACTGGAAGAATTTTCCATCGGCATCACCTCCCCCTATGCGGCCCAAGTGGAGCTACTCCGCGAGACCGTCCAATCGGAGTTTGGGTTTGCGCAGGCGACGGAGCGGATCAAAATCCGGTCGATCGACGGGTTCCAGGGGGGAGAAGCGGATATCATGTTGATATCCTGCGTCCGGAGCAACGAGAAGAAAGTGGTTGGCTTTTGCAAGAACCCGGCGCGGTTGAACGTCGCGCTGACACGGGCGCGGCTCGCTTTGCACATTTTCGGCGACAGTGAGACATTGTCTTTGGGGGACCCGAAACACTGGAAGCTCTTTGTCGATTTCTTGCGGGAGAAGGAACTGATTTTTGATCTCGCTGCGCGGCAACACGCGAAAATCGTGGAGAAGGACGTGACCGGGAGAACCCGAGAGGCTCTCCGCGTGGTCGAGAACGCGCTGAACGCGGGGAATGGGCTCTTAACGGGTGAAATTTCCCGGCCGACTTTGACGCACAACCCGAACTTGTTTCGCGGCCAGGACGAGATGTCCGCACTGGCGATGCACGTAAAGAAAATGGAATTCGAAATGCCGAAGCAATTCTTGCAAGGTACGGAACAACAGCGGGAGGACGAAAGTAGACACGAAGATTTGAAGTTCAACATCTCGCCCAACCTCAACAAGCTGCGCTGGTGGATGGACCCGAAGGCGGAGGGAAATGTTTTCGCGATCGTCTTTTCTGAATTCGCGCAACGGTGGTACAATGCGGGGCAGAGGCTCTTGCAGCTGAAAATCCTGATCGCCGCGGAAATCGCGGGTTTAGTGAAGGGGGAGAAGATGCGGATCCACCCGGACAGTCAGATCAGGAACTTCAGCGAGGAGGAACTCGTCAACGCCGCGGCCGAGCACCTCCAAGTTCGACCGCAGATCGCGAACGGTGGCGCAACTGGCGTCGCGGTACAGACGAAAATTACCTCCTCCGGTCTAGAGTCGTTGAAGTCCATGAACAAGAGGCAGCAGCAGCAGTACGACCAAATGTCAGTCGACATTCTGTGGCACATGCAGATCGACACGGACACGGGGAAGCAGCTAATTGTCGTTTGGAACATCGTGCACGCCGGGCAGTTCAAGCAGGCGCGGGCGGAACATTTACAGGAGTTGCGGCGGTTCAAAACGGAGTATTTGCGGGACTGTTTAGTTCGGAAAACAACCGCGAATGCCGGAACATCAAGCGGCAGCGCAGGGGACCAAGGAAAAAAAGGAGCAGGGAAGAAAGGCACTTCGGAGAAGCAGGCCCGGGGGGTGTTGGTCGTCCCCTACATGCCGATCGATGAACGCACCCAGCAGAGGAAGTACAAGGTGAATTACGATCACTTGAAACCCTTATCCAGACAGGAGTACGGGGAGCTGCTCGCGAAGAACCAGAAAGACGGGATGAGCCTCAACCTCCACGGGGAGAAGAACACGATCGGCATCTCGCGGACAAAATTGTACGACGTGCACGGTGCGCAGGCGATGCGCTTGCTGATGGCGGACAAACCCGTGATTCTGCCCCTAAAACTTTCCCAGGAGGAGAAGCAGGCGGTTCGGCACCCGCGGTCCATCTTCGTCCATGGTCGTGCCGGTACGGGGAAGACGCAGGTTTTGGTCGCAAGAGGGTACGAGCACCAAACCATGTGGATCAAGGAGCTGGAGGACACGGCGGGAGAAGTAGAACATAGCACCACAGCAGCCGCTTTACCTCCCATCGAGGAGGAGCTGGACGAAGAGAAGTTGAAAGCGGAGGGTTTGAGCCGGATGCAGATCAAGATGCGAATTCTGAAAGCCCAGCAAGCCAGGAAGCAACGCGAGAAGGAAGCGAAGAAGCGCACGCAGGAGCGGGAGAAGATGAAAAAGGAAAACTTGAAGCTTGTCCTGTTCGTGACCGCGTCGCCCACATTGGCCATGCAGGTGAAGAAGTTCTATGATGGGCTCTTAGAGTCGTACTTGGTAGCCGAGAAGAACAAAGACAGCGTTTCCTGGGCGCAACGGGGGGACGAGGTGTTGAAGAAATTGAACATGGAAAAACAGATGGATTTGGAGGGGAATCTAGTAGAAGGTGGTGCGACGATTGAAGAAGTTGATGACGATGTTGACCAAGCAGATGAGGAAAATAACAACTTCGACAGCGACGATGACCAAAATGAGAAGGACGAGCTGAAACTGCTAGAAGATTTATCCCTCTCCGACTACGACGACGCGGATTTTTTGGAGTTCGATCCGGTGGACGAGCAGGTTTTAGCGAACGCGAAGCCTCTCGAACATTTTCGCACGCCGAAGAACAAAAAATCTTCCTCGTCGTCCAGCGACAACGACGACGCGGACACGTCAGAAATTGTCTCCTCGATCGTGTCCACACCGAGTTCCTCGAAGACCTCCCGCGCGGCTAGTTCCACGACGAACGCGCCGGGGTCGTCCGGGGTCGTGTCGAGTGCTGATGTCGTCGGAACTACAAATAAGGACGTGACGCATGGTGCAACTAGTACACCGGGTGTCACGAACGACCAGACTGACACGAGCGGGAAAACTTTGCTCCAGTCCTCGACCAAGTCGCAACACACGGCGAAGAAGAAGTACCGGCAACGGCTTGGTACCAATCATGGGGCAACTTCTGCCACCACCTCCGCTGCGACAGAGAAGAAAAGGGCGGATAAGATGATCAAGGATATTTCCAACAAGGACAAAACGGACAATATCCTGAGTAAAAATGTCCCCACACCAGAGTCAAGATGGGAAATCTGCTAGACAAATCTACAAGTTTTGGCTGTCTTGCATGACAAATTTGGACTCGCAGTGTAGTGCTGTTTGAGCTACCTCAGAAGCATCACAGATCTAATATATCATGCTGATTGGAGCATGGCAAATTCCAAAACACAACTAGAAAATGCTTCTCATGGGGATCCGCATGAGAAACATTCTCAACATGCAGATTTGCATTACAACTATGGCGTGGGGAACTTTTTTCAGTACGATAGACAAGGAGAAGGCGGACGAGGAAGAACTCGTCGCGGCCTACGCTGAGGCCAGTGTTGGGATCGGGTTTGCCGTATCAACTGCAAATATGTCTGGGTCTGGAAGATTGCGAGATTTCTCATGCTAGTCTGGCATGACTCTGAACTCTGTGTTGCATGGCCGCGAAGAGCTCCTCCTCCCTGTCATGCAAAAACGCAGTTTGTCATGCGGAGTACTTACGCAACTGCAACTCAGAGCCATGAAAAAAACCTGTCATGCTTTGCAGCGCATCATAGTGAGTTCACTATTCCCTCTCTTGCATCACAAGTTTCCAGACCCAAACATATTTGCAAGGCATACGCCCCTTTGACCCCGCAAGAGCGGCAGAAGGAGGTCGCCCGGATGCCGAAGACGTTCTCCGAGATCCGGGACCGGGCGGAGCACGGGGCCGCGAGTTTGATCACGAATTATTTGCACTTTTTACAGGTGTTAGACGCCAGTATCGACGACGACGAGGAATTTTTCCGGATAAACAAAACGGAACAGTGGATGGCGGATTTTCACACGCTCCCGCCGGACGAAAACCGCTTCGAGCCGAAGCACCCGGATTCCGAGGTCAATTTCCGCCGTTTCTGCATCAACTACTACGACAGTCTCCGCGGCGGGGACGCGGATACAGAGAACGCGAGGTCTTCCTCTTCTTTGATACCGACAAGTAGTTCCAGCAGTCCGCACGGGATTCTCTCGTCCATGGGAGGACAACTGACAACGCCGAACAGTAGTTCCTCGTCTTTGGATCAACTCCAAGCGGCACTAGGCCAGCAGCAATTATCCGGAGGCAACATCGGGCTCAAAGAGCTCGTCCGGGGAGTTGCTGCGGTGCCCGATGCGAGTCAGCTCTTTAAGGAGTTCCACATCATCAAGGGCGACTACCCGCCGGAAACCCGCCAGCACAAAACGGAACTAGACGACGTGTTAGACATGGCGGAGAAGCAGCACTACGGCGGGAACGCGCGGACCACCGCCCACCGCGTCCGGCCGAAGCTGATGGAGGGCAATCTGGGCCGATTAGACTCTTCGAAAGCGAAGGACAAGTATGGGCGCAGGCATCGGGACAAGGACGCGGAAATTTACTTGTTGCAGAAGGAGGGAAAGGATGTCGACACGGAGCAGCTGCAGTACATTGACAACCTCTCCAAGCAGCAGGAAGCGCTGAAGGACCCGCTGTCGCACATCGGGGAGACGTTGACCCAGAAGCAGTACGTGGACGACCCCCCGGCGGAATCTCTGCTGCAGAACGCGTCCCGAGCGGACCGGGAGAAGGTGTACAAAGCCTTCGAGAAATACGAAGCGCACAAAAGAAAGCGGAACGAGTGGGACATGAACGACTGCGTGTCGAAAATTTGGGAGCGGTTGTCGTGGCGGCTGCGGCGAAGGAACGAGAACGAAGACAGGAAGGGGCTGCTGAAGGACAACCAGCTCTACAACGGGCCGCTGGTTAGTTGCTTGCTATCGGACGAGTCGCAGGATTTGTCCATTTTGCAAATGCTTCTGTTCGCGTTGGTGTGCCAGGACCCGAACGCGTTCACCTTCGCCCACGACCCCGCGCAGTGCATTGCGGAGGGGCGGGTTTTCAAGCACGCGCGGCTGAAGGATTTGTGGCACGGATTGTACAAGAAGATTCTGAAGCAGGCCAATGTCGAGGGCGACACGGAGGAGGAGAGGCAGCAAAAAGAGCGGGACTTCAAGGTCGAAATGCCCGCGGAGATCCACCTCACCCGGAATTTCCGTGCGCCGCAGCGGATTCTGAACATGGCGCAGGTTTTGGTCGAGATCTGCAAGCACTTCTGGCCGAAGCGCATCGACGAGGCAGCGCCGGAGATTTCGTACGAACGCGGGGAACTGCCGACGATGGTGGTCGGCGTCTCGGCGAAACAGTTCCGCAACGCCTTGCTGTCCGCCGGTGCGGATGATCCGTTGCTCAGCGGGCAAGCCGGATCGATTGCGGAGAAGAACCTCCAGGATGCGGAGAAAGCGCTCGCGAACAAGTCGGGAGTGTCGAAAAAGAAAAACAAACAGGTGAACTTGCAAAAGGTGACGTCTACCACCGCGTTGAAGACGGGGAATGAAGGTACAACTAGTATTAACTCAGCGACCAGCACGACCCCCGGAGCAGTTGTAAGTGCCTCTACTTCAACTACCGCTGCAGCAGCCGCGGGGGGCGGGGGCTCCGGGAAAAACATGTTCAATCCTGCAACCAATTCTGGCGGGGGGATCACCACCTTCGGCGCGGATCAGGTGGTTTTAGTTGGCACGGAAGAGGAGAAAAATTTCGTGGATCAGTTGCTCGGAGATCGCGGGATCGTCGTCTTATTGCCGGCGGAAGCGAAGGGGCTGGAGTTCAACGACGTCATTCTGTGGAACTTAGTCAGCCGCAGTGGGGTCGACGGGGAAAGGGAAGAGAAAGTTTGGACGGTTCTGTTCGATTTCATGCGGGCGTGTCTCGCGCAGTCCAATGTGCAGCAACTGAGAGAAGATAATACGAGAAATACTGGTCGTCAACAAGGCCGAACCACTTCTAACACCGCTGCAGCAGCGTCTTCGAAGCAAACGGAGGCTGAACAAGAGAACTCCGAGGACTTCCCAGACTCCGACGACCTTGAGGAAAACCAGCAAACTGATCAGCAGCAGGGTCCGAAGAAGCAAAACTACACGAAGGAGCAACTGGACGTGATCCTGGACCAGTTTGAGCAGAAGGTGATGAAGAAGCAGCGACAGGGCGATAGCAAGGATCAGGTCACGGAGTTGTGGAACACGCGGCTGAAGGAGCTGATTGTCTGCATCACCCGCGCGAAGAAGAGGCTTGTGATCTACGAAACCGACGCCACCTCTACCGCCGTGCGGATGTTCCAGACGCTGTACCACGAGGCGCCGCAGACCGGGCTGCCGTTGTCGAAGCGGCAGGTGTTGGATACGTCGGACGTCGAGTCTTTCGACGACGACATTCCCTTCGGCGGAGCTGCAGCTGCCGGCGCGTCCCCAGCAGAAATGAACGGGAAAATGGTTTTGGGGAAGCCGCCGACAGCGACCATCGCATCATATAACGACGCGCTTGCGAGTTGCGGGTACACGAGGGACCCGCTTTGCTCGTTGGTGACGACGGTCGAGCAGCTAGGCGAAACGGAAGCAGTTGTAGATTTCCCGAGAAAGTCTTCGAAGCAGGAGTATCTCCGCAGAGGGCAGGAGTACTACAATAACGAGCAGTTCGTCGAGGCAGAGAGGATGTACCGTGTTGGGGGCAACATCCCTCTAGCATTGTGGGCGAAAGCCGCCGGCGCGGAGCAGAAGGCGAGGGATGTCGGCGTGGATGTCCGCCGGTTGAACGACGCGAGTAGGAAGGAAAGGATGCTTCTGTTCCGCGAGTCTGCGCAGTTTTACATGCAAGTCTGGACCACCGTCGCACAGGAGGACAACAATAAAGCTGCTGCCCAGGGCGGCGGCGGTGGAACAACAACCGCGGTGCAGTTGTCGAAGAGGCAGATGAATTTTGACCTAACGCAGTCCCAATCCAGTGAGCTCGGCGAGCGGGCGCTGAGACAGGCCGCGATTTCCTTCGGAGAGGCGGAAGACTGGAAATGCGCCGCCGAGGCTTATGAAATGATTGCGAGCCGGTATTTGCAGCGGAACAGCGAAGATACCCGGCAGTTGTTCTCCCAGGCGGCGGACTGCTACCGGAAGATGCATCTGTTCGAACGCGCGGGGGATTCCTTTAAGAAAGCGGGCAACGACAAAGAAGCCCTGAAATCCTTCCGGGACGGAAGACTGTGGCACCGTGCGCTCGATTACTTTGAGAACCCGGGAGTGGAAAAACAAAATGGAATGGCGATCGCGGACAGTACCTTTTTGATGAAGTCACCGGATCTACTTTTGAACAACAACGATAACGAGTTAAACGACTCGAATTTGTTGAACGACCCGCTGCAGAATCAAAACTACTTTGACGACAGTGAGTTTCGGCAAATGAAGATTCAAAACGCAAAGCTGATCGCACGGAGAATCGCCCCGATCCCCAACCAGTGCAGCGAGGAGCAGGTTCTGGCGATCAAGCTTCACTGCGCAACCATCCTGGAACAGGAACTGGAGGAAAACGGCGGGCGGATCTCCTACAACGATTTCGGTGTCTTTCTCGATGACCACCAGATCCGGAAACAGTTCTACGAAGAGAAGCAAGATTGGGAGAAAGCCGCGGACGCCCACGAGCGGTGCGGGGAAATCTTCACCGCCATGGAGATCACGCAGAACCACCAACTGAAAAGCTCGCTGTGCCTGAAATACAAACGACTCACGCTCGCTCGCGACATGAACGACTTGCGCACCTGGTTTGCGAAGAATCCGGACAAAATGGAAACCATTCGGGCGAATGTCATGCTCACAAACGACTCGGAGGACGGCGAGCAGCAGCAGCCGCTAATGTGGGACGCGGCGAAGTCGAATAGTGATATGGAAGCGGCAGAGTTGGAGTTGACGATCCTGTTAAAGGACGTGGGGGCGAGAAGAGGCGTGAAAATGCCGGCGGTGCATCAAGGTACGCAGAAAGACTATTTTGATAATATGGTCGATGCTTGCAAATTATGAAAAAACTGAATCGCGAGCAGGTGCTGTTTTTTGCAGGTAAAGCCATTATAAGTAGAAAACATCATCATCATCATCAATTACAAGTGGAGTATGATGGTTTTCGACAGCAAAAATATTTTTGAACTTCAAAACATAGAAAATATTTTTTTTTTTGCGCGTCCGACGCAACAGTACTGTCAGCTCTCAGGCCGGTACGTAGGTACGTAGGTACGTTGGTACGTAGGTCGCGCAAAAGCAACGTACCTACGTACCGAAGGACCCGAATATCCAGGTATCGAAGTAACTACCTCGCGGGACCTACGTACCTACGTACCTACGCGTCCCACACACTCCCGCGACCGGGACCTACGTACCTACGTACCAGCACGTCCCACACACTCCTGGTCGGGACCTACGTACCTACGTACCTCGGCACCTGTTCGGGTCCTTCGGTACGTAGGTACGTTGCTTTTGCGCGACCTACGTACCAACGTACCTACGTACCTACGTACCGGCCTGAGAGCTGACCTTACTCCGACGCAAAGTTTTTGTAGCCTTCACGCAAAGAAACAACATTTGCAGTAAAACCGCAGCGTCTCGTCGTGATTCGCGCTTTTTTCATCAAGAGTCACGGTTTCCGCAAAGCGATTATGCGCTTGATAATTTAGAGAATGCGCTTTAACGTCATTTGAAAGCAGGAGAATACCGAATAAATTCGAATGTCGAAAATAAAGCACAATTACTTACCAAAATTGACAGCTGCGGAGTCGATCATGAAGAAGTTTTTGAAGCACAACCAACCCCTTCCCTTCCAGCACGAAGAGAACGACGGTCTGCACCACTTTATCTGTACCCCGATGCCCACCTTCCGCACCACAATTTACCTGGCCGAAGCGTTCAAGCAGGCTGTGCAGCTAGATACCGAAATGGACAGCAAAACCCACGCGCAAATCTTCTACATCATCAAGGACCTTGCGTTCAAGTGCCTGTATGGGATGAGCGAGAACAGTTTCGGTTTGGTGGAGGTGTTGCAGGCCGTGCAGAAGATGCTTCAGGGAGGGGCAGACGGTTTTAACAAAGCAGATGTCGACTACGCTTTGTTCAACGCGGAAGGTAGTTCTTTGGCCCGGAACGGCATCAAAGGCGGCAGTAGAGCGGGTAACAATATTAAATTGGGCCGGCATCATCTCGCGCTGAATGATGCAGCGGACGAGATGGATCGCGATGGCTTGGCGGGATCCGGATCTAATGGCTTGTTGAACAATCACCAACAGAAGATCGTGAAATCCAAAAAACGGCAAAACAACCGGAACCAATTTGACGACGAAGAGGACGAGACGGTCTCGACTCGCGAGGTCTTGTTTCACGATTTTTTCGCCCGAGAAATTCAGGACGAGATCCTCATCGCCTTCAATCTCGACGCGGAGGCAAAAACGCCCGCTCTGGTCGAGCCGGAGGCGGAGTTTTACAAACTGTGCGAACAGGATTTGTTACGCGCGGAAGTCACCGTGTTCGAGGTGTTGCTGCAAATGTGTTTGGAACTGAAGTCGCTCCGTCAGTCCCGGTGCCCGAAGGAAGCGATCTGCGGCCGGTGTCCGGACTACCACAATGGTTGCAGATTTCTGCATTGGAACGACGACTACGCTCGACAAAAGGACGACATCGAAAAGGGACGGGCCGCGGCCAGCGCGGGCGCCGGTGCAGTTGTCGCGGTGGACAAAGCGGCCCAGGAGCTGAACAAGCACAACGCGTTTGGGATCAAAGACACACTGGAACAAATCTTGAAGGCGACATGCTGCTTGGGAGGAGAGCGTGAAGATGATCAGGAGGGCAAAAATTCAACAGCAGGAACCGCGACCGCGAACCAGAATAGAGCTGCAGTCAACAAATATGCGAACAAGCACAGCAATAAGAAAAACAAGAACAATCAGCAAGTGAAACAAGACACGTCGGGCGCCGCAACTACGGAAACAACTATCGCGGTATCAGAATCTTCTTCAAAGCCCTGCGTTCTTGAAGACGAAAGTAAGCTCGAAGTCACGGAGCAACAACTGTCCCGCGATCAGTACGAATTGATGAAGGTCTTGCAGAAAAAGCTTCAGTCGTCCGAACTCGAGAAGGCCCTGACGGTCGGAAAAGCCACGGCCGGGTTGGTCGCAAACACCAATTTGCTGCAGCAAATTTTGCAGAAGACGACGCAGTCGCTGGAACCCGTTTTCAACCCGCTGGTGTGCTGCGAGTCATTATCCGCGGCAGTCAAGCCAACTGCGGCGATGAAGAAACAGTTCTACAGTGACCGGGCACAGGAACTGTATTATTTTTTAGCCTATTTATTTACGCGAACCAATTCCAATTGTGTCTGTGCTCGTCACGTGGTCTGCCTTTTTCTCAGGTGAAGCACTAATGTATACGATCCACCTGCTCACATTTACGGTTTCTGTTTCTGAAGGAACTAACTCTGACGCCGTTTGACGCTGTTTCATTTCTACTCTTTTCTGCACCAAAAATAATTGATAAACTATGACTATCCACAGTTACCAGCGCCTGCAGTCCCGACTGGAGCCTGCGACGATCTCAGATCTCACCGAGTGGACCCAAGCGCTGCGGTCGTCGGAGTGGGATGAGGACCGGTGCCGGCAGTTTAGCGAATACGTTTCGCCAAAGAACAACCGGATTTGGCAGGACACTTTCGTGTACATCTTCTGGAAGGACACCGCCGCGAGTGTGCGGTGGGGCAACGCAGCTACTGTGGAGGGGGTGTACTGTCACGAATCGAAAGACAGGTATTGTTCCGGAATTTGTGCACTCTTGGTCTTGCTTGTGCAGCCTCTAAAGGAAAACACCTCTTGATAATTTCACTTTGTGGAGAAGTCGCATAGCTCCAGTTGAATGAATACGGTTTGAAATTGATTTCGCTTTCCAAAAAGTCTCTTCTTTTTCCCCCTTCTCTACGTGTGTGGTCCAGATGGTACTATGTATGGTATTTGGATTTTCCGTCTTCTCGAATGAAATGCAAGAAATGAAGATCAGCATTTGAATACAAGGTGCTATTATTTCTACCTACAGGTACTGCAACATGCGCAATAAAAACGTGACGCTCGAATTCCAGACGGCGCTGCCGGAGCCGGGGAATCCCGGTCGATCCGGTGGGAAGTGGATCATAAAGGACCGCAACACGGTGCTGATGGACGCGCTTGTGTATGTTTTGTCCGAAGGTAATAGCAAGGACGACAAGCCGAAGACCTCCTCCGCCCCCCTGCCAAAGAGCCACAGCTGGAGGCGGCTTCGCGACGGTCTTGCGCGCGGAGATGAGATGGACGATAAAGTCGTGACGGAAACTTTGTTTGTGATCCCAGACACCATGGTAAGTGACTACGTCGCGTCGTTGAAGAAGGAAGTGAACGGAATCCGGTTGAAGAACGAAGGGGACTTGCAGTACGACCAGATTGACGCGCTTGCGAAGAAGTCCAACGACGTGCTGCAGGCCCTGAACCCGCAGACCCGCGTCGACGTTTACGACGACGAGGGCTGGTACGAAAAGACCTACTACGAGAAAAACCGGAGGCCCGTGCCGCTCCGACTCTTCATGCAGATCTGCTCGCCCGAGGGCTTTTTGTCCATTTTGGAGCGCGCATCTGTCTGGACGTCGGCGATGGCAACGCAGATGAAGATGTTTTCCCTGCCGCGATCGGTGTGGCTGCGACACTTCGAGTTCTCGGAACACCTGTTCTGGCCGATGTTCGAGACGAAATTCATCCAGGCGGACTACGAGAAGTCGCGCAAGACGGCGATGCTGAAGAGCAACCGCGCCGAGGATACTTTGGGAGTCTTGCTGCACTTCGTGAACCCCGCGGAGGTGGTGCTCGAACGCGACTGCCAGGCGCACGAGCAGGGTAAGACCGTGCTGGAGGTGTGGTGCCAGCGGTGGGTACACCAGAAGGAGCTCGAACGGAAGAAAACCTACAGCAGAACCCCGAACGTCCTGTCCGACCCTGGGCTCCGGGCGGAAAACATGTTTGTGCAGTTGAATTTCCGGTTCTGGACGTTACTACTATCCCACGCGTGTCAGACCTCTCGGCAGCGGCGGTACTTGGTGCAACGCCTGCAAGAGATCAACACGAGGGCCAAGTCTGAAGGTATTCTGGAACGGCACCGCAAGTATCTCCCCGGGTACATGCGCTGGTTGCTAAAGTACCCCCAGGAGCGCATGGCGGACGTGGAGCGCCAAGATACGCGGCAAGGCCACGACAAAAAGTGGCAGATCGACCAGATCACCCCGCGCATGAACATGGACCTGCGGAACCCTCTGATCCAAGACGAGGTTCTGATTGTGGACCGCCCGGACGTGGGGGTGGGGCCGCAGTTCAACCCGGAAAACGGCCCCAAGCACAGCACGGCGTTCTTTCCGACCTACCGGCTGGCGTACCTGTATCCCATGCTCAGCCCGAACGTGCCGGATCTGGTGCTTCCGAGGAAGTACTACCTGTTCGACGACGAGAGCCGCAGGTTCTTCACCCTGCAGGAACAGGAACAAATGATGAATTATGCGGCTTGGGACACGGAACGACGCCGAGGACACGTAACTCGCGGAGGTCAGCAACAGATGACTGTGGCAAATGCCGCGTCGGGCGCGCGCCTGATTCCCAATCCGGCTGTGTCAAGGAACAACAAAGAACAAAGCGGCAATTACAGCAACTATGGATCATCATCTTCATCTTCTCTGCAGCATCAAGCCAACTTTGACGAGCAAGACGACAATTTAGAGTGGATGCGTTTCCAGCCGCGCTGGAAACGCAACGTCAACCGGTCCTCGCCCAGGAATGCAAATAACGCCACTATCAGAGCTGCCTCCGATCATGCCAAGAGTAAAGCGAACAAGGGCGGGAATTATGCAGCTGACAAGAAGGCCCAAGTGCAACAACAGCCTAAGAAATCTGCGTGGGGTGTCGTGGACCAACAGTACTTGCTGGACGGCAAAGAATCGGAGAAAGAGGACGTCGCACAGCTAGAAAGCAAGCTGCAAAACATCGAGCCCATGCAGCAGAGGAACAACAATTCCGCGCAAGTACTCGCCGCTTCTGTTGGTAGCAAGACGTCCAGTGCAGTACCTGCCGCTGCACCAGCGGTGGGAGCGGCCGCCGCGCCAGGATTTTCTAATGTTCCGCAAATGAGTATGAGTGGTCCGAACGGCAGTAAAATGACCACTGGTCCTCATGTGGGAAGTAAGATGACGGGCGTCATGGGTGCGACGAACCGAAAAACGCTGGTTGCGCACAAGTACCAAGTGGCGCAACAGACAATGGAGTACATCGAAGATGAATGGATTCCTATGATAAACGATGCGTGTCTTTTCGTTCTGAAACGGTTTGTCAGGCGCTTTCGCGAGCGGAAACACAAGGAACACGAAGAGAAGAGCGCGAAGCGCCGTCGCGAAATTGCAAATGTGGCAGTGCTGTTCGGGGTGAGAAAGGAGGAGCAAGTGCAAGTGATGGAAGCTGTGCCGGACGAAGTACTAATCTTCTTTTCTTATGTTGATTTACGTATAAAAGTAAGAATATGATGCACGACTAGCTTCAATATAGTGGAAAGACGTATCGATGACTATGAGCAAGAACAAGTTGAAGCATTGTCGCATTTGCCTTCAAATCTGTTTGTGTTTTTGGCCCGCAGGGGAATTTCCAACCACAACATGATGAAGTGATTTGCTTTTCGAAAACAACAGACCGTCGCGTGCTGGAACTTTTCCTTCGGAGACCGCCGTAAACGCGGCGCCAACGCCCGGCTGGAGGAGCTGGCGCTGGAGCTGAAGCGAGCCGCGCAAGAGTTTTCCCGGCAAGCGACCAGCGACCTCGCCGACGACGCGGCGCTATTGGTCGACGACGCTGAGACGCTAAAGCAGTCCACGCACAAGATTCGTTCGAAGCCCGCCAACGAGCTGCTTGCGTCGCGCATGCGAAACGACAACAAGCATTTGTTGCAGAGCCGCTACAAGGCCATACTGAAGATTTGCGACTTCTTCACGAAATTTGTGGGCAAGCACCACATCATGATCTCCAAGAGGAAGCGCGCCTGCTACCTCATGCTGTGTGCGTACTTGCGAACCGCGCTGCTGGGAAAAATGCCCTGGTCCATGTCCGAGAAGTTGGCAGCAAACACCGCGGGCCACTCGCCGAGCAAAATTAACTTTGCCTCGAACTTCAAAACGGTGAATAATTATGCCCGGAGCGGCAACGCGAGCAAAACCAAGGTTCCCTCCATTCTGAGCCTGACGGACGACCTGTTGCGGACAGACCCAGCGTCGATCGCAGTTGTGCACAGTCTGGTGAAAGAACTACGGATCCGGAAAAACTACATTGTCGTGCAGCGACGGAAATCGTCGCAATAAGGTGAAATCTGTGTTTGGTTGTTCATGATCTCGTCGTCATGCGGCCGCTACGCAAGGGAAACCCATCTGCTGCCGAAACGCAAGCAAAGGAGCAAGGATTTTACTGATGTCGGAGTGCAGAATTGCGACCATCAAGTTGTAGTTGCGCAGGGGTTCGTTTCCTGCTTGTTTGAAACAGCAGCGCAGAAGAGATGGACACTTCCTAGCCTATAACGTACGATTAGGAAATAAAATGTGCCATGGAAGTAGATAACAAGCACAGAAGTCAAAGCTCTTTAGCTTTTACAGGCCTGAGAATATAGGTGGATCGTGGTTTGAACAATCAACATGCACATGCTCCTCTTCTATCTGAAGAACTTCGGCTGAGAATTTGGCTTGGGTTTTGCTAGACCAGTGCTTCTGTGTCGTTTGTGACGGTCAATCATACGAAGCCAAACAGTACGCAGCGGTGGTCTCGACGTGCGGGAGTGGTCAGTGACACTACTAGAGTATACAGAGAATAAAGGCCTTCCCTCGCGGAAGAAACAGACGAAAGGCCTCTTGGTATTGGCTGGCTCGACCACCTGCTAAATTTCTGGTACGAAGAGGTACTAGAAGAGCATCTCGCCACAGGCACAGCAGCTCGAGGCGCAGTTGCTATCCAGTTTTTTCCTGCGATAGAAAAGGTGGGAGGTCCTCGCTAGCACATTGTAGAACCTACCCCGTCCATGTTTACGACTTTTTCAACTTCTTTATTTTATATCAGGCAGTGTGGAGATCGTCGGGAGCAGAATCATGTGCACCGCGATCAGATAAAGAATGTAGATCTCAACAACTGAAAAAATGACACGACGAATTTGCGCTTTTGTTGTAGCGACAACTAAAATACAAAAGGTTGCAAGCACGAATGAAATCTTCCACTATTGATTGCTTTCATCTCCTCGACATATGATGAATTTTACACAGTATGTATTCGCTTTTTCCTGCGACGAACAGGAACAAAAGCAGGCTGAGAAGTCGGATCAAAAACGTGTTGACGAGTTGTTCATGCAATTTTCGCTCGTTCGCTCGCACTCCCCGTGGAGATCTTCGAGAAGATCATTGTGGGAGACCCTAGCTGTTTCGGTTTTGTGAAGATTCATCACGCTCCTGAGAAATGTCGCTGTCGTGCTGGCGCCAAGATATTTATGATCACTTCGATCTTTTGCGAACATATCAATATCTTTTGCATTTGATGTCGTGAGCTGGTAAAAAGTTCGATGGTCACGTCCTCCTCTCGGCTGAGATTCCTGTTTCGAAAGTAGTTCCTCTTGAGATCGATGATCCTGCGAGATCTTAAGAAATGACTGGAAGCTCCTGGTAGATCTACAACTACAGCGAAGAAAATGTGATCATCGCTGCGCCCAGCATGCATTGAATATCGGTTTCAGCATCATTGTACTCAACCCGAAGGCGTCGGGCTGGAACAACTACAGAATGCAGACTTTCCGCACGACGCTGACTCACGCTCACCGAGAACAGCATTCTTCTTTAGTCTTCACACAGAGTACAAATTCTCTTCTAGTTAGTACTTGTTTTGTGCACTTTTATTTGAATAGCATTACGTAGACGTTACTCACCCCGAACTTGCAGAGAAGAAGGCGACCTAGACATATATACCAAACGACCAACATTTTGGGCGAAGAATGAAGATGGAACGAGGACGACCAGAGGACCATCTTCAACTACACCTGCAAAAACGTAGCATTATGTGTGGCGAAACAAAGCGAATAAAGATGAAGCTCGCGCATTCTTCCGGGCTTCGGTCTGAGTCGATGTCTCTTCGTCGCGCCGTAGTGCTTCGATTCTTCATCCTGCCGTTGTTCACTGTAGTCGAAGCGCTTCCGCGACCTGCCGTGGATCCGCATGCGTACTACGAGTTTCTGTTTGGCTACCCCGAAACAGAAGTTTTCACTCCGCCTGGGCACCGCGCTGACAATGCCACTAATTTAGCGATTAGGAACAACTTCGATGTCAGCTTTGAAAGGGTGCCGTTCGAACCGAACTACACAAGGACTCCAGATCATGGTGGAGGTGGCACGGCAAATAATCTTCAAGCTCAGGATATTCTGATTAAAAACGTCCCCACACCAGAGTCAAGTTGGCAAATCTGCTAGACAAATCACACAGCTTTGGTCGTTTGGCATGACAAGTTTGTCCTCGTAGTGTAATCCTGTTTCGCTAGCTCAGAAGCATTACAGATCTAGCCTACCATACTGATTCTAGCATCACAAATTCCAAAACACGAATAGAAAATGCTTCTCATAGGGCTCCGCATGAGAAACTTTTTTGGCATGCAGAATTGCATGACAACTCTGGGGTGGATACGTTTTTACATAGGATACAGGATCCTGCCCTGTCGGAATTTCTCACCACTTGGGTTGCGAAGCTGAAGAGTCGGCTATCCTGAGTAAAAACGTACCCACACCAGAGTCAGGATGGGGATTTTGCAACACAAACCTAGGACTTTTGTGAGTCACGCATGACAAGTTGCACTATGCAGTGTAGTGCAGGTTCGCAAGTGCAGCCGCATCACAGATTCATCTGCTCATCCTGTTCACAGCATCACAAATTCCAAAACACGACTGGAAATGGCTCTCATGGGGATGCGCATTACAAGCCTTTCTGTCTTTGCAAATCTGCATTACAACTTTGGTGTGGGTACGTTTTTACTCAGGATATCGGCGGAACAACCGAGAGCTGCATGCCGGGAAATTTTCTTCGATTACCGTGGGAGAATTTGAGGCGTCCCTGAAGCAGAAGCTCGCGGGAAAAAAATTCACGGCTTTGTCCGATACCAATTCTACCTTCACCGCCAAACGGTTTACCTTGTCCGACGCGAGCACGGACATCGGACAAGTCACTGCGTCGCACCCGCTGGCCACCATCCAGGGCGCCAGTCAAATGAACGGCTTGGAGCAAACGTCGGACAACGCCGACCCGCATGGCATTGTGAACTACTTCTCTGACGACACCCAGGGCCCCGCAGTCGCCCTCACCGGGTTCGCCGGGACGCTGTGGCGCAACCACTTTGTGCGGCTCGGGAACACAACTCCGACGAACCGGCGACGTGTTATCGACGAGACGGCCGCGACCCCGTACGACCCAGCGGACCTGTTTCGGGGGCAGACGGCTGATAATCTCGGGCCCGGTGGAATCAGGCGGCGGTTCGACGAAGTCCAGCAGCTGGACAGCTTCCACGGCGTGTGGGCCGCGATTCTGCAGGCCGCGGGTTCTGCCACGGACGCAAACGCCGCTGGATACCCGGTCCGCAACGGGTATCTGCAAGTTGATGATGTCCGAACGGAGTTCCAAAACGCGCGTAGAAGTACTACTACCGGTAACCCGGTCCTCGGGGACGCGCAAATCGAGCAGATTTTTCGCGACCGGCTCCGGGTGCACGTCCAAGAGGACACGGAGTTTACGGGCTACCGCGACGCGACTGGTCGCGGCCAACTCGCGCCGGATTTGGGTGGAGACATCAATACCAGCAAGCCTTTCAAGGAAAAGCATCTGATTACCCAAGTGTACGGGTCCGGCATCCCCGGACCCTCCGCGGTCGACGTGGACGAGATATCAAATGTAAAAATGTCTGGGTCTGGAAGATTCTAAACTTGTAATGCTGTCTCTGGATTCTAAAAAAATTTGTATTGCATGACCAGCAAAAGGGCTCCAGTTTGTGCTACGTGGAGAGGGCATTTCTCATGCGGTAGAGGCATCACAAAGTCCTCTAAAGATCTGTGATGCTAGGGCATGCATCAGCATCACAGACATCATGGGTCATTCAAAATATGCATGACAAACCTGGCAATCTTCCAGACCCAAACACTTTTGTAGTTGATACGAGAATGCGCCGAACAACGTGGCGGTTTTCTACAAGAATTTTCTGCGGTACCAGTACCGTGCGGCCTTCGCCGTCGCACTGCGACAGGCGGTCAAGTATCGTATTTAAAAACGTCCCCACCCCATAATTGTCATGCAGATCTGCAAGCACAAGTGCACTTGTAATGCGTATCCCCATGATAGGCATTCCCGATCGTGTTTTGGAACTTGTAATGCTGTAAACAGGATAAGCAGATGGATTTGTAATGCGACTAAACCTTGCTAAACTGCATTACAATACGGCCTGCAATTTGTCATGAGTGGCTCCCAAACCTTCAAGGTTTGTGTTGCAAAATCCCCATCTTGACTTTGGTGTGGGGACGTTTTTACTCAGGATATCAAGTGGAACTTCGGGAAGTCGTCGAGAAAGCTGTTTCTGACCGGGCTGGGGTACGGGGTGTGGTCGGGGGGGCAGGAAGCCGCGTTGACGGAGATTTTGAAAACCGTGATCGCCGAAGCGTTCTTCGCCTACCGGAACTGCGGCTTGGAGGTTCAGCTTATCGTCGGAGCGTCGCCGGCGGTGGTGAGCAATCTGCTGCAGGGGGTGCAAGAGAAAAAGCAGCAAATGCTCGCGGACAACAAGGACGATAGCGTCTGTGGACTGGGGTTGAATGATCCTCATCCAGGAGGCAATTCGCCTGGTGGAGGTTCTCCCGGTGGCGGCGGTTCTGGCGGTGGCGGTTCTGGTGGCGGTGCTGGTGGCGGTGGTGGTGCTGGCACTCATCCTCCAACAGTTCATCCAGCCGGCACGCCCAGGAGCAGTTCAGTCACGTACACGCCGATAGTCTTTTGGGCGCTCTACGGTGTGGTTTTTTTGAGCTTCCTGGTTGCGGGTGTGGTCGTGTGTGTTTGCCTGTTGAAGAACAAGCCAGGCTGCCGTGGTAAGGGTGCACCAGGTTCATCGGTGGTTGTTATTGTTAACGATCATTATGCAACTCCACCTCCAGGCGAGCAGCAGGCTCAGTTCAACAAAGGTGCTCCTGAGGGGGACCTCGCTCCAAGACCTGCCGAGGGCCAAGCTTTGCCGGTTCTCAGAGACAGTAGGGATCTTTCGGAGGAGGTAGAAGAGCCGGGAATTGGGCAGCCGCTCCTGGTGACGGGAGAGCGGGAAGATGTGGTGTAAATAAATGCGGGGCGGTGGCGTTGTATTTACTAGGAGGGGTTCTATGCCGGCATTCCAGCGCGAGCGCGCAAAGCGGTCCTACATCCTTCCTGCTACCTCGATCTGAATAAATGTTGCGACGATCATTCTAAGTTCCAGTCAATGTGGCCAGGAAGCAGGATGTTTTTGAAACGCGACAGTGTACTCAGTCTCTATTGGTCTTCATTTGAGTACACACGTACGTATGTGAAAATCACCCGCTTTCTATTTTCTTTTCGTCAGAAGTGAAGGGCGACTTGTGTCTGCTCTTCAAACACCTTCCTTACTACATAGAATCATCGAGGAGCGGGTATGCACGTGCTCTTTGCAGGGTCCGTGTGCAAACAAGCGAAAATGACGAAAATGTTATATGATACTCCACAGTAAAAGTTTTTTTTGTTATTTCTATTTCCCGGCCATCGGCATGCCAGATGTCACGATTTTTTTGTTTTTGGCATGGGAAGTAAAAAAGACTGGCTCGAAATTAGCACTTGACGTAGGACGAAGAGCATTCCTTTCATGTATGATCGATAAGTGTGTTTTACCGTTTTGGAAGAAGCAGATTCCACGACTAAGTGCCGGTGCTGTTGGCAATGTGATAAAACATTTCACATCAAGTGTTCGACATGTACGACGATCGTTAATTCCGCGGAATGACAGCTCAAGCCTTGTAGTTCTTCTTCCCGGGTGATTCGTTTCGAAAAATAGCCATCATAATTGATCTCTGCGGTAGTTTTCATATATGTCTTCTTCCGACTACGCACTGACATTGTGTTGTGCAAAAAATCAAGTAGGCCTCAGCTGCTCTGAGCGCGAGCCAAACAGAGCAGATCTGCTTCCTGGATCTAAGGGCTGTATGCTCATGTTTGTCTACTGATATTATTCTTGAGAAAATTTCAGTTTTTTACAAGTAAAAGAGAATGCATTTCGTGTTTCTTTGTGCCTCTAGTACAACTAGAGGAACGACCAGGCGGGCGACCTCCTCGTCGTCTAGTTCTGCCAAACGCTTTTTCTCCAGCGCGTCATCTGCCGTGGCAGGCAGTTCCTCCTTCGCAGCCGAGTCTAACAGCAGCTTGCGCCGTAGGGCACGGAAGCTGGGTGTGAACCCAGCCGCCGCGCTATTTCAGCAGCATGATGATCAAATACTGCAGCCCCCGTCTGGAAGTAGTAGTAGAACAGGACAGAAACAGATGCAGACCAACGCCAACGATCCCAACTTGGATGCGGAATTCAACAACGAACTGAAGCGGCGTGCGCGGCCAAAGGGGAAGGAGAAATACCGAATCACGCAAGACTTTCTCGAGGCGGAAAAAGAGGAGCGAGACACGGTGCTGATGCCCAAAGACAACGTGCTCGAATCGCTGCAGAAAAAAGCGGTGGAGACCAAAGCGGAACTGAAGGCGAAGAAGATCCGCTTGCAGGAGAAGGAGCGCATTGCGCGCTCGAAGGTGGTCCCAGAACTCGGGTTCTGCAGGATCCCGCCCAGGAATGTCAACAAACGGAGTTGGTCGGAGGAAAGTTTATTGCAGGATGAAAATGATGGTTCCGGCTTCCGGCAAGAAGCAGAAGATATTAATAACGGCGACAAGTCTACTTCATCATGCACCTCCGCTCGCGAAGGACGAGAAAAGGAAAACCAAACCGCCGAAACCGGGAGTACGTTGGCTAGTGCACAGGAAGTTGCTGATGCGTATTTTGGTTCTACCAAGCGAGCGTTTCTCGGCCGCGAGGGAACATCAAGATCGACTGACCTAGGTCACGCGAGGGACAGCACAGCCGGTCGCAGAGCCGTCTCTTCTCGACCTGAGCCGGAGCCGCTGCCGTCGCAGCCGTTGGGAAGAATGACGCCAGACGTTTTGTTTTCCCGAATAAATAAGTCCGCTCCAAGTAGCAGTGCAAAACTTGTTCCACCCACCTCGGCGTGGTCTCACACCAGCATCATGAGCAGTGCAAGTGGACGAGGACAGCACCAAAAACACACCGACGACCACAATGCCGTGAAGTCGGTGGGTGGACTGGTCAGGAAATTGTGGAATTTGAACAAGAGTGGAGCTGCAGCTATTTCTGTAGCGAATCGACCACCAGCACAGAGTTCCTCCAGTTGTGGCTCAGCTTCAACATCACAAGAAATTTTCGAAATCCTAGACAGATTGAAAAACAAGCCAAAAACAGACTTCACCCTGCGCCACTTGTCGGTGTTGTTGATTTGCTGCACAAAGTCGCTGGACTTAACTTCTCCGGTCGCGCAGTCCTACAGTCGGTATTTTTTCGAAATTCTGCGGGATAGGATTTTGGTCGAAGTTTGGGAAAAGCAGGAAATAAAGAAGAAGATGAACACTCCTGCAGCACAACAGCCGGCGAACTTGTCGTCGACACGCGCCGCCTACAGTGCTTCTTCTACAACCGGTGCTCTGGAGAATGCATTGCAGCGCGGACTACAGGAGAGCCACTCTTTGATGCTTCCTTCCGACGTTTTGGTGATGACGTTGCGAGCTTGTGCGAGTTTTTTGGACCCGGTTAGCTATTTGTGGAAGTTTGAAATCGAGAATCTCGACGTCAATCCCAATGCTTGTGATGGAGAAGATGATCAAGGTCTAGACCAAGAGCTCGCGACGTCACCACAAGAAAACCGAACACCAAGCACGGAAAATACTGCCTGGACAGGTTGTAGTAGTACACCACTCTCGGCACGACCAGGTGGAACAACTACAAGCACAACGCCGCCGAGCCTTTCCCTGGAGGAGCTGTCGAGGCAAATCGCGAAAGAAAAGAAGGAGCAGATTCGGCTGACCAAAGTGAAACACGTGGAATTGTTGAAGTGCTTAGCTACCGAAGTGAAAAAGCGGCTGAATGCCGTGTTAGTCTTCAGGACAAATCTGGAAATTGCAAATGAGCAGTCCCCCGGGGTGGTGGAACAAGAAGACCACGAGCGAAAAGAGGCTCAGAATAAACAGCAAAGAAACGATCCCCACACCTGCCGTGCCGCCGAGCCAGGAGTTACCGCCCTAACCACGCCGGAACTGGTTCAAGTCGTTTCCTCATTCGCAAGGCTGAAGTTTTACGACTCGGACCTGTTCAAGGCTATCAGACGGTATACGAAGTCGCATCTCAACCAGTTTACGATCCGCCAGGCTGCGTTCTTCGCCCGCGCGATTCTGGAAAACGACCAGGAGGCAAGTTTCAGCAACTACGGGCACCGCATGCTGGCGATACGCTGCTTCTTGGAAGAGGAAATGGAAATCAATAAGCCGAGAAATCGGTTTTTGGAAATGATTTTGGAAGCGGTCTTTCTACACCAGGACATCAAGATGAATCATGCAGCACAAGGAGCAAAAGCGACGTCTTCTTCACCGTCTACTTCAACCGTTGCTGACGTGGCGGATCTGATAAAAGCGATCGGCTACTATGAGTTTGAGAACGACGAAATCAAGCCAAAAGTAATCGAGTTTGCCCTTACTATGATACCAAGCATGCCGGCGTTTGAGCTGGCACGGTGCGGCATCGCAGTCGCGGAAATGATCGAAGCGGAAGACCGGTTTTATGGTACAGACAAAATGCAAGACAATTCTGATTTCTCATCGTCCTCTTTCCAGCTACACCCGGATTGTGATGCTGCGTCAGATTGTTCTTCTCTAGAAAGACAACGCGTACTAGGAGTCCTTGAGCTCGCGTCTGCGGTCCTAGAAGCTTGCAACGCTGTTCTTTCCGCACGTACTTCACGCTCAGTAGGCACAAGAAGAGCAGTAGAACCCTTTTCAACAACATCTTCTGCATCTTCCACACAACAGGTGACTGACGAGGGCGAGCACAACATCCAAGCCGTCGCTGGAAGAACCGTAGCGGAGGGGACGAATTTGTCTCCCACCCAAGTTGCGCAACTTCTGTACACCATTGGGACGCTGTCGAGGTTTCTTCACGACAGACGGACGCATGTTCTGTCCAAGGCCGCTGCAGCTGCGCGGCACGATCTGAATCTTGATACCCTCCTCGAGAAAACGTTTTTGGACGGGAAGGCCCTGTCGACTTGGTATCCAGAGAGCACCGTACTTGCAATAGCCGGATTGACGAATCTCTCCTCGTGCTTCTTGTGCGCGACAACAAATTCGAAACAGAAGAGTGTTGAGAACTGCATGGAACCGGTCGCTACGCTTCTAGAGCAGTTGCTGAAGCAGCTCCGTAGGCACGTCTGTTTTCTGACCACCGAGGAATGCTTGCTGCTGATGCAGAGCTTCAAGGACTTAGCGGTAAACTCGGCAACAGAACACGCAGTGAAAGCGGTAGCGTCGTTGCATCCGAGAGATGATTTTTTCTCGCAAAATAAGGAAGGAGGTAAAAACGCCAGCCGGTACTTCAAGCAAGCCTGTGTCAGCTACTCGAAAAAGAACGGGCTTTTACCACTTCAGGCCGTCATGCGGGGAGAGAGTATGAAGACGGTGTGTGAAGAAGTGTCTAAACAGCTGCTCGGAAATCGCTTGGGAGGGGCTTTTGGCATGTTGGATCGGGTGGTGTTTCTCCAAGTATTGGAAACGGTGTTCGGAACCACAGAAAGGGTACATGCCGGAAATTTTTTCTCCGCAATGCAGCTACCAAGGAGCACGACTACAACCACAGAAAGAGTTTCTGGCGGCGATAGCTGCCGGCAAAGCACATTATTACAACCGATCGCTTTCGAGTCATGGCTTAGAAGTGTGCAGCGCCAGGTTGAACGAAGTTTCGTCCTCGGGAGATTTCTACTTCCTGGTACTAACGGTGTCGGAGAGATAAGAACGTCAGCGGCGGCGGTGGCGAAAAAGGAGAAAACGAAAAGTGAAGACACAATCCCGCAAGATGCAGCAGCTTCTGCGGAGACTAAACCAGCGTGTTTGGAAACTTTGCTGTTTGAAAGCTTGTCCAAAAAGCCAGCGGTTTTTTCCTCGAAGCAGAATGTGATTGCGTTCAAGAACAAGGCAACAGCTCTGGCGAGCAGGCCACTGATTTTCTCGTTCACCAGAACAGAAATTCTGCGCATCATGGAGGTTTTTGCAGCCGGGTTACTAGAGAAACCATACCACGGGATGAAGAAGGAAAAGATGCAGCTACTACGCGAAGAACGTGGTGAACTACATGGTGATCAGTTGTTCCACAGCCTGATGCAATCCGATGCTGCCAGTACGAACGAGGCTGTTCTTTCTGGTTCAAAACGGTTTGACACGTCGAAGGGCAAGGGGAGGACGACGCGGTTGTCGTTTTGTCAACTTCTGGACGCAAAGTGCTCGGAGTTTTTACCTCGTCAAGAACCGACAGAGGAAGGGCATTGCCAATTAGTTGCGACAGCAGGATCAGGAATCAAGCCTGCAATCGCCGACTTCTGGTGCCGGCTTGTCTGTGCGCTCGCGGTTCTGGGCGTACGATTAGATTGCGTTGGGAAGATTTCAGAAGCTCAGTGGCTGGAAATGATAAAGCTGCAAGATGAACAGCAGGATGAATTGCGGGGTCGAAACTTCGACGCGCGGACTGGAGAAAACAAAACCTCGCAGCATCACAGCTCTCCACCGCCTGCTGCTAGCTCTAAAACCGTTTTTGCCCTTGTGGAATTAGGACTTCTGAAGAAAACCAACCGAGTTGAAGGATTTTTGGACCAAGTAGCGAGTGGAGATGGCGATGATGATGTTTCCAGTCACTGGCTAAGATACGTTTGGTGCACGGCACAAAATGGCGGCGCGGATAAGCCGAGTGGAGCTTCGTGTTCATCAAGACGTACGGTAGAGGATATCTGCTTTTCAACAGCGACAGATTTCCTAGAACAGACATTGCTGGCACAAATACGTTTGGAGTTGAGCGCTAGATCCGCGCGGGGTGCAGCTGTAACAAGGGAAGGAAACATACAAACTAGCAGAGCAAATTCCACACCTTCGTCCCGTCCTTTATCCCGCGAAGAACGGGCGGTCCTTGCGGTGTTGGCGACGAAGGGCGTGGCGCACATTCCACAGTACAGAATTGCGATGTCTAGAAGTTCTGCAAAAGACGCTTGCAATCCGTACGGAACAACAGCAGTCTTACCTTATCGAAACGAAGTCTTGTTGATTCACGACGATATTCCGCCGGAGAGAAGTCAATGCTCTGCCAGCGGCGATAATGCTTTGGCAGAATTTCGACCTGAAAACCTCTCTCCTGTGATTCACAAAGTGTCCCCGCCGCCCGCGAAGTGGCTCGCTGAAGTTCTTTCTTCGGAAAGACCTCCGGCTAACAGACAAGCAGAAACTGGTGGTCACGACGGTGATACGGAGGACACAGAACAAAATGGTAAGACCGCATCGGCGTCTCTGTTGACACTCCGGGAAACAACTAGGATTCAAGAGAGGCAGATCCTGGAGTATGGTTGTACCTCTGACATCGGGGCAGCCGGTAGCACAAGCAATGTCGCGCGGGTGATCTCGATCATGCGGTCTGAAGTCAAAAAAGCCATGTTGCGACGAAAGTTGGAGGAGTTTGTAGAGGAGCGGATAATGATGTTGTAGACACCATATTTCCGCGTACGCGTTATTTTTTCCAAAAAGTTGGTATTGTCAAAATCTAACGACTAAAATCAAAAGAAAAAACTAACGCTGAACAAGTCGATCTATTTTTGAACCCCTGTGCTCAAGAGCGATCAAAGAAAAGTGAATTCAAAATCTCTGCTCAGTATTTCCGCATCAGAACAAGTGTTCCACTTAGCAACAGCCGCAGCGTTTTTTTTCTTTCGCACACTCATGCATTGCGGTTTCCCGGATCCGGAATGACACACGATTTCCCTTTTATTTGTACAGAATGAATTTTTCTGCTACTTTCTTTTCAGGTGACGGCGTTTCTTTTACTGTGAACTGTATCTCCAGAAGCTTAGATTTTACTTTCTCTGGTCAGCTATTCGTTTTCTTTTTCTTTTCCAAAATCGACGCGAGCGCATTTGCTTTTTTTTGACTTTCGCAATTAATTGTTTTGAGAGTTTGGCTTTGGACTTTTTGGAACTTTATACATCGTTGTGATTTTTTGTTTTTTCCGCTCGTACACACTCAGCTCACAAGTGCTTTGACTTTGAAACCTGTTCTAGTCTCTTTCTTCTCTCAATATTGTTGTGCACTTTATGTTTGAGGACCACAATCAGCTCTAAGATCAATATTACCATCTGAAAAGCAAAATGCAGCTTCTTTCTTTGAATTTACCGTATCTCCTTCTTTTTAAACTTTCTAAACTCCATCAGCCGAGCCACCGCAGCCTCCCCGGTGCACTCGGCGTTTTTTCTTCCTTCAGGTAGTCCTGCCGCGGGTGCGTATTTGGGTTGGCCTGCGTCTCTGCCGACTGCACAGCATGGATCTGGACTGTGGTCGGATCAAGCAGGCAATTGGGAGAGAGCAACGTCAACGCCGACGCACAACGTAGCACAAGGGATTGCCGCTGGCAAAAGCCCCTCTACTTCCGCGAGCAGCAGCAGAGAATTACGGCTCTCGGCGTTTTTTCCCGAGGATGCAGCGGCAGCACCTGGAACCACTACCACACGTGAAGATGCGAACACTAAGAACCCCCCGAAAAGCCCCGGCGCGGCAAACACAACGCCAGTGGTGGAGGTGAAGCTGGATGATCACTTTCCCGAAAGGCAGAGTCCGGTGAATGCTGCTCACAGTGCGCAGCTGCAAGAGCGGCATCCGATAGAAAAGAAAATTCGGAGTAAAAATACCGCGTCCTCCTCAGCCTCCTCTTCTCCCACAAATCATGTGCAGATGCAGAGAAAACACGTTACAGTTACAGAGATCCACGCCTGCCACTTTCCACGAGCGTCGGAAGGCATGGTGACGGGAAGAGGAGAGCGCGCCGAGGATGTGTTAACTATGGAGGAGAAAATCGCATTGGGAATCAAGACCGACCCGATTCTACAATTGTTGTGCGGGCGTCGGAAGCAGCATAACAAGCATACGGGAACACCGACGCGCGATGAAGGAGAGGACGTAGGCAGAATTGATCAGGAGAGTCCTGTTTCTTTACGCATCAAGAGCCCTCCTATTAGTACGACCCCGGGGACTGCTCCTGCTGTTTTACCTCTGTATTCATCTCGGTCAGCAATGCCCATAGAAGATGACGAGGCGCTCCAGCAGAACTGCTTTTACACGACCAATACAGACCCGCAGTACGTCATCCAACAACCCACGGCAGTTGCTAGCGCTTGTGCACCGCCACCAGGTCTCGTGCACCCGGAAACCATAGCGGAAACGACCACGACGCCCACTAGTTTGGGTAGTAAAACTTCGTCTTCATCTCCGTCATCACGGGAACTACCATATCGGAACAAAGTCAACAGTGGAGGCAGTTCTGTCGCTCCGCATGTAGTTTCTCTTTTTTCCACAGCACTGGCGAGGTCTCCTAGAAGCCTTTGTAGAGGTGGTAGAGGTGGCAGGCGGGCGGGAAATAAAGATGGGATGAGCCTGACGGGCAAGAGCAACTCCGACACGCTTGAGCGTCCCTCCTCTTGGAGCAGATCTGCCACGACGCCGGCACCAGAAATCCCGTCCACTACCAGGCGTGCGCGGCCAGGGGGAATCGCAAGCTACGACCTAGAGATGACCTCCTGGTGCACCAGGAATAATCGCAACGGTGTTGAGCCTCGATCTGTTTTCGTTGGCAGGGATGTCAAAGAAGCAACGAAACAAACCTTGCAGACTTCCAACGAGCACTTTTCCATCCTCGACGCGGATCTGCTCGACCATCCGAAGGTTGTGACACCCATGAATACAACGTCCGAACGAGGAGAGCTTACGCCTGCGTCTCGCAGTACTAACGGTGTTCAGATGAATATGCAGCACCAACAGGCAGCTTCTACGTTTCGCCAGCATCGGAGAATGGCGAAGACGTCTGTGACTTCATCGGGGTCCTCTCCGACATCTACCGGTACCGCGCAAGATAGCTTTTCGCCTTTTCGACCGGTTTCAGAAGGTGGAGGCGCATCGGCACATAATTCGCGCATGACCAGTGACGCGATTGCGGAGTTCTGGTTGAGCGACTGTTTTCTGGAAGGGAATGAGCAATATTTTGAAGAAGGTAATAGTGAAGGTAGAGGCGGTCAAGTAGACGCACGATATTATCTTCACAACCCAGCACAGCAGGAAGAATTCCGACTAGGACCGCGGACGAACGAAAACGAAAAGACCCTGCATCTTCCGCATGACATCCAGCAACAGCACGACCTCGATCGAGCGAAGATGCGGCAGGTGTTAGACAAAACTACACTCGAGGAGCTGGTGCGCGAAGAGGCGGCGTTGGAGAAAGGGGAAACAGCACCGAGGTATGATTTTTTCGGAAAAGCGAAAACTACCAAGAGCGCCACTTTATTTGCGGAAGAAGGACGAGCACGAGACTCTGTTTCTGCCAACACTCGCGCAGCTTCATCAACGGATCATGATACCACTACGCCATTGTCTGCACTCGAAGAGGATCCCGACTCCAAGTTTTACCAGACTGCTGTCAACCTGCTGCTCACGCCCGCGACGGAGAGCCATGCGGATGGGGTGTTCTTCGATAAAGACCACAAGGAAGCAATCAGCTTCGACTCGGAGCCCATGTACGTGAAGGTGAATCGAGCAAGTGCTGACAGTGATTGACTGCACTCGACGTACTGGTGATGGAGGACAAGGGGACATGGACATATTTTTCTGTTTCAACGACAACGTCAAGGTCTCTGTCTTTCTCGCCGGTCGTAAGCAGTAAGCTCTTGATACATAAAACTGGGCTGCGGATCTTGATCTTGGTATGAGAGCAAATAGGTGCAGCACCATCGTGATTGGCATTTTTTTGCTACTTGTGCAAGAACTGCAACAAATTGGATCCCCGGCGTATTTCTCGATTTTGAAACTCAGCGCGCGACTGAACCTCTTCCCCCCCCCCGCATATATGCATACACATACTATATTATTACTATTATAATTTATATTTATTATTACTATTATACCTTATTATAATAAAAAGTATATAGTCATAATATAACATAAAAAATAAAGTAGTACTATAATACGCACGCCATAAATCTGCAATCCACCGCAACCCTCCGCAACCCTCCGCAACCCTCCGCAACCCACCGCAACCCTCCGCAACCCACCACAACCCTCCGCAACCCCCCGCAACCCTCCTCCCCCCGCTCCTCTGGTGTTTCCTTACTCCCCCCGCTTGTTGTATGTGATCTGCTATGTATGTAGTAGCTTTGTTTTTTCTTTTTTTTTTGAAAGAGTAAAAAAAATGTATAGAGCAGAAGTAAACTACGAGGCTTTAGCGTGCGATCTGGGTAGACCCAGAAACCAGCACAACCTTTCGCAACCCACCACAGCCCCCCGCTCCTCTGGTGTTTCCCTACTCCCCCCGCTTGTTATATGTGACGCGTTATGTATGTAGTAGCGTTGTTTCTTTTTTTTGTTTAAGAATGAAAAAAAAAAAATCTAAAGCATGAGCAGCATGCTATGAGGCTGCAACGATCTGGGTAGATCCAGAAACCAACGCAACCCACCGCAACCCTTCGCAACCCTCCAAAACCCACCGCAACCCTCCATAACTCTCCGCGACCCTCCTTCCCCCGCTCCTCTGGTGTTTCCTTACTCCCCCCGACGGTGATATGTGATCTGCTACGTATGTAGTAGATTTTTTTTTTTAAAGAAGCAAAAAAAAAATTTAAAGCATAAGGAGCCTACGAGGCTCCCGCGATCTGGGTAGACCCAGAAACCAGCGAAACCCCCCGCAACCCACGGCAACCCTCCGCAACCCCCCCCCAGGCTCCTCTGGTGTTTCCTTACTCCTCCCGCTTGTTATATGTGGCGCCCTACGCACCTCGTAGCGCTGTTTCTTTTTTTGTTTCAGAATGAGAAAAAGCATAAAGCACAAATAAGCTCCATACTATGAGGCTGCAGCGATCTGGGTAGATCCAGAAACCTATACAAGTGCTCAGCTCCCCCTCCCCCTCAAAATATTGATATTGGAATATTTATTTGGTTACCAAATAGCGCGCTTCTATGTCACCAAATAGTGCGCTTTTATGTCATCAAACCGTGCACGTTTCGACCTCAAATGCGGAGCGCTTGCGTTGCTTTTTGTGCGACCAAAAGCGTCGCAAAAGTTTGCAGTCTCTCGCTATGTTGTGAAAGCTAATCGCGATGCTTTGGGCTCACTCCCCCTCGCCAAGGCTGTCCGCTTCCCCTCATGAGGGGGAGTGGGCCCATAGCATCGCGATTAGCCATCAAAGTGTAATATTTTTTGCTCCTTTTTGGCGGTTCGCAGCTCCGAGCCCAAAAAGTCGCTGATTTGAATGACAAAAAGTGGATGATTTGAATGAAAAAGCGAGCGCTTTTTTAATTTTTTTCTAGGAGCTAGACTGCATGCTATGGGGGCGATTTGCCGGGGCCAAAGCGCTGCAATTTCCGCTAATCGCGATGCTATGGGCTCACTCCCCCTCACCAAAGCCGTCCACTTTCCCTCATGAGGGGGAGTGGGCCCATAGCATCGTGATTAGCGATCAAAGAGTAATATTTTTTGAGCTCACTTCCGAGGTCGCAAAAAAGTCGCTGATTTGACGACACAAAAAGTGGCGATTTGGCGAGCATTTGCCGGAAGTCTTGCAACTTATCAACTTACACGCAGAAGAAGGCCCGGCATTTTCTTTTGGTTGTTGCCGTCTCCTTGTTTATTCCTGACGCAGTCATCTGACCCCGATTTCTGCGCCAGGTGTGCGGAGATCACAGGCTCGACCGATCAAAGGCACGAAGACACTCCGGGTCCGCGACCTTTTGCGACGCGTTTGCTGCCACAAAACGCAACGCGATGGATCGCTGCGCATTTATCGGAGTCGAAACGTGCGCGATTTGATGGCACAAAAGTGCAACATTTGGTGACATAAAAGCGCATTATTTGGTAACCAAATAAATTGCGAAATATTACGAAAAAGTAATATTTTGAGGGGGAGGGGGAGCTTGTCACTTGTATAAAACCAACGCAACCCTCCGCAACCCTCCACAACCCTCCGCCCCCCGGCGCTCCCCTGGTGTTTCTTTATTCCCCTCGCTTCTTATATGTGGCGCGCTATGGATATAACAACTCTACTGAATGAAACAAAACGCACAGCATAAATATGCTATGGGGCTGCAGCGGTCTGGGTAGATGCAGAAACCATAACCAACGCAGCCCGCCGCAACCCACCACAACCCACCACAACCCACCACAACCCCCCGCGATCCTTCGCCCCCCGTCCCTCTGATGTTTCCTTACTCCCCCCGCTTGTTATATGTGACGCGCTATGCGTATAGCAGCTCTGTTGCCTTTTTTTTGACAGAATAAATAGCCAAGCACGCTATGAGGCTGCAGCCATCTGGGTAGACCCAGAAACCAGCGCAACCCCCCGCAACGCCCCTCCCCCCGCCCCTCTGGTGTTTCCTTGCTCCTCTGGTGTTTCCTTGCTCCCCCCGCTTGGCTTGTTGTGTGTCATCTTCTAGCTACGATGTATATAATAGCCTTGATAGATTGCTTATTTTTTTTCAGTAAGAAAAAAATATGCCACGGGGCTGCAACAATCTGGATAGATCCAGAAGCCAACGCATCCCCTCGCAACCCCCCGCAGCGGGCGAGGGCGGAGGGTTGTGGTGGGTTGCGGAGGGTTGCGGTGGGTTGCGGAGGGTTGCGGAGGGTTGCGCTGGTTTCTGCATCTACCCCGATCGCCGCAGCCTCATAGTATGCTTTTACTCTTTTTCATTCTTCCAAAAAAAGAAAACAAAGCCACGACATACATAGCAGATCACATACAACAAGCGGGGGGGGGTGAGGAAACACCAGCGGGGCGGGGGGAGGAGGGTTGCAGAGGGTGGCTGAGGGTTGCGGAGGGTTGCGGAGGGTTGCGGAGGGTTGCAGAAGGTGGCGGAGGGTGGCGGAGGGCGGCGGAGGGTGGCGGAGGGTTGCGGAGGGTTGCGGAGGGTTGCGGAGGGTTGCGGAGGGTTGCGGAGGGTTGCGGAGGGTGGCGGAGGGTGGCGGAGGGTGGCGGAGGGTTGCGGAGGGTTGCGGAGGGTTGCGGAGGGGTTGCGGAGGGTTGCGGAGGGTTGCGGAGGGTTGTGGTGGGTTGTGGTGGGTTGTGGAGGGTTGCGGCGGGTTGCGGTGGGTTGCGGTGGGTTGCGGTCGGGTCGTTGTTGGTTGTTTTTGTGCTTTTGCTCTTATATAGGACAAAAATGCCAATCACGATGGTAGTGCACCTATTTGCTCTCACGCCTTGATCTTGAATATTTGTCCTCAGTTAATATGCGAAAAGCACTAGCACGAGATCTCTTCCATTTGTTTTGGACTTGGAATTCTTGAGGTACTCAAGGTTTCTAATTCTATGAATAATTAAAACGCAATATATATTTTTTATTTTTTTACAGGAAAGACTGCACCACGCCACCCACGTCAGGTCTGCGAAGCATTTTGACGCTCTATTACTCACACGATCACAGTTTCCTACCGCTATCGCTGGAGAACGGCAAAATAGATCTATTTTACCAACGCAGTGACGAACAAGTGTTGATCAAGATTTCATATTAGACAACTGCATAGTCAGCAGGAGATAACAGCAGATGAGCTTTCTGTGCTTTTGTTTGACTGGAGTGACAAAGGATCGATCAGTTTGTTTCTCCGTGTTCTACGAGCATGTGGTCTTGATTTTATGGATTTTTTTCTTTTTCACACTGCAGGACTGTGAGCTTTTCTTGTATGGATGCAGCAGGGTTTTTGGTGTGCAAGTCGTTTTTTGGTGTGCAGCGTTGCTCTAATTTGAAGTAGGCGGTAATCACAGATAGTACCACGCGGAGAAGTTCAATTACGCGTTAAATGCAAAGTTTTGAAGTTTTTTTTTTCGTTGTGACGAAACGTGGAATTTTTACAAATGCAACTGCAACTGTTTCGCTTTTTGAAGACTAAGTAATACTGAAATTTGATTTTTCGAACACTTTTATCACTTACTGTCTTAGATAATATCTCTTGCCATGACAAACGAATTAACCGCATTTATCTTTGTAGATGCCTTACATGTGGATTTAGTTATGTTGGTAAGTCATCTGATTTTACATCAAAAAACTCAAAATACCGTCGGCCAGATGCTCACACTCGTCATTGTTTCCACTATGATGATGCATCTCCCTTTTATTATCATTATCGACAGTATGAGCGCCATGTTATTTCCTTTCAAACAATCTGTTATGAGGTTCGATTCCCAAGTCAAGTAAATTTAGTAAATTGAAATTATTTTTTTGAAAGTGCGAAAAGGGAAACGGGGTGCGGCAGCGGTGCGAAGTCTTTCGGTCTGGTAAAGATTTGGGATACGGAAGCCGCCCCGGATTAGTCGAGCTGCGCAGCTTACTATGATCGAGGTCGTCGTCGTAAATAGTTTCGCCAATAGTATTCCCTCGAGAGAGTCGTTGCAAATTCGAAATCGCGAACAACTTGTGACTGGTACCAGAAGCGGATAAATGAGGGTCGGCGGAACTCGGCAGCAAAGGGATTTTTTGAAAAATGCTCATGCTCGGACTCGTTCTGCAACTCCCCGCGTTGCAATCATGATGTGAATGCAAAATGAATGCAGTAGTTTTTTTTTTCTGATATCTGTGTTGCAAATGCCACCCACTACTAGAATTGCCTTCGGTCAGTTTTGCTTTCATAAGCGTCGCGGTCGTCGCCCTTCTCCTTCCAGCATGGATGGCGAACGATTCAAGACCGCCATCTACGAGCCGGCAAAGGGCTATGCTATGGGGGCGCTTATGTTCGCGGCCTCCTTGCCTTTTGCTGCGTTTTCCACGTCCGCCTCGCTGCTCCTCGGATTTGACGTGTCGAAATCTGCTCTCCTCCGCCTCCGGGAGAGGTCGGTGGAATACATCAAGCGGCACCAGAAGGAGCGGCTCCGGGCTGCCGCAAGTTCCGACGACATCACGCCGGTGGTAATACGACTGGGCCACGATGGCACGCCGCTTGGCTTAACCGTATCAAAAGCTACGGGAACCGGCATTACGAGGGGCCGGCACAACCACAACGGCGAAGATATGGCGATGGTCACAAATACCGCCCACATGTGTGGGCGCAGCGCATTTCTGATCATTTTGGTATGCTATGCGATTATCATCACAGAAATGCACTGCGCTCGGGCCTTGGGCGGGGTATTTGATTGTCCCTCCATAAGAGTACACGTCTGTACGGCCACTGCCTGCGTCGGAGCGGGCACAGCTTGGGCCAAGATTCGAATTCCGGTGGACCTGGTGCTCCTCGCGAAGAAGAAGGCAGGGGACATCTGGCCGCGGCTGCAGGCGGTCTTGGAGGAGGTCGAGCGACTGGCGTCAAACGTGGGGGGCCGCCGACCAGTAGTGGTGCTCAACACACAAGACTCGGGGGGCGCAGGTCGGAAGCTGAAGAAGATCTTGCGGCGTTGGGCACGTTTGAAGGACGAGCGGAGATCACGACGCACCGCGGCCATGACCCTCTACTGCGCGCACCATTTTATCCAATTGGGATTTCTAGATGAGGCCAAACGAGCCCTCGGTGGGAATAGCAGCGCGAAAGACTGGGCCCACAAGCTCTACGTGTTTACGCGCAAACTCGTGTATCATAGGTGTGATCTGCTCGAGGAATTGGAGGAATGGGTGGGAAAGATGTTGATCAAGCCCACTACCCAAGCAGCAGCGCTGATGCAGCATCCGGGTGGCGGGCCCGCGGGCTCCGTTGAGGTGCTGGACGAAACAGGAGCACTTTTTCGACTTCTCGGCCGCGGCGATAGTGACCGAAGCAAACAGGCCGCAGACGGTGTCGGCTGGAAGTCGTCAGCGGTCAGGTACGACAACTTCAACTCGAAACTCATTGCCAACTCCAAGGAAGAAGCCGTGGAAACCCTGAAGCAGCTGCTAGCGCGAATTCAGGTCGGGAGCGAGAGCCGTTGGCTGACCTTGGGTCGTTCTTGTGTGGCGATCCTCCTCTTGTCGGCGCTTGGGGGCCGTTGTCTCGTCGCGAGGAAGAGCGACGGATTTCGGGAGTCGGTTCGGAAGCAGTGGGGAGAGATGGTTGACGAGCGGATGCTGACGTATGCTTCTGAAATCCAAGCGGCAGTAAGACGCCTCAGCGCGAAGAGTGTGGCCTGCGTCAGGGCATTGGCTCTCACGCAGACTAGTGCTTTGCGGTGTCGTTTGCCGCTTTGATTTCTCATTTCATATTGAAGTAGCGGTGATCGCGCGGCCGTGCGATGTGGTCATGGAGGAGACGCTTCGGCGGGATACACTTTTACCGGGCGAGACGCTCAGGGCCAGGCTGTATGAGTTGCAGCAATTGGCCTGGACGGAGGTGCTGGACATTTTACACATCCTGGGGCCATTGTCTGATCGGTTGGATGTATCTGCTCTGGCTGGTTCCGTCGTTCGTGCCGCAATGCGTGTGAGCCAACGGTTACTGCGGATAGACGCGGACGGGATTCTACTTCCCCTCCTTGACTTGGTGGACGAGACGCAGCATCACGCCACGACTCCAGCTTTCCGGGCGCTCGAGATCGGGGAAGATTGGGAAGGGATTCAGGGGCTGTCGGACGTCCAGCTTGTCCAAGTTGCCAAGGCTGTAGCCGCGGTTTTGACCATCGGGACACGCCACGAAGAATCCCAACATGCTATCTCAGCCCGGAAAGTCGGCCTGAATACGCATCGAAGGACGATAGAAGGTCTGTCGCAAGAAGTCCTAATCCCCCAGTTTTCGGCCGCCTTGGTTTCGGAATACACGCTGTCGGCGTTGAAGCAGTTGAAGAAGACCAAGCAGCCCCGGCCCCAGAACGCCAGCACGCGCTCACTTTTCATCGGGAAGGAGGTGAGGGAGGCAACTTGGCGCACAATTGTGAATAATCCGGAGGTATCAAATGCGAAAACGTCTGGGTCTGGAAGAGTGCAGGAGTTTGTCATGCAGATTTTGCATGACCCTGAGGTCTGTGATGCGTGTTGTAGCATGAGAGATTCTGCGAGGGCTTTCTGATGCTCATATCGCATGAGAACAGCCCTCTCCGCGTAGCAAAAATTGCACCTCTGTTGCTGTTCATGCAATACAAATCTTTTCTAGAATCCAACGCCAGCATCACAAGTTGCAACCTTCTAGACCCAGACATTTTTGCAATGCATAGAGGGCGGTTGACAAATCCTTTGGGAAGTCCCGGCAGGTCCAGGCGAAGGAAACTTTCACGGCCGCGGCGGAAAAATGGGCGAGAATGTCCGAAGCAGATAAGGCGAAGTACGAGCCGCTCCGCATATGAATTTCAAAACAGTCACTGCCCCATGCAAGATTGTCATGCTGATTTGCATCTGGAATTGCATCCTGAATTTAGAAGCAGCACTGCCACAGGCGAGAACTTGTGATGGTTTTGAGATTCATACGCAAAGCGACAAAAGACGGGCGGTGCCCGTTCGAGTGGGATTGCCGCTAGTAACGTGGCGAGCAGGGCAAGCGAAACTTCCGGCAGCGTGGTCCTGCCGCGGCCCGGTCAGATCCGCATTGGCGCCGACGGCAAGGCGAAGTGGGAAGCCGGTGGAGCAGGTTCATCCGCTGGAAATACCAAACCACAAGCACACAAGACAGCGCAGCAGCACGTCGCGCCACCTCTTTCTGCTGAACGACCTGCGGGTGAGTCTTTGGAAGCTAAGCTTGGCCGACCAGATCTTCCCATTCCGCTCGAGAAATTGCAGGGCTACTGGACGGAAAGCCAGGAAGAAATTTCTCTTGCGCGGACTTCTTCGTGCGCAGCACCCCTCTCCTGGAACGGGACTTCAGTGCAGGCGGCATATGATCGCTCTGCTTTTGCCGCTGAAGAAGGGCCGTCCAAGATCGTGCGGATGATATTACATGCGGAAGACGGGCGCGATTCCGGGAACATTGGGGCGATCGTCTTCGGGAAAGATCCGGAGGAAGAGGGCGTTGCACTAAAGAGCAACCAGAGTGGCCGTCTTGAACAGCCACGCAGCCAGGTCTTGGTGAGCAAGATCTTCACTCTGGCGCCCTGTGAGGGCCATTGCAGGTCCATTGTCTTTCAGGAGTTGGAGCACCGTCCGTCGCACAACAAACAGTATGAATTTCACGCCGCCCTTCCCGCCGCCCCAAGCACAACCGGCAGTAGGTTTGAAGAGGTTTTTGCCAATTTCGACGATGGGCAGGACGTCTGGTACGCCCCCCTGCGATTCGATCTCGTCAGCAGCACCTTCGTGTTTGACTGGTTGGAGGGGCGGTCCTTGTTCGACATGCTCAACGACTTCGCATGCAGTGATGAGGAGGATGGCGGGGATGACGAATCTGGTAGCTCCAGCTCGGAGGAAGAGCAGTCGAGCGAGGAAGACGAGGAAATAGCCGCTTTGCTCCGCGCAAAAGCGGCGCGGAATAAGGAGGTAGAGCAATTTTACGCCGATCCGACAATAGTCAACAAAACAGCGCCGGTGGGGTACAGCACTTCTTCCAGGAGAAAGGGCGGCGCCGCGGGCAAGTCCACTCCCGCTGCCGCCGCGTCGGCTTCGGCCAATGCCCCGGGAGGTGGGGCGCCACAGCAGTCAACGGTGGGGCAGCGCAAGTACAAGGGCGACGCCGGGTACGAGGATGACGCCGAAAACTTGCACGCGCAGCTGCTCGCTGCGCGGGAGCAGCTCGACGAGATCCCGGCCGCCGCAACCGACCGCCACGGGTATTCCACCCGCCTAGGCGGCGGACTTTGGCTCCGCGCAAATACGCGGGTAGGGGCATCCGGGCACAAGGCCTGGATGCCAGATGGCGGAATATGCTACGACCGGGTCATCACATTCGGGCCTCCGGAGCTTCATCGTCGTTTCGGCTTACCGCTCAGCAAAACAATCGACCTGCACAAGTTCGGGGGAGTAACAGTCGCGAAGCACCTAGGGGCGGTATGGGCGGAGGCCTGTCAGTTTGTTGTCCGTGAGCTGCAGAAGAACGTCGTGCCGGTCGAGTACGAAAATTTCGAAGAGGTGCGAAAACGGGTGGAGGAAGCAATTCTTATTTCGCGGGAATATCTCCGCGTCGTGACAGATGAGCCCGATGCGCAGGAACTGCAGGAGGCGGCAGGCCGGGAGCAGCCCCTCAGCAGCATCTCTGTGCAGCAGCGCGCGGAAGCTGCAGTGACGAGTGATTTAGTGTTATCAATCGCAAAGCACATGCATGCCAAAGCAAAAGAACAGAAGAAGTTAGTAGGGTCGTAGTTTATTAGCTGAAGCAGATAACTACCCTCCTCGGCATGGTTGGGCCCTTCCGTGTCCTGCCAGATTTCTTTCAGTAAGAAGCGCCGTCGCGGCTGCTTGCGCGGTGGCAGTCTAAATCGCCTCTGCCTGGCCCCGCGCCAATGTTCACTCCTCGGAGCTGTCGATGAGAGACGCAAAAAAAAATCTGTCGCGCGCCACGAAAAAAAAATAGACCGCGTCGGCCCGGGCCCGCGCCGATTTTTTTTCTCCTCCCGCGCGGAAAAAAAAAAAACGCGCAGAAAAAAAAAGCGCCTCGCACCCAGAAAAACCGGCGGCAGCCGGTTTTTTTTGGTGCGCAGACCAAAAAGTAAATTGAATAAATTGAGATTTTAAGGTCCTGTTTCCGGGGCAAAGGAAATCCTTCCCAAAACGCCTGTGCCCTAAAATCGGTCCCTTTTTTTTCAATTTATTCAATTTACTTTTTCACCGGGCAGTTTTTTTTCGGCCAGTTTTTTTTTTCCGGTGGACCCGCCGATTTTTTTTTCCTGCGTGGATTTTTTTCTGCGGTGAAATTTCGGTTCTTTTTTTCTGGGCGCTACGGGCGCCAGCCTCAGAAATTGGCTCTCCCGGGACCCCGGCCAAAATTTTGCTTCGCGTCCGCGGCTCGCTAGCCCGTGAAAAATAATCGCGTGTGAGAGCCCGAGCGAATTTGTCGTCGTAGTGCAAAGTTGGTAGTAGCGCTCGAAGTCGTATGTCGATATTGAGTAGAACAATTTGCAAACTGGCACAAGCACTGCGTCTCAAACAGGCAGAAGTAGAAATAAACACATCTAGACGCAAAAAGCACCCTAGTAGCTCACCCCTTAAGACCCACCTACCTGCCTCTGCCCAGTAGAAAACGTGGCAAAATGGACAGAGGATCGATCGCCAAGGCGGTCGTCAACAAGCAGACAAAGAAGGCCAAGGCCAAGCAGGACCGCAAGGAGCGGGCCCCGATGACCAACAAAGCCATCGAGGAGGCCCTGCGCGGCAAGGGGCATGCGGTGAACCAGCACAACATCGCGATCTACCGCCGGTTGAAGGGCAACTTGCAAAAGGTCGGCAAGCATGGACACACGATCATGAACCTGTTCAACAAGGACAAAGACACAATACGCGAATGCAAAAAGCTTCCGCGTGTTCCACTCAGTACGCATGACAGATATGCATGACAGACGCATGACAGATAGCGACATTTGGACACCAGAGGGCACACACGGAAGTTTTTAGCCCCATAGCCCGGAAACTTGATCTGGGACGACAACAAGGTGGACGGGTACTGGGCCACCCGGACAAAAAAAATCAAGACCCTGCCGTGGAAAACGATGGGGAAAAGGCTGACCAAGTTGTACAACGACCTGGCGCCCAAGGAGAAGCTGAACCGCATGCCCTTCGTGTTTTTGGCGATGCCGCCCGGTGGTGAGCAGCTGGCATCCGAATCCCCGAGCCCCCTGAGTGGGATGCAGGATGAAGAGGAGCTGTCCGACGCCTCCGTCGCGGGAGGTGGTGATGATGACGAGGGTGAGGTGGAGAAGAATGACGAGGTCAGCAGCGACGGGCTTTCCGAGGAGTTGGATTTCAACGAAGACGGTGACGCTTTCGATGAGAATAATTCGAGTGTGGTCGTCGAGCAGGGCCTGCTCGAGGGGGCCGGTGAATACGAGGGTGATATCAATGCTGGTCAGGTTAGTCGACAACTGCTTGCATGAAGTTCCCGCATGAAAATGCCGCTTTTCTTCATTGCCCTGACCAGCATCGATTTTGCGTTGCATATTCAGCAGGACGTGGTCGAAGGAGGAGATGCTGGCGGGGGCGATGTCGACATGATGGATGTGGGGTATAGTGGGTTGCTCTCGTGATTCTATATGGAAGTGTTCAGATTTGTCATGCGAGTTTTCGGATTTGTAATGCGTGTCGGCACCTTGTCGCAAATGAGTCTCCGTCTCAATTTCATTTTCAGATTTGACGACGGTGGAAATTCTACGGACGCTTCCAGTGGGTTGCAGCAGTTGCTTGGTGGGGCCAAGGTGATGCCGTCTTCTTCTTCCTCCACCCGGATCAAAAACAACAATCTGGATTTGAGCGGGAACTCCGCGAGCAGCAAGCAGAATTCCTCCTCAACCTCTCTCGGCGGGGCCCTCGGAGCTCTTACGACCTACAGCAACTCTTCCAGCACTAACATCAATTCTACCACCACGGAAGTAGAGTGCCGGCATGTTGTTCCGAAGGTGGTCACGGCCGAATTGTGGGAAGACGATGAGTTGCAGCAGATGAAGAACGCGGTGCACGCGATGTGCAAAAGCATTGGCAGCGTCGGAGTGGAGGACGTCGCGCCGCTGTTCAAGTTCGCGGAGCACTATGAGAGCGGCATGATGATCCTGGAGAAGTTCTTTCGCAAAGGGTGGGGATTAGAAATCTTCGCCGAGCAGACCTACCCCCTGCGGGCGTTCAAGGAGCTGCAGTGGTTGGCGTGGTGTGATTACAACAAGCCGGGGTTTCGGCCGCCCGTCCTGGCCAACGATTTTCCCGCTCCGTCCTGGCTCTCCGAGCATGACGCCGGGATGCAGCGGGCGATGGATGAGGCAGAGGTGCTGGTGTACACCGAAGTCGTGCTGGAATCTATTCGGAGCAATAAAATCGAAGACGCCAAGCAACAAATGAGCATGATCATGATGGAGATGGGAAGTTCCTACCAGTTGGCCCTGCAGGAAGTGGCTTCGACCCGCGCCTGGATGGAATTTCTTCCGGTCCAGGTCATGCACATTGCGATCGTGGAATCCTTGAAGAAGTACGACCTGACCATCGTGGGGGAAAACCACTACCCCTCCTACCTGATGAACGACCGGACGTGGGTGAACATCGGCGTGGAGACGACTGCCAGCGATTTGATCGACGCCGCGCACGAAATTTCCAACATGCCGAAGGCCCAGGTTCCGTTCGAGGAGTTTCACCGGAAGGTCTCCGACATGCTGTCCAAGCTGGTGGAAACTGCTATGGAGCGGTTAGAGTCGCAGGTGGATGCCGTCCTGAATGCGAAGACCTATATGGACCTGCACTGGAAGGCTGAGTATATATGATTTTTTAGTATTATTGTTGAAGGTGTTTATCTGTGCCAGAGTCTGCAACGGCCCGTGTGAAGCATGACGCTTGCCCTATTATGATCAAGGAAGGAGAAGGCTTAAGAACTTACAGCGCCAGTTGCCCGCTTGTATGTGCGAGCAGGCCTATTGAGGGGCGGGGGAAGTCTCAAAATGGCAAGCGCTCCAGCCTTGCGCGCGCTTTTCCCTATCCCCACGCTGTTGCTCTTGGGTTCGGCATATCTGGGGCTTTCGGAGACTGGCCAAGAAGTTCATCTCCGTTCTCAGTCAACACAAATGGGCAGGGGCCGAACATTGCGCATTTTGTCCCGCTCTTGCCGCGAGGCCAGTGCAAGTTCGAGACCTTTGCCTAGCCTGCAGCTGCCTGGAGCGCGGGGAATTTTTCTCATATCCTAAATCCATAAACGAAAACACCAGGTCTACCACCGTCCGCAAAAACCTCGAGATGGCCGTAAATGTTTTCGAGAAGGGTAGTGTGAAGCATGACCGCGCGGCCCGCGCGATCTACTACTGCAAGTTCCAGGAGGGCGCCCTGAGCGAGGAAGCCACGCAGGCGGCTGCGGACTCCCAGCTGTTGGCGACGGACTTCGCGTACAAAGCGGCGATGGACCGGTACTTGGGGTACACCAGGATTACAGGGGAGGGAAAAAACGAACTGGATAAGATGCTGAACTACTCGGAATCCGACTGGAAGGCCGAACAGGACACGGACATTCTGACGCTGATGATTGACCGGGCCGACAAGTTTCGCGCAACCATCCCGAAGTTTCTCGCCGCCAGCCAGGTCTCGAATCTCGCGGTATCAATTGCAAAAATGTCTGGGTTTGGAAGAATGCAAGATTTGTGATGCAGGTTTTCCATGGCCCATAAGGTCTGGAATGCGAGACCCAGCATGACAGATTCTTTGAGGTCTCCACCATGCCTTTCCTGCATGAGAAACTCCCTCTCAACTTGGTCAAAAGGGGACAGCTTTTGGCACTCATGCAACACAGATTTCTGCATGATTCGGATTTAGCATGACAAGTTGCAATCTTCCAGACCCGGGCACTTTTGCAATCCATACGCGGCGTTGTCGAACAACATTTCGGACGAGTTGATCCAGCGGAAGCGGAACGAAAAGGTGGACGAAGGCAAGAAGAAGGCCGTCCGCTCCCGCGAGGAGAAGGAGGAAAATAAGGGGTTGCTGCCGGCGACGAAGAACCAGAAAAAGGAGCAGAAGGAGCGCCTGGAGAACGCCAAGCGGTTGGCGAAACAGGAGGAGGAGAAGAAGAAAAACGCGGCGGCGAGTTCCTCCAGCTCTTCGTCGAATGTCGTGAGTCGTGGTGGTGGCAGCAGGAACAAGGACCTCTTCCTCGAGGCCCTCAAAAACGCGAAGAAGAAATAAGGACTGGGGTTTTGATCAATTAGCTTCTGCATCTACAACTACAAAAATTTTGCAATCCAAATGTAACGCTCTTGATGTATTTTTCTTGCATGGCAAACCTCTCGTTGTTTAGACAAGCAGCGGCACCGCGACTCCGGTGTCTCGTAGTGGTCAGCAATCCTCGTATGTCGTAGATATCTATCCTAGGAATGAAAATCTGTAGCTTCAGATCCTCGCGTGTCATGCTTGAATTTCCGACAGTCTCGCACTCAGAGTTTCGGTGAACGTTACTCCGCCCACCGAGTCGGGATGGTTTCAGTGAGCTAATCTTTATATTCACAGCGACTATATTATTCCGGTCTGTAGCCGGCCAGCTTCGAACTTCTTATTTTTACTCAGCCTGCCGCCCCGCTATTACGCCGCTTGTAGTTCTAGCAATTCAAATCTCGGACCGCGGACTCCACGCAATCGGCGCAGGTTGTTTTAATTTTGACCGAGAGCTTCTCTTTGTTTCTTGCCGGTGTTGGCTCGTATCTTTCGCGCGTCCCGTTGGATGTGTTGACTAGAAAGTACCAGTACAGGAATTATTTCAGCTTGAATTGTTATCGCAAAAGGTAAAGTGTTGATATCTAGCAGTCCGCTTCCCACTAGGTGGGCCCTAGAAAATTTCCCGAGACCGCAACAGCTCAGCAAAACAATTTTCACCTTGATTGATGCAAAACAAATTTGAAGAATTAGAAAGCCCCAGTCCACGAAGACCGTAAGTCCAGTGACACCCAGAGAAACGAACTCGAGGATCTCCAAGAACCGGACGAAAATGTTTGAACTTCTTTTTCTGACTCCTTATCAATTCCAAGTAGCACCGTGCTACATGCACCGAAGGCAATTCGGCATCAAGGTGGGTCTGTTCTGGTATTTGCAACGCACACACGTAGGCATGAGTGGGGTTTCTCCAAAAAGACCGCAGATATTGATACTCAAATCAAATAAAAGCACACAGCAGGAGGTGCGGCGACGTCGGGACGTCAATGTATGGGCAGGTCTCCACCCTCCGCCGAGGTGGCAGAATTGCGGACGACGCGACTGCCGTGTGGGCGGCAGCAGCAGCAGTAGCACTTCTAATACCAGTAGTAGCGCGTCCTTCTAATAGCAGTAACCCTAACTACCAGCAGTAGCCGTTGGGTGTGGCAGTAGTCGGAGACTTTGGGAACAATCGAGGGGGACAAACAGGAGGAAGCAACAGGCGGAAGCAGCAGCCGCGGGGTTACATAATACCATCATGTCGAAAAAGTGTCGTCAAATTTTTAATTTCAATTTACTCAATATACTTGACTTGGGAAATCGGACCTCTTAAAATCTGCATTACAGATCCTACAAAAAATGCTTCTATTTTTCCAAATCAAAGCCACCTCGATTGTGTTGAGAATTTCTTTATGTACTCTATTGGTACCTTTTTTCCTCTAGGAGGCAATTCTCAAGTTTTGAATATCTTAACCGGTAAACAAATATATCCACGTCGTGGCTTTTGGAATTCATTTTTGGCATTTCTATTTTACACATATGAAAATGCTGAGCAAACCAAAAAAGAAATGCAGCAAGTAATTAACAATAAACGAAAACTAAAAAATAATGATAAAAGTTTTTTGGAAAAAGTTTGCAGCGACAGCTCCAGCATCCCACCTGCGTCCAATCCAGCCTCCGATGCCACCCGTGCAGCCATGTCTGCACCTCACAAGATTGGAAAGCTTGTGATACCTGCACCAGCAACAGGCAATGGTAAAAACACTCCATGTAGTGTTTCGCAAGATGAAAAATCGAGGCCAAGCAATCGTACAGCCACATGCAGTGCGATGCCGAGATCTGGCGCAGGCACTTTGGAAACGACGACGAGTACATGCAAAAATATGCCATGTAGTGCTACGCCCTTTCTGGTCTCGAGATCTTGCAATAGTGCGCCATGTAGTGCTACGCCTTTTACGACTACGAGAACTACCAATCGCACGTTGGAGAGTGTTACGAGTTCAAGCAATAGTACTCCATGCCGTGCTACGCCAACTACGCTATCCAGGACATGCATTACAACGCTGGAGACACAGACGAGACCTAGCAATAGTGCCCCATGTTGTGCAACGCCTTTTGCGACTGCGAGGACTTGCAATAGCACGCTGGAGACAACTAATACGGCTTCGAGTTCTTGCAAAAGTGCGATGGAGACACAATCGAGACCTTGCAATAGTACCCCATGCAGTGCTACGCCCTTACCGGTTTCGAGTTCTTGCAATAGTACGATGGAGACATCTACGACGTCATCGAGTTCTAACATCAGGACGCTAGAGACACTCTCGAGGTCTTGCAATAGTACCATGTGCAGTGCTACTTCCACTACGATTGCGAGAACTTGCAATAATACGAGGGAGCCATCTATCATGGTTCCGAGCTCAAGCACTAACACACTGGAGACTAAATCAAGACCATCCGCTTCATCGCGCTCAGATATAAAAAACGGAAATACAACTGCTACTACCACTAAAAGACCAATAACGTCCGAAGCAGGCTGCTCTATTCCCCCGCTGAAACGAAAACTCGGGGGAGGAACCGATTGGAGAAGCGACCTTTTATTTTCCGAAAACTTTCATAAAAAGAGCTTCTGTACGACCTGCAGCCACCATCACAACAAAACCAGCCGCGAAAGCCAGCACTGGAAATATTAATCATAATAGTAATGCGGTAAAACTAATTACAGAAAACAAAATCATTGTGCCCGGAAACACTTCTGCTCCAGACATGTTAGACGACGACACTCCGGAAAAAATCAATGATATTTTGGTAGCTCAAAATATGAAGTCTGACTCGCTCGACCAAGGAGCTGCTGCTTCTGCTCTTCAATCCGCGCACCTGCGAGCTTTCAACCTAGACTCAACTGATGCCGACACAATCATCCCGCAGTCTTCTCAACACAGTGAGCCGACGACGATCAAAACGCCCACTCTGCAAGAAAAACCTCCACGCACACACGCGCGACCTGCAGATGCTTTTCACGAGCGTTCTGATATGCCGCTGGTGCCGGAATTCAAAATGCTATTTTGTCTGGGACGGAAAAACACGCGAGTAGTAGTCCAGCATGTAGCGAATATGTGGACTGAACAAGAACGAAAAGCGACGCGGAAAAAAGCAGAGCTCGAGGATACGAGGCACAAGATGAAGTTGCTGGCTCTTTTGTTTGCAAAGCGGATTCATGGTGCCTCCGAATCCCTCAAATCGTTTGCAGCTGGTAGAGAAAAAGTCTCCAGCAGCAAAATCGTCCCGCCTCCAATTCCGGGCTTAGCGCGGCGATTGAAGCATCAGATAGCCTGCGCCTACGACCACTTCCAAGATTTCACTGCAGACCAGAAGCCGGTGGCTACGGGGAAAGTTCCATCTTCCGCCGTGCCTGTTTTTAGCAACAATTCGTCCACAGCCGACGAATACACTCCTGCATACCAAGAAACGCACCCGAAAAAGCTTAAGTGCCACCTCTCCAAACAGTCATGCCTTGCGACGAAAACGACTAGTGGAGCCAGAGCTTCTGTTTCAAACATCCAAGCGGAAAGTCCACCGATCCCAGGACGTTTGCAGCCAGAAGGTGGAGTAGAAACCAAGCCACTAATCCGAAAACGTCCCCAGATTGAAACATTGCTTCCGCCGCTGCCTGAAGATGATGAACACGATGTCGGAATATCGAGGTTTATACACGTTGACGAAGAGGTGCAGCACGACCAAAATCGACACGAAAATGCTGCTGCTTCTCAATCTTCAATGATTCTGCCAGCGGTAGATGTTCAGCGCGCTCCTGTAAGTGAAGATGAAGTCAGTGCTTCCTCCTGTGTCCTAGAAGCTTCTACGACGCCAGCATCTACTTCCCTATTCGTCGACTCAAGCATAAGCCAGCGCATTCTGCCCATCGTTGATCCAGATACTGCTTCTGACTTCTCCGCCTCACAGGAATTTTTTGAAAACGAGCAAGACAAACCACTTCCCAGTTGCCGGGGGGAAGCTAAAGCTAGTCGCTCAGCAGAAGAATTGATATTCGGTGAGCAGTTGGCTGCTGTGCGGGCTCAGAAGAACAAAAAAGCAGTAGCTTCTGTACACCAAATTACACACCGTCGCACATCTACAGCAGCAATAAAGTGTGGAAATTTCAAGAGCCGTCTCTACGTCCAGCAGAGCATCGCTTTTTGGGAAGCTTGGCTTACGGAAACCGACATCGAAACAGTAATAAAATCAAAACCCAATTGCTGGCGGCTAATAATCCAGACGGTTGTGTTGTTTTTTCCCAAAACCGAACACGGGATAGCCACCCTACAGCAACAACTTCTGAGATCACAAAAAATCTCTTCTCACTTGAAGGAAGCGATATTCGACGCCATGCACTTCGGAGCTGCAGACAAACCTAAGCCACCACGTCCACCCGGCTCCTTCAAGTCTCCGATCGTTTTGCTGTGGCATAGCCCGACTGTGGAAAAGGCGAATATAGCCGGAATTTTGAAAGCAGCCAACCTGCACGAGAAGTGCATGATCTCATGGGCCTATAATACACCCGAAAGCGTCGGACTTTTCAACGCGCGGCATTTGGTACAGAAGAAATTTCACAAGTGTGATCTTTTGTGCAGTTGTGCCTACTACCGTGGAATTTTGAACGAAAAGTATTTCGTTCGCGGCCACCTCTGCATTGCCCCGGACGAGTTCGGGCAGTTGTTGTGCAAGGACGACGCGCGCGTCTGGTGTCGGGACATACGTATGCTCGACGATGCATTTCGCTCCGCCATGCCGTACTCCACCGAGACCCTCTTCGAACGTGTGCAGCAAGGATTTGACGCTGTTGCACTTGCACAAATCAGAAACGAAGTAGGCGAAAGGATCGAGACTTTCCAGAAAACAAATCCAGCGGCGTACGCAAAGTTAGCAGCTTCCGAGGATCTCGAGGAGATGAGGGATTTGATAACTAGAGCGCAGTCTCGCGGCCTGGTGGATTGCCGCGCGGACAAGATCAGCAATCCGTTCAGGATCTGCAGGGCACTACTATCAGTAGTAGTTCGTGACCTTTGCGGAGTAGTGACTTTTACAAGTCTAAATGCTGCAAACAAAGCAACAAAAGCAAAACAAAAAGAACAAACCGAAGACCCTGCTGTTGCTTTTCAGAAATCAGTTTCGGCGAAGCAGTCTCCATCAGCCGTGTCCATCGAATCCCTACCCGGTCACGTAGAAACTCCATCCCAGCCGTTCCTCCCGAACCAGATGAGAATTAGCCAAGATGGGGCCATGGCTTTGAACCTGACCTACGTGAACCACAAGGCCCGGCCCACTCTGAAATTCCGGGAAAGTGAAGCTGTTTCTGTTGCAAGCTCTCTTTTGGTTGCTGATGCCTACCGGAAACTAAGCGACGAAGTAACCGCTAACAACTTCTTCTGCTGCCCCCTCTTCTCAAGCATGAACGTGTACGAGGACAAAGTTCTTTACGTTGCGAATTCAAGCTTCTTCGTAGTGCAACTTTGTGGGTGGATAATGAGAGACGTCTATCTCCCGCAGCATCACAGCGTCGATAGATCTTCCATAAATATTCGCAACTTGGACCACCTCGTGGCCAACGACAACATCGCTCGGAATCCAATCGAGTTGCTGAAGCCGTTGTTGCAGAAAAAGTTGCGTCTGGGGTACAAGTACGACAAAGAAGCAAGTACGTACTTTCGTCGGAGAGGAAAACAGCGCGGAGCCAAAAAACGCAAAAAGGAAAAACCTCACAACTACAAATCAGTGATGCAGTCGTACAAGCGGGGTCCGCAGTCGCGACCTAATGCAAGATGGTGTAAAAAACGGAGCAACATCATCAGCAAGCTTCCTTCCGAATCTCCGCCAGAAATAAAAAACTCTGCTGCTACCGGTGCCAAGTTCTCCATCCGACCGCTGATGCAGGTTATCGGAGCTTCAGCAAAATGGAGCTTATCATCTGCTGCAGCTAGCCTCCGAGCATCGAAAGACGAAAATGCAGGGTGGAGCCAGCATGATTTGGATGCCGCCATTGCTAATTCGCTAGCAGATCAAGCAACTTTGGACTTGCAGACTCAGCGTCTACGCCAGCGCGTGCAAGAAGCGGGCTTCAAGATACTACCTGTTGAAGAAGATGGCAACTGCTGTCTCAGAGCGATATCGCAGTCGTTGCACAATTCCCAAGTGCATCACGAGTACTACCGCATGCGTGGCATCCAGCACCTCATCGACAATCGCAACCATTATCAAAATTTCCTCCAAGAAGATCCAGCGTTTCCAACTTCCGACGAAACCTGGCGCAACTACATCCAGTGCATGGCGGTTGCCGGCTGCTGGGCTGATCATGTTATCCTGAGTGCAGTTGCAGCTAGCGGAAATATCATCTTCAAGCTGATAACAACATACGAGGACGATGCTCCGATTGTTGTTAAGGGGCCACAAGCCAGCGCTGCTTCCTCATCACCTCGAATGGTAACCCTAGCGTTCCGCGCGGAGGTGCATTATGATGCTGGAGAGCCCCTCCCCGCAAATACCGCGATGCCAGTTCATGCGGATGCCGTGGGAGAGGACAACGTTGAAGGCAGAGCAGCGGTGGACATCGACATACGCGAAAATGCAGAAGTAGTGAAACCTGGAGCCGCCCAAGCAATTTTCGAAGACGCAATGAAAGCAGCAAATAAAGCACTAAGAGCAGAGTACGCGAGAAGCCTTGCTCGAAAACATCAAAAGCAATTACGCGGCGGTGGTTTCGGATCGTCAGTGCTCGCTTCACAAAAAAACAGGAAAAGCGAGGTCCTGTCCCCGGCTTCTAGCTCTGCGCGCTCGTCTTCATCATCTCCGTGTTCTACGAAAAGCGATAAGTTTCCTTTTGATTTAGTCCCATGCAAGTCGAAAGCTTCCACGTCGCAAACAGGGATACGAGCTTCGACGTCGGCCTCTCCATCTTCAGCCACCAAGCTCCCATCACATCAGATTTTGTGTGCAGGCGCTACGACGACATCCTCATCATCGTCTGCTGTTCCGGCGGGATTAAAAAAGTCCAGTCATGTATCACAAAAAGCGCAGGCGTCCTCATCTGCCACGTCAGCATCCGCTGCTGTGTCTCATCCATCGAAAAAAGCTTCTACAGCAAAGAGCAAATCGCCAGCCACGTCCAACAGTAAGTCCGCCTTTGGAAAGCAAATCGGATTTGTTTTTTCAGCAGACTCGCGGGCGAAGTCAAAAGAAAGTGGAAGGGCGGCAGCAGTCCAGAACAATAGTGGAAAGCATGCCCATCCATACACAGCTGCGATAAAAACAAGCAACACCTCGAAGACAACGTCCGAGCCTACAAGTAAAGCAGCCTTTTCGTCATCCGTGATGAGTTGTGTTTCAAATGCAATCAGGAGCAAGGCCTCGATGGTGAATATTCCGCATACAGCATTACTCTCTTCGTCTACAAGCTTGCTGAACCACAATGCTGCGCCTGTGCCTCCCCCTCGACAACCACGGGTGGAAACGCAAAGCAAATTTGCATCGGTGCGAGAAGATGCTCTACCTGTCCATGAAGAAGACGCTCCGCAGAGACACCCTCCTCCACCACCTAAATTAATCCCGCGGCCGCACCAAAAACCCGAAGAAACAGTTGTTCCCGTGCGGAAAATTCCTGCAGCGCAAGCCGATATTCTTCCCCCACCGAAAAAGCGTGGAGGTAAGTGGGAACGCGACCGGATAAAAAAAGTATAGAAAATTTCAAGCCGACATGAAGAATTTACGCACGCGAAAACACTATCTCCGCCTCTTCATGAAGCAGAGACGTATTGGAGCAATAGCGGAGAGGGTGGAACCAGAGTCACTTCCAACCCGAAAGCCGCGCACTCAGCAAGACAACTTCGCTTCAAATTGCAATACTGTGACTACTTTCGCGGAGGACAACAGATGGTGGCGGGATAATAAGTGGTGGCTGAATTTTTACTGGAGTTCTACACGTTGGGGTGAACGCGAAAACGAGGAGCCACGCAATCCATGGGTAAATTCTTACAGCATGTATGATGGTGCTGATGTCGACTGTTTAACTAACGACCCGCGACTACGAGCAGGCCGCGATAACTTCCTGAAGATTATGTGCAACTTCTCCGAGGACGAGTTGCAGGATTTGCAAAATTACAGCATCGAAACTGTAGACCACGCTCATGCTACGGCACAGCGGAAACAGGCAGAATTTGATACGGGTGTCCCGGACTTTTTCAACGTTCCCCTGTCGTACGATCTAAAAGAAGGAACTGATTTTGTGATGAACGTCGACCCCAACAATTTAAAACCGGGCATGTTGATAGGGGATGGTGCTTACGAGGTTTGCAATATGGATTTAAATGCTGCTAAAAATACACTGAGGCAGCGCATCGCTCCTGCCCTCCATACAGGAATTGCAAGTGCGTCAAGACTCTCGTATTTATATCCTAGTGCTAAAATGCACAAAGCCCCCATTATTGCATTCCGCCCAATTTGTTCTGCAACGAATAAAACCCCAATAAGTGTTTTAAGTGATACATTAAAGCATGTGTTAGATTATGTTTTGCTGCAAGTACCACAGGGGTTCCGAGTGCGGGATAGTCTGGGAGCAAAAAAGAAGATAATGCAAGGAGAATATAGGTCATTTTACAAAGGTGATTCTAGTTCAGTGTGTATGTGTTTAAAACGCGGCACATTGATACGAATTCTAAATGAGCAAATCCATTTTGCATTGAAACACCACCAGCATGATTTCTTTCTTTTTTATAAATCTGGCATGCGCGTAGCTAAAGCTCTACCATCTAAGCGCGATGGTATCCTTGCTATTTTGCGCTACAGTGACTTATTCCAAGTTATGAAATCATGGTTATGCTGTAATTATGTAAACGTAAGTGGTTTGACATTATTACAGCGTATAGGCATCCCTATGGGATTGTCGAGCGCAAACTCGATTATAGACTGTGTACTTTGTAATTTAGAGTCACGCTTTTTAAGTGGCCTATCATCAACAGAACGACAGCGATACGCTGGCACCTGTCGTTTTGTTGATGATGTCATTAGTGAAAGCACTAATTTTGTTTCAGCTTGGCGCTCCATATACAAGGACACGGGACTGGAATTGGAAACGGAAACGCTCGGCAGTTCTGCGGTATTTTTGGACCTGGAGCTGACGATCGTCAAAGGGACAGCTTTTTTCAAAACTTTTTCCAAAAGCAGTTTGTTCAAGTTTGCAGTGAGTAGGTATGTAACAGGGCGATCCTGCATATCTAAAAGTACTATTTTTTCAAGTTTTTGTGGCAGTTTCCTTCGTTTTTATTCTAACAATAATTTAGCTTTTTTCTTCCTTAGAGAAGTAGCAGAGCTTATTTTGCGTATGAAGAACTTACTAAATTTTAACATTTTTCGAAAAACAATAGATATACTCCTGTCCCGCCACAACGAAAACAAGTGGCTCGATTCCGTTTCCTTCCGCCGTATCCTCTTATCTTTCTGCATGCAAGTATTGGACTATAAATTCCAGTATTTGACTACAGAATAACTATCCGTGGTTTGCATCCATTCCTCGAACCCCAGCTGTTTGTATTGCCCTTCTGTTTTCTATGCGTTCTTTGGTATGCCTCCTGTTAGGGCCTTTGCATGCCAGCAATGGGGGTCCAAATTCAAAAAGACTATAAATGTCTTTTCGAATCTGGACACTTGGAATGTTTGTATTGCATACTCCTTTAACCTGGGTGAGGTCTTACAAAGTCTACAACTTTATGTCATCATCCAATGGCTTTTTTGAATATAAAATTCTGAAGGCCTCCGTCTACATCTTTAGCTTGGTTGCTTGTTCTGTTTGTCTTTCAATTCTGTCATGCACCCCGTCCTTTCTGCAATAAAATGCCAATCATCGGTCTATGTCGGTTTTGATTCTGTCATTCTTGTGCGCGTGCCATTTCTGGTTTTTTCCTCTCGGTTCTTTCTTTCCCTGCTCCGCATTCATGAGAGAGTTAGAGTTTTCGAATTTGACATCGTTTTGCTATCTAGACCTCCTATGTATCTGCATCGCCTCGTCATCGTTTTCTCGTAGCCGCATTACAAATATATTTTTTATCTCCATCTCATCGATCACGACGTCAATCTCGGTTTTTTGTTATTTTTAGCATTACAAATGATCTATAGAGCTATATTATCGATCTCGACGCTCTCATCGGTTTTTTGTTCGTTCTAGCATTACAAATGATCAGTAGCTCTCATTTTTCGATCTCGACGTTCTTTGCTCGCTATTTCTGCACAAATATAGGTTTTGCTAGATCTACCATATCGATCATGTTCGAAATCGATCTCGTTCTCGTACCTTGGTCGCTATCGATCTCGTTTTTCGTGCCCCGAGTGAGCTTCTCCTTGCCTTCTCCCTCCTATTCCCAATTTCCTTTCTTTAAGCACGTTGTTTTCGTGGTTTTATGGTCGGTGAACCGGTACCCCTGTCCGCCATAAATATCTATGACACGTCAACAAGCGAGCACTCCCACACACTATCTCTTTCCTCTGCTTCATAGGGCAGCGAGACTGTGTATGGTGAGACGGCAGGGGCTGAAGTGCTTCCTCTTTTTCGGTCACGAGTGAGTTTCGGTGCGTGTTTTTGTGTTGCGAGTGAACCTGAGCTGTCCAAATCTCTGTTTCTGTTCTCATGCAAAAAGGCCATTTGCATGCGTCAAAAAATTCAAACTTACTGTCATTGCGGAAATTTCTAGATGCAACTGGATGTTCCTTTGCCGCTGTATTAAGCGAGAAAATGTACTGACAGCATCGAAATTTCTATGTGATTGATAAATGCAAGATTGCCAAGTATAACACACTTTTTTACTACCTGTGAAAATAAATAGATTTGCAAAAAAATGTCACACTTCCTCTTTTTTGGAAAAGGAAAAGCCGCGTTCATCCGGACGCTCCTTGCAGTGGTATCGACTACTGCGTCTACTTCGTTTTTCGCCTCCGGTCTAGAATTGAAACGCCTCACCACCACAAAAGCCCCGGCGAAGGCGCTACGGGGTGTGGATGGCTCTGGTGTTGTTGCAGGACTGCATGATCGTGGTGTTGTAGGTTCGCAGGCTGGTGGTCTTGTCCACGACGAGAACCCGGAGAACCGAGGAGCGGGCCAACGATCACAAGACCAAGATGACCTCGACACAACGGCGCAGAGTTACTCACCGCAGAGAAAAAGGCCAACTGTACTAGCACCGTCTCAAGAAGAACGCCCTCCTCTACCAGTGGGGCTATTGCCTGCCGAGAGGGTCACTCTTGTGCCAGAAAGTTCTCGTGAAGACCGATCTAATGCCCCTCAGCCTGTATCACCAGGTCAAGGAGAGCATCCCCAAGGAAAGCTCGAACATCTGGCACAGTCCGCAGATCATCATCATGAAAGTCTTCCGAGGATCCGGGCAGCTGGTTTGCAGAAGCAGCAGCCAGACCGAAATAAAGGGAAAGCAGCGGTTTCTGTTGATGGATTTCCCGAGGAACTGCAAGAGGAACCGTTTTTGGTCCCCACCGTAGTTCCTCCCTCAGCCAGTTCCGCCACCTCGAGCACCGGAAGTTTTTCCTCCACGCCCGCGCCCACGGTTTCCCAGGACGCGGCGCAACTGAATATCGATCATTTGGTGCTTCCTGCTGGTACACTTACAACCCCGCCTGAGCAATTCGTGGACGATTTTGTGGGCGACGGAGCTCATGACTCGAGGAGTCGTGGTTGGTCAGTCATGCAGCTAGAGGCAGCCAGGGGAAGGGGATCACCTACAGCAACTTTACCGTTACGACCTCGACATCATCTTGTCCCCGCAACAAGCGCTCTGTCGCTTTCCGAGTCGTTAGCTTCCTCTAGTACAGATCGAGCCACGTTTGGCCTTGGCGGAACAAGCAGAATTCATGTCCCCGAGACCACGAGGGCAAACAACTGGGCGGTGCTGAGTTATGCACGCGGCCCTGCTCCGGCCTCTCCTGTAATCCCACCCCCACGAGTTGTACCGCCGGAGATCGCTACAGTAGAAGAGCGCGATTGGTCCAAACTTAGGTCGCGCGAGTCTGAATTTTCCGGCAAGGGATTATATGGGCAAGCGAGCAGTCGTGAGGCCGCTGAAGAGTTTGCAGCGGCGGGAAAGCAACGATATCCTGCGCAAAAGAAAAAGGACGTGTCTTCACCAAAAGCAAAACTCTGGAAGCAGCGCCCTTCCGTTCGTAAAGACACAAAGCAAAGCCAAAGTACACACAGTGACGCAAAAGACACTTCTCCACGACCGGTTCTCCCGAGGCCCCAAAGTTTCGCGGAGGGACAGCTGTTGAAAACGCAGCCGTGTATCCCAATGAAAAATCCCACCTCCCCATATCAAAAGGAAGTTTCTGATGCTGGATTTGCGTATACAAATCAGGTTTGTCTTGCTGTAGAGGACTGCAGGCTCCTGCCAAGCCTGAGTAGAGAGCTTTTGGCCTAGGCGCTTAGCATGAGAAACGACTATGCTGTAGGTCCAACAGCATCACAAACCGCCTGCATAATGCGGCAGAGCTTGCGGAGTTGTCTTCTTGCAAGACAGACGTGATTTGTGGTCTCAAAGCAGCAAGACAAAATAGCGGGGTCATGCCTTTTCGATATGGGGAGGGGGGATTTTTCCTCTCAATACCGTGTGTACGGTTTTTCCAGACGGGCGCGTGCCAATGGGGAAAGCACTGCAATTTCTACCACACGATTGATGAAAAGAAGCCCCCGGTCGACCTGCGCAAAACGAGACTCTGTCCCACCGTCTGCGACGGCAAATTTCGCGAGGGCAAGTACCCGGCTGGGTTTTGGTGTCCGGGGGCGGCGACGTGTCCCTACGCGCACAGCGAGAAGGAGTTGCGACTGGATCCCATGGTCTACAAATCAAAAAGGTGCTTGTTTTACGCCCGTGGGCATTGCCGGAAGGGGGCAAACTGTACCCACTATCACTCGGAGACGGAGCGAATACACTACGAACACAAAAGACAGGACATGCTTCGGGAGAAGGCCGCACAAAAGATGCAGCATGACTTTTTGGATGGTGCACGACCTGGAACGGCTGCTGGAGGTGCTTCAGCTGGTTTTTCATTCTCGCCCCCCGCAGCTCCGTCGGAAGAAGAGCGCGGCCGTCGGATGGATACCGGAGTTACTGCTTCTGCTGCGTCGTCGCGTTGGGACGGCGGCGGAAAGATGGGCTTTGCAAATCAGTTTGGTTCCGGCACTTCCGCTGTTTCTGCAGCACCTGCGACTGAAGGGCTCCAAGGTATTCTGGTGGGGCCATCAGCAGCTTCGTCGTCCAGCTCTTCCGCTACTTACTTTGAGCCATTGCATTCGAGCTCGGCGCCAGCAACAGCATCAGCACCTTACAGTCACCGCTCACTGCCACCCGGCCTGGACTTTTGCTTTCCCGCCACTGCCCGTCCGTCCTACTCCGTCACGACCTTGCCTCGCGACATCGTCGGGTTTTGTGAGAATATGCGGAAATATAGCGAAGCTCAAGACCAGGGGCAACACCGAGAACCGGCGAAGAGTTCAGGCCTTCGTCCCCCAAGCTGCTCCGCGCTGCCTTCCACGCACTTATCAGAAATTCCGCCTCAAGGAGTAGATCAACAACGTGAATCGCACCCGGCGACAGTGACAGAAAATACACCAGCAACTCCTGCTGTGGATCTCGATTTTTGTTCGCAACAGGTCGAGCTACGCACAGCCACAAGCGGTTTTTCCAGCGGCGATTCGAGCATCGGAAAATCCAGTGGCGAAAAGTCTTCCTGTGAGTGTAGTAGCTCGAGCGAGGAGCAATTTTTTTGGACCCCGGAGGGACAAGACAACGCAGCTGCGGGGACGGAAGATGATGGAGAAGTTATGACCGCAGCAATGCATCAACTAGCGATTGCTCATTTCGACTTCGGGCACCAGGTTTTAGCGCAGGAGCAGGCATTATATCAAGATGTCGACATGGATAAAGAAGAACATCGACCGAGGACCGCGTTTTCATCCCCCGAGGCGAAGACGTGCCTTGTGGTCGACTGTAAAGACGATGAATCGAAATCGCAGCCATGGACATGCGCTGCGTTAGTCAAGGAGGAAGATGAAGGGCGTACACAGGCTTGGCCCATCAAAACAAGTAGCACCAAGTCAGGGCGGAATAAGATGAGCACGCCGTTGTTGGCGAACGCTAGCAGCAGTAAGAGCACACCCATAATGCCGAAAGCGCTAGCTGCGGCCACTGAAGCTCTTCGCTTCGCGTCGAATCTTTCACAGGCGATCCTTTCTTCAGAAGGAGCAGCAGGAAGTTCTCCTTCTGTTCCTGCAGATTCGATGCGCGGGTGTGGCTGCACGGTTCCGGGGGAGAAGAGGAGCACCACGTTTGAAACGGAACCTGTGTACTTGCGGGGTATCAAAATGGAAGAAATAATTTCTTCACTCATGGCTCGCTCCTGCACAACAGCAACATGTGATGTGTGTCGATGTTTTTTGATGGCTTCAAAAGGCAAATTGTGTAGAGAGGTTATGGTCTTCCCCGAGTGCGCTTCCCGTTTTCTTGATGCGGTAGGTTAGGATGCGTGGCAAAACAAAAACGACATCATATTAATATGTATCGCCATGATGAATTACTGATTCATCATTAGCCTCTCTAATTCAGAATTAGAGAGGCGAAAACGCTGGTTGCTCCTGTGGTGAAGATTCGTTCAGTTTTCGTTGCATAGCATTCGCCTCACTCCCTCCATATCCAGCTCCGTTTGTGTTAGGCTCTTCTCCTGTAGTTGCGGGTCCAGATGTGATCGAAGCTCGTGAAGATCGCCCACTATTGCGTCACTTCACTCAGTTTCACACTTCCTCTCTACCACCGCATCTTGGGCGCCAACCACATGCGGCAAACAACCTGCAGCAACCGTTGCGTCCGAAATTTGATTTGCGGTTGGAAAATTTCTTGCAAGGTGACGGGCGGGAGGATCTTGTTGATACATCTATGCAGAATTGTCGGGATGGAGTGAAGCAACGAAACGTCGCTGTAGCTGCTTCCGCGGCGTCATCTTCTGCCTCCGGCATGATTACCAGCGTACCACCACCTGGTCACATGTCCAAGTCTGCGACTCCGAAGAAGAAACAGAATCCGAATTCCCGGCAAAATAGGCACGCCTCTCCCGATCAGCAATTAGAAACAAAGGAGGTGAACGCAGTAGGAGCATTCGCAGGACCTTTGCTTCTGCATTCACATCTAGCTGCTGCGGAGGCACCTGCACTTTATAATGCCGCGCAACAACCACTATCTCAGCACTCGCCTCCTCGGCAACAGAGCCCTGCGTGTAGCAGTCTCGGGAGAGAGTTGGTCAGTAGAAACCACCGATTTGAACAAGATGGGAGAGAACACCATGGACAAGCCGCAGCCGCCGTCGACGCATCTTCATCAAGTTCGGTCATTGCGAATCAGAAAAAGTCCTCTGACGCCAGCAGTACTATCAGCGTCCCTGAAAAACAACTTTGGAAAACGAAGTACTGCGAGCCGCATTTGTGCCAGTTCCGGGACAACCCGAGCGAAGCTGCAAGATGTTGCCCCTACGCGCACTCTAGAGAGGAGCTGCGGCCGCGGCCGGATTTCCGGAAGACGTCGTTGTGTGCGACGTTCGCGAAAAGTGGGTCGTGCAAGAACGGGTTGAAGTGCAGATACGCGCATTCTGCGGAGGAAAGAGCGCAGTATTTGAATGCGGATTTGAGGGGGACGAAGATTTGCGAGTTTTACGCGACGTTGGGCCGGTGCAAACACGGGAAGAATTGTATGCGATGAAACCAACGTATCGGTCAGCGTCACTCAAACGACATAAGTAAGTAGTGTTTTCAGGCAAACACTCACCGAGCACTTAATTTTTTCCCGTGCATCTTGGATAATAAATCTTGCTGCGGAGCCCGAAAACTTTCTAGAAGTGTGCCGCAGGCCCAGGCGAATAAGAGCCAGAGCGATAGAAGTAGAGTCCAATGAAGGTTGAAAGATTGAATCCAAGTTTGCAGACGGCGCTGACAAGATTGCAAAGGCTTCATAACTTGCTCGCACTCACACATTTCAAAGGAGAAGTTTCGGTGTGCGATCTGGCTAAACGCTGATGCCTAAAAATTAGCCAAGTACCGGAAGCAAGGAAGCGTAAACGGCGAGCTGTGCACGAATGCGGTTTGAGGAGAACAAAGCCGCTACCTTTGTATCGTTTGTCTTACTAGTATGCGACGCATATCTATGTTTAGTCAATTGCCTAGACCTATGACGGAGACGATGGCGTCAGCAGTAGGTCAAGTCCGCCATTGCCCCAATGAGCGAAAATGTTTCGCCTTTTTTACTCGATGCAGTTGAGCAGGGAAGCTAAAATCTGATTTCCATGCATACCCTTCTGAGACAGGGATGTTTGGGGGTTGGGAAGTTTAAGGCATAATTGCCCATCCTTATCAGACCGTGAACGTGATGGGCGATCTACTTTCGGGAGATTCCGGCAAATAGGAATGTATGTACCATCGCTTTACCTGACGCGCTTTTTAGATTAGCTGTAAAACAGTAGGCATTACTGCACTAGACGTAGAGATAACAGCTTGAGGCTACACTACTCAGCATGAGATGCTGTTCCCCAGCCGAGCGGTCCTGGGCAGATTTCTCTCACGGAGTCGCAGCCGTTGCTACGATTGAAACTGGTATCGATGAAGTGTTGTAATGCCTTATAGCCATTCATTGGTACGCTCAGGTGGGACCGCGGACATTTGCGCTGAGGATTGTTGAAAATTAGCAAATTTGTGTGTAGTAAGGCCCTCCCCGCTTGGTTCGAGTGATCGTGATCCAACTAGCTCGTTCCCGGTTGCGACAGCCACTCCTGCGTGTGCGTGCTGTTTCTTTGTCACAAAAGCGCGCGTGGTGTCTTTTTGCTACTTTGTATGGATTCGCCAGCATTGTTTGGCCTTGGCGTCGGCTGTCGTTGGTGCAAACGCTTACTCGCTTGAAAGTCGGTTGCTGGTTAGAGGGAAACTTCGTTTACGAATGCTTCAGCTGCATGGGAGAGATACGAATACATGCGCGAGGTAGTGCCGGGGTAGTGACTTCTAGTCATCGAACTCGAAGCAGTTTACATAAATATGTTTATTACAACATCAACTTCTACTTGCTCTTGCACGAGAGATCGATATCACGAGGCCACGGTCACGACGCTCTTTGAACTTGCCCTTCGTCCTGCATACAAAAACATTTGTGCGCGTTGGGTCTTGATGGTGAAAATGTCGCTCGCTTGCTTCAGTGTTGCTTGGAGCAAAAAGGAAAATAAATCTTATCGAGATATTTCTTGGTGTGATTCGAGGCGAAGGATTCGATAAGACAGAAATATGTCATACACATTCATTCTTTGTATTCCTTCCTCTCCTTGAGCATCGGGATCAAATATAATTCCTGGTAGCAGGAGGCGTAGGTGCTCGACAGACCCAGAGGCAGGAGAGTTTTTGATTGGCCAGTGGTCGTTTCTATCTTTAGTGGCATCAGTAAACAAGCATGAGGTTCTTGACTGGAGAGGAAGTAGCGATGGCACTCTCGTGAAAATCCTCTCCGCAATCATATTTAGATGGTGAAATCAGCACTCGCAGCTGTGCCGGCGTCTCCGCCAGAGGGTTTGACGCCGAAGGATGAACAAAACGGTGAGCAAGAGCTTGCGCTACTTGAAGCGCCGGCATCGGAGCTCGCGCTAGAACAGGTAACCGCCGCAGTTGTGAAACATGACGACGAATGGAAAGACGGTGCAACGAAATTACTGGAAGATCATCTGGACAATTACAAGAATGACAATGAGAGGGCGGAGTACGAGAAAGTTTTTTTGCACCAGCTTCGAGTGCCGCATACTATCGAGGAGACGTTAAGAACAGTGCCATTATGGGCAGACTTGCTCGTGAACTACTTACCCGCGGCTATAGCCATTTCAGGAGTCAACCACTTTGACCCGGGCCACTCCGAAAAACGACGAATTGCAGAAGGCAGGAGGGAGACCAAGCAACAGGCCCAACAGGGCGTCGACGCAAAAAACAGACTCCGGGGCAAGTTAGGAAAAGGCCAGAACGAGCAGGACGTAGCGACCCGAAACGCCGGGCCCGGAGCACAATACGCATTGGCCATGATCGAGGCGACCCGAAACCACGTGAAACGACTACTGACGGTAGAAGAGCAAGACGCGGCCGGGGCGAGGCACACGCTGGGGTACTTCAATCTCGATTCTCCCGCAGGCTCAGATCGAATCGAGGAAGAGATGGACATTATATTCGACAGGATAATCTACTTTTACTACACACCGATGACGGAAGGTCTCGTTTTGAAGTTTGTGACGGAGGAAAGCAAGCAGTTCCAGTTCGGCAACAATAACTGGATCGATGTCAAAGGAAAATTAGATTTCGACTCGAACGGTAAACCGAAAGACAAACAGACGCTCATGTATGGTGCGGAGTTTCTACAGCAATTTGGTCGACGACAGGAGATGATAGGGGATGAAAAAACGGGCGAGAGGAGACAGCAAATCATCAACAGCTGCCGGAGAAAATATTCGGGAGCAGGTGGACCTAAATCTCGTGTTGACCTCGTTCAAGACCTTTACTCGTCAGTAGAGGCCGGCCTAGTTGCGATGTGGAATTTGCAGCAGCAGTTTCCCAGCTACGGAGACCCGACGATGATTCATGAAAACGCGCTGAAGATTGTGAAAAATGACCCGGACTCTGGACACCTCATGCAATTCGAAAAGAAGCTCTGGCCCAAGATCAACACGCTTTTCAAACACGTGAACATGTTGCTGTACATTGGAAAGACCGAAGAGGAGTTGCTCGCTGTGATAAAGGAGGTGAAGGAAGATAGGAGAAATGAACTAAACCGGCTAGAGGGAGAGGCAGAGAGGAAGCGACGATCGGGACGAAACCGCCGCGCACAAGTAGACCCATTCCAGAAGAAGCAACTGTCGCAAGAAATTCGCGAAGACATCAACGACGAGTTGCTCACTAGTAGTTCGTTCGTCGAAATCACATCGCCTTCCGTCACCCTGCACAAGATCGATTCTCTGTCTGCCACACAAGGAAACCAGCTTAGCGGAACTGCAATAACTGCACAGCAAGATGAAAGGTCACCGGTACCACCAGTAGTTTCTGCGATACAGAGTGTCGAGGCAAGTTCCGTGCACCCCCAGCCATCAACAATCACTCCAGGAGTGATTGATGCCGTCGACGTAGTGCTGGGAAAGGAGGAGCCTGCGCTACCGCTCTCGGGAAGTGTTGCAAAACACGCCGAATCAACAAGAGCGGAGTCTTCAAGCCCTGTTCCGGTCTCGAGTTCCGCTGTTAGAACCCGAACGGAAATCGACGGCACCGGCCACATCACCGGAGCAGCAGCATCGGCTGCAGGGGCTTCTGTCCCTGCACAAGCGCTAGGAGAAACGGATCTACCCAGTGGAGCAGCAGCTACGGGGCAGGTTATGGAACCGAAGAAGTCCTAATTTTGGTTTCAGTGCACCACTTCTGTACTGTGGCATAGAAATCGGCCATCTGCATCTACAACTACGTTCGTAGGCATCGCAAGTGAATTGCGACTATCACGATCATGATGAGTTCTCGTCTTTGTTGCCTCGCGAAACCTTGATGAAATCATCAAAATGTGACTTCTTTGTCCTTGCTATACTACTACTACCCTCGTCGCGATCGTCTACCAGGATAGCAGCACGCATGGAAAAAGAAAGAGCTCAGCACACAACGGGGACGGACGCAGCTGTTCTGCAGCGTCGACGTACTACGAGCATGTCGAAGTCTTTCAACCCAGACAAGCGCACCACGGACACGATTCACCCAGACCTACCACCCCGGCAAGAAACCGCACCTCCTAGTGTTCCGCTCTACCAGCACCAGGGTTTCTTAGGCTGCATCAACTTTCTTCAAAATACCTTCAGCAGCATGGTCTTCTTCGCCAGCGGGCTTCTTTTTCACCAGAAAGAACAAAACCAGAGCGTCAACGAGCTCTTCGCGAAGATAGAGCAGCACAAAAGTTTCGCGGTTTTCGCTTTCTGTGGTATCATCGTGCTCGCTGTGATCATCTTTTCCACACTCTGCTCGGTCATCTGCCGGAACCAAGACGGGAAGAATTTCTTTTGCGGAAACAGAGGAGCAAAGCGTTGGTTGGCCGCTTGCGGACCATGGAGTCTGTGCGGAAGCAGCAGCGAAGAAAAGAGGCGCGATCGACGTGGTGAGAAGTGCACTGGTGGCCGTGGCGACGGAGAAGCAGGAGATGCAAACAGCTCCGCTGGTCGAGCAAGTGAATGTGAGAATAGTGATTGGACTAGTGATGATTCTGCGGAGGACGAAGCCATCACGTCGACGGACGAATTGGAAGTGGAAGAAAAGCGACGCCGCATACAAAAGAATGCGAATCCAAGAAGAATGGAAATAAAGAACCCGGATGAAAATGTCGAGTCCATTAATCGTTCCTCCGTGTCTCCTTGCGGACGACGATTTGCAGGCGGTCTGCGGCAACCTCTGAACAGTGGCGGGTCTTGTCGGGGAAGGAAAAGACAAGGGGAAGAACGTAAACAGGTCGGAGAAGAGAAGATCAGCAACGTTTCGCCAGATTATGGCAGTTGCAGCACAACAAAAAAGAAAGATGAGGATCCGGGCCCGCGAATTTACGACCACCACCCGATCCTGGAGTACAAGGAGTCCATCATGACGGACCCGGAATTGGGGATTTGGTACCGGAGAACCTCGTTGTTTGGGGAGGAGATCGAGGAAATCGTTTTGGATACTGGTGACAAGAACGTCGAGGACCACACGGAAGCTGGAGGGGAAGGAGAGGTAGATTTAAAGATGAGTTTACGTATTTAATGTTTGATAATTGTTACTTCTAACTGTTCCTGTTTCTCTTCAATTTTCTCAACAATCAATCGCTTGAACAGGCCGAACACGATAGAAATGCCACCACATCGGAACAAGGGAGGCACATGTTGGTAGTTGACGAAGAAGCAAACAACGGGAAGATGGACATGGTCCTCGACAAAGCAGTGCCCGCTACTAGTACGTCCTCCAACTCGTCCTCTTTTGTCACGCTATCAAAGCACCAGAGCATTGTGCTTCAGAAATTCGTCGCGGGTAGTGCTACTGCGTCGAAATTGAGCCAACTGGTCTTCAAGCGGCGGCAGTGCAGCACGACAGCATCGCCATTCTCGCAGCATGCCCGGAATGGAAATGGGTTGAAAATGTTGAAAACCCTTACCGACGGCTCTTCCATTTCCCCTATTGCGAACAAGAAGCGGATTCTGATTGATCCGGAATCTTTGGAACGGTTTGTCGTCGAAAATGACGGAGAAATACCGGGAGGAAAATTCAAATTACTGGGAAAGGTACAGACAGCTGTTTCTGTTGCATTGATTGAGAACGCTAAAAAGATACACAACAATGTACGAAAAATTTCATTGGACCTGTAGTTGCATATGCATGAGGTTGAGGACGAGCAAGTCCACTGATTTGGTATTCGCAAGACAAAAAGAAAACCTTCCTAGGTGCTTACCGGAAGCGACATCGGCTCCGACTTCAGCGGCAACACGGATCACGTCGCAGCCACACAAAATGTCGCCTGTTCTGACATTGCAGGCGATGCTGGCGGGCTGTGTGTTGCTACGTTTGCTGGCGACAAAAACGAGTTGAAAGACGATATGATCGAGGATGCCACGAAATGTGGGAGTGGCAGAGGTGATGAGGACGGAGCAGCGCAGGTAAGGAAGTTTTTAACAAAGTACGGGGCTACTTCAAGAGCTTGAGGATACGCAAACCCACTCCATAGACCTGATCCTGAAAATACAAGTTGTTCATGACTGGTCTTTGTTTTATCAGGTCACCGTCGTCGTCCTCAGCGAGGAGGAGGATTTGTCCGCAGTGGAGGAAGCGCAACAAGAAAGCAGCGCGGCCGGGAGCAGGAGTTGTGATCAAGATGACTGTAATTCCGCCGCGGTGGAATTGGACACGACCATTCCGTCGTCCTCGACTTCCTCCTCGAGTACCGGCGACGACGAGAACGGTTTCAATCCAGCAGACCTGCCCATGCAGTTCGTTCATCCCGCCCCCGTACGCGTACCCGACTCGTGCTGCAGCGTCTTTATTCCATCGTCTGCTACCATCGATGATGGTTCTCTACCAAACGTGGACTCACCCGTGTAAATTGATGAAGTTCTTCCAATGTTTCGTTTTGGCTATGTTTATGTTTTGGTCTCACCAACAGTTTCACAAATTCAAATTGGAGTTTGAGCTCGATAGAACTCTCTTTGTATCAAGACGCTATCGCATACGCATTCGCAGTTTTAGCACCCGCCTTCCTGACGTATTAGAAATACGGTTCCACCTTCTGAAAACCAAGAAGCAGCACAGCATCCTCGACGTGTGTTTCGATTGTATATGTATGATCACTCGCAATGAAAAAGAAATATCAATATTTGGCGCTTTGCTCCTCCAACTTTAGTTTCATTGTACATGAATGTATGAGCCCCTGATAGAAAACCAAGCGGAGATATCCTCTCCCCGCGGAGATGACTGAGTTTCGCTCTTGTACCAATCGTTTCTCACTGAAAGCAGTGTATGTTGTACCAAAAGACACTTGAAAATAGATCAATCAGTTTTGCGTTTCCGAGAAATTTGTTGCAATTGGCTCCTTGTACAAAACAGACGAAAAATAAACAGCGGAAGGTGAAACGAAGTGCTGCAGCCAGTCGGGCGAATGCGAATATGAGATTGCATTTCCAATTTGTGAATGTCCGAGTTCCTCGGTCAGAACCAGAACAAGCCTGTTGGCCACCACGGATCACGGCTCCGCCGACCAGAAACAAAGGCTGTTTTTTCGAGATCTACTTTTTCTTTCCACCGTCCTTGCAGAACCTTCATTGTTTCTTAACAAAGGTCGTTCTCGCTTTTGGTTTCTGTGGGTGGCCGCGATCTTTTGTGCAGACTCAGAAGATCCAGTGTAGTTTCAGCTCCAGTGTAGTCTGTGCCGTTTTTCTGTTCCTGGAAGTAGGTGAGATCCCGGTTATTGTTCGGATCAAGATTTCTTGCTCGAATGCACAGAAGAGCTCCGCTTCGTCATTGTATTGCTGCAAATCGTATTCCAGATTATAAGACAACCACAAGAAAAAAGATGCGAGTGCGACTCCTCTCCCTCTGGCTGGGCATCCGACTCCTCCTCACAAACACCCTGTTGGACCCGCAATGCCTACTCTCAGGGTCTCACGCGATACGACTCACCTCCTATTTCAATGGCAGTTTGATGGCGGGGGGAAACGTGCCCTACCTGGCCTCCAACCGCCCCGCAAACAACTCAGCGCTAGTCTTACCGTCACATGCGGGGCCCGCGAGCAGCCAGAACAGCAGCATTTGGTTCTTCCCAAACGGTGTTTCCGGCGTTCCTGAAAGGCCGAGACCAGGAGACGCGGGGGGCTATCCGTACTCCCCATTAGGCGGGGCGCAAAGTGTTGTACCTGTCGCAGCGACGCAGCACGTAGGCTCAACTTCAACTTCACAGGAACCGATTATGACAACCTCTTCCAGCGCCAATGTCCCGACACCATCACACCAGTCAGCACCAGGGACGAGAATAGTGAGCCCGCTGAGACAGCTGGCGAGAGGTTTGTTCTCATTTCAGGGCCAGGAGCGGAGCAGTCTTTTAGACCTTTCGCCGTTCGCGACGACGTCGAGTCGGAACAGCAGCCGGGAAGTGGCAGACCACCAGAGCGGCGGGATATGAGAGAGCGCAACTCCCCCGCACTCTTTATTAAGTATGCAAAAAGCCAAATCCGGTCGTTCGTGCCTTTTTTGACTGCTTGCATGACAAATTCCGGAAGCCCAAACAGCACAACTGCAAGCTTCGCAGGAAGTTGTCATGCACAGGCTCTGTGTAACTGTTCTGTAATTCGTGGGTGTAGTTCCTATTGCTGTCTACGCCCCCCTTCAGTGAGGGGGAGGGGGAGGACTTGCACACTTTCATACAGGAGTAGAGTCGTGCTGCGACACGAAGATGCGAGTAGAAGCAACGCGACTCCCGTGACAAGAAGCCAAGGGCGCCCCTGCAGTAAGCCTGATGCGCTCTTTATGGTTTGCGCTGCCGGTCTGTCGCTTGGTGTGAGTGCCATCTTGCGACTCGAATGGGGCAGCGGACGCGGTCCCGCGCAGATGTACGCCGGAGCAGTGGGAGATACGCAGAGCGCAAGCTACGACTCCGTGTGGAACACACTGATGAATACCCCGGAGTTGCTACCCTGTTTGAAAAACGCCTGCCCGCGGTCGGCCGACTTCTCGTCATGCAAGTTTGCATGCGGAGAAAATAAAAAGAAATGAAATGATTGAAAGTGTGCATGTGCCGATGTCAACATGCGAATCTCCACAACTTCTACACCTATGTATAGTAGTTGTCGACAATTTTTTTCCAAGAGCAGACTTCCCATGATCCTGACTCCGGCCGGGCATCGGCACGTTTTTCCACAGGACATTTTCGAGAAACCACCGCGGACAACGCGCTGGACCTGCTCCAGCTTGCGGCGGACCAGCCGTCGGAGGTTTATAGCGTGTTCTGGCAGAACGTGTACCCCTACGAGGAGATCATGGACTTTTTCATCGAAGCAGCCTACCGAGGGTTCGCCGAGAAATTCCGGAACGACCCGAAAACCGGACTGCCCTACCACCGCCTGCTGGAATCGCTGCCCTGGAAATTTTTCCGCGAAGAGCCAGTGCCGCTGACGGGCGAGGAGTGGAGCCAGATTTACCACGCCTGGGCCAAACAAGTGCAAAGCGCGGGTGAAATGATGAACGACCAGGACGATTACTTCGAGGTCGCGGGCGATGATGCAGATCGAGAAGGCGATGCTGAACAATTGGAGCAAGATTTGGGATTAGTAGTGGGACGAGGTAAAAAGTCCTTGCCCTTGTTACACGAAGATGGAAGCAGTTCATCGTCCCCTGGAGGTGGCGGTGGTACCATGAACGACAGCAGTGACCACGGTAGCCGCAGCTCCACCTCCTCTTCCGTTCGGGCCTCTCCCTCTCCTGCATTCGTCACCTCCAGCATCGACCGTTTGCTGATGGACAAAATGCGCGCCTCGAATGAATACACGATGATGTACTATGCCGCTTTAGCGCTGGAGCGGGAAAATTCGCAGTGTTTGAAAGAACAAGAAGATAACGTGTCGACTGCAAGTGGGGCGGTAGTTTCTGGATCCTCTGGAAAGGAACACGAGGAAGATGATCGTCCCCTACTCCTGCGATACGCAGCGAACTATCCGCCTTCGGGTAGCGAAAATGACGGTTCTGCACCGCGGCGTCCTCCAAAGGAGCGGCAGCCGGACTACGCGTGGTACTACCTGGCAAGCAACTGGGGCGGTTCTTCAGCGCTGAAAGAAGATGTATCCGGGGAAAAAGTAGCAAGGTAGCAAGAGCGTGCAGCTACGTGTGCCTCGCGCAGCTAAAGCGATAGCGATACGTTTTGCGAAACTACTTTAATGCCTCAGAAAGTGATTCAAAGGTAGCTCGTGTTGACACTGAGCTGGAGGTTGAGCTGCATGTGTCTTAGGTATGGTCTTTTGAATTTTTTGCATTGATCAAGTGAGGGAACATTAAAATGATCCGTACCTGGCCAGTGTGGATAAAGAAGGGAGCGCGCCAGACCAGTCCCCTCTCGTGATCCGGCTTATGCATAACTTTTCTTGCAAGCTGCACGTAGCCTGAAAAGTAGAAGATGCGACGCTTTTGAAACTACTGCATATCATCCGATAAAGAACAATTTTTTTCGAGAGATGACGGAGAAGATGATAAAAAAGCACGCATTGACGAGTCCCGAGTATGACGAAGGTGCGGTTTGCCGCGGGTATAGAGGAAGGATGAGTGGCTCTGCTGCCACGACCTCCGCGGGGCCAGGTACAAGAACTGTCGAAGAAACGCCCCTGAACACAAAGAAGAAGAAGCCCTTCCTGCAAGGAGATTCCGGCCCCAGGGACCAAAACCACGACAGCGCCGCATTGCTGAAAACTACCAGCACCGACAGCTTTGCAGTTGCCAGGGCGTGGGAAGAGTTGAAAGAAAAAATCGTTGAGCAGACGCGACTTCGGTACTCGGGTCTGATTCAGGATTTGCGGTCCGAGTGGCAGTTTTGTTGCAACGTGGGCGTGACCATGGCGAATTGGTTGCTCACCCGGGGGAACTACGCCTTTCAAGCCTCGGAACAAAACTGGCGGGAGCTGCGCAGGGGCGGGTCGACTCCCAAGGGCGGGGTCCCTTTGGAAACGCAATTCCCGCTGCTGGATCTACACGCCGAGTACTTCTATGAAACCATGAAGAGAAATAGCGCTTTGTTTGACGAAGAGCGGGGAAGTAGAAGTGGAACAACACAGGGTCGTCGTGATGAAAACGGTAATATGGTACAAGTACAACCACAAATGGATGAAGTTGCTGTGAAAACCCCCCTCGAACAGTTTATACAAGAAGTGTACTCATCGAAGAAGACGACCGATGAAGTGGATGTTGAGAGGGAAGACTTCACCGCCTTCACGGTCGTGGTCTCGTTCTACCATTTGGGAACCGGGGCCGGCAGCACCGAAAAGTTCATCGAGACCTTTCACCCGTATGAACTGCAAAAGTATCGTACTCGTATAAATGCATTACAAATTTCCTCAGCATGAGACAGGAAATTTGTAATGCAGACGTACCTTAAGAAAAAGATTGGTAATGCATGGTTGCAATACGAGTGCGATACTTTTGCACAGGATAACCTGCCGCACGCCGCAATGTCCGATTTGGATCCGATCCTGGCGGACGAAAGTAGTTGGAAAACAACTACCGAGTCAATATTGGACGAGAACGACACCGCAGCGAAGGATGTTCTTGAACAACTCGCAAAGGAAACGAGCGGCGTTTTCGACAAGACGAAGTACCCTGATACGCTCGTGAAATCCTGGCCCCACCTTCTCACCTTCGGCCGCGTCAAGGACCAGATTTTCCTCTTCGACCAGTCGGCCTTTCTGGGCATGCTCACCAAGCGCAAGCAAGGGGCGGACGCGGTGAACCCCACGCCCCAGGAGCTCTCGAGCGCTGCGGGGAGGGTGCCTTGGAAGTGGAGGCCGCGGTTGGTGCGGCTCTCAGACCAGGACTTTGCCGACATGTTTTTGGACGACAGTGTGAAAACATCAACATCAACTCTGCGGCAAGAAGAAGAAGAAGTTGTACGCACAGAAGGACCTCCACAGCCCGGCAGGCTCGCGAATTCGCTTTCGTCTTCATCTAGCCCGGGGAAAACGTCTTTCTCCGCCCCGGTGAATCCCTTCCTCCAAGCGCCCATAGGCGGTAGCGCGGCCAAGCTGGAACGGTTGTGGACGTTCCTCGCCGAAATAAACACGATGAAGAGCAGCGAGCCGAGCAGAACTACTTTCTCTGATTCTGCGTTATTTTCAGAGGAAAAAAGAACAGATGTGGAAAAAGAAATGTGGAAATTGGCCACCGAGGCAGCGTCGGAAGATTTATGCTTCAGGAAAATTTTAATTTTTAGTGTCTTTCGACCCGTTTGCATGCCAGGAGAGAATCAAAAACTTCAATTTTTTGTCATGTGTCTGAGTAGGCCAGTGCGCTGTCGCAGCTAGTGCGTCTGTGTATGCAGACAAATCGGCTCAATAGGTACTTACATCGTATCGGTTTGTATCCGAACTGGGCGATCAAGTTTTCTTATTAATCCTCTTGTACTTGAAGTCGAAAACGAGAATGTTGATTTTCCTTGCTATACCGCGGTTATATGAAGCTCCAGGATGTGTTTGGTGTGGAGGCAAGCGCGACCGCAGTGCTTCATGAACCCGGCGGGTCACTTGCGGAAGTGGCGAAAAATGTGAAGAAGGTGCAGCGGCTGAAGAAAGCCTGGAATAAGTTTGCCTGGAACGGTGTCGTACCCGAGAAAGCACTTGGGATCACGGGGGTTGCGCTACCCTTCATCCAGCGGATCTACAAAATACCAGTGTTGTCCTCGAATAAGAGGCGCCCAAGAAAGTGACTTTTTGAAGTCCGACTCGGCGGCTTGGGTTTGCGAAAAACATTCCAGAGAATACAGTTCCATTTCCCTCAAGATTTATCCAAACAGTTTGTCTTTGTGTTTGTGTCAGTGAAGAGGAATAGAAGATGATGATTTTGTTTTCCGATTCGTTTCCACTTGACTTTCGGCTTGCCGGGACATAGAATACCTATCTGATTTCGGCCCCGCACAGGAATAGTTGCGGACGGCCGGTACGGAGAAAAAATGAAGAACGCCCTTCTCCCCTATCTGCGAAACATAATTAAGTACTTTTTTTTTGGTTTTGGCGGTAACAGCAAACTTTATTGAAATTGAGAACAAAGAATCAACAGGAACACACCTTTTGCGAAGAGGACTTCTTTTCTTGAGGGTCTTGACATGGTTTATTCTTGAGAGTACAGCAAAACCATCGATACAATCGTAAGAAGAAAAAGAAAGCCAAATTATGACGCGCAAGAGTTTTGTACTTCGATGTTCCACAGAAGAATCGTTTCGAGCAGCACAGATATCCAGGTTTGATCGGCGGCTTGCGTTGTGCATACACTCAAATAGCCTCTCGTTTCTAGCAATAGCATCTACATCGGCGTCCTGGTGGTAGTCACGTAGGAAAATTTCAAGAGCTGGTGCCTGAAGAGAGCAGGGTATGGCGATCTTCATGGTCAGCCACGGTCGTCGTGTATTTGCATCCTGACATACTGAGAGCAGTCAGAGTGTGCGAGAGATGGATTGATCGTACTGTCGTGTCTTTGAATAAAGAACAAGCTCGAAAGGAAGCAGGGTCGTTTCGTGGTCATTTTGCAATTTTTGCGACTCGACTTCGAGTGGCATGATGAATCGCAGAAGCGAACAAGAAGTACTTATCAAAGAAGAACAAAGGCAAGAACACAAGGACAAGCATCAAGGAGAAGTATTATCGGGAGAAGAATATTCAAGAAAAAGATGGGAATATTCTCGGCGGCGCAGTACTGCCTGAGCCACGAACAGTACCTGGGTTCGACATGTTTCGCCGACGTGGATCCGCACGGCATAGCTGGCACGACTGCTCGTGCGACTCGGGGAAGAACCTCCTTCTACGATGCGGGACAACAAGAACGTCGGAACTACAGTTTTGCCGACGAGGTAAAAAATCCGGTCGTGCCATGGCAAGATATCAATATTCTCGGAAGTAGTAGTGGTCCTCGTCGTGCATCAACAGCTTCGAAAAACAGCACCATGGGGAAGATCATGACACTGAAGTTGACAAACCCGAAACACCACCTCTACACGAATTTCCTGACGTTCAACAAACCTTTCATCTATCCGAGCGCACACGATGAACAGCTCGTCGGCCCTCTGCCTCATGGTCATGTGATGTCAGGCGAAAACCGCGTCGCTGCCTGTTTGTCCTTTGGCACTGTTTCTTGCAGGAAATCAAGGTAGTTTGTTGATATTCGGGACCGCAATATTTTTAAAGTAAGAGCTAGAGCACCACGTACGGTGTTGGTGTTCAGCACCGCGTGTAGAACTAGAACCGACGTTATCGAGATGCGAAAGCTCCCATGTTGGTGGTGCTTGTTCTGCTGCTGCAGAAGAGGCCAACATGATGCAAATGAGGAAGGGGCGGGGATGAAGTTGTTGTGCAAGCGCATATCATCGACGCCGAGGCCAGTAATACGTACGACAGTTATCAAATGTAAAAATGTCTGGGTCTGGAAACTTGTGATGCTGGGTGGCGTATCATGAGGAAGCCATAAGTGCTGGCTCAGCATGACAAGTTTCTGAGCTTCTAGGTGTTGCCTATTCAGCATGACAAACTGCGTTTTTGCACGACAGGAAAGTGGGGCTCTTGGGTAAGTAACCTGCATGACAGGTTTAAGTGTCATGCCAGATAAGCATGACAAATCGCGCATTCTTCCAGACCCAGACATTTTTACACTTGATAACAGTGGCGCTAACCCGATGTTCGGGGCGAAGCGCGCCCTGGACCCCGGGGGCTATCCTGTGTAAAAACGTCCCCATACCAGAGTCAAATTGGGGACTTTGCAACACAAACCTTGAAGTTTTGGGAAGCACGCATGACAAATTGTAGGCTGTAGTGTAGTGCAGTTTAGCAAACAAAGCCGCATAACAAATCCATCTCCATATCCTGTTTACAGCATTACAAGTTCCAAAATACAACGGGAAATGCCTCTCATCGGGATGCGCATTACAAACGCTCTTGTGCTTGCAGATCTGCATGACAACTCTGCGGTGGGGATGTTTTTACACAGGATAGGGGCGGCTACTGGGTCAGTGACGGGCAGCACGGGAAGGAAGAAGTGATCAGCATCCAGGCATCCTTGAAGCACCGCCACCGAAGCAACGGCGTCAGGATCAACTGGGCCTATGCCCCGGGAATGGTAAAAATGAAAGACCGCACATTTCTTCGTCTTCCTAGAAGATAGAGCGCACTTATTTATTCGCGTGTTATTGCGATGCAGCACCAGCACAGTCCTGCAACTTGGCTTCACTTCACTTCAGTAAAAGTTGATGACGGGAACAAGGCGAACTTGTTCAACTGATATTATTTCTCTCTGTCTATACTCAGGTCCGCGTGCGGGTTTCGTCCGACGGAAAGCATTTCTCCGACAGCGTTTGCTGGACAAAGACGACCGTGCCGGACGAAAGCTACGAGCAGGTGCTAGAGTTCGACCGTCCGCGAAACATCATGGCGGTCCGGATTGACATGAAGCAGCCCAGATCGTACAAGTATTTCGGAATCAACCAGATGTCGTTACGCTGAAGGAGGTGAAAAAAGCGACCGTATAATATTATCGATCCGGTTTTTATTTATTGCAATGAGGTGTAAGACTAAGAGTAAGGCGGTCTCAGGAGTTCTTGCCTGTAGTTGCAACCTAATCTGGTTGGTATTCTTTTGCTTGATTTTCATTTTGCCCTCCCTCGCCTTACAAGCATGCTCTGCAAGAGCTGCGCAGCAAAGAAGTGTCGCTGGTGACCGCATTCCGTTTCTTGACAGGACAAGAAGCAAGTACAATTACCTAGTGTCGAAGATAGACTTCGCTTTTGCACCAGCTGCGCCGATGACTACTGGAATTAGAGAATACACGACAACTCCAATAAAGATGAAAAGAATCACCAGCCAGCGCTTCGCGCTTTTTCTTGCCTGCAGTGTTTGTTTGCAAGGAGCTCGGCTTTTGCTTCCAGCACGTGAAGATGCGGGATCAGGAAAGGATTGATAAAATCTTTAAATGGACTCGGTGCAACTTCTGGCAACGCATACAGCTTTGTTCCCCAGGTTGCACTTGCATCTTTACCGGCTCGAGTTTCGGTTTCCCTTCGAGTTGTTGTGGCTTTAGTTTGCCGTCGGTGGTCTGTATCTATTTTTTCATTGTTCTTTCAAGCGAAACCGCAGCATATTCATTTTCCGGCGGCTCCGCACCTTCAATGTCCTCTCCGTATTCATCATCCCAGCTGCAAGAGCAGCAGCAAACGCCGCTACTGGTGCAGGCGGGTCATAATGCAGTAGAAGGCGCAAGTTCATCACGTGGGAGCATAAGTTTAGCGACCAAGAGCGAACAGCATCCACGAGCTGAGTCGATGACTGAAGAAGACGCGACCACCATCTTGGCCGCACCGCAGAGCCACACCTCGCCTGAAGTCCCTCCGGGGGTCGGGGTCAGCACGACAAAAAGGAACAAAATCAGCTTCACCGCGGTGGTGATTTGTATCCTGAAAGCAAACGTTGGTCCGGGGGTGTTATACTTGCCGAAAGCGTGTGCCCGCTGCGCCGCAGGTCTGGCGAGTTTTGGGTCTGGCTTGAACTTCAAGACTGGAGTTGGTACTGAAAAGAACGAGGAGCGGAGTTTCGGGGATGGTATCGGCGTGGGGCGAGGAACAAACCCTGGTGACGATGGAAGCAATTATGTTTCTCAAGGCGACGGAACGTCAACGACTAGGCTTCCGCCCTTCGTCTTTACCGGCGAGCTCTTGTTTGTCGTTATGGTGTTCGCGTTCGGGCTACTCGCAACCTTTTGCATTCTGATGCTGTTGAAGGCGAGGAGAAAGGTGCACGAAGAGATGCCTGGTCGTGGAAGCGAGAACGCTACTGGCGACAGCGCCAAAGCACATCCAGCAACCTCAACACATTCCAGGCCACCCAACTACGATGAAATGTGGAACTTCCTGATGATAGACCACAGAGATATCGACGGGGGCCATGCGGAAACGAGTGAGCCGGCTCGTAGTTCTGCGTCCAGTCGTCCAATTGCAGCAAATCCAACTACCCGCGACGAGCAGCGCTACTATGGTCTACTACAGAAGGTCCTCAAACCACTGGTAATCGTTTCGATCTGCCTTTGTCAATTTGGCCTGTGCGTCACTTACTACATTGTGACCACGAATTTGCTGCGGTCCGCGCTGACAGGTCTTGGTGTTATCAGAGACGGGAACACGACGAACAACGACACCGCGGACCAGAGTGCAGCTGACGGAAGTGATATCCTTTCGTTTTTCGCTTTCATTTTTGTCATCACCACACCGTTGACGTTTATCCGTTCCGTGGCGAAATTGGCGCCGTGTGTCGTTCTCGCAGACGTAAGCATCGGGATCGGAATTTTTGCGTTGGTCGCATTGCTAGTGAGACGGAAGGTCGCGGCGCCGCCGCAAGAACACGACGAGCTGTCTCGACAGGATGTGATGCTTCTCCAGCAACTCAAGAGCCAAGAGGTCGTAGTACCAATTCTACATCAGAGCGAGGTCCTACCACATGATCCTTGTCAGCTGTTTCCCGCCACGACCAGCAACAGTGCCACGCCAGAATCCCCCTTTCACTCAGAACAAAAGAATTCCTTCGCCGACGTTTTCATCGCGCTGGGCACCATCTGTTTCGCGTTCGAGGGGATCTGCTGTGTCATCCCCACCTACGACGCGATGAAGGACCCGGAGAGGGATTTCCCGCTTGCGGTGAAGACCGCGGTGCTGATAACCTCGTTGATCTTTGCCCTGGTTGGCACGCTGGGATACTCAGTTTTTGGCGACGGGGTGGAGGACATTGTGCTGCTGAATTTCAACGAGATGATGCGTGACAGTGGACGTGTTGCAACCTCTGGCAGAATCACAAAAACCAGTGGTGAAAACATCAGGTCTCAACATAGCCACGGCGCTAGCAGTGATGGTGGCCTTACCGCGTCTTCAGCCGGACCACTGCATGACACATACACCCACCACCACGTCGAGCAAACGGTGGTGGCTGTGATCCAGATTGCGTACTCCATCGGGATTTTGCTCACTTACCCGTTTCAAATGCTCCCGGCAGTGCAGTTGCTGGAGGAGAAGATTGCATTTTTTTGGATTGGACGGAAAATTCAACCCGCACAGGAGCATCTCGACGGCTATATCGAGGTGGTTGCGGAAGGCGGCAGCGGGGAGGAGACCAGGGAAGGAAGCGGAGCGAACGAAACTGCTGGAATACCAGCAGCGGGACAGGAAAATAAACACATCTCTCGAACTGTTTCTAGTACGGAGAGTGCAAGAAGAACAGACCTCACCACGCCCCCGCCTGCAAATCGAAGAACTCTAGCGGCGCCGTCTTTTGGCACCAGCACCGCTTCAGTGACTGTTGAAAGGCGATCCGCATCGTCATTCCTCTCGCGCGCTAGCACCCCTGGGGAATACCTCGTGGTGCCGTTGATCGGCGGTGGAGGTCAGGAGGAGGAGATGGAAGGTGAAATCTACGACCAGTCCTCAAGCAACGCTTCCGGGTCTGCTGCGTCCTCCTCCGCGGACATACAGAATTTTGCTGGAGCAGCTGCAACTGGAGTAGAAGATCTTGAAGAGAATCCACTACGACCTCCCGCAGAGGAGACAAACACGACTTTGGAACGAGCGACCAGCCGACTAACGTCCAGAAGTTCTGGCCGCGCAGCACGCAGTAGTTCGGCTAGTCGGAGAAAAACTTTGGTGGAGAAGTTACCAAAGGCGCTTTTCCGGACGATACTATGCATTTTCTTCGCTTTTACTGCTTTCATCTTCTTCCAGCGCTTTGAAATTTTGGTTTCCTTGATTGGTTCGTTTTGCGGGGTACCTTTGGCCTTTGTGTACCCAGTTTTGCTGCACTGGAAAAGCGAAAAGGGGATGAGAAGTAGCATGACAGTTTCGGAGGGAGCGATTTTGGCAGTGGGGATTTTCAATTTTGCGGTGGTGTCCTGGATCAATTTGGAAAAGATGATCGACTCGTTTTTGCGTTGAGAATACAGTTGTAGAAAACGCTCCCTCGCACAGTAGCGCATTACTGACTAGTTTGCAGAACACCTTTCTCTCGTCGAAAAGAAGCGCGGACGCGAGCTAGTTTTGTTGTGTTTTCGCCAAGCGAGAGATATCGCAGTGAACTTCGGTTGTACAACTGCTCAAATAGCGTCTTGAGTTTCGGTTTCGCTATCGGTATGCGCGCCGTCGCGTCAAGAAGATCGAATCGGTCATGCTTCTGCAGCGACTTGCATGTTCGGTTTTTACAGCAGATACAGAGTACTTATCTCGAAGAAATAAAGCAGGCTTGGCCACTGAACCTAGTGCGCCTGCTGAGCGTGTGTTTGTCTGTTGTAATTAAGTAGTAATTTTTCCAAAAGGCGTTTCAGCTTTCCTTTCGTCTCAAGATATTCTGGACTCGGTGAACAGAGCCCCCCCAGAGTATTGTGTGTACTTTTGGAACTGCAACTGCTGTCTACTGCTCTGCTTCGACAATAGCGCTCACTAAAGAGTAACGCGAATACAATTCACTTACTATCTAGAGGATAATCAAAGTCCTCAAACCCACACCTTGAATTGAATTTCTACTTTTTGTGCGTCCTAGTCCTGCCGCGCAAAAAAACCTAGAATTTCCTGTTGATAGGTAAGGGTCTTCTTCTTCAGCGTGCGACAGCATTCGAATCCATTCTACTGCAAGTGGAATTTTCTGTATAAGTTTAAGTGCTCATCGTCGTCCCCTACTTTATACAATGGTGCCTCGCGAACAACAACATGACCGAATGCGTCAAGCTCGAGACAATGTTGAAGGCGCGGCGAGAGCGCTTGTAGAACAACATCGACGACAGCTTCTGAACCGGCACGCCCTGCCGCCGGGGGCGATCCCGGGCGGGGTTATGCCTTTCGAACTGCAGGCGCGTTTTGGCCCCCGGGTAGAACAAAATGGATTACGCGTTCTGGCGATCCCGAGAGCTGCCCCGCTGGCGGCGGCGGGCGCTGCGGGGCGGGTACAACAAAATGGACTACGCGCTCTGGTGAACCCGCAAGCCCTGCCGGCGGTTGCGGGGGCTTGGCAGCAGGTAGAACAAAATCGACTACGCGCTCTGAACCCGCAAGCCCCGGCGGCGGCGGGGGCGGCGGACGCTGAAGAGCAGACCCAGGGGGAGGAACAGCCTGCGGTTGAGAATCTGCAGCCAGTCCTGCCCGGGGTAAAATTGATTGCCCCCGGCGTTCCGGTTCTTGGGCGCGGCACGACCGCGGAGAAGCTCCGCAGCAAGCTAACTGATTCTGAATTCGAGCGCGCCCCGCGCGTGGCTCGTCGTAAGTTTGTGAATCTGCAAGTGAATACCTGGAATCTGTGTGCTGCGAAAAAGAAGGGCTACGCAGAGCACGGGGGCATGGACGCTCCCGTGAAGGGAATCATCATGCAGTTTCTAGGGGACGCACCGGTCGACGGAGATCAGAGCCCCCAACTGTCGCGCACGTACCTTCGGGAACTGATGACAGAAGGCAAGCGAAGGAAGGTGAAAGCCGTTCTAGACAAGATGTTGCCAGAATGCAAAAACGAGGCGGCGCGCGGAAATCCCGGAACCACCTTTAAGTTTCGAGACATTGCAATTCCGCTTGGTTTAAAACCTGTCGAGAGTTCAGCGCCGGTGGACGAGCAGTGGTGGGGATGGCTTCTTCGTTTCTTACCGACACTCCGGGAACAGATTCACTCGGCGGGGCTCGAGCTGACACTTGTCCCCGTTGATGGAGGGATCCTTCGCCCGGCCGGATCTCAGGCAGCTCCTGACGAGGCTGAAGAAAGAAAAAACAAGGGGAAAAGCGAAATTCGCATTAGTTGGAAGTAGGTAGCAGCTCAGTAAGTACTAAGTTTGTAGCGCGTACACTTGCTGCGCGGTCGTGCAAAGGAAGGCGATCTTCACGACCTATCACGTGTTCATCATGTCAGTTCGTCTAGTTTTCAATTTCAACATCATGTCATTTCGATACTATCTATTAAGATTTACTAGTAGGACCTTCGCAGCGACGATGCGAGTTTCAAAAAATCTAAGTGCGTCATCGATTTCAAGAGAAATCCCCAGACAGCTGAATTGCTCGGAAGCAGGTACTTATTGTATTACAACTGTTGGACGGTAGGAGCAAGTGCATGGATGTGTTGAGCCTGATAAAGAAAAAGTCTCATTTTTGTAGAGATATGCTACCGGTAACGGTATTGTCTCCTCGAGTAGATGCTTTGACGAGCTTAGATCATCTCTTTTTTGTTGAGTAGCAAAGAGAAGTTTCTTTCTCAGTAGAGGAAAGCAACATCGAAAAGTACTACATTAAAAAACTTGGGTTCGATGTTTTCTGGTAGCAGCCGCATCAAGTAGAGAGACGATGACCACGAGTATTTGTCGGTGTGTGACAAGTAGCTTTAGGTACTAGGTTGGAGCATATGCAGGCAAAGGCAGGTGGAACGAAGTTCAAGCACTGATGTCGGTTCTTTTTTCGCAGTCGCTTGAAACGATCGGCACGCGGTCATTTAGAAAGAAAAAGTGACGCAATGGTTGGGTTGCTTGGGAAGGTCTTTATTCTTGCGTCATCCTTTCGGTGGTAAACAATTCGGAAAAGTTCTCAAAATGTTATTGAGCCATTCATAGAAAAGCCAGGACTAACGGTGAAGGTGAACCTACAGATCCCCTTTCATCCAGTGCTCGAGATCGGGTTCATGACTGCCAAATCGATGGTGAGAGTGTGAATCAATATACCGAGGGTAGCTCATCTTCTGGACGTCGTGGCTTGTTGCACACACTAAAGAACAAGGGAGTTCTCTTTACGAGATTTACGAACCTTTCTTTGACAGCTAATTGCCGTCCTCCCACGTAGGAAGTGCCGCGTGTCTCTTCTTTTTCTTTCTCTCAGCCACAACAAACCATGCCTCCGCGTCCACGAGGTGACAATCTGCTACAAGAAGCCGCGGGCAGCGGGGAGCAGCCTCAAGGGCAGGAACATCACCCCATCACTGGAGATGATCTGCCTCAGCCGCCGGTAAAATTGGTTGCACCCAGTGTTCCAGTTTTTGGCGAGGGTGTGACAGCGACCAAGCTTCGCAGCAAGCTGCGTCAATTAGAAATCGAGCGCGCTCCTCGTGTGGCTCGCCGCAAGTATGCGAACCTGCAGGTCAACACGTGGAATCTGTGTGAGGCGAAGAAGCGGAAGTGTGAGGCGCACGGCGGCATTGACGCGCCCGTGAAGGGGATCATCATGCAGTTCATTGGAGACGCGCCTGCGGATTCTGAGCCCAGTGATCCGAAGTTTTCCGCCGAGTATATGCAGCAGGTTGCTGCTGCATCGAAGCGCAAGCAGGCGAAAGCGGTCATGGATTCCATGGTCGGCAAGATGAAGGAGTGCGCATCGAACGGGAATCGTGCGTGCACGCTCAGATACGGTGATGTTCCAGCGATCAAAACGCAAGTTTTGACTCCTCAGAAGCCGGAGCAAGCTGTCGACAATTGGTGGGAGTGGCTTTTCCAGTTTTTACCGACTCTCCGAGAACAGATCACCGCAGCGGGATTCGAGGTTGAGGTTGTCCCAGTTGTGCCTCAGCCGCCTCTTGACGAGGGGCGCCAAAATTTGGCAGGAGCAGCCCAACGGCTGCGGAACGCTCGGAGCAAGTCGCAAGAGGACAGTGAACTTGTGCTGGCGTGGTGACGAGGGTGCTAACAGGGCGGGCGCCGGCGACGACGGGTGCAGGAGGAGCACGTAGCTGTAGTTCCTAAGTACGATCTCATTTTTTCATGTTGTCCTTTCCTGGATCTTTGCGTTTTTGTTCCACTTCCACCAATTCGATCTACTTTCTTACTACAGAGCGCAATATTGACGTTTTTTTTTTGCGGTCAAGTATCACAACACGCAGAGCGGCATTTTAGGTAGGTGAATGAAGAGCGCTGCTCATACGACTATCCGATCAAGGTGAGCGAACGCATGATCATCTACTTTCTGATATCCATAAACCGCAGTTTCACAGTGTGGGTGCGGCCATTTTGATCCATGCAGTTTTGCGCGTTAGAAGCAACTTACTTCCGAGATATTGGAAGATCGTCATTGTTCATGGTGTCTTCCGGCATGATCTTGAGCATTTTCTGGCGACAAGACTTGAGGATAATTGTTCGACGCGTCGATCTACTTCTTTTGTCATTGCCCTCTTCCTTCCAGATGAGATGATCTTCGCGCAATATTCTTGTCATTGAAAAAGCTGTCGCTATTTCGATTTATCATGTGCTTCTCTGATGTTCTTGTTCAAGCAAACATTTGCACTTGCTTCCGAGCTTGATGTCTTGACTCACAATGATCAATCCTACAGCCAATGATGGATCCTCTTGTACGCTGCGACTCAATCTTCAAAATACTATACCGTAAATCTAAATTCTCTGATTGTGTGTCTATGAACCTGGTCATCTCCGAACAAGACAAAGGAAAGTAATTCTGAAATAACGTTCTTCACTTCTAAATACAACATCAACATGCCGGCGCTCCAACACGATGAAACCCGTGCCGATGGCACACGACGAAACCGCGCCGCACCACTCGTAGCCGCAGGCGACGGCTACTTCCAAGGATCGGAACTCGACAAATTCGATTTGACCCAGCCACGCGTGAAGCTGATCACCCCGCAGGTGCGCTTATCAAACAACGAGAATACACGGCAGCGCTCTACAACTGCCAAGCACTTGCGCGACCGGCTGATCGATTTTGAACACGAGCGTGCCCCCCGTCTCGGCCTGCGCAAGTTTCACAATCTGGCCGTGAACGCCTGGAACCTGTGCGCTGCGAAGCGAACCAATTACACTGCGCACGGCGGCATGGACGCGCCCGTCAAGCTGAAAATCCTGCAGTTTCTGGGTGATGTCCCGCCGGACCAGAACCTCCCCTGGGAGTTTTCGGCCTCGCACCTGCGGGTTGTGACCGAGGGGCAGCGGAACATGAAAATTTGCAAGATGATCGAGACGATTTTGAAGGAGTGCAAGACGCAGGCACTGAAGGGCCACCACGGGTGCGACCTGGTGTTTCGGGATCATTGCGAGACGTTCATTGCCAGAACCAACTACGAGGGGCCCAACGCCCCCTGGAATCGGGGGAAGCGCCAGTACTGGGCGTGCCTGTTCGAAAGCCTTCCCGAGCTCCGCGACCGGATTGCGGAGGCCGGCTTCACGATTCGTACGCCCTCGAAGAACCTGCCGCGCGAGCTGAACAGCGAGTTGCACCTGTATTGGCTGTATGCATTGCAAAAGTATCGTACGTAGTAGAAATAGCATTACAAATTTTTCCAGAAGGAAAATAAAATGGAATTTGTAATGCTGAATAAGCTAAGAAACCAGATTTGTCATGCATGACTGCAATCACTTTTAGTTTTACTACGAGTACGAGTACGATGCTTTTGCACAGGATAGGCTGCCGCACGGCCAGGAACCTCCTGATACAAACTCGGGCTCGGAGGATGAGCAGGTCGGACGGGCTGCGGCTCCGGTCGGACGGGCTGCGGCTCCGGTCGCGCAGGCGGCCCGTCAGGTCGTATGGCGGTCTCAGGCCTTACCTTGAGTGCTGTATTTGCATAGATGATTTTGTGATGCAAGAGTAGCAAAAGTGGAAGGAGCAGAGGGCTCGTCTTGCGTCAAGTATAGATTTTTGGGCAAGGACAATTTCAATGCCATTTAGCGCTTCGAGCACTTGCACTTCCTAGCACCAGGCGAAATAGCTTGATCGATGAAAAGGGGATCGGTTTGATTTTGCACATTATTTTTTACCAGCGAGCAAAGTAAAACGCCTGAGAGTTTTTGTTTCATACTTCGCGGATCAACATGCTTCCTCGGACGAGTCAGCCTCTGAATCGTCCCACTCGGAAGCGCGACGCGCTCATCGGAACGAGCATCAACGGCGGCACGTACAACCACGGACGCGGACTTTTTATCCACGCGACGAGGACCACCGAAGACCACACCAGCCCCCGCAACCAGCCGTCCTACGGGAACGCGAACGAGGTCCAAGACAACGACATCAACCCGAGTAGGTTGTCGTGGTCATTTGATGTAACAGGTTGACCGGATTGTTGAATCGTCGAAAATGAAGGCAATATTGCAATGTCGCAGATGAGGACCTGTTGGACAGGTTTTGCTCTCGTGAAGGTGAACGAGGGACATTATACAAAATCGCGACTGCTTGTGCTTCTTCAGCAAAAATGCGAAGAAGGAGGTGCAAGTCGTCGAGCAAGTGGTCTCCGTACATCTGCTGCACATGAACAAAAGTCGCAATAATTTTCAAATGGAACCGTAAAAAAAGAAGCAGAAGGTCCTTACCCTTAGAGGCCGGCTGATCCTGATCAGTTGTTGAAATTATGTTCGTTCTGGAAAAGATAAGGGCGAGGCTGCACCACGACACTTTCTGCTAGGGCTGCGCTCCGTTCAACAAATCATGAGTTTGATTGTCCTCGAGCCCCCGCAGTTTTATCTTTGCAAATCGTGCCGCACCAAAACAGAGATAAACTGATCCCATGCTGTTTCAAACCGGTTTGTTCCGAGGCCTCGAGCTCGCTGCTGTAGAATGAAGATCTCTTCAGGAAATACCACTTCTATCCACCACGACACAGCGACCTTTACTGAATAATCGTTCTCGAAGCTCTCTCACTAGGAAATTTAGGAATAGGAAGGGGAAAAGAATTTTTCTGCGCTCGAACAACTACAGTGTCGTTAGATTGAGCTTTCTATTCACCTATTTTTACCATATATTCAATAGCTCTTCATATTCATCTGTTCTGGCGACTCAACACTCTTACCGGTCCGTAAAAGGCAATCTGGTACTATCCTTTCCTCGAGTCACAACTTCTATTGCCAACCAGACCCACCTGGAACAACGAACAGCAAAATGTCGTCCTTGGCGGCCAAGCGTTTGCACCAGGAGCGGGTGAACTTCAAGAAAAAGCGGCCTTTCGGATTTTTCGCCCGGTACACGACCAACAAGGACGGTTCGCAGAACATGATGAAGTGGCGATGCGGCGTGAAGACAGAGGACGACGGTCCGTGGAAGGGCGCCACCGTCGAACTCACCATGGAATTTTCCGAGGACTACCCGGGGCGACCGCCGAAGGTGATGCTCTGCTTGATCGAGGGGAAGGCGGCGTTCCACCCGAACATCTACCCCAGCGGGGCGGTGTGCCTTTCCATCCTGAACGAGGACAAGGACTGGCGGCCGACGTTAACGGTGACCGGATTGCTCACCGGGATCAAGGACCTCCTGCACAACCCAAACCCGGACTCACCCGCTCAGGAGGAAGCGTTCAAGGTCTACATCAAGGAACCCAAGCACGATATCCAAGAAAAAAACTGTGTAAGTGTAACTTTGTGTTGCAGACGATGCAAGACACTTACAACTGGCATGCTGGGCATGCGTCAGAGGCTCCTTTCGTACGTGTTTTCAGCCACTAGCTACGCATCACAGGTTTTCTCCGTCATGCAGAGCAAACTTGTGATGCTGTTCCTCCAAGAAAGTTACACTTACACAGTTTTTTTCTTGCATACACGACGAGTGGCTGAAAAAGGTGGAGCAACAAGCGGAAGCGATCAAAAGCGGAAAGGCGTACGAGGGGGTGGAGTGAAGGCCGCGCTGCTTCGCTTTCTTTGGAATTGATGTGAGGCATTCATATTTCAATTGAGCCCCTGTAGGTGTAGAACTAAGACTACTTGAGGGTCAGTCTTCAGTTCTCACTTTTATTCAACAACGCGACTTTCCTCATCCTTGGTTGCCCACAAACATGTGAGAATGAATGTCGGCTGCTGTGGTCTTTTTACCGTATGTCTCGAAGTATTGGCTTGAACAATTCGAAGCGAGAAAAACATGCCTTACCCACAAACGGCAGTAATGAAAGCAATTGCGCGCCGCGTCATTGATTGACCACCTGTTCTTCCAACGAGAGTGCGGAAATCTGGATCCGAGCAAGGATGTTGATTTGAGGTCGAGATGACCAGGACATGTGGACCAAAGTCACATCAGCAGTAATAGATCTGAGTGTACAACTGGAACTGAGTTTTCAGTTTTGCTGAGAGCACGATTATCTATGGGAGCGCGATGATTGACGTGCTGCTTCATATCATTGTTGTGTGTTTGAGAGGCTGACACAAGATTGGCAGAGCGAATTTTCTTCACCAGAGAAGTTCTTTGCTTTTTTCTTTTGTTCGTGCTACATCATCATACTGAGTGCATAGATGTGATAGATTTCGTTGCGCTTGTGACAATTTGAATTTTGCGCGGTGACGCCACAGCTCTTGACCTGTGCTTTCGGCCCTAAAAATGATGCCGACCGGGCAGCAGGCATGGAGCTGAACTTGCAGCGCCAACTCCACGGCCTGACGGCGAGGTGGCAAGCAAGTGCCGGCCGCGGTCCGGTGTAAGGAAGCGCGGGCAGACGGGATAGCCCAATCGCAATCGACGGCGAACGCGCTGCGTTTTCGTATTAACATACGGCAGCGGCTTCGTTTGAGTTTCAGGCTATCCAGTCTTCCCGCGCACGAGCGGGGGCAAGTGGCGGCGCCATAGATGCCGGCACTGCCGTCAATCTCCATGGCAAACTTGGAGGACGGTGGAGGCACGCCAACGCTTTCGCGATCGGCAAGCGGGCCGGCCTTTGGGCGGGCCCCTCTTTGGAAGTATATGGGCGCGCAGCCCGGGGCCACTTTTCATTTTGATAGCCAAGGCCGATCTGCAACACGAAGTCAGACCCCTGCGGGAGCAAATCAGCCTCCTTGCGCGCGAGGGCCGGCCCGCCCTTGGTTCCCAGAAAAGGCCCGGCCCAGGCGCGCGCCGCAAGCGTGCTGGCGCTCGGCCGCTGCCGGCGTATCCTTCCTCTCTTATTTGCCCCCCGCTTTCCCATAGGATAGCGAGGTCGCTTCCTGGTGGCCTTCGCCGGGATAGATCCATCGACACGACCAGGCGCTCCCGCTGCCTTTGCAGGAGCGCAGGCGGGGTCGACCTCCGGACCGGCGACTGCCTGCCGCCCGCGTGCTAGAATGTAGATCGGATAAACGAAGAGGAAGAGAAGTAAGACCGCCCTTTGTGTATGCTCTGACCGCCTTGAGTTTCTCTCCCCTCTCTACTCACGGTGGTCCGATTTGTTCTAGAAATAGAAATTTCGTGTGCTGCCAGCTCGAGGTTGCATTCTCCGAGTGATTTAGATGAGGCTAGCAGACAGTGACAGCGCGAGATGTCAGTTGCGGTTGAGGTTGTATTCACTTTTGCCTCCCACAGAACAGTAGCGGCACTGCTAGCCATCCAGCGATTCCGGGACATCATGTGGAAAAGAGCGTGAGCAATTTGTGTTGTTTATAGTAAAAGCACGCAAGTGACGCAAGTGCTTATCCTTTGCTTATAGATGCTTTACTTCTTTCATTCTCATTGTGGTTTCTCTGTAGAAGATGGACGAAGTTTTTGTGTTTTTGACGGTTTCTACTAGTTAGGTTTAGCGATTAACTACAGTACACTTTTGTTCATTTTTTTACAACGACCGTGTCTTGCGTTCTTTGACCTAAAGCTAATATCTACATTCATCGCAAACACGATGCCATCGCTCCGCGAGACCGCCGCGAGTAGAAAATCCAAAGAGATTTCCCTCGCTGAAGACGAGCCAAAAGATGGAAAGAAGTCAACTGTCACCAAGCAGACCGCTAGTTCCAAAAATTCAACCAAATCCACCGGCACACCCGGCAAAATCAACGCAGCTACCGCCGGAGACAAAAAGCCGACGAAAAATAATGCGATGAAAAAGAAGCAGAAAGACAAAGAAAACTTCGTTTCCGAGAACTTCGAGGGCGGCGAGGAGGACGACTCCCTTCCGAACCGAGGCCGCGACAAAATCGAGCGTGGGCCCTGTGCGAAGAACGTGAAGGCATCCAGCGAGTTCGAGAAGAAGAAGGACGGCATGAAGAGCAAGGCGGAGTTTCGGACTCTGATGAAGGACGCTTTATCCCGGGAAAACCACAAGGACGTGCGGGCTCTGATGCGGACGGCGGATGCGAATTTTGGGAAAGAGGAGAAATTTAAGTTGTGTGACGAATATTTGAAGCACTTCAACGAAGAAAAGGTCTTCACACCGTCCGACGCGAGGAACGTGGTGTTCCAAGACGCATCGAACGAATGGGACGCACGGGAGGAGGACAAAAAAGCCGTAGCTGACGAGGCAGATGAAAAGGAAAAGAAAAACGAAAAGAAAAGGTAGAAGAGCTTTCACGTGTTGTATAATTACAGCGAGATCTCGATCTCGTACTCATAGAGCACGGCTTTTGAAAGACTTGAAATACAACAGCGTGAAGAGGAAAGAGTGTTCTGATAATTTTTCGTGATTGCATGCAGTAGAACTTTCCAACCGATAGGTAACTAATACCCAAAACAGGTACTTCATCAACATGGGCATCGTGACCTGGCGACCCGCGGGTAAGCAGTCGAAGATCATGGCTACTACGCCGGGCCAACAGCTCGCGCTGCTCCTGACCAGCTGCATGGAGGTCGACTGCGAGAAGGCGGACGGGAAGACCTACAGCTTAAATTCCGAGAAGCACTTTATCGCATCCTCGATAACACTCAACAAAAACGGAACCAGCAGGGTCCACGTGGACCAAGGTAATTTAGGACACTCGAGGGCCATGGCCTTCGGGGAGTTCCTAGGCGGGGAGACGTTGGTGTATGATGAAAGTGGAGATCAATGGATGAATGTCCACTACGGCTCGCCAGCAGCGGAGCGGGTGTTTTCCACCATCAGGACCTGCGGGATCGACGCGTTTAAGAGTGGCAGCGGCGGGGATAACAAGAATGACTCTGGGCAGTCGTCTCTGCTGCACCAAAAGAAACCGCTGAAGCTCCGCTTCTCCGACGACACAGCTACAGAAATCATCGCGGACCACAAATGGCTGAAAACCGACGACGGCATGCGGTTCAACACGAACCGGCCGGGGAAAATCGTCCAGCTTCCCTTTTCGAGAAAAACAGTCCACCACACCGTCGGGGACTTCCAGGGGCCTTTGCCCCACGCCACCGCGCCCGCGTTTCCGAAAGCGTATAAAGACGTAGCCAAACGACCCAAGGAGTTGAGGAAGATCGATTTGGTCGGCACGGTGTCGCCGGACGAGATGGATTTTTTGATGCAGTGGTGCGCGGACCGCCAGGAGATCAAGGAGCACAAGGAGTTTGTCCGCTACGTCGCGGTGTTCTATCCCCACGACAGCATGGTCTCCAACCGGCGGGGGGACAAATCTCTCGAATACGCCTCCAGTTGGGGGTTCAACCGGTTGACGGACAAGCAGTACGAATCCGCCCGGGATTTCCTCGAGAAGCAGCACCACTTTGTGCACACCAGAGACGGGCTCGGGATCACCTACATCGAGGTGGACGGAAAAAAGATCGCGACCCGCGGGGGCATATAAAATGCAAAAGTATCGTACTCGTAGGAATCGCAATTATGCATTTACAAGTTGCGAAGGCAAACCCGGACCCGCACTACAAACTTAATTTGTAATGCTGAGCCAATTTGTATTTGTATTGCAAGTCAAACTAGTACGATGCGTTTGCAATTCATAGGACAACAGGCAGGTCCAGGGCGAGTCGATCACGAAGCAGAAGAACCGCGTGAAGAAGTGGTGCGAGGAGCAGATTTTGAAGAAGTACGGGAAAAAACAGGGCGAAATCGAGATCAAGAAAATCACCGCGAACGGCAAGGACTACAAAACCGCGGGTTCGGCGAAAACTCGAGACACGCCGGTGGTTTTTCTCCACGATTTGTGGCGGGATTGGGGGGTGGACAAGTGGATCGAAAAGAAGCGGCAGGAGAAAATCGAGCAGCTCGGGGAAGAGAACGTGATGGGGAAGGAGCAGTTCTGGGAGACGGAGCAGAAATATGACAGTGCACAACTCCCCCCGCTCCCCTCCATTTGTATAGCATGACCGGCTATACAAGTGCCAGCAAGAATGCAGGTTTTGCATGACAAATTTGCACAGGAATGTAGTGCTATTTGGGATACCAAAACTTGTCACGCAAAGAGTGCAAAGAGGCGCTGGTTGGATTTGGTATTTTGCATTACAAATGGGGGGGACGGGGAGGGGGAGTTGTTCACTTTCATAAGAAAAAGTTGCGGAACATCTGTCGGTGCTACGCGGGCCGGTACATCAAGGAGTGGGGAAACAAGATGTTCTATCAAATGTAAAAATGTCTGGGTCTGGAAGATTGCCAGGTTTGTCATGCACATTTTGCATGACTCCTGATGTCTGTGATGCATGCTCTAGCATCACAGATTTTGCGAGGGCTTCCTGATGCCTATACTGCATGACAAATGCTCTTTCCGTGTAGCAAAACTTGGACTCTCTTAGCTGCTCATGCAATACAGATTCTTTTAGAATCCAAACGCAGCATTACAAGTTCGGACTCTTCCAGACCCAGACATTTTTACAGTTGATATGTTCCCGTACAAGGATTATCCCAGCAAGGGGTGGTGCTTTTTGATATCAAATGTAAAGATGTCTGGGTCTGGAAGAATGCACCTTGTAATGCTGCATTTGGATTCCAGAAAAATCTGTATTGCATGAGTACCAAAAGGAATGTAATTTTTGCTACGCGGAGAGGGCATTTGTCATGTGGAATAGGCATCAAGAAGCTCTGAAAAAATCTGTGATGCTAGGGCATGCATCACAGACATCAGGGCTCATGCACAACGTGCATGACAAGTGTCGGAATGTTCCAGACCCAGACATTTTTACAGTTGATATTTGAAGGGCGTCACCGATATCTCGGCGCTGGAGCAGTGCTTCAAAAAGCACATTTCCGGAGAACTAACGGTGAAAATCAACGGCAACCAGTGCGTGTTCCCCTCCGCGGTGGGGAAGCCCCGGGAGCAGAAGGTGCCGCAGTACACCGGGGAGTACCAGTGCGGGGCGCGGCTCGCGGCGGAGATAGGCATGAACGAGGACGTATGCATTGCAAAAGTATCGTACTCGTATAAATGCATTACAAATTTTCTCAGCATGAGAAATAAACTTTGTCATGCGGATTTGCCCTAAGAAAAAGATTTGTAATGCAAGACTTGCATTTATACGACTACGATACTTTTGCACAGGATAGGACGTCTCCGATCGCGAGGACGAGATGACGAAAAAGATCAACGTATCAAATGTAAAAATGTCTGGGTCTGGAAGAATGCAAGATTTGTGATGCAGATTTTCCATGACCCATGAGGTCTGGAATGCGAGACCCAGCATGACAGATTTTTTGAGGTCTCTATCATGCCTTTCCTGCATGAGAAACTCCCTCTCAACTTGGTCAAAAGCGGCCAGCTTTTGGTACTCACGCAACACAGATTTTTGCATCATTCAGATTTAGCATGACAAGTTCTAACCTTCCAGACCCAGACACTTTTACAGTTGATACAACGAGCGGAAGCGGGAGGAGACCATTCGCAGACAGAAGGAAGCATTGAAGAAGTTCAAGAAGGGAGCGAAGAATGCTGGCGGGGGCGGTATTAAAGACAGCAGGAAGAACAAGATCTCTGGCGCTTCATCTTCGAGCAGCAGGTCCTCGTCCTCTTCTTCTTCGGTCAAGACTATCAAACCGAAGAAGAAAACCAAAACCACTACGGCAGTCAACAACAACTCTTTGATGTCAAATAAATCCAAAGTGAAAGCCTTAAAGGAAAAGGTGATGAAGGTGCAGCGGGTGGTACGAAAGGCGAAGGGGAACAGTAGTAAAACCGAGAAGAACTACATCGCTGTGAAGAAGCCGGCGATGAAGCGTGTTACTGTTGTAGCATCGAAGAAAGATAAGGTCCCGACTTCCAACAAAAGAAGTTCCGCCCCGTCCGGTCTCGTTGGGAAAGTTTATTCCTGGTTCAAGGGTGAGAAAAACGCGAAAGACGATGGCAATTGCGGTCCTGGAGGTGAAAACGATGCCGATCATTCCGAGCAGGAGGAGACTTCTGCAGCGACAAAGAAGCGCAAGGTGATGCAGACAAAGTAAAAGTAGTCTTTTCGAACAATTTATCACAGCAAGAATTTCATCCGCGGTTTGGGGTTTTTTGACAAGTTGGATGGCAGGTAGCAGGAGCATAAAAGACAAAAGATCTCATGATTCCCGCCAGATGAGGGTCGGTTTTCCGACAGCGGTGATGCAACTCATTTTGTTGTTTAAAGCGCACGACCACGATGGTGAAGAGCCAAAGTCCGCTCAAGAAAAATGTAGAAAAAAAACTCTACTTCTAAACAGCTTGATAGAATTCCACCGGTGCGCGTCTATTAAATTGGTGAAAATTGTTGATATAGGGAAAGCGACTGCAGCGACACGAAAGTCTAGCGGTTCCCCTCCAATTTGTGGCGCGTGTGTGTAGCAATAGAAGACGACGCGATCATCTGAAGATCATCATGATCTGATGGTACCATGAGATCGTACCCAGACGGACGATAGATCTTCAAGTGTCCGATGCGGACATCGTCTCTCATTCTTCATCTTCACATGGATCTCCAATATCTAGCTGGTTTTATGATGATGTCCTCCTGTGGGACAGGGTCTGCAAAAAGGACGAAGAAGTGCATCATGGCCTCGCCCCGTTAGTCCAGTTGTCGTAATCGTATTGGTCTCTCTACTACTGATGTCACAGCAGTATTGGCGAACGGAGAGTTGTGAAGATGTGCTGATGAATGATCACACATGCTATACTGTCCCAGATGGATCCAGGATCACAAGACTTATGTATGAGAAGTCTCGAGCAGCGTCAACCTATGAATATATGTGCGACTGTCAAGTTGCGTGAACGTTCATGCAGTGACAAGGCGTGAAAGTGAATATGATGGCGATACAGGTCGTGGTTGATGTCGTTGCAATTAATATCGTCTGGTAGAAGTTCTACTTGACACTGTAGATGCAACATCTTTGGACGAAGTTGTCGATACCCGTGAGTCGTTGTAATCTATCGTCCTTTATGTTTTTTTGAACGAGAATAAATCATTACAACTTGTAGATCAGCCATCTATTAAACCGCTTTCGTTATTTTCCTCGTGCGGAACGAGCCTTGCAACTCTTTTGATAATTTTAGAGAGCGTTAAAAAAACTTGGAATATCCATCTTGTTACTTTCTAAGTCGGCATTTTGCATTTGCATTCTGAATAAGGACCACGACGTCGATTATACTGCATTAGGAATAATTTGTACCCTCGATAGACAGTGACTTCTCACTTCGAAAGAAGGAAACTCCGACGTCAACGTCGTCGCACAGAAACTTCGACACGACAGTGGGAGACGAAGTTGAAAAAAGTACGCAAGACCTCGTACTGCGGAAGTTCCGAAGAGGATGAGGCTTGTTTCGCCCAAGAAGCTGCACCAGCCGGCTTGTTCCAGGATGGTGCGTCCAACTTCGCCGGTCTATTTCCGATTTTTTTGTGGTCTGTACTACATCATCTCGAATGTTTATTTCCGTGTGGCCGATGCCTCGCAGACGACCGGAGATCTTGAGGTTGCGAATCAGGAGTCGATTGCCTCGGATGGTGAAGGCGGCCCCATCGCCCACGAAGGCACCGTTCGCTCACGAAGGCACCGTTATTTTGATCCCATCGCCCACGAAGGCACCGTTCGCTCCTATCCCGAGCAGGATCACCCCAACTTCTTGGAGTGGCCTCATGCGCCCAATCACACCGCTGACTGTGGGACAGAATGTGGGCCACCACCAGGAACTGTTCTAGTATCAGAGCCCCCTTATTCCTCGTCGGTGTTCGACGGCGGGGCGTCATCCTCAGGACCACACTCAGGAACAACAGATCAGATTTCCGACAACGTCCCAGTCAGCGAAGCTGAACGAGAACGGCAAAGGGAAGCTGAACGCCAGAGGAGGCTCAGGGAACAAGCTGTTGAACGACAGATGGAGGCTGAGCGACAACATCAGCTGCGTTTGTCGGACGAAGAGCGAACGGAGAGCCTGCGTCAGTTGCAGTTCGACTACTCTGTTCGTGCTGAGCCTGCTGATGAAACTTCACAAGTAGAAGCGCATGAATCAGCGAAAGACCTCTACTCCGCGACTGCAGCGGAGGACGAAGAACACAAGACTGCTAGCATTCATGCGGCCGGGAATTCTGAAGTAGAGCACGAACCAGAAGAAGCTCCAGCGGCTTCTAGCGGTCGAGGCCGGACTTGGAGAGATGAGATGTTTGAATCGGTACCAGCTGGGGACGAGCCTACGGGCACTTCTCAGGAAGCCGAACAGGAACAAGTACACCAGCAGCGCAAGGAGGAAGTAGAGGGACACGACGACGACCAGGGCTTGTCGCGCGGCACTGCTGCTGTCGAGGATCATGATGCACGTAACGTCGCATCGACTTCTGGCCAACAGGAGCCACAGCCCAGCTTGCTGAGTAAGTTCATGAGCAGTGGCCTTACTAGGAAATTCACCGCCAGCCTTTTCGGTGTTGGTGGTTCAGTCACGACTGGGGGGAACAGTAGCACAGCTTCCGATGCAGTTGATGCACCACCACAACGACCATCATCGTCCACACCGAGTTCTTCGGCGCCCGCTTCTGCGAATCATGGCGCCGCCACTTCTGCGCCCGCGACGCCGGTAAAAGAGCATGATGACGCTGCAGCTGTTGGTGAGAATGCTCCTGTTGCAGCCACAACTGAGCCAGCGACTTCCTCTGCCGCTCCTGATTGGAAAGAGGACGCCAATAATCGTCCTGCTTTCTTGACGCGCGAATCAGAAGCTGATTGGCGAAGAAGCCTTCGTCCGGAGGTGCAGCAGGAGGTGAAGGAATCTTCTTTCCCCACCGCACCACCAGTAGACGAACAGCAGTCCTCCTCGCAGCCGATTTCGGTGGACAGCAGTCCGGAAGTTGTAGGAGTAGAAGCCGCCACACAGAGTGTCGCACTCGAGCGCCAGGTGTCCGTTGCACCAGCCTCGGTCGGCGAAAGAAGTAGTCGTCACGACGATGACGTGCTGATCCACACAGATGCGCCATCGGTCGACGACATCGTAATGGAAGATGCGCCTGGGGCAGTAGATGCTGATGCTGCCCCTATCGTCCCGGTTTCCACAGCGAAGGGACCACGAGAAAGTTTGGAACAACAGGAACAGCAGAGTAGTACGGCAGTCGAGCAGGTGGCCACCAACGCGGAAGACATTTCTATCACTGCTGAGGTGCGACGGCTGGAAACGAAAAAAACGGAATTAGAAGCAACGTGCAGGGGTTTGGGAGAAGAGAAGGAGCGGATGATGAAGGAATTTGAGGTATAGTGAAGTACATTCTTGTTTTCTCTACGTAAAATTTATCAAGCGAGTGGCCCGACTGTTGAATTTTTGTTTTCCTATCGCTAATGTCAAATCGAAAGACCACGATGCCGCGCTTATGATGAAGATGATCTTTAGGTGAAGAGGATAGGTGAACAGTAACACACGATGCAGTGACCACTTTTGTTCAATACTTTCACCTACTTCTAGGCACAAGTTGAAGACGAGAAGAAGGTCAACGAGGCCACCGTTGCGGCGCTCCAGGAAGAGAGGAGGAATATGAACAGCCTTTTTGCCCGGGAAGAGGAAAAGTACCAAACTTTGAAACGCGATGTGGAAGACTTGGAAAAGCAGATAAAGCAGAAACAAGAAGAAGTGAAATCGAAGGAAATCGACAACGAAAAGGCGAGCTCCGTTTACCAAACCGTGTTCAATTCGCTGCAGGAGAACTTGCAGGAGAGCGAGCGGAAGCAGTCCGCACTGAAGGACGAGAGGGAACTGTTGGCAAAAGAGAAGTCACAACTGGAAACTGCCGTGAAGGAATTGGCAGAGAAATTAGAAGAGCTGAAAGCCACCGCGATGGGAAAGCAGAAGGAAGTGCAAGAACTGCGAGAGGTCCAAGAGAAGATGGAGCAGGAGCTGCAAAAGCGGTTTCTTCTCGGAGCGCCGGAGGGTGAAGACGCAGGAGCGGGAGGGGCTTCTACAGGTAGTAGTGGTAGTGCTGGTGCAGCAGCAGGAGCTGACGGCGCGAGTGGCCGTCCTGAATCCGCGGCGGGTGCCTCGGAAATAGCCGACGGCGCGCACCAGGTGCAGCTCAACAGTGGTGCGCCGCAAAATATGAGCGGACCGCAACTGTTTCTGAATCAGGTGCTCGGCGGGCTTGATGAGCAGCTTGCGAGCAGCAGCCCGCGTGCTCCAGGAGCTCCGTTTTCCAAATTTGACGTACTGAAAATTCTGAAAGAAAAGCAGGAGGAGCTGCGCTTGATGCAACAACAGATCGACACCCTGGAGAAAACGAAGGAGCAGCTGGTCACCACGATCGCTGCGGGAAACTCAACCGCTGCTCCCGCTGCGGTGGGTGTGCCGCTGTTGTCGTCGACTACGGAACAAGGAGGTGTTTTTCACCATCACTCGCCCGCACCTGCTTCATCCAGCCGCGTGGTCGGGAGCCAGTTCGCGCCAACAGCCCGTGGTCCCGCAGGTAGTCATAGTTTGGGGGTGAGTCCACCCAGTTATGCCGTAACTGGAACCACCCCAAAATATGGGGCGCAGGCGAAACCGTCGCTACGACTCCCGAGCGCAACTTCTGCTGGCCAAGAACCACAGCACAGTGGCAGTACCATGAACTCGCAAGCCAGAGAGAACGTGGAGGAGATTGTCACGACAACCGACTTGCTGCAGTCTCTCCGGGTGGATCTCGAGGCCCGCAAATCCGAGGTGAAAGAACAGGAAATCATCCTGAAACAGTTGAAAAGTCGCAAGCAAGGCCTCGATATGCGTGGCAAAAGTACTATCGTGCTAGTATAAAAAATCGCACATGCAAAGTAGAAATGACTCTTCTCTTCTACTAGGACAGGAAGGATAAGGAACTGAGCAACTTCCTTGTCATGCCGATTCACGTTTTGAAATCGGAATAGCCGATCCGTCATTCATAGTTGCAATTCCTTATACCTTTTTCGCCGAGTGCGATACTTTTGCAATGCACACTCGAGCAGCAAGTGCGGGAGTTGGAAGACCGATCGGATAATCACAACAAACATCTGGAGCAGCGGCGAACCGAGCTGCTGCAGGAAATAACCGGGTGCGAGGGCAAGGTGAAACAGCTGAAGGCGGAGGCGGAGCAAGTGCGGCAGGGCAAGCTGGCGCCCTACGAGGAGCTGGAGAGAGCGAAATCTGCTTGGGCGAAGCAGCTCCAGGAGCTAGACAACAAATGGAGCGGTCAGAACTATGCGATCGGCCGCCAGCTGGAGGAGGCGGTGAGAAAATACGAGGAGGAAAAGCGACTCCGTTCGGACATGGAACAGGGGCTCGAGACCCAGAATTCGCACCTGGCAGAGGAGGCGCTGCGGCTGATAGGGCAACTGGGCGCGAAGGAACTGAGAGTGGTCGAGCTGGAAGCCCAGAATAAGTTCCTTTCTTCAAAAGGCGTGGAACTGGAGGACGCATTGGGAAAGATCCGAGATCTGACCTCGCAAATCGCCAGCATGGAGAGTAGCTTCGCTGCGGAAAAGGACAAAATGACGCGGAACTTCGAGGAGCAGCTGGAAATTGCACAAATGGGAACATTTTCTTGCGGATTGGAGGAGGGGCAAGACGATGAAGATGTCCGTCCTGCAGAGGAGGAATTGCCGGGTTGTTCTGCTGAGGATGCTGACACCAGCACGACTGGCGCGGGCGGGAGTTGTGCAGCAGCAGAAGAGAGCGGGAGTGGAGCAGCCGATGGTGCGCATGGTACCGCGTCAGGTTCTTCTTGTATTACGAACCCCGCGGGAGGAGCAGGAGCAGGAACTGCTCCTACAACGAAAATCACCACTGCAGGAGCCTCGACACCGGCACCCCTACGGACCTGCAGCGTGGACAGCAACCAGAATTCGATGCCGGGCGGAGTCGGGCCGCGGCCGCAATCTTTGCCGCCGCCGCCAATTCATTCGAGCAAAGCCGGTCGCGCAGCCGTGGCAGCAATCGCGAAGAGCAAGAGCAACGGCCCGATTGCGCAGTTGAGCAGAGGACATATTCAACAGAACATGAGGACATTCATTTGGCATCAGAAAAAAAAATGTCTTACTGAAGATGTAGATATCCTCTCACTTCAAACTCTGCGAAAACCAAAAGAGAGGCAATTTTGTGCAATGCAGAGCGCGGTTCGTAATGCTACTTAGTGGCTGCAGAGGTACCAAAAAAGTGTATCATGCTGAACGGCCAGAAACAGCTTTTGTGGTGGTAGAAACCGCAACACAAATTATTTTTTGTCTGGAATGGATGTCTGTGCTTTTCTGTAGAATAAGACAGGGAACAGCTTTCGGTGGTCCTCCGACGGGTCCGGGTGGGCGAAAAGTAGAATACTGGTGCCCGGTACGCCGATGCTATTTACTCGGTACGCCGATGCGCAATAGCCGCGGCGTAGTATTGACCAAAGCGCTTTCGGCCGCCGACCACGCAAAAATTAAAAAAGAAAGGGAGTATCGATTGCAAATAGATTGACATGTCTGGGTCTAGAGAGATCCGAGTTTTTGTTTGTGATCGTACTCAGTCGCAACCCAACCAAATTAATTGACACATGGTCCGGTCTGAGACGTGAGCCTGACCACATGTCTGGTCCAGAAGATGCAGGATAAACCTGCGTACCCTTCTAGACTCAGATAGTCGATATTTGCAATGCATAAGCAGGAAAAAGCACACCGCGCCCGCGCAGCCGCAGCAGGACATCAAACTCCAGGATCGACCTCCGCCTCGTCAACATCTTCTTCGACACCAAGTGCTTCGTCGTCCCCTGTCGTCGCTATTGCACCTCCTACACCAGCACCCGCCCGCCCTCTGACCGCGGCGGAAAAAACCGCGCGGCAGATCGCTTCGCTGCAGGAGACGATTGCGGTGGAGAAAGAGTGCTACGAGAACCGCATCCAGCAGCTGAACGCGCAATTGCAGAAAGCAAAAGACAAGTGCGAGTTGAAGGAGCAGCACCTGAGCCGTGTGATTGAGCAACGGAAGAATTCCCTCGAACAAAAGCATCTTCTGTCCAACGCGTTTCGCATCGCCAAGGAGGCGTACACGAGTGGGGACCTGCATCAGCAAGGAGGCCAGAAGCTGCGCAAGTTGAAGAACGACTTCGACAGCTTGACGCTGACGAACGATTTGCATATTAAGTACACGCCGGTGCGGGAAAGACGGGTTGGGAACAATTCTGTTCAGAGTAGTGCTTCTGCCACGCCCATCAGCACTACGCTGGGGCAATTGAACGTGCATCTGTTGAAGAGGTTGGAGATGTGGCGGAAGCAGGAACTGCAAAAGTTGTCCACGTTTACAAATCAGGAGAGGCATCTGAAGGATCCATTTTTTCTCTTCTACGGGGGCACAAGTCGGGACTTTGACACGTGGCACGCACCAGACGTACTGGATGAAGAGGACGGGGAAGGGGAAGACCAAGGCCAAGCTGGGTCTCTGTTCAACGGCACGAATGCGGGGGAGTTGCAGCAGAGCAGAACGATTTTTTCCGTAAAGCCGGTCTACTTTCAGCAGCTGCACAGCGATGGAGGAGTAAATGGTGGAGGTGGTAATGCCTGGGCGTTGGACTTGGAAGCGGTGTACACTGACGACCGCGAAGTACTGGTGGAAAAGCGGGAATTGCTGGGAAAGGCCAAAGAGTTTCTGCTGAACAAGGTACATAATTACACTTCTTTTTTAACTTTTTACACTGCTGTCGTGTTTGTAAAAATGCAGTCCTCGAATAGACACGAACAAGAACATCGCCATGGTGTTTTATTTTTGCGATGCGATGACTATGACAAATGGATGACAATCGATGAGGAGGATATCTTTCAGCCATCAAACTTGCATCGTCCGACGTGCGATCTCTCCTTACAGGTCCTCGAGGAGTCGCTCTACGACGAGGCTTCCGACAGGTACAAAGTGCAGCAAATCCTTCCTCTCGTTCAGCCCGCGTTTGAGAAGATCGACTTTGCGCTGGAGCAAGCTTTGGAGTTAAATCGTCTGGAGCACGAAGATCTGAACCGGGATCAGCAATCCAGAAACTACTGGGGCATCCTAGATCTAGACGCGATCGGTAGCGGTACTACAGCAATTTCCTCTCCGCGTGCAGGTGGAGCAGGTTCTGGTAGTCCGAAAGACGCCAGCGCTTCGAAAGTGAACCAGAAGATTTGGAAGAGGGCACAGTGGAAGGATCCGGGCGAGATGACCGAGGAGGAAAAACAGGATATGCAGAGTAAAAATGTGCGTCCCGCCCACCAACTTTGTTCCCTGAAAATTGAATGTTTCTCGGTGCTCTATTTTGGTCTCTTCCAGTACATAAAGAACACCCCATAGTCAAGATGGAAAATCTGCTACACAAATCAAAAGGTTTTGGGTGTAGCAAATATCGAAACTCCACTAGAAAATGCTTCTTGTGGGTCTTGTCCGCATGAGAAACATTTTAAGCATGCAGCTTTGCATTCCAACTCTGGGGAGGTGGGGACGTTTTTTCACGGGATACAGGAGTGGTTTAAGGCGATCAACGGACGGAGAAACCGCTTCGCGATGCTGTTCCATTTCGACAAGCAGGCGGGCAAGGCCAGGGCGGCTAGTAACGGCGGATTGCTAGCCCGGCAAGGGGGCGAAAATAACGGGTCCTCTGCTTCCTCCAGCACGTCTTCTCTGTTGAACGCCGAAACAAACTCGGAGAAAAATGCGGTCCAGTTTCTCCGGCCGCCGCGGGACCCCGAGCACCGGTTCTACGACACAACCGGCGCGTTACTCCGGGTCGCGATGGAGAACCAGCTGAAAAGCATCCACAACGCCGCCGCGGAGCTGAAAAAGCCGGCAGTCCTGCGCTCGGCGCCTCCCCTTGGCTCGTATGTGACCAAAGAGAGAAATTTATCCCGAGTGTTGAAAACGTCCCTACCTCCCCTGAGCTGTCGTGCAAATCTGCATGCCTAGAAACGCTTCTCATGTTGCGCAGCCCGCCCCTATTTGTGATGCGGCCGCACTATCTACGCATGACAGCACAGCAACGACCCAAACTTGTCATTCGCAATAGCCAATCTGGTTTGTTTATGTTTTGTGTAGCAAAGTCCCTTTTATTGTTGATGACTCTGTGGCGGAGGCGTTTTTACAGGGGATGAAATTCGCAGCGAGTCGCGGTGGCGGTGCGCATCGAGAGCACCCACGCCGCGCCGCGAGCGGGGGTCGCGGAGCCGGTGCGGGGCGGGAAAGTGGTTCGCAGCGAGAAAAATGTGCTGTGTGCGCTGTACCATTTCGCGAAACCCGAGCAAAATCGGCATTCCAACAACACTGTGCACGACACTTTTGTGGAGCAGGCAAAGGAGGAAAGCCGGGCGCTGGGTCGCGTCCGGCCGTGGAAGCTGACGCTGCACGCCGAAACGTATCACTCGCTGTTTTTCGAACACCCACGCACGGGAAAGCTGCTACTGCTGAACATGGAAACCGATCCTATCGAGCGCGTCTTTCACTACCACGAGGCGGGTGAGGGAGGTACAACGCGGCAGTCGAGTGCCCCCTACTGGGGATACCTCGATTTAGGCTGGGGGAGCGGGTATGGATTGCAAAAGTTTCATTGTGTCGGACTCTCATGAGTTGGAATATCAAGAAGGCACAAGTAATTTATTGATATTGTCCATGACCTTTACCTCCACAACGGAGCGCAACACAGATGAACTTGGTCATGAAGATTTGTCAAGAACAAGTTGGTAAGAAGAAAATTCATCTGCCATATACTTGCAACTCATGATGGTACGAGTACAACGCTTTTACATAGGATAGCGGGAACGCCAGCGCTGCGAGTGGCGGCAGTATGTTGGCCTTGGGGAACTGAGGAGCTACGCCAGCATGCATCGTATAGTGCTTTATTGCTGTCGGATTTTTCGTTTTCGAGTTGAGCTAGTAGGTTGAACAACCGGGGGGTACAACTACGCAGCTCGGTACGATCCGACCGAGGCACTGATGTTTGATCTAAAAATCTAATGATGTCAGAACGTGGAAAATTGCGCTTCAAAAGAACTCATCTGTCTGTATCTGTATGTGTGTTGACAAAAAAGAAAAAATGAGTTGCTACGTGGACAATTGTACAGACTGCATATGATCACTTTGAGAATACAGACAGACTGACAATAAAGTGTCTTGATCGTCTAGCTGTAGGCGATTCCAAGACTAATAGGGATGATTTCTTCTACTTCAGAAGCGACGTTTTGAAGAGATACAGCATCGATTGTCACGGCACTGGTTGCGAAATGCATACGCACATGCAATGTATGCCTGTGCATTTTGTTTCTTGCGCCCAATTTTGTAAATTTCCATCCACGACTTCCTGTTCCTTTTGAAAAAAACTGGATAGATAGCACCAAAAACATATTGGAAGTTTTTTACTTTGTTGTACTAAAGATTCTGCTAATTGCACTATGAATTGATGTCGATTCAAGAGCGAAAAGCGACCTTATGAATATACGATGAATACAAGAAAGAGAGTATAGAAAAAACTTTTTGGAAGACTAATTTGTTTGCTCGAAGAAGTTGTAGTCGAAGTTTGTTTTCATCCACGCAATTTAATATGAAGTGTTCCACTAGCCCTAGCGCCAGCGCACAGCTTCAGACTTTGAGGATCCCGTACTGGCTTTCGCAACAGATCGTTGACTGAGATCCAAAGTGAAACACGCAGCCGATCCCAGTCATGCATAATACGGAGAGGCGGATTCTTTTTTTCCCGATTCGATCTGGATTTTTTTTTCATCCAAGATTTCGCACCTCAGCGCTTTCGCTTTTCCTTAGCTAGTGTGTACTATCCAACTTTTTTTATCATTTTCTCTTGTTCACGATAATTTTCAGTCGTGTTCTTTGTATCGAGCGATTTTTTTTTGCAATACCTACTCGCAAAGTGTTCAGTTTTCGAGTATAGTCTAGAAAGAATATATCTAGTGTACGACTACGAGACAAAAAGCGAAACCACCAGCACCTTCGGCATGGCTTCTTCAGGCAAGATAAAGTCGTATACGTTTGAGCATGGGGCTTACGCGCTGCCCTTATATCATTCGCTCAAGTACTCTGCCAACCCGGTCTGCGGCTTTCTGATGGGGAGAATAGAAGGTACAATTTCATGAATTTGTTTTGTTATGCCTCATTCATCGTGCGAACATAAGTCATTTTTTTTTCAAAGCTGACTTCCGGCGTCAGAAAATCCGCGTGCCAGCACAGTGCCTTCTGTTTATTTTGCATCGCATGGTGTTCTTCCTCTTCCTTCATGTATGCGTAAATTTCCGAACCGAATATCCAGGTAACAACGCTGTCGTCTTCGAGCGCGCAGTGCCTTTCTCCCACACCCACGCGCTCTCCCCAACACTCAAGATGGCGTGTCACTGTGCCGAAACGCTCTGTGCCGGCGGCGAGAAGAGTCTCGAGATACTAGGGCTGTACGTCGCGAACGATATCATACAGAAGACGGAGAGTTTGCACCCATTGCACCGGAACATCTACGAGAGGCTAGTGCAGAACAATCCCGCATCAAGCGTGTGGATCATAGACGCCAGCAGGCTAGATATCACAAGGAAAAATTCCCCCTCCCCATATCAAAAGGAAGTTTATGATGCTGAATTCGCGTGTACAAATCAGGTTTGTGTTGCAGTAGAGGACTGCAGGCTCCTGCCAAGCCTGAGTAGAGAGGTTTTAGCCTAGGCGCTTAGCATGAGAGCCGTCTGCGCTGTAGGTCCAACAGCATCACAAACTTCTTGCATAATGCGGCAGAGCCTGTGGAGTTGTCTTCTTGCAAGACAGACGTGATTTGTGGTCTCAAATCAGCAAGACAAATTTTCGGCGGCATACCTTTTCGATATGGGGAGGGGGGATTTTTCCGGACAATACTAGAGCAGGAAGAAATTTTCGCCTACCGAGGGTACACGGCCCCGCAGAGAGCCGGTATTTATAGGTTGCTCCGTCGGAGGAAGACCTGTTGCTTGGTTGATGTTGATGTGCATTGCAAATATGTCTGGGTCTGGAAAGATGCGAACTTGTGATGCGCATTTCACAACACAGACAAATCTCTCATGCATAAGCAGCAAAAGGCGCCCATTTCCTGTCACCAAAATGGGGGATTTGTCATGCGGATTAAGCAATACGGAAGCTTCTCGAAATCTGTGATGCTAGGGTTTCCATCACAGACATTTTGTGTCATGCAAAAACAGCATGACAAAAATCTGCATTCTTCCAGACCCAGACATTTTTGCATTTGATAGTTGACTGGAAATTTTCTCCACTTACTATGTCTAGTCTTCAGATGGATGATTCTGATTGCATGGCATCATCCGTTGTGGGTGGCGCTTAATACCAAATGACTGAGATACGACATCATGAAAAAAAAACAACAACAGGCGACCTCCAGCCAATTAACGAGTCTGCGATGAAAACGAAGGGTCCTGTGTGTCTGATGGAGTCCACGAGAAAAATGGAATACCTCGCAGTGCAGGATTTTGACGACCATCTGCACGACCCAGAAAAGGACTGGACCAACAAGGAGCTCGTGGAAAAGCTGGCCATGGTTTCTGCATGAAAATGAATGCAGACCACTGCATATGCAAGAAAAAAACTGTGTAAGTGTAAATCTGTGATGCAGAAAATGCAAAACAGTTACACTTGTCATGCTCGACATGCATGATCGGCTCGCTTCCTATGTTGTTTTCCTTCCTATCTGCGCATCCTGTCATGGCAGACAAACTTGTGATGCTGTTTTCCCAAAAGACTTACGCTAACACAGTTTTTTTCTTGCATACTGCACGACGGAATGCGGACAATGCGAATCTTACTTTTATTTCGCCTTTCTCCTGCTCGCGCACGACCGGTTCTACTACTTAATACACTCTGATGTAGTTGACAGGGGCTTGAAACGTTCCTCGTCTGCAACATCTGGATGATTTTTTAGTTCTAGGCACCACTACAGCGACCGCGACTCCAACGACAAAGTATTCTACCCATTGATGGCGTAGACAGTACTACATGCGATGCTACTTCTTCTCGAGAAGATTCAACGAGATCCACATTTCACCGCGTTGTTCCACGAACCGAAAGATAACCGATTCATTGATCTTCATTTGCCTTCGACATAGATCTTGCCTACACGACTGTAAAAAAGCGCCTTTCGCCCGTTCCACCTTACTACAGACACCGAAGATTTTCCAGGCGCTTCGAGAAGGTGCATGTCATGATGGTCCGGTTTGGGATACTGCAACTACATGCGATCGCGTCAAGGATCTCTATCGACTTCTACCCGCAACTTTTTTCCTGACCAAAATCTTTTGCCGATGTTTTTGATTGTTTTTCCAGGTGGCTGCGGAAGGAGCAGGAAGATAATTTTTCTCGCCCTACTAGATGAAAGCGACATGATATTGGTTTAGAGCTGACCAAAACTTTGGCCTTTTGCTATAGTTCTTGTTTGACCTTCCTCAGACTATTTCTCAGATATAATTCTTCATTTCTAGTCCACTAGTCTACCCGCAATTTCTTCTTGTACCTCCCATCAACAAGAACCACGAAGAATTCAGCAAAAATGTTTCTCGGCACCCCCCTGAAAACCCTGGACATTGAGCAGCTGGACGAGCGCGGCGTGTCAAACAAGCAGTTGGCGCTGAAGCAGAACCAGGTGCAGGTCCGCCGTCCGGACGGGAACATCGCGAAAGCACGGGGGGTATCAAATGTAAAAATGTCTGGGTCTGGAAGATTGTCAGATTTGTCATGCAGCTTTTCCATGACCCATGAGGTCTGGAATGCAGGACCTAGCATGACAGATTCGGCGCGATCTCTCTCATGCCCATCCTGCATGAGAAACTCCCTCCCGACTTGGCCAAAACTGGACGACTTTTGGCAATCATGCAACACAGATTTTTGCATGCTTCAGATTTAGCATGACAAGTTGCATTCTTCCAGACCCAGACATTTTTACATTTGATATGGGGAGAATGTGTTCCACGGCGCTTTCACGGGTGGTTTCTCCGTATCCACTGCAAAAGTATCGTACTCGTAGTACTAATTGCATTTATGCATTACAAATTTCTTTCTCAAGGCAAATCAGCATTACAAACTCAATTTGTAATGCTGGGGCTGGGCTAATTTGTAATGCAATTTATACTAGTACGATGCTTTTGCAGTTCATACTCCGCCGGATACTTCAACACGGTGGACACGAAGGACGGCTGGGTCGGCCCGAAGTCCTTCACGTCCAAGCGGGAAAGGCCGGGGGAGCAAAGTAGTGCGAGTGGTACAACTTCTAGAGGGGGTAAAAATAATTTTCAGCAAAATGTTTCCGATTTCCTAGATGAGGAGGACCTGCAAGCGGGGATTCAGGCCGTGCCGCAGGTCAAGGGAACTACACTTGGCAGTTCTGCGTCTACTTCTTCGGAACGGACCGGGGATTTCATGCGAAATTTCGTGGTGCCCGACGGAGGTGGCACAAGAAGCGGTGGTGCAGCGTCTTCCAGTGCAACCGGTGCTCCTGCGCACCAGCAAATTAGCCCTCACGAGGATTTCGCGGTTCTCGCCCGGCTTCGACAGACTGCAAGTTCAGCGACTCAGGTCGACGATGAGCACGTTTTGCAGAAGCTGTTAGAGGGCATCGGTTTTTACGATGCGTCGAGTTCTTCTTCTTCTTCTGTGCCGGCGACCCTTGTTCCCGCACGACCGGAGTACACCCGCCCTGCTTCAAAGCAACAAAAGGACCAGGTGGTCGAAGGTGACGATGTTGACGCTGCTACATCAGTTGCTGCGCCGACCTTTTCGACGTCCTCAAGCGCGACGAACAAGCGCGGCGCCGCAGCGGTGTTCGGAGGGAAGAAGTTCGGAAGCGGTGCTAGTAGCAGTTCGGTAGTTCTTCCCGGAGGTGCAAGTTCTAGTAAGAAAGTGCACCTGAACTACGACGATTCTGAGGAAGAAAATTCCGACGAGGAAGATGTAGCGGCTCCGAGGACATCAATGAGCAAACCGCTCGCGAAGAGCAAGCCCGTGCCGAAAATGAAAGCGGGCGTCAGTGTGAAAGCACAAATCCCGAAGCAAAATCCGATGTTGCCACCGCCGATCTTCGGGGGGCGGAAGGGAAAGGTGGCAGCGCCTAGAGGTACTAGCAGTCCGGTTGCCGCACAAGCGGAAGACAGTGACGAAGATCATGCTCCTGAGGCAGCACCAAATACTTCTGGCGGCACATCAGCAATAAAACCAGTTCTGCCAGCCAAAGCCCCCAAGCAGGCAATACTCGAGCAGCAGGCGGCGCAGGCAAGACTGGCGAAGAAGAAAAAGAAGTCGGATTTTGTGCCGTCGGATTCTCGCCTTCTCGACATGTTTCTTAGCCCCAAGTTCGACACCAAGGGTCTAGGGTACAAGGGAGAACTGCTCTCCGCCAATACAACCGCCATGGCACTGCAGTTGCTGGATGCGAGCGGGGTTTCTGTTTCCCATGCAGGAGGTGGGTCCTTAGCAGATCGCGAAAATAAGCAAAGTTCCTCCTCCCGCTTAGCCGTCATTTCCGCCCGGGACTCGCAGTTTGAGACCACGCCCTGGAGCACGAAGAACTCCACAGCGAATATTAAAGGTAAAAAGGGCGGCGCAACGTCTTCGGCGAAAGGCGATCATCAAAGTGGTAAAAACGCCAAGGGGAAGGTTGGCACAGGCGGGAAGTCTTTACAAGGGAAAACGGGTAATTGAAACGGGATAGCGACTTTTCCAAAACTTTTACTTTGACTTTTGGCAAAGTCGCTATTTTGATCGTCGGCAATCCATGCTTTGCGAAAATTGTTTGGACCGTGCTGCCTGTTGCTGGTAAGTCCGCACTTTGGGAGTGGCAGAGCATGAAAGGGCGGCACCTCTTCGCCGCGGCGTGTGCCCGCCAGCTGCCTGCCATTTTGATCGACGCCTCCAAGCAGGCTGCGGGAAATGCCACCCGCCGCGCATCGGACGGGCAGCGCCTCCGTGGTCGGTTGTTCGCGATTATTCGCGAGCGCTGTGGGGCCCTGTGCGCATTTTGTGCACCTTTTGAAGTGGTGCGCGGGCGCTGGCCTTTGGCCTTTCAGTATTCGCCCGGATGTTGATCGCCGCCTCGCGCTTCGGAAATGCCGGGGCGCGTCGGCCCTCTTCGCCCTGAGCGCCTTTTAAATAAGCAATGGCACTGGCTGCCACTGCCAGGGCCCGAAACCGAATGGGCGCGCCGCCCCGCCGCGGTGTCTTGGATGGCACGCCGGCCGCGCGCTGCCTGTCCTACGTACCTTCAGCCCCCTACATTCTGGCCCGCCGCTTGCCCATTCTTACAAAATAGAGGCTGTCGCGCCCCGGCAGTCTGTTTCCTGCCCGCCTTTCCGCGGTTACGCGACGCGACCGAAGCGCGCGCCAAAGGCGCCCCCCTTTTGCAACCAACGGGCAGAGGCGGTTCCTCCGCTCGTCTCGCTAGCGGTGGCAGAAGTGTCAAGGGCCTGCGGTCGGGGGGCCACCCCGATGGCCGGCGCGTGATATGGGTCTGTGGCGCGCTGTGGTGGCGCCACCTGTCTTTTTCGGTTGCCCGTCTATTCTGCTTCGCCTGCTTGAACGAGAGAAGCAAAGAGGCAGCATACCATGCGGTCCGACGTCGGACCGCATGGTATGGTGCGCGATGGTGGGCCAGCCTCACGCGCCAGGCCGTCCGTGCGTGCGGCATCGCGTCGCGATGTGGGGCCGACCTCCCCCGGTTGGGTGGGCTTCCCCGGTGGGGTGTTCTTTGGTTCAGGAAATGGATAACGCAACTCCCCCGGGTGGCCCGCCCCACAAGCGAGCCGGCGGGCGGGGGCCCCGTGGCCCCTCTGGTATGTTGCCCTCCAGCACGAGCCTGCGTGCCTGGGTGGTTTGCCTTCTCTTGTAGGATGTACGTCAGCGACCCCGTGGGCCGGCTGTATCTCTGCAGCTTTCCCGACAAGAACCGCCAAAAACGGCCGGGGGCTTGGGGCGTTGGCTCGCGTTTTTTCGCATGTTGAAGATGGAAAAAACCCAAGCGCGCCCGCCTATTTGGTTTTGTCTTACTTCAATGAATGCAGTCGCCGGTGGGCTCAGTCGGCCGCCGGGGGAAAGACTGTCTGAAAAAATGACGTAGGGGGGTCGGCAAACGTGGCACCCTTCTCAGGCGCCGGCCGCGTGCGATTCTGGCGCGCGACTTGGGGCGCCCAAAAGGGCGCCCCAAAAAACCCGCCCGAAGCCAGAACAGCGAAGCCGTATGGCAGGGCCGCGAAACCGGTCGCGAATCGAAAGCGGCCGCCCTTTTGCCGGGTTCTCAGCGGGGGGGCGCTAGCTTTGCAAAAGGCGCGGGCGCGAAAAATAATAAACAACGCAAAAAAGAAGAAACGCGCCAAGCGCGCGAAGCCAGCCCGCATTCTATGGGCCCGCTTTTCCTTCGGTTTTTGGGCGCCCCCCGCGGTGCCCGGGTCGGCCCGATAGCATCGGGGTTGGCTTTCGGGAAGGCGTTTTGGCAAGTTGCCCAATGTCTGCCATTTTCCCCAACCGGCCGCCATACCGTGCGGCATAACCTTACCCACCCCGGCACGGCGGGCCCAGAAAAAACAAAAAAGTGGCGTGGGCCAAGGTCGGCGGGCAAAGAAGCGGCGCCGGCCTCATTATCTCCGCCCCGGCGGCTATATTTGGCGCATTGAAGTAGGCGCGCAGCACGCCGCGCGGCCCGGCCTCGCACGTTCGGGCCGCATGGCGTGGCGCGCTTCGGTGGAGCTGCCCGCGCCTCACGTTTTTGCGTGGCGCCCTTCTTTGGGCGTTAGCTAGAGGCCGTCCGGCCTGCCCCTTTCTCTTTCATATTCGCCGGCCCCCCGCACTTACATACATACAAAGCGGCGAGACCATGCCGCCGCTCCAGAGTGCTCCGCCTCGGTCGCGGCGGCCTTGCGCGGCCGGCTTTTCGCGAGTAGAAAGGGCGCCGGCGCAGCAGGGGCGCGCGCGGGGCGCCACTCACATGTTGCCGCGCCGGCGCGCGCAATAAGTTCGCCCAGGAGGCTCTGTCCCCATTTTCGGGGAGACCGCCTCAGCCATGTAGAAAAGGGGGGGGGCAGCAGGATTCTTCGCAAGCCTGGCGGATGCGCAAGCCTTCAGGCTTTTCGGCTTTTGAGGGCGCGGCGAAGTCTTCTGCTTGAGTGCCGAAAACTTGCCGAAAACTTTCCCCCGAACTTTCCCGAAACTTTCCCGCTTCGGGATCATTTTCGGACTCGAAAACTTTTGGCTGACTTTTCAACTCCCGGTCTGTAACTTTTGGTCGACTTTTCAACGGGAGAATTTTTCGGGAAGGTTTCGCGGAAGGCTTTCGCCGACTTTTCGGGAAAGTTCGGGGGAAAGTTTTCGGCAAGTTCTCGGCAAAGTTTCCGGCAGAGTTTTCGGTAGAGGGGCGGAAAAGTTTCGCCGCCCGGCGCCTGCCCTTTGTTCCTGCCCGCCAGCCGGGCCGCCCTCGGGCGGCTGCCTTGCGCCCGAAAAGAGGCAGGCACAGCCCCCCGGCAGGCACGCCTGCGGTTATTGCGCACGTAGCCAGGCAAGCGGCCGGCCCCGCCCCGGCGGGCGGCCGGCGCTACGTTGTCGCATGCGCCACCGGGCAGCGGATTCACGCCCCGGGGGCGCCGGTGCGCGTGTAGCTTGCTGCGAACCAAGAGAGGGCGCCCGGGCTTCGGCGGTTGCTACCGACCCCCTGAACTTGGTTGGCGCGTTGCGCCGTTCGGGGCGCGTGCGGGGCATGCGCTCCGCGTACTCCACACTTGCGGCGGCCGGCGGGCTCTTGGGGGCCCGGGCGCCGCTGGGGTTGGCGTCGGTTTGCCCAAACCCATAGACGGAAGGAACACCCGGCCCGGCCGCGCCAGTCCTTCGCCCCCCCCGCCCGCGACCGACCTAGACCGGGGCCACAGTGTGCCGGCCGGCAACAGCCGCGCGGGCGTGGCGCCTCCCTGCGCACTGCTGAGCCCGGGCGGGGGAGGCGTGTTATTGGGGCGCCGAAGCGATTCCGCCGCATCCGCCAGGCGCCAGCCGGCCGGGGCCGGCCTGTCTGGGGGCCTCCCGCCCTCTGATATGGGGGCGCGCCTGCATGTTGGGCCCCGCCGGCCTGCCTGCGCGCCTGGAATACCGGGCGGCGCCGCCGCGGGTCTACTTCCTACGTGCCGGCGGCCCGATTGCCACCCGTCGTTCGTCTCGCCCTTCGCTCGCCCTGCGCCCCACCCTGTGGGCCGGGATTGGGCGATCTGTTTCGTCTCTATCTGGTCAGCCGGGGCCTGTGCGTTTGCTGTTTTGCTTTTCCGACAAGCATACCGTGCGGTCCGACGTCGGACCGCATGGCACGCTCGACACCGTTTCGGGCGGGGCGAGCCATGTTGGGGCGCCGGGCGATGTGGTTGGTGCACGGGCGGAACTGCGCCCCTGCGTGCGACGTAGGGGAGGGGACGTCGTGGGGGCTTAGTTACCCTCGGGGCCTGTTTGCTTGCTACGTGTGGGGCTGTCGGACGGTAAGCCGCTGCTGCGTGTGCCCAGCGTGCCAAATATAGCCTCCGTGGCGGAGGTGGTGAGGTCGGTGCCGCTGGCTGCCTTGCCCGCCCGCCGGCCGTTGCCCTGGCCAGCCACTGTGTCTTTTTTCTGGGCCCCCCGTGCCGCTTTTGGTATGGCCATGCCGCGTGGCTTGGCCGTCTTTTGGAAAGCATGGTAGTTCTTTGCCAAATTTTCAGAACCCCTGTCCGAAAGCTAGCCCTGGCGGTATGGGGCCGATCCGGGCGCCGCGGTGGAGCGCCCTGAAACCGAAGGCAAACCGGTCCCATGGCATGGGGATTGGCCTCGCGCGCTTGGCGCGCTTTTGCTTTTCTGTGTTTTTTCTTTGCGCGCCGGCACCCTTTGCAAAGCTTCCGCCGCATAGAAACCGGCGAAAAGGCGGCGGCCGCTTTCGCGGCCGGCCAAATGCTCCGAACGGAGCCCCGGCCCTGTCGTGCGGCTTCGCTTTTCTGATTTGCCGCGAGTTTTTTGGGGCGCTCTTTTGCGCGCCCCAAATCGCCAGAACCCCACGCGGCCGGCGCCTCAGCGGGGTGCCCCTTTTCTTTGTCGGCCCTCCTGTGTCGTTAGTATTATCAGCCGGCGACCGATAGAACCCGGCGCCGGCGGTTCGTTGAAGTCAAACAAAGCCCAACAGGCTGGCGCGCTTTGATCTTCCTCATGTGGAAAAGCGCGAAACAGCAGCACACACCGCCGGCAGCTTTTGGCCGGTGGTTGCTTTGCATTAAGAAAGCTGCCAGGGTCGGGCCGTTTCGCGGTGGCGGCCCGCCGGCGGCGGGAGGCGCGGGCGGGCGCCGCGGTTCGCGGTGTTTGTGAGGCTTGGGCGCGCGCGTTTTTTGGCGAGGGCGCGTGCTGCCCGGTGCCCGGTTGCGTCGGGTTTAGGGTCTGGCGGACCGGCCCCCTTCCCTGCGTCGGTAGCCCTCCTCCTAGTCCGTTCCCGGGTAGGCCTTCCGGGCCTGGGGGGGGGCGGGTGGGTGCGATGGGCGGTCATGGCCTTTTTCTTTAGGGCGCCCGCGCCGGCAGCCGTTGGCTGGGTGCGGTCGGCGGGTGCCCGGCGCGCGCACGCTTCGGCGGGTTGAAAGGCGGTCGCTCGGGCTTCGCCGATCACCCGCGGGACAAGAGGAGGCGTCGGCGCCCAAGACCTCGCAGGCGCCCCTGTTCTGTCGCTTGGAGTATCTTCGCTGCGTTTTTTCGTTCTGAGTCGCATTACCAAATCGTTTTCAATGCCCTGAAATCCTGAAAAGTCAAATGAAAAGTTTTGGAAAAGTTCGAATCGCCCGCCAATTAGTCGCTTTCCCTTGTAAAGTCTTCCACCCGGCTGCATAGCATTATGGCGGACGATGAAGAGGGGAACGACATTTTCGACGAGGACATGAGCAAATACAACACGATTCTGGAGTTGGAGGAAGAGGGTTTGGAGAAGTACGGCCCGTATGGGACGAACACCATGAAAAAAATCATCACGCGGCACGACGAGGACAATGACAGTGTTTCAAATCAGCAAAAGATCGAGTTCGAGCAGCAGCAACAACTGGAGGATTTGAAAAAAAAGAAGAAGAGAAATCACAACCTTCCCGGACAGGGAATGAACTTTGTCGACGGGGGATTGTTGGATTTCAAAGTGGAGCTGGACGAGCTGCTTTTGAAGTTCAACATCACGACAGTAACGAAAGCGGACATTCCGAAGGACTACGACCCGTACCGAAACCGGAAAAGACTGATGGAGTCCTTCATTGAACACCCGGCGGTGATATGCATTGCAAAAGTATCGTACTAGTAGAAATAGCACTACAAATTTTTCCAGAAGGAAAAATGGAATTTGTAATGCTGAATAAGCTAAGGAACCAGATTTGTCATGCATGACTGCAATTACTACGAGTGCGATGCTTTTGCACAGGATAGGTGACCGCGCTGCGCAAGTACTTCGAGGAGGAGCGACAGAAGCGTTTGAAGCAGAACGAGACGGAAAATTACAAGCCCGTTCTGGGCGTGATCGAGCGGGAGCAGCTGCTCGGCGGGGGCAGGTCGAAAGATTTGCAGAAGGAACAAGCCACAACCGCACAGAAAGGCAAAGGCAAAGAGCTGCAAGGGAACAACAGTACAAATACCGTTGGTGCCATGTGGGGCCAGAATTTAGACGAGCAGCAGGCGGCGCTGGACAAGATGCGAATGATGTTTGCGACGAGTGGGAACACCGCGAAGTTTGTGTCGACCGGGTCGACGGGGGCACATAATTCTTTGCATCAGGATAATTCGCAGCAACCATTGTCCATCATGCAGCCGCAAGCAGCGCTGACGGTGCAACAACAGCAGACGAACACGCTTCTCGCCTCCGAATCGGACCTGATTGAAGTCGAGCAAGAGGAGATCCGGAAGAACTTCCGGTTCACGCGGTTTTGCTCGATCATGGAAAACCGGGTGAAGTTGGACCCCAAAAAGTACAAGACGATCGGGCAATTGTTGGAAAAGGAGTACACGAAGCCGGAGATCGAGAAATTCACGCAGGTGTGGCAGCTTTCCGCGACCCGCCGGGGGTTTCGGTTCAAGTACAACTTCAAACTGGATAAGGAAGCGCTGAAAAAACTCGGTCTCCGCGACCCCTTCGACTTTAAGACCAACGCCGGGGCGCGCGTGTTTGTGGAAAACCGTCCGGACACGGAGAGGCGGAGAATGTTCACGGCTGGCGCCAAAGCCATCGTCGGCGGGGCAGGGAACAGCGTCACCGGAACCGGCGTCGGCGGAAATATGAAAGGAGGTCCTGGTGCTGGAAAAAAGGGAGGGGGGAAACAAGGGACCGGCGACAAGAACGGCACAGGAAATACTTCTACGGGCGAGCAAAGCCAACAGCCGGAACAGGCTAGTAGAAGCCTGATGTCGCTTCTCAGCAGTGCTGGTAGTGCCGATGCTGGAACTACAACTGCCGCGGGGGTTGGTGCAGCTCAAGGTCTTGCTTTGGGTGCAGCGGGGTTGAGTAGCCAAGAAGCCATGGCGAATACGATGGTCCAGATGAACGCCCAGATGTTGCAGTTCTTGCAGCAATTCAGCCTGCAGAGACCGCCCGAAGAGATTGTGAACCAGATATGAGTTGTAATGTCCCGAGGACAAGAATATCCTAGGAGCGAGTGAGTCTGAACTACCTAGTACCTACGATAGCGACAGCCGACAGAATGATAGATGAAAAACTTGTGTATATATTATTCGTCCAGAAGAAAATGAAAATGAATCTACAAGTTAGCATAGCTTAGCTACGAAAAAAAGCGACAGAACGCAAATTGCGACGGCTCAAACTCATCTGAAAGATGAAAGAAACAGCCAAAGCCACTGGCCCTATGATGCAGTTTTCCAGTGGCTCTCAGTCCCCCTCCGAGTTGTTTTTGTGTTCATCTCAAGAAGAACAAGAAGAATTTATTCCAACCGATCCAGTTGTCAGGAACTCAACCGGTTTTGTTTTTAGTTCTTCATCACAGATCCTCGATTTAGTTGCGCAGATCTCCAACCGAGCCAGTTGTCACGAACGCAACCGGTCTTGTTTTTAGTTCTTCATCACAGATCCTCGATTTAGTTGCGAATATTTTTCACACATTCATAAGTCGGGTCTGAGAACTTGTGTTTACACCAAACTTTGTGGTCGTTCTAGTTATCGACGGTGAAGATTCGCACTGGTTGTGGTGCAAAGATCCAGCACGAGCTGCAAGATGTGGATGAGGAACTACAGCAGAAACAGAGATCTTTATCAATTGAACAAACACCGACGCGCGCCGCTTGTGTTGACGCATTGTCAATGTCAATCTGTATGTGAATCGCGACATGAGGCCAAAGGTGTATATTGAAGCCAAAAAAAGCGGGAGAACTTTCGACATGATCTAGATAAAAGAAGTTTTAGTAAGGCATGTTACTGATGAGCCAGCAAGAATCACGAAAGAAGAGAGAAGGATTACTGATAAGAAAATTTACCTACTAACTGACACGTTGCTGTGATACCCCACAAGCAACTAACTACATTACCTATGGACTTTCTCACTGCTGGCGGTGGAGGTGCTGGCCGGGGAGCTGAGACGGGGCGAGGAAGCAAGAAAAACGCTAGCCCGGAACGTGAAGAGCGAGCTCAGGCGGGGGCATGGAACTGCGACGTGGGGCCAAGAATTCCGCCGTCAACTATTGCAACACACTTCGAAAGAACGTATGAAAAATGCAAAAACTTCCCTCCGCATATTGTCGCGAAGCACCTGGATCGCGCAGCTGCGAGGATGACGGCCGAGGTGGAGCAGGAGCAGAAGCAGGCGCAGACCGAAAAAAGCGACGCGCGGGGCGGCTTCCCTACTTCCGGCGAGCTTCAGGGAGAGCTCCACCGCCTGCGGGTGCGCAGCCTCGTGCCTCGCGCCAGTCTGGGGGGGCTTGCTCCCTTCGGCGCCCCCCAGCACCCCGATGGCGCTTTTTTTAAAACCGCGGCGGGCCCGAGGAGTTCCGCGTCGTCCAAGAAGACAGGTAGCAGATTATATTAAGTGCGCGCGTTCTGTTTTCCGTTTTTACTAGCGCCCCGCTCTGCGTGTTTCTTTGGTTGTGCTCTGTTGTTGTTGTTCGCATGAGCCAAATGTCGCAGATGTTCGGCGACATCATGGCGGAACAATTCAAATTCTGTCTTGTTGTGTGAGAGTCATTTAAGTGTGTCACTTTTAATTAGGGAGGCTGAAGAAAGCGAAAACCAATGTCACGGTTACAGGTGCTGTTGCTGTGGATGAAGGTCACGTCGGCGAGGACAAGTCGAAGGCCAAGGGTGAAAAAGGCAAGCCAGACGTGGGCGATGAAAAAAACGCAACGAAAAACGAGAACAACAAGGAGCCGGCAGCCCCGGGGGTGCCCAGCGAGAACAACCTTCGTCAACCGATGACAACTCGCACATGGGACGAAACGAAATATACCACGTCTGCCGCCGATTTATGGAAAGCCGGAGGGTCGTTGTCATCTGGACTACCAACCGGGCGGAGGACTCGTTCCTGTAAAAGAGCGCCATCCATCCCCATCCCGGAGGAACAACGATTAGGACCATTCGGTGGCGCATCGAGCTCGTCAGCAGAGAGTCGAACTCGAAGCGTCAGCCGGTGCCGGGATGCGGCGGGGGCCGCGAGTGGGGCAAGCACATCAAAAAGGAACTTCTGTATGCGGGACCCCACTACAGGCCGCTTCTTACCCGCGGCGGGGAAAAGCAGCAAGCAGCTCGCAGAAACCTCTAGCAGCTCCGTTCTCCAAAATACGTCCTCCAAAGTCCGTCCTTCGAAAAAACAGGATGCCTCGGTCCACGACGACGATGAAATCTTGGAAACAGCTCTTCGCCAACCGTCTAGCTCCTCCACCAGAGGGCGATCGCGATCTCGATCTAGATCTACAAAGAGGAGCGATAACCTTTTGGACAAGAGAGGCGGCCGATAAGGAAGTAGTAGACAGCTCCACTTTGTAAATCGTAAATCTACAGAATAAAACAGAAAACAGAAACGAAGTTCATTTTAGCAGCAGCGTAATAGCGGACGGATTGATATCGTTTTTGAAGAGGAGCACTGAAGGATTTGCTTTTCTCTTTTTGTTTTCTGGTCTGCAAGACAATGAACCAGAGCGAAGCCCGCGCATACTACTAGTACTAGAAGAATTCCATAACTCACATTAAGCAAAAGCTTGCTACACTCACGCCAATTAAGCAAAAGCTTGCTTCAGCTTCTACAACAAATTCAGAGACAAGATTGGCTCCACGGATTAACTATCGCAAATGTGACCGGCTCAAGGCTTTTCACGAACATTCAATGGTATATTTTTAGTTTGATCTCGTCCGTGCGCGTAATTTCGTTGTAACGATTTTGGGCGAAACTATTCTGGAGATTCCGTCTGTGACACGAGTCTGCTCTGCTCCAGTTTCTTGCTGGCATTACAAGAGTTGCGCGCACTATATTTATAAGCGACACACTACATCAGCTTATGTCTACATCGCATTGATCAGCTTTGCTTTTGCACTATAGTCGAAGATGATAAGTCATTCAATGTATTGGCATTCTCTCTCTTTTACTTTTTCAAGAGTTTTCTGGTCGACCGTCCAACTTGAACTACTGGGTGCTTGGTCTTGATTGGGCTGGAAGAAGCAGGTCGCGCAGCAGTCCGCCAAAGGGCACGCTGCTAACAGCACCATCATCATCGTGCTAAGTGCTAGTGGTCACACAGCTCTCCCTACTCTTTTTTCTGGATGTGATAACGGATTATGTCACTTTAAACTACATCGGCGCTATGCATTTTTTTCCTCAGTTTTGATTTTGAAAATTTTCAACCGCGCGAATCTTAATCAAATCAAAGAAAAATAATACTTGCCGACACGACGCAACTCGATGCATGTATGGAAGAACGAAAATCTAATCGCAACACGATGACACTCGCTGGTTTATCATGTTACTGGTCATCTGCTGATTTTTTTTTCATCTGTTTGTTTTGTCCGCGAAGCAACAGCTTCCTTTGCTATTTATCGCGAGAACGACACAAGACGGCAGCTTTTTTCTTTTGTAGGTATAAAAAACGCATTTTTCATCGCTTACGGCGGAGCCTTTGTAAAGACTCGACGGAGTGGTCCTGCAGCAACACAGGACCACGGACTTAAGATTTGACTCTGTACTGGTGCAAGTACAAAAATCTATAAAACAAAGAATCACTGTGGTTTTTCAAAAAGTGGTGCTTTTAATATAGAAAGGGAAAGCGAAAAAGATATATCAAAGAAGATGCTTTCCTCTTGAATTTGTACTTCTATTTGTAAAGCTTAAGCTAGAGTGGTCTTCGTCTTTGCCTGGTTTTATGTGTCTCCTTGCGGTAATATTCGATGCCGTGCTTGCTGTGAAAAATTGGTCCACTCGGGCCCGCGTTCGTAAGAAAAGGAATTTGGTGTTTATTTGTTCTCTCTATTATTGTTTGATGCTATTTACTAGGTTCCTATTCCCTTCCGTTTATCATGTCCACGAACCGATTCGGCCTCGGAAAAATTCCCGTACTTGGACAGGATGAGAAAGTCGGTACGCATATCCTCTACGGGAACACAATCGGCGTTTGGATCTGTTGTACTAAAGACGAGTTGGAGGTTCTCGTTCAGCAAAGTTTTCGTACTCGTGGGAATGACCTAAACTTTCGGTGGGGTACGACGTATGGCTTCATCGCATAGCATATTGTATTCTTCGTGCCTATTTTAGTCCAAAAGCGGACCACCAAAGAACTTCATCTCTGTGACACGATCTCGATCTGCGTTCGCAATAAACAGCTAGAGTACGTGTGCTGGAGTTCTTACGCGCATCAAAAGATCCATGATTACCTGTGTCTATTTCGAAGGAAGGGGAAGATACAACCACGAGCTATTCCTGTTTGATTTATGTAGTTCTGTGCTAGACGCAAACGGATACGGATCCGGAAGGTGCTTCTAACTATCGGCTTCGAGATCAAAATGTAAACAGTGAGGTCTATGGCTAGGAGCAGTACAGACGAGGTTTCGCACGCATATTTTTTTTCAAGTACAGAATTGCTAGTCTACTTGTGACCATCTTTCCTTCAAAGTTTGTTTCGAGCTACCAATCTTCGCAAAACAAAAATTATGAAAACCAAGGGCAAGGCCAGGACGAGCAGTCCAGCTGCGTCCTCTCCTCCTGCCAGCACGCAAAAGTTGCAGGACGACCTCTTCCTGCTTTTCGAAAAGGGGAGTCTCGCAGACCAAGCCGCAGCCTTGGTCGCGCTGGAAAAGATTGGGGTAAAAAACTCTCCTACTGCTTCTCCGAAGATGAAAAGCAAGAGCAGCCCACAGAAGAATAATTCCCCGAAATTGACATCAACAACCGCGAGCAAGCCTCCCAGTGGAGCGACCGGACTGAAGGTCATTCTGAAACCCGGCCCGCGGGGAAGAAGCAAAGAACAACAGCAGGATGAAAAGAACAAAAAATCAAGTGCGAAGACGAGTACGCAAGTGCCAGCAGCTACGCCGAGCCCCACTGGGAAAGATCAGAAGCAAAAGGAACCAAATGCAAATAGCACAACATCATCCAAAACTGGCAGCAGCAAGGTCCAGCCTGTCCTTTCCCCTGGGCAGGATCCCGAGGAGCTTCTGTTTCCAAATTTGAGCAAGAAGGAAGCGAACGATCGCTGGTACAAGCACAGAAAATTCGCGGACGAAGGCAGTTGGGTTTGGTACAACGAACAATGGCGATGGAAGTTGCACAGCAGCAGCGCCATCGACACCCCAGGCAGCTCGATCAAAACCAGCTCGTTGAGCCCGGCGAAAGGAGGCGCGCCGCCGTCTGCATCACCAGTCGTGAAGGGGAGCCACAAGAAGCAAGAAGCAGAGCCTGGCAGGAAGGGGAGCAACTCATCTGGTGGAGGGGGAAAGCGACAGGTGGGGGAGTTCCTCATCGAGGAATCAGATGAAGATGGCGATGGCGCAGCCGAGGATGCTGAGGCAGAGGACGACGACGAGGAGGAGGAAGAAGAGGAGGAGGATTTATGCAAGTTTGTAGTGTCACTGTCACAAGCATCATGCTTTGTCAATGCAACCGCACCTATAATTTGTCTGGGGTCTTTTTCGACGCGACCGTTTCCGTTTGCATTCTGGCGTCGCTCACAACTTTTTGGTGCACCAGTATTCATTGTTCTTGAAAATGACCTAGCAATAGCATAGCGCTTGTTACATGTTTCCATTCGATACCCTGACGAAGAAGATGAATATGAAGATTGCGAGGACGATGTGGACGCCGCGGAGGAGGAGGAGGAGGAGGAAGACGACGATGATGAAGGTATCAAATGCGACAGCGTCATGCGTATCAAAGCCTGTGCGATGTTGATGTACCATCAGGAGGTTTTTTTGCATTCACAACTGGTGTATTTGTCGTTGTATGAAGTCCAAATTCACACGGATTTGCATTTGCTATGGTCGTGTCACATCTTCATCAGTGGAAGTCAATGTTCATTCCGCTTCTGCTATGTATCTTGCCCTGCGGAGCACAAAGAAATAACCTCACAACTAGTACTAGCAAAACACACTCGACGCTGCTTTTCTCACACTCTATACTTGAAGAGGACGAGGAGGAGTCCGACGACGCAGCAGAGGACGCAGACAAGCCGATCACGGGATCCATCTTTGCAGCCAGTGGGAAAAACGCAAGCATTTTCGGGACGACGAGCAGCAGTATCCTGAACCCGTCCGGCAGTGGTGCAACCGGAGCGGGGTCCTTGTTTTCCTCTTCGGGGCCGGAGATCGGCATTGGGAAGCCATTGAATCTGTTCGGAGGTGGAGGCGGAGCAACATCATCTTCGGCATTCTCCTTTTCTACATCTCCTGAGAAAAAACCTGCAACACTGGATTTCAGCAACGCCTTCCCGGTGAACTATTCGCCACCGAAAAACCTTTTCGGGGGTGGGAGTCCAGTGCAGCAGCCTGCCAGCGGCAGCGACACGGTTGCTTCCGGTTCAGGTACTAGCTCCAGTTCAGCAGCAGGAAATAAACTCACCAGTCCGCTCTTTTCGTTTGCTTTACCGCCCACAACGGCCAAGAAAGATAACGAAGCAGCACTAGGTAGGAAGGATGGTAAATCGAAGGAGGCAACTTGTAAAGCGAAAACAAACAGTCCGAAATCCAGCGGTATTAAGGCAAGAGGTGCCGATCCAGAAGTTTCCGCATTGCATTCTGAGCTGGCTCGGGATGGCGGAGGTGGAGTACAAGAACCAGCAGTAGTAACAGGGGCGTCGGCAAAGAAAAATCCGCTGAAGCCTCTTCCCAAACGCCAAGCTGATTTTCCCGCGCCGCGGACGTCGGACACGAGCACGAGTAGCAATGCGACTTCTTTGTTCTCGAACATCACTGTTGGAACGGCCACGACCAGTAGGAGTGCTGCGCCAGCACAGGGGGAAGCGAAGAAGGATCATCAGCAACCGACCACAGCTGCGTTTTCACCACCTGCATCTCCACCCAACGATGAAACAGCAGAAGATGCGCCGGTAGTGCTCGCTTTCGGGGGCGCGATTCGAAACCAGATGAAGTCGGTTTTTGGCGACCGGCCGGTCTTTTACAGCGAGCAGGAGAAGGAAAAAATCAATAACGAGGTTTCGAAGGAACGAAAACCGGTCATCTTGACGAGGAGAAAAGATGATAGCAGCGGATTCGGGACAAGCCCCCTGACTGTGTTTGGGCAAGCGATCAAGGCAGAGAACAGTACAGAAGAGGAAGAGAAGCAAGAAATCGAACAGTTTTTGAAGCACGAAAAACTGCGACTTGGGCCGCTTTGGGGCAGGAACGATTGCGTCCATTCGTTTTCCGCATACAAGACCTTTGCGCAGAACATTCGTGTGAACCTACTCGCTTTGTCGTTCGACCATGAGAACACTACGGCAGCTGCAGCTTCACACTCAAAGGAGACATCCCAGGTCTCGAATTTATTTTTCCTTGGTTTTCAATCTGAATTTTCGCACATCATGTGTAGCACGTCGTTACACGGCGGCTCTTTTTCCACCAGCAGGACTTTCTCTACTATGTGATTTCGATCAGAAAATCAGGATCAGGAAGATAATAAACCCAAAACAGGCTCTCCCCGCCGCCTCTCCCATTTTTAAACCTACCAGCCGAAGAAGGAGGGAGAACCCGAATTCCGTCCAGTTTGTCAACTACTTTGCCGTCCCGGGAGTCAGGACCAGCTCTTCCCTGGTCTCCTCTCCTGCCTCAGCGCGCAGTCAGAGCCCTTTGGACGGAGAATCCGCGCTGCCCAGTGTGAAGTTTCAAGAACGGCTAGAACAATTTTTCAAGCACGAGGCCATGACTGCAGATCTTCACTTCGCAGACTCGACATGTGATGAAAAAGACGACTCCACTTCACTGGGCGTTTTCGGAGGCTTACCATCCGCAACAGCATCAAAACCACGAGCGACTCGTCGTTCCATTTCAACTCTCCCCCTCCCAACGCGGCTCTACACGGAAGCCCGGTGGTTCCCATTTCTCGCCACTTTGCTTTCCGAAGACGAGGTGTTGCAGATCTCCCGGCACATCTGCTTTTCCCTGCTCCCGGGCTACTACGAGGACAGCGACAACCACTTGGCGGAAACCGCGGACAGCTTTCTGTTGTGGGCCTGTTTGGAAAAGTGGTTCGTGAAGAAACTTTTCGCCCAGGAACTTCCCGAATCGAGGCGGAAGCAGTTGAAGCTCACCACGCTCGCGTGGAGTAACAAGATTTTCAGCCACCTTGCGATTGGGTTTCTACCGCTGTCGAAAATAGAACACTTTTTGAAGGGCTTTCTACTGCACGGCGTGCACTGGTTGTTTCAGTTTTGCATCGCTTATGTCGAGGAACTTTACAAGGTGGTGATGGCAGGAGCCCCCAGGCGTAATGACGCTGCAGCATCATTCTTCACCCGCCCGGACGTCTTGCAGCTTCTCCGGAACGAGGATGTGCGGCACAGCGGAAAGCAGAATCGGGCGGTCAAAAATTTCGGAAACGAAAAGCACGGCTCAGCCTCTTCTTCACACCGCATCGCGTTTTCGTGGGACACGGTGCTCAACAAGGCGGGAACCATTGACAACAACTTCAAAAACAGCTTCGACATTGACAGTTTTTGCGAGGAGCATTTCGACGGCCTGAATTTGCGAAAGTTGCGGGAAAAGGAGCTAGGGAACTTGAAACTGGAAATCGAGGAACAGGAGCGACTGAACAGGAGAAGCTTGGTTTCGGAGAGCGGTGTGGGAGTCAGCGTGCGGAAGGAGCCCTCTGCTGGTGGATCGCCGTTACAGGACGTGAGCTCCATTGGAAGCTCGTGCTTCACTGCGTCGAGTAGCAGCAGTAGTAGCTCGGAGGAGGAAGAGTTGTCCTCGGGTTCATAGGCGTAGTTGTAGACTTTCGTAGGAGCAGGACCATAATATCGCGACTTATGATGGTGTGCACAGACAGGAGCATATTCATAGACAGTTTCAGTTTCTTTTTCTTGAACATTCACCCGCCACGTTTTGGAACTAACCGTGTGTGGACTTACAGGTGGGGTGTGAGTCAAGTTTAAAGATGCAGGCTCGCTGATCATTGGTCCTTTGGACTACAACACACTGGACAGCATTTACCTATATTCACATTTTGGACAAAATCAAAGAAAAGCAGGTAATAGCAACAAAGTAATTTGAGTCTTCAACCGTCAACATCTGGTTTCTGTACCCTGTTGCGCCGATTGTGTTCGCGGATGTCGGTTTTGCGTATTTTGATCTCTGCGCCACCTTTTGGCTTTGTGTACTGATCTCTGCGGGCGGGACCCTGAAGATTGTCGCCACTGGTTGCTATGTTTGTGCTTCGCTTATCAGCAGTCGCCTGCCCGCGTGGCAAGCTTTCACGGGCGGGCGCTCTGCCAGGAAGCTGCGCGCAGCCCCCCGGGAGCCGCGCTTTGTGGTAGCGGCTGCGCGGGGCCGGGACTCGGTTGAGAAGTTCAGCCCAGTCGCATACTTGGGCAACTACCGCAAGAAGCCAGAGCAGCAGGCTGGCCGTTGCGATATTCGGATCAAGCGAAACGAGCAAGAGACTGCCGGTCGCTTGGGCGTGGCGCGTCGCGCTGTGCTTTGATCACGACCTTTCGCACTGCCGGGGCGGAAGCTCATACGACCGTGGTGGGCGATATGCGGCTCAACAGTATGACAATGCCTGACATCCATGGCGCGCCCGGGCGGGTGGTCCGCCTCGTGGGTGCCTGTCCGCCCTCGCGGGAGCGGGCGCGGCGAGGCGGGGCCGGCCGCGGCCACTTGTAGGCTTTCCACTTTCAGCCCTTCCGCTGCCCCTTCGAACCACGGAAATGGCCGCCGGTGTGAACAAGGCCCGCCCGCCGCGGGTCTCCGGGCCGAGATTGCAAAGCGGGCCCGGGCCGAGGGTGCCGCGGTTTCGCCGATGTGGCGGACGGAGGCCCAGCGCCAGGCAGGCTCGAGCGTGATAGATTTCGCAGACTGCGGCGAGGCTGCAGGCAGCGAATTGGCCAGGTACTTCCACAGTAACAGGCCGGCGATCCTCGTGCAAAAGTGACTCCGGGGGGGAGCTGGGTCGGGCCAGCCACCGGGCGGGCCCGCCGGCGGGGCGAGGCCGTGCGCGGTCCGCAGGGAAGTGGCCAAGTGGCCGCCGTGTGTGTGTGTGTGTTTGCCCGTGTTGGGGGGGGCGCGCGGCCCGTGCGGTCCGCGGCCGCAAAAAGCCCGGGTGGGTGCGCGGGCCCGTCGCGGGCCCTAGCGGTCGGTGGGCCCGCTGGCTCGCTCCCCAACCCTCGTTGCCCGTTACGTACCGAGGCGCCCGGACTTGTTTGAACATCTGACGTTGGAGCCGGTGTTGCCCTTGCCTTTTTCCTATGCGGTCCGGCCCGGCCGTTCGTTGCTTGGTTGTGGTATGCTCGCTCCTTTGGTCTGCTTGCGCGCCGGCGCTGCGAGTGATAGATCTGGCACAGCACAGGCATCGGCTCGAACCGCATTCGCCGAAATAGGGCGCAGTAATGTGTTTTAGGGATGGGCCGCAGGCTCATGGTCATGCTTCCTGTGTGTCTTTCTCGTGCTCGCCGTTCTTTTTATAGAATTTCAATTTTGTCGCGGCGCCATGAATTCTTTTCGATTGACGGAGCGCCTACTTGAGCACCAAGCTTATATCAGTGCTTGTAGGTGTATTGCCGAGGAGAGACACGAATATGCATCGATATTTGTGTACTACACGAACGCTACTGGCTACAAAACTTTTTTGACTGCAGTGAACACAACATCGACGAGCCAAAACTTACCCGCCACCGCATTAGGGCGTTCTGAGAAGAGGACGACAACAACAACAAGTTTGACAAGTAGCTTGCCCTCGTCTCAGAGAGGAAGCAAAAAAATGTCGTCGCCACCGCGTCACCCTGCTGGCGGTGCAAAAATGAGAAAGAATGCCACACTTTCGTCTTCCGCTGATGAAGATGCGAAGTCCAAGCCATCATCATCCAATTCGCAACAGCAAGAGCAGCTCGTTGCAACGACTTCCGCCACGAGGACCACACCACCTGCCACGACGAAGACTAGTCCGTCCCCTCCACCAGTCCTAGGCACGTCTCCTACCCTCACGAAGCGCATTCGCAATTGGCTGAAGCCCCTTCTTCAACGGCTGGACAGCGGGCAGCTCGCCACCCTCGGCGTTTTAGGCGTTGCGTTTGTCCTCGCACTGATCTTCATCTTCGTCGCCGGGCCGTTACCGCTGCACCCGGCCAATAAGTACCGGACCCCCCCCTGGAAGTGGTATCGCTTCGAAAAATGCAAGTTGGTAGATTCCGGCAGGAAAGCCGACCGAAACGACGGGGATAGCTTCTACGTCGAGTGTCCAAAGCAGCATGTTATCCCGATCGGAGATGAGCCGTCAACATCTTCAGGTGAACCTTCATCGGCCGCGGCCAGTACTTCTCCGGGAACTACAACGGGGCCAAATAAAGACACGGCGGCGAACAGCAAAGGAAAGAAGATGGGCCTCAAGACCGAGCTGCGGCTCTACTACGTCGACGCGCCCGAGAGCAAGTACAAGGTGTACCGGCACGCCTCGCAGAACAACGGGAAACGGCTGCAGGATCAGGCGAACTATTTTGCGATTTCCAAACCCTTTGACCCCTCGCTGGAAAACAGCCGGGCGGACCGGTTTTTGAAGGCCGAAGACGAGGGCCGGGTCTCCGCGTACCATGTGGGGGACGAAAAAATACCGGCCGTTTCGGTGATCGGCCGGTGGGCGAAGTCATACACCCGGGCGAGGCTGAAGATCCTATGCATTGCAAAAGTACCACTGCATCGTCCTCGGCGTACTAGTAATTGCAACCGTGCATGTTGTTCTGCTTTTTAACACTATATCTGGATGGCAAGCTGCTTTTTTGTTGTAGAAGTGTATGCAATTTGCAATTGCATAAGTGCGTCGTCGTGTGCGATACAAAAATACTTTTGCAGTGCATAGATCCTTGCGGAGAACAGTTTCATTGTTTGGACGATGAAAGAACTTGTGTACGGCGACCCGGACAGAATGTATGGATTGGTAGAATTCAAACCAGAAATCGGCTCTTTGAAGGAAACTCTCATCTCGCCGTTCCTGCGGGAATCAGATAGAAACTCTGTCGCGAAACTCGGCCCCGAGATCCACCGCTTTCTGCACCGGGAGTTGGTAACCAATGGCTTCGTCCGCCTCCGGCAGACGAAAGGCCCGGGCGTGGAGTTTCCCTTCCCGGGAGAGATAGACGTGAGTGAGGAGCAGTTTCTGGCTCTGCTGGAGGAGCAGGCGAAGGAGAGTAAGTACGGTGGCTGGAATACGGGGTTTGAGCACGGGGTTGGAACGAGGAGGGCAAGAAGCGGGAAGGAAGACGGGGGATCGTGGTGGAGTGGGGGCGGGATAAGCTCTTCGAGATGAAAAGTGACCCTGCCCTTCAGCGCGTGCACGTCTTCAATTTCACGACCTTGTTTAGATTGTAAGTGGACGAATGCCATTATTAATGATCGCGCGGCAGGCTCAGACACGAATTGAAGTGGAACAAATAATAAAGTGTAGTTGAAGCACGCAGAGCCAGGTAGAAACGTCAGGCCATGAAAACATTGTTCTACGATATTTTTTGTGTTCGATGAGAGCAAGAGTGGCACGCATACGCATGTCAAGAACCTTGTCGGTGATTTTTTTTCCTCCAAGCATGGTGATGTTCTTGTGATTCGAGAGGAGAGTTAGAAGTCGGTCGCACCACGGATCCTATTTGTGTCATTGCCTTTTTTGCCTTCTGTCTGTCAACTGATCTCTTGCCCATACAGCACGTCGCATCAAAAGCTACCACTTATTGCGGAAATTGAAAAAATAAATCAACCGTTGCAGCCAGAAGTGTGTTGCCCCAACACTCTTGTTTGCCACGTATCACAACAAGTGTGCTTTGTAGTTTTTATCAGCAAACTCTCCAATTGGTATCTTATCTATTGCAACTTTTTGTAGACAGTACTGTATGATTTTTTTGACATAAGGACCCTACCAAGCAAATCCAAGATTTGTCTTCGTGGTTCATCTTCATTGATGTTTTGCAGCACTTGATAGTAGTACCTTTATACAACACCCTTCCTCAGTAGAGCCTAGCTTTTGAAGATCTCTGTAGAACCATATTGACGTTTTGGTTTTCCTTTTCGTTTTTTGTACTCTTCATAAAGCCTTTTCTCACCACAAACTTCACTTTCACCTTTTCTCACCTTCGTCTACCCTCCCTAAATGGAATGCTAAGAAAAGCTACCGCTTCAGCTTCCAGCCATGGATTTTTTGACTCGAAGCCTCTCCACCGCCACCTCGTTTTTGCCACGTCGCAGTAGGTCGGGCCCGGCGCAAACCGGTGCAGCCGTTCACCCGGTTCCCTTCTCAGAAGATCAGAGTGATTCTAGTATCCCACTACACCCCAGACAGCGGTCCGTTCCGATACCCGAGGAGCCCGCCGGTCTTCACGACGAGGACAGCGAGAACGAGCAAGAATTAGAGACGGAACAAAGTATGATCGGTTCGGAAGACAACTCGCAGCAGACGACTGCTGACACGGTCAACGCGAACAACGAGGAACAGAACGAAGACAGAAATGAGTTCAGCTTCAAGAGGAGGGCGTCGAAGAAGACCGCTGATGGGTCCTCCTCGCGGTCGAAAGGTGGAATCGCGCAAGATATTAAGTCGAAACAGAGTAAATCAAAAGGCAAGAACTCTCGGCAATCTGCGTTGCTGAAAGAGCAGAACCGGATCGCGAAAATCCAGCAATGCCTGTACGACAAGAAACAGGACGAAGATCCGATTTTCGCCCTGCTGGTGTCCGACGAGATGCTGCTGAAACACGGCGAGATTCTGGGCGGTTGCCAAGACAACTGCTTGGACGGAAAGGCGATGATTATGGAGTGGATTAACAAGCACAGGCGGTGCGAGTTAGAGCACTGGCACCCGTTTGACCTGGAGGTAGAAATGGTAGATCTGCGCAGGATGGCCCGGATGTTCTCATATGAGAAACTCATGCAAGCTTATTTTCCGTCAAATGAGGAAAACGCAATCGGGTTAGATGGGCAACCACTGACCGCGGCGGAGAAATTGAGGATGACGAGGGAAAAACAGACCATCGTCCGCAGGTTATTGTCCAAAAACGCCTCGGAATTTGCGGTCGCCACGAACTTTTTCAGAAATGAGAGCTCTACTGCCGAGAAAAAGAATTCTGAGGTGGATAAAAAGGAAGAAAACCAACTCATGAAGCAAGAGCAGCACAAAAAGCTCGGAGATCTCGTGCTCCAAGGTTCCTGGCAGGCGTCGGATGAGGACGGAGTAGCGTTTCTCTTCACGCTGAATCTAACCGTGTTGCAGGTCGGGATCCAAAATCCGAAAACGAGCATCGTAGAGGAGATCGACCTCACTCGGGAAGAGCTTGATGACCGCGTGCAGCAAAAATTGGCCGAGATGCACACGAAATACACGAAGCTAAGGCAACAGAAGGAATTGGAAGAAGCGGAAACCGAGGCGGAGCGAGCGAGTCGGAAGGAAAGAGGGCAAAAAGAAACTACTACCGAAGGAGGGGACTCCAGGAATAACTCGAAGGATTCGGCAACAAACATCGCCTACCTGAATCAGAAGGAAAAGGAGAAAGGCAACAAAACTGGCGGGAAAACATCAACAACTACTAATACTAAGCCGCTCTACCCAAGCCAAACGTCGAACTTGATCGATGGCACAATCGAATGGCATCTGGTGTACACGAAAAACCCGAAGGACCCGACTTACGGGAAGCGGCTGCACAGGACGTACCGGAAATATCTGGATCAGCACGTGGGATGCACGGCGGTGGAAAGAGTGCGAGGGATGCAGCAGGGGGGATGCTTCTACCTTTCCGGGTACCGCGTAGTCGATCCCTTCGTGAAACAGGTGCCCCATGGGGGAGGGCAGAACATGGACCAGGATGCACTCTCGTTGGTTCAGGTATGTAGTAAATGAGATTTAGATTTTTTGTGCGATGGATGGTGCCATCGCTTTGTTGCAGCATGGATGTTTGTAGCAGTTCTACTTGGAGGTGCGATAGCTGTAGCAGAGAGGTCTGTAGCAAAGAGGTTCTACTTGCACAAGGAATTTGTGTTGCTTGTACACATCATGTCTGTGTTGAATCCCACTTTAAAATCTCCAGGTCGACCAATACGTGATCAAATGGGATCCGGACGCGAAGAAATTTCGCGGCGTTTCCCGGAACATGCATGGCTGTCCGGACGTTCGTCACTGGGCCGCGCACATGATTTTCAACCCCGACATTGCCTATGTGTCGCCCCGTTTCCACCCCTTTTTCCCCAATATGGAGTTCCCCGCGGTGGCCAAGCAAACGGGGCTTTTCGGCATAAACACCAACGGTGCGAGCGGCTGCTCTGCGGATCAGCAGGGTAGGCATCATCTTCCGTCCTCTCTCTGCACGCAGCGGACCTCCAGCAACGAGTCCCTCTTCGAGCACAGCTACGAATACAATTCGACGGCTTTTAGTCCGTTGCTCAGGAAGCACAACGACAGCGGATACCTGAAGGCGAGAAAGATCCACAAGTTCGTCTCGGGAATCCACTCGGCGCCCGGGATTGCGGGCCGCAAGGACAGCGTGGGGAAGGGCGATTCAAATTACAATAGCGTAGACGTTGTAAAAAAAGCAGCAACCGGCATTGGTGTTTCTAGTACTGAGGAAGGCGAGCTTTCCTCGAGTAGATCGTCCGACGAGGAGCAGGCCTACGACTCGGAGACCGAGCCAGACAATTTCAATAATGGGCAGCCCATAGACGCGGCCGACGATTCCGCGGGTCTGACTTGCGGCCGCGTGATCGCGAACGACGCGATCGCGGCTGACCAGAACGGCATTTCCACACTTCCCACGAGAGGCATAAATATCACGAACAGCAACGGAACATTGCACGCCCGGTCGCAGACCCACGAGGGGACGATAACGAGGATACGTGCGGCAGGCTCGAGCTCTGTGAACGATCCGCCGCCAACGACGCTATTGGAGTTTCTAGAGGGCGCAGACGATAAGTACGATCAGCCGGCGAACATCAAACCGGAGGGAGCCGAACAGGGGAATTCTCTCGCTCCGGTCGTGGAAGTGAGCTGCTGCTCAATTTGCCTGGAACCGTTTCAAGATCGGGTCACGTGTCCCTGCGGCCACCAGTACTGCGCGGAATGCTTGACGGAGACCATGCGAACGCAGCCGCCACGAGACTCGGGGGCCTGCCCGCTCTGCCGCCAGGTCGTCACCATGGTATCGCTGATGCGGGACGACGGCCAGCCGTTCTGCGGTGGGGGGCATTTCAGGTGAGAGAGGATGGTGATTTTTGTATTTGTATCAATTTGGAGTAGAGCGTTAGTATCATTTGTAAAGCTACGTATCTATGTGTAGAAGTAGAGGTCTGAATGATCTCAGGAGAGTACAGTAAATTTTGAGTCCGCATTAACATTACGGTATTTGTGCTCGGTACAGCGCTTTACGTATTTTTTGGAAATGAACCGTATAGAGCTTAGTTAGTTAACTAAAACCTTCAGCACCTAACGCATGACAAGCCGTGTACGAAAGTTTCTTCACCTAGGTATTCGTATTCAACACACTCTGTATGATTGTTTCTTCGTGGGAGCGCTATGCTTGAGTCGAACCATAGCGCACCTTAGCAAGTAGTTTTCTACCATCTATCTTTTTGCGCATCGTGTCAAGAAAGTGTTGCCACTTCACCAGCCATCCAAGATGGTTTACGCGAGATCACCGAATAGTTCGTGTCTAGTAAGGTAAGTAGGCAGTACCAGGATTTTCTTCATGAGTCGGAGAAATCGAGCCTGTTGCTGCACCTCAAGGAGACACAGCATCACCTTTTGGAGGTTTCTCTCCTGCTTTCTGAAGCAGCTATGGACTTCTAAATGTTGTGAGCCAGTTTTATCAATGCCCCAGAAATTAGATTGAGTACCAAAGCCTTGTGGCCGTTCACGAACCCCAGGCGAATTTCGCTTGTCTGCTGGAACATCGTCAGCGACTTTTGTTCGTGCTCGCCGTGTCAGCGGTGTGTCCAATGCGGTTGTCATAATTGCTGTATGTGCATGCGACCTGCTCTAGCGCGATGCCCACCCGTGCAATGAAGTCGCGGCGGCGGCCCAGGAATACGGAGAAAAAAGCGACGCGGTTTCTCATCGAGGGAACTGCTGCGGGGCTTTGACCTCCTGGGGGGTGGTGCGTTTCATCCATTGCCGGCAAGGGCGACAAGGCCGGGCCCTCGGTCTCCGCCCAGGCTTACGCGCTCGCTCCGAGCGCTTCGGCGCGCCCCGGCCGGCCCCCTCCGGCCTTGGGCGCCGTATTTTCCGGGCGGGCTTTTAGTTATGAGGGCGGAGAGAGGATTCGCCCTGTTCCTGCCCATAGATGTTGCCGAGGCCCCAGGCAGCACGCAGCCCCATCTATCAGGCCCGACCGTCGTACAGGATTTGCCCCGGAAGCTGGCGGAGGTGTGTCAGCACATGCTGACGCGCAGGATTCCAGGTCGCAAACCCCGGCGGCGCCCCCGCTCTGCGGATGGGGTTTGCGAGGCAGCGAAATGCTGCGCGTTTGTTAGTTATTGAAAACCGACGCCACTGCCGCTGGTCGCTGCCGGGGGCGCAACGGGGTCCACGCGCGCGGCCGCGGCCGGCGGAAATCACGGCCCGAAGGGAGGAGGCGGCGCGCCTTTTTCCCGGCGACTGCACTGCCTGGGGCATTCGGGGTTTGTGTGGTGCCTCTGCGGACGACGGCGGGCCCGCCTGGGTGGCTTGCAGTCCCCCCGCCGGCCGCGTGGGCTTTGGGCCTGCCTCTGCCACGTTGCCCCAGAAGCCGCTGCCGGATCTACGCTGCGACCGCGCGCCGACGCACTGAGTGACTGGAGAGGTGAGCACAGAGGGGCGGGGGGGGGCCAAAGCGGGCACCTTGCGGGGGCGCGGGCGTTAGCTTCTCGCTGCGCCCTTCAGCCTACACCTGAACCCCAAGCATAACGCCTCCAACACCCGCGCGGCTTTGGAAAAGTTGCGGAGCAAGTGCAGCCAGGGCCTGCCAGGCGAGACGCTTGCGCAGTTGTCTGCTTGGTACGCGAGGAGCTACCTCAGCAACCCCCTCTACGGGCATGGCGCCTGCGGGCCGCGGAGGGCCGCGCGCCTGGGAACCGTCTCCGTGGGCCCATTGCCGTAGTGCGCGCGCTCCCGTCCCCCCCCCCCGTGTGTGTCCTGCCCCCCTTCGGGCCCGCGCGTTTCGGCGCCCCCCGGCCCCCCCGGCCGTGCGGGTCTTGGTTCGTTTCCCTGGGGCCTCTGTGCGCATTGTAGCATGGGCCGAAAGTGAGGGGCTCTGTGGGATTTCGGTTGCAGGTCGCCGCCCGGGCCCGCCGCCCCGGCGTGCGCGGGGCGGGCGCGGGCGCGGCCGGCAGGCTGCCGTGCGGCGGCGCAGTGAGTGTGTTTCTGCAGAATTTTGACACATCCGCGTCGCTTGCCGGGCGAGCCCCGATCGTTGTGGCCGCAATGCGTATTCTGGCTCGCGCAGACTCACACTCACAGTGCAAGAAATCGCGGCGCCCGTATTTCCATTGTGTGGCCTTAGCGTATTTGTGTTAGTTTCTATTTCGCGTCGTCTTGAGGCGTAGAAGCGACAAGGAGGCGCGCCTGTTCCTTCTTTGCACGGTAGCCTTGTTTTGAGTGTGGCATCTGCAATGGCGGCGCAAGGTTTTCGAGCAGCGTTCTTTCTCGTGAGTGACAGAGCAGAGCATACATCCAGCCATTGTTCTTGACAGGAGTTGAAGATCGACGGCATCGAATGACAGGCACTAAGTAGATAATATAATAGATTGCTGCGTGAATTTGCAACTACAACTCCACAATGGTTGTCCCTCGCTCCTCTTCCAACTCTTCGACCTCGAGTTCCAGTTCGAGCTCTTCGAGCAGGAACAAGGCCCGGCTGGTCTGGTTCCCCGTCCGCGAAGACATAAGTCGTTCTCAGCACCACGACCCGTCCTTTGCCGCAGTTGCTTACTACCACGCAGGGCAAGTACTTGGTGAAGATGCGACTACGTTTACCATCCGCCCGCTTGCTGTCCCAGGGAACGAAGGTGCGTCATCCTCAAAATCGACGTCGCGTGCGGTGAGCCCTCGTCATCTGCACGAGCTGATGGTGCTCGCGAAGCACGAGGTGGTCGACCCGCAAACTGCTGCTTGTAGCAGGACTGGTACAGTTGATCCAGCAGCGGACTGCTTTGCCAGTCCGGTTCTGTGCAGCCTGAACCTTCTGCAGCGGCACGCACAGGGATTGGTGTTCACAGTCTTGCGACCACCAGGCGGCCTGCGCGGAAACAAGCCGCGCGAATCTGATGCAAAAAGCCTGCTGATCCTGAATCCGTGGCGGCGAAATTCACATTTGAAAAAGCACGCCGGGGGTGCAACTTCTGTTGATGATGTGGCGAGCTCCGAGCTCGCCGCTTACAGGTCCATGATGAGCCACGCTTATGGGGACAAGATTGGAAGAGCGTATGTGGCAGAGTTTGCGAGGAAACAGAAAAAGAGACAGTCCGAAGGGATTCCAGCCTCCGGCGTTAATACCAGCGGCGACGGAGAACAAAGGCAGCAACTTCCGGAGCACTTGTTCCAATTTTTGTTGAACGCCTCGTCGCCTTCTTCTCTTCCGCAACCGGGCCTAGGCCATGGTGCTTCTGTGGTGAAATTTTACATAGCCGGCACAAGTGACGATAAGTGGGGGAAGATGTCGGCGCTGCAACAAGCATTCCTGCTCTTGACGCAAACCGACAGGACCATGCAGGACGAGACTTCACCAGCACCCGACGAGTTTTCCGAAACCATCAAACTCCTCGCGGAGCTGCTTTTTCACGGGGCGAGTTGTCCCTTGTGGTCCTTCTGCCCGCCGAGGGTGACGATCACCAAAGATCACTCTCGTGACGCGGTGAGATCTATCGAGCTGCACATTCCAGTGGCCACGAAGATGCAATGTGAAGAAGAGGAGGGAGATGATGGTGTTCAAGCTCAAGCTGGTGACGCAGGTCAAGGAAAAAATGAAGAAACCACGGGTCGTTGCCTCCCTTCGCTCCACACATTGCCAGCTGCTATCCGAGCTCTCGTCGACCACCTTCAGCTGCCCATTCTCATCGATTTCGAGGACGAAACGCAATCCGTGTCGCAACTCACAACCAGGATCATCATGGGCGTGAATGCCAAGCTTGCTTCGGTATTTGCAAGGAGGTCTAAAGAAATGGAGGGCGATTCGGATTTAGCATACGAGTACGACACCGATGGGCAACAGATCGTTCAGCTGGCTACGATGCCCAACAGCCGCGGCATGCTTTCCACTACATCATCTCCGCGCGCCGCTGCAAATTATAGTTCCCAAAACGACTTCAAGCGGTTCCTTCGCGACGTGGTCAGTTTCTGGGATTTTCGGACCCATTTTCCGAAATTCCAGCTTCCGGTCGACTTCTGGCAGCTCTGCGGGGCGCTGTACCAAACGACTAGCAAGGAAGAGTTGGTGTCCTCGGGTTGTTTGGACGACTTGTGCCAGGTGGACTTGGAGAATGTCGATCAATTGCTCCTGCAGTTGCCGATGCCATGGGTCGTACTAGTGCCTACTGATTCTTCGCAGGACAAACCACGCGGACAATCACTATCACACGACGAAACCGCGATCGCCACGTACCGCATTTCGAACGAGCACTGGTTTTCACTGGAAGCGAAACAAGCGCTCGAAAAGATGGAAGTTCTTCTGGAGGAGGAGTTTCAACAACAGCCAGTACCAAATGCTGGCGCAAACTTTTTCCTGATTGCGTGCGTGTCTAGCAATGCAGAGGAGCAGGCACACAAGTTCGATCCGACGTTTGTCGAGAGGCAGCTCGAGATTCTCCAAGTGCCGCATGATTTGGTGTTGACACCTTCAACGTCTTCAGCTACGACAGCCGTAGGGGGCACGCCGTCAGACAACTCTCCCGACTGGTTTGTCTTCCGGAAACAGGATTTCCTACACTTACAGCAAGTCGTACCGCTGTCCTCGGTAAGGGACCAAAATCAAAACTGTCAAGAGCGCCACGACCTTCATGGGGAACTGCCCGGTGATGTAGAAACGGTGAACCTGATCGTGCAAAACAAGCTTCCGGTTAGTTCGTCATGTCTAGCCAGGACAACTGACGGGGCAGAAGATCCCGGAGTGCACGACGAGGAGCGGTGGCGGGTGTTTCAGAAGTGGTTTCCCGGCTGGACGGATCCGACGGAGAAATTTGTGTACGCAAACCAGCAACTGTTGGAGACGCTGGCGAGGTTGCCGGATGTGGTTGGTCCGATAGAAGGCGCTGGAGATGTGCAGTACATAGCGGAGGAAGTAGTGGGGGACGAGCAGGAACGGGAACTACAGCAACAGGACCAGCAAGATGACAACTTCTGCAAGAATTTCTCTGCTGGAGCAGAATTATGTGCAGCAGCAGGACCTGAGGAACTAGGAGTAGGAGACGACCCCGTCGTGGTTGAGATGAGGCCTGTTGGTGCAGCTTCAGCGGACTTCTACACTCCTGCGCAGGATGAAATGGAAGTTGAATTTCAAGATAACATTCCCACGGACTATGCAAACGCTGCTGCGTCGTGGGGGCGAGAGCACGAGCAGATGCAGAACAGCCCAACTACGACCAGCAATCTGCGGGCCTTCACGGAGGTACACGAACAGCAGCAGCAACCGCAGCAGAAAGACAATCTTCTCTCTTCTCAAATTCTCGAAAAGTCATACAACGACTTGCAGCGACAGGCCGAGGAGGTTCTTCGCAAACTGTCCGAGCAAGACGACGAACTGCAGCACGCGGTTAGTGTCGAGAATAGCTTAGAAAGTTTCCACACGTTAGAAAAAGTAGAAAAACAACAACACCGGCTACTTCCGAAATATCAAGTTGATTCGCTGGAAATCAGCGAGGAAAACCGCCGTCGTGAAGCGCAAGTCTACCACGGAAATAGACCAAGACCCCGCCACGGATCCACACTCTCTCACTCGTCGCTCTCTCGTTCGAGAACGCCGTCGCCCGAGAAGATGAGAGTGGATTACCTACGGGAGTCACATCAAAGCGATCTGAGCGGTGACGCTGCTCGTCTGTCGCGGAGCGCAAGTTTGAGACGGCGTGATGGTCAAAGCGAAGCGTCAGCAAGAACTGCTGATTATGCCGGATCATCATCATCTTCTCAACTGAGCAGCAAGAACAAAACGCCACCGCGCAGGAAGAAACCGTCCGGGCAGGGAAAGCTGAAGCTCACCCCGCCAGGAGGAGGTGCAGCGAGTGGAAATGGGACGACGAATTTCATGTCCGCCAGAAGCTCGACCGCGTCCGGCCTGATGCCGTGTCACCGGAATAAGATTGCAGCTGCTTCGAAAAATAAAGCAGCTACGGCTCGTTCAGCTGTAGGGGCGAAAAGGGACGAAAGTACAGAGCCGGGGGAGGATGATCAACGAGAGAAGGAGTTTCCGCAATCTCCGGTTCGTGTAACGCGGAGAGGGCGCGTCAATTCACCCGCGAAACTCACCGCCACAACTTTGAAGGCGGAAGAGATTTTCGGAGAACAGGGAAGAGCGCAGGAAGATAATCAGGAAGCCTACGACTGTGATAGAGTCGGGGTTGCAAGAAGGGGAAAAACTACATTTTCCACCGACGTTGTAGCTGCTGCTTCGAGTTCGCTTGTGATTGAAGAGGACCAGCAGCAAGGGCTCCCACGTGGTCTTCCAGGTGCACGCGCAGAAGACTTGTTCTACTCCACGGTCAAAGCCCCGGGTGTGAAGAGCGGAAAGAACGCTGATGTGGTGGAGGAGAAGTATTACAACACTGCGAAAGATCAATCCCGAACAGGCCACGGTGCTAACAACAGCCGGGAGATGACCCAAGCGCCATCAGATATCGCATCTACAACCACTCTGCCTGTAGGAAGAGGAACCACCCAAGAATTACACCGCAGTACACCTAGTTCCTCAACAGTCGTTCCATTGTTTTACGGCGCCGTCTCTCCGCCTGACGCTTCCTTCACTGGTGACACGGGCGGGAGCGCAGCTGCGCCGGCTGAAACTGCAGCTGTTTCTCCCTCTGCGGTGACGTCTAGTAGTGCTACTGCTTTCAACGCCACAGCAACCGCCGCTACAGCAGAACACGGGCTTAGCGGGCAAAGATCCTTTCCAGCGGGTTCTGCTTCGAAAACGTCGAGCCAAAATAGTTCCACATCTACGTCGTCTTCTTCGTCCTCAAAAATGCAACCAGATCACTCCAACTCCTTGCGTGGCAGCGCGAATTCGGACCAGCCTTGGTACTTTTCGCAGAAGATCCTGGGCGGAATGGGTAGCAGTTCAAGCATTGACTCGTTGACCACAGGAGCCGTGTCGTGCCAGACGGTGGCGCAGAGTCTCTCTAGTCGACAACCGACTACGTCGCTCGTTGACACGGCGAAGAACTTGGTTGCTTCTCACGAGATGAATGAAAATGATCAACAGAATAAACACGCAGTACAAAAACCGGTTGACTTGCTAAACCAATCTGCAACCTACGGCACCGGCGCCATGGACTTTTTGATGACCAGCACGACGTCGCACAGCGAAAGCACGAAAGTGCCGCACTCCGCTTGCAGTTCAAATACTTTGGAGGATTCCGTCCAGCGGCATCACATGCAGCTCTCGACGGAGAGATCGAAGAAAAATGAAGAGCCTCAGCATACCTCCAGCGGCCAGCAGGGCGGTGCGCACAACTTCGCGCTACAAGGCTCGCCTGTTCCCTGTTCTTCGGAGAAGACGTTCCTCGGGACAAATCAAAACACACCGGATACAGATCTAGGAGCGATGAATTTTTTCGCGGCGAATGATAGTAACGGAGCATCATGCAACTCATCAGCGGAAAAAGGAAAAACGCACAATAATTTTCTGCAAGGGAGGACGCAGCAGAGTTTCAGCTCTTCCCCAGGCTTAGTGAATGTGAATATCAACTTTGACGAAGAGGAATTGTTGCACGAGCTGCAGAAGACAAAAATGAAAACCGTACCTGTGCCGGTGGTGGTAGCAGGAGGAGGTGGGGAAACCACACCAGCCACTAGTACCGCCGGGAACAAGACAAGGACCAATACATTATCGGACATGCAGCAATGCGGAGGTACTGGCACGAAGAACTACAACCCCACCACCTCTGGTTCAGATTCAGAAGACGTTGAGAGTCTGATCCGAAACCTGCCCCGAATGATGTGCGAGCAGGGGGATGATTTTGAACCTTCGGAAAGCAGACTGAAAGAGGTCCTGGAACAAGACGAGATCTTGCTCGAGCCGCTTGGTCGTGATGATCAGCATTTCAACAATGGTGATGTGGGCGCAGGAGGGCAACAAGAAGCGAATGAAAATGACGGCATTCAACATGTAGTTCTTTCTTCCTCCGGAACACCACTGGAGCAAATTCCGGAAGGAGACGAGGAAGTAGAGGGGGAGGACGCAATGTCTGGCGGCGCTGGTGGCGGGTATCTGCAAGACGTGAACGAGACAGAAGTGACAAATTTGGTGATGGAGGAGGAGTGCAACACCGACGTCCAAAGAAGTTGTTCTGTGGCACGGGAGAAAAGTGTTGCTTCCGACGAGAAATTGGTTCTGGTCTTGAAACCGTTCGTGGAACAAAAGGAAGAGATTGGAGAGACCAGAAGTAGTTTTAGAAGCAGCGATTTTATTCCAGTGCCTCGTGCAGGAGCAGGACCCATGGCACCACTACCACCTTTGGAATCTTCGGTAACCGGCGCTGCCACAGCTGATGTTGACGATGGCCAGAGCATTGTGAATGAGCACCAGGACGACCAGCGAGTGAACGGCGAATACGTTGCCTCGCGTTTGAGCTCGGACACTGTTACTGCAGCAGAACCTCAAGATATGCCTTCCGAGCAAGACCGAACACCTCAAGAACTGCGACCGTCGTGCTGGTCTGAGGTAAGCAGTCGGCTGTTGAAAAACAACCGCTTAGCGCTGTCTCTAGACGAAACAACGTCGATTAGTGCCAGCCACGGGCGGCGTCCTCTTCAAGCACCACAAGCAGGCCGTCACCCACAGGCGCCTGCAGAACAGCCTCCGCAATTCTTTTCCGAGGAGACCGGGAGGACGATCACGAGGCGCTCGCGGTCCCTCGGTAGTTCTTTCTACAGCGGGTCATCTGCGAGGAGGGGAAGCAATCCCAGCTACTTGTTTCCTTCTGCGACTCTGCCTCTTGCTCGCGAGCGCAGTTTTTCTTGTAACGATAGCCGAATCGAGGTTGTGTCAGCCTCTCCCGGAGAATTCTCGGAGTCGAATCTTCTGACCCCTTTTGAACTCATCGAAGACGATTCTTTATTTTTTGTCGACGAAGCGGAAGAGGCGATTTTGCACCCGTTCCCCAGAACTCTGAAATTCCGGATCCGCCGGCACCAGGAGCAGCTGCATGGTGCAAGATCTTTTTCAGAGCAGGACGGCAGGGATAGCATCCATAGTCTTCGGGGTCGCACAACAAGAGGACGGAGTAGGCTGGTGCCCGCGAGTAAAGTCAAACCTTTGTATGACGAGTTCGGATTCGCGTCGCATTGGTTTTCATCTTCATCTCCTGACGGCGCTGGAAACAAGTCTCTTAGAAGTTGCGACCACCGAGATCAAGAAACAAGCGTCTCTAGTGGTAGACAAGTAGACCTCCCATTTCGTCTTGTACACGGGCAACAGACTCGTCGTCCCCCACGCCAGGGCCCGCAGCCTATCAGTGTAGAAGTGGATGATCAGGAACTCGACCACAGTCGGAATTCGTCCCGAGCAGAAGCCCATGCTGAACTCTTCTTGCAACACCTGCCCTCTCCCAGTCGGGGTAGTGGGAGTGGAGCCGTCGGAGCGAATAACCACAAGACTCTCCGCCACCGGTCCTGTTTGTTCTCGAGGAAGTGGAGCGACCGGGCCGCGAGAGTGACAGGACCTCCCCGGGGAAGCGCAACAACGAAGACATCATCTTCCAGAAATAGCTCTTTCATGATCGACCGGTCGGAATACCAGCGAATCCAAAAGATCCACGAAAGCACGGTCAAGATACAGAGATGGTGGAGTATCACACTGAAAAAAGCTGCGAGCGTGGTAGCCCTGGGTATTTGTATGTAATTCGTAGAAATTGTTGAAAGTGAAAAAAAAACAGTATTTGATGGGCGAGTTACTGGCATGCTGCTTGTGATGAATAATTCTATCATGCATCCATGACATACTTTTTTTCTGTGAGTAGCTTAGGTTAACGAATAGCTAGCTTTTTTCTACTCTGGCATACAGAAAAGCCTGCTCTTACACCGAGAATTTTCCCGGCTTGCGTGCTCAATCCGGCGACGGCAGAGCGAATTGGCTGATCTCTCAACACGCCGCTCGGCGATGGAAATGCTCCGGTGTTTTGCAGTGTGTTTTGGCGAAAGCGTATCATAGAGAAAATTGATATTAGAACAATGGGCTTGCATCTGCTGCTTATTTCGCAGTATGTTTCTTTTTTTGCATTTGATATTTGAATTTGTCTTCGGGCGCTCCAACCCTTCCGCTTCGATGTGGTCAAAAAGAGGTGTACTACATATGTAGACGTCATGTCAACTGGTGACCTCTATGCAAGCGCAATCTGAATGTTCACTTTTCTCTATGATATGCAGGGAGACAGCTGGTGCAGGAAAGCCTTATTTGGGCGACCGAGGTATTGGAGGAAAGCGATGGAAAATGAGAACTCAGTACTACTGTTGAAGCTGATTGTCCTCTATGTCAGTCAGGATGAAGAGAACAAAAACATGACAGTGGAAGCAATCTGAATCTGTCCGAAGAAGAAATCTGCGCCGGAACAAGATGTAGATCATATATAACACGGCGCAAAAAGTTTTTTTTGCGAAGATGTGGTGTTCACCATCAATGCTTCGGTCAAGATCCCGGATCACGCAATGACCCCGCCTAGGAAATCTACTTCATGACATTTTCGTAAAAAAAAAAAATTGAAGTCAGTATGAGAAATGCGGATCCTCTTTCCATTGCCCCCTCACAATTCAGCGGGGAGACGAACAAATTCAAAGTGTTACATGATTACAGCCACTACAAAAGAGAAAGGCGCACTCAAATTCATATAGATCATTTTGATCATGTTGATGATGATGATATTGATCAATGTACTTGGTAGGATCTTCGTTCCGATGCTTATCGAAGTGGTCGTCGCCACAAGAAACATCACCGTCATTTCATTTGATAGGTTCAGGTTAGAAGTTTGCAAGAACAGCAAAAGCTGAAATAAAGCCGAACCCTTGCAGTTGCAGCTCACGCTGGAAACTTGGACTTTTCATGGATGTTTTTTGTTTTGATTTTCAATTTGATTTCGTGTGTAATTGTATGGCCAAAAAGTAATTGCTATTTTTCGCTGCCACTAGTTATAGTTTAAGTTTTAGCAGATGATGTCATGCAATAAGTTTTAAGCTCAAATCAAACCTAGCCTGATTCCATGCAATGTTTCTTGCATGTTTTATGCATGACAAATTGCGAATTTCTATTTTAGCAGATGATGTCGTGTGCTCGACGGGTTGTCTCTGTTTTCGCAGTGGTTGTTTATTATTTGCAGCTTTCTCTGCTGGAGGAAATTCGTATATGGAAATTTATCACTCCGTGCAGCGCAGCCGGTGCCGGGAGCGGCAGCAACAAACCTCCGCGCCCGCCAAGCAATGGCAGCAGCAGCAGCCCGTCCCGAGACAGTAGGGGAACAACTAGTCCTCGCTCGCGCCGTTCTAGATATTCCAGCAGTTCCGGCAGAGCACGAGGCGGCCCTAGCGCGTCGACGTCCGCGAGCGGACGAGGTCGACGTGGGTCCTCGAGAAGTTCGCGTCGAGGACAAGAAGGCCCAGCGACCGGAAACGCACAGGATCTCGCCAAACAACTGCGGTCTTTGGCGCTGCAGAAACGGCGCGGAGAAGAACCGACATCTTCAAACTCTGGCGCCCTTGTAGCAAATACAGCGTCAACAGGTGGCTCGTCGTTGTCGCGCACAAGCTCCGCCGCGCACCGTGTTGCGGACTCGGTAGCGGCTAGTAGCGTCGCCAGCATTCTTTCCATCGAACAAGGTGCTTCATCTATGTCTGCCGAAGTCAAGGAGGACTCCGAAAATGAGTCTGATTTTGAGCTGGACTGTGACATTGAACTTGATCGTACGCGGCCCGAGGCTACATCACGAGATAATAATGCTCAGCCAGCGCAACAAGAGGCTGCGCGTTCCTCTTGCCCTGCCGCAGCAGCGGAAGAAAGGCCCCAAGGAAATCAAGGGTGTCAAGAGGAGAAGAAAAAAAAAGGACGTAAATTCTCCTTCGACGTTGTGACTGCCAGAAAAGTACTCGCAAATGCTAAGCGCATGGCCACGGAGGAAACGCAGCGACAGCTGCGGGCACACGGCATTATTTTGCCGGATGCGTTGCTACCTGGAGGAGGTGGTCGTGCCCCGAAAAGCCAATCGGACGATTTCCGACCAGCGCCAAGGTCAGGAACGTCAACACGAAGCGGGCCGCAGCAAGTTATTTTCGGTGGCCTCTTTAATCGGAGTAAAACGACAAAAAAGGCGAAGAAGCCCGCTTCACCTCCCCCTCCGAAAGGCGATGACCCTCCCAGCAGTGACGGCGACCCAGTGGCGGGCACGCCCCTGCCTATCTTTCCGATCGTGCGCGGTAGTTTTTTGGTCAAGGACTATGTCTCAAAACGCCCGATCGCCGTGGTGACAAACGAAAACACCCGTGAAGCGCTGGAAAATCTCGAGGCGTGGAAGAAGAAGTATCTGAAACGGCAGCACGCAACCCACAAGGTCTTCTTCACGGAACGTCTGCAGCGTCTTGTGAACAAGTACTGGAACGGGAAAAACTTGGCCGCGCCGAAGTCCTTGGACTTGGCCCGGATGCTCCCGACCGTTGTGGTCGCTGACAGGAACAGAGGCTCGCGGTATGCGACCAGCGGGCTGGTCACCGGAGAAGACCTATCTTTCGCGGTAAACGATATTTTAGACCAAGATGTTGTGACGGAGATGGTGTTGGAAGACGAAACAGTACTACAGTTCATCCGCGAAGAGAAAGAGAAGCAGAACTTGTTATTTCAAACCTACCAGCAGGTGGAGGACGAGAAATGGAAACTTCGGCCGCAAGCGGACGACGAATTCCGGCTGGAAAACGGCGTGCACGCGTGGCGCTTTGGCACGCTCTTCGATCTGGGTTTGCCGAAGGCGAGCGATTATGTTGAAATGTCAGCGAATGAGGTGGGAGTTGATGCCGAACAAGCATATGAGAGATGGCAAAGGTTGAAAAATCGGCTGCGCCACCCAGTCCAACAGGCGAATGACAGCGAGGCTTATTTTTTTGGTTATCCCACGGGGCTGGTAACTCTTCCAGACGTGTTTTTGGCCGCGCGGGCGACGAAGGAGCGGCAGCTTCTGAGGACTGCAAGTTTTTCATCTGCCATGATTCCAGGAGGATCTGCTTCATCTGGAGTAGATCATCTCCAATCCCCGGTGGCAAGTGGAAGCGGAGGTGCGACCACGTCCTACGACGGCACAACCGCTGCTTATTTTGCAACTGGTGCAATTACAAATAACGAGGATTTTTACATCATGTCGACGTCGGCCTCCGCATGCGATCCAGCCCTACAGGAAGTTGCATCGTCCCGCTCGTCTCTGGTTCAAGATAAAACCATTGTCACGGAAGTGCTCGCTCTCACAACCTCCACGTCTCATCGGCACCTGTATCGAGATGCAAGCGAAGATATTGATCAACACGAGCTTGCTCCCGCCATTGCCAGCACTGACCCGCATTCCTACGAGGGAATCTTTTACACGAAACTCTGCAACTGGCTGCATCACTTACTCGTGACCGGGTGGATATTCGTTCCCGATCCCGAGGATGAAAATAACCGGGCGGTCAAACAGTGGCATCCGTTCCACCTCGCCGTTCAAGCGCTTTTCCAAACGGACGAGGAGACCCGGCGATTTCAGGGCGGCGACCGACAGATGCTGCGCGAACCGTGGTTGGATGATGATGGGAACCTCGACGTGGGTATCTACTTCCCGACTGCCTGCAAAAGGCTTTTGCAACAGATGTGGGAAAATTTGGATCAAATGGTGTACACGTTCAACTTTCCCAAGCTGGCGAAGAGCTTTTTAGTGGACGAGGACACATATCACGCTGTGCTTTTGAAGACGTCGGAAGCCGCTTCAACATCTACTGAAGATCATGTCGTTGTTGCCAAGAAAAATGTTGACTCTCTGTTGCGAAGGAGTAGAAATAGAAAATTAGGATATCAGCTGCACGGTGGTCAACAAGGCGTAGAAAAAAGCGAAAAACCCCCAGAAGCTGCAGATGAAGCACGTACAAGAACTCTAGCACTAGCTGAGCAAGAAGTAACCGACGACGACGTCTGCCCTTTTGTCTTGTACGGCACCAGCATGGGCGAAATGGACCGCTTTAACGAAGAATTGCAGGAGAGGAGCAGCAGCTGTGGCGCAGTAGCCGGCGCTTCCACTCCTCATGTGGGACAAGCCAAGTATGCTGCTGCAACAACGACTACCTCTACCGGCGGAGCGACAGGAAGCAGTGGAGCAGCTCCCACCGTGGACTTAATAGAGCCGTTGCGGGAAGCTTACTTCCGCAACTCCGTTTCGACATCGGGTGCAGCTCGGACTGCCGCAGAAAGCCCTGCTAGACGCCGGGGGTCCACTGCTCTATTTGGGAGACATTCCGTGAAGAAGAGCACCAAATTTCCGAGACCAGTGCAGCGGCAGAGTACTAGCGAAGGGCACGGGGAGGAGGGTGCTGCAGGGGCGACTACTGCCTCTCCTGCTGCTGATGAATCGCATAGTACCCGGGGGGTGGACGAAGTACAATTAGGTGCTGCGGTGCAGCAGGATAAAGAGCTGCGAGATGATGTTCTTGCTCAGGAACAAAATCAGGAGGACCTAGCACCACGGAAGAGGTTGGAGATTTCGTTCGACGATGCTCAACACCGCGAGGCCTTTCGCGACAGATTTCCTCGCTCGGAGATTGCTGACCTGGGGTACGATTGGGAACGAGACATCGTCAAGAGCACACGAGATAAATCCCTCTTTTGGGAGAAGGAGCTCCTGGGTGCCAGTTTTTCTCCGGACCTTGCCCGAGCTTCGAGGCCGAAGTCCATGCGGCTGACTAGGTTGAGGAGAACCGATGCAGATCCAGACTTTCGCGGAAACCTGGCCTCAAATAATGTCGTGCACCAGTACGCAAAGACGGTTTTCAACAAGTGGCTGCCCGCTGCGGCGTGCCCAAGTATGACCGCGTTTCAGAAAAAGCTACGCGACGCGCGCAAAGAGCTGGACGAGGTTGTGGTTTTAGACTTCATGGCGCACTATCGATCCATCCTGTTCTCCCGCCGCAAAGACGACTGCGAACGAATTCTGTTCGGCAAGGAAAGGAGGCACAAGGGAGGAGCATCTGCAGAGAAAAAAGAGCACAGCGGCAACGTAGAAAACCGGTTTTGCGACTTCGAGAGTGAACACCTCTGGCAGTGGAGTGTCGTACTCTACTGGGATTGGAACCCGTATGGGACGGTCACGTGGGAAATCGTCCAAATAGAGAGAAATTCTGTGCATGATAAAGAAAATATAGATGAAAATCGATACCAGGATGGAGGTCCTCGTACCCACTATTTCGAAGCGGCGTGTCACACACCTCTCTGATGTCTCGCGTGATTGAAGCTTTTTATATAAATATACTACGTCGCGCTGTTTCATCGCGCAATAACACAACTGCACCCTAGCAAGCGGCTCACCGTCACCGATTCTGTTGGCATTTGAAAAAGTAAAAGCCTGAACTCGGTCATTTTGCATCATGGTCAGCACAGCATTTTTTTGTCAGCCAAAGATAGAAAATGCCTGACCTAGAAATGTACCTTTCCCATCGACGATTTCCCACCTGGCACCGTCATATTATGGAAGAACCAGGAACCCCGGGTCCGTTGACTCAAGTGTTACTTATCCGGGTCGAAAACACGCGCGGCAGTAGCAGAAGCGGGCCGAATGAAAGCCTTATGTTCTACTGAAATGAGAATGAGAATGACTCGATGTAAAAGTGAGTATAAGTCAGCATTCGACGAAAGGGGGTCTCGATCTGCGTGACTGGGCTTACCGATTTCCTGACGAGCAAGAGAAGCTCTCTGATGGAAAGTAGATGGCCGTAAGCAGTTTCTGTTGCTGTCGTGACACTACTGCTGTTGGCAAACGTGTATGATTTGCTTTTGTTTTTTTTCATCCTACTTTATCACCGTAATACGTCCTGGTCCAGTTCATTAAATTCTTCCACATTCACATTCGCCAGGACGAAAATCAATATTGTAGAATTTTTATTGCCCCCTACGCCTAACAACCGCAAGCGCCAGGAGTAGGAGAGGGAGATGACAGCAGCAGCGTGTAGAAGACACCACGTCGCTGTGTGTTTTTTTACCCTGAAGATGGCGCTAACGCTATAAATATGTCCGACGGAAACAGTGATGATGATTATGATACATTGACCGCGATCGGTGATAGAATTTTTCTGGGCCTGAACACCAGAGTTGAAAGACGCTGCTCAGGCCTCAGTAGGACCTGGACCTGCCGCGGAAGTGTCATTCCGTGGCTATTTGATATTTTGTTGAGGTGGCTATTTGATATTTTGTGAGGTTCCAGTGTTTCCAGGTAGAGTTTGCATGCCATCGCCAACCACGCGGTTGCGGCGATGTTGACTTTTAGGACCTGTCAGCTTTCAGGAACCTGTTGGACATGAGGAGGGGCAAGCACAAGAGGCTTGCTTAGGACCTCTGCGATTGATTTAAGTACCAAACAAGGACCATGCAACCAGACTGTACGAAAACAAATGTAAGACGTCATGTTATTTGGCGGGCACGAAACTGCGGTCGAGATCGAGTAAGAAGAAACATCAGTACAGTAGGTGCGCAGATGTTAACAAGATCTACTGTTCACCCAGCACGACTCGGGCAATGAAGATATGTGTGGTTGTCCAGCAGAAGGTTTTTGTTCTATGAGGATGATTTATTTGATAACTTGTTCACTGTTGAACAACTGAAAAGAGCGACCCAGCGGAAAACTTTTCCGGTCAAAAGTCATGCGTCGTCTCTTGTCTGTCGCTTACGAAGTCGTCACGGAAAAAATGTATGTCGATAGCCTGAAGAACCTTGTATGTCGACGTTCTAAAGATGAGGATCCACCTAGATCATTATGATTCATTGGCCGCTTTTATTTTTGTGATGTGTAGTTTACTCTTTTGCCGTTCGGTTAGTTTTGTTGTGACTGAAGATGCATCCTACTGACCGCGATAGTCGTTCCCGTCTTTGAGAGGAGGTTATGTAAAAATTATTCTGCGTGCCCTCTCACTCTCTTGGAAGTAGGCGGCGCCTTTGAAAGATGTTTTTGTCTGCTCATCGATTCTCTTGCTCGCACACAATGCGTTCGATGAGCTGCCCCGTCTTGCTCGTTATTGCCTAAGCGGTGTTACAGGTTTTGTCGGTGTGGCAAGATCTTCGTCCTCGTCTGTGTTTGTTGCTGGCGCGTGTTCGGCTTTTTTCGTCGCATGACTCGTCGCTACTCGTCGCCAATGAAGAAAGATGAAGAAAGACCGGGTGATGTCAGCAAGAAACTCGAGGTCCCTATCTCGGGTTCCTCGCTGGAGCAGTGTGACTGCAGTGCCTGTTCTTGACGACGAAGCAGTGACTGACTATCAATAGCGAAGAGGAAGAAACACCAAGCTTCACTTCTAACCTGCGAAGTCGGGCATGAAACGAAGATAAACGTGATCAAAAGGACTTCGTCGTCGTCCACTTCCGGTGCTGCACTGGACATCCTGCCACTGTGTTGCTGCAGCCGAGCTCCGTCCAGTTCATCCATTGTGCCCAGAACTATGACTTCTCTGCCATCAAGTTCAAATAAACACCCGGCTGGCCAGGCCCGCCCAGTCGATATTCTTCCGCAGGTCGCTGCACGAGAAGCTGCCGCTGCCCAAGCCACAGATAGAAGAGCGAAGACGTTGGAACGAGATAAGAGCCGTGCCGAACAAAGAAGAACTCCAAGGCAAACAGACGAGGAAATAGCTGTGGTGCGGGAGGAAACAAGTAGAATGCAGAAGTCCACTTCTTACGACCGGCAACCTCAAGGTGTTGACAATAGAGATGACCTGGGGTTGCCTGCTACTGCTTCATCCACTTGGAATTCATCAAGCGTGTTGGCGGGCGCAGGGGTGTCTCATGCGGCGATGATTTGTCAGAGCGGGAGCAAGAATGCGCAGGAGCCTGGCAAAGAACAAAAAGCGAAAGCGTCGGAAAACAAGACTGACCCCAGCAGGACGAAAAGTTTGGGCAGTTTTTGCATGCAGCGTGATGCGGCTACACCAGCAAACTCTTGCAGCACCCGCTCCACACAAGGACGACCCGCGCTCGCACTAGTAGAGAAAGCCGAAGAGGAGCATAGAAAAAACAGCGAAGCGAGACGCACTACACACAGCAGTGAACAAGCGGCAAAAATTGAAACAGAAATGGGGGTGGAAACAAGAAACATAACCGATGTTGAAGCAGAAAGAATACCCAACGCCGAGCAGCGCTCCGCTACGTTCAAGTTTCTGACCACGGATAAAGCGAACAAACACGGGAACAATGCGGACAAACAGGAGCTGAAACCCTCTACTCTCGTCCGGGGTCCAGCAGCTACACCAGGTACAAAAACAAAAACAACAATGATACTCTGTATCAAGATGCTCAGGATTTTTTTCCTCTCCCTCTTCTTCCTATACCTCTTCGTAAAGTCCTATGTGCTATTCCTGCCCACAACAGTCCTGAACGGAGCGGGACAAAATAAAACTGGGAATGGCCCAGGAGTTACGTCGTCCGGTAACCTAGCATTTCCATCGATCGCAACAATCATACCATCAATGCTGCAGTTTTTGGTTCAGAAGCCGAAAGTGTACTATCGCAAAAGGGAATTAGGAGAAGAAGGAGTTAATCCTAGATACAACGAAGAGCAGGTGAACGGGGACCACGACCACTTGATCGACGAGAGCAAAACACGGATACTGAAAGCAGGAGACAGCAATTCCGCCGCCCAGCAGCACGCGCAAAACGGAGCTGTTAGTAGTGGCGCAACTTCCACCGCGAATGAGCAAAGCGCCGACATGTGTCCGTGCCCGGCGGCGACCTACCACTGGCACATGCTCCGGAAACGGACGGCGCAGAGCTACGAGTGGCACGGCACGGGCAGGGTCCCGCTGTTCTACGCGAATTTGGATCGAAGTAAGGGGAGGAAAATCCGGATGGACTACGTGCTGGGTGGGGGGACCACCACGGCGTCGCTCAACGGTCAGCAGCAGAATGGCGGTCTTACTGCGTCCACATCTGGAACATCAAGTAGTGTCGCAGGAGGAACATCACCAGAAGCTGCAACATCTTCACCAGTAGCGGAACAAAGCACTGCCGCAAACCAGATTGAGCAGATTCCCTCCTACGGCGCTGCGCCGGTGATGCGCGTGCCGGGACTGGATCAGAGAAATTTGGAGAACTGGGTGCAACACAATCTGTTCACCCCCGACGATATCCTGTGCAAAAGTATCGTGCTCGCAGTAATTGGAATTGCTATCATGCATTACTTCTAGGTAAATCAGCATTACAAATTCCATTCTTCTTCTTGAAAAAATTTGTGATGCAATTTATACTAGTACGATACTTTTGCAATGCATAGACGAGTACCTCAACAAGTACTTCCGGTGCAACATCCCCCGTCGCCCCGGCGAGTTTGGCGCCACCATGTCGCACCTGAAGCAAGTCTGGGCGGCGTACGCCTGGTTCGTCGAGCGCTCCTTTCCGGCGATGAAGGAAAAACTCCGGAAAGAGGTGGCGGACACGCTGGCGGAAAGCAGGCGCGCGGAGCAAGAGTCGGGACTCGCGAACTCCGACCAGCCGACCACACCCCCATTTGAAGACAATTCCAATGTGGATGACGAGAACCTGATGAAAACAACCAAAGAGCGCGCGGCAACTCCAGAGCCGCTCGCGACGAAACTCCCAACAGTCGATTTGGCGCACGAGCGCGGACCGCCAAAAGCGGAGGTCGGCAGTGGCGGGGCCGGCGCAGCAGCAGCAGGAGGTCTTCAACCATCTTCGCCCACTTTATCCGGGGAAGGTGTGGCAGGAGACGCTGGTGGTCAAGGTGCAGAAGGGGCCGGCGCGGGTGCTGCAGCTGCTATGATGTCCTCCGGTCGTACGACCACGGAGCCAGGCTCCTCAGATGTGGGCGGCCCCCGACGTCGCTTAGATGAAAATAACGAGAAGCGAAAACTTGGGAGAGATGAGCAACGGAATTACCACTATTACAACAAAAAACTCCCAACAACCTGGTGGTTCGACGATCCCAAGTACCGCAACGCGCTCGGGGAGCTCGTCGACTGGACACTGCGTATGGACGATAAGGTGTTCTACGGGCATCTGTCCCCCGAAGACCGCAAGTTCGCGGCGATGTTTTTCGAGGACGACACCTCGACCGCGAGCCGGGACATCGGGTGGGGAGAGATCACGGTGACGGACTTTGCGGACGCGCTGGATGTGTACGACGCCAATTGGGAAACCCTGCGTCTAGGTTCCAACAACTGCGACGTGCCGTGGCACGTGAATCTCGGCGCAAAATTGCCCTTCTCCGAGTCGGTTTTCGCCAAGGATAACATCGAGTGCTTCGGCGCGACCTCCTACATGGTCAGCGTCCGCGGGATGCGCCGGCTGTTGAAGCAGTACCTGGTCTCGCAGCACGGCGTGGCCATCGTGGGGCGGGATTTGGAGCGCAAAATGCGGCTGCTGGCCGAAAGCGAGAACAAGCCGAAGGCGCCCCAGATCGGAGACAGCAGCGTAACTATCACGGACGACACCGACGCGCCATGGGAGGCTTGGTATAAAGTTTTTTTCTGAGGTGCACATTGATTGCAAAATTTTTCCATTGTCAAACTCTTACTGCTTGCGCATTTTTTGCTGCAAAATTGTCGTCATTATCATGAGTATAATATTCTTCACGACACAGCCCTAGACCTAGCAACGGCTGACTGAAATATTAAACAGGGGTGAAGACATGCTTGTGATGCAGTACACAGAAGCGGATTGCACCCGAGACGAATTTTGGTGCCACGGGAACATGTATTGTCTGCAAGAAAAGCACCGGCACTATTCGACGCCCGTGAAAGAAGTTTGCGCGGAGAAACTGCGGTCGCTCGAGCGGGAAGTCGCCGATTACAAGGCCAGCTTGAAGAATTTGACGCGTCTGGGCGTCCTGGACAGTGGCACAAAAAAGTCGCTCGAGATGAAGATCACGGTTGCCGACCGCGCGTACCACTGGAACGTGGACCAGTGCGAGCCAACGCGGCGCAAGAAGCAACAGCACTGGTTTTCGTGCGTGGACAAGGTGATCCGGAAAGACCCGCGGGTCTTGCAGTTGAAGCACGACTACAAGTACAGCGTGCCGAAATTCAACATCACCAGCTTCGAGGGGATTTACCCCGTCGCCGACATCTTGATGTTTCAAGAGGCGATCAACAAGGAGCACGGGTACCGCTTGTTGCACAACTACATCTTCGAGTCCATCTTCGAGATCGAGCCGGTTTTGTCCCACGGACACATCCCGACCGCGTTGGATGACCAATTCGCCAAAGCCGGAACGATTTCGACGCTGAAGGCGCGGGAGATGGTCGTGAATTGGATGGTGGATGTCGTAATGGCGCAGGGATTCAACGCCGGCACGGCAGCGGGTCTTCCGCAGGACCGAGCAGGTGGAGCGACAGGAAGTGCAACGGGGGCGACGACCGGCACGGCAGCTGGTGGCGCGCAAAAAAGCAGCACAAACCCGTTCGCTTTCATTTCCAAAACAAAATCCTCCACATCAGACGCGAATCAGCACAGCAAGAACCCGGTAGTTAACATGACGGAGGTCCACACCACTATCCAGGAGTGGAAGTGGCTCTTGAAGCGCGGCGCGCAAAATCTGCACTGGGTCGGGCAAGAGCAATGCGTGTACTACGTAAACCTTGACCGGTCAAAGCGGCGCCGGCGCCGCATGCGGTTGCTGTTGGGAGACAAGGGGAAGCGGGTCCGCGCGCTCGACCATTACGACAGTACACGGTGGGAACTTCTGTCCACTATTCCTACTCCCGACGAGCTGGCCAACAAGAAACCCACCAGGCACAACCGGATTGGCGAACACGCGCTGACGTTAAGTCACCTCTTCGCGGTGTGGATCGGTTTTCTCGACTACGTCGCGCTCTGGCAGCAAACCCCGGGGGGCGGGGGACTCATGGGCGGGGGAATGATGAGTGCGACCAGTGTGAACGAAATCAAGCCGCGGCACTACGGGAAAATGGTCAACGTGGTCGCTTCTGCGGACCAGCGAGCAGCGCCGTCGGCCGCCGAGGTGTACCGGAACGACGTGAATGGATTTGAGAAAAAGGCCAGTAAACCGGCGAAACAGGGGGTCGTTGGGAAACCGGGCGGGAAGGCACTTCTACGGGGGAAAGAAGGAGGGAAAAAGCGACGCGGTCTGCGGCAGTTGGAAGAAGAGCAAAATCTTTCAAAACCCCAGCAGGGCGATGATATTTTTGAGTTCGAGAAGAAGTTTGTGCCCAGCAAGCAAGAGCAGCAACAGAGGAAAGCCTGGATGTCCACACTTGGTGAAAGAATATTCAACAAAACAAATCACAACTCAACCGCAGCTGGTTCATCTCTTGGTTCCAGAACAGCCGTTGTAGCACGGACACCTCGGAATGAAGATCCATCTTTGAAAGCAGTTACCAGCAGTCAAAAAGCCTCCGGGCAACATCTCAGGAAAAAGTACAGTCAAGCGGTAACCAGCGGCACGAAGAACGATAAGGCGGCACACAACAGTACGGTTAACGCAACGACTTCCTCCCTGGTTCCGCAGGCTGTCTACCAGTACGTGATGAAAAACAAAAAGGAATTTCCTGAATTTTTCTCCCTGCTGCAGGACTTGGAACCAGATTTTCTCCATTTGCAAGAAGGTCATGAAGAAATAGTGTCCTCCTCCTCGTCCCAAAATGGTGCTAGTACAACTACAGCTTCAAGTGGTATTAAGTCTGGCTCTACTTCTAACCAAGACTGCGGCCCGTCGGGTTCCGTGGCCGCCAAGAATCTTCGAAAACTGCAAGGTGCGTTCCTTCCAGGCGGCTCCAGCGGCACGGACACCTCCAACGGTGTGGGGGGCGCAAGTCGGTCCGTCTCTTCCTCCGTTTTTCCGCGGGAAACGTACGAGCAGGCGATGCGGATGTTGAAGCTATCGCAGGAAAAAGGTGTTACAGTTACGCATTTGTTGGAGTTTCTGCATCACAAAGTTGCTCGACATGGGAACGAAAACCTGTGATGCGCACACTATAAGGGAAAACACGAATGAAATCATGAGGTTGGCAAGCATTTCCTGCATGACAGAGGTTGTTTGTCTTGCTTGTCTCCCATCAGAGTTTGTAGCTGTGACATGTTTTTCTCACGATAGAAGCAGTCCGACGACGAGTTCGTCAATGATGCGATCCGCAAAAAGCTGCACCAGCACGCCATGACCATCGTCGAGGACGACATTTCCACCGGGGCGCACGACATTGGATACGGAAAGCTCACGTTGTCCGACCTGCGGGACGCCATCTATCGCTACGACGACCAGTGGCAGACCCTCCGCCTCGGGACGAGCAACTGCGACCCGGCCGGCGGCAGCTGGAACGCGAGCTTCGTGCTGTTCGTAGAAGACCGGAACCCGCGGCAGTGCTACGGCGCCGTGGCCTACATGGTGTCGATTTTGGGCATGAAAAAACTCCTGAACACCTTCCTGGTGTCCGTCCACGAACCGCACTCGGCCGAGTATGGCGTTCTCAAACGTTACATTCTCAACTGTTACAGGGATTTGTAATGCAAGAACAGCAATAATGGATATGGAAGTGGCATTATTGCAGCTTTCGCATCACAGATTTTCCACAGATTTAGATGCTGTTTAGCCCTTCGAAAATTTGTCATGCTACCCACCTTGATCAAGTGGAGGCTGATGGCAATTTTGCATGACAAATCCGTGTAACAGTTGAGAATGTAACAGTTGAGAATGCCACACCGAGGGACACACACTGCAGTACGGGCACTTCGAGCCGAAATTTGACCTGACCAGGTTCACCGGAAAGTACCCCGTGGCGGACCTACTCATGTTTTCCAACGAGAACGCGTGGCGCACGCAAACCGCCTTTCTGTTCGAGTCGGTCGTCGAGCCGGATCCGGTGCTCAAGCACGGGCACGTCAAAAAAGACCGCGAGGAGGCCTTGATTCTCGACGGAATCATGAACAGCTACCGGGCGAGAGAGCAGGGGATCGACATGAGGCTGAACGTTTGGAAATAGGTGGCTACACTTTGGTTGTCTACAACGGGAAGAAGTCATTTTTCAGGGTACAAGTAGTTGAAGTTACAGTTAAGCCACTTGGGTATTTCAAAGCACGTTCTTTTTTTCAAACGATCACTTTTATCAAAAATCTACACTCACTACAGTGCTGTCCTGTCCTCGTAGTTTGCGATGTGTAATTTTCTCCATCACTTTTTAAAACTGAATCTACGCATCAGCTGCATCTGCATCAAAGGCACATCGTGGTTGGTTGCATCAGCGCAAAATGCAGTTTAATACTCACTCAAGCAAAAGACTTGTCATGAACGTGCTGTATCTATTTTCCGCCGCCGCATCGGCAGCAACTTGGATTTACCTCGCGAAACTGCATTTCTCTCAATTTTGCATTTTATGATGAGGTAGCAAAAAAAAAGGCAGCGCTCTTCGACACCAGCTGCGGCTTTTGCATCCGGTTTACGAAATCCAGGCCATTGTTCTAGGGCACGTATTTGTATTTTTTCCATGTACCCACTAGCTGTAGGGCTGGGGTACTTCTGGTGGTCCGTCATTTACTCTGTCTGCACTTCCTTTTTTTGTGTGAGAAATTTTCTTTCTTGTGCTGAGATGATGAGTCGAGCGAAGTGGCAAGTGCGAAACAAGTGATTTTGAATGATTGTTTTTCCCGAGACGACGAATAGTGCCTGTGTGTCACTCAGTTTGTGTTGTAGTATTTGTGGTTGTTTCTTTCTCTCTTCTAGAGCTCCAGGAGAAGTCTTGGTCTTCAGTCGTATTGTCCTGGTGGCTCTGTTTCGCACTTTCCACAACCATTTGCTACCACGCAGTCAGTTGAACCCCAACAATGCCCATGCGATTTTGCTCCATAGTTCACGCCCTGTCTAACCCTGAAATTCCCAGAAAAATATAGTTTTGAACACACAAATACGATTTTTGCCCACTTGGTATCAACACAGTTCTGAACTACGACCAGCAAAACGCATATCTTCCTCGCACTTCCGACTTTCTTCCTGTGTCCTCGTTCTGTATGATAGTACAGTGCACGAGACAGGAATAGACTACATCAAGTCGCGGCGATCAACATCAATCGCGGTTCTTGCATCTTCCGCAAGCCGACGTCTTCGGCTGACGCGGAGAAGTCTCTCGAAGTCTGCGAGGTGTCGCCGACGAGGCAGAAGTCTCTATGATGGCCGCAGCTACAAAGGGCAACAAGACCAGGAACACCATGGAGGGTCGCGAGCTGCAAGAAGAGCCCGTGTCCTTCTGGCGACCGAGTCGGAACGGCCTGTTTTCCGTCTACACACATTTTCCTGAGGTACTGATACTGTACGTTGATTTCGTTTTTTCTTTTTTTCGTTTCACCCTATTATTTCTGGTCGTATTACCTACCGCGCGGACTATAAAACGAGACTTCATGTTCATGCATGATTGTCTCACTGTTAGTCTTTGTCGTGTATAACCTCACCTCCTGTAGCTCCCCCACCCCAACAGGTCGCCCGAATTGGGACCGATTACCACTGGATGCCCGCGTACTGCAAGATGAACCACAAAGTTGGTAAGAAAGAGTCCGACGAAATCCGACCACACGATTTCAAATGCATGGCGACCAATCAGATTGGCGAGTTCGCAGCGGAGGTTTCAGGTACAGCAGTGAAAGTGTCCATGTCATTTTTGCATGCATGAGCATGGCCACTTGACTACACCCACGGGAAACAAACTTTCTTTGATGATCAGACAAAAAAGCTTTTACAATTAGCATGGCATGATAAACAATTTGTAGTCCTCGTGTCAAGGTCTGGAACTTAGTAGCATCGAAAATATCTCGTCGTTCAAAAGAATCGGTATGCATGGTTCATTCAAAATCAAACACGACAGAATTCATCCCCTACGTCGTCTGCGAGATCCTCTTGTACATTTTTGCCATGTTGTTTTGGAAATCGCCCGCTTTCCGAGACTCCCACCACGTGTTTGTCGACATGTTTTTGCTGAAGAAAAAGTTCCCAAAACTCTTCGACATGATGGCGGACAAGGAGCAGCAGCAGGCCTTCTACGAAGACCGCTACAGAGAGTCTCTGAGTGAGGCGGAAGCTGCAAGTGAGGGTGAGCTGCAAACGAGTAGTCGCTTCCTGCCGTCGCTGAAATTGCGGTTTCCAAGAAGGTGAGGAAAAATGCAACAGAACTTGTGATTGTGTCGTGAGTTCGTTATGCACCGTGTGGACCTGAGTCCGTTTTAGTTCCATTGGAGCTTCCTTCGTTGCTTTTCATTCGTTGTATTTTAAAACCACTTCTGATTTTTCGTATCAATCACATCAGGTACAACCCCCTGAACGTGGAGACGCTCCCGGCGCAAGTCATAGAGGACACCAGCATTTTCTTCTCTTCCACCGCGCACGGTGGACCACTCGAGCAGACTCCGGAAGTAGACACAGCAGCAGCAGCTGCCACGACCTCGCTGCAGAACAAATCGCGTGCCACCCTCTGCTCGACCGTCGCCACCGCGTCGCCGGATACAACCACTTCCGGCGGTCCCAGCGAAGACGACGCTCTGACAGATCCGGACTCAATCGAGAACAAATCCATCACCAGCACGGACGAGGAAAATTTGAAGCGCAGCAGTCCGCCACTCAGCCCGACCTGTAGTAGTTCAACGAGGGCCGGTGCGACTAACTCCACGGATACGGTCGTGAATTCGGCGGGCTCAACAACGTCGACTGCTTCTTCGAGAAGTTGCCCTGGTGCTAGTGGGTCGTCCTCGTTCCCGGCAGGAGCCAGCGCTTGCTCGTCGACTTCCAGCTCGAAGACCAGCGTTTGTAACTACAACACGACCAGCTCACTCGTCGCGCTGGAGGAGGACAAAGAGCTCGGGAAACTACCCGAACTTCCCAGACTACCTTATGAGATTCTCAATTGTTACATGAATTTGTCATGCAAATTTACCACCAAGATCGCCGCGGTTGAGCTGCTTCGCATGACAAATATCCGAAGGGCTAAACAGCATCTAAATCTGTGCCAAATCTGTAATGCAAAAGGCGCAATCTTCCCCCTTTCACTTTCGCCGTTCTTGCGTTACAAACTCATGCAACAGCTGAGAGTGTAACATTTGAGAACGCCATATGCCTTCCGCGATGCAGGCGGTGGAGAAGGTTCCGGTGTTCAAAAACTGCAACAAGGACTATGAGAGTACACAACTCCCCCTCACCCTCATTTGTAATGCAAAATCTCAAATCCAAGTTGTGCCTCTTGGCACTGTTTGCATGACAAGTTCTGGTAGCCCAAATAGCACTACACTGCAGTGTAAATTTCTTTGTCATGCAAAACCGGCATTCTTGCTGATACTTGTATTGCCGTTCATGCTAATATAACTCCTATTGCTGAGCTGCGCGAGTTAAAACTTTGCGACGGGGAGGAAAACCGCCCACGTCGAAACTTTTTTCGCAGTTTTCAAACTTTCCAAAGCTTTTGCGAGTTCGCCCATCGCCCAATGTCCATCGCCCAGTCGCCCACTGTCCATCGTCCAATGTCAGTCGCACAATGTCCATCGCCCAACGTCCATCGCGCAACGTCCATCGCCCAATGTCCAAACTTTGCGCCGGGAAGGAAAATCGCCCATGTCGAAAATTTTTTTGCAATTGTCGAACTTTCGAAAGCTTTGGCGAGTTCGCCCACCGCCCAATGTCCATCGCCCAGTCGCCCAATGTCCATCACCCAGTCGCCCAATGTCCCTCGCCGAGTCGCCCACGGTCCAAACCATCGCCCAACACCCATCGCACAATGTCCAAAGCACAACGTCCATCGCCCAATGTCCGTTGCCCAATGTCCATCGCCCAATCCCAACAAAAATACTCTTTCCGTTTGCAATATTTCTAAGAAGAAACATCTTGCAACCCCCGACAAAATTTTTTTCCGTTTTCGCGACTTCTTTCCCGTTTTCAAAACTCCCAACCAAAAATAGCAAATATTTTCCAACTCGAAATATTTTGCAACGCGAAATATTTTGCGCGTGGAAATATTTCGCCATCCGAAATATTTTCCAACCCGAAATATTTTGCGCCGCGAAATATTTTGCGCGTGGAAGTATTTCGCCATCCAAAATATTTTGCAGCTCGAAATATTTTGCAACGCAAAATAACTCCTATTTTTGCTGGGCTGCGGAACTTAAAATTTTGCAACAGGGAGGAAAATCGCCCACGTCGGAATTTTTTTTGCAGTTTTCAAACTTTCCAAAGCTGTCGAGATTTGCATGCGAAATCGGCCAACGGCCAACGGCGAACCGCCCAAGCCCCATCGCAGACGTCGAATCGCCCAAGTCCCATCGCAACTCGAACTATTTTGCAACCCGAAATATTTTGCAACTCCAAATATTTTGCGGCTCAAAATATTTCGCGAGTCCAAATATTTCGCAACTCAAAATATTTCGCAAGTCCAAATATTTTGCAACTCAAAATATTTTGCGACCCAAAATATTTCGCGACCCAAAATTAATGCGAATCGCCCAACGCTGAATCGCCCAAGTCCCATGGCAAACGGCGAATCGCCCAACGGCGAATCGCCCAAGTCCCATCGCAAACGGCGAATCGCCCAAGTTCTATCGCAAACGGCGAATCGCCCCAGTCCCATCGCAACTCGAAATATTTTGCAGCTCCAAATATTTTGCCGCTCGAACTATTTTGCAACTCCGAACATTTTGCAACTTCAAACATTTTGCGGCTCAAAATATTTCGCAAGTCCGAATATTTTGCAACTCAAAATATTCTGCAGCTCAAAATATTTCGCAAGTCCAAAAATTTTGCAACGCAAAATATTTTGCGATCCAAAATATTTCGCGACCCAAAATATTTTGCGGCCCTCCCAAAATATTTCGCGGCCAAAAATATTTCGCGACCCCAAATATTTTGCAACAATCTCCCAACGCCCTGCCTCCCCGGTTTTGCAACACGGGGAAAGCGGGAAGCACGGGGAAAGCGGGAAGCACGGGGAAAGCGGGAAGCACGGGGAAAGCGGGAAGCACGGGGAAAGCGGGAAGCACGGGGAAAGCGGGAAGCACGGGGAAAGCGGGAAGCACGGGGAAGGCGGGAAGCACGGGGAAAGCGGGAAGCACGGGGAAAGCGGGAAGCACGGGGAAGGCGGGAAGCACGGGGAAGGCGGGAAGCACGGGGAAGGCGGGTGGGAAGCACGGGGAAAGCGGGAAGCACGGGGAAGGCGAGAAGCACGGGGAAAACGGGAAGCACGGGAAAAGCGGGAAGCCCGAGGAAGAAAAGCGGGAAGCACGGGGAAAACAAGCGGAAAACACGGGGGAAACACGCGGGAAGCACGGGGGAAACAAGCGGGAGGCACGGGGAAAGCGGGAAGCACGGAGAAAGCGGGAAGCACGGGGGAAGCGCGCGGGAAGCAAGGGGAGGGCGGGGAGCACGGGGAAAGCGGGGGGCACGGGGAAAGCGTGCGGGAAGCACGGGGAATGCGGGAAGCACGGAGAAACAAAGCGGGGAGCGCGGGGAGAGCACGAGGAGAGCGAGAGGCCCTGGGAAAGCGGGAAACACGGGGAAAACGGGAAGCACGAGCGGAGGGCACACAGACGGTGGGGGGCCCGCACCGCGAACGCCGCCGGCGGCCAAGCACCAGGCGAGCAGCTGCCCACCAACCTCCCCCGGCGCCCTCCCTCTGTTCGCGCAGGGAAAGCCGCACCCCAGCACCACGCTTCCAGGCGAGCAGCTGCCCACCACCCTCCCCCGGCGCCCCCCCTCTGTTCACGAGGGGACCGGCAGAGGGCGCCACCGTCCGCCGTCTCTGTCTTGGAGGGTGCGCGCGAGGGAAGCAGGCGGGGGCGGGACAGATTGCATGCGGGCTAACGCGGGGGGCGCCGTTGTCCGGGGGTGCTGGGGGAGGGTGATGGGCCCCTGCGCCTGGGGGGGGCAATGAATGCCCCAAACCGGCGCCCGTCCGGTCCCCCATGCACGCGCGGCGCGCGACAGGGGCCCCAGCAAGCCCCTGCTCTGCAAGGCTGCGCGCGGGAGAAGGGCGGGGGGCGGCACCAAGGCGCGCAGGGGCGGGGCACACACGCAGGCGGCACGAACGGGCCACACCACAGACGCGCGGGCGGGGCGGCACGCGCCAGCGCCTCGCATGGCGCGGGCTGTTCCCCTGCTTCCTTCCTCCGTCCACTGGCGCCTGCCCGCTGCCGCGCTTTGCGTTGTTGCTGGGGCATAAGGCCTGCCGCCACGCAAGCGCGCGCCCTGTGCGGGCGGAGTCCTCGCGCTCGCACAACGACGGGAGCCACGGGCGCCATGGCGCTCCGCCTTCGTTTTTTCAGCAAGAAGCGGCGCAGATGCCTGGCCCCGCCCTGCGTCAAAGATTTTTCCCTTGCCCACCCTCTGGCGTTTTTCTTTCCACCCTGTCCACTCGTTCACCCTCCCACTGCGCGACATAAGCTGCAGCCTTGTACAAATGAGGGGGAGGGGGAGTTGTGCACTGTCATAAGGACCATACGCTCGACATTAAGGAACACGCCGAATTCGACGGGGACGCGGTGCCAATCTTCGTGAAGCCGAAGCGGGGGGCGTACGGCGAAGACTGCCACATCCGCGACTTGCGAAGTGTGGTGCACAAGGTGTATGAAGCAAAAGCGAAGAGCGGTTGCAGAAGTTCTACTGGTGGAGCAGGACGAGACTCCAGTTGTACTTCGTCATCTTCGAGCAGCTCATCTTCCAGGTCCTCGTCTCTAGCACCTTCGCAAGGAGCTGAACCAGATTCCTCCTCCTGGACCTGCGACCACGAGTGGACGAAGAAGCGCGTGGAATTTCTCCTCTTTGAAGAGCTTCTGACCAACGCGAAGCCCTTCCAACAGGCCATGAAGGCCGGCGGCATCATCAATTCACTCGCGCACCCGCTAGTCACCTTGCGCATCTGGACGAAACGGTTCCACGAGGACAAAAATGACTACGTCGCCGCGTTGCTCGTCGGCCCCGAGGATGAGGAAATCTCGAATTCGAAAAAGAACAGCTGTTACAAGGTCGTGAAGATGCCCAGCGAGCAGGTCGTGGCTCAGGATGCTGAAGAGAATAGTACGAAAGTTAGATACGGTGTGAGGAAATCAAAAAAACACCCGTGGGTCGAGATCCCGGATTTCGCGGAAATTCTCAGGACCTGCGAGTGGGCCGCGGATCAAACACCGGAACTGCCGATGCTCGGTAATATTATAGTGACGGTCTTCATTCATATTCCTACTTGGATTTGACAAACTGAATCTACGTACATCGATAGGATTCTGAGTTTTCCAGTTCCACCTCTAATTTGTATTTGCGTCAAAAACGCCACGAATATGATAATATAGCTACGAACAACTTATTTTTTTTTCTTGTTTCAGGTTCCGACTTCGCCGTTTGTGCCGATGGTTTCTACCTGTTAGAAGTAAACCCGATGTGTTCCTACACGCGGTACGCGCACGTGCTTGGCCATTTCTACACCGAGGAGGAGGTGGACTTGTACGTCCGGAGGCAGAATTTGAGTTCCTGACTCGAAGACGCCGGCGCGGAGAAGCGCATACACGGAGCTGCGCGAAAGTCTCCACATAGTTGCTGTCAACAAGAACGACCAACACGATTGAAACCAGTTTTTATGCCCATATGAATATTTCTTTCTAAAGTTCGAGGCGATAGTTAGTTTCTCAGTTCCAAGACACCTAAAGATTCCAATTTTCATGCCGATAATTCAAGAAATAGAAACACACCGATTTTAAGATTCAATTCTCAACACGCTGTAGTAAATTACAAATTTTTGGCTGATGCAGCTGAACTTTGTTGAAGGTAGGCCACTGATTGTCAAGTATTTTTGTGTACACATGGCTCCTGGAGAGAAGTTGAAGTCAAGGGCACGGCCCGGGCGGCACGACTATCAGTGAAGCAAAAACTGCTAGATCATGAACCAGCCAGGTCAAACCCTAAAAGTAAACCAAAATCCGGAAGCAAGTATTTTGACTCCGCACTGTCTTGTGTTACCAGTTTTCGTGCCTGTAAACAAGGAAACTCGATGCTACATAAAGAGAACAATTTATGTGAGAACGCAATTTTGGACGTAGACCGCATAGTTTGCACAGAACACGAAATTGACACTAAAGGTTTTAACTTTAAGTCTAACAAGCTGAGGCGTTGTACTCGACGGGTTCTTTTTCCGGCACCGGCTTTTGTACTCTTGCCCCGTTTGTTATTGTTTAGCGAGTGATAGATAAGATTCTGGTAGCTCATTTTGCATTCAACGGATGCTATCCCTGTGCCTAATTGAGTCATTTAAAAAATGGAAGAAGTCAAGGGGTGAAAAAGACGATGGCTTCTTTCGCACAATTTTTGAATTTTCAAGCAAGTGGTTGGCGTCATTGCTGCAAGTGCCACAGCGAGGAAGAAGCCGCATCTTCTGGGTTAGCGAAGTAGGTACACCGACGCAGATGAATCCTTTACAATAGCTTTATTACGTCGACCTCGACGCTAGTTTGTACAAAACGGAACAAGAAATCAAATATCAGCACTTGCTATTGCTTCCTAGTGATCGACCCTGAGCCTAATTTTATCAACCTCTCGTGGTATAGATTTTTCTCTCTATTAACGCAAGGACTCTCGTTAACTTGTTCGAACTAGTACCTGCCACTCATGAAGAATTTCAATTTGGGCGTATCTTGCGACAGAAGCAAATTAGTAACAGCCACAAGAAGAGGTAGAAGGGCAAGCTGCGCACGCGTTCGGGTACAGGAGATAATTTTAATTGCTGCAAAAATGAACATCGTTCATTGATTCTTTTTACTCCATGGACGCTGACGATGATGGAAGTCCAACCGCTGCCGAAGTTCCAGCGTAATTGCCAGCGAGTGGTGATAGTCCTAGTGCTCGTCATCTGCGGGCATGATATGCAGTACCTTTCTCGCTCCGCCTTTGTTCTAAGAGAGAGCGTTCTTTTCTGGCGTTGTATCAAAGACACTGAGGGACTTATTTTTCTTGTGTTTGCGCTGTACTCAAACTCATCTTTTTTGTTTGGAGCGACATGCTGTATAAACATCAATGTGAACCAACGTGAACGAAGTGTGGTTGCTCGACCATTTTTGCTGATTTGTTTTTTGATCTCGTGAGTTTTTGCTGTCGAATAAACGCAAATGACGCAGAGTCCCTTTGGTAAGAACATCGCTTAATGAAGCTTTTCGCAAAAAGATCTTCCATGATGCACTGTTCCCCACGGTGGTTGCGCGGCCCTTCGTAGCCCCCACGACCAACTCTTCCAACTACTTGTACAAAACTATAAACGCGTCAATTTCTACTTGTTGCCAAAGTGCAAAGTTAGTAACGAAACTGCAACTACACTTTCACTAACCTGTAAGAACCATTGAAAGAATTTGAAGAACATGATGTCGAGCCTACCTCTTGTACCACCCTGGCTCAGTGGCTTCTTTTTCCCACCTGCTGGAGGAGATGACGGATCTTCGGCATTGTTTCCCTTCACTTCATCCGCCGAGCCTCTCCTGCGTCCCGCCCTCCTGCTCGATCCAATCGATCCCAACACGCTTTTTGCCTTCCTACTTCTCATCTTTCTGGACATTCTGGGCTTCCCGTCCTTGTGGGACGAAAGGCTCTTCCGTCGGGTAATCCACCATGCGGCCACCGGCAGCTTCTTCCCCTGGCGAGTGCTAAACGCGCCTATTCTGGTGCAGCTGAACAAAGGTCGTGTAGCGGATGTTGACCCAGCTGCAGCTGCACTCAGTTCTTCTCACTCACAAACGGCGTCACCGCTATCCGAAGCGGATATCGAGCGTGTTTTGAAAATGTGTGACGAGAACGGCGCCGAGGAGCAGTATTTTCGAGAAGTGCAGGGACTTAACACGAAGTCGGCGCTGCTATCGAAGTATAGCGAATGTTGCACAGAAGTCCTCGTAGGGATCCACTTTGGTTTTTCAATTGAGTACTTAATATCAACTTGAACCACGCACACGCTCGTGCTTTCTCTGCTGAACGTCGGTGAAATTGGGACGCTGGCTAAGAAATCCTAATCAATTCTCATTTATCAAGTGGAAAATAAAACGAAATCATCTGATCACATCAGGATGGCCGGCGGGCAGTTTTCTTCCCGATCTACGCTTTATTACAACGACTTCACGGAGAAGGGCCGCAAAATCATGCTCGACGTGGGCGAGAACCTCCGCGAAAAGCTCGGCGAAATTCTCGACCTCGAAAACGTACATGATAACTTCAAGCTTGGCACCTCCGACTTCCGGTGTTGCCTACTCCGCTACGAGGGGAAAAACGCAAACTTCGGCTTCCACTACGACACCGAGCCCTGGAACTGTTTCCGGTGCTTGTTTCTGATCAAGCGGGGAGTGCCGAAAGTCTCCCCGTTCCTCTACAAAGATGGAGCCGGTGAGTTGCAAAAAGTTCCGTTAAGCCAACCGGGCGACGGCTTGGTGTTCCAGGGAACGCGGTTGTTTCACGGGGTCGCGAAAACCAACGAGGACGACAATCTGCGGTACATGCTCGGGTTTCAGTACCGGTTTGGAGAGGACTTGGAGGTGAAGAGAAAGAATTTCTGCAACCAATTCCGAGGGAAGAACAGCGTTTTCGGGTCCTTGATGGAGATCCTGTCGAAAACTTTACCGGTTCTGGTGCTGAAAGAAGCACTCTTTCCCTCGACGCTGATGCGTCACGTGCTGGAAAAATTTGACGTCGATATGGGAACAAACGCAGCCCTATCGACATCCCTTTCATCTTCGCGCGGGCGTGTTTTCGGATCATCCCTGTTGACTGTACTAGTTCTTCCCGAGGACGTTGCTCTTGAAGACCTATTGACAGTGGTACAGATGCCAAATAAGCTAACAGCCATCTGCATCGCACTACTCATTCTGATCGCGTTTACGAAATCTGCGCTGGTGCGGAGAATACCTTTTGTGCTTTTCTGCGGAGCGGGGAGAAGAAGAATCACAACAACATCGTCCACAACGGCATCAGCGTCAGGAGAAGAGCAAAACGAAGAGCCCATTCTGGACGCTGCCCTTCCCGCCTTCCAAACGCAGGCCACGCCGCGGTTGCTTTCCTGCTGGATCATTCCGCTCGCGAGTTTGTTTTTCGTCTGTGGACCGGATCCCGTGCTGGTGCTGTTGTTTGCGGCGTATCTGTGTTTAACGGAACACTTGCTACCCGCACGGTTTTATCCTGTGCAAAAGTATCGTACTCGTAGTAATTGCAGTCATGCAAGACAAGTGTCTTTTTCAAGCTAAATCAGCATGGGGAATTCCATTTCTCATGATGAGCTAATTTGTATTGCAATACTACGAGTGCGATACTTTTGCAGTTCATAGGTTTGTGGACATATTGCTCGAAGACAAACGCAAGTCGCTGGAAGTCGTGAGAAAAGGGCGAAGAGTCATGTAGATGCGGTTGATGTTGGAATCAGTTTCAGTAATCAGATGGTGCAGGTGCACGTACATCTCACGACACAGCTGTGGAATCAAAGACTTGGTCTCGCAGCCCCGGTATCTGCAGCGCGCCAGGCGCTGGACTACAAGGTGGCATTTGGTCGTAGTGTTAGCCAGCTACCTCTGTTGACATGACATCATGAATAGTAGACGCAAACAAGAAGATTATTGCACAGATGAAAAGAACCTGTATGACGAGAATCAGAGACAGGAAGCTTCGCTCATGCGAGGATGTGAGTATCAACACTAGAAGCACTGTTCGAACAAAATTTCTCTCTTTGAGAAATTTAGAAGGCGATCCCCTCGTTCACTCTGAGACGACATCAACAAATTTCGTGCCTTGATGTCAATTTTGGTACTCCCTTCGGTGCTGCACCTGCAGCTATAGGATTTTCTATTTCCCAGCAACCCTCGCACCCGAAAGTGCTTGAGCACCTTCCATTTGCTTCCGATCTTCCGCTGGAACTAGAGACAGCGACCCTTCATAACATCTATGAAGATGTCGATCTTTTGTGATGGTAGTTTCCTCGGTCCTCGTCTGACGGCTGCTCTAGCCTGCATCGAGCAACGCGAAGATCTCCAAGTATTTAGATGCCTCGAATGATGGATCACGATCATTATTCATCTTGGCATTGCATCGAACCGCGTTCGAGTTCGTGTCTATGCTGTAAGTTAATTCCAGAACATGAAGTGAACATGAAGAACTAAAGACACCACTGCAGGCGGTGCCTGTAGTCTCTCTCTACTTACTTTCGTTGCAACTTGATCATAAAGGAAAATGAGGAGGAACAAGCACCGCCGTGCTCGGGATAAGGAGATTTCTCGACGGAGAGAATCACCGGCTGAGGATGTGGTGGACCTTCCGGCAGCAAAAACCACTGGCACGAGTGCTGATTCTGCAGCTGCAGCGAATACAGAGATCAATCAGGCGACGGAGAAAAAAACCACACCACCAGAACACACGACAACGCGGCCGAAACAACGGGCGGACCAGCAGGTGCAGCCCCCACCCCCGTTGCTGCCTTCTTCGCACCGGACTGGACAAAATCCTCAGGCTCCTTTACCCTGGCACCATCCGCAATCGGGCTTTTTCGCACGAACGGAGCCGTTGCTAGCGAGGGTCTTTGTGGACAAAATATGTACTAGTCAAGGTGGCCGTCAACTACAGCAAGTGAGCACAGGAACGCGAACTACAAAGAGGTCCGCATTAACAGCAACTTGCTACAATCGCAGTTGGTGTCTGTGCGAGTCAGAGGGGTACATTCCGCCGCCGACAGAGGAACAAAAACAGAATTTCGCTGCGTTGTTGGACATCAACAGAGCAAACGCATCGAATCCTGCCCAGCAACAAGATGTTGACATTGTCGATCCCGACCGGTACTACATGTTTCCGGAGCGAATCTGCGACGTTTCCTCGGGCCGGTTGTTCTTCTCCAAAGCCTACGAGCGCGAGACACTCATGTCGCAACTGAAATTGGTGGTCAGGAAGCACAGTTGGAACCCGGAAAACTTGGTTGCGTGTATCCAGAAAAGGCTCGAGTTGGTGTTCTGTGGTGGCAGAGAAATAAATTACAACCCGATGTCTATGTCAGGGGCGGGTACTACGCAGCTGGAGGGAAAGATGTCGGCGAATGGTCAACAGGAAAATCAGATTCAAAAGATGAAGAAAAAGAAGCAGAAAACCACCACGAGAAGTGCATCGGGACGAGGTGACGGTGGTAGCGCTGGGACAATCAGAAATTTTCAACCCTCGACGTCCCATGCCTCATCAGAAATAGGTTCGGGATCGGCCTCGCCGCTCGATACTTGTAGAAAGAGCGACCACCTAGTTGTGCCGGAGGGGGAAACAAGCGACGAGGACATGTGCGAACTACAGCGAGAATTGCGACGCGATCGGCCCATAGAGTTCTGGAGCCGAATTTTCAGCACATTCTCCTCCATCCGTACCTCTGAGGCTCGTCTGGGATCAGGGAGGTTTTCGATTTTGAGGCAGAGTTTGCTGGATCAGCCCCAGATTGTAGGGGTTTTATGTGCGTGGGTGACGGTGCAGAGGAAGGCGGAAGGGGCGAGCAGGGGAGCTATTTTTCCAGGTGAAGTTGCAAGAACTCATGCTAGCAGCGCGAGTTCTTGTGAAGCAAACTTCTCTGTACTAGCCGCGGAAGAAGCAGGAGCAGCCGGCGAGAGCAGCACAACTACTTCTCTTCAAGGCAATGAATTTTCACTTCAGTGGAGATTTCGTGACGCTGAGAGCACGAAAAACTCAAACAGCACAAGAACCGAGGTCGAACCCAGCAGGCTCGCCAGCTTCATCGCGGACAAGCTGATCCGTTGCTGTGTCATGGCCGCGAAAGACGTGCGTGAGTGGCGGGACGAACGGAAGGTAGATTACTGGGGTAGATATACGAATACGAATCCAGGTGCCTCACCAGACGCAACAGAGACTGGCTTTGCAGTGCCAACAGTTGCCAGAGCCTGGCTGCAGGAGCTTTGCCGGCAGAGCGTCCTGGAGGAAGATGCACTGATGAGGTTGTGTAGTACAGCAGGGACGTATTCTTCTTCTTCAACAACATTTCCAAAGGAGAGGAGCAACGACCAGCACATTTCACAATCACCAGGACGAGATTTTTCAAGTTGTGCGAGTTCCTTCCTACTCGTTCGGAGGCTTTCAGTGCACCTGAACGCCGATTTAGTCCCGACGAGAGCTGCTGCCACCTGCGAAGAAAGCGAATCAAGTCCAAGTACGCACAGCAACATGGAGGACAGCGACTCTGGTCGTGAAGGTCTCGATAATGAAATGACGCGGCACACCAGAGCTGGACGAGCTGCGAAAATGTATTACTATGCTCAAGACGAGCAGGAACAAGGTACAGACGCATACGAGCAGATTCAAACCTCCTGCCAAATTTCCCAGTTTCAGTCTATTTTCGCTACGCCTGATGAACATCAGGATGTGGAGAGCCAGAGCGACGATGAGAAAACGCCAAATGCTGCCCCAGAGTCCGACGATCAGCAAAACCTCTTTGCGCAAGCGGCCACGCTGATCGCCAAAGTAACTACGGGAACAACGTCGACGAACAAGTCGTACTTAAAGTACGTTTTCGAGCACGCGAGGGAATTTTACAAGCGAAAGAAACCTCTTTTGCTTTTTCAAGCAACGTTCGAGGACAAGGAACGTTCGAGGACAAGCAAAAGAAGTGGGAAGACCACCGAGATCGATGGGCATGGGGTGAAAAAGTCGGATAATAAAGGTCTTGGTCAGCAGCGGGAGCAATCAGGAAATGCACTAGAGGAAGCCACCTCGACTTCTAAGAGTGGCAGCAGAAGGCGGGGCGGAAAAAAGAAAACCCAAACTCTCGAATTCAGCTCGGGAAATAAAAACTGGCTTCGGTTCTCTGTCGAAGTGCTTATAAGTGAAAAAGTAGAAGGTTTTGGTGGAGCTACAAGTCCTGGCGCATCATCAGAGGACCTTCTGCACCGGTCACTGCAGCTCCTATTTGATCAGGTTTCACAGAGGTTCGAAGCAAAGCTGTTGGAGCACATTTCGCACGTCGTCCTTCGAAAAACGGCTTCGAGGCACTTTCACTACTGCAGCGCCGCTAGTAGTCGAGCAACAGGAACAGGAGCGGCTGTGTCTTCCACTTCCGCATACGCCACCAGGTCGGCTGTGAGAAATGCCGGAAGTAATTTCAAAAACGCATGGAGCCTACTTACTAAGGATGGTGATCCCACTTGGAATTCGAATCACCACCGCGCAGAGGCGACAGCAATATTTGGGGTCGCAGATCCTTTCACGGGGAAGAAGCAAAAGACTGCTTCCAGCACGAAAGTGAGAATGAAGCGTGCAGAACCTTCAGGATCTTCGTGCGACGTCACGGCAAGTAGACCTGGCACGACAGCTCTCGAGACGAGTTGTGAAGACGACCGCACGATCGGCGGAAAAGTTCTCAACTTTGCCGAGGACGTCCTGGCGGATCCAACCTGCTTTCCCTACCCCAAGTTGCACAGTGTCGCAAACACCGAGTTGCTGATGGGGGATCGCAGTATACACGCAGCCCGCGGAATACGAATTTCCGACCTGAAAATTTGGGACCACGAAATGAGACCTGCCGGAGCCGCGCAGCCGGAGTCATCTGACGATTGTGGTGGAGGGTTTTCCAAATCTTCGTCCAGAATGGAGCACAGTGATTTTGATGGTGGACGCTCTGACATAGTAAACTTGCGCGGCGGGGCCGCCGGGGGCGCAATTTCATGGCCACCAAGCACCACAAATATGCCCACGCTACTGACCACAAAGACGTCCCTCGAGGAACATCAAAACCAAAAGGTGCAGCTGGAGCAGAAAACTAGCTCCGTGTGGTCATCTGGTGTCGCAACACAGTACAAAATGCGCAACACGCGGAACACCCGTAAACGGGCCGCCGAGGAGCAAGAGCAGGCACAGCAGGCCGCGACGGTGGAGGCGGAACGGATGAGAATCGAAGAACAACAAAAGTTGCTACAGCACGGCGTTGAAGAGGAGCTTGTGCTACATGCGGCTTGTCTGGTGCCACCGTTGATTGAGCAGATGCAACACATTGGCGACGTACTGAGACAGAAGAAGGAAAGTGCTTTCAGCGTGAAGATCTCGTCGTGCTCCACGGGCACAGGTGCTGCTGGGCAAAAGGAAGATCTTCAAGAAGATTCCTTTGTCGATCCCATCGGTGAGATATCGCTGCTCGCAGCTTCAGACTTCGACCAGGGAATGAGAACACCAACTAACGTTGCTGAGCAAATTTCGAAGATTCTTCGGGACATTACCCTGGCGGATTTTGACAAGGCGGTCGAGAAATATGTGGAGTACTCGGACGAGAGGGAGATTTTGCGGCGGATTTTGGCCTGGGAGCTAGCAATGTACAAGGACGAGTACTACGGCGGAAAAGTCCGGATTTGAGAAATTCGCTGCTTCTTGATGCGCAAGAGAAAAGCAAAACATTAACCTGGTATAAAGCGGCCTCTTCGAGCGGCCGCGGTGGCACTTGTGCTCAGTCGTGTTCTTGATAGTTATGGATCCCAAAATCCAGCGTACATCGGTACTCGCGCATTCGGTTTCAGTCTGGCTGCATGGACGTCGCACGATGTTGTGCAGCCAGTGGAGGCAGCACGCAAAGAAGCCGATTTATCAAGATCCAAACTGCATGTCTATCTGATTTTGGCAAGGAGTCCCTCCTCGCACGAATGTGACTCGAGTACAGATCTTCATCGCCTGGAACGCTGTCGGTAATGATGATACTTCTCGGTTTATTGTGCAATCGTGACCATATTAATGTGGCCAACATCAAGCTCTTTCTCGGTCCGCGATCCTGGCTTTTTTTTCGCATACCAACTGGGAGTGTGGAGAATCTAGAATATTTATATTGGCTTGCCAGCTACCCCTGTCGCAGCCCGCCATAGTTACTACCCATTCATGCACAGTAATATGTTTTGGTTCCTACAGCTACAACTGGAGAACGGACGAGGAAGTGCTTCGCTTAGATACCGTAATTATTTGATTTCTGCCCGTTATTCGTTGAAAAATTGAGTTTGTATTCGTTTGCGTTCTCGCACCTCCACAAAGTGAAATACACCTACATACCCGAGATAGAAGATTTTTCCGAAGAACAAAAAACTATCCTATGACAAGATCTAGTCGCGGCCCGTCGTGGGACACCATGTCTGCTGTAAACCGTGCTCTTGCCCTCGCGAAGAGGTCAGCAGCCGGGGAAATGAAAAGGACAACTACAAGCGCCGGAACTACTATGAAAAGCAGCTCGCTCAACAATATTCTAATGGCGAACGCGCCAAAACAGCATGATAGCACGAGAGGAACAAGGAGAAGCATGAACGTCGGCGACGATGATCCACCGCCCGAGTATGTTTGGTACTTCGGGTTCGGGTCTAATGTGAACCCGGGCAAGATGACGACCAGCCGGGGGCTAACGCCTGCGGAGCCCTCGCCTTTGCGGGGGTCGCTGAAGAATTTCTGCTTGGTGTTTCTCCACGCGGGCTACGCGACCGTGGTATCGAAAGACGTGTTTTTCGGCCGCGACTTTGCGAGTTTTAGGGAGCACGCGTCCAAGGACACGCCGGCGGAGGTGCACGGGGTCTTGTGGAAGTTGAAGCTGGAGGACTTTTTGGAGCTGGTGCAGCAAGAATACTACTACGATACCCATGAAGTCGTGGTGGATTTGTACGACGAGGATACTTTTTCCGCAAACGGGAAAAATGGTGTTGGCACACCAGGCACGACTACACAGGAAGCGCCAGAAAATATTACGACGTCTGGCGCGTCATCTGAACAGAGTCACAACTCATCGAAAAAGATCACTGCCTTGACCTTTGTGACGACCCAAAGCTTCAACCTAGATCCGCCTGGCTCCGGACCAAGCTCGCGCTACATCGAGCTTATCCGTAGCGGCGCAAAGCAAATTGGGCTAAGGGAAGATTACTGTGCCTGGTTGGATAGTGTGAAGGTGGGAAGATGATGAATCTTCAGGGTAGGTTACAATGAAAGTGGAGGATGGTCTGTACTCATTGTATTGCTACTCGAGTCAAAGTCAAAATCTATAAATGCTCGCTGTGAATGAAGCTTATACGAAACTGAAGACAGGAACTGGGAGAAACCGGAGGAACGTCTGTTGACAAATTGGAAGAAGCTAAGTTGTAAACTACGAGAATGATAAGCCAGAAAGTGAAGGCTTGCAGTTCGGCTCCAAGGGGACAAACGCGTGTTTGTCTTCCGCATGTCGTGCAAAAGTGTTCCACTTGTCGCAAAGGCTCTCGAAGCAGGACCGACGCAACCCCTGTGATTATTCACCGGGCCTCCAGGGTCTAGATCCACGCGGGTTTTTCTTTTTCATCAATCCGCAGCCTGCTGCGCCGCATTGGGCCCGCAGTTTTGGAGAGTAGAGGCTCTCCGGACAAAAACGAGGCCGGCGCTACATCCTGCCGCGTCGGTCCAGCAAGGTAAAGACTCGCCACGGCCAGCCGTTCGGCACATCGGGCCGGCGCGGGTTGCGCGCGTTCGAGGATTGTGAGGCGGCGGGCGCGCGCTGCTGATGATCGGCAGGGAGGGGGCCGCGCAGTAGCGGCGGCGTTGCGCGCGGCGATCTCTCTCGCGCACCCCGGGGAAGGATTGGGCGCGCCGTGGATACCTCCGATACCCGACAGAAGAAGAAACGAAAAGAGGAAACGCCTGCGCTCAGGAAACGGCGACGCTCTGCCCCCGCTGCGCTGCATAGCAGGGCTCCGAAAAGGCCCAGGCCAAGGAGCGGGCCCAGGATGGGTTTAGCCATGAAAAGGCTGTGCACCGGCCAAAACCCCTTGGGCAAAATGTTAGAAGTATTGCGCCACCCCCGGAGCCGCGGCGCCGGCTTTTTCTTTCATCGATTGCGGGCGCGCGCCCGCCGCTTGGGCCCCGGAATATTTCGCCCGCGCCTTGGTTTCGCCGTTTGGCCGCCTCTTTCTACATCGCGCCGACCAAGGGCGCGACCAAGAACGCGCAGCGCCCGGCGCCAAAGGCCGCCGAGCCGGCGGGGCATCTGCAGGAAGGACTGGCATGGGCACAGGAGGGCGGCGCCCTGACATTGGGTGTTGCCTGGCGAGAGGATGCGCCGGATCCCGAACAAGCAGGGAAATGGTGCCGCAGATTCAGGCGCGAAGCAGCAAGGCGGGGCGGCCGGCAGGCGGCGACGATCCATCGATGCAGAGGCGGACCATCCGCGCCAGTTCGCGAAAATCGTTCGCGGGGCGCCCTCTGGGGCTTCATCACAGCGGCGGGACGAGGGCGGGGGGTGGGCCCTGGTTTCCCTGTTTCTCGCGTTTGCCGGGGGGCGGGGCAGTCAGTGAGTGGGGCGTGCCGGCGGGGGCTCCTCCGCCCGACCGGCCGGGGGGCCCCGGCCGTTCGCTGCGGGCCTTTTCGCGCAGGGTTTCTCTGCGGGGGCTGCCCGTGTTTGATATTTTTGTGGGTTGTCTGGCCCTGGTGCGTGCGCGCCGGCCCCTGGTGACAGGCCTCGTCCCGTGGTGGCCGGCGTGCATCGGCCTCGCTCCTGCGCGCTTGGGCGCTGCCAGTGATTTCCCCGCTCTCTAGAGGCCCCCTTTCGTGCGCAGATAGTTTGAGAGGTTGATAGCTCAGTCAAATGCTCCAGCCATCGCAGGCGCCGGCACTGGCGGGAGAACAAAATTGGTTTCCCCCCCGGGGGTCTGTGCCTGCTGTGTGTGCATGGATTCATTAGCAAGGGGATTCGCGCTCTATGTGTTCATGCCGGTCAGCGATGATGTGATAGATGTGATCTCCTGTGCTATGTGAGTGTCGGTATATTCGATTCTCATTTTCTTGTGCGGTCGGAATGATGTGTCATTAGCTGAAGCAAGTAGCTTGCTAGTTTAAACTTTGTGCGTGGTGTGTGGTGCGGTTTTTTTCAAGAAAGTAGAAAAGCACCGTGCATACTACTAAGTTCGCAGTCTCAACATCAAGAAATCTACCGCGGTCTAGGACTGCACTCGCCGGTTCCGTGCTCCGCGCAATAATCGATCCCGTAAAATAGATTCGCGGGCAAACCACTTATGTGGGCGCACGCGTCGCTTTTGGTATTGCAGCTTTGATCTGCAACGGGGTAGAGCAAACAAATTTCATGCAAATCTACCAAAAATGGGTTTCCATTTTCTGCCTGCCTACCTCGCCGAAGCCGCTCAGCTGTTTCTGGCAGCGGAGCTACTCTTTGCCCCTTGCTTGTTCACCTTCGTAACAGCAACAGCAAGCCCACCTACCACCCGCTACGTCTGTTTCCCGGGCGAGGAGTGGATGGAGAAGCAGTGCTGTAATCAGAACCTCTACGGCCCGAAGGGTTTGTCCCACCTCTGCTTTCAACACGGCGGATTTTCTTTTGACATGTGCTGCACCGGAAGAACACCAGACGGAAAAGCACCCGCTATCGGCGACGACGAGGAGGTTATGTACGTTGAGACGGACGAGCTGGAAAAGCGGTTTCCGGACGGCTGCAGCAGTCACCTGAGCTGGATCCCCATGATTTACGCTGTCTTGCTCTTGACCTCCGTGACCTACAACCAGGTCGGGGAGGTGGTGCGAAACGAAGATCGGGAGCATTTCTTGTCCTCCGCATCTACGTCAAAGCCAGGTGTAGATGCGGCGCAAAGCAAGAGTTTGAATGGCGAGGCTGGGACTACTTCCGCAGAAGGTGCCGAAGAGCAAGGCCGCATAGAGGACCCCAACAGCCATCAAACGGTCGAGATGACCATCCCGCTTTCTTTATCCCGACCTGGCGGTGCGGTTGCAGAGGGAAATATTAAAGATGAGCCAAAAGCCTCCACCGAAAATCTGTCTGAGATTCAGTCGACGACTACCATCTCCCGTGCGTCGAATATTGAGTACTTAGTCCTGCAGCGCGTGGGGTTTTCCATGTCCCATTTCTACCGGGGCGCGATTCAGTTCTTCAAGCACGGAAAGCTTGACCTCGGAATGATCAGCATGCTAAACGACATCTTGCGGAACTTCGCCTACGCCTTCTCCAAATGTCCCATGGTCACGTCGCTCGCGGTCTTGTTGAAGGCGCATCAGTATCCTGTGCAAAAGTATCGTAGTAGGTACTAATTGCATTTATGCATTACAAATCTCTTTCTCAAGGCAAATCAGCATTACAAATTCAATTTGTAATTCTGGGACAATTTGTAATGCAATTTATACTAGTACGATGGTTTTGCATTGCATAATCAGCTCTCGAGCCAGGACGTGTCCGCGGCGCTCGACATGTACAGTTCCATCGTGACGTTGGTCACCGAGGCAGAGAAAGCACAGAAAATCCCAAACACGAGCAGCTGGGGGTGGGGCATCCTGGTCTCTCGCTTCAACCCGGTAAACACACGGGTTTTTCAGAACAGAACCAGAATGGAAACCGCAGGTTCATCTGCGATCGAATGGAACGCAGTAAATGCACTCCGCGGCCGCCCCGACGTAGTAGTTGCAGAAGCGCCCCCTCCAAGTGGAACTTCCTGGATCGACGCGCTGCTGAAGATGCAACTGGAGTTGGGCGGGAATGAACGAGCTGACACGACCCGTCGCGGGGAGGAGCGGGAAAGAAGTTACCAAGGACAAGGAGATCGCGAAAGTGGTCACACTTTCAACTTCCTGGCCTATTCCCCGGGCTTTGGCTTCGCGGAATCGACAGACCTGAAACGATTGGAAAAGCTGAAAATCGAGAAAAATCAGGGGAAAAATACGAAGAAGCAGCTTCAAGAACCGAACAAAGTTCGGTCAGCTTCAAGAACCGAACAAAGTTCGGTCACTCTTTCTAATCCAATTTCTTCCTTCACTGGCTACCGTACTTCGACAGCGGACTTTTCCAAGGCAATCGTTTCCCTCCCAGACGGTCGGTTTTCGCAGCTTACGCATGTCCCCACCGTGGACATCGTGATGCCGTACTGCTGCGAGGGATTTTTGGATTTGAACTTCGCGGTCGGCGATAAAAACTTCAGGGTGATTCTCTACGACATCTGCGGCTGCGACGCGTCCAAGTTGCAGGAATTGGACGGAATAAAGGGGAACTTTCTCGTCGTGGTGCAGAACGATCATGCTGGAAGTGAAGGCGTGTTTGCGGCAGACAGCGCGGGCGGGTCGTTTGAAAAAGAAGCTGTACATGAACCGGAAGCTGTAGCTAGGTCGAGGACCACTGCTGCGCTGGGTGAAAATGAAAATGAGCAAACTGAGAGCAGCAGCGGCGAGTCGCCACCAGCTACCTCTACGTCTCGACGTGCTGGACTTAGCAAGCTGTACTTCGACAACTCGCTGACCGAAGCAGTTCCCTCGGGCGAGATTGTTGCCTACTTCTACCACCTGTGGAAGTACTACGACAGGATGTCGGACGTCACGCTCTTTCTCCACCCGGACTACCAGGAACACATACGGGAGCAGCTGCTCGAGCGGGTACTCTACAGCCTCAAGGGCAACAACACCTGGGATTTCTCCCTGGGCTTCATGTACCTCGGGTGGCGGCACGAAAGTCCCGTGATAGACGGAAAGGTCGGGCCGCACTGGAGCAGGCACTGTCCGCATTACGTAGCGGGTGGATCTGGATCATCAGGAACAGGAAGAGCAAGAGCACCAACTACTACAAAAAACAAGCCGGTTGCCGAAGTTCTTGTCGACGATCCCAGACCTCCTGGCACGCCTTTGTATCCGTGTCGCTTCGACGAGTGGGCGTTTTCGAACGTGGTCAGAAGGCACCGGCACGACGTGGTGGGCGATTACAACCCCGAGCTGCTTCGGCGGATCTGGCGGATTCTCTTCCAGGAAGAGTTCCACACCGTGTACGACGATTTCGGGGGGTACGATTTCAACCAGTTTCTGGTCTCCCGCGACCGCGTCCGCTCCACGAACCAGAGAAGCTACTACCGGCACGTGGCCTACCAACTCCAGGACCTGGCGCAGTACCGGGAGTTATTCGGAGGAGGTCCTCGAAGAACTTCTACTAGTAGCAGAAGTAGCCCGACGCGAAATGAAATCCTGAAAAACGTAATGTCGAGGAGCCGCGGCCACAACAGAGCGAATGGCAAGAACGAGAACATGAAAGCGCCATCTTCCTCACGACAACGTTTGAAATTCAAAACGGGACGAGGGCCAGGACCTGCCCGACACCCCAACGCGCAGTCCTTTGTCTCGGACCGTGTAGACCTAACTCCCCGCTACGGCTTTAACAAGGGCGTGTGTATTTGGTTTGAGCACCTGTGGCACTTGCTTTTTGGGGTTGACGACGCAAGGTGGAAACCCAAGGAGGAACGGAGCTTGGGAGTTGGAGTGGGGTCATCTGCAGCTGCATCCGGTCTTCTTGCCAAGGTGGACGTCGACCTCGAACACAGCGGCAGCAGCTCATCTTGTCCGGCGGAGATCCACCGCGACGTTGAAACCTCCAGGAGGGTGCTGGTTCGACCTCCTGCTCACTACCTTCACGAGCGGGACGAAATCCAGCGGCGGCTCCCACATCGCGACATACGAAATAAGTGAACAACCTCCCCTCTCGCTCATTTGCATTGCACAAACAGCAATACAAGCGTCGGCAAGAATGCAGGTTTTGCATGACAAATTTTCCCAGGCTTGTAGTGCTGTTTGAGCTTCCACAACTTGTCGCGCCAAAAGTGGCAAGAGGCAAAAGGGTGGATTTGGTATTTTGCATGACAAGCGAGAGGGAGGGGCAGGGGGAGGAGTGCACTCTCATACGACATCGTGCGGTACGACGATGCGGAGTTGGACTACGAGAATTACACGCCGAACTACTTTCACAAGAACTTCGACTATGATTTCACGAAGACCGCGGACGTCTTGAAGTTTGAGAAAAGAAGATACCTGTCCTATTCCCGTTGGGACGATGCGACTTTGCCTCTAGCCTTTCGCGACTACGTCGATAGCATTCAGCTCCACAAGTATCTCCTCACGCCAAATGAAACCTGCGCTCTGATGAACAAATGTATGCCGCCAATTCGGCTGAGAATATAGAAATGAAAAAGAAGGGCAAGAGATCGTGTACGACGAGGAAAAGAAAATATCAATATGAAGACTCGCTCCCACTGTAATGTATCGGTCGTGATTACTTATCGAGATCTGTCAGGAGGTGCGAGAGTTGGGATTCTGTCTTTGCGCTGTCGAAAAGACGAGAAAAAATATATGAACAGATCATATCTATTTTCGGTTCTGTGCTACGAAGGGGGTCATAAGTGGCCTCGATTCGGTGAAGTGAAGTGACGCAATTTACTTATTTGTGATCCCGACTGATGTTCAGATTCAGTTCTTGATCTTGATTCCCCGAAAGGCAAATATTTGAGGCCGTCATCGATCGTTCCACAGAGTCAATCAAGTTATTCAAGAGTGCTGAATGTGGATCTCAAAACTACCGCATGTTGATATTCGCGATCAAAGCCGTCGGTTCTGGAGCAAGTTGTTTCGAGTTTGATGAAGGATTTGCTTCCCCAGGATCTCCATATAGGTATTGCACCATCTTGGAGACCCAATGATCACAACAACTACGAACATACATTCGTTAGTATGAGCTCGATAAGTATATCGGACTCGAAGTAGATGTAGAAAAAGATAAAAAGCACATACGAAAGTAGCACGACAGCATCAATGCCTTTTGTTTGAAAAGCCATGTGTACCTAGTGTTCACCCAAGATAATTGTCCGGAAAATACTTCTTCAGCATTGATTTTTTTGCGCAAGGAAAATTTTTTGATAAAATCATAGACGACCACTTCTACTAGTATTCTCGTAAGATTTTCTTTTTCCGGAAAAAAAAAGAGACTTTTTGTAAAATCATTGACAACTATTAGCACAAGAGGGAGAGGCAACAGCATTCATTTATCAATAGGCATCAGTCATCAGTTTGTGTTTTTCTTTTTTCCGATTTTTTCTCTACCAACCTACTTCACGACGGAGCTGCAACAGAAAGTACAAAATGTTGGCAAGAAAGCTCCGGCTGATCTTGTCTGCAGAGTTCTTCCCGCTGTGTGGCCTTTTGCTCGGCGCTTCCTGCTGCTTCCCGACTGTTTTCGGGGTAAAAGTGCAGCTCTCGGCTGCTGCTGCAGCAGCAGCAGCAGATGGGCCCACTCCAACGATACCCGCCGCTCCACCGGCGTCTTTCGACATGGTGGTGAAGGCCACGCCGTCCAAGTTTCTGTACCAAGAAGGCGGGACGCACCGCATCCACCTGCTTTTCCCTCTCTCGAACGCTGCGAAGATTCAGGGGGAGCACGCTATTTTTAACACGGACAACACCTGCCAGTCCGCCAAAGAAGCGCAGGTCTTTGTGTTTGGGGAAGAGCACTCGGATGAAGTGCACGGCAGCCGGCCGAACGTGCTGAACGGCAAGAATGTGGTGGTCCGGGCAAGGAAGGAGATGAGTGCGTTCGAAACTTTCCTCCAGCGGGTGGTAGACCGCGTGCCCGTTGCCTCGGTGGTTCCGAACCCGGGCTTCGATCAGCTCTGGGGCGCGGACGCACACGACGTGCTGCGCAACATCCGCAAGCGCAGTGCGATGCTGCGGACTTACGAACCATTGGTGACCACTTTTGTGGACGATCCGGTGATTCAGAGCGGCATGATAGGCGCTCACCCCAATTTTCCACGACAATTGATGGAAGTAGTCAATGGAGACGCAGCGCGGGCCACGGGAGTGTCCTCCGACGGCGCCGACGGGGTGATCAATCTGCGCACCTTCATCATCGACCCGGTAGACCTATGAGAATGCACAGCTCCCCCTTCCCTCATTTGAGTGTCATGAGCAGCAACACTACACAAGCAATGCCAGAAATCTGGCTTCCGCATTGCAAATCTGGGAGCGGATTGTGGTGCTGTTTGAGGCTCCAAAATTTGTCTTGCAGACTGTCCTGAGAGACAAGATGTCGATTTGGTATTTTGTACGAAAAACAATGAGGGAGAGGGGGAGTTGTGCACTTTCATAAAACCCGGACAACTACCACCGGTGGGGCGGCGTGCCATCCCAACACATCGCCGGAAAGAGGCACGGATCCCGCCACACAGTGAACCTGGACCGGTTGCCGATGACGGTTGAAAATGTGCAGGTGGCGGCCGGCCCGCAGCGCTTCAGAATGTCGGTTGGGAATGATCACTCCTGGAGAAACGCGCTGCTGAACGAGCTTCGCCAGCAGGTGCAACAGGCGGATCCGGTGTCCGGAGCAGAGGTGCGTAGGAACCGCTACGAGTGGAAGCAGGCCGAGCTCGCGCAGGAGCAGCGCGAGTCAGCCGCGGCTGCTACGCCCGGGGGCAGTAGTAATTCTACTGGTGCACCACTCGCAACCTGGATTGCCGCAAACGCGGCAGAGATAGCCGCGGCGGCCTCATCTACTCCCGGTGGTGGAGATAGTGATGCTCAGCTGCCTGTGCACGCAGGAGATTGGACGAGTCCCGCCTTTCTGGGATCGAAAAGTATTGCCGATGTGAATGCTATTTACCGCGCGGCTGCGCAGAAAGTCTACGCAGCCTTGCAGGAAAAGCACGGCTTAGATTGGCCGGGGCTACATCCGCTACCAATTTTGGGGCTGAAGGTGGCGCATTGGGACGACCCGGAGATTTGCTACAACTTGAGCGGCTACAATACAGCGATGTTTGGTGATGATGACGATGCGCCCTTTGCCGGGATCATGGCGAATTTTCCTGGATCTCAGACTACGCTGCGCGACGCAATTGCACACGTGTTCTTCAGCTGCTTGGCAGCGGCGGCCGGCCCCGACAAAACGGCCAGCGATGTGCAGGCATTGTTGAAAGGCCCCACGGCCGAGCTGCCGAACCCGTTCCTTCTGGAGGGTCCGGATGCCAGTGTGGAGAAGTTTGCCGACATGTTTTCCGTGTTTGTCGCACTGATCAGCACCTACCTAGACGCACAGGGCATTTTTTCGCGCGGCAACGGGGGCGCGCAGGTGGGGCTTTTCTTGGTGAAGAGCATGAAAACTTGGGCGAAATACCCGCGCTCGCTCTTCAGTGCGGTGCAGCCTTCTGGCTTGACGCGAGGGCACCGTTTTCACAGGTCTGGCGGAGCGCAGCCGGCGTTGCACGATGATGCCTCCAATTGCGTTACTTGGGGCCCGACCAGCCCAAGTCGGGCCGACTTGGGGAACCAGTACCATCGTTGGGACTGCACGAAAGTTCCCCACAAGAACCCACTCCGCATGTTCACAGACGCCAAGAAGCCCGATGATTCGGGGAGGACGTTGCTTTGGCATCAAATTTTGAACGTGCTCCAGGCGATCGTGTTGAACCTGGCCGACTGGGGGCATGTGTACTTCACCCAGGACGAGCTCCACACTCCGGAAAAGCAGGCTGAGCTCGGAATCTCCGCGGACTGGGGCGCGGTCAGTACATGGAATGAATCGCGGAAGAAACTGACCGCGTACCGAAAATTGTTCGACATCACCACGACCGTGTCCGACCACGTCGACGAGGCTGAGCGCGTGCGCAAGATTGTCTGGTATGCACTGCAAAGCTGTCCAATTCTGGGTCTGCAAAGTTGTCGCGTTGCCAATGTGAAACTCAGTAAAGTTAGTAGCATAAGAAAATAGTATGCAACCGAGGTGGAACTCGAGCGCACGATACTGAAGTTCTATTTATGATCGGAGCAGAAGTGCGTGCCCCTTGCCTAAGCGTACGCGTACTGGGCGAGGGTCTTCCGTCCAACTTTGGCGCTTTTGCATAACATCTGCAAGAAAACATGACTCGGGCCTGCTTTACTTCGTTGTTAGTGTGATCATCATGTAACATGACCAACATGACGCAGAGAGGTCTTTATTAGGAATTATGCAGCGAGCATTTGTATTTGACTTTGACTAGTCCGTGCGCAAGTTTATGAGAAGTCTATGCAACGCCCTTCAAAAGGTAGGCTCAGATAATAGAATGTTTGCACAGCTGCTGCATATCTGGGAACCGAAGCCGATTCTGGAAAAGCTCGCGACGGACCTGGAGAATATCTGGCAAAACTTTTGGGTTGTCGAGAAGGACCAGGCCCACTTGGACGAGTTTGCCGTTTTGTTTCGGAACGCCGCGATGCCGCGCATGGGTATCAGCCCGACCATAGACCGGCGGGCGTACTCGGACGTGGCGGTGGACTACAGCAGCGCCTTGCAGATCCCGTTTCTGGAGTACTGGAACAAGTACTACAATAGCGACCGCGTGCGACTGAGTGCGAGGCTTGCGCCTTATTTGAGCGCTGTCAACCACGCGCGCAACAGTTGGAGCTTGCTCGCGACTGCGCATGACGAGGCGGTCGAACGGGAGAGCGGTGTCAGTCATGCGTGGAAGGAGAGAAACAAGATCCAACAGGATCCGGACGCACATCCCGGAGCCGACCCGACGACCGGGTTTCGCGGAAAAGAAACGTTTCGGCTGAAGCACAGCTTCGTGAAGGACATCCGGCGGAGCAAGTATAGCGTGGCAACGGAGAACGTGGCCCTGCAGAACACGCTCGCGACGGTGGAAAATCTTTCGATTTTCGACTTTTGGAGCACTATCGTGCGTACTCGAAAAACCGTAATTAGCGGCTAAGTTGGTACGGCCCACAGAACAAGAGCAAGCGAATGAAACTTTTTCCGCACGACTGCTAGCTCCTGCATTCTCCGACTTCCCAAGCTAAGTGCTGCAGGATTGCTCTCCTTCTGCTTTTTCCCTGGGGGAAAAACCGCGCGCGTCCGTACTTGAGATTTTGCGTTTTATTCACTCGATGACGATGATGCGCAAATGCAAAAACTCTGAGGCATAAGTTCCCTAATGGCACGTGCCATTAGGGAACTTATGTTTTTGCATTTTCGAAAAACATAAGTTCCCTATTGGCACGTGCAACTAGGGAACTTATGGCTCGAGATTTTGGGTTTTTTTTTTTTTTCACTCCATCATGCGAAAATGCAAAAAGTCTGAGGCATAAGTGGAGCTTATGTTTTTGCATTTTCGAAAAACATAAGTTCCCTATTGGCACGTGCAACTAGGGAACTTATGGCTCGAGATTTTGGGTTTTTTTTTTTTTTCACTCCATCATGCGAAAATGCAAAAAGTCTGAGGCATAAGTGGAGCTTATGTTTTTGCATTTTCGAAAAACATAAGTTCCCTATTGGCACGTGCAACTAGGGAACTTATGGCTCGAGATTTTGGGTTTTTTTTTTTTTTCACTCCATCATGCGAAAATGCAAAAAGTCTGAGGCATAAGTTCCTTAATGGCACGTGCCATTAGGGAACTTATGTTTTTGCATTTTCGAAAAACATAAGTTCCCTATTGGCACGTGCAACTAGGGAACTTATGGCTCGAGATTTTGGGTTTTTTTCACTCGATGATGCGCAAGTGGAAATGCAAAGACTCTGAAGCATAAGTTCCCTAATGGCTCGGGCCATTAGGGAGCTTATGTTTTTGCATTTTCGAAAAGCATAGAAATAGATATCCTATTTGAGCGCGTAAATAGGAAGCTACTCCTTTGATGAAGCTTTGGTTTTTTTCCGCAAAGGGAGCGCTTTGAAGCTTTGGCTTTTTTCCGCAAGAATAGAAGGGGAGCGCCTCGCCCTGGTGCAAGGGTTTTCATTTCTGCTCGTGTCATGGGGACCACGCACGGCGCGACGCAATACTAGCTTTCTTGTGTTGTGGCTCGGAAAGAGTTACCACTTTAGCCGCTTATTACGGTATGCCGAGTACCGCGGCAAGTGCGCCGCACTCCGAGGCATCGGAGGAAACCGCGAGACTGCTGCTGACGAGCGCATTTTCGCTGCCCAGTAGTCGCGCAGCTCCAGGAGCTGCTAATCAAGAGCATGGAGCTGTGCCAGCGAAAGTGCATTACCTGCAGCTTTTCCACAAATACATCGCCAGGAATAACGTCCTCGGCCGGTTCGCGGAGTGGCACTACACGGTCGTGCAGCAGCACGTCGCGCGGCTGGAGTACCGCACGGAAACAATGACTCTGGACAACGAGAGACTGTTTCACCTGCTCCGTCACAACTATTTGCTGCAGAAAGCCCTTTCTCCCCCCGCAAAGCTCAGGGCACTGCTGCATGCGGAACAAAACGGCACTGGGAACCAGCGTTGGAGTGGGATGAGAGAGGCACTGACGCCGAACGCCAGCACTGCGAGGGCCGCGATCTCCGAACTCTTGCACCGTAACCCACCGGAGTGGTGGACGCCGGCGGGCGCGGAGTCGCCGCGGTTGCGTGTCGAGAGCGACGCGGCCCACGGGCGGTTGCTCATCAACGTTACCCCGGAGGAAAAGAGATACCTCGAGCGAATTGTGCAGCACCGCACGAAGCATTTCTTCTTGTCCAAGACGGACGCGGCGAAGTTGTATGTTAACGCGAACTTCTTCGCGCACGACGCACACAACCTCATCCAGCACACATTGCAGTTGTCGCACAATGTCGACGCGCTCGACTTCTCGACCGAAGCGGCGCGAACAGAGTTTCAGGGAAAGTTCGACCGCTTAATAGACCACCCGGCGTTTGATTTGTTGCCACAAGACAAAGCCAGCCGTCGGGAATCTTTCGGTGCATGGCTGAATGCTCGGGCTTCCCAGAGCGACGCGCTATGTTCTCCGAAGGTTCTGGCCGCGCTGCTCATTGGGATAAGCGCTCCGGATGGGTCGATCGGCAGGGATTTCTTCCTTCCACCAAAAATCTCCACGCCGGGCCACGCTGCGCGCGCCGACACGATACCGGGGAATGTAGCTGCTTCTACCGAGAGAAGCGGTTTACACCTGCTCGCGGAGCATCCGTTTCTCATGTTCCCCAGCTTGGAAGAACATGATGTGATTGGGATGAATGATACCGTGGGGCAGCGTGTTTTGTCGCAAATCGGGTACTTTTTGGAAGATATCTCAGAAGAGCAGTATAGGGTTCTAAAAGGACTGCTAGTCCAGAACATAGAATTTTGAGCGACCACGTGACTACCTTGAAGATGATCTTGACGGAGATGAAGCGGAGGTAGAAGTATTGTTTTAAGCATATTATGGATAGTGTACAGGAGCACCGCCACGCTTCAGATTGTCTCTATAGCTGGAGCGCAGACGGCTCCGTTGCACCGATGTACGATTTTTTGGAAAAATTGCGCGCCGCGGTGACCAGGTACGGTCAAGCTGGTGGGTAAATATTCTTCGTATCGTGCGCAGCAGGAGCTGTTTCTGAAGATCAAGAATATGAAGAAGACGCCCCTTATATTTTTTACATCAAGTTTATCAATCTAATATCGATGGCCCGCTTGCTACACGTACGAGATGTCATTGTACGTGCATGCTTTTTTGAGTACATACATGTCGATCGACTAGACTCTTGTGGTACTACGGAATAAAACATTTTTAGCATAGTAAATGTCGTCACTACAGCAACACGAACCTTGAACATTGTTCCGTCTAGCAGCGGTTCGGACAGATTGCAAGCAAAGACGGCGCAGACGCGGTTATGTTACGTCGACTATAATCTATCGCTTTCTCTACGATTTCCCTTTACCAGAGTACTGCGCGTGCGTTACGTAGGATGTTCATCGTCGAAGCAGGGAAGCTAGAGATCAATCTGCACCGCACAGAAGTGCAGCATAGGTCGTTCCAGGTTTTCCATTCTGGATTGAGTTGTGGCAAAACAAAAAATTTTAAACATACAAACATGCTCTACCATTTTACGGCCGTTGCTGGAGTTGCGAGTGCGTGACTTCAGCTGCGAGTCTGCGTCGCGGGGCAGATAGACGCCCTCGCACGCAATGCCACAAAGTCAAAAAAGCCTTATTTTGTGCTCAGTATTGTTGTTTATCTTTATGATTTGTGAGTGTATGATAAGATAAGAAGTATACTGTAGGACTGTAGAAGCTGGCGTGCCATTTATTTTTATGTCCGATGAAGAAGGTCGTGTTGTATAGACTGTAGAATGCGATTGCGATATCGCCAGGCGGCTGGGGCATGGGACCGCCTCCAATTTGAAATGGCTGAACTCGCACATGAAACACGTCAATTCACTGTGAGCACAAGGATTTTTGAGATGGTGGAGCCGAAAGTGGCACATTATCGCTCGATTTCATCGTCGGCGTTGTCGTTGAATCGCGATCTGTCGTAGCGGATAACGCAATTTTCATCGTGCGACGAAGAGAAGGCCGTGCATAGTTTCCTTTGATTCTCAAGAAACAATGAGCGGATTAATCAGATGAACTTCGAGCGAAGAAGTTTTACATTTCGTTTGAATTCGTCGTGCTTAGAAAATGAGTTGGTCTTCCTGCCATCTGCAACATCTACTGAGCGTTGCCTTGTCGTGGTCGCTTCTTTCTTCGTCTCGGTTTTCGGGCAAATTCGCTTTTATTCGTCGTGGTCGCAAAAGTACGGAACATCGATTGACTTTGTCGGAGTTGGAATCTTTTGTACATTTGTTTCATCAATGAATGTTGCAGGTCCATCCATCTACTGCATCGTGTTTCGTGCTTATGGCGTATTTTCTTCATCGATCGTTTTTCTCTCCTGAACAAGAGACAACACTAAAGCTAATGATCTTTTTCTTGGAGATGACTCTTTGATAGGGAGATTGCGAAGGAGAATATTTGGAGTTGCTAATCACGGTCTCCATTTATCGTTCGCTTCTCAACAAGTGGGGGGACGGGGACCTGCTTCTTGTTTCTTCCTTTTTCAACACCGAGGAGAATTGTGAAGTTTACTACTTATCTCCAATAGCAATATGATGGCGCTGGCGCACATTCGTGGACGCGAAAGTAGGACCGTGCGTTTGCCTTCCTGAAGAACCGCGATAAAGTTGTAGCAAAACGACAAGAATATGAATAAATCCGCTGGCAGTTCGCAGGTCCAGTCTTTGTGAAAAGATTGAGGAAAATACAGTAGTCTTGCTTGTCAACGACCGCACCAACCTAATACTCGGTGTACTAAATCTAAGTCGACCACGCCGCCCTGCACCATGCCTCCAAATAAGAGAAAAGCCGCGGCATCTTCCCGCCGAGATGAATTCCAGGTGGTGGGCGCGGTTACTCTCCTCGATAGGCACATGAGTTTTGCCGATGTCGCTGCTCCACCATCTACCGGAGGCCTATTTCCGGTTGCGCAAGTGCAGGACGGAATCTCGTTCGCTGAAGGAACATCTTCTAGAGACAATGACTACAGCAACGCAAATGACAATGACAACAGCGATGAAGATCAGCAGCAGCTGTACAACGGCGTCGAAAATATGAAAGACAGTGCGACCTCCGCCACCGCGGGTAGTTCCTCCGATCAAGTGCAACATCTCTCCATCGGAGGTTCACGACAACGGGTGTACCTGCCCGCCCAGATGAGCCAGAGCGGTCCGGGCCCGGCTCTGCAGTCCGTGCTGCAGCGGGAAGCCCAGCGGAGCATGGCTATCGAGGATGCCTTGCGGAGTAAAAAACTGCAACGGCAGATGTCGCCTCGCGCAGAGGCAGCCAGAAGTAGGGTTGCGGCTCAAGGAGAGCCGGCTGTCGCGCTGGGGCGGAAAAGCAGTAGAAGTCCTGCTAACCGCGGAGCTACCACCAGCAACAGAAAACTGCAATCTACAAGAGCGTCGCAGAAACCCGCAGCTGAAGACTTGCAGTTCCAGCAGCAATCCCTTGTCGGCATACAAGACATCGCGAGAGCAACGAAGGTGGCGCAAATAAAGCTGTCACCGCGATCGGCGGGCAAGTCGAAGATAGGTGGAAAAGTAACAATTAATACCGGCGCCCACGACGTTCTTGCTCCTGTTTTCATGAGCAGGCTGGATATCAAAAATACTAATACAGGAGCTACTACTTCTGGTGACGACGTGATGGAAGGACACACCATTGAGGACGTGATGCAGCGAGAGAAGTTGGTCCACCAAAATGATCAGCAACCCGGAAGAACTTTTGCTACTCAACAAGCAGACCAACTGCAGTCGTCGTCCCGGAAAAGTCGCTCACCATCTTCCCGCAAAAGTACCAGGGGAGCTAAATCGGAAGTAGTGAAAAGCACCTACGGCACACAGTCGCAGCAACAGCCACCTTCAACTACACAAGAAATCGACGCACCTCGTCGCGACGGTCCGGCCCCTGGCGCCGGGCAAAGACCTGCAAAATCAAAAATTTACGAAGTGCAGGAACGGTTTCGAAGCGAACAACAAATTCTGAGCTTTCAAGAAGGCCAAGTGGGGCAGCAAAGTTTTGACGTGCCGCAGAATCAGCTACAAGCAGCAGGCGAATTATCGAAAACAAATCCTTCAGCTTCTCCTCCTCGCAGACCGACCGTACCTCAACAAAAGGTGACAATTGGGAAGGACAGAGACAGAGCTACGGGTATGAAATCAAATAAAGTAAAGCGCGCAGGTAAAGATAGTTCTCTTGCCGAACAGCAACAAGTTAGAAGTGCGCCACCTTCATCTGTTGGCGCATCTTCTGCACCATTATTGGTACAACCGGGGCCAGGCGATCGGGACCTTTTGGAACAGCAGCATTTTTACCCCACGGGGACGGACAAAAATTCCAGGAAGCAGAAGACCAAAGTGGGAAAATTGCAGATGAATGCGGACAACTGGATGGAGAACAGAAGGGGTTACCAGCAGAATGAAGAAGTTTATCAGCAGAATGTGAGCGAATTCGATTCAGGAACCATCATGCCAGATGAGTACGATTTGGAGCAGTTGAAGTCGAAGAGAAAAGACCGCATCAGGGAACAGCCGATGATTCCTTCTTTTCACAATACCTACCTCTCCTCCGACACCTCCGCAAGAATGACGAACAGCATTGAGGAAAGTCGCGAGAGGGGAACAATTTCGACGAGCCAGTTGGGAAGCGGTGATACTGTTGCTGCAGTGCCTCCGGCGATGTCCTCGATGAGGGGATCTGACCAGCAGCGCGCACTCTTGTCCAGCAAAAGACCAAAACAGGAAGACGAGGAGCAACGGTCGTCGGTGGATTTTCTGACATTGCGATCATCAGCTGCGCCCACGCCTGCACCTACCAGTGAATTCCTCCAGCGTCAGCAAGCCGCGCCGTCATCTCTACAGCCACCTCAAAGCGGAGCTCCTGCAGCAGGACCCAGTTCCTCTGGTAGGAAGAGCGCGTCGTCCTCACGCGGCTTCCGCTCGGGACGTGCTTCGCACACTGTGGTGGATGATATTATCTCTTCGGGGAATGCAAGTGCAACGCCAACGCCAACCTTTGTTGGTGAGGCTAATTATATACCGGCTCCTGATCATCCAGGACCAAGATCATCGCAAGGGCAGCGACGGAAGACGCCAACTTTCCCTACTGCAGATGGCAACGGACCAGCAGCTCCACGCGGAAATAGTCCGGGACAAGGAGCAGCAGGACCACCACCATTTCGCGGCCAACGGCGTCAGCCGCGAAGTTCGAATGCAAATGGAACAATAAATACAGGTCCTTCGAGCAAAACCGTGACGTTTTCCGTTGATGAGGGACCACGGGGTGCTAGTGGTAGAGACGATGTCGATTTCAACTTTAGCTCGGGCGCGTTTGGACACCAGACAGAAGAAGTAGTAGTTCAAGGGGAAGGTTCTGCCCGTGTAGTTTCCGCGCAATCTGGTGCCGCGTCGAGAGGGTCCTCCGTAGTTGTGGAGAGCGGCTTTGCGTCCGCGGAGTCGAAGAGTGTGAATTACAGTTCTGCGGGGACCGCGTCAGGCTCCTCTTCTTTCGCCGCTTCGTCTTCCTTTGCGCCCGCGAACGCGGCGGTTTCTTTTGCGAGCAGCGAGGAAGACGAAGATTTTGGCGATGATGCGGGACAAACCGAGACGATTGTTGACAAGGACGAGCCTGTATCGTTCGGCAGTCAAGCCGCGACATACAGTCGCGTGCAAAGCTTCCACGGAGCTGCACAACGGGCCGGTGGGACGAGGACGAGCACAGGTCCCGGACCTGCCTTCCCTGCCGGAGAGGGCTCAACGAACAAGCACAGTCTCGATCACGGTATCTCCGCTGCGTCGAGCGAGCACCGAAGCGGCAGCGGCCGTGTCGGATCTTCTGGAACGAGCGGAATGGGGTCTTCAGTCAGTGGTAGTGGCGTTGGATCTTCTGTGAGCGGTAGTGGCATGCTTTCCTCGGCAACCACCAGTGGCGTGCAATCTGGAATGAGCGGGAGCTCCATGCAGCGATCTTCTATAACTACTAGCGGCGTCCAATCTGGAATGAGCGGAAGCACCAACATGCGATCTTCTGCAACTACTAGCGGTGTGCAATCTGGAATGAGCGGAAGCACCATGCGATCTTCTGCAACTACTAGCGGCGTGCAGTCTGGAATGAGCGGAAGCAACATGCGATCTTCTGCAACTACTAGCGGCGTGCAATCTGGAATGAGCGGGAGTACCATGTCCATGCGATCTTCCGCAACTATCAGCGGGGTGCAATCTGGAATGAGTGGGAGCGGTATACAATCCACAATGAGTGGCAAAAGTGGAGGTATCCAGTCCTCCATGACCGGGAGTAGCATGCCATCTTCCGCGAGCGGTTCCAGTGGCATCCGATCTTCTAGGCGTACAGCAAGTGGCATGGAGTCTGGACCGATGAGTGACATGCGTTCTGGAGATAGGGCATCCAGTGGAACGTTCGGGGCGCAGTCTGCAGCCAGTAACCTGCCGCAGTCTGGGACCAGCAATCGAACCAGCGGAGGGGAGCAACCTGTGCAGAGCGGGATGTTGGGCTCAACCACGTCTACCGCGCGGCTAAGCGGCGAATCGGGTCAGACTCAGAGCGGTCTGCAAAGTATTGCCCCAGGGTCTGATCGTCCAGGGTCTTTTGCAGTAGATTCCTCCGCGACCATCGCTGAGGAGGCCCACAAGATCTTGAGTTCATCTTCAGGACGAAAAAAACAGATGCTCCGGAGGTCGAGCGACCGGCCTTCGCAGTCGACTGTGCAAAGCGAGGGCGCACCACCAGAAAACCGCACGGAGCAGATTTTCGGGAAACAGGAGCTGTCTCCGCGGGGCCAGATGCTGAGAGTGAAGCCCTCCGCGAGTGCCTCGGGATTGAGCATCACAAGTGGACAGAGTGGGGCCTATAACAGCCTTAAGTCATCCAGGGCCACAGGGGATGACAGCACAACGAATAAGGGCAACCACAGTCCTCCAGGGCCGGCCCAGATGGACCTCCTCCAAGGCAGCTTACCGAATAAGCACCAAAAGGATCAGCTAGGTGCCTCGGCCGGCGGCGCGGGCGGTGCTCCTTTCATTTTCTCGTCCTCCTCCAGTGGCGCGAGCGACGCCCCGGCATTGACATCGAGCAGCGGCACGGGGCTCGGCGGCACACAGCTGACCGGCAGCATGCCGTTCGGGACCGGGAGCACGGGGAGTCTCTCCGCCTCCTCCCGCAGGGCGCCCAGAGAAGGCGGATTTCAGAAGAACCAAGTGCCCGCCCGGCAGCACCTCGACCAGGCGGGGGTTGGCCCCGGGGGCGTGCGGTTCAGCCCGGTTTACAACTACCGGAACAACGTCCCCGCGGGGCCGGGCTACAACCAGTCGGGCATGCAGTTTCGCGGGGCGGACGTGGTGCAGGAGCAAAAGGACCCGAATTGGCTGCACAAGGACAAGCCGCAGCCGAAATTGGTGAATTTCCAGCCCATGAACCCGGTGTACGGCGGGATAGGGAATCAAGAAACAACCCAGCAATTCCAGACCTTGGAGCACCTGCAGCCGCAGCACGGGGCGGCCAACTCGATTTACGGGGGCTTCAAGGAAAAAAACCGGCTCGATTTCTTCGACCGCCGCATCGGAGGGGTGGACGAATTCGGCATCGACCTGTACGCGCAACAGCGCAAGATGGGGGACGGGGAGTACTTGGAGGTGGACCCCCTGCACGGCTCGCACCAGCAGAACTTCGTGGAGCGGGACCAGTTTGTGATGTACGAGCAGCAGGGCGCGACGGAGAAGTTCGCGCGGAACAAGGCGGGCACCGGGGCGGACTACCTGGCCGGGGACCATCAGCATCAGCAGATGGTGGCTCCGGGGCGGCAGGTGGAGCGCAAGTTGAAGCACATCGTGCCCGGGTCGGTGCCGCAGGAGAAGGACGTGCAGTACAAGCGTGGGCCGAACTACCGGATCCTGTCCAAGGGCGGAGACCAGGACTGGAACGCGTCGATGCGGCAGGGCGTACAGTTATCCTGTTGTTGAAAAACGTCTCTGTGAGGACCCCGACCCCGTAGTCAAGTTGTAGATGAGAATTCGAATTGTTGTTGCGCATGACAAATCCGGGCTCGTAGTGTAGTCGTGGTAGCGAGTGCAGCCGCATGGCAGGTAGATCATCTATATCATGTTCCTAGCGTGACAAACACCGAGACGGGACTAGTGAACGCTCCTCAGGAGGCTACGCATGACGAGAAACTTTCAAGTCATGTCGATTTGCATGACCATCACCATGACATAGATGGAGCGGGGGGGACGTTTTCCCTGTTGATAGCAGTTCAACCCGGCAGCGATGGACGCGAACCGCGTGGATTCCCCCCAGACTGTCGCCCAGGCAGGCGACTGGATGCGGGGGGACACGCCGTTGTACATGCCCGGGGAGAAAATGACGGAGTTTCTCACCGCGGATCAGGCGCGGCACCGAACCCGGTACCTCGACGCCGTGCAAAAGCAACACGCGAAGTGGGAGCTGCCCGAGCCGGATCTGAGCCTGGTTCCCCCAAACCAGCGCACCGCGGAGATGCAACGCCGCGAGCAAATGAAGAACTACGCGCCGAAGGTGAATGACGCCTTCGGGCTGCAGCAGCGGGTGCAGATGGCAAGAGAGCTTGGGCTGGACGAGGCGCCGGCCATGGCGACCGGGGTGAGCGGCGCGGCGGGCAGCGTGGCCATTCCTCCCTACTACACCACCCCGCGGCTCGGGACAGCAGCACGCCCGGTACCTGTTGGGAGCGGAAGTGCAGCTGCGCCGATGTCGGTCCAGAGCGGAATGTCAAGTGGCCCTCGCGTCGCTGGAGTTGGGAGCACCGTGGTGCAACCGGCAGAGAGCATCATCGACCAGCACCAAGAGCAGGCGAGGGCGATGGGAAGATCCGGCAGCGGTCCGCCACCCCCCATGGTCACCGGCTCGATGAACATGGGCGGCGCGACCGCCAGTGGGACCAAAATGAGCACCCGGCTCGGCGTGGCTTCTCTGAGCCCAAGTCTGTCGCAGCAGACGGGCAGCGGGAAGGGCAAGCAGAAGCAGAGATACCCCGACTTTCCCGCGAACACGTACCAAACAACCAACCTCTCCCCTGGCGCGATGGCGCAGGTGCCGACGTACGTGCCCGCGCGCCCGAAAATGACGTATGAGCAAAAAGACTTCAAGTGGGGCATGAACGCGACCTACGCCCAGCAAATGACCGCGCAGGGGTACAGCGGAACATTAAACGCGCCCGACCGGCCGGATTTGGGGATTAAGGATCCGAGACTGAACGCAAAGGTCCTGGAATACCTCGCCCGGGACGACAACGAAGTGAATTTATCGGAAAGGCTCCAGACCGTGGTTGCGCAGAACCAGATCATCCGGCAACTCGGGGTGATCCCGCTGGAGTTCGACTCCCTGGACGCGCTGCACCCGCGCAACTTAGAGGTGATGAAGCAGACCATCTACCCCACCATGGCGAACGACCACATGGCGGTCGCCTGGATGGAGCGCGGGCACGTGCAGCGGCGGGGGATCTTCGACAACCGCATGGACCACGAGGCGGATGAGTACACTACGCATGTCGATGACGAGGAGATCCAGAAGATGCTGCGGGAGATCATCCAGCCCGGGCACCGGGGGAGCTTCCACGACCGGTTGGATGAGCGGCAGCTGCACTTGAACACAACGAAGGAGAATTTGAATCCCTACTTGTTAGCTCGTCCGATCACGACGGACGGGCGGTTGAAGTCCGCTCCGATCCGGAACAAGCAGTTGGAGAAGATCATCGCGGAATGCGAGGCGGAGCTGATCAACATCGAGCACGACATCCCGGAGATTCCGTCTTTCGTCGAAACCTACAAGTACGGGGAAGTCGAGGGCTTCCGGCTCGGCGACATGGAGAGCCTGTTCCACGGGGTGCAGGACGACCCCGCGATCGAGAAGGAGAACCGGCTCCGGTGGCTCAGTCCGTCCTCCGGCCGCGTGCGGGCCGGGTCCTTCGAGGCGATCATGCACGAGCTGAAAATGTCGGATAAAATGGACATGGCCGCGGTGAAGCGGGGCGAGCGGGAAACGAGCAGGAGTTACACGTCGCGAAAGCTGGAGGCGATCGCGAAAGTCCCGGGATTTAACGACGAGTACGATGCGCTGCAAATGTTTCCGGAGTTCACCGAGGCGATGGAAACGGGGAAGACCATTTTGGAGGAGCAAGCGGAAGTGTACAGGCAACGGGAGCAGGAGGCCATGGACGCCTATCGCCGGAAAAAAATGGAGGGTGGAAAGGTGACTAACGTGAGCAGCGCAGTCGTGAGTGGACAACTACAGGCGGCGGAAGGGGAGGACAACATGGCTTCGATGGCATCAGGGATGTCCTCGACGGGTTCAGCAGCAGCGCGAGCTTCCACAGCGTCCACTGGGAGTAGTGCCGCGGGTCAAGAAGCTCCTGCTGCACCTCCGCGGAAACCAACGCAGAACAATTTAAGCGGTGCTATGGGCGAGGGAATGAGCCTTGGCCCGCAGGTTGCGTTGTTTTACGACGAGGACGACGAACGGCCGTCTCGCGGCCGGTCGGACATCTTGGGCTCCGCGGGGATTGTTGATGACGACGTGGCGGGCGCAGCCAACATGGTCAGCATGTTCACCGGGGACGACGACGACCCGGCCGGACACAAGATGGCCGCCAATTATGTTGACGCCACGCAGGAGCGACCGGTGATACAGCGCCCGACGGCGATACCGCCGAACGCCGTGGGGGGTGTGGGGGAAGTCATGATGAACCCGAATGCGCCCGCCCCGAGATCATTATACAGCGAGGGCAACCAGCAGCCCCCGAGTTCCACACATGCGCACTACCCGGGCAGCAAAGTTTCTGGAAATAGTAGAATAGGAAGCGGTCAAAATACTAAAGGCCCTTCATCGAAAAAGGCAACGGAACCCTACGCGGGCAGCAAAGTGTACTCGCAGCACCGCGACTCGTTCGCGAAACGGCAGCAGCGGGACCGCGACACGTCGTTGCGGCATTTGAGCCGGGACGAAAATGTGTTGGACGCGACGAACAACAACAGTTCGCTCGACCGGGTGGGGAGAAACGACGCGACGTACCTGAAAGGGTTGGACCCGTACACGAAGGGCAAGCTGTTCGGGAACGAACAATCGATCGGCTCGCGCGCGGGTCTGGGCTGGAAGGATTTGCAACCGAACGCGCGCAAGAGGGACCGGGACCTCGACCGATTGGAGAACGAGATCCAGAAATCGATCTGGAACGCGTCTTTGAAAGTGGAAGACTTGGAAGCGAAGGACGACGCGGTCCCGGACAGCTTTCAGGAGCAGGTGCCGCAGTCGAAGCGCGCGTTCGCGGCTTTTCTGGAGCGGTTCTGGCAGTTGGCATGCACCACAAATTACCACCTGGAATTGCGAGTAAATCTGTTGAAGCAGATTGTCGCCAAGGAAGCGAGGTACGAAACGTTAACCAGGGAAGAACTGGAACTACTGGACTGCAACAAGCCTGAGGAGGTTTTCGGCTTCTTCGAGAGCTCGATGCACACAGGGCAAAGAACCCGCGCACGGCATTTTGAGGGCCTGACGCGGCGCGCGAGACGGAATTTGGAGGAGGAACACGTCTCCGTCGCGGCGATGGACTACAACGACATCATGGATGAGAAGTTGAACCTCGAGCAGGAAATGAAGCAGCTGGTCGAGCAAAACGAGCAATTGGTCGCGTTGGAGAAGCACGAGCGCCGGCTGATGGAGCAGGACATGCGGGAAATGCTGCACCAGACGCTGGTCTGGTGGGACACGTATAAACTGCAAAAGCATCGCACTCGTATAAATGCATATACAAATACTCTCAGCGTCAGAAATAAAATTTGTAATGCGGATTTACCATACGAAAATGCATGACTGCAATACGAGTGCGATACTTTTGCACAGGATAACACGTTGCGCAACCGGATTCTGGCCAAAGAGGAGGAGAACAGCACCATCTTGGAGCAGGAAGTGCACCGGTTGCGGTTCCTATCCACAGTAAATTTCCCGTACACGTACAAATTCGGAATCTGCATGACAAAACTTGGGCTCTGCAAGGTAGCGAAACTTGTCATGCATTTTGTATGCCCATGTACAGGAAATTTACATTGCATAGCTCCAGTTCGAGGACTACGCGAGCCACGAGGGCCGGTTCCGGGAGGAGTACGCCGCGTACCTGCGGGACCGGTCCGGCGTCGCGAAGGACCTGCAGCACATGCTGGGCTTGTGCACGGTTTCCGAGGCCGCCACGATCCGGAAGGAAACGAAGATGGTGCGGCAGAAAACGCATCTGCTGGAGATCTTGCTCGACGCGCTGGAGGAGATCCGGTCGGTGAGATCGATGTACTACAACTTGGAACATTTCAGCAAACTGCCGGAATACTGGCGCGGCCAGGAAAACGCGGTGGGCGTCGACGCGCACAAACACGACAAAGACGTGGGCTTCTACGAAAACACGGTGGACAAGCTGATCAACCGGTACAAGCCGTGGGAATTGGAGCGGGACAAACACCGGCGGCCCGGGGATGTTGCGCACAAGACCTCCGATTTCGTCTCCGCGGGGCAGGAGGTGGCGAGCCGGGTGTTGGAGAAGATCAACGACAAGGCGGGGATCACGAATAACACCAAGGGCGCGAGGTACAAGTCGGCCCGACAGTCGATTGAGAAGCAAATCAGCGACTTGGCAACCGTGTTCTACAACATGCGGCACCGGATTTTTTCGGAGGACTTTGACATTGCGCGGTGCGCCTACAAGGCGGGTTTAGCCGCCGCCAAGGCCCTGCCAATCATTGAGTCTCCGGTGCCGTTGTCGGTGCACCAAATACGACGAGAGCAGAAAAGCTTAATGGAGTTGCTGGACAACTACACGGCAGTGGAGCACTTGTATGAAATTCTAGTTCTTTCTGATGAATTTAGCTTTGCGACATCGGTTTGATGATGTTTGTGATTCAGTTCTTGAACGAATCTTGGGATTAGGTTTTCCACGTCGCTACGGCGTTTTTCATGAAGCAGTCACGTGTTGTACTTAACAGGACTAGCTGCCTTTCTCAGATGCATCCGTACAGTGGTACAGTTCTTTTTCGTCCTCTCTTCTCCACAGGTACAGCTCGGACCCGGCGATATCGCAGAACTTTCCGAAAGTGCTCAAGTGCCGCCTCGAGCTGCTCCGCCGCTGTTTGGACACGATCGGCGGCGGCGACGTCGACCGTCTCGCCTCCGGAATCCCGTTGCACATCCGCGCGATCACCATGGGCGCGCAGGACAAGGACATGGGTGAGCTCGGGAAGAGGGGCGAGAAAGTGCCCTTGGACAACTCGAAAACCGGGCAACCCGGCTCCGACATGTGGAAATCGCCCGGTCTCGACGAGGCGGATGATTGGAGCCAGTCGAAGAATCCGTACCTGCAGAACTTGAAAGAAGTTCCCCGCGACGTGCTCTGGGGCGGCCCGGTGAAACGGCCGAAGCCCAAGGACTACCAGGCGAAGGCCAAACCGAAGGCGAAGCGCCGGAGGAAGCCCAAGCACCACTTCGGCGGCGGCGACGACCCGTCGAGCGAAGGCGATGGCAGCAGCAGCAGTAGTTCTAGTGCCAGTAGCAGCACTGCCTCCGAATCCTCCTCGTCCTCGGAGGATTCCTCGGAGGAGGAACAATCCGAAGTGCAGAGTTCCGTGCGGCAGAGCTCCCAGCGCGACGGCAAAAAACCGAAGAAGCGGGCTCAGTCGAAGAACGGGCCGAGTACGAAGAACATCGTCAGCAACAGCGCTATCGAGGGCTCAGTGCGCCAGAGCTCGCGGAAATCCGACAAGGGCGGGAAGCGTGGTAAGGACAAGGTCAAAATCAAGGCCGGCGCACACAAGGACGAGAAATCAAACATCAAGTCCGGCGGCAGCTCGGAAAGTTCATCGTCCAGCGACAGTGAGTCCTCCTCCGGGCAGCGCCCCTCCGGGGCGACGGCGAAGGCGAAAGCCAAGCCGAGAGCGAAGTCGCGGACGTCAGCCAACATCATGTCGAACGACAAGCCGGGTGGACAACGCGGGGGAGGCGCGAAAGGCGCGACGGACCGGATCTCGTTCGTGCCGCGCCCCTCCGCGGCATCAGAAGTCGATGCGGTGGACAGCGACCTGCCACAGATTCCGAGCATGACCGGGTCCATGATGGGGTCCGCGACGGAGGACATTCCCGTCGCCGGACCGGGCCGAGGGAAAGAATTCAAGTCGGGCGTGGCCATGCCGGACAAAAACTCCCCGCTCGGGCGGCTGAGCGGCCGCACCACCGGGCAGAGCGTCGTCACCGCGGGATCGCCGAGCCAGCGGTCCATTCCGGAGTCGGCGATTCGGGCGTCCAGCAGCTCGAGTTCGTCCTCCTCCACCAGCGGCGCGAGCCAAAGCAAGAGCGCCGGACCCTCGGTAGGTGGGGGCGTCGGGGGAAGTGGAAGCGGGAGTGGCAGCGGAAGCGGAAGTGGGAGCAGTAGTGACTCGTGAGGGCGATGAAAAAAATTTTAAGAAATTATATATGTGTTTCCAGAAATTTTGTAGCAGCGCCAGAAAGTTGAAACACGTATTACTCCAGAGAACTTTAGTTTGTTAGATAGCATACGTATTGCAGGTATTCACTTCTACGGTTTCCAAAAAGATTCTCATGACTTTTCTTCTATCTTCCTTGTACGAGCGTGTAAAATTAAATTCCAACCAACCATGCAGTTATCATCGTGTACATCGTCTGTGCTCACTTTTATCGAAAAATTCTTCACTGAGAAACAAACCCAGAAATGACATGATCCTGCTCATTGTACAGTGATTGAATGAAAGCTTACTGCTCTATCTAATCATCATCCTATATCGAAGATCCTTGTCGTCGTGTAACTACTCGTCCTAATGTTTCCGACGTAACGAACAAAACGTGGGGTAGACAGACCCCGCATTTCTGTGCTTCCTAGAAATGATAAAACGTATTTGTTTCTGTTTGCACATGATCTTATTTGTACACAACCTAACGAACAAGTACAAGACGACTGAACACCGATTGTTCGTGCCGCACCCTGCATTCCTCTGAAATTTCTTCGTGTTCACCAGTACCACGTCTAGGACGCTGTCGGGATGCTTGTATTTTATTCCTTCATTCAGGGAAGTCACGTTCGTTGGCTCCGTCGTGAACTGAAGGATGACTTGAAAAATCGGTCGCGTCCTCGGCGTGGTCGCGGGCATGACAAGATGGGAAACCAAAACGGAGATCTTGACAACACAACCCAGAGTAAGTTTTGTCGATCAGGACGATTTTGTTTGGCTTCTCGTGCTAGTGATGACAAATTGTCATCTGAATTTATTTTGCTGCTGTACTGCTACTTGCTGTTGCTACCACGTCCACGTAGATTTTCTCTCGTGTCTTGGCAGCAGCTTGTTGTTGTTCGTGCCAATGAAAGAAATGCTACTACTAACTTGCGAGGTCGAAGATGAAGATCTAGGCGCTCAGATGAAGCGAGTTTCATTTTCTCTCGCGATCTAGTACTTCATTATCGTTTGCCATTTCTGAGGCGATCTGGATCTTGATCTGCATACTGTAAGTATTCTCAAGTTGTACAGATCTAACTTTGCCAAGTAGCTCGGTCGGGAACTACTTTCACAGTCGAGGATATCGGTATACTTTTGTGTCTTATTCCTTTTTGAATCTCGAGCCTCGAAGAACAGCAAGCCCATGTCGTCATCGCCGGCAATTGTTGCAGAGTTGATGTCACATTTCTTATTCTTGCCACTACATTTCTTGAAGTGGCCGCGGCTGCGCTCCCTGCCCGCACATCTCATGGTCTGGACAATGGGAACGACGCTTGCGGCGTTACTCTTCGTTTGCGGGGGCGAAAATGTGCAGGAGGTGAAGGCCAACGAGGAGCATGCGCTTGCGTTCCACCAAGGTGGTACGTCGAGAGGGCATACGCTGGCAGATGAAGATCACAGCCCACTGGCGGCGCTGCAACGGCCCGGAGGCGAACAGTCCTCGCAGCTGCTTTCCGACCGCGTTCCTGCGCTCTCCAAAGGTAGTAGCGAGGAGCAGAACGAGGTGCGGACGCCGGAAGACGATGTCGTGGCGCCAGCATATTTCGAGCACGAAACACTGCGACCACCGCTGTTCGAGGGCGCGCAGTTTGATACAGCGGAAGAGTTTCTGCAGAGCAATGCAGAAGTACAGTATGCGTCTGAAGGGTGGTCGGCTACGCGGGTCGGGAACGAGGAGCAACAGGAACGCCGACAGACGAGAACTCCCTCTACCTCCCCCACCAACGAAAACGACATCGAGGATCTGGGTAGAGACTTTGTGGACCACAAGCAGCAGGAGTGGCTTCAGATTGGAGGATATGCCGCAGCAAAAAAGAGAAGCAGAGCCGCGGATGCCACTGCCATGGGAGGGCCGAGTGAGGACCTACGACTTCCGATGGAGCAGCAAATTTTCCAGATGCAGCAGGAGATGGCAATGCTCCGGGCGGAGATGCAGCAGAAGATTGCAATGCTCGAGGCGAACGCCACTGCCTGCATGAACAACGTGACCGACCTTGTGAGCGCGAGCACAGATATTCGCCACGCCGGGGCGGTCGTGGAGGAGGCTAGTGGACTGCTTTTGGCGCAGATGTTTACTGTGTGGTGGGTGGATTACACTGGCGCTGTGGTGTACCTCCTTTCCGGGTTCGCGGCTTTGCTCATTGTCGTCGCACTGCCGGTTCGCTTGGTCTTTTTTCCCAGGGAATACAGCCAACAAGAGGAAGTAGAATCGGAGGGCGGCGGGGATGTCACTCCGGAACCAGAGCAGGGGGCAACCGCCGTGGCAGATGGTGACCAAGCAGACCTTGTTTCGGCCGACCGCCCGAAACCACCGCCGGCGAAGCCGGAGAAGTACTGGCTGCTTCCCTGGGATTTCGCCAGGAAAGGAACTTTGTCAAGTGTATGTCAGCGAGGGGACAGCACGGAGGGCAAGATTTTCACCACAGGTCTAGTGATAGCCGAAATTTGTGCACTGCTCTCGCGCTACACACTGATCGTGTACGATCGCAGCTGTGCGGGCTTTGCTACCGTGGTGGATCAAGAACTGGACAGTATAGGCACCGAGCGATCTATCGATCTGGCGCTTCGTGTGGTTTGGCTGATCCTTCCGCCTCTCCTCATGATCATCACGGCTGCGGTGCCGGGCAACAGTTTCAAGGTGAAGGGTCTGGACGCAGCTCCGACGACGACGGCAGGCAATGCAGCAGGTCCGGGAGGTAGCGCCACCCGAAATCGTGTGACGGCGATCCACGAGGACGATACTCGGATATGGTCGCAGGCACTGCATCGAAGTGTTTTGGCCGCAGTTGGGCTGCGGTTAATTTTTGAAACGCGGCAGTTGTTCCGCGAGCCTCTCGACGTCTCCGGCGTACTGTTTGGGGTGTCGGATTCGTTGGACCTGGACGAGCAACACGACCTACATTTTTGGGTGGATCTTTCCGATCAGCGAGTCGCGGCCCGATGCGGCAGCGACGCTCATCGGGCAGCCTGGGCGCAGGCCTATCGCGGCTATTACTTGGGCCGAGTGGTGTGGCTCTTTCTCGGGTGGGCCTTTTCACTACTATTCCTTGCCCTAAGCCTTGCGTGCGCATTGCAATATCGACACGCCGAGGACCGTTCAGCCAAAGACCGGGACCGTCTGCACGCTGCGGCCTATCTCGAAGACGTTCGCTTGGTTCCGCAATCGGCGAGCCTGATTCTTCCGCGGCTCTCGTTTGCAGCCGAAATTCTTGCCATGCTCACTGTGCAAGCGCTACCCTTCTGGCCCGTTCTTCTGAAGGTAATGCGGCATGGGCAAGGTGCTACTTGGAACCCGCCACTGACACCCCTCGATGTTTTGCTTAGAGTATCGTTTGAGCACTTGTCGTGGAGGCAGAATCTATCACAATGCGGGCATTACTTTGATACGGACAAGGACTGTGGCAACGATATGTTGACGGCACAGTTGTGGTTTTCACAACCTCCGGTTAGATAGTGGCTAACTTCAAACTTCTGTGCAGGCCATATGAAATTGCAACAACAGCTGCGCAGTGGAAACTGAGGAAGCTTTCGACTTTTTGTAATTCACCTGAGATCTACTACTACTTCATGTTGTAGCACTGCGCAGAGTCACTTAACTTGAGGCGTGGAAAGAGATGCGACAAAGACAAAGCTACCTGCTCCAGGAGCTTCTGCGACGCCGTGTTCAACATGTGCTTTATCGTCCAAGCAGGAGTTCCGGGGTCCACCGTCGATCAGTGCGCCTTCCCTGCGTCGATCAGTGCCGCCTTGCAAGAGCCAGCGAAGACGAAGACGAAGATCATTGGCAAACCATTCAAGTTTCCACCTCTTCGGAGAATAGCTCGCTAAAGATCGGCTTATCCGCTTTGGATTGTCAATCCAAAGTGGAAAATAAAACCAATCGAAACTTGATGAAAAAAACAGACAAGATGATGGGGCGGGCTCAGGCGCAGCGGGGCTTTCGCTTTCCTTTTGTGGTTACTCTTGTCTTCGCGACGTGTTGTCGCTTTGCCTATGGTGGGGAGACTACGTCAGCAACATCACACGTGCATCTTGAAGATGTCTCCTCCCCGTCCGCGATCGAGGAGGATCATGTTCATGTGAGGATTCCTTCGGGCACGACGATGACTTCACCCCCAGAGCAACTTCGAGAGCCCGCTGTCAAAAACATTCAAGGCGGACCTAGTCCTCCGAACCCGTGCGAAGTGGCTCTGCGAGAGCAAGTGCGAGGCACGACTTTGACGCAATTCGGAAAATTACTGCTCTTCGGTACGGGAAAACAAATTCCATACGACGCAGGAAAGTACAAGTTTTGCCGAGCACTGGAAAACGCAAAGTATTTCCTGGCGGAGTTCCAGTACCAGTATGTCAACGGGGGTGAGGTGGAGGAGGAGCAACAGCAGAAGCAAGGATATCATGGCGCTTTTACGAAAGAGGACGGCACCAACGTTGTCGAAAATCTGCTTGCGCCAGCAGTTTCTGAAGTGCTTTCGCGAACGACCATATCACAGGATGATCGGGAGGACAAAATTCTTGAGAAAAACGATGGGCAGCACCCATTGTTCTCGTTCCCGAGAAACATCATTCTCGATGCCCTCAATCCCATGCTTCAAACCGAAGACTTGTTGACGGGAAATAAACTGTTTGCAAACCCGGCGATAATTGATGCCCGCCGAGGACATCCGAATCTTCACGCAGCTCCGAATAAAGCCTTGGCCATCCCGATGAAACTGGGTCTGTGCCTTCCCGCGACGCACGTGGTCAATAACAAGCGCCTCCCAGCTTGCACGAAACAAACCGTACACGACATGCTGCAAGACTGGATGCGACCCAAAGCGGCTGCGCGAAGAGGCTCGAAACTTTCGTCCGCATCAGCAAGCCATGAAGCCGAACTGCAGACACAAACCACGACCAAACTGGAAGATGAAGATCAAGATGATTCAAACACCCGTCTGCTCAGCGCCGTCATTCCCACCGATTCCAAGCAAAAGGACGCGACCAAAGTGCAAATCACCTGCCCCGAGGAGGACACGGTGACTTCCCTCGATGACTACGCGATCGCGTCTATCGGCTTTCTCGGGCTATTGCTTTTGACAGTCATTACCGCGACCTTCCGGGTGCAGGTTTTCGAAGCTGCGATGGAAAAGTACGAGAAAAATGTCAGGCTGCAATCGGAACTGGATCGGAGACTAGTGGAGAGTTACTGCAGCAACAGCGTGTCGACGAGCAGTTTGCTGAACAGCAGTTATCCAAGTTCGGAAGTCGGTGGTGGGGAAAATAATGATGTTTTGGTCGTCAACGCCGAGACCATTCAGACACCGAGAGGAATGGAAGATGGTACTCTTTCTAGTACTGAAGTAGATGTATGCAACTTTTATTGCCTAAGCGTAGTTAGGTAAATGGTACAGACTTGTTTTTTGTGATTGATATTCAAGATTCGTGATGAGCAAGACATGTTGACAATTACAAATCAGAAACAGGCTCTACCGACGGCACGCCCAGTACGGCATCGTCACCAAACGAAGCGGAGCCAACATCACAAGCTACTACACCTAGAGGAGCCACAGCAGCAGCACCTGCAGTTGTTTCGTCATCCTCTGCAAAACAAGCAAAGCAGCTCAACACGGGCACCGCGTCCCGGCCGCTTCTCATCGTCGACACGCTGATGGAGCGACGGTTAGAGGAGCAGACCACCATCCCACAACTCCCCCGTCCGATCGCCCCACCACTATGGGCGAAAGCGTTTGCGCTGTTTGGGAAGACAGGGACGTTGACGAAGTTGTTTCAGACAAATACGAACACAGGAAGAAAAAACAATTCGCCCAGAAAACCCCACACCAACGACCGGCCGACGGATTGTCTGAACGGAATGCGGGTTTTGTCTATGCTCTGGATCTATCAAATGCAAAAATGTCTGGGTCTGGAAGAGTCCAAGACTTGTGATGCAGGTTTTCCATGACCCGTGAGGTCTGGAATGCGAGACCCAGCATGACAAATTCTTTGAGGTCTCTATCATGCCTTTCCTGCGTGAGAAACTCCCTCTCAGCTTGGTCAAAAGCGGACAGCTTTTGGCACTCACGCAACACAGATTTTTGCATCATTCAGATTTAGCATGACAGGTTCTAATCTTCCCGACCCAGACATTTCTACATTTGATAGGATCATCCTTGGCCATACCTTTCTCATGCCCGAAGGCCTCACCGGCTACAGCAACAACGAGGACATCGCGAGCATCATGCGACCGTTCGTGACCGCTGACTTCAGTAGCGAGACCGCGCCCTGGCTGATGTTTGTGCTCGCTGCGGAATTTGGGGTGGACAGCTTTTTCTTCATGAGCGGGTTTTTGCTCTCCTTGCTGCAACTACAAGAGCTGGAGAAGAAGCACGGGAAGAGGAGTATCAGGGATAGAAGAAGTGGATCATCTGCTGAAAATTCTACAAATCGCAGGCCGTCCCTCTTCCAACACTTCAAAAAGTGGCTTTTTGGCTTGTTCCAGCGGTACGTCCGGTTGACCCCAAGCCTGGCACTGGCTTTGATGCTGTACTACAAAGTTCTCTACTTTTTCGTCGCGATTGGCGACCAAGGGAGCAGCGCTGTTCCTGTCGATGGTGATAGCATCGTGCAATCTGTCCCCTCCTCCGGGCCTTTCGTCCCCTTACTGCAAGACTCGATCAAGAACAAGTGCGATTCCTCCTGGTGGAGCGAACTCAGCTACACGGTGAATTTCATCCCCTTTGACTCCGACAAGGTCTGCATGGGCTGGAGCTGGTACCTGGGGAATGACATGCTGTTTTTCGCAGTGGGCACGGTAATTGTGCCGCTTTACTTTCACAAGTCGAAACTGCATGGGGTTATTCTCCTGCTCACGTTTCTCCTCGCCGCTGTCGGGATCACGACCTACCTGATTTACCACTACCATTTATCCCCTTATCTCTTCGACCGGCACTACCTGGACTACAGCTATTACGCTTATTCGAAGCCCTACTGCCGGATCGGCGCTTATCTGATCGGGTTAGCGACCGCGTGGCACGTGCTGGAGCGGGAAGAAAAGCAAGACCATGCGAGGTTTTTCGGCAGTAAAAGGGCGAGCGTGTTTTTGCTACTGGCTTTTTCCGTTTTGGCGGTGTTGATCTTCATTCCGGCAACGGACGGGGGGGAGAACAAAAACAGCTGGTCCGATTTGGAGTCGAATTTGATGCTGAATTTCGGCCGGCTTTTCTGGGCCGGGTGTCTGGCCGTGATCGTCACGCATTGCTATTTTGGGCACTATCCGTTCATTGACAGCGTCTTAGCGCACGAGATCTTCACGCCTTTAACGAGATTGTGCTACGGGGCGTATCTGTGCCATCCGTTGGTGATCAAGTATTTTGCCGGGACCAGCCTGCAATTTTACAACTTCGACCTGCATACGATCTTCTCCCAGTTTCTCCTACACACGGTTTTGTCGTTTTTACTCGCGGTGGTCTTGTGGTGTCTGGCTGAAAGGCCAGTGATGACCATTGCAGGCGCTTATTTGAAGTAGCCATAGAAATGTACTGTTTACGTTTTCATCTGATTTTTCTGCACCGGCAAGGAACATGTGGACATGAACACGAAGACGATCGACAAGAGCGACGAAGTCAAAGAAATTTCAGAGTCGACGAACAGCAGACGCTCGCTTACTTATAGCAGCACACTAACACGAGCTGCCACGTATACTACTTTGGAATCAAAAGATTTATTTGATGCGCTTTCTGGTGGAGCTGGATGGTCTGGTGTGGCTAGTGCGTTTTGCTTTCCCATTTAAAGAAATGCACAACGTACAAAATCTTGTCCGCGGACAAGCAATGAAGATGTTGCGGCGCAGCTCGGCCCCCGGACTTCTCGATTGATCGTCCTCGCTCTGAATCATCTAAATCTTCTTCGATCGTTTTTTTTTGCATCGTTAGTTTGGTGTTTAACATTTCAAGTCGCTCGGCACCAGGATCAGGAACATGAACATTCGTTCGAGGTTGTCGCTTTGCTCGGAAGCGACTGTCAATGTGACAATGTCGGTGCAGGAGGAAGGAAGTTTGTACCTCTGACAAGTAACTTCGCATCGTCTGACAAGGGGATTGTAAGTGGGGAAACTGACTGATGATCGTGATTCGCCTTCCAGCGTTGTTGCATTTGTCTTGTCGTGTGATGTTTTCGTTTGGGATTGTTTCTAGTTTGGATTTGATGTTCCTGTTGGTGTTTCAATATTAGTTTATCTGTATTGCTCCTGGTCCTGCTACTCTGCAGTTGTCGTTTGTCATTCTCTAGGTTCGTACTTCCTAGGCACCACATTCAGGACAAGCACCAAGCGAGATTGCATACACACAGTAATTATTTGAAACTTCTTCTGTGTCATGAAGGTCGAAGTAGAAGTATTCCGAGTCGCGGAAGGGAGCACGGAAGTCACGCGACGGGAAAAAAAATTCGTAGTGGAAGTCAACGGCACACCCGGCGTGCGCACTTGGTGCTCAGAAATCCAGCACGCTGCAAGGGAGAGGTTTGGAATCCCCCTCGAAGCGCAGCACGTTACGACGCCAAGGCTGGTCCTCTTTAGCTTGATCTACCCGTGCCACTATGGCATAGGAAGCATCCGGCTGAAGCTGATGTCCGACGAGGAACGGATTACCGAATACGCGAAGTTCTTCGATGAAAAAGAAGAATGGGGGGAATGGATCAAGTGCGCGACTGGCAAATCGTTGCGGAAAGCAGGCGTCCATTCGAAAAAAAGCAACCGCGTCTACGTGTGGACATCCTACCTCGGGCCCGTTCCAGAGAAGCGGCCAGCTGCTCTCGGCGCGGCAGGCGGCATTCAATTGCAAGAGGGCCAGCCAAGTACAATTTTTCGTTTGTTTTGTTGCGTTTGTCCTGCTTTCGGGCCCTGTGTGCATCCGTGCCATTGAGAGCGTAAAAAATGCGGTTGTGTCATCAATACAAATCTCACAAACTACAAAGGCGCGCAGTCCCAGTCCTCGAAAAAAAGGCGGGTCGAATTGTAGTACGGGGGACGCCGGTCCCGGTGCCGCGATGTCTGTCTGCGCGCCAGCTCGTGCTTGAATTTCCCTGAGTTGTAGTGCGTCTTGGGATCTCTTCGCAGATGCTGTGCGTGCGTGTATTTATATGCAGGGATGATCTTTCACTTTCTTGTGAGGGCGTATCTGAAGAAGCAAATGGATCTTCTGAGGACTGTTGTCGTGGTAGGCGTAGGCTCATAACAACGACATCAACGTTATGCCCAACGATCGACAATCACAATGAACATGAAAACTGCACCCCTAAGAAAGTAGGCGTCATTCAATTTCGGAATTGAAAGTGCAGCATTCGTATTCGAAGAGCGGACGTGGGTCTTGACAGTCATCCTTTGCTCGTGGAGTGGGGGCCAAGAAGTCGCACCGGCCTCATCAGAGATATTTCTCTTGCAGCTGTACCTGCTGGCTTTGTTGCCAGTCGTCCGACACAACTTATTGCTTGGGATACAAGAAGGTCTAGATCTGTTTGGACGTTTGGATCTGATGTTTCTAATCGCACAGCACCCAAATAATGCCTTGACGGATCCACGTCCACTTCTTCGCGATCCCGATCTCGTTAGCGTCACTATTCTTCAGTTTCGTATGACATGCGCCATTACCCTGTATGGCGAGTCGTGTTGCCTGTCAGGATGATAGAGGTAGCAGGAGTCGTCTTGAACAAGATGATCGTCAGCGTTATATAGGAATGAAAGCTGAAGCTGATCTTTTACTGCGAGTCTCGACTAGCCCAAGTCAGTGTGAGGCGGGCGCCACTAACCTGCTCCACTGGTTGAACGTGAAGGAACCTGATCGAGTCGTATCGTGTCGCCACGCTGATGTAGATGCTCAAATAATTGATTCATGTTTCAGTGCACAGGGACAAAGTAATCGTCACGGAAAAAACTGAAAGTGAAACTTCTCATCGGATCGACATTCGAGCTATTCAATTGAGGCAAAATCTACGACGACGACCGCGATGTCTGCTTTTCGCTACAGAAGATTGATAAAGTAAGCAAATCATCTTCCTCCTCGCACAAGTTTTTTTGTTCTTGGACTCGGCTCAGTCATCATCTACTTCATACATCATTTCTCATACTCGATCATTATCAATCTACTTCAACTTGTACTGCTTCAGCTGATACAGAAGTAGAAAACACAATGCCGCCGCCGTCATCTGTCGGTGCAGATGCAGGGCGCACTGGCCGCAGTCGGAGCCCCAGGCGACATCCGCAACGGGTTGAAGATCTTTTCCAAGACGACTCAACACTGCAGATGGGAGGGCTTGCCGGAATATGGAAAGTCAAGAACGACGAGATGGACGATGAAGTTCCGAGTATGGTGTGGGTCGACACAGACGGTCAAAGTATGCGATTTTTCAAACAAGATAAATGGAAGATGGCACGCGGCGCAGGGAGTCAGAAAAACACCATCTTCAGTGTCAAAGCTAAAATTGCGAACAGGATGTGGGTCGCGAACGGTGTCCGTGCCGACGCCGAGAGCATAACGTGGCAGAACGAAGCGGATGCGGATGAAAAAGCAACCTGGATCCGTAGTAAAGAACACGCGCTGCCGTCCTGCTCCGGCGCTAGCTCTCGCCAAGTGCCCGGCAATGGCGCGGAAATCAATCGGCCGATTGTTAGCGCGGACATGATCGACGACGGGATCGACCGAACGATTGCGCAGGCAGAGGAGGCCTTCCAAGAGACGACCAAGGCTTTTCAAGAAACGACCAGAGCAGCGCTCGAAAAGCTGCGAAACGGGCTCCAGTCCGCGAAAAAATGTGAGGTCGTTCCGAGCTGCAAAATTTGCTTGACCCGCCCGGTTTCCGTCGTCCTTCTCGGCTGCGGGCACACGCTCTGTAACGATTGCGCTGATATTCAGTGCAAACCCGGCAAAGTGTGCTTCGCGTGCAAGGTTCCCTACGCGGGGCGGCAGCAGATGTTCTTCTCGTAGGGGTTCACGGGTTTGCAATCTCTCTCGTTGGTGTCAACAAAGCGTGATCCTGAAAACAGTTAGATACCAAACTGACATTCGTGCTTTTCCTATTGCCCCCAGTATGATCCTTTGCTTTTCAGACTCAGAGATGTAGAAACTAACCCGTCAGCACTTTGAGCTGTAATGTCGTTCAATCAGAAGTAGAAGTTTAGCACCTCCTGCACCTTGTCCCTGTGTTACCATCTCTGTGAGTCGGCCCTGAGACGCGACGCAGATGCTGAGAATTCCAATGCCCTGTTCTCCGACATCCAGCTGTGTTTTGAAGATGTGCGACGGATCAAAGACGAGCTGGTCGCGAGATTTCAAAAAAGATCTCTCTGGTGTTGTCGTGATGTTGCGATTTGCTCACTCTTGTCCCCCCTGCAGCTGTGTTACCTGCTACGACGCTTGGTCGATGACACAGTCAAGAACATGTTTCTGTTACTATGTGTAGTAATGCCAAGGCGGACTTCAACTGAAATTGTGTTTGTAGTGGGCTTGAAGGTCCCCAGGCAAGAATCTGAGAGAAGGTGCAGCGGCCGCTGAAAAGAAATATCTCCCGCGATGTACAACTATCGCAGTAGCAACACGGTTCTTCATGCGATGAACACAAACTTCTCCAGTCCCAGTGTTGTAGTATCACGACTACCTTTACCTCCTTTTAGATTTCGTGTTGTATCTCTCTAGTGCTGCGGAACCCTCGTGCGGTAAGCTCGTCATTCAATTACGACAACGAGGGCACTTCCGTGCCGCCCTCCTTTTTGTTCGAAGCTATGAGCCCCCCTCGTCGTCCGTACACGAGATGCCGCCCAAAGAGCAGAAGTACACTACGCCGGCGGGCACTTCGGGAAGCCGAGGAGGCCGCTCGGCGACGAGCGCGCGATCACCCCCCGCGGGAGCAAAACATGCCCCGTTCGCGCAGCAGACCGAGAAATGCATCGCCCACCACACCAGAAGTTTTTTCCTACACCGCCGCCTCCGGTTTCGAGCGTCCTTCGTCTGAGAACCAGACTGCGCAATCTGCGAATCATCCAACAGGAGGCACGGCAACGAGCAACACAGTATCACGGGCTGTAGTAGAAAATGTTGCTGCGCTGCTGCAATTTGAACTTCATCGTCCACACACACACAGCACCCGGTCATATCCATTGTCGGCAGCTGCGAGCCATTCTGTTTTTCGTGCAGATGATGCCGATGCAATTACGCGTAGCACGACGGTCACGCTTGCAGATGCTACAAAGTCCGAGGGGAACAGCAAGAACGTGCAGCAGATGTCCGGGCTTGCCGGGCGCTGGCGTGTGGAGCATCCGGAGTGGCTGGATTATTCCCAATCCGCTGCTTTGAAAAAGATTGAGATAGCGGAGATCGGCGAGGAGGGCGTGTCTGTCCGATTCCTCAGCGAGCCCGATGAATCAGAGTCGGGAGGAGCCGACAGCACATTATTAGGGACAGACGTGAACGAAACCAGCAAAACCTTGTCGACAACGTTAGTTGTCGGCCTACTCGCGTCCCGACGGTTATGACACCCTCAGAATGGAAATCCTCAAAGTGGAAATAATTTGTGATGCATGATGAAACGCGACACCAAAAAGACTGTATTGCAGAGAACGCAATGGAGGCCGACTACTGTGCTTCTACGGGTTCAGAATTGGGCTGCTGATTAGCATGGGAGAAGGGCACCCCTTTGCCTAACTAGCATGACAAACACGTTTTGAGTGCCCGGGAAATTTGTCATGCGCCGACTATAAATGGTGCTCGAACTGGCGTCGTTTTTTTGCATTACAAATTATTTTCACTTTGAGGATTTCCAACCTGAGTCCTGAGGCTTTCATAACGGTGCAGTGAGTCTCGTGATTTTACTCTGCGGATTAACACAGGCGGGCCGCGGGACTGGATTGCAACGCCTGTGTATCAAATGTAAAAATGTCTGGGTCTGGAAGAATGCATGTTTGTCATGCTTGTCTGGCATGACTCTTAAATCTGTCATGCACGTTACCCAAGAGCTCCGTTTTTCTGTGATGCAGAAACGCAGTTTGTCATGCAGAATAGGCAACACCTAGTAGAAGCTCAGAAACTTGTCATGCTGAGCCAGCACTTCTGGCCTCATCATGAGACGCCACTCAGCATCACAAGTTTCCAGACCCAGACATTTTTACATTTGATACTGTGGGAGACGAAGCCATAGAAATTGAAGAAATTGTGTGGTACTTGGAGCACGACCTTGAGAAGAAAGTTGTCTGGCGTCGCGAGCACAACTCGCAAAAATCTAGCAGCTCCGCACCCACAAATACCACCACGGTTGACCTCGTGAATGACGCCGTCGCACAAACACTCGCAGCAGCGGAAAGGCAAACCCGTGAGGCGTTTGAAATGTTGCGAGACGGTCTCAAGGCGGCGGAAAAGCGCGAAGTCGTGCCGACTTGCAAAATTTGCCTGGAAAACCCAGTATCCGTGCTGTTGCTGGGATGTGGCCATACCATGTGTGCCGGTTGCGCCGAGAGGCAGTGTCAGCCGGGGAAAGCCTGTTTTATCTGCAAGGCTGCGTACGAAGGGCGCCACAAGCTGTTTTTTTCGTGAAGAGGTGGCCCATTCACCAGGTCAATCGACTTGGACTAAGCTGCGGAATGCACGATCTAGCCGCGCGAACCAATCAATCGAGCACTACAACTTCGCCTTCCGTTTGCATATTATAGTTATGGTTTTTCTGAGGAACAATCTTTTTGCTCCAGATGGCGCCTGGCTACTTTTACTTCTCCAGCGTGAGACGGTCTTCCTCACTTCGTGCGTATTCTCATTCATAATTAAAATGTTCACCTCATTTCACATCATTTCCAAACATCGGCACGGACGCAAAATCGGTCACGTTCGCGTTCCTGGCATTTTCGTAGTTCCCGTTTTCGTCCGCAGAAAAAGCGGACGATGAATGCCGATGTCCTTGACTTCTGCAGCTGACTGACCACCACCTGGACGAAGACGAAGACGGTTCTAATACCAGTGTTGGTATCGTGTTGTACGTCGTTTTTATCAACAAGCGCATGTGTAACTGCCAACCCAGAGGCAAAGAAGTGTTTGCGCTTTATTTTCGTTAGATGATCCAGAGATCTCGAAACCTGACGTAGAGATAGAGCCTCGATCTTTTCTGCTGTCATCGCAGCCGTGATCGAAGGTGAGGTTGAGAAAAGTTTGAAGACGAGAGCAGATCTAGATCTTTTGCTAACGCTTTCAAAGATAGGCATGGAAGTAAAGTCAGTATCAGCATGAATTTCGTATGGGCTCTCTTCGAACTCGTGCTCTGATCGCGATTTTGCTTTGGAGTGCGTAGGGTTCAATGAATATGTTGGAAGCGGAGCAAGGACAATGTGGTGAAAAAAGCAGGCGACCACAAAAAGGGTTTTTTTGCGATGAATGAGAATGGTAGAAGTGTGTTTCTTCATTGACATTGTGAGCATGCTGTTCCGGAAGTGAAGTCTACAGCTTGCTACTTGTCGAGGAGCGAGAAAGTGCCTCTTTTTTTGTTCGCGCGGTCTCTGGTAAACAGTGTACCGGCACTGTTTTTTTGAGGGGGAGCCTTAGTCTTACTGACGTATCCGACAAGAAATAAAAAGTGTAGTTGTAGTTTCTTTCGACGCTCTCAACATTCGCGCCGTCAGTCAAGTCATGCCTTCCCCCGCACGCAACCGCAGTCGGAGTCCACGGCGCGAGCTTGTCGGCCGCGGGATCTTGGATGAACTGAATCAGCTCGCACAGCAGGATGTTGACCTGGCCGTGCAGCCCGGGAGTAGCAGCAGCAGTGCCACTAGCCAAAATAACAGCTTCTCCCCATCTGAGTTCCTCGAGTGTCTGAACGGCGCGTGGCGATCGAACGAGAACGGATCCTTGGTCCATATCACGAACGGGCGCACTGTCAAGTTCTCCTGGGACGCCGCCACGAATGAGCCTAGTATTCTGGAACTGTGCTCGACGACCAAGCTGGCCGCACTAAACACGATCTTCAGCGTCAAGCTGGACGGCGGCACGTGGACGGCAAATGGCGTGCGGAAGGACAGCCAAGCCATCACCTGGCACAGTAAGGACCCAACACACCCGAAAACGCCCATCATCTGGCAGCGGACGACGGTGCCAGCAAGGGACGCGATCATGGCGGAACAGGTTGAGCAAACGATTTCGGCGGCGGAGGAGAAAGCGAAGCAAATGTTCGAATCTCTTCGGCGCGACATGCAGTCCTCCCTCGCTTCGGACGTGGTGCCGACCTGCAAAATTTGTCTGGCAAATCCTATCGGTGTGGCGTTGCTGGGGTGCGGGCACGTGTTGTGCACGCAGTGCGCCGAGGAGCAGTGCCGACCGGGGAAGCCCTGCTTCGTGTGCAAAATACCCTATCACGGACGGCAGTTGTTGTTCTTTTCTTGATGATGGAATTCGCGCCGCTAAGTGTTGATTTTTTTTTCGCCAGTTGGTTCTAAGTTCATGAGCTTCGATCTCTGTAGAGCATTGATTTATCGGCTTCACTGCCGGGGCCTCGCATGCGACCGACCGACGCCATTTGATATGATAACGATGCCTACGTAGAGTGACCAAACTGAAACAATAGTCAGTCTGTTCCTGTTCTAAAGACCAATTGAGTATCTCCGCAGCACTGCTGTGCGAAGTAGTTTCGCCATTCGTTGTATGGTTCGCAAGCTTGAGGTCTTCATTTGAATTTGTTCATCGAGAAGCCGAAGCGTGAAGCCAAGCTCAACAAAGAAAAAACATAGTATGTTTTTCCTATGTTGATATTCAGACGCATAATATCGCTATGAAGAAGCGCTTTTTTGGATAAAAAATTGCCCCCACGATGAAAAAGTGACAATTTTAGATAATATATTGGAGGTGATCGGGCAACGTGAACGTAGAAACAAAATCACCTTCGAAGCACAGGCTAGATTCAGAAACATTTGTGTTGGTCGTAGTAAGATTAAGAAAATTGCAAAGTCAAGAAGCTTCGACTTGTTTTTTTTTTTTCGCAATCGCAGTCGCTTAGGCTTCGACAGACTGCGTTACTGCCGAGACACTGACTACGTACAGCCTCAAGTAAAGGAGAGAAAATTGTTGAACATCATAAATAAATCAAAATGCCGTCGTCAGCTGCACAGGCCGCTGCCAGCAGCGCAGCTGCACCATCCAAGCCTTTGGATGGGGAGCCGCAGCTGCGTAGGCGCAGCCGAAGTCCACGCCGAAACGGAAAACATAAAACCGAGAATGATGGAGCGGCTCCAGAGTCGCAAGCGCATGATGTCATTGAAGGCAGTGCCCGCTCCTCTACTCTCCCGTCTCAACTGCAAGGCTTAATCGGCCTGTGGCGAAGCTCCGACCACCGCTATCAAGAAGCTCCGGTTCGGTGTTACTTGCGGGACGCCATGGAAGACGGACTTTTGCACGTCGAATGGGCTGATGGGTCTGGTTCGTCTTCGAAAATCCGTCTTGTGACAGGCGGCCTCAACAAAAAATCGAAAAGCACTCTATTTACGATACAGCTAGAAAATCCCGGCAATCACGATTTTGACGAGGCCGACAACATTGCGCACCGTTGGATGGCGAACGGCGTCACTGCGACTACGAAGGAGATTCTGTGGCACAATAAGAAGCCCAAGGATGGTGCGCACAGCCCTATCACCTGGACACGGATTTTTGTTCCGCCACGGGAGGTTGCTGCAGCTGATAGCGTATGCGAGAAAATCGAAAAGGCTCAGCAAGAAACGGCTCGTACCTTTGAAAAGCTACGTGCTGATATCGAAGAAGCGGAAAAAAGATCCAAGACTGCGTATGAGAAGCTGAGGTCTGACGTTTCGGGCAATCTACTGGCTGATCAGGTTCCGTGCTGCAAAATCTGCATGACCAATCCGATCGGCGTCGTCCTACTCGGCTGCGGGCATGTTTTGTGCGAAGAGTGCGCAGAGCAACAGTGCACGCCGGGGAAACCGTGTTTCTATTGCAAAGTGCCGTACGCCGGGCGACAGGAAATGTTCTTCTCGTGATCAATATGGTGGTCTGAATCAATGGCATCAACCTATTCATGGCCTGAATGAATGTGACCGTGACCGACGCCGGTGTCGCTTATGATTTATACGAATGTAATATCTCCGAGTGACTATGACCAAGCAGGAATGGTCTGTTCCTACACCGAGGAGGTAGGCGTACTTCCGCAGTGCCACACTTGTGACAAATAAGTAGATGATCATCTTTCGAAACTTGCAGAGCGAGAATGTTCATCGGAAGAGCGTTGAATGCAAGATTAAGAAGGCTGAAGTCACAAAGCGCAAGCCCAGCATAGAGAGAAGAGAAACGAGTAAATTCGTGTCGCGGCAATGACAAGGCCATGATCAACCCGGATCATTTCATGCGAACAAGATACGTTGTCGTTTTCGTTGTCGTGGTTGGTCGTAGTCGTAGTCGTATTCGTAGAGAAATCGAGGAGCAGTTGTGTAGAGTAGAAACATCAAAAAAATGATCGGATGTCGTGTGACTTCTTCGTCGAGCCAAAGACTTCGAGACACAGCTTTCGTCGCTCGGGTCGCGGGGATGCTACCGAAGTTATTGCTTCATACCCAGCAGAGAAAGAAGAAGAAAGCAAAAAATACAAATATGCCCTCGTCGACCCACGTTACTGGCGTAGCCACGCCACGGGACCATGCTCGTGCAAATCAAGATTCACCGCAGCGAAACCGAAAAGATGATGTAGCAGTGCCGGATGGCGAAGTGGAAGAACTTGTGTTCCACTCTCCCAGATGCAGCAGTCCCCCGTCGTCTACCCTCCCACCTCAGCTGCAAGGCTTAGTCGGTCTTTGGCGAAGCAACGAGATTGCCGGGAACGATATGAGGCGCTGGTTCCTGCGCGACGCCAAGGAAGACGGACTTTTGGAATGTCAACAGCTTCGCCGCGGATACGGAGGTATTTGCGTGATGAAAGTTCGTCTTATAACAGGAAGCGGAAATAACGAAGAGTCTAGGAATACGGTATTTGCGGTACAGCTAGAAAATCCTCACGACTTGGATATGGATAAAAGTGACAGCATTATGCGCCGTTGGACCGCAAACGGCGTCACTGCATCTGCAAAGGAGATCGTGTGGTACCACGAGAAGAATCCATTGAGCCCCATCAAGTGGACCCGCATTTCTATTCCGCCACGGGACGTCGCGGCTGCGGACAGTATGAGCGACAGAATCGACTCTGCGGAGCAAGAAGCGACGAAGGTTTTTCAAAAGCTTCGCGCCGATCTTGACGAAGCGGAGCGAACTTCCAAGTACGTTTTCGATTACCTGAAGTCAGAAGTTTCGGGCAATCTGCTGGCTGATCAAGTGCCGTGCTGCAAAATCTGTGTGACCAAACCGATTGGTGTGGTGTTGCTCGGCTGCGGGCATGTCTTGTGCAAAGAGTGCGCGGAGAAGCAGTGCATACCGGGAAAACTCTGCTGGTTCTGCAAAGTGCCGTACGCTGGGCGACAGGAAATGTTCTTCTCGTGATCAACATCATCTCGACCACCCTGCTCCAGCAACGGAGCCGATGATCTGGACCGGACGCCGGCCTTGACGAGACGGAATCAGAGCTCGGATGTCTTTCTCTTTAAAGAGAAATCAGAATCAGAGCGAATGATATTCGCTCTTTAGTCTTCACAGATTTAATTTCATTCCTTCCCCTATCCACCACTTTTGCTTGGGCCTACGAACAAGCAAACAAGATTATTGAGCTTGAGGTTTTTCTAAAACTAAATATAGAAAGAAATGTACTTCTTACATAAGAACTACGAATCTATCAGTTCAGTTGCAAATACGAACTCTAAACCGCAGCCGGGTTGCAAATACGAACTCTAACTAACGTGGGGCGCCAGGAAATGTTCTTCTCATGATCGTGATCTCTGCCCCCTTGCTCCAGGTCCAGCACCAGAGTGGAAACCGATGAAGTAGACGAGACGACTGGTCCACACGGAATCGTAGTCAGAGCGATGCGATGCACGGTGTCTTTCTCTTATTCTTGTATCAATGTTGCATATAGCATTTCTACCCAGCTGCACCACTTGAGAACTAGCACGGGAAAGATTGCTGAGAATGGTCTATGAAGGTTATAAGAGGATGTGCGCGTCAGCATCGAGCGATACGGTTTGCTGTTGCGTGTCGTGGGGCTCGAAGGAGCAGTGTATCATAGTGATGCCATTGTGTTCTGGCGCTTGAAAGTTTGAGAAATACACAGCCCTTGCACTTCGTTCTTGTGCACAGTAGAAGATCCTCAGGTCGTGGGACCAATAAACTACAATCCGGACGACGACTGCGTCTGCCAGCACCTCCGAGTGCTATTTCGAAGATCAGTTTGCTGGTGATTCTGATTTCGTCACGGTCGATATGTTTGCTACAGCGACGACCTTCTGCTACGTTTTCTCTGAAAAACTTGAATTGAGTCGAAGTTCTTGAATGTGGATGATCTGATTTTCTCTCAGCGCCACTGGACGCTGACGATCATCTGGAATTCTTTTCGATTATTATTTATTCTGTAGTGGCTCCGTTCTTTTTCACCTGCGCCTCCATTTTTTGTCCTTCTCTCGCTTTTCTTAGCAGTCACTTTGTTTTATGATATCACTCTACCCGATCTTCTTGAAAAGACAACTATCTACCTGTAGTTGCTCTTCTATTAATTACCTTTCGATTTGGTTGAGCTCGTCTGGAAGCTACCGAAAGGATGTTCGATCCAAGGCCAAAGATGTGGATATCGTGTTTCACTTTCATCACCTTGTAAAGAACGACCCTAGAAATAATTCTATTTCCAAACCTGAACCTCTTTTCCTAGAAAGACAAAAATGGCCGACGACATGGAAGACTACGGTTGGGGCGACGACGATGACCAGCAGCACACCTCCGGTGCTACGCCCAATGCCGGCCCACCGTCCGGCCGCGCGGATTATTACCAAGAAGACCAACACACGGCTGACGCTGTTGACCACGCCGTCGAGGACTACCAGAAATCGAAACAGGAAGAAATCGAGGATGACTGTCGGGAATTTGTCCGGCAGACGCGGCGCAAGATGCTGGAATCCTTCCGGCTGCGCGTCCAGCGAAACGGCGGGTTTAGCTTCGGCAATAACGCCGGTGGGCCGAAACTGCAGATACCGACCACGCAATTATTGCAGTATTTGCAGAACAAGCATGGACGGTGGGAGACCTTGGGGTTTAAGGACACAAAATTTAGCGAGTTTTCAAGCAGGGTCTTGCAGAGTCCGGAAGATCAAGCGGCGGATGAGTTCATGCCGATCTTCGACAAAGCTGACTGCGAAAGGCTGCTGGTTTTGAAGGTATTGGCATTCTTTGACTTCGTGTAAATGCCTGTTGTCTCTGCAATTTGTCGTGCATAAATAAAGCACAGAGAAGATGAAATGATGTCCAACATGTCATAGATCGATCCGAATCTTCACGATCAACATCACCCATTTACAAACCCTCCAGGTCTGCCAGCGCATGCTGCGTATGCCGACCCAGGCGGTCTTGCAGAACGAATTATTCGGGCATCAGAGCGAGGACAAGGAGATCTTCCTGATCAAGTACTGCCTGCAGAAACACTACAACAACGAGAACCCGAATAATGCACAACAGTCTCAACCCTACAACCAGCACAAACTTTGGCCGGAGAATTACGTGAAACTGAACCAGCAGTACTTCAACGTCGTCCCCGCGAACCACCTCCTCCCCGACGGGCAGATTGGCTCCAGCAACAAGATTAAGGCGACGCAGTTTGCCCAAACCGAGATGCGGAAACAGCAGGAATTACTGGACAATTTTGGCATCATGTGGCCGGAAATGTTCAACACATTAGAGTGTTTGCCATTTGACCACGTCCCCGAGGAGGAGGAGCTAAAAAATCCTGGCTCTTTCAAAAAAGTAGACGTGTTCGCGAACGAAGCCCAGGTGTTGCAGGAGCAGTATCCCGGGTATGATAAAACCACGGGCGAATGGGGTCGTGGAACAAAGGGGAACTCTGCAGGACAGTCACAAGAAAAAGGAAGGCAGCATCAAGTTGGTGGAAAGGATTATATGAACAAGGGGGCTCACGCTCAACAGCAGCAGCACGGTAGTTCTTGGGTGAACGGAAAGAACAACCAGGCGCAGAGCTACTACAATGCTGCAACTGGCGCGTGGACTACGAGTAGTGCGAAGGGCGGTAGCATCACGGAACCTGTTGGGAGTAGTACGAAAGCAGGCGTAGAATCAACATCTGGTGCGATCCAGCGGACAACTGGGACGACCGATTCAGTGGACAAGACCAAACCGACCACGCTTGAGCAGGAAGCTTCCGCCGGAAAGAACCAAAAGGCGGTGACCGACGAGGACAAAAACAATAGCACTACTGCGGCACAGCCGAAGCGCAAGACTAGGTTTGGTGCACCGGTCAGTCAGGTGGTCAAGGAGCAGGAGGAGAAGAATGTTTTGAATAAAACCAACGCAGCGGTGGCAGAAAACAAGAATGCGCAAAGCGTGAATCAGAATCAGTATCAAACCGGTGGCGCGCCTCAAGCTGCGACGGGCATCAGACCATTCCCGCTCCAACCTTTGACAGCAGCAGCAGCAGCATCGACGAAAGCAGGTGGGACGACGACGAAAAGTGTCAATCAAGCTAGTGTCCTCGCTACTACTTCCTCAGCTCCTCTCTCAGACAATCGCAATCGCGCGACGCGGATGGGAAGGATTATCGACGATGACGATGCACAGGACGAGGACCGGCAGAAAGATCAGAAGCAATCCGCTCAAGAATCATCCAAACCCAACACGACCGCGCAAACTTCGCGTGCTGGAGTGCTCCAACCTCCCCCGAGGTCCTCGCGGAACAACAGTACAGTGGCAGAAGATCATGTGCCTGTTACGATGGACGGTACTAACAGTGTCAAGGTCAACGTGCGCAGCGGCGTGACCACGGCGCGCGGAGCCGCGATCGAACTGCTGAAGGGTTGTACGGCTGTCGAACAAATTCAAATAAACGCTGGTCGTGGAGAAGAAGAGCCTATCCCGCCGCCACCCCCACCTCCACCGCCTCCGCCGGAAGAGGAGGAGGAAAAGGTACAGAAAACACAGGTTTTGAATCGCAGCACATCAAGTGGAAATAAAAGTGGGACGTCTTCTCAACAAGCCACAGGAGCATCAAAGGCGAAGCCAGCTGCCGGCGGCGGCGGTAAGACCCTCGAGGAAATCAACAGACTGCTGGACACAAACAGAGCTGCTGCAACTTCTTCGAGAACCACGAAGCCCGTCGCGCCATCAACACGGAAGCCTTCCTCTGATCCGGAAGACATCTCCCCCAGACTGAAGAGGATCAATCGAACACCTGTTGGCGCCGGAGCAGGAGCGAAAGCAGGAGAAACTGCAACCGCAAGTGGTTTAGCATTTGACTCGAATAAACAACAACGCACTAGTACCAGCGAAATTTTTGATACCCACGACAACCTGCAGAGCAGGGCGACTGCTACCGCCTCAGCTAGTACAACTAGTGCCGCGAAGATTGCATCGACTAACACGACCAAGAAAGCGACCGCACTGCCGACGACGAAGTCCATCGAGACTCAAACGACAGACTCGAGCTTTAATATTGCAGATGATAAGAACACTAACTCTAACACCGCAGCAAATAAAGAACAGACGACAGACAAGCCTTCCGGTGAACCACCAGTAGTGGACTCGGATCTGCTCAGACACTTAGTGGACTTCAATGACGAGTTTCAAGCGAAAATGGCCACTTCCATTGCCAACGTCGCACTGGAACTCACCCGGAAGCGGAACGGGCGGCCCACCGAGAAGGAGATGGGGTCCGCGATTGCCGCCGTTCTGAAGGCGGGGGTTCGGAACTGGGCGGTGAATGGTGCGGGGGAGAAGATAAAAGACGTGATGATGAAGAAAAATTTGCTGCCTCAAACAGCGCAACAAAAAACTGCTGGAGCTGCTTTCGCACCTTCAAACACAGCCATCACATTCGACGACATCGGAGGACCACGGGGAGTAGATCATGCTCCTCGAGGAGGTGCGCAGTCGTCCTCTGTAGGTACAACTAGTAGTACCGGCAACAAGCGAGGGGCCGGCAGTTGTACTGCTTCTTGGGGACAAGAACTACAAAACGACAGCGCCGAGCAACTTTCCGGCTTGGTTGAAGACAAAGACAACGGAATCTTGATCAACTTTGGAGCAGGAAATAAAGGTGGAAAGGGCAAAGGGAACAAAGGCGCAAATAAGAACAGTAGAACAGGCAACATCAATAAGCCATCCTCTTCGGCCCCGGCCGTTCTGCCGCCTCCGAAAGGCCTTTTTTTGGCGGGCGGTGGTCACCAGCCGATGCCGGCGCCGCCACCGCCGATCGAACCTATGCCAGCGCCACCACCACCGATCGCCGCTACAGATCCAAACAACACACTATCTAGTACCTCTGCAGCAGGGTCGTTGGAGACGAGAAAGGCCAAGGTGAGGAGGATCGGCGAAGCAGGAGGCCAGGATGAGGGCTCTGAAAACTATGAAGACGAACCTCTGCTCCAAGTGGAGAAGCCGGCTGCAGGAGCAGACCAGAACAACCCCGACCCGCAGCAGCAGCAGATTCGGGATGCTCTTGCGAAGAACAGTCAGAAGAACAAGGAAATTCAATTACAGAAGGACCTGAAAAAAGCGGAAAAAGAGGCGAAGCGCGGGCCGAACTACAAGGGTGGCTCCATTGTGGACCCCGAGACGAACGAGATGGTGAAGAAAAACTCCTTGAGGGGGAAGGAAATCCAGCAGGAGGCGCTGATCCCGCCCCCCGACCCCTCCCAGCCAAATGTCTCCGCGGAGAAACGGTTCATGGTGAATTTATGGCGTTCTCAACTGTTACATTTTCAACTGTTGCATGAATTTGTGATGCCAGAATGGCAAAAGTGATAGGGGGGATCTTGCGCGTCGTGCATGACAGATTTGGAACCGCCTATCAGCCTGCTTGGCCCTCTGGGAATTTGTCATGCGAAGCAGCTTGATGGCGTCGATTCTGAAGGCAATTTTGCATGACAAATCATGTAACAGTTGAGAATGTAACGTTTGAGAACGCCATAGAATTTTATCGAGGAACTTGGCAAGGCCGTGGAGACTCGCGAGGGTTTGTGTGAGCTGTTTGAGTTGGAATGCACGGATATCTACAAAAATGCCTCGAACTACGTGAAAACGCGCATCCCCCCCGAAGACGACAAAAAAGCCAAGTATCGGCAGTGGACGGCTGGCGGGGCGGCGAATTTCCTCCCGGCCAACCACCCCGATGTGCTGCATTTGGCGAAGGTGAGGGATTTGCAGAAGTTACTGGAAGAACAAGCTGAATTCTTCACGATTGTCACCGCGCCAGACGGCAGGGTTCTCGTCGCGACCGCCGCGGCGTATGAGAATGGGCTCGTGGTGGTGGACAAGTCTGGCAAGGTGAACGTGGCGGGAGAATCGGTCACTGCCCGGTGGCGGACCTGGCGGGAGAAGATTTTAGGGTTGAATCCGGACGATTCTGCGATGATTAAGTCCGCGGCGAATGCGTGGAAACGGAAGCAGGAGCAACAGCAAGGAACAACGACCAAAGGTGGAAATAAAGTGCGACGTCCTAGTCGTAGCGGGACCACGAGCAGTAGGAGTGGCCGAAGCCGGAGCCGCAGTCGTCGCAGCCGTGATCGGCGAACAAGCCTCTCTCGTCCGCGGGGCAACAACAGAGGCCGGGGCCGCAGCGTGTCGCGCCCGCGGGAGCGTGCAAATTACCGCGGAGGTGGTGGTCCTCGGGGTCCGAGCAAGATGCGCTCGAGGGGGCGAGGCGACAGAGGACGCAGCCGAGGGCGATCACGGTCGCGGGCTGGTGAGCGTGGTGATAATCGGGGCGGCGGCTCTCGGAGGGAACCGTCGAAGGTGCGGAATAGAGATCGGGGAGTTCTTGATGCTGGTAACAAAAACAACAGTAGCTCGAAGAAAGCCCCCGCCGGCGGGAAGACCTTGGCCGAGGTGAACGCTGAGTCAACATCTTCGGGAGGTATGATCACTAGCGCTGCAAAAAGCAAAAATGCACTGATGGCCAAAGCGGGAGCGCCGGGAGCAGGAGATAAATCAACGACAAACCCGTTTTCTACAACAAAAGATCAGCACGCGATTGTGCCGGTCGAAGATAATCCAGCGGACGCTTACGACTGGGGACTCGATGACGACGACGAGGACGAGGCAGAGACATTGATGAAAATGAACGAGAAGCAGAATACAGGCAAAAGCAAAAAGGCAGCGCAGGCCAACACTTCGAGAGGCGCAGGAACCTCGAAGCAAGACCCCAAGAACGTCAATCAAGATCAAGAGAATTTTTCCGTGCAAGTAGAACATGGTGTTGTGGATGCTCCTGCTGAACCGCAGGAGGAGAAAGAGTGGAACCCTTTTGCGGATAACAACGACCTCATCGTGCCGGTGGACGAAGAGGAAATCGTAGACGATGACGAGGAAATTGAGCTCCCCGATGCGTATAACATCGAGGAGCCCCCGCCCCCGAAAGTGGAGGCGCTAGAAGACGATGTTGCGTCCTCGAAAATTATGGACGAGAAACCGAAAAAGAGTAAGCTCACCGTGACGAACGGGGGGAAGCAGGAGGTAATTGTCCTAGACGATGACTATCTGTCGAACTACAAAGGAAAGGATAAGGAAGGTGGCCAGGACACGAAAACCAAAACTGCTTCGAAGCAGAATACAACTGCCGGGAAAGATGAGAAATCCAAATCAGGTAGAGGTGGCGCTGAAGGACGACGAGACAACGATAAGGAACAGAACTCCGTATTAAACCGGAGTAAGGAAGAAAGAATACGGGAGCAGAGAGAAAAGTACGAGAAACGGAGACATGACAAGGCCGCGACATCGACGACGAAGCCAGCAGGAGTAGAAACAAGTCGGCACGATCGAAATAAAGATCAAAACCAGCGAGATGAAGTAGCTGGCAATGATCGTGGTAAAAGTACCGCGCGGACGAGGGATCCCCGGGTTCCGCTACCTCAGGCGTTATTTACCTCGCAGAACAAGAGCCAAAACCACGGTACTGGTGGTACAACCCTCTCTGCTGGGGACAAAGTTGGGAGTTTGACCGTCGCTGCGGTTGGTGGTGGTGGAATAACTGGGGGACGTGGGGATCAACATCACCGCGGCAATCAGTACAACCAGAACGCGGGAAACAACAAATACCAGCAAGGTGGTGGGGTCGGAGGTGCTCAAATGAATTCAGGACTACATCACAGTAACCTAAACAGTGTGGTCGACAACAGAAATAGCGCGACCTCTTTCCAGCAGCAGCAGCAGGAACACCAGGCACAGCCCGGGACGACGGGTTCACCAGTCGCGACGACGACGAATCAACCTGCTCTACCGATCAGCACCAGCCAGCTGCAACAGTTGCAGTTGCAACAGTTGCAGGCGATGCAGTTGTTGCAACAGCAGAGCAGCTTGAACCCGAACGCGACGGCGGAACAGCTCCAGCAGCAGTTGCAAATGCAGCAGCTGATGATGCAAAACCAGGTGATGCTGCAAAAACTGACTTCCGGAGGAATGATGATGAACAATCAGAACGAGCAGATGAACTCGAGTACCCCAAGTGTGCCCACTATAGGAGGAAGTGCAGCTGGAGGAGCTGCACCAGCAGCATCCCCACCGGGCACTAGTGGTCTGCGGCCCCTGCAGATTCCGGGCAATAATTTTGCCACAGGAGGAGCAGGCACTGCAGGCAACATGAACAGCAAGCAGATGAACGATGATCAAAATAACCAGTCGCTTTCGAATCATCGGACCGGGCCAGGCAATCGCAATTTTTCGAACAACAACAGTGGTCAAATAAAAGGCGGAGCTAATAATTTGTTCCAGAACACCAATCGCCGAGCGGGTAAGCACGATGCTGCTGCGGACAGCAAGCACGAGAATAGCTGGGAACAAACGCAGGGAGGAAATCAAAAGAACTGGGAAAACAAGAAGGGCGCACCCGGTGGTGGGAGCAACTACACCAGCAAAAAAGGGTCGTCTGGTGGCGGGGGAAAGAACAAAGCTTCTTCCAAAGGTGGCGGAGGGACAGTGCGGATGAGATGACTTCAAGATCGATCCCATCTTGATGATACGACCGTGTGGCGACCGTAAAAAAGCGACAAGTTGTAGTTCATATTAATCGATGAACAAGACAGAAAAACCTACTTTTTTGGATGTTGCCGTTGCGACGGAAGAAGAGCGCAAAGGCCGTTGTGAAACCCATTTAAAGTTGTATCTTCGAAAATCGCCAATTCGAAAATCGAAAGCGGTATCTTCGAAAATCGCCAAAAAGCGGTATCTTCGAAAATCGAAAACCTGAATCTTCCTTTAATACGCCAGGCATATCTTGTCTCTACGGCTACGCTTCGATATGCTTCTTGTGGTGCGACTACCTCACCTTTCGCGCAATGGTCGGTCGAGGTTTTCATAAAGCAACGAGCCGTAGCAACCTGTCGTGTTCTTCATCTTCTTACCAAATGACACGGAAAACTAGTTCGCTGGATGGTTCTGACACTTCTGGAAGAGCGCCGATCCTGGTTCGTTTCTTTCCAAAAAGTCCGCACCACGTGTGGGGCCAGTTCTGGTGTGCGACAGTGCTGATGACAAAAATCCCAAGGCGCAGCGCAGCCGTTGACGATGACACGGACAATTTGCTGTTGAAAGTCGAGTTATATATCCCTTATCCTTGGTCGTCGCGTGGTTGAGTCTAAAAATCGTGACTGTTTTATTGATGTTTCTACCACTTGGTCGTGACCTCTTTCATTTTGGAGGAGGTTTTTCTCCATCTGCGAAATACTCAAAACAAAGCAGAATTTTCAATCTAGATTTTCATCTATATGTCTTTATCACTTACAGTACACTTTGTTCCCCTGACCAGCAGCACCAGAAACTACAGGTTGCTCTGTCGAAAGCCAAAGCGAAAGCGGTCTTTTATTCCACCTCTATTTCATTTTGATTTTGACCATAATTATATTTTTAACCTAATCAATTGTTGTACCCTCTTTCCAAGAAAAGTAAAACAAGATATAGTTGAACCATGGGTGTGGTTGCCGAAGCGAAATTTCCAACGGTGCAGCTGCTCCGGCAAGCCGTGTCAGCGTTGAAAGAGGTGGACCCGCACATCCGATTTGACTTCAGATCCGGCACCGGCCCCGGGGGGGAGAAAAAGGGGATCTACTCCCGTTTGAAAGACGCCGACACTTTCGTCTGCGAATACTTTCTTGCTGCGGAGGCCTTGTTGGAGTGCAACTTGGAAGGTAGCTATAGCTTCTTGTTCATCGTCTCCAGGTTATCATTATTTTGCTTCATCAAGGTTGATGTAGCAGTAGCCGCCCGAGGAGGTGTCCTCGCAACTATAATCGTTTGCGCTTAAAAATAAACCGTGTCTGCGCAGTCGTCATGCATCCTCTTCTCGATATAGTACAAAAAAAATCTTAGGTGACTACGAATTCACTTTCGATGCGAACGAGATGCTGAAGCTTCTGAAGTACGGAGAAAACCAGGACCGCGTGACTCTCGTCATGGACGACGAAAAGGCCAACATGCAGATCCAAATTGAACACTGGAACCCGCCGCCATCGAAAACCCTAAGTTACGAATTGAGTGCGGTCGACATGGAGAAGGATGACGTGCATCCCCCGCCAATGGAGGAGGTCAAAGCGTGGCCCTTTGTACAGATGGAGGCTTTCAGCTTTCAAAAAAACTGTGCCCGAATGGCCGACGTAATCAAGTGCAGAGGAACGGGAGCAGGTACGTAAGTTAGTATAGCAAATAATGGAGAGGCACCGCAGTTGGAAGTGGAATTAAATGATGAATTTTGCATGAAAGTATTAAAAGGTGGAACATTCGCGAGGCACGTCTCAATGTTTCATAGACAACATCACAACGTCCTTTATCACAGACAAAATCATCCGTCTTCTGGCCAGCAGCGAGAGCCTCAGCATCGTTCACGAGGACGATGAGGCGAACGTTGGTTTTCAAGTAAAATGGCGAGACGAGGCGGAAGGACCCGAGATGCTTGCGAAGCAGTGTCCCACCCACACAACTGGAATGGGTATTAAGTTGGGCGACTTTGATATTGCTCCAGGTCGATTTGGTGTGCTCAAAAACCCGTAATTCTGTGCTAAATGCCGCGTTGGCGTTTTTTGTTTTTTCAATTTTGCACTATTTCTAGAATGAACGATGGCGATACGAACCGAAATACAGGTAACTGCATTCACGATGGATGGTACCGCATCGATTTCTTCCAAACAGTATGCCACAGAAAGAAATTCGAAATGGCTTTCCGCAGTAGGATTTTGTTTGTTTGTTACTTATCTACTCCTATGCAATGCATAGTATGCATTTTGCATCGCACCACCAGCGTCAGGCGTGAGCCGTAGTGTGCCTGTCTCAGCATTGTAGAGGATGTGATTTGAGTTTATTGACATTGACGACATAGACGCCATTTTCCTAGTTTCGAATTCCATACATCGTCGCCAAGGGCGGTAAGCAGGTGTCCGAGTCAACTGTCATGCTCTTTCCGCCAGACAAGAGCAAGATGCTAATGGTAGGCTTTCTCTTCCGGCTCGACGACGCGGTGTCAAAAGCGCTCAAACAGGACGAAGTGTACAACAAAACTGCCGAGGCATTTCACAATGACGTCAATGCCGTAATGCAGCAACAGATGGAGGTGATAAAGATAATGACTGCTTCTTCCTCCATGATAATCGGTTTCTGTTCTTTGTGCTTCTGTGGCCCATTATCCTTTTACGACGACACGCGCGGTCTGACTGCTCTTAATCGTGTTTGCGTTGACCACTCTTCCTGAAGTTTATCAAAATGAGAACCTCTCTTCTGAAGTTTATCAAAATGAAAACCTCCAGGTCGAGCAGAGCATTGAGCCCGAGGACGAGGAGATGCGGCCCCGGCAGTTGCTCTTCGAAGACGACCCGATATTCAGAAAAAGACACTCATTCCCATCCATTTTATGCATGGCAGATGCTGGAGCGTGGAGCTGGATTCGATTGTTGGTGCATGATTCGCATGACATAATGGATGAGGATGGGTCTTTTTTCTGTGGATACCCGATGGCGGAGAAAATTACCCACTTGGATGATGATATGGAAGCGTCAGGTTTGAAATCGTCAAAGTTGAAATAATTTGTAATGCATAAAATGCATGGCCCGAGGTACGTGCGTTGCAGAGCAGGCAAGTGAGGCCGATTGTCAGCCTGTTTGGGGTTACAGATCGAGCTGGTAAAGTAGCATGAGAAAATCGCTCTTCTTTGCCTAAACAGCATGACAAACTGGATTTAGGGACCACCGAAATTTGTCATGCGCCACTTGGAAACTGGGTTCCAACTGGCATCCATTTGATGCATGGCAAATTATTTCAACTTTGTCGATGTCAACTCTGACACATCCATAGATGAGGTGCTCAAGGACGCCCCCGACAACACGCAAGCGAAGTTGTTCGGCTATCCACTGCAAAAGTATCGTACTCGTATGAATCGCAGGTATGCATGACAAATCGGGTTTCCTACCCAAATCTGCATTACAAATTCCAATTTTCTTCCTGATAAAATTTGTCATGCGATTTATACTAGTACGATACTTTTGCAATGCATATCGGCGAAGCCCGGTCCATTTGCAGCAACGTACGGAAGCTAGTGCAGCAGAAGCACAAGGTAGACAAGGGAAAGCAGGCGGCAAACAGTGTCAATATGCACGCAGCGGTTGGGAGTGGTCTTCGTCTTCTCGGAACCAACAATAACGCATCTTCCTCATCTTCCTCCAGTGCGGCGGTTGGGATAAATAATTCCGACTTGCTTCTGGATAACAACCAGAAGCAAACGGAGGAAGAATTAGATTTCAACTTAATGAATTACGAGGAGGAAGTGGCAAAGAGCCGGGAAACGCTCGCGGAAAAACTCTCGCAGAACAAACTCTCTGTCAAGCAGCTGCAGACGCTGCGAGGTCTTGTTCTAAACATAAGTCGCTTGAGTTCATCTTTGTGACTCTTTTTTCTGCATAGAGTTAGAGAAAGAAGCAACAGCAATTAGCGCCAGAAGACAGAAAAAACCTTTACTTGCAGTTGAAGGCCCTAAGGTATTATCCACGCAAATCATGATGTTCATGCCGCGCTTGCGCAAAAAATTCTTGATCGAGTCACAATTACAATAACAGAGCAAACGCGCGGCGGCCCGCTGGACGACGTGGTGATCAACGCGTGTGCGGAGCTTGCCAGAAAATTTCCGCAAGAGATCGAAAAGATTATGCTGTGCAAAAGTATCTCACTCGTACTAACTGCAAACGTGCATGACAAATCTCCCTCCTAAGGTAAAACAGCATTACAAATTCTACTTGTCTTCTGGCCATAATTTGTAATGCAATTTGTGCTAGTACGTTACTTTTGCAATGCATAAAGATCAAGCAGCAGCAACTAAACCGCGAGACCAAGTACGGCTACATGGTGTTTTTCTGCCAGTCCATGGATATCAAATGTAAAAATGTCTGGGTCTGAAAGATTGCAACTTGTCATGCTGTTTTTGGATTCCAGAAGAATCTGTATTGCATGAGTACCAAAAGGAATGTAATTTGTGCTACGCGGAGAGGGCGTTTGTCATGCGGAATAGGCATCAAGAAGCTCTCAAAAAATCTGTGATGCTAGGGCATGCATCGCAGACATCAAGGCTCATGCAAAACGTGCATGACAAGTGTCAGAATCTTCCAGACCCAGACATTTTTACAGTTGATAATGGACGCGCCAAAGCTGAATGAGTTTGAAGACAGTGACGACTCGGACGAAGACGGAGAGGCGGAGGAACTGGACCGGGAGCGGCTGAAGGACTACTACATTTGGGACCGAAGACAGTATTTGGCGACGGACGTACCGGGGCAAATGCGCACCGACGGGGCCTACAACGCAAACCGGGCTGCCGGCTCGGATGACATGGATATTGACGGGGGCGGTAGCATATCAAATGCAAAAATGTCTGGGTCTGGGAGAGTGCGCGATTTGTCATGCAGCTTTTCGATGACCCATAAGGTCTGGAATGCAGGACTAGCGTGACAGATTCTGCGCGATCTCTCTCATGCCTATCCTGCATGAGAAACTCCCTCCCGACTTGGTCAAAACTGGACGACTTTTGGGAATCATGCACCACAGATTTTTGCATGCTTCAGATTTAGCATGACAAGTTGTATTCTTCCAGACCCAGACATTTTGCATTTGATGTAGCATCGCCGGCGACCCGGCGGAGGGCGCACCGCCGGAGTTCGTGATCAAGTGAAATAAACGCCGGCGAAGGATTTTTTATGTTGTTCCTGAGCCAAAAAGGCTAAGAGTTCAACAGAACATCTTCTGCAAGAACTGCTGCTCGTCAAAGAGGACAAGAAGAGGAACAATGCGATCCGCTGTGCTGTTGTTGCCTGCAAACTCTTGTTCACGACCAGCACATCAAGATTAATTTTCGAATTGAATTCCTCGTCTCATTGTCGCAGTGCGAAAGATCGTGTCCCGCTCGACAAATCTGTACTTAAAACCGGCACGCGCCTCCGCCTGCAACACACGGCAGATTAAGTCAAAAGGATCTAACAAACTCAGAGTGCTGACGTCCACAAAAAATAAGTAATTTCGGTGACCTGCTCTACAAAGAACTTCTACCAGAACAAGTGTGTGAAAGATCATTGTCTTCAACAACTCCCAGCGGGAAGATCTAGGTCACTGCAACTGTACACAGAGATCATTACCGAAGTTTGTCTATCAGGAAAGGATGAAAGAGAAACGCTAAGAACAGCTGCGCGCTTCTTCACGAAGGTCTGACTTTTGATCTAGTATCAGCAGCATTCACGAACTGAAGATCTTTGTGGCTGCGTAACAGCTGAGAAGGATGATCATTCACGGACAAGTAAAAACGAATCCAAATCCGATCCTCAGTGACAAAAGAAAAGATCAAGATCCATCATGTTGTCGGTCGCCGCGATCCAGAATAATATCCAAAGAGAACGCTGCGACGAAAACGTTCGCAGTTCGGTGACAAAAAGGTTTAGGTACCCAGCCCAATGGTATTTGAATTGCTCTTCGTCTTCGTTTCAGTTGGCGACGCCAAAACAAACTAGATTGATAGGTTAAGATAGCATCATATCCATCGAAACGCGATTTGGTTTTTCTTTTCTGTGTAGCTACTACTACTAGAGATAAAGAAGGACAGCATCAGCACTTTACGTTCTATCTCTGCTCGTTCGACGAATTGAGTAAATCTCTCGTTCGACGAAGTGAATGATTTAGTGCCGCTGCAAAGTTTTGTCTTTATTACAAGCTTAAAACCATCTGTATGATAAGAAATAGCAAACGGTAGCAATTTTCCCTCCCCCCGATGACGAACGTGAACAAACCACACGTTTAAAGTATAATTTCTTCTGAACATCAGAAATAGAAGATAGCCGCTTCATCAAGAAACTATGACTAAAGATGCCAACGACCCGAACAGGAACTCCGTCGTTCCCATCTACTCCCACGTCGTTTAGCAACTCCTCGCGACGCGGGAGGTCGAGGTTTCATATGTGCGAAAATTTTGGCTCCGGCGACGCGGACAGCAACGGATTGTCGCCGTCCTGCCCGTCGTCCTCTGTGTCCGCCGAGGACGATGATTTTGATAAAGACTGCGGTAATTATGGGTGTCCACAAGAAAGTGAAAGAACAATTGGAGGAGATGAAAGTGAAACGCAGCCGCTTTTCGTTTCTCGTCCCTCAACAGCAAGAACGCCCACGCGAGGACGGGCAGGTTATTCTGGGCAAGAAGTTCTTTCTCGAAAAAGACAACTCCTGGATGAAACAAACTTTCCGGCGTATTTTCCACGAGCCCGCTCATCAGCAGCTGGAGCCACTGGACCACCATCATCTCCGACGTGCGATACTAGTGGTTCTTTTTTTCGTCACAACACGTCGTCAGTCATGGGTTCCAAGAAGAATTCTGTTGACAGGACCTTCGATAGCGACGACAATCGATACTATGCGAGCGATAGTGACCTCGACGAAGAAGATAATTATCCCACCGGACGAGGACGAAAGATGAAAGGTGCGGCCGCTGGAAGTGCAAGTAACGATGAGGTCGATCACGATGATGACTTCGAGGAAAATCCTTCCTCCAGTTCTTGCTGTGCCTCTTGGTGCGTGGCCATTTGGCTGCTCGTTATCGTCGGCTCCTCCGCCGTGGTTGCGGGGGTCGTTGTGGCCGTCTACTACTTGGGTCGAGCTCACGGCCACGACCCGGATCCAATTATCCCAGTGGAGCCGATTATACCGGTTACCCCGATTATACCGGTGATCCCGATTATACCGGTGATCCCGATTATACCGGTTATCCCGATTATACCGGTAGTCCCAATCTACCGCAACCAGGCCCGGTCATTCCAAACGAGAGTGCTGAGTTTCGTCAATGTTACAACTCCGCTCGGGGTTCCGTGGAAAGTGCAGAACGCTCTGGACGAGTTGCAGTTCGAACTGATACCAAGTTTGCGACAGCAATGCTACGAATTGTACAACACCTCCTCCAGTGGTCTTGGTCAAGCAGGCAGTGCGACATCAAGTGCCAGCTCGTGTCTGCGATTCGAGGCTTTTCGTGGTGAAGCGGCGGTTGTGACGAGCACCAAGAACGGTGGTGGTGGTGCTACTTCTGGTCCAAGTTACAAAAACGAGCGAATTCTTATGGCGTTCTCAACTGTTACATTCTCAACTGTTACAATTACATGAATTTGTCAGGCAAAAACAGCAATAGGCAAAGGGGAAAGCTTGCAAGTCTTGCATCACAAATTTGGCACGGATTTAGATGCTGTGTAGCACTTCGATAATTTGTCATGCGAAGCAGCTTGATCGTCTTGCGGCTCATGGTCATTTTGCATCACAAATCATGTAACAATTGAGAATGTAACGTTTGAGAGCGCCATAATTCTGTTCCACGAGGTTTATCGCATGAATTTTGACTACACCGACCCGGACACGAAGAAGGTCATTCATGTGGCCGATGGCTTCAGCGTCTTTCGGAAGTCGCCCGCGTACGTCGCTTTTCAGAAGGCGATCGGCGAATACGAAAAGGACGGGATCCTCATGGAAAACTTCTACGAGGATGAAGAAGTTGATTCTGCGGCTCATACTGCAACTAGTACTTCTCAAGAACAAATTTCGAGTAAAAGCACCACTGTCGTCGACTTCTGGTATGGCGATCCGAAGACGGGAAGCAGCAGCTCCCGTTTTGCCCTGCAAGATGTCAACGACTGGAGGAAGGCAGCGGAGACAAGCCTTGCGGTTGCGGAAACCGAGGTGTTTGCGTTCGCCTCGCGGCAAGATGCGGCAGCACTGAAGAATGTGACAGATGAGATGGAACAGACACAGATCCCGGCGCTCATTGCCGCTTGCGAAGGAAGATCTTTAACTGCCACGGGGGACGACAAGAAGGCGTGTCTCTATGTGGATGCGTTCAACTTCAAGATCCTCAAGGAGCCGGCTCAACACCCTGCTCCACCTGCCAGCACAGGGTCGTCCGCTGCAGGAACGACCCCTACAGAGGCCCGCTACGTCCTGCAGAAAGCGTATCCCACCGCCGCCGACCGGACCAATTTTGAACAGAACACCCCGGCTTTCAAAAACTTTCAAAACTGGCTTTTGTCGGAAGAGGTGCAGAAAGTGCTTGTGGACGCCAAAACCGTGAGTAGGAGCACTGCAGTTGCAGCAAAAAATGGCACAATTAGTAGCACTTCCTTGAAGATGTTGAAAGGGACAACAACTTCTTGCCCTGTTGATCCATGTAATTATGGGCCGAAGCAGGCGTCGCTGGATGTTGTAACTCCTGCTAGTACCACGACTACGACGGCGCCTCCAAGTACGACTGGTCCACCGGCGACCCATCCATCTTCTTGTATCGGGCAGCAATTTGGATTGGAAAACCTGCCGACCTTGTTCACGAACAACACCACCATCCAATTTCGTTACGATGCCGACTTCCATGCGGTGCAGGCGGCGGTGCAAGATTTTGTCGAAAAGATTTTCCCGTTGGTGAAGACTCAATGTTTGGAATTAATGGCGGATCTACGGAAGTTGGACGCAGCTGCAAACAGGAGTCCCTACACGGGTGCAAAGCAGCTTTGCGAGCGGTTTCACTACTTTGAGCGACGCGTGGAAAAAACCGAGTCAACATCTTTTTTTCCCCAAATCACGACGCAGCTCGCGACCCAGGAAGTCTATCCTGATAGGCTGGCCTTTCGGAAGTACATGTGGAAAAGTGCGGCGTTTCAGAGCTTGGTGACTGCGGTGCGCGAAACATACAAAGATATCATCGACTTTCCAGCGACTAAGATTTACTCCGAAGTAGCGACTACATCTCTGACAACATCGGCAGGAGGAGTTGCACGAGCAGGTACGGTGGAACAAACTACAAGCGGAATTATAAACGGCGCTTTGGCCGCCGCCGCTTTTGGTGATTTCGGACGACTGAACATCGCAGGTGGAACTAAATCAGCACCCGCAGTAGAAGTATCAGACGGCGACATGCGCATGCAGCAGGATTCCTATGGGAACGGCAGCAGTTTAGAGCTCGCGAAAGCGCTGGGGAACGGAAAAATCCTCACGAAAGACCAGTCCGTCTGGCCGGCCACGACGTTCCTCCGCGTAGAGACGCTGTGCTTCACCGAAGACGCAGTGGCAAATAAAGGCAAAGAGGTGGAAAAAAGCAGGCTGAAGTTAGAGAATGAACTTTTCCCCGCCTTGATTTCCTCTTGTGGGACCAGCTCGACCGTGGAGCCAAATTGCTTTTTCTTTGACGTCTTTAAATCCACGGGCTTCGGAACCTCGACCGAGATCGTAGCTGCTGGCGGAGCGGGAGCCCCAGCCCCCACCTCATCAACTTCAGTAGACAGCAGATACTACATCCTCCAGCAAGGGTACAAGGACCAAGAGACCGTGAAGTCCGAGCACGAACGAGCTTCTGCCTTCCAAGCTTTGAGCTCGTTCCTCTCCGACCCGAACGTTGCGGCTCTGTTCGAGAAGGGTACTTCTAACGAAGGGGGAGATGACCAGCAGAGCAGTACTTCTTCTAACGCTCTGCAACTGTACAATGCCGGGGAGTGGCCGCATGCGGTGGATCATGGCAAGCCTTTGCACGCTGTGACCCACTACTTGCTGTTCACCAATAAAGCTGATATCTACAGCGAGCTCCTCCAGAATGCCTTGGACGAGCTGCAATTCGAGCTGATCCCTGCGTTGCGAGGCGAGTGCTACGACGACCCCATATTGAATCCCTGTCTGCGGTTCGAGGTTTTTCGTGGCGCGCGGGAGGCTCGGAAGCCCGGCGCGGCGGAGACGCAGCAGCACGAACTCCTCATGTTCCACCAGGTGTTTGAAAACGAACAGGCCTGGCAAGACTTCCAGACCAATTCCCAAGCCTGGAAAGACTACCAGACGGCATTGGGGAGACAAGACTTCAAACAAATTATTGTCCAGGAAGAGAACAACGGAGACTCTTTTTTCGAAGGCTCGGATTTTTTTCTCTACCGAAGCACTGCGGCATTTGCCCGGGACGAAGTGAAACAGTGGCAAACAAAGGTGCGGGACAGCGAGGTGGTTTCAGACACTGGTGTGTTGGAGTTTCAAATCGCGGTGCTGGATCATCAACAACCTTACGCCGGCACCGAACAAGACGATCGTCTTATTGCACTCAAAGCTGCAGCGGCGTCGTGCGTTGAGGCGCGAGTCAAAATGGAAGACCTTCACGTCCCCGCACTGCAGGAAGCGTGCGCAGATTCCGCCGGGTGTCTCTACTTCGACGCTTTTCGAAATTACGTCGAGACCACCACACCTGCAGCATCGCCCTCAGCAGGACGAGCGGCAGCTCCAGTAGTTTCCTTATCTTCCACTCCAAAGTCGCAATCGCTCCAGAACTACACCTACTCGCTGCAATTCGCCTTCCAAGACGCGCTTGCGCGGACGACCTTCTATGGCGTGCTCAACTGTTACATTCTCAAATGTTGCATGGGTTTGTGATGCAAGAATGGCAAAAGTCAAAGCAGGGAGGTTGCACCTGTAGCGTCACAATTTCCGCACAGATTTAGGTGCTGTTTAGCCTTTCCAAAATTTGTCATGCGAAGTAGCTTCACCCTGTGAATGTTGATGCTCGTTTTGCATTACAAATCATGTAACAGTTGAGAATGTAACGTTTGAGAACGCCATACCTTCCAGAGCGCAATCGCGTTCACTTCCTACCAGAAATTCGTCGACGAAACCTTTGCCGCACTACCCACCTATCAAATGTAAAAATGTCTGGGTCTGGAAAAATGCAACCTGTGATGCTGCGTCTGCATTATCCAAAAATCTCTATTGCATGAACAGCAAAAGGGGTCTGGTTTTGGCCACGGCGAGAGGGCATTTCTCATGCGGTATAGGCACCAGAAAGCCCTCACAAGATCTGTGATGCTAGGGCATGCATCGCAGACATCAGGAGTCACGCAGAATGTGCATGACAAACCTTGCATCCTTCCAGACCCAGACACTTTTGCATTTGATACGACCTGCCTCAAGTTCCCAGCGGACGGGCCAACTCTCGGGAAAATCGACCCGGTACCCAGGCGCGAATTCGGGATTTTGAATTTACCGACACTGTTCAGCGTGACCAATAAACTGCAGTTCAAGCCCGACGCGGACTACGACAAGCTGAGCGCGGCGATAGAAGATCTAACAAAAAACCTGTTCCCCGCGGTGCGGAAAGCTTGCGAGAAGGAAGTTCCGCCTTTTCCCCGCGGTGCGGAAAGCCTGCTGTGTGAACGCTACAACGTGTTTGAGAGACAAGTGGACGTTGTTTCTACGGGGGAAGGTAAGAGTACAACATCAAGTCCTATCAAGGCCGTGCAGTTTCTTACGCAGGAACTGTACCCCGACCGGTATGCGTACACACAACTGATGCTGCAAGACGACGCGCTGAAGCAATTGCAAGCAGCCGTGGCACGGTACAAAGCTGATGGCTTAGTGGAGGAGGAGTCCATCAGTAAAACCGCAGATCAAAGCAATCTTCTCGCCCTGCAAGCCGGGGACTTCGCGCGACTAAACGGCCAAACCGACGCCGACCTGCGCAGCCAAAGCCCGCCCGTCGGCGGCCTGCAGACCGCACGGGCGCTGTTTGATAAAACGACCGCACAGGACGTTGACCCCAATGCTGCCACCTGGGGAAAGGTCGAAACTCTGCGGTTTACGGATGACGCGGTGGAGAACCGGGCGGATGATGTGGCAGCAGCGGTGAAGGAGCTGGAAGAAACAGTGCTCGCGGATTTGGTGACCGCGTGCAAAACCTCGACGGACTGCCTCTTCTTCAACGTGTTTCGGAGTACCGGATTCGGCACCAGTATTGAACAACACCTGCAAACTTCTCAAACAAGTACGTCTGAAGATGTTCTTGGCACGACCGGAAGTAGTACAACCAGTGCAGGGGCGGCTGGTCGTGAGGGTCGTGAACACAAGTACAACAAATCCTACTCTCTCCATCAGGCCTACAAGAGCGAAGCAGCAGCGAAGACGGCGGAGCAGGCTGATGCTTTCCAGAAGCTGGTAAAGTTTCTCACAGAAAGCGACTTCGCGGGACTTTTCGCTGTGGACGAAGAAGAAGAACAGCAGGCGTGCAATAAACTCCAGCTCTTTGGTATCCCACGAAAAAACTGTTTCACTGTGATGGTTTTGCAAGATCCGCATCACAAGTTTGCTAGACATGACACAGAAAATTTGCCATGCGCGTTTTCCAAGGGAAAATACGCGTAAAAATCCAATGCCTTGCAGGTGTAGCAAGACAACTAGTTCTGTGTTCCATTCTATGCATCACAAGTTCACAGTGAAACAGTTTTTTCTTGCGATATTTGGCGCCGGCCAGTGGCCGCGAACATTCAAGGACCCGCGCGTGGTCTCCCTGACGCAAGCCTTCGCGTTTGTCTCGGACCAGCCAGGTGCAGGTTATGCATTGCAAAAGTATCGTACTAGTATAAATCGCATGACAAATTTTATCAGGAAGAACATTGGAATTTGTAATGCAGATTTGGGTAGGAAACCCGATTTGTCATGCATACCTGCGATTCATACGAGTACGATACTTTTGCAGTGGATACAGGTGACCTCCAGTTGAAGGTCCAAAACGCGCTCGATCGGCTGCAATTCGAATTGATTCCGGACTTGCGCAAAGCTTGCTACAACTATACTGGTCCACCTGGTCCTGGTGCTAAAAAAGGAATTATAGAACAAGGAGGACTAGCAACAGCGGATGATGATGTCCCTGATGTTGAACAGAATCCTTGTCTGCGTTTCGAGGCGCACCGCGGGAGTGCGTTGTTGCGAGAGGATGCGCAGAAGAAACAGAAAATCCCGCACGAGCGGATCATGCTGCAGCAGGTTTTTCGTGACAAGGAGGGCATGGCGGCGTTTCAAAACGGAGCCGCATGGACGACTTTTGTCGCCGCGCTCCAGGAATGGGGAGAGAAAGAAAAAATCCTCGATGTGTTGCCTCCAGAAGCAAGAACAAACGCCGCTGGACGAACTACAAGGGCAGCAGCTCCTCCTACGGATTCTACTTCTGTTGATGACGCTGGTGCAGCTACTACAACAGGAACATCAGCTTCTGCTTCGCTGCCAAGTTCTTGGAGTGCTTTTCTAGACTTGTCGTCGTGGGGGCGCGGCCGCACGACCGCCGGTGCACCGTTTATTCCGTCAACATCTTCTGTTTCGGCAAACGACTGGTTTTTGGAGAACGACCTTTCCCAGGACTTCGTCATCCCGAGCACAAAAACCTCAGAAGACCACGCCAGCGGAGCAGGACCACCTTCGTACCAGTTCACTGCTCAATATGCCCGGGACTCGCAGCTAAACGATTGGAAAAAACGCGCATTCGACAGCTCCGTGGCTGCGACAACACGGGTCTTTGCGTTCACAGACGATCCGGCGAAGAGGGACTCCGTGAGGAAGATCACGGTTGAATTGGAGAGCACGCAGCTAGGCTTTTTGTTCGCTGCGTGTGGCGAGTCGTCAGCGGCCTCCGCAGCTTCATCATCAAGTGGGTGTCTGTACGTCGACGCCTTCAAGAAGAACGAAAAAGTAACTGCAGCAGGAGGGTCTACAACTACTACTTCTCTCCTCGCAGTTGTAGAGGAAGGTCAAGATGATGTTTTGACAGGCAGTGGTGCATCTTCCTCTTCGTTATCAAGAACCGCTACAACTACTACAACTGGCGCCAGCGTAACCTATGTTTTGCAGGAGGCCTTTTCCGATCAAGAAGCTTTCTTTGCTTTCCTGCAACGGACGGCGGCGTTCGAAACGTGGGTGAACTCACCCGAGGTCCAGGCGGTGATGGTGCATGATGATCTGCCCCCGGGTCGTCGTATGTATGATAGCTTGCCAGGTGCAGCAGCCCGGGACGGAGACGACTTCGTCGGTAGACAGTTTGGCCTCCAGGACTTGCCGAGCCTGTACAGTTTGAGCAGTACCATCCAATTCACGTACGGTGCGGGAAACAACCTGGCGGACAAGTTCCGCAGCGAACTGTTCCCGGCAGTCAAAGCAAGTTGCTTGCAAAAATTGAAAGCGTTCCGGAAGAGGGACTACATTGCCGACGACCGATTGTTCTGCGAGCGTTGGAGCTTCTTTGAAGACAGTGCCGTTCCTATTGCAGGAGGTAGTGGTGGGAGTAGCTTGCCGCAATCACAACTTTTACACGTTGACAAGGCACATGACGACAAAAATTTTCCTCCACTGGAAGGTACCAGTATCAAAGATGTGGAGCAGGGCCAACACATCGCCAACCTGACCTTGCTAGACAAAAATGTTCCCACCAAAGAGAACGCATTTTCACCACTGTTGCGAAACAAATTTTTGGAGCCCCGAAAGAGCGGCACAAGCAGGACACTTTTATCTGATAAAAACGAGCAGCTGCAGCTCAACAAGAAAGAAGCGCCAGCATCTCCTGCTGCCCCCCTCTCCACAGAAGACAAGGAGTTAAAGGGGAGCCAGAACATCGTGAAAGTGGTTCGCTTCACGACGCACGAGGTCTATTATGAGAGTGCACAACCACAACCCCGTCCCCCTCGTCCCCCTTAATTGTCATGCAATATACCTCCAAATTCACGGTCACGGTGGATTTATCCACTATTCGGCTTTACCGTGTGGCACTGCTTGCATGACAGACTCCGAAAGCCATAACAGCGTTACTATACAATCGCTACGTAAAACTAAAAACTTTGTCATGCAAAAGCTGCATCAGCTACAGGTACAGCTTCAGCATCTGTGCCTCCGGGACTCGTGTTGCTGCGGATGCGATCCAAATGAGGGTGAGGGGGAATTTTATTGCACTCTCATATTTATCCAGACCGCCACGCGTTTCTCGAGTATGTGAGGACCGACGCAGCGTTTCAAAACCTGATACAAGCAGTGATGGACAACAAGGACCTGATTGATTTCACAAACGGCCGCACCAACATTTCGTTTCTTTCCAAAGACCACGACGGCACGGGCCTTATGCCCGGTGGGGACTTTGTGCGATCCCAGGCACTGTATTCGGTCTCTGCGCCGCTCTCGGACGCTCTCTTCCGCGACCAGCAGCCCGCATACGCAAACGGGTCTACTTTACCTGCGGCACAGGTGCTGAGCGATTCGCTCCCGCAGAGCGAGAGCGTGTGGCACCCCCAGTTAGGACCGCAGGAACAGACGTCGGGGGAGGTTTATGTATTGAAATTCAAAGACGACGTGCCGGAAGCGCAGATTGCGCACGCCGTAGCGTCGTTGGAACAGGATGACGGTTTTTTTCCATCCTTGTGCGAAGCATGCCGACTGCAACCGTCTTGCTACTACTACAACGTGTTTCGCAGCACGGGTTTCGGCACCTCTACCGATGTCGTAAGGAGCGCAGCGACTGACTACAGCAAATCCTACACGATTCAAGCCGCATTTAAAAATAGCGTGAGTGCAGTTGATCAATTCGAGCAGACTCCGGCGTTTAGTAATTTCAAGGCCTTTCTTGAACAATCGTCTGACTTGTTCCAGCAGGACGCGTCATATAAGTCCCTCCAGCAGTATCGCGAGGGACAGTGGCCCCACGTTGTGGACCCTTACGCGGGCACGGTCAGGAGTATGAATTTGCTCTTCACCTTCGCGGAACCCGACGAGACAACGGACGCGGGCTTGCAGGCGGCAAATGACATCATTGCTACCATCGACGAACTACAATACAACCTGATCCCAAACTTAAAGGACGCGTGCTACGGGCCGCAGGATGAAAGCACACTGCAGCTGTACAACAAGAAGCACCTCTACTCAGCTGGACAAGAACAGCCGTTGCTCGGTGCAACACAAGAAGCCAGGAGGAGCGCACCTCCTGCTTCTGCTGGGAGAAAATTTTCTGGGCAGCAGAAATTCTCGCCCCAGGTAGAAGACGTAGCTGGAGAAGGTCCTCTACTTCGCGGGGAGCCTGAGCGTGAGCGTGAGCAAGGAAGAAGTTACATTAACTCAAACTCAGGTCGTGGTCTTGCTCCTGTGCTCACCGCCGACCTAGATAAACCAAAAAGCGAAAACGTCGACCCGGCACAGCCGGGGTGTTTGCGCGTCGAAGTCTATGCCGACAAGAACGCGGAGGGGAGAATCAAGACGGTGCTCTTACAGGTGGTTGTGCGTAGGGAGAATTGGCCTCAAATGGTAGACGACGACCACGGCGTGCTCAAACCGATCCTGGATAAGCTCAACGAAAGCAAGTCTGCTGGGTTATTGCAAGAACTCGACGCGGACCACGAGGTGCTCGACAATTTGGTGAATACGAGTGGTTCAATCAGGTCTGGAAACGACGCCGCGGACAACTTTGGATTTCTGGTTAGCGGAAAAATGACCGACTCGGCAGCAAGCGCCTTGGACCTTGTGGTCTGGCAAGATTCAACATCCACTACTTCGGTCGCCGCTGCGAGGACCGCGTTACTGCACGATAGCAATGTTGTTGCGGAGACGATTACTCTCGCCTTCAAGCCAGGGGTTTCTGACGGGAAGGAATTCACTGAAGTGTGGAAGGAGCTCAACACAAACTTTTTCCCCTCACTATACAAGGCTTGCTACAAGGACGTCGACGCTTCTTCTAGAAGTACTGCACCCGGTGTTGAAAGTGATTCCAACTCGGAACTAGTCTTTACCTCTCCTGGCGCTTTAAAAACGACCAGTGCGGTGAGGAGCACGACGAGACAGCAGGCGCAGGTAGAAAGGCGAACTAGGACATCAGAGATAACTACGCCGACAACAAGAACTCCTGACTGTCTTTATGCCGACGTGTACAACTACACCCTACCTTCAGACCAGCGGGGCTATCTGCTTCATTTTGCGTTCGCGAGTCAAACCGCTCGCGACCGGTTCTTCGCGGCTGCCGGGCCCAAGAGCTTCCAAGAGTGGGTAAAGAACGACGAAACGCTACAGAAAGTTCTTAGGAAGCCTAGCCGCACACTCGCTCGCTTGTCGCAGTTCGGCCTGGAAAATCTGCCGGGGCTCTTCAGCGTGCAAATGAAAATTCACATTTTCGATAGGATCGTGTGGGCAGAGGTGCTAAGGAAAGTCCAACAGATCAAGAAGGACGTGTGTATCCTGCAGTATCACAGCCGTGACCTGTGCGAGCGGTTTAACGTATACCTTGCGAATAGTGGCGTTTATTCCGTGAAACTCAACTATCCCCATCCCCTTCGTCATGCCACCCACACAACATTTAGGAAAGTCTGTGTTTGTCATGCAAAAAATTATAGATGGGGATGGTTAGAAATTTTCACGGAATAATGTTGTAGCGGGTGCCACAACTGACTATTTTGTGACCACGCACGAAGTCTACCCCGACGCTTACGCCTGGCGGCAGCATGTGTTGAACTCGGCTGCATATCAGGAACTGCTCAAGTCCGTCAAAAGCGCTTACGACAACAAAAACATTGATGCAAGTGACACCGTGCTTTACGGCTTCACGAATCCCAACATCGACGAGAAGAAGGTTCTATCAACTGTAAAAGTGTCTGGGTCTGGAAGATTGGCAGCTTTGTCATGCATACTTTGCATGACCCGTGAAGTCTGTAATGCATGCACGAGCATCACAGATTTTTAGAGGGCTTCCTAGTAATGCCTATTCCGCATGAGAAAGCCCCTCTCCGTGTAGCCCACCCGCCAGGAGTCAAATGGTACTACTACTACTCGTGTAGCCCAAACTGGAGTCCTCTTGCAGGTCACGCAATACAATTTTTTTTTGAATCCAGAGACAGCATCACAAGTTTAGAATCTTCCAGACCCAGACATTTTTGCATTTGATAGGTCCCCTTTCCCATGACCGGCTACCTTCTCCGCCAGGAAACCGAGTCGGACGCGAACATGCGGACGCGGGACGGGGCGGGTGCCGCGAAGGACCGCAGTTTGGCCCCTGCGTTGGCACTTCACGACCATCTGCCCAACCAAACGAAGTGGCCGGAGCCGCAGGGTAGATTGAGCCCGGGGGGACAGACGTTGATACTGCAATTGAATCCGAAACTGTCCAAGAAAAAACTGTGGAAAAAGGTGAACTTCTTTTGTTGCTGTAGTATTTTTGCAGAAGATACAAAGATGCCAGTTGCAGCTACGCTAGGCATGTTGTTTGATATGCATCCGGGATACGCTCCGCTAGCTGCAAATATCGTGTTCTGATCACGTGCTAGCCAAGCAGGACAGGACTTCTCTAATGTGCAGAAGATGCTAGTAAAAATAGTAATAGATATAAAATGCGTAGGCGAAAAAAATGTATAAGCTTAAGTAATCGAAGAGCTAAAGCGCAGAGTAACTGTAACACAGTTTTTTTCTTCGATACGAGTTGATGGAGCTCGCGGCCAGAGACCCAGATGCGGCGGCGTGGCTGCAAATGTGTACCAAAGTGAAAAGTGCCCCTACCTCCCCAGAGCAGCGACATATTTGTAAATACGAAAAACTTCTACTTCTCCGTGGGAGCATTGCGTTTTTGCCTCCTTGCGTGTGTCCTTAATAGCGTCACAAGTCTCTTTTCCCAAACACCGTGATGCTGCACATTGGCAGCCGCGGCAGCACAGCAGACGCGGTATAATTTGTCAACACGCTCCTGGACGAGCTGCAAATCTCGCTCAGAAAGATTCTGAAAAAAGAGAGCGTCGCACTTCTTTCATGCAAGACAGAGAGACTCCAACTTCTTTGTGCTGAGGACTGTGCATCACAAGAAAAGTTTCGCCCGTCTGGTGGTGGGGGTTGGGCATGATTTCAGTTTGATATTGTGTCAAAACTATTTGGAGACCCAGCTCCTGCCCAACATCATGGACACCGATTGCGGAATTTACGATCCGGGAAATTTCAACAAGAACGATTGCATCTACTGGAATGCGTTCAAAAGTTATCCATTGCAAAAGTAACGTAGAAGTGCAGCTCGTACCAGGTGCTACTTGATTTTTGCAGTGAGTCATGCATGACAGATCTCGTCCGGCTTTCCAGTCTATATCAGCCTTGCAAAGAGCGTCACTTTTGGTTCTGAAGAATTTGCATTTGTAAATGCAATTTCAATTATTTCTCCTACGTACTAGGATCGCATCGGTGCGAAAACGATACAACTTCTGCAATGCATAAAGGTTGGGGGTTCACCAACAAGGTCGGGCGGGAAAGATATTATATCTTGCAGGAGGCCGACGGTGTCAAGGGTCTTTCGACGAGGAACTACGGAACCGAGTGGCAGAACTTGGTAACTTTTGTCCAGGTATCAAATGCGAATATGTCTGGGTCCGGAATAAAGTTGGAACTTGTGATGCTGCATTTGGATTCTAAGAAAAGGCGTGTTGCATGAGCAGCCCAATTTTTGCTGCGCCGAAAGGGCATTTTTCAAGCGGGATTTGCATCAAGAAGCCCTCAAAAACTCTGTGATGCTAGCGCATACACCACAGATATCATGGCTCATGCAAAACGTGCATGACAAAGCTGCACTCAACATCCAGACCCAGACATATTTGCAGTTGATACATGAACAAAGCGTACAATGACCAAAAAGGGCACCAAACCTTTCCTTTGCTTGAAGAGGGGAGCAATTTCTACAAATACGTAAGCGAAGAGCTTAACTTCGAAAGCAGTCCATTTGAAGATGCTAATTCTCCATCTCGTCCTTGAAAAGTTGCATGGTGTAGTCCTGCTGCACCGCCTCCGGACAATCTCGACCGGAATGGCTAAGGAAGTACAAAATAGTCCGTCTCTGCGAGTAGGACGAGGGCTGCTCCTCGCGCGTTTTATTTCCGTGCGGAGCCCTCTTATAAGCGACCGGATTCAACACAGCTCTCCCTTTTTGTTTGGATAATCGTTCGCGACGTATATTTATAGAAGTTAGTATACTTCTAGTTCTATTTGTTCATGGAGGTTCGATGTTTTTAACGCAGATGCGGCTTTGCTTTATAATTAAAAGTCGCATCATCTCAAGCGTAAGCCATTCTTTATGATTTTCCATTCCCAGCAGCGCAACCCCAAGAACAGAGAAACCACAACACTCCGTGGTTCTCTGCATCCACAAAGCGAAAGTCTATTTCCCCACCCGAGCAGTCGTGAAAATGATGAGCATGAATCGTCACTCCGATAGTTGGTTTCCTATTTAGTGTTACATTTCTTGTCACGGAGGTTTCTCGTGTAGCATATCTTTTAAGTGTGACGCTGTATGATTATTAGAGACCGGGTCTCGCCCGTGTGACACAGAAGTAGATACAGGTTGCTGAAGGGCAATCGCTTTCTTGGTGTTAAACAACTGTAGCGTTGCTCTGAAACTCACGCGGGCTTTGTGGTTGCAAGGAGCCAGTCGCACAAGAACAAGAAAAAGCCTGAGGTTGAAATGAAATAAAGAAGTTGAAGTAAAATAAATTGAAAAAAAATGTGTGTTTCGAAGTGTCGCGCCACTTGAACGCGGCAGGCGATGAAGTAGAAGTGTTCCAATCCATCTTCAAGTGGAATAATCAGAATCATACTACAGCAGCACAATCTAGGTCTCGAAACACACTAGAATTAGAAAGATGGATCGTAAGAGACGTAGGTACCGGGCTTCATGGAGAGCCTACTACCTACTCCAGTAAACGCAGGTGAGAAGCTATTACTGAGAATCATTGAAGAAGAAATTGATGCAGATAGGATTCTGGTTAGTCGGTGCGAACTGACGCTGAGCAAGATCATCATGAGAATATCGTAACAACAAGTACTAGAAAACAATTGTCTGTGCCTAAATAAAAATAATATGGAAGATCGCTGGAGTTTCTCTGTGTCAGAGATAAATGCCTTCCTCAAAAAGAAGTCGAAGCCATCGGTCGTGGAATAAATTGTACGTACTGTATTTCGCTATCGCTGATGAACAAAGAGGAACACAAACAAAAACATCAAGCTATCGGTCGTGAGTGGTTGATTATGATTACGACGGATCAATGAAGCAAAAGCAATGCAAAAATGAACAAACTTTCGGTAGAAATTGCTTTGCAGCTGTGCCGTGCTGTCGCGGCACTCCTGCGCAGATCTTTGGACCACTATGTGAATGACAAAAATCGACGTCGTCGGTCCTTTGCTGGATTTTAAAACTACAGCAAATACAATCTTCACAAGCTCATTTTTTTTCGAACAAGACGGATGCACAAGCTGTGCTCCAGCATCCAAGATCATGGAACGTCGGCAATGTGCCAATAATATCGTTTCTCTCTGTACTCACCTTCTCGACAGGCTTCAACCAGAATAATATTAATACTGCCGCTTCCGTGCGTATTAATACTCAAATTATTCCACCGCTGCTCCTACCAATTATTCTTTTCACGGTTTGCACAAAACCTGAACAATCTAACCACGACTTCTGCTTGTCATCAACTACGGTAAAAAAAAAACAAAGAGTTGTCTACCTCGGGAAGAAGTAGAACAGTACGAGAATCGCTGAAATTCAAATTGTTGCTGGGTTTGTTTGAATACACTCAATAGCTACAACACTTGTCGTTCTCCGACAAGTATTTACTACTGCGAGTATTCGTTTAGTTACTACGCACTGACTACAACTTCGACCCAAGGAAGAAGTTGTAACATCAACTACAACGCCTCTGCTATACGACAGCGCTTCACTAACTACATCTTCTAAAAACAAGAAACTAAAACGTCGCATATAAATCAAAATTCAGCAGTACCAGCAGTAAGCATTAAAAAAGCAAAAACATGTCCTCTGCTAGAAAACAGATGAACAGCTCGGGCTCTGCCAATGCGTACCACTATCGTGGCAGTGCCGCCATTCCCGCCGCCACGCCCACGTACCAACACCAGCAGCAACAGCGTTTCTATCCGGCGTCCAACGAAGAGATGGACCACCTGGAAAGTGCAGAGCACCCGCTGCTGAGCCACCAGAACCACACGGCGCGAGCCGGAGGAGCGTGTGCCGCCCCGACGGGTTGGAACATGGACGAAGCCATGCACTACCAGCGCACCATATCCACGGTACAATTATTTTTCCCGGACACGACGTACAGATGCGGTTTTTCATCTGCATAACAAAGTTTGACGCCGTTGATCCTAGTAGTTCTTGGCATGACAAGTGGCAACATGCTTTGCGTTGGCGAAATTTGTGATGCATTTTGTACGACGTCTGCGGGAAATTTGAATTTTCTGTGGATACACCATCCGGGCCGGGACGGCATCCTCGTCTCATGACGCGGCGGCCAATGGGGCGGGCAACAAGAAGTCCTGCATGGCGCCCTGGGTGGTCGCCTTGCTTGTAGTGCTCGGGGTGGCTGCCCTGATTGGTATCATCGTCGCTATCGCGATTGCCTGCAAGCACAAGGAAGATGAAGACCACAAGGGCACCGTCTTCAGTTTGACGCCCGTGCTTATGTTCAAGGCCACGGACGACAAAACTACACAAGACACGATCAAGGCTGCCTTGACTGATTTGAATGACAACCTCGTGCCGGCGTTGCGCAAAGAATGTTATGAAACGCAGAAGGACACCTGCATGCGGTTCGAAGCCTTCGCTATCGAGAATGTGCCTGTTGCCAACGACGCTAAGCTACAGTCGCAGGCGAACTTCCACATCGTCACCAAGGGTAGCTCGGGGATGGATTCGCTGCAGAAGTCGCAGCCCTACCAGGCGTTGTTCGTGACCGCCGTGAAAAAGTACAAGGACGACCTGAAAATTATGGACGAAGACGTTGACTACCTGGTCCCGGGAGACGAAGACAACGACCGCAACGGCTCCAAGTTCCCGGACCATTCCACGACGGATTTCAAGATCAAAGTCGGGGATAACAAGGACGAGCAGAGCAGCGCCAAGGCCGCCATCGAAAACAAGCCCGTGGACTGGAAAACGCTGGCTGTGAAAGACGCGAACCATCCCGCGCACGGCCAGGTGACTACCGTGATCTTCTCCTCGGACAAGAAGGAGGACGCCGACGTGCAGAAAAATATGGACACGCTGGAGCAGACGCACGTGCCGGCGCTGACCGCCGCCTGCTACGACAACAAATCGGGCGCCAATCCCCCGAACTGTTTGTACCTCGACGTTTTTAAGGCCTACACGCAGGACTGCATCAAGAAGGGGACCACCGGCGGTGATTGCAAGCAGTGGGTTCACAGCACCGTGTACACCTTCCAGCAACTGTTTCTGACCTTCGACGCCTACGACCAGTGGGCGAAGGGCGACGGCGCTAAGGCGCTGACCGATTTTCAAACCTGGGTCCAGTCTTCCGACAGGGGCACGCACCGCTACGTGACCATCGATAGCACGGAGTTCGGCTTCTCGCATAGTACGCCGACGCCTCCAACACCGCAGGAGGGCGATTTGGTTTCCCTGGTCATGAACGTCACCTTCAAGGATGAGGCCGGCATTACGAAGTTGGAAGCCGCGGACAAGGCCAAGCGTGGCGCCTACGTCGCGAACCTCGAGAAGTTGCAGTATAATCTGATTCCCGCCCTGAAGAGCGCCTGCTACGGAACTACAGGAGCAGGGGCCGCGCCAGGGCTCACTGGGTGCCTCCGTGTGGAAGCGTTCGCGACGAAGGATGGCAGTGGCACGCGCGTCACGGGCACTCTTCTCCACGTGGTTGTACGAAAGGAAAACCTGGACACGTTGCAGCAAAACGCCGCTTTTAAGGCAGTGGTGGCCGGGGGGGAGTTCGTCGCTATGGCGAACATGTTTGTCGATAGCGCCCACACACTCGACAAGACGCCGGTTGCTGCGACAGCAAAGAATCTGACAATGACACTAGCTGACAAAAAAACCACGGTCGACTCGGCCAAAGACGTAGCGGATATNTCTGGGCCTGGGAATCGAAGGGCAACGTCCTTGACTACCTCTCATTGTCTAGCGGTGGTCCGTACCAGCACATTCCGCTCCGTAAGCCTTCACCGCAGGGGGGCGATTTGGTTTCCCTGGTCAACCATGTCACCTTCCAGGATGAGGCCGGCATTACGAAGGAGGAAGCCACGGACAAGGCCAAGCGTGGCGCCTACGTCGCGAAACTCGAGAAGTTGCAGTACAATCTGATTCCCGCCCTGAAGAGCGCCTGCTACGGAACTACAGGAGCAGGGGCCGCGCCAGGGCTCACTGGGTGCCTGCGGGTGGAAGCGTTCGCGACGAAGGATAGCAGTGGCACGCGCGTCACGGGCACTCTTCTCCACGTGGTTGTACGAAAAGAAAACTTGGACACGTTGCAGCAAAACGCCGCTTTTAAGGCAGTGGTGACAGAGCTGACGGGGGAGTTCGTCGCTATGGCGAACATGTTTGTCGATAGCGCCCACACACTCGACACGACGCCGGTTGCTGCGACAGCAAAGAACCTGACAATGACACTAGCAGACAAAAAAACCACGGTCGACTCGGCCAAAGACGTAGCGGATATCGATTCATGGCGAGCCGCTTCGCAGGACAGCACCGTCGCCGGTGCGGTGTGGGCCTTTGTGCTGCAGGACGACAAAGAGGGATATGCGGACGCCGTCACGAAGCTGGAATCCGAACTGCTGCCCGACATGATCGCGCTCTGTGACAGCGTTTCTGATTGCCTGTACACCGACGTTTTCAAGATGGACAATAAGACTCCCACATCGCAAGGCACTCCCAAGATTACCACTTACATTCTGCAAGTCGCGGCGAAGACTGCCGCAGTTCTGAAGGACGAGTATTTCAACAAAGCAGGCACTAGTGATCCGGCCCCAGCCGAGAAATTGCAGCAGTACCTCAATACAATCAAAGAAACCGTCCTGTACACGGCTCCAGGTGCTGACGTAGAGCATGGACAGCAGATTGTCGGGGGAGTTGTCAGCGCGGGAACCGCCGTACTACAAGCGCAACCAACGTACGACAGTTACCAGCAGTTCGGTCTGCGGGATCTACCGGGGCTCTTCAGCGCAACCTATCCTGTGTAAAAACGTCCCCATCTTGCTTTTGTTGTCACGCAAATTTGCATGATGGAAATGTGAATGTCTTCCATGCGGAGCGGTCCCATGTTGAGACGCATTGTCTAGTAGCTCTGTTTGAAACAAATAATTTCTGATGCTGCAATGAATATAAGATAACGCTACTGGATTTGTGATGCTGCTGCACTAGCTCTACTAGCTGAACATGATTACATTCTGAGCCCAAACTTGTCATCCGCGACAGCCAGTCTGTTTATGTCATGCGCGACAGCCAAAGTTCTAAGTTTGCTGTTTTGTCTTGCAGATTTCCCAACTTGACTCTGGGGCGGGGACGTTTTCACATAGGATACGACTACGAAGATAGTCATGAAGGATAGCGTGACCGCTGACCAGGCGAAAACAGTAGTTGATGCGTTGCACCAGTTGTTTGTTAACCTGAAGCAGAAAACCTGCCTAGTTGCGAACGTCAACTGCGAGCGTTTCAA